CCCTAAACCCTAAACCCTAAACCCTAAACCCTAAACCCTAAACCCTAAACCCTAAACCCTAAACCCTAAACCCTAAACCCTAAACCCTAAACCCTAAACCCTAAACCCTAAACCCTAAACCCTAAACCCTAAACCCTAAACCCTAAACCCTAAACCCTAAACCCTAAACCCTAAACCCTAAACCCTAAACCCTAAACCCTACAAATCGAACCCTAGCCCTCCAAACCCTAGTTCACCCCGCCCCACCTGACGTAGTCCTCCACCCAAAACCAGTATCACACATTTCCAAAAAACCCAAACCGCGGCCTACGCCCGCGACGACGTAAAGGTCCGGGTCGCCGCCGGCACCCAGAGTGCCGCAAAACGCGCGCGTACACAGATGCAAATGCGTGTTTCATGCGTGTATGCAAAATTCCAGCGTCGTCGACCGCCAGTGTAGTGGTTTTGGTGACCCCTTTACTCGCGCAACTTTCAGGGCGGCAAAAGCGTCATGTTCCAGAGACACTGCTAACCCTAGTTTTCAGCCCGAGTTTCTAACCCTAGTTTCAGGGAGGCGCGTTCGAGGGGCGCGACGGCGACGTGGGTGAATCGTTTTGCATTCCTATTTCTTCTATTTCTAGCCCGCGATCGTTCGTTTGCGATCCCCGTGTGGTTCGCACAGTTGTATCTTCACGCGCGCGCGCTCGCGTATGTCACATCGCGCAAACGAGAAAACGCCTAAAAATCCTAGACGCAGGGACGACGACTGCGGCGCCGGCGTCACGCGAATCCATGGGCTAACATGCCATTCTTACACACAGTGCCCGCTACAAAGCCATCCGAACGAGGCGTGCCGTAGATTCATGCGCGCCGCGACCTCGCCCTCGCCCACCTCGACCTCCGCCGCGGCCTCTCGGGCCGCGGCCGCGGCCTCCTCCGCGCCTTCGCTCAGGAACTGGAGACGCTTCGCGCATCTCGGGAACGCTCGTGCCTGGAAACCCTCCCTGAGCAGACGTTGCGCCGTTCGGAAGCGTCCATCGCGGACGCGCGGCGTTCAACGCCTTCGTCGCCGCGCCGGGGGTCGCGTCGGGAAAATAATCGTCCAACGCCTGAGCCAACGCGTTGGCACTCAAAACTGCGGATTCAACGCACGCGGGTCCGCTCGTGCACCAGTCCCCTATCGCAGCCGTCGACGTTCGTAAATCGAGCACGCATGGAACGTTGCAAACGTTCAACGGGTTCGCCGCGCCCCAGAGCTGCGTTTTGTACAACGCCACCTTTGACAACATTGCGTTCGGCTCAAGCTTCAGCGACTTCTCCAGCGCTCCGACGAGCGTCTCCATCACCTCTTTGGACTTTGTTCTCGGCACCGCCTCTTGTGGTACTTTGTTTTCACGTGCGTACTCCGCGGTAGATTGTAACACGACACGCGTTTCCTTTGCGCCCTCCTTCAACAACGCGCCGCGTTTCGCGGAAATATTAGAAACCCACGACAAAGGCCCGCCATCTACGACGTGTGCGCCTTCAAAGCCATCGCCAAACTCGTGCACTCCGTCGAAAACTACCATGACCGACCACACGCTGCTAAGCACGAGTTTGTTTTCGCGAGAGAGCTCGTCGCGCGGCTTTACGCCGAAGCCGCATCGGAGCGACGATTTCACCTTCTCACACGCGCTGCGTCCATCTTCATCCTTCGCCGTCGACGCCAATCTATGGGCACACTTACCATTATGTGCAACGACGACGAAATCGTACGTTCCCAACTGTTTCGCCCTGTCGCTTTCGTTTGAGGCCAACGCCCACTCCACGACGTTTCCGTCGTCGTCGCGGCGCACAGGATGCATCGCCCCGACCCATTGCGGACGATGCACGACATCGCAATGCTTGACCAATTCTTCGGACATTCCTCTAAACCCATCGACGCCGACGAAGCGCTCCGCGCCGTCGCTGAACGACGTAAAACGACCGCTCGCCGCGTCCAGAGTGCCGACGACATCGTCCGACCATCTCGTCAGCGCGCCGGCGTCGACGAGGGACCTCGCGAACGACTCGCGCGCGACGTCCGAGGACAGCGTAAAGTACTGCAACCCGTGATCGACGTCGACGCCGGCGAGAGCCTTACTCGACGCTCGTCCGCCGCACGCTCGCTCGCCGGTGTCGAACAGATGCAACTCGAATCGTCGCCTATCGCTGTCTACGTCGCGAAGGAACTTAGCGAGCGCGAGCCCGGAAATACCTCCGCCGACGATGGCGATGCGTTTCGCGGGATGAGCGTCACGCATCGCGTCGCTCGCGCGCGGAGTGACGAGTGAACGAACTCGAACCTTTTCTACTTTTCTTATTAGAAATGTTCTGTTACAGCGCCTTGGCGCGTGAACGCTTCGTCCTATCGCTAGAAACTTTGATGACGACGTATGTCCACGCGAATAAAACGCCGACTAAAGCGAGTATGAGCCACGTCCAACAGGAGCCGCGCCGGTTCGCCCGAAACGCGGCGTCTTGCCGCTTCGCGCTCGACTTCACGCCGTGAACGTTGGCGCCTAATCGCGACTCTAACTCCGCGACCGCCGCAGACGAACGACCAAGCCCACGTTCGAGCGCGAGTGCGTTAGCTTTTAATCCACTCGCGAGCTCGGACATCTCATCCGTTAATCCGTCCTGTATAGCGCGTTGCCTTCTCAACTCGACTTCGTCCTCCGCCGTGAGCGTCTTCGTCGACGGCGGTCCGTGGAGACTTCGTCTCGCCGCGCTCGACGCGGCGCATTCATCGTCGTCTTTGCTAACTACTTCCGTAATGCAAGCGACGACGCCTCGCGGCGTCGTCGTCTTTGCAAACGACGGTCGATACGCGCGTCGCGTCGTCGCCGCGGCGCCGGCTGTCGGCGGCGGTGCGTCGACCGACGTCTCGTTCAGCGGCGCACCGCTCGTCGACGCGACCTCACCTCGAGTCGTCGAGTGAAGAACATCTAATCTGTCAATTCTCGTCGCGTAAGCCTTCCATATCGCCGCATCGACGTCACCCTCGATGCTTTTCAACCCGTCCCTCAACGATTCGAGAATCTGCTGCCGCTTTCGCTCGTTCACGCTCGAGTCCGGTGCCGTTCTTTCGCACGCCGCGAGCGCGCGCGCGATGGCGAGCTCGCGCGCCTTGGCGCTCGCGCGCGACGCGGTCGCGCCGGTGGTCGTCGTCGCGTCCATGGCGCACCGTGCGGCGACGAATGAGGACCGGCCTCAGTCGTCGTCGCCGCATGGCGACCGCGACGGCGACGCATCGCGCCTCGATCGTCGTCGACGCGCAGAGTCGGTGCCGCTCGCGTCAGCGAGTCAGGGGGCGTGCGTCTTCGTCGTCGTCGTCGTCGCGCGCGAGCGCGAGCGTGAGCGCTGCGACGACCGACGATAAAGATGACGCAAAGCGTGAGTTATTGCGAGCGGTAGCGGCTTTGCGGCGAGGAAACGCGAGCGCGCGCGACGTCGCGAGCGCAATCAAACGCGTTGAATCGTTCGAGTCCAACGGCGACGCGCGAGGACGTTGGACTTTGGCCTACAGCGCGAATCTCGACGACGACAGCAACGTCAAAGCCTCGGCGAGCCCACTCGAATCCCTCGGCGTTAGCGACGAGATTGTGCAAGAGGTGACGAAAACGCTTTACAGTGTCTTCTTTAAGTTTGCACCATGGCTCGCCGGATCGGCGGAGACGAATCGCACGGGCGCTCGAAACGTACAGGTCGTCGACGTCGACGCGGGCGTAGTTAGAAACGAGGTCGAGTTGGACGTAGCCAGTCTTCCCACGCTGCCGATGTCGACGCTGACAATCGGCGTCGACGGCGAGATCGAAACCGAGGATGCGCTCGCGCGACGCGCGTTTGTCACGTTTACGAGCTTCGACGTACAACTGCGGTTCGCGCGCGGGGAGGCGAAAACTCCCAAAGTTTCCATTCCGCTTCCGCGTCCGCGAGGGTCGTTGAACACGACGTTTTGCGATGATTCCATGCGAATCAGTCGCGGAGGGCGCGGCGGCGTCTTCATTCTCACTCGACTTCACGGATGACGCAGCGCTTTGCTTCATAACGCGACTCATCACTCACATGAGCGCTCATGTGAGCGTCTCGGGCGCGTCCGCGCCGTACGTGAAACCACTGCAAGACACGATGATGCGTGATCCGTCATGCGCGTCCTACTTTACGCTTTCAACCGTCGAGCACGGGCCAAGGGGGGTGACACCGCGCGCGAGAACGGTTGTCTTTGAAGGCTTCGCCGTGGACATCGACGACCGCTTTGCGCTCTCGTGCAAGCTCAGTTCCAACAGCAACAAGTTCGCCAAGCGCGCGAGTGACGAAGTCGAGATTTGCTGGTGGTTCTCGAGCGCGCGCGTCCAGTTTCGATTTCGAGGACCGATGCGCTTCGAAACCAGTGCCCAGAGCGGGAGTCGAAACGCGCTTTGGGAGCAGCTCGATCTCGGTGATCGAGCGCAATTCTTCTACCCACCGGACGTGCTCGCGAAAGACCGTCAAGATGCCGTCTACGAGCGCGCCACGAAAGCGTTGATCGAGTCTCGCGGTGCGGTTCCTGAATCGTTTTGCGTCGGTCTTCTCGTCCCGCTGGAGGTTGATGTTTTGGATTTGAACGACTCTAGTCGCAAGTACTGGCGCCGAACAAGCGTAGACGACACTGCATGGGAAGACTTTTCAGGACTCGCGCCTCCGGTGTTGAGCGTGGACGCCATCATCGCCGCCTCGACTAAGGAATCATAGCACCGCACCGCCGCGTGCGTCGCGTGTATTAACAGAAATCTGTGTGTACGACACAGCTCGACTCGTGCGCACGGGGAACTCGCTCGCGCGATGTCGGCGCGCGATCATGCGGTGATGTTCGTCGTCGACGTCTCCGCGCTCGATCGCTGCGTCGTCGCGTGCGCGGGCGACGACGAAGACGAAGCGCGTCGAAACGGGCACGTCGCGACGACGTCTGCACGAGCCATCGTCGCGTCTTGTATTCGCGGGTGCGTTAACGCGAAAACGCAGCTACGTACGCCATCGCAACGCGACCATTGTTTCGGGTTGACGCTCTTCGGCGCGCGAGACACGTCGAACGATGTTGCGGCGGCGGCGCTCGACGACGACGGTGAGGGCGACGAATACGCCGGCATCGTCACGGCGCGACAGCTGCGACCGCCGGAGAGCAAGACGGGGTTGGAGTACGAGAGGGATATTTTAGAGACGGCGGCGGCGGTTGACGGCGCCGCGGACGTTCCTGAGGCGCTCGCCGTAGCGTGTGATTCGCTCATACGCCAGTACTCGCCGGAAGGCGTCAACGCGGCGACGAAGAAGCGATTGGCTGGTTGCGTGAAGGATATTGTTTTGATCACCGATGCCACGGGCGCGGCGACGATGCAAAGTGCGGTAGATGACGAGTTTGTGGCGACGCTATTAGATGGTATGAAAGCGCAAAACGTTCGATTAAAAGTCGGCGTCGTCGACGCGTGCGAGATGTCTCGAGCGCGCGGCGACGCAGGCGTTCGCGTGACTGCGTCGGCAACGTTTCGCGAACCGGATTTCGAGGCTTTGCGTCAGGCGTGCGATGTTCTCGCCGCTGCCGACGCCGGTAACGATAGCGCCGTCGTCGGCGCGAGCGCGCTTCTTTTAGATTTGCAGATTAAGCGCGTGCGACCGACGTCTGGCTATCGCGGTTTTCTATCCTTCGGTTTCAACGCGGGTGTGAACGTGGCGCTTTACAAGCTGAACACGGAAGCGGTGCCGGTGAAGCTCAATAGATACAGCGAGGAGCTCGCGGATCGTCCGGAGGAGTCGCATCAGACGCTTGTGGAGACTACGTACAGGAATGTCAACGATCTTGACGGCGAATTCGTGCCGCCAGAGCGCCACGTGAAGGCGTTTCGGTACGGCAAGCAGCACATACCGATTGATGCCGAGACCGAAAGCCGCTTGTCGATGCGATTCGAAAAGAGCATGAAAGTAATCGGTTCAATCAGCATGGATGAATGCCCGTTGTGGCTCAGCGTTGGCGAGCCATCGGTGTGCGTACCGCAGCCGAGTACGAAGACGACTGGTTTGAGCCAAGAGCGCGCGGCGGCGGACGCGACGGCACTTAGCGCGCTCGCAAGGGCTCTGGATGACGCAAAGCTTGCGCTACTCGTTCGCGGCGCGTTCACGGAAGGCACGACTTCAATCCACATCGGCGCCCTTACGCCGCGGCTCACGGATGCAGGAGACTTTTTGCTCTACACGCCGTTGCCGTTCAAAGAAGACTACAACGAGTACTCTTTACCGTCGGTCCCGGCGAGCGCACGCGTCGATGCGGAGGACCCGCGCTTGGTCGACGCTCGCGAATTCGTCAGGGCGAACTCTCTCGACGGCGATCGACGCGCGACGACGATGCCCTGGGAGTCGCTCAATCCGACTTTGCGCGCATATCGAGACTTGTTCGAGGCGCGAGCGCTCGGCGCGCAAGCGTCTCTAAAAAGGAGACCATCTTTAGCGCTAGGAGTCGCCGAAGCCTCGGCGTGCGATTTCGCCGCGCGATTCGGTCTGAACGCAGCGCAAGACAGAAGTGCACGACCACGATTGGCGGCCGACGAGGGCGCGGCTAAGGCTCCCTCGCCGCTACGCGTCTCCGCATCGCTTCCCGAACGTCCACAGTCCCAGCCTTCGTTTGCCGTGTTGGTGGACGTCGTCAAGACGGAGGACGGGGAAGAAGAGGCCTTGGTGAGCCCGCCCGATTTAGACGTGTTCGACGATATGGAATAGGAGCCATGAATGAAACGACGTGATGTAGAATGAATAGGATGTAAGTGAATAGCGCACACCAATGAAACGACAGTCGTCGCGCCATCGAGCGATTTCCGGCGACCGTCGTGGCGATGGCACGAAATGAAATCGATGACGGGCGTCTCCTTTAATTTCCGCTAGGTGTATAAACTAATTGAGCTAACGACGCTAAACCGTCTCAGAACGGCCCCGAATGTCCGTCGTCTTTCCGTCGACCGAGTTTCGCGCGCAGTCGAGAAACCATAGCGCTGTTCTCCAGTAGCGAGACGCGACTCGCAACGCCCTCGCCGCCGTCGGCGGCGATCCACCTTTTATACGGCTCCGCTGATGCGCGCGCGGCTTGCACGTGTGGCTCGAACGTCGCTCGAAATTTGCGTTCGAAATCGCCGTGCGAATCTATCTGGAACAACGAACTCGCCGCGACGCTGCCGCCGACGACGCCGACGAACGCCAAAACAGTTCCATACGCGAGCGCGCGCAATCCTCCCACCATCGCGTGTCTTTGCGCCATTTGCGACGTTTCGAGAGCTTTGATTTCCATCGGACTCAAAGCTTTGCGCTCCGCCGCGGCGCGTCGTAAATCCGCGCTCACCTCGCGCATCCAGTCGCGTCTATTGAGCTTACTTCCCAACGTCTGCGCGGCGAATATCGAGTCTCTGCCGTCGCTAGCCGCGCGACGCAAGCCATCGCGTTTGGTTTCATCACCTCGCCCCACCGTTCGACGCAAGTGCGTCGCGCGCGCGTTCGTCGTCGTCCCCGGCAACCGCAGCTCCTCGGCGTACACGCTGCCGAGCTTGTCCACCCCGCCGCGCGCGGCGCTCCCAGCCTTGGCGTAGTCGTTCCCACTCGCCGACGACGACGAACTCGCGCGCGCGTCTTTCTCATCGTCCCCGCTCGCGAGCAGCGCCTCCGCGCCGTCCGCGTTTCGCGCGCGTCGTCTCGCAGCCAACTTTTCAATGTCTCGCTCGGCTTCGCTCTTGAAGAACGCCCCTTCCTGCGCGCGCAGACGGCTGCCGAAGATGTCCATGGCGTGTCGCGTTCGCTCCGATCGCGCGCGTTCCGGCGTCGCGTCGCGCGCGCGCGTCGTTCGCCCGCGCGCGCGCGTGTGCGGCACAGCGCGACGCCGCAACGACGCGCGTCGACGCCATGGCGCCGCACCCGCGTCGCGCCGCGGGCGCGAAGACGCCGCGCGAGGCGAAGAAGAAGCCGTCGTCGGGTAAGCGCGCCGGGTACAAGCCGCACGGGTCCGTGGTGTACGAGACGACGGAGGCGCTGTCGCGAATCGCTGAAAGCGCGCTCGACGCGAACGAGCGGCGCCGCGCGATTTTCGATGCGCTGGCGCGCGCGATGAGCGCGGACGATAATCCGCGACCGCTGCGCGCGGACCCGCGGGCGTTCACGACGTTCATCTCGCGATTGAATCGAGGGAAACGCTTCGACGCGGCGTTGGACGTCTTCGCGGCGCAAAAGGCGCTCGGCGTCGAGCGAAACGCGGTGAATTACAACGCCGCCATGGTGGCGAACGTCAAGGCGGAGAAACCTGAAGAGGCGTTGAAGTTGTTCGAAGAGATGCGCGAGATCGGGCACGAGCCGAGCGTGATATCTTTCAACGTCGCCATGGGGGCGTGCGCGCGCGCGGGCGACGGCGCGCGCGCGTTGAAACTTTTCGACGAGATGGTGGGGCAGAACATGGACGTGGACGCGGTGAGCATCAACACCGCAATGGCGGCGGCGGAGTTGGTCGGTGATGAGGCGCGCTTGGAAGAACTGCGCGCTGGGTCGCATTTCAAGCGCGCGGGCGACGTCGACGAGCCGGCGCCGACGCGAGTCGTTAAAGACGACGCGAAGAAAGACAGCGACGCGAGCGACGACGAAGATAGCGACGACGACAGCGACGACGACAGCGACGAAGGCGAGCCGGAAGCGGTAGCAGACGACGTCGGCGACGCGAATGTGGTTTTGAGTGAAGAAGAAGAGGCGAAGCGCGCGGCGGCGAGAAAGCGCAAGCGCGAGATTAAGAAAAAGTTATTAGCCGAATACGCCGCGAACGTCGGCGGTGCCCGCGACGACGAGGACGAGGAGATGGCGAAGCGCCGTCGAAAAGACGAGCGACGAGCCAAGTTTGAGGAAAAACGGCGCGCGCGGAAAGAGGCGACGCGCGCGAAGAGACCTTGGTCCGCCGCCGCCGCGCACGCGAAGAAGAAAGAAAATAAGACGTCCAAGGCGGCAAAGCGCACGGCGATGAAGGCGGATCCGAAAGTTTGGATCGAAGACGTTCCTTCCGAAGATGAAGTTCTGTACGACGACGATGGTGAACGCGTTTTGCCCGCGATCAAAGGTCCTTCGTTTCTCGACGACCCAAACGCGGCCAAGCTGATGAACGCGTCCGGCGGCGAAGACTTTTGGTCGGTTGGATTCTAGCAATGGTTACACTGGTTACACGAGTAAAATACTTCCTAAAATAGCGATAGACGAGACGCAAATGCTGTAAAAAGTAAACGAGCGCATAGCCGCACGAGGATGACTTCACTCGCCGCTCGTCGACGCCTTCGTCGACGCCTTCGTCTCCTTGCCCTTGTCCGATTTCTCCTCCGCCTTCGTCGTCGCGTCCGGTCCTCCGATGATTTGATGGGTGAAGTTATGGTTCGTGTACACGCACGTATCCGCCGCGATCGTCATCGCCTTTTTCGCGATATCGAAAGCCTTCATCCCCGGGACGTCCACCAACGCTCGCGCCGCCGCCAAGGCGTACGACCCTCCGCTTCCGATTCCAATCACCCCATCGTGCGGTTCCAGCACGTCTCCCGAACCGGTGATTTGAAAGCTCGATTCTTTGTCCGCCACGATCATCGTCGCTTCGAGTTTTCTCAAAAACTTATCCGTGCGCCACTGTTTCGCCAGCTCCACGCACGCCCTCGTCAATTGCCCCGGGTGCTGCTCGAGCTGTTGTTCAAGTCGTTCAAACAGCGTGAACGCGTCCGCGGTGGCGCCCGCGAACCCACCGACGACGCCCGGCTCGATGATTCTCACTTTTTTCACGTTTGGCTTCACGATTTCGCTCCCCATGGTGACTTGACCGTCCGCCATGATCACCGTCTCGCCATCCTTGCGCACGCACAGCACCGTCGTGGCGTGCGGCGACGACGTCGCGGCGGCGGAAAACGACGCGCGATCGCGCGCGGGACGAAACGCGGCGAGCGATGCGCGTCGTAACGCCGCGCGCGCGAACGAGCTCGACATCGATCGAGCGCGCGCGAGTCAACGAGTGGAGCGTGTTTATCACAACGCGACGCGCCATACTACGTCAACGCGACGCGGGCTGAGGCGGGGTGAACGACACCATGGGCGTGCCGAAAATGTTCAAGCCCTCGGCGATGGACACGAGCTCGAGCTCGAAGCATAAATCTTGCCCCGCGAGCGGGTGATTGAGATCGAGCGTCACGCTCTCTCCGTCGAGCCCCAGGCACAGCGCGCGCGCGCCGTCCGGCAGTTGCACGAGTTGTCCCACTTGGACTTGCGACGCCATCGATTGCGCCTCTTCCGGCGACAGCGGAAACCGCTGCACTTTCGCGTCGTCTCGCTCGCCGAACGCGTCTTTCGCCGCGAGCGTCACGTTCTCTCGCACGTCTCCCGGCGTCATCGTCGCCAACTCTTCGCCGATGCGCGCGAAGAGCGAATCGTCCCCGAGCGTGATCGTCACGGGCTGTCCCTGTCTCGCGTCGCTTCGCGTGTCGTCGATCACGGTGCCGTCGTTGAGCGTCATCTTATAGTGCAGCGTCACTCGCTCGCCGTTCTTCGGCGTCTCGCGCGCCGACGCGCGCGCGCCGACACGGTGTCGGCGTCGGTGACGATTCGAGCGCGCCGCGACGACGCGCGAGGGCGTCGCGCGCGACGGCGCGCGAAGCATCGCTCGAGCGGAGACTGAGAACGCTTCGGCGCGGATACCGATCCGCGAGACCGCGCGCTCGGACGCGTCGCGGAATCGCGGTCGCGCACGAATCAATCAATCAATCGACCCCGCGCTGACGTGGTGCGGCTGCGCGAAAAAGCGATCGTCGAACGATGCGCGCGACGACACTCGACGACGACGACGACGATGCGCGCGATGAAGACGACGACGACGCGCGCGACGACGCGCGCGACGACGCGCGCGACGACGCGCGCGACGATCTCAGCGCGCGGCGCGTCGACGCGCAGAGCCGCGGTCGGGGACGGCGGCGACGATGCTATTTCTGGCGAATCGCTCGCGATGGGTGCGAAAATTGCGACGACGACGAAGATGCAGGCGTTGATGCCGGCGCGACGAGACGCGACGAACGTCGTCGCGCAAGTGGCGGTGGCGGCGACGCCGGCGCGACCGCTGCGACCGCCGTACACGCGACGGACGGATGTGGATTACGTCGCGCAGTTGGGCGCCGCGGGGTTGGGATTGGGGCTGGCGTACGGCGTCGCCAAGGCGAAGGCCATCTTAGACACCCCGAGTCGAACGTACGTGCCGGGAGAGAACACCGTGGGCGCGGAGTACGACGCGTGGACGGAGGAAGAAATTTTAGAGTATTATTGGGGCGAACACATTCATTTGGGATATTACAAGGACGAAGACTTGAAACGAGGCGCGGGGACGCTTTTTGGACATCGCGTGAAGGATTTCATCGAAGCGAAAGAGGACTTTGTTGATGAAATGTACGCGTGGAGCAAGGCGGAGGCGAACAACGGCGGCGCCAAGCCGCGGAAGATTTTAGACGTCGGTTGCGGCATCGGCGGCGCGACGCGTCGCTTGGCGTCAAAGTGCGCGGGGGCGACCGCAGAAGTCACTGGAATCACGCTTTCGACGAAGCAAGCCGCTCGAGCGACGGCGTTGGCGGCGGCGCAAAACATCCCAAACGCCAAGTTTGAAGTCATGGATGCCTTGGCGATGGAGTTCGACGACGACACGTTTGACATGGTGTGGGCGTGCGAGAGCGGCGAGCACATGCCCGATAAGAAAAAGTACGTGGAAGAGATGGTGCGCGTGTTGAAGCCCGGAGGCACGCTCGTGATCGCGACGTGGTGCCAGCGACACACACCGCCGGCGCTCACAAAGGAGGAAAAGTCCAAGCTGCAGTTCCTTTACGACGAGTGGGCGCATCCGTACTTCATCTCCATCCAAGACTATTGCGAGTTAGCCGAAGGCACGGGCGCGATGAAGAACGTCGATGGCGACGATTGGACCAAGCAGACGATTGTGAGCTGGAGACACTCGATCTGGGCGGGCGTGTACGATCCGTTGCCCGTATTCACGCGTCCGAAGATTTGGTACAAGACTCTTCGCGACATCATTTGTCTCGAACGCATGCGCCGAGCGTTCGGGGAAGAACTCATGCAATACGGCATGATTCGCGGGGTGAAAAAGTAAGTAAGCTATATGTTGTTGTAAGTACACGATTACACGGTGCTGTGTTAATTCGCGAATCAATCACTTGTCCTTCTTCGACTTCTTTGACTTCTTCTCCGTCTTGTCCTCTCGATCGCGCTTGGACGATTTCGCTTCACCACCCATGACGAAGGATGAAGCTGACGCCTTCGAGCGCTTGTCTTCCTCCTTTTTCGCCTTCGCCTTCGCCTTGAGTGATGCCGTGATGGCGTCGACGTCCTCTTCCTTCGCCTTTGACGACTTTGAGCGAGCCGGTTTGTCGTCCTCCTTCGGCGCGACGAAGGCGGCTTGTCGCTTCTTGTGGTTGTCCGTCGACGTGTCTTTTTGCTTTTGCAACTTGTCGTACGCTGCCTTGCGTTCCTTGGCTTCTTTGGACAAAAAGTACTCCCCGGATTCGATTTGTTTGTCTATCTTGCTCATCGGTTGGGTCGGCGGGAAAACCGCGCGTTCCTTCTTGCCGATTTTGGCGGGCTTCTTGCGTTGGACATTCTTCTTCTTGAATTTCGGCAAGAATCGGTCCCAGCTTTGCGTGGCGAGCTCGGGATCTTTTTCCAGTTCCCGTTTGATCATGAGTTCTTTAATGTGATAAATCGGGTGCGTGTTTTTCATCGCGTCCTCGACGATTTTGCGAACCATCTTCAAACCTTTCCATCCGCCCATGACGCTCACCGTGTTCCCTTGAACCAGCACGTAGCACCCTGTGAGCATCTCGATCGCCTTGAGCGTCGAGCCGTTGGGCCCAATCAATCGCTGCCGCCTCTTCACGAATCGTTCTTTGTTCCTCACCATCCCACCAATCTTAATCACGTCGCAATTCGTCTCGTCTTCGAGCACCTTTAACGCCTGCGGCGCCGGCACCGACCGACTGAGCAGCTTTATCAAGTCCCTCGCCTTCATGATGATGTACGGATCGAAAGTCTTTCGCGTCGTGCGCACCGTCATCGAACCCTCGACGAGGTTTAATTCACAACTCACCCCTTGCTCCTTCAGCGCTTTCGTCACGCTCGGCCACGTCTCGCGTAAATATTTTTCTCGGTACTTTGGAAACAGCACCGCGAACGAGCTCTCCTCGAGCACGCCGTTCGGGTTATCCTCCGCCGTGAACGGCGTCACGCTCCAGTGATCGATGCCATCGTGATCCCAGGGTTTATCTCTTCGATAGCGGCCCTTTTTCGCGCCCGAAGACGTCGTCGCCGCCGCGTCGGCGTCGGCGTCCGGCTCGTCCGCCGCCGCCGCCGAAACATTTCGCGTCGACGGACGCGCGTTGGACGCGGCGACGAGGTGAGCCATGTGCGCGCGCGCGCGACGTCGCGATCGTCGCCGCGCGTTCGCTGTTTCGTCTACGACCGCTCGGCGCGACGCTGAACGGCGCGGAGCGAAGCGCGTCGAGCGCGTGGAAATGGCGACCGGTGCGGGTGCGACCAGAGTTGTGCTACAAAGGAACGCGGCCGCCGACCGCGGCGATTTAAAATCTAAGTTTGGAGGACGCCCCGCGCGGGTTTCGCGGCGACGCGGGGGGGGAGGGTGATGTGTGTGCGCGAGATGGACGCTCGTCGTTCGTCTCGCGAGCGAGCGCGCGCTCGTGCCACATGCAGAAGCAAAACAAATATTCGCCCGGCCGCGACGTTCGCGCCATGATTTGAGGAGGCTGGTCGCCGACGTGCCTGGCGACGTCGACACGGAACGCGTCGAGGCCGAGAATATTCAGGGTAAACGTTTTCGGGTCGAAGACGTGCTGGTAAAAGTCAAACGTGTACACGTCGTCGGTCGAAAACGAGTACTGTTTCGCTTTCTTGACGTCGGCGAGGAGGCGGCGACGCTGCGCCGAAGTCAATCGGCCGCTCGCAAACGCGCCGCCGAACTTGGAATTGTTTTCTTCGAACGATCCGCGCGTGATGTCGGGCTCGTCTCCGGGAGTATCTATGGAAATCACTTGCGCGCTCGCGCCAAGAAACGTCCACACCTGAGGCTTTCGCGCGAACAGCGACATTCGTAGGCTCGGATTCATCGCGCGTAAGATGTGCACCAAAGTCTTCACAAAACGCTTCCCTGGAATTCCCAATAGAGGCTGGAAAAATTCATGACCCGTGACCGTTTCGTCCGCGCGTATGCGTCGCTTGAATTTGCCTTGAACGACGCATTGGAACGTTCGCGCGCGCCCACGAAAGTACTCCTCGAGTCGTCTCGCGGCGTCCGGCGCCGCTGCGGCGGGCGGCGGCGGGCAGTCTCGGAACCGAATCAAACATCTACCGGCGAAAACGCTCGTTTCGAACTCGAACGGTATTTCACTGTTGTACGTCAACGCGCCGCGCGTGATTTTACACCCCGCGTACGACGGTATCGTCATGTGCAACGGTCTTTGATTCCATCTCGAAACAGGCGGCGGTGGAGGCCCGTGACCGCTCGCCTTCGCCATCACGTCTCGCTTCTTGTCCAACATGCGAGCTGGTGCGCTCGCGCGTGGCAATCGTTCGTGCGTACTCTTTTCAATCTCGCGCGCGTCTGCGCACGGCATTGCTTCGCTCGCCTTCTCCGGTGCGCTGCGATGCTCGCTCTCGCTCGTCCAACGCGACGGCGCGCGTCCGCGCTCATCCCGCGTGCGCGTTCGCCATCGCGTGAACACGGCCGCGAGCCACACGAGCAGACACACAATGAGCGCTGCGGTCACTGTCTCCATCAAGCGCACATCACGTCGCTCGACGCCACCATCGCGCGCACACGTGTCGGGAAACGAAAAGCTGCTATTTTCGTCGAAACGTCCCTTTATCATCCACGGGCTCACGAGAACGCGCGGGGCGCGCGCGAGGGCTGCGCGGCGGAAGTAACACGCCGCGCGTCACGCGCGCGATCTGCGTCCTCGCGCGCGCGTCGCGCGCGCGGTCTTGCGCGCGCGAGGACGACAGACGCGGTGTGCGGAAGGCGGTATCGGCATATTCGAAGCGTTATTTTTTGTTGTTTTTGCTGTGAAAAATTACAAAAGGACGCCTAGGCGCTTCGTTCGGCTCAGATAAAGTAGTCCGTGATGTAGGACGTTTGGTCCATCGACAGCGATGGTTGCTGCGGTGCGCCGCGGTTGATGACTTTAGCAGGAATACCCACGGCGGTGGACCCTTCGGGTATGTCGTCGAGCACCACCGAGCCGGCGCCGATTTTTGTGTCGGCGCCTACGTTGATATTCCCTAAAATCGTGACGTTCGCGCCGATAACGACGCCGTCTCCAACTTTAGGGTGTCGATCGCCCTGTGACGTACCGGTCCCGCCCAAAGTGACGCCGTGGAGAATGGAGACGTTTTCTCCGACCACGGCCGTCTCACCGATGACGACGCCCGTGGCGTGATCCATCATCATCCCTTGACCCAACACCGCGCCCGGGTGAATGTCGACGTGGAAAACTTCCGAGATTCGATTCTGTAGCAAAAAACTCAACGCTTTGCGGTCTTCCAGCCAGAGCGAGTGCGCCACGCGTTGCGCCTGAATGGCTTGGAACCCTTTGAAGAACAGCACGATGGCCAAATACCTATCGCACGCGGGATCGCGTTCGTACACCGCTTGCATGTCCGCTAAACACTTTTTGCCGAGCTCGGGGTACTTTTTATACTGTGAACTGAAGAGCTCGAGCAATTGCGAATCCAACAACACGTTGTTTCGCAGCTTGTTCGCGAGCACAAACGCCAAGACGTCCTCGATGCTCTTGTGCGCCAACACGGTGGAATACAAATAACTCGCCAGCGCGGGTTCACCTTCGAGATCCGTTTTCGCCTCTTCGCGCAGTCGTTCCCAAATCCCATCGCCAAGCAAACAGCTCTCGCCCTCGAATCCTTCCCCGCTCGAGGTCGACGCGTCTTCCCCAGTCTTTGCCCGTCCCGCGGCACGTTTCGCTCGGTCCACGAGCGACGGCGACGGCGACGACGACGAGGACGCCTTGGACGCGCCGCCCGCCCACTTCGCCGCCACGTCGCGCTCTCTCGCCGCCTCTCTCGCCGCATCTAAGCCGCCATCGCTCACCGCGCGTCGCGCCGAATCGCCGCCGTTCCCCTGTCGACGCGCGCGCGGGTTCGCGCGCGCGCGCGGCCGTCGCGGCGCGCGCGCCGCATGCGCGTTGGACGCGAATCGCGCGTGCGTCGTCATCGACACCGTCGGCATCGCGTCTTCGCGACGACGGCACCGACTCGCAGTGACGATCGACGGTCGACGATCGGGCACTTTTTCGTCGCTCTCCGCGAGGCTGTAGGACGCGGCGAGACGCGCGGACGCGACGATCGATCACGGCGTATGAACGGAAACGACGCGCGCGACATCGTCTGTGCGTGTAAACGTATCATAACAAATCGTCGTGGTCGTCGTAATAGTCGTCATAGTCGTCGTCGTCACGTTTGCGGGAAATCAAACGTATTCTCATCTAAAGCGAATGGACACCATCGGGATGTCGACGTCTTCGCCTTCGTCGTCTTCGCACGCGACGACGATGTCGAAGTGTCGACGCTTGGCGGGAATTTCCATCTTCGCCACGGTTTGCACCAACTCGCTGAGTTTTTGGTTCAAACGCTCCTTGTGTTTGGGGAAAATATTGTTATAAACCAAACTCGCGCCGACGGACATGGAGTACGCGATCAGGCCCTTGGCCTCGAAGTGGTCCAAGACTTGTTGAACCGTGAAATCGCCCTCCAAGATCCATCGGTCCCACATGCTCCACGACAAGTCTTTGAATTTGTCTTGCTTGGCCGCGATGGGCTCCGCCATGGCGAACAGCGGGAGCGCGAGGTTGGCGAACGTGTTGCGATACGCCTCAATCTTCGCGCCTTTGAACACCTTGTACAATTCGAGGCACACCAAACCCGTCGCCATCGCCGTCGTCGTCGCGATGGCTGGAATAATTCTCCCCGCGATAAACTTTGCTTTGAGTTTATCGACCTCACCGATGTCATAGTTGCGCGCACGCATGTTGGAAAGACCAGCGATGGCGTCCATGTGAAAGTTTGTGTCGTCGTCCTTCTCAAACTCGATGACGTTGAGTCTGTAATCTCCTCCCAAGCCCGCTCGCTTCGTTTCGAGCTTGGCCAACACGTCCTTGATCACAGCCTCGTCGTCGATACCTTCAGGAATGCTCGAAGCGGCGGTGTTCGCCTTGGGGTCGGTCTCGATCTTGATGCCCTTCTTCGGTTCGAAAGGAGCGACGGCCACCTTGTCGACGAGCTGCACGAGCGCGGCGTCGTCGTTGACTCCCGCCGCCGGTCGCGCGATCCCAGAGAGCTCCGCTTTGAGGTTCGCCATGGCGCGGATGAGCGTCATGTGCGAAGCGTCCGAGGTGGAAAATATGACTGGTCGCGGGAAACGCTTCGGTGCGCTCCAGAAAGGTGAACCCGTCGACGTGACGGCGTCTTCGGGAAACGTAAACGTGAGCTGTAAAATCTTGTCGTGGAATTGCTCTTGGAACTGCGTGCGCGCCCAAGCGATGCATTCGTCATACGTGGAGCATGCCGTCTTCAACAACACTTGCGCAACCTTTTCGACATTCTCTCGCGCGGAAGCATCGGGGTTCGACAGCGCCGCCGCGGCGTATTCCTCTGGCTTGGACAAATAAGAGTTGGCCTCGGCGGGAGCCTTCTCGAATGCACCTTCGAATTCGCTTCGCGCCCACGTCAAGCAGTGATCGATGTTGTGCGGGAACGAGTGCAGCGTGCACATCGGCGCGCTCTTCTCCGGAGGGTCACGAGAAGCACCATAGTTCTCTGTCATGTTCGGAATGACCATTTGAGTGTTGCACTTCGTGCCGAGAGTCCCGCTCTCGAGCAGCGGCTTTTGGAAGTACACGCATCGACTGTCTACGTACAACCGCGCGTTTACGTTATCCAGAGCGTTCACGACCACATCCAGGCCTTCCCAGAATCCATCGTCGAAAACGTCCTCCGTGTCCGGGCTCACGCGGTTCTCGAGCGCGGTGACGTTGAGGTTCGGATTGATCACCTTGGCCGCGTTCGAGGCGCACACGCTCTTGCCTTGACCGATGTTCCAGTCGCGGAACAAGAATTGACGGGACAAGTTTGACTTCTCAATAACGTCGTCGTCCGTCACCGTCACACCACCGCTCGGACCGCACGACAACCCCATGCACGCAAAGTTTTTCAAAAACTCGCAACCGAGCGCGCCGGCGCCGACGAGGAAAATCTTTTGACTGAGAATTTTGTCCTGCATCTTCGTCCCGAAGCACATGACTTGACCGTCGTAGCGATCACCTCGCGGCGCGAGGTCTTCTTCGGTCAACGTCTCGGGCAAGCTTTCGACGGAATCAAAGTAAAACCATTGGAACAACGGGTGGAACTTGCCCGTGCACGCCTTGACGACTTCTTGGCCGACGATGCCGCCAAACATCGCCGCCATGGGCGAGACGTGACCTCGGCACGTCTTCGAAAACGTCTTTAACAAGTCCTTGTCAACTTCATCCACCGCTTTACGCGTCGCGTTCAACGCTTCCGCTTCGGCGACGAATTTTTCAGCATCCGAGTCGGAACCCGGCGTCGGCGACGCGCCGTGCTTGGCGACGTACGCGTCGAGCGCGCCGAAGGCCAAGTGCAACTGGGGCGAGCGTTCCATCTTGGCGAAATCGCTCAACAAAAAGTCCCCTGGGGACTCGAGCGAGTCCGCGTACGAGGCAAACTTGAGCGTCTTCGTTTCTTTGACTTGCGTCGCGATGCCGCCGCCGACGTAGGGCGAAAACGCGCTCGTGTCCAAGTCGAGCTCAAACGAATGCTTCTTCACGTTTTTAACCACGACCGACAGCCCGTTCAGTTCAGTCATCCCTCGCACCTCGCTAAACGTCACTCGCTGGCCGTCTTGCAACTCCACGCGTTCGTCTTCGATGCACGTGACGAGCGCCGGAGAATCGTTTGACACGCTCGCCACGATGCACGACAGCGCCTCCTCGCCGTCCACGTCCAAGACGTTGAACGCGTCACCAAAGTCGCAAAACACGTTTCCGAACACCCCTCGCACGTCCGTCTTAATAAACGCCACGTTATTCGCCCGGCACATGGCGTTAATCGCCACCGCCTCCGCCTCGGACGTCTCCCCGGCGCACACCACCACGGAGTGCGCCTTGACGGCGTCTTCGTCGCAAGTCTCCACGCAGTTCACCTCCACCGCCGGATTCAGCTCCTGCAACTTCCCCACGCTCGCCCGCGCGCGCGTCACGTTTGCCTTCACGCTCGCTTCGTCCACGTAAAACTGCGCGCTCGCGTCCGCCGCCTCGCACGCCCCCGAGTCGCACACGCTCACCGCGCGCACGCCCGCCAAGACGACATTCTTCGCGATCTCGCACCCTAAACCTCGCGCCCCGATCACCAACACCCGCGCGCTCGCGAGTTTTCGAAAGCTCTCTCGTCCGTACACCGCGAGCTGTCGCGAGTGCAGGTCCTCGTCGATCTCCATCGCCGTCACGGCGGCATCTTCGGTCGTCATCGATCGCGCCTCGACCGCGCTCGCGTCTCGCGCGCGCGACTTTTTCAAGCGTTTCGCGTCCTCGTCGGCGTGCGTCGCGTCGTCGGTGCGCGTCGTCGATGCGTTCTCTTTCAACGGCATGTACGACCGCTCGGCGCGTCGCGTCGGCGAGTGACGCGCGCTCGAGAGAGATCGCCGTCGAGGCGCGCGCGATGGGTTTCGTCGTTCGATTCGATGGGTGCGTCGATTGATTGATTGATTGATTGCGTTGATTGAATGACGACGCGCGCGTCATCAATCGCGTCGTCAATCCGACGGGCGTCGATCCGACGACGAGGACGAGCGAACGTCGAACTCGCGAACGGCGCGCTTCGCGAAGCGCACGACGCGACGCGTGACGTCGCGCGAGAGCGCGGCGCCGCAGATTTCGCACGCGCACGACCACGTCAACGACCACTCGCGCGCCAAGGCGCGTCCGACGGCCACGCCGCGAGTCTTGGGCGCGAACCAACGCGCGGCGCACGATTCGTGCGCGAATCTAACGTCCGCGGCGCAGTCGCACCCGAGCGATTCGAGCGGACCCTTGTCGTCGTCGTCGCCCGGCTCGAGGCACACGCGACACGCGACGCCGCGCGCGCGCGCGTCTTCGCTCGACGCCGCGCGACGCCCGTCCCGCGTCGACGACGGCGACGGCGACGACGACGGCGACGCGCGCGCGCGCTCGGCGTATTTTCGCGACATCGACCCGAACCCGAACGTCACGAGCGTCCGCGCGTTCGCGCTCGCGTCGCCAGCCTTGGTCGAACCGTCGTTCGCGCGCGTCTTCGCGCGTCTCGCGCGCGTCTCGCGCGTCTCGCGCGTCTCGCGCGTCATCCGCGTCGCGCCGCGACGTCGATGGACGACGCGCGGCGACGCGAACGACGCGGGTCGTCGCGAGGTGGCGCGCGTCGTCCGAGCGCGCCCTTCCGGCGTCACCGCGCACGCCGCGATCGCGCCATCGTCGCGGGGAGGCGAAACGTCGCGGGACGCGCGCGCCGCCGACCCGCCGACGCGCGACGGCGGCGCGACGTCGCACGGCGGCGCGCGCGCGAGGCGGCCCGCCGCGACGCGCGCGCGACGCGACCGGGACTCGACGAACGACGCGCGACGCGCCGATGCCCGTCGCGTGCGAGATCGCCGTCGGCGTCGACGACGCGTTCGCGCTCGAGCTCGCGCGCGCGACGCTCGCGACGAATGCGGTGACGTTCGACGCGCGAGACGACGCGCGAGCGAGCTCGAGGGACGACGGCGAACGGTGGATCGCGGAGAAAGTGCGCGCGTTGATGACGATCGCGCGGTGCGCGAGCGCGGGAGGCGCGCGCGAACATCGCGGCGCGACGATCGAGGACGCGACGCGCGCGCTGCGAGCGGCGGACGAGGCGTTCGCGAGGACGCGCGAGGGCGTGGATCCTGGAGACGCGACGCTCGACGCGCGCGCGTCGCCGGGACGAGACACGGCGGCGTACGCGCTGGCGATGCGCGCGCTGGCCGACGCGATCGCGGGATCGGCGATCGGTGAGGATGGACGCCGCGCGGCGGAAATCGCGCTTGAGACGCTTAAAATGGAGGCGACGCGCGCGTTGTCTGGGCTCGCGGGCGCTGCGTCGACGACGAACGCCGCGCGTGACGACGCGTGCGATGAGATGTTTCTCTGGGCGACGCAACGAGGGGCGATGTTTAAGTTCGTGGCGAACGTCAGCGAAGGGGGGATGCGAGAGGCGCGCGCGAGCGCCGCCGTCGACGCGGGCGACGCGGCGGCGCGCGTGCCTTGGGACGCGTTGCTCGGCGTCGAGCAGGCGGTGCTTTCATCGTCCGCGCCGATTTGTGAGGTTTTGAAACAACTCACGGCGATGGGCGATCAAATCATCATGACGATATGGCTCGCGGCGGCGATGAGCGGCCAGGACTCGCGCCTGTACGAAGCGTGGGCGCCGACGCTGCGCGCGCTTCCGCGCGCGCCGTGCACCGCGTTGGCGTGGGATGTGGACACCATGCGACTCGTCATGGACCACGATCAAGTCGAACGATTGATCGATTACCAGCGAAAAGTACGAGTGCAGTACGACGCGTTGTTCCCGGCGTTGTGCGAACAAGTGCCGGAGGCGTTTCCCGCGAGCGTATTCGGCGATTACTCGCGATTCGCTTTAGCGTACGACATTTGGACGTCGTACGCCATGAAGGTGCAGGATCCTCAGACTTTGCAAATTTACGAGGTTATCGTTCCCGGCGTGTTTTTGTGTAATCACGCGTTGTACGCGCACTCCGTGCGATACACGTCATTGGAGCGCGGAACGCGCGCGTTTCGACTAGAACTCGCGCGCGGCGCGCGCCCGGGCGACGCGATCACTATATCGTACGGTCGTTTAGACAACGCCGACTTAATGGCGTATTACGGGTTCACTCTGCCGAGCAACCCGTACGATCGCGTGGTGCTTTCATCGCTCGCGTCCCAAGCGAACGAGGAACAAACAGCAGCGCTCGCGCGCGCTTCGGAAATGTGCGGAGTCGATTTGACGGAGCTTCCCGCGTGCATCGCGCTCGATGGTTCGCTCGATCGCGTATTGACGCAAATGAGGATCATGAGCGCTCCGCAACGTTTTATGGAGTGGTGTGAACGGATAGATGGATACCATCCGTACACCGTCGTCGACGGCGAACTCGAGTACAAAGTTCTCTGCGAGCTGCGGTCGCATCTGTGCCATTTAGTGGCGGAGCGGCAAGCATCAGAGGGTTCGCTCAGTCACCGCCTGAGCACGGTGCACCACGAAAGCACCCACTCAGTCGCTAACGCGACGCGTTGGTATCTTTCCGGGCAAATTGGGATCATGCAGTCGGCGCTCGCGCGTGTTGACGTCCTCCTCGCGTCCTACGGGTCGGGCAAGCGCAGTCGCGACGAAATCGAATAGAAATAGCAAATTCTAGAATCTATGCGGCAGCTGGCTGAGACTTTTTCTTGAAATCCTTGAAAGTCTTGCGCAAGACTGACGCGAAGCGATCGACGTCGGCGCGCGTGGTCCCGATCGCCGCGGCCGCGGTAAAGTACGTCTCCGGGTACGCCGAATGCGACGCGCCGAAGCCGTGAAACTCGATGCCGCCGACGGTTTTGACTTCTCCAGGCGCCACGACGCGCGTGCCCGAGACGCATCGCGAGAACAGCATAGAGCCGAACATAGTCGGAGAAATGCCTCGAGCGCATGAAAGCGTCATCGCCATCGATATGGGATTTCCGGGCGTGCGCAACATTCGTTCGCCCTCCTCTTCGGCGACTTTGCTCAGCTCTGCGTGCATGTAATCGTACAACTTTTCTCGCTCGTCGAGCAGACGCAACCAATGCTCCTCTCCCATGGATAGCAGCGTGATGAACATATCCATGCTAGCCGACGCCGAGGCACGTCCGGGGTAGTTGCGCGCCACAGCTTCCACCAACGCCTCGTTTCGCTTGCCGCAACACACGACGGCGCCGCCCACGGGCACCATGAAGTTTTTATCCGTCGACTGCACCACCGCGTCGACGCGCCCGACGGTCCACGCCTTGCTCACACGCTCGCATAACACCCTACTCTGCACGCCGTAGGCGTTATTGATGACGTGTGCGACGTTCTTCTTTTCGCACAACTTGGCCACCGTCTCGACGTCGTCGCACGCGCGCGGCGCGAAACAACTCGTGCTCGTCACCACAGCCACGAGTCGGTCGACACCGACGTCCTCGATCGCGCGCTCGATCGCGTGCACGTTCGTATCTAATTGATCACCGTTCAACACGGGCTCGATGACGACGATCTCGAGACCGGCGCACGTAGCCGCCTTGACGCACGTCTTTTGATCCAAGCGACACCAAATCACGACGTTCGGCGCCGCCGCGTCAACCCCCCCATCCGCGCTATTTCTAACCATCAACCGCAACGAGCTGAGCACCAACGTCAGCGTCATCCCAGTCGCGAGCGGCAGCACCAACGCGCGCTTCCCCAGGTCTCGCATTCCCGCCAATCTCAACGCGTCTCTCGCCATGCACTGCGCCAACGCGTGCGCCGCCGAGCTCCCGCACGCCTTTGGCTGTTCCGCCGTGATGTCTCCCGACCGCCCGATCCCGTGCGTCATCGAGTAGCACCGTCGTCGCACCATGTCGCTGAACACTCGTCCCTCTCGCTCGCCCACGCCGACGTTATCGATAAAATTATTCGAATCCATCACGCTCAGTTTGTGCACCAAGAATTCAATCGCGACGTCGTTCAATCCTCTGCCGAGCATCCGTCGATTCGCGAGCAACCTGGCGAACACCTTGTCGTGCGCCCGCAGGCTCTGCGCGCCCTGGTTCACGTACGATTTGCTCAGCAGGTTCGCGCTGAACGCGGCGACGAGGTCGTCGTCCATGACGCAAACTTTTCGGCGCGGCGACGAGTGACGAACGCGCGTCGCCGCACGTCGCGACGCGTCGACCGTCGAGCGACGCGCGACGCGCGCGCGAACGCGAGAACCTACGATGCGCGTCGACGCGCGGCGCGCGCGCGCGACGGCGCGCGCGAGCGGTGAAGACGGGACGAAAAGTTCCACGGACGTCGGGACGCGCGCGAAACAAATCTTCGTTCGCGACGCGCGCGCGTCCGCGACGGGGCGCGCTCGAGGCGTGGACGTCGTGCCGAACGCGACGACGGCGCGCGAGGTGCTGGCGCGGGCGCTGCGCGCGAGCGAGCGCGAGGACGTGCGAGGATTGGCGCTGACGCGGCGGCGGCGGCCGGGCGAGACGGCGGCGCGCGCGGAGTACGCGGACGACGACGTGATCGACGCCGACGCGACGTCGAGGGGCGCGAGCGATGTGTACGAGATCGTTCGGCGACGCGGGGGGGACGGACGGGCGATGACGCTGGGATTGCTGGGGGGGGGCGGCGACGGCGGCGCCACGGGCGCGGAGTCGCGTTCGGCGTATTTGGAGATGTACGCGTGGAACGGGGGGACGACGTTCAGTCGGAAGAAGGAAAGTCTCGGCGGGTTCGTGCGGTATTCCGCGCAAAGTACCGTGCGCGATAGGGACGAGGCGGAGGAGGATTTGGCGCGATGGTTCACGTGCGCGTTGACGGAGGAACCGCTCGAGAGCGGGGAAAACGGCGTCGTCGTCGATCGCGTCGGGGCGCTGTATAACAAAGAGCCCGTGCTGAAGGCGTTGCGCGATAAAGCCATCGACGGCGTCGCGCTGCCGAAACGCATCGAGCACATCACCGGGATGAAGGCGCTCGTGACGTGCAAATTTGAGAAGCGGCGCGCGGACAAGTCGTCCAAGGTTGAGTCGTCGTCGGTGAACGCGAGAAACTTTCGATGCGGCAACGCCGAAGCGGTGTTCGCGTGCCCGATCACGGGGCTAGATTTCAACGGGAAGACGAAATTCGTCGTCATGCGTCCGAGCGGCGTGGTCGTCGCGGACAAAGCGCTTCGCGAGGCCAAGGCGGCGGTGGAGGAAATGAACGACGGATTGAAACTCGCCGACGCGCCGCCGCCCATTCCCGTGAATCCTCGTGGCGAAGAGCTCGAGCTTTTGAAGGCTATTTTAGACGAAGAGAAAGCGAAGAAAGACAGCAAGAAGAAGGCGAAAAGAGGCAAGTCGGACGCGACGCGCGGCGACGCCGGCGAAAACGCCGCAAAGCGTAAAAAGTTTGTCGCTCAGGCGCCAAAAAATGCCGACGCCGCGGTGTACGCGTCGCTCTTCACGTCCTCCGCCGATCCCGCGGACGATAAAGACGACGACTTTTTAGCCAGAAACGCTCGCAAGGCGTGGTAGATTGTTTGAGACTGTAATTGTTTGATACCGATTGATAACGCGCGGTGTCCTTTTGTTTGAAATTCTACGAAGATGTTGATTCAATTCGATTGGTTGTTACAAGCGAGACGACGCGTCTGCGTCCTCACGCGTCGTCGTCGTCGTCGTCGTCGTCGCCCGACTTTTTCGACTTGCGGAAGAACAAGATTTTATCCATCAAGCCGCCCTTCTTTTTCGCGTCGGCGTCGCCGCCGAGACTCTGTGACTTTTTACGACGCATCGAGAACAAGCCTCCCTTTTCTTTGATCGCTCTGTCCAAAAGAAGCTTTAAATACGAGGCTTCTGATTTTTCGTGTTGACGACACGCGATGCGCACGTCGTCCGTCGATCGCAGCGTGATGTGGTGCTTGTCTGCGTCTTCAAACTTGATCGAGTACGACTCGATGAACACCTTGCCCACGGCGATGACGAGCTCTTCGAACGACACGTCTCGTTCGAGCTCGAGGAATCGAATGTCCTCGTCCAAGAAGAGTTTCACTTGAATCTTTTCCGTTTCGTCCACCTCGGGCGGTTCAAACGTCTTCAGGCGATCGATTTCGTCCATCATCTCTTGAATGTCTTCGTTGAGGCGTTGAATCTCTTCCTCGGCGCGCACGCGCAACTCTTCCTTTGCGCTCACGGCTTGTTGTAAACTTTGACGAAGCTTTTGCTCGGCCTCGAGCTGCTTAATCAAGTGCTCGCGTTGCTTGCGCTCGTTGTCAAAGTCGCTGAGAATGTGCAAACGAGATTTACGCTCGGCGTCCAATTGCTTTTGCAACGCCGTCTTTTCGCGCGCTTCGCCGTTGAGCTGATCCCGCGCCTGCTTCGCCTCCTTCTCCGCGACTCGAATCTTTTCGTGCGCGGTGAATTGCACCTTGCGTTCGTCTTCCAACAATTGTCGCGTCTCGGCGTGCGCGCGGCGCTCCTCGGCGAGCTCCGAGCGCGTCTCTTCGATTTGTTGCAAGCGTTGTTCGAGCTGCGTGAGCAAGTCTTGACGCGAGTGCGTGAATTGCGTTTGTAAATTCGTCTGCAACCCGCGCGTTTGCTCGAGTTGGCGAAGCAACGAGCGTCTTTCTTCCTCGCCCTGCACGATTCGCGACTCTTGCTCCGCCCGGCTCGCCTCGGATTGACGCAGCAGCTTTTGCAACTCTTCGACGTCGCCGCGTTGACGAAGAAATTGTTCGTACACGCCCTCGCGATTGTCCGCCTCGCCCTCGAGCATCTCGCGAAGCGCCATGCGCTGCGACTCGCTGTCGTCCAACTGTCGCTGCAAATCGTCTCGCTCGCGCTCCTCGGCGTCGAGCAGCTCTTGCAAGCTCTGCGTTCGACGCTCCTCCTCGTCGAGCTCGCGTTCCGCCTCGGCGCGCGCGCGTCGCTCGCGCTCGAGCGCGAGCTCGTAATCGATCTCCACCCCGGGCTTGGTGTACCGATCGCCCGCGCGCGTCGGCAACAGCGTCCACTGCCGAATGCAATCCTCCACCCAGACGTGATTGACGACTCGCGCGCGTCCCGCGAGCACGGCTTGCGCGTACGCCGGCGACCCCGCGCGACGGCACACCAAGTGCGTCGTCTGCGCGCTCACGTCCTCGTCCGCCCTCCCCCCCGCGGCTTCGATCAGTTCCACGATATCTAACTTCTCCTGCCCTTCGTACCCGTCCACGACGACGCACAGCGTCCCGAATCCGTCCACGCCTTCGGCGCTTCGCAGCGGCGCGTACAGCGCCTTGGCGTCTCGGTCCACAATCTTCTTTTGCGTCGCGCAATCCTCGATCCACGCGTACGACACGACGATTTTCCCGTCCATCATCCCGCGCTCGTACCCCTCGCCTCGCTGAAACGGCGTCACCACGTGCGTGCACGCCTCGTCGTACCGTTCCGTCGCCGTCGCCCCCAGCGCGCGCAATTCTCGCGCGATTTCAATCGCATCCTCTCTCGCGTACTCCGTCACCGCGATTCGCGCGTTCGCCCAGTACGACGCCCCGTCGTTCGCGTCGTCGTCGTCGCTCGCCTCTTCCCTCGTTCGTCCCGCACGTCCTCGTCGCCCTCGCGCGTCGCGCGTCCCGCGTCTCGCGACGTCGTCGTCCCGCGACGTCGCGTCGTCGCGCGTCGCCGTCTCGCGCGCGTTCGCGTCCGCTCGACGTTCAGCGCTCGACGCGTCGCTCGAGGTGACGTCGTCCGACGTCGCGTCGTCGCTGAACGTCGGTCTCGGCGGCAGCGCCACCATCGCGGTGTGACGCGCGCGCGAATGAATGCGTCAACGTCCCGCGGCCATTGCGTGCGTCGAACGTCCCGCGCGCTCCGTCCCCTGCGCGGGAGTCGCGGACGACCACTGAGGGCGGACCCAAGATGGCACTATAACGGATCCAAATACCACTAAAGCGGACCCAAACTACTTAGCGCGAAACACGCATCTGGTGGCGTGTGAAAACACCCGCGCGCGTCAACCCTAAACCCTACACTCCCCGTGACTGCCCGGGACGGATGCTGATGACGCGAAATGATGAATCCACGACGCGTCGACGCGTCGACGATACACCGATGGCGCGCTCGACGACGACGCGACCCCGCGCCGACGCCGTCGCCGTGTCCATCATCGTCCCGACGTACGACGAGCGCATGAACATCGCGACGCTGTACCACCTCGCGCGCGAAGCCGAGGCCGCGTTCGACGACGACCGCGGGCGATGGGAGATCGTCGTCGTCGACGATGGGTCGCCGGATGGGACGGCGGACGTCGTGCGCGCGCTGCGAGACGCGCACGAGGACGCGTTTTTGGTGCTGTGCGAACGGGGGCGGAAATTAGGGCTCGGGACGGCGTACGCGCACGGGCTGCGACGCGCGCGAGGACGCGAGGTGGTCGTCATGGATGCGGATTTGAGCCATCATCCAAAGTACATTTCCGAGATGTTGACGAAGAGGCGAAGAGAAAAGTTGGACGTCGTGAGCGGGACGCGGTACGCGCTCGGGGGGGGGGTGTGCGGGTGGGATTTAAGGCGAAAGTTGACGTCGATGGTGGCGAATTACATCGCCAAGGCGGCGCTGAATCCGGGCGCGAGCGACTTGACGGGGAGCTTTCGGTGCTATCGACGAGACGCGTTCGAGGATTTGGTCGCGCGGTCGACGTCGCGGGGGTACGCGTTTCAGATGGAGATCATATACAGGGCGAAGAAGGCGGGGTACACCGTGGGCGAGGTCCCGATCGCGTTCGTCGATCGCGTGTACGGCGAGAGCAAGCTCGGGGCGAGCGAAATCGTCGACTACCTGCGCGGCTTGGCGCGGCTCTTCTTCACCGTCTAGTCTAGTCCGGCGCGACGGCGCCGTCGCGTCCTCGCGCGAACGTTCGCGCGACGTAGTTTTATCATCAACACCGCGCCGCGTCGAATCGCGCCGCGCCGAATCGTGCCTTCTCGCCGTCGACCTCGACTCGGCGCGCGAAGCGCGCGCGCAACACCCCGCACGCGGGCGTCATCACATCGGGACGCGCTCGCCGCGCGCGGTCGTCATGGCGACGCCGGGCGAGAGCGGTGAAAACGACGACGCGAAACCGTCGACGACGGCGCGCGCGGCGCGCGGCGTCGGTAATCCCGCGACGCTGCTGCGCACGCTTCGCGCGACGTACGGACGAAATCTTTTGGTGTTCATATTCTCCGTCGCGTTCGGACTCAAGGGCGCGCTCATGCAGCTCGTCAGCACGGCGGCGCTGCCGTACTCGCAAAAGTACCTGAAGTTCACCGCGGAGGAGATGCAGCGATACGGCATCGTGGCGATGTTTCCGTGGACGGTGAAACCGCTCGTGGGGATGATTTCGGATTTGTTTCCAATCGGAGGGTATCACAAGCGATATTACATCGCCATCTCCAGCGCGCTCGGATGCGCGGCGCTGGTGTACTTGGCCGTCGTTGAATTCAAACCGGGGATGGGGGCGTGGTACGTCCTCGGCTTGGTGGCGATTAATTTTCAAGTGGCGACGGCGGATTTGCTGACGGAGGGCAAGTACACCGAGCGCATGCGGGAGCACCCGACGAAGTCGAGCGATATGGTGAGTTACGTGTGGATGTGCATCACGTTTGGGTCCGTTTTCGCCACGGCGTGTAGCTTTTTTTCCATCAAGTACGAGGCGTATCGGTCGTTGATGTGGATCGCGGTGCCGCTGAGCGGGCAGGCGGTGTACACGTCGCTCGCGGGATGGCTTCCGGAGGAAAAGGTCGTGCCAAGAGACGAGCGCGCGGAAAACGAGGCTGAGAGTGGATCGAGGAAGGTGTATGGGAAAGAGCTGTGGAACGAGAACTGGAGGGTGTTCGTGATGTCGATTTTCATGGCGTCGATGTGTTTGCTTCTCGGCGTCGTGCAATTTTTGCAGCCAGAGAACAAGTATGTAGATTTAGCCATTTCGTTCGGGATTACCCTCGTGTTGAGCGTGTCGATTTACGTCGCGTTGCCGAGATCCATCGCCAACGTCACATTCTTTCTGTTTCTCACCAGCGTGCTGAGCGTGTCGTTCGGAAGCGCGATGAGTTACTGGTTCACGGTGGATGAAAAGTGCAACCCGGGCGGGCCGCACTTTGATTATCTCTTTTTCTCCGTGTACACGTCAATCATCGCGCGCATTTGTACCGCCATTGGTGTGTACTTATTTCAAGTGTTCTTTTCAAACGCCAACGTGCGAGTGACGTTTTGGGTGTCGGCGATTTTGAGCTCCATGGCGAGCATCTCCGATTACTGCATCGTCAAGCGCTGGAACCTTCGCGTCGGATTATCGGACAAGGCGTTCTACTTGATCGGCGACACCGTGTTGGAACCGATGGTTGGGATGATGGCATCCATGCCGAGCATGGTTTTGATGTCGAAGATGTGTCCAGAGAATATGGAGGCGACGATGTTTGCCATCTTGGCGAGCTTCAACAACCTCGGCTACTCGCTCTCGAGCGCGCTCGGCGTCTTCGCCATGGACGTAGCGGGGATTAAAACCGACCTCACCTCGGGCGAAGGCGGTGCGTGCGACTTCTCAGGCTTACCCAGCCTGGTGTTTTACTGCGGCATGCTCCTTCCGTTGGTTTCCATCCCCCTCACCTTCGTCTTCGTCCCGAACATTAATATGCAGGACGTCGTCGACCTGGACACGGGTAAAGCCGTCGCGAGCTCGGCCGACGACGCCAACGAAGCGCCCACCGAGCGCGTACCACTCTTAGCGAAATCCACTTAGACACATAGATCGGATTAATGGATAACATTAGATAGTCGTACCAAGTCTAGAGTCCGCGCCCGCGCGTCGACCGACGCTCCAACACCATCGCGCCCGCAGTCATCGACGCGCGATGGCGACGTCCAAGCGCGACGACGACGCGCGCGGCGCGCGTGTACGTGCCGACGACGATGATCCATCGTCGGCGGCGTCCGCGAGCGCGCGAGCGTCGTGCGCACCGCTGTCCGACGTCGTCGCCTTTCACGAGCGCCTGCGCGGGGTGTTCGGCTGGCAACTCCTCGCGTTCGTGTTCTCCGCCGATTTCTTCGTCAAGGGCGCGGCGAAGCACATGATCAGCACCACTTCGCTGCCGTACGCGCAGCGGTACCTGAAATTCTCCGCGCAGGCGTTCCAGCGCTTCGAAGTTCTCGTGAGCTTTCCTTGGATGTTGAAGCCATTCATGGGCATGGTGACGGACACGACGCCGGTATTTGGGTATCGCAAGAGGTACTATCTCGCCACGTTCGCCGTCACGGGGCTAGTTGCGATCATAGTTCTTGCGACGAAGACGTTCTCGTCCGACGACGCGACGTGGTACACAGTATTTGTGTTGGCGACGAACATGCTGTTGGCGTTTGGGGACTCGCTCGCGGGAGCGAGGGTGTTCGAGGCGATGTCCGAGGTGCAACGGATCGGTGGGGATTTAATGACGTATAGCTGGACCGTGGCTACTGTGGGGAGCATCTTCGGGACGCTGTTGGCGTACATCGGGTTGTCGCGAGGCGATTATAAGCTTATATTTTGGCTCGTGACGCCTTTCGTGGCGCAGTTTGCGTTCACCACCGCGTACGGGTTGTTACCGGAAGAGCGCGTGGGGAGTGATTTCAACGCGCACGCGCTCGCGAAGAAGTATTGGAACGTGTTCGTCGTGACCGTTACCATCACCCTCGCTTCCGTCGGGGTGGTCAGCATGCAACTCGTAGACGCGTTTGAGACGGATCTCGCGCTTTGCGTCTCGACTTGTTTCGGCATCTTGCTCATCATGACGGGAGTCGTGTACGCGCATTTGGAGCGGGATGAGGCTTGCTTACTCATTTATGTCGCCGTCGATCGCGTTCTCGGCGTGAACGTGAGGCAGGCAAAGACGTACTGGTACACCGAAGGCGCCAAGTGCGTGCCCGATGGCCCGCACTTTAGCTACGTGTTTTACAGCGTCACCACCTTTCTTTTCTCCCTCGGGGCGCAAATGATCGGCATCTGGCTCTTTCAGAAATATTTGAGTCGTTCGAAAATACGCAGCGTATTTCTCGCGTGCGCGCTCACGAAGGTGATCGCCAAGCTGGGGGATATATGGATCATCTTGCGCTGGAACATCGCCATGGGCATCGACGATCGCAGCGCGTACGTCATGGGCGAGGGCATCATCGAGGGAATCGCGTATGTTTTGACGTACATGCCAGCGAATGCGGTGCTGTCGAAGATCGTAGACAAAGAAGTATCGTGTACGATGTACACCCTGCTCGCCGGGGTGGTGAACGTCGCCTCGGGCGTGGCGCTCACGCTCGGGTCGGCGTCGATGACGTTTGTGGGAATCCACACCGACTTGGTGCACGGCCACTGCAACTTCGACCAACTCATCCCTTTGTTGATCGTATGCGGTATCATCTTACCACTCTTCTCCATACCGCTCATTTACGTGCTCATTCCGGATTGGTGCATGCACGACGACAGGAGCGGCTCGATCGAGGAGTCGGTCAAGGCGGAGGAGAAAAAATAGCGCGGCGCACTAGATTAGAAACAGATTAGGACGTGATAGACGTAGTAGCTCATGCCATTGATCATGAATATTTCACAAAAGTTAGAAGAAAAACATCATCCAGCCAGCCTGGCTTTCAAGAAGTCGGCGACGTCGTCGAATTCCTCGGCGCACGCGCTGTGCGCCATCCCGTTGTACGTCTTAAAATCAACATCGACGCCCGCCGCTTGCATCAATTCCGCGGACATTTTTCCGTACGAGTATTGCAACACCATGTCGCTCGTTCCGTGCGCTTGAAAAATCTTCAAACTCTTGGCGTGCGCGCCGAACCTGTCCGGGTAATCGGCGCGCAACGGAAGATACGTCGACATCGCCACGCACCCCGCGAGCTTCACCTCCGACCGCAACGCCGCCGTCAGCGCGATCGCGCCGCCCTGCGAGAACCCGCCGATCATAATTTTCTCGCTCGGAATTCCTTTATCCATCTGCTCTCGCACCAACGCGTTCAAATATTCAACCGACGCGTCGATTTCGCCTCTGTCGTCCACGATGGAGCGTTCGTCCAACGCGTTCAAATCGAACCACGCCGTCATGCGCATCCCTCCGTTCAGCGTCACCGGCATCGTTTTCGCCGTCGGAAACACCCATCGCACGTGCGCGCCCGCTGGCGTGGGAATCTGCCCCGCCGCGCCCGCCCATCCGCGTCCGGTGTCGCCCAATCCGTGCAACAGAATCATCGCCGCGTTCGCGTCGCCTCCCCGCGGTTCGACGACGATCGGCGCCGGGTACGACGCCATCGCGCGCGCGTCGTCCACCGAGCTCGAGCTCGCGCGCGCGCGCGTCGTCCCGAGTCGTCCCTCACCCCCGACGTCGCGTCGCGCGCCGTACCGAACCGCCCGCGTCGACGCCGCGCGCGCCGCGCCGATCGCCGTCGCCGTCGCCGTCGTCGCCGTCGTCGTCGTCGTCGCGCACACCGCCGCGATCACCGCGATCACCGCGCGCGCCGTCGCGCCGCGCGCGCGTCGCGCGTGCGTCGAGCGTCGCGCGCGCGCGTCGCCCGTCGTCGTCGTCGCGCCGCGAACGCGCGCTCTGCGGGCCGACGACCCGTACGCGACGCGCGGTCGCGTACGCGAACTGGGTCGGCGCGCGCTTGAATACGAACGTGACGTAGGCACGTCATTTTCTTATGGAGATGTGCCGCTTTTTTTACCTCGCGCGTGGTCGACGCATCGTGACGATACCATCGCTCGAATACGATGCCGACGACGCGCGATGCTTTTTTATCGACGACGCGGTCGGTCGCCGACCGCCCGCGCGCGCGCGCGACGCCGCGCGCCGCACTCCCCGCACCGAACGAATGATGTCTTCCGTGGCGTCTTCCGTGACCACCGCGCGATGCGCGTACGCCGCCTCGCCGGTGCGTCGATCCACCGAGGTGCGCGAGTTTTGCGCGCGGCGATTTTCGGACGCGCGACGCGCGACGCGCGCGCGCGCGACGCGACGACGACGCGCGCGACGCGCGACGACGACGACGATGGGAATGCGACGTCACCCTCGACGGCGCGCGCGCGGGGGCTTCGCGGGCGCGGCGAACGCGCGGCGGCGCGCGCGCGCGGCGAAACGGGGCGGGATAATTTTGAGCGCGCGATGCGCGGCGGCGGAGGGGGGCGGGCGCGCGCGATGCGCGAGGGGACGGGCGCGACGTTCGACGTCACCCTGGCGGCGGCCGCCTTATCCCTTCGCGCGTCGGGGGAGGCGTCGCGCGATGCGGCGCGCGAGGACGGCGCGCGAGGGACGGAGATGCGGGGAAATGGTTGAGGGAAATTTACGCGCGCGAGGACGGCGCGCGAGGACGGCGCGCGAGGGACGAGACGACTGACGACGCGCGCGATTGATTACGCTCGTCCCGAACGCAGAACCAAAAGCAGCAACGACGCACCCACGTCGTTCGCGCGGCCAAGGGCGAAGAAGCCGAAGCACGGAAGATTCCGTTGAACAAGTACCGCAACATCGGTATCATGGCCCACATCGATGCGGGTAAGACGACGACGACGGAACGCGTGTTGTACTACACCGGTCGCTCGCACAAAATCGGCGAAGTGCACGAAGGCGCGGCGACGATGGACTGGATGGAACAAGAACAAGAGCGCGGTATCACGATTACGTCCGCCGCGACCACGTGCGCGTGGAACGATCACCGTATCAACATCATCGATACCCCTGGTCACGTCGATTTCACGTTGGAAGTTGAACGCGCGCTTCGCGTGCTCGACGGCGCCATTTGCCTCTTCGACTCCGTCGCCGGTGTCGAACCGCAATCCGAAACCGTCTGGCGCCAAGCCGACAAGTACCACGTTCCACGTTTGTGCTTCGTGAACAAGATGGATCGCATGGGTGCCAACTACTTCCGCACCATCGACATGATTGTCAAGAACCTCGGCGCGCGTCCGTGCCCGCTCCAAATCCCGATCGGCGCCGAAGAAGACTTCGCCGGCGTCGTCGATCTCATCACCATGAAGGCGCTCGTCTGGAAGGGTGAAGAGCTCGGCGCGTCTTGGGACGTTGTCGAAATTCCGGACGACCTCAAGGAGAAGGCTGAAGAGATGCGCGCCAACATGATTGAAATGGCCGTCGAGCAAGACGACGACGTCATGGAAAAGTACCTCGAAGGTGAAGAACCGACCGAGGAAGAGATTGTCAAGTGCATCCGTAAGGGCACGTGCTCTCTCTCCTTCGTCCCGGTGTTGTGCGGCTCCGCGTTCAAGAACAAGGGTGTCCAACCGATGCTCGACGCCGTCCTCGCGTACTTGCCGGCGCCGACGGATGTCCCGGATGTCCAAGGTACCGACGTCGATGACGCCGAAAAGAAGCTCACCCGCAAGGCGGATGACGATGAAGCGCTCTCTGCGTTGGCGTTCAAGGTCATGACTGATCCGTTCGTCGGTTCGCTCACCTTCACCCGCGTGTACTCTGGCATCATCGAATCCGGCTCTTACGCGTACAACTCCGTCAAGGGTAAGAAGGAACGCATCGGTCGCCTCCTCGAGATGCACGCGAACGAGCGTGAGGACGTCAAAGTGGCGCGCACTGGTGACATCGTCGCCATCGCTGGTCTCAAGGACACCACCACCGGTGACACGTTGTGCGACCAAGGAAAGCAAATTATCCTCGAACGCATGGAGTTCCCCGATCCCGTTATCAAGGTTGCCATCGAGCCGAAGACCAAGGCTGACGTCGAAAAGATGTCCACCGGTTTGATCAAGCTCGCGCAGGAAGATCCGTCTTTCCACTTCACGCGTGACGAAGAAACCAACCAAACCGTCATCGAAGGTATGGGTGAGCTTCACCTCGACATCATCGTCGATCGCCTCAAGCGCGAATTCAAGGTTGAAGCCAACGTCGGCGCGCCGCAAGTCAACTACCGTGAATCTATCTCCAAGCCGGGTGAAGTCAAGTACACGCACAAGAAGCAGTCTGGTGGTTCCGGTCAATACGCCGAGGTTAAAATCAAGTTTGAACCGCTCGAACCGGGTTCCGGTTTCGAGTTCACCACCGACATCAAGGGTGGCACCGTGCCGAAGGAATACATTCCGGGCGTCGCGAGCGGTTTGGAACAAATGATGGGCTCTGGTATCATCGCCGGTTTCCCTGTCGTGGACTTGCGCGCCACCTTGTTCGATGGTTCTTACCACGACGTCGATTCCTCCGTCATGGCTTTCGAAATCGCCGCCAAGGGCGCGTTCAGAGAAGGCATCTCCAAGTGCGCCCCGAAGCTTTTGGAGCCCGTCATGGAGGTTGATGTCATCACCCCGGAAGAATCCATGGGTGACGTTATCGGTGACTTGAACTCTCGTCGTGGTGCCGTCAACGAGCTCGGCGACAAGCCGGGTGGCATGAAGACGGTCAAGGCGTTCGTGCCGCTCGCGGAAATGTTCAACTACGTCTCCAAGTTGCGCGGCATGACCAAGGGTCGCGCCAACTACTCCATGAAGCTTGCGCGCTACGAGCCCGTCCCCATGGCCATTCAAACGGAGCTTGCCGCGAGTAGAAAGGAAAAAGAAGCGAAGTAAAAGACTTCCTTTTCCGCTTCACCCGCGCTTGCGTCTTCGCTTTTAGCTCAACATTCATTCGTGTAATAACTGATTAACATTTTCGTTTGGCGAAGTTCGCGGCGCTGATGACACAAAGAATCACTGTTTTACAATTTTTCGCGCGCCGTCCTAAAGTCGGCGTCCGATCGGTCCGGCGCCGACGCCGCCGCCGACGCCGCCGAGACCTCCGCCGATGAAGCCCGCGGATCCGCCCGCGACGCCGCCGATACCGCCGCCGCCGATACCGCCGGCGACGTTCCCGGTGACCCCATTCACGAACGTGCCCTCTGGATCCATCACGATGCGATCGCGTCCTTCGCCGTACGCCTCGTATTCGTCCTCGTATTCCGCCGCGGCGGCTTGCTCTTCGGCGCACGCCGATAACCGATAGTCTGGATGCAGGAACGGATTCAGAAACTCGCAAATCGGATCGAACGCCGCGCTCGCGCTGAGCTCGAAGCCGAACACGTCGAAGAACGCGGCCCCCGTGACGTCGACGAGACTCCGTCGCGCCGAAGGCGCGCCGCCGACGCCGCTCTCGGACGCGCGAACGCCCGCCGCCGCGCTCGACGCGAAGACGAACGCGACGATCACCACCGCCCACGCGCGCGTCTTCGCGCGCGCGTCGCGAGGCACATCAACGATCATCGAAGCCCGCTCGACGAAAATCGCGAGTCGTCGCGCACTGACGCGAGCGCGTCCTCGTCCTCGACGTTTGTCGTCCCGAAGGCGTCCCGACGTCACCCCTCGCGCGTCCTCGCGCGCGCTCCCTTTCGCACGCGCACGCTCTCGTACCAAAACACCAACGCGAACCGCGCGACGCGCGACGCGTTCGACGCGCGACGCACCGCGCGTCCATCGTCTTCCTCCTCCTCCTCGTCGTCGTCGCTCAAAGTCTCGAGCTGTCTGAATGACTTTTGAATCCACTCGATCGCGTCGTCCGCGTCCCGCGTCGCCCGACGCGTCGCGTCGTCGCCGCGAAACGCCCCGACCGATCGTAACCGTTCGTACGCGCTCGCGCGCGCGCGCGCGAGGTCCATCGTCGCCGGCGCGCGCCGGTGCGCCGGGAAGTGTGAACGTCGTTTCGCCGGTGCGCGCGCGACCGAGAGACGAGACGAGACGAGACGAGACGAGACGAGACGGCATTCCGCGACGCGACGCGACGCGACGGAACGAGTCCGCGGCGCGCGAACGACGACGACGCGCGCGACGCGAACGCACGCCGTCGCGACGCGCGCGGACGCGCGGACGCGCACGGCGCGATGAAGGACGGCGACGACGCGACGCGAAAATCTCGGCACCTCCGAGACAAGCGAGATGCAAAACTGTACGGAAAGATGCGCGAGTTGATGACGAGCGATCGCGGCGCGCCGGGGGCGAAAGCGAAGGTGCGGAACGCGTTGAAGCGTGTGGATTCGGAGTTTAATCAGCGAGGGCCGGACATCGCGTTGGATCGACGAGACGCCGAAGTGATGGGACTTTGTCGCGATGTGGTGTCGAAAGAGGCGTGGAAGCGTTGGAGCGCGAACGCGTGCCAGGATGCTGTGAAAAACGATTCGATTGAGCGTTTGAAGTTTTTGCACGAGTGTGAGTGCCCCTGGGGTAAGTGTAGATTTGAAGCGACGAGTTTGAAGATACTGTACGTCTGCGCTGAGCACGGTAGTACGGAATGCATGAAATATCTTCTCAAGCATGGGTGCAAATTCAGCAACCACGCGTGCACAACCGCCGCCGAGTTTGGATTTTTGGAATGTTTGAAGTATTTGCGCGAACACGGGCATCATTGGGACCGGTGGACGTGCACGGGAGCCGCCCGTAATGGACATTTGGAGATGTTGAAGTATGCGCACGAGAACGGGTGTCCTTGGGACGAGAATACGTGCTCATCTGCCGCCAAGAGAGGACATTTGGAGTGTTTGAAGTACGCGCACGAGCAAGGGTGTCCTTGGAACACGTTGACGTGCTATAATGCCGCCTCGAATGGACATTTGGAGTGTTTGAAGTACGCGTGCACTCATGGATGTCCAGACTCAGCTCCTTACGCCAAGGCGCTGAAAGAAGTCGTTTTACCAGACGCCGACGAGCGATTCGTCGTCGAAGTCGCGCTCGTGTTCCATCGAAGCGGCGAGATCTCCATGCGCGAATTCCTGCCGTTATGGGCAGAGCACAGAATGTTTTACCGCAAAGCGCACTATGAAGCTGTTCGAAAGTTCCACGCTTCGTTACGATTGAATCGCTAGTACTCGCCGCCGCCTTGAAATACGACGCCTCCGCCAACCAACCGACTCGCCTTCACTGCGCGCCTCTCGCTCGCCATCATGCCCCCATCCAAGCGCGCGAACGCCGCGCAAAACGCACACGCGTCGTGCACGTCGATCGTGGTCGGCGTCACGACGCTCATCGTCGCGCACGCGCACCTGTCACGCGTCGAATTGAAGGATGGCGGCGACTTTGTGAACGCCGCAATGTCGCTCGGATTGATGCTATTCGCCGCGCTCGGCGCGATGCGACGGACGATGCGCGACGCGTCGTCGACCGAAGTGTCCACGTTCAGCGCGTACGCGACGATGGCGCCCGTGTGGGCGCTGTGTGCGGTGTCCGGGACGAATGCGGGGACGCGACTGGGACGAGCGACGGCGACGGCGTTTAGCGCTGCGGGAAGCGTCGCGTACGTCGACGCGTGGACGCCGTCGAGCGAGAAGAAGACGTTTATAAGTGCCTTGGTGTGGATGTTGGCCATGCGCTTGATGAGCGGGGCGTTCGCGATGGATGCGGTGATGGTGGCGTTCGCGCGCGCGTGCGCGTGGGGGCTCGCGGGGGCGGCGGCGCCGAGCGAGACGACGCTGCTGTCCGTCGGTGCGGCGAGCGTGATGGAGATGTGCGTGGGGATTTATCGCGACGTCGGGACGAGAGCGCGCGCGTCCGAGTCGAGCGCGTTGGCGGGCGCGTTCGCGATCGCGGGCGTCGGACTTTTGCTCGCGAGCGCTCGGCTCGTGTGCTGGCCGACGCCGGCGAGCAAGGCGACGCAATTCGGCGTTCTGAGCCTCGCGCTGTCGGTTCCCGAGTGGTTTTATCGCGTGAGTAATCCTGGTAAGAGTAACATGATCCTCGGTGTGGTGCGATACACGATGAAGACGAACATGGAGACCTTGACGTCGTTGACGAAGCTCTGGTGCACGGGTCTCGCCGTCGCCCTCGGCGTGGCGTACAACGCGCGAGCGATGCCGCTCACGATGCGCAGGAAGGCGTTTCATTTCCTCGCCATCGTCATGTTCGCGCCAACGTTGATGCCGAACAGCGGACTCGGTGAGTTGATTCGCGTCGCCTTTGCCGTCGCCTTCGCGCTCTTCGCCTGCGTCGAGTGCGCTCGCGTCTTCGACGCCTACTACGGCCACGGGCTCTTCGGCTGGAAGCTCAGCGTGCTTCTCGCGCAATTCGTCGGCGACGGCGTGGTGTCGCTCATCATTTTGGATCACTTTTCATTGCTCCTCGGCATCGCCGTCCCGGTGTGGCTCAGCGGCGACTCGAAATCTCTCGTACCGTGGGCGGGCGTGCTCACGCTCGGCGTCGGCGACAGCTTCGCCTCCATCGTCGGCGGCGCGATTGGACGCCGCAAAGTGTTCGGTGAGCGCTCGTCCAAGACGCTCGAAGGCGCGATTGCGTTCGCAGTGAGTACTTTCGTCGCCGCGTCCTACGTCGGCGTCGATATTTCCGCGTCGAAACTCGCGGGCGCGTGCGTCGCCACGGCGCTCTTTGAGCTCTCCGTCGAGGGCGTGTCGGACAATTTTGTGTTGCCTCTGTATTTTGCCGCGCTCGTCGCGCCGTGAGATGTTGTAGACTAATCAATAATACTCGTAATAACATTCTACTGTACTCGAGATTCCACTACTTCGTGCACACCAAGCACCCCATCAAACCGCCCGGAGCGAGTTCGTAAAACTTAGCCTCTCTGAAACCCGCGTCTCGCGCCAAATTCACCTGCTCGCGCCCTCGCGGGAAGCGTTCGATGCTCGGACGCAAGTACCTATACTCCGCGGCGACGCCATTGAGATCTGCGATCGGGACGACGACGTTATCCAGCATAAATCCTTGCACCGCCGCCGTCGTGGGATCCTCCGGGTTGTTGAAATCCAAAACCGCGAGCTTGGCGCCTCGACGCAACACTCGTCTCAACTCCCCCATCGCCCGTGGAATATCGCTCACGTTCCTCAATCCGTAAGCGATCGTCGCGCAATCAAACGACTCATCGTCAAAAGGCAAATTCAGCGCGTCACCCTCGATCCACGTAATCTTCCCCATGCGAGCGCTCGCGTCCGCGCTCGCCGCGCGCAAATCTCGCTCCTTCTCCGCCGCGTACTTTAATTGATTCGCCGCGAAATCCAACCCCGTCACCCGTCCCGTCGCGCCCACGAACGTCGACATTTTAATAGCCACGTCCCCCGACCCGCAGCACACGTCCAGGGCCTCCATGCCCGGCGAGCAATCGATCCATTTCACCGCCGCGCGCTTCCACGCGCGATGCAGCCCGAGCGACAACCCATCGTTCAATCGATCGTACACGGGCGCGATGTCGTTGAAAAGCGCCCTGCGTTCGCCCGCCGCGGACGAGCTCTGCTCAAAAGGGTTCCCGGCGACGTCCTCGTCGTTCGCGATCGCGCGCGCGCGACGCGACGCGCGGTGCGGCGTCGAAAAAGGACGATGCTTATCCGTCGGCGGCGACGAGAATCGGCCTCGCGGTGCGCGCGACGCGCGCGACAGGCTCGCGCGCGCGGCCGCGCGCGACGCGATCGTCGCGCTCGGCGCGCCGGCGCGACAGTCGAGCGACATGACGCGCGGTGGCGATGGAGCGGCGGCGTGTGCGGCGCGCCAGGCAATTCGCGAGCGCGAAGCGTCGATCGTCGGGTTACATCCGCGAGCTATTCCTGCGCGATATCGGCTGTGAGGTCTAATCTATGCTGTGTCGTCTTTTGCTCGACGTAGGCGCGGACGAAATCGTCGAGATCGTCTCGATCGACGCGACCGCGCGTCGACGCCAACGCGGCGGCGCTCGCGCGACACGACTCCTCTAGAGATCTCGCCCGTTCCCGCGCGCGATCGATCGCGAGCGCGAGCGTGGGGTAGTTTGCGCGTCTCGTCGACACGTTTTCGCGCGCGAGCTCGTACGCCTCTTCGGCGCGACGTAGATCCGTGGACTCTAACAGCGCGCGTTGCGTCTGCGCCGCTCTGACTTCACCCGCCAACGCCTCGTTATCATCGCACGCGCGCGATATCTCCGCCTTCAACTCCTTCACGAACGCCACGCTCTCGCGCACGCACGTCGTGGACGCTAAGAGCGCGTCGAAGGCGTCGTCGTCCGTCATGAGCGCGCGCAACTCGACGTTGGACTTTGTTTCTAATTCTTGATTGAAGTCTTTGGGCACGCTGAAAGCGCGCTCTATCGCGTCACCGTGCGCGCCGTCGCGCACGCGCACGGAAGCGTCGAACCGCGACGCTAAATCGTCGTCGCTCGAGCGCGCGCGCGACGACATCGGTGATCGACGCGCGCGGTGAAGTGGCGCTCGGCGACGCGACAGTTGCGGAGATTCTATGTTAATAATACAACGTCGTCGTCATTCGTCGACGCGCTACGACAGCGCCTTGTACGCTTTGTTGAGCTTTTGAAACGCCTCCTTCGCCCCGGGCGCGGCGCACTTGTCGGGATGTAGAATTTTCGCGAGCTCGCGATAGCTCTTCGTCACCCACTTCTTTTGCGAGCCCGGCGGCAAGTCTAAGACTTGCCAATCCGTCCCGGCGAGCACCACGCGCTGCACGGCGCGCCGCTCGATCTCTTCTTGCGATAAATTTTCCACCGGCTTCGCGATCTCGTCCACGCGCTCTTCGCACTGCTTGCGAACGCCGCGAAACCCGCTCAGTAGGTTCCCGGCGGCGCGCTGGCGCCTCGCCGCGTCCGCCTTGGCGGCTTCTTCCTTTTCCTTCTTCTCTCGCGCGTCCTGAGCCTTCTTCGCCGCCGCCGCCTCTAAAGCCGCCTTTAACTTAGCCTTCTCCGCCTCCACCGCTTTCATCTTCGCCTCCAGCGCCTCGCGCTGCGCCTTGGCGCTCGCCGGTTCGAACGCCGCCGCGCTCGCGCGCAGACGCGCTTGCGTCCCCTCTTTCCCATTTCCACCTCTTTTCGCCTCACCATCCTCGCGCGACCACGTGGCTTGACGCTTTTTAGTTTGCGCGGGCGATGATTTCACCGCCGGTTTCGTTTTCACCGCCTCCTTCGCCGTCGTCGTCGCGTCACCGCGCGTCCACGTCCGTCCCGGCATGGCTTTCGGTTATCTCCCCCCGCGCGCGATCGCGCGTTTCTTTCGCACGACGCGATCGCGCGCCCGTCGAACCCGCGCGATCGATCGCGCGCGCGTCGTTTTCGCGCCTCGTCGACGCGCGTCGCGTCGCGACCGCTCGACGCGTCGCGCTGTGACGAAATGTCATCGCGCGCCGCGCGCGCCGCTTCATCGACACCGCCCGCGTCGCGCGTCTCGGCCGCAAACGCCGTCGCGCACGCCCGAGCGCGTCGCCCCGCTCGCGCGCGAACGAAACAAACGTAATGACGCTCACGATGGCGCGCGCGCGCTGCGCGCGAGTCGCCCGTCTCGCGCCCGCGAACGCGCGAAAAGTCACGTCGACGTCATCCCTCGCGCGCGCGGTCGCGATCGCGCCGCGAAGCGCGACGCTGGACGCGCGCGCGGCGCGCTCGGTCGCGGTGAAGGCGGGAGAAGAGGACGATGAGTACATGTTCGCGAACCAGAGCGAGGCTAAGGGGGCGCTGAACCGCGATAACCCAGATTTGGTGGAAAAGTTCGCCGTCATCGGGCAGGGCGACTGGCAGTGTCAGAGCTGCATGTACGAATACAAGCCCAAAGTTGGGGACGATTTCTATCCCGTGAGCGCGGGAACGCAGTTTAAGGACTTGCCGGATGACTGGCGTTGTCCGACGTGCGGGGCGGAGAAGGTCAAGTTCAAGTCGCTCGGGAAGCAAGTCGCGGGGTTTGAGCAAAACCAAGGCTACGGGCTCGGGACGAACGCGATGACAGAGGGCGAGAAGTCGCAGTTGATTTACGGTGCGCTGGCGTTCTTCTTCTTGTGCTTCATCGCGGGATACTTGATGGATTAATACTCCACGCGGCGGTCGGGCGATTTCCCGACGGCGCTTAATATGTAAACTAGTCTTCTCGCAATGGAATTTCGCGCGCACGTACTTTGAAATGAAAGAGGCAGCTTTTTCCTTGTTATCGTTATTGCAAAACAACTCGTCGAGATCGTCGATGGGGTTCCTACTGTGATCGTCGCTCGCGCGAACGCGCTCAGAGGCGCAAAAGTTGAACCGTCACGTCATCCGTGCTACCCTTGGCGACGGCTTGCGCGATGAGCTCCTTCGCGAGCGTCTCCGGCTCCGCGTCCGCGGGCGCCGAGGTCAAGAAATCGGCGATCTCTTGGTTCGTCCAACCGCCACCACCACCGCGTTCGGGGTTCTCGAACAAACCATCGGAGGAAAGCATGACCCACGAGTCGGCCGCCGTGATTTGCTCAATGTAGCAATCCGGCTCGGCGTTCAAGCCAAATCCACTGCCATAATCCGCGTTCTTCTCGCCGATGCCTTCGAAGCGACCGCTTTCCTTCAAGAAGGAATCACCGAACGCGCGCGAAAGCGCCAAGACACCACCGACTCGCCAAGAACCTTCGGTAAACTTCACGAGCGACTGGCGCAAGTTCGGGTTGCCGCGATCGATGCGCTTGCGCTCGGCTTCGTCATCCGGCACGTGATCAACGCTCAACTGCAACGCCTTCCCATCGCGGACCAACAAAATACGCGCATCGCCAACGTTCGCCGTGGCCAAGCGCTTGGAACCGCCCTCCTCATACAACGCCACGATGACCGCCGTGCTCCCGCACTTGGACCCGCCGACGCCTCGCTCGCCAAACGACGCGAAAAATCCCTCCTGCGGCGCCACCAAAACCTGGTCCGCCTTCAAGCACGCCGTTCGCAGCGCGTCGAGTGGAAAATCAGCCTGCTTCCACTCCCCCAGAATGAACTCGTTCAAGTTTTCTCGCAGCCATTCGCTCACCGCTTTGCCTCCGTGACCGTCGAAGACGCTCGCGATCAAGCTCGGCGTCCCGTCTTCGGGTTTCGTCTTCGGCGCGTACGTCGAGAATCGATCCTCGTTTTGCTTACGAACCGTCCCTTTGACGCTCGCGCTTCCTATCCTCACTCCGACGCTCGTCGTCGTCTCGCTCGTCGCCGCCGCGCGCGCGGACACCGCGCGTTGGCTGTGATGCTTTTGCTTTTTGGACGTCGTTCGCGCGACGTCGACGGCGCGCGCGGTGCGCGCTTGGGCGTGCATCGGTGCGCGCGCGCGAAGTGTTCGTGCGTCGAGCGCGCGAGCGATCGAGCGTCAAGACGCGGGTCTCGACGCGCCGGCGTGTGCCGCGACGCGATGGCTCGCGACCGCGTTCGATGGCTGACGTCACTTATCCCCTTATCCAAGGCGCGGCGAGGCCGAGGCGGCGGCGAGGCGAGTGTTTTTGCTGCTAACAGTTCACGATTACAAAGTGAAGATGAATATGATCTAAACAACAACGACGCGCTCGATCGAGACGCGCGCGCGAGGCGCGGCGATCGAGACGAGCGCGAGCGTCGCATTCGCGGAGCGCGCTCACATCGCGACGCCGGCGGCGCGAGCGCCGTCGGCGATGGCCTTGACGCGGCCGTGGTAGAGGAATCCACCGCGGTCGAACACAGCCTGCGTGATGCCCTTTTCGACGCACACGGCACCGAGCATCTTCCCGACTTGCTCCGCAGACTCCACGGTCTTGCCCTTCCACTCCTCGCTCCCGATGACGGCCTTGACGGACGCGCTCATCGTCCCGAGCGCGGCGATGGTTTTTTGGTTTTCGTCATCGATGACTTGGACGTAGACGTGCTGGTTCGATCTGTACACGGAAATGCGCGGGCGTTCGGACGATCCGGAAATCTATCGATGGAAACGGACGATCGCATCGCTCGTCAGTCTCTCGCGCTCGTCTCGCCTCGCGTCTTCGCGAGGGGGCGTCCGTCGTCGCTCGCGTCTTCGCGACTCTCGATCCATCGACGCACCTTGGATCGAATCTTGCGGTGTCGCTGCTGACGCTTCGCTTCCTTGGGCGTCATCTTCGCCGAAGTCACCACGGCGGCTGCGCTCGCGAGAATCGCGCATCATTCGTCAGTCCTCGCTCGCCGACCCTCGCTCCAGGGTTTCCCCAACCCTCGGGGTTTCCGCGCCCCATTCGCGTCGCGCCGACTTCCCGCGCCGCGACCCCCGTCGCGCGCGTTCGCGCGTCCCGCTCGACGCCCGCGCATTTCTACCCTCCATTCGCGCGCCCTCGCGCGTCCACTCCCATCGCGCGCGCTTCGCGCGCGTCCCGTCGTCGCCCCCCCATCGCGTTCCCTCGCGTCTCCTCGCGCGTCTTCGGTCTTCGGTCTTCGCGTCTCGCGCGCGCACCTCTCCTCGGCGTCGTCGTCACCGACGTGGCTAAGCCGTTCCCTCTAATCGTCGCCCTCGACGTGAGCATCGCGTGCGTGAGCGCGTTCATCGTCGCGTCGCCGTGTGTCGCGCGCCGTCGCCGGCTTAGGGCTTGCGCCGCGGCGACCGACCGTTTTACAAACACGGACCGACCGACCGACCGACCGACCGACCGACCCGTTGGCGCCGGCGCCGCACGGCGCGACGCGCGCGAGACGCGGGGACGCGCGAACGCGCGAGCGCGCGCGAGCGAACGCGCGTCGAGCGTCAGCGTCGAGCGGAAGCGCGCGGGACGGATCGAGCGCGACGACGCGCGCGACGACGCGCGAGAGGGACGAGACGTCGAGAGCTCGAGCGCGCGCGAACGATCGAGCGCGATGAAGGTGGTGGTCGTCGCGGGAACGCACTCGGGGGTGGGGAAGACGACGATCGCGACGGCGTTGATGCTGGCGTACGCGAGACGGGGACTGCGAGTGCGAGCGTTCAAGGTTGGGTGCGATTTCGTGGATCCCATGGCGCACCGATCGGCGCTGCGGAGCCAGAGCGGGGACGCGCGGGAGAGCGAAAATCTGGATGGGTACATGATGAGCGCGGGAGCGGTGGCGAGGGTGGTGGCGAAACACGCGGAGACGTGCGACGTGGCGATCGTGGACGGGGTGATGGGGCTGTACGATGGGAGAGATGGGATGAGCGAGGACGGATCGACGGCGCAGATGGCAAAGTGGCTCGAGGCGGGGGTGCTGCTGGTGGTGGATTGTAACGCCATGGCGCGCTCGGTGGCGGCGGTGATCAAGGGGTACAGAGAATTCGACGCGGAGTTGAATTTGGTGGGGGTGGTTTTCAACAAAACCGGTGGTGAGGCGCACACGGAGTACTTGCGAGAAAGTCTCTTGGCGGCGATGGCGCACGTGGACGTCTTCGGGGGGATTCCCAAGGACACCAACGGGCCCACGTTTGATCCAACGAGCGCGGCGACGACGAGTGACGACGCCATGGAGCAGAAAATTCAGCACATGGCGATGTTGCTCGAGCAAAACGTCGATCTCGACGCGTTGTTCGAAGCGATGCCGGCGTACGAAATTTCGCCGCGCGTCGCGCGCGATTTGGCGCTCGAACGCGCCATGCGAGAGGAACTCGAGGCGGGGCCGTCAAAGCCGAAAGTGCGCATCGCTGTCGCTCGAGACGAAGCGTTTTGCTTCTACTATCCCGAAAATTTAGCCAAGTTGGAAGACGCGGGGGCGGAATTAGTCTACTTTAGTCCGATAGCCGGCGAAGGATTGCCGAGCGACGTCCAAGGCGTCATCTTTGGCGGAGGTTATCCCGAGTTTCACGCGCAGGCCTTGTTCAAGAATCGGCCTTTACGATCGGCGGTGACGGCGTTTGCCACAGCAGGAGGCGTGGTGTACGCCGAATGCGGTGGATTGATGTTCCTTTCGCAGTCGCTCTCAGCGCCGGATGGGAGCTCGCCTCGATCCATGTGCGGCGTCGCGCCCTTCGCGACGCGACTCACGAGTTCGGTGAAGACGGGATACGCCGAGATCACTATTGCGCCCGGAAATCCTTTGTTCAACGAGGGTGAAGTCGTTCGAGGTCAGACGTTTCGATACAGCGAAATACACGGCGATAGACCGAGCAAGATGCGCGTGACGGAGGATAAAGTCGCCATCGGCTGGGGCGCGACGTACGAGGTGAAGCAGGAACGAAAATTCGGCAAGGGCAAAAACTCGATCAATCTCGACGGTTTCGCGTGGAACAATGTGCTGGTATCGCAGTTACACCTTCACTTTGGCGCTAATCCATCTTTGGCTTCCTCGTTCGTTGAGTCGTGCAGAAGCGTGCCGCCGGGCGCGGCGGAAGCCGCGGCGCGCGCGGCGATGGTTTCACGAAGGACGATGAGCAAGAGCTTCGGACCTCTGACGCCAATCAGTTCGAGAAAGTTCGACAAGGCTCTCGAACGAAGCAGGAGTATGAGCGAGGAAGAGATGCTCGCGCGGTCAGCGCAGTCGGATTCACCAGAAAAAGTCAAACAGGTTTTGCCGCCGCGGCGCGCTCGTGCGATGTCTCGCGACTTCCGCGAGTACTCGGTTGACTTGGACTCGGCGGAGGGATTAGGAATGTTCCGCTCGCGCTCATCGGCGTCGATGCAGTCACTGGGTGCGCAAATATCGAAACTCTCGGGAATGCCTCGTAAGTCAACGACGCAACCCGAGCTCGATGTGGCTCTGCACTTATACTTTGGCGCCGCGCCGCAAGTCATGGCGGATCATCTCCACGCGCCTTCGCAGCTGCAGCTTCCGTTGCCGCAATCGGTGGGGTCGATAATTTCCCTTTCCACGACTGCGACATCTATCCTCTATGCACTTGGCGTCGGCGATCGAATCGTCGGCATCACGGAGGCGTGCGTGCTTCCAGAGGACATCACGGATTACCCAAAAATCGTCGCCAGACACTTGCACTCTCTCGCTTTGCCGCAATCGAGCGCTGGTCTCGCTGACAATCGAAAGAAGTCTTCGAACTCTTTGAATGGCGATTTCGAATTTTTTGGTGGAACTCATCACGGGTCGAGCTACAACTCGCTGACTCGTTTGGAGGCCAGGCATAGCTCGTCGTCGCACGTGAGCGCGCTCGACAAATGGTGTTTCTTCGACGTCAACTTTGTGCGCCACGCAGAGGCTCGACTCATCTTCACCCCAGACGTGTGCTCACAGTGCACCGATGTGCGTTTTGGCACCGCCAAGTTTCTACACGAAGCCGAAGTTTTCTTGACGAACGCAGAGTTTGATTCGGACGAAGATTCCTTGGAAGTCGACGCGTCGCGGCCGTCAATCTTCCCCGTCGCTCCAAAGACGCTGAGCGACGTCTTGGACGTGATTCTTCAAATCGGGATTTTGTGCGGTGTAAAGGAAAAGGCGGTGACTTTGCTGACGCAGCTTCGATCACGTTTGCGTACTATCGCTCGTGTCGTCGCCACGGCTGACGAAAGGCCGAAGGTCATGTCTTTGGAAGGCATCAAACCTCTCGTCGCCGGCGGACACTGGCTGCCCGAGATGAAATCAATCGCCGGCGGTATCGACGAACTTCACGAACCGGGCGTTTCAGCTGAGCGCATGCGATGGGAGCAAGTGCTGTCGTACGGCCCAGATGTGTTACTTCTCGTGCCTTGCTACATAGGTAAATCATCCGAAGAAACCATGGAGAGGACGCTCGAACAGCTAGAACATTTGGCGAGTCAGCCGGGTTGGTGGGTGATTCCTGCCGTGCGCGATCGCCGCGTCTTCGTTCTCTCCCACGAAATGATTTGTCAAGCCGGTCCACAACTCGTTGATGGTGTGGAGACTTTAGCTCGAATTCTCCATCCGGATTTGTTCCCGATGGAACTGCGTCAAGGAGTTTGCTACAAGTTCAACCTCGAAGAAGGTCGCTCTTGTCGACCAAAGCAACTGCGCCAACACTTCGTCGAGTGGCGCTAGAAAAATGTGAAACAAATGTACCATTAGCTCGCTTGCGTGTAAAAGAGCGAAGATCAATTAGCTATTCTCATTATTACACCAATATCACGGCATGAGCGCCTATTACGCGTTCTTTAACGCGTCTAAGAAGTCGACAACGTCGCTTCGCAAGCCGTATCCCCACGGCATGCAAAATTCGCCGTGCGCGAATTTCTCTTGCCAAATAATTCGCGCCTTTGATTGCCTCAACACGTGCCTGCAGATGGCGTCCGTGTCGAGCAATAGATCATTCGATTCGAGCACGATGAGTGAGTCCACCGGCAAATCGTCCGCCCACAAGTTATAACGAGCCCACCAAAACTTTCTTCGAAGCGCCGTCATGACGCCGATTTCTCGAAGAAGAAAGTAGTCGCGCAACAAAAAGTACAACAATGCATTTCCATCGCGCCAAAACGACGCGGTCGCGAGCGTTCGCGGACCTTCCATGAGTCTATTCCTGAAGTCGACCCAGCTCTTATTGAGCTGGTATAAAATACCTACAGTTTGCGGTAAGCACAAGCACACGCAAACCGGATCGAGGAGCACGATTGAACTCACGCAAAACCTTTGACACGTCCTCGCCACGACAAAGGTGCCGAAACTGTGTCCGTACAGCGCTGGCGCGCGAAATGCGTGCTTCTTCGTGATTTCCACCACCGTGTCCACCATGTCGTCGAGTTCAGGCACCTTCGGCACCGCTCGCATGCTAATGTGAGGAAGCGTCAGCATGGCGATTTTGCGATTCGGTCTGCTGCGCAAGAGTTGCGCGATGTGCGGAACATACGGCGCGAGTCCGACGCCCAGGCCGTGGACGAAAATGATTGGCTTCGTATCGCCGTCGCTCGCGTCGCCCGCGTCTCCGCACAACACCGGTCTCGTCTCGACGCCTCGGCCGTGCCTCGTCTCTCGCGTCGCCGTCCTCGCGCGTCGTCGCTTCCAATTATTCTCGACGATTTCGCAGTTCGCCCAGTACGAACACCCGTTGGCGCCGTGATACAATTTAAATCCCAACGCGTGTAACGCCAGCCCGGTCACGCCCGCCACACCGTTCACCCACGCGGTGAACAACAGCGGTTGATGCAACGCCCCGAGCTTTTCCTTTGTGTGAAACATAAACTCGAACGATTCCCTCGCCGCGTTGTCGTCGAATTTCAAGTTCCAGTGCGCCTCAATTTCCTCCATGAATGTCCTCAGCTCCCGCTCTTTGCGCTCGCCGATCTCTTCCGCGCTCAGCGCGTCGTGAAAGCCGAAACGTAAAAAATCCAGCGCCGTCTCTCGGTGAAACGCCGGCGACTCGGCGCGATCGATCCCGGGCGTCGACGCCCTGGACAAGGGCGGGCTCGACGGCGTCGCCCGAAACGGATTCTCGCGTTCACCGAACGCGAAACTCTTCCACGTCTTCATCCATCCCCTGATGTACGCGTTAAAATCCAACACTCCGTCGTAGCGAAGCTGCAAGAACCGATCGAAATCCCGTCGCGTCGGCGTCGCCTTCATATTTTCGTCGTCGTCGAATCGCTTCCCGACCCCTCGCCTGTGCGCGTACCACCCCAATTCGCTCGCCGCGAGCGCCATCACGACCCCCCACTTTTTCTTCCTTCGCTCCATCGCGCTTCCCCGATTCACGTACGCCTTCGCCGCCGTCCACGCCAGCGTCGCCGGTCCCAGCGTCCACGCCGCGCTCAGCGCCGCCGTCGTCGCCGCGTCCCTCGCGTCCCACCCCCACTCGCGCCTTCGCCGCAGCTTCACCCGCGGATTCGCGCGCCAATCCAAAATCATCTCCTCGAACACCTCGTCCGGGTCCGCGTCCCGCGGCGTGTACCGCTCCAGCGTCGTCGTCGTCCGCGCGCCCGCCGTCATTTCGTCGTCCGTCTTCGCGTCTTCGTCGCGCCGTCGCTCGCCGCCGTCGCGCCTCGTCCCGTCGACCGCGCCGTCGAGCGAGTCGATTTTTTCTTCGCGCCCGCGCCCGAACGCGCGCGCCGTCGCGCCGTCGCGCGTCGTCACTCCGCGTCGCTCTGTCGCGGCGGTTGCCGACGCGATGGCGACGAAAGCCGCGGGCGTCGCGCTCGCGCTCGCGACGTGCGCGCTCGCGACGGCGACGTCGGGCGCGATCGGACGCGTCGCGAACCGCGACGGGGCGTCGCCCGCGCCCGCGGCGCCGCTCGCGATCGCCGGGGGGGCGCTGCTGCGACGAAGATTTCGAACGCGCGAGGCCGCGTTCGCGAGAATCTTCGAGCCGGGCGCGCGGGCGTGCGCGGATCGAGGGCTGAAACTCGGGATCGCCGCGCTGGGGGCGAAGCTTTCGTTGCGCGAGATCGGGGAGACGGCGACGGCGGCGGCGCCGGCGATCGCGGCGACGGTGACGACCGGGCTCGCGGCGACGCCGGCGCTGCGAAGGGCGGCGAGCGAAAGGTTCGGACCGGCGAGCGGGCTGACGCGAAAGGTGGGCGCGCTGCTGGCGGCGGGAACGAGCGTGTGCGGCGTGACGGCGATCGGGGGACTGGCGCCGGCGATCGGGGCGAGTCAGCGGGAGATTGGGGTGGCGGTGGCGAACGTGGCGGCGTACGGGACGCTCGGGATGCTGGCGTATCCGTGGGCGGCGAAGCGGTTGTTTCCGGAGGGCGGCGTCCCGGCGGGGGTGTTTTTGGGGCTCAGCGTGCACGATACGGCGCAGGTCGTCGGGGCAGGGATGACGTTTCGAGACGCGTTCGAGGATGAGATGGCGTTTAAGGCGGCGACGGTGACAAAGTTGACGAGAAATCTCACCCTGGCGTTGGCGATTCCGTATCTCGCGTACGCGTTCAGGAGCGCGGACGCGGGCGCGGGCGCGGCGGCGAAGCGTCCGGCGCTCGTGCCGGGGTTTTTGATCGCGTTCGTCGCGATGGCGGCGCTGCGTTCGCTCGGGGACGCCACGGAATCCGTTCGCGACGACGCGCGGTGGAAGCGTTTCCACAAGGCGACGGGGGATTTCGCGTCCAACGTGGTTTTGCCGACATCCATGGCGGCGGTCGGTTTATGCATGAGCGCGTCGGCGCTTAGCGGCGTCGGTGTGGCGCCGTTCGTCGTCGGGGCGTGCGCGGCGACTTCCGTCGGTGTGGTCGCCGCGTGCAGCGTCAAAGCTCTCGACGCCGCTGGCGCGTTTCGAGGCATCGGCGCGAGTTGAGCGCGGAGCGAAGAGTAGCGTTAGCATCTAGATGACTTTTGTTCGTGCCACATGCGTAATGACAACAATAAAGCTTTAAGTTTCGAATCAATCAATTCTTTGCTACGGTGGATCGTTTCTCAATCTAGATCGAGAAACTAGAAGAGGGCCTCGTCTAACGAGTCTTCGGAAAACTTGAACGCGCCGTCGGCGACGACTTGTTCAAGCTTGCGGGCGCTTTCGTCGCTAATGCTCAAAGCAGATTGAAGAACCTTGCGCTCTTCCACGTCTGAGCACTCTTGGACGAAGACAGAGTACATGTCGAACACCTCAGATTCCACCTTCCACTCCAACTTGGCCTCGGGCGCCACGGCTTGGCACGCGACCAAGTTGCGGCAGCACAGGAGGACGTCGGCAGCCTTCTTTTGACGCAAGACAGCGACGCCTTGAATCATTTGAGAGCGCTTCTTCTCGGCAGCGATGTTCTTGAGCTCAGTCTTGGCCTTCTCACCATCAATCTTGAGATCTTCGACCAAGGTACCCGTGAGCGCTTCGATGTCGGCGCTTCCGCTTCCGTCGCCCAAACGGCGCTCGGCGTTTTTGCGGAACAAGTTCATGCGCTTGTCTTCCGGAATCATGCGCTCGATTTCGACGCCAGCTTCGATCATCTTTCTCACCTCAGCCGCATCGAGCGTACCAGAAGCAATTTGCTGCTGAACGTTGGACATCATGCGTTGCGAGGTGATGCCCTTGATGATCTTTTGCGCCTCGTCCTCGGGCAAGTTGAGCTGCGTCTGAATTTCCTTGAGCTTCTCGGCGCGATCGGCGGTGAGGCCGCGGCCGTCGCCGAGCATTTGCTCAGCTTGCGTCCGGAACGCCTTGTCGGCCAGATCCTTGTGCACTTGACCGACTTCCATCATGTTAAGGCCGAGGATATCGCCGAGCTGGGACAAGCGCTTGAATTCGCTTTGGTCGCGCTCGATGTTGATGCGCACGCCCATCGGGGCGTTCACTTGATCACCAGTCATGCAGAACATGAGGTATTCTCTGTACATCGCTTGGCGAGTGACCACATCCATGTCTTCGGCGAGCGTGACTTCCTTCTGGTGCGGGACTTCTTCCTCCTTGACGACGACTTCTTCCTCTTTCTCTTCCTCCTCCGCGGTCTCCGTCGCCGCCTCAGCCTTCACTTCCTCAACCTTCTTGGGGGTGTCACTGGCGAAGCCTTGACCCTCCGCCGCACTTCGAAGGCTATCATCCACCGTGGGCTCAGCGGCGGCTTCAGGCTCCGCCGCGGTAGCCTCCGCGGCGGCTTTCGCCTTCTCTTCCGCTTCCTCCTTCGCCGCCGCCTCTTGCGCCTCCTTCAAGAGCGAGGCGAGCTCCTCCGCCGCCGCCTCAGCCTTTGCCTTGGTCACGTCCTGCACGAGCGGCGTCACGACGCCTTGGTTGTAGAAGATCATCTTGCGAATCTCCTTCTGCGCGTCCGTCTTGTTTCTAATGGACTTGGACGTGCGGATGAAACCACTCATTTGCTTGCGAGCCTCGGCGCCGAGAATCTTGAGCGCGGTTTCGTCGTCGAGACGAACGTTTGCCTTGGCAGCCTTGCATCGGTCGCGAAGCGCCGGAGTGAAGGACTCGGTCGGCACGGAAAGCGCCGAGCGAACCGCGGTGCGGTAAATTTCGCCGCAGATTTCAAAGTGAAGCTTCTCAACGACGCCCTTCGGCACGCACAAGAGCTTGCGAACGCGAGCCAAGGCTTCGACGTCGGCGTCTTCGAGCTTTTTATTCGATGAGATGATGGACTCGAGCTTGGTGCGATAGTTCTCTTCGTGAATGCCCGCAGCCACTTCCGGAGGGAATCGGAGGCCTTCGCACAAACCTTGGAGCACCTTGGCTGGAGACTCGGCGTTGTCCAACGAGCCGCTCTTGACGGCGTCGCGAAGCGCCAGGCGGTACGAGGCGGTGGTGGAGGCGAGAATAATGTCGTCTGCCTCCTTGTTGCCCATGCCAAACACGAGACGGAGCTTGCCGAGGTTGTCGTTGAGCGCGGCACTGAAGGAGTAACCCTTGATGCCTTCCTCGAGGTAGGTTCTGAACACGTCCTTGAGTTCCGTCATCTTCGAGTCAAACTCGCCGCCGAACAGCGTCACCGGACCAACACCCGGGAAAGAACCTTGCGCGCCTTCGAGCTTGACGTTGTAAGCCAAAACTTGTTCAACGTTCTTGCAAATCGTACCGACGTCACGCGCAGAGCCACGTTCCTTGTTCAACGTAATGGTGCCGTTGACGATGCCGGCGACGTGCGCCGTGGCGAGGTCTTGGGCGATTTCACCGGCGGCGTCGTCGTCCAAATTCAGCGACGCCTTGTAGTCAGCCGCCGACGCGATCGCCGCGGCGTCAACGTTAGCGATGGCGTTAGATTTGGACAAGCTCGTGCGCAACAGCTGGCTCGCGTTGTCTCTGTTGGCCAAGTCGACTTGGGCGTCCGAGACGCGGAACACGCGCTTCCACGGGAGCAAAAATCGCGCTTGCTCTTCGCCAAAGGTTTGCGTAGAGATGAAGACGAGCTTTTGGAACTCCTTGCGCGATTCCAAGTCCGTCTCCTTATCCGTCGATCCGAGTTCGATGCGCTTTCTGAACAAGCGACGACCAGCCTCCAAGTGCGCCTGCGCCGCCGAGGCGTCGTCTATGCCGAGCGTTTGGCGAAACTGCGCCAAAGCCGCGGCTTCCCAACCTTGCACCGGATCCAACCCTTGCGGCACGAGAGACATCAAGTAGACGTCGTAAAGCTCCGTCATCGCCGTCGCGCACGATTGACCCATGTTCGCGATCCCAAACTTCGCCCCCATCGCGTTGACTTCCTCAGCCGTCACGCTCAACGGATCCCGTCCCTGCAGCGAGTTCCACAAGCTCTTCGGCGCCGCCGTGAACCGCTTCTTATCCGCCACCGACACCCCATACGCGGCGCCACCACCGACGACCGCCGTCAGCGCCGCTTTCGCCCCTCCCCTGACGTTCGCCGGCATCGCGGAGCCCACCGCGTTCCCCAATCCGGCGCCGAGCGCCACGAGCGCGCCGTACGCCCCCAACCGCGCCGCCGTCGGCAGCGCCGCGATTTGTTTCTCCACCGCGTCCATCTCGCGCTCGAACCCGAACGGGCTCGCTCGATCCTAATCGCATCAATCGTCCGATCGCGCTCGCATCGTCAGTCTCCGCGCCCTCGCCGTCGCTCCTCGCCCTCCGTCGCGCGCGTCTCCTAGGTCACACCCTCGCCATCCACAGGGTTTCGCGTCGTCGCGCGACGATGTCTCGACGCACCGTCGGCGGTTCCGGCGCGCTCGCCCGCACGCGCGCCGCGCACGCGCGCCCGCGCGTTCGACGCAAAGAATTCTTCTTCACCAAATCCCGCGTCGCCGTCCACCGCGCCGTCGTCGCCGGTCGACGCGTCGCCGTCGTCATCATCGCGCGTCGAGCTCGCGCTTACGAACGATGTCGTGCGATTCGCTTTACGAACGCGTCGCGTCGCGCGGTCGTCGGACTCTCGCGCGGTCGTCGGACTTGCGCGGACGGTTCGAACGACGCGTCGTGCGCTCGCGTCGCGCTCGTTCGCGCCCGCGTCGCCGTGTGCGCGCGCCGCGCGTCGTCGCGACGCCGCCGGGCGGGCGGTTGCTGTTTGAGACTCTACACGGACCTTATCCACAACCATCGCCCGATCGTCGTCCGCGCGCGGCACACCGCGACGCGATGACGCGCGTCGCGACGCGCGCGACGCCCGCGCGCGCGACGACGTCGACGTCGACGTCGTCGCGCACCGCGCGTCGCGACGCGCGCTCGAGACGAATCGCGACGCGCGCGGGATTCGATCTCGGCAAACTCGCGTCGGTGCTGCGAAAGAAGACGGCGATGGATGTCGAGCGCGTGTTCAACGGGACGTCGAAGACGCGGGAGCGATTGAGCGCGGTGAACGACGTGTTGGCGCTGTGGCGCATGGAGGATTTCGACGACGCGCTGGAGGAGCTGGAGGAGACGCTGCTGGGGGCGGATTTCGGGCCCAAGGCGGCGACGCGGGTGACGGACGGCGTGCGCGCGCGCGTGGAGCGAGGCGAGTGTAAGACGGGGGGGGACGTGCGGCGAGCGCTGAAGGCGTCGATCGTGGAGGTGTTGACCAAGGCGGGGGACGCGATGAAGATTGGATTGAACGAGACGGCGGGCGAACCGAGCGTGGTGTTGGTGGTGGGCGTGAACGGGGGGGGGAAGACGACGACGCTGGGAAAATTGAGTCATCGATTCGCGGAGAGCGGGGCGAAGGTGATGATGGTGCCGGGAGACACGTTTCGCGCGGCGGCGGCCGAACAGCTCGCGACGTGGGCTGAACGCACGGGAGCGGTGATGAGCGACTCGCCGCCGAACACCAAACCGGGGGCGGTGTGTTACAAGGCGGTGGACGAGGCGTGCGCGCGGGGCGACGTCGACGTCGTGCTCGCGGACACGTCCGGGCGATTGCACAACAACTCTCAGCTCATGGATGAATTAGTCGGGGTGAAGAATTCCATCTCCAAGCGCTTGCCGAGCGCGCCGCACGAGGTTTTACTCGTCTTGGACGGCACCACCGGGTTGAACATGCTCAACCAGGCGCGCGTTTTCAACGAAGCCGTGGGCGTGACGGGAATCATTTTGACCAAGCTCGACGGCACCTCGCGAGGAGGCGCGGTGGTGAGCGTGGTGGATGAGTTGGGGATTCCCGTCAAGTTCGTTGGCGTCGGCGAGTCGATGCAAGACTTGCAGTCGTTCGACGCGGTCGGGTTCGTCGACGCGTTGTTCCCGGACGAGGAGGAGTAGAGACTGTCTCGTGACGACGATAATACTACGCCGCTATCGGTTAATACACACATACAATAATTCGCTAAAGAGATCATCTAACTAAAGGTAGTTTTGTCAACTTCGTCAAGCACTTCGGCGAAATCCTTCGCAGACGCACGGCGCCGAGCACGCGCTCAGGCAACTCGTCTTCGCGCGCGCCCTCGATCCATATCGCCAAATCCTCGTCGCTCCGCGCGCTGAGCCCGGAGAACATGTTGTACAGATATTTCGCAGACGCGCTCGTCCCGCACTCGATGCAACACTCTAAATAACGGTCCTCGTACCCCTCGGTATCGCCGGCGCCGCGAAAAAAGCGCGTCGACGCGCGTTTTCCCACGAGCACCGGTTTCGTCGGCACGCACTTGCGCAACATCAACGGCGACTGCGGATGAAGTTTCGCGCACAGCTTCACTCTCGCCGCGCGATATGCGTCATCATCGGTCTCCACGAACCGTCTCAACGTCTTGGCGAACGACGGCGACGAATTCGCGTCGACCCAATCGCACAACCGCCGCGCGTCGCGAACGCTCTCCGCGCCGTCGCCCTCGGGCTGAAAATAGCACACCAAATTCGCCCCATCCGGATTTACGAAGTGCATCGCGAACGTCCACGCCGTCGTCGCTCCTCCGTCGCGCTCGAACTCGCGCCTGAACCAACTCTCCGGTCGCGTTCGACAAAAATCGACGCGCGCGTCGTCGCCGTCGCTCGCCAGGCTCGAGCCATCGAACAGATCGACGTGTCGCAGCGTCAGCAGCGGTCTCTCGCGCGGTGGTGCCTTTTTAGCGTCCACGAAGTACGACGCGGCGCGCACGCGCAGCCACTCGCACGGCGCGGCGTCCCAGTGCGTCTTCGAGGCGCTCGAAAAGTGTTCTCGAAACGACGTCAGGGCGTCGTGAAAGATGTCGAGCGAGCGTCTCGACCGCGACGTCGCGACCGCGGCGCTTGTCGACGGCGGCGAACTCCGGTCGAGCGCGCGATGCGACGCGGGATCGACGTCGACGCGCGAGCTCGCGCATCCCATCGAGGCGCGGAGTGCGGTCGCGACGGCGAGGCGCGACGCTCGGGATGGCGTCGGCGCGACGGGAGCTCGGGAGCTCGGGACGGCGACGACGGCAAAGGAGAACGGACGGCGACGACGGGAAAGGAGAAGGAATTTATATTAGTACTTCAATCAAAAGTGCGCGACTAAAGTGGCACGAGCGGCTGTCCGTTGCGGGGACTCGTTGCGGGGAATTTTCCCGAGCGCAACGCTTCGACATCCGGTCCCTACGCTTACAACGACATCGCCTTCGCGGCCATGGCATCGGCAGTGATTCCGAACTGCTTGTACAGAATCGGGGCCGGTGCCGAAGCGCCGAAATCGTCATGTCCGATGGAAGCGCCGGCGTACTTAGCCCAGCCGAACGTGGTGCCCGCCTCGATGGAGACGGTCTTCGCGCGCATGGCAGCCGGCAAGACGGACTCTTGGTAGGCGGCCGGTTGGCGCTCGAAGGCTTCCCAGCACGGCATGGAGACAACGCGAACCTTCTTACCCTTAGATTCGAGCTCGGCACCAGCTTGGCACGCGAGTTCGAGTTCGGTACCGGTACCGATGAGGATCACGTCGCACGCTTCGCCAGCGGCGGCGCCTTGGACGACGTACGCACCCTTGGCGGCGCCTTCCATGGAGGTACCCGCAAGGTTCGGCACGACTTGGCGGGAGAGCGCCAACGTAGTCGGGGCACCGTTCATCGAGTTTTCGACAGCCATCTTGTACATGGCGGCGGTCTCGTTGCCGTCGGCCGGGCGAGCCATGTCCATACCCGGCATGGCGCGGAAGGACGCGACGTGCTCAATCGGCTGGTGAGTCGGGCCGTCCTCGCCGACGCCGATGGAATCGTGCGTCATGACGAAGATGGTACCGGCTTGGGAGAGCGCGGCGATGCGCATGGCGCAACGCATGTAGTCGGTGAAGATGAAGAAGGTCGCGCAGTACGGAATGATACCCGGGGAGTGGAGCTTCATGCCGTTGGCGATGGCACCCATACCGTGCTCGCGGACGCCGAAGCGAACATTGCGCTCGGCCGGGGTGTCCTTTTGGAAGTCACCGAATTGCTTCATCAACGTCATGTTGGACGGCGCAAGATCGGCGGAACCACCCATGAAACCCGGGATCGCGCCACCGAGGGCGTTGAGCATGGTTTGGGAGTGGATGCGCGTGGCGACACCCTTGTCCTCCGGCGTGAACGTCGGGAGAGACTTTTCCCAGCCAGACGGCAACTTGCCGGACATGATGGACTCGAGCTCGGCCGCATCTTCGGCGTACTTGCTCTTGTAGGTGGCCCACTTGGCGTTCCATTCGGCTTCGGCGGCGGTGCCCTTTTCGGAGCAATCCATGTACGCCTTGACGGCTTCCGGAACTTCGAATTCGCCGTACTTCCACTTCAAGTTTTCGCGAGTCGCGGCGGTTTCATCCTTACCGAGCGGCGCGCCGTGCACGTCGTGGGTGTTGGACTTGTTCGGGGAACCGTAGCCAATCAAGGTGGTCACCTTGATGAGCGACGGGCGCGGGTCAGCCTTGGCGGCGTTGACGGCGGCGCGAATCGAGTCGACGTCGGTGTTACCGTTCTCGACGTGTTGCGTGTGCCAGCCGTACGCGTTGAAGCGCGCGACGACGTCTTCCGTGAAGGAGATGTCGGTGTGACCATCGATGGAGATGTGGTTGTCGTCATAGAAGACAATCAACTTGCCGAGGCCCCAGTGACCGGCGAGGGACGCGCCTTCGCCGGACATGCCCTCCATGTTGCAGCCGTCGCCCATGACGCAGTACGTGTAGTGATCGACGATTTCGCAATCCGGCTTGTTGAATCGACCGGCGAGGTGCTTCTCGACCATCGCGAGACCGACGGCGTTGCAAATACCCATACCGAGCGGGCCCGTGGTGACTTCGATGCCGTCGGTGATGAAGTTCTCCGGGTGACCCGGGGTCTTGGAGTCCCACTGACGGAACTGCTTGATGTCTTCAATCTACGCGCGTCGAGCGTGCATCGCGCATTCATCGTCAGTCATCGAGTTTTATCTCCATCATCGCTCGCGCGTCCGCCAGAGCGACGCTCTCGCGCGTTCGCGTCCATCCTTCGCGCGTCCGCGCGGGCTCTTATCCAAAACCCCAACTTGAGGCTTTATCCACACGATCGGCGCGCGCGTTCGAGAATCGCGTCGCCCGCGCGCGCGCGTCGCGACGAACGCACCGAAACGCTCGGGTAACCGGTCAAATGCATCAAAGAGTACTGCAGCATGCACCCGTGTCCCGCGGACAGCACGAATCGATCGCGGTTGAACCACTTCGTGTTCTTCGGGTTGTGCGTCATCGCTTCGCGGAAAATCACGTAGCCCATCGGCGCGCAGCCCATCGGCAAGCCGGGGTGACCGGAGTTGGACTTGTTGATCGCGTCGATCGCCAAAAATCGCACGGTGTTGATCGCGTCGTTCACCGTGTCCGCGGAGACGCCCGGCGGCGCGGCGACGGCGGCGCGCGTGACGACCTTGGCGCTCATGCGCGAGCGACGGTTTTGGACCTTGGCGGTGAGCTTGGCGCGGAGCGCGAGCGCGGCCGGGCTCAGGGCGGCGGCGGACGACATTGCGAGAATTTTTTGGGTTCTTTTGACGTCGACGGGCGGTGAGGCGACGAACGCGTGTGAGGCGTCGCGCGTGCGGTGAAGTGACGGGAATCGATGACGCGCGCGCGCGCGATCGACGCCGCGCGTGGGGCTGTGCGTGATCGGCTTTTATTCGTGTGCGCATACAGTTCGGGAGGTGAAATAGTGTGAAGCCGTCGTCTAATCGAATAAATGGTGGCTATAATATGGCTAGGTGGCGTCACACGTGACGCGCGCCCGCGGGGGTCCACCCGCGCGAACGCGTCGGCGCGTTCCAGGGCGCGTACGAGTCGCGCGCGCCCTGACGCAACGCGAAAGATTCGAAAGATTCGTACCGAGGCGACCAATCGAGCTCGGTCTTGGTGCGGGAGTTGGACATGGCGCGACCGAGCGGGCCGTCGGTTTTGGTGAAGGCGGGCGCGGCGGCGTCGGCGCCGTAGACGCCAGACTCCACGGAGACGCGCGCGATCGCCTCGCGGGTGATCGGGACGCCGTCGGTGCCGAGATAAATGTGAGACTTTGCTCCTTTCGTCATCGCGGCGAAGCACAGATCGGCGGCGTCTTCGTAGTGAATTAAATTCACCAAGGCGTCGGCGCGAGAATCGAGCGAGGACGTCTTGATGAAGTACTTGTGCGCGCCTCGCTCGGAGTGATAGAGCCCGGCTAATCGACACACCACACCACCAGCGTCTAACACGACTTTTTCCGCCTTCAGCAACCGATCGACACGAGGATTGGTGCCTATTTCATAAACTTCACTCTCCTCGTCGCACGCCTCGCCGGCTTCATTCTTGTACACGGCGCTCGAGCTCGTAAACGCGAACGCGCCCGAGCCGTCCCAATACTTCAACGCCGCCGCGACTTCGCCCGGGTAATCCTCACTGCCACTCGGTGGCGCGCTGAAAACGACGTAGGGAAACCGCCGCGTCGCCGTGGGATCGTCCGCACCGAAATCCTTCGTTCGCGGCGTCACGCCGACGCTTCGCAAGCCGTCGTGCGCGGCGTCGGTGTTCGTCTGTCCGACCACCACCGCCCCGGGGAAGTTCGACAGCCACACGCGCGCGATGCGCGAGCCCAAAACACCGGGTCCGACGACGAGCAGGTTTCGGTCGTCCCCGAACGGCCCCGGTGCGTCCGAAGTCGACGCCGCCGCCACCGCGCGAGACCGAGACGACGCTTTTTCGCGCGACGTCTTTCGCGCGGTGTGCGAGGGAAACGCGCGGTGCGCGCGCGGTGACGCGCTCGAAGCGCGCATAACGTTCGAAATTACACGTGCGTCCTTCACGAACGGGCTCGGCGCGAGGATGGAGGCGCACGCGCGGGAGTGAGGACAACGCGGGGGGAGCCTTGGGCGCGCTTTCCGGGCGTCGGGTCGCTCGCGCTCGATTACAAACGAAAGCGAGCGAGCGTCTAAGTCTAAATGCACTATGTCAACTTCATGCAGAAGCGCCGGCGAGTCTTTCGACGCGAGACCAGCGCGCTTGGCGAGCTTTTTCGTCCTCAGCGAGACGCTCTTGATCCGCCAACCAACGCTCGCGACACTGCGCGAAGAGCTCGGGGTCCATCTCTTGAAGCATCTTGCGGACGTTTATGGTTAATCCGCCCACGACTGGGTTCCAATGTCCGACGGCGTTCTTTTCGAGCGCACCGAAGCAGACGGGAAGCAACGCGTGGCGATGTTGCGCCACCAGGTTGACAATGTAGTCGTTGTTCCACAAAAACAGCGCTCTTTCGGCGACTTGGAAGTGCGTGGAGTTGATGCAGAAGGATATTTGTTTGAACAGCGGCACCATGACGTTGGCAAACTGCGCGCTTTGCGTGAGCTCTAACACCTCTTCCAACTCTCCCAAGATGAGCACTTCTTTCTGGGAATTCGTAACGGGCCAGTACTTGAGCAAACCGCGAATGACGACGTCGGCCATGCGCGGATCCTTTTCGACGAATTGGGTCACGCAGTAAACGAGTTGCGAGTGATACATTCCGACGCACTTCGGCTTGTGTAACGGCAACAAAGCGCGCTTTAAGAACGTTTTGTGTTCGTCCTTGAGCGGCAGCGCGAACCCGTTGATGATTGATCCCAAAATTTCGAGCAACTCCGCGATTCCGTTGTGTTTCTCCGTCTCATAAATGAAGCGGAAGAAGATATTATTGATCGCCTGACGGATGAACGGCCGATGGATCATGAATTTCCCGTAAATTCTGTGCAAAATCGTCTTCAAGTAATCGCGCTCCCGCGGGTCTTCGCTGTCAAACAACTCTAAAAGCCTGAGCACGAAGGATTGATCGATGTACGTCTTCCCGTTTTTAATGTCAATGTCGTTGGAAACGACGTAACGCAACAAGAATTCGTACACGATTTGCAAGTGCGGCCAAGACGGCTCGAGGCTCGGCTCTTCTTCTTCTGGGTCGAACATCGCCGCGTTCACCAGTCCCGTCTGCTCCGAGCTCGTCGGCGGCAACGTGCGGAACAAATTCTGCGCCAGCATGAAGTTGATGTGTTCCAGCACTTGCTCCGTGAACCGCCCCGTGCCTTGATTGACGTAGTCCACGATCTCGATCAACGTCTGACGCTTGATTTCCTTCTCCCTCGCGTCGATCGCGGGATCGGTGAAATCGAAACAATACGAACACAGCTGTAACTTTTTCCCAAACAACGCCGCTCGTTCGTTCACGGGTACGTCTCTGAACAAAAACAACGGCTTATTCTTATCGTACAACACCTCCATGCTCGGTAGACCGTTTTGCCCGTGCCTCGACCCTTCCCTAGATCCAACCCTGAGCGAACTAAACGCCCGAAACCCGCCCGCGGCGGACGCCGCCGCGCCCGCCATTCGATTAAACACGCCCGCGTCGTTCGTCCCGCTCCCGCTCGACTTCCCGTTCGCCGGCGACGTCGACCTCGATCCCCCTCGACCACCGCGCGTCGTCGTCGTCCCGTCTCCTCCCGAATCGTTCGCCCCGTCCTCGCCCTCTCGCTTCCCGCTCCCTCGCCCGAGCCCGCTCAACTGCTTCTTCACGTTTCGCAGCATCGCGACCCGTCGCCGCCGCGCCGCGCGCGCGCGATTCCGCGCCGATCGCGCGCGTTCCGTTCGCGTTCGCGCGCGCGACCGACCGATCGACCGATCGAGCGCGCGATCGAGCAATCAATCAATCAATCGACCAACGAACCAACGAACGAACGAACCAACGAACGAACGACGATCGCGCGCGTCGCTCGCGCGCGTCCCTCGCGCCGACGCCCTCGACCCGCGCGCCCGCGCGCGATCGATTCGATTCGACGCGATCGCGCCGTCGTCGACGACGTGTGCGGCGCGCGCGACCGCGCGATCGAGGCGACGACGCGCGCGTCCCGGCGAATCGCGACGACCGCGCGCGCGCGGTGCCGACCGCGGCGACCGACCGATTTTACGACTCGGGTTTCATTCGATACCGCTCGCGGTGTGTGACGTACGACCTCGTGCGTGCGCGACGCGCGCGAAAAAAAAAAACGGGTCTGACGCGTGGGTATGAATATCAGTGAGGGATCGTTTTCCACGAGATATTCGCGACGCGCGCGATCGGCGCCGGTCGCACACGCGGACTCGAGGCGGACGACGACGACGACGACGACGACGACGACGAGGGACGAAAACGCGATCGGTGGACACGCGATAATAATAATAGTGACGCGCGCGTCGAGCGCGAGGGCGTCGACGAGGACGCGGGTCGGCGGCGGCGACGACGCGCGCGGCGCGCGAGGACGACGAGGCGGCTATGTTTAGCGTCGCGCGGACGACGCGCGGGGACGACGGGGAGGCGCGATCGGCGATGGGGACGACGCGCGCGGCGCGCGAGGGGACGTCGACGTGGAGCGCGCTGGACGACGACGGGTTCTGGGAGGCGCGGGATCAGAACGACGATCCGAATGGGACGTTCGGGGGACGGCTGGAGAAATTCGAGCGATCGCTCGAGGCGCTGTGCGTGGGGTTCGCGGAGGGACGCGGGGAGGGTGGGAGGGGGGTGAGGGCGCCGCTGAGTCGCGCGTCGGAGGAGGGGGGGGTGAAGAAGGCGCGGTCGACGGCGAAATCGTCGCGGAAGCGGCGCGAGATGACGACGGCGACGGCGACGACGGCGACGGCGCGCGGCGACGCGCGCATCGTCGAGGTGAAAACGAGCGAAGATCCGACTCGGCTGGACGATGGGTTTCGATGGCGCAAGTACGGAAATAAGTTTTTGAGTGGGCAGAAGTATCCAAGAGCGTATTACAAGTGCACGTCGGGGTCGGGGATCGGGCGACTTCAAAAGCACGTGGAAAAGACCGGAGACGCGACGTATTCGATTACGTATCTCGGCGTCTCCGGCTCCGGGGCGTCGGCCGAGGTTTGTGAAGCGCTCTTGGAGAATATTTTCAAATTTTTGCGCGCGCGAGCGCTGACGCGTAACATTAATATAGATTCGGTGCACATGACGCGGCGCCGAGCGTGATGAATGAATGGATGTGACGGCAAATGTGACGATCGATGCTCTCGATTTACAATCAATGTGAAGCGATGTTGTTTGCGGTGTCTACCAACCTCCTCCTCTAGACGGTGCATCGTCGCGTCGAGGCGGGCGATATTTCCCATCGTCAGCACCGCCACTTCTCGACGGCGGGCGGTCATCGCCGCTTCTCGACGGCGGGCGATCGCCGCCGCCTCGCTCCCATCTATTCGACGGCGCGCGATCGCGATCTCCGAATCCGCCGCCCCGGCCGTCGTCGCGACGAGGCTCGTAACGATCACCACCTCTTGACGGTTCCCATCGGCTACCACCTGACGGAGGTCGCGCTGGGGCTTCGTCGACCCGACGACGCTCGCCGAACGCGCTCCCAGCGAACGCGCCCCAGCGATCGTCGCCGCCGCGTGCCGGCGGTTGTTCGCGTTGTCTTCTAGCAGCTTCCTCTTCTTCTTGTTGACGACGTCTTTCAGCTTGCGCGATGCGATCCTTTTCGCGCTTTTCGTGCTTCACCGCAGCCTCGATGTCTTGGAGACGCTTGATGTAATCTTTTTTCGCTTGGAGCAAGCGTTCAGCCTCCTTGTGCTTCTTCATTTGCTCGAGCTTTCTCGCGCGTTCCTCCTCTTGAGCGGCGAATTGCTCGGCCCGACGAATCATGACACCACGCGCGAACTCGGCACGCGGACCTTCCATACGCATCAAACGCTGCTTTTCTGCGCTCTCCGCCTCCCACTTGGCGCGATGTTTCGCAGCCATCGCGACTTGTTGTTCGGCGTGGTACTTTTCGTCATCCACCGATCGCTCCTTGTACGCCTTCTCGATGAGACTGATACTTTCTTCGCGCTTGGCACGTTCGACGTGATCCATGCGTTTAGCGAGACTGTTCAATTTGCGTTCTTGCTCTTGACGCGCCTTGATTTGTTCTTGAATAGCATCTTGCATGATGGCTCGCTTGTCGAGGACGACGCCCTCCTCGAGGACAATCGGCGCCTTTTTGCCAGCGCGCTTGGCTTGCTCGGCGAGCAACTCGAGAGCCTCTTGTTTCTCTTTTTCCTCCATTTCCGCACGAATTCTCTTCTCTTCGCGAGCACGAGCTTCTTGTTCGAGGCGCTTGGCCTCGTTTTCTTCGTGCTTGCGCTGCGCGGCGACGCGCTTAGCCTCTTCCTCCTTTTCTTGCTCAGCGGCGGCGCGCTCGGCTTCCTCCTTGCGGCGCTCGATGACCACCTTGCGCGCCAGCGCACGCTTGTGTTCGGCCTCGATGGCGGCGCGCAATTCGGCACCGAGTACACGAGCGCCGACATCGGCGGGTGTCTTGGGCGCGAGCTTGCTCATGCCTTCTTGCAAAAGACGAGCGGCGCGAGAGAGGTGCGTCTTGACGAAACCCGTCTCGAGGCGATCGCCGACAAAGTTCATCGATCCAGTCTCGTGGTCGATTCGAACGGAAATGTAATCACTTCGAATCGCTTGTACGAGAATACGCTCGACTTCGTGATACGGCATGAACGGCACGGAGGATTTCAAAGAATCAATCTTCATCGTCTCGAACACCTTGGATTGCTGGTGCACCATGCGAATAATGCCGAGCGATCTCAGTCTCGGTAAGAACGAGTTGAAGTCGAAAGAGGAAACCGGCGAGGCTTCACTGACTTCAATTGTCGTGCCTTGTAACACGTTAAACAACACGTCAGCCTTCTTGCACAGATCGAGCGGGGAAAAGCTTTGCTCCATGAGGGCGTACAAACGCTTGACGTCGTCGTCCACCTTGGCCAACAAACCGCTGCGCTTGATCTCGGCCGCCAACAATTCACGCGAGAGCACATCGCTGATGCTGCGACTACGATCGATGTGGTAACCGAGCAAACTTGCCATGCGAGAGTCGCGATCGAATTGATGATCGGAGTCCATGTCGCCAAAGACGGACTTTTCAGTGTACGGCGTTATGCACATCGTCGCCAACACGACACCCGAAGCCAACGCGCGTTCGTCTTCAGGGGTCAAGCTGCGGTTATACGTTTTACTAACGCTGTAAAGCTTCATCCACGCGTACGCGGCGTGGAGGTAATTTTTACCAATCCAGAAAATTTCCGTCAACTTGGCAAAGTACAACGCCATCATCTGCGGCTTGGGCGAACGGCGAAGCAAGAGCATCAACCCGTGAATGTCTTCGATCGATCGGAACGCTTCTTGCCACATTTCAAGCGTCGTAGCCGCCTTCAGCTGTTCGAAACGCACTTCCATGTAGAGATTTTGCGTCTCGGGTAAGCTCAAATCCGGTCTGTCGCGCATATCCTTGTACTTGACCATGTTGTTCAAGTGCGTTCGCATCAAGTCGCACGCGCGCCTGAATTCGGTCGTGCGCTTGTGCTTGAGGCAAAACTTGAACACGTCCTTCACGACCATGGCGTACAAACCCTCGAGCTTGTTGTTGTTGCGTAAGATGTCGAGCAAGTTGCGATACGTTTCCCACAAAAACTTGAACCACGGCGTCACCGTTTCCTTTTCCGTCGCCTCGTTCTCGTGGTCGAGTCGATACGCCTTCGCCAACAGCGACTCTGGCGTGAACTCGGCCTCGAGATCGACGTCCGCGTCGAGAGTAGCGCCGAACTCCGCCTGCGCCGTCTCCGCGCGTTCCGTCGAGAGCTTCAAAAATCGCTTCACCACCTCCTCGAGCGACTGCACGTTCACCAGCAAGCACGTGTTGCGATATTGCATCAACCCATCCTTACACAGCCTGCCCTTCTTCAGCTCGACGCACAGCTCGACGTACTTGAACATGACCTCCTCGAGAACCTTGGTCCACTGCCTGTTTCGCCGACTGGTGACGATTTCGTGCAGCGACAGCAGCGCCGCCTGCTTCTGTCCCACGTTGATCAGCTCCTCCTGCACCGCGCGTCCGATCGATGCGACGTCTCGTCAGTCTTCGCGCGCCCTCGTCCTTTCGCTTCGCCCCTCCCGTCGTCGCCGCGCGCTCGAATCTCAAATCCAAACCCTCTCCCGTCCCCCGTCGGTCGTCGTCCCGCGTCGCGTCGTCGTCGTCGCGTCGCGCGCACCGCGCGCTTGATCGCGTTCTCCGGTCGCGCGAAGTTCCCCATGTACCGCGACATCGCGCCCGTCGCCCGACGCCGCGCCGTCGTCTGCCGCGCGCCGCTCGCCGATCGATCGCGCGGGCCGCCGTCGCCGCCGCGATCGCGACGGTCCGTGTGTTCGTTCGGTCGGTCGATCCTCGCGTCGTCGTCGCGTTCGCCGTGCGCGCGTCTGTAATACGACGGCCGATCGCGTCGTTTCGTCGCGTATCGCGGGCGCGTCGCGCGCCATCTTTATTTTTTTTTTCGACGAAAGCGCGTTTAGGGTTTAGGGTTTAGCCGAGTACGTCGGAGGATTCGTTCGAACGCGCGCGCGCGTGGGATGGATTGGGTCGGCGCGCGCGCGTCTCGACGCGTCGGAACGACGCGCGCGGCGCGGGAAGCGGGAAGCGGGAGGGCGCGATCGAGGGCGCGATCGAGGGCGTCGCGCGGATCGAGGGCGCGTTTCGTCGAGAGGCGCGAACGCGCGAACGAACGAACGAACGAACGAACGAACGAACGAACGAACGCGCGAACGAACGCGCGAACGAACGCGAGGGATGTCGGAGATATCGCCGCTCGCGAGCCCGCGCGCGGAGGCGAACGGCGAGCGCGAGTGGGGGGCGCCGAGACACGAGCGGTCGCTGAGCGAGAGCCTGGAGAGCGCGCAGACGAGCGCGTGGGCGCGCGAGGCGGGACGAGGCGGGAGCGATAAGGGGCGCGAGACGAGCGCGCGGCAGGGATTGCCGCCGACGGTGATCGGGGCGCCGGCGCATCACGCGCGGGCGCGGTCGTACTCGCAGGCGGACGCGCACGAGCCGTCGCTGCGCACGGTGCTCGAGGAGCCGAGGGGGGCGAACGGGGGGACGACGACGGAGGAGGAGAAGAGAGAGAGGAGGATGCAGGCGAATCGGTTGTCGGCGGCCAAATCGAGGATGAAGAAGATGCGGAGAATGGTGGAGTTAGAGCAGACGTGCGAGGAGACGTTGACGAGGGTGAACGCGCTGTCCGCGGAGGTGGAGGCGTTGCGCGCCGAGTACGAAGAGTTGCGCGCGCGAAACGAAGAGTTGACGTCGACGCTCAGCACGCCCAGGGGTCCGCATCTCGACAGCGCGTCGAAGGAGTTTTTACAAAGTCTCTCGGGCGTCGACGGCTCGTTCACGGGGATGACGATCGACGCCAAAGGGTACGACGACGAGGCTTTCGCCGAAACGTTGAACATCGCGCGCGCGAGCTCGATGGAGCGCCTCTTCGACAGCGACGGCTTTTTCGTCTCGTCGCCGCGCATGGACGAATGAGAAAGGATCGTGACCCGTTCCTCAAACGCTCGTTCGATCGTAAATTAGTTTGTAATAGTCACTTAGAACACCATCGGCGAGCGTCGGCGCGCGGCCCCCCGCGCCGCACTGTTCGACTCGCCATGGCGGCGAGCGAACGTGAAGTCGACAGGACCGAGGTGTACCTCAGGTACCTCCCGCGCTCCGCCACCGAGGCGAGCGTTCGCGAGTTATTGAAAGACGCCGGCACCATCGAGCGCGTGTGGATGAGCAAAGACGCCCAGGGCGAGTGCAAGGGCTTCGCGTTCGTCAACTTTCGCAAAAACAAAGAGGCGCGCGAGTGCGTGCTGCGTTACAACGCGCATCCGAAAAACTATCTCGACGGCAAGCACGTCGTGATCGAACACGCCAAGGCGTGGGATGGACACGCGGAGAAGAAAATCGCGGCGTGCTCGTACGGATCGGCGTGCGCGAAGGCGGATTGTTGGTTCTCGCATCCGGCGGACTGGGCGTTCGCGAAGACGACGGGGACGAGGGCGAGCGGAGACGAAAAGGGAAGCGGGAAAAAGAGGGATAGCGGTGCGGCGGTGCGCGATGGAAAAGTGCGGAAGAAAGTGCGGTCGAAGACGCGCTTGGGGGCGAAGGCGAGACAGCGGGCGAAGAAGCGCGCCGAGAAGGAAGCGGCGGACGGCGGCGGCTGACGGCGAGGCGCCGAATCCGCGGCGCGAGCGCTCGCACCGTGCGAGCGAGGACGCGCACGAAATAGTAGTAGTTTTCAGTGTACTTGTACAATAATTACCGTCTGTCGTCATCGGTACGCTCGTCGCGGTTTCGCGATGGTCGCGGTCGCTCGTCCCGCTCGCGCGTTCGCCACAACGCGGCGCGAGCGCGTTCGCCGCGTCTCCCCCTTGAACCTCTCGCACCATGGGTATCTTGGAGCGAATCAAGGACATCGAGCTCGAGATGTCGCGCACGCAGAAGAATAAAGCCACGAGTTCGCACCTGGGCGCGCTCAAGGCGCGCCTGTGCAAGCTTCGGTCGGAGCTCTTGAACCCGCCGAAAGCGGCCGGAAGCGGCCCGGGCGAAGGTTTCGACGTCGTGAAATACGGGCACGGGCGCGTGGCGCTGATTGGATTTCCATCCGTCGGGAAATCGACGCTGTTGAGCCAATTGACGGGCACGGAGAGCGAAGCGGCGGCGTACGAGTTCACCACGCTGACGTGCATACCCGGCGTGATTCACTACAACGACGCGAAGATACAGCTTCTGGATTTACCTGGAATCATAGAAGGCGCGAGCGAGGGTAAGGGACGCGGACGACAAGTTATCGCGGTGGCCAAGTCGTCGGATTTGATTCTCATGGTGCTGGATGCGTGCAAGTCGGAGGCGGCGAATTCGCGATACGCGCACAAGGACATTCTCACGCGCGAGCTCGAAGCCGTCGGATTGCGGTTGAATAAAAAGCCGCCGGGGATTTACTGGAAGAAGAAAAAGGCGGGTGGAGTGCAGCTGAATTCCACCGTTCCTGGCGGGCTGACGAAAATTGACGAAAAGACGGTGATTCGGGTGTTGCAAGAGTACAAGATACACCACGCCGAAGTGCTGTTTCGAGAGGACTGCGACGTCGACCAACTCATCGACGTCTTGGAAGGGAATAGAAAGTACGTGCGCTGTTTGTACGTGTACAACAAGGTGGACGCGTTGACGATCGAGGAAGTGAACACACTTTCGCGACGACCAGATTCCGTCTGCATCTCGTGCTACATGAATCTTGGGATGGACTACTTGCTGAAGCGCGTGTGGGACGCCATGGGATTGGTGCGCGTGTACACGAAAAAGATGGGGACGAAGCCCGATTTCGAGGAGCCGGTCGTTCTGAGTGATTCTCGCGGTGGCATCGCGGTCAAACACTTCTGCGCGCAGCTTCACGCGGATTTGCCTCGGCAGCTCAAGTACGCCTTGGTCTGGGGCACGTCGCCGAAGCACTACGGCCAACGCGTCGGACTCAAGCACGACTTGGAAGACGAGGACGTGGTGCAGATTGTGAAGAGTGACAGGCACCACTACGAAGACGGCGTGGGAAGATTTAGCACGAAAAAACGAAACGATCCAGCTCGGATTCAAGATAGACAAAAGAAAGAGAAACTCAAAACTTAGATGTACAATAGATAGGCAAGATCATCAACGCAAATACTGTCGCTTCAACGCATTTTCCTCCGCCAGCGAAAGTCCTTTCCGTCCACCCAACGTCTTCGTGACGGCGGACAGCGTCTCTGCGTCCAAATTCGCCGCGACCGCGTACACGGGATCCGTGTCGACGTCGACTTCGACCAAGTCGCCTCCCTTCTTCAGCAATTTTGCGCAATCCGGCGACAAGTGACGGAGCGTGAGCGTCTTACCGCAGTTTCGGTACTTTTCCGCCAACTCATCGATGGCGACGAGCGCAGAAGAATCCCACACTTTGCTATGGGCGAAGTCTAGCACCACTCGATCGAGTTCCTCGTCGCGCGGATCGAGCTTGTCCGCGAAGCTTTGCACCGAACCGAAAAAGAGCGGTCCGTACAACTCGCACAGCGTCTCGGAGGAACTCGTTCGCGAGCGCACGACGTCGATGCGCTGAGAAGATTTCCAAGCGAAACCGAGCGCGGACAAGACGACGCCAGCGAACACGGCGACCGCCAAGTTTGTCACCACTGTGACGCCGGTGACGAGCAGCAAAACGACGGCGTCGGTCTTGGGAATCTTTTTCACTCGCGAAAACGACGTCCAATCGAAAATATCGAAAACCAAGCATAACATCGTCCCCGTTAAAGCGGCCATGGGAATGCGTTCGATGAACGAAGCGCCAAAGGTGACGTAACTTAAAATCGCGAGCGCGCACGTGATCCCGGCCACGCGCGTGCGACCACCGGAATTGACGTTGATCATCGACTGCCCGATCATGGCGCACCCGCCCATCGCCCCGAACGCGCCGTTCACCATATTTCCAACGCCTTGCGCGATGCACTCGGTGTGCGTCGCCGTCCGTCGCTCGGTGATGTCATCTACGAGTTGTTGGGTGAGCAAGGTCTCGATCAAGCCCACCGCGGCGACGGATAACGCGTAAGGCGCGATGACGGCGAGCGTTTCCAAGCTCGCCGGAACGTTTGGAATGTGAAACGACGGCAACGCCCCGCTCACGGGCGCGACGTCGCCCACCGTCTTCGTCGCGATTTTCATCACATTCGTCAGCGTCGCGCACGACGCGATGGCCAACAACGGCGCCGGAACACCCTTGGGCGCGAACGACGCCCTCGGCAGCAGTTTGATGAGCGCCATCGTAAACGCCGTGAGCCCGATCGTCGTCGCGAGCGTCGTCCCCGTCAGCCCGACGAACGTCTCCAGCTGCGACTTCCCGATCACGATCGCCAATCCATTGACGAATCCGATCATGCACGGCTGCGGCACGAGCCTGATGAATTTCCCCAACCGCAGCGCGCCGCACGCCGCCTGCGCCGCGCCCGCGAGCGCCACGCACGCGAACAAGTACTCCACCCCGTGCGACGCCACGAGCGGCGCGATCACCACCGCCGTCGCTCCCGCCGCGCCCGAGATCACCCCCGGCTGCGCGCCCAGCGCCGCCGTGCACAGCCCCATCAGCGCCGCCGCGTGCAAGCCGACGATCGGCGTCGTCCCCGCGACGAACGTGAACGCCAGCGATTCCGGCACCATCGCCAGCGACACCGTGATCCCGCTCAGCGCCTGCGTCGCCGCCTCGCGCGCGACGTCCGCGATCTCGCGTCCGTCGCGCGCCGTCGCGCGCGCCGTCGCCGTCGCGCGCGCCGGCGCCGTCGCGCGCGTCGCGCCCAACCGTCGGTCGCGCCCGCCGACGACGACGCGCGTCGCCGTTCGCGCGCGCGCGACGCGACGCGTCGCCGTCGCCGCCGCCGTCGCCGTCGTCGTCGTCGCCGTCGTCGTCATCGCGCGCGTCGCCGTCGCGCGTCGCCCCGCGCGTCGCGCGCGCGTCGCCCGCGCGACGAGTCGCACGCGGACGCGGCCGTTTTTTATCACACGGCGCAAACGTCACCTTAAATACGACGCACGGCGTCACGCGGTGGCCTCGCGCGCGGACCAGTCGCACACACGGACCAGTCGCACACACGGACCAGTCGCACACACGGACCACGCGCGGTCGATCGCGTCGCGTCGATCGCGTCGCGACGCGCGCGCGCAGACGCCCGCGCGACGCGCCGAGCGACCGATCGATCTCGAGCGTCTCGCGCGCGATGACGTCCGCGACGCACGGCGCGGCCTCCGGCGACGCGGTGGACGAACACGTCGACCCCGAGGACGCCATCGCGTTCGAGGACGCGCCGAGCGACGCGAGCGACGACGACGGCGACGCGAGCGAGCGGTCGTACGACAGCGATGCGGATTACGACGCGGCTGGGGATGGGGTGCGTTCGTGGCGACGCGGATTACGACGCGGCGCGCGATGGGAACGCGGGAAGAGAAGAGGATGGGGAGGGATCGAGATCGTGGAGATCCGCGGCGACGACGCGCGCGCGGTTGACCCGTTCGAACGCGCGCGAGCGACGACGAGGACGATCGAGGGATGGGCGATCGAGGGCGAGCGGGCGCGGGAAGAAAAAATGGGTGAGAGCGAAGACTGACGAGGACGCGCGCGCGATTCGCGACGCAGGGGGTGAAATCGCCGGTGAAGGAGGTGGCCAAGGCGGAGCGCGAGCGGCTGCGAGAGTTGAAGCGGCAACAGACGATGGAGCTCGAACGCGTGCGAGAGGATCAGAACAAGAAGATTGCGGGAGATAATAAGGCGGGGAAGTGGAAGTTTTTGTTGGCGCAAACCGAGGTCTTCGCGCACTTTTTGTCGGGGACGAAGGCGGCGAACGAGGCGGCGAACAAGGGCAAGCGCGGGCGCAACAAGAGCCACGCGGCGGAGGAGTCGGAGGACGCCGAGCTCGTGGAACACGCTGAGGATTACCAAGCGGTGCGTTTGACGTCTCAACCGACGTGCATTAAGTTTGGCAAGATGCGAGAGTACCAAATTGCGGGTTTGAACTGGATGATTCGATTGTTCGATCACGGCATCAACGGCATCTTGGCGGACGAGATGGGTCTCGGGAAGACGTTGCAGACGATTTCTCTTCTCGGTTACCTCGCCGAATACCGGGGTGTTACCGGACCGCACATGGTTGTCGTGCCGAAATCCACGCTCGGTAACTGGATGAACGAGTTTAAGCGTTGGTGTCCGATGATTCGCACGTTCAAGTTTCACGGAAACGCCGAAGAGCGCGAGGCGCAAAAGGCCAAGTTTTTGGTGCCGGGCGGTTTCGACGTGTGCGTGACGTCTTACGAAATGGTCATCAAGGAGAAGACTGCGTTGAAGAAGTTTCACTGGCGTTACATCATCATCGACGAAGCGCACCGCTTGAAGAATGAAAATTCTCGTCTTTCCATCGTCCTAAGAACGTTTTCGGCGAACAACCGCATGTTGATCACCGGGACGCCGCTTCAAAACAACCTTCACGAGCTCTGGGCTTTGCTCAACTTTTTGCTCCCCGAAGTGTTCGGTAACGCCGGTCAGTTCGATGAGTGGTTTGCGAACGTTGAAGACGGTGAGGGTGGTTCCGGTGCCGTCGTGTCTCAGCTTCACAAGGTTTTACGCCCCTTCTTGTTGCGTCGATTGAAGACGGAGGTCGAAACCAGCCTCCCGCCGAAGAAGGAGACAATTCTCAAGATTGGCATGACTGAGATGCAAAAAACGTTTTACAAGCGCATCTTGCAAAAGGACATCGACATTGTTAACAGTGGCGCGGATAGATCTCGGCTTTTGAATATCGTCATGCAGCTTCGCAAGTGCTGCAACCATCCGTACTTGTTCCAAGGTGCCGAACCGGGTCCGCCGTACATCACCGGGGATCACCTCATCGAGAGCTCGGGTAAGCTCGCGCTTTTGGACAAGCTTTTGCCTCGTCTCATGCAACGCGGCAGTCGTGTGCTGATCTTCTCTCAGATGACTCGTTTGCTCGACATCTTGGAAGATTACTTGATGTACAGAAACTACCAATATTGTCGCATCGACGGGAGCACGGATGGCGCCGTCCGCGAAGACCACATTGACGCCTTCAACAAGGAAGGTTCGGAGAAGTTCTGTTTCTTGCTTTCCACGCGGGCGGGTGGTTTAGGTATTAACCTCGCCACTGCGGACACCGTCATCATCTACGACAGCGACTGGAACCCGCAAATGGATCTTCAGGCGATGGATCGAGCGCACCGCATCGGTCAAAAGAAGGAGGTACAAGTGTTCCGCTTTTGCACCGACGGTAGCGTCGAGGAGAAGGTGATCGAGAAAGCGTACAAGAAACTCGCGCTCGATGCTCTCGTCATTCAACAAGGACGATTGCAAGAGAACAAGAAGAACCTCGGCAAGGATGAACTCTTGGCGATGGTTCGCTTTGGCGCCGAGAAGATTTTCGACTCGTCGACGACGTCGATCACGGACGAAGATGTCGACGCCATCATGGCTCGCGGTGAAGAAGAAACCAAAGCACTCAATAGCAAAATGCAAGGTTTCACGGAGAAGGCCATTCAGTTCTCTATGGGTGCCGAGAACTCGCTTTACGAATTCGAGGACGAAGACGACAAAAACGTCGCCGCGTTGCCAGAGGGCATTGACATGAAGACCATCATCAGCAGCAACTGGATCGATCCTCCCAAACGCGAACGTAAGAAGAACTACAACGAGTCTGATTACTATCGCAGCGCCATGGCGCAAGCGGCTCGCCCATCCAAGCCAATGGGACCGAAGATTGCCAAGCTGCAGCAAATGCACGACTTCCAGTTTTACAACACCGCGCGAATTCAAGAAATTTACGACAAGGATGTTAGACGCAAGACGTACGAATGGCAGAAAGACAAGAAGAAGGAGGAAGCTAAAGCTGCGCAAGATGAGGAGGCGCCCACTGAAGCGGAGGAAGACGATCCCAACGCGCCTCCGGCGATCACGGAGGAAGAAAAGGCTGAGCAAGAATCGCTCCTCTCTCAAGGTTTCACAGAATGGTCTCGCCGAGACTTCCAAGCCTTCTGCCGACTCAGCGAGAAGTACGGGCGCGAAGACGTGGAGTCTATTGCGAGTGAGATGGAAGGAAAGACTCTCAAAGAGGTCAAGGATTACGCCGCCGTATTCTGGAAACGTTACGAAGAGATTGCCGATCATCCGCGCATCATCAGCAACATCGAAAAGGGTGAACAAAAGATTCAGCGTCAACACGACATGCTGAAGGCTGTACGAGAAAAGATCGCCAAGTACAAGAATCCGTGGCGCGAGCTCAAGTTGACGTATGGTCCGAACAAATTCAAATCGTTCACCGAAGAGGAGGATAGGTTCTTGTTGTGCTCCATCCCCGAAGTTGGCTTTGGGAATTGGGACGAGCTCAAGGCGCAGATTCGCCAGCACTGGCAATTCCGATTCGATTGGTTCATCAAAAGCAGAACGCCAAAAGAGCTCGGTCGCCGCGTGGAGACTTTAATTTCTCTCATCGAGAAAGAGGCTCAGGACAGAGGCGACAAGAAGCGAGACGCCGAAGCCGAAGCCGAAGCCGACGGGAGCGCGCAGAAAAAGGTGAAGGTTGAAGCTGAAGGCGTGACCGCGTAGGAAATGATGCGTTTACTTACTTAGCGAGTGTCCGTTTAATTGAAAATACATTGAAAACGCGAAACATGCGACGATTTATCGACGGATGGCGATATCCATGATGGTGGCCGGACTCGACGGCAACGGCATGACGTCTTCGGCTTCAAAACCGCCGATGACGCCCGCTCGCCCGCCGCCAATCTTGGGCGCACGCACGGGCGACTTGAGTTGCTTTTCGAAAAGTAAGCACTCGCCAAACTCTATCGAACGATCGGACGTGGCAACCTTCGGCGGCGGGGTATTCGCCACGTGGTTGGCTTGCACCAAGCGAGCCGCCTTGTGAGCGACGCCTTGAGCGCGTTGCACGCCGGTGTTGGTGAGCTTGCCGAGCGCCGCGCGCGTGGGCGTCGTCGCTCTGTGAGGCGAGGCGACGGGTTTGACGCCCGTCACCTTCTTCACCTTCTCCTCGCGAGTCTTTTTGACTACACGTCCACTGTTGGCGAGCATCAACAAGCGCGTCGAATCCGCCACGGCGAGGCGCGGATTGTATTCCCACTCGCACTCCTCCAAGCGAACTTCTTCGTGCACCTTCGCCGCTCTCGGAGCTTCGGGAGGAATGACCTCAATCGTCACTTCGTTATCCATATCACTCACTAACCCGATGACTTCGGCCAAGAAATCTTGCGGACTCTTCTCCCGATACGTCACCAACTCGTCGCGCCATTTTCGCACCACCAATTGATGTCGTTCCGTGGCGTTGTTCAAATCATTCTTCAACACCGTCACCGAATCTCTCAACTCCATGTTCTCAACCTTCATATTCGCCTTCGTTCTCTCCATCTCCTCGAGCACGCGTTCGATCGCGTTCTTCTCCCGCATCGCCGCCTCCAGCTTCTCCTCCGCCGCGTTCGCCTTCGCGTTCACCTCCTCCAGCAATTTCGCGATCCCATCCACGCGTTCCTTCGCCGCCGCCGCGCGTCGCGCTTCGTCCTCAAACATCGATCCCGACATCTTTTTCATCGCGTTTCGCTTCACGTTGATCACCACCGTCCCCAGCGTCGCCGCGCCCAGGACGAACACCGCCACCATCGCGGGGGAACAAAGAAACGTCGATTGATTTCACCGGCGTTCGATTTCACCGCGCCGGCGTCGCGTCGATCGCACCGCGCGCGCGTCGCGTCCCTCGCGCGGCGCGTTCGCGCGTCCGTCCGTCCCTCGCGCGTCGCGTCCGCGCGTCCGGTCGTCGCGCGCCGTCGCGTCCGCGTCTGCCGCGCGCGACCGGTCGCGCGTCGGCGCGTTCGTCCCGTCGGGGACTCGACGAGTCGCGAACCGCGCGCGTGGGGTCGTCGGGACGAATCGGTCGGTCGCCGTCGGATGCGCGCGATGATGATGCGGCGCACCGCGGCGCGCGCGGCATGGGCGCGGACGACGACGGTGACGCGCGCGACGGCGACGCGCGCGCGGCGCTGGCGACGCTGACGAATTACGAAAAGCTCGGACGCATCGGCGAGGGGACGTACGGGGTGGTGTACAAGGGACGGTGCAAGACGACGGGCGACGTCGTGGCGCTGAAGAAGGTGCGCATGGATCGCGAGCGAGATGGGATGCCGCTGACGTCGCTGCGCGAGGTGAGGATACTGCAGCGCGTGCGACACGAAAACGTCGTGCGGTTGCTGCGGGTGATTCAAGGGGACGCGCTGAATAACGTGTTTCTGGTGTTTGAGTATTGCGAACACGATTTGGCGAGGCTGATCGATAACGTCAAGACGACGTTGACGACGAGTGAGGTGAAATCGCTGATGACGCAGACGCTGCGAGCGGTGGAGTACCTGCACGAGAGGTTCATCTTTCATAGGGATTTAAAGCTGAGCAACTTGTTGCTCAACCAACGCGGGGAGTTGAAGCTTTGCGATTTTGGTTTGGCGCGAACGTTCGAACCGATCGATAGAGGGAGTTACACGCCAAAAGTGGTGACACTTTGGTATCGCGCGCCGGAGCTGCTGTTCGGGTGCGACACGTACACGAGCGCGATCGATATGTGGGCCGTCGGTTGTATATTCGCCGAATTTCTCAAGCACGAGCCCTTGTTTCCGGGCTCGACGGAAATCGAGCAATTGAACATGATTTGCGCTTTGCTCGGAAGCCCGAACTCACACATTTGGCCTGGATGGGACGCGTTACCGCACGCGCGCAAGTTCAAGTTGCCCGAGCAACCGTACAATTTTCTTGAGATTAATTTTCCAAAACTCTCCGCCGCGGGCGTCAACTTGCTCGATGTGTTACTGACGTTTGATCCGGAGAAGAGAGGGACGGCGACGGAGGCGTTGGCGCATCCTTTCTTTCAAGAATCGCCTCCTCCGAAACCACCGGCGGAGATGCCGACGTATCCTAGCACGCACAGCGCTCCGGAGAGGGGCGCCGAGCGTAGAAACGCGAAGCGGTCTCGCGGCGCGCTCGACGAGCGCATCGGTGCGGTTTTCTAGAATCATAGCGATTAGATAGTATTAGTTGCAGCGTACACGCGGTTGTGATCGTTACAAACGCCTGAGCGAATTTACTATGAAGCAGGCATGCTTGCGGCGCGCGCTAAGAGAAGGAAAAGCTCCCTCATCGGTGAATAAAACAAAAATCCCGACGGGCGACGGACCATCATCGCTTTTATTTACGCCTTGTAGCCAGACGTGGTGATGCTGTCAGCGCTGTTCATATCACTCCAGAGCGTGTGATACCAGCCTTCCATGTCGGTGCGTTCGTACGTGTGCGAACCGAAGAAGTCACGCTGCGCTTGCACCAAGTTTGCCGGCGAGCGCGCGCGGCGGTAAGTGTCAAAGTACGCGAGAGAACCGCTCATGGACGGCACGGAAACACCGGCGTTGATGGCGGCGGTGACGACGCGACGCCACGAAGCTTCGCGTTCGATCATTTCCTTGGCGAACTGCTCGTCAACGAGAAGAGACGGGAGCTTGGAGTCTCGGTCGTAAGCGTTCTTGATGCGGTCCAAGAAGCCGGCGCGAATGATGCAGCCGCCCTTCCAGATGCGCGCCATTTCGCCGAGGTTCAAGTTCCAGCCTTGCTCGTTGGACTTGGCGCGAATCAGGTTCATGCCTTGGGCGTAGGAAGTCACCTTGGAAGCGTACAGAGCATATCGCACGTCGTTGATGAGTTGCTTTTTGTCCGCCGGGCCCATGGCGCCGGCGGGTGCCAAGCCGAGCTTGGCGTAAAACGCCTCGGCGTTGACGCGTTCATCCTTCAATCCGGACAAGCATCGGGCGTCAAGAGAGCTCGCGATCGTCGGCGCAGCGATGGACAATTCCGCGGCTTGCTGCACCGTCCACTTTCCAGTGCCCTTCATGCCAGTCTTGTCGAGGATCTTGTCCACCAAAAAGTCGTCGCTCTTGCCAGACTGGTCGTCCTTCTTGGCCAAAATGATGCTGGAGATCTCGATGAGGTACGATTCCAACTCCGCCTCGTTCCATTCCGTGAACGCAGCCGCGAGTTCATCGTTCGTCAACCCGCCGACGGTTTTCAACACGTCGTACGCTTCGGAGATGAGTTGCATGTCGCCGTACTCGATGCCGTTGTGCACCATCTTGACAAAGTTCCCGGCGCCTCCTGGGCCGACGTACGTCACGCACGCCCCCGAATCGGTCTGCGCGCTCACGGGCTTTAAGATATCAGCGATGATATCGTACGCTTCCTTGGACCCACCCGGCATCATGGACGGTCCGTTGCGCGCGCCCTCCTCGCCTCCGCTCACGCCCATGCCGACGTACAGCAATCCCTTCTCCGCCGCCTCCTTCGATCGTCGTTCGGTGTTTTCGTACCACTCGTTCCCACCATCGATGATGCAATCTCCAGGTTCGAGAAACTGCGACAATCCCGCGATCGTGGCGTCCACGGGCGCGCCCGCTTTCACCAAGATTATCACGCATCGCGGCTTCGCCAGCGACGCCACGAAATCCTTCATCTCGTGATACCCTCGCAGTTTCGCCCCCAATCCCTCCTTCTTCGCCCGTTCGACGCACACGTCCGTCTTATCGCTCGATCGATTGTACACCGAGATGTCGAATCCCTTCTCCGCCACGTTCAGCGCCAGGTTTTGTCCCATCACCGCGAGTCCGCACAGCCCGATCCGCGACTTTTCGCCCGCCCCGTTCGCCGCCGTCGCGCGCGCCGTCGCCGTCATCCCGCGTCGTCGTCCCGCGCGCGTCGTCGCTTCGCGTCTCCGCGCCGCCGTCGTCGCGTTCGTCGTCGCCGATCTCGCCGCGCACGCCATGGCCGCGTCGCGCAATCGCAATCGCGCGCAATCAATCAATCAAATCAATCAATCGCGCCGCCCGGCCGTTAGGCCCGCTCGTTACGAGACAGCCTGTCGCGTCGCGCGCGCGGCGTGCGGGGTCGTTCTCGAGTCACGATCGGTCGAATGGGCGCTCGAAAGCGCATCTGGTGGCGTGCGCACACATCAAACATCCATCCGCACCGTCCGCACCGCCTGGACGTCGTTAGGGATTCCGAGCCCTCGAATGCGTCTCGAGACGACGTAAAAACGCAAAAACGCGGGCCGTCCGTCGGTCGGTCGGTCGCCGCGCCCGTTGACGCCGCGGCCGTCGACGCGCGCGACGCGACGACGCGACGACGCGACGCGCGCGCGGCGTCGACGGCGATGGTGCGGTTCGCGACGGCGCGCGCGCTGGCGATGGCGGTCGCGCTGGCGATCGCGGCGACGCGCGTCGACGACGCGCGCGCGACGACGACGACGCCGCGGGTGTCGAGCCAGGACGCGACGCGGTTCGGGACGACGCCGACGGGGCGGACGGGGAGCGCGAGCGGGACGTTCGCGGCGACGGCGACGACGAGCGCGCGGATGGTGGTGTTCGGCGGACGGGAGCTCGCGACGGGACGGGACGCGAACGACGTGTGGGAGTACGACTTGAGGTGGAACGCGAGCGCGGGGATTTACGACGGGATGTGGACGCGATTGCACGAGGGAGGGACGGGGGGGGGGGCGAAACCGCGCGGGAGGAGTGGGGCGAGCGCGTGCGCGCTGCGCGGGAATCTGTACGTGTTCGGAGGGTACGGGGGGGGGGTGGGAGATTTCGACGATTTGTGGGTGTTTAACCGCGCCGCGGGACGGTGGAGCGCGATTTCCCCGGTGGGCGGGACGAGACCGCCGAGGCGAAGCGGGGCGGCGACGACGACGCCGCACGGGGAACAGGGCGCGGCGTGTCTCGTGTTCGGAGGGAACGGTATGAATGACGTGTGGGAGTTTAATATCGACACGAACGCGTGGAGTTTGGTGCGAGACAATACGGCGACGACGAGCGCGGGGGGGGCGACGCTCGCTCCGCGCGTCGTGGTCGTCGCATCCACGCTTTTAGCTGCAGCGTTTGCGATGTAACTAAACTGTACTCTGTAAATAATAGCGCTACTCTTCGAGACCGAGCGCGCGCACGACGGCCGCGGTGTCGCTCAAATCGTCAAAAATAATCGGATCGTCTAATTTCGAGCTCGCCACGAGCTCTTCTTTGGAAAATATTCCAGTGAGCAGCCCGATCGCCGTCGCCCCGGCGAACTCAGCCGCCTTGACGTCCGCGGGCGTGTCGCCGAAATGAAACCGTTTTTCGGCGCGCACGCCCAAATATTCCTTCGTCCTGTTCGCCGCAATCGCAACGAGCTCACCTCGATCGGTGTGGTCGCTCCCGAAACCTCCATACCGCGGAGCTGTGAAGAACTCGTCGATCCCCAATCGTTGCATCTTCGCCCAGCCTATGGGCTCCAGATTTCCGGTGACGAGACACACGGCGACGTCGTCCCTCGCGGCCAATTTTTCCAAAAGCGCTCTGACGCCAACCAACAACTCAAGGCCTTCCGCCGCGTCTGCCTTCTTTTCCACCGCGTATCTTGACATCGCCGCCGTGCATTCATCCATGCGCTCGTAAATCACTTCCTCCGGCACGCCGTGAAACCGCGCCACCGCGGCGACGATGAGCATGTCCGTCGACCCGTGATGTTGTACCACGTCGATTCCGCGCGCGTCGTCGATGCCGTAGACCTCGAGTAACCCGTGCGCGAACGCGTCTTTGTGGAACTTGTTCGCGTCGGCTCCAGAGGCGCGAATTAACGTGCCGTCGACGTCGAACGTGGCCAGGGTGAGCGGGACAGCACTCGAGGTCGACATGTTCGCGCGCGCGCGCGCGGCTCGTGCGAGTGGTGTCGACGGCGTCGACGCGCGTGCGAAGTGAGGTTGGATGCGCGTTCGTTCGATGGCGTCGAGTCTGACGACGTGCATGGACTCGCGTCGGCGAGTGCGTCGAGTCGTGAGTCGTTCTGGCAACTGTTTCGGCGGCGACGGCGAGCGTTTAGTTCGTGCTTGATTATTTACGTTCGAGAGCGCGGACAACGATGAAAGAGAGATAAAATCATGCCGCGGAAGACGCGACGATTGCGTTCGCGAGACGCGAGAAATCAACCTTGGCGTCGTTGGATAAGACTTCGAAGTTGAGACCGGTGGAGTGAAGCGCTTCGATGTACGGGTCGCCGCCGGCGACACCGGGGGTGAGCACGCCGCCCCTGAAAGGGAGTTTTTCGCGATATTCCGAGCACAGAATCGCGAGTTCGATAGCCATGTGTGCGGTTTCGTCGTAACCATCCTTGCCGGTCAATCGAGTACGAATCTTTTCGCCTTCGGGCGTGACGGCGTCGAACCAGTATTCAGACCAAATGGAATCGCGCGCAGACTCGTCGAGACCTTCGCCCAATTTGAATAATCTACCCTCCTTGCGCAGCTTCTCTTCCTCGGCCTTCGAGCTTGTGTTCGAGCTTTGTAAATCTCTTGCCGATTTTTCCGTCGGCAGGATGAGATGTTCGAGATAGTTTAGGTTGCGACCGTACGGAAACCGTCCGAGATCACGAAGGAGCCAATTCGCTCGACGAATCAAGCGAGTCTCATAGAAGGCGTACGTGAACGGTGCTTTCCACGCGTCGTAGTCCGGGTCATACTCAACTTGACTCAAGTTACGATCGGCGTCTTCGGGCCGGCTACCGCCTTCGATTGAGCCTCCGAGCGCGAACGGGTTCGCCATCAAACCGGCGACGTCCTTCATCGCCGCCGTCATCGCGGCTCGAGTCGCAAGCGTCCCCCCAGATGGAGCCCCACCGGCGCTACCATAGAGATACATGTGCATCTTGCTCACTGGTACATCCTTGCCGATTCTTTTGCGAAGCTCACGAACGGTGTAGAAGCACCCGACGTCCGGAATGCCACCGGCGCCCGCGGCGTTTGGGACGACGAGAACATTATTCGCCTTGGCCCAGTCGTGATACTTGATGAGCTTCTTGGTGAACGGTACTTCGCCGTTGACGTCGACGTAATCCGTATCGTACTCTATACAAGCTTCGGCCTACGTCGAGTTGAGGGAAACGCGGTTGTCCGTCAGTCATCGAGTCGTCGTGAAAATAGTAGTCTCAACGCGCTCGCGCAAAAGTCACGTCGCGCACACGCGCACCAACATATCCGCGGGCGTGAGCATGAAAGGTCCGGCGATGTTCACCACGACTCTGGCCTGGAGAACCATCTCACGAATCGCTACTGGATTTGCCAAGTCGCACGTAATGAATCCGGGTTCGTACTCCGTCGGATATCTCGACGTCACATCTGCCCAACGCTTGCGTAATTTCGCCTCGTTTCGCCCCGCGAGCGCAAACGTCACGCGGCTCCCGAGATTCTGCACCGTCTTAAGGATATACTCCAAGCACAGCGACCCCGTGTACCCACTCGCGCCATACAAGATGAATGAATACTCTCGTCCCGCTCGAAACGTTCCCCCACCGAATTCGCTTATGAAAAACTTGTCCAATTCTTCCTCTGTGAGCGCCTCGTACTCGTCCTCCACGCGCGTCTTGTCCCCTCCAAAGAATTTATCCGCGAGCTTGCGCACGATGATCGGCTTGGACAACAAGGATTTGATGAACGCGTGTGGAGGTTCATCGAACCCATCGACGATGCCGTAATCGCTCTCCATTCAGCGTCGTCGTCGCGTGTCTCGAACTTGTCGTCGCGTTGGATTGGAGTGGATTCACCGAAGAGGCGCACCCTTTGCGCGTTCGGGACGCGCGTCGATCGCTTCGTACTCGCGTCTCCGCACCCTCGTGCGCGACGGCGTGGGATGGACGCTCGTGCGCGTTCGCGTCGAGGTGTGCGAACGTCCGAGCTCGCGCGCGCAAGATTTTGACCGACAAGACGTCGTGGGACGCACGAAATAACGCATTTTTCGAGCGTTTTCTCTCGCTAACACACCGCTAGGCTAGACGTGTTTAAATATCGCGAGTATTTAAGACGCGAACGCGAGGTCGAGCTTGCGCGCCAAGGCTTGGAGCCAAGAGCGATCCTTTTTGCTAAAGCCGCGCGAGGCATCGCTCCAAGCGATGAGCACGCCGCCGTTCTCGGGCGATCGACGCGCGAAGACGGTTTCGGCGGTGGGCGGAAGGAAGCCCCAAACGTTGGCGCCCGCGCGATCAATTTCCCAACGACTGGCGTGATATTCTTCTTCCGCACTCGGCGGCGCGCTCGAAGCGATTTTATCCGTTCCAATCGTCGATGAAACCTCGCTCCAAGCCCGACCGACGCGCGCCAAGACGTCGGCTTTGTTCGAGTCTGGGGCGCCGTCGTCCCGCCCGCGCACCGTCCCTCGTGCGAGCCGCGCGTTCCCTCGCCCATCCACGAAAACGACCCCACTCGCGAGTGTGTTCGTCAAAATCGCATACGACGCCCACGCGCAGTCCTCCTTGGCGCTCTCGCTCGCGTCTTCGCTCAGCGCGAACACCGAACTCGCGCCGTCGACATCCGCGTTCGACCTCCCCTTCGCCGCGCCCCCCCGTTCGTCACCTTTCAGCGCTCGCCCGAGCTCAGGCGCCAGCGCGCACGCCAAACACAGCCCAACGCCCACGATTTCACTCCTCGCCAGCGCATCCGACGCCCCATCGGTACCGGCGGCGAATCTGTTCGCGCAAAGCCCGAGCGCCCCGAGCGCGCCCACCGCGCGCGGTATGTCCTCGTCGTCGAACCCTGGGATCCCGAGCGTGAATCGAAATATCGCAAACTCGTCCTCGTCCTCCACCGCGCGCGTCCGCACGTCGATTCGCGCGCGCGCGCGCGCGTCAGAGCGTCGTCTCGCGCCGTCTCGAAGTCCAACTCGCGCGCGTTCGTGCGCCCCGCGCGACGTCCTCGCGCACGCCGCGTCGCCCGCGGGCGATCGACACGATCGCATCGTTCGCGCGCTCGCGTCCGTCGTCGTCGTCGATCGCGCGCTCGTCGCGCGCGCGTCGCTGTGTCGACGCGACCGCGGTTCGGGCGCGCACACCGCGACGCGTCGGTCAACGACGTCGCGCGTCGTCCATGGCGAGCAGCGCCGCGCAAGCCGCGCGGGCGCGACGCATCGATGCGCTGGTCGATCGTTTGATCGAACAAAACGTCGCCGTCGCGCGCAGACCGACCGGGGAGGACGGAGACGACGAAGACGATGACCCGGCGGTTGGAAATTTTAAACTCTGCAAAAGATATTGCGATTATCACCTGCGCGTGCACGCGTACAAGGCGCTGAGCGAGGACGAGGTGAGAGAAGAGATTGATGAATTACGCCGACGGATGGAGGCGATGGCGCAGGACGCGAAGGCGGCGACGTTGGGGAGGAAGATGGAGGCGCTGCGGGAGCGGTGGCGCGGCGGCGAGGACGAAGACGTCGGGACGCGGGTGGCGTTGATGCTGTTGCGGTTGTCGAGACGACCGATGACGACGACATTGGATGAAATGAGTGATGGGGGTGCCGTGAGCGTCGGGGCGTTCGATGCGTTGTCGAGTGAGGACGCGTACGCGTTTGAGGACGCGAGCGATGCGGCGGGCGCGTTTGGCGAAGCGTACGACGACGAACACGACGCGAGTGGTGCATCGACGCTGTCTGAATGGTCAGACGATGATAGTGATGATCAATCGGATGGTAGAGATGGTGGCAATGATGGGTTGGTCGAGGGGTACGCGAGCGAGGGCGACGATCCCGGATTTTCGTGGCGTGACGGCTTACTCGGAGACTGTGTGCCTCCAGAGACTTCGACAGAGACGAAAGATTTGGGCAAAACGGCTTCAGCAGCACCCGAGTTAGAGTATATTTCAGAAATAGTCGCGCAGACGAGACAGTTTCAGAGCGTGCTGCGAGATTCCAACGTTCATCGAGGCGACGAGAGATTAATCGCTTCGATTGCGGCGAAGAATTTACAGAGCGAAACAAGCTTGGTACAAGAAGCTCTGCACGCCCTTCGTAGTGGAAGCGTGGAGCTAGATCGTGTCACGTTACCTCACGTGTCTTGCATGACTCTCGATGGCGCTTTGATCTCAATTCGTCGTATGGCGTCGGTGCTGACTCGCTTGAAAGAGATGAAACAGACTTCTTTGGCGCTCGGACCGACGATTCAGGCGTTCACTCAAGCGCTTGATTCCCGAGCGCAGTGGATTAAGAGTACGCTCGTTCCTCTTGAAAAGCGTCTGGCTGGTGAATCCACGATAAGAGGCCAACCTACGCTACTAGAGCTTAGAACGACTGTCCGCCGGCTCGAAGCCAAAATCGACGCGCTTGAGCGCTGCGCCCTGACTGCGTTTCCTCATGAAGGGACGCCCGCTGCGGAAGCTGCGAGTCATTGTCTGACAACCGTGTATGAACTCGCAGTGGAACACCAAGCAACTGCAAATATCCATGGTTTCGCAGTCACGATGCCAATATTTGTGGATACAATTCAACCGTACCTTCAAGGCTTGCAACGCTGGCTCGCGTTTGGGATCTTAGACGATCCAGCTGAGGAGTTATTCATCGCCAAAGGCCGAGCTATTGATGATTTCGTCGGAAGTAAAGAACATTGGCTTCACGGCCACGTCCTTCGCCACGACATTGAGACGCCGTGCTTCTTTCGGGAGTTTATGTTGGATATTTTAGACGTCGGTCGCTCGCTCGAGTTGTTGCATCACACTGAAAACGAGACGTCTCAAAAAGTACCAACCTTGGACGTACACTTGATCGATTCGTTTTGTTTCCATTTACGCAAGCATTTGAGCGCCATACACGCCTCGCCTGAGACCTTCGGTGGCGACGACGCTAGTGAGCGTGCGAGAGCACTCGTCGATGGTGTCAAAGTCAACACGAGCGGGCTGAACAACATCTTCGAAACTCCCACTTCGCTTGTCGGTATCAGAAATGTGAACACAGACGTGGTGCGAGACATGATTTTATCTCGACCGACTCGTATCGTTCCGACACGTCGAGTTCGATCGAAGACGGCGCTCCAAGGAAGCGCCTCAACGCTCAACGCTTGGCTCGATGAATTTTTGACGACACAAGTTCCCTCTTGCCCAATCAGTCTCGCCGTCCAGCAGTCCATCGGTGTGCACATTCTCAAGCGTGCTAAAGAGGTCCAAGTGGTCTTATCAAGGTCGTTACGAGATAGCTTGGACATTAAGAAGGAGCTCTACGCACTGCGCGCCGTCTTCCTTGGCGGCGCTGGCGACGCGGCGATGCACTTCTTTTCAGCCATCTTCGGCATTCTTGACGACCCGGATAAGATCAACGCCAAGTGGAATAGTACGACGCTGAACGAATTACTTAGTGATGCGTTCGCGGCTGACAACTCGGGTGAATTCCCCGAATGTCGAGGTGTGCAAGTTGAAATCATCCCCGAGGCGGAAGAAAATATTTTTTCGCGCGTCGTCATCGGCACCGGAGCTCTGGAAAAGATTGCCTCTCTTCGATATAGTTTCGACGTTAAGTGGCCGCACAATATCGTCATTCCTCCAAGTACGATGGCACAATACAACGCAGTGGCTGTGTTTCTCGGACAACTTCGCCGCGCGCACACCGCGATGCAGTCCGTTGCGACGGCGCGGTGGTCGGAGCACATTCGTTGCGCTCGAGGGAGCGGTATGGGTGGCGCAAAAGCTCGTCATCTCGAGCCTCGATTGCGACACTTTATCACGTCTCTCCGCGATCACGTCATCGTACGAATTTTGCACGTCGACTGGGACGTCTTGATGAAGAAAATCGATGACGCCATGACGCTCGAAGCCATTCGCGCGGCGCACGACGAGTTTTTACAGGACGCCACGAAGAGGTGTTTGGTTTCCCCGGATCCCACGTGGACTTTGGTGGCGGAACAAATCCGAACCATACTCGCCGTGGCGTGCGAGTACGCGGCGTGTCAAGCAGGTGACGGGGCGGTATCGGAAGAAGACGCGATGAGGTTATCGAGCGCGTTTGAGGAAGCGTACGGATACATCGAACGCGTGCTCCAAGCCAAGCTCGATATTGGCTCGGCGTCCACGCGGGACGTCGAGGATTTGCTTTACGCGATCAAGCTTTAGTTTTAGACGTAGCAAAGCGCATTCTTTAAAAATAGTAGTAGTAGCAGCAGTTCTAAGCCCCCGCGGCGTCGAGAAGTGCTAGAACGCCCTCGTAAAACACTGGCTTCGGCGCGCCTTCAAAGAGAGGTTCTCCCTCGCGCGCCGCCGGCTTCTTCTTCGTCGCGCGCCAGTTATCGAACGCCGCGCGATTTTCCCACACCGTGTACGTCGAGTAGTTGTACCCATCGTCCGGCGTCACCGCATCGCGACGCAAGAGTAAAAACGTCGTGAAACCTGGCATCTCTTTAAGCTCGGACTCGCGCTCGGCCCACTGTTTCTCGAAAGCCGCCTCTTTGCCCGGGCGAACCTTGAAACGATTCATCGCCACGAACACGTCGGCATCGATTGGATTCTTACCGTCAGCGGGGATTTGTCGCCATCCGTCTTCGGCTTGCCACTTTCTCGAGTTCTCCGACGGCGCCGCGGAGAGCGACAACAACCCGTCGTAAAACGCCGGCTTCGGCCCGCCCTTCAAAATCATAAGCGAGCTCACCAACATGGACATGAACCCAAAAATCGTACCACCCCCGTGCGCTTCCTTAAACGCGTCACCCTTGCGCCAACCATCGAACCCATCCTTGGTCTCCCAGATCGTAAAACTCACGTAGTTTGCCTCGTCTTCGTCGTACGTCGTCGCGACGTCGCTCGGCGGTTCCACTCGTCGCATCAGCGTGAAGTACCTAAATCCCGGCAGCTTGGCCAATCGGCTCGGTCGTTCGGCCCATCGCTTTTCAAACGCCGGTCCCTTCCCCTCCTGCACCCGAAATCGATTGCTCGCCACGTATCGCTCGCGCTTCAGTTGGTCGTCCGACACCGTCAGCGTTCCGACTTCATCCATGATGTCCGCGCTCGCGCGCGTCGTCGTTCGCCGCACCGCGCGTCGCGTCGTTCGCGTCGTTCGCGCGTCTCTCCCCGTCTTCGCGCTCGCGCCCGCGAACGCCGTTCGCCGCGCCGCGATCGCCATCGATGAATCGAATCCAATCCAAATCAAATCAAATCAATCGCGCGTGACGTCGCGCGTCGCCGTGTGGCGTCGCGGTCGCGGTCGCGCGCGGAGGGGACACATCACGGCGCATTCGCATCCTTCAATGCGCGACGAGAGGGCGTCTCGACGATCGCTAAAAATAATCGAGGATTCAGCCTGAACCCCAGGATGAACCCCAGGACGATCCCGCGTCGCCCAGTCGTCGGTCGGTCGGCGCGCGCGCGGGGCTGTCGTCCGCAGTGCGTCGCGTCGCGCGTTCGGCGCGGGGTCTCGAGATGGCGCGCGAGGGCGACGCGACGGCGACGAGAACGAAAACGAAAACGCCGCTCGTGAATCCCTTCCTCGGCGGCCTCGCCGCGAGCGCGTTCTCGGCGTCGTTCGCGGAGTTTTGCACGATTCCTCTCGACACGGTCAAGGTGCGACTGCAGCTGCGAGGCGCGAGCGCGACGGCGACGGCGACGACGCGCGGCCGGGGCGCTGGGATGCTCGGAACGATGCGCGCGGTGGCGGCGGAGGAGGGGATCGGGGCGCTGTGGAAAGGAATCACCCCGGGGATCCATCGCCAGGTGCTGTTCGGCGGCTTGCGCATCGGGTTGTACGAACCCGTGAAGACGTTTTACGTCGGCGAGGAACACGTGGGGGACGTGCCCTTGCACCTGAAAATCGCGGCGGGGCTCACGACGGGTGGGATTGGGATAATGGTGGCGTCGCCGACGGATTTGGTCAAGGTTCGCATGCAAGCGGAGGGAAAACTCGCGCCGGGGACGCCGAAAAAGTATCCAAGCGCAGTCGGGGCGTACGGCGTCATCGTCAGGCAAGAGGGCCTCGCCGCGCTGTGGACGGGATTGACGCCCAACATCATGCGTAACTCGATTGTTAATGCCGCCGAGCTCGCGTCGTACGATCAGTTCAAGCAAAGTTTCTTGGGCGTGGGGATGAAGGACGACGTCGTCACGCACATCGCCTCGGCGTTGGGCGCGGGATTCGTCGCGTGCTGCGTCGGGAGCCCGGTGGACGTGGTTAAATCGCGAGTGATGGGAGATAGCACGGGTAAGTACAAAGGTTTCGTCGATTGCGTCACGAAGACGCTCGCAAACGAGGGTCCGATGGCGTTCTACGGTGGGTTCTTACCCAACTTTGCCAGACTCGGGGGCTGGAACGTGTGCATGTTTCTGACGCTCGAGCAAGTGCGCAAATTGATGCGCGACAACAACATCATGTGACGCGACTCAAATTCGTAGTCCGAGTTATGTCGTAAGAATATATAGCCAGCTTAGCGCGACATCCAAGCGTTTGCGCGCCACCGACGCGCGCGTCGTCGTCTCGCCCGCGCGTCGTCGACTCGTTCGAGGTAAAATTCCAACCGAGTACGCATCGTGTTACAACCCACTACTCATCTCGAAATTCGTCTTCCTAAAAGAACTCGCCCTACTCTTCCCCGCTAAAAGAAACCACGTCGCGTTTACGCAGCGACCTTCTTTTTCGCCTCCGTACCTTCCCGGAAACCATTCTTAAATCTTCTGGGCAAGGTCTTCAAGTAGCGCATGCGGCCGGTACCCGTGGTCTTGCGGCCGATCGCCTTCACGCTCCAGTTGTCTGTGCGTTGAAAACAAGGAAAGGTCAGTCACCAATCTCGCGCGCTTCGAGCTCTCGCTCGCCGTCGCGCGTCGCGAGACGCCACGTCTCGCGGCGCTCGTCGCCCGCGATCGACGCTCCGCCGCGATCGAGTCGAGTCGACTTCGCATCGTGCACACGTACATGAACGCGTCCGCGCGGACGGATACCCGCAGGCCGCGCACGTAGACTTTTGAATGTGGTACGATCGCTTCCCGCATCTGCGCGCGCGAACGACGCGTCGGCGTCGCGTCGTCGTCGTCAGTCGTCGTCATCCCAAAGCCCTACTAGGGTCACCGTCGTCTTCCCGCGTCGTCGCCTCCCTCGCGTCGCGCGCGTCGTCTCGAGCGCACACGCACCGTCGGCACAGAGTGTGCGATTTGTTACGTCGGGAACCGAAGGACCCGGTACCTTTTCCTTTCTTACCCATGTCTCGTCGCTCGCGTCGCGTAAAGAGGTCGATGCGACGGGGCGAGGGCGAGGGCGTGCGCGCGCGATCGGGCCGTGGTGTCCGTGTTTGTGATCAGTGTTTAAGACTTATGACGACGCGCACGCGCGCGTCTCTTGGGCGCGCATTTACGCGTTGTACGCGATTTCGAACGCGCGTCGACCGACCGCGACCGACGACCGACCGACCGACCGACCGCGGTCGTTGCCGCGCGCGAACGATTGGGATTGCTCGACGCGCGCCGACGCGCGAGCGCGCGCGATGGGCAGGCGGATGAAACTGCTCGGGATCGAAGGCGGAGGGACGACGTGGATCGCGCGCGCGATCGAGATCGACGTCGAGGGCGGTGCGAGCGTGAGCAGCGCGTCGAGCGCGCGAGGGGAGGAGCATTTCAACAAGAGGGACGGCGGGCGGGAACAGAGGTTTGAGACGACGACGCCGGAGGAGACGCTGCGAACGATACGAGAGTGGATCGAAATCAACGCGTGGGACGCGGATGCGATCGGGGTGGCGACTTTCGGGCCGTTGGAGCTGAATCCAGATAAAGACAAGTACGGATACATCACGACGACGCCGAAGGCGGGGTGGCAAGACGTCGACGTCTTGGGCAGTCTGTTCGGGAAAAAGGACGCGACGGAGGAGGAGGAAAGGGCGTGGCGAGGACGCGCTCGATTGCACACGATCGATCAGGTGCCTTTGGCGTTTGAAACGGACGTCAATGCGCCGGCGATGTTGGAACATAGGGCGTTGAAACACGAGTTGAAACACGTCCATCTCGTGGGCGGCGAGTCGTGTTGTTACGTCACCGTGGGTACGGGCGTCGGGGTTGGTGTGGTGTGCAATGGCTTACCAGTGCACGGTATGCTACATCCTGAGGCGGGTCACATGTTCGTCAAGATGAGAGCAGGGGAAACGTTTGCGGGAACGTGTCCGTTTCATGGCAACTGCGTGGAAGGCATGGTCGGAAGCGGAGCGTTGGCAAAACGACGGGGCGTCTCAGCCGCCGAGCTCGCATCGCTTCCGGATGACGATGACATTTGGGAACATGCCGCACATTATCTTGCCGGCATGTGCGTCAATCTCATCTTAACCCTCGCCCCTGAGCGCATCGTCCTCGGCGGTGGCGTCATGCAGCGCGAGTGCTTATTCAGCAAGATTCGTGCCAACGTCCGAGACATCTTGCAGGGCTACCTAGCCGTCGATCAAATCATGGACGATGCTTATTTACGACACTTCATCGTTCCTCCCGCGTGGGGCTATCAAACCGGTCTCACGAGCGCCCTGTACTTAGCCGAGCGAGCGCTCCAACGCGAGTGATTCGTGTGTGGATATTTGTAAAAACACGAAGCCCCCACCTGTCGAGAAGCGCCTCAGTCCAGCGCGCGCAGATCGTTATGCACGCCAACGCTGCGATCGCGAAAGTAAACATCGTCCCTAACGCTCGCGTTCACGCCGCGAAAACCTCCGTTCGACGCGTCTGGAGCGTCATGACGGTGCGTTCAGGACGCATCGACGCGACCCCGCCACGCGCCGATTGATTTGCAGACGTGGATTAATGACTGACGTGTGAACGTCGCGCGCGCAGAACGCGACGAAAGGTGAAGTGATGCCGTCCATTATCATCGGTGGTGGACGCGTCGGGCAAGCGTTGAGGGATATGGGCGTCGAGGGCGACGTCGTCGTGCGCCGAGGCGAGGCGTTTCCGAGCGAGCCCAAGACGGGGCCGATTTACGTCGCCACTCGCAACGACGTGCTGGAAGATGTGATCAAAAATTGTCCGGCCGACCGCAGAGAAGATTTGGTTTTCATGCAAAACGGGATGCTGCAGCAGTTTCTCGATGCGCAAGGTCTTGGGGCGAACACTCAAGCGCTAATTTATTTTGCGGTCGCCGCTCTCGGCGACAAGCCAACCGACGGGGTAACTGAGTTAAACCCCGAAGGTCTCACGGCGGCGACGGGCAAGTGGGCCGACGCCGTCGCCGCGCGTTTCCATAACGGTGATTTGAGTTGCCACGTTTTAGACGCTCCGACGTACGAAGGTTCCATGTACGAGAAATTGATATGGATTTGCGCGATGATGCTGGTCGGCGCTCAACACGAAGGCGCCAAGGTTGGCGACGTCGCGACGACGTACAAAGATGAAGTCGTGGCTTTGATCGAAGAATTGTTGTCTGGTACTACCGCGTGCACTGGGGCGAAATTCGCCCCCGGAGCCGTCGATCGACTGATCGCGTACGCAAAGACTGTCGCACATTTCCCGTGCGGCGTCAAGGAATTTCCTTGGCGAAACGGTTACTTCTACGGCTTATCCGAAAAAGCGATCGCAGATGGTAAATCGGACCCGTTCCCGACTCACACCGCGCTCCTGAAAAACATCGGTGCCATTTAAGCATTTGTTATATTTATTCAAAACGTTGAGAAACGCACACGCCGAGTTCTGTTGCCCTAAGACAGTCTTCATTCCAAAACGTGCACTCGCGTCCGTGCTCGCGACGAGACCACCGCGCGTCGCGACCGCGAAACGAATCGACGTCGGTAGCGTCGGTCGCGCGAGCGATGGATACCGTGGACACCATGCAGGTCGACACCGCGCCCGCGGAACCTGTGCTGTCGAATGTGTCCCTGGAGATTCTCTCGATCATCTCCGCAGCGCAGCGTGAGCACGGGCTACGACACCGCGATTACGCGCGATATCGAGGATACTGCGCGCGTCGTCTTGCTCGTTTGTACCAGGCGTGCAAGATGAAGCACGGTAAAGGACGCTTCGTGAAGAAACCTTTGGTGGCAAACACGATCGCGGACGAACGCGCGCTTTTGGTTCCGCTCGTGCAAAGCGAACGGGCGTGGGCGTATGCGATGGAGATGAAGGATTTAACCAACGTCAAGAGAAGGCGGAGTGATCTAAGACAGCACATGCTTCGTCGTTTGAAGAAGGCGGTGACGCACGCGAACGAGTTGGCGACGTTTTGCGAGCGACTCGGAAACGACCAGACGGCGTTGGAGGGCGACGCATACGCCAACTACATAGGCGGCGTCTGCGCGGTGGAGCAAGGGAAGGATTACGTCGGTGCTATTACAAAACTTCTTCGCGCAAAGCTTGCGTACGCCAAGCTCGGTGTGCTCGGGGATCAGAAGCGCTTGGAGTTGTACCGAGAGCGAACGGAGGACCTCGCGGACCTCGTTCGGTTTGCGCACTACAAACAAGGTCGAACGGCGGATTTGAAAGCCATGGAGAAGGAAGCCGCGATCGGTTTGTCATCAAATAAGGTGTTCACCATGAAAGTTGAGGCACCACCGGAGATTGAAGATAAAATTAGATGGCATGCGATGGACTTCGAGCTCAAGAACCGCGACGCTCGCGTGCTCATTGCTCAAGCGCAAGACTGCTTGGCCAAGGTTGACGCGCTTAAGAACGCCACTGGGCACAAGGCGGGCATGTTATTCGCTAAGGGAATCGCCTTTTACGATGAAGCTCGCATGAAACTCAACGACGACGTCGAGAAGGAGACTGCCAAGGCTCTGTATCAGCAGGGGGATGACGAAGACAAAGCCGATCGCATCAAGTTAACCGAGATTGCGTTATCTCTGATCGTTAAGGATAAACTCATCGATCGAAACAAGTTCGTTTGCGATCAGCTTGACAAAAAGCTCAGTGGTCGCGCGAAGAAAGAGAAGGCTGATAAGAAACTGAATTTTGGCGATCTCGCTCGAATGTACGATGCCGCGACTGTCGACTACGAGGACTTGATGGAAACGGCGCCGATGTTGCTCCGGCTCAAGCCCGAAGATGCCGACAAGCATATCGAGGAATTCGAAGTAGACTGTGAAGCAGAAGTCATGCTGCTCAAGGCGCGACAAAATGTTGCTTTGGCTTGTCACTACGTGCAAGTTGGTAATTCCAAAGAGGCAAAGGCATACTTCGAAATTGCCACGGATCTCGCCACGGATGCCGAGGGACGAGATTGCGCGGGAGAGATCCAAGATGAAGCCACTGAACTTCTCAAAGAGATTGAAGTCCGCGTTGCGAAAGCACAGCGCAAGTTGCAGGAGGCTGACGACTCGGTTACGAAGTCTCAATCGGGCAGCGACTTGACTAGCAAGGTTGCTGAAAAGTTCAGTAAGTTGTTCTCGTTCCGTTAATTTCGAGGAAAGGGCAGACAAATTTAGATAGTAGATGCAGTGTTTTTCAATGAAGATGTTGCGAATTCGTTAATGTCTATGCTATCGTTGCGTGTGCGCGCTAGTCGCTGCGAGCATTGTTAAACCTTCATTGTCAGAGACACGTACGAGTACATGTCTTCCACCAAACCGCCGCCAGATTTCTCATCACCGCCGATTTCGTCATCCCAATGCGACGAGGCGTCTTTGCCGAACTCTTGATTCAATACTTTTCGCAGCTTGCTCACGTGCTTCATATTGGGTCGCATGAGGACGGCTTGAAAATCCGGCGGTAAGCCATAGCGCAAAATACTCTCCACAAATACGCGCACCGTGCACACGTGCATCATAGTACTAAAAGCCTCACCGTAGCTTATCTGACACCACTCTAACAAAGAATCTCTCCTCTGGACAACTTCTTGCTCTAGCGCACCTCGTTGCGATTTCGCCGCTCTCGACGCTTCAGGATCGTGCGAATACTCCTTAGCAGTGCAGCCGATCTCTCGCGCCGCGGTCGTGAACGCATCGACGACACGCCTGAACAATACCACCGTTCGTAACTCGTAATCATCTTCGACGTGAATAATCTTTGAAGAACGCGGCACGACGAAGCTCGCTAGCGTCTCGTACGAGCTCGTCCAAACCTCTGTCTTCAGTTTCGGCACTTGCACCACGAGCGTGGTCAAGTTTTCTGTCTGAACTAAATCCTCGGGATTGACCTTGTCGCTCAAATCTTGTGCGTTCACCCCGCTCCCAACTTTACGAACGATGGCGTTCAGATGATTTTTAGACGTCGCCAACTGCCCGCACTTCAATTTGAACTCTTCGTCGATGCGCGACAAGCGCTCCGAGAGCTTCTCAACCGTCTCCTTCAACGCTCGTCGAGCCGGATTCTTCGCTTCATCCCACTCGAACGTCGTCAGATATCGTTCGACGGATTCACCATCCACGCGCAGTTCTCGTTCGCTCGTCGTCGCGTCGCCGAGCTCGCCGAACTGTCGCCGCACCTTCTCCACCACCTGCTCCGCCAGCGCGTTCACCTTGACCAAATCATCGCTCAGCGCCAACAGACTGTCCAGCGTCCCCACGCGCAGGTCCGGGCATCGCATCTTATAGTTCAGCGACAGATCGTTGCTCCCGCCCGTGTGTCGCTGCAGCGTCGCCCACGCCGCGTCCGCGCTCGACCCGCGCAGAGGTAGACTCACGAGCCAATACGTCGTCGTCATCGTTCGCGTTCAGTCGTCGCTCGTCGTCGCTCGTCGTCGTCGTCGTCGTCGTCGTCGTCGTCGTCGTCGTCGTCGCAAACCGCTTCCGGTCGGTACCGCGCCTCGAATCACGCGCCCGCGTACGACGCTCGCGCGCGCGTGAATGGCGACGCCGTCGGTCCAAACGAATCGCGCGTCGCGCGTCGCATTCGCGTCCGCGTCGTGACACCGCGTCGCGACACCGGTCGAGCGACGCGCGCGCGTGCGAACACGCGACCGCGCGCGCGCGTCGACGGCGATCCGATGTCGCGACCGCGCGCGCGCGCGACGGCGACGCTCGCGCAGCGCCTGAAGCGGTACCTCGAACGCGACGCGCGCGACATCGTCTGGCCGCGCGCGATGGACGACCCGCCGTGGTATAAAGCGCAGCGCGCGCGGAAATTGACGTTGGACGAACACAAAGAGGTGTGGACGAAGGCGTGGGAGATGTACAAACAGAGCTGGGTGAACGTGTTTCGAAGAGACGAAGGAGAGGAAGAAGAGGCGACGTCGACGCGAGACGAGTCAGAGGACGCGAGACGAAGCGCGGTGCGCGAAACGTCGACGACGATAAAAAGTGATGACAAAGACTCGAACGAAGGGCGATTACTCGCCGATGAGGCGAAGCAGACGCTACGAGCGGGAAAAGCTGGATTTAAACCTTTCGTGACATACTTGTACGAGACCAGAGGGCGGGCGTACAGAGACGGCGTTCGCGAGTTCATTAAGGCGTATAGAGAAGGGTTTCGAGAAGCGAGCGAAGAATTAGAGACGGGCGAGAGCTTTTCTAGAAAGGCCGCGTCGCTGATTTCGAAGGCGGAGGACGTGTTAGAAAAGGCAGAGAAGACTGAGACGGACAAAATTGACGACGATGGCGCGGATGAAAAGTCGTCGTCGGCTGTAAAGTAGGGCGCTAGCAATTAAATTAACTATTCAAACAAATTAGACATGAAGTTCAGGAACCGTTTCGCGTAATTCGTCGGATCGATGGAGGAGAAAGACTTTTTACCCATCACACCCATCATCTTGGTCTCTAAATTTTTCGACGTCGTGTATTCCTGCAAGATATCAATGATGCCGAGGTATAGAATGACGTCTTGAGGCTCCGTGTGCTCTTCGATAGGGGACTCAACTGGAGGTTGCTTCGTCAAAATACGCCCGTGCACGGAGACTGCGGCCATAGCGACGCCCAACTTGGACTTTGCTGCTCCAGTAGAGTGCGCGATGAGGTCGTCTGTTCCCGGTGGCGGTCGCAGCGAGGCTTGCTCGCTCGGCGAGACTTCCTCCATCCCGTGCGCGAAGCCAAACTGTTTTCGGTCGTTGTACAAGTCGAGTGCTTTCATATTTCGACGAACCGATTGCATGACGTGATCTCGCCATTCCGCCCCGCCCCAAGGCGAACCAGATTCTTCTTGTACTGGCGAGGTGGCGCCGACTTCGCTGTAACGTGGGGAAGCGAGTCGTCCGCGCCCCAACGCTGGAGGCAGGACGTGTACTCCAACGAGGAGACTGTAATCCATGACACGTAATTTCTGCAGAAATATACAATCTTTGTTCAATTGCTCGATGAGTTTATCTCGTTTCCCTTCTTCAACGCGGAATTTTCTAGAAATATCCAAGTCTTTCAACACGGTGTGTGGCGTCGCGTTTTCCAGCTTCGTGAAACGTCCGTGTGTCGAGCCTTTGAGATCAAAAGTCTTGTGTATCGGGTGCTTGGCGGAGAAGAGATTCGACATGACAACCACCCGTACCTTCCTCGCAGTGCCAGCCGCTTTGATGCTATACAAGCCGTAAAACTTTGGCAATAACGTCTCGGGGTAATCGTGAACGTGTTGGTAATACACATGCAACCAAGACTTGAGTCGCACCATTTCCGACTTTCGCATCGTTTTGATGATGAATTGATCGTCGTGAGATATGTAAAACACACTCCCGGACTTACCAGGCGAAGACAGCTCTCTCAGCGCTTGATCACCACACAGCGACAGCATAAACTGTGCGGGATCTACTCGCCAACGCGCACGTAAATGTCGAAAAACTTCTGGTCTATATTCTTTCCACTTGAACGTTCGAGCGAAGTGCGGCGGCGTTTTCGCAGAGCCACCGCGAGGAAACTGTTGCTTGAGGCTTACGTCAAAGCTACAAGTTTGCAAAGCGACGTCCGAGAACTCTTGCATGCTGCTCACACTCCAACGAATGCCAACGCGCAGTTGTAGCATCAAGTCGTAACTCCCGTGACCTTTGTAAATAGTTTCTCCATGCCGGACTTTACGGACCTTTCGTGATCTACTCGCCATCGGACTCGTCCACAACGAATGTTTGTGGGCCACACCATCGGTCTCGACGACTTCTTTCTTCAAGATTTGATCCTCAGAGCACTCGCAGAGCAACAAGTATGTGTTGCCTAGATCTGCGGCGATAATTTCCTCGCCTTCGCTGTCATCAAAACTTGTCTTGGGCCTCGCTGATCGGTTGATTTGCACGCTGAGTTTGATATTGTTTCGAGTAACACTAGAACTTTCACCCCCAGACAACATGAACGCACCCGACCCGTCCTTCTTACCGCATTTCCATCGCCCACTAAAAGATGACCCGTCGCACCAAGTCATGACACCGCTGCCGGAAATTTGTCCCACGGACCAGTTACCATCGTATCGATCGCCCGATCCCCACCGCAAGGTGCCCCATCCGTGCATTTTCCCATTAAGCCACTCACCATCGAACTCGTCGTGTCCTTCTTCGCCTTCGAGCGCCTTCCATCTGTACGTTCCCGGTCCGTGGCCGACCCCATCGTTCCACAGTCCCTCGTAGCAGTCGCCGTTGGTAAAATGCTGTATGCCTAAACCATGCTTTTTCCCCCGTCTCCAAGACCCGTGGTACTTCGCACCGTCCGACGCCGTATACGTCCCTTCCCCGTGCATCAAACCGTGTTCGAAATTGCCCTTGTACACCCCGCCGTGCGCCCACTCGTACGTTCCTCGCCCGCTCGGCTTGCCGTCGTGGAATTCGCCCACGTATTCGTTCCCGTTCGCCCACGAATATCGTCCGTATCCCACCGGCGAGTGATCGTTCCACGGCCCGCGATAGACATCACCGTCGTTCAATTCAACTCGCGCCTTCCCCGCGAGTGGGTGCGCTCTTTGGCTGTCGTCGAGTTTTCCCTTTTCCTCCGCGAGCTTGCTCTCGACGGCGCGAAGCGCGGCTTCCACCTCTCCCGCGTTCGATCGTGATCGCGCGAACGAGGCTGAAAACGCCGGCTTCCTGCGCGCGAACAACGCTCGAGCGCGCGTCGCGGGTGCAGACGAGGACGCGACCGCACCAGCCTCATCTCGCCGGTCCATGACGCGTCACCGGCGCCGCTCGCAATCCAATCTAAAATTTGTCCCTCGTCGACCGCAGTCTGGCGTCGCCGTCGCCGCCGCGCGCGGTCGCACCGAGCGCTGGCTTCACGGCTTGGCTTCCCCCGTTATCGTCTATCGCGCGATCGACGCTCGATCGGCACCGCTCGGCGCTCGACCGTCGAGGCGCGAACTCGCCGGGACGACCCCGCGCGCCGCGACCGCGCCTCGACGCGTCGGCGAAACGGGCGCGTCGCGGTCGGATTTCAGGGCGTCCCGGGTCGAGGCCTAAACCCGCCTACACGCGCGCGGCGACCGCCGCAGCGCGCGCGGGATGTCGACGCGTCGACGGCGCGCGAACGACGACGCGGAAGCGCGCGCGCGTTCGACGTCGCGCGCGGCGTCGTCGACGTCGAACGCGCGGCGCCGAGGCGACGTCGGGCGACCGCGCGAGGGCGACGAAGATGGGCGCGCGGAAAGGCGCGGCGGGCGGCCACCGCGCGTTTTGTACGCGTCGTTATTCGTGATTTGGGGCGCGGTGCTTCATCACGGCGAAGTCTACTCGCACGTCGTAGCGCAGCGTCGATGTTCGTGGCCGCACGGCGCGAACGGGACGAGGGTGATGGTGACCGCGGACCCACAGTTGGTGGACGAGTACACGTACAGGGAGCTCGGCAGACGGTCGCGCGCGCTCGCGTTTGCGGAAGCCGTGTGCGATGCCTACGTGCGACGGACGATGAAGGCAGGGTTGAGAAGATTTGCACCGAGAAACGTGGTGTTTCTGGGGGACTTGTTCGGGCAAGGTGCACGTAGAAACGACGACGAGTGGCGCGCGTTGCGGCGTCGCGTCGACGCCGCGCTCTGGTGGCCGAGAAACGGCGATGGTGGGCCGTTGTACCACACCGTCGCCGGTAACCATGACGTTGGTTATTCCGAAGTCATTCGCCATCATCCCAGAATCCTCGCACGGTTCGAAGAATGGTATGGAAAAAGTAACTTTGTCGAGCGCATCGGCGGCGTTGACTTCGTAGGCGTCAACGCCATGGTCCTCGACGGCAAAGGACCGGCCACAGACGAGACGTGGGCGTTCGTGGATGGCTTAAGCGCTCAAAAGAAAGAGCCGTACGTAAAGAGAGTGCTCGTGACGCACTTGCCGCTTCCCAATCCATCGCAGCGATGCGGGCCATTTCGAAACTCGCAAGCAATTCAAGGCCGCACGCTCGGTTCAGACAAGGAAATTATTTATCAAGACTACCTCTCGGACGAGTCTGCGCAGCGATTGCTCCGGGCGGTTGAGCCGGTGTTGGTGTTGTCGGGGCACGACCACGATCAGTGTGAGGTAACGCACGCGTACGAGTCGGCACTTGCGGGAGGAACAGTCGCAGTGACCGAAATAACCGTCGGCACCGTGAGTGCGTTGAATGGAAACGACCAACCGAGTTATTTAATGTTGACCGTTCCCGAAGCCGCAGGCGAGAGTTTCGACGCCAGCGGATCGGGATTAATTCAACATAAATTATGTTTCCTACCTGAGATACGTGAAATCCTGAGAACGTACGCTCACGTTGGCGTGGTGAGCGTTCTCACGATTCTAGGACCGCCACTCGGAGAATTAATTGCAGCAGCGAAAAAGTTCGAAGGCCGACCCGTGATTGCCCTGTGCTTCAGGTGAGTGTTCACTAAGATCGCTCACACTCGCAGAACGCTCTCCGTAGGATGACTAACAAAATTACGTGCGCTCACAGGCGATTTCTTCACGGACTGATTTATTTAATTGGCTTATTAATTTTCGTCGCGGGTGGATTTATTTCGCTACTCGCGCGAGACTCGATGATTTTGAGGAGTCTCGCAAGGATAGAGTACTAGAAAACTTAGCAAGATAGCACGTGCAATATCAAGCGCGAATGAATTGTTTCCGCCGCGCAATTAATTATTTTAAGCGCTCAGATTATATTTAATTATCGTCATCATGGAACGTGAATGCACAAGCACTGAATCGCGTCAAGGTTTTGTAAAAGTTGCGGCTATGAGTTTCGACACACCATTTACCTCCAACAAATGCACTTTTGGTGGTTCTACGCCTATCGACGCGACATGCATGTGTTTTGACAGATCATCTCGATGTGAGAAATTTTCGCCCAGCAGTCGTCGAAAGTGTGAATTTGATATCAGACGACCGAGATGCGCGTGGTTTCGCGTGAAATTAATTCCATTGGTGATTCGTGATCGCATTATTACGGGCGTCGAGCGCGACGCGCGATTGACGCTTCGCTGGCGAGCCCGTGGCGTTCGCATAGAAATTATTTAATTATTTCATTTATTTCTCGCGCGCCGAGGTAGCGACCGCGACGCCGGCCGAATCGACCGCGACGCGCGTTCATGGTGTGCAGCGTACGCCGTCGGGGATTTCCTTGAATTCTCCGCGATTTGTGAGCGGGCATCGAAATCCATATGGATACCTGGGTAAGACTTTCCATGTTGACGTTCACAACTCGGCCTCGACTGTTTGACAAGTCGTTTCTGGATGTTGGCTCGAGTGGAGCGCAGAGTGATTGATGTCGACATCGCGCGTGGGCGACAGACAGCACACGTCGGCGCACTTGCGAGATCAACCGCAGCGAACATGCGACGATCGTTATCAGTAATCGCACTTATCCTCGCGTTGTGCTTCGCGAGCGAGGTAAGCGCAGCGACGGCGCCTCGAACTCGTTCTCGTATGGCCTTGAATTGATCGACACGATGAGCGCGCGTGGTGAGACTGACCGGAGGATTCCTCGATCGTAGCGGTTCACCGGTGTGCGCGCAGTCGAGGAGTTCGACGCCGAAAGAGACTTGCTCAAATTTGTCGAAGATTCACGCACGGAGACGCTGGCGGTTCTGGCTTTGTTTCGGCCCGGGAGCGTTCATCAAGCGGCGATTGACGCGTTCACCGACGCGGAAAACACGTTTCGCTCGTACGGACACGATGATGTCACTTTCGGCCGAGCGTTGAAATTGAAGTCTGAGCACGCACTCGCCAAGGTGTTCATTCCGGCGCCACATTACATGGACAGCGACCACATGACTGAGATGACCGAGAGCTTGCAACGCAACGTGTCGAGCATAGTGCGCTTCGCATTCTTCACTCTCATTCCGCCGTACGCGAAATGGCCCGAGTTTCCCGATAATAGAGGTACCGTCGATGAAGTTCAACGAGCGAATCTGCACGCGAAAAATGACATGCCCAAAGTGTTTGTGTTCATGCTTAAAGAATTCGCGGACGAGTATGGGGTGCGCATTCACAAAACATTAGAAAAGGTCGGAGAGGCCATTTCTGGCTTTATGGTTCTCATTCACGTCGTGCCGCCGACGACAAAGGATCTCATATATTTGCAAACTGCCGTTTACGAGGGTGAGGAGCAGGAGTACATGGACGTGCTCGCTGGGGGAAGGCTTGCGATCGTCGGTTACGATCCCGTGAGCAAGAAGCGCGACGCCGAGGCGAGGCTGATCGATAGTTTCAACGAAAACACCCTGATTCAATTCTGCAACAAGTATTTGGCGATGTTACCCGAGGAAGCACAACGAGGACGCATGCCGTTTCCCATCAAACGTGCGGACAAGCGATCAAAAAATACCATCGGACTCGGTAAATACGCGACGAAGGAAGCCAAGGCGGAACTGTAAAAAATGATTAATATAGCTACTTCTAAGCCGCTAACAGACTAAAGGCTCGCCTCCGTCGGCATTTTGCGCGCGTCTATTCTTCCATAACCCACCGTATCGATAATGCGGGTGATTTGCGTCACCATCCACCACGCCGCCGCTCACTTTCACCCAACACGAACCGCAGACCATACGCCACCGTTTCGTCGCGTCCGTTTGACATCGAATCAGCTCGTTCACCATCTTCGAGCATTCATCGCACGCCTTTTGCCCGCTCGTTGGATTACCATTGAATTCTAATCGCGCCCTCCGTTCCGCCTTTTGCGCCTTGACCGACTTCTTATGCGCCGCTCGCGCGTCTTCGTCTTCGTCTTCGCCTCGCGTTTCCTTGTTCTCTCGCTGTCGTTCGCTCTTCCTCTTACCGTTGCACGACTTCGAGCACGTCGTCACTTCGTCCCAACAGTTTTCCCACTTTTTCCTCCACGTGAACGGTCTGTCGCACACCACGCACACCTTGCTCGGCAAGTTTTCCTTCTTCACCCCTCGCATCGCGGACGGCGTCGAGCGCGATGCCGCGCGCGTCGTCGTCGTCGTCGTCGTCGTCGTCGGTCGCGCGCGTTTCAGCGCGCGCAACGCGTGCGCCGTCGTCCTCGTCGTCGCTCTTCGCGCGCACGACGCGGTGAACATTCGATTCGCGCGCCACCGCGTGCGGACGTCGACGCGTCGTCGTCGTCACGCCATCCGTCCATCGCGCCCGCGTCCCGATCCGGATCCGTCGGACCGCCGATGGATGGCGCGATGGATGGATGGTGCGACGGCGTTCGGGACTCGTGTGATGGACACACGGCGTCGCGCGCGCGTCCGAGACCGGACGAGCGAGTGATGGGTGAACCCACGCGCGAGGCGCGCGCGCGCGACGACGCGGCACCGTCGACGGCGGACGATCGCGCACACCGCGAGGGCGGACGCGCGACGATGGGCGCGTCGCCGACGAATGGGACGTCGCCGCGCGGACGCGACGCGAGGAAGACGACGCGGTGGTTGGATGGGAAAGAGAACGACGCGCGCGGACGACCGTTTCGACGAGGGATCGATGAGGAGGACGATTTCGAAGAGGATTTGTTAGACGCGCGAGGCGAGGACGAGGACGAGGACGGCGTCTCCGCGAGCGCGCGAGCGGTGGGACGACACGGAAGCGCGAGAGGGATCTTATCGCCGTCGGGGAGTTTCGCGGAGAAACGACAGCGGTCGAAGGTGCGATTCGAAAGCTCGCTGCCGAACGGGTTTCCTGAGCGCAAGCCGTCGATGACAAAGTTATCGAGCGGGGCGTTTGACGACTCGAGCGCGCGGGAAGAAGCGGTGACGCCATTCGTCGGACTCGTCATGGTGTTTCTTACCGTCGCCTTCGTCGCGTGGTTCAACGACGTGCTCGTTCGTAGTGTTTCTTCCGTCTCCGCGTGGGCGTGAGTAGTCTATTAGTTTCTTGCATCGCTTAGTCTGACTTTGAAAATTCGTCCCTCGTCCTTCGGCTCGCAATTTTAGATTTTTCCGACCAACCGCCGCGGCTGCACTGCGCGACGCCATGCGGACGTCGTCGTCGTTCGGTGCGCCGTCCCGGTCGGCGGCGTCTCGCTTCGTGCGTGCATCGTCGCGTCGCTCGATCGTCGCGCGCTCGTTCGACGCGAAAGCGCCCGCACCACCGTCGACGCGTCGCGCCTTCACCTTTGTCAGACACGGCCAAAGCACGTGGAACGAGGAAGGACGGATTCAGGGGAGTTCGAATTTTTCCGTGTTGACGGCGAAAGGTCAAGCGCAGGCGAACTTGACGAAAGACGTGATCGCGTTGGATAAATTTGACGTGTGCTTGCGATCACCTCTGGCGCGGGCGCGAGAAACGGCGGAAATCGCGTGGGGGACGCGCTCGGGGACGGCGTTCGTGGACGTCGACGACTTGAGAGAGATTGATTTATACGCGTTTGAGGGGCTGTTGAAGGAAGATGGGATGGAGAGATACGGTCAGAGCTATGCGAATTGGAAAAAGAATCCGAGCGAGTTTGAAATCGACGGACATTACCCCGTGCGAGAGCTGTGGGATCGAGCGACGCGGGTGTGGAACGAGGCGTTGCTCGCGAGACGCGAAACGAAAATTCTCGTCGTCGCGCACAACGCGGTAAATCAAGCGCTGATTGGCAGCGCGCTCGGGCTCGGACCGGAATATTTTAGACGCATCGTGCAAAGTAATTGCGCAGTGAGCAGGTTGATCATCGACGAGTCCTTTGAGCCGAACACAGGGCGAGGGGTTAAGCTAGAAGTTTTCAATCAAACGCCGGAGGCGCCGGTTGGAAAGAAGGACGCCCTCGTTTTGGTCCACGCACCGACGAGCATAGAGGAAGAGGCTAAAATTACAAGGAGTATGGTGAACGTGTTGAAAAATACCTCAGTCGGCGCGCTGTTGCACTCGCCGGACGGACCCTCGGCTCGTTTGGCGGAGAAGATATTCGATCGATGCCAGCGCGAGATGAGCGGCACGTGCCCGTTTGAAGCCAAAGTCGTGAACTCTGTGGACGATATCTTGACCAGTTTGGCCGAAGGCACTCAAGGTGGGGGCTCTACTTTCGTCATTCACGACAAAGTTGTATGCCAAGATTTCCTAGCGCACGCTCTAGAGAGGAATAGCGGAGAAATGTTTAGTCTTTCGCCCGGTGGGATGTCGGTAATTAATATGAAGGGTGGACCGGCAAAAGATCCCGTCGCCGTATGCATCAACCATTTGTTGCATTTACCATCAGCTGAGCAGGCCGCGATTGATGATACTTACTAGATATATTTGTAATAGACGCTAAAATCATGATATCTCGCTACAAATGATGCTACAACTAGTTAGTCTCGGCTCCGACTGCGTTCTCTGCGACGTTCCTTCTTCTCCTTTTTTTCCTTCTTATGCCGTTTTCTATCTCTCTTCTCATCCTTCTCGTCCCCAGGAATAGTTAGACCTTTCGCCGCAGCCTCTGCACGCGCGATAGCCGCGGCTTTACGCTCCATAAGCTCACGAATGATTCGCGCATCTTCGTCCTCCGCGTCGGCGTTTCGAGGACCCGCCGCGTCAACGACGTCTCGACTATCCTCAACGCGAGTTTCACGACCACCGTCTGCCGCGATGGGTCTTTCTAGTTCTTCCTCTACCGCACTCTTAACCACCGGTCGAGGCGCACCGCACTTAAAACACGCTTCTCGGAACTTGAAATTCTCAGACCCGCACGCGCACTTCCACTCTCTCGCGTTCGCGTCGTCTTCGTTCTTCATCTTGTAATCATCCACGTGATCGACTTTGATCGTTCGTCCCACAACGGTGGCACCGTTTAAGTTATCCACCGCTAACACCGTCGAGCGCTGATCGGCGTAACAAATGAACGCGAATCCTCGACTCCTACCCTTCTCCTCGTCGCGCACCAAGTTGACGTCGACGACCTCCCCAAACTGTGAGAACACCGCCAGAATGTCCCCTTCCGTCATGTTGAACGCTAATCCACCGGCATAGACGTACGCCGAGTGCTTATATCTCGCGTGCCACGACGCCTCCTCCCCCATCCCGCTCTCAATCTCCCGCATCGTCGCCTTTTGCGTATTCTTAATCTGCGTCAGAGCATTCATCCTCGCCTTCGTTCGTCCTTCGCTCGTTCTAGACGCGCGTCGCGCGCCGTTGACGCGCCTCGGTCCGCGTCGCGTCCGCGCTTTCGTCGCGAGTTTTCACGATTCGCGATTCGCGCGCCGTGCGATGACGCATTCGAGTCATCGCACGCCGCAATCAACCAATCAATCGATCCCTCGACGCGCCGAGTGGCGGCTGCGGCGCGCCTCACATCGCGACGGCGCGTCGTCGCGTCGTCGTCCCGGAGGCGCGCTCGCGAGGGAAGCGAGGGAAACGAACGATGGACGACGAAGCGTTCGCCGCCGCGTCGTACGACGAGACGCTGGCGCGAGAGATCGTGAACGAATGCGCGGCGACAGCGCGCGCGCGGGCGTCGAGCGAGGACGCGCTCGGGGCGGTGCGCGAGGCGGTGCGAGGTGCGACGAAGCGAGCGAACGCGCGGTGAGCGAGGAGGAGCCGGGCCGAGGGCTCATCCACGCGCGTCGACGGTCGGTGATGAAGACATATTAATCTTTGAGAACTGAATATCCTCGTGATGTTTACATTGACAAGCATATGACTGAGACCGAAGACGCGCGAGGAGGACGACGAGGACGAACGGGCGAACGAGTCGCGAAGAAACGAGACTGACGAGACGTTTGATCGACGACACACCGACGTAGAGTTGAAAGAGAAGGAAATTAAAGCCAAATCACCGGCGTGGTTTGCGGTGGAGTGCGAGGAGGTGGAGGGGAAGACGTTGAAATTCGCGCCGCCGACGCGGGTCGTCTCGATTGGGAGTCACGCAGAGGGAGGGTGCTTCAACGTACCCATGAATGGTGACGGAGGGGTCGTCGTGGACGTCGCGGTAGAAATGCCTCGGTCGTTCTTTCAAGAAAAGGATTATTTAGATCACAGGTATCACTTCAAGCGAGCGGTGTACCTGGACGTGTTGCATAAAAAGTTGTCGAAGTCGTCCGAGTGGTCGTGCGAAGTGATGGACCAGCACCGCGATGCAAGGAAGCCGTATATCACGGTACACTTTGGAGAAAAGCAAAATAAAAAAGCACTTCGTTTGTTTTTGACGATAGACCCCGAAACTTTCGCATCGGTTCGATTGTTGCCTAACAGAGCAAACGTGCGAAGGCTGGCACGGGGAGACGTGCGGCCGGCGAGCCCGCATTACAACCAGTCCATCGCGGAAGACATGTATGCACGCATGCATGCACAGTTCTTTGCCGCAGCATCGAAGAAAGCGAAGAGTTTGCCCGGTGCGGTGGTGCTATTCAAGCGATGGGCGCAGGGAAGGCGGTTGCTGGACGCAGCGGATGGCGTCAGTGGATTTTTCATTTCGATGCTCTTCGCATACATGCTAGAGCGAGGTGGTCAATTGAGTAGTAGTATGGACACTAGCCAGATGTTTCGGGCCGCGATTAACGCGCTCGCTAAGCCTGGCTTCTTTAAGAAGGGTTTGTACGCAAGCGGTAAACCCGCAGAAGCGGGCGAGTGGCAGCGCGCTTTCGCAAACGTTTTCCTTGGACCTTGTGGACATGTGAATATTATGGCGAGAATGTCTGCGAGCGCGGTGCAGGAGCTAATTCACGAGGCGATACTTTCAGCGTCTGAGTTGAAGAGATCTAGTCATTCCGCGTTTAGCAACGTGTTACTTGGCCAATGTCCCGCCGCGGTTCGGTACGATTTGCATATGCACGTCGACGTGATGGTTAATGCAGATGAAGGCGAATGTGACTTGGGTGGGCGTCGTACCGCAGAATCAGACGTAGCACGTATTGTTACTCGCGCTTTGAGCGATCGTGCAAAACTCGTTCGTGCGTTTGAGCCGCAAAGTTCGAGCGTCGACACCGTCGGGAGTGCATCGTGCAAGATATGGGTTGGGGTAATTTTGGATCCTGAACACGCGTTGCGACTGGTCGACATCGGTCCGAGTTCGGCTGATGACAAAGAAGCTAAAGAATTTCGCAAGTTTTGGGGCGAACGGTCCGAGCTCCGTCGCTTCAAGGATGGACGAATCTGTGAATCGGTGGTGTGGGATTTTGTTCCGCCGACGAATCGACATCACATACCAGCTATTGTCGCCGAACAAGCGCTGAAGCTCAACCTGGCAAACGTCGATGAGATAGAATGGAGCTCAAAGATGTTCGACGAGCCTCTGAGCAAGATTGCCAGCTCGAAAGAAGGTACTTCTCCGGCGAGTTTGCTTCAGACGTTGGATCGCTTGGCGAAACGAATGAAGGATTTGAAAGAAATGCCCCTCAAAGTGAACAACGTCCAGCCTTTGAGCGGAGCATTTCGTGGAACCGATCCATTTCCGCCGACGCCGCATCCACTAGCACACGGTGCGGGCGTTGGCTTGGGAAAGAGCGAAGACGACATTGCTGTATGTCCCAAAACTCTTGACATCATGGTGTCCCTCGAGGGCAGCGGTCGATGGCCAGAGGACCCCGACGCGATCGCAAAGACGCGATCGATGATGGCCATACAGCTCGCAGAGTCTCTTCGAAAGAGTTACGCGATGCCAAGTGTCATCGCTGAAGAGGCGATTGACATTTTGTTTGAAGGATACGCTTTTCGCATTCACGTAAATGCCTCTGCCGGTGGTCCGCACGTCAAGGCGACGGAGGGAAAACTCATCGAGAGAGCATCTCACGCTGGATTGATTGCATCAATTGCTGCAAGATTTCCGATGTATGGCCTTTCGACGCAGCTCATCAATCGTTGGGTCTCGTCGCACATGTTTTCGCCACACCTTTCTGACGAAGCGATCGAGGCCCTCGTGGCGTTGTTGTTCGTCAACCCAGGCGCAGCTTTGCCTCCGATGTCCCGCGAGGTGGCATTTTTGCGCTTCTTGAATCTATTTGCGTCGCACATTTGGTTCGATCCGGTAGTATTAGATCCCGAAGGTATCGTGAGCGACGCCGAGATTGAGAGCATCGACAGAACGGCGAAAACAGCGCCAGCAATGTGCATAGTCACGCCGCACGATAGGAGCGGGATTCGGCTCACACAAAGTGGGCCAGGCGCAGTCGTTCTGAAACGACTCGTTTCCATCGCAGCTCGAGCGCAGTCGGAGATGCAAGCCGTGCTCGAAGGCGTGTCGAAGCACTCTATGTTTGAGACGGAGTGCTGGGAGCGCTTCTTCAAACCGTCTCTCAGTGGATTCGATGCCGCTTTTGTTCTACGTCGAACCGCGCTGCCGTTCCCAAAACATGCGTTGTTCCCTAGCAAGCGCTTGTACAAGCGAATGCGAGCGCAGTTCGAGAACGAAATGAGCGTCGTAGATGAGGACGAGGAAGAAACCTTGGCGCAAAGCATCAAGCTCGCGAAACTTCCGCCCAAGCTTTTGAACAAAGGTCCGGACAAGGCGCGAGAGGCGTTACTCATAGGATTCGACCCGACCGAATGTTTCATTAAGGATGCCGAAGATCGAGTCGGTGGCACTGCGCTGATGTTTGTGGATAAATACGGAGGCGACGTCGTCGGCGTCGCGTTCAAGCCAAACGCCGTCCACGCGGACGCGGCGCTTCCCGACTCTTTGTCTTGGTTACCCAACCCCGATCCCCCCGCGCGAGAGGATGTCATCGAAGAAATCGCCACCATCGCCGGCGCCGACTTCGTGGAAAAGGTTCTCACGTGAACGACGCGCGCATTAGTCTTTAGAAGTTCGTCGTTCGTTGTAACTCGACCTCAACCGTAACGCCCAAGTTTTTCACCCTTTTTCGCCGCGCAATCACGCCTCGCGCGTCGTGTTTCGCCGGTATTGATTCTTCCGGAATCGTCGGGAGGCGATTCCACGGTTTTATCCATATGATGAGACGGTTTTAACCATTGAATTTTTCGAAATTATGATGGAGACGTCGGCCACCGCCCCACACCTTGTTACTTTCGAGGCGTCAACCCGCTCTGACTCTTCGCGTCGCGAACGATCTACATACGACGTTTGCGAACGAAAACCGTGGACGCGCCCTTTTTTCGCTTTTTCGCGTCGTCGCGTCCGCGGCCGCACTTCGCCGCGTCGCGCGCGACGTGGACGCGCGACGCGCGACGACGACGACGACGATGCGCGCGATGCGATGCGTGGCGATGGCGAAACCGGAACCGAGCTCGAGCGGACGTCGCGCGTCCGCGAGCGGGCCCGGCGGCGGTAAATCGTCCGCGTCCAACGTCCCGCGACGTCGAGGCGGCGGCGGCAAGGCGGCGTGGGGGGAGGGGGCGAAGCGCGCGGGGAAGAGGCCGAGCGACGGCGGCGCGACGATCGCGGCGAAGGAGAAACACCTGTACTTTGACGAGGCGCAAATCATCGTCGTCGGCGGGCAGGGCGGCGAGGGCGAGTCGTGGACGGGGACGTCTAAACCGAAAGTGGTCAAGAATTTCAAGTACCAGTGGGGACGCAACTTGAAAAAGTATATCGAGTTACCGGCGGCAGAACCCGCGGATGGGGGACGAGGAGGGAACGTGTACCTGCGAGTCGATCGCACGTGTGATTCGCTGTTGCATTTACACGAACGCAAGACGTGGCGAGCGAAGAAGGGGTATCACGGAAGCGCGGCGGAACACGCGAGCGGCGGCCGCGAGCGGCATCGCGTGGCGCCGGATCAGGAACACATGTACATTCCAGTGCCTCCGGGGACGGTGGTCCGACGCAAACGCACAGGCGAGCTCTTGGGTGATATGACCAAGCACGGGCAGACTTTACTCGTCGCCGAGGGTGGGGGCGGTGGATTAGCCGCGCGCAGACAACAGCGTCAGGTGAATCGCAAAATGCGCAACGGCAAGGAGGAAGACTTTGAGGCTTCAGACATCGCCATCGATACCGCTTCGTTGGTTTCGACGGTGGGCGAGGACGGCGAAGAGCTGTCAATTGAGTTATTGATGCGAGTCGTCGCCGATTGTGGCTTGGTTGGTTTGCCTAACGTTGGGAAATCATCTCTGTTGAAAGCCGTCACGCGGGCGTCGCCGGAAATCGCCAACTACGCCTTTACGACACTCATGCCGAATCTCGGGGTGATTAAGACCGAAGATGATCTCGCCCCGACGGGTGAGTCATCGACTGTCATGGCTGATTTGCCAGGTTTAATCGAGGGTGCACATAAGGGCTTGGGCCTTGGTCGAGCGTTTTTACGACACTTGCGCCGCACGCGTTCAATGGTTTGTGTCGTTGACGCCTCGGGGCAAGACCCGGTGAGCGATTACGTCGTGGTGCGTCAAGAGTTGAAGTTATACAACCCAGAGTACGTCAAAAGACCGCACATCTTGGTTCTGAACAAAACCGACCTCGAGTGGGCGGCCCTGCGTACGGATGAGATTACTCAAGGCATCAAGGCGCTCGACGAGGAAACCATAGGCGACCAGCCTGTGGCAATTCTTCCCATAAGCGCGAAAGAAGGCACGGGCGTGCCTGAGTTTATGAGCACTTTAGATAAACTCATGAAAGAAGAGGACGCGAAGCGATAGACGAGATTGTTGGTTACACTAGAATTCACTTTTAATTCATTGCAGCGCTGCTAAACATATTTTCCTACAAGTCGAACAGTCGGAGCTCCGCCATGGCTTCCTGTCTCGTCGCGTTGTACCACGCTACGACGCGCGCACTACCGATCGTTGGAGGTAATGCACAATCTAAGCCGTACACAACTTCTGGCTTCACGATTTGCTTTTGAATGGACTCGCGAACCTCCGTCATGGTCTTTCGTTCCTTGAGCGCGGAGAGGCCCGCGCGCGTGGCGGACAAAGCCTCCGCGCCGCTGGCGCGCACTTCGGCTCTGAATCGCAGCGGACCGAGAAGTTGCTGTCCAAGACTTAGCGTCACTGAAACCGGATTTGCTTTCAATCGACCCCCCATGGTGATCAAACGATCCGCCAGAGGCAGTGGTGTTTGAGCCGCCGCGTCGAGCGGCTTGTTGGGCGTTCCCATACCGCCCGCGTCGAGTCGCAGATTGATCGACGTGAAATCGAGCAAAGGACGTGCGAAAGACCCAACTTGTGCATTCACAGATAACGAGCCGAAATTTTGCAGTTCAGTTTGCTCGCCATCTTTGTAATCATCATCTAAACTCTTCCGCACGACCGCCCCGTAAATTCCCCCCACCGTAATCGTCGGCACTTGCGGCAGCGCGGTGTACCCGCTCACCGCGCTCGATGATTTCGGTTTGCGGCGTCGACGACCGCGCCATAACACCGCTTGTTGCTCGTACGACACACCAGCTTGTAATTCTTTCCTCGGCGGCGTTCGCATCCCTCCTCCGTGCTTCCTATCGAACGGTACCAAGTCCCCCAACCACTTGCGCGCGCTCACGCGGTAGTTGATCGCTCGACGACCGCGCGAGGACACGCTCACCGACGCCGACGTGGGACCGTCCACGTACCTATCGTCCGTTTGGTACCTCTCATTGTGCGACAAATCCACACTGAGTAAATGCGACGGAAGTTTCGCTTGCACGGAGACCCTGCCGCGTGGATTCAACGCCGCCTCGGCGTCGTCGTCCTTCTCGTCGCTCAGCTTGAACTTTTTCGCAAACGCGCGCGTGACGCCCTTCACCGACCCCAACTCCCCGATCGCTTTCACCGCCACGTTCTCCAACGCGTTTGCCCTGAACCTCCCTCCCAACGCGTACATCGATGGATCCAACAGCGCTCGATGCGCCTTCCCCTCTTGCACTTGTTCCGTGTTCCACGCGCGTTGCGCTCGCGCGCGCGCCGTGAGCGTCGTCCACCAATTCCCCCGTCCCGCGTTCAGCACCACTCGATCGAGCACCATCCCTCCCTCGCTCTCGACGTAGCTCGGCATCGCCGGCAGATTTAAAAACTTTTGCGCCAGGAACACCTGCTGCGACCGCGCCAGTCCGCTCGGCTGCGTCATGACGAAGCTCGATCCGTCGCTCGCGTGCGCGCGCGTCGTCCCCTCGACGTTCGCCGCCGCGCCGTGCTCTCGATCGCCGAACGCGCCGTCCATGGCGCGTTTCATAGGTTTGAACTGCGCGTGTCGCAGCCCATCTCGCGCGCCCATGGTCGTCGTCGCGCGCCGCGAAGTGCGAATCACACCGAATCCACCGAATCGCCGCCGCGATCGAGCGATGCGATCGAATCGCATCGATCGCGACACCGCGACGCGTCGACGAAGACGTGCATGTGACGACTCGCGAGGCCACGGACGAGGACGAACGCGACGCGAACCGAGACGTGCATGCGCGAGCGAGACGCACGCGACGCCGAGAAGAGAGGCGACCGGCGACGACGGCTGGCGAAGGACGAAGGGCGGCGCGCGGGGGCGTCGGCGAGCGACGACGGAACGCGCCGCGAGAGACGAGCGAGGGGCGCGAACGGGACGAGCGACGCGGAAGCGCGAGAGGTGAGGCGCGATGGCGATGATAAACATCGGGGCGTCCAACGCCGGGGACCAGTTTTATCGGTATAAAATGCCAGCCATTCAGTCTAAAATCGAGGGGCGCGGGAACGGGATCAAGACAAACGTGACGAACCTCGTGGAGGTGTCCAAGGCGTTGGCGCGACCGCCGATGTACACGTTGAAGTTTTTAGGGAACGATCTCGGGGCGCAGACGACTTTTAACGAAAAGGAAGGACGCGCGATCGTGAACGGGGCGCACGACGCGGGGAAGCTCGCGCAGAGTTTGGAGAGTTTCATCAAACGTTTCGTGCAGTGCTTTTCGTGCGGTAATCCGGAGACGATGATTGAGATTACCAAGCGAGAGACGATTCACTTGAAATGTAAGGCGTGCGGGGCGCTTTCCGACGTCGATATGCGACACAAGCTGTGTGGTTACATTTGCAAGAATCCTCCGGAAATTAAAAAGGACAAAAAGGAAAAGCAACTGCGCCGCGCCGAACGCGAACGCGAAGAGGCTGGTGCAGCGATCGATGACGAAGAACGTCGACGACGTAAGTCTGAAAAGAAGGAAAAGAAAGAGAAGAAAGAGAAGAAAGAGAAGAAAGAGAAGAAGGAGAAGAAGGAGAAGAAGGAAAAAACCGACGACGCGCCCGCCGAGGCGGGCGACGCTTCCTCCGCCTCTGAAGCCGACGACGACGACGATGACGAAGTCCAGTGGGCGACTGATACTTCTGCCGCCGCCGCGAAAGCGCGAGCAATCGAACAGCTTACTGACGGCGCGGCGAACATGGTCACCGTGGTCGCGGATAAGATGGCGGACGCCGCCATCGAGGACGAGAGCTCGGAAGAAGAGGAGGATCCTCGAGTGTCCAAGCTTCGCGCGTACGCGGCGAAAAATGACGCCGTGAAAACGGCCGAATATCTCGTCTCTGATGCCCTTGGCGTCGAATCCAAGGAAATGGGCGTCTTGTTCCTCCTCGAAGCCGTTTTTGACGAAGACGAGGCCATTCCTCCGCAAATCAAAGCGAAGAAGGATTACTTGAGCGCCGCGTGCCCGGATGCTGCGCTTCAACGCGCGCTCTTGTGCGCCTTCGAACGTTACGTCACCGAAACCGCCACTTCTGGTTTTAAGGCGTTCTCTCTTATTCTCAATCAGCTCTACGAGTTCGATCTCATCGAAGAAGACGTCATCAAGGCTTGGAATGAAGACGTGGACGCCGCCTCGTGCATCGACGTCGAGCCCAAAGTCGCCCAAGCCGTTCGCAAGCAAGCCGCCAAGTTCATCGACTGGCTCGACGAGAGCGAGGACGAGGACAGCGACTAATACATCGCACCGCTTTTCATCTCATCTCAACGCTCGACGCACGGACGACAGAGATCTTATACGTTGAAACGCAAACAGTCAGAAACTCGTGTTGACGCGCAAACGTTAAAACGACCACGCCCCCACGCCGCGCCACTCGTCGTCGTTCATGCTTCGTCGCATCGCTCGAGCGTCGACGGCGTGTCACCGCATCGCTCGTGAAAAATCCCACTCGCGCGCACCGCGCGCGACGCACACGACGCGCGCCATGTCTCCCGCGACGAGTCCCACGTCGACGTCGACGTCGCGACGCCTCGTGCGCGGTGTCGTGTTCGACATGGATGGAACGCTGTGCGTCAGCGCGGCGCTGGACTTCACGGAGATGCGACGCAGAGTCGGGTGCGAAACGAGTGATATTTTAGGTGAAGTCGACTCGTGGAACGAGGCGCGACGGACGAAGGCGTACGAGATCATCGGAGAGATGGAGAGAGAGGCGCTGAAGACGACGGTCATCGCGCCGGGAGCGATGGAGGTGGCGGCGACGCTGGACGGGATGGGAATCCCGCGAGCGTTGGTGACGCGGAACGCGGCGAGCTCGGTGGAGTTTTTTCACGACACCGTGTGGACGATGGCGCCGTTTTCACCGTGGTTGAGTCGGGAGTTCAAGCCGTACAAACCGGCGCCGGATTCGTTGCTGCACATTTGCGAGTTATGGGGGTGCTCGCCGAGCGAGATTATCATGGTGGGTGACAGCGCAAAAGACGACGTAGTGAGTGGGAACGCCGCGGGAGCGCTGACTGTGCTCTTGGATAGCGGACGTACGGGGAAATGGGCGGAGGAATTCGGTGTGGATAAAGTTCCCGAGCAGATGGTGCCACATTTCGTGTGCGCGGACATGAATGAATTGCACGTCTTGTTAACGCAAAGCGGACACTTCGAATTTAAAAAATAGTAGAACTACTGTTAGTTATTTAAGCAGCGACAGCTATCAATTTTTTACTTTGCCCAACGTGGAGATCAACTCAGCTTGCACGTCCTGCGTCACAGCCTGGTGAGAGCCGTACTCCATCGTAAACTCTCCCTTGCCTTGCGTCATGCTTCTCAACTCGGTGCTGTAACCAAACATCTGGCTCAGAGGGACCATCGAACTAATTATCACGTCATCACCTTCCGCCGTAGAGTCGTTAATCGTCCCTTTACGTCGGTTAATGTTACCGATGACCGTACCTTGAAATTCAGAAGGGACAGTGATGTCCACCTTCATGATGGGTTCCAAGAGTTTCGGCGACGCGTTGTGAAACGATTGTCGGAACGCCGCGAGCGCGGCGAGTTTGAAAGCCAACTCAGACGAATCAACAGCGTGCGAAGCACCGTCCGTCAGCACAATTTTAATGCCCTCAACGGGATAACCGACCAAGCCACCGTTGAGCGCAGCCTCTTTGAAACCCTTTTCCACGGCTTGAATAAACGAAGGGGCGATGGCGTTACCAATGATGCCGTTCTCAAAGATGACTTCGGTGGTATTTTCTAATGGCTCGATATATCCAACAACCTTACCGTATTGACCTTGTCCACCAGATTGCTTTTTATGCAAGTAATCAAACTCGGCTCGTTTTGTGATGGCTTCTCGGTAGTTTACGCGCGGCTGACCGACTTCACAGTCAACCTTGTACTCTCGCCGCATTCGCTCGACATAAATGTCGAGATGTAACTCACCCATACCACTAATGATAGTCTGCCCACTTTCTTCGTCCATGTGCACGCGGAACGTGGGGTCTTCCTTTTGAAAGCGCTGCAGGGCCTTGCTAAAGTTGCCGCTTTCGGCTTTACTCTTCGGACTCACTGCGAGAGACATGACGGGGTCAGGAACCTTCATCGAAGTCATCGCGTAGTTCACACTGCCATCCGTAAATGTGTCACCGCTCTTACACTCAACACCAAAAAGTGCGACGATGTCACCGTTTGGAGCGGAGTTCACGTCTTCCATGTCATCACTATGCATTCGCACGAGTCGAGGAACTTTGAGCTTCTTCCCAGTCGACGTGTTGACGATGGTCATGCCCTTATCAATTTGGCCTTGGTACACGCGCAAATACGTGAGTTGCCCGAATTTACCCTCCTCGAGTTTGAATGCCAAAGAAACGAGCGGCTTCGATGGGTCGTTGGACAAAACGACCGGTGCTTCTTCGTTCTTCAAATCTAAAGCGACGTTTTGCACCTCCGACGGCGCTGGGAGATAGTCCACGACGCCGTCTAAAAGAAGCTGAACGCCGCGGTTCTTGTACGCACTGCCCATGAACAACGGAGAAAACGTATTTGCGATTGTCGCCCTTCTGATCGCCGCCAACAGTTGCTCCGTCGTTGGCTCTTCACCCATCAAAAACAAGTCTCCCAATTCTTCGTCGACTTCGGAAACGCACTCGATGAGAACTTTGCGCTTCTCATCGGCGAGTTCCTTCAAATTCGCCGGAATTTCACCCACTGTCAGCGTCTGCCCGTTTTCACCGGAAAACACAACAGATTGCATTCGCACTAAGTCAACGACACCCTCGTGCTCGTCTTCTAATCCGATTGGAATTTGCACCGCCGCCGCGTTGAGCTTCAGTTTGTCGCGCGCCTGCGCGAGAACCTTCCACGGATTCGCCCCCGCGCGATCGCACTTGTTCACGAAGCACAATCTCGGCACGTTGTATCGCCGCATCTGTCTATCCACCGTGATCGATTGCGACTGCACACCACCCACCGAGCACAGAACGAGCACCGCGCCGTCCAGCACGCGCAGCGCGCGTTCGACTTCGATGGTAAAGTCCACGTGCCCTGGGGTATCGATGATGTTAATATCGCTCTCCTTCCATCGACAATACGTCGCCGCGGATTGAATCGTGATACCTTTCTCACGTTCGAGCTCCATGGAGTCCATCTTCGCCCCCACGCCATCCTTCCCGCGCACCTCGTGAATCGCGTTGATCCTCCCCGTGTAAAACAAGATGCGTTCCGTGAGCGTCGTCTTCCCGCTATCGATGTGCGCCGAGATTCCAATATTTCTTCGCAACGCTTCTGCTGACTCGCTCGCGTACGTCCGTCGTCCCATCGCATCGCTCGCGCGCTCGCGCTGCGTCATCGCGCCGCCGCCTCGCGGTGCGGTCGCGAGCGTCATCGCTCGCCATCGCGCGTCGACGTCTCGCGGTGCGGCGCGTCGCAGCGCGCGAAGCGCATCCAGGGCGCGTTTCGAGCGCATCTGCGTCCGTCGCGCGCGCGCGCGTCCTCGTGTATCGCGCGTCGCTCGACGCGCGCCGACCTCGTCGATTTCAGCCTCGGCCTAGGGTTGACGTCGTCCGTCGTCCGTCGTCGTCGCCGAGACACCGGCGACGCGGGACGACACTCGCCGACGCGCGCGCGTCGCGATGCTCGGCGTGCGAAACGGCGGCGCGGCGGCGTGGGGCGTCGCCGTTCTCGCCGCCGGCGGACTCGCGGCGTACGGTGGACAGCTCGGCGCGCTGGACCAATGGCAAAAGGAGCGCGCGCGCGAGGAACGGTTTCAACAGGGGAAGAAGCTGATGCGACAGGGAGACACCGCGGCGAGGTACAGAAAGGCGACGGAGGAGGCGAGGAAGGCGCGAGAGGCGAAGAAAAAGAGTAGATGGTTCGGTTCGAAGAAGTGAGTGCGCTTTGGACGATTTGTAACAACGTGAACGCGACGTTTTTAGTTACCAAGCCACGCTCTCTACGGTGTACGTCGTGGACTGTACGCCGTGTTGTTCGGGAAGCGGAGAGTTCTCGCCGACGTGTCTGAACGCACCTCCGAGGGCGGCTAAAGAGCGCATCATATCGAGCATTTGGCTCGAAGACTCTCGCAGCGCGCGCACGGGTTCGGCGACGTCGTCTGAGAGACAAAACGTCGTGAACTGCGCGTCGAGCAACGCGGACGTCCACGTCACGACCGCGTGCGCGCTGGGAATCCCAGGTTCGACTAGAGTGTTGATCCGGGCGAAATAGCCGCCCGATGAAGCGTAAAAGTTAGCCCAGACGAGCAAATACTGAAGTAGCGAAACCGCGTCTTGCTTGGAGAGATCACGCAACACTAGCATACCCATCGTTGGATCCAACGGACGAGCGATGAGGGGATGAAGTTGTTGTGCCCATGGTGCAAAACTATCGTACGCACTCACTAAGAGTTGAGCTCTGGCAAACAGCTTTTGTTTAGCTTCGCCATTGAACTTTTCATCAGACGCGCATGCCTCTGCTTCGTCGAGTACCTTTTCTGCGAGCTTTTTGTTCGCTGAAGCGCGCTTCTTCAACCCAGGGTCGTCTTCGTCTCGCATCATTGCAGAGTGTAAAATCGCAACGATATCTTCAGCAGAAACGTCCTTGGCGTACACTAAGAAGTCCTTGACTTCGTCAAGCATGTCTTCCTCAAGAAGCGCCGTCACTAATTGTCTCGCCGTCGAAGAGCCACGAATGTGTCCACCGGCGAGCAAAAGTGTCACTGAATCCCACACTCGATGATTTAAACCACCACTAATGGCACTTTCTATGAGAATTTGCGGAATCGGAAGGGATTTCATCAGAGTCTGTAACGATGAGCCCGCCTTTTTGCTACCGCTCGCCAAAGCTTCAGCAGTCGACCGGACCTTCTTCTCCCTGGTCTGTGCGTCGTCGTCGTCCCAGACATTGCTCAAACTGACGACTCCTTGGCCATCAAGTTTTAACTCCTCTAGTTTCCAGCCAGGTGTCACAGCCGCGTGTTGCGGCGGTACGAGTGCCGTAGATGCTGTCTCCGCACCCAAAACTCGAATTGCCGCTGCGCTCGCCTCCGGTTGCGAGTGTATGCTGAGCGATCCCACGAGCGAAGCTAAAGAGAGTTCAGGAAGATCGAACTGTACCGAAACCACTTGATCAGAAAGACCAACGATCAGATTACCCGAAGTTGCGGCGAGGCTCACCCCGGACGTTCGGCCAACTTTGTGTTCTAAGCCTCGGCTAACGTCCTCCGCCAAGTGCACGGCGCCGTAACGCGAATCAAAAACGGCCACTACCACGGTATTTTCTTCCTTCGAGTTCGCCACGACGGCGTAATAATCCTGAGAAAGGCACAAAGACGCCGCACTTGCTAACGGTGAGGTATCTTCGCTCTTCTTACTCCGCTTCCCAGATGTGGCTTCATCACAATGCACATCGAGCCCGTCGAGTCGCAGCTTGTGCTTGAGAGACCCATCGCTCGCGTCGTGCAGGGCCCAGACGCCATCGTCCCATAATACCATGAAAGTCTCCCCATCACTTGCCGCGCTCGCCACTCTGGCTTTTGCCGCGCCGTCCGGGTGCTCGATGTCCAGCTCCCAAGCCAATGTCACGGTTTGCGCGCGGGCAAGAAATGTGGCTATTTTGCGACCCTGAAAGTTACCATCCGTCGTCACTACGAGTGCACCAACTGATTCAGGTAAAACCGACGCCGTCTCTACTCGTCGAGAGCCTAACTCTCCACTCGTGCGCGCTTTGTCAATGTGTTCCGCCGACATCCCGAAGAGTTGGACCTCCCCCGTTGTCGTCACCACGAGAGCGCCGCCGTCCACCGCCACCAACTCACGCACTCGACCACTGCGTCCTAAATCGAGAGTTGTGACGCACTCTTTCGATGCTTCACCAACCGTCGCCGCGTTTGCGCTTTGCTCCGTCTCCCACGCGCACAAATACGATGAATCACTTTCTTGTTCCTTCTCCAAACACGCGTAATACCTGCCATTCGACCCACACGCCACCGCGCAAGCAAACTTTCGCCCTCGATCGAGCGCCAACGTTCGCTCTCGTTTCTGCGAAGCGTAAAAACGTTTTCATCGTCAGTTCTCGCTCCATTCGATCGCGTTTGCTTCGTTTGAACGCCTCGAGAGCGACGTGCTCGACTCGCCCTTCGCCCTCAGCCGCCACTTTTACGACGTCGCAAACTTCGAGCGATCGGCGCGCGCACAACGTCGTCCGCACGCACGCGACGCAACGCGTGCGTCAAATATTGTCATATATTTCGCGTCGATTGCGTGAACGCTCTTTTACCTCTTCCTCGACGTCGTACGTCACGACGCCGTCTTTTGCTACGGTGCTCACGCATCGACCGTCGCCCGCGCTTGTGACGCCGAGCAGGGCGTTATGCGCGTGCGTGCCGAGCTGCACGGAGCGCATGACGCTTTTTGATCGCTAGCAGCGCGCGCGCTGGACTATAGAACGTGCGTGAACGCCACGAAGTGACGCCCACTTGGTGTTTTAGCACGCCTGGAGACCGGCGGTTGGTCTGGCAAGAGATGGAGATGCGCTAGGAATTTAATGTCTATTAAATGGCATTCGTGTGAATACTCGGCTAAAAGCTAATAGAACTCTGCGTCCGCCCAAGCGGCGCCATCGCACCAAACGGCAGGTGCGTCTTGTCCTGCGAGACCAGGCAAGACGTTGGAACGCCAATACGGCGGGGTGTACTTTGCTGTGGAGAGTGTCATGGTACTGGCAGCGCTGATATCGATGTTGATCTCGGAGTACTTGTTGTTCACCAACGAAGTCCATACGGTAACACCATCGACGGCGATAGTGAATATGGCGCCGCACTGGGGATTATCGTCCGTACATGCACCACAACCGCCCGCATCGATGTCAGCTAAATGCTCTCTTACGATCCCCGCCTTTGCCTTGAAAATAGAAAACTGAATATCCGATGTACGCATGGCGGCGAGGTTGAATGAAAGAGTCGACCCACTGTCTCCAGCGGGTATCATGCCAATGCCGCGAACGATGGTGTCGTAGGACTCTTTCGTGTTGTCGCAAAAGTCTTCGCGGTTCCCAGCAGACGAAGTGCATGGTTCGTCTTCGTAAAAATAAATCCTGGAGTTCGACTCTAGAGTATAACCAGAGCAATCCAAACACACATTACCTTGTAAGTCAGTGATATAAGTCGTCGTCGTGCCAGTCACAGGGCTACCCAATCTTGTACCAAAGAGACATGATGCGTGTAATGGACGCACGCGCAGATCAGCGTCATCAACCTCTCTATCAAGTGCTTCGTCAGTGCACGTGGTTGAAATCAAACTATAGTCCTTCAAAGCGCATCCATATGTTTCATCTGTCACGTAGTGTGTTTCGCACGTACACACACCGGTAAGCTTATTGCACGTACCGTGACCTGCACAATCATTTGCGCAGTACTGAAATTCACAACCGGCCCCATAATACTGCGTCGCACAGAAGCACGTACCGGTTTCAAAGGCACAAGCACCGGCGGCGTTGCACTCTGATGAGCTTTTGCCGAACAAATCTAGTAGCTGTTGCTCACGCTTTACGAAAGTGCGGTACTCCTGCGCAAAATATTGTGCCTCGATTGCGACGCCACGACTGGGGATAGAGTCAACGTAAAATGGCTCCAGTGATCTCGCCGTTTCTCCGTCTTCAGAGCTGGTAAATTCCACGTAAGCCGATCCAACAAGATGCGCCAAGCTAAGCTCGTCTCCTTGAATTGCCCAAGCTGCAGGTTGGTCACCATTGGTTTCGCTAATCTTCACGTCATACACATCGAGACCGAGCGCGGTGTATTTGTCCTTGATAGGTTGCGTTCCGGCCGTGACGTCGAGCTTGTGCGTCGAATTACCTTCAAAAACGATGAAATTCTTCGCACATGTTTTTAACGAGCAATCCTTGCCAAAGTAAGGGTAATTACACGCACACTTTCCAGTTCCACCGGAGCAGTCTGTTTCGCCGCTTTCCGGGAAGTGCGTACATACTTGCCTCGAATCGCAGGCGCCATTATTACTGCAATCATTCGGACACGTTACTTGCGAGCAATCATCGCCGAAGTAGTCCTGATAACACTGACAAACGGGTGGCAGTTGCGAATCTTGGCACAGACCCTGACCGTTGCATAAATTTTTGCACCGTGACGCAAATGTTGAGACATCGTTCGCCAACGCTGCGAGACGACTGGTCAAAGATCCACCAGTTCTCGTCATGGTATTGCTGAATGAAATGAGCGCGTTTTCATAGTCGTACGCCACGTTATCGCAGCTCACAACGCTAATCTCGGGTAATCCATACTTTCCAGGTTCGGGATAAGGATACGAAGTTGCAAGTTGCATGACTGCTTTCACCGGTGAAGACTTGATGGTCATGTTCACGGTTAGCATAGACGTGGATGTATCGAACCATACAAGGTGTGTTTCGCCCAATGTTGCGATTTCCTGTAGCTTTGCTGATTGCGCCACCATTCGTCTAGTTAATTGACCGAGAAAACCTGGAACGTCTTGTGTAAAGACGGCCGACGTAACAAGATCCGCAAACTCAAAATCCTCGGGGAACACGATGACATCCTCCAACGTTGTTCCGTAGTCACTGAATCCGAGCCAGACCTCGTGCTGTGATGACATACCCACAACCGCGTCACATGATGGAATATATCTGTCCGTGTTCAACGCGGTCGAGTTGCAAGGAGTCGATAGTTTGATGACAATTATCTTCTCCCGCGTAAGCATTTTCGTTGCGCCGGCTGGAACGGGGAGCCCAGCAACATTTGTGTAAACGGCAGATCCAGCGCCGAGCGACGTTCCTAGTTTTTTAAAATAATTTAACCAGCCTTTCCAGCTGACGCCTTGCAACGCTGGTGCCGAAGCACCGCTGGATACGTCTCCTCGCTTCTGTACCGCAACTTGCTCTTTGAGCGCCTGGATCATATCAAGGTTTACGGCGTCAGAGTTGTTCGTTTGCAGCCACTGAATGGCCGCATCGACGTCGACTTCATCGATATTCGGCTTCTCTGCAATAGCGATGAGGGCATTACGGATCGTTTTATCCTCATCATTCAAAGGATTTCTATAATTGAAGCCAACGATTTCTGTCGGACTCGTCACGTTCCTATTTTCCAAGGCTTTGAGCGATTCTGTAACCGACCCCAAAGCAACGACGGCTTCGTATTTTTCAAAGATTTGTAACGCGTTTTCCCAGTGAAAGGACTTATCAACAAGAAGTGAGGTCTCATTCGTCGTCACTTTCACTTCAAAGTTGTGCTGAACTCTGTATATTGAGTCCGAGATCTCAAACTCAACTTGATACGTTGCTCCCAACGCGCAGCGCTCAGAAGCTGGGTGCCAATTGTTGCTCCTACATTGTACATCTGACCGTAATGGCACGCCAGTAAGTAGACGAGTCGTTGGATCAAACTGCAAAAACGTTGGTAACGTAATTGCCGTATACGTCAATAAGTCGTTCTCGTCTGGGTCCGTAGCAATGAGCGTGTACTCGTACTGAATGTCTTGGATCGCACTCGTGACTGGCGTACTTGTCACCGTCGGAGGATCAGCGTAAGTAAAGCCACGCTTTCGCGCTCCAGCGACAGCATCGATTGCATCTATTGCACATTCGGAGAAGGGATGCTCGGTCGATTCATCGCCGCAAAAACCCGCTTGGAACCCACCTCGCGGCCCTGCGATGCGGACGACGGTTGGGTCTCCAATCACCACCGCTACTGTGAGACCTACCCCGGAACCTGCTGGTGTAGTACAGCTCAACGCACCAGCACAAACGGTGGTATCGGACGAACAACGAGAATAACTCATGCGTAAGTCGATGCATTCTTTATCGCCGATGAACACGGTTTTGTCGTCAACGGAACTTCCAAAGTTTTGCCCGCTGATAGTGATTCTCGTGCCACCGACTCGAGGTCCAATCGATGGAGTCACCTCCGTGATGATAACAGGCGCCTGCGGAATTACGAAAGAATCCACCGCGAGCCAACCGAACGAACCCGAACGATAATCGAAAATCTCCAACCTAAAAACCTCCCCGTAATACTGTGCGAGTAAAGACTCCTCCCAACGTAAGGTTTCCCAATATCTTCTCGCGCGCACAGGTTTTGTCAGCACTCGATACCCATCGCTAATCCTCGTTAACGCAACTCCAAGCGCACCTTTCCCGTGCGAAGCTATGGGATACGGGTCTTGAGGTATGTCTGGGACGTTTTTATCTCCGCCGTTTGCCTCAAAGAACAAGCTCCCACGCCCGAGTGCGAATGAGATGCTTTGCACTTGAAGGACGCCGTGAATATCTTCGCGACGCTCCGTCGGATAGGCGCTACACAGCTGATAGTCTCCGCTGTGCGCTTCAAGAAAACATGTCTTCGTCACGGCAAAGTTTGGCAAACCGCTCGAGAGTAGCTTCCAATTCGGCCAAAACGTCCCCTCCTCGAAGCCCAACCGAAGCGGCGGTAATTCGTATCGTTCCACCACGTAATCCGGCAACTTATCTCGCCATTCAGCCAAGGGTAGACGCCAACCTAGAGTGGAGTATCCCAAGTTCGTCGTCGTCTTCTGCACCGTCGTCGTCGGCACGCCACCCGTGTACGGAGCGTAAAAGCAGTGCTCCAGGCCCGCCGCCTCCGCCGCGGCGTACGTCAACGAGTACGTACACGCCGCCACGTCCGCTACATTATTATATGGTGGCCCGTATGATTTTCCTTTATACGCGTACCTCGCGAAACTAAATCCCGGATCACCCGCGGTGCCGTACGAATCCTTCTCTGTAATCGCCGGTTTGCAACCCGCGGCGCGAAAAGAGTTCCCATCCTTGGACGGGCCGCAAACCTGCGTCGGGAACTCTGGATTATACCCCAAACCATCGTACACGGTCTCTAACCCCCATATCGCTTCACCACCGCTCGTTCTCACCCGCGCGAGCGCGACGACGACCGCGCACAGCGCGACGACACCACGGCCGCGGCCGCTGTCCCGGTCGTCGACGCGTCGACGCGCGCGACGGTACCTCGCGGCGCGCATCGCGCCGTTCGACGCGAAGACGCGCGCGGACGCGCGTGTTTTACGTTTTGCGCGCGTCGTCGGTGCGCATGGACGCTCGCGGGCGTGATATGCGAGGCGTGCTATGCCGCGGCTCGCACGCCAACGGCCTCGAGATTTCGGGCCACGCTCTCGAGGGCTTGTCAGCGCAGTCTCGACGCGCGCGCGCGCGGTGCGATCGCGCCTAGATTCGCTAGAAAACTGCAATATATAAAAATACACTATGGGCGAGCGAGCTATTCGCCGTCTCGACGCGCGCGCGCGCGTCGTGGCAACTAAGAAGCGTCTTCGCGCGAAGGCGATTCCAGGCGCAGCGCCGGCTTCGTCGCCGCGAGCAGAGCTCCCTCTAAACGCAACCGCCGCATCGTCGCCGCGTCCTCGTCTTCCAACGCCTCCATCGCATTTGCTTCTATCTCCGCGTCCCGCGCGATCGTCGCCGACGTCGCTCGCAACCGCACCGTCCGAACGTCGGCGACGGCGTTCGCCGCGCCGCCGCGATAGTCCCAAACCTCGCACGCGCATCCACCGTCGACGTACACGATCGGCAGCGCGCTCAGCGCCCCGTTTGCCGGCATCACGCCTCGGTGCAATACGTCGCTCGCGATCTCTCGCCACGCCCGGTCGTACTGATGCGTCAGCGCGTCCAGCGCGCGCTGCGCGTGCGCCAACCGGGACGTCCGACGCGCATCGGGCCACGGCGGCACGGGGCGCACGACGAACCCGCTCGGGAGCAAGACCAGGGCGAAGGACGGCGACGATGACGACGACGACGGCTCGGCGCCATCGCGAGCGCCGTCGTCGCCGCGCTCGCCCATCGAACGCGGCGTCGTCGCGATGTGACGACGCGCTGAGTCCGGCGCGCGTGACGTGATTCCGCGACGCGACGCGCGCGCGAACGATGTTCGGCCGCGTGCTCGCGATCGCGACGAGCTCGCAAAGCGCGACGTGCTGCGCCGGACTCAGCGCGTTCGGTGTCGTCGTCTGCGCGGCGCTGTCGCATCTGTTTAAGAAGCACTACGCGCACCTCGGTTCGGATTGGAAAGCGCCGGGAATGACGCACGAGATCGCGAGCGCGAATCTGTCGCAGGCGGCGGGGTTGTATGGGTTGTTTTTAGGGCTGTCCATCGCGAATTTGTACGTCAATCGCGCGCGCGGGCGGTAGACGCGGGCGGTAGAGAGGCGCGAGGAGAGGGGAGAGGCGCTCGCTAGAAGAAAGAACGTGTACAGATAGATAACGACAACAACTATTTCGAAGACAGCGCCAACGCGCCCTCGATGGCGGTCTCAGACATGACGATCGTCATCACTTCCTGCAGTCGCGCGCGATCGACGACGTAGAGGTAGCCCACGAGGCACTCGAGCGCGCTCGCGTTGCGATACGTCCCGTGCCCGCCCTTCCCTTTCCCTTTTAATCGCGTCGGAATGTTCCCGTACGCCGCGTTCCGCCCCCATTTTACGATTGAAACCTCCTCCTCGCTCAACGCGTCGCCGTCGATCAAGAGCCTGAGCAAAAAATCCTGCGCCTCGGCGCGCGCCAGTCGCTTTGTCTTCAAATCGTATTCGAGCGGTTTCGCGGGCGGGTAAAAAAACACCCCTCGCGCGTACAACTCGAACACGGCGTCGCCTAAAAACGCCAACGCGATCGGACTCCACTGCCTCGCCGATTTCCCTCGCAAATCGACCAAATCTTCGGGCACCCAAACCTCCCCCGGCGAGCTCGACCGCGCCGTCCCGCTCGCCTCCACGCGTTCGAGCGCGTCTGCGTCCTCGTCGTCTCCCCGTCAGTCACCGCGTCTTTCGACCAAACCGCACCCCGCCGTTCGCGCGCATCGCATCGCATCGCATCGCATCGCATCGCATCGCGCACCTCGTCCCGGGACGTACCCAGCGTCCACGTCCTCGTCGTCCAAATCCACCCTCGCCGCCGCGCGCGCGCGTCCTCGTCGCTCGCCCGCGTCTCGTCCTCGCCTCGCCGCCGCCTCGCCTCGCCGTCGCGCGTCGCGCGCGCCGCACCCTCGTCCCGCGCGCACCGTCGCCCGCGCACCGCGTCGCGCCGTCGCCATCGCGCGTCGCGTCGCGCCGTCGCCGTCGCCGTCGCCGTCCGCGGTCGTTACGCGCGCGCGTCCATCGATCGACCGATCGCGCGATCGGTCGATCGACGCCTCGAGGTTCGCGCGATCGCGCGATTCGCGGTCTCGCGATCGATCGCGCGTCGGTCGGTCGATGGACGCGGTCGCCGCGGTCCGGCGGTCGGTTTTTTTTGAAATGACGCCGCGACGACGCCGCGACGGACGCCGCACTCGCGAGCGTGACGCGCGCGCGCGAGATCGACGCCGACGGGCGTCGCGGCGGTGACGATGGTGGTGGTGTATAAACCCGAGTTCGTCGCGCACGACGGGACGGCGCCGATATTCTCCGTGGACGCCGCGCCGGATGGGTCGAGATTCGCCACGGCGGGAGGCGATCAAAAGGTGAAGGTTTGGGCGCTCGCGCCGGTGCTTGAACGCGAGATTGAGGCGGATGAAAACGCGCCGAAGTGCTTGGCGACGCTGAGCGATCACTTCGGACCGGTGAATTGCGTGCGGTTCTCGCGGAATGGACGGTATTTGGCGAGCGGGTCGACGGATACGAGCGTGTTGGTGTACGCGCTGCGAGAGGGACCGGGAAAGGCGGCGTTCGGGAGCGCGGATGCGCCGAACGTGGAGAATTGGACGATCGCGGCGAGGTATAGGGGACACGGATCGGATGTGATCGATATCGCGTGGTCGCCGGATGATTCCATGTTGGCGTCGTGCTCGCTCGACAACTTGGTGATTATCTGGGACTGTCGCACGGGGAATCCGGTGGCGACGCTTCGAGGGCACACGAGCTTTGTCAAAGGCGTGGCGTGGGATCCGATAGGGAAATTTCTGGCGACGCAGAGCGATGATAAGACGTGCATCATATGGCGTACGGATGATTGGACGCAAGTGGCCAAGGTTGAGGAACCGTACCAGGCGTCCATGGGCGCAACGTTTTCGATGCGCCTGTGCTGGAGCCCGGACGGCAAGGCGGTGACGACTTGTAACTCGTACAAAAAGCCGTCTCACACGGCATCGGTGTTGGAACGCGGGTCTTGGGGGAGCAACTTTGACTTCGTCGGACACAAAGGACCCGTCGTTGCCGTGCGCTTCTCGCCCGTGCTTTTCCACGACGAGAAGCGAGATAAAGTTCACACAGTCATCGCGTGTGGGTCGCAAGACTGCAAACTGACAATTTGGACCACGAACAGGCCAAAGCCAGTGTGTATCGTGCGTAAATGCTTCTCGCAGTCCGTGGTGGACTTGTGCTGGACTCCGGATGGGTACACATTGCTGGCGTGCAGCACCGACGGGACACTGTGCACGTTTAAGTTTGACCCGGCTGAAATCGGTGAAAAGTTGGACGACACCGCCGCTGAAGCCTTTTTGTCCGAGACGTACGGTGATATCAAACGCAACCGCGCGCCCATGCTGGAAGATCCCACGTTGCTTGGATTCGCGGCGGCTGCGCCGGGCGAGTTAGACGACGTGTCCAAGGGTGTGAAGACAACTCCGCCGCCCCCGAAGCGAATTCAGCCCGCGCCGATTCGAAGTAATAATGGCGTAGCACAAAACGGAGTGGCGACAATATCAGCGCAACGCGAGACGGTGAGTAACGACGGTCGTCGACGCATTGTTCCCGTCGCAGCCACCGGTCCATCTGTGGGCACTCCAGTCAAGGCACCGCAACGCGTGCAGCTCCAGCCTTTGCCAGCGAATCCGCAGCCTCAAAATTTGCAGGATGCTACGAATGGATTGAAACGTAGAATAGAACCTACGGCAATGAATGGGGGCAATGGAGTGCAGAGTGCTTTTGAGGCGCCATCTGCGCCCGCACCGAAGCGAGTGGCGCTTCAACCGACGCAAGTGCAGCAGGTTCCACCGACTACTCCGTCGATGCCGCAGCGTTCGCAAATTCCTACTACAGCATTGCCCGCACCACCGCCTCTTCCCGTGGCTCCGGCGCCCGGTTCGATGCACATACAACTCGTTGAGCCAAACTTAGAGGCGGATGAAGGAAGCGAGGAACGCGCACCACTACTTCTCGAGGCAAAGAACCACCATGAGCGCTCTTATGTGGAGCTGGTTTGCTCGCAAGCGGGTAAGATGAAGTGGACGGATCGCATCGATATGAAAGCTACTCATCTCAGTGGAAATAAGAACTTCTGCGCTGTTGCTCTTGAGGATGGTTCATTGCAACTCTACACCCCATGCGGTCGGCGTTACATGCCGTCTCTGCTTTTGCCTGATCGAGCTGCGTTCTTAGTGTCCGGCAAAGATGATTCGTCCCTTTTGATCGTTACTAGAGACTACACGCTCCTTGTGTGGAACGTGGCCGTGGGCAAAGAAACTTGCACGCTCAAGGCGGACTGCTCGGCGCTCGTGCGTAGTTCCTCGCGCTCTGGAGTTGCGCTCGCGACGGTGCGACTGTCAAAGTCCGGGGCTCCGATTTTCACCTTCACGAATGGTTACGCTTACGTCTATCACAGTGATCTGCAAACGTGGGCTCGAGTTGCCGACCAAAGCTTCATGCGATCGGAGTTTACATCTCGGCTTCGTCAGCCGGGTAGTTCAGGCTTTGGGGAAATGCAAGCATTGCAAATCGCCGCTGCCCGCGCTGCCGCGCACGTAGGACCAGCTGCACTGCTGCAGACAAGTGGACTGACAGCACGCCGCGAAACTGGCAGACACTTAGAAATTCTAGTTGCGGGTGCAGCCATGTTGCAATCCGCGGACGAATTCAAATCGTGGCTTGCGGCGTACGTGCGTCACTTGGCGACTGAGTGCGGTGATGATCCTCGCACTACGTTTGTCGGGGCAGAATCACAACTTCGCGAAGTTTGCACCGAATTCCTCGGGCCTCTGAGTGCGAGCACGTCAGTCGACACGTGGGCTTCAGAAATCCTCGGCATCAAGAAGCGCACGCTCCTTCGTGAAGTGATAATTCCGACCATCGCGGCGAATGGCAGCGCTCAGCGACTCATCGCCGAAGTTGTTACGCTGTTGGAAGCCGCGGAACAGCGCGAGAAGGACGCAACAAAAATTTGAGCGAGTTCATGATGACTTCTAGATGTTTGTGTAAAATTACAATCAAATCAATACTCTAATCGTCGCCTCTTGGGTGATTCGCCGCCGTCGTCTTCGTCGGCGTCGTTCATCTCAACCGTATTCAAAGTCGTGGTGTCGTCGTCATCTTCAGCGTCTTCGATATCATCGATATCAATATCTCCAATATCTTCTATGGAGTCCTCCCGTACGGCTACGTCATCACTCTCTTCATCTTCATCGCCATCGTCGTCGGCTATGCCAGTTCTATCGATAAAGTCACCCTCTTGTCTGTCGGCGTGGGTCCACACCGCCGATCCGCTCGCGTTCAAGTTGTTTGTCGACCGAGCGCCTCTACCCATGTTCTCGTTGAACTGCGTAACACTCGACTGTCCAACTTTAGTGTTTGCAAAAACAGCTTGATCGATTTCGTCTTGCGTGTACTTGATCCACGACGGACACTCTGCCGAGCTCAGCAAAGCGCCTGGCCAATCGAGCTCTTCGTCCAAACGGTTGAACAAGTCCCATTCTTCTTGAGAGCGAGCGATCTTGCCGTTAAGTTCTTTTAACGGAGGCACGCTTACGCCTGTTCGCGTGCCATTTGCTTGCTGCTGAAGAAGGTTTTCGAGAGTTTCCCGTCGTTCGGCATGCGTCGTCTGACCATCAAATCTACCGGCATCAACAATTTCAGCAGCCATTTCAATCTTTTGTTTTTGAATGACGTTGCGAACGGACGACTCGAGGGATTCGCAGTAGCTTCTATTTGGACCGCCCCAACCAACTTCTTCCTTCTTGCTTCCCTTCTTTTTCTGCACGATGTCATCGTCGACTGCTTCAAAGTGGATCACACGCACTTCTCGCGTTTGGCCGATGCGATGCGCTCGTGCGATGGCTTGTTCTTCATTTTTCGGGTTTGGATCTGGATCGTACACTACCACGGTATCCGCCGTCTGAAGATTCAAACCACGACCAGCGGCTCTGATAGAGAGCAAGAAGATAAACTTATCGCTGTGAGGTGCGTTGAAATCGTTAATAGCAATCTCGCGCTGCTCCAATGAAGTGTTTCCATCGATGCGACAATACTTCAAGTCTTGACCATCCGGAGTGGTCCATCTCCACTGTAAGTAGTTTTCCAACAAGTCAAGGAGCTTTGTCATAGTACAGAATAACAACACTCGATGCCCTGAGCGTTGCAACTTCACGAGCAATCGATCCAATATCCAAAACTTACCGCCCGCGCGCACAAGGTTCGGACCTCGGAAATCTCCACCCTTTTCAGGAGGGTAACTCAGCGACGGATGATTGCAGAGCTTGCGGAGTTCCATCGCCCTGTTTTGGAGTGGCAAGTACCCACGGAAGTTTTGCTGTGCCGCCAGTCCTATTCTAGTTCCTGGTTCAACGCGAATGGAGGCCGTTTTACGAATCCAGTCGTAACAAGCTGACTGAAAGGCGCTGAACGGACAGTGGACGATGACGGTGACGCGAGGCGGAAGCTTGCTCTCAACATCTTGCACTAATCGTCTCAGCATGAAAGGCTCAAGAATCTGATGCAAACGACTAATGACGATAACCTTCTTTTCTCTCTCGATCCAATCTTCGCCGTCGGCGTCGTTACTAACCTTCGAGTTCCCTCCAAACCATTCTTGAAACACTTTTGACGAGTCGAACACCTCAGGTAAGAGCAAGTTTAGGAGAGACCAAAGCTCGGACAACTCGTTTTGTAACGGAGTACCGGTGAGAAGTAAGCGACGTTGCGCTCTAAATTTATCCAAATCCCGACTCAAGCGACCTTCGCGATCCTTCAGCCGATGCGCTTCGTCGATGATGATGTACTTCCATGCCACTTTGCTCAACTTGGATCGATCTCGCATGATGAACTCGTAAGAAGTGACGAGGACGTTGAACTTGAGCTGCAAAACTTGTTGCTGGAAAATTTTAGCGCGCGCATCCTTTGAGCCGACGTAAAACACGGTGGATAGTTTCGGCAACCATCGCCTGATTTCGGCTTTCCAGTTCACAATCACGGCGTTTGGTACGATGATGAGATGCGGTCCAAAGTTTTGCTTGCTTTCGAACAAGTAAGCAATCAACGCACACACCTGAACTGTTTTCCCGAGACCCATTTCATCAGCTAAAATACCATTTAACTTATTGTTATACAGCGAAATCATCCATTGCAGGGACACGAGCTGATAATCGCGAAGTTTTCCAAAGGTCAACATGCGCGGTTGATGTGTGATGATTTCTTGCGTACTATGCGCCATGGCATAGTATCGCTCCTTCGTGTCTCCACCATCCGCAGCACCGTCTAAAATGGCTTCACCATGATCAATAGCTGCACTGTTTGCCGCTTCTTCCGCGACGACTTTGACTTCTTCCTCAGTAAGACCTTTGGCCTCGGCCTCTGATGCGGCGGCGGCGGCGGCTTCTGAACGCGCTTGCTCAATCTTCACCGCGGCAATTTTCCCTCCAAGCTTGGTTAAGTACGATTCAGTTGCGTTTAAGAACGAAGTCAAAGCTTCATATTTGTCACCCTCGCCTTCAGCTGTCATATCAGTCTCGCGACCTCTCGCCTCTGCGAGTAACTCGCGATATGCGGCTAAATCGTTCGCCTTTAACGCTTCCAGGCGCAACAAACGTTCTGAATTTTCATCGCGAGCCTTTCGCATGAATTCGCGGTTCAACTTTTCGTGCATTTTCAGCACAGCTTTGTTTCTTGCTAAGCGCTCATCGCGAGCGTTGTTCGACTCTTCGTTGATACGTTTACGCATTGCTAGCACACTGCGATAGAACGCTGTCTGTTCTTGCTTCTCCTTCTTCTCAGCCTTCTTCTTCTTCTCAGCGAGTATTTTGATGTTGTCCTTGACCATCTTCTTATACGCTCGCTCCGGCATCTGCATTATCTCCTGTTGCGCAAACACGAGCTCATTTCTTACTCGCTGTTGAACCCTCACCAACTCAAGCTGTTTGATGCGATTTTCCAAGGCGAGCCGTTGTCCGTCGTCGTCCATCTCATTCAAAGCATCTGCTTCCTCTCGCAGCCGTTCGATTTCTCGCAAATGTGCGTGTTCCAACAACCTCTTCCCCTCGCGTTCTAAAATCTCCACCGGTTTCGTCGCCAATCTATTCACGTCGGCTAGATTCAACTCGGCTCGACCGTCACCGTCGCGCTTCCTCGCAAACTTCGCCTTGGCCGCATCGGTCGACCTTTCATCCGAAAGTTGAGAAAACAGCGGTAATTCTCTATACGAGTACATCCACTCGGCGTGCGTGAAGTACGTCTTCGTCGCATCGCTCAGGCGCAACTCCGCCCCGCACCCCAAGTCCAACAAGCCAAAAACGCGCTCCTTCGTCGCGCGCGGCGTCCCTTGACCCGGCAGCACGAACCGATCGCCCGCGCGCAGCCTGCGCAACATCGCTATTTGCCGCTTCAACTCATCGAGCTGATCGCCCGCGAACGAGCTCTGGACGAGGAACCGCACGGTCTCGCCGTCAATCTTGCCGAACAGCTCCGTCGTTCCGGCGGTCGTCGTCGGCGCATCGTCGTGAGGCATCGACGCGATCGCGCCGCGTTCGGCGGCATCCATGACGGCGACGCACGCGCGTTCGACGGACGCGTCGTCCGTCGACGTCGTGCGCGCGTGAGTGAGGCACGCGAGCGAGGCGCCGCAGGTTTTGGCGGCGCGCGCGAACGCGAGCTCGCGAAGTCATCGCGGCGCATCGAGGGTTGGTGTGGAGTCGGTGATACACAATGCGATGACTTTATCTTTAAAACGCATCTAAACATACTTGCGTGCGAATCACGCACCTTTGAGAGCTTCCGCGAGGACGAATAAATCGAGCACGAACCAGTCGGCTTCGGCTTCAACTTTGGCGCGACGCTGGGCGCCGCCGTAGCCGACAACGATGTCGGCACCGCCGGGGATCTTCGCTTCAAGATCGGTGGCGCCGTCGCCGACCATGACCATCGTGTTGTACCCTCGACTCGATTTGATGTGCTTGACCGCCTCGGCTTTGCCACCCGAACGCGAGGTGAACTCGCCGGCGTCGTAACCTTTCAGCGAGCCGTCCTCGTTGAACGTTATCGTATTGGCGTAGATATTTTCGACTGGAATACCCAAACCTTTCGCCACGGGAGCGATCATCTGTCTGAACCCACCGGAGACGAGGTATACTTCTTTACCGCTCGCGCGCAACGCGGCAGTGAGTTCTTTGATCCCCGGTGAATATTTCGGCGGGTTTTTCGCCACGTACGTCTCCAACTGCTCCCGAGTGATCGCCATGGCCTCTAATCTCGCTTGTAAAGCCTCACCGAAAGGCATCCCTCCCTCCATCGCCTTTTTTGTGATGGCCTCTACGCGTTCGCCCGCACCGACGTACGCCCCGAGCTCGTCGATGCCCTCATCTTCGCACACCGTGCTATCCACATCGAACGCCACCGCATCACACGTGCGCCACATATCCAACACCGAAACGTGCGGCGCTCGCGGCGCGCTCGACGACGACACCGCTCGCGTCGTCGTCGTCCCCGTCCCTCGACCTCGTCCCGAGCGTTTCGCCATCCCTCGTCCCCCGCTCAGCGACTCGCAGCTCGCCGTGCGCAGCAGCATCGCCTCAGTGCTCGCTCACGATCGGCGTTCGCAGCGCGCGCTTCTTCGCCAGCGCTTCGACGCGTCGTTCGGCGTCTTCCAGCGTTTCCACGGAGACCAAGTGCTTGACTTGATTCAACTTTCCTCGCGCGCCGGCGTCGTTCGGCACGATGCGCGCGTCTCGAGTCTTGCGCAGACCGAGCGCGGACAAGGTCTGGAGGATAGTCTTCGGTTTGCCCGCGGTACCTCGACGTAAGGTGACGAGGAGGTGGGACATGCGTCGCGTCGCGAAGTGAGCCACGGCCTGAAAACACCCGGAAAACCCTCGAGTTCGAAGAGGTGTCCGCGCCGTGAAGACGCGGGACGACGATTGTGACGATGAAGGATCCTCGGCGTCAGCACTGAGACTCTAATTAAAATATTGAATTGCGTCATCTAAAGGAGAGCGAAGACGAAGGCGTCGTCGCCGCGGTGCGTTCGAAACGCAGAGTCCGCGACTGCCGACCGTGTTCGCCATCCTCAACAAAACGTTCTGGACGCGCGCTTAACCGGAAATCTCCGGAGCGGTCTCGGCGAGACCCATGGCGTTGAGGCCGTTGTCGACGTAGATGGTCGCACCGGTGATGCCGGAGGCGAGCGGAGAGCACAAGAAGGCGGCGGTGTTACCGATTTCGATGGCTTCGAGCGGCTTCTCCTTGAGCGGCGCGTTGGAGAGAGAGTAGTTGATCATCTTGTCGATGAACCCAATCGCCTTGGCCGCGCGAGAACCGAGAGGACCGGCGGAGATGGTGTTGACGCGGATGCCCCACTTGCGACCGGCTTCGTACGCGAGGACGCGGGTGTCGGACTCGAGCGCCGCCTTCGCGGAGGACATACCACCACCGTAGCCCGGAATGATTTGTTCGGAGGCGAGGTAGGTCAAAGAGATGGCGGCACCACCCTTGTTCATCAACGGTCCGAAGTGTTGGATCATGGACACGTTGGAGTAAGAAGACGCCGAGATGGCGGCCAAGTAACCCTTACGGCTCGTTTCGAGCAAAGGCTTGGCGACTTCCGGGCCGTTGGCCAAGGAGTGCACGAGAACATCAATCTTACCGAAATCTTCCTCGACGCACTTCGCGACTTCGCTCACGGTCCACTTTTCGTTACCCGCGTAGCGCTTGTTCGTCGCGATGTCCTCCGGAACGTCGTCCATCGCGTCGAACACGGCGTCCATCGGGTAAATCTTCGAGAACGTCATCATCGATCCATCGCTCAATTTACGCGATTCGTCAAACTTCCCCCGTCGGTACGACGTCTCGAAGATGTTCAGCGCCGGAACCCAAGTCCCGAGGATCACCTCCGCGCCGGCTTCGCTCAGCGCCTTCGAGATGGCCCACCCGAACCCGTTATCGTCCGCCACGCCCGCGACGAACGCCTTCTTCCCTCGCAGATCGACGTTCAATCCCGCCCGCGTCGTCGTCGTCGCTCGCGGTCGCGCCGCGCGCGCCCCGCGCGTCGTTCGCGCGCGCGTCCCCGTCACCGCGCTCGATTGTCGCATCGTCGTCGCGCGCATCTTTCCTCTTCGCGGTGTCGTTCTCCGTCCGTCGTCCGCGGTCCGGCGCGCTCGTTCGCGTCGCTCGCGGTCGCGCGTCGGTGCGTCGCGCAGTGTCGCCCGCGCGCGCGTCGAGTCGTCGTCGCCGTCGCCGTCGTCGCGCGGTCGCTTTATCCGTTCCGGGTCAGGTTAGTCCGCGGTGGAGGTCCGTGTTTTTAGCTTTCGTCGTGAGACCGACCGACCGACCGACCGACGACGCACATCGCGACGACGACGACGATGATCGCGACGACGACGACGACGACGGCGACGACGACGCGTCCGACGACGCGAACGCGCGCGCGAACGACGCGGGCGGCGACGCGCGCGCGCGACGCGCGACGGGACGAGACGACGACGACGGTGGGACGCGTCGCGACGGCGGTGGCGATGGCGACGGCGACGGCGACGGCGACGCCGACGATGGCGATGGCGATGGAGGGAAGCGGACAGGAGATCTCGCCGTTCGCGGGCGCGGTGGACGTCGCGGCGCTGGCGGTGCTGGCGTACCTGGCGAAGCTCGGGAACGAGAAGGCGGCGAGGGAGTCGTCGGCGAAGACGAAGACGTCGAGGACGACGCGAAGGAAGTGAGCGAGCGACTGGGCGATTTTTTGTAATGATGTGACTAGTGTACTAGTGTCTAAGACGATTTCGCGACGATCGACGCTAGCGGAATTCGCGGTTGCGCAAGACGAAGGGGGCGAGCAAGGCCCACGTGTAGAGCGCGGCGCTCGCGTACGCCGCCGCGACCTTGGCCCAAGCGCTCTCCCAACCGGCGGCGCTCCGCCCGTTCGTCCACTCCGTGAAAGTCATGGCGCAGTAAGAACTCGCGGTGAAGAAGACGAAATGGAAGAAGGTGACGTTGAACGTCGACGTGGGATCTTCGCTTCCCTCGGCGCCTTCGCCGGCGAACGCGCTCTTGGACGAGGCGCTGTGCGCGGTGACGCCGAGCGCGAACAGGGCAAAGACGAATCCGATGACCGAGAGTATTGAGCTCAAATCACCATCTTTTGATGCGGGCGTGCACGCGTAATTGTTCGGTTCGGACGCCAACGCCGAGGCGAGCACGTACATGCAATAAAACGTCATCGCGCCCGACGTGAACAAGCCTCCGTTGACGCGGGCGTGCAGAGAAATCACCGAAAATATCACGCACACGATCAACATGCACGTGATAAGCGCGATGTTTCGATGACATTCGCTCGACGGCGCCCAGAGCTTGTAGAGAAAGCCGACCAGGGTGAACGCGAACGCGTACGTCGCCGCGGACGAAGTCAGCAAGAGCGCGAAACTCCGATTTCCCCCTTCATCCATGCCTGACATGAGCTTATCGTTCAAATCGTACACCCAACCGAGCAAAACGATGAGTTGGATCAGCAGGAACACCGCCGCGAAGAACCGATCGACGTTCACCAGCCCAGAGTAGTCGTTCAACGTCACCGCGAACGCGGCGACGAGCAACCCGAGCCAAATGACCCCTTTCACCAACCAAAAACCTTCGTTAAACCTCACGCGCGCGCTCGTCCGATCGCTTTCCTTCACCATGAACGTCACCACGAGCATGAACGCGAAAAACAACGAGTTTCCCAGTCCGACGCGCACCGCCGTCTCGTGCGCGCAGCTCCTCGCCGCGAGCGCGTCTCGACACGCCCACCCGAACGCCTTCCCGAGCCGCGACGACGCCCCTCTCCCATCTCTCAGCGCCCACGTCGCGAACGCCAACGCCACGAACGCGCCCGCGTACTTCCGCCGCCACGACGCGACCCCGACGTCGCGCGGCGCGCCCGAATCATCGTCCCCGCGTTCGACGTCGCCGTCCTTCGCACCGTCGCGCCTCTCGCGCGTCCGTCCCCGCGCGAAGCACCCGCGGCACGCGCTCGCGGCGCACGCCCCGCAGCACGCCCCCAGGCACGCCGACATCGTCGCGGCGGTGCGCGGACCGCGCGCGCGTCGCGTCGCGTCAACGGCGTCGTTCGAAAACACCCGGGAGTGCCGGATGTTCAGAAAGATCCGTGTGTAAAAGAGTGAGACTCGCGCGACGCGCCAAATCCGCGGCGCGCGACGGCGTCACACCCCGCGGTCGCGGCGACCGCGCGCACGACCGCGGCGAGCGACGGGAGGCGTCGAGAAGAGCGCGAACGCGCGTGACCCGACGTCGCGCGAGACGCGAGCGCGACGCGCGGGGACGGGAAACGCGCGAACTCGCGCGAGGCGTTCGAATCGAGGACTCAACACCCTTCGGCGAGCGCGGCGTCGATCGCGCGTGGCGACGGAGGGTGCGCGAAGGATAGGGCGCGCGGCGCGAGGATAGGCGCGGGAAAGGATGCTCGGGATGATACCGAGCGCGCGAGCGAGCGCGACGGAGCGCGTGGCGTTGCTGGGGACGTCGACGAGCGCGGCGGCGAGCGAGGATCGCGCGCTCGAGGACGAGCCGACGACGAGTCCGGGGCGTCGAACGCGGAGAGATGGGTTGGTGAGCGTGCGTGGGATCGTGAGTTTAGTTTCATTCGTCGCTGTTGTCGTAGCGGTGGCGTTTGGGTACGTGCGAGAGGGTGAGAGACACGCGCGTGCGAGGCGATTCGCCTCGCTCGGGGCGACCGGGTATCCCGGCGACGGGTATCCCGGCGATGGGTATCCCACGAATGAGTACCCGACGGATGGCAAGGTGCATCACTTGAAGGTGAAACCCGTGGGGCACGCGATTTGGCTCGGCTCAGAGCTGCCGAACGTGAAGCGCGCGTTCTTGAACCAGAACAAGAAGATTCTTCACAAGGTGGGATGGAAGATCAAGCTTTGGCGGAGCGCGGACATTACGCCTGAAAACTTTCCGTACACCTATCACACCATCAAGCGTGCGTTAAAGTACAACTTAAAGCATCATGAAAACGTGTTTTCGATGATTGGGGATTTGATGAAGTTTGAGATCATGTATCACCACGGTGGGCTGTACATGGATACAAACATCGAGCTCTTGAGAGACCCGACGGATTTGTTCTCCGTCACGGCGACGCTCGGTAAGGAGGTTTTCTTAGTGGCGGATCCCGGGGGAGACAAACGATTCGCATCAGCTGGTTTCATGGGGGCGCTGGAGAAGCATTCCGCACTGTTTGCGTCGCTGATCACCAATAAGGAATATCTCGACGCCATTCCGTTCGACGAGCACTGCATCGCGAACGCCTGGACGGGGCCGATGTACTTGACGCTCAAGGTGTTACATTTCGATAACGCTGTCATTTTAGATCGCGATACTGCGTATCCATTGCTGTGCGGCCAAGATGGGCGAGACATGTGCTTAGAGCAGGTTGATCACGAAGCTTTAGTGGGCGAACGCGTGTCAAAGAAGGGCTCCAAGCTCGTCGTAGATAAAAACGACCCGGAGAAGATTTGGCGCATCAAAGTTCCTTGCAAGGAGATTCGTAAGCTCTACCCCGATGCGACTGCGCTGGATCATTTCAGTCTCGGCAAGTCGTGGACGGGATGCGATCCCGAGGTGAAAACGCAGCGTTTAGTAGACTGGACGCTCAACTACGTGCACGATCCTTCGTCTTTCATTTTCGATTTCATTCTCGATCAAGTTCGTTGGTCCGAGGCTGATAACGTAGATGTCATGACTGAAAAGCTCGTGAATCGCCGCATGGGCTTGCTCGGTACGGCCGACGTCTCGGCGCAGCTCGTGGTGTTAGCGAACACAGCGCGTTCCGGCGCACAGCTGATGTCTGAACTCTTGCGACAAGCATTCAACGCCGACGAAGACACGGTGGTTTGGGAAGATGACACCGGTTTCCACTCTGATATTCCTTTGTACAACAGATTCTTGGACATTGGAGATTTGTGGTCAGAACGTGCGTTAGAGATGGACTGGGTGACGCGGGACATGAAGCCGAAGATTTTGCAGCTCGGCGTCGACGAGGACGTCTTCAACAACTTGGTGAACCACCCGCGTACGTTCCTCGATCAGCTTTTGTTGGGCGCGGCGAGACACGGTTATCGGTACGTGATGACGAGAATTGGTTGGAACAACGCCTTGGGTGGTGCTCGAGCGACCAGACGCATCGCACGTACGATCTTGGATGAATTCCCCAAGGCGAACGTCTTCTTCCTTGAGCGCGCGAACATTCTCGCCCAATACGCTTCGTTGGCGGCGGCTGAGGAGACGGGTGTTTGGATGAAGTTCTCGGATCCGTTGAAACCGGAATCGAAGGACGAAACCATACCGACACAAGTTGTGTTTGACTTTGAAAAGTTCAAGCAAACTTTCCAAGAAAGACACGACTGGATTGAGTTCTTCATGAATGAAATGCGAGCGCGCAAGCGGCAATACGTGCACTTGGTGTACGAAGAGCATTTGGCAACCGCGGCTCGCCAAGTACAAACGTTGAAGAGAATCAAAGAAGCATACGGCTGGGACATCGACGTTAACCCGACGTACTTGCGCAACTCGGTGCACTTAGTGCCCACGCAAGAGACGGAGCTGCGCCAGCGTTTCGACAACCCAGAGGCGATTCCAGAACTGCTCACGCAAGCGTTCCCGCTCGATGAGCTCGTATAGGGAGTGACACGATTGACTCCACACTATAGAATAACTTAACGCATTCGATGTAACTAGTACATTGCAACTACCTAATCGTCTAATCTAAGTAACCCGCCATGGCTCGCCGGCGTCGTTCGCGGCGTCCTTCCGCTATATGATTTTCGCAAATCGCTATCTCTCGGCGTCGTCGCTGCGCGTCGAGCGGGTGTCGTGACGCGTCGGAGTAAACTCTTCCCCGCTTTCGACAGTCCATTCGGCGTAGGTGCGCCGCGTCGCGTCCGAGGCGTCGGCGTTGCGGAACCGCTCGCGTTTCGCGCGGTGAGTTCGCGCAATTTTCGCTCTCTCGCGCTCGAACCTTTCATCGAAAACTTCCCCGCGCCCGCTAGTTCTTCTTCCGTATCTTCCAAGCGTAATGGTGTCGATATGATTTGACCCCACGTCATAATTGGGCTCCCTTCGACGCCCGGAGTCATGCTCGGTGTGTGCACGCGCTCGTAGCGCTTCAGCGCCGCGCGCTTACCTTCGCTTCCGTCTGTGCGTGGCTTTGGCGCCACAAATCGCGTGTTCGCCGCAATCGTGACCTTAGGTTCGCTCGCCACGATGCGTTGGCGCTCTTTTAACGACAAAGCCACACCATTTGGGGCGGTGTACAGGCTATCGTGACCGACGACGGCGACCACCTTTGCTGCGGATGGATCACTTTCGGCAACCTCTGCGCCTTCGACAAGCGCCAACGCGGATGACGGCTGGGGATGAGACGCCAGGGCGGCGATTAAAGCCGCTCGACGCGACGGTGGCGCCGTGACGGCTTCCAAATGCCGCTTCTTTAACGCCCGCTTCGCCTCGCTTTGTTTGACAATTTCGGTAAACGAAGCGTTGTCCTCCGACGTGTACTTGGCCAAAAACCCATTCACGCTCAAGTGACGGTCCTCCTCGTACGCCGTAGATCTCCCACGCATGCCCTCGATCCCGCGTCCTTCGTAGTCTTCGTAGTCTACGAATTCCTCCTCTTCGTCGTCGTCTTCAAAATCGTTCGCCCTCTGCGGCGTCTCCGTCTCCCAGCTCGCCTCCGCGTCGCGCGCCGTCGTCCCCGATCCCCCGATGCTCGGCGTCCCCACCACCCCACCCCGAGAACCAACTCTTCGCATCCTCTCCACGTTCATCTCTCGATGCACCGCCGCGATCGCCCGCGCGTCTCCCCGTCTCGTCGCCTCCAGCAGCGCCGCCTTCAACCGATTCGTTCGCAAATCCGGAAAATAATCCCTCTCGATGATCGCCTCCAACCGCGCCGCGTACTCCTCCTCCTCCAAAACCTCCTCTCGCGCGCCCCTCCCCCCCCCACGCGCCCGCGTCCGCGCGCCCGCGTCCGCGCGCGCGCCCGCGTCCATCGCCGAGGACGATTCCGAAACCGCCTCCTCGTCGCGACGCGCCCTCGTCGCTCGCGCGCGCGCGCTCGCGCGCGCCGTCGTCGGCGTCATCGCGCCCGACCACTCCGCGTCGTCGTCGCGCCGCCGCCGCGTCGCGCACTCGCGCGCGACGCGGTCGCGCGTCGCGTCGACGCGCGTCGTCGGACGTCCGAAATCACACCGCGCGCGGCGCCGATATCACACGGCGCGTTTCGATGGTCGCACACGCGCGCCGAACGCTCGAGTCGCGACCCGTCGCTCGACCCACGCGGGTTTTTCGCGGTCGTCGCGCGCCGTCCGCGGATCGCATCGGATATCGCGATCGCGCGCGTCGCGCGCGTGGTCGACTCGAATCGCGTACACTGTGCGAAAAACCTCGATGTGCGAACGATCGGACGCGCGGACGCGCGCAAGCCCTAAACGGCACGTCGCGTCGGCGCCGCCGGGACGTCGCGGCATCGCGCATCGTGCGCGCGCGCGCGCGACACTCCACGTCGCGCGCGCGCTCGCGAACGACGGTTCACGCGACGCCGACGGACGCACGTCGTTTTCGCACATCACGCGCTCGCGCACGTCGACGCGCTCGACGGTCGCCGAACACAGCGAACGCGCGCCTCGAGACGCGCCCCGGGACGCGATCGCATCGCGCCGCCGAATTTCTTGACGTTCCGAGCGAACGAGTTTTTGAGGACGACGCGAGATGTCTGCCGCGACGGCGACGAACGTGACGAACGATGCGAAAGCGTCGAACGCGACGGCGAACGCGGATGGGACGACGCCCGCGGCGCAACAACCGGGGGCGGGGACGAGCTCGCTGTACGTCGGGGACCTGGAGACCTCGGTGACCGAGGCGCAGCTGTACGAAAAGTTCTCATCCATCGGACCGGTGGTGTCGATTCGGGTGTGCCGGGATTTGATCACGCGACGATCGCTCGGGTACGCGTACGTGAACTTTCAATCGCCGAACGATGCGGCGCACGCGATTGATGTGTTGAACTTTCAAGTCATCAACGGGAAGCCGATTCGCGTGTTGTACTCGCAGCGAGATCCGGCGGTGCGAAGATCTGGCGTGGGGAACATCTTCATCAAGAATCTCGATAAGGCGATCGACAACAAGGCGTTGCTCGATACCTTTGCGCAGTTCGGGACGATCACGAGCGCCAAGGTGGCGATGGATGGCCAAGGGAACTCGAAGGGCTACGGCTTCGTGCAATTCGAGACCCAAGAGGCGGCGCAGGCGGCGATTGACAACGTCAACGGTATGGAACTGAACGACAAGCAAGTGTACGTCGGTCCGTTCCAACGCCGTGCCGAGCGCTCGAACACCGGCGAAGCCAAGTTTAACAACGTCTATGTTAAGAACTTGAGCGAAAACTTGAGCGACGAAAAGTTGCGTGAAAAGTTTGCCGAGCACGGCGCGGTGACGAGCTGCGTCATCATGCGCGACGAAGAAGGCAAGTCTAAGGGCTTCGGCTTCGTGTGCTACGAAGAACCTGAAGGCGCGGCGGCCGCGGTCGAAAAGCTCGACGGGTACACCGAGGATGAAAAGACTTGGGTTGTCTGCCGAGCGCAAAAGAAGGCTGAGCGCGAAGCCGAATTGAAGGCCAAGTTCGACCAAGAACGCCGTGAACGCATGGAAAAGATGGCGGGCGCCAACCTCTACATCAAAAATCTTGAGGACGGCACCGACGATGAAAAGCTTCGCGAATTGTTCAAGGAGTTTGGCACCATCACCTCTTGCCGCGTCATGCGTGACGCCTCGGGCGTTTCTCGCGGTTCCGCGTTCGTCGCCTTCTCTTCTCCCGACGAAGCCACCCGCGCGGTGACGGAGATGAACGGTAAGATGGTCGGTGCCAAGCCGCTCTATGTCGCTCTCGCGCAACGCAAGGAAGAACGCCGCATGCGTCTCCAAGCGCAATTCGCGCAGCGCATGCCGGGCGCCGGTATGCCGGGTGGCATGGCTCCGTACATGCCGCCGCCGGGCGTGCCAGGTGCTCCTATGTACTACGGCCAACCGCCTCCGGGTATGATGCCGCCGCAACCGCAACCAGGCTTCGGTTTCCAACCGGTGATGCCGGGCGGACCGCGACCGGGCATGCCGGGCATGCCGGGTTACGGCATGCCGATGCCGCAACGCCAAGGCGTTCCGGGCGCCCAGCGTGGCCGTGGTGGCCGAGGTGGCCCGGCCGGTGGCCGTGGCCAGCGTCAAAACATGCGATACAACGCCGCCGCGGCTATGCCGATGCCGCCGATGCCGGCGGAGGCGGCTAACCCGATGGCTATTCTCGCTTCTCAGCTCTCCGCCGCCGCTCCGGATCAACAGCGCATGATTCTTGGTGAAGCCCTCTACCCGCTCATTGAGAGCAAGGACGCCGCCAACGCCGCAAAGATCACGGGTATGTTGCTCGAGATGGACCAGTCGGAGGTCCTTCACTTGATCGAGTCTCCGGACGCGCTCACCTCCAAGGTTCAAGAAGCCCTCGCTGTGCTGAAGGCTGCCGCCGAGGAAGGTGCGTAATCGCTCCGTCGATGAAGTATGCACTTCAAACTCAGTGAGTGAGGATACGTTTGGTATGAGAATTCTTTGGCGAGTCTTCTCGTGCGCGCGCACGAGAAGAGGCACAACATTTTTAGCGAGCTGCGGGCCGCGCGAGCGCGAGCGAGCTGTCGCGATATTTCATCGCGACGTCTCGTCGACGCTTTGACGCGGCCCGCGGCAACGATACGATAGCACCAATAGGCGGGCGCCATTGGGGGGTGCGAGACGGTATTTCTTTTGTCTATGCGCTCAACCGCGACCATGGTGTCCACAGCCGCCGCGAGAATCACGAATGCTCTCGCCGCGAGCCGACTGCGGACCAGAAACTAGCGTGATGGACTCCATCACGTGCATGAAAAAAACGAAAAAAAAAGGGCGACGCTGTTGCGCTTTTGAGCCAAGAACAGGTCGCAGTATCAAGACTTTAAGACGCATACGTTGCTGTCTGCACTTTTGACTCTCGAAATCCACCAATACGAGCAGCAAATTTTCAAAATATCGATACAAAAAATACAACTCTCTACGTCGAGCTAAACTATTTCGTCGCTATTCGCGTCGTGCGCCGCTGATTCCGTCAACAACTCGATCGCACGCTGCGAGTCGCCGTCACATTCTTGCAACGCTCGCCGCGCGGCGTGTTCTGCGAATCCCAGCTCTACTAACGTATCCAACGCCCGAGGATCGACCCGAACGAGATTCGCCATCTCACCCGTCGTGGACCCGTCGCCGCCAAGTTTCCGTCCTTGGCCCGGGAAATTACCCGCGAACGCGTTGCGCGTCACCTCACTCATACGAGTCGGGATCGCTCTAACCGTCGAAAACGCGGGAAATGCGGTCGAACTCGCCTCCGCGTTCGGCCGCGCGCCCCGATCGGCGTTTGACGGCACGAACGACGCCAGGGCGCGCGCGGGCGCGCAAATCGCTAATTTCTCTAAATACTCCACGTGCGTCTCCTTCAGGAGCAAAAAGTTCAAGTATCCGCGAACGTACAACCATCCAGCCGCGATACCACCCGCGTGACCGATGAAAGAGACGCCAGGCATCAAAAGTTGAATGAAAAGCAGAAGAGCGATCGGGTAATACTCGCTCGACACTGTGAACAACCCGAACACGCTTCGCCGCTCCACGTCGTTCACGTTCGTCTCGCACACGATCAGCGCGAACACCACCCCAGACATTCCTATGGCGCAGCTCTCGTACGACGCGCGATATCCGAGCGCCATCCAAAGCGCCGTCGCCGCGCTCGCCGAGAGCGCGTACGCCGCGTGCGCGAACGTCGCGAATAACCACGCGAAGTGCGTCGTCCCGATCGATCGCTCGAGCGCCGACGCCATCGGAACGAACGCTAGACAATTTAGCAGCGCGTGCGGGAAGCTCCCGTGCGAGAACGTCGACGTCCAGACGCGATGATAGCTCGACAGCGGATGTTCAAACGCCAACCGCGGCGACGCGCACACGCGCGCGAAATCGCCGTTCGCGGCGAGCGCGAGCGCGAAAGATATCGCGACCGCGATCACGACGGCCGTCGTCGCGAGCGGCGCGCCGTCGAGCGGCGTGCCCTGCGCGCTTCGCGCGACCGCAGACATCACAGCGCGCCTCGGAGTGCGACGACGACGACATGATTTCGAGCGCGACGACGACGACGACGCGATGCGCGACGCTGACCAAGGCATCGCATCGCGCGACGCCGGGGACGCGCTCGCGACGCGGCGCGGCGGCGACGACGCGAACGAAGGCGCAAAAGTTTGCGCGTTTATCCACATCGAGCGGGGACGACGACGATCGCTCGCTCGCGCCGGTCGCGGCGGCGCCGGCGCCGCGTGAGGACGAGGTGCTGCCGGATAACCTCTTCGACGCCGTCGGGCAAGCGGCGAAGGCGACGCGAGACGCCATGCAGCGTGGGGTCGCGGGAAGCATCGTCGAGCTGCTCATCCCAGAGCTCTGGGACCCGATGAGCGGAAACGTGATGAGCGAATCGGGTGATCAACTGAAAGTGTGGGAGATCTCTCGAGAGTTTTTGTCGAAATTGAGCGCGAGTGGTGCGACTGGGGTGAAGGCGGTGTTCCCGGACGCGGGCGCGGCGGCGATGTTGCGAGCGCGGTGGGGAGACGACGTCGCGTTTGAGGTGGCGAGCGTGGACGATAGGAATTTGGTGACGGATGATTTCGAGGGCGTTTTGGTGTTCGCGGCGCCGGATCCGATGTCTTTAGAGAAGGTACAAAAGGCCACGGGTCGAGCGAACGAGTTGGGGTATCCGGTGGTGCTGTTGAATCCGAGATTGGCGAGCGGCGACGCCGGGGTTGGATTGAACGTTCGGCGCATGAGAGACAACTTTTTAGGAAAGATGACGGTCACGTACTCTTTGAGACCTCTGCCGTGGTGCAATGGGAGTCTGTACAAGTCGTATCCGAGCGCGTGGAAACTTTTCTTGGAAGACCCAGAGGAGCCGGGACGGTTCAAGCTCATTGATGAGTACGCGCAGCGACCGGCGGGCGAGGAACTTGACGATATCGTCGACGCAGCGCTTCGACCCGTGGGCGAGGATGGCGAGGCGACGGAAAAGACTGCGGCTGAAAAGGTTTTGGGGATGATGCGTGAGATGCAGCGATTTGCGAAGTCGTTATCGAACTAAATAGGCTCTTTTAAATACGTTTACTAGTTTTCTGGCCACTAAATCTTGTGAAGTTTGGAAAAGCTTTGTCGCTACCATTACCGAGGCTCGCTATCGTCGTAAGACTTTTCAGACATACGCGCGCGTTCGTACTCTGCCTCGTGTGCGACGGATTCTAACAACGTCATGCGCGAGCTGGTGGAATGTCTCAGCTCCATCGACGACGACAGGCGAACGGGACTAGAGAAATCCTCGCTCAGTGTGCGATTCCTCGGACGAGCCACCGGTGGACGTAGCGGCGATCGGTGCGGTCGCGGCGGCGTACTCATTCCTCCGTCCAACCCTCCGTCGTCGAGCACGCCGCTCGAAATAGTCGTCCTCGCCACCATGTCGCCTAGTCCGTCCAGCCCGGCGCGGTTGTCCCTGGCGAGCGATTGAAACGCGCTCCTACCATCTTCATCGCTCACTATCGACACGTTCGTGCGCGTGTCGCCTGATCGTGTCGCTTTCGCTCGTAAAGTCGTCCACTCCGTGCCCTCCACGCTCGCGCTCAGCGGCCGCCTCGGTATCGGCCTGTGTATCACCGACCTCGCCGGCGAACGCTGCGGCACGAACAACGAGGACATCGATTCCCTCGCCACCAACGTCGTCGCCATCGACGAGCGCATCGCGCGTTCTTCTTCCACCCCATAATCATACTCTTCGACCTCGACGTCCTCCTCGCTCGCCATCGCCATCTTCACGCCTCCGTCGTCGTCCGACCGCCGTCCTCTCGAGCCTTCGCCTCTCGCGCCTTCCCCTCGCCGCGTCGCCGCCGCGCTGTCTCGCAACCACTTCTCCACGCGTTCCGTCTCTTCCCTCGCGAGCATCGCTCTTTCCCTCGCCCGCGCTAACCGCGCGTCGAACGCGTCCAAACTCGTCGTCGTCGTCGTCGTCGTCGTCGTTCCTCTCGCGCGCGTCCCCTCGCGCGCGTCTCTCTCGCCTTCCCCTCGCGTCGTCCCGTCCCGCATCGTCCTCACCGCGCCCATCGCGCCTCCGTCTCGCGCGTCCAGCGTCATCATCGGGCGCCACGCGTCCATCCGCGCGCCTCCGCGCGCGCGCGTCGCGTCCATCCGCGCGTCGTCGTCGTCGAGCGCGTCTTGAATTTCAATTCAATTCTCGCGAATGCGTGCCGTTTTACGAACGCGCGCGCCGCGCGTCGCCGCGCGGTCGAGCGCGCGCGTGGCGAGCCGCGTCGAGACGCGCGTTCGAGTCGTCGTCGTCGTCGACGCGCGCGCGCGCGTCCGTCGTCGTGGCCGCGCGCGCGAGCGGCGCGGCACTTCGATGTGACGAATGTGCCGCGTCACCGCGGCACATTCGTCACATCTGGAGACGCCGCGGCGGACGCGAGCGCGGCGGACGCGAGCGCCGAACGGCACGCGACGAACGATGGATCGAAGACGAAACGAAACAGAGCTAAACTAGGGTTATTTGGTTACGCGGTGACGCGCGAGCGCGGGACGTCAGACGTAGTGACGGACGATCCAAGACGCGACCAAGGCGAGCTCGGCGCGCTCGGCGGACGCCGACGACGCGCTCGGCGCGGTTTCTAATTCGACTAAATACTCCGTTTCCGCGCCCGCGGCGTCGGGTAACGCGCGCGCGGCGACGATTTTGATCGCCCGCGCGCGGACGCGCGCGCCCGCGCGCACGGGTCGGACGAAACGGACGCGATTGAGGCCGTAATTGACGGCGCGCGTCGACCACGCGGGCGTCGTGCGCGCCGCCGTCGCGGGCGTCAGCAGGCTCAGCGTCAAGAATCCGTGCGCGATCGCCCCGCCCGGGGCGTCGCGCGCGTGTATGTATTGATGATCGTTCGCGCACGTCGCGAAGGCGTCGATGCGGCGCTGATCGACGTCGATCCACGGCGTCGCGTCGTCGCTCGCGTGCACCACCGCGCCCGCGGCGTTTTCCGCGACGTACGCCGCCATCGCGCGCGCGCGCGCGTCGCGCGCGTCGTCGCGAGTCGCGGACGACGCGTCGACGTGACTCGCGACGCGCGCGACGCGGTCGAGCGCGCGGTCGACGCTCGAGCGCGCCATCGCGCGCGTCAGCGAGTGTCGATTCGACGACGACGCCGCAGAGTCGAGCGCGGCGCGATGGAGCGCGCGCGCGCGCGCCCGGTCGCGTCGACGTCGTCGTCGACGACGACGACGTCGTCGCCGCCCGCGTCGCGCGTCGCGCGCGCGTCGCGCGGCGCGTCCGTCGCGCCGCGCGGTCGTCCAGAGCGGCATCGTCGGCGACGACAACGCGCGCGCTGCCGCGCGACGCGGGCGCCGAAAAACCCGGACGATTTCGACAACGACTACGACGCCATGCGCGCGGCGCTGATGTCGGAGCGCGCGCGCGGATTCCAGCCCGGGATCGCGACGACGTTGAATTGGCTGAGCGAGATTTCATTCGGCGCGCGAAAGACGCGCGAAAAGTTTGTGAAGGGACCGCTGGACGCGCTCGCGGCGGCGTACGGGGAATTTTTGTATGATTTACCGTATCGACGACAGGATGGGAGCTTACCGCCGGGAGGCGAGCGGACGATCGAGGACGCGGTGCGCAGGCTGAAGCGAAGCGAAAAGGCGCGTCGATTGGACGCGGAGCGAGAGGTGCGGGATTTCTGGCGAGCGGGGGGGGAGACGCGAACGGGATTCGATCAGATGGCCGCCGAGTACACGATGGCGCTCGTGATGGATCTTGAGCGAGGGGTGATCGCGTGCGAAATGGAGGAGGATTCGAGAGCCGTGGAGGCTATGCTCGGCGAACCGACGTTGAGCGCGCTGTGCGAAGCGCTGGAGCGAATCAAGCAAATTTGTCTGTGCTCGTCCGCGGCGGATGCGGCAAAGATGGCTTACGGGTATCCAGAGTTACTCCTGACGAGCTCGAGCGCCATCGTGGCTCGATTGTCGCAGCTGAAGACTATGATTCCTGGCGCCGACGTCGGCGCGATTTTGCGACAAGACTCCAAGAGCTTCCTTCAGCGCGACATTCCAGAGATTAAAGAGCGCTTCCGCGCCCTTCGCGACGCCTTTCCTCGCGTCAACGTCGCTCGCCTGGTGGAGTACGATCCATCCTTGCTACTGCTCGACGTCAACGTCGGCTTGAACGCGCTGCGAGAGCTCTGGACCGAGGAAGAGTTCGCGCAATCGGACGAAGACAACCCGTTCTTCGCCGAGGAGTTGAGTTTAGCCATCAAAACCCTCGCCGGTCACGGCCCCGAACGATTCGGCGGCTGACGCGCGTGTAACATTATTCTTAACCGTCGCCGCCGCCTCTCCGCCGCGTCTTCTCGGCTTCCCGTCGCCACTCTCTCGCGCGCATGCGCATCGCGTTCGCCGCGTCAACGCGATCGACGTCGACCACTGACCGCACCGCGCGCACCGCGCCGTCACGCACCGTCCTCCGCGCGTCGTCGTCGCCGTCGCGCGCCTTTTCCCGCGTCACCGCCGCCTGCAGTCAACGCCCTCGGGCGTCCACTCGAGCGTCGCCGCCGTCCTTCTCTCGCGTCCTCGTCCCCGACAGTCGACGACTGATGGGAGGTGCGCCGCCACCGCGCCTCGGGCCGTCCGCCAAGTCGCAAAAGCGGCTGAAGCTGGACGTGTTCGGGGGAGATCAGTGGTTTAAAAGAAAGTGCGAGGATGCGTATCGCGAAAAGCCGTCGTTGGAACTTTGGCACGATTTGAGCTCGCGGTTGATCGAGGCCGACATCGTGCCGACGCGATTGCGAGATGTGACGCAACAGCACGTGAGCACGAGCGATGTGGAGATGCACGCGTTGATCGGGGATAAGATATTTGGCGCGGCGTTGTTGGAGGAAATCGTCGGGAACAGACTGTGCAAGGATACGGGAGAGGCGACGAGGCAGTATTCAGAGGTAGCGAGTAATGCGTCGATGGCGCAGTTGGTGTCTGAATGTCTGCCACAACACGTGCAAGGAGGCAGAGAGGTTGAAGAACACAGCGCGGGAACGCTAGTCGAGGCGGCGGTGTACATGGTGAATCAAATGGCCGGCGGACCTCAGGCGGTGCAGCAGTTGGCGAAGTGGTTCGTTTATAACGTCGTCGTGGAGGGAAAAAAACAAAGGAGATTCACCAACCCGAAAGGATTGATTATCGAACTCAACGGTCACACGATGTCGCATCGAATCGAGGGCACGGCCGATCACGAGCCCGCGTTCCAAGCGCGATGCGTTTGGCCAAAAGAAGCGCCGAGAGAACAGCAGCGGGAGACGACAGCCATCGGGAAGAGCAAAAAAGAAGCCGAGGCGAACGCGGCGAAAGAAATGCTCGAAATCTACGGTCACGAGATTTACAACGCCCCGGCGCAAGAGTCGGCCAAGCTCAAGGAGAAAAAAGATTTGAAAATGGAAAACGCGTACGGACATCTCCTCACCTTGGGCGGCGTCCTCGTCGGAGAGTGCATCAACACCGCCTCAACGAACGAAACTGCGCGTTACGTCGCCACCGTGCGTTTAGGCAACGATGAAGCTCGCGCTGAGGCGACGAGCAAGAAACAAGCCATTCGTTTAGCGTCGCAGCAGATCTTAGAGGCCAACGGCGAGTACGACTGAGACGCGAGCCGTCGCGCGACGCTCCGCGCGTCGCCGCGCGCTCCATCCGACGAACGAACCAGCGTTCGTCCATCGATTAGCACCACACAATATTCCACGCGAGTATTTCCTCGCGTTTGCCAATGTCGTAGACACCCCGACACCGATGAAACGAACGTCGCGCCGCCGACTCCCCGCGCCTCAGGGTAAACTGTGTCGAGAACCGAACCGCCACCCGGGTTATCTCGCGCGTTTCGACACACGTCCGCGCGCGCGCGCGAAGCGCACATCGCGCGCGCGAAGCGCGGCGCGCGCGACGAACGCCGCGCCCGATCGTTTCCCGCCGCCGCGGCGCCGTTCGCGTCGATGTGCGACGTCGTCGCTCGAAAAGATGCGATTTCGACGCGTCGGGACGAAGGCATCGACGCGTTCGCGACGACGACGCGCATGCGCGCGCCGCACGTCTTCAGAGGCGAGCGAAACGACGGCGGTGCGAACGTGGCGCGACGCGAAGCGCTTCGCCGACGCGGGCCAGGGAGCGCGGACGACGGTGCTGACGTCTCGGGAGGGCGCTCGCGGCGCGTTCATCAAAGCGGACTGCGACGCGAATGAATCCGTCACGTTCGAGGAGGCTTGCGAGGCTATTTTTGAGCACGGTGAGCGCGTGTACGCGCGTGCGGAGTGCACGACGACGCTCGCGGTCGAGGCGAACGTCGGGGCGGTGGGTGAGGTGTTCGCGGAAGACGTCGCGTTGAGAAATTGCGGCGTTTGGTTCGGCGCGGCGGGTAACGTGACGCCTTTGCATTATGATTTATGCCATGGGTTTTTGATCATGATTCGAGGCGTAAAAACCTTTACGATATTTCATAAGGATGACTTTCGCGCGATGTATCAGCGGAGTGATCGCCCGGAACTGTCGCGCGTGAATTTGGACGCGTGGTACGCGGGCGACGCCGACGAGCGAGATCGGTTTCCAGACTTTGAAGACGCGACACCATTGACGTTCACACTTTATCCGGGCGACATGATATACACGCCGCCTTTCTTTTGGCACCACGTGCGAACGCACGACGGCGAACCGGCGATTTCTGTCCTGGTACCGTTTGACCTCGACGCCGAAGAACCCGTGCACGTCAGCCACTTGTATTAATATTGATATATCTATCTCCTATCTACGTTTCTTGTGCTTAATATTGTTCGCCTTGCGACGAGCTGACGTGGCTGTCTTTTCGTACGCCGGTCCTTGACGCTGTTTCTGCCGCTTCTTGCCGCCGGCAGGCTTCGCGTACGGCGCGTCGCCGTCAGAGTCGGAATCAAACCGACTCGGCTCGCGTTTCGCCGCGGGCTCGTGCTCTTCGGGAACGACTTCGAAGTCATCGTCGCCACCGATATCTGGACGCTTCTTTTGCTTCATATCATGTCGCTTCGATGACGCGGGTTTGTTGTCTTTGGATGTCGAAACCTTTGAGCTTTTGTCCGCCTGCTTCTTCGCCGGCGCGTCGGCGCGCGGCTTCGGCGCGGGCAACTTTGGCTTTGGTGCGTCCGGTACAGTCTCCGCTGGCATCGCGCATAAGCACGTGTATCGAGCACCAGAGTTGATCTCGGCGACGGGAGTTCCTGGGTTTTCGTCGCGCGGCCCAGAGGCGCGACGCAAATCCCACGCGCGCACGACGCCTTCGGAACCGGCGGTGACGAGCGCGCTCGGCCCAGAGTCTCCCACGGTCTCGTCACCCTTGGCCGAAGTGATCGCCAATCCGCGCACGCGTTGCGGATGTGCCTTGGCAATGCGACTCACCGCTCCCTCCTTCGCCGCCATGCGCGCGTCGTACACGAGCACGTCACCGCCCTCGCACCCGACGTACACCATTCGCCCGCGCGCGTCAAACGTCAACGTCTTCGCCGGCGTCGTGAACGACGTCACCACGCTCCCCGCCTCAACATCCGTCAGCGTGATCTTCTGCGTCAGTCTACTCACGTATTCCGACCCATCACACGTGAACGCCAACCCCTCCACGCGTTCCGGCGTCTTAAACTTATACGCCACGCGTCCCCTTCGCATGTCCCACATCGCCACGTGCGCGTCGCACCCGCTCGTCAGCGCCACCTTCCCGCTCCGATGCGCGCTGATCGCGCACACCCCTCCCCGATGCGCCCGCATCGTTTTCAACAATTCAAAATTATCGCTCGCGTCCCACACCATCAGCGCGCCGTCCGCGCCTCCCGACAGCAGTCGCGTCGGCGCGTACCCGCGCGGCGCGTAAAATTCCAGCGCCCGCGCGTCCCCTCCGTGTCCCACGCACGTCCCCAGGTCCGCCATCGCCCCCGACGCGTCGCAGTGATACACTCGTATCAAGTCATCGCTCCCCCCGCTCGCCGCGAGTCCGCCCGCGCACGCGACCGCCTTGACGCTCGCGAGGTGCGCGTCCACGGTGAAGCGCTTCGCGAGCGTCGTCGTCGTCGCGCCGTCGCTCGCGTCGCTCGCGGCGCCGCGCGCGTGCGCGTAGCCGAAGACGAAGCGCTCGTACGACCCGGCGAGGACGGTCGCGCGCGGCATCGTCGCCCGTCGTCGCGTCGCGGTGCGCGGCGCGCCGCCGCGGGCGCCGGGACGTCGTCGAGATGCAGACGGATAGCACTACGATACATCATTATACGCATTATGAGTACGTATAATGATGCATCGTTAAGGGATCAGTGCGCGCGCGATCTGGATCGACGCGCGGGCGCATGAGAATTAAATGACGATTGGCGCGCGCGCGCACTCGGACGCGCGCGCGACGAGCGATGATTCGGTCGTTCGGCAAGGCGAAACGCGCGATTCGCGGCGATGACGACGACGGCGACGTCCGCGCGAGCTGCGACGCCGTGACGCTGCTCGCGCTCGAGCGCACGTTTTACAGTTCGCTCAACTTTCTCGGCGTCATGACGCTGACGGGCGTCGGATTAACGGCCGTCGGCCGCGGCGGCAAGGTGCCGATCGCGTTCGGGGCGATCATCTACGGATCTTGCATCTTGGCCGCGATCGAGCTCGCGGTGCTGCACCGGAGGCGCGTGGACGCGTGCCGACGCGTCGACTTCGACGGCGACTTGCGCGTGGACGATTCGAGGTCGATCGTCGTGCTGTACGCGGCGTTGGTGCTGTTCACGTGTTCGGTGGATTTGGTGTACGCGATCGTGCATCCCTTGCTCGATCGCACGCAGGCCGTCAGCGTGCACTCGTGAAATCACTCGACATCCTCCGACGTCTCGAATCGGCCGCGACGTTCCATCCCACGCGACGCCCGCCCGCGCGCGCCACGTATGCATCATCATTAATAATTAACAATTAGCACACGGACTAAAATATCGCGCACGAGAACACGCAGGGTTCGCGAAATGCGACGCGTCGGCGCGTCGGGGTGTTGAATTTCGACTCGTTCGCGCGATTGCGTGCATTCAATCGAATGAACTCTGCGAACATTAAGAACACGGACCCGATGACGTGTCCCGACGCCGATCGCGCGCGCGACGCGACACACGACGACGCCGACGACGCGACGCCGACGACGACGCGCGCGCGCGAATAAAAACACGCACCTCTCGAAGACGCGCGACGCGCGACGATGATGATGCGCGGTGCGATGACGACGCCGCTGGTGAAGATGACGACGACGAAGGAGAAGATGCGAAAGACGACGACGACGACGACGACGACGACGCGAAGGACGATGCGAACGACGGCGCGAGGGACGAAGCGCGAGGAGGAGGCGACGTTTACGCTGAACGCGCCGTTGGCGGCGCTCGTGGCGGCGAGCGTGCTGGTGACGGGAGCGATCGACGCGGACGAGGCGGAGGCGGCGAGAAGCGGCGGACGCGTGGGCGGCGGGAGCTTTCGAGCGTCGAGCCGGTCGCGAGCGTCGCCGAGGATGAGCGCGCAGAGCCGCGCGGCGCCGCCGATCGGAGGGTACGGGTACGGGTATAACTCCGTGTTCATGCCGATGCCGATCATGCCGATGTACGGGTTCGGATTCGGGTTCGGGGGGATGGGATTCCTGTTCAACTTGATGTTTTTGTTCTTCGTCGCGAATACGGTTTTGGGATTCTTGTCGCAGTTCGCGGAGAACGCGGACGATCGACGCGACGATGGCGAGGACGACGATTTCCCGCCGTACGATCGTCGGTATTAATGCGATGCGATCGACGCACTTGAACCAATTTTAGCGCTCGGCGGCGCGCGTCGCCAACCACTGTCTTACTACTTATCCGGCTATTAATCTTACACGAATACTAAGCTACTACTTCTTACTGAGTCTTCTTAATGCCACGCCATCCACCAGATGTACATCGAGCCAAGATTTGAGAGCGACACGGCTTCTTCGACCAAACGTCGCGCTTGTCCCGACGGGCTCAGCGGTAACGACGGCGCGGCGCCGACGCCGACGACGACGCCTTCGAGTCTCGAACGAATCTTTTCGAGCGCGTCTTTGCCACGCGTGGACGACGACGTTGAACGTCCACCACGCGAAGCGTCGCGAATCGAACTCTTCGTCCATTCTACCAAAGGATCGTGCACAAAGGTTTCGAGGACACTCATGAGCGCCTCGCGATGCGAACGCAAGACGGTGAGCGTAATCTCGCACACTCGCATGAACACGCCTTCGTAACCACCGACGCCGAGACCGTCGACGAGATTTTGCGTCAACCTGAAAGGAACGCGCTCGGGCATTTCTAATTCTAAACCTTTGTCGAACAAGCACGCGAAATCGACGTGCACGGCGTCACCCGTTTTGCAATCAAACAAAATATTTTCTCCGTGTCGATCGCCCAAGCCGACGACGTGGCCGACCATACTCCATACCGCCGCAGTGTGCGCGAACGCAGTACGAGCGGTGAACCAAGCCGCGGGTTCTTTCCAACGTTCTAAGAACCAGCGATGGAACACGGGTGGGTGTCGACTCAAAACTTCTCGAGACCAAGACGTCGGGTTGCGGCCTTTGCATTTTTCGTAAAGTTCCTTCACCTCTGTGTGAGAGTTCTTGTGGTACAGCCCGTCGTCTGCGTATAAACCTTGAATAATGTGTCTAAAGCCAGTGGTGTTCGGCACCCATTCGATGATACCGCAATCTTCGGTGAGCGGGATGACGCTAAACGTTCTGAGATACAGTCTGCGTTTGCGACTCTCGGCGTCTCGCGCCAGCAAGCGATTCAACATCGTGGTAAACTCCATCATTCTCAAATCCTTACGAAGGTCATCCTTGGGCTTACACAAGAATGCATATTTTTCCCGATCACTTCCAAGCATCGTGAGCTTCTTCGGTCTTTGCAACGAAGGTAGCACCGATACGGCGTCGCCCAACTCGAAGAGCGTCGCCGTGCCGGGCGGAAACGGTCTGTGATCCGTCGGGTTCGTGCCAGCCGGCGGAAGCGTCGCCGTGAGCGACTTCTGCACGGGAATCATCACTCGAGTCGGCATGAGGGCGGCGAGATCGGGGAAGGTTTTCATCAAGCTGAAGGTCCTAGGAGGTCGACCATTCTTTGCTTGCGTCTTCGGCGCGTAATTGCACAGTTTGACGAGTTGATCAGCCACAAGGGCAAACTGATTTATGAGCTCTCGGTCAGCACGCATGCCCGTCTTGTCTTGCTTTCCATGTTTTGCATTCGTAAGCACATCCTTGGCGCTCTTCGCGCGAACTGCGTCGCGCGAACGAGCCATCGGTACGAGCGCCCACAAGACTTGATCAGAGTAGTTGATGAGGAGTCGAGTCACGAGCGTTTGCACCAGCTCTCGCACCTTTCTATCGTTGTGCGCCAATCTTGATGTAAGCTGAGGAAGAGCTGTGAGCCATTTGTACAGCGGCAGCTGATCAGAAAAGGTGTTTATGGCGAACAAAACTTCGGCAAACACTTTCTTAAGCTTTGCTGAATTTCGATTCTCCATGCCCTCCGCCTCCGCCTCGTACACTCTGTCGCCGATGTCGAACCAAAGCGTCAACATGCGTGGGAGTGATTCGTAAATGTGCCTATGACCATATTTTATACTCGCCCCGTACTCGCGCACAGTTTCACTCAAGAGGTCGATCGCTTCCTCGTCATCGCCACCTATGCCTTTCCGTCGGACTGAGGCGGGCAAATTTGCGCCGATTTCGCCGTTGAGCTCTCTCTTCGTCGCGTCCTTCATCCACTCATCCATGTATCGAGCGACGTGGAAATGAGATTTTTCCCAGCTCTTATGACTTTTAATAACACTCGCGTAGAGCGTGAGAATCTCTTTCTTTTGCTTTTGACCGGTGACGGTAGCCCATCGCGCCAATCGCAAAACAGCCTTGGCGGCGTGTTCGGGATGCGCCGCAACGGCGTCTTGATCCTTCAAAGCCTCTTCGATTTCCAACACGGCACGTTGGTGACTGTCCCCGGCCCAGAGTAGCTTGGCTTGCTCCAATGCGAGGGGCAGGGACATTCCAATCTCCGAACGCGCTTCCAATAACGCGAGTTGCGCGGCGCCGTAGTGTCCTGCGCTTCGCGCCACCTTGGCTTGCTCCAACCAAGTCTTCGACGCCGCCAATTTTGCGCCGAGAAGCTTGTAAATCGTGCGACGGAAAGCCAATATAGGCTCTCGAGTGGCGACGTTCGGAGGCGTGCGATCGAGTCGGTCGTGCCAAAACTGAAATTCTTTCACCGCGCAGAGCGGAATATCTGACGAATCTGTCGGTATGCGCGTCTTCGCGGCTGCGGCAGCCTTACGGGCTTCTTCTGTCAAAACTACGGCGTTGTACGAAGACTCGGCTTCTTGAAGTAAATGCAATTGAACCAAAGCGGCGTGTGCGCGTAAGTAACTCCCTTCCATCGACGCCGCGCGGAGAGGTGTAATGAGTGCGTCCCGTGCCGATGCGCACGCCACCTGAAACGCGTGACCGTCGTTCTTGTGCAAAGCGAGGAGGACACGCCCTATGGCGGCATCTGCGCTTAGTTGCGGGACATCGGCATTTAATTGAGTACCCACTCCGACCGTCAGTGGCATTCCACTGGGTGTGAGCGCCGATGGTGCAACATGCATCTGCCTGTGCGAGCGCTTCATTCCGCTGTTGACGTGACTTGAATTTTCAGAATCAATCTTCCCTAAAAGCGAGTCCAGATCGTCCCATTGGCCAAGTCGCCAAGCGGCGGCGGCGCCAGCCTCGGCCAACGTCGGTGGGGCGTCAGGGCGCGTTCGAATCAGGTTTTCAACCTCGCGCTGTACAGTTCGAAGATGCCCCAAGCCTTGCAGGCACCGCAAGCGTCCCCATTCAGCGACAGAAATGCCGAGATTATTCATGGGCTCTTCGCCGCGCTGCAAGGCGCTTTCGTAATGTACCAATGCCTCTTCCCATTCTCCAGCTTCTTCGTGCTGTAAGAGCTGATCTTCAGGTTGAGGTGTGGCGCGCAAGCGCGGAATTGATACGAGCGCGTCTGGTTCAGCCAAGCCTTGATAAATCGTCGCCAAGAAGCTCACGTCGACGTCCATGATGTCGTGCTGCTTCACGCACGTAGCTTGATTCAACACCATCTTATTCGACCGTAAATAATCTTCAAAGTACATCAGCGACCGTGCACTTGCACCGCACCTTTGCGCAGCCTTGGCAAGAAGTGTGAAGGACAAGTCGCGCATCAAGCTATGCACAGGATTGACACCGCTAGCGTCTTGCTGTGCATCGGCCCAACCTTTAAGTTGATCGAGTAGAGAGAATATCGTCTGCGCGGCGAGTTCAGTGCGACCATGAGACGTACTCGATCCTGAAAAGTTCTGATCTTCGCTCGCGCGATCTCCACCCGCAGCATCGGTCAAAGCAGCGACGATCTCCAAGTACACCTCGTTTTTGCGTTCTTCATTGTCAAGAATTGCGTCGAGTACCATGTATGGTAGAAGAAACAAAGCGATACGAATATCGTGACGAAATACGCTAACTGCTGCCTTGAACAACGGAGCGTTTTCGCCAGACGCTTCGAGCGCGAGTGTTCGGCACCAAAACACGATCCACTTGTTGAAAGTGGTTCCTGCAGTCGGGCTACCGTACAGTGGCCTCTGCTTGACGTTGGATTCCTTGCTCATGCCGCTGATGGAATACATGGATGTCAGGCATGGTGCCAATACCACGCGAGCTTCATCGGGTAATGATTCCCAAAACTCAATGCCGTCAGCGCTGTGCCCTTTGGGAAGTTCAAGACCAACTGCATCGTCCTCATCCACGCTTTCTGGGCGGCAACCGACGTGAATGAGCACGCACTGAACCGCGTACGCTGCGGCATCGAGCATATCTGAATCGTTCGCCCCGCGCACAGTTCGCGCGAGATGATCGACAAGCAGAATACTTGCAACCGTGATTGACTCACTGTTAAGCGCTTGTACTTGTTGCGAAGCGATGAGCAAACGACCTGGATCGATCGCGCCGAGTTCGCTCAAACACTGCGCCGCAGCGCGTTGAACGCGACGAGACGCCTCACTCGATCCTTCACCTTCGCAACACTTCAAAAGCGCTGCAACTAATGCACTCATGATGGGGTCTGCCGCCGTACCTTCGACACCTTGGATTAGTCCCTGGATCTCCATCCCGTTATCGGGATTGCTCACGCGCCGCCGAATTTCAGTCAAAGCGGTGGTGCGAACGGCAAGAGATTCGTCCGCCAGGCTTTCCGTCAAACTGCCGAGAAGTTGGCGAAGTGACACGAGACCTCGTTCTTGTGCTATACGCGCATTCGAGGCTTCTAGACGCTGAACGTCAGGTAACATCGGTAATCTAGCCAGATTGCCTCGCATGACGTCTCCTCGCCGCAAGACCAGTTCGTCAATCACCGCCGCCGCTTGATTCGCGTCTTCGAGTGCTCTCGCTTGAGCGATTTTGTCCGAGCCATGCTCGTCATCCTTTTGCGCGTTCGCGTCCAAATATGGCAACATGGCGACGACTATCTGATCAGCAGCACGCTGCAAGTGCGCAGGACGCTCGGACAAGACTTGAACGAGTATTTTCCAGCTCTGTAACGCAGTCCGACGCAGCTCTGGATTGTTGAGCGCGTGCGCCAGATGCGCCATGACTTTTGGTGCGAATTGCGGCAAGTGTTTACCGATGATCCAAACCATGATGGTCAATGAGCGAATATATCGCTTGTGTGAGAGCGTATCACCACTTTTATCGAACAAGACCATCTCCATCCGTGTGAAGTGAGGACGGAAAAAATCACTGACCTCGTGGGCATCCGACTGCGCCGCGTCGGCGAGCGCCTTGAACACTGTCATCATGGTTGCTGCGGACGTTATCATGTCTTCTTGTTCGTCTTTCATCGCCGCACCGGCTCGTGTGATTAGAGCCTTCATGATGTAAAACTTTTGATTGGAAATAAGCGTCAAAAGATCATCCTTGCTGTACTTCTGCAAAAAGGATTTGAACGCGTTGCTTTCTTGTTCACTCAAAGGCTTGAGCGTCCTTGGGTTGATCAGCTCTGCGATGGCTTCGTAACTGTAGTCCGCTACAAGCTGGTGCAAGTCCTTGTTCAACAAATGCGCGTACGCCTGTAAAATCGACAAATCTTCTTGCTTCTCGCTACCGGCGCCGATCGCGGTGCGAATCAGGCGCATCATGGAGAGAGGCAAAATTTCTTCCAACAGCTGCCGCGGCGACATCTTCGCTAGTTCGGCGAGCGTCGCTATGGAGTGCTCGTGAAGCGGAAGTAACGTGCCAATTTGCGCCGCAACGTCCTGAACGCCAAACAATAACTCTCTCGTTCGAACTTGACGCTTTTTTGCAAGACGCCGCAATAAGTAAATCGCACAGTTTTGCGCGGTGAGATCCATGTCGATAATGTTTTTGAAGTACACGATGACGGCTGCCGAAGTCGCACCCGGAATCGTCAAAGTTTCTGCCACCGCGGCAAACGTTCGCAGCGTGGACTCCTTAATGAATGAATCTGGGGCAGTGTCTATGCTTTCCTTCAAGTTGCGGAGAATTTGAAGACCTGACGTGAGTTGGGCGTTAACCACAGCCTCCGCGTGAAGTAACGCCGCACTACTACTGCGCCTTCGATCCTCGGGACGCTCATTCTTTGGCGGCGCCATCTCGAGCAAGATATCATCAGAGACGATCGCAGACGCCGCTTCGCATAACGCTTCGCGAACGTGCGGCGACTTGTGATGTGCAGTTCTCAACGCCGCTTGCGCGAGCGCACGGGCACCTTTCAATGTTTCACCATCTTCGGTAAAATCTCCCGCCGCGCTGAAAATCTCAAACACGTAGCGCAACGAACGCAAACCGCTCGCGGCGACCAAACCGTCTGGATCGGCACGATCTAAAATAACGCCTTCAAGCTGTCCTGCGCTGTTTAAATCTTGCAGAGTCAACGCCGCATTCAGTGAAGGCGCCTTCTGCGCGTCACTCCTTTGCCTATTTGCATTTGGCGTACCCGCAGTGAGACGTCGTTTGTTTCTGTTAAACTTTCCGGGTGTCTTTGGCGCGCCGGCGGCGACGTCATCACCGTCGATTGAGTGCACAGCTTTAATGACCTCTCGCTTTACGACTTCATGAAACGCCTGCATAGAGTCTGCGAGAAGTTTCATCGCATTCTTTGCTTCATCGCTCCCAAGTTCGTGGCTGCACGTCTTGAACGCCGCGGTGACGGCTCTGTTACCGTGAAGTCTCGCGGCGTTGCGTATCGCTTCATTTCCGGCAGCTTTCTGAATACCATGCAAAACCCCGGCGGCAGCGAGCCCCCCGAGTGCGGTCGCAAATGCATTCCGCACTGAGATCTCTTTGGCATCCTTCAACGAGCTGAGACGCTGCAAAGCGCCGATACCCGAGGGCGGATTGGACGCGAGGACGTGCACGAAAGACACCGCAATTGCTGCTGACGAGCGAACGCCTGCATCCTGATCCGCAAAGGCTCTCGTGAGAACTTGCCGAGCTGCTTCAGAGCTCACCTTTTCCCCCGAAGTTTCCGATGATGCGAGAGAAACTGCGAGATTAAGAGCGGCGAGTTTCGCCATTCGATCGCCTTCAATCGTCTCGTCGTCGAGCAGAGCGCTCGGGTCTCTCTTTGCGATCGAAGTCCACGGCCAAGTCAAAATATCTAAAGAAATGTCTTTCGTGCTCAACAGTGGTGGAGCCTTGTTCTCTTTATCTGTTTGAACGTTTACTAGACAGTTCGCAGCCTCGGCGAGGAGCGCGTACATGCGCGTCGTTGGCGCGTCCGAAGCGTCGCCATCATACGCTCGAATCCATCCGAGCCATTTATACGTAACTTGTGCGGCGATGCGTCGAATACGCATAGATCCCGTTGATGCAGCGATAGAACGCACGATCACCGAGATCGCTAAAATTCGTTGGTACTCGCTCGGCGCGGAATCCCGAAGCGAGTTTTCTAATTCCATTGAGTCGGCACGTTGCAACTGACTGCCACCGCCCTCTCTCGCGTATGCAGAGTCTGGGCCACCTAAAAACTCCATTGACGTTACGATGCAACTTTCGATCCACTCCGATCGAGTGTCGTAATCGAACGTCACCGTGTGCACGTCTTCACCTTCACCTTCGTTCAGTCTGGAGCGTTTTTCAACCTCGTCCTCGTCGTCGACGTCTTGCTCGCGCGCGTTGGAAAACGCCATCGCCAGGCATTCAACCAAAGCGTCTGAACCTTTCGTCGCCACCGCATGAGGAAGCAGAGTTATTGCCTGGATTGCCAACGAAGGTCGCATCAACAGACACATCCGAAGCACGTCGAAAAGGACTGCGCGAACGGATTCATCGCGCGCCGATTCGATCGCAGTCAGTATGGACGTCGCCAACACGTTTACGTGCTTTCGCAAGACATCCTCACCCGCGAGTTCTTTCAGCGCGTATACCAACTCTAAAATGACTTTATCGTCGCGTCGTAGCGATCGCCCCGTGAGCAACGTTGCGATCGCGGCTAAAATGGTGTCGCACGGCACCAGCACTATTGGAATGTCCGCTATGAGATTCTTCAGCACCGCCGCGGCGGAGAGCTGCACGTCTCGCGAGCCGATGACGAGCAAGCGCGAGAGCGTGAACAACAACTCACTTGTCGTTAACGGTGCGACGTTTTGAGGATTCGTCAACAACGCGCACTCCAAGAGTTTGCACGCCGTGTTCGTGACGTTCATCGCGCACTCCAAACTCTGCACTTCAATCATCAGCCCCGTGCTCGTGGACGACGACAAACCGTTCGTTCCCGCCTCACCATTCCGCCCACTCGTCTCTTCGCTTCGCTTCACGTGCGCCAGCGCGGTGTCGAAGCAACACAACACGATCGTTTCACGACTCGCTTCGTCTTCGAAATCGTCGTCCGCCGCGCCGAATTCGCCCCCGTACCGCTTCCCCGGAAACAACTCCAACACCCTCTTCGAATCGCTCGCGAGCTCCACGCACCCCTTACACAACTCATGCATCCCAACCAAATCGCTCTTCGACGCCACGGACATCAACGCGTACAACACCGAGTGCACTTGTTCGTGAAACTCTGCGCTCGCGTCCGAAACCGCCGACAACGCGAAGACGTTCGCGAACACCCTCACCGCCGACGTCCCCGCCCCGAGCGCGAACGCTCCTGGATGTTTTTTCAGCGCCCCCTTCAGCAGCGCCAGCGCTTGTTTCACCTCGTTCTCCTCCATGCACACTGCGCGTCGTTCGTCGCGTCCCGCGCGTTTCTCGTCAGTCTCGCGTTCGATCGCCTCGCGCGCCTCCACCGCGTCGTCGCTCTCGTCCCGCGCTCGAACCGCCGTCGCGCGCGCGCACCGTTCGTGGGATTTATCACCGACATCAGCGCCGGCAGCTGCGCGCGCAGATTCGCGGCGAAGCCATCGCCGCCGTCGCCCTCGCGCGCGTTCGTCTGCGCCTTCGCCCCGCTCAGCGCTCTCAGAATCCCCTCCATCGCCGTCGTTCGCGCCGTTCGCGCGCCGTTCGCGCCGTGACCCTCGCTCCGCGTCGCGCCTCGCGCCATGTCGCGCCCGCGTCCGGCGCCGCGCCGCGCGTCGCGCTCTGCCGTCGATCATCGCGCGCCAGCTGACGATGAATCATTTAAATTCAAACGCGCCGCCGCACTCGCGCGCGCGCCGGACGCGATCGAAGCGCTCGCGCGCGCCATGCCCGCGCCCGCGAACGCGTACGACGTCCCGGCGCTGCGCCGGCTCCGCGGCGCGGCGAGCGCGAGCGAACGAACGGAGAAACGGAGCGCGGCGCGGGCCGCCGCGCTGCTGCCGCTCGTCAAGGGCGTGTCGGGATCGTTCGGAGGCGTCATCGAGGTGCGAGACGCGCGCGACGACGGGCGATGGCGCGAATTTTGACGGCGCGCGGCGCGGTCGAGCGCGGCGAATCGACGCGAGCGCTCGACGGGGTCGACGCGGGACGGGACGGGCGGGACGCGCGGGACGGGACCCCGAGGCGCGGACGCGCGGAGGGCGATCGAGCGATGACGACGATCGAACGCCTCGACGACGAGACTGACGAAACGCGCGCGAGCGCGGCGAATTTTGCAGGCGTGCTGCCTGCAACCGGTGGACGTGGTGAAGACGCGGTTGCAGTTGGATAAGTCGGGGCAATACAAGGGCGTGGTGGACTGCTTCAAGAAGATTCACGCCGAGGAAGGCGTGGGGGCGCTTTGGAAGGGGTTGAATGCGTTCGCGACGCACTTGTGCTTTAAGTACATGCTGCGAATGGGCACGAACGCGACTTTTCAGGCGGCGCTGAGGGACGAGGAGGGGAAATTGACGACGGGTAAGCGCATGGCGGCGGGGTTCGGCGCGGGCGTCGTCGAGGCGCTGTGCATCGTGACCCCGTTTGAGGTGGTGAAGATTCGCTTGCAGCAACAAAAGGGGAGCGTGAACTTGAAGTACAAAGGCACGTTACACGCCGCGCGAACGATCATGAAGGAAGAGGGTGTGATGGCGATGTGGAACGGCGCGGGGCCGACCATCGCGCGAAACGGAACGAACCAAATGTGTCTGTTCACCGCCAAGGCGCACGTCGACTCATTCTTGTGGGGGAAACACGACGGCGATGGCATGGCGTTGCATCCGGTGCAATCTTTAATTTCCGGTGGGTTGGCGGCGACGATTGGGCCGGTCGCCACGGGACCGTTCGACGTCGTGAAGACGCGTCTCATGGCGCAGAGCAAAGCGGGCGTCATCAAGTACAAATCTTTCCTGCACGCGTTGTATCTCATTCCGAAGGAAGAGGGGATGTTGGCGATGTGGAAGGGGCTGCTACCGAGGTTGATGCGCATCCCCCCCGGACAAGCCATCACTTTCATGGTAGCGGACGGCGTAGTTTCCCATTTCGAAAAGTCTTTTTCCCAAGAAGACGACGACTAGGCTTAGATTTGGCGAGAGCGGCGAGAAGACTTCTCGCGACGAAGAACAATATTTTCGTCGCACGCGCGCCGACGCGCGCGCGCGAGGTATTTAATACACGTATTATAATCGTATCGCTGCGTTCACGCGCGGCGCTCTCGGGCCGTCTCCCGCGCGTCGTCCTCGCGCGTCGTCGCCGCGCTTGCCGTCGTCGCCTCGCCGTCCGATCGCCCATCAATCATCGTCATCACGCGTCGCTCGTCCGATGCCGCGCGTCGCGTGCCAACGCGCGTGCGTCCGGGCGCTCGCATCGCTCGCGCGTCCGCGTTCCCGCGCGCGATGCGTCGTCGCCCGCGCGCGCGCACCGTCGAACTCGACGCGCGCGCGACTCGGCGATTCGCGACGATGCGCGTTCGCGTCGACGCGCGCCATCGCGATGCGCGATGAAGAGACGTCGGCGACGTCGTCGAGCGCGTCGTCGCTCGAGTCGTCGAGTTCGACGGTGCTGTTCGCGATCGAAGGGATGCGGTGCGGCGGATGCAGCGCGGCGGTGCGAAACGCGCTCGACGCGCGAGACGACGTGGAGGCGGCGGCGGTGAATTTAGTGACGGAAACGGCGGCGGTGCGGTTTAAAACGACGTCGATGATAGTAGGGAGCTTAGACGCTTCGATCGAAAGCGCGGTGGCGGAGATAGGGAAGAAGGGATTTAAGATGACGCGACGCGAGCTCGGACGCGCGGCGGAGGCGGCGGCGAGAGAGGCGAGCGCGCGACGAGAGGAAGAGATGGAACGGACGAAGTGGGATTTATACAAAGCCTGGGGATTGACGGCGGCGTGTTTAGGGACGCATTTGACACATCACTTACACGCGCTTGGCCTGCACGAGTACGCGCACACGGAGGTTTTGAACGCGTTGGCGCAGCCGTGGATCGGGGCGACGCTCGCGATGGGGGCGCTGTTGGGACCGGGGCGGAAGATTTTAGTAGAAGGCGCGCAGGCGTTTGCAAACGGGGCGCCGAACATGAACTCACTCGTCGGCGTGGGCTCGCTCGCGGCGTTTGGGTTGTCCACCGCGGGGGCGTTGAATCCGCAGCTGAACGAGTACGGGCAGTGGACGAATGATTTCTTTGAGGAACCGGTGCTGTTGATGGCGTTCATCTTGCTCGGGCGCGCGTTGGAAGGTCGCGCGCGCGCGCGGGCGAGCGCGGATTTGCGTTCTTTAAGTTCGCTACTGCCGTTGGATGCGCGCTTAGTGGTGCCTGATCGCGCGAGCGAAGAAGGCGAAGATCCCGCCGATCACTCGGTGATGCTCGACGTGGACAGAGCGGCGGTGAAGCCCGGAGATTTAGTGCGCGTCGTTCCGGGTGAAATTATCCCAGTAGACGGTGTCGTCGTCGCCGGAAACGCGGGTGTGGACGAGGCCACGCTTACGGGCGAACCTGTGCTGGTTTACAAGACGCGAGGGAGCGACGTAAACGCGGGCACGGGCGTGTTCGAGGGCCCACTCACGATTCAAGCGACGAGCAGCGGGGACTCGTCCATCGTCGCCGGTATCACGAGAACGATCGAGGAAGCGCAAGGGCGCGCGGCACCGGTTCAAAGACTCGCGGATGCCATCGCGGGCCCGTTCGTGTTCGGCGTCATGGGCATCAGCGCGGCGACGTTTGGGTTTTGGACGCTCGCGGGCGACGCCATGTTTCCGGGCGCGCTCATGGAAGCGGGATCGTTCGGTGCGGCGCCGTGGATGGGTCCGATAAAGTTAGCGACGGATGTCCTCGTCGTTGCGTGTCCATGTGCGCTTGGTCTCGCGACGCCTACCGCAGTACTCGTGGCGACATCTCTCGGCGCGCGCAACGGCGTCCTCCTCCGCGGCGGCGACGTGCTGGAAACCATCGCCGGCGTCGACGCCGTCGTGTTGGACAAAACGGGCACGATCACTCGAGGGAAGCCGAAATTGAAATCGGTCTACGCTACGAGTGGTGACGATGATTGGAATATTTTAAGTGTCGCCGCTGCGGTAGAGGCAACGACGACGCACCCGCTCGCCAAGGCGGTGGCGCGTGCGGCGGATTTGCGATTCGAGACGACGGATAATTTAACCCCCGTCCCGCGGGCTTCGGCGTCAGAGACCGAACCGGGTCGTGGAGTCAGTGCGACTGTAAATGGCGAACGCGTTTTCGTCGGCGCACCATCGTGGGTGGACGAGAAGGTGCGAGGCGTCGGACCGTCGAGCGACTCGTTCGAAGAAGCGTGGGCGGAGAGCGAGACGTGCTCGCTCGTCGCCGTCGGCGTCGAAGGTCGAGGCGTTATGGGTATGCTCACCGTCACGGATGAGATTCGTGAAGATGCAGCAGCGACGGTCCAACGATTGAAAGAGTCCGGAATCACCGTTCACATTCTTTCTGGCGACAGACAAGCCGTCGTGACCGCCGTCGCGGGCGAGCTCGGCTTGGGCGCCGACAGCGTTGCACTCGGCGGCATGCTCCCCGGCGACAAAGCAAATGAAATCGAAAAGCTTCGCGCCAAGGGTTTGAAAGTGGCCATGGTGGGCGATGGCATCAACGACGCCCCCGCCCTCGTCACCGCTGACGTCGGTATCGCGATGTCTCGAGGAATGGAAGCCACCGGCAACGCCGCCGGCGTCATCCTTCTGAACGACGCCATCTCCCAAGTCGCTGATTCCGTACAATTAGGCAAGAACGCCCTCGGAAAGATTCGCCAGAACCTCGGTTGGGCGCTCGCATACAACGCCGTCGGCATTCCACTCGCCGCGGGCGTCTTGCTCCCCGAATACGGCTTCACCCTCAACCCCTCCGCCGCGGGCGCCATGATGGCGGCGAGCTCCGTCGCCGTCGTCACCAATTCCTTATTACTGCGCGGTCCCGACGCCTGGGCCGCCTTCACGACCGCATCGCCTTCCGCCGAGCGCATCGCTCAGAAACTCACGGATTCCGCGCTCGATCCTCCGACGCCGACGCGCTAGCCCCTCCTTGTATTCGCATTCCCGTTCGCGTCGCGTTTCGAGCTCGAAGATGAATCGGCACGATTTCGTTCCCCTAAATCGCCATCTCGCGACCCGCGCGCGCGATGCGCGCCGACCGCGCGGCGCCCGACGACGCCGGCGACGACGCGTGGCGTCTCGGCTTCCCTCGCGAGCCCTCGCGCGAGGTCGCGTCCTCGCTCCGCGAATCCGACGCGCGCCTCGAGCGGCGCTGGCGCGCATTCGTCGCGAACGGCCGCGACGCGCGCGCGCGCGGCGAGCTCGTCCGCGCGTTCGCGCGCGCGAACGGCGTCGGACGAGAGGCGCGACCGCGGCTTTGGTTCGCGTGGAGCGGCGCGGAGGCGGCGAAGCGCGCGAGCGACACGACGTACGAAGAGTACCTGAGGGCGGCGGAGCTGAGCGACGACGCGGCGGCGGCGACGACGCGAGACGCGCAGATTGAGATGGATTTGGCGCGAACGTTTCCCGAACACGCGAGGTTCGCGGAGACGGGCGACGCGCTTCCGGCGTTGCGTCGCGTGCTGCGAGCGACGGCGACGTCGGCGGCGGCGGGATACGTGCAGGGGATGAATTATCTCGGTGGATTTCTGCTGTTGGTGATGGAGACGGAGGAGGACGCGTTTTGGACGCTTCACGTCGTGGTTAACGTGATGTTTGCGGGGTATTTCACGGAAGGTTTGAAGTCGCTGCGCGCGGACTTGGACACGCTCGATCACAGGTTTCGGTGCGTGTCGAGCGAGGCGCACGCGAAGCTCGAGTCCATGGGGCTGGCGGTGAAATACTTCACCGCGCGGTGGTTGATGTGCGCGCTGATCGGATGCGCGTCGGTGCCGATTGTGCTGCGGGTGTGGGATTTGATATTCGTCGACGCCGATAGAGAACCGCGGGAGACGATCATGCGAAGCTCTTTGGCGATTCTTGCGTTGCAAGCGCCGTGGATACGAGCCGCCGAAGACATGAGCTCATCCGTGGAGTGCATTCGCGAAGCGGGGTCGACAATCGACAACATCGAAGCCTATCTCCAACGCGTCTCGCTGTTGCGCGAAATGCACTTCCCGTCGAAACCGGCGCCGGCGCCCGCGGTGACGTCGACATCCCGAAAGAGGACATCCCGCTACGAACCGCCGCCGACGCCGGCGCGAGCGGCGATGACGCCCGTGGCGAACACTTTGTACGCATCGCTCGTGTCGTTCTTCTCACCCACACCGAGCAAAACGGCGGTCTCGACGCCGCGCGCGAGCGGACTCGCGCCGAAACGTTTGTGGAGCTTTGAAGAGACACAAGCCACGCCGAAGCGTACGCGCGTCGAGGCGGATGGGAGCGGTTCGCACGCGCAGTCGTCGATGTTCGCGAAATCAAAGACGCCGCTCAAGTCGCCGGCGCGCTCGCCGTTGCTCGCGGCGCGATAGCAAAATTTTAGCCTATGTTCGTGGTTCACAATATTCTCAACTAAAGACGGCGATGTTCGAATGTTCAGACGTTCGCCGTTCCTTACTGTCCGAGCGAGATGTGTTGCAACATCCTCAGCAACTCTTGGCTGCTGATGACGTTGGAGCCCATGCCCGAATCCATGAACGCGGGCGACTTTGTCGGCTTTGGGCCGCACAAACCGCCCGCCTGCTCTTCGTTTAGCTTCGCCAAACTGTTGTTTTCGCCCTCCACGGTGGCGCGCCACGCGGGATCCTCTTGCAGCGTCGTGCGAACGCTCGCGCGCTCGACGTCGTCGCACGCTTCGAGTTCACAAAGCGCGTTGGCCAAGATGATCACACTCCCCACGTTCCCCAGACGCGTTGAAATCGGCTTGGTCGCCAACGCTTCCTTGATGGATTTCGCGAGCGAGCCTTGAAGACTCTCTTCACCGCCTTCAAACATCGGCGCCCACAGCGGTTCATGTGGGCTCACCAACGCGGCGAGAATCAAACGAATCACCGTCGCGTGCAGAGCCGAACTCCAATTGTACTTGAAAAACATGCGCACGAGCGACACGAGGACAAACTGACCGTCGCTCGGAAGCTTGAGCTTTGCGATGCGCTCATCGATGTCTTGACATCCGATTTGCAAGAGCACGGCCAAAATCTCCGCCGCCGCGACGCGATGGGACCCAATCGCCGGAATCTTTTGTCCGCTTCGCTGCGTCACGGCGTCTTCGGGTTCAAACGTCAACGCAATCACCAAGGTTTCGATGTTTGCCATGATATCTCGCACCAATTCCACCGGAAACGTCTCGAGCGAATTTCCCGGCACTCGCAAATCATCCCTATCCGTCAAATCTTCCAATAGCGCGTTACTCAGCGCCCACAACAAGCTCCCTAACCTCGCCGCGTCCAGCGCTTCGTCCCCGTTCGCGACGGACTTTATCATCTCCGTCGCCGTGGACAGCGCCTCCTCTCGCGATATATCCTCCTCCAGCGACGCCTCGTCCTCCTCCTCCGCCTCCTCTCGAAGTTCACGCGTCAGCTCACCCGAGCGCTGCATCGCGCCGACCGCGCCGTCGACGACGATCTCCTCGACCTCCTCCTCGACCTCCGCCTCGACCTCCGCCTCGTCGTCGCGCGTCTCCACCGCGTCGTCGTACGCGTCCTCGTCCGCGCCCGTCGCCGCGCTCGCCTCCGGCGCCGCCATCGCGTCGCGCGTCGCCGTCGCCGACGCCTCGCCGCGTCCCGCGTCGTCGTCGTCGTCGTCGTCGTCGTCGCGCGTCGATCCCATCGCGCGCCTCTGAGTGACGACGACAGTCATGCGCGCGTCGACGACCGCGCCGGCGTTCGCGCGGCCGGCGCGCGCGCGACGCGCGTCGCCCAAGTCGCGCGCGAACGCCGGCGTCGACGTCCCGACGCTGCTGAACAACGTGCCGCACGCGCGCGCGACGCGGCGATGGTTTTACGAGGACGCGACGAAGTCGATCGTCGCCGCGGTGACGGCGCGCGAGCGACGCATCAAGATCAAGAGCGAGTTCCCGGAGCTGAACGTAAACGGTGACGTGTATCGCGTCGGGACGACGCTGGAGCTCGTGCGCGAGACGGCGGCGGCGCTGGCGCGCGACGGGTTGCGAGTGAAGATTTGCGTGCAGCGAAGCATGGGACAGGGAGTGTTTCAAGCGCTGCCGCTGAGCCTGAGCGGGGTGTCGAAATTGCTCGGGATGATGGATTGGGAACCGGGGACGGAGGGAATGATCGACCCGAGCGGTGGGATCGGCGCGGCGGACGGCGAGGGGGCGGATTGTTTCATATTGGTGCAGCCGCAAAACATCGTGGGGTACTCGGTGCTGCCGTACATCGAGGAGATGGAGGCGGTCGTGGGCGATAAGCCGATGATCATGATTAATCCGAGGTTGGACGACGTGCAGTCCGCGGGGAACGTGATGTCGGTGCGAGGGAGGAAGGAGCGCATGGACGCCGTCGCGGCGTGGAAGGAGGTGTACCATTTTCGGCTGTTGTATCGCAAGCCGTATTTTTTCCCAATTTACGGCGCCCTGCGCTTCGCGTACTACGAAAACGAGTGGGAGTTGTACAAGCGCACGGGAGCTCGTGAATTAGAACAGTACGTGTTGCTGGGCACGTACCCGAGCGAGCCGACGCCTGACGAGATGACCAAGAAAATTTGGGGCTGACGCCGCGCGTTTGTAACAGAATTGAATTCGTCGAGCGCCGCACTCCATGGCCCACGACGCCGATGACGGCGACGTCGTTCGCCTCAACGCGCTGCTCTCTAAATGGCGAGAACCGAAGATGCAGCGCGTCTTGCCGCGTCTCGTCATCCCCGACGCGACGAACAGGGCGAACAGCGGCGTCTCGCTTGAACACGCCCACGGCATCGCGATGTCGATTTGCGAGGATGGATTCAACGAAAACCACGACGTTCCGGTCGTCGTGCGCGAACGGGCGCGAGATATGCTGAAATCAGACGCGTATCGACGGTGGGAGGCGTTCTCGCGGGCGAACGCGCGCGTGCTCCCGGAGGTGTCGGCGCGAACGTGGGCGTCGCGGCGGTGGGCTTACGCCACGCTCGGGTCGTCGCACTTAAATTTGGCGCTCAAGTTGATCGAGTACGACGTGCCGAGCGTGTTCGAGCGACGATGGGAACGATCGAGGAGAATTCGTTACGGCGACGCGCTGACGCGAGACGCCGGGCTGAGAGAGGCGATCGTGAATGGGTTGCCGAGCGTGGTGCTGAGGTCCGAGACGCCTCCAGAGGCGCGAAGGGAGATTTCTTTGATGTTGAACCGCGCCGAAGACGTCGGTTTTCGCATCAATGAGCGCGGGGAAGCGGTACGCGTGCGAGATGGCGGCGACGAAATCAAGGAACTCACCGTGTTCGAGGCGTTGTCGCGAACTTTAGACTCTGAAGAGTTGTCGTCGCTCGCGAGGATCAAGTACGGTTTGGATTTAGACGACGCCGAGGCGGGATACGTCGCCGACGCCGCGGCGAACACCGCATCTCTTAGATCAAGATTATAGTACATAGCGCGCAGTAGCACTAGTCATTTGGAGATATCATCTTTATTACAAGGACGCATTTTATTGTAAGAGTTTGGGATTCATCGTCGACTGGCGATGACTTCTTGAGAACAAAATTCGCCAGGGATGGCGAGACTTAGTACGCATCACGCGGCAAATTTACGCCGGGCAAGCGGAGACATCTCCGGAAGCGTCGTCTGGCACGACTGGGATGAATTCAAACTGGGCGTTGACGTCCGCGATGTTGTTCTGCCGTGCGTGGCACGCAATTGAGCTGCCGAAATCCCGGCACAGACCTTTGCCCGATTCACGACTCGCGAGATCTTTGTTCACGAACGTGTAGAGGGTGCCCATATCATATTCCACGTTTTGGGTGTGTTTCTTGGCCGCGGGCACTTCCGAGATTGTTAACTTCGCGCCTTCGGGAAGACTGGTGCTGTTCGTCAAAACAGCTCTGGATCCGCTCGTCGGACACTTCATGACTTTTCTGTTCCAGCCATTATTCTGGGACCAGTCAGAATAACAGACGTACATATTTCCATCTTCACCCTTGCGGCTGATGGTGCGATAGACGTTGCCGTCATCGTCCGCCGGCGTGCTGCCGATGTAAAAGACTTCCGGCGCGTTAGAGCCGTTTTCTCCGTCCTGGCGACACGTCACGCCGCATCGAAAGTTTCCGTTGCTCGCGACATTACGAAAACGGCACCAGTTCACAACGTTCGCGCTCTTCTGCGCGTCCGTCATCTGCTTCATCGGCACGCCGTTGAGGAACGGGTCTCGAAGTCGGTGCTTCCCGCCCCGCGCGTAATACGCCCCGTCCGCCAATCCGAGCGCCGGCACGAGCGGCGCGCGACCGAGCGACGCGGTGAACATCTCCGGCGCGCGCGCCCGCGCCACCGCGCCGACGCCCGCGAGCGCCACCGCGGCCAATCCGAGCGTTTTTCGTCCGCGCACCTTCGCGGCGAGCGTTTCGCGTCGCGCCCGCTCGCCCTCGAGCGGCGTCGCCTCGACGTCGACGTCGCGCGCGATCGCGCCGTACGCCGTCTCGGTCTTCGCGTCTTCGCCCATCGTTTCGTCCTCGCGTCGTCTCGGGAAGTGAAGTCGAAGGTGTCGAAAATCGCTGCTGTTGATGGTGTTGGCGCCACCTTTCGCAATCGTCCCGTCATGGTCGTCTGAGACGTTAAATACGAAGACACACTCGGACGAGTCGCGAACCGACGACGGCCGGGACGCGTGCGGTCCCGCCGCCGGCCGGCGCCAGAGCGCGACGCCGCCGTCTCGAGATGTCGCACGGCGTCCCGAACGCCGCCGCGCAGGCGGTGCTGGTGAAGTCCGAACCCATGCCCGCGGACGCGAGCGTCGTGCGAGGGTACGATTTCGAGGGCGCGCTCGATTACGACGCGCTGATGCGGTCGCTCTACACCACCGGGTACCAAGCGACGTCGCTGGGACAAGCGATCGGGGAGGTGAATCGAATGCTGCGGTGGCGGTTGAGCGACGAGGCGGTGACGGAGGAGACGGACGAGGACGAGCGAGGGGAGGCGCACAGGGCGAACGTGCGAACGAAGATATTTTTGGGATGGACGAGCAACCTGACGAGCAGCGGGACGCGAGAGACTATTAAATATCTGTGCAAAAATAAGATGATCGACGTGCTGTGCACGACGGCGGGTGGGGTTGAGGAAGATTTCATAAAATGCATGAAACCGACGTATTTGGGGGATTTCGCGCTTCGCGGGAAAGATTTGCGGGGGAAGGGATTGAACCGAATCGGAAATTTGATTCAGCCAAACGACAACTATTGCGATTTCGAGGATTGGATCATGCCGATATTGGACGCGATGCTCAGGGAACAAAACGAAGAGGGCGTGAAATGGACGTGCTCATCGGTGATCAAGCGGCTTGGTATGGAGATTAATCACGAGGATTCCATCTTTTATTGGGCTGCGAAGAACGATATTCCTTGCTATTGTCCGGCGCTGACGGATGGTTCCATCGGCGACATGTTGTACTTTCACTCGTATAAGAACCCAGGCTTGGTCATTGACGTCGTCGCGGACGTTCGAGCGATGAACGATGAGTCGATCAAGGTTAAACGGCCGAGGAAGACGGGCATCATTATTCTCGGCGGCGGCGTCGCCAAGCACCACATTTGCAACAGTAATTTGATGCGAAACGGCGCGGATTACGCCGTGTTCATCAACACCGCGCAAGAGTTCGATGGAAGCGACTCCGGTGCACGCCCGGACGAGGCAGTGTCTTGGGGAAAGATCACCATGGATGCCAAACCAGTCAAATGTTACGTCGACGCCACTATTGCTTTTCCCATCCTCGTCGCCGAAACTTTCAAGAAGAACTTCGAACCTCGCGCGTGAGGGCGAGCGAGCGACGCGACGCGACGCGACGCGACCGACCGGTCTTGTTACCATTAAAACCTTGTAATCACTAATTGAGTTGCTAGTTTCCTTTCCTCGGTGACGACTCCTCGGCGACGCCACTGTTTTACAAAAAATGCAGACGGTTAAAAGCATCACAGTCACGCGCGTCGCTTCTGGAGCCCCCGTCGCCCCCCCGTTCGGCGCGCATCACGATGCGCGCGAAGACATCCTGGTCGAAGTGTTCGACGAGCGGCTCGCTCGCACCCGAAGACGTCAGCGCGTTCGAAACGCATGGATACTTGGTGCTCACTGACTTCGCGAGCCCCACCGAAATCTCCGCCATGCGCGCGCGCGCGGCGGAAATAGTCGACAAATTCGACGCCAACGCAAACAGAGAGTCGATCTTCTCTACCGTGAATCAGTCCGGGCAGAAACGGGCGACGGACGAGTATTTTTTGGGGTCGGCCGACAAAGTCTGTTGCTTCTTTGAAGAGGGAGCGTTCGATGAACGGGGCGAACTGCGCGTGCCGAAACACCTCTCGATCAACAAAATCGGACACGCGCTGCACGATTTAGATCCAGTGTTTCGCGCGTGGAGTCGCTCGGAAAAGGTGAAGAATCTATTCAAAACGCTGGGCTCGCCGCGGAATCCGCAACCGGTGCAGTCCATGTACATATTCAAACAACCGTCCATCGGCGGTGAAGTGGTGCCGCATCAAGACTCAACCTTTTTGAACACCGACCCACCGACGTGCGTCGGAATTTGGCTCGCCCTCGAGGATTGCACGCTGGAAAACGGCTGCCTGCACGCGCTCTCCGGCACGCCCGATGTCGCGCGACGCATGGTCGTTGACCACGACGGCACTCGCGCGGTCGAATTCATCGGCGACGCCCCGACGCACGACCTCACCGTCGCCGAACCCTTGGACGTCCCCGCCGGAACCTTGGTCGTGCTTCACGGCCAAAACGTGCACTACAGTCGCCCGAATCTTTCGCCGGCGTCTCGCCACGCGTACTCGGTCCACTACGTCGACGCCACCGCGACTTGGCGCCCCACCAATTGGCTCCGCCGCTCCCCCGACTTTCCTTTCGTCCCGCTCTAGCGATGTAACGCCCGTCGTCCTCGCGCGCGTTCGCGCGCCGCGCCCAGTCTCAATCTCACACACGGATTTCACCCCGTCGTCCCCTCGTCCCCGCGTCGCGCGGCGCCGCAGATCGAGCCGACGTCGCGCGCGCTCGTCCCGCTCGCGCCGCCGAGCGCGCGCGCGCGCGCGCGACCGCATCGCTCGCGCGTCGACGCGCGTCCAATCAAACGACGGTTCGGTTTCCGCGCCGGCACCGGGCGCGCAGACTAAAAAACAAATTCAAAAAGCGATTCACCGCTCGAACGCGATTGACGACGCGGCATGGCGCGCGAAGAAGAGCTCACCGAGTACGAGCGCGAGCGACAAGCGAAAATCGAAAGAAATAAAGCGCTGATGGAACGCTTGGCGCTGGCGAAGCTGGCGAGCGAGGCGGGGATCGGTGGAGAGGGAGACGGGCCGGGCCGCGGACGAGGGCGAGGGCGCGGACGCGGCCGCGGAAGAGGACGAGGACCGAGAGTGAAGAGAGAACCGGCGAGACAGAGCTCGCGAGTGGAGAAATTACGGAAAGAGTCGAGGCTGACGTCGTGGCGCGGCACGCGGATCGAGCGACCGTTGAGGACGCATTGGGCGTTTGAGGTGGACGCGGACGTGGGGAGTCTCGGCACGGCGACGGAGGAGGATAGAGGTTTGAATGGAAGATTGGTGCCGAAGAATTACTTCGTCGAAGGGTACTGCGGTGATGAACCGTACGCGGCGTGGACGGATGACGTGGGTTGGCACCATTTGATATGGGGGAATGATCGTGTGAAGGAGAATAAACGACACGTGCGAACGGATGAGAAAGGAAGCGCGACGGCGAGCGGCGCGGCGGTGATCATTTTGCAAGAGTGCGCAAGACGTCGGCGGCGACTTTACGAAGACTTCATTGTTGAACGCGCGGAGAAGGCCTTAGATTTGTTGATGGGTAGTCCAACGCCGAGCTGGTACCGTCCGTACTACCCGACGTACATTGACGAGCGCGCGAGGGCGTTGTGGGCGCCGATTGTCAAGCACGCACCGATTCCCGTCGTGAAAGAAGATGAACTTGACGAAGAAGAAAAGACACGACGGGCGTTTCGCAAGCAGTTCAAAGAGAACAAGTTCCAGAATTGGGAAGTGGACAAGATCGACGTCTTAGACGGTGAAATCGCCTCCCACTGCGTACAATGCGGCATCAGCAAAGAAGAGACACCAAAGATGCGTCTCGGTCCAGATAAGCGACGCTCTTTGTGCACCGCGTGCGGATTGTTCTATGCTTGCATGGGTCACACGTATCGGCCGATGGGATTCGCGGATAACTTGAACTCTACTGTTGAATTCAAGGACCTTCAAATAAATGGGTATGTCGAGGTGAAAGAGGAGAAGAACGTCGAAGTCACGGACGATGCGGAGGCGCGATGCGAGCGCGTGGCGGTCACGTTATCCGTATCCGACGCTGGCGACCTAGTGTTGAACGTGGACGTCGTCGAGGATGACAGGATGGAAGTGGACGTCGCCGCCGATGACGGTTTGAGTCGCTACGAGCGAACCGAAAAGGATTGGGAGCGACACTCAGAACCCTTATCGACCCAGTATCCGGCTGTCAATCGCTTCTTACCAGGTGCACCGGTATCCACTTCCACGATGCTCATGAGGACGACTAGAGGCGTGGTCGAGGACTACCCCATTGACGCTGTCGATTGGTCGTCCTTGCCGCACTTCACTAAACTCGTCACTCTTGCGAGTACGGGGTTGATTACCAATAGACAGGTCATGGCGGACGAACTTCCGGAGGAGCGACTGTACCAGCGAGCGGTACCCTACGCCGCGCACTCTCACCTCAAGCGCATGGTTGAAACGGGGAGATACGAAAAGTATCAACTCAATCTCACCGAATCGGAGCGGTACAAACCCGTCGAGTACGAATGGAAGCCAGACCAAATAGATGGTGACACGCTATTCGGGTACTCGGAAGAGCAAGTGCAAGACTCCCTCGAAGCGCACATGGAGCGGAAAGTAGAAGCTGCGGCCATGGACGACGCCGACGAGACGAAACGAGAAATGCTCGCAAACATTGCTTTGGAGGATCTCGACGCAAAGCGAACGTTTGAATACCAGGTCCTGCGAAGCATCGAGTCTTTTGAAAAGGCTGCAGAGAAGTCAGAACGCGATGCTGAGCGCGAGCGTGAGCGCGAACGTCGACGTAGAGATGCTGAAGAGGAAGAGGTTCGCCGCGAGGCTGAGATGGAATTGCACGGAGGGAGGCGCGTGGTGTGCATGAAGGAATCCATCGGCTACAGCGCCGAAGATCTTGCGGCCTACGAAGGCGAGGAAGATATTCCGGATCCAATCGCCATTACCTGTGCCGGTCACGTAGGCATGTTACAAACAATGTGCAAATCGCGCGCTGAACGCATACACGATGTCGCTTCAGACAAAATAGTCGGTGGGGGCGAATTCGAACGCATGTCTGGCTGCGGCAGCTCAAAAAAATGGCGAAATTCGTGCCGCGTTCTCAATCCCGACGACACGCCTGGCATTACTATCGGCGCGCACTTGGTCGAACGCGGCGATGAAAAGGGCGATGATGTCATCGGACGGCGCATAGCGGTCTGGTGGGCGACAGAGCAGCTGTTCTACCTCGGGAATGTTGAAGCTTACAACGTCGCGAACGGCGATCATTCAATTAGGTACGACGATGGTCAACTGGAGGACGTCGCGCTCTGCATGCAACGCGTGAAGTGGCTCGATTCGGACGTGCTTGTTCCGAACGACGAAGAGGAAGCCGAGGACGAAAAAGCGCCCTCTCGTCTCCACGTGCGTCCGCCAGGCGTTGCAGGCTCTGAAGAAGCCACCGTTCGAGTTCCACTAGGAGGATTTAGCGTTTACACGCGTTTGAAACCATCGACGACGACGATGAAGCATAGCGAGCGTCGTAAGTGCTTCGAAATTCTACAAGCTGTTCGCAAAGTCGAAGCCGATGGTAGAAGCTTATCTGAACCGTTCGAAAGGCTCCCTTCGCGCTTCACCCTACCTGATTACTACGAAATCATCAAGTGTCCGGTCGACTGTGCGGCGATCGAGCGAATGCTTCGGAAATCCATGGCTGGTTACCCGAATGTCTGGTTCTTCCTCGTCGCGATGGAGCTCATGTTTACCAATTGTCAGCGCTTTAACGATCCCGCTTCGATGCTCTACAGAGACGCCGAAGTCCTGAGAGGCGTCTATCTCAAGGCGGTTCAGGAACGGTTTCCAGGCCACCCGGTGCCATCAAAGAACATTTACGACAACGTAGATGAGCCAGCGTGGGATAAACCAGTCGATGATGGCGTGATTGAAGACGAAGACGATCCATTTCCGCAGAAGTACGTTCAACCAGAGCTCAGACAATCAAACACACAAGCCGCCCCGCAAAGGAAGCGTCGTGCGCGGTATGATTCGGATTCTGAGGAATATGTACCAAAGCGAAAGTCTCAACGCAGCGCGCCGAGAGATCGTCGCGTGCCGAAGAACCCGCTCGACTGCGCGATTTACGTCCTCTCTCGTGTTCACGGAAACGCAATGCCATTAAATTCGCTTTATGAAATCATGGTCGAGAAAGGTGTGGATTGTGGTCTTTGGGGACGAAGACCACTCGCGGCGCTTGGCGCGCTATTGCGACAAAACCCGCTCGTCTTTCGTGACGCTCGAGGTGGGGAAGTCTGGGAACTGGTGAACAAAGTGGATGTCGATACCGATGAAGAAATCGATTACCTCGCGGATGACGGTCGAGAAGAGATGAGCGAAGACACCGCGGAGGCGTCTCCGCCGCCGGAAAAGATAGAGATGACAAAGCAAGAAACGAGCGCGTGTCGGAGCGTTCTGGCCGCTATTCGCGCGAGCAAGGACAAAAAAGGACGCAAACGCGCGGATCCTTTCGAGTTACTTCCTACGCGTAAGGCTTTACCCGAGTACTATCGCGCCATCTCTGCGCCCATCGATCTCGGCAGCATTCAAAAATGCTTGAACGCGGGCGGTTACCCCTCGACGTGGATGTTTTGCGTCGCCCTCGAGCTCATGCTTTCCAACTGCCAAAACTTCAACGAATCGAGCAGCACGCTGTACAAAGATGCCGAAGTCTTACGCGGCGTCATCGCGAAGACGATCCAATCTTTGTACCCTGGTCATCCCGTTCCCGAGCGCGACTCTCCGTACGACGCCGCCAAGTGCGTCGAGCCGCGCTGGCGCCCGCCCGCCGACAAAGGCGCTCCCAAGCCAAAACTTCGTTTCACCATGAAAACCGTCTCCAAGTAGCCTCAGCGCTTAGCGCGTCGTTCTTTCTCTGTCACATCACTCACCGACGAAAGAATCAAACCTTCCTCCCGCGCCCTCGATTTCAAACGTCACTCACTCGACCGCGGCGCGTAAAAAAGCCGCGGCCGTCGCGCGTCACCGTCGCGCGCGCGCGATGTACGCCCAGCCCGACGCCGGCGGCCTGTCGAAAGACGACATCCGCCAAGCGTTCCGCGAGTTCGATCTCGACCGCAACGGCTACGTCGGCGCCGCGGAGATCGCGCACGTCCTCGCATCCATGGGCGAGAAGGTGACGGATGACGAGATAGATGAGATGATTTTAATGGCTGACACCGACGGCGATGGGCAGATATCGTTCGAGGAATTTCACCGGTTGATGGCGCAGCTGAGCGGCGCGCCCGTGGCGCCGCGCGCGGGGGGCTACGGCGCGAACGTGGGGCGACAAGGAGGACAGTACGGGCAACCGCCGAATATGGCGTTGAATCGCGGCGGCGCGCCGGGACCGGGAGGAGGGTATGGGTACGGGAACGCGCCGGGAGTGCAGTATGGGAACGCGTACGGTGGAGCGCCGCATCAGATGGGCGGAACGTACGGCGTGGGAATGGGCGCGGGCGGTGCGGGCATGATGGGCGTCGGCGGCGGCGGAGCGCCGATGGGCGGGATGGACGACGTCGGCGTCGGCGGATCGGGCGGGATTCATGATTTAGAGTCGTTCCGAAGGTCCCAAGGGCTCGGTACGGACGCGTTAAAAGCAATATACAAGGCGTTCTTGGAGAGCGATAAGGATGGGAGCGGGCGCGTGGACGTGAATGAATTCGTGCGCATGTTGCGCGTCGATCGCACGCCGTTTGTCGAGCGTCTGTTTTCCATGTTTGACACCGATCGCACCGGTCTCATCGACGTTAAGGAATTCATCGTCGGTATGGCCAACGTCGGTGGCGAGGCACGCGATAATAAGATTCAGTTCGCGTTCAGCGTGTACGATCTCGACGGTTCGGGGTACATCGACTCGAGCGAACTGCGCAAAATCATTTGCGCGACGAATATGAGCACCGACAAGCAAATCGAACGCAAGGTAGAATGGCTCATGCGTCAGTGCGATACCGACGGCGATGGGAACATATCGTTCGAAGAGTTCACGACGCTGTCCAAAAAGTTCCCCAACATCGTGTTTCCCGCGTTCAATCTCGCGGGGAGCATGGCTGGAATGACGTAAGGTCACGCCGACGCGCGCCGAGACACTGTAACAATCAACCCAAATCACCACTCCGCGACGCGCGACTCGCGCGCGATGCCGGGTTTCCAGAGCCCGTTCAAACGAACCGATACCGACACATCGGATCCACCTCGCGCTGACGACGCACCCGCGTCGACCGCGTCGCCCGCGGCGTCGAAAAGCGAAACCACGCACTCTGGGAGCGATTCCGGACCGAAACGCAAACGCGACGAAACGAGGACGGCACCGCGCGATGCGACGCCGACGGGCGCTCGAAAAGGCGCGGAAGCGCTGATGGATATTTCTTTGAGCGAAGTTTCTATAGGCGCGGGGCTGGAGCGGCGCGAGAGCGACGGAGCGGGTGCGGAGGATGGTGGCGTCTCGGAGACAACGAAGACGCGCGGCGCGGCGAGATCGGAGACGCCGGAGCGCGACGCGATGGATGATGTCTGGACGACGTTTCATGATTCTTTGAAGCGCGCGGAATTGGCGAAGAGAATATCGAGCGAGGATGAGATGACGAATACGGTGAGTGAGGTGCGGCGGGTGAGTGAGCGATTGCGAGATTTGTGGTCGACGAATGCGACGAAGGCGAGCGATTTAGCGAGGCACATGTCGCAACGATGCTGGAATTTCGCAATCGAGAAAACGGCGTTGGAGACGACGGCGGAAAGCGGGATTGTGAAGAAGGAAATGATTGGTCCGTTGCTTGATTTGAGGTACTTCGCGTGTGAGTTGCTGGACGCCGCGTTGGGATTTGCGGATGGCTTCGCTGTGAGCGCTGGGGCGCCTGAAATTTCGAGTCTCGCTGTCGGCATTTCAAATCACTTGACGCTCGCAAAGTTGCTGCACGATGCGGGTGAGTTCAAGGCGGCGGAAGAGCAGTTCGTGATCGGTGAATCATACGGTAATTCGTTCTTGAACCGAAATGGCGAATTCGACGCCGAGACAATGTTACAGACGATTGAAGCCGCCACGTCACGCGCAAAGAACTGTTTTTATCTCGGCAACGTCGCCGGTGCTCGGGACTTTTTTCAAGACGCCAAATCGCTTTCTGAAAGCGAAAAGAATAAAGGAAATGAGACTATGTGCGTAACGACATTGATCAGCGCGAAGATAAACTTGGCTGAGAATTTCGTGGTTTCAGAAAAGCTTCAATCAGCAGATGACGAAGCCGTGTTCGACAGAAAAGTTGGTTTCCTCGTCAAAGAGCTAATCGCAGCATACTACGACTTGTTCACGATCACTCCGAATTCTTGGTCGACGTCTTCCCATCAAGATAACGCGGCGCACTTTGATTTAGATGAGAAACTCGTGTGCGAGGACCACCGCCTGGTTCGCGCCGATGGTTTGTACATTCGCATCTTGCATAACCTTGCCAGACTATTCATTCACGGAAGAAGGTACAACGAGGCTCTTAAAGTGTTGGATAAAATGAAAATAATCAAGTCTTACGCGAAAAAGTGTGAAAATAGTGATAACGTCTTGGCTCGCGATTTGCAGGCGTTAACCGAATCGTTTCTCATGGACAACATGCTGATTGAAGCGTTCTCAGGGAGTGGTGAGATTTCGAAAGCGTGCAGCATACTCGAAAATGTACTCAACGATGAAAACTCTGTTGTGAATGTCCTCCATACGTGCTGTGTCAATCTGGCGAAGAGCGAATGCGGCGCTGGCGCCGTTGCGTCGTGCATCGCTCCGCTCGCCAAACGACTGAGCGGCTGTCCAAAGGCGAGACGACAAGAAATGATTACTGATATCTTTGAAGCTCTACTGGATACGACGCTCACTGTAGATGAACAAGTAGCAAACGATGTTCTGTCTTATATGGATCGACTTCTTACAGATACCGATAGTTTCAAGGAAATCGGTTTTTCTCGCGACGGGCAATCTCGTGCATACGCCATCATCTGGAACGCTGCATCTGACATGTACATGCAAAATAAGTACTCACTGGCACGAAAACTGTTTGGTATGACGCTCCCATTATCGTCACAAAGAAAGTCGAAGACCGTGAGCAACGCAGCGGTACCGGTTATCCGGCTGCAAGTGATGTGCGATCTCGAGAATGGCGATATCGAACAAGCAAAGGAGTCGCTGCGAAGTTTGCTGGCGGACAAGACCGCGACGGATGTGTCCACAACATTGTTGAACGTAAAGTTTCAGCTCATTTCTGACGACGTCTCGGGCCTGGGAGAATCGATTCGAACGTTTGCAAAGGCAGGTGAATCTGATGCGTTGTTATACGTTGCGGGAGAACTCGATGGCTCAAAGCACCACGCCACGGCCGCAGACGCTTTTCGTAGCCTTTACGATATGATTTTGAACAATATGGGTACCGATAATATGATGAAGCAAGAGACTTTTATATTTTGCAGTTATCTGCGACACGTAAAAATGGCCAAAATGGGTGACTTTGACTCGAAGACGTTTTCTGAATCAGCCGAGTTGTTCAGCGAGTTCATGAAGCGAGCGTCGAATTTGAATCTTCTCACAGATGTTCGACAGGCACGGTATCTCGCCGACTTTTCGTGGAATACTGGCCTCGACGCGTACGAAAAGTCGTCAGAAACAGAAGCGGCCTATCAGTTTATGTTTTTATGTGCGCTTGTGATTTCCAAATTAAACAAGATTCCAGAAGGTTTGGATGCAGACGATCGTGCAGAGTATGGCTATCGACAAGCAGTCGCGCTTCTGTTGTCCATCGCATCGCTCACCAGCTATAACCCAGCTACTGATGTAGGAGACGAACAATCTCGGAAAGAACGCGAAGCGAAGAATATCGCCCGCTCAAAGGGTGCGATGGCCAATCTCCACAGCTTGTTGAAAAACGCTGAAGAGGAAAGGTACGAAGAGTTGCGAAAGGTTGCGAGTGTCCTTGAATATGAAATCGCTTGCGCCCAGCGTGACGTCGCGTTGCAAGGCAAAATAATCGAAATATTATCGACAAAGACGTTGGATGACGAAGCTTCAATAAACACGCTCTTGATGATTGCCGACCGCGGCGCGGCGATGAGAACGTCTGATTTGGTCACCGTTTCGAGAGCATATGAAGCGGTTGGGAAAGCTATGAAGAAGTATTTGATTCAAGACGTTGCTCTCATCGCGCGATTAATGCGTAAACAAATTCAACTCGCTTCGCGAGTGTACAAAAGCAAAGACGACGTGATTCACTCGCTTTACGACTCGGCCGAAGAGTTCCTCGCACTGCATCCTTCATATCCCCCAGTGGAAGCGCAGTGGTTGCTCTCAACTTGTTTCAACCGTGCCGTTCGACATGAGAGATCGATGCGAACGAAGGAAGCAATCGACTGGCTCAAACAAACGCAAAAGCTCATTTCAGCGCTCGAAGAGATTTTGCCAGATGCCGTCGAAACGTACTCATCCATCATAAACGACAACCTCGCCGTGTTGACTGTTGAATTGGACGCAGCGTAGATATGAAACACGATTTGCTACGACTACATAATGATATATCACACCGCTACTCTGCTGTTCTTTCGCGTTTTTGACGTCTAACTTTTGTAAGCGGTAATGGCGCTCGACAGTGCGTCGAAAACCGACTGGGCTTCAACGAGCGTCATCCCCGTCAAGCGCAACACGGGTTCTTCGTAATGTCGTATCGGGATGATGATATCAGCATTCTTCCAACCGAATGGCCGCAACTGTGGCATCCTCTTCGTTGACGTCATAGTCTTATACAACACTCCACGACCTGACCCGTTGACTGGTAAAAACACGCACGATTGGCTCGCCACCGTAAACTTCCCCAAGTCGCGTGCTAAGCCGTTCGCACGCGCGCAGACGCACGTGGCGATCACTTCCTCATCCGCCGGCAGAGTGGGTGGCTCCATTCGCTGCGCCGTTTCTACGCTGACAACCTCATCTAAAGTCTCGCACGCATGATCTGAAATTTGTGCGACTTGAATATCGTGCATGAATACCGGACGCTGCAAGAAGCAAGGATTCGTGCGAATCACCGCGACGCACGAATCCCTCTCTCGAGCTTGAATGTTTAACTCGGTGTGCATTCCACCGAATTCACTGAAAGTGAATGATCGACGATCGTCGAATGTGATGCGAAGCCCAGGCGTACCATCAGCAGCATCGATACGCGAGATGTTCGCGATTCTGCGAATCTCTCGGACGACCGCTGTCTGGCTGTCGTGCGGGTGATCGATGCTCATTCCAGATGTCGAAAACGCCAATTGCGTAGCCGTGATGTAGAATCGTCCTATTAAGCCAGAACCATCGCGGCAAACCCAGGCACCGAGTAAAGAGTCGATACTCATTAACTGTTCGCCAAAGAGTGCTTTTAGACTCATTTTCGTAATCAGCATGCTCTGTTCGTTGTAAAGATCCATTGCTGTTGCGTCGTTTGAACGCTGACGCAAAAAGCGCAAGATGTCTTGAACGGCCACTCCACCGATCGACCGCAGTCGGATTTGTTTGCCATGCGCCGAAACGATCGATCGGGACAATACTTCTTTCAACTGCCAGAATTCTCGCATAATCTCGATCGTGGGCGTAAACCATAAATTCAACAAACGGCGCAGTCTGCCTTCGCCATCCTTGAGAATTGACTCAGGCTCGCCGGCACCGTCGCAGTGGAAGAATTCTCTGACATCTGCCATGAGCTCGACGACTAAGGAATGTTGCATTTCTGTGAGCGTTGGTAATCCTCTCCAACGCTCACTGGCTTCTAGCGCTCCCTCCTCTATCGGTCTGTGTAGGATGAGTTGTTCGATCGCATCACACACCCCTTTGTGCATCGAAGACAACGCCAGTCGAAACGCCCCTGGCGCAAGCCTCTCGTTCATAAGCTTGAGCTCCGAGTCAATCATCATGAAGACTATGCGTACCGCCGCAGAACGTGTCTTTTCTTCCTTGTCAAGAATAGCGACACGAATAAACGGTGCAATCCGTTCTTCGATCAACTCCGTTAATGACGCAATGACGTTTGCGCGAACGGTGCGAAGTTTCTGTACAATTCTGTTCGCGAAGAAATCAGTATCCAGCATTCTTTTCTCGTCGAAGACATGGACTTCATCGTCCTCAAACAATATCACTTGATCGTCATCGATACCATACTCCGAGCTCGCTTGACGCTTGAGTGTCTCGTCGAACTCCGACTTTGACGAACACCACAGTAACGGCATCTCTTCCATGAACGGTTCGATCGCGAGGATGCACTGATGAATATTACTTAGACGCGTGTAAAAGTTACCAACCATCAGAGACTTTACGTCCGAAACATTCGCCGTCTTCGTATTCTGCCCCTTTGAGTCTTGCATCAAATGCAAGCGCGCGTTCTGGATCGCCTCCAAGCACGCTCTTTCATAAATATTGACGTACGTCTTAAACACTTCATAGCACATTTGACTCAACGATGTAGCGTTGAACGCCGCTCTTTCGCCGTGAAGAATGTGATCTTGCGCTGCTCTATCGATGTTGTAGAGTACACAAAAAAGATTGACGCACGACATACTGTGCATCGCTCCTCTTTCGACGTCCACGGGCTCTAAATTTGTTCTTTCGCCATCAATTTCTTGCTTGACCCACGCAACCAGCGCATGGTGTACTGTGCCTAGCGTTTCATCCAAAGCCGGCTGAAGGAGCCGATCGATGAACCGGGACGAAATCGGCTGCATAGCAAGCACCAAATCATATCGCTTTAATGCCCTCCTGTGCGCGCACAGCGCATCGTCTAGTGCCATCATCCCGGAGTCGTAATCAGGCGGGCTACGCATGCTCGCGATCGCCTGAAATACTTCAGTAATAATGTTTGCGATGAAAGCACTCGACGCCGACGCAGCCTCCGAAAGAGCTTCTACTTCGGACGGAAACTGCGATAAAATCGCAGCGTCGAGCGGCAAACGTTTGGTGAGTTTGCATATCATAGACGTCACGCACGCAACCGTGGGAGGGCCCTTTGTCGGATTTTCCCTCACCATGTGCTCGACACAACGTTTACGCATGGCCTCGCGAACGACCTTTTTCAACCGCAACACGAGCCGAGTGGCTGAAATGCTCCCAAGGGTCAAAGCAAATAATGGAATGATCGCGCGGGCGATACTGGCAGAATACTCCATGTCAAGCACATCGACGAGTTCTTGCTCGGCGACTTTTGCCGTCGGCAAAATATTGCACAGCTCTGTTTCTAGTTGTTTCGACATGAGCGCGGAAAGTTCGTCAAACCGCTGCTTCTCACTCGCCGTAATTCGATTCACCGCAATTGCCGCGAACACTTCCATTGTGCAGTGGCGTAATCTATCAAGTTGCGGGCGTTCGAGTCGCCAATCAATGCAAAGCGTAATCATTTCGGCCAGTGCAGCAATGGACGGGCATGCGCCGCGCTGATCCACGAAGCTGCGCACAAGCTGTTTTACATTTGGCACACTCGACTTGTCGAGCGCCGCGAAAAGCACGGCGGCATCTTTCAGAACGTCGCCCTTCGCCGTCGCGATCTGCGTCGTTCCGTCGTCAAACGATTCGACGAACTTGTCAATGCGTACGATTGCTTTACCGTAGACCTGACCCGGTGACCCTCCACTCTTCGGCCGCTCGATGAAAATCGTGAGCACGTGCGGTTCGTCTTTTCTCGTCGTCTCTGCTAAATCTGCGACACAAATGGTGGCGCTTCCTCTAATCTTGCCACTTGTTTCCCCGACGTGCGGCGACATGACGGCGTTGGCGCGCATCCTATCATTCGCATCGACTGCACTCTCGTCGACGGATTCGTGCGCGTCGCCCGCGTAAAAGTTGAACTCAATCGTGTCATCTTCGGAAACGGTCAATAACGGAGTCGTGGCGTTGAACAAAACGCCTCCTTCTCGCGAAGATGCGCGAGATGTCGACGAGTATGCGCGAGATGTCGACGAGTATGCGCTCGCCGTTTCTTCCCCAACGCGTGAAAGACGTACGACGCAAGTAAGCGGTTCGCATTCAACGGCTGCACTTTCCGAAGGCGCGTACGCGAGCTCTTGAGCGTCGTCATCGATCGCCGTCGAATCTGCGCCGCAGCAAGAGAACATTCCACCGCGGCCTTTCTTCGCGATGGGCGTAGACTTTGCCGCGACGGCCGCGGTGGTGGACGCCGCGGCGACGGACGCCGTCGCGCTCGCCACACACGCCCGCAAGCCGACCCTCGAACGAGCTCCACTCGTCTTCAAAACCCTCAACCGCGCCACCGCACGACGCAAGATGTAATTCAACGCCTCCTCGTCCTCGTCTCCCTCGAGCAAGCGCGTCTCCAGCGCGTCGACGATTCGTTCGCGTTCTCGAATCTCCCCTCCCCACGCGTCCATCGCCCGCGCCATCACCGCTTTCGTTTTCGCTTCATCGACGCCCAATCCCCTCAACATCGCGCGCGTCGACGCCAACCGCGTCTCGATGTTCGAAATCGTCGCCGCGTCGTCGCTCGCCGCGCTCGGCGTCGTCGTCGCGCGCGCCGTCTCCTCCAACATCTCATTCGTCAACCCGCCCTCTCCGAGCGTTTCTCTCGCGCACGCCTCCAACGCTCGCGCGCGCGTCGTCGTCTCCTCCTCCGCATCGCTCGCGAAGCGCAAACCGAACCCCTCCAGCGGCGCGTTTTCCCATCGCGTCGCCGCGCGCGCCGTCGTCGTCCCGCTCGTCCCCCAAATCCCTCCCTCGGACGCGTGAAACGTCCCGCATCGCCGCCATCGCCACGGTCGCGCGTCCGCGGCGTCATCCGCGTCGTGCGCGCGCGACATTCGCGACGCATCGCGCTCCCGTCGCGTTCCCACCGCCATCTTTCCGCGTCTTTTGCGCGAATTCCAAATGCGTCAATGAATCACCGCTTTTCGCGCGCGTCTCGCGTCGCGGCGACGCGCGACGCGCGTCGTTCGCCGCGTCTGCGGCGCATCCACCGACGCGTCGCGTCGCCGCGCGCGCGTCGTCGCGCAGCGTCGCGCACTGTCGTCATTCGTCGACGCGAATCGATTCTTAAATTAAATGTCCGACGACGACGACGACGACGGCGCGCCGCTGTGCTGCGGCGAGATCCTCGCCCGCGTCGCGATCGACGGCCACGACGCCCTCCGACTGCTGACGATCGACTGCGGCGGCGACGCGCCGCTGAAGATCGCGACGAACGCGCCGAACGTCGACGTCGGAAAGAAAATCGTCGTCGCGCGCGCGGGCGCGACGCTGCGCGACGGCACGCGCGTGACGGCGCGACGCGTCGGCGGCGTCGTGAGCGAGGGCGTCGTGTGCGACTCGACGATGGTCGGGTGGTCGGGCGGCGGCGCCGGGACGGCGGCGCTGCTGCCGAGGGATCACGCGGTGGGCGCGCGAGCGCCGAAGACGCGGCCGCGACTGGACGGGAAGACGACGGACGAGGGGGCGCGAGACGCGGCGGCGAGGGAAACGCAAAAGGCGAGGGAGAGGGAGGAGAAGAAGGCGGCGCTGGCGGCGAAGCGCGCGGCGAGGGACGCGAAGAAAGCGGCGAAGAAGGATGGGGAATCGTAAACGCGCGGCGAGCGAACGTCGAAGTCGCCGCGACGCCGCGTCGACGCGTTGTGATGATTAAAATGAGTGATGCGCGCGAGCGCGAACGCGCGCGCGACGCGAGCGATGCGCGATGAATCGCGCGGTGGCGTTCGGTGGAGCGCGTCTCGATCGGCGCGCGGCGCGCGCGTTCGACGCGAGTCGCGTCGTTTCGTCGGAGTTTGAGACGACGAGAAACGCTTACGTGGAAGATTTCTCACACTCGCGCGCGTCGACGGTCGAGGTGAGCGCGAGCATGGCGTACAAAATGGTCGGCCGATCTCGCGCGGGTCTCGCGCTCGCGCTCGCGCTCGCGCTCGCCGCGCTCGCGGCGTCTCAAGATACCGATGGAACCAACTTTGTCGGTTCAAGTTCCGTTGTACCCGACGATTCAGCGACGACACCCGACGACACCATCGATCCATTAAACGCCGAGGCGATCGTGACCTTGACGATGATCGAAGACCCTTTTCGTTTGGACGGCGCGGATTGGTCCGAGTCGTCGATGGACGACGCGTCGCGGGACGTCACCGTCGACGACGCGACAGTTCTCGAAGTTCTCGATTTGGCGTTTCACGGGGGATCGACAATCACTTCCCACGAGCACTTTCCACGTCGATTCGGGCCGCGTGATATTGATTTCGTGACTTCGTTTGACGTTGAGCCTTTCGGTATCGTCGATCGGCGATGGTGGGACGGGGACGTCATCGAATTCTCTTACGAAATATGCGACGGTGCGCTCGGGCAATTGGCGCTGGCTTTTACGATTTCATTTCTCGTTTTACTCGGTCTTTACTTGCTCACAGCGAATGACGACGACGAAGAGTGCGAGTGCTGTCGGCGTGGACGCCGATGTGGAACCCTCGTCGTCGATTCGCGCGCGCTTGAACAAGAGCTCAAATTGAATGGGAGCGCTTTCTTCCCGCACACGCACGCCTTGGACGACTCCGTCACGAAGCAATGCTCGGGCGACGTCGAGTACGAGTGCGCGAAAAAGTGAATTCAGCGAGCGCGGTCGCGAGATCGACAAGTTTTACTGTCTCGTTTAGAGAGTGCAACTTTACCGGTACTGTTTATTATCTCGCGCGAATTAGAATTATTTATGCGACGGCGTCGCCCTGCTCCGTCATCAGCCGTTCCGCGATGAACATGTCCTCCGGCGTCGTGACCTTCAAGTTGAAATAACTCCCCGGCGTCACTTGCACGCGCTCACCTAAGGCTTCGACGATGGATACATCGTCCGTCACCTCAAGTCCCTTACTATTCACGAGATCGTATCCCGCTCGCAACAACTCGGGTCGCATCACTTGCGGCGTTTGCATCTCCCAAAGCCGACTGCGATCGAGCCCCTTATCGATGCTCAAATCCTTATTCACTTCCTTAATCGTCGCCTTACTCTGCACCGCCAAAACCGCCGCACCGTACTTTTTCGCGTCGTTGAAGCACCGCCTCGCATCCGTCGCCGCGCACAGCGGTCGCGCGCTATCGTGAATCGCCAACAACTCCGCCCCCGCCCGCGCCGCTTGCATGCCATTATACACACTATCTTGTCGCTCTTTCCCCGGTCTCGCGAACACCAGCGGCTTATCGATCGCTTCGCTCTGAAACACGTCGTCGTAGCTCGGGTCGCACACGACGACGATCTCCCCGACCTCAGCCATCTTCGCAAACTTCCGAAGCGACCACAGCGCGATCGGCGTGCCCATGAGCGGCAGGTACTGCTTCGGCATGTCCGCTCCCATGCGCTTGCCCACGCCGCCCGCGAGCAGGACGAAGGACACGGCGCCGTCGGCGACGTCCTGCGTGACCTCGCTCGCCGCGCGCGTTCGGACGTTCGCGCCGCGCCGCGCGCGCGTCCGCGCGACGCGTCGCGCGCTCTCGGGCGCCGCGCGCGCGGGCGCGATCACGGTCGCTCTTCGCGAGAGCATGGTCGCGAGGCGTGCGCGCGCGCGCTCGGCGAGGCGACGAGTGCGGCGAAAAGTGCGAAAACGCTTTATCCATTATCCAACGGGACATCGGCGCACTGTGCGACGCGCGCGCGCGTCTCGCGCCGCGAACGACGCTCTTTCGCCGCGAACGAAACGCATGTCGCTCGCGATGTCGCTCGAAGCGCGCGCGACGCGCGCGCTGACGGTGCGCGCGCGCCGAAGCGCGAACGGGAGTGGGACGGTGGGCGCGGTGGGACCTCTCGCGCGACGCGCGACGCGCGCGCGCGCGAGCGCGGGGGAGGGAAGCGAGGACGCGCCGCCGCGCGCGCAGCCGAATCCGAATCAGATGCTCGTGCTCGTGCCGCCGCATCCGCTGTTGAAGCACTGGTTGGGGGTGGCGAGAAACGTGCAGACGCCGACGCCGATTTTCCGAGCCGCCATGGCGGAGATTGGACGGATTCTGATTTACGAGTGCGGCAGAGATTGGTTGCCAACGTTCGAGGCGCAAGTGCAGGGACCGCTGGCGATCGCGGACGTTGAATTCGTGAACCCCGAGAAACCGGTGGCGGTGGTGCCGATTTTACGCGCCGGGTTGACGCTCTTGGAGGAATCGGCGAGCGTGCTTCCGTCGAGCGTGACGCATCATCTCGGGTACGTGCGCGACGAAAAGACGCTCGAACCGAAGATGTACCTCAACAAGCTCCCCGCGTCGTTCGCGGAAGACGCGCAAGTGTTGATTAGCGACCCGATGTTGGCCACGGGCGGCACCATCGTCGCCGCCGTCGAAGAAATCGTCTCCCGAGGCGCATCTCCGTCCAACATTCGAATCATCTGCGTCGTCGCCTCTCCACCGGCGTTGACTCAACTTAGCGAGCGATATCCGGGCCTCCGCGTGTACGCGGCGATGATCGACGAGGTCTTGAACGACGACGGCTACGTCGTCCCCGGACTCGGCGACGCCGGCGACCGCGCCTTCGGCACGTAACCTCTCCGCGTTTTCCCATCATCGCTCGGTCGCGTCGTGGATTTTAATCACCATCTCTCACTCTTTTCTCGCTTTTCGCGTCCGAGCGCGCGTCGACGGCGATTCCTCGCGTTTCATTCGCTCGCGTTCGCCGCGTCGCCGCTCGGCGCTCAGCGCGGGCTCGGGGCGAGCAGCCGCCACTTCGCGCCCGCGCCCGCGCGCGCGATGCCGCCCTCCCGCGCGCCCGCGCGCTTCACCGGCGCCAAGGACTTCCGCGCGCGCATCCTGATCAGCGTCCTGAGCGGTAAGCCGTGCGTGATTCGCGACATTCGCGTCAAAACCGCCGCGCGAGGCGGCGGTGACGACGCCGTCGGGCTGCGCGATTACGAAGTCTCGCTCCTGCGCCTGATCGATAAGCTCACGAACGGCACGCGCGTGGACATCAGCGAAGACGGCACCGCGGTGCGGTTCGACCCGGGCGTGGTGAAGGGAGGACGCGCGCTGACGCACGAGTGCGCGACGAGCCGGGGCGTCGGGTATTACGTCGAGCCGACGCTGGCGTTGGGATTGTTCGCGAAGAAACCGATCGAATTGACGCTCATGGGGGTGACGAACGACGACGCGGACGTGAGCGTGGACGTGTTTAGGACGGTGACGCTGCCGATGCTGAAGAAACACTTCGGCGTGGACGATGGATTGGCGCTGGAGGTGGAACGGCGAGGGTGTCCGCCGAACGGCGGCGGTCGCGTGCGGTTGACGTTGCCGATTGTGAAAACGCTGCCGACGCTGGATTGGTGCGACGAGGGCTTGGTGAAACGGGTGCGAGGGGTGACGTTTACGTGCAAGGTGTCGCCGCAGAATGGAAACCGCATGGTGGACGCTGCGAGAGGGGTGTTGAACGCGTTCATTCCAGACGTGTACATTTTCACCGACCATCACGTCGGTCCGGAGGCGGGGAAGAGCCCAGGGTACGGATTATCCCTCGTCGCCGAAACCACCACGGGTTGCGTGCTCGGCGCCGACGCCGCGTCCACGGCGTGCGCGTCCGCGATGAGCGAGGCGGCGGATTTAGAATGGGCCGACGACGCCGAGGCGCGCGTGCCCGAAGACGTCGGCCGCCGCGTCGCCGAGGCGCTCGTCGCCGAGATCCAACGCGGCGGCGTCGTCGACAGCACCCATCAATCCCTCGCCCTCATCCTCCTCGCCATCGGTCCCGAGCAAGTGTCCAGAATCCGTCTCGGTCAGCTCACCCCTCGAGCGATCGAAACCTTGCGCGCGCTCAAAGCCTTCTTCGGCGTCACCTTTCACGTGCAGCCCGAGCCCGAGAGCGGCACCGTGTTCTGCTCCGTCGTCGGCGTCGGTCTGAAGAACGTCGCCAGGCGCAGCACGTGATCGCACTCATCTCTCTTCGTCATCGTAGCCATCGGACGTTGTGATTAGCCGTAGCCTCGCGCGTCCGCAGCGCTCCGCGCGCAACCGCCAACCGCCGCGCGCGTCGCCGAGACGCGCGATCGCCCAATTCTCGACGACTCTGCGCCGCACTCCCGCGCGCGCGTCGCACGCGCCCGCCCGCACGCGCGTAAACGCGCCCGCACGCGCGCACGCGGCGCGCACGCGCGCGTGAACGCGCGCGCACGCGCGACGCGCGCGACCGAAGCCTCGACGATTGACGCCGCGATGGGTTCGAGCGACGACGCAAAGTCGCGCGATGCGCGCGAACGCACGAACAACTTCATCCGAATCCAACACTCGGCGCACATCCCGGTCGGCATGAACTTTTTGCGCGACGCCGCGCTGGAGATGATTCCCGAGGGCGATCGAGGCGCGGTCGGGGACGTGATTCGCATGGTTCGGAGCTTGTTTCACTACGGCGCCATGGAAAAACGGGATCGAGTGAAGAAGGATTTCGCGCTGGCGAACGTCAAGGTGGGCGAAGAAAAAAGCGTGGGATACGATGGCGCGCGATTGAACCCCACGGCGTTCGAGGCGGCGAGCGTGGATTTTGTGGGGCAGTTTTGTACGATGATGGCGGACGCCGAGTACACGTTGTTGACGCAAAAGGAATGGGAGTTGGCGAGCGCGGAGGACTTTTTGTTCACGCTACCCGTGCACGTAGATTGGTCCTGTCACGATAAAGCGTTGCTGAAGACGTTTTTGAGCAAGAATCCGGCGCTCGCCGCTGGGTTGTCGCAGTTTAGCGAAAGAGCGTTGGTGTTCAAGCGAGGCACGGGCCTCGCCAAGGCGAAGGGGTTGTTCATCATGCAAAAGATTGAGATGCTTCTCAGCATGCTCATCAAAGAACCACTGTTGGCAATTCTCGGGCAGAAGCAACCGGTTTTCGTGAACGCGAATTCGAGCGATTCGAAGAAGACGTTTGGAGACGGGAAGACGGTGGAGGACAGAAACGCATCTGTGATAGAACGTCTGACGCTGCGAAGGTTGATGCCGAACATCTTCGTCCTCTTTCGCAAATTATTCTCGACGTTAGAAATTCAAGAGCCAACTTTCAAAGAAGTCGTGCTGCTCTATCGCATGGCGAGACCGCTCGACGACGATGCAGCGGGACCTTCTGGATGCGGCCCGCTCATCATCAAGTCGTACGTCGACATTCCTATGGCTGACCTCGAGATGATTTTCCCGGAGAAGACGGTCTCGGTCAAGCTCCAAGAAATGATCCAGAACGGAATTGCCATCGTTGTCGCCATCGGCACTTTGCTGTGGGCGTTTGTTACCGGTGAGATTTGGACGAAGAAGATGCAAACGCTCCTCATCGCGTGCGCCGGTAAGCTCGGGCAGTCGTACACCGCCATCAACGTCGCCAGGACGCGATACTCCGGCATGATGGCAAAGGATCTTATTCAAAAGAGCAGGAACGCACAAGAAGGGATGTTGATGCACCTTTTGGAATCTATGGAGGATCAAGAGATCAAGGAAATGATGCTCGCCTTTGTGATTCTCACCGTCAGAGGTAAGAGCATGACATTGAAGGAAATCGACATCGAATGCGAAGATTTCTTGCGGAATGTGTTCGGTGTCGATTGTGACTTTGACATCGAAGGTAGTATGATCAAGCTCCTTCGCGAGGGTCTCGTGGAACAACGCGCGGGCGTCCTGTACGCCGCGACGCCGCTCAAAACGGCGCTCGCGCTTTTGGACAACAAGTGGGACAACATCTTCGACTACAACGTGGATGCGGTCGACGGCGGCCGCGAAGATGCGCTCGCAAGGTACGCCAACTTACACCCCGACACCGTCGAGGCCAGTCTCCGCGATGCGCTCAATTCCACCGATAAAGAGCGCGCCAAGGTGGTGAACGACTTGAAGGCGCAAAACGACGTCCTCACCAAGGAAGTCGGCGAGCTGAGCAACAGCCTCAAAGGTTTCAATTGGCGCTACTCGTAGAGTGTTTTTGATCTCGCCGCCTCGCCGTTGTAATCGCGCGTCAGTCGCACCGTGTACGCGAACCTTCGCTCGCCTCGCGCTTCGCCTCGCGCTTCGCCGTCCCTCCGATCCGCACACGCGCGCGCGCGTCGTCCGCGCCCCGATCGCTCGCGATGGACGAAGACCTCCCCCGCGCGCACATCAAGCGCCTCGTCAAGCACAAGCTCTCGACGCTCGATAACGTCGACGCCAAGGGCCAATCGTTCGAACCAAACATTCAAAAAGAAGCCCTGACAGCCTACGGCGAGTGCGCGAAAATCTTCATCCACTACCTCACCGCCACGGCGAACGACGTCTGCCGCGATCACAAGCGCTCGACGATCAGCGACGCGGACGTGCTGGCGGCGATCGAGGAGTGCGATTTCGGCGAACTGGTGGACGACGTCAGGGCGACGCTGGACGCGTTTCGCGACGCCAAGAGGACGAAAAAGGCGAGAGACGCCGAGGCCAAGGAAACGAGGGACGAGGGCGACGACGACGAGGTAGAAAAGCGGGACGACGGCGGCGGCGACGGCGCGGCGTGAGCGCGGCGATTGATTTGACTTTGTAGTAGAATTCGTAGTCCTCAGGCAGCCGCGGAGACGCGCGAGCGCCACTTCGCGCCGCGCCGCGCCGCGCGCGCGAACGTCGACGCGCGACGAAGACGAGACGCGCGAACGTCGCGCGCGTCGTCGTCGTCGCGAGCGTCGTCCCGAGATCGTCTCGCGTCGTCCCGAGGGTGTTGACGCTGACGCGAGGTGTTGGCGACCATGTCGGCGCTTAAAGCGCTCGCGCGCGAGATCGCGGGGCGTCCGAGCTCGCGAGCGCCGAGCGCGGAACTGACGCGAGCGCTGTACACGCTCAAAGCGACGCTGTACCTGCTCGCGTGGGGGACGTGCAGCGGGCTGATCATCTTGGTGAACGACGCGGTGTTGAACAGATACGACTTCCCGTACCCGATCGCCGTCAGCGCGACGGGACCGCTGCTGTCGTGGATGATCGCGGCGATTTTAGTGTTGACGAATTCGGTGAAATTGGAGCGCACGCTTTCGCTGAAGGAGTGGCTCGTGACGGTGTTTCCGATCGGGTTCTTCACCGCGGTGACGTTCGCGGCGGGGAATCAGTTATATTTGTACCTCAGCGTGAGCTTCATACAGATGATGAAGTCCCTGTCGCCGTGCGTGGTGTTTTTAATGTTGGTCGTCGTGGGTCTAGACACGGCGACGAAGGAGAAGGTGATAGCGGTGGGTACGATGACTGTCGGCATGGCGGTGGCGTGCGCGACGGAGGAAACGTTTACGGTGTTGGGGTTGTCGCTCATGATCATAGGCGAAGGTGCAGAGGCGATGCGCATGGTGTTGTTTCAACATTTCATGGGCAATCGTGGGTTTGGGTTACTGGAGGGTTTGTTTTACACGTGTCCCGCGAATTTCTTCTTTCTCTCCGTCGGCGTGGCGATTTTCGAGCAGCGAGAGATTACGTTGAGAGGAGACTTAGCCATCGTTCGCGCCAACCCTTGGCCGTTCGTCGCGGTGTCAGTGTTAGGGTTTCTCGTAATGGTGACCACTTTGGGGGTGATCAAGACGTGCGGGTCGCTGACGTTTAAAGCCGCCGGTCAAGTTCGCAACGTCGCAATCATCATGTTTAGCGTCGTCTTCATGGGCGAGAAGACGACGCCCGTGCAGCTCGTCGGATACGCGATGAACGTCTTGGGATTCGCGTATTATCAAAAGTATAAAACAGACGAGGATGTGAGCAAAATCACGGCTTCGAGCGACGGCGAAGTCGAGCGCGAAAAGCTCTTGGACTCGCCGCGTTCGAGCAACGGCTCGGCGGATTTGTGAGTCCATTTAGCAATTATTTCTACTAGTATTTCTTAGACGCGTTGTAACGACGTATTGATGATAGTAATGGTGCATCGTCAGCGTAATAATCTTCGGTTTGGTACAACAAATTCTGACGCGCTCTACGGTTTCCGCCTGCGTCCCTATTTTCATTTCGCTCGCGGCGGGTTCAAAATGGCTTGAGCCCGGCGCTGTGTTCTGTTTATTGTTTAGATTGTGAACCCATCGGGGATCACGGCGCCTCCGAGGATGGTGACGATGCCTTCACTGATGATGTATCCATCCTCGGTGCGATCGAGTTCTTGAATGCCTGCCTCGTTGAGAATGCGAACGTTGGCTCCGATGACGGCGTCGGAATCAACCATGCACTTACGAATGATGGTATTCGCGCCGATATCGGCGACTTTGTCCCCTCCGGACCGCTTCAGGATTTCGTCGCGACCGACCACGACGACTCCTTCCAAATCGACGTTTTTGTCGATCACAGTGCACGGACCGACGATGGAGTTGATGATTTTGGCGCCGTCGCGAATGACGCACCCGTCCGAAATGATTGAACGCTCGGTCAACGAAGATCCGTAAAATGTGTTAGGCGGCAAAAAGTTGGGTTTCGTGTACACTAATCGATCAAAGTCGATCAGTGACGCGGCGTCGCCGCCGGTGGCGACTGAGATGTTCGCCTCATAAATGTCGGCGAGCGTTCGAAGCGGCTTCCAATAACCAGAGTGCTTGTACGAACGTACGTCGTAGCCCGCGTTCACCGCGTGCGGAATGATGTCCCTGCCGAATTCGTGTCGTTCTTCCGCCGGATTCTTTGAATCTCTCAAAAGCTCTTCCAGGGCTGAGTTGTTGAAGACGTACACGCCCATGTTGGCGTTGAGCTTGCACTCGAGAAGCTCATTCTCCGTCGAGCACTGCATAAACTCGAGCAACTGATCGGCCGAAGGCTTCTCGATGAAGGATAAAATGCTCGACGTGTGCTCGTCGACGTCCATGATGCCCAATCTCGATGCGTTCTCCGCCGTGACTTGATCGCACGTCGCGACGGTGACGTCTGCTTCCGACTTCAAGTGCGCCTCCAAGAGCTTGTTGAAGTCCATCGTGTACAACTGCTCGGCGGCCAACACGATGGTGATCCCGTCGGTTTGGTTCGCCGCGCACGCTTCGAGCGATCCGTGTCTTTGCAAACACTCGTCCTCCAAGCGCATGTCGAAACTATGCTTGGTGAGCGAACCGTGCGTGAGGTGCCTCGCGACGCAATCCGCGCTCCCCATCGACCACGTCTCCCCGTGCTCGCGCGTCTGCGACGTCGGCAACACCTCTACGAACCCTTCGTTGTTGTTTCCAAACATCTCCATCGGGAACGCGCGGTTGACGTGCGTCACCAGCGAGTGACTGTTGTATTGCGTCAGCACGTACACCTGACGCATGCCCGAGTTGATTAAATTCGTCAAAGGAAAATCAATCACTCGATACGCCCCCCCCAGATGCACCGCACTTCGCGCGCGCCCACGCGTCAACGGATTCGTCTCGTCCGCCCCCCCCGCGAGCACGACGCACCTCGCGTCCCGCGCTCGAAAATCCCGTCTCGTCGACGCCGCCTCCCTCGACTTCCTCGTCCCGCGCCCGCCCACCCCACCATCTTTCAGCGCCTCCATCGCCCGCACGTGATCCTCCGCCACTCTCCGCACCGCCTCATTCGCCCCATCACCGTCCTCCGCGACCGTCTCTCGCGTCGCCGCCGTCGTCGTCGTCTCCGAATCCGTCGCGTTCGCGCTCTTCGCGTCGAATCGCCCCCCCGCGCTCCGCGCTCGCGTCCCCCCCCGTCGTCCCTCCGCCCTCGCGCGCCTTCCCGCGTTCCCACGCGTCGTTCGCGCGCCGTTCGCGCGCGTCGAAGCGCCTCGCGCCGTCATCATCGCGTTCGATCTCGCGTCGACGCGAATCGATGCGATTAATCGATCGCGCGATCGCCGTCGATCGCGCCGTCGATTCGCCGTCGCGCGGTCGCGTTATCGTCGTCGTACCCTCGGTCGCGAATCCGTGTCGTCGCGCGTCGCGGTCGAGCGTCGCGCGCGTCGCGCGTCGGCTGTCGTCGAGCCGCGTCGTCGCGGTGTGCCGCGCGGGCCGTCGAGATACGCGGTGACGCGGACACCCGAAATCGGGTCACGACGAGTCACGACTCGACGGGGGGGGGGTCGAGACGCGCGAAATATCCGCGCGGGCGTCGCTTTTTTTTGACTTTTACGCGCGATGGGCGTTTTCGTGAGTAGTGTACGTGCGGTTGATGTATACTTGGTACGTGACTGTTTGTACATAGATCGGTCGGTATCGGTCGGTCGGACACGCGACGCGTTCGACACCGACGTTGATGTATACTTGGTACGTGACTGTTTGTACATAGATCGGTCGGTCGGACCCGCGAGCGTTCGAAACCGACGTTGATGTATACTTGGTACGTGACTGTTTGTACATAGATTGGTCGGTCGGACACGCGATGCGTTTGAAACCGCCGCGTCGACGCGACGGGTCGCGCGTCGCCGGGCGAGAGACGGACGCGCGCGCGTTCAGAGACGACGCGCCGACGCGACGCGAATCGTTTCGCGACGCGTCGACGTCTCCGGCGTCGCGACGCGATGGACGCGGGCGACGACTACTCCGAATTCGCGACGCGACGGGGCGCGAAGGCGAACGGGCGCGCGGCGACGGCGGGCGACGGACGCGGGACGCGGTTTCGGCTGTGGCGAGACGACGGCGACGACGACGGACGCGCGCGGCGGTGGGCGGGGGATCTGGACAGCGCGGGCGCGCGATCGGGCGGGATCTGGGAAGTAGGGGGGAAGGCGACGCGGGACGCGCGACGGGACGGCGAAGGCGTCGCGCGCGCGTTGGATTTCGACGACGACGACGGCGGGGGGTGGGAGGGCGCGGCGGCGTCGACGACGACGTCGTGTGCGTCATCGACGTCGCGGTTGCGGTCGGCGCGCGGAGACGACGACGTGGCGGTGTTCGACGAGGAGGCGGCGCGCGACGAGGCGGCGGAGGCGGAGGCGGAGGACGACGAAGCGAGAGGCGCGCTGCGAGGGGCTCTGGACGCGGTGGACTTGGCGTCGAGAAACGCGATTTCGCGACGATTCGACGTTGAAAGCGTGAAAGAATTAGCGCGAGAGTGCGCGCGGGCGCGACGGGCGGCGGGCGTGCGGGATTTGCGTTTCGTCGACGACGCCGACGACGAGCTCGCTCGGGAGTCGAGGCTCGAGGAGGCTCGCGCCAAGTGTCGGGCGAAAGTTGCCGAAGCCGAAGCGGATTTTCTTCGTAGAGAAGCCGAGGAGGTGAAAGAAAAGTATATCTCGCGGTACGGCGACGCGGGTCGCGCGTGGGTGGCTTCTCTGAGCGCGCGCGTGGACGAATGGCACGCCGACTGCGCGCAAAAGTTGACGACGGTCGCGACGTCGCCTCGATACGCCGACGTCGATTCGTCCGGCGCGGCGACGTTGGCGGCGACGAAGTGGTTGCATCTGCTCGACGCGTCACCGACGAAGCGTCGGCGATCTCTCGCGGCGCGCGAAGACTAGAGTTGTAACGTAATTTAATTTTTTTGTATGTTTCGTCGAATTACCGATGACGACTTCGTCGACGCCCTAGGCGACGCGCGACGAGTCTTCTAGCTCTAGAGCTTTTTTTGTTCTTTTTCTGTTTCTCATTGGTCATGGGAGAGTATGTTGTAACAGAGGGTGGTATCATGACGCGGGCACCGGCGAAGGTTTCGGGACGCCCTCCTTGTCTTGTTGCGGTAAGCACGAGCGAGCGACAGACTCGAAGAGTCGCTCGATCTCCGGCGAGCACTTGGTGAAAGCGTGTCCCCAGAAGTTGTACCGCGGATTTTTGATGAGCTCGATGAACGTGATCAACAAACCCCACGGATGTGGCCGATTGACGATCAAGCGTTCGAGGAGAACGCGCGTGATTTGCTCTTGAATGATCGCGAACTTGGCTTCGGAAAACAAAAAGAGAATCACGCACGAGAAGTAGTGCGTGTGGCAGTTCGGATACCGAAGCTGATTCGCGATAGCGTTCACGAACAGGTATCGGCCCTCCATATCGAGCGATTCGATAAGTTGCGAGAACAACTCCATCGGAGCGCTTTGCGCGATGCCGCTCGAGGCGTCCTTACTGCGGTTTGCTTGAATCGCTTGGACGCCGACGTAGAGCACAAAGGCGTTGATCAACGGGACGTTGTACTTTGTTCCCGCCGCGAGCGCGGCTGAAGGAGACAACATCAAGCGATGAATCAGTTGCTGGCTCAGGTTCTCAGACTTTCGTGTCGTTAAGAACGCATCCACTTCTTCGCGCATGGGCGAGGAGCGGAAGGCGTGGTCGGCGTCGGCGTTGATTCTCGGCGCTTGCTGCGTCTCCGGAAGTAAGTCCACCTTCAAGTTTGGAGTGAACGGATCGGGTAGTCGCATATTGCGCGGATATGCCGACAACACCAAGTTGCGCAACTGGATGCAGTTGGGCGGGATGATGTCGCAGAAGTTGACATGATGGTTGCACAAAAACTCCGGGAAGTCGTGCAGCAAGACGAGAAACATGCGAAGCATGCCCTTGTACAGCAACTTGATCGGTTCAGAGAGATCTGCCGTCCGCAAGTGCGGTTCCATGAAGCGTAGGATGGCCGTCAGCAATCGTTGCAACAAAGGCCAACCCTTTTGTTCGTGGTCGATCAAGAGACGAGGCATGAAGCAGCGATGGGAGACGAGTTCAAGCCAGGCAAATGCAAAGCCCGGCACGCGAAGCGGTTGCAACGCCAAAAAAGCGGAGGCAAACGCCGCGAGAACTTGAGGATGCGAGGAGTCCAAGGCGTTATCTGGGGCGTGCATCTCGTTGAGCAAACCAGCGAGCGCGCGGAAGTAAGGTCGCGCGTTAAACGCAACGTTACGTTCATCCGTGTCGCGCATCGCCGTGCGGACGACGGCGACCAAGGCGCGGCCGAAAAATGCCAACCTCGACGCCAGCGGTTCTTCTTGACGACGAACCAATCGCGTGACGAGGCGAACGTACGCGTCGATCGCAGCGAAAGAAAGCTGCGAGCTCGCTTGAGGCGTCGCGCTCGGCACTTCGCTGCCGAGACAGTGAGTGACGGCGAGTTCAACCAAGATGCGCAAGAAGCGTTCTTGGGTGTCCTCTGCGAGCAGACGCGACTCCACGAGTCGCTGCATGAACGCCACGTTCGCCGCGTCGGTGACGGGCAAATCTTGCACTCGAGCCCATTCGTCGAAGTGCGCCGCAACCTTTTCGCGCAAGCCCGCGGGATCGGGTTGACCGTGCGGATGCGCACCAGACGGAGGACCCTTGGCCGAATCCTTGCCGGCGTCTTGCGCGCCGTCGGCGACGCCCTCAGACGGAACATCCGGCGGCAGCGGTGGCGGCGCACCTGGAGGTGGCGGCGGCGGCATGCCTGGATACGCCACAGGCGGTGGCGGTGGCTGTGGTTGTCCGAAAGGTGGCTGTCTCGCGAAAGCCGGCGGCGCGCCCGAGGGCGGCGGCGGTCCCGACGGTGCGCGAGGAAGCTGCGCAAAGTCGTCGTAGATGCGAAGAGCGGCGGTGGGGAGCTGTCCAGGTCGCGGTCTGAGCGACTCCGGAAGCGCCGCCGGGTATCGACCTTGCATGATGGCCGCATCAAAGAACGGCTGATTGATACCAGACTCACGATGCTTTTGACGCACAATCACAGCCGCGGCGAGAGATTCATCGATGTCTCGAATCGCCTTCTCGGACGCCGCCTTTTCAATGAGCGCGCAACCCAATTCGAGATTGTCAACCGTCGCAGATTGCACCGCGGCTTCGAGGGCGGATGCCTCCGAGCCGGCGCCGGCACCTGACTGCTGCAAAAGCGCACGAAGCTGATTCGCAACACTCGCCTTGAGAGGCTCTCGGCAAGTCACCAAGGCGAGCGAGCCGGCGAGCGAAGACACCATGAGATGCGCCGCCTTGCGCACGCGGTTGATGTCAGCCTCGGTGGCGAAATCCTTGCGGACTAACTCTTGCGATGTTTTGCAAGCGATGGTCACGGAACGTTCGACAACGGGCGCGACGATCTCCCGAATACCTTGCGTCAAAGCCACAGGGAGGAGACGCAAGAGCGCGGCTCGAGTAGATTCTGGCAAGTTTGGCGCCGCCGCGACGCGCACGTGAGCTTGCATGTTTGGCAACGCGCCCTCGAGGCTTTGCGTTTGCAAACGAGTCTTCTCTTCCTCATCCATACTACGACCGACAACGCCGTGCTGCTGAAGCGACCCTTCTGATGCGGCCGATTGCAACGGTACCGGCGCTGCAAAATTCTTGTCCGCGACAAAGTCGGGGTTGTTTTGGCGCTCGCGCATTCGAGACGCGAGCAACATCGAAGGCTCGATGTCCTTAATGTTGACGTCCAAATGCTTGAACAGCCGTTCCATCTCAAACTTCAGGTTCAGCTTCAAGTCGCGTTCGTTATAGATTTCGCACAACAACGACAAAATGGCCACCGTCCAAGGATTCGGCGGTTTAAAGATCATGTTGTCTTTAGCCGGTTCGAGCACCTTGGCGACGAAGGGCACGACGCCGATCATGCGACCGGATTCGTAGCTTTCCAAAATCAGCTCCTTGAGGTCCAAGTCACGCTGAAGCACGGGCTTACGCTTCGAGATGGTGAGTTGACCGAGCCACGAGCCGAGATTCTTCAACAAGCTGCGCTCGCCGCTGTTCGTCTTGACCTTACCGCTTGACAACAAAACCTTGATGTTTCGGTACGTGGCCTGCAAAATCGCGGCGTACAAATTCTTGTCGCCAACCTTCTCGAGAAGCTCGAGGTAAAGCGCGTGGTAGTTTGGTTCAATCGACGCACGCTTCACCACGAGATAACCGGCAAACCATTCGTACAGATCTGCGCTCACCTTGGACTTGACTTCAGCCGCCTTTTCTTCCATGTTCTCCGCCGACAGATTGTTCACCAAAAAGTGAACCTTGTCCGCTGTCGCCGCGTCTGGCTGCTTTGCTTCGGCGCTGGCGGCGACCAAGGTGTCGATGTTCAAAGACGTAGCGAAGCCGCTGGGCGCACCGGATGCCGCCGCGGCGATTTGTCCACCGCTCGACACGCGAGCGATCTGACCAATCTCTGGCGTACTCATACCGCGTGTCGTCAGACGACTGGCCGCCGGCGCGGGCGCCGACTCTCCCGCTGGAGGAGGTCCCGGTGGTTGAGGCGGTAAGTTCATCCCGGAAGACAGTGATCGAGGTAAAGGTGGGTGGTTTCCTTCACCTCCACTGTCGCCACCACCGATACGCATTCCCGCGACTCCAGCGGCAAGTTGTGCGTCGGCATTCGCCGCGGTGTTCATGCTCGGTTCGCTTCGACCGAGCGCCACGGTTTGATCGTTACCTTTAGAGAATAGGTGCAACAAATCAGGGTGTGCCTGCGCGAGATTCGGAATCTGCGCCAAGTGCTGGCAGTATTGTGGCCACTCAGTGAGTCGACGCTTGAATTGCTCGAGAGCATCCGACCCGAAGGCAAACATCTTTGATCCTTGCGGCTTGCGAAGCGCGTCCAAGACGCAACGCAAAGCAACGCCGAGAGTGATGTTACTCACGAGATTGTGGAAGATGAGCTGACCGAAGAGCACAGCTGTGATTCTCAACTCCTTTTCTGGATACTTCGGGAAGAACTTGTATTCATCAAACAAGTTGTGCACCATGCACGAGAACACATCGCGTTCGCGTTGCACTTGGCTCACTCTGAAAGCGCGCAGCACCTCGACCAACTCCCCGATGGACTGCTGCATAGAATACACGCGCTGGAAGTAGCGGTTGGCCTCTTCTTCCACGTCCGGCGTGAAACCTTGCGCGGTGCCGGCTTGCACGGACAAATCGTCCGAAGCCGCGCTCGAATCTCGACCTTTGTTTGGCGAGTTTTGAATCTGCGCGACGAGTTGGCGAAGCTCCGCCTGCAAATCGGGCGGCATCGTCTGCTGCGCGCCTTGTAAAACCTTCAAGAAAGTCTGCAAAACCTCTGGCTTGAGCGGCGTGGCACCCTTATCTCCACCCTCTTGCGTCGCCTTCGCGCGCAAGAACCGCATGCACGCGCTCACAAACGCGCCACCGTTGGCTTTGATCTTCTCTTGCAGCCACTGCTCCAAGTTTACGCCCGCGCGGACGGAGGCGATAGAAACCATCTCAATCGCCAAGGGAAACGGCGATCGATCGATGATAACTTGCAAGGCGTTCAACTCTTGACAAACGTCAAAGATACGATCGGCCGCGGCCGGTGATGACGTGTGCGCGTCAACCATGGCGCGAATCACCGCCACCGAGTGACGCCCCCACACGTTGCTCAAAACCAACCCCGACTTAGGGTGTGACGTCGCCACGTACGGAGGCAATAACGCACCGAAAGCATCGCGCGCGAGCGCGTTGTGTTCGTCGCAAACTTGCGCGAGAGTGATGCACACCGTCTCCGGAGACCGCCCGGCGCCCGGCTCGAGCGCCCCCCTCGCCGCGTCTCGGTGTCCGGTTTCGCTCAACGAGCAAAGCGTCGACATCAAATCCAAACACCCCCAAGGCCCCGCTAACGTCCCTTCAACGTCGACATGCTTCAAACTCCCCCAATCGCACGACTCCTGCGGCGAACCTAAGAGTTGTCGCAGCGCCTCAATCTGACCCGCCTGATTCTTTCCCCACGGCGCCGCGCACAAAGCCTTCGCCGGGAAGCTCTTCCCAGTCGCTCGTGAGTACATGTCGCAGATCAACTGAAACGAACTCGCGTCCGGACATCCAAACTCGGGTTGATCGAGCTTTTCCATCGCGTTCTCCCAATTTAAATCCTTATACGTCGCGTTGACGGCGTCCACCACGACGTCCCCGTTCCACGTCGTCAATCGCAACGCCTCCGCGCTCGGCGCCGCGATCCCGGCGCTTTTCGCCAACGACACCAACGCAGCCTCCCCCCTCGACGTTTCTAACTTCCCAGAGCTCGTCCTCGCGATCATCCCGACCACTTTCGCCAACCCCGCGTCGTCCAACTTTGGCAATTTCCCTAGAATTTCAATCAATGAATCTTTCGCGTGCGCGCACGCGTACCCGAGCTCCTCCATCGCCTCCGCCGTGGACGCCACCGACGCTAACCTCTGCGCGTCCACGTCTCCCTTGGACGACCCATCGCCCATCGCGCGCGCCCCGACGCCGCGTCCCGTCACGTTCGCGGATCACGCCGTCGTCGTCGTCGTCGTCGTCGTCGCGCGCGTCGCGCCCGCGCGTCGTCGCGCGCCCTGACGTCGCGCGTCGCGCGTCGTCGCGCGTCGCCGTCGCTCGCGCGTCGCGCGTCGCGCGTTCGTCGCGTCGGCGCGCCGCGCACTCGAGTCGATCGCGCGCGATCGCGCGGCGCCGCGCGCGCCGAAACGCCCTCCACCGGCGAACGCCCTCCACCGGCGAACGCCCGCGACCGACGCCGCGAACGACGTTTCGGTTTCGCGCGCGCGCGCGCCGCGCGACGGGACGCGCGAAAGATACATGGCGCTCGCGAACGCCGCACTACGGAATCTCGTTTTCCCGCCGAAACGCGCGCGCGCGAAAAAGTACACCCGGTCGATCGGTCGCGCGCGCGCGTGGGCCTCTCGAGTCGTGACTCGTCGCGAGTCCCCGCACGCGGAAAACCTCCGGCGCGTGCTCGGCGCGCGCGTGCCGGTCGGACGATGACGGATGTCGAAGCGCGCGCGCGTCGCACACCTCGACGCGCGACGACGACGGCGCGTTCGCGACGCGCTCGCGACGCGCGCCGCGACGAGGGTTTTCTCGCGCGCGACGACGCTCGCCGCGCGCGCGATGGTGGCGACGCGCGCGCGACGGCCCGCGCGATCGCGCGCGACGACGAAAACGCCTTTACGGCGTCGCGGCGACGTCGTCGTCGACGATCGGGGCGCGACGGCGACGCGCGCGCGCGCGAGCGCGGGGTCGGGCGGGGCGCGGGCGATGGGGAAGAATATCGCGCGCGCGCGCGTCGCGCGCGCGGCGCGATCGGGCGCGCGAGGGCGCGGCGCGCGCGTCGGCGCGGGCGTTGACCGCGCGCGCGTCGCGACCGCGCGCGTCGCGCGCGTCGGCGCGGGCGAGGACGCGACGACGGCGCGCGCGAGGGCGCGCGCGAGGGCGCGCGCGGAGGGCGCACATTTAACGTCGTTCGCGCGCGATCGCGCGATCGCGCGGCGCGCGCGGGCGACGACGGGCGCGCGCGCGATGGGTGGGCACGCGCGCGCGCGCGCGGCACCTGGCGACTTTTTGGGCGCGAAACCGAGCACCCGAGATTTCGCGCTGGAGGATTTGTTTCGGGTTGATTTCGCGAGCGGCGACGAGGGCGAGGGCGAGGGCGAGAAGCGCGCGACGATCGACGGCGGGCGCGAGGGCGACGCGGTGAGAGCGGCGGCAACGCGCGAGGCGCGCGAGGGGCGGGCGGCGGCGGATGATTGGGACGCGCTCGCGCGCGCGTGGGACGAAGTCGAGGCGCGCGCGCCGGCGCGCGATTACGCTTGGGAGGTGCTCAACTCTTTGCCGAGCGTGGGGGGGGATATCATGACGTGTAAGGAGGATGAGATGGATTGTTTCGCGTACGGCGGCGCGCATTCGGTGCCGTACATCGCGCCGGAGTGGCTCGAGCGTCCGAACGGGGACGTCGAGGATGGCGTGAGCGATAACGAAGACGAGGACGAGGACGAGGGCGACGCGCATCGGTTTACTAAAGCCATGCGCGAGAGTAGCTCTTTTTTGCTCGATGATGAAGATGAGTTCATGCGCACCGTTGATGCGCCGGTGGATTTTATCACCGAACCCGAGGCTTTCGCGGCGAGGCGCGAGGCGCGGGCGCTCGCGCGAGACGCGCGCGAGCCAGCCATCGACTTTGCGGTGAAGAGCGCGCTGCTGTGTGGCGACGAGGAAGAGGATGATTTTAGCGGGCAAGATTGCAGCGCGATGGCGGATGAATCGGCGTACGAGTTCCAGGAACATTTCGCCACCGCCGCGGATGGGCGCGTCTTTCGCGTCTCCAGCGCTCTCGTGACGCCGTCGTCGAGCGAACGCGCCAACGTCGAGGATAGCGCGAACCATCGAGGGTTGACGGATAGCGAAGATTCCGACGCCGATCTCGTCGCTCACAGCGCGAAGAAGTCGCCCAAGCTCATCGCGGGCTCGACGACGAAGCGTAAGCGCCGTCCGGATGGGCGTGGTCGCCGCGCCAAGGCGTACAAGAAGATTAAAAAGGACAAGGGCGTGTGCGCCACCGACGTCTACGTCATGGCCAACGGCAAGAAGATGCGTCGAGGTTGCTTGCACTGTGGGACCGTTAAAACGCCGCAGTGGCGCATGGGACCCGAGGGTAAGAAGACGTTGTGCAACGCGTGCGGCGTGCGTTACATGAAGGGTATCCTATGATACGCGTTACGCGAGGGCACCTTTGCAAGTCTCGCCTCGGAATAGAGAAGGAAAAATTTTCAAGAAATAAGTCTGGCATATGGTTGTTGTTTTAATACATCTAAAAAATTAGCATCTAGAGCCCTCTTTCGGTCATGTACCGTTCGATCGTGTCCACGATGACTTGCGTCTGCGACTCAATCTCCACGTTGACGGTGTCGCCGATGGACTTCGCGCCGAACACCGTGACGCGCAGCGTCTCCGGGATGAGCCAAACGTTGAATCGCCCCGTCGCCTTGTCCACGTCCCCCACGGTCAGACTGCACCCATCGATGGCGATGAATCCCTTGGGCAACACGTACTTTATCAGCGCCCGATCGCTCGTCTCGAACACCACCTTTCGATTGTGTTCGCTATCGACCACCTCCACGATTTCCGCCGTGCAGTGCACGTGTCCGCTCACCGTGTGACCCCCGATCTCGTCTCCCACGCGCGCGCTCCGCTCGTAATTCACCTCCGACCCCACGATCAACTTCCCCAAATTCGTCGCCCTGAGCGTCTCGACGATCAAATCAAAGCTCGCCGCGTCCCCGTCGACCGCCGTCACCGTCAGGCACGTCCCGTTCACCGCCACCGACGCCCCGAGCGAGATCCCCTCGAGCGCGTTCCCCGGGAACCGCAGCGTCAACCGCGCGAACTCATCGTTCAAATTTTCAAACGACTCCACGCGCGCCTTCCCCTGGACCAATCCCGTGAACAGCGCGCGCGTCGTCGTCGTCCTCGCGCGTCCCGTCCCCGTCCCCGTCCGCCTTCGCCGCGCGTCCGCGCGCGCGATCCCGCGCGTCGCGCCGGTCGCGAACGTCGAACGCGACGCCGACATCGCGCGCTCGCGATCGCTCGACGCGTCGCGCGCGCGCGGGCGTGTGCGCGCGCGCGCGCGTCGTCGCGTCGTCGCGGTCGCCGACATTACATATATAAACACAAAATACATGTATCAACATAAACCCTAAATAACGAGGCGCGAAATCTGCGTCTTATCGCCCGCGCGCGCAAGCCCTGCGCGCGACGCGACGACCGCACACAGTCGCGTTTGAAACGCACGACCGCACCCTAACGCACCCACAAAAGGTTCGTCGATTTCGATCGCGCGCGGACGCGCGCGCGCGCGACCGCGACCGCGTCGCGCGACGCGCGAAGACGCGAGAAGATGCGCGCGAATCCGCGCATCGCATCGCGATGCGGCGGCGCGTCGCGAATGCGCGCGATCGCGCGCGCGCGATCGGACGTTCGCGCGCGCTCGCGCGGCGAACGATCGGGAGTGGATTTCGCGATCGTCGCGCGGCGTCGACGGCGGCGAGGCGCGATCGGTGACGGCGTCGACGGGGCGAATGCGATGGCGGCGATGGCGCCGCCGCGGGATGGATTCCATCGGAGTCAATCTTAGCGATCGAGGTCTCGGACGCGGGGCGTCGAACGACGGCTGGGGGGGGGGGATGAAGACGCGGTGAATGAAGACTGACGGTGTCCGTGACGTACTCGATCGACAGCACACGAAAGAAACGCATAAATCATGTCTGGAGAAGGCGGATTCGACGACGCGAACTACGATCGCGGCATGGAGGAACTCCTCAAGGATGACCAGGATGAGAACGGAGAGGGTGGCATCACGGAGTGGACCGAGGTGCACGAAACGTTCGATACGATGAACTTGCAAGAGAACTTGTTGCGCGGGATCTACGCGTATGGTTTCGAAAAGCCGTCTGCTATTCAGCAACGGGGCATCGTGCCGTTTTCGAAGGGCTTCGACGTCATTCAGCAAGCGCAATCCGGTACGGGTAAGACGGCGACTTTCTGCGCTGGTATCTTGCAAAGCTTGGATTACTCCGTTCACGAGTGCCAAGCGCTCGTTTTGGCGCCGACCCGCGAGTTGGCGCAGCAGATTGAAAAGGTTATGCGCGCCTTGGGCGACTACCTTCAAGTCAAGTGCCACGCGTGCGTCGGTGGTACCTCCGTCCGCGAAGACACCCGCATCCTTCAAGCCGGTGTGCACGTCATCGTCGGTACCCCGGGTCGGGTGTACGATATGCTTCGTCGACGCGCGTTGAAGAGCGATTCTATCAAGATTTTCGCTCTCGATGAAGCCGATGAAATGCTTTCCCGCGGTTTCAAGGATCAAATTTACGACATTTTCACCTTGCTCCCGCCGAAGGTGCAAGTTGGTGTTTTCTCCGCGACGCTCCCGCCGGAAGCGCTCGAGATCACGCGCAAGTTCATGACCAAGCCGGTGCGCATTTTGGTCAAGCGTGATGAGCTCACCCTTGAAGGTATCAAGCAGTTCTACGTCAACGTCGACAAGGAACAATGGAAGTTGGACACGTTGTGCGACTTGTACGAGACGCTCGCGATTACGCAGTCCGTCATCTTCGCCAACACCCGCCGCAAGGTCGACTGGCTCACGGATAACATGCGAGCCCGCGATTTCACCGTCTCCGCCACGCACGGTGACATGGACCAAAACACTCGTGACGTCATTATGCGCGAGTTCCGCTCTGGTTCTTCCCGCGTGTTGATCACCACCGATTTACTCGCCCGTGGTATCGACGTCCAGCAAGTTTCCTTGGTCATCAACTATGACTTGCCCACGCAACCCGAAAACTACCTTCACCGTATCGGTCGTTCCGGTCGTTTCGGTCGTAAGGGTGTTTCCATCAACTTTGTTACCGCCGAAGACGAACGTCTCCTCCAAGACATCCAACGTTTCTACCAAACGGTCATCGAGGAACTTCCCTCCAACGTCGCCGATCTCATCTAAGGTGCAAGCCTCCATAGTAGAGATGAAGCTTCGCGACAGAGCGGCCAGTTCCGCTGTCCTACTGCACGTGCATTAAATCCAAACTCGTGCGCTCTCGCTTTTCAGAGCCATCCATTAGCCCGGTTCGCGCACAAAGTGAAATATCGAGTGTTATGAGACATACTGAAAAATTAAAAAGCTACGCTACCTACATGAAGTCATCCTCGGCATCCTCGTAAGATTCGTACTTCTTCGCCATTTCCTTGTTAGATTTCATCTTTTCGTCGACCATGATGTGCTTGTAGTCTCGCGCTTCGATGTCGGCTTTTCTCGCGCGCTCCTCCTCCAATCGCTTCGCCTCCTCGATCCTATACGCCTCCTTCTTCGCCTGTCGCACGCTCTCCTCGAAAGCCTCCCGCTCCGCGTGCAAGTCCGGATACGCCTCCACCTTCGTCTTATTCAATCGGTTCACGATTTCGTTATCGCGCGTCTTCACCTTGACCCGCCGCACGAGCGCGTTCGACTCATCCTTGAACGACACCTGTCCGACGTCCATGTCCCCTCGCTTCAGCAGATTCCCCCACGGCGTGTAAATCACGTGCAAATCGTTCTGTTTGTTCCCCGCGATCGAATTCGCCTTGACGAGCTGCGCGCAGTCGCGCAACTCTTCGGCAGTGATGTCATCCATCGTCTGTCCCGGTCGCATCCTCAGGTACACGTGCGCGCTCGAGAGCTTATCGACGTGAAACCACACGTCGTGCTCGAGGCCATATTTTATCAAGTCCTCGTTCTCCACCTTGTCCCTGCCGACGTAGATGACGTGCCCCGTCGTCGCCGCGTCCGCGGGGGTGTAGTACAGCACCATGCGGGGACGGATGGGCGCGACGCGATGCGTCAGATTGTGGCGTCATGGCGTCCGCGCGGTGCGCCAACGCGCGCGAACTCGCGTGCGGTCGCGCGTCGTCGAACCGCGTCGCATCGCGCGGTCGACGCGCGGTGTGCGCGCCGCGACGCGCGGTTGAATCCTCCGGATTATCCGAAATCGTGACGCTCGACTCGGGCATCAAAGCCGGTTTCATCGTCTTTGGCGCGCGCGTCGCCGCGCTGGGGCTGGGGAAGGCGAAACAGGGATCGGACGTCGATCGAGCGCTCGAGGATTGCGCCGCGCGCGGGATCGACGTGAGCGATTTGTACTACGCGGAGGATCAAGGCGAGCAAAGGTGGTATCTCGTGGGCAACTGGAAGGTGCCGCGCGCGGGCGACGCGAAGTACGGCGATGGACGGATGAGTCAAGAGTTGAAGAGTCGCGTGCGTTATCACGACGCAAAAGCCGTCGCGGATGAGGCTGGGGTGAGTTACGTGGACATCGACGAACACACGGCGTTGTATCCGACGACGCCGAAGCGGGCGTTAGAGCTTCGCAGACGATTGACGGCCGCGGGATTCGAGACGAAATGGGATTGATGGCGTCGTTCTGGTGCATTTAGCGTAGCAACTTAGCGCGCGCGCGATGGGACCGCTCGTGAGCGTGTGGTTTCGTGTTAAACAAGTATTAATTTTATGGAAAGAATTGTTTTTGCTACTAGTGCCGCGCTATGGATCAATTTTCGTCGCCAGTCGAATTCGTAAGGGTGCGCCCGTGCTCGGCGTGACCGTGAAACCCACAGACGGTGTCGACGCGTCAACGTCCGCGCTCGGCGCGAACTCGAACGCCTCGATGAGATGCGCGAGCGCGACGCGCATCGTGACTTGAGCTAAGTGTTGCCCGACGCACGAACGAGGACCGTACGCGAACGGCATGTACCCGACGCCCTTATGCTTGAGCCCGCTCGCGGGCTTACCTGATGCCGGCCCCAGACTCGAATCTTCTTCGCTATCTTCCGTGAAACTACCCGTCGAACCCGTTCGCGCGTGCGAAGTTGCAGTCCATCGCTTTGGGTCGAACTCCTCCGGTCGATCCCACACCGCGTCGTCGCGGTGCACCGAACTCAGCCACACGCCCACCGCACAACCTTTCGGGATCGTCATCTCGGCGCTACTAACGTCTGCCGAAAGCATACGCACGACGAGCGGCGCTACTGGGTGCAGACGAAGCGTCTCCCGAATCACGGATTCGAGCATCGGAGCGAACGCGGACGTGGCCCACGCCGCTTTTTTACCGTCTGACGACGCGCGTTTTTTCCGACGCTTCGACGGTAGACCCAACGCTTCGACGATCACATCGTCAAATAAACTCACGCGCAATTCGTTCTGAATTTTCTCGTTGTCTACGAGCCGCAGAAGACCCCAAGATAACGTCGCGCTCTGCGTGTCGTGACCGGCGAACAAAAGCGTCGTCGTCTCGTCGAGGAGTCCCTTGGGGAACTCGTCGTCGCCGACGCGAACCGCTCGTTCGCGCAGATGCATCTCACCTCCTCGTAACATCCCGAGCGGAGAGTCTTTCTTCGCCGTTCGCAGCGCCAAGCTCGACAACATGCGGGTCGTCCTAATATTTTTCGCCTCGAGCCGACCCACCGGTGTCAACCCGTATAAAAAATCACTAAATATCCAAATGCTCCGCGCGCGCGCGGGAATCAAATGCCTCAACGTCGTCGCGGCGGCTAAATACTCGGACTCCACGTCCGCCTGCGCGCGTCCCACCTCGGCGCACGCCTCGGCGAGAGAATTCCCCGTGAGATACCCGAACGTCACTCGCAACGCCAAGCGCTGAAGCGTCGGCAACGCGAGCGTCTCCATCTCCCTCGTCCCGCCCCGCTCGAGCTCTAGCTTCATCCCACGAACGATTCTCGCGCTTTCTTCCACCGCGCGATCTCTCAACGCCTGCAATCCAACCGCGTGAAACGCCCGCAACACCTCGCCGCGCTTCCCTTCCCAATCCTCGCCCTCGGCGGTGAATATCCCCGTCCCCGAAAACGCCTCGAACGCGTGATACAGCGGCGATTTCACCGTCGTTCCTCGAAGCACGTCCCTCGCCAATTTCGCTTCTCCCACGTGCACGAACGGGCACGCGCCGACGACGGCGCCGAACGCGCGTCGTCCCGAGCCGCCGCCGTCGCGCGCCGTCCTCGAGAACCTGTCCTCCACCCGCCGAAGCAGCGACCGCGCGCTTCGCTGGTACAACCGCCACAAGAACTTTGGTCGCCAGCGCACGGCGGCGACGTTCGCGCGCGCGAGGACGCGCCGCGCGCGCGCGACGACGACGAGGGCGACGACGAGGGCGAACGCGAGGGCGAACGCGACGACGGCGCGCGCGTCGACGTCCGAGACGGCGCGCGCGACGGCGACGCGCGCGGTGACATCGAGCGGGAGCGGCATGTCGCGACGACGCGGCGCCTCGCGCGCGCGACCGCGTCTGCGGACGCGCGCGGCGGCGACGAGACGCGAGGCGGGACGCCCGCGAAGGCGACGGCGCGCAGCGCGCGGCGCTCGGCGCGCGCGCTCGACGCCTACTACGGCTTTTTGATGTATTACAATTTTGGCGCCCTCGCCGCGCGCGAGGGAAAGGTGAATCGGGGCGCTCGTCGTCGAGTCGCGGACGCGTCGTCCGCTCACGAGTTGTTCACGAGCGCCTCCTTGATGATCTTTTCCGAACGCGCACACAGATCGTCGGCGTCGGTGGATTGTATTCGCGGGTGCACGATGACCTTGATGCCGGCGTTGTGCAACTCGTACTCCTTCCCGCTCGCCATGGCTTCGTGGGCGCCGACGATGGTGACGGGGATGACTGGCACGTTTTCCTTGGCGGCGACGCTAAACGCGCCCTTTTTAAACGCCGCCATCTTCCCAGTCGCGCTTCGCGTGCCTTCGGGAAAGAATAACACCGAACCCCCATCGGCGAGCATCTCCCGACACTTCTTCAGCGTCTCCATCTGCGAGCGACGCTCCATGCGCTTCAACGGTACGTGCCCCGTGAGAAACATCGACCACCCGACGACGGGAATCAAAAAGTTGCTCGTCTTCGAGATAAACTTAAACGGCCGTCGCAGATGAAACATCGAGTAAATGTCCATAAACGACGCGTGATTCGCGACGTACACCGCCGCCTCATCGTGACGCGGCAGGTGTTCCCGTCCCTCCACGACGATTGGGAAGAAGAGCGCCGTCGACACCGTCGCCCACACGTCGTTACAAAAGCTCAGCGCGCTCCTCCGCGTGCGATCGAACACCCAGCACAGCGGAAACAGCATCGCCATGATGCATATCAGCGGCACGGCGAGAGAGAAGGACGTGACGAAGAACGCGATCGCTCTGACGCGCGCGCCCAAGTCGAACCCAGCCTTACCCTCGGCGCCGCTCGGGCTCGGCGCCGCCGCCGCGCCCTCCGCCGCGCGCGCCGTCGTTCGCGACCTCGCGCGCGCGCTCACGACGACCGTCGCGCGCGCGCGCGCGCTCGAGACGCGCGTCGTCGACGCCGCGCGCGCGCGCGGCGTCGTCGTCGCCGCGCCGATGGATAAACCGTCGCGTCGCGTCGTCGCGCGCGCGCGACGGTCGCGCGCGACGCGCCCGCGCGCGGCGAGCGCGCGCGTCGTCGTCGTCGTCGTCGTCGCCGCCGCCGCGAGCGCCATCGTCGCCGTCGTCGCGAGTCGTCGCGTCGCGCGGTGGAGTGCCGACGACGCCGCACTCCTCGACGATGCAGCGCGCGGACGCGCGCGACGCCGATCCGGCGCGCGCGGCGCGGTGGTTGGACGAGGCGAAGGCGTCGGTGAAAGAGCACGCGTTTCGCATGAAACGGGCGGCGGTGCGCGACGCGACGCGCGACGGCGACGCGATGATTGCGCGATTGATTCGATTGATTGATTCGACGCGACGCGACTGGCGACGCGCGCTCGACGACGACTGACGACGACGACGATCGGATCGCGATGGATCAGGACGAGGATAACCTGCGCGAGGCGCTGAAGTGCGCGAGCTTGATGCTGGGCGAACTGCGGGCGACGACGCCGGCGCCGCGCGGGTACTACGAGCTGTACATCGCGGCGAGCGACGAGTTGATGCACCTGCGACGGTTCTTTGGGGATAAGTCTCGACACGGACGGTCGTGCGTGGAGTTGTACGAGTTAGTGCAACACGCGGGGAACATACTGCCGCGATTGTACCTGCTGATCACGGTTGGGGCGACGTACGTGGAGCTGGGAGAGGGGAGCGCGAGGGACGTGTTGATGGATTTGGTGGAGATGACGCGCGGGGTGCAGCAACCGATGCACGGGTTGTTCTTGAGAGCGTATTTGAGTCAGATGAGTAAGGGGTTGTTGCCGGATAAAGGATCGCGGTACGAAGGCGAGGGAGGGAACATCGACGACGCGGTGGAGTTTTTGTTGCAAAATTTCACCGAGATGAACAAGTTGTGGGTTCGTATGCAACACATCGGACCGTCAAACGGGAAGAAGCGTCGAGAGGGCGAGCGGGAAGAGCTACGAGATCTCGTGGGGAAGAACTTGCTCGCGCTGTCTCAGCTCGAGGGCGTGGATTTGCAGCTGTATCGCGAGACAGTGTTACCGCGCATTCTGGAACAGGTCGTGAATTGCAAGGACGAGCTCGCACAGCCGTACTTGTTGGACGTACTCATCCAGGTGTTTCCGGACGAATATCACCTGGCGACGTTCGAAGAAGTGTTCTCCACGATGTCGATGTTGCGCGCGAATGTGCGAGTCGGTTCGATTCTCAACGCGCTTCTTGGGCGGTTGCTGAGTTACGCCGAGGAAACTCCCGAGGCAAAGTCAGAGTTTGAGGCCGCGGATGTGTTCCCGAAATCGTTTGAATGCTGCCAAGCGATCATTGGAGCACACGATGACGTACCGGCGAAGGAAATTATAGGCATGTACGCGGCGTTGATGGCGTTTGCGAGAAAGCTGCAAATCACCGAAGCGGGTACTTTGGACGACATTTTGCTCGCACTGGCGAACTCCTTGCAGAGTAAACTTCCAATCACGGATCCAGAGGTCGCGCAGCAGCTTTCAACGTTACTTAGCGATCCATTAGAATCGTGCGAGCTGTCCGTCGTACTCTCGTTGAAGTCGTATCCGAAAGTCATCGCGCTGCTGGACGAAGACACGAAGAAAAAAGTCGCACTCGGCGTGGTGCAAACTTTGGTGAAGAATAGAAGCACGCTGACGACGGTGGATCACGTGAAAATGCTTTACGACTTCATAGACTGTGTCGTGTCCGCGGATGCAAAGGAAGCTTCACAGGCGATGGAAGATGTCGAGAAAGAGCGAAGCGCCGCGATTGCCGAGGAACAAAACGTCGTGGCACGCGTGGTACATTTGATCAAGGCTCCCGAAGATAATCACGAGCTTCAACTCGAAATGCTGAACACCGCGTACGACATTTTGCTGAAAGGCGGACCTCGGCGAATTCGTCACACATTTCCCGCGCTCGTGTTTGCGGGCATCGCTTGTGGGAGAGATATTGTCCTAGCCGAGCGCGCCGAAAAGCCTTCAGAAAAGGCTGCGGCTTTGAAGGATGACGACGAGGTGCCCGCCGATGCGAACAATGACGACAAAGAAGCGATTTCATTTACGACGCCGATAGAGGTCAAGTCACCGTGGCTAAAGAAGTCGCTTCACTTTGTGCACAAGAGCATCACCGCGCTCACGGAGGTGGCCGGACGTCACGAAAAGGCGCTGAAGCTCTTCCTCGAAGCCGCACAACTTGCCGCGGTGGCAAACTTAGAGTCCATCGCGTACGAGTTCTTCGAACGCGCTTTCGTACTTTACGAAGAAAACATCACCGATACGAAGAAACAGGTGAATTTGCTCTTCATAATTATCGGCACGTTGCACAAAGTGAATGTCTTTGGTGCCGACAGCCGCGAATCTTTGGTGCACAAAACTACAGGCTATAGCGCGCGTTTGCTGAAGAAACCAGATCAATGCGTGGGAGCGTACACGTGCGCACACTTATTTTGGACCGAGACGGTGAAAGATAGCGATTCCGTGGCGTCGTGCTTGAAGAAATCGGTGAAAATAGCCAACGCCGTGCGAGACACCTTTGGCGGCAACGCGGCGAACCGAATCGAAGCTCTCGGGCTCTACGTCGGCATCCTGAACAAATACCTGTACTTTTACGATAAAACTCCTGAGGGATGTACTTCCGTCACCGTCGAGGCATTGCAAGCGCTCATCGACATGATCAACACCGAGCTGTCGAGCGTGGGCGACGTTCGCAACGCCGAATCCATCGGCGCCTTACGCGACGTCGAACAATCGTACGCGAACACCCTCACACATATCCGACAGCAGAAACACAAAGTAGAGGACGGCACCGCGGATAGGTACAGCACGCTCGTCGTTTAGCCGCGCATTTGTAAATCACTCCCTCTTCTGCGCAGCCGTCTCCGCACAACTCGTCCCTCCATGTTGCGTCCCCACGACGTCCCACGCGCGCTCCGTGCGAGCGCATCTCGGGCGTCGAACCATCGTCACCGCTCACTCTCGCGCGCCGCCGAGGCGCTGTTGAGACACGTCGACGACGTGCGCGTCAAAGTCAAAGCGCCACCGGGACATTCCGAAGTCGAGCTCGAAATCACTCTCCCGCGCGACATCCCGCGCGCGGTGCTCGACGTGAAGATTTTCAGCGATCACATGCGCGTTTGCACGCTGGATGACGGCGTCGCCGTCGTCGAGGGCGCGTTTCCGAGCGCGGTGGACGTCGACGGGTGCTACTGGGAGAAAGAGCTCGAGCGCGTGACGGTGACGTTGGAAAAGGCGAACCGATACGACGCGTGGGAGAAAGTGTTAGAGAGCGATTTACCACCCCCGGGAGACGTCACGGTGACGTGTAAGTGTTACTTTGACGTCAGCGTGAATGGAAAGGCGAGAGGGCGAATCGTGTTTGGGTTGTACGGAAAGCACGCGCCAAAGACGGTGGAAAATTTTAGAGCGCTTTGCACGGGAGAGAAGGGTCTGAGCGCGAAGAGTGGAAAGAAATTAACGTACGAAGGGTCGTGTTTGCATAGAATAGTCAAAGGGTTCGTGTGTCAGGGTGGAGATTTCACGCTGCAGAACGGACAAGGAGGTGAGAGCGTGTACGGCGAAGATTTCGACGACGAGGCGTTTGGGATATCACACGACGACGCAGGTGTGTTGTCCATGGCTAATCGGGGACCAAACACGAATGGATCGCAATTTTTCATCACAACCGCGCCAGCGCCGAGCTTGGATGACAAGCACGTGGTGTTCGGACGCGTATTAGAAGGTATGGATGTCGTCGCCGCGTGTGAAGCCGTCGGAACCGAATCGGGTCAACCTCTCGGCCAAGTCGCCATCACTGCATGCGGCGAATTGCAGCTCAGTGATTAGCTCGAACATGCAACAACTAGCGTAGCGCGTGTTAAGATTCCAAATCTTTGTAAATTTTCAAAAAAGCCACCAAGCGGATCCCATCGATGAGCGTGGGTCGCCGATACGCCGAGTCACCGTCTGTATTCGCCGATTCGCCGTGTAACGCGTGAATTTCATTCCACGAAAATTTCTGCAGAGCCATCTTTTCATCTTTGCGATCGATCAGCACGTACTTGGCCAAAACAGCGAAAGAAACCGTGGCGAAACCGCGCTCGACTAAGATGTCGTCATCGTCGAAAAAATAGACAAACATGGGCACCGTCAGCAGCGCATTCGCGCCCTCGATGTCGCACAAATTCTTCGTCATCAGCAGTACAAACATGACCGCCAGTATCGATAATACAGCGAGAAGAATGTCCGCCAGCTCTCCTTTCGATAACGTCGGATCTAACCCCAGGTACGTGATGAAACCGTGCAACGCGACGAAAACGATGGCAAACGTCATCGGAGCCCGCGTCGCCCAAGCTCGAAAGCCTTCCGTCTTCTCGAACGTCACGCACACTCCCCGCGCGATGCAAATGAACCAAACCGCCCTTCTGTGCCCGTATTCCACCGCGCACCACGCGATCATCGCGATCATCGCGAGCTCGATCGCCACGTACGCCGGTCCCGCGCCTCGCATCATGGGCACCAGCGAGACCACCGGCCCGACGAGCAGAAACGAGAAGACGGCGCACGCGAACCACATGCGCCACCCGCACGCGGCGTCGCGCTCTTTTCGTATCGCGTCCAACCTCGCGTTCTTCGCCGCGAAGGCTTCGATCGACGTCATCCTCGCGAAACTCGCGCGCGGGTCGCGCGAGGCGGAATATGATGCGACACCGGCGCCCGAAAGACTTCGAAGGGTTACTTAGTTAGTCGGGCTCCACAGTACGATCGAGCATCGCGTATTATCACGAGGTAGGTTTCGAAATAGAAATATGAGAGCGAAGACGCGCCGGCCCGCACTCGGCGACGACGACGGCGATGCCGACGCGACGCCGCGCGACGCGCGCCCGCGCGACGGTCCGCGCGCTCGCGCTGACGCTGACGCTGACGCTGACGCTGACGCTGACCGCGACCGCGACCGCGACCGCGACGACGGTCGCGCTGAACGACGACGCGATGGCGAACGCGGATCCAGCGCGCGCGCTCGACGGCGCGCGAACGCGCGCGGACGCGCTCGGCGCGCTCGGTGCGCTCGCGAAGACGGCGGCGGAGATCATGGACGCGGTCGGCGCGCTCGCGGCGCCGGGACCGAAACCGAGAGGGCGGTCGAAGCCGTACGGCGATCCCGCGAGGCGGGCGTGCCTGGCGACGGAGATGAAGGTGCAGATTCAGGGCGTGCCGGGAGATTTCTGCTCGCCGTCGTGCTCGGTGGCGTCGCCGTGCCCGAAAGATCCGTATCGAGGGGCGACGGCGCGAGGGATGTGCGTGCTGCAGACGCCGGGGAGCGATAAACCGAACCGATGCGCGTTGGTGTGTAATCCGAGAGACGACGCGCCGAACGGAGGATGTCCGAAGGGCGCGTCGTGCCGACCCGTGGCGCAGGTGGGGATTTGCACGTACCCGGGTCCGTGATCGCGGCGTTCGGGCTCGTTTTCGTGTTTTCGTGTTTTTTTGTACTACAGCGCGCGCGCGCGATATCGTTACAATTTTCAATCAATGCGCGCCAGTCAAATAATCGTTCACGTTCATCGCTTGAGCCACTTTAGCGTGGGCAACAGTTCCCAACGCGTGACGCACTCGAGCGCCCATTTCCAATTCACCGGTTTAGAGATCGATTTGAAAGTCGAGCGAGGGGTTAAATCGTCCACTAAAGTCACGACCACATCGTCCTCGTCTTCTCCATCGCCGGCGACGTCCTCGACGACGGAATCGGTTTCGCGCGAGTCGTCGGCTTCGTCCTCGCTATCCGGAACCGCGTCGTGATCTCGTACCGCCGAACTATGTCGGCGAGATGATCTACGCGGCGTTTTCGGCGACGCGGGCTCGATGATGGCACCCGCGAGCCTTAAGATGTTCTCCAACGCCGACGCGGGGAGCGCGTCGCCGCAACATTGGACGCGCACGCGAATGCCTTCAAAGAGCCGTCTTTGATTCGTCTCGCGGCACACTCGCGCGCGGCGAGGACCGTCCGCGAAGCTATGCGATGCGCCATCTGAGCCTGTACCCGTACCGTCTTTTAATTCGAAGGCCTCTTCGTTTGAAAAACTCCCGCGCTCCGCGCAATCGGCGAGCCAGTCCTCGTGCACGACGTACAACCCTCGAGCGATGGCGTCGACGTATTTGACCGTTCTTTTTCTCACCACCCGATCTTTGGATCCGGTGTCCATGATCAAATGCGTGCACTCGGACGTCAGATCTTTCATGCCCATGAACACTGCGCCGGCGTCGATGGACTTTATGACGCGTTCGACTTCGGCAAACTTTTCATCCTGGCTTCCGCCGCATCGTAGCGCGCTCGAGCTATACGCCACGACGACTTTAGGAGATTCGGGCTGCGTCGCCGCCATCGCCGCGGCCATGACGTCTCGATCGTACTGCGACAACTCTTTGACGAACCACGGTTTCTTCCGAGTCGACGCCGCAGATCTGCCTAAGACGTTGCGATACAGGCGCCGCAACTCGGACAACGTCATCGACTCAATATCCAACGTCCCTTGCGTCCCCGGCTGCGTCTGCGTCCGCGGCTGTGTGTGTGACTCTAACGCTTCATCCTTCGCCTTGTACACCGCTAATTTCTTGTCGATCACGGCCAGCGTGGCGTCGATCGCGCGAATGGTTTCGGCGAGCTTCTCGCACGCCTTTGCCTCGCGCTCGCGCGCGTCGTCGCCCTCCATCACGCCCCCGTCGGCCAGCGTTCCACCACGATCGCCCGCACCGACGTCGTCTCCATCATCACCATCGCAATCCATCGCTTCCGTGCCTCCCAACTCTCGCATCGCCCCTAACGCCTCGCGCAGCTCCGCGTCGACGCTCTTAAAATTCTCCACGAAACTCTTCAGCGTCATGTTCACGCTCAAATCCTTCATCACCGTCGGTGCCGCGCACTCCGGGCACGCGCTGGCGTCCCACGATTTGCCTCCGAGCGCGCGAGCGACGCACTCGAAGCAGTGGGTGTGATTGCACGGCAGCGTCGTCGGGTCGGTGAAGACATCGCGACAGAGCGGACAGGTGAGTTGCGCGCGCAGCGCGTCGAGGGCGTCGCCTGGACGCGGTGACGATGCTTCGGGTACCGTCGTCATCGCGCGGCGCGGTCGACGGCGCCGAGGCGCGCCGACGCGCGTCGAGGTGTGCGGAAGCGCGCGCGACGCGACGACAGCTCTGGGACGTTTTAAACGCAGCGAAACTAAAATCTATCACAATGCATCTAACTCGCGGCGACGACCCCAGGACCGTGCACGCGAACGCCCGATGGTTTCTCATCGTCTTGGTCGACGTCGTCTTCGAAATCATCGCTCTTGAAAAACGTGTAGGAGAGAATCAAACTCTTCACGTCTCGCATGTTTGGGTCGCTCGCGAATTCGGGATCGATGTAAAACAACACCGGCATATCCACCTCCTCCTTCCCTCGCAATCGCTGTTCCTCGAAACAGAAACACTGCACCTTATTGAAGTACGCCCCACACTTATTCGGCTGCACGTTATACGTCGCCACGCCCGTCACCGGCGTCTTCGTCAAATTCTTCGCCGTGTAAAACGCCAACGCCGACTCTCCCGGTCTCACTTTGATACTCTTCTGCGTCGGCGTGAATCGCCACGGCATCCCTTCCGCGACGTCGGCGTTAAAGTATATCGTTATCTCTCGTCCTCGCGCCTCGTCTCTTCGCGCTTCGCTCCACGCATCGCTCTTTAATTTATCCTCGAGCGTCGCTCGGCGCGTCGTCCCGCCGAACCCGGTGGCTTGACAAAACATTCTATACAGCGGCACCGACGCGTACGTCGCCCCGACGACGCCGACGACGAGCGCGAACAGGTATTTCGCGAAGTCTGCGTTCGCGTCGTCCGCGTCCGCGCCTCTCGGTCGCTTCGGCGCGTTCGCGCTCGCCGCGAAGCCTCGCGCCGACGTCGACGGTCGCGCTCGATGCGTCACCGCGCGCGTCGCCGCCGCGCCGCGCGCGCGCGCCGTCGCGCCCGTCGCCGACGCGGCGTCCGCGACGCGCGCGCCGCGCGCGCGCAGCAGCGCGCGCGCCGCGCGCGACGCGACCGCGCGCGACATTGTGAGGACGAGGTACCGCGCGGCGATTCGTCATCCGTCGTCATTCATCCGCGCGTCGCCGCGACGCCGGCTCAGCGCGCGCGAGGCGTCGACTCGATCGATTTCGCGTCGCGCGGCGTCGCGAATTCGCGATGACGTCGCGCGCGGCGACGAAACTGGCGCGATTGAACGAACGGTTTCAATCCTTCTACGGCGATTTGGAACAAGAAAAGACGCACCGGCGCGCGCTCGAGAGCGATCGCATGCACGCGATCGAGGGAAGGCTGGACGCGCTCGAGGGCGAATTGAAACGCGCGAGCGAGGCGGAGAAAAAGGCGCGCGCGGAGAGCGCGGGACGGTTGGAACGGATGCTGCGGGAGACGGAGGCGACGCTGAGCGCGCGGGCGACGGCGGTCGAGGAACGGTTGAGCGCGAGCGTGACGGCGCTGACGACGGCGATCGAGAGCGTGCACGAGGCGCTGAGCGCGGAGAAAGAACAGAGGACGATGGAGGTGGAGACGATGACGACGAGTTTGAGTCGACGGGTGGAGGACTTCGGCGCGGCGTTGGACGACGAACGGTTGGCGAGACTGGAGCGCGAGGCGGAGATGATCGCGCGCGTCGGACAGGAGGTGAACGAATTGCGAACGAAGGTGGAGGCGGAGAGGAACACGCGGGAGAGCGCGGTGGGGAAGTTGGCGTCGGTGGTGGAGGAGGTGCGACACCAGAGCGCCGCGGGCGAAGGCGACTTCCACGCCGTCGTGCTCGAGGAGCTCGGGACTCTGAAACTCGGCCTTCAAAAAGAACGCGCCGAGCGCATGGAAGAAGATGAGCTCATCGTGCAGGCGGTTGGCGAGTACTCGAAGACGATTCAGAATGGTTTGCGCATCGCGAATCAATAATAAGTGGACGTTTCGACGTCGCCTAAGACTAGAAAGTAAATAACAAACAACCGCGGCGCGGCGACTGTAATCGAGACGATCACCGATCGATCATGGCTAAGTACCACGACACGAATGCGGTGAGAAACACCGGACACGCGAGGTATTGCCAAAACAGCAACGTGCCCACGCCGGCGCCCGCGCGATCGTCGTCGTGGAACATTTGAGCTTGAAGCATCATGTTGTTCGCCGTCGGCGTCGTGCCGAGCATCAAGAAGACGAGCCAAAACGTTTTATCGTCGGGCGCGATCCCACTGACGTTGCGAAAGGCATAATACAGCCCAATCGTAAAGAATGGTATTATTGCGAATCGCACTCCGACGATGGCGAGAGACGTCTTTCGATCCGCCAAGCTGTAATCGGGACCGTACGCCAACGACGCCCCGATAACGAGTAAAATCGAAGGAATCGCCGCGTCGGCTAACATTTCCGCGGATCCACCGATCCAACTCAGCGCGCGCCCGGGGTTAAAAATTATGTCTCGCACCGGCGGCGCCATCCCAGTCGCGACGCCCAACACGCACGAGGCGATCGCGGGATTGAAAAACGTCCGCGTAAAATCTAAAGTCCTATTCGCGAAAGAACGCTGTCGCATCAGCGTTCGATCGCGTTCCGCCTGTTCGCTCATCTCCCCCCCATCCCCTCCCTCGAGCGAAACTTTCGCGGCTACGCGTCGTCTGAACAAAAACGGTCCGAGAGTCCACATCAGCCCGCTCAGCACGACCACGTACGACGACAGATACAACACCGCTCGATCGTTATCATCGCTCGTGAACGTCAAATTCCCAATCCTCGGGTTCTTGATGATCGCCCTCGCCACGACCACCGGCAAAGCCAGCGAGTTGCCGAATCCGCTCGACATCAACGCGACGGTTCTGAAGCCCGGCTTCACCGGCGCCCAGCGCACGACGCCCAGCCCGAGCGCCAGTCCGAGCGTCACGTGCGCGACGCACGTCACCGGCAGTAACCACAGCTTTCGCAGCGCGCTCGCGCTCACCGAGCGGCTCAGCGACACCCAAAGCAGCGCCGGCAGGAAAAAGTTTCCATTAAACGTCGACAGCGTCTTGCACGTCTTGCGGTCGAGCCAGCCTCGGCGCGCGCCCAGGACGCCGACGGCGCCGACGCAGAATATTTCCAGCACCGCGCGCACGCTCGCGAAGAATATCTGCGCGCCCGCGCGCACCATGTGCGGCGCTCGCGCGAGACGGCGCGGTGTGCCGCCGCCGCCCGCCCGTAAGCGCGCGCGCGCGCCGGCGGACGAATCGCTCGTCAACGAATTTCGCGCGTCGACGGAAAACATACCGACTTTCGACGGGCTGTTGCATAATAATCACTCTTTTTGAATTTTTTCGTCGTTTTCGCTCGAAAAACGCACGAGCGTTACGAACGAGGCGCGCGGGGACGCGCGCGCGGGACGACACACGAAGGCGCGACGACGCGCGGGAGACGCGATGTCGGGCGCGGCGAGATGGACGGGAGGCGCGGCGGCGGCCGAGGTGCGGTGACGCGCGCGAAAGACGCGCGCGGTGACTGACGGCGACGAACGACGACGCGCAGGAGGACAGAGCCAAGCTCGAGGACTTTGAACGACGCGTCGATCCGAACGACAAGGAACAGATGGACTTGCTGGAACAGATGAAGCAACACACGGAGAAGTTAGAGAAGATGCGCGAGTTTGAGGATCCGCGGTTGTCGTTCACGACGCCGGAGTTCAAGGAGGCGCAGAGAATTTTTCAAGAAAATTTCAAGGCGAGTCGTTCGAGACGTCGACGCGATCGAGGCGAGGGACTGACGATATGATTTTCATTTCGCGCGCGCAGAAAAACTTTGGCAGACCGATCGAGTATGGGATGGTGAAACGATACCCGTGGAGCGTGCCGACGTTGATGAAACTCGACGTGCCCGTCGACGTGGACGGGAATCCTTGGCCGCTCGACGCCGAAGGGAAACCGATTTTGAAGGATGAACCGCAAGATGAAGACGAGCAGTACGACGTTTAAATCGATCACATCGCCATTTTTTCATCATAAACCATTTGCGTTCGCGCCAAAGATGATTCTCTATCGTCATTCAGTGCCCCGAGTAGGCGTAGATTTTCTTCGACGACGACGCCGTCGTGTATTAAATCAAAGCCCCCAACGCGTTTCGCGGTGTCACTCGTTCGATCGAATTGCTTCTCCATGTCGACCACGTTTAGCACATCTTCGAAGAGTGCCGTTTTCAACGCTCTATCGCTCGCGCTATCGACGCTCATCGATGGTGACGCGTTTACTTCGATGAGCCACGGTCGCAAATTTTCGTCCAACATGACGTCGTACCCGTACATTTCAAAACAATGTCGATCGTTTATCATCACTGGCGCCACGGAAAGCAAAGAGTTGATGATGAGTTTGGTAATCTCTTCTATGAGCGCGTCCGAAGTCGCCGTGCCGTGCTTCGCGGCGATGTACTGGCGAACACTACGCGCGCTCCATCGCAAATCGCACTTGGAAGCGTCGTAATTCGCGTCTCGCTTTTGCACCGAGTGATTCGTCAAGTGCACCATTTCATCTCCCAACGACTCCTTGTCGCACGTGTACCGCGCCGCGGTGAATCTTGCGAATCCTTCGCGATATAAATACGCCCGAAGCGGGCGATATGAAAGAACCAACACGTACAAGCGCATGTCAAATTTTCTACCGCCGACGCAATACGGATTGGAAATGTATCGCTGCGCGACGTAGTTGTCGATGCATATATTCTCCGCACCACTCTTCTCGCGCTCGGCGAGCCACTTGGTGATTTGAGAGAGTTTATGGACCATGAAAATTCCTTTACCCTGCGCGCGTCCGATCGGTTTCATGATCCACAAGCCACCGTGATCACGGAAAGCGCGCTGCATCATCAACGCCTCGTGCGGCATCACGTACGTGAGGGGTAAAATATCAAAACATTTCGCCGCCTCAGTTCCCCCTTTCTTCGCGGCTTGTCTCTTCGCCCGGTTCAAATTCTTCGCCATCAAATCCTTGCGCGTCAGCTCCACGTGATTAGCGAAATGGTTCACGCGTTGGTGCTCCGCCATGTGCGCGCCGCTCTTGTAAGGCACGTTTTCGTGTATCCAACCGACGTCCGCGTAAAACAAATCCCAATTCGAGTCCGTGGGCGAGACCTCGCTCCAGCCGCGAGCGAGCATAATACTATGCGTGATTGTGTTCGGCATCGTCGTCGCGAACCGCACCGCTCTCGGGCGGCATGGTTGCGAGCTCTCTCGCGCGACACCCGCGCGTCCTCGAGCGCGGTCCACCGCGGTCAACGCGCTTCGCGAGTCCGCGCGCTCCGTCGAGCGTTCCTCGACGTCTTGCGAGTTCAACCGCGCGTTGGAAGTCGAATCAACGCCACTCGTGCGACCGCGCGCGGGTTCATCGAGCGACGTCGCCATGGTCCGGTCGCGCGACGGCGACCGGCGAGAGTCAAACTCTGAAGTCGGCGGGACTCGATAAGTTTCAGAAAAATCTATAATCACAACTTGCGTGACGCTCTGCTAAGGGGAAATACACGAACAGACGATCGAGATTAGACCTCGAACCACTGATCGTTCTTGATCCTGTCGTCAATCTTCTTCTTCAGCTCCGGATTGGTTTGGAAGTATTCGTCCATGGTGATCGACCCGAGCTTGGAGCGTTGCTCTTCGATGGCCTTGAGCTCGAGATCGAGTTCAGCAATGCGCTTCGTCGCGTGCTCCGCGTGCGCTTTCGCTTCGGCTTCGATCTCCACGAACGACGATCGCAAAGCCTCGATTTCCGGGCTCTTCGCATCCGGCTTGGTCACGCCCTTGTACGCCTTCTCAAACTCGTCCACGATTTCCGGCATCTTCGTATCCTTGCGCATCGCCGCGAAATCCGGTTCCGGTCCCTTATACGCCGCGCGCGCGACCGCATCGCGCATATCAGCGACAGCCTTTTGCAGCGCCATGAGCTCCTTGTGCGAGGCGTCGGACAACGCCTCCGTCTTGATCGCGTCCCAGCTCCCCGTCGCCGGCGCCGCCGCGTCCCCCGCGTACGTCCGTCGCGCCGCGCGCGCGAACGCCCCAACCTACCCCCCGAAACCACACCGCGTCTCCGTCAGTCCTCGCCCTCGCCCTCGCGTCGCCGTCGCGCGTCGCCGTCGCGCGTCGCCGTCGTCCCTCGCGCCCCGCGATCGATCGTTCGCCAACCCTACGAACGTCTCGCGCGTCGCCTCGCGCGCGCGCGTCGTCGTCGCCTCGCCTCGCGCGCGCGCGTCGTCGTCGTCGCCTCGCGTCGCCTCGCGTCGTCGCCTCGCACCTCTCGTCTCGCGAGCGCGCGCAGCATGACGGTCGTCGACGCGCGCGGTGTTCTGACGCGGTCGGCGCGATCGCGCGGTCGGCGCGCGCGTCGATCGACCCCGAAATCGCGAGGTTCGATCGCGCGCGTCGAACCTCGCGCGAGGGTCGTCGACGAACCTCGATCGCGCGATCGCCGTCGGTCGGCGCGCGCGTCGATCGACCCCGAAATCGCGAGGTTCGATCGCGCGCGTCGAACCTCGCGCGAGGGTCGTCGACGAACCTCGATCGCGCGATCGCGCGGTCGGCGAAGTCGGCACTGCGCGTCGCGCGGGGCGACGACGCGACGACGCGTCGTCGCGCGGGCGGGCGCGCCGGGCGGGCGGCGCGCGCGCGGTGACGCGCTTCGGCGCGCGCGGCGCGCGACGAGCGGGCGCGCGGGACGGGAACGAGGACGACGCGCGGCGTCGAAGGGATCGGGGCACTCGACGCGACGCGCGAGGGGGGTCGAAACGTCATGCGCGGCGCGTTCGAGGGCGTGCGGGGAGGGGCGTGGGGCGCGGGAGCGCCGATGCCGACGGTGCCGATCGCGCACGCGCGCGCGCCGGCGCACGCGACGCGGTTCGTGGCGGTGAGTGGGTTGGGATTGGTGGCGGTGTTGTCGACGGCGCGCGCCGCCGATTCGATCGTCGTCGTCGCGGAGATTTTGGACGATGAAATGCGCGAGGCGTTGATCGCGACGCGAAGGGACGCGATGAAGGCGATGCGAGAGCGCGAGATGGCGATGTGCGCGGCGATGGAGGCGAGTCGAGTGGCGGCGGGGATGCTGATGATGCGAGGCGCGGGATCGGCGTCGCCGACGCGAATCGGCAAACCGACTCGGCGAGGGGCGACGCGGAGATCTACGTCGAAAAGGTCGTCGCCGAAGAAGAGTCACACGTCGGGTTCCGGACGTACCGTGATGGGATGTTCTTCATCGCCGTCTCCCGGGACATCGTCACCGGATACCGCGCCGCCGTCGCCCTCGGCGCTGCCGCAACCTTCGTTCGCCGATTCGGCGGCGGAGGAGGAGTATCCCGCGCTGCCGAAGCCTTTGCCGGCGACGCCGTCGATCGCTTTGGCGCCATCGCAAAAGCAAGACAAGTTGCCGTTGCCACCGCTAAAGTGGATCGACATCGCGACAAAGCCGAAGCACACCGCAAAAGGTAAGGGTAGACGGTTCATTCGTCGCAGAGTCGAACGCGTCGAAAAGGCGCACTGGGAATTGACTTTGTTCATGTCTAATTCGCACGAATCGCTCGACGCGCGCTGCGAAGACGCGACGAAGGCGTTGCGAGACATCATGCGACAGTATCAGCGCAATCGTCTGGATCACGACGTTGGTTTGGAAACGCACAAAGACGTGCTCCACTCGGTAATCGATCATCCTAATTCGCCAATGTACCACTCGTGCGCGTGCGAAGAAGCGCTCAAACTTCACACCGACATCGACGGCATTGTGGGCTACGATTTCTTTGCCGAAACGTGTTCGTGTGAAGATTGTTTGAAGATGTACGTGTACTTGTTGTGCGATCGTCAATGCGTGTGCCCGAAATGTTTCAACGAGGCGACGAAAGAAGGACATGAACGAGCCGAAACGGCTCGACGATTGTTTGCTTCAAGCGACGACGCCACGAACGTTCCCGAAAAGTGGAGCGACATCGCCACCCATTTCGGTCGACTGTCATCGCAACGAACGCTTCGCCACATTGAAGAATTACTGCAACGACTTCGGAAACCGGTTCTCGCCCTTCCGCCGACGCCTCCGTCACGGCGCCGCAGGAAACCGCCGCCAAAGATTGAATTGCATCTCGACGGTGCGACCGCGCCTCTGGGCTCGTTGCCACCTTCTTCGCCGTCCGCCGCGTAACGTATTTTATGTATTCGCGTGCTCCAAAATGATTGTTACGCCTATGTTTGTATTCAAATCCTCTAATGTTCTGATTTGCCCAGTCACATTACCAGTCGTCATCGCTCGCGCCCGCGTTTTGGTTTTGTTGACTCGCGACGCCCCACCCATCGTCATTCACGTTCGTATCCGCAACGGGCTGCGCATCGCCAGCACTCCACCCGTCGTCATCCCAATCTTCTATGCCATCGTCATCGAATTCGGCCCACATATCTTCCGCAGTTTGTTCAACGCGGGGGACAGGTTCTGGGTCAATTTCGACGACGTCGGGTTGACGAGCCGGTCGCTGGACGGAATCATCCAAGCCAGCGTCAGAGCCGTCATCTATGAAACTCGAATCATATTTACTCGAAGACCGCGTTTCGCCACTTCCACCCCATCGTTGGGTCGGGCTTGGCGTGTCTTGCACAGCGTGCCGTTCACGTGGTCCCAACGCGGCAAAAGTCTGCGCCAAATCGACTCCAGCTGGAGCATCTCGCGTGACGCGTTGCCATGGCGCTTCATCGGGAGTCGCTTCGGCGAAACGCGCTCCCGGATGCTCAGCAATAGCGTCGTCTCCCTGGGAATTTGCGATGAATCTCTCGTCGCCGGATGACATATCGCCGTCCTCTTCGCCGTCCTCTTCTTCGCTCGCATCCGCCTCGTCGTCGATGAAACAGTTCCGCCTCTTCCGAGGGTTGAACGCAGGCTGTGCGCGCACACGCTGCTGACGACGCGGGCGAGAAGCGGGTTCCTCGCCGATGAATTCGATGTCGTCATCGTCGTCGTCTTCGCCGCCATCGTTTTGCGCTTCCTCGGGACCGTCGCCGATGATGGGTGAAATTTCTTGCGACATGAGCACGCGCGCGTTGGTCTTACGCACGTGACGCTTGAAGTTCAGCTCGCTTCCACCTGATGATTGCGCGGCGTCGGACGCCTTACCAGTGCTCTGAGGTGTCATGCGAGGCGGAGGCGGAGGCATCGACAGTCGATCTTGACTCTTGCGTTTTTCTTCGACTTTGTCGCTGGAAGAGCTGAGTCTCAGTTCGCGCGCCAATCTCTGCTGCTTCTTGGTGAAGAGCATGTCACCCAACGTTTCTTCGTAATCATCATCATCGTCATCACCATCATTTCCATCGCCCTTCGTATCTTCGAGCTCTTGCGAGTCGTGCGGGGATGAGTCGAGAACAGATGATTGCAAAGGTCGCTGCGCCGGCGAGGCGCTGTGCATGGAAATGCGCCGCGGAACCGCATCGCTCAACTGCGTGAATTCCTCCAAAACTTCTTGACTCGTTTTGATCGCCGCCTCGTACGCAGGACCGTCTTGTGATGTTGCAGGCCAGTCGTTGCCCCAGTCGTCTTGGAAATCGTCATTGACGGGGAATTCTTCGACATCAATTGCCTCAACAACAGTCGGCGCGTTCGACTCGTCTCGTTGCAGCTCTGGCTCGATCAAGTTTGGTGCTGATGTTTGCTTGAGCCGACTTTCGGCGCATGGTCCATTCAAAAGGGCACTCCCAGTAGCATCGACGCGTGGCATGTCTTGCAAATCCGCCATCACACCGATGAACGCGCGGGTCAAGTCACTATGCTCGATTGCGTACACCGGATGCGGGCGCGAAAGAAACGGCGTGGACGCCGAAAAATCGAGATCTTCCATCGCACTTCCCTGGTATTCGTACGCATAAAGAATGGCCTTGCTCGCCGCATCAAGAGGAGTATCGTTGAGCTTGTTCGCCGCATTCAAAAGAGCTTTCGCACCCATCGCTTTCTTTGGCTTCTTTGGCTTCGCCACTTCCGCTTGTTCGCTCATTTTGGACTTGGTCTTCTTCTCCGCAGGAGATGGTTCGATCATAGCGAGTTGACATACCGGTGTCACGCCATCTGGAACGATGCGAGGACACTTTTTGTCGAGCCGAAAGTGCGTTTCTGGCATTCGTAGGCACGTCATCAAAGTTTCGTACTTTTTCTGCTCGCTCGTAAACTTGGCGTATTCTTTACCCTCCGTCGCGAGAATGACGACTTTGCCATCGCGCGCTCGACCAGTTCGACCCATTCGTTGAATGGCACGAATGGTATCAACGACGTCAAAGAAAAAAATCAAATCTACGCTCGGAATGTCCAATCCCTCTTCTCCGATGGATGTCGCCACGAGTGTGTTCAGCGTTCCGGCTCTGAAATCGTCCAGCGTCTGCTTTTGTTCTTTTTGCGTCTGTCCCTTAGTACCGCGCGAGGTAGCACCAGGCGCCCGTTTCTTACCCGTCGCGCCCGTATCGCCCTGACCGACGAACTCTGCAACTTTAATCTTGCACGCGGTGTCCTCGCCAGCGGGGACCTCGCGAAGGGCTTGAACGATGTCCTTGACGCTTTCACGGTACGATGTGAAAATGATCACTCGCGTATCCGCCGTAGCGTCTCTGAAGTGTTGCTTTAGAATCGACGTCAATCTGTCGAGTTTTGGCGAGTGATGTGCGCCGTTTGACGACATCGAACGAATCAAATCCACCAACTCTACTGATACTGGGTCGCTGCGATGAACGAGCGTGTTGCTCTTGTCTCGACCGCGCTTATCGATGTAATCGTACGCGCTCTTGGCGCCGTACTTGAGCAAAAGCTCGTACGCCTTACTGAGTTCCATCGCGGTCTCGAGCAAGCCTAACGCTTGCCCTCTGGCGCGCACTTGGTGCTGATTTCTATATATCGCCTGCTGTGCGGATTGCAGCGTGAACCACGCCGGTGGTTCGACGCGCGATGCCCCGTTTGTGGCTTTATTTTTAATAAACGTCAACATTCGAAAGCCCGCTTCGCCGAGCGCGCCCATGTTGACGAGTTGCGCGCAGCACGGGCGCAGTAGCTCGCACAGCATGTCCTGCACGTGAGACATCGCCTGATCGGGCTTGACCTTTTCCACAGTCATCTCGCGCTTGTGCGTGTAACGCGAAACATCGGGGTCTTGGTCGCTTCTGAAATCGATACGTCCGATGCGCAGCGTCTCGACGACTTTTTGAACTTCGTCCAATCCTTGCCCCGGCGTCGCCGTGAGCGCCAATAAACGAAATCTCACTTTTCGTTCGTGAAGTAAACGAAGCACTTCCGCGGAAGCGTACTGTCCTCGCGCGTGGTGCGCTTCATCGACGACGACGCACACGATTTGTTTGGCGTCCAAATCGCCGCTTTCCAAATCGTTCGCTACCGTGTGCGGGGTGCAAAAGAAGAGACGTTTCTCTCGCCAAAAGTCTCGTCTCGATCCGCTGTCGTCCTTCTTCGTGCTTCCCATCAATACGATGGTGTCAGAGGCGGGAATCCCCACCACGGTGTGACACGCTGACATCTGTTGATCCACTAAAGGTCGCGTGGGCGCCATAAAAATAATCTTCCCCGTGGGAAACCATCGGTAATAGTTGTACATCACCACCGCCGCGATGAGCGTCTTGCCCAAACCCGTGGGCAGGCATACCAGTGAGTTCGTCAGCAGGGCGTTACGCGCCATGTCAAACTGATAATCACGCCGCGAAATCTGCGCCGGATAGACGTACGTTTGAATCGCTTCCGGATCCATGGGCAACCCCTCGGGTCCGCCCGCGGAATCGCACCGCGTCAAGCCCGAAGCGTCTCTCGCGCCCAGCGCGTCCGGCGCCAAATTCGTCATCAACGCCTCCAGCTCCCGGGCCTTGTCCGGACACTTACGAATCATCAACTCCTTCGGCAGCGTCCCCTGATGCTTCCTCTTCGCCGGCGCGCTTTCTTTTCGCTTCTTCTCCCGCCCGATCCCCGTCGTCGTCGTCGTCGTCTCCGGCGCGCGCGCCAACCGTTCCCGAACCTCCCCGAGCACCGTCGTCGGTCGCGCCCGCGCCCCCGCCGCCGCGGCAAACATCGACGTCACCGTCAACTGATTCCCCGTCCCCTCCTCCCGCGCGTTCGCGCCCGCGCGCATCGCGTCCCGCCTCGCCGCCGGCGTCGCGTCTTCGTCGCGCCCCGCGTTCTCCTTCGCGTCCCATCCCTCCCGCCGTCGTCCTCCTTCCGCGCCCTTCCCGCCCGCGCTTCCCCGAGACGTCGCGCGCGTCTCGTTTGACGCGTCTCTCGCCGCGCGCGCGCCTCGCACGACGCTGTCGACGTCGATCGCGGCGAACGCGTCGTCGTCGTCCGCGCCGTCGTCGAAATCCATCGCGCGCTCTCGTCGCGCGCTCTCGCCGCGCTCGATCGTCGCGCGCGCGCTATCGTCGCGCGTCGCGATTTCACGTCACCGCGCGTCGCGCGTCGGCGCGCGCACGCGTCGCGCGCCGCGTCGACGCGCCGCGAAGTGCGCGCGTCGCCGGGCGTTCGAACGCGTCGCGCGTGTGCTCGATACTGGGCGTCGAACGTGTTTCTATACGATAGTAGGTAACGTATACAGATGGCGTGAGTGACTATGTAGTGATACTTTGATGGTGAAGACACACACGGACGACGCAACGAGAATTCGCCGCGACGCGCGCGCGCGCGCGACGGCGCGAGCGCGCGACGCGCCGACGACGACGGCGGCGGCGGCGACGGCGACGCACTTCGGCGATCGAACGCGCGTCGATCGAGCGGCGAACCGCGAGAGGCGAACGAGAGGCGAACGAATCGCGAACGAATCGCGACGACGCGATGGGCAAGGCGGCGGCGGCGCGCGCGACGCGCGACGACGACGTCTCGGCGCAGATGCGACGGATGCTCGAGCGATTGGAAGAGCAGAGGCACTACGTGCGCGCGGGAGCGGAGCACAACGCGAACGTGAACGAGGTGGCGTACGGGGGGGCGTACGCGAGCGTGGGGAAGGATTTCGCGTTCAGCGCGGAGCGGTTTCGAGAGACGTTCGCGCTGACGCTGACGACGAGCGACGAGGAGCGGTGCGTGTTCGAGCTCGAGGGGTGCTCGCCGGCGTTTGCGAACGCGTTTCGGAGGATCATACTCAGTGAGGTGCCGACGATGGCGATTGAGAAGGTGTTCGTGGTGAATAATACGAGCGTCGTCGCGGACGAGGTTTTCGCGCATCGACTCGGTTTGGTGCCGATTAAGGCGGATCCGGCGATGTTTGAGTATCGAGGGGAGGGTGACGCGGCGAACGAGACGAATACGATCGTGCTGAAGATGCACGTGCGGTGTCATAAGGAACGGAATCCCGACGGCACGCTCGGTGAGGTTGTGAATCGGTCGGTGTACTCGAACGCGTTGACGTGGTGTCCGGAGGGGAGTCAGCTTCCGGAGGAGAACGGGGCAAAGTATTCCGATTTTAAGCGCTCACAGAAGGAAGTCGTCGGCGATCAAGAGCTTGGATGCGTGCACGACGATATTTTGCTCGTGAAACTCGCGCCCGGTCAAGAGGTGGAACTCGAATGCCACTGCGTCAAGGGCATCGGACAGGAGCACGCGAAGTGGTCGCCCGTGGGCACGTGTTGGTACAAGATGGTGCCGGAGATTACGATTTTAGAGCCCATCACGGGCGCGGACGCGGATGAGTTCATGAAAAAGTGTGCAAACTTTAGCGAGACGCACAAGTGTTACGCGTGCGAAGGAAAGGGTGATAAAAAGACGGTCAAGGTGGTCGAGTCGCGCGGGTGCGACTTTTGCGTCGAGCGCGTGCGCGAGCTTACGGGTGAACCAGGGTGGGCGGATAAGATTGCCGTGCGCAAACGTAAGGACCACTTCATTTTTACCATCGAAACGATCGGGCAGATGGCGCCCGGCACGATTTTCAAGGAGGCTGTGAAGATCCTGGCGTCGAAGGCGCAAAACGTGTTGTCGACGCTGTGAGGCAAAGTGGAAAAATAGCAGTAGAATTAAAACACCAGTCTCTCAACTAATAATTAAATTTACACGTCGATGATGCGAATGGACTCATCGTCTTCGTCGTCTTCGTCGTCTTCGTCGTCGTCGTCAAAGTCATTCAACGCGTCCTCGACGCCGTCCAGCATCTCGTCCCACACCGCGTCGTCGTCCATCCCCCATTCCGACTCATCTTCATCCTCCACTTCCCCCCGTTCCGCGATCACGTCCTCCACCGACATCAACGCGTCCTTCCCGTACTTTTTCGCCGTCTTATTCCTATTCTCCAAACGAATCTCATCCAACAACGCGCTCACCTTTTGCCCTCGCTCGAACGAGTCGTCGTAAATGAACCGAATCTCCGGCGTCAACCGCAAGCTCATCCTCCGTCCGATCTTCCTTCGCACGTACTGCTCCATTCGTTTCATCCCCTTTATCGCGTTATTCTTCCCTCGCTCGTCTCCCAGGATGCTCACGTACACCTTGACCACTTGCAAATCGTTGCTCACCTCGACGTCCGCCACCGTCGCCATGACGCTCAGCATGTGATCCACCCCCATGCGTTCCTCGGGCGAGATCATCGCTCGCAGGTTCTTATCGCTCTGCATCATGCTCGAAATCTCTCGTCGCATCTGCTGCTGGACCTTTTGCACGCGCCGCGGGTGCGCCATGGCGACGACCGTCGCCGCGCGTCGTCGCGGGGCGGCGGCGGCGCGACGAAACGGCGTCGCGTCGCGCCCGCGCGCGCTCGCGGCGCGCGCGCCGACGCGCGCGGGCGCGGTCAACGCCGCGACGCTCGCCCGGGGCGTCGACATCGCGCGCGCGTCGCCGGCGCGACGTCGGGTCGCGCGCGGAAGTGACGGCGACGCGCGTCGTCGCGCGCGCGACGGCACAGCGCGTCGCGCATCGCGTCGTCGCGCGCGCGGACGCCCGAGCGCGCGCGCGGGATGACGACGCGTCGCGCGCGCGCGTGCGCGGCGGCGCTCGACGCGATGGCGGCGCGAGGGAGCGGCGCGAGCGCGTCCGTGGGGACGACCGCGCGGGCGTGGATCGCGGCGTCGGCGACGCGCGCGGCGCGCGCGGACGCGCTCGGACGCGGATACGCGACGAAAACGACGAAAACGACGACGAAGTCGACGTCGGGGGATGGCGCGGCGACGGCGACGGCGAGGGGCGGTGGAAAGGGGCGGGCGAAGGCGAAGACGGGGACGGGGACGGCGCGCGCGGCGCCGGCGAAGGCGAAGACGTCGAGGAAGAAGAAACCGCCGATCGGGAAGATTCGCGCGGTGCCGCACGCGGCGGCGAAGAAATTTCCGCTGCATGAATCGGTGTTGGGGGATCCGAGGACGTATAAGGCGACGATGGGGGACGCGACGGCGGCGGCGCGGGCGACGGCGCGGGCGCGGGCGACGGCGGCGCCGCCGCCGACGAGCGGCAATAGGGTGATGCCGCACGCGAAGGCGGCGACGTTTCCGCTGCATGAATCGGTGTTGGCGGAGGCGAAGTCGATGGCGACGAAAGGGACGGTGTTGAGGGAGCCGTTATCGAAGCCGGCGGGCGCGGCGGCGACGGCGCCGCCCGCGGCGGCGAACGCGACGCCGACGGAGGAAAGCGGGTCGAATCGCACGGCGCTTCTAGCCGCCGCCGGTGCTGGGATCGCGGCGCTTTTAGCGTATTCCATGAGCGTCGTGGACGAGGAAGATAGGCCTCCGCCGCCGCGACGGGCGAAACCAAAGGCGGCGGCGGCGCGGAAAGACGTCGAGGTGCAAATCGAAATCGTCAAGCAGCCCGACGCGAAAGAGTTGACGAACTCGAAGAAAGCCACAACCGAGTCGAAGAAGGATGGCAAAGAAACGGCGAAAGATGAACTGTCGGACGCGTTCAGCGCGACCGCGGACTTCCTCGCCAACGTAGAGGTACGCAACATTTCGTATTTTTGTGACGCTTATTCTCGGGGCCTTATACTCATCTGTCGCGGCTTCTCGGTGCCGCGCCGGACCTATCAAGGGCCAACATTAAATGCTAGCTTGGCGCGCACGCATGCAAACCGCGCGTCAAGCGCCGCTGGAGTTCTAAGGCTCGTGGCTTTACCTCGCCTCGTTCCTGTGAGCCAGCCGACATCTTTCATTCGCAATTAACTCGAAGATTTACTCGTACTGACGGCGCGTCTTTCGCTCGCAGGTGCCGCAAGACGAACCGGATCAAAAGGAACCTGAAGTGCTCGCGAAAGTGAACGTACCGAAACCGCCCGCGCGAGAAAATGTCAGCATTATGAACGCTTCGAAATCTCTGAGCGCGGCGCGGCTGCTCGAAGAAGCCGTCAAAACACTCGGAGAAACTCTGAGCGACGACGAAAAGGCGGCGTTAAGGGACGGCATGAAGGTTCAATCCGAATCCGACATGAAAATTTTCAGCGAGTTATCCTCGTCGATGGTTCAAAACTTCGAAACTGTCGTCAGTGCCGAGCGATCGGTTACGGACGAGCTCATCGCTGCGATCAACGTCTTGGAGCAGCGCGCCGAGGACGCCTCTCGTCAACTCGAAAGAGAAAAGGAGCGCGCCGTCGTCGATAAAGAACGCGCTCTGAAGACGCAAGAGAAAAAATTGAAAGCAGAGCACGCAGACTTTCTGGTCGCTGAACGCATCGAGCGAATCAAGGCGCTAGATGAAGAGCGCATCCGCATGGGAGCTTTGAGACAAGTGCTGACGAAGCGCCGCGAAGCGCTCGAGCGAGCGCACGCAGTGCAAAGCTTTGAGCTCGCCGTCATGGATTTCGGATCTCGCGTGGAGAACGGCGAAGCCTTCGAAGACGCACTAGCGCTGCTCAACACGTGCGCAAAAAAGGATCCGTTCATCGCCACCATCATTCAAGGCTTGGATCAAGATATGGCAAAGCGAGGCGTTCCCACGCGCTTGCAATTGGCGGAACAGCTGGAACGCGTTCGGGACACGGCGAGAAAGTTGTCGTTGGTTCCGCAAGACGGTGGCGGTATGTTAGCGCACGGTTTAGCGTACGCCGCTTCACTGCTTCGCGTGAAGGATACATCCGACGAAGGCGCGCAGGGTATTGAAGGCGCCATCGCCAAGGCGGAAACTCACTTAGCAAACGGAGAATTGATGCACGCGGCGAAGTCGCTTGCGAGCGCCGCGGAGGGTACGAAAGCGGCGACTTCCGTCACCGAATGGGCACATAGCGTTCGTTCACGAGCCGAGGTTGAGCAGGCTCAAACTGCATTAAACGCGCACGCGCAGTGCCGTGCATCGGCGCTTGTTTAAACATTAAAATAATTTGTCAATTGATCCAAACTATCGCGCAAACGAACGTCATGTGAATGTTTGGGGCGCCGAGGCCAGGTCTCAATTCCACGCGCGCGTTTCATGTCCACGCAATTGCAATTAAGACTCGCCGTAATTTGTGCGCTTTGCACGCTCGCACACGCGGCGACCAACGAGCCAAGACGTGCGTTGGTCGAATCTTCCATCACGTACGCTGCCGACACGACGGGAATCTCGCGCGGACAATCGATTTCGACTTCCACGACATGGAACACGTTTTGCGAGTTCATCCTACCGTTCTTGCTTGAACGCGGCTACACACCGCCAGCACATGTATGCAATTAAAATACAGTTCTACAGTTCATCATCCTTCGCGCGATTCGAGTGCAATTCCTCCGCCGAGGCCTCGACCAAGGCTTTGTCGGCTTCGCGTTTTGTCTTCTTTGTTTTTGCGTTCTTGCTCACCATGGTCAACACGTCTGCGAGTGTGGGCGCAGACTCGCCCGTGATGTACTCTCCCGCCTCCGTGCGCAAGGGGACCCATCTCGGGTTCTCCTTCTTTTTCGCCCGGTACAACAGCACGCACGGCGTCGTCGCCATGTCGGCGTACGGAGGTGGCACGTCGTTCTTCTCGACGTCTATTTGGGCGATGATCAAATCTTTCGCATCCTCCAGGACTTCGGCGAGAAGCGCGTGCGTCTGCTCATACGCCTCGTGAAACTCCTTGGCCTTCGTCGGATACGAAAAGTACACCACCGCGTCGATGTCTCTCTCCAAAATGATGCGCTTATAAAAATCCGACGCAACGATTCTGGCCACCTCCCCCTTCTTCGGCGCCGCGTACTCGGGCTCGCTCAGGAACTCGCCCTCGTGTCCCGGCGCGGTGTCCCACGGATTCAAGTCTTCCCTCGAAACCTTCATCGCCGCCGTCTCCAGCGCCTCCAACTCCGACACCGTCCACGCCGCCGTCTCCGCGTCCTCGCACGCGCCGCCCATCGCGCCGTTCGCCCCGCACAGCGCCTCCCCCAAATCCGCTTCCTTCTCTCCTCTTTCCATAGCCTTCCCGACCTCGTAATACAACTTCACCACCTCATCCTCGCTTCTTTCGATCATCCTCTCGCACGCGACGCGCAGCGTTCGATTCAACGCCACGCTCGTCGTCGCGCACGCTCGCGGCACCGCCTCTTCGATGACGCTCTCGTACGCGCCGTACCGCGCCGCGTCGAATCGCCTTTCCCCCGTCGCGCTCGTCGCCTTCCGTCGCTCCGCGTTCGTGATGTCTTGAAGCGCGAGCACGAGGTGTTCGTCAAAGTGCGCGAGCACGCGCTGGCACGCGACGCACGACGCCGCGCGCGCGCGATACCGCGGCAATTCGCGTCGGAGCCACGTCGCGTGCGCGTCGACATCTTGCGCCGTTTCGTCGGCGCGCGCGAGCGCGACGCGCGCGACGCACGCGAGCGCGATGAGCGCGCGCGCGCGGGTGAACGCGCGCGCGATCGAGCGCGCGCGCGAGGCGAACATGGTCTGGAGTCTGAGAATGACGACGGATGTTGGATCGATCGCGCGGGCGAGCGCGAGCGCGCGGGCGTCTCGGATGGATATTATAAATGAACGAGCGCGCGATGCGAGGCGGTGGGAAAAAATGTGGGATTAACGGCTGAGACACGCCTCGAAGTCGCGCTGTAACTCGGCGCGGTCGAGATCTTTGCCGATGAAGACGAGCTTGGACGAACGCGTCTCGTCGGCTTTCCACGCGCGGTCGGGCATGCCCTCGAATAACGCGTGGACGCCCTGGAAGACGTAACGCTCGTCGCAACCTTGAATGGCGAGGACGCCCTTCATGCGGTATAAGTCTTCCCAACGCTCGTTTAAGAGTAAACCGAGCCAATCGTTGACGAGATCGAGATCGAGGTCACCGTCGAGGGAGAGGGAGACGCTTCCGACGGCGTCGTCGTGCACGTGGTGCGAGTGCGAATGGCCGTGTTCACCGCAAACCTCGCAATCGGCGTCCGCTTCGACACCGTGAGAGTGCGCGTGTGAGTGGGAATGCTCTTCGCCGTGCGAGTGGCTGTGGCCGTCGTCGTGATCGCACTTTTCGCACGATTCCTCGCCGGCGGCGTGCGAGTGGCCGTGATCATGCGCCTCTGTCTTTTTCGGTTCGTCGGGTAAGACTTGATCTTGCACGCGCTCTAAATCGAACCCACCGACGCCGAGCACGAAGTCCAAATCTACCTTAGCCATCGACGCTCGACCGATCTTCGCCAAGTCGTTAATCGTCCGTAACCGATACTCCAACGCGTTGGCTTGCGCGTCCGTCACCAAATCAGTCTTATTCAAGACGATTCGATCCGCGAACGCCACCTGCTCCAGCGATTCGTTCACCACCCCCGCCGGTTTCACTTCATCCAAATGCAGCTCCGCGTGCTTCGCGTCGACGAGCGTGACGACCCCGTCCAACCTCAACGAATCCAACAGCGCCGGCTCCAAATAAAACGTCTGAATAATCGGCGCCGGGTTCGCCAACCCCGTCGTCTCGATGAGAATGTGATCGAACATTCCCTTCTTCTCCTTCACCAGTCTCATCAGCATCTCCACCAAATCACTCCTCACCGTGCAGCACAGGCATCCGTTGTTCAGCAGCATGATGTCCTCGTCCCCGCTCTCGCGAAACGCCACGAGTTCGCCGTCGATGTCCACCTCGCCGAATTCATTCTCGATCACCACGATTCGTTTCCCGTGTTCCGCCTTCAGCACGTGATTCAGCAGCGTCGTCTTCCCGCTGCCGAGGAACCCGGTGAGGATCGTCACCGGCACGCGCGAGTCCGCCGTCGCGTCGCGCGTCGCCGCCGCCGACGCGCGCGTCACCGATCCGATCGCGCGTCGTCCCGTCGCGCCGCGCGCCGCCGCGGACGTCGCGCGCCGCGCCGCCGTCGCCGCCGTCGCGCGCGCGCGTCGTCCGCGGCCCGTCGCGCGCGCGCCCGCGCGAGGCGCGCGCGCCGAAGACATCATCGACGACGAATTCGATGCGACGCGCGTCCCGCAATGCGGCGCTTTTCCGCGCCGGCGCGCCGCACACCTCGACGCGCGCGCGGCGCGACGCGATGGCGCGATAGCGCGCGATGCGCGCGACGAGCGATGCGACGCGCGCGAGCCTGCGACCGGTGCAGGCGCCGCGCGGGGCGAAGAGGATCGACATCGACCCTCTCGGGACGCCGAAAGAATTACTGAACGACGCGCGCGCGCTGGGATTCGCGGACCCGACGCTGCCGAGACACATCGTGACCGTCGCGCTGGTGACGACGCCGGAGTGCGCGATCGAGCTCAGGACGGCGGCGAGCGAGGTGTTCGTGCAGGATAAATTCGGCGCGCTGCGGATGCTGAAGCCGCGGGCGAAGGCGTTTCTGAAGCGAGGCGAGGTGCTGTTTTTCGCGTGGAGCAAGGCGCGAGGGACGAGGTTCGGGTACGTGTTGGACGTCGGGGACGGCGGAGGCGAGGACGACGGCGCGAAAGGGGCGGGAGGAGGACGCGGAGCGGCGGAGGTGATCGATATCGCGAGCGAGGAGGACGCGAGCGGGACGCCGAGACGGCGGCGAGAAGACGGGGCGAACGAACGAGCGGAGGAGGCGGCGGCGGCGGCGACGAGAAAGACGCGACGTGAGAGTAGCGTGCACGGGAAGACGTCGCCGTCGTCGACGACGACGACGACGACGAGCGAGGGAACGAGGCGAAGCGCGAGGAACGCGAGAAAGGCGAGCGCGCCCGAGGCGAGCGCAAAGGACGAGAACGTCGACGACGAAGACGGCGACGAGGTAGAAGACGATGTCATCGAGGTAGAGAATGACGATTGGACGCACGCTAAGCGGCGACGCGAAGAGGGGAGCCCGGCGACGGCGTCGTCTTCGCAGGCGGCGAGACAGTCGCGATCGAACAAGGACTGCCCGATCAATTGGGCTCGAGCCCGAGGGTACGGTAAGCCGAACCTTCCTCCGCGCGAAGCGGAGACGTGTCCGCACGACTACGCCGAACCGCCTCGCCGCGAAGAGCCGTCCATGTGGGGGGGGCAACAGGGACGCGAGGAGGCTCGCCAACAAGCGGAGGCGGCGCGAATACCGCCGTGTCCACCGGAGGGATTACCCGACGATCCTACGGAGTTGCAAAACGCGAGAACTGCGCTGAAACAAGCGCATAGACAACTCGTCTCCGCGCTGAACACGGAGGTGGCGATGCGACAAACACTCGCGCAGTGCCAGCTCGATTTCCAACGCACGATGCGCGGAGGAGCAGATTACGCGCTCCGCCAATGGCACAAAGATAACTTGCAAATGGTCGCGGGGAAGTACCAGCAAAGTCAATTCGCCGCCGCCGCAGCGCGTAGTTCGTATCAACATGCGTTGAAACTGTTTCACCGCACAGTGGAACGGTGCGAGGGATTGCGAACAGGCGCCGACGCCTCAGCGTCGCCGGCGGCGTCGCCGATGTCGAAGCAGAGACAAAAACCTGAGGAACCGACCGCGAGTGCGGCGACGAAAAGTCGTTTTGATGCGGAGTGCGAGGCATGGGACACTTTGCTCAGTGTTGATCCCACGAAAATGTCTATCAAGGACCTGCGAAGGTGCGCGACGGATGTGGGTATCGACGTCTCGACACTCGTCGAACGAGAGGATTACGTCAACGCGCTCACGAAAAAGCGCGACACCGGTCAAGCCGCCTTCAACGAGAAGAAGCGTAAGCGCGATGAAGAGCGTGCGGCGGTCGAAGCGAAACAAAGAGCAAAGAAGGCGAGCGAAGAGGAGGATCACGCCAAACGTGCAGCCGTCCATCAAGTCTCCATCTGGGCCATGCACGCGGACCTCCGTCTGTTCCTCTACCGCTGCGGCGTGAGCATCGACCAACACGGTCGATCAACCAAGCGTTTGCTCCAAAAGAGCTACCGCCAGGCGATGTTAAAGTTTCACCCAGACCGCGCGCGACAAAAATCGATTCGCGAGCAGGCGTTGGCGAACGAGGTCACCAAGTGGCTCACCCACGCCTGGCAGCAGCTCCCCCCGTGATCGCTCCATCGCACTAGCCCGCGAGTATGACAACTCACCTTAGCTCGACGATGTAATCGCTGTGTAACCGCTTACACTGTAAACCACTCGCTGGCGTCCCGCTCGCGTCCGCGTCTGACTCGCCGACTCGCGTTTCGAAAGACAGTTGGAGCGGTCGGTCGTCATTCTACCGCGCGCGACCCGATCGCGCGCGCGCGCGCGGAATACGAACGCGCATAAAAATGGTCCTCAAGCGCATGTTCAGCCGCGGTTCGCTCGGCGATCTCAACGAGCGTCGAGCGAAGAAACGCTCGCGAACGAACCCCAAGGACCTGCGCGCGCCCGGACGTAAATTCGTCATCGTCACCACCGCCGCGCTGCCGTGGATGACGGGGACGAGCGTTAATCCGTTGCTCCGAGCGGTGTATCTGGCGAACGGAGACACCACGCGCGAGGTGACGCTCTTAGTACCGTGGTTGGCGAGAAAGGATCAGAGGATCGTCTACCCAAAGCGCGTCGAGTTCAAGACGCCGAGCGAACAAGAGGCGTACATCATGGACTGGACCAAAAAACGCGTGGGATTCGCGCCAAAAATTTTGATCGCGTGGTATCCGGGAAGGTACGCGACGGACAAGGGAAGCATCGTGCCCGTGGGGGATATCACGTTGCGCGTGCCGAAGGCGAGCAGAGACGTGGCGATACTCGAGGAGCCGGAGCATTTGTGCTGGTATCACCCCGGAGCGCGGTGGACGTCGCGGTTTAAGCATGTGGTTGGAATCATTCACACAAATTACTTGGAATACGCGCGACGAGAGGAGGATGGTGAACGTAAGGAGCAGATACTGCGTTGGATTAATCATTTGACGGCGCGATGCCACACACACAAGGTCATCAAATTGTCGGACGCGGTACAAGAGTTTGCGCGGTCGATCACGCAAAACGTGCACGGTGTGTCAAATGGATTCATCGATGCTGGTAGAGAGAAGGCGAAACGAATCAAGAAGGAAGGCAGCGGGGCGTTTAGTCGCGGGGCGTATTTCATCGGAAAGTGCGTTTGGGCGAAAGGATACTCAGAGTTGATGCACGTGGTGGGCGATTTCAACGAAAAGTACGCTAAAAGTGCAAAAGAACGCTTGGAAATGGACGTATACGGTGATGGTGATGATTTTGCCGACGTGAAAGCAGCTGTAGCTGAGAAGGCTCTGCCGCTGAGCTTGCTCGGTCGTCTGGATCACGCGAATGAGAAAATTCTCGATTACAAGGTATTCATTAATCCATCACTGTCTGACGTCGTCGCGACGACGTCCGCGGAGGCGTTGGCGATGGGCAAATTCGTCGTGTGCGCAGAACATCCGAGCAACGCGTTCTTTGCCACGTTTCCAAATTGTCGCACGTATTCCAATATGGATGAGTTTGCAAAGTGCATTAGAGAAGTCACAACGTCGACGCCAAAACCGATGACGGATGATGAAATCCATCGTTTAACGTGGGAAGCAGCGACAGAACGTTTGTTAGACGCCGCTGCACCCTGTGATGAGACGAAACACACGATGAAGTCTCACCTCGCGGATTGGTTTAGCGCGCGCTTTCATTACGCTGTGACGAAGAGCGAAGCGGTGAGATGTTTGATTGGTGGAGGCGCGGGAACTCTTGTACCGCCGGATAATCTCGCAGATTGGTCTCCTGATGCGTGGGGTGGGGGCTTGATGGATCGTAAACCATCCTAGATTCTATTTTGATTGATGCGCTATGTTCTAGGGGAGAGTTCTAAAGTTCTGTCGACGAACGAGTCGACGGGCGTGTGTGATATGACGATCGTTGTTCGTCCGCGAGCGGCTTTTCGCAAAGCCGCGGTAACGATGGATTCGGCTTCTAAATCAAGAGCGCTCGTGGGTTCGTCCAATAATAACACCCGCGGAGACGAGTACAACGCTCTAGCAATTGCGACGCGCTGCTTTTGGCCGCCTGACAATTGACAACCCCGCTCTCCGACGTGTGTATCGTAGCCGCCGAGTTCGTCTTCGATGACGTCGTGGATCAGCGCAGTCTTAGCGCACTCAATCGCACGCTCCCGATCGATTCCGGCGCCCAAACGAGCGTACGCAATGTTAGAAAGAATTGTGCCGTTGAAAAGTACTGGCTCTTGGCCAACGAGCGCGAAGCAGTGACGCCGGAGCCAGTTCGGCGAGAGCGTCTCGATGCGCGCTCCGTCGAGTGTGATGTCGCCGCTAAATTCGGTGTAGAAACGCTGTAGCAGTGCGAACACTGTAGACTTGCCGCAACCACTCCGACCAACGATGCCGATGATCTCGCCGGGCGACACATCGAAGCTCACGCCCGAGAGCGCGGGAATATCCGGTCGAGTCGGATACGAGAAGGAGACGTTTGAAAACGATATTGCTCCCTTCACGTCGTCGATGGGTAGCGTCGCGCCATTGTCCGCGTCGTCGTCTTCTCGCTCGTTCTTGGCCAAAACTTTGAACAATTCCGCCGCTGCACCTCGCGCGGCGAACAAATTCGTAAAAGAGCTCAAAAGATTCCCGAAATACTCTTGTAAAATCGCAGAATAAAGCATGGTCGCAACGAGCTTTTCGGCGTGCATCGAGCCGTCGACGACGAATCCACCTCCTACGTACAGAATTGCCGCCGGCACGAAACACGCCGACACGAGCGAATACATAAACGAATAGTACCATCCTGACAGTTGCGCGGCGCGATACGACTGCTCGTACCACTCATCTATGGCATCGCCGAACCGTCTGCGTTCAAACGGTTCGTTCGCGAACGATCGCACCGTGACGATGTTTGAAATAGTTTCTTGCGCCACGCCGTTCGATTTCGCCAACGTCTCTTGCACTGACTCTGCGTTAGCGCTCAATAACTTGCCATAGAAGTAATTGACCACGCTTGTTATCGGTATCACGACGAGCGCCAACGCACCGAGCTCGAAGTTCACCCAAAACAAAAGATATGCGCCGACACCGACGCACCTGACGACCGCTTCCACGCAGCTGCGTAACAGCCAAGACAAATTCGCGCTCACCGCGCTCGTATCGTTCGTCACCGTCGAATTTATTTTACCCGACGTTCTCGCATCAAAATACGCCATATTTTTCCTCAGCGTCGCCGCGAACGCTCGATTCCGCAACCGCCTCGCCACGCGACTCTGCGCCAACGCAAAGAGGAACACATTGCTAAAGTCTAAAACTCCGTTCACCACGCCAACGACCAGGAACCGCGTGACGTTGGCGCGAAATCGCGCTTCATCGCCGTCAATCGACGCCCCGATCGCGACGCTCGTGAAATGCGGCATCGACACCGAGAACGGCAGGCGAACGAGCAGACTGAGTGTCCCGAAGAGTAACGTGTCCCACTCGCGTTTCGCGAGCGATAACAGCTGCGTAAAGGTGACGCGCGCGTCCAGAGACGACGTCGTCGGGTCGTCGTCGTCTAAATCATCGTCCGCGACGACGTCCACGAGCAACGGGCTGCTCTCGCGTCTCATGCGCGCGGGAAAGTGGAGACTACTCTACAGATGTTTGTTACACTCACGCGTTCGCCTGGCGGCGACTAAGATTCCTCGCCGTCGGACGCTGGTTCCGATTCAGCGTCGGAATCTGAGCCGGACGACGCGCATGCTTCCGGCACGTCGCGACTCGCGTTCGCCTCGCTCGGTGGGTGCTGACATCCCGGACACAAATCGTGCGCCTTGCCGCACGCGTCGCAAAGGCTTCGGTACGCCATGCGCACGCTCTTCTGCTCGCACTTGTTACACCGACCGCGCGTGCCCGGTTTCTTCGCTTTATACTTGCCCATTTGAAAGCGCCAGACGATCTTTTGCTGACATCGCTTGCAGACGTTCTGCAGGGCGAGGTTACGGAGGCCGAGCTCGCGCTCGCGGTCGCCCTCGTTGCGCTTGATGTCCCGCTTGGCGACGAACGGCACGCGGTTTTGGTGCTTCTGCGACCGCGAGCGACCGCCGGACATGCGCGGAGTCGATGTTTGTTCCACACTCGGGCGACGCGACGCCGCACGCGATCGATCACGACGGTGAGGACCGGTGGGGAATGAGGCGGCGGCTGAGGCGGCGGCTCAGCCGTCGCGAACGCCAAACCGGCGAGCGAGGGCGAGACCCCACACGAGGTCGGCGCCGTGCGTGGCCTCGATATCAAACGTGCGATTCTGTAAAGAAATTGAAACCACGTCGCGCTGGTCGTCTCGCGTCATAGCGAGGGACGGCGATCGGTCGACGGCGGTCGGGGCGCCGTCGCTCGCGGCGCGCCGCGGCGCGATTTTCTTGAACCGGCGAGGCAACTGCGCGGCCTCAAGCGCACCGGTGAATGGATCGACGCGGACAAGTCGATCGTAACGCTTGCCATTGCGCGCGAGCTTGGTTAAGACTAAACCTCGCTCGAGCTGACGGTCGGCGGAGAGAGCGTGGAGTCGCGCGGCGGCTTTGGCGCGCTGACGATGCGCGTCGCCTTCGGCGCGCGCTGCCGCGAGTTCTCGAGCGTATCTCTCGTCACTGGCGCTCCTGTGGTTCTCTAAGTCGCGCACGTGCTTCAATACGCCCTTGTTCGATCGCTCTAAAGCCATCAATATCGCCGTGCGCTCGGTCGATCGACGAGCGGCCGCTCGTCGGGCCATGGAATGTCTCGCGCGAATCGCATCCAACTTGACATATCGTCGAGTCATTTCGGATATTTTTGCGTCGCAAGCCGCCGCCAGAGCGTCACGTATTACGACCATGAATTTGTTCTCGATGAATAGGGACTCGCACTCGCACACGAGCTCGGCGCGTTCGGCGACGACGAGGGCGTGCTTCGATTCGAGCGCCGCGTGTCTGCGCATCAATCTCGCGTTGTCCATCCGCTGCGATCCAACAGTCGACCGAAGCCGCACATTTTCGGCTTTAAGCTTGGCGTTCTCAACGATATTGGAATCGTTGGATACCTTCAGCTCGCTCGCGAGCTTATTGAGATGTTCCATGCGCTTGAGCGTGTGCGAAGCTGACGCGCGCTCGGCGCTCAATTGCGCGTCCAATTTCCGCGCGTCCGCCACAAGTCGCGCTGATTCCTCTTTGAACTTTGCTCTCTCGTTCTGCAGCTCATTCGAAGACGTGCTCAACTTTACCACGAGCGTGCGTACGCGCGAATCGAGCGCGCTACGCTGATTTTCAATCGCATCCAACTCGCGCGTCTTTGTCGTCGACTCGCTCTTCGCTTGCTCGAGCGCCCTCTTCGAAGACTCCAACGCCAATCTCGCGCTGCAAATCTCGTGTTGAAGCGAATCGCGCGACTTTTTCATCGCGTTAATGTCATCCTCCGAACTTTTCGTCGCGTTTGCGAGCGCGCGACGAAGCGAAGTGACTTCATCCATCAGACGCGCCACCGCTTCGTCGTCGCATTGACCGCGCAATTGTTGCGTCAGTTTGCGAGGGTCCATGTCCACTAAGGACGAACGAACCTCGGGTGAAGTCACGATTCGCATCGCACGCGTGGCAAAGTCGAGCGAATTCGCGCTTTCGTTCGCGTGCTCGATCTCGGAGCTGACGCACACGAGCAGAACCGTGCGACTCTTGCCGTTCAGGCTCGGCTCTAAGATTTTCGTAAGCGTGGAATCACGATACGGGATGTGCCTGTGCCCCGCCGCGAGCGCACTTACGACGTTCCCTAGAGCGAGCAGGCTGGTGTTGATGTTCAACGCCTCTTTGAATCGCGCGCCGACGTTCTGCGTCTTCTTCTGTCGCTCACTTCCGGCCAAGTCGACGATGGTGAGCAGTCCGAGACGCTTCTCCACGGCGACGAGCTGCGCGGTTCCGTCTTCATCCTCATCCTCGTCGCGATCGACATCCGCCTCGATCGGTCGCTCGATGCGTTCGATTTTCATCTGAAACACACAGTGGGATCTCGAGCTCTGCTTGTTCATATGCGTCTCGGCGTACACCAATCGCGATCGCCCGCGACGAAAACACTCGAGAACGTCCTCGGCGCTTCGACACGGCGTCCACGATAAGTTCTCAATCTCCCACCCCGAGCCATCGCTCGCGGGAACGACACGTAATCCCGATTTTTTCGCTACCAAATCATCGACCTGTTCGTTATAAATCTGCGCCATCGCGCACGACACCTCGTACGCGTGCCTCGCGTCGCTCGCCGCTCGCGCGAAACAATCCACCGCGATTCTCGGCACGAGTCCCGGCCCCCCGTTGCCACCTTCGCTCGTCGACGCCTCGCGTTCGGCTCGATCGCCACCCCCATTCAGTAGTGAATACGTCTTCCCCGACCCCGTCTGTCCGTACGCGAGCACGCATCCTCGACACCCGCTCCGCACCGCCTCGAGCACCGGCGCGCACGTCTCCGCGTACACCTCCCGCTGCGTCGCCCTCCCGTCGAACGCCCCGTCCACCGCGAACCTCCGCGTGACGCCGTTCACCGACGTCGTCGATTTCACGCTCACCACGCGTCCGTCCTCGATCCACGCCCCTCGCCGTCCCGCGCCGTCGCCGTCCTCCCCGCCCGCCTCCGCGCCCTCGCCGTCGTCCTCCTCGCGCCCGCGTCCATCCCTCGGCCGCACCCGCGCGAACACCGCGACGCGTCCGACCATCTCACGCGCGCGCTCGATCCCTCCCGTCGACGTCGCGCGCCACCGGCCGCGCTCTGCCGCGCGCCGCCCGCGAGTCAACCGCGCGCCTCCGCGCGCCTAAAATAAGTCGGTTCGCGTCGCCCGCGACGTTTCGCGCGTTGCATAAATCCAAGATCGAACGCTCGAATTCCCGTACTTGACGCATTCCGAGACCCATCACCAGTTCCAAGAAACGAGTGGCTCACGACGCGCGCGCGCGCGCGCGATCGGATATCGCGCGTCGACGCGCGTCGTCGACGCCGCACATTTCGACGGCGACGACGATGCGCGCGACGACGACGACGCGCGCGATGACGGGTGCGCGATCGAACGAGCGCGCGAACGATCGACGCCGACCGCGGCGCGGCGCGACGACGCGCCTCGACGCGCGACGACGGGACGAACGATCGCGATCGATTCGATTCGATTCGATGTCGACGACGCGCGGCGACGCGATGACGCGAAGCGGGCCGCGCGACGACGCGCGCGCGCGTCGGAGGCGCGCGCGAACGCGCGGTGGTGGACGACGCGGACGCGACGCGCGCGCGGGAGGACGCGAAGCGGGCGGGACGAGGATGGAAGACTGACGGGATCGCGATTGGACGAACGCAGCGCGGGCGAGCGCGCGCGGGACGGCGGCGATTAAGACGAGAGGCGCGGCGAAGAATGCGCGCGCGATTCGACGCGTCGAGACGCGGGCGGCGGTGATGATTCATGCGACGTCGCCGGCGATGCACGAGAAGAGCGAGGGGAAGAAGGAACACGATGCGTCGATGGATAACGTGTTGTCCATCATTCTCGGCGGCGGCGCGGGGACGCGATTGTACCCGTTGACGAAGAAGCGGGCGAAGCCGGCGGTGCCGTTGGGGGCGAACTACCGCTTGATCGATATCCCGGTGTCGAACTGTATCAACTCTGACATCAACAAGGTGTACTGCTTGACGCAGTTTAACAGCGCATCTTTGAACAGACACTTGTCCCAGGCGTACAACACGAACATCGGGACGTACACGCGTCAGGGATTCGTCGAAGTGCTCGCGGCTCAACAGAGCCCGATCAACAAGGCGTGGTTCCAAGGTACCGCGGATGCTGTTCGTCAATACTTGTGGTTGTTTGCCGAGAGCGGGTGCGAGGAATACTTGATTCTTTCGGGCGATCACTTGTACCGCATGGATTACCGTCCGTTTATTCGCGACCACCGCGCGAAGAACGCCGACATCACCGTCGCCGCTTTGCCGACGGATGAGAAGCGAGCCAGCTCTTTCGGCTTGATGAAGATTAACGAACACGCCACCATCATCGAGTTCTCCGAAAAGCCCAAGGGTGACGCTCTCAAGGCGATGCAATGCGACACCACCATCTTAGGCTTGGACGCGGAACGCGCCAAGGAAATGCCGTACATTGCCTCGATGGGTATCTACGTGTTCAACGCCAAGGCTATGGAGCAGGTGCTTCAAGATGATTTCCCGGAAGCGAACGATTTCGGTGGTGAAATCATCCCGATGGCGGCTCAGAAGGGCATGAAGGTGGTCGCTCACTTGTACGACGGATACTGGGAGGACATCGGTACCGTCGATGCGTTTTTCCACGCCAACTTGGAGTGCAACGACCCGAACCCGAAGTTCAGTTTCTACGATCGCAACGCGCCGATCTACACCCAGTCTCGCTTCTTGCCGCCGAGCAAGGTGCAAGATTGCGAAATCGAGCGCTCCACGATCGGCGACGGCTGCACCATCAAGCAAGCCAAGCTCAAAAACGTCATGGTTGGTTTGAGATCGACGGTCAACGAAGGGTGTGATTTGGAGGACACACTCGTCATGGGTGCTGATTACTACGAGAGCCTCGAAGAATGCGACCCGGCTAGCCTTCCGGGCTGCACGCCGATCGGTATTGGCGCCGGCACGAAGATTCGCAAAGCCATCATCGACAAGAACGCGCGCATTGGTGAAAACTGCCAAATCCTCAATGAGGCTGGCGTCATGGATAAGGATTGCGAAAGCGAAGGTTACATCATCCGCGATGGCATCATTGTCGTCATCAAGGATGCCGTGATCAAGGCTGGCACTGTCATCTGATTCTTCAGTCTCAGAAGTTGACACAAGAACTCTCGCGGCGCAATACCACAACATTCTTCTAGAATTCGGAACTTTGTAACAAATCAAGCTCTGTAAGCGAAACGCTAATCGTTACAAAGAACTACTTAACTTAATCCCTCGCGTCGCCGCGGCGGCTCGCACGACGCGCACGTCGATGCCCTCTGAAGTCGCAGCGCGTGCAAAATCTTCGTATTCGTCGCGAGGCGCGCTCGCGCACTTGTACCAGGCGATGAGCGCGCTGGGTGGCGCGAGTGAGAGCGCTGCAACTATGTTCGAAAAATACTCCAAATCCGCCGACAACTGCGCAGCGCCTTGGTCGGTGAGCGACGCGATGGCACGCACTTCTTTCAAGAGCAACTCAGCACTCGCTTCGGCGATTTTCGCAATCCACGCCTCGGAAGTCGCCGGCTCTTGCGCCGCATTCGAGTCGCCCGAAAGCGACGTCGCGCGAGCCAAGTCGTCGTCGTGCATGTTATCCAGATGCTGCGGCAATGAAAGCAGATATTCACCTGCATTCGTCATTCGCTCTTGCGGATAAGCGCTAAACGTCGGGAGTTTATACGCGCTCTCGGCAGGTTTGGCGCTCCAAACCTCAGACGTGCTGATTCCCTTGAGTTCGAGCGACACCCGCCCGAGGAGAGTGTCGTACACGAATTTTTCGAGTGATCTAGTCAGAGCGTTCATGTGCTCAGCACCGACCGGAATTATGGATCCATCGAGCGAGTGCTTCACCGCGGCATCCGCCACCTTGTCAAGGAACGTGGCCAACTTTCGTGATCGCGCCGCGTGCGCCGCGATGCTCAAACCGAGGAGCGTACGGCTTTTTGGTCCGTCACCAAGCTCCAAAGTAACATCCAAAGCCGGTCGCAGCGTCGCTCGAAGCTTCAGAAGCTTTGCACGTAGATCGGACTCGAAATCTAACAGTGCGTTCGGGATGGCGTTGATCATGTCCAGCATACTGAGCGATCCTCTGATGAATTCTTCGCCCGCGGAAGTCGTGTTTGAGTTCATGTTCGTCGCGGTCGAGTCAATCAAACCGGCCGCGTTTCTCAAGTCACGAAGGACGAGCGCGACTAAATCGACGTAGTGTTCCATTCCACTTTCAATCGCATGAATGCAAGTCATCGTCTCAACGCCAGCGGTAATCGCCTCGCATCTGTCTATGACGACGCCGAAGACGTCGATGGCTTTCGGCAGCGTGGCGAGCACGCTTTGTATAACTGCGGTCAAGTCGTCCGACGTCGCAATAGACTGTGCCTCAGGGATGTTTACCGAAGAATCTAAAGTAGTTCGTATGTCTGCAAGCGCGAGCTGGCCGAAACGCTGCTCAACCGCGATGAAAGGCTCGACAATCGCCATCAACGCGTCGCCGATGGCGCCCTTGACGGCGTCGGCGTTCGCGTGCGCTGCAGCGTCGCCGGCGAGTTTTGTAAACGCTATCCCAACGTCTTCGACGTACGTTTGGAACGAATTTCGAGCCGAGACGAGTTGCTCGAGCGTTAGCGAGCTGAGCTTCTCCGTGATGGACGTTTCGAGCGTGGTGTGAAGCGAACACCAAGACAACGGAATCAAAAGCACGGCGTCTTCGGGGAACGTACTCGAGCACCAAGATATCTCCTCTTTGAGAGCGGTGGCGCAATACTTCAAGAATTCATCGATCATATGCACCGAAGCGTCCAGCCTCCCAGCGTCAGTCGTCGTCGCATCGCGCTCGCGCGACTTCCACTGCTTGAGCATGCGAGACGTCACGCGCGTGTCCGCATAAATGCTCTCCAACGCCGAACCGCGGCCGGTAGTGCGCAACACGTCGCGATGTTCGCGAGCCGCCGTGCTGTTTTGTGACTCCAACGCCGTGATCAAGGCCGGTCTGACGATCGCCTCGAGCTTGTGCTCGAACGCGTTCACCTTGTCTTGCCCGTCGGCGAATTCTGGCACGTCGCCCACGACGGCTAAACCGCGCTTCATCCGCGCCAACGACTCGGACATGTTACGAATATTCCCGCTCGCAAAGATCCCGTCCACACTCGCCATCAAATCTGCTAGTCCATTCGCCTCCTGCAGCGTCTCTCGCGCGCTCTCCATGCGTTGTTTCGCCGCGTCGAGCTGTCGCAGCGCTTCCACGCTCGCGCGCGACTCCGACTCCACCTCGTCCAATCGATCCAATATCCCTCGCACTTCCTCGTGCAGACGCTTCACCCGCCCCTCGACGACTTCTATCTCCTTCACCGCCTTGGGCACGCGCGCGACACCCTCGCGCGAGCGCTCTTCCAGCGACATCGACAGATCTTCGCCGAGCAACTGCAGCTGCAGTTCCAAATCCGCCAAAAATCGTTCCAACGGCGACGCGCTCGTCCCTCGCGTCCCCTCTCCGACCGCGCGCGCCACCACCGCCGATCCATCCCGCGCCGTCGCGTCGCGCCCGCTCCCTCCCGCGTCGCCGATTCGCGCGCGCGTTTGCTCGTTAATCCACCGCACGCGATCGAAATCGTCGCTCGAAAAGTCACGCAGCGACGCCTTCGCGTCCCGCATCGCCGACGTCATCGAGCGCGTCTCTTCGCGCGCGATCGTTCGCGCGCGTCTCTTCGCGCGCGACTCGTCTCGCGTCGCGCGGACGCGTCGTCGCGCTCTGCGGATTGTTCGACCGAACGGCGACAGCACGTCGCGGGTCCGCATTCGTTGACGCGCGCGCGCGCGTCGTCGGCGTCGTCGGCGTCCCGTCGCGTCGCCGTCGACGCGCACGCCCGCGCGGCGCCGACGCGCGGGCGCGCGCGCGCGCGCGCGCGACGCCGAGCGCGCCGGTGACCGATCGGCGACGCGACCGCGCGCGAACGGACGCCGCGCGACGCGACCGCGCGGTCGATCGGCGCGCGCGAGAGAGAGGAGACGCGTCGAACGCGCACGCGCGCGACGGCGCGGTCGCGGACGCGCGAGACGCGGTCGAGCGCGGGAGAGGGCGCGTGAGAGACGAATCGAGCAGATAAGGATGGGCGACGCGGACGCGACGGTGGCGGAGGTGTCGAGTCATTTCGGTGCGTGTGGACTTAAAGTGGCGACGAAACGGACGCAGAAGAAACCGTGCGCGTGTTGTCATAAATTCTTTGCGGATTCGACCGCGTTGGAGGCGCACTGGAAGCTGGTGCAGCACAGCGCGCACGACGCCGTGTGCAACGCGTGCGGACGACACTTTCCGTCGTACGACACGCTGAGACAACATTTGGTCGGGAATTTGCCCAAGGCGTCGTGTGCGGAGGCGTATAAGCGGGCAGGGTGTGAGAGGTGCTATGAAATATTTCAAGATGATGAGGCGACGGCGAGTCACGCGTGCATCTTTCGCGAGACGGAGGACGCGGACGACGACGTGGACGACTGGCCGTGCGTGGCGCTCGATTGCGAATTCGTGGGCGTCGGTGAGGCGGGTGAAAAACACGCGTGCGCGCGCGTGTGCGTTGTAGGATCTAGTGGTGAGATATTACTTCACACTTGGGTGAATCCCGGGGAAGAAGTCACGGATTATCGAGAAGAATTGACGGGGGCGACGCCAGAGAAGCTCGCCGACGCGCCGTCGCTCGAGCGCGTGAGAGCGATAGTGGTGCAAATTTTGCTCGGCAAGGCGGTTCAGACTCGACGAGAGCACGTCGGTGTCAAGCACTTGTTGATTGGTCACTCCGTCGAGCACGATCTCGAGGTATTGGACATCAAATGGAAGAAGGGAATGCGGCGAGACACGGCGCAATTTCCACTCTATCTTCGCCACACGCACCTGCCGTTCAAGCTTCGCGCGCTCGCCGAGCAATTCTTGGGAGAGAAAATTCAAGAAGAAGGTGAGGCGCACGACCCTTGCGTCGACGCCAGAATCTCCATGCGCCTGTACCAAGCCGCGAAGCGCAGAGATCACGGCGTCGCGAAGCGCTGGTTCGACATCACGCTCAAGGACCGCCCCGTCGTCGTCCCCGACGACGCCACGAGCGACCCCAACGCCGGTATCGAGCTCTTACGTCGCACCGTCGACCACGATGGCGCCGCGCACACGACTCGATTCTACTGCTGGTGTCAAGATCGCGGCGCTCGCTCGCGCGCCGGTCCGCCGTCGCCGCCGCCGGCGGATCGCCGCCGCGACCGTAAATCCGCAAAGCCTTCGTCCGACACCGCCGCGACGCCGTCTTCGTCGTCGTCCGCATCGCCCGGACCGTAGTCATCCCACCGCGCGCTCGCTCGCGCGCCGACACCACCGCATCACGCGCTCGAACCTCCGCGCGCGTTGTATTTTTCACCACACTTTCGAGCGCCGTCCTCCGTCATCCACTCGTCGCCTCGCGCTGACGTGGCGCACATCGGCGCGCGAATGTCCGCGCGCGCGTCGCCCGACGACCTCGCGAGCGTCGAACTCGCGCGCGCGCTCAACGCCGAGCTCAACGGCCGCGCGTCTCGCGCGTCGAGACCGCCCGCGGGCGCGCGCGCGCCGCGCGACGACGCCGATGGCGTCGCGCCCTCGCGCGCGTTTCGCCTCCACTGGCCGACGCAGCGCGTCGCCGTGCGCTCGGGAGGGCGCGCGCGGACGCGCGACGACGACGACGCGGTCGCGGTGACGACGACGACGCGCGATGACGACGGCGCGACGGCGCGGGAGCTGGCGAGGGCGAAGAAGAACGCGCAGAGTCGAGCGTGCAGGCGGCGACGCGCCGAGCGCGAGCGCGGCGAGCGAACGCCGAGCGGAACGAAGCGGGCGCGGGGGGGGGGTGATGGACGCGGCGAGGCGGCGGTGGGCGGAGAAATGAGGGCGCGAGCGATCGCGGTCGGCGCGGAGAGGTCGGACGCGGGATCGAAACGGATGGAAAAGTCGGCGCCGGCGACGGTTGGGGAGACGCCGCGCGGGGGGCGGGCGCCGGCGAAGACGAGGACGATGGGGTTGAGCGTCGATGTCCCGGCGATGGATGGGGACGAGGCGACGAGGAGCGCGCCGGCAACGATAAAGGATAAAGTTGGCGCGCGCGCGGCGGGATCGACCGACTGCGTAGTAGATGAGCCGGCGACGCCGGCGCCGATGACGCCGATACCGGACCAGAGCTCCGCTGGCTCGCTCGCTCCTAAGAGCAAATACACTAAAAAAGTCACGAAGACGCCGAAAAAGGCCGCGACGACGACACCGTCATCGGTGCAGAGTGGAGCGGCGAACACACAAAAGCCCAGGCGAGAGCGCCGGCCGGATTCGCGTTTTATCAAGCGCCGAGACGCCGAGTTGACGGAATTCCCACCCGGTATGATTGTTTGGGTGCGATTGCGCTCGACCCACAAAGGACAGTGGTGGCCCGGTCGCACGTGGAAGCTTCGACAGTGCGCAAACGCGTACGATCTTCTTGACATCAAACCCGAGGGCAGTTTGGCTCTCGTCAAGTTATTCGGTAGCAACTGCTTTGAGTGGGCGTCCAAGGAAGATTTAGCGCCGTACGACGCCCAAAGGCAATCTTCGTACCGCGAAGGTATGCTACTATGGTATAACGAGTCCGCATCGAGACGAAAATCACGTGGGAGCGCGCTGAAGGCGCTTCGGTGCGCAGATGCGGCCGAAGTTGAAGAATGGTCCGATCCGTGGTCGACATCGGATGCGAGTTCGTCGAGCGACGAAGAGTCGGACGCCGAGGCGACGAACAAGGCAAATGTACAAGCGCTGGAGTCGATGAAAGTCGGATTAACGCCAGATTGGATAGTTCACGGCGCGTGTAAAGTGTTTGGACTCGATCTCCCTACGATTGAAGCGCCGCTCATCAAAGGTTTACTCGACCCGTGCACGAATTCGCATCTCAGGCCAAACATTCCCGCAGAAAAATGTTACGACAAGAAGGACGATGGACTGAAGATGTCTAACCCGTGGGCAGGTTATCACGTCTTGGTGAACCCTCCATACGAAGCCCAGGTGCAATGGCGGTTTATCAATCGAGCGATCAACGAAGTGGAGTGGGAACATTGCCCTGGCATCATCCTCGTGTGCCGAAACTCTACCGACACGAGCTACTTCCAACGCCTTCTGCCTTTTCCTCGCATTCACCTGCGGCGCAAGGCGGTGCAGTTCAAAGACTATTCGAACTGTCCGATAGGATTCGGGATTTGTGTGTTTTGCATCGTGTCCCCAACGCATCCGCAACAGGCTGATATTTATAGCCGCTTTCACGACGAATTCCACGCCGCCGGCGAGTTTAACATTCCCGTCGACGGCAAATTCGTGAAAAGCCCGCCGTTCATCGAACTCACCACCCGGCTTCACCGAGTGGCGTGCGAAGACTATCGCGACAGTTGGATCGCATGCGATGTCTGCGACCGATGGCGCGAGATTCCGTTTGATCAAATGTTAAAGGCGCGCAAATCCAAGGTTTGGCAGTGCCGCGATTCGTTTCCGATGGGCTGCAGCACTCCGCTGACGAAGACAGAAATCGCTGCGTTTTCAGTAGCCAAGGCGGAGACAAATACAGTTTTAGTTGCGTCAAAAGTTGAGGGCACGAAAGGCCCCGTCGGCGTGTACGCTGCGGAAACGCGCGCGGGATCCTCTGTCGAAGCCGTCGACGAGCAAGAGTCTCTGACGCCGCTCGACGGCGCTCTGGCGAATCAAAGCACGCGGGTGGATGAGTACAGCGAGATCCGTGAGAGAGAAGAACGAACAAATGAGTTTCTTCAGAGCGGTGGTAAGCTTCACGGACTCGGGTGTCCGTGTAACTGGGAACCGTGTCGCGAGCGGCGGCAAAAGGAACAAAAGATTCTCAGCAAGCACTTCCCGGGTTTACGCGTCGAGTGGGAAAAGATGCGCGACGAGATCACGAACGTGCTGACCCCGTTCGAGCGCGAACGACTGGAAAAGATTGAAGCGAACAAGAACAAGATGCGGAGCTTAATGCTCAGTACAGAAGAGCAAGCGACGATGACGTCGCACAAAGTCGTGCACGCGTCGGCGGCGGAATCCGCGGCGTTGCGCATGTGGGAAATCGCCAAGCGCAAGCACAAAACGAAAACGAGCAACGCCGAGCGTCGCGAACGCAAGGTGAGCTCGCTCAAAGCGCAGCTCGAAGCCGCGGAGACACGCCTGAGCGACATCATGGGCGAAGTGCGCGAGGCCAACGTCGGCGTGGACACCGCGCTCAAGGTTCTAGAGGCGATTCGCTCGCGCGCGACACGCGTCGAGCGCGAGTTCGATCGAAACAACGCGCGGCTAAAAACAGTCAAAGTCGCGTGCAGGAAATCAAATTCCGCGGCAAACAAGAGCGCAGACGCGATTTGGTCCGACGCCCGCGCGCGCGTCCCGCTCGCCGCCGACGTCGCGCCCCCCTGAGGTCCGACACCGCGCCGCGTAACGCCATCGCATCGCGTCGTCACGAAACCAATCCACGCATCCGATCGATCGCTCGTCGCATCCGATTAAAATCTACCGTTCGTTTCTCTACTCCGCGCGTCGCGCTTTGCGATCCGCCGCGCCGTCCCTACTCCGGCCCCCCCCCCGGCACCAGCATCGCGATGTTGTTCCCGTTCAGCAGGATCTGATCCAACCGCCCCGTCACCCGCCGTCCCTCCGCCGTCGTCTCGTACTCCGTGACGTCCTCGAGCACCATGTTGACGTACACGTCGAAGCCTCGCAGCGTCCCGACCAACTCTCGCTCGCTCTTCATGAGCACCCACAGCGGGCTCCCGACGCACCGCTCGACGAGCTCGGACGGCAGCACCAGCGACGGGTTCGCGTTCGCCGCCTTGGCCGGGAGCGCCATCGCTCGAGCGTCGAATCCGCGCGCGCGCGACGGAATGGCGTCGATCGATCGCGACGATTCGATCGCGCGCGAGACGACGGCGCGCGACGCGCGGCGATGCGGACGCGCGCGGCGTCGCGGACGAACGCGGGCGCGTCGACGCGACGCTCGACGACGCGCGCGGCGACGCGCGCGGCGACGCGCGCGAGCGAAGGCGCGTCGAGGCGACGGTTGATGACGACGGCGGCGACGGTCGCGGTGACGCGCGCGCTCGAGACGCCGCGCGCGGAGGCGTACGGACTCGGGAAACCGCCGCCGACGTCGACGGCGAGAAGCAGGGAGACGTACGACGCGCGCGTCGCGGCGATGCGACGCGCGGAGGCGATGCGAGACGAAAAGGACGCCGAGCTCGACGACGACGCGCCGACGACGACGCTTCGATCCGGGTTGCGGTATCGCGAGTACGCCGCGGGCGAGGAGGGCGAGGAAGCCGTCGCGGGGTCGCGCGTCGATTTCGCGTTCAAGGTGTACAGACTGTCGTCGGGGGCGTACTTTAAGTTTTCGAGCGGCGGGACGCCGATTCTGTTGTACGGTCGCGGATACGGCTACGAGGGGAGGGACGACGTGGGAGATTTCGAGACGGCGACGCTGGGGGCGACGAAGCTTCCGCGAGCGGTCACGCCGTGCGTGGTGGGGATGCGTAAGGGCGGGATACGGCGAATTCTGGTGCCTCCAAACTTGGGATGGGTCGACGACGACGTTTTTCCGCAGCCGGACACGTTCGCGGCGAAGAGGCGGATGGAAAATTATCGCGACGGTCCGTTGCTGTTTGAGATTGAAGTGGTGCGCGTGCGGAACGGCGGCGAGGGGGGGAGAGATTTAGACCTCGAAGGCGACTACTCGTATCGGCTTCCGGCTCCGCCGACGCTCGTGGCGAGATGAAGGTGCTTCGAGGATTAATACGACCGGACAGAAGGGGTAATGTTACAAATAGTACAACGAAAGAACGTTACGTCGGGGCGACCCCGCGCAGTCGATCGCCGAGCGCGTTTCGCGCCGCGTCGTTCCACGCATTGACGCGCGCTCGCGTCAGAGCCATAGTTCTCGACGCGTACTCCACTCGGAACGTTTCGCTCGTCCGTCCGCTATCATCGCGCCACTCATCGATGCGTTCGACGCTCGATACGCGCGCGTCGAAATCGCCGCACGCGCGCTCGAACGCGCGCCGAACCGTCAAAGCCGAATCGTCGTCGGCGGCGCTCGCCCACACGCTCACGTCGCGCGTGAACGGGACGCAGTGATCGCACTCTAATCCAAGCTCGCGCGCGCGGGATTCAGCGCAAAATACATGCACGACGCCGCCCTCGGTGAGAAATCCGCGCTCCGCTCGTAAGCCTCGCCAGTGCCCGCGCGATTCGTATCCTCGCGCGCGCCACGCGGCGTCTTCAAACCGAACCGCCTCCACGAGCAACGCGCCATTTTCCGCGCCGTGCGTGTAACACTGCCATGAATTTCCATACTCTCTCCTATTTTCACCGTCCACAAGCGTTCCGCCTTGCCCGGGCGCCAACGCGCACTCCACGAAGCCGTTCGGCGCGACGCGCAGCGCCTCGCGCAAATACGCCGCCAACAACTCTCGATTCCTATCCATCTTCGCCTTCCCCGGAATGTGCGGAAAATTAAACAACACGCGATCGAACGTTTCTTTCGCGAACGTCGTCGAGAGCGTCGTCGCGTCGACGCCGTGTTCGACTCGACAGTTCGGGCGCTTACGCAGCGCGTCCACGTTGTCGCCGCCGCGCCACGCCTCGACGACTTCCTCTCTCGCCGCGAGCGAAGTGGCGACGATGCGCGCGTTCGCGCTCGCGGCCGTGGCGAACGCGAGCGCGAAGGAAAAGTCGCCCTCGCCGCAAATCAGCGTGGCGTCGCCGTCGCGCACGCGCCGCGCGCACGCCTCGGGACTCGCGCTCGCGCTCAGCGCTGATTCATCTTCAACCGCCGCGCATCGCGCGATGCCGCGGCCGCGCGCGACGAGCGCGATGCGCGCGCGTCGCGCATAAATGCGCGCACCGCCGGGCGCGATGACGCGCGTCGCCATGCCGCCGCGGCGCTGTGCGGTCGCCGTCCCGAGCGGTGGTGCGATGAAGCGCACTTTTTGCGGCCGGCGCCGCCGCCGCCGCACACGGTCGCGCGCGATGTCGCGCCCGTGCGACGACGCGCGGTACGTCGACGCCGCCATCGCGGGCATACGTCCGCCGGCTGGTAAACCGCGGACGCCGCGCGCGAGCGACGGACGCGAGCTGTGTAAACTCTTCATGCTCCGGGACAAGAGTTGTGACTTTCCAAACTGTCAGCGCGCGCACCTCGACGTGCCGTCGCGCCCGCGATGCGAGACGTTTGAAAAGTACGGATTTTGTGACCGCGGCGACGCGCGCGATTGCTGGCTCAGGCACGAACCGTGCGAGGCGTGGGAGATGGATGTGTGCTTGATGGTGGACATGGAGATGGCGGCGCGACACGTCGAGCGCGCGCGAAGAATTTTAGGTCCGCGAGCCGTGGTTAAGGCGGGGCGAATCAAATTGTCGAGACACACGGATGCGCTGATATGTATAAAAAGTGACGCGCTCGGCGCGGCGGGAGCGATGCGAGCGCTGTATAGAGAGGAACCGTACGGGATGGCGAAGACGAAGCGGACGTTCGTGTTTCCGCGAGAGGGTGGTTGGAGTAGGACGTTCGAGGGGTTGGAGTGGGATGACGAAGCGATTCGCGCTATGGATGCGTGGTTAGAGAAGTGTATCGATGCGTGCGTCGAAGAGTCTGGGGCGACGCGAGAGAAGCCGGTGTACGCGCGAGTGCGCGCCGCGCCGCGCTGGCTCGAAGGAAGACTTCACGACGCCATGGATCGCATTATCGATGCGCGAGGGGACACACTCGCGTGCAAGCCTTTGGGCGGCGGTATAACGACTCGCGACTGTACGCATTGCATCGATGCGGTTAACTTATGGGATCGCGCTTACGTAGGAGTGTGGAAAACGAGCGGGATTTACGAGACGATGGAGGTGACCGGGAGCGCGCCGACGCAGGTACTACCAGAAATAGACGCCCCGCAATTGCCGCCGGCTGGCGAGGCGTCGATGGACGATTTGGCGTTTTACTTCCCGTTAAAGCTCCAAGACTATCGCGTCGAGGTTAAGCCATTGTGTCGCGCGTACTTCAAACTTCATGAAGCGTTGCTCCGCGGGCGCGTGCCGATTGAAGGCGATTGGAACTGTGTAGACATCGGTGCCGCTCCGGGCGGTTGGACGCAAGTATTGAGCGAGCGTTTGACGACCGGTTGCGTATGGGCGATCGACCCGGCAGAGATTACGCTCAACCCGTTTCCGACCACTATGACGCACTTGCGAGTGCTCGCTGAAGACGCTGTGGAAACCGTGCGCGAAGGATTACAATCGACGGCAAGTGGAGAGCTTCGATTAGTCGTATGCGACGCAAACATGCACCCTGAGGCATGCTTGCGAATTGCACTCGACTTTTCCACAAAATTCAGCTCGATGAAGGAGTCTTGGTTGGTTATGTCGACGAAGAACTTTTGCAAACGCCGAGAAAATTGGTTAAAGGTAATCGACACGTGCATAGAGCAGTGTCGTGATGCTGGGTACGATGATGTGTTCGTCGAGCACTTGTTTTCGAATTGTTCGGAGGAAAAAACACTGTTTGCGCGACGTAAGGGGAAGGATTAGACGTATAAGATTGATAAAGAATGGCTTGATGCTTGAGTTGCATTTGTAAAGAATAAAGAATAAAGAATCGGCACTTGATCACCACTCTTCGATTTCGAAATCGCCGCTTCCAAGCGCCCGCGATTGGTGACTCATAGCGTCTTCGACGCTTTCGGCTTGCGCGATGACGCGCTCGAGTACTTCCTCCGACGACATATCGCTATCGATGAGCTCTTCAATCATACGCTCGACGACGCGTTTGATGATTTCCGACGCGCTCTCCGGCTCTTCGGGATTCAACACCGCTTCGAGCCGAAACTTGTGGTCGGTAAAGGCGCGCTGCCACGCATCATCGTGATGATTGCGTTCGGGCGGCGCATCGTCGATAACCGCGCACACCGCAACGTCGCACACGCAAAACATCACGCTCGTCGAACCTCGTAGCTCGCGATTCCACACTTCAAACGCGAGCGCAGTGTCGTCCAAAGGTGCGACGATTACCTTGAATGCTCGCTCTCCACGTCTCGCCGGTCCTCTCGCCGTGAGCAAAGCCGCGTGCGCCGTCTTCAATTCAACGTTCGCGCTCCCGCAAAACGAGCGCGCGGCGAGCTCGAATCCGAAATTATGGCCCACGCACATCACGGTTCGCGGTTGCATCGTCCCCAGTCCCACCTCGACTCCGACGCGTTTCCCGATCACTTTGGCGCTCTTCGCCTGCGACACATCGCCTTCGTCCCCGTGCGTCTTGTCGTAAAAGTCCGGCACTAATATCACCGGCGCCGTCCGAAACGCCTCCACCGCGTCGCCCATCGCCTCGAGCGTTTCCAGGCACCTCGTCGCGTCGCTCGTCAGTATCAAATCCGGCGTCCACGCGCGCTCGTCCAACCGCGTCGCGCACCGCATCGCGCGTCGTCTGCCCTTCGCCGCGAGCGGGCGTCGCTTATCGGGCAGCGTGTCGTCGGACCAATCCGACTTCGCGTGCCGCAACAGGACGAGTCGCAAATCATCGCGCCAGCGCCAGGCGCCGCGCGAGATGTCGGATCGACGCCAGCGCGACTCGAACACCTTCGCGAACGTCGAGTCGAACGACGCGCGAGGAGGCGCTCGGGCGCTCGCGCGCGGCGGCGGACGCGAGAGGCCGAACATCGCGTAACGGTCCGCGGGCGTGCGTTTATGACGCTTTTTCAGTTTTTGAGTTGACTCGACTTTTTGGTGTGATTTTTGGTGCGCTACGCGAACACCGAACCGAAAGGGGCGCCGTTTCTCGTCGAAGCGATCTCGTACACGATGTCAGCGCACGGCGCGAGGAGCGAGCGGACGGCGAATTTGCCGTCGCCCGCCGGGTAGAGCTCGACGCCGGATCTGGGATCGTGCGAGCCGCCGCCCTTCGGCGTCTTCGGGGTTCCTAATAATTTACGCACCGCTCGCACGGGGCTTGCTATGATTCTCTTCGGCGAAGGTAATGCCAATCGCCCGCGCTTGGGCGATTTGGTCACCGTTTCGAGTAACGCTCTGCCGAGCTTTGTCGGCGTCTCGTCCGAGAGCGCGGCGTGCGTGGAAAACACAACATCCGCACCTTCTTCGCCATCCATCTCCATCATCGCCGACGACGATGCGCTCGGAGACGTCGACGCCGATGTCGCGCTATATTTAACTCTCGCGTTCCCGACCGTGCGTTTCAGTGTCACGTACGCCGTATTCCCTCGCGCCGCGTCCAACGTCAACGCGTCGTCAAACGTAAAGCACAACAGTGGATACCTACCCACATTCTTCGTCGGCATCGCGAGCTCGTTCAATTCGGTGTAAAACGGCGACGCATACGCCCTTACACGCGCCGTCGTCATCAAATCGCTCCTATCCTTCGCGCTAAACTGTCCTATGACTACTTCGTACGCGCTCTGCGCGCACGCGTTCAACTTTGTCGTCGCGCGCCAGTCCACGTCCACGAACGCTGCATCGTCGATATCGATCACCATCCCTTCGCTCCACCGCCGGACGAACACCTCATCGTCGTCGCGCACGAAGTACAGCACGTCATCGAAATCGAACGCGTCCGCGACGCCGTATCCTTCGCGAAAGATGAATGTTTGCTCGAACGTCTGAAACCACTGCTCGCGCGTTTTCGTCGATTCATCGCGCGCGCGGCGCACGCTGGACGTGCTCGGAGAGCTGACGACGTCCGCGCACCAGTCACCGTTGAGCTCGCCGGGTGGAGTGGCGAAACCGTCGCGCGCGGTCATCGCGGTGCGCGCGGTCGTGCGGCGTGCGGTGACGACTTTTCGATGTGACATTGTTGGTTGGTGAGGTTCGTTACAATCGAGACGTTTCGCGAGCGTTTCAGCGCGCACTGGCCGTGAAAAGCGCACACGACGACGCATAAAAATCGATTTCACGCGGCCATGGCGCGCGAGGACGGCAAAGTGAAGATTCGGGTGAGCGCGCTCCCCGCTGAGGAGGATTCGAAGCACCCGTATCTGACGCACTTTCAGCAAGAGCGAAAACCGTTGGAGCGCGCAAGGACGGTTCGAGTGTTTTGTGCGCCCGAGGAAACCGTGAAGGATGTCAAGGCTAAAGTGCAAGCAGAACTCGGTGAGAGGGTGGAGATGCTCAAGCGCGGTGGCGCCCCGGGAGGAGTCGAGCTCGAGGATTCCAAGACGCTCTCTGAGCTTGGACTCGACAAGGACATGAGCGTGTGGGAACACCTCTGGGTCGACAGTGCGGCCCGAATCGCAAGAATGGAAGCTGACAGGGAGAAGATGATGTCATTCATTCACGTCAAACCGAATGACATGACGCCCAAGATGATTCGCATGATGAAAGAGCTCGCACCACCGAGGTTTTAATAAATTTACTTCGTTTTTACATTAAGCCGCCGGCGCGATGCTTCTTCGCGCTAACGCGACTTTATACGGTGGTAACGGAGGCTTAGCCGCCCATGGATGTCGCAAACACACGAACAAAATAGCCGCCGCGACGAACCTGAAAGGGATAAACAGGAAGCCGACTGCGGCACCCAAGAAGAGCGTTTGGTACTTTGCGCTCTCGCTCTCGTCCTCCCAAGTCAAAATCGCGTTGAACTTCTCCAACGGCGCGCGCAGGAATTCCACTTGTGCTTGACACCAAAAGCTAATCTGCACAACAGCGTCGTACGCGTCGTTCGAAGGTGTCGCTCTCGCGGCGACGCCGTACGATTCGCGAACGAGAGATGAGAGCGGCGACAACGTACTCCCGGGTGGTGCCTTTGAGACGTTGACAGAACCAGCCAACTTGCTCTTGTCCTCCCCCAAAGCGGTGAAGACGCGCGGTTTATTTCGCAGCGAAATGTACCACGCGATGAATGCGAAGTAGCCCACGAATGTCAGTCGCGGTAACCACAGGCACATGAAGATTGAAATATGGAGCGCGGCGGTGTACATCGGCTTTTCCCACGTCACTGCCTGCGTGAGAGGCTTGAGCACGTCACCGAACGACTCCAGCGTCGCGGCGAGACGCATCGCGCTCGCTTTTGTGCGTCGCGTCGTCGCGATGGACGGATCAGTATCGCTCACATCCAAAATCGATCGCACTAGGGGTTCGGGCAAAGCGTCGCGACCGGTCACGAGATGCTCGTAGTTTATAATGTCCAAATCTCGCATAATCTCATCCATATCTCCGTAACGATACGCACTCATCGGTAGCATCGGTGTGCAATAATGAAAGAACAACGCGGTGTTGCTCACTTTTTGCTTGAACTGCAACCGAACCGTAGCCTCGCCGTTGTCGTCGCCCGAACCGAAGACGTCTCGCGTCGTCAGAGGAACCGTGCATACGAGCGCGCGCCCGTGTTCCGGAAGACTAAACGGCGAGAATTTAATCTTACCCAACATTTCATCTGACTTGTTTCGGTTATAAATACCAATCGTGCATTGATCGGCGGCATCGCGCACGGCGGCGTGCAGTTCTCGCTTCCAACCGGAAGGGCCGCCGCCGCCAAACCCAGGCAAAAGCGCCCACGCGTCGCCGACATTTGCGATGAGCGCCGGCGCGCAGCTTTCAGGAAGACCATTTAGTTTGAGCACCTTGATGGACAGCTCTCCTAGCACAGGTTTCTGTGACTGCGAATACGTCACCGCTGGATCGACGTACGCCTGAAGGAACACAAATCCCACATCTTCGTCGTCACCCTCATCTCCCGAGTAGAGTTTGTGATAGCGACCAGATGGCGCTGCGGCTACATTACCGTGCCTATCCGTCTTACGTCTCGGCAGCTTCATAACGTCGAGTTCGGTGGTCCCGAGCAAGTTTCCGGTTTCGGTCGTAACGATGTCGACGCGAATCGCGCCAGTGCACGGAGCCTCTGCATTGAACGAAGCCTCGCCGAAGGAGAACTTCATATCGTCTGCCATACTGAAGTTCGTCGAACTTGTTTCGGCGCGCTGCGAACCATACGTGAGTATACAACGGATGGATTCACCTTCAACGTGTGGCAAGCCTCGCACCGAGCGAGCGACGACGGTGATCGCGCTCGACGCTGGAGTCACTCGCACCGTGGCCTTCGTCGCGATAGTTCCTTCTTCGCCGTCATTCCTTACGCCCATACCGATCGCTTCTGCCGATGATCCTATCCAAGCCGCGATGTTTAGCGAACCAACGCCTCGCGCGGCGTTCTTTGATACAGGCTTTGTACGTAAACCGACGGCGCCGGCTTCGACCTTGACGCGCGGAACACTCAAATGCACGATGAACGGCGCACTGCGAACGTGGGCGCGCCCATCACTGCCGTGTGGCAAAGCGGCAACTGGAAGCATTGCTTCTCCGACTTCTTCACCTCTATCATCGCGTACCAAGATGGACACGTGCTCGCCGTCGAATTCGTTCAGCGACGCCATAGACAAGGCGAGAGTTTGTCCGATGTTCGCGCAAATACCGCCAAAGCCTGTCGGCACCGGCGACTTTGAGTGCACCGTGTTACTCGTTTCGCCGAAAGTGATCGTTGTCACGGGTGTGCCCGCCATCTTGGACGCGGCGCCTTCGACTGATACGTCGATGAGATGCAAGAAGACGTACGATTCTGCCCGGAACCCGAACTTCAGCGGCGGGCCGCACGGGCGCGCATCCATGGCGGGTGACGGTTCTTCGCTGTTCGGCATCGACTCGAGCATAGCGATCATGCTATCGAACGCATCGTCGCGTCGCTTCATGCCGTTGAGCTTTATCTTCGACCCATCTGCGGTTTCCATCGAAATCGAATTCACGCCCTCGACGGTCAACTCTTGAATCGCCATGGCGTCCGCGATCCACTTCACCTGACTGTTCTTGTCGTCGCTCACAAATAAGAACGCGTACTTGACGACGTACAATGTTCCCTTATCACCTTTACTCGCCAACGAAGCCGCCGAAGTCGACGGCGTGACGATCGAGCACTCAAACGTCGCCAAGAGCTCCGTATCGGCGGGCAGCTTGAACATCTTTACGATATCCACCATCTCCAACTGCGCCGCTCTCGGCGAGCCAGCGCCGAAGCCGAGTCCAGAAAACATTCTCGACCCGAAATCGATCGCCTCGGCGAACATACTCGCGTCGTCGGCGTCGCTCGCCTTGTCGTCTTGTTCTGCAATCTTCGCCGCGTCCGCCGCCGCGTTCGCCGCGCCGATCGCCGCCGCCGCGTTAGCCGCCACGCTCGCATCCTTCACGAAGCGTCTGAAGAACTGTTTCATCGTCACCAACGTTCCATCGCTCGCCGTCACCGTTCTCGCCACGATCATCGACGTCTTCTCCATCCATCGTCTCGTTTCCATCAACAAGCAGTCGTCCGTCTCCACCCACACGTCGCCGTCCCACCTCGCCCGCGTCCGCATCGTCGACCCGTCGCTGTTCACAATCTCCGTCCACGCGTCGATCGCGCTCACGTTCGTCATCGCGACGTTTCCACTCACCGTCGTGTCCTCCAACCGATCGTCTTCGTGCGCGACGTGTCGCAGTTCCTTCAAGTCGATTCGTCCCGCGAATCTTCGCGTCAGCGCCACGCCGACGGCGTCGACGAACGCCTCGGCGTTTTCCGTGTATTCCGTCTCCCACACTCCACTGCGCGCGCACCATCCGTCAGTCATCATCGTCGTCGTCGTCGCGTCGCCGTTCGACGCCGCGCGTCGTTCGCGCGCGTCGGCGTTCAACACCCACTTAAAGTTTGGCCGCTCGACGTCTCTCTTCGCGCGCGCGTCGCGCGCGTCGGCGCGCGCGGGGCGCAACACGCCCGAGTTACTGCTTCCGCCGTCTCGCGCCGTCATGGTCGGCTCGGCGCGCGCGCGCGTGTCGCGGACGCGGACGAAGATGCGATGACGATGACGATTACGCGGAACACACGGGCTGGTGGCTTCGCGGCGGCGGCGCGCGCGCGACACTTCTCGACGGCGCGCGATGACGCGACGAACGACGCGGCGATGGCGAGCGGAACGCGTAAAATTACTGGCGATCGCGATGGCGTCGGGACTCGCGATCGGTGGTGCGTCGAAGCGAAGGGGTGAAGCGCGGCGACTGACGGCGACGCGGCGCTCGAGCAGCGCGGGCGAGCGAGAATCGGGAGAACGTCGTACCGCTGGTGGAGAACGCGGTGACGCGATACGCGGGACCGGCGATGCTGGCGGGGACGTACGCGATGTTTTCGTTCGAGGTGACGTGCGAACCGATGGATGTGGAGATTAGTTTTAGGAAGGGCGCGGACGAGAGCCGAAACGACGCGAGACGATCCGACGGCGACGCGGCGGCGTACGTGGACGAGGATGACGAGGCGAGATTCATCTTACACCGAGGTGCGCTCGAACACCCTGAGATGTTAGGGGTGTATGCGAACGATTCGCTTTCGTTCGGACTGTTTCCGCACGAAGACAGCTTGAACATCGACGTCGACGCGATCGACGTCGGCGTTTGGTACCTGCAAATCGTCGTGATCAGCGGCAGTTTACGATCGGGATTTGAAATCTCGCATCGCTTGTTCGGGTCGCGGTTGGCGCGATTCTCGGACTTCAACGGCTGTGAGTTCGACGATGGTACGCTTTCGGTGACGGTACGATCGGAGAATGAGACGTACACGAGACGAGAGCCGTTCGTCGCCGAACCGGATTACGGCGCGTGCGGAAACGATACAAACTCGTGCTACCTGGGCGAACAACATTCGGGCGATGCGTTTCAAGGACGTGGGGCCGAGCGCACGGGTACTGGGCCGGTGTCTGGACGCGCGGTGGTCGCGATGTCGACGCCGGTTGCGTTTGACGACGAGTACTTTCTTCTCGCCGGCGACGCGCGGAAATTTCTCGGCAACTTTTCGACGGGCTGGTTCACGACGGATGGATTTTTGAACGCAACACTCACATCAGAGCCATGGTTACTAGCGCAGATGGTTCCAAATCGCACGAACGCACCGTTTGATCACGAGGCGTGCGGGACGATGCTCAACGCCGCCGATTTGCGAGGGGCGGTGTGTGTGACGAGTCGAGGTGGTTGCTTCTTCTCACAAAAAACGCTCGCGTGTCAAAAAGCTGGCGCTGTTGCGGCTGTCATCATCGATACCGAGTTCGAGCCGCTCGCCGCGGTCAACTGGGTCGGTTCCCATCCGCCCGATTCCATTTCGATTCCGACCATCGTGATGAACTTGCTCGACGGCAACAAGCTTTTGAAGAAAATGTACGACGAACCGGACGTTCGCGTCGGCGCCGAAGTGTACGAGTGCCGACCAAAGACGCGATGCCGTCGATGCGCTCCGGGATTCGCGTCGCCGGGGACGAACTGCTCGACGCGATGCCCCGGGCTCGACGACGCGTTCTCGTCAAACTGCTCTCGCGCGGGCGAATGCGTGTACGACGAGATCGCGATGTCGTTTTCTTGTGTGTGTGAGGACGGATTCTCCGGCGATGCGTGCGATATCCTCGCGAACGTCGTCGACGATCGCGGGTTCAAACGCGCCGATCGATCGACCATCGCAGCCGTGCTCGCCGTGACGTTTTGCTTCGTCGGCGTCGTCGTCGTCTGCGCAGTGTACCAAATCCGTCGCCGTCGCCGTCGCATGACCGGGCACATCATTTGGAAGCCTCACGAAGAAGACGAGAGCGGCGCGCCGCCGACCGCTCCCGTCGCTCAACCGTGAGCCGCCTCGGACGCTCGCTCGCTCGCTCAAATCAATCTTCTCGCGCGCTCGCTCAAATCAATCTTCTCGCTTACATCGTCTACGCGCCTAAAACCGCCCTAAATCACCCCCCGCGCCTGCAACTCCTTCGCCAACGCCTCGTTCCCGTTCATCAGCTCTCTCAGATTCGTCTCCGCGTCGCTCAGCGCCTTGCTCAGGTGTTCCCGACGCGCCATCGCCTTTTCGATCTCCTCCGTCGCCGCCGCGCTCGTCGCCTCCAGCGCCTCCACGAGCGCGCCCTTATCTTCCAGCACGAACGACCGACCGAGCGGTTTAAACAACCGCGCGCCCTCGCAGTCGTCGAGCGCGGTCAGCTCGCGCGTCGTCAGCGTCGCGCGCGCGCGGTCGTGCTCGCGCTGCTGCACGCGCTGTCGCAGCGATTTCATCGCCGACGCGCTCTCCGCGTACTTGGCCTGCAGCTCGACGAACTGCTTGAAGCCATCGCTCGGGAGGTCGAGCGCGTCGGGGGCGCTCATGGCGTCGCGCGCGCGGGAGTGCGGCGCTCGAGGCTCGGCCGCGCGTTGACTCCGCGCCGTTGACTCGCGCGCCGCCGACGACCATCCCGGTTTGCGACGCCGCGCCGCGCATCGCGCCGAGCTAGAGCTACCGATGAACGTAACGTTACAACCGCGTCGTCGAGCCGTCCGACGCGTCGCGGCGTCGCGTCGACGACCACGTTTTAGATTGCCGCGCGCGACGCGCGCCGTCGCCCGCGCCTACGCCGGCGTGAATTTCAATCGCCGCTCCGTCTTCGCCAGCACCCGCGCCTCGAGCGCGTCGTCGCCGTCGAAACCGACGACGAGCTGCTCGCCGCACGTCAGCTCGTAGCGTCCGACGTAGCGCGCGCCGTCGATCGTGCGCAACTTGGGCGTTCGCGTGTCCAAATCCTCAAACTTCAGCGCGTCTCCCGGCAGGTCCGTGAGCTCGAGCGGGAGATCGACGACGACGTAGTCCTCGCGCGGGGCTTTCGACGGCGCGTCGTCGCGCATCGCGCCGCGGCGCGCGGCGCGCGCGCGTGTGCGGTCGAACGGGATCGTCGATTTCGTCATCGAGCGATGCGAACGCGTCGACGCGCGGCGCGGGCGTCGACGATGCGCGGCGCGATCGGCGCGCTCGCGGTGATCGCGGTGATGGGCGCGGCGCGCGCGGCGCCGGCGCCGCTGGAGCGGCGGAGCACGCGCGGGGTGATCGATCAGCTCGTGTGGCTGCGACACGAGAGCGCGGCGAACGGACGCGTCTTCGTCGTCACGGACGCGCGCGAATTACTGTACAGCGAAGACGACGGGAAGACGTTCACGTCGTTGATGTCGAAATTGAGCGGCTCGACGCGGCTGCGAGCGCCGCCGATGCTCATCGCGGGGGCGTCGGACGAACGCGGAGCGATGCTCAAGTCGACGCCCGAGTTGATACTGCAAGACGCGATGGGGGAGCTGTACTGGGCGAGCGCGGATTTGGGAACGACGTGGACGCAGCCGTGTGGGAAGGTGTCACATACCGGGGAGGAGGGGTGCTTTAAGAATCCCGGGGAGGTGGTGCCGGGAGGACGCGGACGGGCGATGGGCGCGATTAGGCCGCATCCGAAACGAGCGGGATGGCTGTTGAGTTTCGTGCGAACGTGCGATGCGGGGCCGGGTCCGGGAGGAATGGCGTGTCGGGTGAATAGATTGCTCGCGAGCGGGGATCTGGGGAAGACGTGGACGGATATGGTGGCCAATTCTAAGGGTAAGGTGGCGTCGTTTGTGGATTTCGACTGGGCGCCCGACGACGGCGCGGGGCCGTATCCTCCTATTTACGCCACTGTGTTTCGCGATGGGACGAAGTTTGCCGCGTATCGCGGTGCATGGGATTACAATATTGATTTCGTGCGATCTGAAGATTTGTTCTCCACGCACACGCTCGTGGAGCAATGCGCAAACGCGTTTGAGATTTTAAATGGCGACGTTTATACGGCGTCGCCGCCCGACTGCGCAGATTATCACAAACACGGTGCGAAAAATCATCCGTCGTCCGAGGTAAACACGAATAATGTGGTGCTCAAAATATCGACCAATCAAGGCAAGTCGTTCAACACGGCGTGCTTCCCGATGAATTTGCCGGCGAATGCGTTTGAGATTTACGATTTTCACGCCGACGACGCCGGTCCAGATTTCATCGCCGTCGATCACATTGAAACCAGCGCCATCGAAGCCAGGGCACCGATGAGCCAGCTCTACGCATCGGATGAATCCATGTCGTTCTTTTCGATGAGCATGCGCACCATGGTCAAAGACTCCGGCGGTAGCTTTGTTCAAGATTTCGCCAAAGTTCTCGGATTGGAAGGCGTCTTCATCGCTAATCAGATTTCGTACAAGGCGTTCATCGACGGCGCCGCGATTCGAAACGGCGATTATAGCGCGTATTACGAATCGCGAATCTCGTTCAACGCAGGCGGAACTTGGCATAAGATCCCCGCGCCCGCCACAGATGCGGAAGGCGTCAAGTATGCGTGCGCTGAGGACGAGTTTGATTGCGAACGCTACGGCTTACACCTACACGGCGCCGTGGATTGGGATACGTCTGAAGACTGGAATGGACGACTCGGTGGCGTGTACACGCGCTCTAGTGCGCCCGGCGTGATCATCTCTACGGGTAACGTCGGCGACGCCGTCATCACCGACGAGCCGGCACGAGTCAACACGTATATTTCGCGCGACGGCGGGGCGACTTGGATTGAATCCAAAAAAGGCGCGTACATCTACGAGTTCGGCAATCGCGGTGGTTTGCTAGTCGTCGCGAAGCAATTCATGCCCGTGGACGTGATTGAATACAGTCTAAACGAAGGGAAATCGTGGTCGACGCTCAAGCTCGCGAATTCGATTTTCGTACACAACATTCGCGTGGATCCCTCGTCAAAGGGGCACGTCTTCATTATTCACGGCATGACCGCGGAATCCGTGCACGCCGATCCAAACCGTGGATCATATTTCGTCGTCGACTTCGACGAAATCATCTCAGGTGGTAAGGTTTGTGGCGCCGCGGATTACGAGATGTGGTCGCCTGCGGCGCCGGGAAGCCATGGGTGCTTAATGGGACAAAAGTATGAGTTGAAGCGCCGAAAACTCGACGTCGAGTGCTTCAACGACGAAGACTTTGACCGCGCGTACACTATCGTTGGCACTTGTGAGTGCTCGCGTGTGTTCGATACTGAGTGTGACTACGGGACTGAACGCGTCTACAACGTCCCTAACGCCTCGCAATGGCCGCACTGCGCGCCTTCAGACAACGTGAACACTCAGTGCGCCGCGCTCAACCACAAGCCGCCGACGCCCAGTTCGAATCTCCGCATCATTTCCGGCGACAAATGCACAAGTCCTGGCGCGGCGCTCGGAGACGATGGCCCAAGAAGACGAGGTCATCATCGAGGTCGCATGTTCGTGCAGTTCATCATGCTTTTAGCCTTCCTTGGTGTCGCGGCGTACGGCGCCATGTACGTGCACGCCAACTATGACCTCGGTACGTTATCGACGACTGTTCCTAATGCCGCCCGTAACGCGATCAATGGCGCGTACGAAAAGTTCCAGGACACATTTGGCAAGCGCGAACAAGCGACACCGCCTGGTTACTTCGAGCCGCTCGGCGATTTCGCAGCGGAGGATGAAATTTAATCCTTCGAGCCACCGATTCGAGCCCAAAACTTGTGATTCCTTCTGTGCAATATAATCTCTATCATCTTACATCTCTAAAACTCCGCGTCTTCTCCATGATTCGCCGCGCTATGTTCGTATAAATTGCCGCCACCTCGCCATCCGGATCGCGCACGACGATCGGCGCTCCCTCGTCGCTGCTCTCCCGAATGGTGGCGTCTAACGGCACCTCCGCCAAAAACTCCACTCCTCGTTCCGCCGCCGTCGCCCTCGCTCCACCCCGTCCGAACACGTACGACCGCGTGCCGTCCTTCTCACAATAATACGCCATATTCTCCACCACTCCCACCACCTCCGTGTTCACTTTCCCGTACATATCGATCCCTCTTCTCGCGTCCGCCAGCGCCAACTCTTGCGGCGTGCTCACCACCACCGCGCCCGTCAGCGGCAATTTCTGCGATATCGAAATCTGCGCGTCTCCCGTTCCCGGCGGCATGTCCACCATGAGTACATCGACGTCTCCCCACCTCGTGTCTTGGATCATCTTCGTCAGCGCGCCGCTCACCATGGGTCCGCGCCACGTCGCCGCCGCGCCCGGTTTCATCAAAAATCCCATGGATTGGCAGCGCACGCCGTGATTCTCCATCGGTAACATGCGTCCGTCCGCGTCCACGACCGGCTGACCCGAGAGCCGCATGAGCGTCGGGACGCTCGGTCCGTAGACGTCGGCGTCGAGCAGGGCGACGCGATGGCCGAGACGCGCGAGGGCGACGGCGATGTTGACGCAGGTGGTTGACTTTCCGACGCCGCCTTTTCCGCTCGCGACGGCGAAGACGCGCGCGCACGAGGCGAGAGAGGGAGGGAGGGGAGGCGGGACGAACGCCCGAGGCGCGGCGGCGGCGGTCGCGAGCGCGCGACGGGCGACGCGGGGGAGGAGGTCGCGCGCGGGCATGGCGCGGCGACGTGTGCGGCGGCGCGCGCGGCGGCGAGGCGGAGAAACGTTTTACAAATCATTGGCTAAGAATTCTGCGATGTCTCTGGCGTTCATGGCGCCGGTGTATCGCGCGATGCGGCCGGTTGCGCCGTCGTAGGTGACCAAGGTTGGGTAGCGCAGGACGCGTCCGACGAGTGATTGCGCTTCGGCGTCCCAGCTGTCGTGGCAGTCGTTGACGGCGCAGTCGATTTGGAACGCTCGAGCGGTTTGTGTGCCGTCGACGAGCGCGCGGTAGTCCAGATCGCCCAGCGCCGCGTTGAGCAGCGAAAGAAAGCGTTGACAGAACGCACACGCGGACGAGGAGAAGAGCACGGAAAACTTCCCTTGTCGTCGAAGCGCCATCGTTTGCGCAGCTTTGTGATCGAGTTGGTTGCGCGCGATGTGCGGCACGCGAGGCGGAGTCATGCCCGCGGGCGTTTTGGGAACGCTTCGCGCCGACCGCGTGAATGGTCGCGTCTCCGACAGCGCGCCATCGGGAAGCGGGGACACGTTTACCGTTTGAATAGAGTCCTCTTCGACGTCGATCAGCGCGACTTGAATCCGCGACGTCTCGTCGTCCCCGGAATCGTCGCAACTATCGGTGATTTGACACAGCAACCACGTCCCACGGCTGGTGTCGACCACGCCCACGGTGGCGTTTAAACTACTCGAATCCACGAGGTGATGAATGTGTACGCCTAAAGCGTCTAAATCTTCGTTCGCTTCGTTGGCAAAAATCATCGCCAACTTCCGCGCGCCGACCGCCGGGCTGAACTCACTCAGGCTGAAGAATCCGCGTCGCACGACGGTGGATACCGTCGCGTTATTGATTTCATCGATCCATCGCTCGACCGAAGTCTCGTTCTTCCTATTCCCCATCCATACCGAGTGCAACGCGCCTCGAACGAAGGCGACAGCGGTGATGTCGTCCGGGTCAAACTCGTCCAGCAGCTTCGTACCGATGCGCCAGGCGTCCGCGCCCATCAACACGCCGAGTCTATTCTTAGGCGTGTACCCGATGCGCTCCAATATCGCCGCGCGAAGTCGCCGCATCGACGCCGTCGACGCGCACCCGTCCGCCGACTTGCACGGATCCAACACCACCACCGCCAGCTCCGCCGCGCCGTTGTCAAAAAAATCAGCCACCGCGTACTTATCTCGCAGTCGCACGAACGGCCAAAGCGTCATGACGCTCTCGTTCTTTCCCATCGTCTCCCTGTTCAGCGTCCTCGCCGCGCGCGCCAGACCCGCCGCGCTCCACTCGCCGCCGTATCGCACGCGCGTCCCGCTCGCGTCCGCCAGCTCAAACTCCGCCCGCGGCGCGCTCCACGACCCGATCGCCCCCCCCGTCGCCTCCCGCTCCGGCCTCCACGGTCGTTCCCACAGCACTCTCGCCCCTCCGCTCGGTTCGCTCGCCAGTTCGCGCTCCAGCGCCAGCGCCAGCGCTCGCGTGCTCCCGCACCACGGCGGCGCCGTCAGTCGCAGCGTCACCCCGTCCTCCCGCGCCCGCGTCTCCCCGCTCGCGTTCCACGACGTCCCGTACCGCACCTCGCGCGATTCCGCGCGCCGCGCGCTCGAGTACGTCGTCCGCGGCGCGTCGTCGTCGTCGTCGAGCATCGCCGCGCACGACGCCGTCGTCGTCGCGCGCACCGATCGCGCGACGACGAGCGCGACGCACGCCACCGCGACGCGCGCCGCGCCGTCGCGCGTCCGACGTCGCGCCATCGCGCGCGCGCGTCTGCGCCGACGCGCGTCGCGGCGCGGGCGTGTCTTCGTTCCGTGTGTAGACTCGAGTCTTGAGATGCGACATCGGTCGGTCGCGTGTGCGCAAACAGTCACGACGAGGATTTCGTGAAATTAGGGGACGCCGTACGGGTCGTCCCGGCGGCGGCGCGACGGCGCGACGGCGCCACCGCGACGCGCGCGATGCCGAAGGTGACGAAGAGAACGGAGCGCGACGCGCGCGAGTTGGTCGACGCCTCGGGCGCGATCGTCGCCGACGACGCGGACGCGCTGCGACCGGTGTACGCGCCGCTCGGCGCGCCCACGGAGACGCGAAAGGGAACGAAACACGAGTACCGCAAGGTGAACGTCCCGGCGCATCGGTTCGCGCCGCTCCGAGAGCACTGGATGGCGCTGTACGAACCGGTGACGAAACAGATGAAGATCGACGTGCGGATGAATCTGAAATCGAAAAAGGTGGAGCTGAAGACGACGGAGAGGACGGAGGACGAGAGCGCGCTGCAGAAGAGCGCGGATTTCGTGCAGGCGTTTCTGCTCGGGTTCGACGTGCAAGACGCGGTGGCGCTGTTGAGGTTGGATGACTTGTACTTGGAGTGTTTTGAGGTGAAGGATGTGAAGACGCTGCGGGGAGAGCACATGAGCCGCGGGATCGGGCGATTGGCGGGGAAGAATGGAAAGACGAAGTTTACGATTGAAAACGCGACGCGGACGCGCATCGTCATCGCCGATCAGCACATTCGGATTTTAGGATCGTTTCAGAACATCAAGGTGGCGCGAGACGCGATTTGTTCGCTCATCTTAGGCTCGCCTCCGGGCAAGGTGTACTCGCGCTTGCGAGCCGTCACCGCGCGCTTGGCCGAGCGGTTTTAAAGCGTTCCGGCGCGTCGCGCGCCGTCTCCGACCGCGCGGCGTCCACCCGTGTAACACAATCGAATTCATTAGCACCACGAACGATTGACGTTTTTCGCGTCTTTCGACGCGCCATGTTTCGTTCGCCGTCGTCTTCCGCGTCGTCTCCCTCTCTCCGCGTCTCTCCGCGTCTCTCCGCGCGCCGGCGTTAAACCCGGTTTAACGCCCGCCGGAGGGTATCCGCAGACCGCGCCGCTCGCCATGCCGCGCGCCGCGCCGCTCGCGCGCGCGCGCGCGCAAACGTGCGCGCCTCGATCTTTGTGCGGCGCCGCGACGTCCGCCTCGACGCGCGGCGCGCGCGCGGCGCCGTCGAGCCGCCGCGCCGACGTCGCGCCGGTCGCGCGCCGACGTCGCGCGTCGTTCGCGACGCGCGCGACGAGCGACGACGCCGAGGTCGCGGACGAAGAACCGGCGAACTGGAAGTACGCGTACCTGTACGACGGCGCGTGCCCGGTGTGCCAGACGCTGAAGAGCGCGCTCGAGGGGACGGGGAGGGGCGAGGGCAAGGTGTGGTACGTGGACATCAGCGATCCGGCGTACGACGCGAAGAAACATCAAGGCGTGACGTTCGCGGAGGCGATGGAGACGATACACGTGCTGAAACGCGATAAAAGCGAACCGCTGCGAGGATTGCCGGCGATCGAGGCGCTGTTCGCGGAGGTTGGCATGGGCTGGGCGGTGAAGCTGGCGACGATGCCGGCCATCAGCCTCGCGGCGAGCGTGCTGTATAAGTTGATCTCGAGCAATCGATTGAAGATTGGAGGCGCGATGGGGGCTGGGGTGATGGCGCTCGGACGAGTCGGTATGGAGATGCGAGGAGAGAAGGCGTCGTGCGCGGAGGGGGATGAATGCCGGGGTATCGCCGACATGGAGGTGGACGAGGACGCGCGCGGGGCGGAGGAGGAAACCTCGTTTGAATCGGTATATGCCGAAGGCCCGAGAGCGATTCTTGGCGCGTACGCGAGTGGAGGCATCGTCAGCGCTGCGATCGTGAACGTGCGCACGGGTGAACTCGAGTCTGAGCTCATCACCGCTCCGTTGGACGAGGGCGCCCTGCTGGATATCAACGCCGTCGGCTCGGCTTTGCGCTCGCTCACCAAGGAGCTGAAGTGGCAAGGTTCCGTCTCTGTCGCGTTGCCGGGTGTTTGGCACGCTGACGAGAAGTTGGGCGGCACGAGCGTGTACGCCGCGATGGAAACTTTGAACCCTTTCGAGGGACGCCGCGAACGCGAAGAAACCGAGGAGCTGTTGCGCAACGCCGTCGGTTTGGACGTCACCGTCGTCACGGGTGCCGAGGCGCACGGTTACGGTCACCAAGACTTGTGGGGCGACGCCGCTAGACGAGTCAAGATTGGTCAAACCCTCGATAGTGACGATCCCGACAACGCGATGAGCGGTTTGACCGGTGTCGTCACCGCCGGCCACGAAGCTGTACACGTCGCGCTCTTCAGAGACGGTGTTCTTCGCACGAATGCTGATTTCAGAGAAGCCGATCTCGCCATTTCATGGATCGAACCAGAGTGGGCGAACGCTAAGCCTCCGGCTGATGACTGCGAGGATGAAGAAGAGTGGAAAGCATGGGCGACGAGAATGGCGGTGCACTTGGCCAAGGTCGAGAACTGCCGTTGCGCTCGCGGTGGCTTGGAACGATGGGTCGTCAGCGGTAGCGCGGCGAGAAACTTCGACAAGTGGTCGCATCTGGTGCCAAAGCTGAGCGTCGTGCAAGCTGGTAAGGCGGCTGCTCCGCTCATCATAGGCGGGTCCAACTCTCTCGAAGGCGTGCGAGGCGCCGCCGCGGGTGGCTCTTTCCGATTCAGGTACATGGCTGATATTCGTCGCGTGCGTTCTGCGATCGGCAAAGAAGTCGGCCGATCGCCGCAACTCGTGTCTGCTATCCAACTTCGCGAGCTTTTCGAGAAGTTTGGTGGTGACATTAACGATGACGCCATTGATTTGGACGCCTTCGTGCGCATGGTCGCCGCCATGGGCGTGCGCCTGCCCGAAGACGAAGTTCGTGAGCTCGTCTGCGACATAGACGTGCAGTGCGAGTCGTCAGTAACGTTCGATCAATTCGAAACCTGGTATAAGTCGGTGATCGGGACCGAGGTGGCGCAAGTGTTGCACACCGAAGCCGCTGTCGATCAAGTCCTCGAAGAGGAGATGGGCACGGGACGCGCCGTCGTCCTGCAAGTCGGCTTTACCTCTTGCATGCCGTGCAAGAAGTTTTTGCCGTACTTTGAACAAAGCGCGCGCGACAACCGCGAGAAGTGTCGATACGTGCGCATTTACGGGAACGAGAATGCGAGTACCATCCACCTTGCGCGTGACCGCTTGGCCGTCAAGTCGACGCCGACGTTCTTTGTGTTCAAGGACGGCGTCGTCACGCACATGCACAGCGGTAGCAACACCGAGAAGTTTGACGACGCTATCGCTGAGCAAGTCGGCGTTCTCCCGATCGGCACGTACGAGGCCAAATGGAACCCACCCGTACCAACCGAGGCGACGACCGTCTAACTGGTGACCGCCCCGCACGCACTTGCGCCGCAGCGCGATTCTTACACTTCATCTTCGCCGCCGACACCCGCTCGTCGGTTTATTTTTGGTATGCGCGCCATTGCGCGCCGTTTTGAAGTTGATGATACGCACGATGTTGCAATAAATTTGAACAAGCACTGTACTCCCTCGCGTCCGGGACGCGGCGTCCCAAACAAAAAGGGCCGGATTTTCTATTTTCGGCATTCGTCCGCAGTGCGCGTCGTTCGCGACCTCGCTCGCGCGTGTGACACGCGCAATCCGTGAGACACTCGCGTCGAGGATCATTGATCCGCGCGCAGTCGATCGCGCGCAGTCGACTCGACGCACGAGTCGTATTGATTTCAAATCACGAATTCAAATTCAAACCTCACGACCGGGACGCCGTCGACCATGTCCAAGTCTCTTAGCATCCAAGTCCCCGCGCGAACGCCCCTGGGCGAACGCTCAGGGAACGAAAACATCAGCGCGGCGTCGAAATTCCCGTCCAGTAAGCTGAAGTTGGACGAGTTATTTTTAAACTGGTTATCCATGGCGGAGAGCCAAAACTTGGTGTACGAACTGTTGAAGGATGCGAAGGCCGGGAAACCGCTGCGACAGCCGAAGAGCGGTGCGATGCACGCAAACGTCGCTGCAGCGATAGGAACGCCACCGAGGAGCCCGCAGAAAGGGTCGAGGTACGGTACGAGCGCGTTTTCGCCTACGAGGCGACCGCTGTCGAGGCAGGCGTCTTTGTTCACTCGAGCGACGAATGAGCCACACTCGATTCCGACGTTTTACAAGCCAGGCGGTGAAGGCTTGAGCGAAGAGGTGAACGCAGGAAAGGTCGCGTTGGCGGAGCGCATGTTTGAAAGACACTTGACTGGGATGAATTTAGAGGCATTCGCGGGAGTGGTTCGAGACGTCGTCGGATTGCCGCGATATTTCGCCAAACGTGTGATGAAGCTCGTGGCCGGGGCGAATGCGGATGTCGTCACGCGTGAGCAATGGTTTAGTTATTGGAATTCTACGCTTCGTCGGCAGAAGGATGTGAGTTCAGCCATGTTTGAAATTTTGCGACGACCAAACGCTCGAGCGTTGGAACACGCAGACTTTACCGAGGTGCTCACGGAGATGACGCAAACGCATCCGGGCTTGGATTTTTTGAAGACCACTCGCGAATTCCAGGAACGTTACGTAGAAACGGTGATTTATCGTATATTTTACGAGTGCAACACGACCTGGAACGGGCGTTTGACGCTGCGAGAGTTGAGAAAATCAGACTTGCTTGAGCACATGTTGCTCGCCGAAGAAGAGGAAGACATCAACCGCGTGTTGAAGTACTTTTCGTACGAGCATTTCTACGTCATCTACTGCAAGTTTTGGGAACTCGATACCGACCATGACTTTTTCATCAATCGTGAAGACTTATTGCATTACGGTAATCACGCGTTGACGTATAGAATCGTGGCGAGGATATTTGACCAGGCGGGGAGGCCGTTCAAATCAGACGTGCCCGGGAAGATGAGCTACGAAGACTTTGTTTGGTTCATTTTGAGTGAAGAAAACAAGAACCATCCGCTAGCGCTAGATTACTGGTTCAAATGCATCGATACTCATCACGACGGCGTCATCACGCGAGATGAGATATACTACTTTTATGAGGAACAGATTCAACGCATGGAATGCCTGGCGCAAGAACCCGTCCTGTTCGAGGATATTTTGTGTCAAATGATGGATATGCTCAAGCCCGAAGTCGACGCGAGAGTGACTCTGAACGACTTACGATCGAGCAAGATGAGTGGCAACTTCTTCAACGTTCTCTTCAACATGAACAAGTTCATCGCATTTGAAACGAGGGATCCGTTCTTGATGCGACAAGAGCGCGAAGAACCGCACTTGACGGAATGGGACCGCTTCGCTCGCGGAGAGTACCTCCGGCTGAGCATGGAGGAAGACGATGAGATGGACCACGCGAGCGATGTGGTGTGGGAAGAATCCCCTATATGAATAATGATTAGAGATACTGTACACTGTAACGATAGCCTAGCGAGAAGAATTTTGTATTCCAACACGACGGAACGAGGACGAAGGGACTATGACGTACATGCGAACCGCGAACAACTCGGGTGGAAACCCAGTCTGCAAACGATGCTCGAGGCAGCGCATGCCTGTGCGATTGATGATGTGCAGCAAATACTCGTGCGAACGAGTGATGGACGAGTCTTCCAAATCTAAAATGAATCCGCTCGCCGCGTTGTTCTCCTTCATGACTATGACGCCGTTTTCCCTTAAACCATCCTTGCAACGACGCAAAAACGCCACGAAGTCATCATCCGTCAAGTGCCCGATGCACCACTGAATCCAAATCACGTCGTATCTCTCGCGCTCCGGAACGAAACTTTCCAACGGTTCCGCGACGAAGCGCTTCGCGCGATGCCCGTCCGCGCGTCCGTCCCCTCGCACCAACGCATCCGCCGCCGCTGCGTCCAAAAAGTGTCGACACGGCTCCACTAAATCGACTTCATCAAATTTTTCGATCAAAAACGTGCTCGTCACCCGTCCGACGCCCGCGCCGCAATCCAACGCCGTCGTCTTCGTCCCGTTCGCCTTCGCGCCGCCTCGTCCCCGTCCCCGCAGGTCCTCCAGCAGCTTCGCGTTGTCCCGAGCGTCCGGCGCGCTCACGTGCGCGAACCCACCGAGCACGCCGTCGACGTCGGGCGCGACGCCGTCCCAGTACTCGATCCCCTTCGCGTAAAACGTCGGTTTGCTCCCGTCGGCGCCGTGCGAGCGCTTTTTCGCCACCTCGGCCCAGAACGCTTCGTGCGTCCCGACGTCGCGTCCGAGATCGTCGACGCCGCGAAACTCGACCGCGTCGGGCGTCGCGTCGTCGCGCATCGCGTCGCGCGCGTCGCGTCGCGTCGCGTCGCGTCGCGATGTCGCGCGCAGAGTGGCGCTGTCCCGGTCGCGGCACTCAGAAGCGCGCGGCGGCGCCGCGCGCGCGGCGCCGCGCGACGCGCGCCGTCGCCCGCGCGTTCGAGCCTCGCGCGCGCGTCGCGTCATGCGCCTCGCGGACGCGTCGCGCGCGCTCGCGCCGCGCTGGACTCGTCGCGCCGACGTCCAATTGGTCGTCGCGTGCGCGCTCACGACGCTCCTCGGCGGCGCGCTGCAGCTGCACAAGCTCGCGTCGCTCGACGCCGCGGGACGGGAATTCGCGGAGACGTCGACCGCGGCCAAGGTGTCGTTCTTGCTGCCGTTCGCGCTGGCGAAGAGCTGCGCGAACTTGGTCGTCGGCGCGGTGGCGGACGCGCGCGGACGGCGACGCGTCGTCGTCGCGGGATGGAGCGTCGCGATCGCGGCGCCGGCGTTGGGAATGATCGCGGGAGCGCGGAAATCGTTCGGCGTCGTGACGATGTCGGCGTTTTTCCTCGGCAGCGCGCAAGGGTTGACGTGGACGGCGCTCGTGCTCGCGAGCGTGGACCTGTGCGGGAAGGCGCGCAGAGGGTTCGCGTCGGGGTTGAACGAGACGATCGGATACACCGCGATCGCAATTTTCGCAGAGTTTTACGGTTCCATGGAGCGCTCGGGGGTGCGGTGCGCGTGGACGACGCAGACGCCGTCGGCGGCGTGCTCGGCGGCGAACGCGGCGCAGACGTGCGCGGTGGCGGACGATTGGGTGAAAGCGTGCGTGGGCGAGTGCGCGTGCGATGGGTACATGCGCGTGCCGATGGGCATCGAGCTCATGATGTGTTTAATAGGCTTGTTGGTGTCGATATTCGTATTTAAGGAGACGTTGGCGACGTTGGCGGCGGGGCGGCGTTTCGACGTCGCGTGGGCGAGCGAAATTCCAGAAGAGGACGACAAAGAGTTGCGCGGGCGAGATTGCGAAAGCAGCGACGGCGGTTCCCTACAGGTGATACCCGCGCCGAACGAGAGTTTGAAAGAGGCGATGATTCGCACGACGTGGCGTAATAAGAACACCGCCGTCGTGTGTTACGCGGCGTTTTGCGCAAACTTTGAAACCGCCGTGGCGTGGGGGCTCATGTCCGTGTGGGCGCGCGACCAACTCGGGTTAACCGGACGCGAGCGCGACTTTTTCACTGGGTGCTACTCGTTCATGAAAGGTTTCACCCAAATCGCATCTGGGTTGATGAGCGACAAAATCGGACGTAAGCTGCCGATGTCGTTTGGCTTGATTGGCGGAGCCGTGGCGCTCCTCGTCGCCACGTTCGGTGCTGGTTTCCACGGCAAGTTCATGTCCGGAAGCCCCGATGCGACAGAACTCAGAGCTATGCAACTGGCATATTTAACTTTATCCTCCGTGGCTCTCGGCTTCTGTACGGGCGTGACGTATCCCGTCCTCGCCGCCGCCGCCGTCGACCACGCGCCGGACGAGCGCCATTACGCCTCCACCTTAGGTGTCGTTAGATTCTGGCGAGATTTAGGTTACGTCATGGGCGTCCCGATAGCCGCCATCGCCGATTCCGCCAGCGCCGAACTCGCGCTCATCTTAGTCTCCATCGTCATGGCCACCGCTGGGTACGGCGTGCACAAGACGTACGAAGAGCGTCTCGGCGGCGCCGACCCGCACGCCGACGGCTACGCCCACACTCCAGTCGCCGACGCCGATCGCGAAGACGACTTCAACGACGAACCCATCACCACCACCGCGATCGAAATGTCCCCTCGCGCGTGAATTAGAGCTTGAATTAGAATTTTGCAGCGTCTCCACAACATGGTGCTCCTCGTTCTGTACTGCAAAGCCGAGTTCGAAAACGTCGCGAGCGTCGAGTTCCCCGCCGGTTATCACTACTGCTTCGACGTCAAAGACTCCCAGAGCGATGAAACGCGCGAGGGCGTCTTCATGAGCGCCGACGACGTCGTCGAGATGGAAAATTCACGAGGCGAAGCCAACTTTGTGATGAAGTTTCCCGACTCTAAAAAGCAAGCCAGCGTGTCCTTCGTCGACGTCAAGGGCTTGACGACGAAAGGGGTCATCGACGCGTCGGGGACGTGGGTGCCGGTGATGGGATTCGAGTGCCGAGGGCTGGAGTTGGAAAAGTTTTACCCGACGAAGGGCGCGACGGTGAAGAGCGAGGGCGGTTCGACGTGGCGAGACGTGGATTTGAGCGAAGATCCCGACGGATGGTTCGAATACTGCGAGAACGGCGGCGATAGCGTTGGGATCACGGAGTTTACGTGTGAGATTAGGAAGCACAAGGCGTGAGGAAGACGACGCGAACGCGTCTCGCGAATTAAAACCGCGCTACGAAGACTAGAGATTGTTAACGCTACGGCGCCCATTCGACGCCCGCTCGAGCGAACGCCGTCAGTGATGCCGCACGCTCTGTCCCGTCCCGCGCGGCACCAGGTACGAGATCACCTTGCTAAACTTGACGAAGACGAACATTCCGAAGAACGCGCACAGCGCGAAGAACATCAGCGCCATCAAATGTCCGCTCTTCGCCTGTTTAAACGCGTGTTCCACCTTCCTCCGCACGTCTTTCATCGCCGCGTCGCTCGAGCTGAAGTCCACGCTCAGCGCGTCGATCAACGACCCGCGAACGGACGCTTCTTCACCGATTTGATTCGACATTTGTTTCAGCATCTTCACCTTGCCTCGCAGTCCCGCGACTTCGTCGTCCAGATCCATCGCGCTCGCCGCGCCCACGTGCACGTGAAACTCCCCGCCCGAGGTCGAGGCGTTGGGGCGCGACGTCAGTCCCGCGGCGGACGCGCCGTACGGGTGCGCGGGGCGCGGGTACGCGGACATGACGCGCGCGCGGGCGCTCAACGGTCGCGCTGTGCGGCGAGGACGCGCGCGCGACGGGACGGCGCGCGGACGCGCGCGATGGGACGGCGACGGAACGCGCGAGCGACGTCGGGACGCGCGAGGGGAGGCGCGGTGTGACGACGCGGCGACGGGGACGGGGCGCCGGCGGGCTGAAAATTAAAAGCGTCGCGCGTCAACGTCTAGGACGCTTGTTGGACTCGTCGGGGGGATGGTATTCGTCCGGCGCGTCCGATGGGTCGTAATTGTCGGCGTCGGCGTCGAAATCGACGGGCTCGGGAAGCGGGGCGTCGCCGGCTTCGCTGGCGATTTGTCGCACGATGAAGTCGGCGTTTCGCTTGGACGCCTTCTTACGCGCCTTGAGCGCCTTGATCATCATTTGCGTCAGTTCGCCCATGTTGACGCCGCTTTGAGATTCACGCGCGGCTTCGACGCGCGCGAGCGCGGCGCGGAGCTTCTTCTCGAGCGTGTCCAAGGTTTCCGTCATGGTGTCGACGGCGTTTCGCTTGAAGACGATTGCGCTCTCGCAGCACTGCACCGCTCGCAACATCCCGACTGGGTCCTCCGCGTTTTCTACGTTCGTCTCGTCTAAAAGCTCCTCTCGCACGTCCGCATCGAAGCGTTCGCTCGCCGCGGCGACGTCGCGCTCGGCGTTCTCCATCTTGACCAAAAGTTTCGCGAGCGCGGCGTTGTCGCCGCTCAGCGCCGGCACTTCCGCCAAATCATTCTTGTTCTTTTTCGCCACCGGCGCCGCGCTCGTCGCCGCCGGCGCCGCGACTTTCGCCGCCACCGCGGTCGAGCCACCACCACCGTCGCTCGCGCCGTCCAACCACGACTCGGTGCTCGCCCCCGGGAAGCACTGTCGCTCGCCCCACACGCGCAACAACTTCTTCACCTTCTCCGTCGTCGTCCCGTCTCCGTGCTCCACCGCGTGTTTACACGCATCCGGCATGTACCCAACCAGCGCGTCCGCCCACTCCGGTCCCTTTTTCCGGCTCTTTTGCACGATATCGCTCGCGAGGTACAAAAACGGCAACTTTTGCTTCGACGCCGCCGCGCGCAACCGTTCGTCCCACGTCCCCGCCAGCGTCCGCGCGTTTTTCCTGTGAAAGATGCACCAGTGCGAGAGCGTCTCGATCGACTGCGCGCTCCCGTTCAGCGACGCCAGCTTCGTCGTGAACGCGCTCGGCGCATCCGTCATGACGTTCGATTACCGACGCGCGATTCGGATTCGTTCCGCGCGCGCGCCTCGCGCGCGCGCGCCGCCGTCGCGCGCGCGCGCGATCGACGGTCGAGTCGTCGTTCGTTTCAACCGCGGTCGCGTCGTCGAATGGCGTCGTTTCGCTCGCGGTGGTCGTCACACCGCGCGCGTCGTCGAATGGCGACGTCGCGTCGTCGCCGCGCTCGCCTCGGCGCGCTCGTCCTCGCGTGCGTCGCGGCGCTCGCCGCGCGCGCGCGCGCGAGCGACGTCGACACCGAGTGCGCCGAGGCGCGACGCGCGTGCGCGCGCGACGCGCGACGCGCGATCGATTCCGACGCGCGATTGCAAAAGTTTCTCGCGACGGCGACGCGCGACGCGACGCGCGCGGACGGCGACGCCGCGCTCGGGGCGTCGCGGTACGGAGGATTCGTCGCGGATGACGCGCCGAGGCTGGCGTTCGCCGAGCTCGTCGCGCTGGGGTGCTGCCTGTTCGACGGCGAGTGCGCGCGGGACGCGGCGACGCGCGCGGCGAGACGGGGCGACGACGAAGCGGCGGCGACGCGAGACGCGCTCGAGATCGGCGGCGCGCTTTTGTTTCGGGCGAGCGAGCACGAACACTGGACGAAGATGCCGGGGATTGGGACGCTGGGCGCGGACGCGAGGACGTGCGCGGAGGCGACGGGGACGACGAGGTGCGACGACGCGTTGGTGGCGACGTACGTCAAAGCGGGCGACGCGGGAGATGAGCTCGGGGTGCTGCGCGCGGGAGATGCGATGCTGCGAAGGTACGTCGCTGGGTTGGCGACGCGCGTGCAGGGGGAGGGAGCGCGGGAAGAGTGCGACGCGACGCGAGGCGGCGACGTCGGGGACGCCGCGGGCGCGCGAGCGCTGTTCAAGCGACTGTTGACTTCGAATAGGTTTGATAAAGTCGCCGCCGAGCGTTTGCGCGAAGTGACGCGCGCGGAAGAGCTTTGGGTCGATCCCACGCGCGGAGGGACGCCCGATAAAGCGTATTTAATGGCGGATGCGTTGATTCGATTGGCGTCGCGAGGCGCGACGGCGATCGCCGTCTGCGTCGTTTTCTACGTATTTAGAAACTTCACATTCATCGGCGGTGCGTGGCGATTCGCGCGCTCAGTGTTTTTAGCGGTAACGGGGATAAGTTTAGTCACGCGCGTGTTTAAGCGCGTTCGCGCGTTCGTGAAGTGGTTGCGATGGAAGCCGCCCGTGGTGGACACGCGACAGGCGAGACGCGAGGAGGCTCGAAAAAGTAAGAAGCGAGTGTGAAGGTTCGCCTCCGGATTACAACGTGTACTGCTAGCGGTGGCCCGCGATTCGTCTATAGTTTTGTCCTAGGTACTTAGTAGTGTGTGATTACGCGTCGACCGCATTCAAAGCGCCTCTTCCTTCGACATCAAACCGGCGTCTTCGAGCACTTTTTCAAACGTCACGTCGTCGTTGAACGCGACTTCGGGGATTTTGTGGTTGAAGTGCAACTCGATCTGATCGCAAATCGCGCGCTCGGAGTCGCCTAAGATCAAGTTGAACGCCGCGCCTTTTTTACCGAACCGGCCGCTGCGACCGATGCGGTGCAAATACGTTTCGTAATTCGGCGAACGCGGGTTGTGAAACTCAACCGGCATGTCGTAGTTGATGACGAGGGTAACCGTGCTCACGTCCAAACCGCGCGATAAGACATCGGTGGCGATGAGAATCTTCGTCAGTCCATCGCGGAACTCCTTGACGACGCGATCGCGGTCGGCGTGCTCCATTTGTCCTTCGATCACGGTGCACTTGTATCCGCTCGCGTTCATCGACGCGTGCAGACGTCTGGCGCCCTCGCGCGTGCGAACGAAGATGATCGTCTGACCAATCTTATCGCACAGCGGGAAAATCTTCTCCTTCAAAAGCACGTCTTTCGCCTCCACCGTGTTCACCGCGACGCGGTGTTGCTTGATGACGTCGAGCGAAAGCTCAGTCGCCGGAATGAAGATTTGATTGGCGTTTGGCACCACCTTGGTCGCGAAGCTCTTCACCGCCTCGTTGAACGTGGCGCTGAATAGCAACACCTGCCACGCCTTGGCGTTCATGGAAAGATGCTTGAGAATTTTCGTGCTGTCGACGCGATGTCCATCCGTGGCCATCATGTGATCCGCCTCGTCGAAGACGAGAATTCTCATGTTGTTGCACGCCAACTGACGCTCTCGCATCCATCGCAAAATCTTCCCGGGCGTCCCGATCACCGCTTGATCGACGATTTTGTTACGATTTGTGTTATCCCACTTCGGATCCGCCGTGGACGCGATCGTGACTCCGGTGTACTTGCCCATCCTCTCCATCACGCTCACGTTTTGCACCACGAGCTCTCGCGTCGGGCAAATCATCAACCCCTGCGGCGCCTTCAGATTCGGATCGATCCGGCTCAGCATCCCGAGCGTGAAGCACGTCGTCTTCCCACTCCCATTATGCGCCTGCGCGATCAAATTCCGATGCGGCGGCATCAAAATCAGCGGCAACGTCTCCGCCTGAATCTTCGACGGCTTTTCAAACTTCATCTCCCCGTACAGCCCCCTGAGCAGCTCCGCGCTCAGCCCGAGATCCTCGAACGACTTCGCGCTCGCGTACGGCGTCGACGGATCCACGATCGCCTTCACCACCTCACCCGCGTGCTCCTCGCGCAGGCCCTCGCTCTTCAGCGCCACATCCGGCGCGTCCACGGCGTCCGCGCGCGTCCCGATCGCCGGCGCGCCGCCGAGCTGGCTCGCGATGTCCGCGATCTCCGCCGCGTGCGCGCCCGCGCGGACGTCCTCGAACCCGGGCGGCGGCGGGAGGTCCCCGTCGTCGTCCGCCCACGTCGACATCGCGCGCGCCGCCGTCTCGCGCGCCGAATCGCGCCGTCGCGCGCGATCGCGCGATCGATCGATCGATCGCTCGATCGATCGATCGAACCTCGCGTCGTCGATCGCGCGCGCCGCGCGATCGACACCACGACGGTCGCGCGCGCGCGATCGATCGATCGAATCGGTGACGTCGCGAAAAAAACGCGTCTCGCGTGTGGGCAAACAGTCCGACGATGGCGGTCGGTCGCGGATAGGGCGAGGGACGCCGCGCGCGCGTCACCCGCGCGTCGGCACACGACGGCGCGGCGCGCGACGACGCGGACGCGGTGAACGACGGGCGTCAGACGCGAGACGAAGACGACGCGCGGGTGACGCGCGACGCGCGAACGGACGGGCGCGATGGCGACGGCGCGAACGATGGGCGCGGCGGTGACGACGACGACGACGGGGGGGCGTCGCGAGGCGACGCGCGCGACGGGCGCGGCGACGCGAGGCGCGCGCGTCGTGCGACGCGTGATGACGCCGCCGACGCAGGGGAAGATCTCGGAGCAGTCGCGACCGGACGCGAACGGGAGGTACGGCGCGTACGGGGGGAAGTACGTGCCGGAGACGCTGATCCCGGCGCTGCGGGCGCTGGAGAAGGAGTACGAGGCGATCAAGACGGACCCGGCGTTCCAGGCGGAGCTGAAGGATATTCTGAAGGATTACGTCGGACGCGAGAATCCGCTGTACTACGCCGAAAGGTTGAGCGAACACTTCAAGGACGCGAACGGGGAAGGGCCGGACGTGTACCTGAAGCGCGAAGACCTGAACCACACGGGGGCGCACAAGATCAACAACGCGGTCGGGCAAGCGCTGTTGGCGAAGCGAATGGGGAAGAAGCGCATCATCGCTGAGACCGGGGCGGGACAACACGGCGTGGCGACGGCGACGGTGTGCGCGCGATTCGGGTTGGAGTGTATCATTTACATGGGCGCGGCGGATATGGAGCGACAAAAGCTCAACGTGTTCCGCATGCGTTTGCTCGGCGCCACGGTTCGACCGGTGCGCGCGGGCACGGCCACGCTCAAGGATGCGACGTCTGAGGCTATTCGTGACTGGGTGACGAACGTTGAGGACACGCACTACATCCTCGGCTCGGTCGCGGGCCCGCACCCGTATCCGATGATGGTGCGCGACTTCCACGCCGTCATCGGTCAAGAGACTAGAAGACAAGCCATGGAGAAATGGGGCGGTTTGCCGGACATCCTCGTCGCGTGCGTTGGCGGTGGCTCCAACGCCATGGGTCTGTTCCACGAGTTCATCGACGACGAATCCGTGCGCATCATCGGCGTCGAAGCCGGCGGCGAAGGCATCGAGCCGGGCCAAAAGCACGCCGCGACGCTCACCTTGGGCACCCCGGGCGTGCTTCACGGCTCGTTCTCGTACTTGATTCAAGATGAAGAGGGTCAAATCGTTGAGCCGCACTCCATCTCCGCCGGTCTCGATTACCCGGGCATCGGTCCGGAGCACGCCTTCTTGAAGGATTTCGGTCGCGCCGAGTACCACGCCATCACCGACAAGGAAGCGCTCGACGCTTTCGTCGCCACCTCTCGTCTCGAGGGTATCATCCCTGCCCTTGAAACGTCCCACGCCTTGGCGTACTTGTGGAAGCTCTGCCCTGGTCTCCCCAACGGCACCAAGGTTGTCCTCAACTGCAGCGGCCGCGGCGACAAGGACGTCAACACCGCCGCCAAGTTTTTGGACATCAGCGGTGAGGTCGACGGGTGACCGACGACGCGCGCACCATTCGGCACGATTACTTTAGAACCACCAGCCGCGTAACGACGTTATTTTGTTATGGTTACGATTACTTTATATTCGTTTCGCTTCGGGTCCGCGCGTCTTTCATCTTCCATCCGCACACGCCGCCGCGCGTCGTCCGCACCATGCGCGCCTCCCCCGCGCGCGTCGGTCTCGCTCCGCGCGCGCGTCCGCGGCGTACGGTACGACCGCGCCGCGGCGGTCGCGCCGCGCCCACGCGCGCGCTCATCACCACCGAAACCGAAGCTTTCGACGCCTTCATGAAGTCAGCCTCCATGCGCTCGCGCGTCGCCCTCGGACGCGGCGAAAACGGTCGCGGCCTCTTCACCACGGCCCCGGCGGGATGGAAGGCCGTCGAGCTCCTTTTAGAGGTTCCGCTCGACGTGTGCATCGTGTGCCCCGTCGGACGAGGGCTGGCGACGGGGACGGACGCCACGGCGAAGAAGATTGTCGGCGCGTGGGAAAAACGGAATCGCCCCGTGCCGGACGCGATCAAAGATTTGATGTTCTCGAAGGACGAGGATGATCGTGAGTTGGCGGTGGTGCTTTGGCTGTTGTTCGCGACGCGCGCGGGTGGGGATATTTGGGAGGCGTACGCCGCGTGGTTGCCGACGGCGGCGAACGGGCTGCCGTCGACGCTGTTGGCGACGGATGAGGAGCTCGCGTCGACGCAAAACGAAGCGCTGGTGCGGCGGGCGCGAGAGGTGAGGTCGCTCGTTTCGCTCGCGTTCGATCGCGTGCCGTTCGGGGCGGTGCCGGGGAAGCTGACGCCGGACGATTTGCGCTGGGGGTACGCGTTGGTGACGTCGCGCGCGATCGCCGCGGAGGTGGGCGCAGATGAGGAGGGAGGGGCGGACGACACGCAGGTCGCGGTGCTTGCACCGTGTGTGGATATGGCGAATCACGTCGATATCGCGAACGTCACCGCGTTGAAGAAAATTGGCGCGAGCGATGGCGGCGGATTGAAGGGCGCATACTGGAGAGTCGTAACAGGCGGAAGCGTGGACGGCGGCGGTGGCGCGTGTTGCTTGGAAACGAATCGTCCAATCCAAGGCGCGGACGAAGAAGTGACGATTTCATACCAGCCCGACGCCTCGAACGACGAACTCATGGAGAGTTACGGTTTTAGTTTACGAGGTAACCGCAACGATCGATTGGGCGGCGCGAACATCACGTTGCGGCTCGGCGCATTCCGGCAGGCGATGGAAGAGTCGGGCGTGCTAGGTGGATCGACGCCCGAAGAGGATGTTCGCAGAATAATTGCCGTCACGGCATCTGCGTGCGGCGGAATACCTCCGGGAAGAGAACTCGTGGCCGACGACGACTGGACGCTGGAAGGCGACGACATCCAGCGAGAGTTAGACGACGCCGTGAAGCTCGGCGAGGCGTGGGAGCGCGAGTTGGACGCCTTTGCCACGACGCTGGAAGAAGATGAAGCGGAGTTATTAGAAAATAGAAAGTATACCACGGCTTTCGGACGTGCAGCGGTGGAGTATCGTGCCGAACGGAAGCGCCTCCTAGGGGTGGGACTCGGCGCCCTCAGTGCGTACGTGGATTGGTTGTGCGCCGACGACGACGTAGAAGGATAGTCTAATATTAAAGCGACGACGACGTAGAAGGATAGTCTAATATTAAAGGTCAAAACGTCGGCAACTTGAGCGCGTTCATTTTTTTGATGGCAGCCTCAGCGACCGTCGTCAGCTTCTGGACCTCTACCTTTGCCTGCGCGATTGCTTCCTCGTGCGTACCGAGCTTTTGCCGAGCCCTCGCGAGCGTCAAATTCGCCTCCGCTTCATCCTTCTCCGCCTCTGCGAGCGCACACGCAGCCTCGTCTACCTCTCTCTTTGTATCCTCGTACGCGCGTTTCGCCTGTTCTAACGCCCGCAAGCGAGTGTCTAGACTTTCTTTCGTTCTCCGATAGCGTTCCGACGCGTCCTTAAACGCCGACGTCACCGCGCTCCACCGCGAACGCGCCTTGGCGAAGTTCTGCTCGTCGTCTCGCGCCAACGCCTTCACCGCCGCGAGTTTCCGCTCCGCCGTCGCCAGAGATGACTCCGCGGTGTACACTTCCAGAGCGCTCGGGCCGTAGAACGCGCCCGCTGCCTGTCGTACGAAAAACGAGCTGTCGTCAGTCACGAGACCGAAAAGAAACGCGTCGCGCGCGATCGAGACGCGATCGAGACGCGTCGACGCGCACCGCGAGCGCGCCGCCGATTGCGGTGAGCGCGATGTGTCTGCTCGAAGACATCTCGCGTCGCGGAGTGACGCGAGGTGGTAGTGGTTGAAGGTTTGGCGAGCTGACGCCGACTCGCGCGACGCAGAATGCGAGTTTTCTTGAGTCGTTGTACATTCTTGTTACATATCGTCTGTGATACATTCGGAGCATCCGTCGCGCGTGATACCACGGGAACGACCTTCGGAGCCGTGGCTAACAAACGGCGCGACGCGAACGAAATAATCCGTGATGGTTACGGCGCGCGCGCCGTACGAATCTCGGCGAGCGTTTCGATGTCAAACTCGTCGACGCGGCATCGAAGCGCGTCGGCGGTCGAGCGAAGTCTCGCCGCTTCGCCCGCGCCGACGACGAGACTGATGACGTGTAGTTCTCCACCGCACGCGTCGTCGTCGTCGCAGCTAAACGCGCCCGCCATTCGCGCGCGATATTGCGACGCGTCTCGCGGAAAATCAAAGTGCACGAGACACCGCGTCCGCGCCGGCGTCGGCGACGAGAAAGCGTCCGTCGTCACCAACATCGGCGTCGTGCGATCGTCACCGTACGATCGCGCGAGCCAGTCGTTATAGTCTCGCTCTCGCGCGAACGTCGCCATGTCGTCGTGCGGCGCGAACGCGTCGACGTTCGCGTCTCGCGCCGCCTCTCGAACGAGCTCCATCACCAAATCCATCGCCATTCGATCGTCCGCGAACACGCACGTCGCGACATCGTTTCGAATGAGCTCTCGCACCAGCGTCGCGCACGCGCGCTGCGGTCGTCGTCGAAGCGTCGTCAGTCGTCGCCTTCGAGTCGCTTTATTCACTTAATCATCGACGTCCCGCCGCGTCGCGCGCGCGCACCTCTCGTCCATCGCGCGTGCCGCTGGCGATGTAATGATGTCGTATCGTTCGCATGGCCGCCGCGATCGCGTCGCGCGCGCGTTATCGAGCGCGCGAGGTCGTCATGAGTGGAAATCACCGCGTCGCGTTTTGCCGCGATCGACGCGTCACACGAACGCGCGCGACGCGGACGCCGAGCACGCATGGACGCCCTGGAGCAAAAGCAAGAGGAGGTGAACGCGGCGGGCGCGCAGGTGCGCGCGCTCAAGGCGCAAAACGCCGACGCGGATGCGATCGCAGCCGCCATCGCCGAGCTGAAGCGACTGAAAGTCGATCTGGAGAAGGACCTGAACGCGCTCAAGGAGGCGGGGAACGCCGAGGCGAAAGCGAAGGAAGAGTTCCGCGCGAAACTCGGGCAGTTGCTCGAGGGCCGGCTGTTTTATATTCCGTCGTTTAAGATTTACGGCGGCGTGGCGGGGTTGTACGACTACGGGCCGCCGGGGTGCGCGGTGAAATCGAACGTGCAGCAGTTTTGGAGGCAACATTTCGTGCTCGAGGAGAGCATGTTGGAGGTGGAGTGCCCGGCGGTGACGCCGGAACCAGTGCTGAGGGCTTCGGGGTACGTGCGCGACGAGCGAGAACGATATCCAAAACGCGAACTTGAGCCGACTTCGGAGACATTCGACCGATTACCTGTGACGAATCAATTAAGTTCCAGCTATCGCTGAGTAAACCGTGATTATTAAGCTTAACGCACTCAAACCGCTGAGGTTTTTGCGTCGAATGTCGAACGAGATGCGACACGAAGACGACGACCGGGCGACGCGAGACTGACGATATTTTTATCCATCATCCCAGGCACGTCGAAAAGTTCACTGATCTCATGGTGAACGATGTCGTGACAAAAGATTGCTTCCGCGCCGATCACTTGCTCGAAGAAGTGGTGGAGGAGCTGTTGCGTGACCCGATGTTGAAGGCCGACCGCAGACGCGAGTTGGAAGATTTGCAAGCGTGCATCGACGAGCTCAACGTTGAACAAATGTCTGCGGCGCTCAAGGACACCAACACCAAGGCACCGGTCACAGGCAACGATTTGAGCGAGCCGTATCCGTTTAACTTGATGTTCCCGACGCAAATTGGTCCGTCCGGGGCGGTAAAGGGTTTCTTGCGCCCCGAAACCGCGCAGGGCATCTTTGTCAACTTTAGAGATTTGCTCTACTACAACGGTGGCAAGCTCCCGTTTGCCGCGGCGCAGATTGGTCAAAGCTTCCGTAATGAGATCGCACCGCGCGCTGGATTGTTGCGCGTGCGTGAGTTTACGCAAGCGGAAATCGAGCACTTTGTGCATCCGGAGCACAAGGAGCACCCACGATTTGCCGAAGTTGCGGACACCGTTCTCAGTCTCTTTAGCCAGGACGCACAGCTGGGTGAGGTGAAGAAGCCGTTCCCGATGACTGTGGGCGAGGCCGTGAGCAAGGGCATCATCGCGAACGAAACTTTGGGTTATTTCATTGCTCGATGCCACTTGTTCCTTGTTCAAATTGGCATCGACACCAATCGTCTTCGCTTCCGTCAACACCTGAAGCACGAGATGGCGCACTACGCCGCCGATTGCTGGGACGCTGAAATTCAGTGTTCGTACGGTTGGATTGAGTGCGTCGGGCTCGCCGATCGTTCGGCGTTCGATCTCAAGGCGCACTCGGACAAGTCTAAGGTGGATTTGGTGGCGTACGAACGCTTCGACAAGCCGATCGAAGAGACGGTCGTGGAGATCACGCCGAACAAAAAGGTGCTCGGCAAGGCTTTCAAGAAAGACGCGAAGCCCGTCACGGATGCGCTCCTTGCGTTGAGTGAAGCTGATGCTTTTGCTTTGCAAGACGCGTGCGCGGCGAATGGTTCGGCTCCGCTTCAAACAGAGAACGGTGAGCAACAGATCGCGGCTGACATGTTCACCGTGGAAAAAGTCACGAAGACGGTGAACGGGCGCAACTACACTCCGTCCGTCATCGAGCCATCCTTCGGTATCGGCCGCATCATGTACTGCATGTTCGAGCACGCCTTTTACATTCGTCCGGATGACGAACAGAAAACCGTGCTCCGCCTCACCCCGGTCGTCGCGCCGATCAAGACCACCATCTTCCCGCTCGTGAACGATGACAAATTGAACGCCATTGCAGCCGAAATGAACAAGATGTTGACCACGAACGGTATCAGCGCCAAGCTCGACGCCACCGCGATTTCCGTCGGCAAGCGATACGCGCGCACCGACGAGCTCGGCGTCCCGTTCGCCGTCACCGTCGATCACAGATCCGTCACCGAGAACACCGTCACCGTTCGCGAGCGCGATTCGTGCGGTCAAGTTCGCGTGCCGATTCCCGAAGTTCCTGGCCTTCTCGGTCGGTTGTGCAAGATGACCGTCGACTGGGAAACCGCCACAGCGGGCTTCGAAAAGCAAGCCACCGCGGCGGACGAGTAATCGAGCGCGTCTTAAACGTCATGCGTAAACGTTAAACGTCTTAAACGTTTTAGAAGACCTAGCATTCAATATCCAGCGTTATTCTCAGTGATATCCCACGCGCGCGCCGTTTCGCCCGTCGGCTCCCGCGTCGCCGTCCCGCTCGCCGCCACAGGGCCCCGTCGCCACTCTATCCACACAGTTCCACTCCCGACGAACGCTCGCACGCGCGAACGGTCGCGCGAGCGATGCGTTCGAACGCATCACCGCGCGTCCGCGCCGACGGTGTCGTCAACGTCGCCACCGCGCGCGCGCGTCGGCGCCGCAACGTCGACGCGAAACCCACGCGGGGACGCCCCGCGCGCGCCTTCGTCGCCGCGCGCGCCGACGCCGCGCCGCGCGCGCGCGTCGCGGCTCCGCAAAGCTCGCCGGACGCGCGCGCTCGAGACGTGCGCGCGAACGCGATCGCGGAACCGCCTCGCGCGTCGACGTTCGAGCGCGACGAACGCGACGAACGCATCGACGTCACGACGTCGAAATCATCCTTCGGCGCGGGCGATGGCGAGGTCCCGACCACGGACGCGCAGCGCCGGGCGGCGATGCGGAGTCAATCGCCGCTGCGGTACGCGCCGGAGGCGAGCGCGGCGAAGTTCACCAAGGATCCGGTGCGAGTGGCGGCGCGCGCGGCGGACATCGCGACGAGTCTGAGCTCGTTCGCGGCGAGCGTGGCGTTGGATTATCAAAGAGGCACCGTGGAGGAGAACGCGAGGAAACGTGCGGCTGAGTTGAGAGAGAAACTCACGCGACTCGGACCGGCGTTCGTGAAGGTCGGACAGGCGCTTAGTACGCGACCGGATTTGTTGCCGACGCAGTATCTGGAAGAGCTGAGCACGCTACAAGACGCGTTGCCGACGTTCGCGGATGCAGATGCGTTCGCGTTGGTAGAGAAGGAACTCGGACGACCTTTAGAGACGATGTTCCAAAAGATATCGCCGTCGCCAATCGCAGCGGCAAGTCTCGGACAGGTTTATAAGGCGGTGACGATGGAGGGTCGGGATGTCGCGCTCAAGGTGCAACGGCCGAGCATAGAGGGGGGCTTAGATTTAGATTTTTTCCTGATTCGTTCGGGTGCGGTGGTGATCGACAAGCTCGTGACGTCTTTGAACACGTCTGTGGTTGAGCTCGTGGATGAATTCGCCGCGAGAGTGTTCCAAGAGTTGGATTACGTACAAGAGGGTCGCAACGCCGAGCGCTTTGCGCGACTGTACGGAGATCGACCAGACATCGTCGTTCCGGGGATCGAGTGGGAAACCACGTCGCCCCGTGTCATCACCATGGAGTGGATTGAAGGAACGAAATTAAGCGACCAAGAATCGCTCAAGGCGCAAGGCTTGGACGTGCTCGCGCTCGTAGATTCCGGTATTCAGTGTTCGCTCAGACAACTCTTAGAGTTTGGTTACTTTCACGCAGATCCGCATCCAGGAAACTTACTCGCCACTCCAGACGGTCGATTGGCGTTCTTAGATTTCGGGATGATGAGTGAGATGCCGGAGAGCGCGCGGTACGCCATCATCGATCACGTCGTTCACTTGGTGAACCGCGACTACGTCGAGATGGCAAACGATTACTACGCCTTGGAGTTTTTAGATGAAAGCGTAGACGTGACACCAATCGTGCCGGCGCTCGAAGAATTCTTCGATGATGTGCTTGAAGCTACCGTAGACGAGTTGAACTTCAAGACTATCACGGATGGGCTCGGGGCGGTGTTGTACAAGTACCCGTTCAACGTGCCAGGTTACTACGCGCTTATTTTGCGCTCCCTCACCGTGCTTGAAGGCTTGGCGCTCACGACGGATCCAAAATTTAAGGTCTTAGCCAAGGCGTACCCGTATATGGCGCGGCGTTTGCTCACAGATCCTCGCCCGCAACTTCGAGATTCATTCGCCGAGCTGCTCTTCCAGGATGGCAAGTTTCGATGGAATCGTCTCGAAAACTTGCTGCGCGAGGGCAGCAAGAGTGATGACTACGACGCCGCAGCTGTAGTGCCGCCGCTCATCGAACTCGCCATCGGTGAAGATAAGCCGGGTGAGGCGAAGAACACCCTTCGTCCGCTTATCGAGGCAGAAACCGTGAAGGTGCTCGAAGCCATCCTTCTCGGCTCGGCCATGGATTCGGCCAAGTCCGACGCTTTGGCGCCCATCGTAGCCGCCCTTCCGGCGGAACTCCGCGCTTTACCACCGCTCACGTTCGGCAACGCCAAGCAAGAAGCCAAGCTCTTGGAAAAGCGTGAGCAAGTACTACGCATCGTCGAAATGTTTTCGTCGAGCAAAGGCTTTGATCCGCAGACGCTGACGCCCTTCACCGAAGCTTTGCGCAAACCGAGCGCGAGCATCTTCGTCCAACACGTCGCCACCGGTCTCGCCGAACGCATCGCCGCGCGCGTGGTCAACGTCTTCTTACTTTCGCAAGAAGTTACCCCGTCGCCGGCCAAGTCTGCGGACGCGACGGCGTCTCCTCGATGACACCGCTCGCGCGCGCATTTTCGGCCATCGACGCCGTAGCCCGTTAGGTACGCTCTCATCCCTCGAACGTTGTTAATCAACATCTCGCATTATTTACGCACTCTTTCGCCCCGCATGCGTCGCGCTTTCGATCGGAATCGGCGCGCGACAGACGCCGCGGCGCCGCGCGAGCGCCCGAGCCAACGACCACTGCCGCACATCGCGACGCGCGCGATGCCCCCGTCGCCGCCCTCGAGCGCGCGCGCCGCTCCCGGCGCGTCGAGCGCGCCCAAATCCATCCTCAAACCCGACCGCGCGCGGCGCGCGGCGTCCGCGCCCGCCAATTCGCCGCCCTCGAGCGCGCCCGCGGTCGGTTCGCTCACCGACCTCGAGCGACGAGAATTGCGCCTGCCGACGACGCGACGCGTCGCGATCGACGGAACCGAAGACGCAGAGGCGCGATCAGTGATAATTGAACGCGCGAGCGCTGCGATATCGCGAAGAGATGCGCGAGGGAAGTTTGTCGGACGGGCAGAGACGCTGGAAAAGCTGCGCGCGCACGCGCTGCGAGACGACGCGCCGAACGTGTTCGTGCTCGAGGGCGAACGAGGGAGCGGCGTGAGCTCGGTGCTGAGCGAGTTCGTTAAAGATTTGCGCGAACGCACGGCGAGAATGATAGAGGAGGAGGAGGTGACGGGTGAGAGGGTGATGGGGAAGAAACCGCTGGCGTTGCACGTGTGCTGTCGAGGACCGACGCCGGGGGAGTGCGATTTGAGGCATGTGCTGTGGACGATGTGCGAACGCGTGCGAAAGATGCTCGGACAAGCGAGATTTACAAACATGCCGGTGACCGCGGAAGAGACGGGACGAGTGTTCGTTCGATTGATGGAGGAATTGGCGCTGACAACATCGAGCGTGGTGGTGCTTGTCGTAGACGATTTAGACGCGGCGGCGGAGCTCGGCTCGGTGAAAATGTCCGACTGGTTGCCGTCTTCTATGATGTCAGACGTTCGTGTGATCATTGGCGCGCGAACGAAAGGAGATGCGGTGAATTATTTAGCGAGCGGCGGTGAAAACGCGGCAGCCGTTGCGAGGAAGCGGTTGCCACCGCTCGGCATCAAGGAACGCACGCAGCTCGCTCGCGGCCTTTTCAGCCGAAACGACGAGCGAGAAATCACGAGTGATCTGTTTGAGCCAATATATAGCTACAAGGACGCGAGTTCGCCGACTTATATCTATCTTGTCGCGCATGAAATGCGTCGACGGGTAAAATTGAGTCAGCGCAGAGTCGACGCACCTCTGGACGTCGCGCACGAGTTGAGACAAATACCTGAGACGATCGAGCAGTTGTTAAGGTATATATTCGAAGGATTAGAGTACAACCACGGCCATAATGTGGTGCGTCAATTGTTCACGCTCATGGCTTCTTCACGCGCTGGCCTTTCAGCGAATGAAATCGCCGATATTATCGAGGTCGGTAGGACGTCTTCGTCGTTCTTGGCGCTCACGGATGACGTCGCGCATCTTTGCTGGTGCTATGAAGAAGACGGCGCGCGAGCGCCTGAGATGCCGCAAGATGCGCTCGTCCTACGATCATCGGTAGTCATCGACTATGTACGCAGCAGGTACTTGGTGAAGGATGAAGCAAAGAATAACATTCAACGCGACGCCATGACGTACTTCCTGCGCAAGTTTTCCGACACGAGTGGTGATTTCAACGTGCACCACGTCCTCGAGTTACTGCATTTTGTGAGAAACGGTGAGTGGTTGGTCGCTAGGGATCAGTTCATGGGCTACATCACAGATCCACAGGTGATTCATTTCTTGTGGAAACAGCGATATATCAACGAGCTGGTATTGAGTTGGAAAATTGCGACGGCGACGCAAGTATCGGACGTTGTCCAGCGCACCCCCATGGAGTCGATTCTCACTCGCCTCGGAAGAATGAACGATCGCACGCGGGACTCGTGTGCTGAATCTATCGCCGACTTCATGAAGTGGATTTCAGATTACACGAGCGTCATCGCGGTGTGCGATCTCGCGTGTAGTCGAGCAACGTTTCAGCTGCAACATGCAGCGTCGCTCAACATGAAGTACGCAAATGCTTTGCGTCAGACGGCGGATTGGGAAAAAGCGGCGAGTGTGGCAAAGCTCGCTCGGAAGTTCGAGTCAGCAAACTTCAATGGAAATACACCTTTAGGTGCGATGATCATGAACGAAGAGAGTCTGTGCTTGGTGCGCACAAAGGATGAAGAAATTACCCTCGATAATCATAACCTGCGAGGGACGAAGGGTGAAGTCGAGGAATTCATTAACGACGCTCTAGAGAGTGCAGAGGCGTCCTTAGCGGCGTGGCGAGTCTGCATGAAAGACAAGAGCGTGAAGGAAGTATTCAATCACGCCGCTTGCGTAACAATGAATGTAGCGACGTTGTATGGGTTGAAGGGTAAAGGCTTGAAGGAAATCGAAATACACGAACAACTGATGGACGAGTTGGAAAACAAGCTCGGTGCTGATCACGACGCTATATATCGCGAGATGCTTCGATTGAGTGCGGTCTACGCTAGGCATGGAGAATGGGATAAAAGTGAATTCTGCATGGAGCAAGCACTCAAACATTGCGTCGACGCGTACCCGGATCGTTCTCTAGGACTGCTTGAGAATTTGAGATCCCTCGCGAAAGTGTACGTTATGAAAAATGATTTAGTCAGCGCTCGAGAGGTTTACGAAGACGTGACGAAGGAGATGGAGTGTGTCACCGATTCAAACGGTCAACCATTGCTTTTGGAACTTCTCGCCAGCGTGTTCACCGAGCACGCGCGTGTTCTGCGTAAACTGAAAAAGCCCGAAGAGGCAAAGCAAACGTTCATCAAGGCGCTCAACATCACCAAGTCAAGATTTGGAGATTTGCATCATGGAACAGCTGAAAGATTGAGTGATTTAGCGTCTATGCACTTAGAGTTACGTAACTTCGATCAAGCGAAGGCTTTATACACGAAAGCACTCGACGTGGATACGCAACTTTTCGGGCGAAATCACCCCAACCTCGCTGTGCATCAAATATATCTCGCGAGTGTTCTAAGAGCGCGTGGTGAAAATCTCGAAGCGCTCCGTCAATACAAAGAGGCGGAAGCCATTCTCAAAGAAACGAATGAAACTGTGCACCCAGGACTCGCTGCGAGTCTAAATTCCTTGGCTGAAAAATACAAGAGTATGGACCAAGCCCAAAGAGCCGAACCTCTGTACAGCCGTGCTGTCGAAATCGCCGAACATGATTTCCACGCTAGTTCAGAGCTTGAAACTTACTTGATCAATCTCGGGAGATGTTATAGATCACAAGGTAGAACACTTAAGGCGAAGGCGTGTTTCGAGCAGGCGCTGAAAATCGCTGAGGGCGAGTTCGACGCGGCGCACACCAACATTGCTACGCGATGTGTCGAGTTGGGTGAGTTGTTGATGGAAATGAAAGAGTGGGGTGAGGCACTACCGTGTTACACTCGCGCGAAAGATATCAGAGTGCAAAAGTTCGGACTCGATCATCCAGGCACGCAAGTGGTGCTCGAAGCGATCAAACTCATCACGGCCGAGCTCAACAAAGTCAAACAGAGCGGTGTAGTGAAGGTCAAAGTCGCGCAGTATGAAGAAATCGCTGCGAAGTCTGCGGAGACGACTCCAACAAAATCAGCAGATGTCGACCCGCTCTTGAAAATTAGTTTTGACGCGCTTCGTGATAGTGCGAAAAAACAGCGCAAAGATAGCGTGCAAGAAGCGTTGCAGAAATTGGCGTCGTTGACGAATTCCAAGGAATCAAACGAAGTCTTTGAAGAGGAAGAAGAGGTTGCCATCGTCAAACACGACGATATAGTCGAGGCAACGACAGAAACTGTCATTGTGCCACGCGAGCCACCGCGCGAAAAGTCGAAACCGCCACCAGCGCAAGTTAAGGTGCAGGCGTCTGTGAAAAAGTTGGAACTGGGAGACATCAACGGCTTCTTGGCTGAGTTCGTCGAGTACACGGGTCATCGTCAGTATAAGTTCAAACTGGATGACAAAGTTTTCCCGCGATTTTCTCTCATTCGCGATCACGTGGAAGAACATTTTGAGGATGAATGCAGAAGATGGAGTCGAGGCGAGTTTGTCGGACCGCTGGCTAAGTCTCCCGTCAAGGCTGAGTCAATGAACCTCCCATCCGTGGCGATCAAGCCGGTTTCCAGCCCTGAGGAAGCCGAGCGAAAGTCGCACACAAAACCACCTGTCGCCCGATACGCTAAGCCACCGATAATTGAGTCCCCGCAGAGCGAAAGCCTCGGTGGTGGAAAGCCGTACGCCGTCGCGCGATCGCCGAGCGACGATACGCCGCAGTCAAAGATGCGCGTGGAGCAGCCCGTGGCTATATCCGGCGACCTCGTGACCGTTCCAGTGAAAGAACATGAGTACATGGTGACAAAAATTGGAGCGCTCGAATCTGAACTCGCGACGATGCGTGAGATGATGCAGCGGATGATGTACGACAGGATGTACGCGCCGCCGCCGCATTTCGCGCCGCCGCCGCGAGAGTCCACCAATCAAAACGCCGCCCCGGTGGGCGTGCACGCTGATTACATGTACGATCGTAAATTCATGTCCTCCAACGGCTACGACGCCGCCATGAACGCACCGCCACCATCTTCGGGCATCAAGTACGTTCGCGAACCGTACTCGCCTTCGAAGCATTTCTCGCTCGCGCCCGCGCCGAATTTCTCGTCACCCTTGACCGACGCCTCGGCGCGCCCGCGGGTGGTTGGCGAGCACACGCAACCCAAACGAAAGCTTTTCCGACTTTGATTCCCCGTCTGATTCAGACCAGTCGCGCACGGAACGAAACGATCCATTCGCGTTGTAACGTAGCGATATTCGTCGCCGCCACTCGCCGCACACACCCGCGCGCCATGTCAGGCCTACGCCGATTCGCCGCGCGCGCGCGCGCCGCGCGCGCAATCCTCGACGGCGCTCGCGCATCGTCCGCGCTCGGCGACGCCGTCGCGCGTGGCGACGCCGCACCGCGACGACAACTTTCGACGATGCGCGCGCGCGGTGACGTCGCGACGACGGCGTCGTTCGACGACGCGCGAGGCGGGACGGCGATGCGCTGGTGTCTGCTCTCGATGCGCGCGTCGACGCCGGCGGCAGCGCGGGACGTCGCCGCGAGGTCGTATAGCAAGAAGAAGAAGCAGAAACAAAGAGCGGCGGCGGCGAGCGACGAAGACGGCGACGGCGACGAGGACGGTGACGGCGACGGTGGCGAGGAAGGCGACGTCGTGGAGTACGACGCGAAAGAGTGGCAGAGGTACGTCGATGCGAGGGCGCGCACTCGATGCGCGCGGTGATGCGCGCGCGAATGCACGACTGACGCGGACGTCGCGAATAGTAAATTTGACGCGGCGTTGCACGCGTTGGATGTCGATTTGTCGCAGTTGCGCACGGCGCGCGCGTCGGCGGGGATGATTGATCACATTATTGTCGATGTATACGGTGAACCGACGCCACTCTCGCACTTGGGCACGATCACGGCGCCAAATGCGCAGACGCTCTCCGTCACGCTGTTCGATCCGAGCACCAAGCCGAGCGTGGAGAAAGCCATCGTGAACTCGCCGCTCGGTTTCGTTCCCAAAGAGTCCAGTGATGGTTTGATCGTGCCCATTCCAGCGATGACACAGGATACGAGGAAAGAGGTGTGCAAGCTCGCGAGCAAGCTCGGCGAGACGGCCAAGATTGCCGCGCGCAACATCCGGCACAAGGCGCAAAAGCGAATCAAGCGCGCCGAAATGTCGGAGGACGATCGAAAGCGCGCGGAGAAGAATTTACAAGCGCTCACCGACGACATCGTGGGAAAGATCACGCAGCGATGTGCGGCGAAGGAGAAGGAAATCATGACGTTATGAGCGACACGAGCGCACTTGTTGTAGAAAATCCGAGCCGACCGCTCGCGTCTCATCCGTCGTCCCGAAGCCGCGGCGTCGTCCAGCCTCGGCGTCACTCTGCGTCATGTTCGCCCGCGTGTCCGCGCCCGCGCGTCCGCGGACGACGCCACAAGCGTCTCGCCGCGCGCTGTCGACGCGATGCGCCCCGCGAACGCCTTCCGCGCCGCGCGCCGACCTCAAACCGCGTCCGCGACAGGAAAACGATTGTTTTCAAATCGCGGCGACGTCCACGCGCGCGCTCGCGCCTCCCGCGCAGTTCACGCCCGCGCAGGTGTTCGCGTTCAAGTGTGGCTTAGTCCTGGGTCTGCCACTGGCGTTGTATAAGATTGCGCTGGACGTGCGGGCGCAGAACATCGCAGAGCGTCGGCGCGCGGCGGCGCTGGGAGCGAAGACGCGCGCGGCGAGCGCGCTCGACGGAAGACGGGACGGGATGCTGCGCGCGGACGCAGTGGCGGCGAAGCGAGAGGCGCGATCGGAGATGCGACGAAGGACGAATGTGATGGACATTCCGGTGGCGAGCAATAAGAAACGGGAGGTGGTGATGCCGACGCGCGCGATGGCGAAACCGGCGACGAAACCGACGGCGGCGGTTGAGTCGAAAGCGACGGCGCGGGCGCCGAAAGCGAAGGGACCGCCGGTGAAGATAACGCTGGCGACGCAGTGCGCGCTGCCGGATGGCGTCGGGTTAGCCGTAGTAGGGGATGACTCGGCGATCGAGAGGCCGATCGCGATGCAACGCGTCGGCGCGGATCGATATCAAATCGTCCTCGAGGTGGGATCGGGAAATTTGACGTACATGTACGTGGCGAAAAAGGGGGATAAATTGATCAAGGAAAATCGAGTGAAGGAAGGAAAGGGTGAACGCACGAGACAGATCGACTTGGACGGTAAACCACTCGTGATCGAAACCGAGGCGCCGGTTTTCTAATTTCTAGAGATTTGCAACAGCTGCGCTACGCTATAATTTAACTGCTCCTCTTCGGATATCGACCGCGCGATTTCGGTTGAGGCGGCTTGCCTTGCTTGCGAGCTCGTCTCGAACGCCACTGATCGTCGAACTCGTTCGCCATGGTCTCGATGTCAACCATCGAGGGCATCTCGTTTTTGTGCAAAAATATCGAACATCGCGCCTCGCTGGAGTCAGAGTCGGGTGCAACGATCACTGCACCAGGAGCGCCGGCAACGCGCGCAAAACATCCGACGTTGACCTCTTCACTAAATCCACGCGTGCGTGCGCGAGGACGCAAGATATTTGTGACTGCGTTCGTCGTCAGCGACGATACCCATCGTTCTTGCTTGCGCGGCGGCCCGAACGTTTTTCGAATGTCAAACATGCTCACCCCTGGGTCTCCTGGATTCGACATCCAAAGCGCGAAATCTTCCAAATCGATGCAACTTGATTGCTCCGACGCGCCCGCAATGTGCGAAAACGGCGACGCAAACGTCGCGACAACTTGTTCGTGTGGCATGGCTCTGCGATCCCACATCACGGCGCCATCCGCCACGACGGCGGCTATCAACGGACCATTCACCGCGATGGCTCGGATCTCTGCCTCGCTTGCATACGACTCGGGAAGATTGAGCGTATCGACAAAAGTCGCGCGATTCAAGTCAACGCCCACGACTTTTTGAAAAGTCGTTCCAGCCCAGAGACGAGACGTGGCGCCGCCGATGTACGAGCGGTTTGAATAGGAGTTTCCGCCGAACATGCTCATGCATGTGGCTCCGTGATGCGCGTTACCGCCATCGCCATCGTGCACCAGGTCCCCAAGCGCGATTGAAGTCACGCTCGCGACTTCTTCGGTGTCCCAAATTTCTAAATTTGTACTCTTCGCGCTAGCACAAACTACGAGCGACGTCGCAGGAATGCCGCAAAGCGCCGTTACGGCGTAATCGTTTGCAATGGCGTGCGCTCTGCGCTGCACGTACTCCAATGTGTCGCTCTGCCATATCCGTAATCGACCGCCGTCGTCCCCCGCGACGATGCTCGACTGATTGATAGCTAATGCGGTAAGTCCGCGCGTTGCCGAACTCTTCTTCTCGACGAATAACGACGCCAAACGCCCGCCCGCGTCGTCGTCGCCGCGAGCGCCGTGGTACCAAATCTTCACCTTTTCCCGATCGAACGACGTCACCGTCGTTTCGTCCGCGATCAATCCGCGCACAAAACTCGGACCGACGCCAAAATGGACGGGTTTCGGAAACTTCGTCTCGCCCACGTGGGATTCCCCGAGCCACCGCTCGCTGGAGAGAAATGAAACCACCATCGCGCGGTCGCCGTCGGCACCCTCCTCCGCCGACGCCCGCGCGCGACCAAACATCGACTCATACCGCTTGTCCCGCATGAATTCTCGCTGGGACAATATCCACGTCGATTTACACGTGGCCGCCAATCGCACCGCATCTCGCAGATTAAGAAAGCCGAAAATCCGCTCCCAGACTTCGCTCGGCGCGTGGTCCAACGCGCATCGAGCCGCCGTCGCGTCTTCGTACCGCATCTGTCGCGCCGTCCCATCATTCCTGGGCCAAATTACATAACCATCATCATCGTCGTCGTTTCCGAGCATCTCCACTCGCTCGACGTCCCGCAGTCGCGCCTCATTCCGTCGCACTGACTCGACGAACGCGCTCGCTTCGCAGACTTTGACGTCGCCGTCCTCGCCGCGGCGCGCGACGAACGTCTCGCGCTCGAGCTCCGTCAGGCTGATTCGCTCGAGCAGCGCGCGCAGTTCGACGACATTCGTCGCGGTGCGAGCGTCGCGCGGCGTCGGCGACGATTCCGACGGCGACGCCGACGGTGAGCGTCGCTCAGCGCGCTGCTCTCGCTTGCGTCTCGACGCGTTACGAAGCAATTTCGCGCGCGCGCGCTGCGCTTTACCACTCGAACCGGGAACGTACTTGAGCGATGGAGCGTGTTCGTCACGAACACGCTCGGCCGCCGCGGACGCGACGTCCTCCTCCGACGAAGCGTCGGAGGAGGACGCGGCGCGCCGCGAGGCGCGAGGCATCGTGTGCGGGACGCGTCGGCGACGAAGCGCCACCGGAAACGCGCGCTGTGAATGCAACATTCTTTTCCATGGGGCTATCTACGATCGAGCTATCTACGATGGGTCTATCTTCAAAGGCACTACCTTCGAAGGGACTGTTCTTCGAAGGGACTGTTCTTCGGCGCGTTCGTCGCGTCGGTTACGCTCCGGCTTCGCCTCCCTCCGCGAGACGACTCTTCATGTCTATGACTCGCTCCGCCAGCGCGTCCACAAACCGCACGGCGCGCTTGCGCGCCGCGCGCACGTCGTCATCGCCCAAGCTATCGATCCCGTCCAAGTGCACCAACGCTCGCTCGAACGCGTCGCTCAAAAAGTGTAACCGCTCGCGCGTTCGCGCGCCGTCCGATCCGAATCGTTCCAGCGCGTCCACCTCCGCGCTCAGGCGTTCGCACTCTCGCGTCTTATCATCGATCGCCGTCGTCGCTCTCCGCTTCGCCGCGGCGTCGTCTGAAGAATTCTCGTCGCTCCGCGCTTCGGCGAACTTTCGCTTTTGTTCGTCGCGCAGTCGCCGCAGCTCCGCATCCATCGCGCGGCGTCGCGCGGCTGGATCCGGCATCACGCTCACCCGCAACCGCCCATCGCGCGTCGCGTGTTTTCGCGGCGAGTCGTCGTCTCGGCACGCCTTTCCCTTGACGTGCACGCGCACGGTGGACGCGTCGACGCGCGCGCGCGTCGCCAAGATTTCGCGCAAGTCGGCGAACGTGACGTCCTCCGGCGCGTCCACGACGAAGCGTCGCGCGTCGAGCGGCGCGTCGGGGACGGCGATGACGTCCACGGTGACTCGGAGCATCGGCGCGGCGACGCTCCGCGCGCGCGGCGCGGCGCGGCGCGGCGCGCTTTGAGGGACGATGGCTAAGTGCGTACGCGCTTTACAGGTGCTATATACAGACGGCGCGAGAGCCGAGCTTCAAAGCTTAAAAGCGGCCGGGAACGAACGACGGGGCGTCCGAGCGGAGGAGCGGTGGCTTTTTCAGGGCCACGTCCATCGCGCGCGTCGGCGCGGCGGCGCCGGAATCGGCGCGTTTCTGGGGCGACGAGTCTTCGCCGTCGGAGAGTTCGAGCTCGTCCATGGTGGTTTCGAGCGCGCGCTGGTCGTCGTCGTCGTCGTCGTCGTCGTCGTCTTCGGCGTTCGTGACGTCTTTGTCTTCGTCACCGTGCACGACGCGACCGAGTTTGGCCATCGCCTTTTCCATGAAACTCGATACGAAGGTGAATCCGAGGAATTTTTCTTGTTCGCCGGAGACGGGCGTCGCGGCGACGGAGTCCACGGGATCGACATCCGTCCATCGCGTGTCGAAGTTTGCGGTGCAGTGCTCGCCGTGAACGTTCGGCTTGAACGGTGGAGGATTCGCCTTTGCGGCGATCTTCGCCCAGTCCACGCCTTTAAAATATTTGTGACTTTTGATATCCGCCGTGCCGTCGTCGCCGCGACCGAGGCGCATCGACGGATCTTTCGCCAATAAACCCTTGATGAGCCCCACGGCTTCGGGTTGGAAGTAATTCGGCACCTTGACTTTTTCGCTGCAGATTGCCTTTTGCACCGCTTGCTTGTTCTTCCCCTTGAAAGGCAGCGTGCCGGACAACATCTCGAACATCAGCACTCCCACGGACCACCAATCCGCCGTCTTGCCGTGTCCCTTGGCGTTTAAGATTTCCGGCGCCATGTAATCGATCGATCCCGCGAGCGAATTCGCGCGCTTATCGTCAACGATCCTCTTCGCCAACCCGAAATCCGTAATCTTCACGTGTCCATCGTGATCGACCAATATGTTCTCCGGTTTCAAATCCCTATGCATGATGCTCAGCGAGTGCAAGTGCCCGATGGCGAGACAAATTTCCGAAATGTAAAACTTGGTCAGCTCATCCCCGAACGTCCCTTGCTGATACAACTGAAAAAACAAGTGCCCGCCGTTAATAAATTCTAAAATCAAGTACAATTTACTCGTCGTCTGGAACGAATACCGCAGACTCACGATGAACGGATGCGTCACCGCCGTCAAAATGTCTCGCTCCGCTCTCGTGTACTCGGCTTGGTCCTTCTCCACGATGCGTTCCTTCTTCATCACCTTCATCGCGTATATCGCCCCGCTATCTTTTTTCCTCACTTGAAACACCTTCCCGAACGCGCCCTGTCCGACCAATTTCAATATATCGAAATCATCGGGCGTGAGTTTCTTCTTCGGCGCGCTCGGCGCGACGTCGATGAGCAGTCCGCTGTCGATCCTTCGCAAGCCTTGGCTCAGCATGCTCAGCGACGAGCTTCCGCTCCGTTTCAGCGACGGCGACGGCGTGTCCGCATCGCGCGCGGCGTTGATCGCTTCCTCATCGCACGCCCCGCTGCTCGATCGGCTCAGCGCGCGCGCGTCCGCGGGCGACGTCGCGCGCGGCGGCGCGGCGAGCCCGCTCAGCGCCCACGCCTCGGCGACGGCGTCCGCGTGCGCGCGCGCGTCGCCGGCCGCGCGCGCGGGCGTCGGCGACAGCGAAAACCCACGCGTCGACCGCGCGGTCGTCGCGTCGTCCATGCTCGCGCGGCGCCGTGTGACGGACGTCGGCGCGAGGGATGAATGGATAAAGTCGGCGTCGAGCGGGACGACGCGCGGCAGAGCGCGACGCGCGACGTCGAGCGAGCGAACGCGCGTCGAACGCGTCGCGGTAAAGGTTTAGAGCGCGCGCGAGCGACGCGCGCGCGCGAAGGCGTCGCGAAGGCGTCGCGAAGGCGTCGCGAAGGCGTCGCGAAGGCGAGGGAGGGGTTTCCGCGGCGCGCGCGAACGAAACGCGCGCGCGCGACGCGCGATGGCGACGACGACGCGCGCGATCGCGCGCGCGAACGTCGCGCGATGCGCGAGAACGTCGCGGAGGGAGGCGCGCGCGAGACGAAGCGCGACGGCGCGAGGGGTGCGGTGCGCGGCGGCGGCGACGGAGGCGACGGAGGCGGCGGCGTACGACGACGGCTTCGTCGGACGCGCGGCGACGGCGACGACGCGACCGGGGACGCTGGCGAAGACGGATGAGGTGGTTGCGCTGCGATCGGCGCGCGCGCCGACGAACCGAGCGGAAGAGTATCGATTCACGGATTTCAGCGCGTTGACGACGGCGACGCTCGTGGGGCCGAAGGAGGGGGCGAGCGCGGACGCGAGCGCGACGCGCGTGGAGGATGCGTGCGCGACTGTCGTTTTGGTGGACGGCGTGTTGGATGCCACGCAGAGTGACTTTGAAGGCGCGGCGAAGGCTGGGATTAAAATCAGCGTCGGTGCGGCGGATGCGACGACTGGAAAGCAGAGCGCGACGCGGGGTAACGTTTTCGCCGCCATCAACTCGGCGAGCGCGGCGGATGTCGTCGTCGTTCGCGTGCCCAAGGGCGTGAAGTGCGCGTCGCCGGTCCATATCGTGACGATGTCTACGGGTGGTGAAAACGGTGCCACGCGCGTTTCGGCGCCGCGAATCACCATCGTGGTGGAGGAAGAGGGCGAGTTGTGCGTCGTCGAAGATTTCGCGGGCGAGGGCGAAACCGAGTACTGGCAAAACGGCGTCTGCGAAATCGCCGTCGAAAAGGGAGCGTCGATGAAGCATGCGCTCATTCAGAACCACGGCCGCGGGGCCACGCACACGCGCACGACGCTCGTGACGCAGGCGGAAGATTCGAAGTACGAGGTGAATGAGATTTCCGTCGGCGGCAAGACGGCGCGTCATGATTTGAACATCAAGCAGCTCGGTCCGCGCACGGAAACCGTCCTCGGATGCTTCAACCTCGCTGGTTCGAATCAAACCTTAGACTTACACAGCAAGCTGCAGTTAGATCACGAAGAAGGTTCGAGCAATCAGGTGCACAAGTGCATCGTGAGCGCGGCGAGCGGTAAAGGCGTCTTCGACGGCAACGTTCAGGTGAACCGCATGGCACAGCGCACGGACGCGCAGCAGCTTTCGCGTAACTTGTTACTCGTTCCTAAGGCGACGGTTAACGTCAAGCCGAATTTGCAAATCATAGCGGACGACGTGAAGTGCACGCACGGGTGCACCGTGAGCGATTTGGAAGAGGAGGAGTTGTTCTACATTCGCTCGCGAGGTTTGAGCGCGGAGACCGCCCGCTCGCTCTTGGTGAGCGGTTTCGGCGTCGACGTCATCAGCCGCTTACCGGGAAAAGATTTGCGCGATCGCGTGAACTCCATCGTTCGCACGTCGCTCGAGCGGGATCGAGTCGCGTTCGAATGGACGGGTGACACGTAAACGTTTTAATATTAATACTCAAAATTCATAATTTATGACACCGTCGCGGATTCATACAAGTCACAGTCGCAATTCATTCATATTTCATTCACAAAACACCTCATGGTCGTCGTCGTTCGATCGTCGACGCTCAATAAAACAGTTCCTTGCTCTTGCCGTTGATGAGCTTGCACAACTCGCCGTACGAGTACTGGTCGAAATCGTCGCCGAACTCCACGCGAGAGCACTCAGTGACGCAATCCGCGCCGTCCACCGTGGCTTCAAACTCAACGTACTTCGAACCGAACGCCCCGGCGCCCGCAAGATTCACGGTAATCATCTTATCGTCCGCCGTCTTCACCGTCGCCGAGTTCGCGTCTCTCGGCGTCACTTCGCCCACGACGAGCACCGTCTTCCCGATAAAGTTCACCAGCGCTTCACCGTTCACGCGCGGTCGCGGCGCGGAATCATCCATGTTCTGCCATCATCGCGCGCGCGCCCGGTCAGTCGCAATCGCCTCGTCGTCGTCGTCGTCGTCGTCGTGGGTTCGCAGCTGTCGAGGTGTCCGAAAGTTTGAAATCGCGATCGTCATCGTCGTCGCGTCGCGCGCATCGCGCGCATCGTCCACCGCGGCGCGCGCATCGCGCGCGGCGCGCGCGTTCGCGCCCGTTCGCACCTCGTCGGTCGTTCACGAATCGATCGCGCGTCGTCGCGCGCTGAAAAGTGCGGCGACGCGTCGCGAGATTCAAATCTCGACGTCGCGTCCGCGTTGGGGACGAAGGCCAAAACGCGACGCGCGCGCCGCCGCGATGAGCGCGACGCGCGCCGGGGTGACGCCGCTGCCGAAGTATAAGCTCGTGTTCTTAGGGGTGCGCGCGCGAGGCGCCTCGATCGCGACGCGCGCGACGAACGACGCGATGAAGCGCCGTTCGGGACAGCGCGCGGGACGCACATCGAGGGAAACGACGACTGACGATCGCTCGAACGCGCTCGAACGCGCCGCGCAGGATCAATCCGTGGGGAAGACGTCGATCATCTCGCGATTCATGTACGACAAGTTCGACAACTCGTACCAGGCGACGATCGGGATCGACTTTTTGTCCAAGACGATGTATCTGGAGGATCGCACGGTGCGGTTGCAGTTGTGGGACACGGCTGGACAGGAGCGGTTCCGGTCGCTCATACCGTCGTACATCAGGGATAGCTCGGTGGCGGTGATCGTGTACGACGTGAGCTCGCGGGCGAGCTTCGTGAACAGTGCGAAGTGGATATCGGAGGTGAAGGCGGAACGCGGAGGCGACGTGATAATCGCGTTGGTGGGGAACAAGACGGATTTGGACGGACGCGAGGTGAGCGCGGCGGAAGGCGAGGCGAAAGCGAAAGAAGAGGGCGTGATGTTCATCGAGACGAGCGCCAAGGCGGGATTTAACGTCAAGGTGTTGTTTCGCAAAATCGCGGCGGCGTTGCCGGGGATGGAGACGCCGAGCACCAAGGCGGACGAGGACTTGGTCGAGGTAAAACTTACGGGACAAGCGCAGCAATCGGCGAAATCGTCGTGTTGTTAGCCAATCGCGGCATCGGTAGTCCGGTATTAGGAACCTAGAACTCGAACGGGCTTTGCCGAATACATTACTTCGCTACCAAACATCCTGCGACACTAAAGACGACGACGACGACGACGATCCCTCACCATTCTAAGCGTTTTCTCTCTCCGCGATTACAGACATTCTACATATTCTAAACCTACGTGCGCACCGACCGACGCTTCGGCGCGCGTTCGCCCTCGTCCCGCGTCTCGAATCGAGTCGAATCGAATCCGCTACGACTCCTTCGCCTGCAACACCGGCCGCACCAGCGGCGTCATCTGCGCCATGTAAATCACCGCCCACATGAACCAACAGCAGAACACGCTCGTGCCGTACATCACGTGCAGGAAACTGCGTCGTCCGCGCGTCGTGCCGTCAGTCATCGTCGTCATCCTTTCGTTCACTCGTGCAGCCGTCGACCGAGCCATCCGTCGTCGTCGCGTCGCGTCGCGTCGCGTCGCGTCGCGCGTCACGCACGATCGTCGCGCCGCGGGCGCCGAGCCCTGGACGTAGGCGTAGAACACCCCCTCGAGCGCGGCGAACGCGAGCGTGGTGAACCAGAACCCCATCCGCGCGTCTTCGTCTGACGCCGCGCGGTCGTCGCGATTCGACGACGCGCGCGCCGGCGCGACGCGTCGCGATGCGAGACAAGCGCAAGCTGTTGACGCTGGATGACATCAGCTCGCGGTTGCGAGGTGCGCGACGCGCTTTCGACGCGAATCGACGGTCGTTCGTGGGTCGATTGGTCGAGACGGCGATGATTGCTCGAACGCGTTTCGCGACGGCGCGACGCGACGGCGCGCGCGACGACGACGACGACGGGCGCGAACGAACGACACTGACGCGCGTGCGGTTCGAAACGACAGGGAAGTACGTGTCCGTGGCGTGGCCGGAGACGGGGGTGTGGTACGACGCCAAGGTGATGGAGATCGACGCGAAGGCGAGAACGGCGACGCTGTGGTACCCGGATTCGCTCGGCCCGGACGCGGAGGAGGGCGAACGCGAGTCGATCAATCTCGAGGAAGCGATTTTAGACGATGAGGTGTCGTGGCCGGTGTACAGGGACGAGGCGCACGCGAGGGAGATGATGGCGCGACGAGACGCGCAAGAGGCGCGAGGCGCGAAGCGGGAACGGACAAAGCAACCGAATCGTAAACGAATGGCGGAGATGGAGGCGGCGAAGGCGGAGGAGGAAAAGATTCGCAGTACCGTTCGTGAATTCATTTTGAAGGCGATGGAGATGGCGGCGGAGGAGACGAAAGCGAGCGGGCACGACGAAGCCAATGGAACGCCGAGCGAAGTCGCCGCGGCGGTCGAATCGGCGCTGTATAAAAAATGCGGTTCGGCTGACAAAGAGTACAGAACGCGCGCGCGGTCTTTAAAATCCAACTTACAGGACGTGCGCAACCCTCAATTACGGGCGCGCGTGCTCGCGAACGATTTGAAAGCTTCACAACTCGTGGACATGTCTCCGCTGCAGTTGGCCAACAAGGAGCTCGTCGAGTGGCGCAAGGCGCGACAGGAAATCGCGGGCGAGGGTGCCTTTATGAAGGGAATCGCGCTTGAGGATATAGTGGTGAAGAAAGATGGGAAGAATGAAATTCACGTCGAGCTGAAGCCAGAAGAACCGGCGCCGTCGAAGCCCGTGGAACAAACGCCGAGCGTCGAGGAAGAGCCGACGCAAGTCACCGAGATTGACGTGACGTCTGGGAACGACCAACTGTCAGACGAGGAGCACGAAGAAGCCGCACCGATGAACGTCGACGGTGATGATTCAGAAATGCTTTCTTTCGAAAAGTTTGCGAATGGAGGCGAAGAAGACAAGGAAGAGGAGCAGGAAGAAGAGGAAGACGAGGAAGACGCCGCGCCGGAATACGAGCCAGAGCCCGAGTACGAACCGGAGGACGAACCTGAGTACGACCCGGAAGCGACTACGGCGGATGAGGTGGAAGAAGAAGAATACAATCCCGCCGACGACCCGATAGATGTTCCTCTTCCCGAAGGTGCGTGGGAAGGCACCGTAGATGTTCCAGGACTGCCTACGCTTCAGCTGCGAGCGGTGCCCATCGGCGGCGAAGGCGCCCACGTCGGCGACATCTTGCCCGAGAGTTTGCACATCAAAGGCCGCGTCGACTACAAAGCCATGCAATCTTTCGTCAAGCAAGTCCACCGCTCGTCGACGTCGCGCGCGGTGACGCTCGTGCATATCTCGAGCGCGCCGAGCGGCGGAGACGACGCGGAAGCGGCGATGGCGAAGATCGTCAAACAATATCGCGAGCGCAAGCGATGCGGCGTGGCGAAAACGGAGGATGGCATCGAGCTGTATCTCGCGCCTCGCGGTCAGCACGCGGATAAAGTCATCTTAACCGTCGACCTTATCCCGGGACACGTCCCACCGTCGACGGGGATGATTGGAATGGTGATTCATCCGCGAGGCATCGGTCCAAGGAAAGTCGACTCGAAGGAACTTCATCGATCAAAGAAGACGCGCGTCGAAGAGCACGTCGACGAGGATGAGTACGCGCCCAACGCGCCACCGGCGCAATTCATGGAGGTTCCGCCACCACCGCCACCCTCAGCGCAGATGGCGCCGCTCGCGCCCCCCCAAACTCTTCGAGAAGTTCCCCCGCCGCCGCCGCCCGCCGCCGCGCCGCCGGCGTTCCAAGCGCAAGATCTCGCCGGTTTGATCGCGACGCTTTCCGGCGCCCAGCAACCGGTGCGCATGAACGTACCACCGCCTCCTCCTCCTCCGTGACTCAAAACGACCGTAGAATCGCACAGTACACTACTGTGACAGTAGATTTTAGATGAAACGAGACGCGGCTCGTCGCCGCGACGACGACACAACGAGCCTCCCCTAAGCGATGTTCGCCACCGCCGCGCCCGCGCCGCGCGCCGCGCCCGCGCCGCGCGCCGCGCGATCGACGACACCGCCGTCGTCCGCGCGCGCGTCCGCGCGCGCGTCGTCGAGCGGCGCGGACGTTCTTTACTTCTGCTACGGCAGCAATCTCAATCCCAGCACGTTCGACGGCGTTCGCGGCATGCGCCCGACGTCGTCCACGCCGTGCGTCCTGCGCGGCTTCGAGCTCGCGTTCAACGTGCCCGGCGTGCCGTACGTCGAACCGGCGTTCGCGAGCGCGGTCGCGCGCGAGGGGGCCGAGTGCCACGGCGTCGCGCACGGCATCACGCGCGACGAGTGGGAGTACTTAGTCACCACGGAAGGGTCGTACGACGTCGTGGACGTCGATTGCGACGCGTACGATGGGCGAAAGCTGCGATGCAAGACGCTGACGCATCGTACGCTGAAGAATTTTGGCGAACGAGCGCCGTCGCTGCGATACGCGACGCTCCTGCGGGAAGGCGCGCGGTTTCACGGTCTGGACGAGGCGTGGATCGCGCGTTTGGACGCGTTGGAGACGTACGAGCCGGTTGAGCTGGATTTAGGACAACGCGCAGCGTTGGCGCTGTCGGTGGGACCGACTTTGCTGGCGGCGGTGCCCGCGGCGGGGGCGGCGGCGGCGAAACGGCTGTCGACGGGCGACGGACGGGGCGCCGTGATAGACGCGTTCGTGGAGACGCAAGACGTCGTGTGGGGGGTGCAAAACGCGTTTTTCGCGCCGTGGATGGGGTCGAGCGGTAGGAACGCGAAGAAATAGCGTATATTTGCTACATGTATGCGTAGCGCATAGCAAGGTTTAGTTCTATCGATAGCAAAGCTCGCTAGAGCGACTAATCGGAGTACTCGCCCGGGTTGGAGAGCATGTTTTTGTTCGGCGCTTTCGGTGCCCGTGGCGCTGGACTGTCGCGCCCACTGCGTCGATTCCTCTGCAACACCTCCGCCGCGCGCGCTAACAAGTCTCCACCCACGCCATTCTTCGAGCGCTCGGCGAGCGTCTTCGCCCAACCTTCGGGCTCGGGCACGAGACGGGCAAACGTCAGGTACGCCGTGTGCGACTGCAGGCGCTGTCGCGGAAATGTGACGACGTGCTGCGTCATTACGTTGTCGTCGCCATCGTCCACCGGCGCGTCACGCGGGCGCTTAGTGTCCTTCCGCCATCCCACCTTGGTCGCCTTGCTCAGCGGCGCCGACAAGTCTCTCTGCAACCGCTTTCCCTCGACGTCGTATTCGCGCCCCAACAACTCCACCGTCTTGACGTCCGCAAACCCGTGCTTTTTCATCTCTAAAATAGTTTTCTGCACCTGTTCGATGCACGGCGAAAACGAACAGAGCACGCCGTCCGGGCGAAGACTACGCGCGACGCTCCCCACGCACTTGTGCGGCCCCGGCAAGTCCAAAAAAACCGCGTCCGCGCGTCCCGCCATCTCCTTCGGGAATCCATCCCGTTCGATGTCTCTGTGCGTCACGGTGACGTACTCCGATATCCCATTCAGCGCGAACTCTTCCTTTGCCGCTTTCACGCGCGTTTCGTTGAACTCGTACGTCCACACTCGTCCCGTCGGCGCGACGCACCGCGCCAGCGCGTGCGTCAGGCTTCCCGACCCCGTCCCGCTCTCCATCACCACGCTCCCCGGCGTCAGTTCCATCTCCGCGCACACCAGCGATATGTCCGCCGCGTACAGGATTTGCGTGCGATGTTCCAGCACCTTCGTCCACAACTCGGGCGTCGGCGCGCACAGCCACACGAACCCTCTCCCGTCCCGCTCGCGCGCGCGCGCGCCGAACGCGCGCCCGATCCAATCGTCGTGGTGAAACGTCCCGTACTTGGACGCGTACACGCCGCCGCTTCGCACGCGCTCGGCGACGGCGGCGTTGAAGCCCTCGACGACGACGACGAGGTCGCCGTCGCGAACGACGCGCTCGGGCGGCGGCGGCGCGTCGAGCGACGCGGACGCCGTCGTCGACGGTGCGTCGGCGCACGCGAGCATGGAACCGCGCGCGTGAGACATCGCGCGCGCGACGCGCGACGGCGCGACGCGATGTGGGGCGGCGCGGGACGCGCGAGGGCGAGGACGGCGGACGGTTCGTCACAAGTCACAACAATTTATCCCACCTCGCGCGCGCGCGCTCGGGAGCTTGGGCTAGGATGAATTCTCTGAGCTCTAGGAATGATCGAGGACCGAGGGTCAGACGACGGCCGTCGTCGACGCGCTCGAGCCATCGCTCGGCGACGAGGTCGTTGAGCGCGGCGTCCTTGACGACCTTGCTCATCTTTTGCACCGTCTGCGTTTGCTTCTCCAGTTGCGTCATCTGCGTCGCCCCGTCCTGCGTCGACGCGTCTTGCGTCAATTGTAACTCGGTCGAATTCAACGCGCTCATGAAATCGATCCCGCGCTCGGCGCTCGAATCATCGCGCAGAATTTCCAACATCGCGACTCGAAACAGCGCGATTTCCGCCGGCGTCATCCGAGTCGCCAATTTCGCCACTTCCGTCGTCCCTTGGTTCACCACCGCCATGTACGTCTTCCCATCGCCCTCGAATTTACCCGTTCGTATGTCTAAATCTAAAAATTTCAACGCGACGGCGATTTCGCCCCAGAATCGCGTGAACTCGTTCGCGGCGTCGTCTTCGACGATTTCTCTGCGCGCCGCGCGTGCGATCGACGCTCATTTGTCAGTCCCGCGAGCGCCTTCTTTTCGCGCTTCATCGTCGAAATCGCGCGTGTGCGACACGACCGCACCTGTACAACGCCTCCGCGTCCTCGCTTTCGACGATCCCGCGCGACAGAAGCGCCTGAAGGAAACACTGCTGCTGCACCGACAGCGCGCTGGCGTCGTCGTTCGACGCCGCGGGCGCCGTGGTCTTGGCATTTTTCTTCACGGGCGACGGCGAGGTCGCCGCGAGTGGTTTTGCTTTCCTCTTCGCCGCCGCCGCCGGGGGCATGACGCCGGGCGCGCGCGGCGGTGCGGCGAGAAATGCCGCGAGGTGGCGTCGGCTGGCGGTTTTCAAAAATTGAATTTCGGCGAAGGCGAAGGCGAACTCGAACTCGATTCGATTCGGATTCGAGCCGACGAGCGTCGTGCGAACGATGAAGAATGATATTTTACAACAAGCGTACAACAAGCGATGCGGCGTGATGGAATGGTTGAATCACGGTGACGGCGGAGGCGGCGGAAGCGTGTTGCGAACGAGTTCGAGGAGATGAGTCGCCGATTCGCCGCCAAAGTACGTTCCACCGCCGACGACGCACGCGAGGAAGACGGCTTTGAAACTCAGACGAGTGTACTTCCAGTAGTCATCCGTGGAGTATTTTTGACCGAATAGGTAGGTGACGAGAATTTCTGTGCCGAGGAGAATACCGGGCCAGATGACGCCGTAGTTGTGCATCGCCCATCCGAGCGTGGCCGAGTACGGGAATCGGCGCCGCTGTGTGACTCGATCGAGATCACCGAGCGCGCAGAGCTTGGCGTCGGGGCCGAGTATTTTCTCAAAAGCATCCGAATTCCCAACGACTGGGTGTTCGGCGTCTTGCTCGCTTCGCAAGAGCGATACGAATTGTCTATTCAAGTTCCCGAGCGACGCGACGTTCAGCACGCGCTCAAAGTTGCGGTAGTCCACGTGCACCGCTCGAAGCTTTCGATTGTTCAATTGGGCGAACTTTTTGTTAAGTTCGAGCATGCTCATCGTCTCCGGACCCACGGCGTCGTACATGCGCAGCGTGTACTGCCGCTTTTCATTCTGCGTCACTATGCGCGCCCAAGATTCGCGACTCCAAATGGAATCGGTGCCCGACCACGATTCTCGATTCCACGCGCCCTCTTCCTGACACGGTAGATTCGACGCGGGTAGGTCCGCAACCTCAGTGAGACCCAGAAACGCCAACCGACTCGCCGCGTCCGCGACCTCGAGCGGCTGCAGCGGCGCCGAACCGTCGCCCATAATCGGCGTCAGCGGTAGGAGCGTCAAGTCAATCATATTCAGTAAGTCCCCACGCTGACCGACGACGCCTTGGTCTTTATCGTACAACATTCCGAGCGCGCACACCGTCACCGGCAATTTTTCCAACCGCGCCAACGAAAAGTCTGCCATCGCCTTCCACCGACTGTACGGCACCTGTCCCGCGCGCTCCGCCTTCGTGGCTTGCGTGCTGCTCTGAATAAAGTGCCCGAAACCCAATCGTTCGCACGCGCGCGCCGCGGCGACCGGCGCGAGATAATTCACCGCCATCATCGCGTTCGCCTTCCCCGACACCGGCCCCGCGAGACCGGCGAGATTCATGAACACCGAGTTACACCCCGCCATCCCGAGCGACCCCAACTGGTCCTGCCACGAATCCACGTCGTGTTGATAATAATAATCCACCCTCGACGCCCTGACCCCTCGCAATCGCTCCGCCCCGTACTGTTTCGTCAATCTCGACATCAAATTGCCCGGCGACGCCGACAGCAGCAGCGCCTCGCCGCTCTCTAATCCGTGCGCTCGTCGATAATCGTGCGCGTCCAGCACCGCGTCCAGCACCCGCGCGCCCAGGAAGCCTCCCGGTCCGCTCAGCGCGATCATCTTCGGTCGCGCGTCGAGCAGTTTCGCGCCCGCGGTTTTCACGAGCTGCGAGCGCGCCGCCTTGGCGACGACGTCGCGCGCGACCATGGTCGTCGCGAGCGATTTCGAGCGCGCAGTGCTGACGCGGATTGTCCCGGTCGCGATCGAATCGATTCACCGGCGCGTCGCGAGCGCGTCGCGAGCGCGCGCGGCGAGCGCGATGCGACGCGCCGCTCGCGATCGAAGTCGCGAAACGCGCGGCGATGTGAGGCGCGAGGTCATCGATCATGCATCATCAATCAACAATCGCGGCGTCGTCTTCGCGTCGAAGTCGCGACGAAGTCTAATACGGACGGCCGAACCGCGGTCGGTCGCCGCCGCCGCCGCCGCGATCGGCGCCGCCGCCGAAACGATCGCCGCCGCGATCGGGACCGCCTCGACCGCCGCCGCGACCGGAATTCCCGCGGCCGCCGCCGCGACCGCCGCCGCGGCCGAAATTCCCGCGGCCGCCGCCGCGACCGCCGCGACCGCCGCGACCACCGCCGCGACCACCGCCGCGACCACCGCCGCGACCACCGCCGCGACCACCGCCGCGAGCACCGCGCCCACCGCCGCGCCCACCACCGCCGCGACCACCGCGACCGCCGCCGCTTCGCGCGGCGCCCGTCTTTTCGCGAAACGTCGCCGGGTCGTATCCCGGAAACAACCGCGCCGCGCACTTTCGATACGAAAAGTCCTCCATCGTCCCGTCGGTGCGCACGATCATGAAGCATCGCGTGTTGTGCACGGGATGATTCCTGACCTGGAACGCGCGCAGGCCGCTGCCGAATTTCTTCGCCGCGTCCTCGTGGCCGAGTCGCAGCAGCGCCTCCGTCGTCGCGGCTTCGTACTCGTTCATGTTTTGATCCAGCGTCAGCTCGTTTCGAAGCGCGCCGAAGTATCGCATCACGTCGTCGCCGGTGTCGAACGTCACGGGACCGAGCGTCACGGGGCGCGCGGGCGTCGACTCGGCGCGCGGCGCGGTCGCGGGCGTCGAGTCAACCGCCGCCGTCGAGGTCGGCGCGGCGGCGTCGGCGGGCGCGCGCGCGGACGCGGGAGGCGGCGGGACGTCCGTCGTCGGCGCGGAGGGCGCGGACATCGAAGGAGCGCGCGGTGAGTTCGAGCGGTGACGGCGCGCGCGCGTGTGGGGGACGGACGGACGACGATGGATGAGAGGCGTCGGCGCGAGCGGGACGGTCAACGCGGACGCGCGGAGACGCGGGAACGGGCGAACGCGGGAAACGCGCTTCGGAACGCGCGATGACGGGACGATGGGATGATGGGATGGTTTAACGACGCGCGGGCGTCGGAACGCGCTCGGAGGGCTAGGGGTCGGTGGCGGCGGACGCGGGCGACTCGTCGGCGTACGATTTGGCGCGGCCGGAGAGACCGCGCGCGGCTTCGAGCGGGGCGTCCGCGATGGCGCCCGTTTCGTCGTCGCGCTTCGGGCCGGGCTCGAGACCGGTGTACGTGCGCTTGGAGATGAGGTATTCGGCGCCGGAGGTGACGACGGCGTCGGAGACGCCGGAGGCGCGGAGGGAGAGCGCGCCCTCGGCGCGGCGAGCGAGCTCGGTGCCGGTGAGGGCGTCGATGTCGTCGGCGTCGTGCGCGGACGACGAGGCGTTCACCGGTGATATGTACGTGCCAGAAACGAGGCTGAACTCTGGTTGAACGTCGTCGTCGTCGTCGCCATTCGCGACGACGTCTTCGAACGTCGGCACCGACGCGAAATCGAGCTTGACTTCGCCCATCCACATCTTTCCCGGCGTGAACGCGATCGTGGCCTCGTACGGGGTTATGATCGGTTGCATGTAATCGCGCCCGTCCATCAACGCCGTCAACTCGCAGCTCACCATTATGAAGACCTCAATCTCGGGGAAGTTGGCCAACTTTTGCGGATTCGGCTTTCCCGCGACGACGGTGTAACTCTTACGCCCACTATTCGCAATCAACTTGCGCAAGTTTTCGATCATTTCGCGGTAACCCGCGACACCTAAAGTACCGGCGATGATGCCAACCACCCTGGCTTCCTTGGCCTTCGCTATCAAGAATCTCCTTCGCTTCAACGCCCTCGCGGCTTCGCCGGCGCCGTCCGCCTCGACGCGCACCGCGTCGCCATCCACCGATGGATCGTACTGCGCCATCCCACCGAACTTCGCCGCGCAATCGCCCAAAACCAGCATCGCATGCGTCATCGCCGGCCCCGTCGCACCGATCCACACGTACGCGCAATCCTCGTTCGTCGTCCCATTCGGCGGTCGAAATCGCGACGCGCCGACTCGCGTCGTCGACGCGTCCTCATCCCTCCCTCGCACTCTCGAATCGCGGCTCGGATCGACTTCGACCTCAACCGCGTCCGCGATGAAGATCTCCGCGCCCTGAACGTTCGCGGTCGAGCTCGTCGAAGCTCGCTTCAACTCGTCGAGCGCCCAAAAGTATTCCTGGTCGCACAGCGCCACCACCGCGCGCGCCCCGCGCCTCGCCGACGCCGCGGCGTGCGCCTCGAGCGCGCGCGCGCATCGAGCGCAATCGATTTCTTTACGATCGAACACCAACCGCGCCGGCGTTCGGCTCGTCGGTGAGCAGCACGCGCGTCCGAAGTGTACGATGGCGTCGGCGTCCCGGTGCGCCGCCGCGACTTCGTCGACGCAGCACGACCCGAACGTCGTGTCCGCGAGGACGAAGACCTCGCGCGACGCTCGCGCGGCGTCGTCGTCGCGCGCGAGCGCGGTTTGAAGCGCGCGCGCGAGCCTGGCGGCGTCGGGAAGCTTGTCGTCGGGTAACTGCAGGGCGACGCGCGAGAACGCGCCGTCGCGGATCCACGACGCGGTTCGCGCGACGTCGTACGCGACGTCGAACGTCGCGTCGTCGTCGCGCATCGCCGCGGACGAGGCGAGGTGTGCGGCGAGGTGGCGCGCGTCGAAGTCGCGAAGTCGTGAAGTCGAGCGCGGCGGCGGCGGCGGCGGCGCGGAAACGCAAACGCAAACGCAACTACACACTACAACACTACGTGACTAACAGGGCGAATCTAAATTTGATGCGACGGGCGCGACGGGCGCGGGGTCGTCGGATGGAAGAGTATCGACGTCGGCGACGGACGATGTGGGGCTGTCCAGCGCCGTCGGCAGGCGTTCGGCGATGACGCGAAGCGCGACCGTGACGGCGCAGATGAAGGCGAATGGAAGGAATTGCCGCGCCGGAAAAGTCAATCGCATGGCGCCGGCAAATGTCCAGCCGCAAATGACTGGGGCGACGATGCGCGCAAACGCCGACGTGGTGCCAGCGATGCCGTTCACGCGAGCTTTGACGGCGTCCTCGCACGAGTTATTCACCACGATGGTGATACTTACGAATCCGATCCCCAATGCGCAAATTTTCGTGCACTGCGACACGAGTGCGACTGTCCACAGCATGGGTTCGTTCGGCATCACCGACGCGAACGGCGCGAGCATGGACACGGCGGCGAAGAGCGCGACGCCGAATCTGAATGCGCGCACGGCGCCGAGCGCGTCGGCGATTCGCGGATACAACACCAATTGAAAGACCAAAAGCGTGACACCACCGCACACCAACAAAATACCGATATCTCGCGGCGCGAATTCGCACCCTCCTAACTCGTGCGAGGTCTTTAAGAACACCGGAAGCATCTCGTCGTACCCGATCGCGATGGCGGCGAGGACGGCGTAGCACGCGACAGCGCGAGTCGTCTCGGGCGTGAATAGGACTTCTTTCGGTGCCACATCTTCGACGTCGTCAGATTCACCCTTGTCACCGGCGACGTCCGACCACTCGTCCACGTCGCGCAACTCTATCGCTCGCAAGTCGCCCGCCGAAGCCAACTTGACGAGACGCTTTTCCTCGTCGCCGTTTCGCGCCATCGCCTTAGCCTCGGCGCGTCGCACGAACGACGCTGTTTCGGGTAACAATAACACCCCTAATACCGCCCCGAGTCCCGTCAGGCACGCCGCGACGCACATCGGCAGGAGATACGGATACGTATCGAACGCCGTCCCCGCGAACGTCTCTGGCCAACGACGCGCGGGCCTTTGTAAAAATCCCGCCGCGGCCGGCGCTAACGTCGACGCCAACCCGTAACCGAACGCCAGAACTCCGAAAGCTTCGCTCTGCGCCTTTTTCGTGGACGTTTCGCCCAAATACGTCTTCACGATGGCGGCGTTCCCGTTGAGAAGCCCGGACATCCAGCGGCCGAGCGCCGCGGCGCGGACGCTCTTCGCCGTCCCGAACACGAACACGCTCATCGTGCTCAGCGCGCTCCCGGCGATCAGCGCCGGGCGTCGTCCGTATCTGTCAGAGATTCTTCCCCACTGATACGCGCTGAGCAGCGCGCCCAGCGGCGCGGCGGCGCCTATCACGCCGCAGTAAAAGCCGACGTCGATTTCGGCGACGCCAAAGTCTCGCACGGCGAACGGAAGCATCGGCCACACGATGTTCAGGTGAAACGCGTCGACGACGTTGAGGAGCACCAATAACGCCAAGAACCACGGCGGATGCGCGTCGCGAGGCGCGAGCGGGGCGAGCATGGTCGCGCGAGAGCGCCGAGCCGAGGCGGCGTCTGCGGACGGATAGGACGCCGAGGGCGGTCGACGCGAAACCTCGCGAGCGCGGCGCGAACGGCGAGATCGCGTCAATCCATCTTCGTATCTTACAATTCAATCGTCGCGCTCGTCGTCGCGACGACCGATCGGCGGTTCGATCGCGTCGTCGCGATACCCGGCACCGCCGCCGCTCGACGCCGGGGCGTCCCTCGCTCTCGCTCACACCCGTCCGTGCCACACGCACTCTCTCCATCGCGCGCTCGCCTCGCCGCGACGATGCAGAATCTCTAACACGCGCTTCGGCGGGTCTAAACCGAGCGCGCGCGCGCGATCCCATCGCTCGATTCGCGTCAATCCGCAGCACGGCCCAAACTTGGACGTCAAGTCAAACGTCTTCAGCTCGCGCGCGTCGCGCTCGACCGCGTCGTCGTCGTCGATCGTCTCGGCGTCGTCGTCCTCGATCGCGACGTTCGCGCCTGCGCGCGCGCGCGTCGTCAGTCGCGTCGAACGACGGCGATGCGCGCGCGTCGGAAATCCCGACGTCGGCGGCGCACCTTTCGTCTTGCCCGGTCTCGCCGCGCCCGGTTTCGTCGACCTGAACAGCGCGTCGATCGTCGTCGCCGAGGGCGGTCGTCGCGCGCTTCGAGGCGGCATGGCGACGCGCGCGCGAGAGTGACGACGGCGCGGCGTCGCGACAATCGGGCGCCTCGATTCGGCAATTCTCCGTAACCGACCGGATGGATAAAGATCTCAAAGCGGCCCTCGACGCGATCGCCTTTCGTCATCGTTCGCGTCACCGCGCGCGCGCCGCACACGCGAGCGCGCGTTTTACGCGACACGATGCGCGCGACGCGAGCGATGACGAGCCGCCCGCGCGCGCGCGTCGCCCCTCGCGCGCGCGCGACGAAACCGCGCGCGAAGACGACGACGATGGCGCGCGCGCGCGATAAGGCGTCGGCGATGACGACGGCGCCCGCGGTGACGGCGGCGCTCGGCGCGCTCGGCGCGAGCGCGGCGAGCGCGAGCGAGATCGCGCAGACGGCCGAGGGCGCGGGACTGGCGATCGGCGGCGCGCTGGCGATCGCGGGCGCGGGCGCGGCGTTGGTGCTGACGGATCCGAGCAAAAGACGCGAGGGGATGATGGCGGAGACTGGCGGCGACGAAGCGGCGAGCGTGAAGAATTATTTCGACACCACCGGGTTCGAACGGTGGAATAAGATTTACGGAGAGACGGAGGACGTGAATAAGGTGCAGCTCGACATTCGCGAGGGACATCAACAAACGGTTGATAAGGTTTTGGCGTGGGTGAAGAACGACGATTTGGAGGGCGTGACGGTGTGCGATGCTGGGTGCGGGACGGGGTCGTTGGCGATTCCGTTGGCGCTTCAGGGGGCGAACGTGAGCGCGAGTGATATCTCTAGCTCGATGGTCGGCGAAGCGGAGCGCCGATACAAGGAATTGGTGGCGAACGGCGCCAAGGCGCCGGCGACCGAGCCCAAGTTTGACGCCATGGGCCTCGAAGAAGCCACGGGCAAGTACGACATGGTGACGTGCATCGATGTCATGATTCACTACCCGAAGGACCGCGTCGACGGTATGATCAACCACTTGGCGAGCTTGAGCAGCAAGAAGCTCATCATCTCCTTCGCGCCGAAGACGTTGGCGTACCTCATCTTGAAGCGCGTCGGCGAGTTGTTCCCGGGACCGTCCAAGGCGACCCGCGCGTACCTCCACGACGAAGCTGATGTTGAAATCGCGCTCAAGGCTGCCGGTTTCAAGGTGAAGCGCCGCGAAATGACCGCGACGTCCTTCTACTTCTCCCGCCTTCTCGAATGCGAGCGTGTTTAATTTAACGCGACAAAGTTTTAATTAATCGAATTCGATTCATCTACAAAGCTATGCATCTCTCGGCCTGATGATAAAAATGTTTGGATGCATGCCTAAGCATCCCGTGATTTGCGCCGCCAAACACGACCCTCGATGAAGCAGCATGAAGAGGGCGGCGCCCATGAGCATGCCGCTCACGAAGGCGTCGCCCTCGGGAACGACAGTCGTGAGCGCCATGATGAACAAAGCTAACCAGTTCGTGACTGGGAAGTCGGGATCGGACACGCGAATGCTCATGATGCGCGCTTCCGACTCGCCGAATAAGATAGAGCTCGTCGCGTGCGCGTACGCGAAATTCTTCGCCTTGTACAGGCAAAGTCCGTGAAACGCTTCAACGAGAGCGCACCTCGCCGCGATGCTAAGCGGCTTCCTATACGCCGGCCAATGTGGCGGCGCCTCTTTTTTGTTCGCTTTCAGCACGGTGTTAACGAACGTCCCCACGCGCGAGATCGCGCCCGTGGTGATGCAAAACACCGCGCCCGCGCGTCCGAGCGTGGTTGCGCCCACGAACGGGACGGTGACCGGCGCGTACAAGAACGCGTTCGATCCCGAAAACGCCACGCAAAGCATCAACGTCTGACAAATGAGCTGAATCTCCTGCGAATCCAAAAATTCGCTCACGGGTAACACCCCGGTAAACGTCGACGACACGGTATCGACCACAAACATCGCCCTTCCCGTCATCATCATAGTCGTACAAATCGCCCGAGCGTCTCGCGAGCGATGCCCGACGCCAAAGATATCCATCACTATCAACGGATAAATGCACATCGACAGCGCGTCGCACGCGTGATCCACCACCTCACCCAACGGCGATCCAGATTTCGTCCTTCGCGCCTGTTTCCCATCCATCCCATCCGCGGTTTGATACGCGAACGCCAACGCCGCGCACGCCGCGTACGTCCACCGCGGCGCCTCGAAGGCTAAATTCGGGCTCAGCGTCCAAATCAGCGCGTACGCCACCGCGATCGCGAGCAGCCCGAGCGCGGTCATGAGGTTCGGCGCGATCCACGTCGGGCACGATCGCCGCACCGCGCCGTCCCAGAACGCGTTCAGGAACAGTCGTTCGCACAGCGACAGGTTCGGGCTCGAGTACGCGTACGCGCGCACCTGCGCGCACCGTCGCGCGTTCGCGCCGACGTGGCGCCCGCGCGCGCAGTGCGCGCACGGCGTCTCCTCCGCGGCGTCGTGTCCGCCGGTGACGAGGTGCAAGCGCGAGCGCCGCACGTAATCGAGCATCGCGACGCCGTGTGCGGCGCGCGTCGACGCGATTCAAATTTCGACAGCCGGCGACGGACGACGCCATCGCGCCGCGCGCGGCGCCGCGAACGTCGTGAGACGCGACGCGAGCGAAGAGAAGCGCGATGGTGGCGAAGACGGAGCGCAAGGGCGCCGAAACGAAGCCCCCGACGCACTTCCCAGGCGTCGCCGGGGCGTTCGTTCGCGTCACCATGCACAACTTCATGTGCCACGCGAACGCAAAGGTTGAGCTCGGACCGCGAATCAATTACGTCACGGGCGAGAACGGGAGCGGGAAGAGCGCGATTTTGACCGCGTTGGCGGTCGCGCTCGGGGCGAAGATGAAATCCATCGGACGGTCGAGCACGAAGAGCGCGAAAGGGATGATCAAGACGGGGGCGAGCTTCGCGCGCGTCGTCGTCGTGATCTCGAACGATGGAGAGGATGCGTTTAAACCGGATGTGTTCGGACGATCGATCACGGTTGAGAAGGTGTTGAACGCGACGGGGGCGAATTCGCTGAAGATTAAGAGCGAGAGCGGGGAAACGGTCGGGACGCGGGTGGACGAGTTGAATAAGCTCGCGGACCACTTTTGCATCGACGTCGATAATCCCATCACGGTGATGACGCAGGACATGGCGAAGAAGTTCTTGCACACCGGTGATGCGACTAAGAAGTATCAGTTTTTCATCGATGCGACGCTGTTGTCGGATTTGATGGAGCTGCAAGAGATTGCAAAGAATAAGTCAAACGAGATGAAGGACGTGCTGAACGAGCACTTGGAAACGATTCCAAAACTTAGAGAGGAAGTGGCAGAATTGACGCACGAGCTCCATTCGTTTGAGCGCGTGCAAGAGCTACGATCGAAGGCGATCGATTTTAGGAATCGTCTGGCGTGGTCGAAGGTGGTCGAGGCGGAAAAGAAGTTGGAAGAAGAAAAGGAGGCACAACAGGTGTATGTGCAGAAGAGAGGGGAACTTCAAGCCAAACTTGGCACCGCGCAAGCGACGCTCGAAAAGGCGGCCATAGACAACGAAGAGTTTGGGCGACAGTCAGAAGATTTCAGTAGAAAGCTTCAAGAGCTTAGCGCGGAGCGTCGTCAGGCTGAGAATGAGCGTAGAGAAGCGGGGCGACAATTGCAAAAGGCCGAGACGGATAAACTGAGCGAGGAAACGAGCGTGCGGAAGCTTTCGAAGCGCGTGTCCGACACGGAGTCAAAGATTCAACGGTCGTTGGAGGCGCAGCGAGGCGACACGACAGAGACTGATAGGCGATTGCAAAAACTGAGCTCGAACCTCGTGGCTGCCAAGGCTGAGATTGAGACGTGCTCGGGCGATATAGAGAAATTGAAGGCCGGACAGGAAGACAAACAGCGAGCACAGAGTAACTTCGCGCGACAAAAGAAGTTTGCTGAGAATGAGATCAACGACATTCGCAAGCATATCTCCACTCTGAAGCAGACGTCAAGCAACAGGTTGGTGCTTTTCGGACAGCAAATGCCACGACTCGTCGACACGGTGCAAAGGCGACTGGGTGAGTTTTCCAAGCCTCCAATTGGACCCGTCGGTATGCACGTCACTCTCAAAGATCAAAGTTGGATTGTTCCGGTTGAAGAAGCTCTCGGTCAATCTATGACGACATTTTTGGTCTCAAGCCCGAAAGACATGGATAAGCTGCGCCAAATCAGCAAAGAATGTGGCATGAACAATTTAAGCATTCAAAGCGTCGACTTCAACCGTGGAAGATACAACATCCCTGTTGAAAAGGTACCCAATCAAACCGAATTCACGTCCATCGAAAGTGTCCTGGAATGCAAACACGACGTGGTTTTCAACTTCCTCGTCGATAGCGCCGGCATCGAACGAGCCGTGCTCATGAAAGACGAACGCGAGGCGAGAGGCATGTTCTATTCCGGCGCCGCGAAACAAAAGCAAGTCGCGGTGGCGTATACTTTCCATCGTAAAATCTTCATGACAGGTCAAGTCGTGCGAGATGAAGCCTTCAAAAGCTACAATCAAGCACAACGACTCGGAACGGATCCGAAAGCGCAGATTGCGTCGATGGAAAATCGAGTCAAGGAAAAGCAATCTGAAATCAAATTGCTCAGCAACGACGAGGCTGCGTGCATGCGAGCCGTCAAGGACATTGCGAATATGATCAAGAAAAAAGAAGCTGAATTCAGTACTCTCAATAAGAACGCTCAGAAGGCGTTCAGTGATTTGCAGCAAGCGAAACTTGACGCCGAAGACTCGAGCGGCACTGGGGTTGACGTGAGTACGCTCCAGGAGGAGCTCGACAGCCTCAATGTCGACTTATCCAAGCATCAAAGTAGTCTTAAAGAAGCCGAATTCGCTTTCACGCAAGCTAAAGAGGCACATGATATTGCAGAGAACGTCATCAATGAGAAACTCTCACTCGCCGATTCGTACAAGGCAGAAGTGGAGCAATACGCCAAAGCAATGCAGAAGATTGATTCGGAACGTCAAAAGGCAGAGAAACAAGTTGAAACTTGCGTGGAGCGGCTTCAACAAGCAGATAATCTCATCGAAGACTGCGAAACTAGTATACAGGCGATGAAGACGGAATGCGAAGAGCTGGCCGACAAAACGAAGAAAGAAATTTGTGACCGCGAAGTCGCAGAGCACGCAGGCGATATCACTTTGTTACCGACACAGCTGCAACGCTTGTACGAAAAGACGAAAGAATCGATGAAGAAGGAAGAGAGTCGACACAAGAGACCATACGAAGAAGTGAACGATGAATTATCGGACCGAAAGCGAAAGCTCATCAAACTCGAACACGGTGTGGAGAGCTCAAAGAAGATTTTCCAAAAGCTCAGAGTGGGCGTCAGAAAGCGCCGGGAGACGATGGTAACACAAGCGCGCCAGACCGCCGCCAACGTATCGCACAGATTCAACTATCATATGCAAGCGAAAGGGCAAGCGGGTCAAATTGAAGTCAACTACGAGGAATCGCAGTTGATCATCAAGCTCAAGGATGGCACGAACACGAGAGCTATCACAGACACTCGCGCCTTGAGTGGTGGTGAACGATCGTATTCCACGCTCGCGTTCAACCTCGCGCTTGGCGATGAATCTGACTCGCCTTTCCGAGCGATGGATGAGTTCGACGTATTCATGGATGCCGTGAACCGTAGAATATCTATGAAGACGCTTCTTGAATTTGCGAGAAGCGACAATCACTCAAACAAACAGTTTTTGTTCATCACGCCGCAGGATTTGAGCGCCATCAACGCCGACGACCCAGACGTCAAAGTGCAAAAGATGATCGCCGCTCGTCCGTCTTAAATTTGTAAACCGAACCGATAGATACACTACAACACACTAATTCCTACGCGACGTCCCGTCCCACCCTTCCCGCTCCATCAATCAATCAATCTTTTCGTTCTCATCGTCATCTTCCTCGAACGCGATCGCCCCTGCCTCGAGCTCTGTCTCCGGCGCGTTCGGCGCGCGCACGTACTTCCAGTATCTAAATAAACCGCGCACGCTCTGCCACAGTTTCCACGCCATGAACGCGAACAAGATGCCGAAGATGACTTCTTCGGTCTTGATGCTCAAATAGTCGCCCTTCGTCGGATGCGTAGGCGTGCGCACGCGGTTGCCGCGCCCGAGATGGCGCACTTGCGCGTTTTCTCCACTCGGGGGCGCGGCGGCGCGGGATGATGCCATGGCGAGCGGACGGAAGTGAGGTACAAAAGGTATTCATCACAAGGTGAGGAATCTACGTCTGTTGGTTTTCGACGATCTTCGAGCGGTATTGGTCGATGTTTTCGTGCGTGAGCTTGATCAGCTCGCGACGTTTTAACGGTTGCTTCGTGAACGGACACGTGTCCGGTGCCTCGGGTTGGCGAAGAATCTTGCACCACGTCTCGTAACCTGCGACGTGGCCGTACGGCGAAATCGCCGGTTCTTCGATGGCCATGCGAGTGATGGGATCGATGAATCCCGGGAGTACTGGAAGTTCCTCGAATTCATCGTCGAAATCCTCGTCGTCGTCGCCGCCGTCGGTGTACGTCTTCTTAGTCGCTCGACCGCTCGAACGCACGGGACCCGCTCTGATGGTGCAGTGGAACGCCTTGTCGTCCGATTTCTTCACCTTCTTCTTCGCCTTCTTCGGCTGCTTCGGGGCCTTCGGTTTCTTCTGCTTGATGACCTTCTTAACCATGACCATGCGCGGTTCACCCTCGACGGGTTCGGCGCGCGTGAAGCCCTTGTTCTTGAAGTTGAATCGCAGGTCACCCGACACCGGGTCCACCATATAGTTTTCGTCTTGGATGATATTGTTTTTGACCAAGGTTCGGTAATAATTCGAGCACTGGTAACCGACGCGGCCTGGGATACCTTTGGAAAACGTGCCCCATTCGTAGTTCGCCTTGCCGCCAGGAAGAGAGGCGATGATATCCATGAACTTTTGGTGTTCTTCGTCCGTCCATTTCCCGTTCGCTTGCATCTCTCCCGGTTCGTTGAATCGATAATAGTATTGATTTTCATTCTTTTCGCGATTCTTCCACGCCTTGATACGCGCCTCGGACCATCCTTCGTACGGGTTGACCTCCGGCTCCGCGAGCTCTTCCGCCACTTGCGCGCGCGCGATGGCGTCGTCTAGACGCAAACGTTTCACATTCACGTGCTTCTTCGTGTGACGCACGAATTGTACGCCGAGACTCTCTTCTAAAATGTACTCCGTCTCGAAGAACTCCTCCGGCTCGCCCGCGTCTTCCTCGTCCTCTTCGTCGCCGCCGAACGACATCCGACGCTTACGCAAGCGCTCGATGCGCTTGTTAAACCGCTCGTTCGCCGTCTGTGCCGCTTTTGAGCTCTGCGAACGTCGTTTCAGCGCGTCCTCTTCCTGAATCATGAACCGAATAGACATCAAAAACGATTCCCCATCCTCCGCCTCGCCGAGGCGGTCGCTCGCCTCGAACTCGTTCCCGTTACACACTCTCAGCACCATGTCCGCCTCTCGTTCCGTCAACCCCTTATCCGCGTTCCCGAGCATCAATTCCTCCACCTTCTCCCGCGTCGTTTTCTCCTCAAACTTCTTAAATCGATTCTGCAACGCCGCCACCCGCTCCGCGATCACCCTTCGCTGTTCCTCCGTCAACCCGTCGTCGTCGTCATCCGCCATCCACGCCGGCACCGCCGCCGCCGCTCGCGCGTCGCCGCTCGCGCCCTCGATCGCACTCTTCGCGCACGACGCGTCCACCGGCGCGTTCGCGACCGCCATGTCGTTCTCGCTCATCGCGCCGCCGTCGCCGCGTCGCGCCGCGTTTAAATTTCAAAAACGTCCTCTTCCCGCGTCAAAGGAATGCGCGCGTCGTCGTTCCGCGCGCGTCTCGTTCGACGTCTACCGTCGCTCGGGCGCGTCGATTCGTCGCGCGCGGTCCTCGCGCGCGCGCGCCGACGTCGCTCGTTCGCGCGTCGCGCGTCGATGTGCGGCGATCGGCCGACGCGGCGGTTGTCCCGACGTCCCGCGCGGGGCGCGCGCGCGCGCGCGTGCGCAAACAGTCGGAGGTCCATTAAATCCAGGCGCGCGCGTGACTGGCTCACGATGCGTGGTGTATGGGTAAACAGGCATTAAATTCTGCGCGTGCGGTATTCGGACATTCGGATACGCGAATTCAAATTCCGCCCGCGACGCCGCGACGCGAGAGCGCGACGCCGCGCGAGCGACGCGCGCGAGCGCGACGTCTCGACGCGACGCGCGAGAGATAAACGCGCGCGAGCGACGCGCGGCGACGCGGGCGCGCGCGATGGCGAGCCAACCGAGCTTGGTCGTCGAGCTCGGTGAACCGTTCCTGCGCGACGTCGTCGTGTGCGCGCGCGAGGGCCTGCGCGAGGCGCTGGACGAGGAGAGGATACGAGAGATCGAAAAACTCGTCGTGCATCACGGTGGACGGGTGCGGGCGAACGTCGAGGACGGAGGGGTGACGCACGCGTTGCTGGCGAGCGCGCGCGGGACGACGGCGACGCGGGCGAGGGCGAGAGGCGCGGAGACGGCGCATCCTGAGTGGGTGCGCGCGTGTGTGCACGCGAAACGAGTGTTGAGCGTGGATGAGAATGTGCTTTATAGGCCGCCGGAGACGATGGAGGGGGTGAAGGAGATGCGGGATTGCGTGGTGTGCGTGACCGGATACGCGGGGGCGCGAAGGCGAGACGTGGAGACGATGACGAGGGTGCTGGGGGGGAAGTTTCAAAAGGCTTTCGATCGTTCGGTGACGCATCTGGTGACGTACGAGTTCGCGGGTGCGAAATGGGAGCGCGCACGCGACATCGGAAGCGCGTACATCGTGAATCATCGATGGTTGGAGGATTCCATCAGAACGTGGACGCGAGCCAACGAGGCGTCGTACGCGAGCCGGAGCGGGAAGGAGGAAGATGAATTAGCGGCGCAGGGCGTGGTTCCGGATAGCGAGGATGAGGTTGAAGATGTGGCAAATGAAGTATCCGTCATCCCAGACAGCCTTGTCGACGGCACGACGAGTGCGAAGAAATGGAAATCCACGAGCGACGCGAACACGTTGCTCGCCGTCGCCGGCGCGTCGCAAGGCGCGCCGTCGACCGTCACGAAGAAAACACCCTCTACCGTAAGAAGTGATCGCAGTAAGTCTGCGTCAAAATCACGAAGCTCTCAAAAACTTTCGTTCCGATCGCCTGACTGGGAAGAAGAGGTGAAGCGAGGCGCGCACGTGGCGAGGAGCGCTCGGAACAGAATCGACCCGAGCATTCAGAGAGCTTTGCAAGAGGGCACGAGCCAACCGGAAGCGGTGTTTACGGGTCTGATTGGGAGCCCGAATGACGTGGAAATGGCTTTCGGTGGACGATTCGCGCCTGCAAACGCGTGGTTTAGCTTCTTTGACGACGCCGACCAGGAACCGTTGACGGATATGACGACTCTGGATGACTTTTACGCTCTCGTCGCACGAGGTCAGCGAAGCTCGGGCGATACGGAAGAAAAGATGCGTCGGATCAAGGCTGGTGAAACACGTTTCGACGTATTCGACATGGGGATTTCAGAAGCTCGCGAAGAGGAGGTGGTACGTCCGGGGAGCGGCTTGATTATTCAAACGTTGTACAGCGGCACTGTGGTCTTGGTGTCCGAGCTTCATCGCGAATATTGCGAAGAGATAGTGCAGCTTGTGGACACGTTGGAGATGCAGCAGCAACAAGGGCCGCTTGGCTCGCTGATCCATGCAATGTTACGCGTAGAGACGGCGAAACAGCCTGTGAGGGAAGGCGAACAAATCAAGCCAGGGCCGAATGCTCTCTTGAAGACGTTCCTCGCCTACTTGGCACTTGCTCACAACTTTTCAGAGACCGACCAGGCGCAACTTTTCAATGGAGATGGTACCCTCGTCAATGCAGATACGATTATCACTCTTCCCGCTAGAGCGCCCGGAAATCTTCGAGGTATTTTGCTCAAAGAAGTACAAAGGTCGTTGAGAGATGTTCTCGCTGGATTGTACGAGCTGCTCGCCGGCCCGACTGAACCGGATCCAACTCAGCAAGCTCCGCTGAGTCAGCATCCGCTATCTCAATTGGAGTTGGAAGAAGAAGAAAACGAAGAACAGGAGGAGGAGGAGGAAGAAGAAATAGCGCGCGAAGAGAAAAGGCAGGAGGAAGGGGAAGAGTTGCCGCATCAACTCGAGATGGGAGAAGCCGACGTGAGCGAGCCTGCGGCGGCGGCGGTGTCGGCGGCGGCTCCAGCCGATGTCGAGATCGCAGAAGAAGCACGCGCAACTTCGCTGGCGGAAAGACAGGCGAGGAGAGCGACACCAGAGGCTCGACCGACCCGCACACGCACCACGGCCGTGGAAGCATCGACGTCCAGGCAGAAACCCGTACCTGCGGCGAAGCCAAAGAAGACCGCGAAAGTGAAAAAGACTACGCCCAAAGTGTCGACGCGCGCCGCCGAAGCTGTCCTCGTGACGAATCCGAAAGCGCATATCACGCTCAGTGGCTTTAGCTCCGCCGGAATCAAGAAGTATTCCTCCATTGTTCGTCGAATTGGCGCAGTGTTGTGCCCCGGCCACGAATGGGAACCGTCGACAACGCACGTTGTCTTCGGCGAGCGCGGGAGTCGTTCAATTAAATTCCTCGCTGGTGCGGTCTCCGGTGCTTCTCTACTTGATATTTCTTATTTGGACGCGTGCGCGTCCGCTGGCGAAGTGTTGCCGGTGACTGCCAAATACATTTGGCGTGGAGGTCGCGGCGCCGAGATGGGTGTGATCTCGAGCGACGCCGCGGCGCACTGGTCCAACGTCCCGGGCGCGAGCGCGTTCGACGGGCTTTCCATCGCAATTTTACCATTTGCCCCGAGCGCCAAACTCGAGCAGAAAATGCTCGACACAGTTTTGCGAGCTGGTGGCGCTTCACTATCTTCAGTGTCGTCCAAAGGCGACGTTTGTCTTACTCAAGCCGACGTCGCCGACTTCGTCGTCTCTGATCAAGTCGACGCATCGTCGCCGGCGGCTGTCCCTCGTCTCGAACCACTTCTCGAATGCGGCGGTGACGTCGTCGTCGTGTCTCCCGAGTTCTTCAAGTCGTGGGTGTCCACGCCCGAAACGGCGTTGGATGCGCACTTGTTGTTCGGAAGAAAGTCCTTGCCCACAGGGGCGGCGCTCGAAAAAGTGCTCGCTCTTCGCGGCAAAACGACGAAGAAGTTTAGTACGAAGAAGCCGATCGTCGAAAAATCAACGATCGCGCCTCCCGCAAAAGTGTCTGCGCGGAAAAAACCAGCTGTGGCGGTCGCGCCCCCAGCGAAGGCAACAGAAGCCGCGCCGAAGAAGGTGACAAAACACGCGGCCCCGGCGCCGGTGGCGTTGAGCCAGCGACGACAAACGCGCGCCAAGAAAATGTCTGAGGCGCCGCTCGCGGCCCGTGTGGCGAAACGACGCCGAGTGTTGAGAGATGCATCGAACAATTAGATAGCCACAGTGCGCGTATGCAATAATTAATTAAACTGCATCATTTTACAGATTGTTACAACAGATGAGTGTTATTCGGAAGACATGACGCATGTATGTTTATCATCCTCGTTGTCGACTACTGAGACTAAACGAATGGTCTAAGTCGTAGGATTTAGTAGAAGCCGAAGCCCTTGGCCGCGTTGGTGAGGACGTTGGAGTGAACCGGGTCCGCAACGTGGGATTGCCAGTTGGCGATCGGGCCTTCTTGGGTGGCGAGCGCTTGGAAGATGCAGCCCAACCACGCGAACATGGACAAGCGGCAGTGCTTGAGCTCCTTGATCTTGAGTTCTTCAAGGTCGCCAGACTCGGCGAGGCCGAGCGGGTCGAAGCGTCCACCCGGGTTGACGTCACCGACGGTGAGGCCATCATCGAACGGAGAGTCGGAGATACCGGTACGGTACGCTTCCGCGGCGCCGACGAGAACGATCTCGATGATGAGAACGTTCCAGAAGGACGGGTAGCCAGAGCCTTCCGGCGCGAGCGGGGCGACGGCGCCCGGGAACTTGTCCGCGACGGCGGTGCAGTCATCCGGGGTGCACAAGGTACCCGCGGTGAACCACGGGATGCCGGTGCCGTTTTCGGCGGCCCACGCGCCGGTGACGCCGAGCATCGCCCAGCGGCCGTGGATCACTTCGCGCTCGGCGTTCTTTTCATCGCCGAACGGGATGATCGGGGATTCGCCACCGCCCGGGTAGGTACCGAATTCCGGGTAGATGTCAGCCTTGACGGTCGTGGAGACAGACTTGGCCTGCGATCGAGCGAAAAATCATAGTCGTCAGTCTCTCGGTCATCCAATCGGTCGGTCGGTCGCCCCCGGAAAGATCTCCCCGAAAACCGTATCGTATCCGCGCATCCACCGCGCGCGCGTATCCACCCCCCCACGCGCGCGCGCCGCGCCCGCCGCGCCCGCCGCGCCCGCGAACGACGCGAAACATTCCCACTCGCTCGTTTCTCCCCCCCCCCGCGCCCGTCCGCGCGCCCGCGCGCGCCCACGCGCGCCCACGCGCGCGCCCGCGAGATACGATACGCATCCGCGCCCGCCCCGCGTTCGCGCGCGTCGCGCGACGCCTCCGCGCCGCGCCGCGCGTCCGCGCGTCGCGCGCGCGCTCGAAAAAATACGCACTTGGATCTTGGTCGCCTTGAAGGCGGCGACGCGGCCGACGAAGGAGGAAGCGAGAAGGGCAGACATTGCAGAAATGTGCGTGTGCAGGAATGCCGATCGCGCGCGCGAGATCGCGCGATCGACCACCGCGATCGACGGTCGCGATCGACGTCCGCATTCAACGCGCATTTAAGCCCATGATCGCGCACGCGCGTCGTCGATAAAAAGTGATGGCGGATCGCTCGGACGCGCGGACGCGCGGACGCCGATGGCGTTCGCGCGTCTCGGTGTACGACGCCGCGCGGCGCGAAGACGTTAAAAAATCGGACGCCCGCGCGGTCGGTCGCCCCGCGCGGCGCCGCGATTCAAACGCGCGCGCGCCGTCGGTCGGCGACGCGATGGCGATGGGACGCCGCGGCGACGCGAGCGGCGACGCGGGACGCGCGCGCGAACTCAGGGACGCGATCGCGAGGTGTCGCGCGCGCGGGCTGACGCGCGCGGCGGCGTGGGCGTGCGAACAGCTGTGTGGACTCGAGACGGCGCGCGCGGACGCGGACGCGGACGGCGCGACGGCGACGAGCGCGGCGATGGACGAGGACGAGGACGAGGACGAGGCGATGATGGACGACGCGTACTCGCTCGCGAAGGCGTATTTTGATCTGGGGGAGTACAGGCGGTGCGCGCACGCGCTGCGAGAGGCGAACGCGCCGTTGCAGACGTTTTTGCGAGAGTACGCGACGTTTTTAGCGGGGGAGAAGAGTAAGGGGCAGGCGAGCGCGGTGGGGGGGGGGGACGTCGATGGGGGGGCGGGTGCGGTGGATTCGTCGCAGACGCCGTCGATCGGGGCGCGGAAACAAGCGCCAGAGCCGAACGCGGGGACGAACGCCGAGCTCGAGTCGTTGAGCGAGTGGCTTCGCGCGCAGGATTATTCGGGAGCGAAGGATGGGTTTTTGACCTATCTTCACGGCATCGTCTGTCGGGAGAGTGGACAGCCGACGCAGGCGAAAGATTTGCTCGCGGAGGCGTGTCGGAAGTACCCGCTCAATTGGAGCGCGTGGCAGGCGTTGATTCCGATGTTGACGAGCGAGGAGGAAGAGCAGGCGCTCGATCTTCCGCGCGAGCATTGGGTCTATCGCTGGTTCATCGGCGTCTTTCAACTCGAAATGCAAAAGAACAAAGAAAGCTTGGACACCTTCGTGTCGCTCGGGAAAGAATTCCCGCAGAGTAAGCTGTTGCTGGGACACATGGCGGAGGCGCACTACAACTTGCGCGAATTCGATGAGGCGCAGGAAATTTACAAGGACATTCGAGATTTGGATCCGTATCGTATCGATGGCATGGATAATTATTCAAACGTCCTGTACGTGAAGGAATCGTTCGCCGAGCTCTCGCACTTGGCGCATCACTTAGTCGCCACCGATAAGTACACCCCCGAGACTTGTTGCGTCGTCGGCAATTACTACTCGCTGAAATCGATGCACGCCAAGGCTGTGGTGTACTTCAAGCGCGCGCTGAAGCTCAACCCGCGATACTTGAGCGCCTGGACTTTGATGGGACACGAGTACGTGGAGATGAAAAACCCGGCGGCGGCCATCGACGCGTACAGACACGCAGTGGACATCAACCCGCGCGATTATCGCGCGTGGTACGGCTTGGGACAGACGTACGAAATCTTACAAATGCCTTATTACGCGCTCTACTACTACCAACAAGCGGTCAAACTTCGTCCGTCGGATCCACGAATGTGGTGTGCGATGGGTCAGTGCTACGAGTCCGACCAGCTCCGTTTGTTTCAGTCCGCGATCCGATGCTATCAACGCGCCGTGGCGAACAACGAGCGCGAAGGCATCGCACTATCCAAACTTGCCACTCTCCACAGAGAGAAGAATGAAAAGGCGGCGGCGCATTACTATCTCCTCAATCTCAAGCGCTTAGACGCCGAGGTCTTAGACGCCGATAGTAACGAGAAGATCGAGGCGTTGGAGTTTTTGTCTCAGTTTTATAAGAAGGAGCGACGACTCGAAGAAGCCGAAGCCGCGTGCGTGCGCCTCTTGGACGCGCCGGGACCGGCGAAACACGCGGCCAAGGCTCTGTTACGCGAAATCCATAGCATGCTGAGTTCAACGTAGACAATTGTCGTGAACAAATTCCTAGTTTAGCTAATCATTTTTCAACGTCTAAACGCCCGCTCACGAGATCTTCTCTGATATTCACGAGCAGCGCCCCCAGTAAATTTTGGCCAGTTCCGTCTCGACCGGCGCCCCATACGCCATCAACCGGGGAGTCTTCGATGACGCGCACACGACCATCGGTGCAAACAGATTCCATGAGCAACGTCCTTGGTCCTTCATACCTTACTAGCTTCTCCGTCAGCGCTCGTCGCATGACGTCAACCTTGACATCGTCCCAATCCTTTCGAACGCTTTCGGGATGAGCGGCTTGAGCGCTTCGACCGATTTTTGCTGCCGCCTCAGGTGATTCTGCGAGTTTGATTTTCTCAAACGACTCGCGTGCGATGTCGTTGTGCACGCCGGCGAACTTTTGTGCCTGATAGTAATGTTCAACCGTGGGCCATTCCACGCCGTCGACGCTCACGGGAAACGGGGAAAAGTTGCTCAGCGCTCCATACTCGTCCCAGGCTTTGTAAAATTTAACCGGTGGAAGATTATCCATATCGCAAACTTCATCGTCGTTCACGAGTGATGCTACCGCTCGCTCGACGGAAATGAGTGATCCATCATCGGTGCGTTCATCGTCGTCCGAGCTCTCACCGACGTTGAACTCCAACCCGCGAACGCTATATCCGGCGCTCGCGAGCTGGCTTAGTCGTCCCGTGCTGTGCGAGTTCGGGACGTAGCCACGAATGAGAATGTCACGCCCGTATATTTCGAGACGCACGCCGGATAATGGCAACGCGTCGTGCATGGCTTCTATGCCCAAGTTGCCCAGAGGCGTCGGCGCGAGCGCGCCGCCGCCAACAAGCTTTGGCGCGATGAATGCTAGAACCTCGTGAAACACTCCGCTCTTCATCGCCGGCGCTGCGAGACCACCGCCGCACTCCCAAAAGCATCTCAAAAATCCTCTCTTGAACATGTACTGCGCCGCGGCGAGGGGTGTGAGTTCATCGAATTCCACCACTTCGACGCCCTTGGCGCGCAGCGCGTTTTGGAATTCCGGTTTCACGCCCTTCGTGGTGCACACTATCGTCGGCGCCACACCGCGGACATTCCACAGCTTTGCGTCTTCGGGCAAGTCGAGAGATCGAGTGAGAACGACTCGAGCAGGTTGGAACCCAGTCTCTTCGCGACACGTCAGCCTCGGATTGTCCTTCCGCACCGTTCCGCCGCCGACGACCACAGCGTCCGCACGCTTCCGCTCGCGAAACACCATTTCGCGCGCCTCGGCACCGGTCACCCACGACGAATGTCCCGTATCAGTCGCAATCTTCCCATCGAGCGTCATCGCGTACTTGTACACGCTAAACGGCAAACCCGTGGCGACGCGATACAACAGCGCCTCGTTCGTCTCTCGACACGCTCGCGCCGCCTCGCCCTCGAACCCCTCGGCCTCGCCCTCGAGCACGCACACCTCTATCCCTCGCTCTCTCAGCGCTCGCACCGCGCGTCCTCGCAATCCTGGGAGCGGATGCAACATCCCGACCACCGCGCGAGTCGCCCCCGTCGCCGCGAGCGCCTCCACGCTCCGCGTCTCCCCCGCCACCTCCCCGTGCGCCGGCTCCAGGTTCACGTACACCGTCCCTCGATCGCTCGAGTTCAGCGTCGCGCCCCGTCGCCGCATCTCGTCCGCGCACGCGATTTCCGCCCGCGTGGACCCTTGTCCCGCGTGCGTCGCCTCGACGACGACGTCGCCGTCGCCTCGCGTCACCGCGCACGCGCTCAGCGGGTGCGGCGCCGCGATGCCCTCGCGCGCGCGCGCGAGCTCGCACACGCGGGTCATGATTTCGGCGTCGCGCGGCGTCACCGCGCGAAGCGTCGCGGCGCGCGCGCGGCGCGGACGCGCGCGAGGTCGTCGCGACGCCGGCGGCGATTCCGTCGACGACGACGGCGCGGTCGAGGACGCGCTCGCCGCGCGCGCGCGCGCGAGCGCGCGCGATGGTGACGCGGCCGACATCGCGCGCGACGTCGCGCGGCGGACGCGCGGCGCGGAGTGACGAGGGCGAGCGAGGCGCGACGCGGCGTCGAGCCAGGTTTCTGACGGTTCTTTACAACACACAAGATTCTGACTATGTCCGAGTCCGAATGCGGACGCGAACGCTGCGCGAGTATCTAGCAATTTCGTTTTGTTTCTTCCATCCTGTTTAAGCGGTGGCCATCGGGACTTCGGGCGTCGCCGTCGTCGTCGCCGCCGCCGCCGCGACGCGCTTCTTCGCAACCTTTCTTCGCTTCTTGACCACCTTCTTCTTGGTCAACTGAGGAATGGCTGAGCCGGCGGTTTGCGCCAACGACGCGTGCATGGGAAGACCCAACGCGAACAATCGCGTGGGCTCACCCAGCTGGTTGTTGATGACGCGGCCTAACGCGGTGGCGGACACGGAGGACGCCAACGACGTGAGGTGCTCCGTCATCCACCGATCGGCGCCGCCGAGGAGCTGGTATCTCAAGTTGCACGAGATGCCGAGGAAGGCGCCCATGCCGAGAGCCGAAGTCTTGAGATCCGGGACCGGAATCGCCGGTTCCCATTGCTCGCCCTTCTTGTTCTTGTGCAAGGCCAACAACCCAGTGTTGATGGCGGAGAACGCCCCGCCCGTCAACACGCCCACGGCGGATAATTCCGCGGCTTTGGTGACGACGCTCAACCCACGAGTCGCGTTGGTGTACTGGCGCAAAGGACCAGCACGGTCGAACGCGTTGTTCGGCATGGTCGCCATGAACTTTTGGAAACCGTTCGTCGCGGACGACCCGAAGGATCGCACCGGCGTGCAGCACCAAACCGTCAAGGCGTTCGCGAGGGACAACTGCATGATGTTGCTCAGCGCGAGGTCCCACTCCGACTTCAAACGCTCGCCACGATGGGCGACTTCGTACATCGTCGCCGCACCGATCGTCACCACTTGCTCGAACGCGAGTTTGTACAAGAACGCGGGATCAGCCATGAGGCGACCGACAAAGGCGCGGGAAAACGCTTGCGGCGTTCCGCGCGAGACGGCGCGCACCACGCTCGGGCGCACGTTGACGCTCATGAAACGCACGAGAGCGAGAGAGGACACGATGCCCATCTCCACCGCCATGCGAATACCACCTGGAAGCGATTCCATGGTCTTGAACCACTCAGACAAAACCGCCTGAATAGCCTTTCTGTCAAACGTCTCTCCGATCGCCGCCCTCGTGCTAAAAAATCCCTCCTCGCCGTCGTCGTCGTCCCCCTCCTCAAAGTAATCATCGTCGTCCCCTTCGTCGCCGTCACCGCCACCACCACCGTTGTTAATCTTACCACCGTTATTCCCACCACCGCCGCCGTCGGCGAGCTTCGGGCTCGACACCTGCGCCTGTTGCTGCATGCTCAGCCCAGCCTTCTCCAGCGTCGCCGCGCCGCCGCCGCCGAGCTGCCGCCCGATTCTCGCCATGCTCGTCGGCACGCGCATCGACGCATCGAACGATCGCTCCTTCGCCGTGCCTTCCTGTTTCATCCAAAACACCGCGCGTTCGTCAGTCACCGCCTCCGTCGCGTCTCCTCGCTCGCCCGCGCGTCGCGCCGCAAAACCCATCCTATCCTTTCGCCTAGGGACGCGGTGGTTCCCCCACCGCCTCGCGTTCGCGCCTCGCGTCGTCGCGCGCGTCCCCCCCCGCGCCGCGCGCGACGCGCGCTCGACGCGCACAGTTTTCGCGAATCGCGCGCGCTCGCGTTCGTCGCGTTCGCGCGTTCGCCGACGCACCGCTTCCGCGAATCCCGCGCCCGAGTCCACCGCCGCCGCGCGCATCGGTCGCGTCGCGAACCGCGCGCGCGCGACGCGCGCCTCGCCGACGCGCGCGCGACGCGCGAAGCTCGCGCCCCGGCGGTTCGCCGCCTTAAAACCGCACCCAACCATCGTCGTCGTCGCCATCGCGCTCGACCGCGCCGCGCCCGCGCGCTCGACGCGCGCGCGCGTCGCGATTCGGATTCGTCACCCTTCGCGAACGAATCCGCGATCGATGCTTCGCGACGCGTCGGCCGTCGACGCCGAGTCGCCGTCGACGCGCGCGCGACGCGGTCGACGCCGTCGAGCGAAGAAAAACGACGCGCGTCGTTCGTCGCGCGTCGCTCGGGCGAAGCGCGCGCGCGCGTTCGGTCGCGCGCGATTCCGTGCGCGCGGGTGTGCGGTGCCGAGCGCCCCGAGCGCCCCGACGTCCGGCGGCCGGGATCCGCGGGATTCGACGGCGGTCGCGGAAAACCGTTCGCGACGGGTCGCGACTCGTCGTCGACCCCCCCCTCGCGCGTTCCAGGGTCGTTATTCGCGCGCGCTAATTACCCATACCTAGGCGATAATATAATAGAATATGCGGAAAACGCGCGCGGCGCCACTCGATGGCGCTTCGCGCGTCGACGCGCGCCGTCGTCGCGGCGCCGCCGCGACGCGTCGCGCGCGCGCGACGCGGTGTCGTCGCGATGGCGGCGAACGCGGACGGTTCGAACGCGTACGCGCTGCTGACGCTCGACTACGTCGACGGGATGCTCGAGAAGCGCGCGCCGCATCGCGAGGCGCACCTCGCGGGCGCGCGGCGCGCGCACGAGGAGGGGAAGGTGGTCATGGCGGGCGCGTTGCTCGATCCCGTCGATCAGGGGGTGTTCGTGTTTAAGAATTGCGAGCGCGAGGAGATCGAGGCGTTCGTGAAGGCGGACGCGTACTACGTCGCGGGGCTCGTGCCGAGGTACGCGATCAGGCCGTGGATGGTGGTCGTCGGGAACTGAGCGCGGGCGGCGGACGGCGCGCGATGCGATGGGGGTGGGGTAGACGCGGCGCGTGTGAATGATAAATCCATCGTGTGTGAGTGATAAATCTACGTCGTGCGTGCGTGCTGCTGCGCGGGCGCGTCTGCGCGTCGTCGCCCGTCGCCTAGTAAAAATCATCCAACCCGGACGGGTCGCCCTCGAGCGCGTTCTTAATGGCGAGAATGGTGAAACCGACGCCGAATAATAACGCCAAATTGACGAAGGACGATAATAGTCGACTCTTGCGAGGGGTGAACCCGAGCTCGATGGCGCGCTTGAAACTCTTGGCCGAGGCGAGGACGACGCGCTTGCGCAGCGCGGAGTCCTTCGACGCCAAGAGCTTCAACGCGAGCGTCGGATGGGTGTAGTACATGACGTTCGCTAAGTCGAACTCGGTCATATCTTTCACGTCACTCTTGGAGACGTCCTCTAAACCGATCGCCTCCATGTAATATGGGTCGACCACTTTCATTAAATCGAACACCTCGTTCACCGCCTCCGCCGACGCCTGGTCTGGCGTCACGACCGAAGACTGGTCGTCGTCTTCGATCGGCACGGCGTCGACGATGACGTACGGTTCGGTCTGCGCCACTCTTAAAACCTTGAAACGCCGCGTTCCTTTGGCGCACACGCTCAACAAACGACCGTCGACGACGACGTCGTGCGCTTGCACCTCCATCGTGGTGCCCACGCTCGCGATTTGCCCATCCAACCCACGAAACACCGCACCGAAAGCGTTCGTGTCGACGAATTCGTCCTCGGGCAATCGCCCGAAACCGGGAACGATGTCGAACGAGCGCGCGCCGGTTTCGTACGCCTCGATGATTGGCAAAGCGTTGAGATCGATTTTCGCCTTGCCATCGATTCCGCGCAACACGCGTCGGCGAACTGTGCTCGCGCCGAAACCGTCCTCGTCCGTCTTCACCTCGCTCGACGGTCGTGATTCCGTCGCTTTATCCGTCGCGCTCTCGTCACCGCCCGGGATGAGCTTCGAGAACAGCGTCAACCAACGCGGCTCAAACAAGTTCAATCTCACGTACGTCCCAGGCGTCGCCACGAATGGGTACGGAATTACGGGAAGTTGAAACTCTCCTGGTAATCGCACGATCTCGCCCGAGTCTCCCTCGCTCTCGCCGCTGCCTTTGGGCTTCAACTCCAGCCCACTGTCGCTCTCTTCCTCCACCACGAACCGCTCGCCCGTGACCTTATCGAACACCTCCGTGGGAAGCTTGAACCACTCCGGTTCCGGCCCCAGCGCCTCGCCCCCCGGCGTCTTGTCCTTCATCGTCGAAAAATCCATCATCCCCAGCGGAACGTCTAAAAACACCGCCTGCAATCTTTGAATCCTCGTCGTCGCCGCGTCTGCCTTGACGAATTCGCGTCGTCGAGCCGCGCCGGCTTCCTTGCGTTCGCGTTCCCTCGCCTGCGCCTCGGCTCGCCGCGCGTCCGCCTCCTCGAGCTCTCTCGCCGCTTTCGCCTCGCGTTCGTCCTCGCCGAGCAGCGCGCTCAGCGCGCTCAGCGAGTCTTCTGCCGTGGGTTTCGCCGCGCGCGTCGTCGTCGTCGCCGTCGCCGTCGCCGTCGCTCGCGCGTCCGCGTCGACGTTTTCACCGCTCGGGACGTCATCCGTCTTCGAAACACCGAAGCGATCCCAAAACGCCCTCGCTCGCGTCGCGCGCGCGCGAGCGCGCGGCTTCGTCGTCGCGCTCGCGCTCGGCGCGCGCGCGGGCGCGACGCGCGGCGCGCGGGCGCACCGCGCCGTCGACATCGCGCGCTCGAGAGTGACGTCGAGGTGCCCAGGGGCGTCACTTCGAACCGCCGCGCGCGCGCGCGATGGGACGCGCGCGCGAGTACTTCGTCGATAAAGGACTCACCCCGACGGACGTCGTTCCGGCGTTCGTGTGCGTGACGCGCGCGAGCGACGCGCGAAGGAGGCGGATAAAGCGAAGACGACGCGAAGACTGACTCGGACTCGACGACGCGCGCGCAGGTTTCACGAGGTGATATCCGTGGCGTTCGCGGCGTCGACGTGGATCGCGGCGTACGCGATCGAACCGTCGCGGACGGTGCTGAAGCCGCTCGCGAAGACGAAGGTGGCCGAGAAGGCGGCGCCGCTGTTTCGGAAGACGCTCGCGGCGGCGGCGAAGCAGACGGCGAAAGCGACGACGCGCGTGCCGGCGCTGCGAGCGGCGAACGCGGAGAGATTGACGCTGTCGTTGGCGGAGTCGCTGTTTTTCCGGGGATGCATCAAGCCCATCACGTTCGGGGGGAAACTTTGGTTGTCGTATCAGTTCATCGTTTGGACGAAAACCGTCGGACGAAACGCGGCGAAGCCGTTGGCGAGCGCGAGCGCGCGCATGGGCGCGAAGAGGGATCGCGCGCTCGGGATCGCGTTGAAGACGGCGTGATGATGACGTTTCTGTCAGCGGCGCGTGTATTAATAAAATAGAATTTTAGTGTCTACTTGTCTCCTCTCTTGAAGACGCGAAACGATTCAACCGCTATGGATGTCGTTTCCGATTTCAGCCCCGCGCTTCGCACGTCTTCGAGCTCTTCTTGTAGGACCTGCATTGCTAAGTTCTTCCACACGTCACCCGCCGCGTTTTGCGCACCCTCCGGGACGAAATCGAAAGCCATGCGGAACAGGACGCGCGTGAGCCCCGGCTTGGCGGGCAAGCACACGTGCAACTGCTCTACTTGCATCGAAGTCCCATCTCCACCCCCTACGCGCGGTCTCAGCGCGATCGTGCTCGCGATCACGCACGACGGTTTGAAAACCACGCTCTGCGGTACCGCGTCGTAACCGATCCGCAAGACTTTTGAAATCAACCGCGTGCCGTCCACCGGAAAGAGTGCGCCTCGACCGCGATTCTTCACCGACACCGGTTCCCGCCGCGCGCGCTCGGTGATGTCTAACAACCGTTCCACCACGACATCGCTGTCAAGTTTCACGTCCGCGATGACTTCCGCCATCGTCACGAATCCCTCGCCCGTCGTGAACATCCCCGGTTCGTTGGCTTCGTACACGTCCTCGTCCCAAGACTCGCACGCCGCCTCCGGTCCAACAAAGTCCGCGGGATCGCTTTCTCCGGCCCAAACGAATATCATCCCATCCCTCTCGATCACCCTGAGCTCGTCCGCGAAGACGTTCTTCAAAAAACTACACGAAGGCATTTTCGCGCACTCGCCGTTCGTCTCGTACTCCCACCCGTGATACGGGCACTGCACCCGTCCGTCCACCACCTTCCCGAGCGACAGCGGGCACGCGCGATGACAGCACTCATCCTTCACGCACCCCACCTCGCCGTCGCGCCCCCGAAACAGCACCCACGGCACGTTGAACAAATCAAACGCCACCAGCGCGTCCTTATCTCGCAGATTCCCCGAGAAGCACACCGGAAACCAATAGTCGCGCGCGTCTCGCGTTCGCCGCGCGCCGTCGACGCCGCGCGCGCCGCGCGCGCGCGTCGTCGCGTCGTCCACCACCGCGCCGACCGGCGCGCGCGCCCGCGCGCGTCGCGCGCGCGCCGCGACCGACCGCCGACCGGCGTCGCCGCGCGCCTCCGCGCGCGCGCGCGCCGTCGCCGGCGCCGGCGCCGGCGCCGGCGTCGCGCGCGCCATCGCGGACGACGCGATCGGGGACGCGCGCGGTCGGCGCGCGCGAGCGGTCGCGCGTCGACGCGTCGACGTGTGCGTCGCGATCGCGACGAGCGGATAAGGACGACGCGCGCGCGCGGCGGGCGACGACAGAGCGCGACGCGACGGCGCGCGCGATGGCGACGACGTCGACGACGACGACGACGACGACGACGACGCGCGCGGTGCGGACGACGAAGACGCGCGCGAGGCGCGCGACGACGACGATGCGCGCGACGACGACGCGACGACGCGGTGAGGAGGACGGCGCGTTGGCGCGCGCGTGCGTCGCGCTCGCGGCGTCGGCGGCGATGGCGCTGACGATGACGCCCGTCGCGAGCGCGGGGCTGAATAAGAGCGGGAACAACGACGCGTACGCGGAGATGATGCGGCAGATGGAGGAGGACAGGAAGCGAGACGCCGAGAGCGCGCCGGCGCTGAGCGCGGAATCGTTGTTCAAGCAAGGCGGCGGTGCGTGCGGCGAGGGATACGAGCTGAAGGTCGTGAAGGTGCTCGGGGCGTCGTGCGTGTGCGCGAGCGATTCGTGCGCGGAAGACGATTCGAGAAAGGAACGAAGCGAGTACGAGCGGTCGTTCGGCAAGGACAAGAGCGCGGAGGCCGACGCGCCGGTGGGCGATTCTGGAATCAAGTTTACGTTTGCGACCGACTGATTGAAATGCAATAACTAGTTTATTTTTTGTCACGCCTACCGTTTCACTTCGCTGGAGTTTCACTTCGCCACGACTGATTTCGCGAGCGCCGCGAGCGCCGGCGACGCCGACGACGCGTTCGCGACGACGGCGTCTCCGTGCTTTGGTTTCGACCCCAGTGGTCCTTCCAAGGCGGCGGATATCTCGTCGATATACTGCGTCAAGCCTTCGGGGCGCGTGGGAATGAGCGCTTCGTGGTCGTCCGTGATGTTCATCTCGTCATCGTTCGTGGAGCCGTCGTCGTGAGCGCCGTCTCCTCCTCGACCGACGACGAAGGAGACCGAACCGTCGAGTCTGAATCCAATCGAACACACCCGCATCGCGCTGACACCGATGATTCTCACGATTGATAAAACACTCGGTGCACCAAAGGTGAGTTGGAAGTCACCGTGGAGTTGAGCAAAATGGCTCGCCGCCGCTTCGACGGCGCGAAGCGCGCACGCAAAAATCTCACATCGGCCATCACGCGCGGCGACGCTGAGCGCGCGCTTGGCCGACGAGCTGAGTCGTTCGCCGTCGGCGTACAAACCCGGACCAAGATACCCACTATGGCGCCATTCGATGGTACATTCGATGGAGTCTTTGTACGAAATTGAAACCACATCGGCGGCTTGGCGGCTCAACTTGCATCCGAGCTTGGCGAAATCTACTCCGGAATCATTATCAGATAACGCCGATAAAAACCCTTGCGCCGCGGCGATACGCCGGACGTCCGCTAGAAAGGCGTGTATCATGAACTCGGAGTGCTCGTAAGCGCGCGTTTCGCCACCGATGCTCGCCGACAAGCCGTCGATGCCTCGTAGCGTGACGTGCGCCTTGAGCGGAGATTTCTGCTTTATCGCACGTTTGTACTTACTTTGCGCCCAACGCGAAGTGTTTACGATCTCAAAACTCACGGTGTTTGCGGCTTTTTTCGTTCCTTTCGATGTCGGCCGAATGTCGACGAAGGGGACGCGCTGCTCTTTCAAGGCGCGCATCAACGCTGAGCGTTGCGCGTCGACGCTCAAGTCGCGACACGCCTCACCAATCATTTTCACGACGACATCAGCCTTTGAGCCTTTTCGCGCCCCGAGATTGAGCTTTTCGACTGAATGCGCGATGTATCTCGACGCCGGGTTAACTCGATGCGCTCTGACAAGGGCGAAAGTCGGCGTCGCTCCCATCCAAGTCGCGACGAAGACGCCGCCGTCGCTCGGCACGACGGGTACCAAGGCAGTCGGCGCAACGCCGCTCGGGACTGCATCCGAAGTACTCCACGGTTCGCCGCCTAAGGTTTTTGGCGCAGGATGCACCGACGTCCCGGACGTGCGAAGCAAACCCTTGAGCTCTTGCTGCTCGACGGCGACGGAGACTTCTTCGACGATGCTGACGATGGCGTCGTGCCCTTCAAGAGCTAATCTCTTTGAAAGATCTGCCTCCGTTGCGGACGGTACGAGCTCACCCGCACCGTGCAGGATCAAAGTACCGTCAGAAATTCGACAGGTGATGAATATGTTCGTGAATTTCGAAATCTCGAGACGAATCGCGGGTCGAGCGTCGGTTCCCCACGCGTCTTCGTCTTCTGAGCACGCGCACTCCTCCGCGGTCATCGACTCTTCCACGACAGTCGTGAACGATTTTTCCCCGCTCACCTCGGTCGAGACCGAGTGCAATTTCTTACTAGACGCTATACGGATGGCTTCGACGAGGATGGCTTCCAAATCGACGCGCGCGTAATTGACGGGCAAATCGAAAAACTCAGCCTCACCCGGCGCCCGCGCCTTGGCGCGCAAATCCGCGGTCTCGGGGTTGAACGAAACGTCCAACATTCCCGCCTCGTCGGCGCTGGCGACGTTTTGACGCCAAAAAGCCACGCGTACGCCCTTTAAAATACCCGCCGCTTCGCCCTTGACGATTTCAACCTTGACGGCGTTTCGAGACCAGCGCGACTCAGAGTTCGCACGCTCCGCGGCGTCCTTCAGCGCTCCAGCCTGCGCGAGAATTGCGGCGGCGGATTTCAGCAGCACCGCATCGCTCGCGACGCCGTGCAAACCTTTGAGATGTAACGGCTCCAACGGCGGCGCGTCGTCGGCGAGCTTTTGACCAAACGGAGGCAGCCCGACCATGCTCGCGCACGCCATGTCCGCCAACTTTCGCGTCTCGGCTTTGTTCAGCTCGAACTTCGCCCCTTTCTCGTCCCCCGCCAACATCTCTATCGTTTCTACGCGCCACCCTCCGTACCGCGGTTGCTCCGTCGCGTTCGGCGCCACGGGTCCTCCGAGCGAGAGCGTCGCGCGATACTCTCCCTCGACCCCCACCTCGACTTTCCCCCCCCCGATCGCGAACACCTTGAATTTTTCATTCGGCCACTCCGAGTGATCGTCCCTCGTCGCGCATCCGTGCGTCTTCGATCGCACCAATCGCTCCGTCATCTCTTCCTCGAATCTCCGTTCGAAGTCCAACCTCCGCTCGCGCGTCTCCTCCGTCTCCTCCGTCTCCTCCGTCGCCGCGACTCGCCCGACGCCGATCTCCGATATCTCCCTCCCCAGCTCGTAGTCCCCGTCGCACAGCACGTTCAGCGCCCCCGCCAGATCCCACGCCGGCGCCTTGGCCCACTCGATTTGTTGGTGCAAATGAAACAGCCCATCCGCGAGCTTCGCGAACGCCTCCTCGTGCGCGCGCAGCGTCAGGTGCGCGTTCGTCGCCACCGTCGCGATCTTCGCGCTCTTCCGCGACCACCGCTCGACGATCGCGCACCTGACGAGTCGCTGCCGCGCGCGGTGCGCGTACCGCGCGAGCTCCGCCGCGCGCGCGCGCGCGTCCGCGCCCGCGCATCGCTCGACGAGCTGCCGAAGCTCGACGTGGCACGCGCGCGCGACGCGTTCGACGACGTCCGCGAGCGTCGTCGCGGGCGCGCGTTTCGGCAGCGTCTCCATCCCGCGCGCGTCGGTGCGCGGCCGCGTCGCGCGTCGATCGGCATTCGGCGATCCCAATCCGTTGTTACGGGTCAAACAAAAACCCTCCCGCGTGGCGCACCACACGGACACGGATTCGCGTCGGCACCTCGCGCGACGCGCGACGCCGCTTCGACGCGCGACGCCGACGCGCGGCGCGATTCGCGCGGCGCGATTCGCGCGACGCGCTCGACGGACGGCGCGCGTCGGCATCGCGCCGGTGGATGCGCGCGACGACGACGCGCTTCGGGACGGACGACGACGACGACGACGCGCGGTTTGAAACGGACGCGACGACGACGGCGAAGCGACGCGGAGGCGCGACGACGACGACGACGGAGACGCGGGACGCGGAGGCGCTGACGCGCGAGCGCTCGAGGTTGGTGAACGCGGTGAAACACCTGGAGCGGTCGTGCGAGGCGCTGGAGGAGGCGGCGGCGGACGACGCGACGACGAGGGCGGATAAGGAGACGTACGAGGACGCGCTGCGAGAGAACGCGAGGGCGATATCGAGGCATCAGGGAGAGATTTACGCGCTGACGGTGGAGATTGAACGACGCGCCGAAGCGAAGGCGGAGGTAGGGGACGCGAACGCGAGGGAGGGGCGTTGGGTGTGAGGACGAGGGGCGACGCGAGGCGAGCGAGATGGCGTATTTGAGTCGAAGCGCGCCTTCGAGGGGGCGCGATGATGATTTGGTGAGTCATTTGCCCGATGATTTATTCGAGGAGGCGCCGTCGATGGAGCAAGCGCTGTGCGCGGCGCCGTCGGCGCGGGGGATCACGGTGGCGGATTTGGAGGTGGTGCGCGAGTGCGCGGGCTCGCCGGGGCCTCTGAAGCGCTTCGTTCCGGAAACTTCCTCGCCGAGCGATATCATGATGAACACGCCCCCGCACTTGCGCGGGGGGGAGATGACGAGTGGATCAAAACGATCGATCGAAGACTCTCCGTCGTACACGCTTTCGCCGCAATCGGCGCTCAAGCCTCCGAGCTTTGGCGACGGTCAACTCGGAAGCAGTTACGGAGACGGACGCGACAAGAGCGTGTCGCCGCGGTCTGCGTCTTCACCTCCCGTGGCGGTGTATTCGTACGCCACGAGCGCGGGGAGCGCTCGGGGAGGGAACGGCGCGTTCGCCGGGCGACCTCCGCGCGGTGATCGCGCGACGTTCAAGCCCGGTTCGCTTCCTCATCCGAGAAGCGGGACGAGTTTTGGCAACCGCGCGGACGCCAAGCAAGCGCAGCCGGCGATTAAATTTACCGGTGCGGCGTTCCGGTCGGCGAGAGATGAGTATCTGGACAGGGTCTTCGGATTTTTGTTCAAGGAGGTGGGAGATGGGGAGTGGATGGCGATTAAAAGCAAGACTGGCGTGAGCGGCAGATGTCGCAAGCCCGTGACGATGCCGGAGACGTATCTGGAATTTTTCGACTCGCATCGCGATAAATTCGAGATCAACGCTGAACGCACCAAGGTTCGATTGCGCAATCAACGCACGCGCAGCGATAGCGGAGACAGCGACGATACGAACGTGGAAAGCCTGAGCGATAGTCTCAAGGCGACCCTCTAGCGACGCCGCGCTTGTACCCTTGTAGCCGCGCTTTTCTTTTAATCAAAGAAAATAACATGTACAACGTGCTATACGGTAAATAATCGTGGTGTGATCTTCGTTGCTAATTCCGATCGCTATGTCGTTCAGTCGTTCACATCTCCTTCAACTCTTCGCAAAACTGGCGAAGCTTTGGAAGCAAAATAGCCTCGACGCTCTTTTCGACGCGAGATTTCAACAACGCCTTCGACTCGGACTTCCCATCCTTCGCCGACACCGCGAAGTCGTATTCATCCTCATCATTCGTCGAGCAAAATTCTTTCACCACAATCTCCCCCTTCACCTCGTCTTCATCCTCCGTCGAATCCGCCGCGACGCCGACGACGCCGCGCCACTTCGCCGTGAAGCTCAGGTCAAAGCATCCAAACTTTTTACCTCCCTTGCGCGTGCTCACGCTCGAGTCTCCCTCGAATTTCGACAGTTCCGTCACCGTCGCTCGACCCTCGCTCACCGGGACGTCGAGATCGACGCCGACGAGCAAGCTTTCGATGCGTTCTCGAGACCACTTCATCATGTTTCGTTCCTGTCGTCGTCGTCGTCGTTCGTTCGTCGTCAGTGCGCGTTCGACGCGCGATCCGAGCGCGGCGCGTCGAGGACGCACCTCCCAGTGCCAACCGTTGATGTTCGTGCCGTCGCGTCGCTCGTCGACGATCCATCGGCTGTCGCCCTCGCCCCACTTCGCCATCGCGCGAGGGTTGGTCTGGCGCTCGAGAGGAGACGAAGGCGCGGACGGCGCGCGCGAGAGCCGAGATATGTTACAACGCTGAAAGACTACCCGAGACCGAAGCCGTCGCCGGCGAAGAGCTGGCTGTAAGACGAACTCTTGGCGTTTAAGAGGTTGCCGATGCTGCCCGATCGGCGGTGCAAACCCGAACGGCGATGGCCGTTTTCCATCGAGCGGGCGTCGGCGCGGCGGTAGGCTTCGACCATGATTTGCTCGCGCTGGGGCTCGGAGATTATGTCCTCTTTGCACGCCCAATCGAGGGTGTTTTGCATCTCGATCACCGTCATCCCGCGCACGTCCGCGGTTCGACGGAGCATCGTGGCTTTATTTCTCAGTTTAATATCCATCGTGCACGCGGGTTGCTCCCACGGCTCGCCGTCGACGTGCATGGGGATTTTGCGATCGACGACGACGCGGACTTCCCGCGCTTGACAAATGCGCACGGGTTTGTCGACGCCAATGTTCAGCTGACCCAAGTGCAAGGCACCGTGCACGACGACGATGTCCACCATGCCGTCCTGCATCGAAGACACACCGTACGACCCGTCGCGTTCCCACATCCGCACGCCGCCCGCGAAGGAGTTGATGTTGAGCAAAATGATTCCCTCGGCTTCGGGCGGAATCGTCTGTCGCACGCCATCGGCGTAAATTCTAATGCTTCGGTGCAAACCTGCGCAAGAGTGCTCGAGGACATCTTTTGCCCCGAACGCTCCATACAGCAGTTTGTTCGTCATCGCGCTAAAAAACAATTGAGGTCGCAAGTTGCGAGTTCTATGGAAGCGCAGCGCCGCCTGCGCGTCTACGCCGATGCCGAGATAGTTTTGGAAAACAATCTCCTTCTTCTTCGGCAAGGGCGGCGCCGCCGGTAACCCAGCCGCGGATGCGAACTTGCTTGGCGTTTTCGGCGGCTCGTTGGCGGTGATTTCCACCTGCCAGCGATCCAGCAGCGCGGGGTGCGCCTCGAGCACTTGCACTAAAAGTTCAGAGATGAGCTCGTTCGAGTACCCACCACCCCATCCCAGTACTCTCGCCAAGTCGTTCCCGGTGCCCAGAGGCAAAACACCCACCGGTGGCTTCTTCGGAACGTCGATTTCGTCGAGCGTTTGCAAAATCCACGCCACCGTTCCGTCTCCCCCCGCGACTAAAATTCGTACGTTTGGCACGTTGGCGAAGAGCTTCAACGCCGCCTTTGGACCGGTGTTGTGTAAATCCACCACTTGCAGCGGATTTAAATTCGACCGCAGCGACTCGAGCATGTACGTTCCCATCTGCCCCCCGCTCTTCGAGTTCACGAACACCAACAGCGGCATCGCGTCCTCCGGCAACGCCTCCGTGTCCACGCTCAAAATCGGCGAATACGCGTCCACACCGCTCGACATTCGTCCCAACGGTCCACCCTTCTTTTTTATGTACTTGTTTATCTTCCTCGTCACCCGGTTCAGCGGCGATCGCATCGGCGCCTCCGTCACGCACTCGGGCGGTAAAATCAACCGCGCGTGTCGCGACCGTCTCAGGTAATACCACCACCCCTGCTGCGCCCGTCGCAACCGCACCAGTTTCACCAGCACCCACTGCGCGCCGATCAGCGCCGCCGTCACCGTGCACGTCATCCGCACCCAGAGCTCGGGCGTCCACCGCGGGACGTACGCGCGCAGCGGCGCGCGCTCCGCCACCGCCGTCAGGTTCAGCATCCATCCCGTGAGCGACGACGCGTTCGCGTCGCTCGCGGCGCACCGCGCGTCGAGATCGATGATCCACGTCCGCGACGCCTCTCTCGCGCGCCGCACGGCGTCGATGACGCTCGCGTTCGCGCCGGGCGCCATGGGGCGCTCGCTTTGCGGAAAATCGCCCGACGCGCGAGGCGTCGCGCCGCGAAGTGCCGCCGCGAGACGCGCGCGCGCCGAGCGAGCGCGCCGAGCGTCTCGAACGTCTCGGACGACCGCGACGGACGCGCGACGGCGCGGCGCGACGCGCGAGCGACGCGCGGCGACGCGATGCTGACGCGCGCGACGCCGACGGCGGCGAGACGATGGGCGCGCCGTCTGCGACGCGCGACGGCGCGACGAGAGACGACGCGCGACGGCGCGGCGCGAACGAACGCGCGTGGACTCGCGCGGGACGCGGGACGGGCGAGCGCGACGACGGACGGCGCGGAGGCGGCGGCGCGGACGACGTTTAGGGATCTGGGGGTGGGCGCGCGGCTGACGCGCGCGCTCGAGCGCGCGGGCGTCGAGACGCCGTCGATCGCGCAGCGCGCGGCGATGCCGGCGATCGCGCGGGGGGAGAACGTGGCGATGCAGTCGCACACGGGGAGCGGGAAGACGCTGGCGTATCTGCTGCCGGTGATTTGCGACATCGTGGACGACGAGACGGGGACGGTGCGGAGAGACGCGGGGAACGGCGTGCGAGCGCTCGTCGTCGCGCCGTCGCAGGAGTTGGCGATGCAGATCGTGCGACAGGTTGAGCGGTTGTTGGGAGATCTGGGGCGGGAGATCACGCAGCAGGCGATCGGAGGGGCGAACGCGAAGAGGCAGGAGGAGGCGATTCGACGAAAGCGCCCGCTCATCGTCGTCGGGACGCCGGGAAGATTGGCCGAGCTCTCGCGCACGGGCATTTTACAAACGCACGGGGTGAAAACGTTGGTCGTCGATGAGGCGGACGATCTGTTGGCGAGTAACTTTCGAAGAGACATGGCGAGAATCAGCGAACACACGGGCAAAGCGGTGCCGGGCGGACGACAGACGGTCATCGTGAGCGCGACGTTGAAGCAAGAAACGCTCGATGCGTACTCGTATCTCGCGCCAAACCTGACGCACATCGTCGCGACGTACGACAAGCCGTCGCCGACGGCTTTGACGACGCCCGGGGAGGACGAGGAAGTAGAGGAAGCGGACGTCGCCGACGCGAGAGACGAGAAGAGCGCGTCGGCGGCGGCGCGGCAGGAGCGCATGCAGGGCGTCGTCAGCCTCCCTCCGCACATCACGCACTGCTCTGTGATTTCTGAGCGCCGACACAAAGTGGACGAACTTCGTCGCGCCATTCACGCCACCGACGTGCAACGTGCGTTGATTTTTTGCAACTTTGGTCGACGCTTGGAAGAGGTCCAGGCTAAACTCAGCGCGCGGCGCATGCCAGTGGGTGTCTTGCACGGGGGAATGGATAAAATGGAACGACAAAAAGAACTCGCCAAGTTCCGTCGCGGCGAGTTTCGCGCGCTCGTGGTCTCCGACCTCGCCGCGCGCGGATTGGACGTGGACGACTGCGACGCCGTCTTTAACCTCGAGCTGCCGACGGACGAGACCCATTACGTGCACCGCGCCGGGCGAACTGGGCGCATGGGAAGCCCTGGTGTGGTGGTTACCATCGCGGAGCCGCAAGAGGCGTTCGTGCTCGAGCGTTTCGAGAGGAATCTCGGGGTGAAGATCAACGACATCGCGACGAAGGGGGGCGAAGTCGTTCGCGCCGCGCCCGAATGCGCTCCGCGACGCGGCGGTGGTAAGCGCGCGCCGAAACCGCGCAGTGTATGATGGTTCGCGATGGTTGATTTTGTTTGTGTTTGTATTATTTCATATCAATAATTTCAAAGGAAGCTGCGGCTCGCGATAGAAGCGCTCGTTCGCGGCGACGCCTACGCGTTTAATAGTAGACGCTGAACGAGCCAACCGTCGCGAGAAGGCGTTCCTTCATCTTCTTCCAGCGCTTCTCGCTCGAGCCCGTGGTGAGCGTGTAGAACTTTCCTTGCGTCACCGTCACCACCGTCAGCGCGTGTCTCTCGTAGCTCTGCGTCTTCGTGACAAACTCAAACTGGTAATACAGGTGTCCGTCCTTATCCGTGCGTTCGCTCGTCGCCAGCACCTTCGCCTGCGCCCCCGGCGCGGTGAGCGCCTTCCCGACCAGCGTCTTCGCCACCTCATCCGCCGTTCCGATGTCCTTCACGCTCTCCCGTTGCGTCGGGTACACGTTCAACGCCACGCTCTCCAGGGGTTCGATGATATCCTTGTACACCGCCGCCTGCCCGTCCACCTGAATCTCTTGCCATCCCACCGGGTACAGGAACTCGTACCCCTCGCGCGTGTCCTTCACCGCGTTCATCCCGCTCAGCGCGTGCGCCGGTCCCGCGAACGCGCCGATCGTCGGCGTCGCCGTGAGCGCCATCGCCGCGAGCGTCTTCGCCGCGAGTTCCCGCCGCGTCGTCGTCGTCACGTCCGTCGTCGCTTTCGTCGCCGCGCGCGTCACCGCGCGTCGCGCATCGGTCCGCGTCGTTCGCGTCCTGCGCGTCGTCGCGCGCGCGGGCGCGAGGGTCGTCGTCGCCGCGCGCATCGCGTCGAGTCGTGGCGTGACGTCGATCGCGATCGGCGCGCGCGCGTCTAAACCCTAAACCCTCGCGAATGGTCCGTGTGTAGAATTTGGAAACACGACCGCGACGACCGCGCGCGGCGACGCGCGACGCGCGCGGCGACACACGACGCCGCGCCGAGGCGCGACACGCGCGAGCGCGCGCGTCGGTCTCGATCGTCCGCGCGCGGCGGAACGCGAGCGAGCGACGCGCGCGATCGCGGGAACGACGCGCGCGATCGCGAGGGACGCGCGATGACGCTCGCGAGAGATGCGCGACGCGACGACGACGACGACGACGCGCGAGGGGGGGACGCGGCGCGGGCGCGAGCGGGCGACGACGGCGCGAAAGATGATGACGACGCGAACGTCGAAGACTCGGACGAGGAGGAGGAGGAGGAAGATGGAGAGGACGGCGACGGGGACGACGACGACGACGACGACGACTTTGAAGTCTCGCGCGGACGAAGACGGGCGTCGCGATCGACGGAGCGCGGCGCGCAGGTCGGTGGGATCGAGGGGGCGGACGTTGAAGGTTTGCCCGCGGTAGAGGCGAGCGCGTTTTCCATCGATGCCGATCGAGCGCGGTTCAAGGCGGGGACGCTGAAGGCGGAGGTGTTTAAAATGCTCGAGGCGGCGTGGCCGAAATTGATGGACGCGAACGAACTTTACGAGATGGGCACCAAGGCTGGAGTGAACGTGGGGAAGAATAAGACGGTGTTGGCCAGTGGGTTGTCGCACGATCAGTGCTTCGTGCGGATGCCGGGGACGAAAAACAAGTGGGCGTTGCGCGCGCACGTCGGACTGCCCGCGGGAACCAAGCGCAAGGCGGAGAGCGAGAAGGAACCGAGAGAGAGAAAGGCGAAAGCACCGCGCGTGCGAGGAGGGTTCTCCGCGATTTTAGAGTCGATGGACGGCGACGAAAAGGCCATGCTTTTGGCGTGGACGGAAAAGCTCAAGCAGAACGCGGGCGACTTGAAAAAGGCCAAGCAGCAGGTGGAGAAGGCGAAGAACGCGCTTGAAAGGGCTAGCAAGGCGTTGGAAGAGTTCGAAGCCAATCCTTCGACGGATAGCGTCGTGCAGTCGAAAAGTGCCGAAGACATCTTGTGCGAGCCAGAGGCGCCGAGCGACGTCCTGGATAAGGAGTACCGCGTGTACACGGGACCGGATGATCGCAAGTTTTTAATCGCGTGGAGGAAATCTGTGGAAACCGAGCGCGCTCGTGTGAAGAGAGCGCAGGACGTGTACGTGTCGCAACGCAAGAAGGAAATTCGCGAAGCGTCGACGAAGTTGAACAAAAAGCGCGAACAGCTCACGAGCGCCGTCAGCAAGGCTCAGCAACAGCTCAGGTTGGCGGAAGGCACCGTCGAGCGCGCAGAAATCGTCCACGAAATCACTCGAGATCGAATTCAATTGATGAAAGAAAAGGCCTCAGTCGAAGGTGAAGACGCGATCAAGGCTGTGAATGAGAAAATCACCGCCCTCGACGAGAAAATGACGCAGCTCTTCGGGCAAAAGTTGGCCGCGATTGAAAATCAGATTGAACGGGAAAAACTCAGGCTCATGGCCAAGGGAGAACGCGACGCCGAACGCGCTCGTCTGATTGAGGAGAAGAACCGCTTGAAAGAAGAAGAAAAGGCTGAGCGAGCGAAACAGCGCGAAACTGAAAAAGCCGAACGAGACAAGGCCAAGGCGGAGGAAAAGGCGGCCAAGGAAAAGGCTGCGCGCTATCCTTTAGACGACGACATTTTAGCCGTCGAGCTCGCGGAGGAGTCAAAGGAGACGGGTGTACCTCTAGAAACCTTGCTCAAACCAATTCCAGCTCCGGTTCCGTTGGCAAACGGGCAAGTCCTCGCGGAAGAAGCTTTCGTCGCCGAGTTTATCAGCGTTTTTGGCGCTGGAATTCAAGCGCCGCAAGGATTGACCAATGTCGAAGGCGTGAACGCGATGTTTGAGAATACCCCCAAGTCTCGATCGACGCTCGCCGAGCTATACTTGAGCATCATTTACGAAGCATTGACTCCCGCGGCGAGTGGTCCTGGGCGTTTCGTGGCGCGTTTGAACCGCATCGTGAACAATCTCAACTGGCCGGAGGTGGCCCGCAAACTCATCTTGCACGGGGGTGAAGAAGCACACGGAAAAAAAGCGGTCGAGGTCGCCACCAAACTTGCAAAGAGTACGTGGGACAAACTTTCAAACGCCGATCATCTCGTTTTACTTCGAGCTTTGGCCGATTTGGCACTTCAAGGCGACGTGTGCCGCGACATCATCTCGTCACGCATGCAGCAAGCGGACATTTTCCGAAGCGAACGCCACGAGGCCAGACTTAAAGCTGTCGCAAACCGACGTATCGTTGAAAAGGCTGAGAAAGAAGAGCGAAAACGAGAGCGTGAACGAATCGCCGAGGAGAAACGCGCCGCGAAAGCGGCGGCTGAGGCGGCCAAGGTGGGCGCAAACCCAGAGGGCGATGTCAAGATCGAAGAAGACGCAAAAGAAACCAAGGACGACGAAGTCAAGGAAGATGTCACGATGGAGGATGCGTCTGAGCCTATGTTTGAGCTGCCGGAACGCCTTCGCGAGTACAAGGGCCATCCGGATGACAGACACACGCTCATGGCTTGGAAGAACGAAGTCGCCAAGGTTCAAGCAGAACTCGATCGCGAACGCGAAGAATACGAGAGCGATCGTTCGAAGGAAGTCCGCATGCAAAAAGCGACTGAGTCGGAGATCAAGCGCAAGAAAGAAGCTGTCGAAGAAGAGGCCCGACGGAAGCTCGAGCTGGAGGAGAAGCGCAGTCGGGATCGCGAGATTAAGCGCGCGGCGGAAGACGCGGCGTGCCAGGTTCGAGCGAGACCTCTCGGTATGGATCGACATCTCGCGACTTACTGGTGGAATTTTGGCGGACGTAAAGATGCCGTGTACGTGCAGTCGTTCTCGGGCGAATGGGGCGTGTACAACTCGCAGGAAGCCGTCGACGCTTTGGTGGATGCGCTGTGCGAAAAAGGTGTTCGCGAACTCGGTTTGAAAAAGCAGCTCGAGAAGCGCAAGGTTACCATCGCTGACGCGTTCAAACTATTGGCAGAAACTCAAGAAGAACGTGATGCGCGATTTGCGGCGCAGCTTGAGGGTGGTGAACGTCGTTCTGCGAGATCTCGCACGGCTCCGTCCAACGACGCGTACGTCGCCACGCGTCCCGCTGCTGATCTCGCTTGCGACGAAGGTGCAGTCATCACCGCTGCGAGAAAGTGCATGGACACTATGTGCATCAACGCTGAGCGAATTGGTCTGGAAACCGACGTTGACTGGAGAACGTTCCGCAACAAGTTGAAGAATGCCCATAACTCGTACGTTGCCGAAAGTCTTCTTCACCTCGAGGAGAAATACTTTGAATGCCAAATCAAAGAGTTCAAGCTTGCGGCTGAGCGTGAAAAGATTGAGCGTGAAAAGCAACCGGAAGCGCCGGATGAACTCTCGAAGGCCACGCTCGAGGCGCTCGTTTTGAAGCACACGGGTAAGGATATGAGTTCGTGGAAGCTCGCTCGTCGAAAACTCGCAGCTTTGTTGCCGAAGGAAATCATCGCTGAAGCCGTGGAAGAACGTCGTCGTCAACAACTCGATAGCGAGGAAGACGACGACGAGGACGAGGACGAAGACGAGGAAGTCGATGATAGCTGGAATAACGACGAAAACGCCCCCGAGGACGTCGGAGACATTTCCATCTGGAAGGGCTCCCTTCAACGAGACCAATTCCGAGAGTACTTGAACCCGCAAGAGGACTTCCCAGTCGTGCGAATCGCCTACGCCGCGGCGACATTGTTGGATGCAACGTGCGCATTCTCCGAAGAAATCGTTCACAGGCGAGAATTACGAGGAGAAGGCGAGGAGATGACGAATTAGTTAGAATTGTTGATTTTCCAATTTCCATACGAAGGACACACACCGCCAGACCGCTAAAATTAGACTACCTCACAACATGTCCCTCCCGGAGCTCACTCTCGATGCCGCGGTCGGTTTCGCTGGATCCGTGCGTAATGGCTTTCATCTTCATCCCGACGGCGAGTCTCGAGTCTACCCCCTCGGCGCAACCATAGCCATCTCTCGCCCCCGCACTGACTCCAAGGCGAGGGAGGGAGCGCCCACGCGGGAACACCAAACGTCACACATTACTTTTCTCCACGGTCACGCCGGAGAAGTCACAGCGTTGGCAGTGTCTTCATCGGGTCGTTTCATCGCTTCTGGCGAGAGCATTTCCAGTGGCGTCGCGGAAATCATACTCTGGGAAGCTTGCAACGAGGCCGTCGGGACGACGTACGCCGTCGCGAGGCGCCTCTCCTTGCACATCGGAGAAGTCGTCGCGTTGGCGTTTAGCACGGATGAGAGCGCGCTCGCCAGTATCGGTGGTGATAATGATCGTAGGGTCGTCATGTGGAATGTTTCTAATGGAAACGCACTCTGCGGCTCTCCAGCACCTTTGGACGGTAAAGTCAGAACGGTGGCGTTCTTGCGCCATTCTAGCACGCACTTCTTGACCGCTGGCGAATTAGCCGTGAGCGCGTGGGAGTACGACGCTATGACGAAGCGACTACAACTCGAACCTATTAAGCTGGGTATTCTTAAGAGGGATATCTTATCGATAGCGGTCGATGAGAACGACGAGTACGCGTATTTGGGAACGGCGAGCGCGGATGTGCTGTGCGTATCCATTCCCAATCGCGTCATCAAAGAGTCTTTCACGCTGAAAAAGTACATATCGCGAGGCGTTTCTTCGCTCACAATAGTACGTAATGGTTTGCTCGCGGGTGCAGGCGATGGAAGTTTGTCGCTGATGAGGCGCGAAGACGGTTCTTGCGTACTTCAATTTGAAGCCTGCCGCACCGTAGGCGACGGGGCGGTGACGAGTGTAGCCGTCGCGAGGTCGCCTCAATCCAATGTCAAAGGCTTGGAGTATCCAAAAAAGTGCAAGAGTGACTACGCGAAGCGCAAGTACGTGCACGAAGCTCTCCTGAGTTTGAGGAATGGATATATAGGTGCTGAATGTTACCGCGACGCTTCGCAGACGTTTGACGTCTATTGCGGCACTTCGAGCGGAGAGGTGCTGCGCTTGGAATACTGTGCCCAACATCCCTTGACATCCAAGTGCTTGATTCTTCCCGAAATTATCTGCGAACAGTCTTCGCACGCGTTCGGGATCACGAGCGTGGCTTTCCCTCGAAAGCAAAGCCAATACTTTGCCACGGGCGGCGGCTCGGAGGTTCGCGTGTGGGCAACCGATACGGCAAAACTGTTGCTGAAGATTGACGTCAAACCTTGCACGTCGAAATGTTTGTGCGTGAGCTTCATGCCCGATGGCGATACCTTGCTCAGCGGCTGGGACGATGGGAAGATTCGAGCGCACGATCGCGAGACTGGCGAGTTGTTCTTCGTCGCCGCCAACGCGCACGATAAAGTGACCGCGCTGCGAGGGATGAAAGACTCTTCTGGAATCATCAGTGGTGGTTCAGAGGGTAATGTGCGACTGTGGAACGTGATTAACGGCAGCATCATCACGCTCGAGGCGTCCATGAAAGAACACCGATCGTCCGTGAACGACATTGCCCTGTTCAACGACGACGCCTCCGCCGTCACCGCCTCTGACGACGGCTCGTGCGTCGTCTGGGACATCCTTCGCCGCACGCGCCAAGTCTCTTTCTTCGGTTCGACGTACTTTAAAGCCATAGGCGTACATCCCGACGAGAAACAAATCGTTACCACGGGAACCGACCGCAAGATAACCTGGTGGGACCCCGCGGACGCCTCCACGCTTCGCGTCGTCGACGATCCCGCCGACGCCGAGCTCGCGACTCTCTCCATCGCCCACCCCCACGGTGCCTCCATCGCCATCGCCGGTACCGACCGCATCGTAAAGGTATTCGATTACGAATCCGGCGACCTCACGGCCATCACCCCTCGCCACTGCGCCCGCGTTGTCGCCGTCGCCTTCGCTCCCGACGCCCGCGCGCTCGTCTCCGCCTCCGCCGACGGCGCCGTCCGCATCTGGTCCATCCCCGATTCCCCACTCGCCGAGCTCGGTCGCGAGAAAGAGCGTCACATCCATCGCGTGTTGACAGGAGAGATCGACGACGACGTCCTCGCCACCGCGCGTCCGTAGCCGCGCCTCGCGCGCGCCGTGTCGATCCCGTCGCCCATGGCCACGTGATACCACTTCTTAAATACGTCTCAAATGTCCGAACCCATTTTTATTTCAAGTTAAGGTTTTCGCGAAGGGCGCCCCATCGCGTCGCCATTCATCGACGACGCACACGACGATGTTCGCCACGACGACGATGAGGTACGCATACACGCACGAAAAGATATTCTTTCTCGCGAATGCGCCGCGCCACGACGCCGGGCGGAGGTCGGAGACGCGTCGCGTGACGCGATGACGACGCCCGCCCGACCCTGGCGGCGACATCCCTCGCGGGCGCGGGACGCGGCGCGCGCGACGCGACGACGCGCGCGCGACGAAGGCGAGGACAAACGATCGATGAATAAATATTTTCACGACCGATTCGTGACGATTCGTGACGCGAGCGAGGACTGACGACGACGCGCGGCTGCGTTTTTCGATGCGCAGCGCCACGGCCGCCACTTTTTCCGCGCGAACGCGCGTCGCTGACGGTGCGTTGCGACCGACCCGCGCGACGCGATGCGATGCGAATGGAACGTGATGAGTAACTTCATGATTTGAGGGCGTCGGATGCGCGGCGCGGCGAAGGATCAGACGCGAGGGCGACGATTGGAAGCATTCGAAGGATGATTCTATCGCCTGGAGAAGGTTTGGACTGCGGGACGCGCGCGCAAAGGCGAAGGCGCGAGAGACTGACGATGACGACGCCGTGAATCGTATGAATGCGTAGGTAAAACGATCGCCGTCAATGTGCGACGCGCTGGTGGCGCGCGAACGCGCGCGCCGTTGAGCGTGGTTGCCGCGGCGAAGAATTTGTACTTCAACAAAAACGACGGGTCGGCGTTGAAGAAGATGCAAAAGGGCGTCGATAAACTCGCGAGCGTCGTGGGCGTGACGCTCGGACCGAAGGGTCGTAACGTCGTTTTGGAGTCCAAGTTCGGTTCTCCGAAGATTGTGAACGATGGTGTGACCGTGGCCAAGGAGGTTGACCTCGAAGACCCGGTTGAAAACGTCGGTGCGAAGCTCGTGAGACAAGCGTCGCAAAAGACGAACGACCAAGCAGGCGACGGCACCACGACGGCCACCGTGCTCTCTGCGGCGATGATTGCGGAGGGTATGAAGATTGTCATGGCTGGTACTAACCCCGTGCAGCTCACGCGCGGTATGGACAAGACGGTTAAGGCGCTCGTTGAAGTTCTTAAAGGGCTCTCCAAGGACGTCGCCGACGAGGAACTTGCGAAGGTTGCCTCCATCTCCGCCGGCGGTAACATGGAAGTTGGTGAAATGATCGCCGCCGCCATGGCCAAGGTTGGTCGCAAGGGTGTGATCTCTCTCGAGGAGGCGCGATCCGTCGACAACAACCTGATCGTCGTCGAAGGGATGCAATTCGATCGCGGTTACATCTCTCCGTACTTCGTCACGGATCCCGAGCGCATGACGTGCGTGTACGATCAATGTAAGTTGCTGCTCGTTGACAAGAAGATTAGCACTGCTCGCGACATGATTGGCATCCTTGAAGCCGCAATTCAGCAAGGTTTCCCGCTCATGATCATCGCCGAAGACATCGAACAAGAAGCCCTCGCGACGCTCGTCGTGAACAAACTTCGCGGTTCGCTCAAGATCACCGCCATCAAGGCGCCAGGTTTCGGCGAGCGTAAGAGCCAATACCTTGAAGATATCGCCATCCTCACCGGTGGTACCGTCGTCAAGGAAGAGCTCGGCTTGAGCTTGGACAAGTGCGGCGTCGAAGTGCTCGGTAACGCCGCGCGCGTCGAACTCGGCAAGGAGTCTACCACCATTGTTGGCGCCGGCGACACCGCCGCCGAAGTGGCTGCTCGCGTCAAACAAATTAACCGCCTCGTCGAAGCCACCGAAGCAGACTACGAGAAGGAGAAGCTCAACGAACGTGCGGCGCGTCTTTCGGGTGGTGTTGCCATTATCCAAGTCGGTGCTCAAACTGAGACTGAGCTCAAGGAGAAGAAACTTCGTGTCGAGGATGCGTTGAACGCCACGAAATCCGCCGTCGAAGAAGGCATCGTCATTGGCGGTGGTTGCACCTTCTTGAAGCTTGCGGCGGCTGTCGATGAAATCAAGGCAACCTTGGAGAACGACGAGCAACGAGTCGGTGCGGACATCATCAAGCGTGCTTTGTCCTACCCGATCCGTCTCGTCGCGCACAACGCCGGTGTGAACGGTTCCGTCGCGTGCGAGAAAGTCATGTCCTCTAAGGACCCGAACTTTGGTTACAACGCGGCGACTGGGGAGTATGAGGATCTCATGAAGGGTGGTGTGCTCGATCCGACCAAGGTCATTCGTTGCTCTTTGGAGAACGCTTGCTCCGTCGCGAAGATCTTCCTTACTTCCGACGTGGTGGTGTGCGAAATCCCGGAGGATGAAGAGCCCGCAGCTGGCGGTTCGCCGATGGACAACTCGGGCTACGGCAACTAAGCAACGCGCGATAGAACAAAACTAGAGGCTTAACTCGTCGCAGTGAGGTCAACAATTACACCGTTAATATAATCTGATTCGTTTTCCAAAATCTATCCTACTCGTCTCGCGCGCCAGCGCGAAGACTCGCCAGGAGCGTCTCAAACGCGCTCGGCAACGGTGCGGAGACGACAATTCGCTCTCCGTTTGGCATACCGCTATATTCTACGGCACTGGCGTGAAGCCAGAATATCGTTCCGGGTTTTCCCACCGACAGCGCCTTCAACACACACTCGGGCGGGTTCGGATTGATCTGCTTCGTGCGAGCAGTCCTGTACAGCGGATCGCCGACGAGCGGCGCACCGAGCAAAGCCATGTGCCGCCGTATCTGATGTTTTCGACCGCTCTTGGGCTCGACGCGCACGAGAGAATATGACCACGACGGTCCGATGAACGTTTCCATCACTTCGTACTCACTCGTCGCCGATCTTCCGTCGAGCGGGGTGCTCTCCGAGCCGGAGGCGGGGAGCGTCCCGTCGAGCAAAGCACAGTACTGTTTCACCACACACCGCTGATAGAATTGCGTCAAGAGTTCGGCGTGAGAGGCGTTATTTTTCGCCAGCAACACCACCCCAGACGTCGGTTTGTCTAATCTACTCACAATTCCGCGCTTATCCAAGCCGTTTAAATCGCTCAGCTGTCCGTCAAAGCGCGAGAGCGCGGCGTCCATGAGCGTGAGCTCACTCCCGCCGCCTTCGACGGGATGCGTCAGCACGCCCGCCGGCTTAACAACGGCCGCGATCCCGTCGCTATCTCTCAACACGACCATCGACCATTCATCATCATTCTTCGCGCGTTTCTTCTGTTTCCTATTTGGCCGCGTTCCTCTTCGCAACGCTTCCGAGGCGCGCTCGAGCGTCGCCTCCGCGTCGCGAAGTCTCCCCTCCCTCGTCAACGCGCTCGCGCACAGCGCGTACGTCACCACGTCCGGCGCCACGTCGAGCGCATCGCGCATCATTTCCATCAACGCCACGCACGATTCCGACATTCCCATGCGATTATACGCCGAGATCGCCGCGTTGAACGCCGTCGCCGCGTCGCCTCGCGCCTTCGCCGCCGCCATCCTCGCCTCGCGGCTCACCGCCTCGCCCCGCCTCGCCCGTCCGCGCTCGATCCCGGCCCTCGCGCTCGCGACGATCATCGCTCCGACGTCGCTCGCGCGCGGCGCGCGCGCCTCGACGACGCGCGCGACGTACGCGTCGAGCGCTTCGTCGCGTCGTCGCGCGTCGTCGAGCGTCGCGAACGCGTCCGCGTCGTCGTCGACGCGCGACGGCGCGCGCGACGCGCGTCGAAGCGCTCGACGCCTACGTCGCGCGTCCGTCGCGACGGTCGACGACGCGCGCGCGCGCGCGAGCGCCGCCGCGCGCGGCATCGCGCGACGCGCTGTAACGAACTCGATGCCGACGACGACGCGCGCGGCGTTCGGCGACGACGTCGACGCGTGCGCGCGCGCGACGAGCGATGGGGTCGACGTGGTGTGCTACAGGCGCCGCCGCTCGACGCGCGCGCCGCCGCTCGCGCGCGTGCGCGCGCGAGGGACGGGCGCGCGCGAGAGAGAGAGAGAGGCGTTCGACGCGCTGCGCGCGACGATGGGGACGCCGCGCGCGTGGACGGCGAACGCCGAGGGGTGCGCGATGACGCCGCGCGCGGGCGAGCGCGCGGAGGCGCGCGCGGCGCTGGAGACGTTCATCCACGAGAGGATCTTTCGAGCGCTCTTCGGGACGACGACGGCGGCGACGGCGGCGGGCGACGCGGGGGTGTTCGCGCCGCATCGAGGGACGAACGTGATGTGGCACAGGGATGGGTACATGGCGGGGGCGTACGTCGCGCACGCGATTTTGGCGGCGGAGGAGGAGGAGGAAGAGGCGAGCGGAGGGAAATGGTTCGAGCACGCGCTCGTGGACGCCGACGAGGACGAGGAATCGACGACGGAGACTTTCGAGGTTGATTTTGAGAATCAAGGGATATTGTCAAAATCGGTGCGAAAGGGGAATTTCGTGCCGATCGACGCGCGCGGTGGTGTTTTGTGTGTTTTCGAGGACGCCGCTGTGCTGCACCGGTCGCCGAAGTCGGCGGGAAAGGCGTTGGACGCGATGACGCGAACGATAGCGAGGTTCAACTTCAGCGCGGTGGATGGCAGCGGGCGTACGGTGCGCATCTTCGCGCCCGACGATGCGTCTTGGACACCGTTCGACGATAGAGGTGCCGTCCGAGGTCTCACCGCGATGGATGGTTTCGACGCGTACGTTCGCGATTCGTGACGCACTCCTGTATGATAGTTTATACTGTACCAGACGTTTAATCTTTACAGCAGCGGCGCGCGGCTATGTGCTATTCATGTGCATGTGCGGTGAGCGCGACCGATTCCACGACGAATGTCTCGTTCAATCTATCGAAAAGTGTTTACTCGGCGGCGTGGCGAGATTGCCCAACGGCACCAAGCCGTCGCTGCCTCGTCGAGTGTGCCCGCGTTGTTGACTCAAGCTGCCTCGCTTGCCGTATTCTTCGTCGAAGGAATCGAGCTCGACGCCTGCAAATCTACCAATCGTCGCACCGTTGCTGTTAGAGCCGCTTTTTCCCGGCGTAAGAAGCGTGTAAGACGGTTCGTTGCTGAAAAAGTTTAACAGCGTGGCGACTATGGACGTGACCTGTAAGACGATGACGGTGATGCCGAGCGCCGCGGCAGCCTTGAAGTGCGCTCGCGCGAAAGCACCGGCATCGACAGGTTCTACGCCTGCACCAATTACTTTGTTCTGTATCGAATGCCAGTTGTTGCTGATGAGTCGCGACGTCGCATCGGCGTGTTTGCTCACGAGCGCCGCCGCGATGATCATCAACAGGATGCCAGTAAAAGAGAAGCAGAAGTGCGTCGCCATCAAGAACCTGTCGTCCTTGTAAATGGCCACCAGGCCATAGACGTTAAAGAATGCGATAATGAACGCAGTGGCGGCGAGAAATCGCGGCGCCCAGACGCCACCAATTTTGTGCTCTGCACCCGCCTTGAGTTCAGACACGTAAACCTTGTCTGGCGTGATTTCACCGAAATCGGCAATCTTTTTCGCCGCCCACGCGCTGAAAGACTCATCAAGATCATCGCCACTGATTCCTGCCAACGCCAACTTGAAAGTCAAGTTGTACTGCACGTTATCGACTCGCACGTGACGCTCCTCAAACACCCACACCGACTGCGCCTGCCAGTCGGCGTCCGGAGGAGGAGGCGGTGAAGGCGATGGCGGCGGCGGCGGTGAAGGCGATGGCGGCGTCGGCGGAGACTGTGTCGAGTTATCGCCGCTCTGCAACAGTCGGCGACGACCGTTTGATGGATCGGCTGTCTGAAAGATTAAATCCGGCGACTTTCTCAGCGTGTTGAACAAAGTCGTCGCCTCTGGGGGCACGCTTACACCGACGTCGTGCATGAACGCGACGTCAAATTTCATCGACACTGCATCTGGAACGTTGTATGTAGACTTGGCGACGTAGTAACACAGTACAAAGAGCGTCAGCGCGAACGCCACGCCCGCCACGTTTGTGGTTATCCCGACGTACACCCCCGTGTACTTCAATCCCATAATGTACGCAGTACACCCGAGCGCGGTGAGAATGAAGAATATCGACGCCCCCATGCACGACGCCACCGTTCTCAAAAACAACCTCGCCTCCGCGCGCGCTTCCTCCACTCGCATTATCCACACCGCGTGGTCCAACCGCGTCGGCCGACCGACGCGCGTGATCCCCGTGATGTTCGTGTTCTGTTGAAACGTGTGCCAATAATTCCTCACCATGTCCGCGCTCGCGCTTTTATATATGTTCATCACCGCGCACGCGTAAATGATCCCGACGAGCATGAATATGCTCAACACGTGATACGACAACAAGTACGTCTTGTTTCGGTGATACAACCCAGCCAACCCATAGCTCGCCAGCGCGCACAGCAGCGTCCCGATCACGCTCGCCGACGTCCCTGGGTTCTCAAACAGCGGATCGTCCAGTCCGCCGTGCGCGAAGACGCTTCCGACGCCTCCCGCGCGTCGTCCGACGACGATGAGAATCAGGCCCAGGATCACGAGCGCGATGTTCGCGAGAAACAGCGCGCCGAGCGCGGCGACGGACAGGTTCGTCACCGGTTCGTCCTCGCGCGCGCGGCGCATCGTCGGCACGCGCGCCGCGGGCGTCGACGGCGCCATGACGACGCCGAGCGCGGCGACGGCGACGCGGCGTCGAGTGCGGAGACGCGCGTCGAGCGCGGTGCCGAGCGAGCGAGCTCGCGTCCGCACAGCGACGCGCTCGACCGAGCGCCGACGCGACGGCGCCGAGCGCGCTCGGACGCGCGCGCTCGAAGCGCGACGCCCGCGCGACGCGACGCGAGCGACGCGACGCGACCGGCGACGCGTCGGAACGCCTTCGCCTGGGTGTTGAACCATGGTGGGACTGTCGTACACGACGCAAAAGAGCGTCGTCATTCGCTCGTGGCGACTCGGCGCGCTGTATTACGCCATCGTCGGCGTCGTTCTGAGCTACGTCGGATGGTATCTGGTGTACCTCAAGCACGGCTACCAGCTGCGGTCGCAGGCGGTTGGGAACATTGGTTTGAAAATCAAAGGCCAGGCGGTGCTGCGAGACGCGGCGACGGGGCTGGAGACGGTGTACGACGCGAATGATTTGGTGATATATGAACCGAGTGGATTTTTTGTGGCGACGGCGCTGATGACGACGCTGCAAGCGAGAGGACGGTGCCCGGGAATGGACGACGACGAGGCGTGCACGGAGGACGCGTCGATTTGTCGAGCGGGGGCGTTTAGCGCGAGCGGGCGGATGACGGGAGCGTGCGTGGACGCGGGCGGAAGCTCGGGAGAAAAGCGGTGCGAAATCGAGGGCTGGTGTCCTGGTGAACCAGAGGACGACCGTGTGAACGTGCTGGAAAATGTGGGAAATTTCACCGTCTTTACTCGAATCAGCGTCGAGTTTCCAGGAATCCCAAATAAAAAGGGCGACGGGAACTTACTGTGGACGAACTTGAACGGTACTGAGCCTACGATGGGATGGAATTTATGGACCTTGAATGATTTGCTCGCGAGCGGCGGAATGCGCGTGGAAGATATCGCGAAGAAAGGTTGGGACGGTCGCTTGGACGTGCAGTTTGACTGCGATCTCGATCGAGGCATCGAATCGTGCGCGCCGAAGACGCCGTATAAGGTGCGTCAAGTCACCGATTCGGAGATAAACACACTGTCGAAAGGCTATAATATCCGTTGGGTCTCTGCGCATAACGTGGGCGAACCGGCACCGATGCAAGGCGTGACGTACAACCAAACGGGAAATTCCAAAGACGTGAGGCTTTTGGTCAAGGGCTACGGGCCGAGGATTCGCTTTGCAGTGGATGGAGTTGGGCGTAAGTTCGACGTTCTCGCGCTGTCCACGACCGTGGGTGCAGGCGTCGCGTTCCTTGGCATCGCGTCTCTCGTCGTAAACGCAGTCATGATGTATGGATCGGGGAAGAAGTCCAAGCAGTACGAGAATTGGCTCTTCGCGGAATTCAATGACGATTCGTACGGAGCGACGGAAAACAACAGTTAGACGACGACGCGTCCACGTTTGTAGGATTAAGTCAATATTAGATGGAGATGAGTACCTAGGCCACGCCACTCGGGATCTTTATGTGCTCATCGTCGCGAGCGATGGCCTGATCGATAAATTTGTTCTTCAGCAAAAGCCCGTTGCACGGACGTGGATCGTAGTCCTTCGCCATCCACACCCCGGTCGGTTCGCCGTTCACGCACGACTTAACGCAGCGGAACTTGATTTGAGCGCCAGTACGCGCTTCCAGCTCGCCGTCGACGCCTCGGAACAAGCCCCACGCGTGGAATTCGTGGTACAGCGTTCGACCGTCGCGGTCCTTGACTTCGGCGATGCCGCTGTGTCCATCTGTGGTGGGTAAAACGACGTGGCAACACGTCGCGCCCGGGGTCATCTGTGCCGCCATCGCACCTGGTGGGCCGGTATTCGCTAACTGTAGCGCCGTGGTGTAGCACTCCGCGATTTCATCCGCGGGCCAATCCGGCGCCCACTCTTGCGCTCGCCGCTCAATCTTCTTGCCGGCGCAATGATTCGGGTGCAACTTGATGGTAAACGTCGCACTCATCCCGGCCGCGCTCGCCGACGTCTCGTACTCAGTATCGAGCGATTGTAAGAACGCTTTGAATCCCTTATCACTGCCGTGCTTCGCTTCGTCGTACCCGACCAAACGACACGCGCCGGCGGCGGGAACGAACACGCCGAGCGGCGCGCATCGCAGCGTCACCTCGTGCTCGCCCGGGCCGATTTTCTCGCACACCTCCGCCCAACGCCACATCAGCGAGTGCGCGTACGATTTACTAAACGGATCCAAAATCGCCCCGTCGAGGTAATCCGCGATCAACGGTAAATGCACGAAGTGATTACCCTCGGAGAAGCGCGAGCCGAAGACGGTGCACCACGGTTTGCCGCCGCCGTCGCGTTCGCGCCTCAACACCCGTCGCGCCGCCTCACGCGCCTCGCTCGCGTAAAGCCCCGCATCGTCGAGTCCCGCCTCGATCGCGCGTTCGCGATCGTAATCCGGCTCCCCCGCGCACGCGTGCGCGTCTTCAAACCTCTTCCCGTCCACCGTCAGGTGCGCGTCCACCGCGAACGCTCGCGGGCAGCACGCGACTCGCCCCTCCCACCCCCCCACCGGCGCCTCCAGCGCGTCGTGCGCGCACATCATCACCGACAAGTCATCCCTCGCGCCGACCTCGATCGAGCTCCCGCCCAGCGGCGTCGTCAGCGCGCTCACCGTCGTCTCCTCCGCCAGCCAAAACCGCCACGCCGCGCCCGCGTCCCTCGTCGTCCCCCATCGCTCGCGCACCCTCGCCGCCGCCGCGTGCATCGCCGCCGTCGTCGCGTCCTCGTACGTCGTCACCGCGCGCGCGAGCATCGCGCTCGACCCGTCCGCCATCGCGTCCGCCGTCGTCCCGCTCGCGCCGTCGCCGTCGCCGTCCGTCGCCGCGCGCGCCGATCCATCGTCCCCGTCTCGCGTCCTCGTCGTCGCCGCGCCGTCGTCGCGCGCGCCGTCGTCGCGCGCCGGCGCCGTCGCGTCGCCCGTTTTCGAGCTCGCGCACCCCATGCGGTCGTCGTCGTCGCCGTCGTCGTCGTGTGCCGCGCCATCCGTCGTTCGCGCCGTCGCGCCATCGCGTCCCGCGCGGGACGAATCCGAATCGACGCGTTCACGGACGCGCGACGACCCGGCGACCGATCGCGACCGATCGCGACGTCGACGACGATCGCGAATCGAGCGACGCGATGGACGCGCGACGGACGCGCGGGCCGCGCGCGCGCGCGATTCGATTCGATTCGATTCGAACGACGACAAAGATATTTCGCGAGCGCGACGACGGATCGAATCGCGACGCACCGCGACGCACCGCGACGCCGACGCGCGCGCGCGAGCGCCGATGCCGGTGGACGCGATGGCGCGCGTGCGCGGCGCGCGCGCGAGCGGCGCGAGGCGGACGCGCGCGACGAGGACGGGGGCGCGACGGTTCGGGACGACGATGCCGCGCTGGCGCGCGATGGATCGGCGCGCGATGGACGCGATGGACGCGCGATGGACGCGGGCGACGGGTGAGGAAGCGGGGGAGGGGCGCGAGGCGTCGGAGGAGGCGCGCGCGACGGCGCGGGCGGACATGGCGGTGGTGCTGGAGAGCGGACGATCGCGCGGGACGGGCGCGGGGGAGGAGAGACGCGCGGGACGAAGGGCGAATCGGTTCGAGGAAGAGGAACGGGCGAGTCGGAGCGAGGAGGAGGGGGCGAGAATGACGTCGACGTCGGGGAGCGGACCAGGGCTCGCGAGGGGGGACGGAGGGGCGTTCGCGCTGATCGGGACGCCGGGACGATGCGTGACGACGTTTCGAGTGCGGAAACGAACGCGGTTCGGGCAGCGCGTCGTGCTCGTCGGGTCGACGGCCGAGCTCGGGACGTGGCGAGTGCTGGGAGGGTCGATTCGGTGCGCGCCCGAAGGGAACGATTGGTGGAGCGCGACGGTTTGTTTGGAGGTGCCGACGAGTCGCGTGGTCGGCGAGGAGTGCGTGGTGTGCGAGTATAATTTCGCGGTGATTGACGACGTCGCCGAGAGCACGGGGCCGACCTACGTGTGGAGAAGTGGGACGAGCGCGCTAATGCTTCCGAGCTACGCGTTCATGGTGGAGGTTGTCGACGTGTGGACCGAAGAGAAGCGAGAGTTTACGTCTCTGACGGATACGTTTCGCATGAACGAACCGGCGCTGAAACAAGTGCTTCAGTACTACACCGGCGGTGCGAGCAAGTCTCTGCGCGCGAGAGACGATCGGAACGTGAAGACGGAGATTTGGTTCCCGAGCGACGACTGCGCGGTTCTGACGGAGGACGGTGAGGCGGTGGAGATTTTGGAAAACGTTCGCGACGAAGAAGAAGGCGACCAAGCGATGCGCGTCGGCGACGTCTATCTCGGTACGGTGGTGAGCAAGGTGCCGAACATGAAATCACTGCTCGTCGGCGTGGCGACGAAGAATGGCAAGTTTACAAAGACGGTGTTACTGCGCGACGGTCTGTCACAGCCGGCGGCTTGGTGGAAAGGCCAAGAGAGCGACAAAGTCGTCATCGAGGCGTCGGAAGTGTCTCTACCGGATGAAGACGAAGACGTCGAGATGAAGCTCATCAGCTCCATGATGCATTCGGATATGAACGACCAGCTTGCGCGCGCTGGTAAGCAAGCCTTTGGAATGTATAACATCGGCGATGCCGTGATTCTTGAAATCATTCGAGATTCACGGGAACACAAAGGCGCGATCGCGACGGCGGAGCCGAGCCTCACCGGACGGTTTACGGTTTTCAAAGGCACGGCGAATGGGGTAAGCGCGCACGCCAGTAAGAAATTGAGCGTCGTGACGCGCGACTCGCTCGCGCAGTGGGGCGAGAATACTTTGAAGCAAACGTGGCGATATGGCCTCGAGAAGATAAAAGATAAGAATGAAGCGCCTCTTTTCACCGGGTTTCACGGCGGCGGCGCGCATCTCATCATGCGCTCCGCGAGCGCGAGCGCGCCTCCGGACGTGGTCACGCGCGAGGTAAGCGAACTCACGCGTCGGTGGAAGTCTATGTGCATCAGTGCTGCGAAATCCGTCACGAAGTCGCGGAAGCGGCAGCAGCCTTTGGTGCCGCGATTATTGTGGCGCGACAACACAAATTTCAAAGGAATGGTTCTTCGCGAGCTCGCGAGCACGAACATTCACAGCATCGTCATGCCGAACGACAGCAAGCCGGAAGAACTTGAAGAAATCACAAAGAGCGTGTCGACGCTGCGCGCGGATACCGAAGAAATGCAAACCGTCGTCCGCGTGGGGTCTCAAGTGAAAATGCAAAACTTGATCCGACGCGCGAGGACGTTTAGCGAACGCGTGACGATTCCAGATACGCAGTCGGCGCAGCTCGTGATTCAATCCACAGAAGCGCTGACAGCGATCGATGTAAACACCGGCTCGAGCCGTATGAGTGTGGCGGAAATCAATGTCATGGCTGCTCGCACCGCAGCGGCGGAAATTAGGCGGAGGAATATTTCGGGAATCATCGTGATTGACTTTGTCAACGCGGGCAATCCCAAAACGCGAGATCAAATATATAGACAGATTGAGGCGGAGTTCGCGGATGCGGCGACACGTGATCGAGGAAAAATATCATTCATGCCGATTTCTGCTTTTGGTTTGATGCAAATCACTCGATCACACATCCCTTACGGGCCAAAAGTCGAGGCAAAGGATGTGCGCCGCGAAGATGCGCGATCGTCTACGAAGTCGTCGGCCACAAAGTGGTTGGACAAACGCAAGACGAGGTAGTCATGTATAGAAAGCATACGCGCGCGTGTTGTTATTTCGTTGTAGTTGTTGTATTTATACTGCACTAATATAAGCCAACTCGCGACTACTCGCAGCTTTTCACGACGTCGACGATCGACTCGGGCGTGAGCGTCGTCGCGTTGAGCATGAGCTCGCGACCGCACTTTAACGCCGCGCGTTCGCACTGGGCGCGTACGTTGGCGTCTGGTATCTTATCCAAATCAGCGACGTGCGCGATGCCGATGATGCGACGAATCATTTTAGCACCCGCGAAACCGAGAGTATCGGCCCATATCTTTCGCATGAACGTGCGTTGATGTTCCTCGAGAGCGCTCGCGCCGCTCTTCACATCTTTACCGTACAAAATTGCGGGCGACAAACCACCACAGTCGTCGCGCACTCCTTGTTCGTTCCACTGTTCTAAGAAACGTTTTTCGAATATACCCCACGTAGACGCAAAAGCGCTCAAGAGCCAGTCGCGTTGTGCGCCGCGATCTTCTCCGTTGCACTTCGCCCAACCGTTTTGAGAGAAGTAGGCTAACAGTAGGTTTGCTAAAAATGCGCCAATGTCGAATCCCATCGGCCCATAAAACGCGAACTCGTTGTCGATCGCGAATGTTGTCGTCTCCGTGCACATCAAAGAGCCGGTGTGCAAGTCGCCGTGCAGCAGCGCTTGCGCTTCAGTCATAAATTTTTCCTTCAGCGCGTTGATGGCGCGCTTGAGTGCGGCGTCGGATTGAATCTCGCCGACGATGTCGTCGAGCTGTGGCGTCGTCCAATGATTGTTATCAGCCTTACCGTACGGTTCGGTGAAGATGACTTGTTCAGTGAGCTCGCACATATCCTCGTTTTGCCCGAAAGCTTGACGTGCGCGTCGAAGTTCGGCACCGCCGACGGCCAACGCGGACGACTTGTAGAGTGTCGTCGCCAAGTATTCGCCGACGTGTTCGGCCAACTTTGGGTACACTTTACCTTCAATAATACCGCCTCGGAGGATGATGTGCGGTGGTTCTAGGTATCGCATGACGATAGTTGCCATCGTAGCGTCGTACACGTACACTTCCGGGACGTGCTCGGGGCAAAATTTGTGCGCTTGAATGAGCGCCTCGGCTTCATATCGAACGCGCTCCTGCGTGAGGGGCCAACTTTCGCCAACACAGCGTACGAATGGCAAACCTTGCTTCACGATGACGGATTTATTTGCAGACGCACCGGTGACGATGTAGACAAAGTTGATGTTACCGTCACCGATTTCTTTCGCCGACCACGACGCGCGCGTCGAGGCGCCTCCCAAAACTTTGGCAACGTTTTCCTTTGACGCTGCGTAATCGAGTACGGTTTCGCAATTAAGTGCGATGAATCCCGGTGGACCGCTCGGCTTTGCGACCGTCAATGTACCTCCCTTTGCTTGAGCTACGAAGTCTGCAACGGGAAACAATCCACTGGCGTTCTTTTCAATCACACCGTGCTCCGTGATGACACCCGTGAGGAGCGCCGCAGGGGTCACGTCGAAGGATGGGTTCCACACGTCTATTCCTTCCGCCGCCACACGCTTACCGAGCGAGTGCGTCACTTCTTCGCCCGGTCGTTCTTCGATGTGAATATCTGCCCCAGTCGCCGTCTCGGGATCTAACGTCGTCACCGGTGCTGCGGTGAACATGGGCACTCCGTGATGCTTCGCGTTCACCGCGAGCGAATAGGTGCCGATTTTGTTAGCAAAGTCGCCGTTTGCGGCGACTCTATCCGCACCCACGACGATCGCGTCCACGTCTCCTCGTGCCATGAGCGCCGCCGCCATATTATCACAAATCAACGTCCCTGGAATTTTTTCGTACACCAGCTCGTACGCGGTCAACCTCGACCCTTGATTGTACGGCCGCGTCTCCAAGCAATACGCCCGCTCGAGTCGCCCCGACTCCCAAAGAGCACGAATCACCCCCAACGCAGTACCGTAGCCCGCCGTCGCGAGCGATCCAGTGTTACAGCACGTCATCACTTTGATATTTTCTCCATCTTTAGCGCCGCACGCGCGCAACAGCGCCGCAGCACCCTTGTCTCCGATGGCTCTGCACGACGCCACGTCCTCGGCGTGCATCGCCTCGCATCCTTCAATCACCCCTTCAATCATCCCTGACACGTCTCCGCTTTCACTCAATCGCTTTGCGAGTGCTTGTATCCTATTTTTCGCCTCCCCCAAGTTCACCGCCGTCGGTCTCGACGTGTACATGTGATCAAACCGCTCGCGCACGAACGCCTCCGCCGCCTCGCACGTCGTCAGCGTCCCTCGCTTCGCCTCTAGCTCCACCGCCAGCGCCAGCGCCGCTGCGATCGCGATCGCCGGCGCTCCTCGCACGTTCATATCTTTGATACATCGCCAGCACGCGTTGCAGTCGCGCACGTCGATGTATTTCGTCTCCAGCGGCAGCGCGAGCTGATCGAGCAGCTCGAGGTTTCCGCGCGCGTAGCGAATCGCCTCGAGCGAGGACATCGCGCGCGACGCCCCGAGGACGGCGCGCGAGCACTCTTCAGTCGCGCGCGATCGCACGCCTCGCGACGAGGCTCGCGCCGAGACGTCGGGTTGTCCCGCTCAGAGCGGGACGCGCGCGCTTTATCCGCAGACGGCGACGCGCGAAGTCGCGCGTTCGACGCCGAACCTCGGCGCGCGATGGGCGTGTGCGTGTCCGTGCACACCGTCGAGCGCGCGCTCGCGGACGAGGCCGAGATCGAGCGCCGATCGCGCGTCGACGCGCTCGCGCGGTCGTTGGCGAACAACAAAGGCGAGCTGTATTTACACGGCGTTCTCGCACGGTGCGATCGCGTGAATCGCAACGGACGGGTGTATCCGAAACCCATACTGCACAGGGAAGTCGCGGCGTACGTCGCGGCGCGCGTGCGGCGCGGTCGAGCGTACGGGAAGTTGGAACACCCGGCGGCTACGGACGAGGCCGAGTTCCGGGACGCCGACGACGAGACGCGCGCGTGCTGTCGAGTCGTGGATGTGTATTGGTGCGATGGAGATAGGACGCTGATGGGATACGTCAAGATCTTGGATACGGAGAGCGGGCGGGCGATACGGGAGATTTACGAGGGAGGGGGACTGGTCGGCGCGTCGACGAGGAGTTGGTCTTCGCTCGAGACACGGGCAGACGGCAAATGCTATGTGGACGACGATTTAGAGTTGTTGGCGTTCGACTTGGTGCGGGACCCAGCGACAATTAGTTTGAGCGCGAATGGATTGCTGACGCCCGTGCGAGGGGCGGTTGAAGGACGAGGCGAGCGTCTCGATTAGCGACTCGAATACTTGAACTGACTAGCGAATTTGTTGTACAACAGCTAGAGCTTAGCGAATATCGGTTCGCGTTTCTCGAATCTAGCGCGCAAACTTTCGTTTAAATCGTTGCTCATCAGCATGGCAGCGTTGTGCGTTGCGACGTAGTCGAGCCCGCGCGCGACGTTTGGGTCGTCGCGCTGCCGCAGGAGTGTTCGTTTCGTGCCTCTAAGCGCGAGAGGCGACTTCTTCGCCAACATTTTCGCGAGAGCCATCGCGCGTGCTTCAACGTCGTCACAAATCTCGCTCACCAATCCAATCGCGAGCGCCTCTTTCGCGTCCATCTCCCTGGCGGTCATCGCCAGTTCCACCGCCCTACCGAAGCCAATAATCGACGGCAAGCGCTGAAGCGTGCCGACGTCGGCGGTGATGCCCAAATCCACCTCCTTGACGCAAAACCGCGCCGATTTCCCGCAGCACACCCTCAAATCACACGCCGTGATCATATCTACCCCCGCTCCGTAGCACGCCCCTCGCACGCACGCGATCGTCGGACACTCCACGTCCCGCTCGAGCGCCGTGAACGCGTCTTGCAACCTCTTAATATTCCTCAACAAACTCTCCCGCCGGCGTCCCTCGCACGTTGCCGCGCCGACGTCGCCGACGTCGCCGAGGGTCGATTTCAACGTCGCCTCATCCGCGACGTCGATGCCGGCGCAGAAGTGCCGACCATCGCCGCGCACGACGACGCATCGCGCGTTCGACTGTCCCACAAACTTCACACACTCGGCAAAGTCGGTCCACATTTCTTCGTTCAGCGCGTTCGCGCGGTGCGGGCGCGACAGCGTAAGCACGCCGACGCCATCGGCGTCGATGTCGACCGCGCACGTGGGGCGTCGCATGCGTCGCGCGCGCGTGAAGGCGCGATGTGTCGCGCACCGCAGTCGTGACGTCGACTTGCGTCATAAAACCACGCGCGGCGCGATGCGATGCGCCGCGCTCGACGCGCGCACGGCGCGCCGATCGCGCGGTGGGTCGTTCTTCGACGCCCTGCGCGAGTCTCGCGCGAAAACGAGCGCGCGTGGCGTCGCGAAGGCGTCGAGACCGCGAAAAGTGACGCGGTGTGGATTCTTTGAAACATTCGACGGCGACGCCGTCGTCGCCGTCAAGGACGCGATGGACCTCGCGAAGAAATTTCGAAGCGCTGAATGCGGTTCTGAACACGTCCTGCTCGCGCTGACGCGGAATCGCGATCGGACGAGCAAGGCATTGCACAAGCACGGGGTGACGGAGGAGGCGACGCGACGCGCGCTCGGCGAACGCGCGGGGGTGAGCGAACTGGAACTGATGAATCCGTTTAATAAACCGAGCGCCGAGGGGTTGCTGGCGCTTAGCGATGAGCTGAAAAAGGTTTTTGAACGCGCGAGTGCGAGTGGGAGCGAGGTTGGGAGCAAGGAGCTCGCGCTCGCGATGATTGACGAACCGGCGAGCGGGGCGCGCGCGACGATGGCGGCGCTGGAGGGGTGCGATTTGAAGGTGCTCAGGAAGGAGATCACTGGAGCGAATGAGCGAGAACTCGTGGGGGCGGGTAAGAAGACGCGGAACACGAAGAAGCAGACGTTGGCGGATTGCTCTATCGATTTGACGGCGGAGGCGCGCGAGGGTAAATTAGATCCAGTGCTCGGCCGGGACGAAGAGGTGACGCGAGTGATGCGGATTTTGGTGCGACGACGCAAGTCGAATCCGTGTTTGGTGGGCGAACCCGGGGTTGGGAAGACGGCCATCGCCGAAGGTTTAGCGATGATGATCGCTAAAGGCGACGTTCCCGAGAGCTTGAAGGAAAAACGCGTCGTGAGCTTGCAAATTGGTCTCTTGCTCGCCGACACGAAATACCGCGGCGAGTTCGAGGAAAAGATGAAGAATGTCATGGAGGAGGTTAAACAAGCGGGAGATATTATTTTATTCGTCGATGAGATTCACATGCTCGTTGGCGCCGGTGGTACCGGAGAAGATGGTGGTATGGATGCCGGTAACTTGATGAAGCCCGCGCTCGCAAGAGGCGAGTTGCAGTGCATCGGGGCGACGACGATTGACGAGTACAGGAAACACATCGAAAAGGATGCGGCTTTGGAACGTAGATTCCAACCCGTGCGCGTCATCGAACCCAGTCCAGAGCAAACGCTCACAATTTTGCGCGGTTTGAAGGACACTTACCAAGAGCACCACGGCGTGTCCTTCACCGACGAGGCGTTGCGCGCCGCCGTCTCGCTCTCCACGCGATACATCAACGACAGATTCTTACCAGACAAAGCTATCGATGTCATCGATGAAGCCGGCGCTTTGGTGCAACTCACGCCCGGTGATAGTACGTTGGTTGACGAGAGTCACATCACCGAAGTCGTGGCGCAGTGGACGGGCGTGCCCGTGCAACAGTTGAGCGCAGATGAGTCGCTTTCGTTGATGAACTTTGAACAAGAGCTCGGCAAGCGCGTCATCGGCCAAGTCGAAGCCGTGCGTTCGATCTCACAAGCCATTCGCCGCGCGCGGGCTGGGCTGGCAGATGCGTCGAAACCGGTGGCGAGCATTATATTTAGTGGTCCCACGGGCGTTGGTAAGACTGAACTCGCCAAGGCGGTGGCTCAGACATACTTCGGCGCCGAAAAGGCGATGGTGCGCATAGACATGAGCGAATACATGGAATCGCATTCGGTGAGTAGATTGATCGGTCCGCCGCCTGGATACATTGGATTTGGTGAGGGTGGACAGCTCACGGAGGCTGTGCGCACGAACCCGCACTCGCTCGTGTTGTTGGACGAAATTGAAAAGGCGCACCCAGACGTCTTTAACATTTTGCTCCAAGTCTTGGAAGACGGTCGCTTGACCGATAGCAAAGGTAGAACGGTGGATTTCACGAACGCCATGCTCGTCATGACAAGTAACATTGGCAGTCGTGAGATCTTAGAATCCATGAGCGGCGAAGGCGAAGATGAGGAAAAGTACAAAAAACTTCAAACGCAAGTCAAGCGAGAGTTGGGCAAGGAGTACCGTCCTGAGTTTTTGAACCGCCTCGATGAAATTATCATCTTCAGACCGCTGGAACGACCCGAGGTCAGCGCCATCGCGGATCTCATGCTCGCATCGGTTTCCAAGCGTGCGCTCGCTCGTGGGATCACGCTCGATTTCACCGATTCATTCAAATCACTTTTATACTCCAATGGTTTTTCGCCTCGCTTTGGCGCCCGACCAATGCGTCGATGCGTGCGAGGTTTATTGGAGAACAATCTCGCCGAATGCATGCTCGACGGATTTGCATCTTCGGGCGACACCGTGAACTTTGATTACGACGACGACCAGGAGCTGATTTCCGTGACGACAGCCAATGAAACTATGGCGCGCACGTTTGACGTCGAATTCGGCTCTGGCATCGAAGACGTCGCCGAAGACACCTCGGCGGACGATTTCCCAGCCCCATTCTTCTCGAACGAAGGTGGCGGTGAAACCACCGCTCAAGCCTTCGCTTAGTCGTTTGTTTTAGGCCACTGTAGTAAATCACACGCACCGCATTTAAATCAAACCGACCCGACGCAAAGACGTCCGCAAAGGTGCCTTCGACCCCCTCACAACGAAGCGCACGAACAAGATGGGTCGAAGACGTTCCGGCGGTTTCGGCGCCCCGCCTCCGGGCAACCGAGGTCGTTTCGGTGGCGCGCCACCCCCCGCGAGGCAACAGCAACAGTCCGGTGGCTCGCTCGTCGGCGGATTAGCCGGTATGATCTACCAAGGCTTCGGTTGGGGCGTCGGCAGCTCGCTCGGCCGCGCCGCCACGGCGAGCTTATTAGGCAGCTCCGGCGGCTCGGGTTACGCCACGGAAAGCGTACCGTCGTCAGAAGCGCCGCAACAACCGAACCCGTGCGCGCAGGCGGCGAAGGCGTTCGGCGAGTGCATCTCAAACTCTCCAGACGACTTGGCCAAGTGCCAGCCGTACGCCGACTTGTTGACGAGCTGCAAGCGAAACGAATTGTCGCGATAGACCAGGCGAAGTAGAAGATGTAAATAGCGATAACGTTTTTTTTTCGTGATTACAGATCCGCCGTCGGATGCTTCCGCGACGAAGATTTGATGGATACATGTTCGTGGACGATTATTCGAGGACGAGGACTCTTCGAGGATCACTCGAGGACGAGCGGCTTCATTTGCTTGACGACTTCATTTGCTCGAACGTGACGAAATTACGTCAGGGTGGGTGTTGGGCTGTGAAAGTCGAGGCTGTTGGGCTATCAATAGTCAAGTACACACTACAAAGGAGGAACGAAGGCGAACGCGCTCGCGGCGCGCGAGGCGTCTACTTCGGCAACACTTCCGTGATCACTGCGCGCGATGCGAGCGATCCGTCGTCAGTCGTCGTCAAACTATCGTTTTTCACCGTCGCGCGCGTCGCGCGCGATCCCGATTCGTGAAATTTTGTCCCGCGCGTCTCGCGACGCCTCGCGCGTCCCGCTCGCGAAATTCAAGCCCTAGTCTTCTTCCCGCCGTCGTCGATCGTTCACGCACCCGATTGCCCGGCCTTGCCTTCGGCGTACTTCGTCATCTTGTAATACACCGTTTCGCGCGCCTTGGCCTGTTGAATCCGCGTCGCGCGCGTCGTTAGTCGATGTTTCGCGCGCACGCCGATCGATCGTTCGCACCTGGGTCAAGAACGGTTCCTTGAGGCTTTGACGCACGACTTCGCCGCACGCGTTGGCGTATTTGAGGTAACTCATGCCGGCGATGCGCCAGTACGCGGCGCTGTTCTTGGCGGCGGCGCTCATGGTGGAGACGCGCGTGAATGTGCGGGCGATCGTGGCGGGGAACTGCGCTGTGGGTGCGGTGACAACGCGACTATGCTCGCGTCGTTAGGCGACGCGAGATTTGTCTAGACGGAAGCAACGGACGATGCCGTCACCGCCGGCACTTAAGATACCGGCGTGAATGGGGATGATTTTGGAAGCGCCGAGAGAGGCGAAGGCGCCGCCGCCGCGAGGGGTGAGAAATTTCTGCGGCGCGTGCGCGGATTTGACGCGCTGCAGCTCGGCGCCGTCGAGGGCAGAACGGGCGAGTAAATCGCCGGACTGGTCGGCGATGACGACGAGCGGGGTAGTTTCGTGGTGAATTGCGGCTATGGAGGTGATGGTAGACGTTTGTGGCGGGAATGAGCGCCACAGCACGGTGGATTCGGCGTCGCCGCCGAGCATTCGCAAATCGTGAGCAGCGACGTCGCCGTTGTAACCGCCGGTGATGAGGAAAGGCCAGGGCACGCCGTGAGGAGCGACGAGTGATGGAAACTGAGAGAGTGATGTACATCCACCAGAATGAGCACGAATGACCCCAGGCGAGGCGTGAAAAGGCTGAAGGGCGTCCCAGAGCGTGACGCACTCGGGCGCCCTTTGTAGTGAACTTCCAGTCGAGCTCGCGACAGCCATGACGTTTGTCGACAGAAACAGCACGTCTTCGGTCTTGCTACCTTTAAATCCGCACATTTTACTCGCAGCCGGTTCTACGTCCGGGGCGTCACCGAGCCACAACGTGACGTTGCCATCGGAAGCGCACGCCGCAAGACGAGCGCCATGCGGGGACCACGCGAGCGAGCGCATGCTCGCTCCCGTGCCGGAAGTCGACTTTTTGCCTCCGAGCGACAGAACTGCCGCCGATCGATCTGCATTTTCGCCATGAAAATCCCACAACTGCACACCACCCATCGAAGTCCCGACGGCGAAAAAGCTTCGCGATGGGTGTGCGGCGACGCTTCGTGCAACGACATCGTTTGCTGGCTCTCGTGTAATCGCTGCTCGAGATCGCCCGACGGATTCGCTTTGAGACTGCGGGATGATTCCTGTGAGCGACGTCATGTCCAATCCTGCATGTGTCGCCCACTCGTGCTCGCGCCCGTGACCACCTCGCGGTGACGCCGGCGTAGACGCCACATCTTCTACGTGGAGCCAAGAATTCATGGACGATTTGAAGCCTGAAATGGGCGGTTGCGCTTGCAAGAGCACCGCCCACGCATCCTTGTGCGACTCGTTATCGTTTTCATTCAACTTTCGAAGATTGACCACGGATAAACCTTGGCGAACGCTGGCGCACCCTAACTCGTAGGGCACCTCGTGATTGAAGCATATGTCGTAAAAGCCGTCGTTTTGTAACGAAGCGACGTCGACGGGCGTTCGCAAGACTCGAGCTTTGGCCGATGCGTCATCATTTCCAACTTGCCTCGTCCCACTGTCGAACTCTGGCGATCTTGGCGTAGTTGGCGAGTCATCTCCTGCGCTTTCTCCAATACCGAAATTTTTCTGACGTTTCGCCTTCACGCTTAGTCTTCGAAGTTTACTGAACGCGTTTCGCGCCGTAGCTACTTTTTCCGTCGGCGATCCACTGATGGTCAAGTCTTGTCCGCTCGGCACGCGAGGAATGCTCACTGTATGAATCTCGGTCGGCAGCACAGACGGTGTTTTTACGTGCAACGATTTCACGGGTGTAGACGTGTTGAGATCTTTCAGTGTGCGTTCATTCGCGTCGAATCCTTCGAAACGTTCAACGTCCAACCTTCGGTGCAAAATTGAACGCATTGTCGCCGAACTCAAACTCCACGGCTTGCGCGTGAATACTTCGAGTGCAACGTCAGTGACGTCACTTGACTTTTGTCCCGCCAGCAACGAGCCTACGGCGAGTCTGCAAGCGTCTTCAATGGAGTCCTGCCCGCATGACTGCAATCGTTCGAGTGCGGCCAAAGGCATGCCGAGCGCTTCCAGCGGATGCAACAACGTCGCCGATGAGCACCGCAACAATGTCTTCGCATTCGAAACCGTGTCTTCTTCACGCGAGCTTGATGCGATATGCACCAGTAAATCCGTCGCATCCACAGCGTACGTTTCCATCAATGAATTCATGGATGAAAAAAATCCTTTAAAGTCGCCGGCGAGCCAACGCAACGCGGCGAGAGTCCACGGATCCGACATCGTCGGCGCAATATCATTCTGAAGCACAGGCACAACGTCACTCGTCAGATACCCGACCGTTGAATGCGTACCTTCAACGTGTTTCTTCGCCGCGAGCCGGGCAATGACGAGCGTGAGCGATAAATCGCGGTCGTGTTTCCACACCAAGGACGCCGCATCGAGCGGTTGACCGCCGAGAATGAAAAACGCCGCCGCGAATGAATATCGATGCTTTGACAGTAATGCGTAAGCATTCTTCAGCGCAGCGTCGCGATGACGCTGCTCGCTGAAATCTCGACACATAAACTCGTAGAGCGGCTTGTTTTGCGTCGCCTTATATAACCCAGCCAGCACCTTGACGCGATCGACGCACACGAAGAGAAGGGCGCAATCGTCGGCATTCTTCGTCCTCGCAAACTCTCCTTTGGCGCACTCTTCAATCAGACTTCGCAGTGTCCCATCATCGCGCAACCAAATCGGCACGCCAAGCGTTTTTACCGTCATCCAATCCGCGTTGGGGCTGTCCACTGCCGAGCCATCGAGTACGTTGTCTAAAAGTTCGACGGTCGTCGCGCACTGAGCCGCCCAAGCCAACTCTTGTCCGCACGGTCCTTCGTGATCGTTCACGCGGCGCAAACGTCGCGTGTGCCAGAGCGCGGCAAATCGTCGGCCAGGTTCATCCACTGCGCTTCCAAGCGTCGCAATTCCTCTCTCAATGTTGCGAAGCGCGTCGATAACGCCTAGTAACTGCACGCGTTCCGCTGGGGCGAGCGCTAGTTTATCCGCGAGCGAACTCAGTAACTCGGTCGCGTCTTCGGCTTCGCGCTGCGTGAACGCGTCACCATGGCCGGCTCGTCGAGCGTTAACCGTCGACGGCGATGTAGACGTCATTGCGTTTTGATCGAAGTCCGCTCCGAACGAGAATGTCGCCGCGGCGGGCGCGCCGCCGCCAAACGCTCCGAACGCAGACATGTCGAATTCGGGCACGTCCACCGTCGATGCCGTCGGTGCCGGCGACGCCACCGTGACGTCTTCGACGTCGTCATCCATGACCCATAACTCACTCGGGGGAATCGATGGACACGGCGAGTCAAAATCATTCGCGGCGAGGTACTTCATCACCGCGCGCAGAGACTTTCGCGCTCGATCCAGCTCCCCGCGCTTGAGCCAGTCGATGAGCACGCGCGGATGATACGAGGGTAGATTCTTCGATTCTCTAATGGCGCGCCGCGCGACGCCACACTTCGAGTCGTCGCCCTCAAAACCAACGGTGAGTATCACGCAATCGATGGCGACGTACACGACATCTCCGAGAAGACTCCAGGTCAAAGTCGAAATCGCGCTCTGCGTCGGCCCGGCGAATTCGGCGACGTCGACGCGCAATATTCGCCGCCACGGAGTCTTCTTGGACGCGTAGAGCGATGGTGACGGCGCGTATACCTCTAAAACCGTCCCCATCGCGGTCGCGAGCGCGTGTGCACCGCCCCCGATGTCGAACCAACGAAATATGGCTGAAGCTCGCGGAACTGACGCAGTCGCGTCGACGCGTTCCAAGATGACTTTCGAATCGCCGGCGACGGCGCCGACGACGCGCCGTCCTTCGTCATCCACGAACGCAAACCTCTTTCCATCGCTCGACGCTTCCACGTCGCGACCTCCGACGTGAGCGCGCGCCGCGACCGATGCGCCGGATCCACATCTTTCCATTCGCGCGCATTCGATCGCCTCAGCCGCGTCGGCGTCCGTCGTTTCGTCGGCGATTTCGACTTCGCCGCGCGCGTCGCGTCTCCACGCTCGACACACTCCGGACGCGTCCTTCGTCGTGAGCACGCCCGTCGTCGGGTGCACGCGCGCGTCCACGATCGTGGTCGCGTGTCCACGGAGAGACACGCCGTACAACTTCTCTAAAACGTTCGGGCGATCTCGCGCCGCGCGCGCGACGACGACGCCCAGTCTCCTCGACGCCAAGAGCACGCGAACGTCGTCGTCGCTTTGCGTCAAACTGCCTCGAATCACCACTCCATCCGCCAGCGTCAAATCCATCGCGCGTTCAAACGTCATCGATCCACGATGGGAAACCACCGGTCGACGCGCGCTGAGCGGATGCGCGGCGTCCACGTCGGAGAGCGTCCACACGTGAATCCCGCTCGCGCCGTCGGCGCCGATGATGGCGTGATCGTACAAACTATCGCTCGTCTCGCTCGTCTCCAACCAATCGAACGCGACGACCGGAACCAGCCCACCCCTGGGCGTTTGAATCGTGCACGTCAACTCCGTCCGCCCGTTCGCGCGCATCCAAAGCCTGAGCGCGCCGTCCGCGCACAGCGTCGCCAACGTCCCGCCGCGCCAGCTCGTCGCGCGCGCTCGCGCCGGATGTCTCAGCGCGTCCACCGCTTCGTCCACCGCCGCCCGCGCGACGTACACCACGCTCTCGCCGTCGAAGCACACCGCCACCGCCCCGCACGCGCCGTCCTCACCGTCCTCCGCGCTCACGATCGCGCGCTTCGCCTCGCCTTCGCGCGCGCGCCGCGTCCCCGCGTCGCCGCCGCTCGCGCTTCGCGTCGCCACGCGTCCGTCGTCCATCGCGCACGCCATCGCCCCTTCTCGCGTGAAGCACATCGCGAGCACGTTCGCCTCGAACACCACCGCCTCCTCGTCGTCGTCCGTCGCGACGCGCGCCTCTCGTCCGAACGCCGCCGCGAGTCGCCGCGTCCCCGTCGCGCGCGTCCCGCTCGCCCACGCCGCGCGTTCGCCCGTCGCGCCCTCCACGCGCAGCGCGCGCGCTTCGAACCTCCCGCGCGCGTCCGCGCGCGTCGACGCGCACGCGCGCGCGCTCGTCGCGTAGCTCACGACGACGCCGCGCGACGTTCGCGTCGTCGCGCCGTCGTCGTCGCCGTCCGCCGCGTCGTCGCGCGTCGCGAACGCGACGTCGATGCGCGCGCCGTCGTCGTCGTCGTCGCCGACGTGGGGCGCGCGGACGTCGCGCCGCGCGAGGACGACCGCGCCGTCGCCGGCGGTGCCGTCGGCGCGCATCGCGCGCGCGCGTCGACGCGACGCGCGACGCGATGGCGTCCATCGCGCCAACCGTCGGACGCGCGCGGGCGAAAAATCGGCGATGTCTAGGGTTGTGCGTCGCACAACCCTAGATGTACCATCGTGGACGCCCTCGATCGACGCGAAGATCTCGAGATCGGCGATCGGCGCGACGGCGCGACGGCGCACCTCGACGCGCGGCGAACGGCGCGAACGAACGGCGCGAACGCGACGACCGGGCGAGCGGCGAACGGCGGGACGCGACATCCGACGCGCGATGTCGACGAGCGATGAAGTCGCGCCGTTCTTTGGGTTCATGGGCGCGACGAGCGCGCTCGTGTTCAGTTGCATGGGCGCGGCGTACGGCACGGCGAAGTCCGGCGTCGGCATCGCGTCCATGGGGGTGATGCGGCCGGAGTTGGTGATGAAATCCATCGTCCCGGTGGTCATGGCGGGCGTGCTCGGGATATACGGGTTGATCATCGCGGTGGTGATCAGCACGAACATCGACGCGTCGTCGTACACGCTGTTCCAGGGATACGCGCATCTCGGCTCTGGGTTGGCGTGCGGCCTGAGCGGACTGTCGGCGGGGATGTGCATCGGGATCGTGGGCGACGCGGGCGTCAGGGCGAACGCGCAACAGCCGAAATTGTTCGTCGGGGTGATTTTGATTTTGATCTTCGCCGAGGCGTTGGCGCTGTACGGCATGATCGTCGGGATCATTCTGTCGTCCGCCGCGAGCGCGGCGACGTCGTAGAGCGCTAGTAACGATCGCGAAAACCGTTTTGTCACAACTGTCGAAGTAGAGTCATTGTAAATGAATGTAAGCGTACGACGTCGACGCTCGCTTCGCGCCGCACGTCGCGCCTCGGCATGCCGGAATCCGACGACGACTCCGACGACGATGGATTATTCGGGCGAAGGAACACGACTTTAGAGGTGTCGTGGAGCGACGACGACGACGCGCTCGCCGGCGCGCGCGCGCCAGGGACGAAGAAATCGACACCGTTGCGCGGAGCGCTCAAGTTGACTTCGGGAAAAGCGTCCTCGGACGACGACGACGACGACGACGCGCGCGCGTTCGATGCGAAAATCAGCGAAATGATCGCCACGGCCACCGACGGGTCGCCGCGCGGTTCGCCGTCGTCGGCGAAGAAGAGGGAGACGAAGAGGAGGGCGGCGGACGCGCGGTTCGCCGAGGCGACGGCGTCGCTTCCGCGGAGTAAAAAGAATAAGAGCGACGATGGAGGCGTGGGGTCGAGCGATGCGACGCTGGAGAGCGTGCAAGCGTTGAAAAGCGCCTGCGATGCGCTGGCGCAACGACCGCCGCCGGCGTACGTGCCGCGAGCGGTTGAGGCGCACGCGGTGGACGACGACGAGGACGACGAGGACGACGAGGACGTGCGAGAGGTGGTGAATAACGGCGACAAGGACGGTGGCGTAGACGTGATCGAGGGGAATTTGAATGAAGAGACTGGAAATATGATAACTGTGAGTTTTCAGTTGCCGAATGGTGACAAGTTTGAGCGGCGCGTGGGTGAGACGTGGACGTTTGCGAAAATCGTCGGCGCTTGGCGCGAGTGCGCGGAGTGGTGCGAGATGACGTGTTTGCTCGGTTCGGAACAACTCACGGTGGTATGTGACGGTGACGTGGTCAGGGGGAACGAGACCCCGGAGACGTACGGATTAGAAGATGGCGACACGCTTGATATTATCAAGCCGAAGTGATGAAGAATGTAATAGCACAGCTCGCGCGACAAAACTAAATTTAAAATTAAAAGTTGTCGTGATCGCCAGGAAGCTACGCCTTTTGCGAACTGAACACGTTTTCGCCTTTATTCTCGCCGTCGCCGCGTCCTCTGGAGAGGAACGCCTTTTGCTGTTCGCTCAACTCGCCAACGTCGTCGTCGAGGTCGGCGTCCTCGGCGACGATTCCGCCGTCGCGCAAAATGTACGCCATGGCGAGAGAAATCGCCGACGCAAGCACGACCGTTACCGAATACAGCGTATGACTCGTCGTTCTAAGCTCGTGCACGCCGAAAATACCGAGACCGAGCGCGGTTAAGAGCATGATGGCGATCGCCAATCCTCCGATGCCCCACCGTCTGTGATCACGCTCCGCCTTCTCCTCAGACTTTCTCGTGAACACGAACAAGCTCCCGCGCGATCCTTTCCCCAAACGGACGTGATCGTCCAAATACGTCGTGCTGAGTACGACGCTAGACTTTGGGCCGATTCGCAACTTCGGCCCGCCCGCGACGGAGATTCCCGGTGGTCCGAACGAAGCCTTCACCGTACGTCCGTCGTCGACGCCCTCCGCCGGCGCAAACGTTCCTTCCAGTGTCACCTCCCCCGGCAAGCACCCAAACAACGTGAACGCCACGCGATTCTCAATCTTATTAGGTGCGAACAAATTTTGCTCGAGCCCGATCGTCTTGAACAAAAACCGTCCCAACGGCGACCGAAACCGTCCGCCCGCGGGATTTCCCACTTGCTTCTCTCCGACGGATACGTAACTCACATCGTAATACCCGAAGATCTTCGGATCGTCGTTCGGCTTCACCATCGCGTCGGCACCCACGCTCTCGAGTTTCCCTATCATCGCATCCGCGTCCTTCCGCGCGTCAGCCCCCAACGCCGCGCCGCCGTCGCTATCGGCGACGAGCGTCGTCAACGCGCGCACGTCGTCTGACATCTCCTCGTTCGTTCCGAAACCCTCGTTCGCGCCCTCGCGCTCGGATGTCATCGCGTACTCATCCGCGACGGTGCGCGCGACGCGTCCGCGCTCGAGCGCGCGCGTCCGCGGCGTCACGAGCGTCGTTTGAACGCGTCTCGGCGCGGTGCTATTTTCGTCCCTGCCGCGACGTCGAGCGGGAATGCGCGCGCGCGCGGGCGCGCGCGCGCGCGCGGACGGTGCGAAAGCGATGGCGCGCATCGTGTCTCTGTTCCGATGCGCGTTCGGGACGATCTCGAACGCGCGCGCGCGGTTGTGTGGCGATAGTTCGATTCGGTTGACGGCTCGACGCCGGCGAGACGCGACGGCGGATGGCGAACGCTCGAGGGGATGGATGTTGGGAGAGTGTGTGAGTGTGATACAACAGCTCGTGAGCTAAACTCGACGCTTCGCAGCGCGAGAGATGTGGTGACGCAAAGCTGATGCGTACGGCTAATGTTCAATAAATACAGCGCCGCGGTGGACGGCGATTCTTGTTTGAGTCGAGACGGAGCGCTCGCTAACGACGCCACACGCTCCAGTCATTATCTCCGCAAATGTGGGTCCAGTCGTCGCCGGCGGGCGACCAGTGGTCGCGGCCAAGCTTGACTGCCATCCTGTTGTCGACGATAGCGGCGTATAAACCGTCGTTGGCGGCGATGATTTGAAGTTTGCTTCGACTGTGAATGCCGCAACTTTGACGCGCTTCCATCAGCGTCTTGATGTTGTTCGACAACTTTTCACCCCAATCGAAGTAGTGATCCCACATCACGCACGGCGTGCCGGGGTGAGTCAGGATGTAGGCATAGCCCATGGCGACTTTGTCGTTCGGGAACGGCCAGTGACCTTGCGTGGAGCCGGTGTCGTGGTTGTCGATGAACGTCACGGCGCGCGCCGGCCACAAGCCAATCACACCTGGAGCGCGTCCTTCACTATCGATGAGACGCCAGAACTCGGAGCGTCCACACGCCTCTTGAAGGATACCTTTTGTGGTGAAATCAAACGCGGTGCAGTTCCCGCCTGCCGCGTCAATCCAGTCAACAATCCGTTGACGATGAGCGTCTTGATTGTACTCCAATCCCGCGCCGTACGCGAGCGTGTCCCAGTATTCTCCGACCGCGAACTCGGGATCCATCGCCTTGATGTACTCTCCGGCGAATTGTCCGCCGTAACCCTTCGAGAAGTCAAAGCGCACTCCTCCAAAGCCGATGTCGTTTCGCAACCATTGGAACCACTTGGCCAAGTCGCTGCGAACGCGTTCATTCGTATGATCGATGTTGGGCGCCCCCGAGAACTCATCGCCCGTCGGGTGGTTACCCTGACCTGCGAAGTCAGGATTCCTATTATCGATGGCCCACTCACCCCAGTCCATACCAGTTCCTTCCCAACGGTTCCACTTGCCCCCAGCGCCCTGGTGCGTGGCGCAGCGATGGTTCAACACGGCGTCGAGCACGGGCAAAACGTCGTGCTCCTTGCAGTTCGCGATGAGGTTTCGCAAAGCCTGTTCAGAGCCGTACGCACTATTCAACGAATACATATTGCGCGGCAAGTAGCCTTGCGGTGCGAGAGAATCCGCCGGAGGCGGCAACCAAACTTGAGTAAATCCCGCTTGATTCATTTCGCCAAGTCTGTCTTGCACAATTTTGTACCAATCCAAGTTGTGGCTTTCCCAGTGGAAACCTTGGATCATGATCTCGCGCCCAGTCGCGATGCGCGGTAAAACGCCGGATTCTTTGACGATTTCCTTTTGCATCGGCGCGATTTCGAGGGGCGGTTCAGCCGTCGGCATAGCTTGCGTGATTTGCGCCGAGTCTTGGAACAAACTAAAGAAATCCGTCGCGGCGCTGTCGACGCTGCTCGCGACGTCTTCCTCAACCGCGAGTTCTTCCTCGACCGGGGCAAACATGTCGGTGGTGACTTCGTCTTCTTTCTCGACGAATTCCTCCACCATCGGAGCCGGATCTTCGATGGCAATATCTTCGATCTCAGGGAACGGTTCGAAGACGACGCCCGAGCTCGCCGCGAGGGCCTTCTCCAGTCGTTCGATTTGTGCAGACAAGCGTCCGATTTGCGAAGCCGCACCGTCGCTGATGGCATCCACAGAGTGCTCCAACGCGGTAAGTTTAGCGAAGAGAATATCAATTCTTCCAGCGCCGTGATCCATGAGCGGATGGATGTTGTTGAGCTCGCTCTGCACCTTGTACATCTCGTCTCGCATGCCGTCGCGAAGTTCCACGAGCGCATCCCCCACGTCTGAAATGCTTTGTTGCAAGCCAGTTGCGCGCGCCGTGGCCGATTCCGCATCGTAAGACGTGCCGCTCGTCATCGCGCTTTCCAGAGCTTCCAAGCGAGCGGAGATGTCTCGCGGTAAATCCGGGCGCGTCTCGAGCTCGAGTTGCAACTCGGCGACCTGTTCCTCGAGATCCTTCACGCGACTCGTGGTGTTCATTTCGAGTTGAGTGAGCTCACTCTTCAGTTGTTCCGCCGTTTTGTCTTCTCTGGCTTCTTGCTTGAGCAAATTCTCCAACTGCGTCACCTTGTTCATCACCGGGTGGTCGTCGAAGATGTCTTCGCTAAACAGACGCTCCTCGAGTTCGCCCAATTTTGCCGCCGTGGCCGCTGCCTGGGCGCGCACCTCGCGCGTCGCCGCCTGCGCATCGAGCCACTTTTGATGACTTTGCTTGAACGCCTTTTCAGCCTTAAGGCGCTTTTGCTGTTCCAGCTCGGCGTAGTAACGCGCCTCGGCGAGCCGAGCGTTCAAGTCGCGCTCGCGTTGCGCTCGCGCGGTGAAATCGCTCCCGTTGCCGATGAGCGGGATAGCATCCGGAATGACGTTGCCTACCGCATCTAAGCTCGCATCCCAGCCTTGTCGCACGCGCTGCATCATCGTCGCCATCGGTCGCGAAGACGCCCCGACTTCGACTTCGACTTCAACTTCGAGCTCGGGAGAGTTTACCAACTCTTGCTGCTTGCGCTGTAAATCCATGCCCGCGAGTGCGCGCTGCGCCCTGGCACCGCCTCCACCCGGTCGCCGCGACGTTCCTTGACGCTGCTTCGGTCGTTCGCTCTCCACCACCGCGGATACGGCGCCCGCCATCAAGCGGCGAGTGCGCGAGGTGTGGTACTGGGCGTCGTATCCGTAGTACTCCTCGCTCGCGCCCGGCGGCATGCCGCCGTCCGGTCCGCGCCTGGGATCGTTTCCGCGCCAGTCATCGTCCGCCCAACCATCGTTTCGTCGCGTATCACGTCTGTCCTCGTATTGCTCGCCACCCACGTCGTCATCGTACGCCGCGGTCGCGCGCGTCGGGCGTTTGAAATTCGACGGTTTAAACAGTCCCGCCAACCCGAGCAAGTTGACTCGCGCGTCTTCGACGAAATCGTGCACGCCTCCCCCTCGACGCGCGTTATCCGCCGCACCGATCACAAACGCCGCGGATAAACCGAGCGCCGCGCCGGCGACCGCGGAACCGAACGTGCTCATCACCCCGTCTCTCGCGCCGAGCGTCGGCGCCAGCGTCTCTCTCGCGCCGCCGCTCGCGCTCACGCGCGCCGCCAGCGTCCCCATCTTCGCCGGCGCCAACGCCTCCAACCTCGGCGTATCGGTATGAATCCCAACCTCCTCAAACATCATTCTTTCCAGCGCCCCCCACTGCCCGTTCGCCGGCAATCCGTATCGCGTCTGCATAGTCTTCACCGCCAGCTCCGTCGCCTCGTCAAACGTCCTATCGCCGCGCGCGCGTCTCGTCGTCTCGTCAGTCATCCCGCGTCGCGTCTCCCCATCGAACGCCCCCCATCGTCCACAAACGCCCTCCTCTCCATCCTCGTCCGCTCGATCGCGCGTCCGCCCTCCCCGTTCGCGCCCTCGCGTCCCGCGTCCCGCGCGCGCGCCGCGAATTCAAATAAACGGCTCATCGCCGTCACGCACCCATCGACCGCGCCCCCGTCCTCGATTCCCTCGTCCGCGAGCCGCTGCTGCAGTTTCGCCACCTCAACGCCCTCGCTCCCGCGCGTCAGCGCCGATCGCGTCCCCGTCGCGCGTCGTCGCCGGCCGTCGTCGCGCGCGCGCGCGCGCGTCGCCAGAGGTTTTCGCCGGTCGCCGTCGCGTCCGCGCGTCCATCGCGGCGCGCCCACGGCGTTTCGCGCGCCGCGCGCGACCCCCGCGCGCGGCGCGGACATTTCGCCGCGCGTCCGCGTCGCGCGGCGTCGCGAGCGATCGCGTCGGCGTGTGCCGCCGTCGCCGGCGCGCGCGCATCCGTCGTCGCGGGCATCGTGCGCGAGATTTCAAACGGCGAGATTTCAAACGGCCGCGATCCCGCGGTGTGATCGCTGAAAAGGCGATGCGCGCGCGTGTGTGATCGTATACGGTGTATGACTGTATGTGCATACAGAGATAAACGCCGAATGTCCGAACCCACGCGCGCCGCATGCCCGAACCCACGCCCGCGCGAGATTCGCGCGAAGCGAAGCGTCGCGCGATGCCGAAGCGTCGCGAGGCGTCAGCGCGCGGCGCGCGGTCGGGGACGCGCGCGCGGGCGGCGGCGAACGGCGCGCGACGACGCGCGACGACGCGCGAGGGCGCGCGACGACGCGCGACGACGCGCGAGGGCGCGCGACGACGCGCGACGGGACGCGCGCGCGAAGCGACCGAGGCGCGAAGCGACCGACGCGCGAATCCATCGAACGGCGCGGAGATGGGGTGCGCGGCGTCGACGACGGGCGCGCGAGGGACGGCGGAGGCGGGCGACGCGCGAGCGTCGACGTCGGCGCCGAGCGCGGTGCGGATCGACGAGCGATGGGACGCGAATTACGTCGCGCGGAGGAAAATCGGGGGAGGGAAGCAGGGGACGGTGTTCGAGGTCGAGGCGAGCGACGGGACGCGACGCGCGATGAAGGAAACGCACGTGGGAGCGTTCGGAGAGGACGAGCATCGCATCGCGGCGTACGCGGAGGTGGAGGCGTTGAGCGCGATGTCGCATCCGAACGTCGTCGCGTTCGTCGGCGCGTATCAAACGTCGGCAGAGGTGCACTTGGTGATGGAGCTCGTCGACGGGACGTCGTTGTTGGAGTATTTGACGATGCTGAATGATTACGAAGACGCGAATGAAGACAAGAAACACGAGGTGCGGTTGGATCTGATGAGACAGCTCGCGAACGCGGTGGCGTACGTGCACGCGAAAGACTACGTATTTCGAGACTTGGCGCTGGAAAACGTCATGGTGCGACACGCGCCAGACGACGCGACGGCAAACGTGACGCTGAAAATCATTGATTTCGGCCGAGTGCGAAAGCTTCGTCCGGAAACCGGAATGCGCTTACCATCGGCATCGCCCATGGGAGCGGCTTCGTTTCAGGCGCCCGAAGTCGAAGAGCGTGGTGAGTACTCGCAAGCGTCGGACATGTGGTCCGTGGGGATATTTATGTACTGGTTGAGCTCGGGGAAGATGCCGTTTCAGAACTCAGTCGAGGGGGTATTTCAAGTCCTTCGTGCGGAGTACGACAGTTTGGATGAATCCATCAGTGCGTTGACTCGTGATTTAGTCCATTCGCTTCTCAGGTTGAATCCCGTGAATCGCATGAACGCCGCGCAAGCGGCGGCGCATCCGTGCCTCAAGCAAAAGAAAAATGCCGCGCACAGGCGAGCGGCGCAAGCGGAGCAACTTCAAGTCCCGAAACACATGTTACGGGAAGCGAGACGGCAACTATCGGCGCTGACTATGCACGCAAGTTTAGAAAAGCACACCGCAGTGTTGTTAGCCGAGTTGCTGCGACCGCAGGATGTGAAAGTGCTGAGACGATGGCTGGGTATGCGCGCCGACGTGTCGGTACGGCGAGGTAAGGTTTACAAGGTGCGATACTCCGACGCTGGAGGCTCGACGTCTGGCTCAGATTCCACGATAAGAGGCGCGAGGGGATACGCAGAGGCGACGCAAACGCATGATGTTCTCGACAAGTTGTACCGAGAGTTGCACGCGCGAGAGGCTCACCAGGAAGGGAGTTTTACCGACGGTTCTAGAGAAAGGCGCGAATCTTTCAACAAGCTCGCCGACGCGTTCGAACGATTTAACATTCCCGCGGACGTAGACGAGACAGAGTATGATCGCGCGGTCTTACTCAAGTCCGCACAGAACTCTCCCGAGGGATCGCCCGGTATCGATGACACCGCCATGTCGCCCGGTTACGAGGATCTGACGGCGAATTCGGATTCTTCTCGCTCGCTTTCTGAATTCTTAAACGAAACCGCGCCAAGAAGTTTCATGGGGTTGGCACACGATCGTGGAATGATTAGCTTGGATGAGCTCATCAGCGCGTGCTTGAGCGCCGGGCTCGTGACTGTCGCCGACGAATTGCAAGGCGTACGCTCCACTCTGAAATTTGAGCGCGACGCGACGCTCGCTGAACTCGGTATCCAGCGCGGATCCGAAGAGAGCGCGTTGTTTGACATCATGTTATTCCGTCACACCGATCTTTTGTCAAAGGTCGAAACGTTGCAAATGGAGCGAATCAAGTCTTTCTGCGTCACGGACGAAGCTGTGAATCGAGTGTTCGACGGCACGGTGGCGTCGTTCATCGGCGAACGTGGGTCGCCTGTGGTTTTACCGCAAAGCATGATGCGTCAACCATCGCTTTCAAAGAGATCACAGTTCAACGTAAGCTCGAGAATGTCACACGACGGATCGGGTGATACACCTCTGTCCAGGACGTCGTCTGGATCGATGTTGACCTCGGGCAAGCGACTCTCTGAGAATTGGAAAGGCCGTCCTCCGCCGGTATCTTCCTCGAGCTCCCATCCCTCAATTTACTAGTGAGGATTATGAATTGATTGATTGATTGATTGATGTTTTCGGAAGAAAACGTCGTCGAACAAAGTATGACGATCAAAACAAGTATGATAACGAATAATAAGGTCGCCGCGGATTCACCGGAACGCGGCGTGATTTACATGTATATTTGGCGACGACAAGACGCTGGTCGCTCCTGTTTTCTATGTACTTTTCAACTATTTACGAATTGACGCACGCACGCACGCACGCACGCACGCACGCACACATCCACCAATACGATGGTGGAGTAATAATGTTGTAATCCGACTCTTTCTTTGACTCTAAAATCTATTTACAAAACGCTTTCGCGACGTCGCGACCAAATCTTATTCGCGTCGAAGCGCGTTAATCTCATCCGCAAACTGTTGCGACAAATCGCCCACCTCCGCTCGCAAATTAGTCACCGCATCCCTCAGCGCCTGCACCGGCGTCGTATTCGCGTTCGTGTGCACCTTGAGCACGATTCTATGATCCGTCGGGTGAGGGTTCTTGTACCCGGCGAACACCACGTCGGGGTTCTTGTGCAGCTCCCTACAGTTCTCGCGCCGTCCGTCGTCGTCATCGTCAGTCGTTCGCGCTCGCATCATCCCGCGCGTCATTTCGCGCGCGATTCGCGCGTCATCCCGCCGCGTCTTTCGCTTCGCGCGCGCGCTCGCACGCACATTCGCAACAAATTTCCAATCGTGTGGTCCTCGCGCTGCAGCACGAACGTCCCCGCGTTCTCCACCTTGGTGTCGCGCTCGTACGACAGCTTGCGCTCGCCCTCGGGCAGGACGAACCGATCGGCGCGGCTCGGTTGATTCATCGCGCGGCGCGACGACCGCGAGCGCGCGCGGTGAAGTGCCGATCGACCGATCGGCGGTCGCGCGACGCACACGACGACGCGCGACGCTCGCACGATGTCGCACGACGCGCCGTCCACGACCGCGCACGCGGAAGAGGACGACGCCATCTCCGTCGGGGCGCTGATCGATGACCTCAAGGTGCGCGAACGCGAGCGCGGGCGGCGATAACGCGAGGGCGCGCGCGCGATCGGGACGAGGCGATGATTTGATTTAAAGTGCGGCGCGGTGACGCGGCGATGCGGCGCGGGGCAAGCGCGCGAGGACTGACGATGGTGAGGACGCGTTTCGTCGCGCTCGACGCAGAGCGAGGACGTGGAGCTGCGATTGAAGTCGATCGCGAAGCTGGGGACGATCGCCAAGGCGCTGGGGGCGGAGCGGGCGCGGAGCGAACTCGTGCCGTTTTTGGCGGAGCGGGACGACGAGGATGATGAGTGCCTGCTGGCGATCGCGGGAGAATTGGCGACGTTGATCGATGCGGTCGGCGGGGAGGAACACGTGCACGTGATCCTGGCGCCGTTGGAGACGCTGATAACGGTAGAGGAGACGGTGGTGCGGGCCAAGGCGGTGGAGACGGCGTGCGCGGTGGGTCGAGCGATGACGCCGGGAGGGATTGGGAAATATTTTGTGCCTTTGATCGAAAGATTAGCGCAAGGTGATTGGTTTACGGCGCGAGTGAGCGCGTGTGGGTTGTTCGCGACCGCGTTTGAACGCTCGGAGGAGTCGCAGTTGGAGTTGCGTAACACGTTGACCGGGATGTTTAGAGATTTGTGCGCCGACGAGACGCCCATGGTTCGACGCGCGGCGGCGCAGAACTTGGGAAAAATTGCCATAGTGAGCTCGGGAGATTTCATCGTGAACGAGTTGCTGACGATGTTCGCGGCGCTCACGAGTGATGATCAAGATTCGGTTCGGTTGCTCGTCGTCGAGGACTGCGTGGTTTTAGGCAAGTTGCTCTCTGCGACGGATTGTGCGAACAAGATCGTCCCTATAGTGCTCAAGCTCGCCGCCGACAAGAGTTGGCGCGTTCGATACGCGGTGGCGCAGCAAATATATGAGATGTGCGACGTAGTAGGCGCAGAGGTTGCGGCAAAGGGATTATTTGACGCGTACGTAGCCTTGCTCGGCGACTCAGAGGGAGAAGTTAGAATTTCCGCCGCCGGTAAGATTTCAGAGTTTTGCTCACTCGCGGGTGCGGTGTACTCCGCGGAAAAGATCTTACCGAAAGTACACGAACTGGCGAATGATTCGTCTCAGCACGTGCGAGCCGCGCTTGCGGAGGCTGTATTGGGTTTGGCCCCAACCATGGGTAAAGACACGACGGTGGAAAAGCTGCTCCCGGTGTTTTTCATTTTGCTCAAGGATGAGTTTCCGGATGTGCGACTGAACATCATCAGCAAACTCGAGCAAGTGAACACGGTAATCGGGGTGGAGATGCTTTCTACTGAGCTTCTTCCGGCGATCAAAGAATTAGCAGAAGACAAGCACTGGCGAGTTCGATTAGCTATCATCGAATACATTCCGGTGTTAGCGCAACAGATCGGCACGACCTTCTTGTTCCAAAAGGACGAAGGATCAGACAGCGGTGATGATTTACTAAACTCGCTCTGTCTGCAATGGTTGCAAGACTCAGTTTATTCCATTCGCGAAGCTGCGGCGAATAACTTGTTCCGCTTGACGGAGATTTTCGGAGCCGACTGGGCGCTCGAATACATTTTTCCACGCATCAAGGAACTCATGTCGTCACACCACTACCTCTATCGCTTGACTGTGTTACGAGCGGTGTCGCTTCTCGCCCCAGCGGTCGGCGAAGAAGTGATTCTTGGGGAAATCTTGCCAATCATCAAGCATGCTACGACGGACACCGTGCCCAACGTGCGCTTCAACGCCGCCAAGGCGCTCTCTCCGCTCATCAAGGCGATTGATGTGGCAAAATTCCAGAGCGAAATCAGACCTATTCTAGTCGGTCTTCAAAGCGACCCCGATGCGGATGTGCGGTACTTCGCGAGCGAAGTGCTGACGTCCGCCGCTTAGATTCCGTCCCCGCGCACTGTACTTGTAAACGACACCAGCTCCAGATGCTCAGAGTATAGCTGCACTCAAAAATTACATATAAATTGTTCTAGCAAACAATGACGACGAAACTAACGATACAAACACTCAAGAATATTAAATATTAAATAATCGAGGCGTCCACGCCCTGGCGATGCGGAGGCTTGCCGTAGACGACGCCGTTCCACGTCTCGATTTCGTTCACCACGTCTTCGAGAATCTGCTCCACTTGCTGTACAAAAATTTTACTCGCGTACGGCGGGGTCAGTTTCGGCTTCACCATCAGGGTGTGTTCGATTAGCACCCCTTCGCTCGTATTCTCCACCGACCACGACCCCTCAAACTGTTTTAAAAACCCCGTGCCTCGCCGACCCCGCGCGAGCGAACACTTCATCTTCATCTCTTCGTCGCGTTCCTCAACCTCAAACGCGCACGGAAACGCCCCTCCGAAAACAAAAAACTTCCATTCACACTCCTGCTCGATGTAAATATTACTCGCCACGCACGCATCACCCTCGCACTCGATCACCCTCACGCTCCGCACCGCTCGAAACGCCCGCGGCGAAGCCTCGTAATCCGTCAATAGATTATACACGCTCGACGCCGCGACGCCGCGCAGCGTCATCTCCCCCCGCACCGTGTACGCCCCATTCTCATTCGACAGCAGTTCGCACGCCGGCGCTCGAGCGACGCTAAAGATTTCGTTTTCGCTTCGCTCCGCGCGTTCCGCCGCCGCCTCGAGCGCGCCGCCGCGTCCTCGCCTCCCTCCTCTCTCGTCCCGCGCCGGTTTCGTCGCCCTCCCTCGCGTCGACCACGCGCGCGACGCGCGTGACGCGCGCTCGCGCGTCGTCGTCGCCTTCGTCGTCGTCACCGCGCGCGCGTCGACCGCGCGCATCTTCCTCGCCTTCGTGACGTCGTCCCCCTTCGCGTCTCCCCGTCGCGCGCGCGACCGCGCGCGCGCCCTTCGCGCCCGCCGCGCGTTCGCGCGCGTTCGCGTCCGCGCGTTCGCGCGCTCGCGACCGCGCGCGACGCCGTCGTTCGCGCGCGCGCGCTCGTGTGCCGCGCGTCGGTCCGACCGCACTCACCGACGCCGCGCGCGCGTCGCGTCGTGACGCGCGGTCTCGCGCGCGCGCGCGTCGACGCGCGCGCGTCTCGCGCGCGATGCGCGCCTCGCGCGCGCGTCGAGCCTCGCCGCGCGCGCGCGTCGCGATCGCGATGGCTTCGTTGGTGATGCTGACGGCGAAAACCGCGAGCGCCGCGGACGGCGCGACGTGCGCGAGCAAGGAGCGCCACGCCCCGTTCGCGCGTCACGGACAAAAACCCGCGAAGGGGTCGGGGATGACGTTCTGCGACGCCCATCGCGGGTCGACGTGCTGCGGGAAGGAACAGACGGACGCGGCGCGCGTGCGCGCGGTGCACATGCAGCTGAACGGGTTCGGCGAGCGATGCCGAGACGCGTGGGGCGCGCTGGAGTGCAGCGTGTGCGATGCGAGAGTAGGGGTGAGCGAAGGCGTGCCGGTGTGCGCGGCGGCGTGCGATGGGGTGTACAGGGCGTGCGCGGATGAGTTCTTCGCGGAGGACGGGTCGCGGCGGTTGGTGCCGTGTCGACCGAGCGATACGATCTGCACCAAACTGTCGGAGTGGATCGGGGACGTGAGGGATAAGGGAAAAGAGATGTGTGAAGCCGCGGGATGGGATTACGTCGCCCCGGGCGAGCGATGGTGTTTCGATGGTGCGGCGGCCAAGTCGAGCGAACGCGCGGCGCGGCGAAGCGGATCGGCCGACAAGGCGAAAACGTCGAAACCGTCGAAGAAGCGCGGCAAGAAATCGCGTAAAGCTTCCAAAGGTTCGAAAATAGATGCGGGACGCGTCGCCATGCTCGCAGGAGGCGGCGTGGGTTTGATTTACGTTTTGTTCACGCGCGCGCTGCCTCTCGCGCTCCAGTGGCATCATCGGAAAAATTCCGTCGGCGCCAGGTACGCCGCGCGGCGCGCGGCCGAGCAGCGCTCGGGTAATCGCGCGCATTATTTATGATTCGATTCTTGTGATTTGATAGCGATATCTTCGATGACTTTTCCACGCGCTCGACGGACATTCGTCGAACCGGCGCGCTCGAGCGCCCGCGCGCCTCGGGACGTCACATCACCGCGCGTCGCAGACGCCCACCGCGCCCGCGCACGCCCCTACACGCGCGCGCGCTCCATGCGCGCGATGTCCACCTCGCTCACGCGCGATGCGCGCGCCTCTCTCGCGCCGCAGTCGACGTCTTCGTCCACGACGCGCCGACCGCCGCCGCCGCTTCACCGCGGTCGCCGCGCGACGCCTCGCGCGCCTCGCGCCAAGCCCGAGCGATACTACGGCGAAAACGAGCAAATCATCGACCGCTCGCCCGCGATGTACGACAAACTCACGGACGTGTTCGATAAGAGAGAGGAGAAGGATTGGATTGGGCTCTTGGCGTTTTCGGGCAAGTGGCGCGAGCTTCGGGACGGGTTGTTCGAACGCGTGAAAACGCGCGCACAGCAGTGCGAGGATCCGGACGATGAGATGCGATTGAGTAAATTGCGAAGGAAACTCATGGCGCTGGATGAGCGCGTCGATGGGTATCACGCGCTGTTAGAAGAAGTGCGGGCGAAGGAGGTGGACATGTGGGAAGGGTTCGTGGCGACGAGACGCGCGGAGTTTTCGCCAGAATTCTTTACGTATTTGACGTTTAAGCTGGAAGCCGTGGCGCAAGGTGAAGATGACAACGCGAAAGAGTCGATGGCGAAGGATGCGGCGCTGTTGCTGAGTTTGTGTGAGGCCTACGATGAGGCTTCGAAGGACCAAGCGGTGATCGAAGAGGCGACGCAGACGCTGCAAGATATTTTACAGTGTGATTCTTTAGATGCCATGGATGCGAAAATCGATGAGTTGGCGATGGCGAATCAAATTTCGCCCGCCTTAATCCTCACCGCTTCTAAGGCACACATGAGCGTGAAGGAGAGCCCGTACACGAGCGAGGAAGTCAAAGACGTCATGGCGCACCTGTACTTCAAGATGAAGGACACGACGTCTCGCCAGCAACCGAAGGAAGTCCGCATCTTAAAGTACATTCTATCCTTAGAGGATCCCCAGGATCAAAGAAATGCGTTAGAAGAAGCCTTCACTCCCGGTCCCGAGCTCGAGGAAATCGGCTCGAACACCGATTTACTCTGGTGCGAGCCCGCCGCCCTGCTCAAGCTCATCGACGTCATCGTGGAGAATTTCCACCAGAGCGCCGGCAAGAAGAATTTACGCGGCGACGCGGCGGCGATGATGAGTCCCGCGATCGTGGAGAGAATGAAGACTTTAAAACAGCTCATCATCGCGCACTTCTCAGATTAACTAGCCGTATTGCAATCGATTTCACGTCGACCAATCGCGACGAGCGTCGTCCCTCGTCCCAAAACCTTCGCATAAAGCGCACACGTCATCGCGCGCGTTCGCACACCATGACGCGTCTCGGCCTGCTCCGAGACTCCGCGGTGGCGATCACGCGCGTCACCCGCACTCGCGCGACGTCTTCCGCCCCCCCGGCGTCCCTCGGCGCGGCCGCACCGAGCCGCATCGGACGATCCCTCGTCGCCATGACGCTCGGTCGACCCGCGTTCGCGACGACGTCGAGCGCCGTCGCGTCGCCGTCGATCCATCGCGCGCGCTCGCAACGCGCCAACGGACGCGGGATCGCCGTGCGCGTCATGAGCGCGGCGACCGAGCGCGAACGGTTGACGAACGCGAACCCGAACGCGCGAGGGAAGGATAACTCCGGCGCGGCGATTCGACAGAGGTTTCTGAAATTTTACGAGACGCGCGGACACGCGGTGCTGCCGTCGAGTTCGTTAGTCCCGGAGGATCCCACGGTGTTGCTCACGATTGCGGGAATGTTGCAATTCAAACCGGTGTTCATGGGACAGCGGGAGCGCGCGCACGAGAGGGCGACGACGACGCAAAAGTGCGTGCGGACGAATGACATTGAAAACGTCGGCGTCACGGCGAGGCATCATACGTTTTTTGAAATGTTGGGGAATTTCAGTTTCGGGGATTATTTTAAGAAGGACGCGTGCCAGTGGGCGTGGGAGTTGGCGACTGGGGAGTTTGGGTTGAACCCCGAGCGGGTTTGGGTGAGCGTGTTTCGCGAGGATGACGAGGCGTTTGCGATTTGGCGCGACGTCGTGGGCGTTCCCGAGTCTCGCATTAAGCGCATGGACGAGAAGGATAACTTTTGGGCCGCCGGTCCCACGGGCCCGTGTGGGCCGTGCTCGGAGCTGTACTACGATTTTTACCCAGAACGTGGGCTCGAGGGTGCGGATTTGGATGATGATTCACGATTCATCGAGTTTTACAACTTGGTCTTCATGGAACTCAATCGCGACGCCGACGGCGGCGTGACGCCGTTGAAGAATAAGAATATCGACACCGGCATGGGTCTCGAGCGCATGGCGCAGATTCTTCAAGGCGTGCCGAACAATTACGAAACAGATTTGATAATGCCCATCATTAATAAAGCGGCGTCGATGGCTGGGATCGATTACAACGCGTGCAACGACGTGCAAAAGCAGCAGCTCAAAGTCATCGGCGACCACACGCGAGCGGTGAGTTACATGATTTCCGACGGCGTTTTCGCCTCGAATATCGGGCGTGGGTACATCGTTAGACGATTGCTTCGCCGAGTTGTGCGAAACGGGCGTTTGCTCGGGATCAAGCCCGAAGAAGGGGCGAGCGCGTTCACGCCGGCCATCGCCGAAGTCGCGATTTCCATGTCGGAAGGTTGCGATCCGCAAGTCGCTAAGAACTCGGCGCGCATTCTCGCCGAGCTCGAGCGCGAGGAATTGAGCTTCCAGAAGACACTCGGTCGTGGCGAAGAGATGCTCGCTGAGCTCATCGAGACGGCGAAGAAGACAAAGACGGGGTTGAGCGGCAAGGATGCCTTTACGCTGTACGATACGTATGGCTTCCCGCTTGACATCACCGCGGATGTCGCCACTGAAGCTGGTATCACGGTGGACTTGGAAGGTTTTGAGAGTGCGATGGCCGAGCAGCGTTCGATGAGTCAAGCCGCACATCAAACTGTAGACGTCACCGCTGGGAATGCGTTGGCGCGAGTCGCGGATGAGCTCGGGGCGAAGAGCACCTTCATTGGGTATGAAAGCACGTCGAGCGATGTTTCCAACGTGTTGGCCATCGTTTGCGGGGGAGAATCCGTGGAGGAAGCGCCGGAGGGTGCCAAAGTGGATATAGTCTTAGATGTCACGCCGTTCTACGCCGAAAGTGGTGGTCAAGTGGGTGATAACGGCGTGCTTCACACCGCCGACGGCGCGACGCTGGAGGTGTCGGATGTGCAAAAGGCCGGCGGCGGTCGCATCATCGTACACACGGCCACCGTGACGAAGGGCTCGATCAAGAAGGGCAGCCAGGTAACCGCGAACGTGGACGAAAACTCTCGCCGACGCGCGAAGAGCAATCACACCGCCACGCACTTGCTTCAATCCGCGCTCAAGAAGGTTCTCGGAGAAGACGTCTCCCAAGCCGGTTCGCTGTGCGGTTTCGACCGCCTTCGATTTGATTTCAATTCTCCCAAGGCGCCGACCGAGGCTCAACTTTTGGAGGTCGAAAACTTAGTTAACGGATGGATTTCGCAAAGCGCGGCTTTGACCGCGGAAGAGATGCCCATCGCCGCCGCAAAGGACAAAGGAGCGACGATGATGTTTGGCGAAAAGTACGGTGACGTCGTGCGCGTCGTCGACGTGCCGGGCATCTCCATGGAACTTTGCGGTGGCACGCACGTGTCTAACACAGCTGAAATCGGAGGCTTCAAAATATTGAGCGAAGCTGGCATCGCGAGCGGCATCCGACGCATCGAAGCTGTCGCGGGTGCGGGCGTGGTTGAGCTTTTGCAGCAACGCGACGCCGTGGTGAAGCAGCTCGCCAGCGCATTGCGCGTGCCGCCGGAGGAAATCACGGGTCGCGTGTCGAGTTTGCAAGAAGACTTGCGCGCGACGCAGAAGCTCGCAGAGTCTCTGAGAGGGGAATTAGCCGTCGCCAAGGCTGGTGCTTTGGTGTCTCAAGCTCGCGAAGTTGGCGAGGCGAAGGTGCTCGTGGCGCGTCTCGACGGCGTCGATCCCGCCGCGCTCAAAGTCGCCGCCGAAAACCTCGCGGCGCAGCTCGGTGACGGCGCCGCCATCGTGCTCGGCAGTGCAAATGGTGCAAATGTCGGTCTCGTCGCCCTGTTTGACGACAAAGTTCAAAAGGATGGCGGTCTTAAAGCCGGTCAAGTCCTTGGCGCCGCGGCGAAGAAGTGCGGCGGCGGCGGCGGTGGGAAACCGGGATTTGCCCAAGCCGGCGGTCGCGACGCCACGCAACTCGACGCCGCCTTAGACGAAGCTCTCACCACAGTCACCGCCGCTTTATCGCCAAAGTAAACCAACGTCACCGCGTGTAATAAATTTCTATTCATCCTAGCTACGCTCGCGTTCTGTCGTGATCAGTTCTCGAGACTAGAGGCGATGAATAGCTTTCGAGAGAACGCGGCGGTTCATTATTACTGCGGTAAGTATGCGCTAACTAAAGTGACATATTACGTGTCCACTACGTTACCCATCTCTATCTCTTCATCGAGTATATCGGAGACTTGGAACACTCGGTACTTGAACGGCTTTTGCCCCCCAAACTTGGCGTACAAACAGAACGACACCGCGCTAACAACGCATGCCGTGAATAACAAGATGAAAATGGTGGCGACAAACCTCCATGGATTATGAGGAGTATCAGGCGCGAACTTCTTCCGGAGATTTTCGCACTGCGCGACGACCACACCGACGCGATCATTCTCAAGGTCGTATTCAATGAACGTGTTTCTCAGCGCTTGTTGGCCGAGTAAAATCGTCCCGTCATCTGATTCGTCGATTCCCAAGCAGTAAGTGTGTGGTATGTATAAATGACTGTTCAAGTAGTTCTCTGATGGAAGGATCAACGTGATATCTGGGTCGTACGTGATGGCTAGTTTTGGAAACCACTCGTCGCGAAGCTTCGCCGTCAGCACCGGCGTGGCAGAGGAGAAACACATTTGCCCCAAATCTTCGTCGTCAAAAAGTTCAAGTTCTGGATGGGTAGCCGCCATTTGTGCCACTAACTTTGTGATAAAATCATCTCGCATAGCGGGGGGTAGAAGAACAAGCGTGGTGCCGCTATCAAGAACGGTGTAGACGTTCGACGAGCTCGCGATGATGGCTTCGCCGAGTTTCCACGACATCGTGCGAACGGCGAGATCATCAGCCCCAAGTATCCGTGTATACGATAGAGGCGCAAGATCTCGACCGAAATCATACCGACCGAGCGATAACATCGCCGTATCCGTGCCGCTTCCCTCTGAACAGAATCCAAAAACGTGCGCGTTGATAACTCCGGCTTTCGCCAACTGCGTGTGAAACGCGGTGTTACCTCGACTGAAACCAGCCATGCCGTCTTGTCGATCAAACCCCCCATCAGCTTCTACGACACCACCGCACCCGAAAATCATCTTGGCCGGGGACAATTCATCCCCGACGCTGACCACATCTTCGATCATGGACCCGCCTCCTCGCGCACCGTCCAGGTACCCCAGCCCGAATAAACACTCGCCGTCGGCGCTGACGTTGTGCGCGACGGGCATCGCGTCGCAAAACGCGGCATCCGCGGCGTTCATCGACGCGTTCAACAGCCGAAAATCGTTCGACAACCGCCAATCGTAGTATTGATGCTCGTGATACCCGCACAACTCCGCGTCGCACCCGACGCACGGAAAATACGTGAGCGGCGACCCGGTGTCGACGATGAGGTCAAAACTTTGCGCGCCCGGCAGCGTCACCGTCAGCGAAAACTCGTGCCCGGAGCCGTATCCATTCCCCAGGCGCGCGCCGTACGACCGAATCTCGATCGCGTCCGCCCGCGACAGTCGCCGTCCCGCCGTCGCGGTCGTCGTCCGCCGTCGCATCGCGATCGCCAGCGATCGTCCCGTCGCCGCTCGCGCGCGCGCCGCGCGCGCGACCGCGACCGCGACGCACGCGAGCGTCGTCGTCCAGGGCGCGCGCCGCGTCGCGCGCGTCCGCGTCGTCGACGCCGTCGCCATCGTCGCGCGGGCGAGTGCCGGCGACGCCGGTCGCGCGGTGGTGCCTCGTTCGCGGCGACGAAACCGGGCACCACGACGCGCCGACGTCGACCATGTCGCACACCCGGAAGCGGAGCGGCGGAAAGGAAAATTCAAAGCGAGCTGTCGGACGTCCCGCACACCGACCCGCGCGATCGAACGCCGCGCGCGCGATGCCGCAGATTCAGTACAGCGAAAAATACTACGACGACGTGTACGAGTACAGGTGCGGCGCCGCGCGCGACGGCGACGACGACGACGGGCGACGCGGGAAACGATCGAAACGAGACGCGACGAAACGAACGTTGCGAGACTGACGAGACGACGGCGCGCGCGCGCGACCGCAGACACGTGGTGTTGCCGCCGGATATCGCGAAGTTGTTGCCGAAGAATCGGTTGTTGACCGAGGTGCGCGCGAGGGATGGAGACGGGGGAGGACGCGACGGGTCGACGACGCGCGCGCGAAGGAGGGATTCTTTCCCCCGCGAGACGAAGGAGGACTGACGAAGACGCGCGCGCAGACCGAATGGCGCGGATTGGGCGTGCAACAATCCCGAGGTTGGGTACACTACGCGATGTACGTATCGAGTGCGCGCGCGGGTGATTTTGGATGCGTTTGAGCGATGGCTGTCGTTTCGATTCGACGCGCGAGGCCGGCGCCGCGGACGCGACGCGCGACGCCGACTGACTTTGTTTTACACCGCGCGTGCGCAGCCATCGCCCGGAGCCGCACATCATGCTTTATCGCAGACCTAAAGAGACCACGGCGTAGAATCCGACCGCGGAAGACGAAGAATTGAACTGCGGCGGTTGAGCGCCGGCGACGCGGAACGTTTTGACGAAACGTGATTGTAATTAGACCAATTTATAGCGAACCAATTTATGGCGCAACGCAGACGCGGGATCAGAGAATCGTTCGCTCGAAAATATATTGTATTATTCCGTTGGATTATCACAAACGGGATGATTATACTCACGCACACGCGTGGGTAAGCGTGGCACGTCTCGTCGCCTACACGTTGCCAGGTCCACTCGGAGTGAACGAGACGACGGCCGGGGCGGAGATTGGGGCCGGCGGTGAAGGCGCGCTCACCACGGGGGCGGGCGGCGCGGGCGAGGGCGACACCGGGGCCGTCGCGAGGGCGGACGACGGCGTCGCTGTCGTCGCTCGAGGCGGTTGCGCGAACGCGTCGCCTTGAGGCCTCGGCGAACCCATCTCTTGACCTCGCGCCACCGGGTTCGTGGCGAAGTCGACGTATCTCGAGGGTTGAGCCCCGGCACCGCCACTCGCCTTGAATCCTAAGTGCCACAGCTTTTGCCACACGAAAAACTGCGGGAACCTGAGCATGAAAATCAACACGACCATCCCGACGCAAAGCTCGTTCCCTCGCCTATGTCCAGAGTTCCAGTTGTTGTTTTTGTTGATGTTATCCGTCGCGTACGACGCCATCCATATGATGTCGAGCCAGAGCGTGTACCAGCAGCTCGCCGCCGTGTACTGCGCGTCGCGCGTCGAAATCCGCCGCCGTCAGTCTCCCGTTCGCGTCGCGTCGCGTCGCCTCGCGGCGTCAATTCAGTTCAAACCCGCTTCGCCGTTCGCCTCGCCGTTCGCGCACCTTCAGCAGCCCACTCTTGCCGGTTTCGATGGCCACCAACCCGAAGCACGACATCGCCGCCACTCCCGCGAGGTAGCCCGTCCCTTGCCACCCGCACGTCCCGAGCAGCGCGCACGCGAGCTGCGCGTGCATCATCCCTTTCGCCGCCGTTTCGAGCGCGTCGTACGTCCCCGGCGTGCATCGCGCGAACAGGCTCGCCATCCCGCGTTTTTCGTTCTCTCGGTCGGTCGTTCGGTCGGTCGTCTCGCGTCGCCGCCCTCGCGCGCGCCGCGATCTCTCGTCGCGTCTCCGGATTTTCGGGTTTTCGGCGCGTCGCCACGCGCCACGCGCCACCGTGCACGGTCGGTCGCCGGCGCGCGCGACCGCGCGTTTCGCGCGTCGAGATCGCCATCGATCGTCGACGATCGCCGCGATAAAACCGATCGAAAAAATCTCTCGCGGGTTCGCGCGCGACGCGCGATCGGATCGCGCGCGATCGATCGCGCGATCGATCGATCGATCGCGATCGCGATCGACGCGCGATCGATCGGATCGATCGCGCGCGATCGATCGACCGACCGCGACCGACCGCGGCCACGCTGGATGCGCGGCGCGATGGGTGACAATCGCGATCGCGCGCGCGCGGCGACCGTCGGCGTCGACGCGCGCGAGTGCGCGACGCGTGAACGATGCCGACGCGCGGTGTGACGTCGATGCGCGCGCTCGCGGGCGCGCGCGCGGCGAGCGATGCGGTGCGAGGCGCGGGACGCGCGGGACGACGGACGACGCGCGCGACGTCACCGATCGAGGCGACGCCGGGACGGACGACGCGCGCGCGCGTGGTGCGAGGAGGCGCGACGGCGCGCGGGATGGGATTCGGGAGCGATGCGCGCGCGGGCGCGGCGCGCGCGAGGCCGGGCGAGGGCGGATGGGCGAGGGGAGGCGCGACGCGAGGGCGACGCGCGGAGACGCGCGCGTCGAGCGACGGGTCGCTGCGGATGACGTACGAGGCGAACGAAACGACGACGACGACGACGACGACGACGATGGGAGTCCCGTCGGGATCGTCGAATGATGGACCGAATTCGACGCCGCCCGCGATGCGGGCGCTGCTCACGGCGGGAGCGGTGGTAGGGGCGGTGTGCGCGGCGGATTACGCGTTTGTGACGGCGGGCGGATTGACGTGGGCGGCGACGCCGGGGGCGAGCGCGATTCGTGCGTCCGCGGCGACGCTCGCGACGCTGGTGTCGGCGTACGTGTGGAGTAAATTTGGCGGGATGGCGAGCGCGCCGGGGGCGTTGGCGATGTGCGTGACGTATGCGTTCGGGTCTCTGTTGTCCATCGTCGTCGTCCAAGCGTACAAGGTGAGCGCGACGTGCGTGCTCAGCGCGGGCGCGGCGTGCGCGGCGACGTGCGCGGCCGCGTGGTTGGTTCGCACGCTCGCCGATTCGTCCATGTTTGAAGGATCGTACGACGCGCAAGTTCACGCGCAGGCGATGGCTCGGGGGGCCAAGTCTTTCGAACGCCTCGAGGCGCTTCGCGAGGTGATGATGCGCGAGTTTGAAGCCGAGATGGCTGAGCTCGAGCAGAAGCAATCTCAGTTTGCGATGGAAATGTCGCGCGTGGAGGAGCGCCACAAGCGTGAAATCGCCCGTTTGCAGATGGACATCACAAAGTTGCGCGATCAAAATAACTCACACGCCGCCGACAAGGCCAAGGCTCTCGAACAAGCCAAGGCGCAGTTTGAAGCCGAAAAGCGACGCATGCGCGAGGCGCACGAGCGCGACACGGCTTTGCTCAAGGAAACGATCTCGAAGCTCGAGACTGAGGTCGCGGGCATGGAAGGCAAATTTGCGGACGAGCGTAAGGATCTATTGTCCAAAGTGCGCGCCGCCAAGGCGTTGTACCAGGCCCAAAGAGCGATGATGTACTCTGAAGTTTCCAAGCTTCAAAAAGCCATCTCCGTCAAGGAGGCGCAAGCCGCGGACTGGCACGCCAAGGTCACGGCCATTGAAGCCGAGAAGTTATCGCTTATTTCCAAGCTCGAAGAGGCGGCTGCGAATGCAGAAACATCCGCCGCCGAACTCGTCGCCGCCGTGGCTGAAGTGCAGTTCGAAGCCGAACGCGAGTTGCAGCGCGCCATTGCCGAGGCTCTCGCGGAGCGTCAAGCGCTCGAGCTTCTCATGAACGATAAGGAAGCGGCTTGGAAGGTTGAGATGCGCGCGGCGATCACTGAGGCGGAGATGAAAATAAATGAAGACGCCAAGAAGAAGCTCGCCGATCTCGACGCCAGGCATACCGAAGCCATCGCGCAACTCATGCGCGAGCACCAGGCCAAGATGCAGCAAGTCGAATCCGAAGCCGAGAAGCGCGGCGCGAGCGCCTTTGCGGCCGAAAAGGCGACCTTAGAGGCGACGTACCGAAGTGCCGCTGATGCAGCCCAAAAGGCGCACGCTGACAGCCTCGAGCAAACCAAGGCGGCGAGCGCCAAGGATGTCGAAGCCATTCGCGCCGAGATGGCTGTCCTCAAGGCGACGTACGAGAGCGCCGCTGCCGCCGCGCAAACCGCGCACGCGAGGAGCCTCGAACTAGTCAAAGAAGGAGCTGCGCAAGATCTCGTAGCCGCCAAGCAAGAAATTATCGATGCCGTGGCTGAACAAATTCACCTCAACGAGATTGAAAAGATGCAGCTCGTCGCCGAGATGAAGGAAGAAGAGCTCGAAATGACGGCGGAGCTGTTGGCTGAAAAGGATGCCGCCATCGCGGAGCTTCAAAAGCAACTCAAGATGTCCAAGAATGAGCGACGAGCGGTGTTCGATCTTCTCAAGTCCGAATCCGAAAAAATGAAGATGTTCACGGGCGACAACTTGAAGAAGGAGATTGAAAGTGCCGAAGAAAGGCTGAACTTGTTCTGGTCAGGCAAGATGGAGCGCCTCGGCGCGGCGCACGCCGTCAAAGTTGAAAAGATGGAAAAGGATACCAAGAGCAAAGTACGTCAGCTGAAGGAAGACGCCAAGCAAGAACTCGCGGCGCAACTCGAGTTCACGGCCAAGGCTACTCGTGTCGCGGCCGAAGCCGAACTTGAGAAGCAGTTGGCGAACGCTACACGCTCGATGGCGGCGGAACGCCGCGCCTTGAAAGCGCTCTTTGATTCCGAAACTTCAAAGACGCAAAAGCTCGTCTCGTCGTACGAGTCTAGAATCAATGCGTTAGAGATCGCCGAGAAAGCTGCCAAGGAAAAGGCGCAAGCGTACGATGCCGAAATCGACGCATTGAAGAAGCAATCGCAGATTTCGCTTGAATCTGCTCTCGCTTCTCGAGAGGCTGAGGTCGAGAAGACGTGGTTGACGAAGATGGATGAACTCGAACGCGCGCATAAGGTGCAGATCGAAAGAATCAACGCTGATCACGCGAAGGCAATCGCTGAATCGCAGTCCAAGCTGAAGTCTGCCGAAGCTGCGCAAGCTGAAGCCATCAAGGCGAAGATGGCGCAACTCGAGACAGACCTCGCTAAGACGACCAAATCCCTTGAAGACCAACTTGCTGCGGCGCGTGAAGACGCTGCGCGCCAACTAGCGGCGGAAAAGTCGCGCACTGCCGAGGCGATCCAAGCCGCGGCTATCCAGGCTGAAGATGGGAGTGCGGCCAAGAAGGAGCTCGACGCCCTGACAGCCAAGTTTAGCTCGACGGAGAGCGAGTACAAGTCGACGGTTCAAAAGCTTGAGGCTGAAATTAAGGCTCTTGAACTGAAGGCGGCCGCGGCGGGCACCGATGCCAAGGCACAATTTGAAGCCGAAATCGCGACGCTCAACGCCAAACTCAAGGAGGCTGAAGAGGAAATCAAGGAATTGGAATCGCAGCTCAGTGAGGCGAAGAGTGCGGCGGCAAACAAGGTTGCCGAGTTGGAGAAGCACTTCGCTGATGAGATGCACGAGCTCAGAAGCGCGTTCGATGCGCAAGCGAAGGAAGGCGTGGCCGCTGTCTCGTCGGAGCGCGACGCACTCAGCGCTCGCATCGCCGCTCTTGAAGCAGAACATGATCAGAATTTGTCCTTGGCCAAGGCTGATGCCGAAAAGGCGAAGGCTTCAGCTGTTCAATCGCTCGCCGATGTTGACGCCCAAATTTCAGCGCGACTCGCGGAGCAAAAGGCTGAACTTGACGCCAAATTAGCCGCTCAAATCGAAGAGCTTCGCAAACGTACCGATGCGGATGTTGCGGCAGCTAGCAAAGCACTCGCAGACGCCAAGGCTCAATACGAGGCGGACGTCGCCGCGCTCAAGGCTCAAAACGCTAGAGATCTCACCGCGGCAAAGGAAGCCGCAGAGAGTGCCGATGCGGTTTTGCTTTCGAAGATTTCCAAGCTCGAGACTGAGCAAAAGAGCGCATTACAAAAGGCGAAGGAACAAGTGGAAGCGGAGTACGGAGCCAAGTTGACGAAAGCGCAAGCAGAAATTGACGCACTCAAGGCGAAACTCGCGGATGCCGAGAAGCAGAACGCCGCACAAGCTGAAAAAGAACTCGCCGATGCTCTCACCAAAGCGGCTCTCATCCCCGGGTTGCAACAACAAGTCGACGAGCTCACTAATTCGTTGACGAGCTCCAAGGCGTCGTATGAATCCACTTTGAACAAGTTGCAACAGGATCACGCCGCGGAGATTGATAAATTGAACAAGGATCATGTGGCGGCGTTGAAGGATGCCAGCGACGCGTCGGACCTCAAAGCGCAAATTAGCGCCCTCGAAGCGCAACTTCAAAGCGAAAAGGATAAACTCGCCAAGTCGTTGACGGATGCTGAAGCGCAGCGTGCGGAACTCGAAGCGTCTTCGAAGACGGCGCTCGAGCGAGCGCGAAGTCAAGTCATCGCCCAAGCCGAGGATCAACGAAAGAAGTTGGAGCAAATGTTCTTGGATGAGTCCGCCAAGGCTCGTGCCGCCTTCGAAGCTGAGGTCGCCGAATACGAAAAGCTCGTCAAACAAGCGACTGCAGATTTGAAGAAGGCTCACGCCGACGAGTTGAGCAGTATTGTTGCGCAACACAAGTCCGAGCTCTCGCAAGCATTGGCCAAGGTCGACACGACGAGCGCCGGTAAGGTGACCGCGCTCGAAGCTGAAAAGGCCAAGCTCGAGAAGGCGATCGCAGACACTAACGCTGCGCTGACGAAGGCGAGCGCTGACGCGAAGTCCGCTTCCAACGACGCGGCTTCGGCCAAGGCAGCTCTCGAAAAGCTCGAGCAGGAAGTGGCCTCTCTCACGAACGCGCGAGACGCGGCCTTGGCTCGCGCGAGCGAACTGGAGAAGGAAGTCGCGACTCTCACGAAGAACGCCGTCGATCCCAAGGAGCTGGCAGCGCTCGCCAGCGCTCGAGACGCCGCCTTGGCTCGCGCGAGCGAACTGGAGAAGGAAGTCGCGACTCTCACGAAGAACGCCGTCGATCCCAAGGAGCTGGCAACGCTCGCCAGCGCTCGAGACGCCGCCTTGGCTCGCGCGAGCGAACTGGAGAAGGAAGTCGCGACTCTCACGAAGAACGCCGTCGATCCCAAGGAGCTGGCAACGCTCGCCACCGCCAGGGACGCTGCTCAAGCGCGCGTCGCCGAGCTCGAGAAGTCGCTCGCCGCCATCGCGGAGGAGAAGTCTGTGCTGGCAAATAAGCTCTCCAGCGTCGACGCTTCCAAGGCTGCTGAAATGCAAAAGCTCAAGGATGAGCTCGCTCAATTGCAGGCGGACCTTACCAAAGCGCTCGCAAACGCACAGAATCAACGAGCTTCGGAGATCGCGCGCTTGACGGCGGATTTCGAATCCAAGTATGCCTCCATGCAGCAAAAGCACGAATCCGAAATCGACGAGCTCTCGCGTCAAGCGCTTGTTGACGTCTCTAGCGCCGAGAAGAGAGCGGACGTGGCCGAAGCGGAAATCCAGAGACTTCGCAGCGAAACCAAGGACGTGGCCACGTACAAGTCACAAATCGAGACTAACGAAAAGCAACTCATCATCGTTCGCGAAAAGTTGGGCGCCACGGAGAAAAAGCTCGCCGATTTCTTGGCGCTTTACGGCGAAGAACGCAAGGTTCTCGAGGAATCGCGCAAGATTGCGGATGATTTGGACCGCATCAAGCGCCGATACGCCACGTCCATGGAGATCGACGAGTCTACCATCGACGAAATCTCCAGCAAGGTCGAAAAGCAACTCGCCGCCGCAGACGACGGCGAAAAGATGCAAGCCATGATGGACGGTCGCGCCAAGGGCGACACCGTCGTCGACGTGCGCGACATTCCGGTCTGGGCGTACTACGCCCTCGGTGTCGCCACCGCAATCCTACCAAGAATCATCGCCGGCGGCCTTTGAGCGCGTAGAACAGCAACAGCCGGTTCGTAATATAATCAAGCAACATCGAACGCGTCCGCTCGAGAAAAATATCTGCCAACCACCCACTCCTCGCGGCTGGACATGAGTAATCTTTCAAAAGCGCGTCTCCCGCACACCCGACCGCGTCCGACGCCGGCGCGATGCCCAAGCGCGCGCGTCGAGCGGATCGCGCGCCCACCGACGCCGTCAAGCGGCGCATATGGGACCCGCGCGTGCGCGCCTTGGACGTGGACGACCGGAGGAGCTCGGACACCCCCACGGGCGTGCGCGTGCGCGGCGTGCGCGAGCGCGCCGACGTCGGCGACGCGCGTCGGGCGGCTGCGCGCGAGCTCGCGCTGTTTCGCGGCGTGAAGCGCGCGAGGAGCGCGCTGCAGCGCATCGCGCGGGCGAGGACGGGGCGGACCGACGAGGGAGGGACGCCGCTGCTGCTGTTTGAGCGTTGGTTGGCGAGGTGCGCCGTCTCGGGCGCGCTCGCGGCGCCGGTGTTGCCGGCGCAGGGGCTCGGTTTGGCGAAAGATTTGATTAGACACGGGGCGAGCGAGCGAGACGGTGCGGAAGGGGCGGCGGAGGCGCTCGCGGTCGCCAAGGAGAGCGCGGCTCGATGGGCCGAGGCGCGCGACGACGGCGGAGAGGCGCGCGACGCCGTCGTCGTTCGCGACAAAGGTGCTTTCTTGACGATGCAATTGGGAACAGAGAAACCGTACGTGAAGTGTGCGAAAGCACATCTCGGTAAACTGCGCGCTTTATATTGCAGAACAGTGCGAGGCTGTGAACCGTTGACGGAGGACGTCGATTCAGACGAGTACCAAAAGTTCGCGTGCGCCGTGTTCGCATTGTTGATGCGATACGAATCGCTGGGCGGGGCTGGATACCAAAGCGCGCTCGCCGAGGATGCGTTCGATGTTTTGAACGAAAAGTTGGGCGTGTCGTGCGAGTGTTTCGCGTCGCCGCTCAACGCTCGGTACGGGCAATTTTGTTCGCAATTTGGTTTTGACGAGGACCGCGCGCCAGACGTCGACGCGTTCTTCGGATCGCTCGGAAGCTTTTTTAGCGACGACTTTGCACCAAAACGCGGATCGTTCGAGATGAACCCGCCTTTCGTCCCGGAAACGATGTCGCGCGCGGTCGAAAAGGCGAACGATTTGCTCGATCGCGCCGCGAACGCGAACGAGGCGCTCAGTTTCGTAGTCATCGTACCGCTGTGGAAGGAATGCCATTACTGGAGTGCGCTCTTGGAAAGTCGACATCTGCAGCACGGTCCAGACATCATCGATGCGCAGTCTCACGGCTTTTGCGACGGCGCCCAGCACGCTCGTCCGAGTCACGAGCGCCATCGCGTGTCGAGTTTCGACACGGGCGTCTTCTACCTGCGAACGTCGCGCGCCGAGCGCGAGCGACCGGTGGATGAGGAAATCAGAAAGCGCGTGTTGCGCGGCATGAAGACCGCGTTGGGGTCGTGCAAAGACGTGCAAGAGTTGGAAGTGCGATATCGCGGCGAGCGGGCGCGCGGCGGGCCCGCTAAAATAGAAGATAGAAAATAGACGTAGCTCTAGCGCCGTGGCGTGACCCAGAATCGCACGCGAACGCAAAAGAAGCGCCGTAGCGTAGCCCAGAATCGCACGCGAACGAAAAGTGCACCGCGTAGCTCTAAAAAAGTTGCAGTGCGCCAACCGGGAATCGAACCCGGGCCACATGTTTGGGAAACAGGAATTCTACCACTAAACCATTGGCGCGTGGCTAGATGAAGCGATTTCGGAAACTTTTTACGGTTTCCCATACGCTACTAGTTCCGAAGACTATGTAATAAACGCATAAACTCGAAGCTGTCCGTTCGCGTTCGTCGTCGAGCGCGTTGTTACAGGTCGCCGCCGTGCGCTGGCGGCGCCGGCGGGCGATCGGGCCGCCGACGCCGCATTCCCCGTCGCCGCGCGAAACGCTCGACGCGACGCGAGATCGCTCGCCGAGGGAGATTCGAACGCGGCGCGCACGTTTTGCGTCCCTCGACGCCGCGAGAATCGCCGAGACGACGCCGCGACTCGTTCGCGACGGCGGCGCGCTGAATCGCGGGTGACGTCGGAAATTGCGCCGACGAATCGTCCGAATCGCGATGGATTTCTTGTACGCTTCGGCGGAAGTGCACACGCTGCCGCCGCGAAAACGCTTGGCGTGCGTGCTGCGAGACGTGGCGCACTCGCCGACGGATTTGGGGAGTAAGAAGGCGCGTCTCGCGGGGGAGGCGTACGTGCGAACGGCGCTGCGGGACCCGCGGTTGTTGGGCAAGGCGTTGGAGATCGTGAGCGAGGAGCGATACGATGTGGACGGAGGCAGTAGCGATAGAGAAAACGGTGGCGCGTCGGCGTCGACGAAGAGTAAGAAGGGACCGCGGAATATGAGCTCTTCGTCGCTCAACACGGCGACGGCGACGACGGAGAAGAAGAAGAAGAAGCTGTCGACGAAACGCGATCGCTCGACGACACAGGCGTTGAAATCTGACGAAGATGACGACGACGATTCTAACGCGGAACCGAAAGAGTTGACGGACGAACAGATGGCGATGAAGTTGCACTTGGAGATGAACGCCTCGCCGCGCATGAGCAGAGGCTCTTCGCGGTCGACTCAAATGCTCACCGGGCGCGCGCTCTTCGGGTAGAGCGAGCTTCACGTTTGACGGCGCGCGCGCGCGCGATCATTACTTGTTACTTGTTAACTCTGCTCATTGTATAGCTTATCTCGTCCGAAAGGCGCGAATGTAAACGAAAATTAAAATGCACTTCTTTGCGCCCGAGCAAACGCAGCCGCCACTTTTTTCGACACGCCACGCCGACACTGTCTCGCGCGCTCGGTCCCCGTTCCGTCGCCGATGCGCCCGCAAAACGAAAGAGCGCCCGAGGGTGGCGTCAAGCGCAAATGGGTCAAGCGCACGGGCGGTAAACACGCCGCCGCCAAGCGTCCGAGCGTGAAGAATCAAATTCGAAGCATCGAGCGCCTCCTCAAGCGCGAAGGAATACCGCCGAAACTGCGCGAGGAAAAAGCGCGCGAGCTGGAAAAGCTGCGAGATGCTGGGAAAGAGAACGCTCGAATCGAACGGGAGAAGAAACTGTCGACCAAGTATCACAAGGTGAAGTTTTTCGAGCGGGTAAAGTTGACGCGGCGAAAGGAGCAACTCGAGAAGAAGCGAGACGACGACGGGGCGTTGGGCGCGGATGAATTAGACGAATTGGCGCAAGTGAAGGAAGATTTAGAGTACGTGATGAACTTTCCAAGAGGGGAGAAGTATGTGAGCGTGTTGGTGAAGGAGGGAGATACAGAACACGCGACGAAGGAACGCGCGAGGCTCCGGAAATTGGTCAAGGCGAACTTGGCGGCGTCGGCGGCGCTCGGAGACGAGAACGAGGGCGGCGCGGACATGGCGGCGCAAGGCGATGCTGCGATAGATGCCGAGCAGGACGACTTCTTCTTGAATGAATCTGACGATGGAAACGATAGTGATTCGAGTTCGAGTTCGAGTTCGAGTTCGAGTTCGTCGAGTTCGAGTTCGAGTTCGTCGAGTTCGTCGTCTTCAAAGAAAGCTCGCACGCCCGTGCACATTCCAAAGAAAGAACTTCCAGTGACTAAAGATCCGATTTACATCAAGAATCACGCTCAAAAACTCGTCGAGCGAAGTGAACGCGCCAAGGCGGAGGCGAGCAAGGATGGCAACAAGCCACAGCGCACGCGCGCGGAGGGTGGTCGCAAGCGGCGCAAGAAATGATCGACGACTCGTTTCGTCGTCAAAATAGCAAACTAGTCGAACTCTGTGCTATCTACGGTACTAAACTACGCATTACATCTACTTTTTCGCGGCTACGTCGTCTTCGCCGTAACCGCTCGCGTCCCAAATCGCCACCGACGTCAGCCGCGCGTCCGGCTCGTCCCACCCACTCGCCGCGACGTCGAATTTCACCCCTAGATGATCGTACGACAACCAAATCATCCTGCCTTGCCCTCCCTTGCTCGTCGGCTCGCCGAGTTTCCGCACGACGTCCGCCGCCGCGCTCGTCAGCGCCACGCCCGTCGGCAAACCGCCCGCGTACGTCCCGAACCCATCGCACCCCGCGTAGCAGTGCACGCAGTCCAGCTTCCCGCCCTCGAAGCACAGCGATAACCCGTGCGGCCTGAAATTGACGTACTCGCAGCTCGGGGCGAAAGTTTTTGAGTCGGACGGAGGGTCGCGAATGCCGAGCGAAAGCAAAAACTCGCGCAGTTCTGGCGCGTGTTTCGTCGCGCCCAGGGCTCGGCGAAGCGCGCGCGCGGTGTCGTCTTCGTCTTCGTCGTTCGCGCCGCTCGTGGACGGTCGGTCCGTCATTGTCACGGCGCGCCGGTGAGAGCGGCGCGCTCTACAGCAATTCGTTGTTGTTACAAGGCGGCGCCTTCGTCGCTCAATTGCTTCCACTTGGCGCAATTCAACAGCGTCGGGACAAATATGATGGAATACGCCACCCAAAGGTTTGGTTCGAACGGGAAATCGACGAGGAGCGAGCCGTACTTGACGCCTGCGGAGGCGACGGCGGAGACTAAGGCGAGCTTGAGCAAGAGCACGGCGTCGGAATCCGCGGCCCACGCGGCGCTTAAATCTTCCCAACCCTTCAAAGACTCGTTACCGATGGAGATCTCGATGATTTCCACTTCGTCGTTGACGTCCGTCTCCGGCTCCGTCGTCGTCGGCGGCGACGCCAACATTCGTTCGCCCTCCTTGGCGATGCGATACGACGCGAGCGCGCACGTGGTGTTGCCGACGACGGTCAAGAGCGCTTGCATCGCCACGACGCTGTTTAGCGCCGGGGCGTTGTAGAACAAGTGAAACGTACACGCCGCGATGCCGGAGGCGTGACACGGGATCATCCCGAGTGTCAAGCCCTTCCACGCCGGTCTCTTGGTCACCTCTGCGTATTCCCACGCCAATCCCATCGCGATCAACCACTCGACCAAGCTCGACACGTGAATCACCCACGTGGGCAAGCTCAACGCGTTCGCAGGCTCGACGTGCGGCCACGTGGAATCCCAAATCGCTGCCGTTTCAGCGATCTCCGTTCCCGCAAACGCCTCCGTCGCGCCGAAAATAGCGCTCGACGTCGCGAGCGTGCAAAACAACGCCGCGCCGATGTCGCCCAAACTCGTCTTCCTCCGCCGCCTGCCGTCTCCATCTCCCCCCTCGCTCGCGTCGCGCAGGCCTTGCCGAAACCCGAGCACGATGAAAACATTCGTCATCGTCAGGAGCGACTCCGCCACCCCGTGCAGCACGTCGACGTTCGCCAATATCTCGTCGTACTCGACCTTTGCGTAAATCGCGAACGGAATCGTCCCGAACACAAACGCGAGCAAGAATTTGAATCCGAAAAGCGTCCCGCGCGGGCACCTCGCCTCCGGCTTGGCCAAAAAATACAGAAATCCAAGGTACGGGAACAACGACGCGCCGAACAGGCCGCCTTCGACTTGTTCCCACGTCGCCGCCGTCACCCCCAGCGCGTCGGCGAACGTCGGGTCCGCCGCGCGCGTTCGCGCCGCGCGTTCACCCCGTCTCTCGATCGACGCCGCGCGCGCGCGCGCGCGACCATCGATCCCATCGCGCGTCGCGCCGCGCGTCGTCGCCGTCGCGCGCGTCGTCGTCGCCGCGCGCCGCGCGCGTCGTCGTCCCGACGTCGACGCCGTCGCGAAATCGACATCTTTTCGTCGCACCGTCACCGCGCGCGCGCGCGCCGTCGCTCGCGCGCGCGCCGTCGTCACCGCGCGCGCCATCGCCGCCGCCTCGCGCGCCGCGGGCGCCGCGCCGACGCGTCGCGTTGTGTCGGCGCCGCGCGTCACTTCGCGACGCGATAACGCCCCGACGATGAATTCAATCGCGTCCTCGACGGCCGTCGCGGCGTCCGCGCGCGCCCGCGCGACGCCCGCGCGACGCACCGCGCGCCGGGGCGCCGCGCCGGGGCGCCGACGCGCGCGAAACGCGCCGCGCGCGAGAGAGAACGGCGACGACGATGACATCACCAAGCGCAGGGATTTCGACGTGTCGAGCGAGCTCGAGGCCGACATAGCGCGCTACGCCGAGGCCAAGGCGCGCGAGACGAGCGCGGAGGAAGCGTCGTCGAGCGCGAAAGCCGCGCCGGGGGCGATGGACGGCGTGAAGGAGGCGATCGATACGTTTTTGTTGTATGACTTTTTCGTCATCTTGTTCATCCTGGCGTGGCTCGTCGTCGGCGTCGGGGTGCGGTTGAGCAAAGGGAACGGGCTGTCGTACGATGAACCGTTTTTGGGGACGTGGTTATTTTTGTGGCCGTTTTTGTTTCAGCCTTTGCTCGGGGTGCACATGCTGGCGACGCTGGTGTCGCCGGCGGTGGGGTGGGCGGCGAAACGCGGCATCGTATCTGAAGACGCGTGGCGGTAGTATTATACCTTTGTTATTACACGATACTTTAACTTCACATCGTATGTCCGCGGTAACCGTCGTGCGGGCACTCGAGCGGACCGTAGAGCTCTTTGCGTCCGGCGAGTTTCATGAAGTGACGAGCGCCGTCGACGAGATTTTCCGAGTGCGAGTACAAAGAACCGCCGATGAGAAGTAATAAATCGGGGCCGTACACCTCGCGCATCTGAGCGATGCGCTCGAGCGTCATGCCACCGCCCGGAGAGGGTAAAATGGCGGGCAAATCTCCCATCACCCGCGTGCACCCGACGTTGATGGCCTTGCATTCGTCCACGCTGAATCCAAACCGCCCGCCAAAGGACGGGAAGACGGTGGCGTCCGCACCGGCCAACCGCGGTAATAACCCGAGAAGGACTTCATGACTAAAGCCCGCTATTCTATTTGTGCTCCCTCCGCCTAGCATGCACCCGAGCAACGCGGGATGAGCGATGATGGGGAGGTTGAAGCTCGGGTCTGCAGCGAGCTCACGCATGGCGTCCAAACCCGTAATGCCGGGAATCATCAACACCGCGCCCGCGCCCGCCTGTCTCGCAGCGTGCGCTCGAGAAATGATTAAATGCGCGGGAGCGTTGATACACGGGGCGTAGAGAACGTTTCGACCGGTCTCTGCGTTGGCGCGCGCTACAGCGGCAGCGCACATTCGAACTCGCTCGTCGTAAGGGCTGTACGGCTGGTCTGCGAGTCCGTGGTCATCCTTGATGATGTCGATCCCTCCCTTGGCGAAACCGTACGCAATTTCTGCTAATTCTTGGCTAGACAATCCCATTGGTTTGAGTGCCGTCATCACCAGAGGCCCTTCGGGTACGCGGAGCAAACGACGAAGACCGTGAACGCCGAATCGTGGCCCAGGGTACTCGCGCAGCATGGTGCGAGGTAGTTCGATATCGACGACCATCACGTTCTCCTTCATGCTCGTGTTGCCGAAGATGACGTTCACAAGCTGTGTTAACTCCCCACCCGCAGTGTCGGCGTGGTAGCTGACAATCGCGTTCCACGCGTCCGGACGACGGGCGTGCGGTCCGGTCTTCGGCTTCGTCAAAGACTCCAATCGACCGACGACATGCTCTCGAATCCAAGTCCCTTCCGGCACGAGCGACGCTGGTAACTCCACAGTCTGTTCCAAACAAATTTCTAAAACCTTCTCTCGAGCTGCCGCTTCGCAAGGGGCGAGGAGCAAGTACGTCACCTCAAATCTATCAGCTTCGTCGCCGAGCCTCTTCCTCGACGACGACGACGCGCTTCTCAAGTTTTTCAAATCGCTCGGCGAACTAGAAAACATGGCTTGAAAATCAGGCGCGATAACCTGAAATCGATCGCTCGCGCCGTGCCGCCCTTCGGCGTAAGAAATCGACGACTGCGACCTCCCGCGCATCTTGGCCAAATCCGCCGGTGAACTGGCAAACATGCCTGCGAACGCATTCGTGCGCTCTCGCGCGTCCACTGCCACCTTAGCAACCTCCACATTAGATCCGCGCGCGGCACCACCGACGTCCGACCGTCGCATCTTGGCCAAATCCGAGGGAGAACTTGCGAACATTTCACTGAAACTCACCGCTTCCTTCTTCGGCTCCGCCGCGTTCGCGTCGCCGTCGTAACGCAAGGGCGATCCGAATCCATCCCCACGCTCGCGCGCCTTCGTTCCCGTCACCGCCGTATTCGTGGCGCGCATCTTCTTCAACGATGCCGGAGACGCTAAAAACATATCGCCGAACGCCGACGCTAAATCCTCGCGACTCGCCGTCGGCCGCGTCGGCGTCCCCGTCGGCGTCCCGACCCCTCCCGACGCCCGCTCCACTGCCGATCCTCGCATCTTCTTCAGCGACGCCGGCGAACACGCGAACATGTCATCGAACGCGCCCGCGACCGCGCGCGCGCGTTCGTCTTCGTCGTCTCGACGCATCGACGGGAACGCGATGGGCGAGTAGTCACGCGCGTGCGACGCCGCCGGCGACGCGTGCGGTGCGTGCGACGCCCTGAGCTTGGTCAGCGACGCGGGCGAGCACGCGAACATGTCTTCGAACGACTTGGGCGCCATCGCGAGAGGCACGGGCCGACGACGGCGCGATGTGGAGACATCTTGTCGATCGCGAAAGGCGGCTGGATTTGGATAGCGCGTCGCGCGGCAACGCGCGAAAGCCGGAGGCGAGACGTTGGATAAAATATAGGTGGGTATGTGTTACAAGTACGATGAACAAATGTTTTAATGTCTGCACGCTGTGCGCGATTCGATTGTTTGTACAACGAACGTCGGCGCGCGACGGACGCTGCGCGAGGAGGCGGCGCCTCGGGCTCGCGGAATCATCCGTCGGCTTCCGGTTCGTAATTGTCGAGGAAATCGTTGAGGATATTGGTGAATTGAGCGATGAAACGCGTTTCGGCGATTTCATCGTCAGCCAAGTCGTTCCAAAACGAACCGTTTTCTGGCGATTTATGCACCAAAAGACCACGTTCGGAACGCCCCTCGGCGATGGCCGTCGACGCCGCTTGCGCGGCAATCTTTTCAATGTCCGACTTCCTGTTGGACATCTTTCGACTGAGCATGGAGGCTATGTTCGCTGCGGTGAAGTTGCGGCGTACAGCTTCTTTCAGAACCAAAGTACACACGCGAAGAACGCGTTCTGAGGAGGCTTGAAGCTCGATGTCGTTTTCTCGCAAGTACTCGACGTCGGCGTCGGCGTCGAGCATAGCGACGTACTCCTTGACGTCGTCGCTGTATGGAATTGATGCTTGGGGCCAGAATTCCCACTCGAAACAGACGTCTTCGAGTGTGTGCGGAAGTGCGTACCCGTGGTCGATTGGAATCAACGCCACGATGTTGCCATTCTCGTCGCTACGGCATAAAATGTTTCCAGCGTTGCGGTCGGTGTTCGCCAAGCGAATATCGAGAACGGTAATCTTGTGCACTTCTTCCGTAGGAAACATGCTTGGGCCATACTCCTCTGCCTCAGCGGTGTTTTCGACGTATTCCTGAAGCGAGCCGAGCTTTCCATCATCCTCTTCGGTCCCATCCGTCAAGTTGACGAGAGACGTCGCGGGAACGCCGGCGAAACCACCGTGATCGAGCAAGTACGCCGCAACTTCACGCGTGGCACCTTCGCCCGCCTTCGTCCCTTTGCGCATACCCTCGCCATTATGGCTACTTCGGTGTCCTCTCGGATTGTTCGGAGCGAACGGTTCTTCGTCCGCCGGTTTGAACACGGCGGCGGGTTTGCCATCGATGCCCTTCAAAAAGTATGCGCCACCGTTGCCTCCTTGCGAAAGCTGAGGGGCGTTACCCATGAGTAAACCTTCTCGCGCCATGTCAAACGACGCTGAAAGCGTACCAGGGCTACCGAAAGGCGTTATCGGCGCGCTTGGTGGCGATATGGAGTCAGCGTTCACGCTACCGCTCTGCCGATGAGAATTCAGCGCGGCTCTTGCTCCCCAAGAAGAAGCAATAGGCATACTGCGGCCACCGAAGGAGTGGGCACCAAACGACGCGGAATGTGGTGATGGAATCGCCATAGAATTCGTGTACGAACTTCGTCGCGGCGATATTCGCGGCACGTGCGGACGCAACTCGAGCGATGTACCCTCGCGTCCGCCGTACGAGCTCAAGGGACCGTTTCGCAAGCCGCGTCCTGGGTAGATGGAAACGCTACCACTTCGACGATGGGCGTACTGCGCGCTATCCACTGAACCAGGCTTGACCATGTGAAGTTGATCGCGAAACGTCTCCGCAGTCTTATTGACGTTGAGACGAATCTCCAACTCGCTGTTTCCGCGCATCGACACGTTGACGTTTGCGTCGCGCTTGACGAACAAATGTATCAACGCGTTGTGCTCCAAACCTTGGCTTTCGATCGTGGAATCATTATTCAACTCTTTACCACGCAAAATCATGCTCATTCCCGTCGATAAGTCCACGTTGTCTAGCAACTTTTCCTTGGACGATTCCAAGTCGTCCGCGGTGGCGACCAAGCGCTTTATCTCGCCGACGGTTTGCGATCTATTCAGAGGCAACCAATACTCGCGCTCGTCGATGTCTCCCGCCTCGTTTACGTTCACGACCGCCTTGACTCGAATATACTGCAAATCGGCGAGTTTCATCACCACTTCGCGGTACTCGTTCGGATCGTCGAGCTTGTTGTACAATTCGTCCCGACTGATATCAGCCGGTAAAGACGACTCGCCGAGCAACAGTCGACTCGAGCGCGAGAACACATGTCTATGTTTCGTGAACCACTCGGGTTTCATGCTCAGCGTCAACGACGTCACCATTTGCGATCGCAAAACTTCCACCGGTTTCGACGACCCATTCTTCAGCATGATTCTAATGTCGTGCTTCGGCGCGACCAACTCGTCCGCGTTCAACAAACTCTCACCGAATTCCCCGCTCCCCGATCCCGCGCGCGCGAGCGGCGACGTCACGACCGTCGTCGGCGATCCCGCATCGCTCGATCCGCCCACCGCGACATCCTTGACGACGTCCTTGACGTCGAAACCCAACGCCACGCGCGCCGGCGTGTTCCGCGCCTCTCGTCGCGGCGTCACCAGCACGGGCACCGGATCATCCAGCGCCATCGTCCAATCAATCAATCAACAAATCAATCCCTCTCTCTCTCCCTCTCCCCCTCTCGCTCTCTATCCCTTCGCGCTCGCGCGCGCGACGCCCCGCGTCCTCGCGTCCCACGCGCTGGGCACCGCGTCGGCGTCGATCGAATTCCCCCCCCTAAGCGCGCTTCGCGCGCGCGTCTCTCGCGTCTCTCGCGCGCGTCTCTCGCGCGATCGCGATCCCTCGCGAGCGCTCCGCGCGCGCGCCGCCGCCGCCGTCGCGCGCCGTGCGCGTCGCGCTCTGCGCGCCGACGCGCCCTCGACACGCGTCGATCGACCGCGACGGTCGATCGGCCGGTCGCCACCCTCGATGGGCGTTTTCGCGGTAATATACGCGCGTCCGCTCGCCACCCTCGATGGGCGTTTTCGCGGTGATATACGCGCGTCCGCTCGCCACCCTCGATGGGCGTTTTCGCGGTAATATACGCGCGTCCGCTCGCCACCTCGATGGGCGTTTTCGCGGTAATATACGCGCGTCCGCGCGACCACCCTCGATGGGCGTTTTCGCGGTGGTATACGCGCGTCCACCCTCGATGGGCGTTTTCGCGGTGGTATACGCGCGCGAATCGACGCGTCGCGTCCCGCGCGGCGCGCGCGCGACACCGCGACGCGCGCGCGCGTCGACGACCGGCGATGCTCGCCGCGGCGTCGCCGCGCGCGATCGCGCCGCGCGCGACGCTCGGGACGCGCCGCGCGGGACGCGACGCGTCGATTCGCGCGCGACGAATTCTGGGACGGCGGCGACGGCGGCGACGCGACGCGCGCGCGGACGCGATCGAGGACGAGCGCGCGATGGAAGACGACGACACGGCGAAGCGCGTGGACGCGGCGAGCGAGGTGCTGGATAAGATCATACGAGAGACGGTGGAGGGAATCTTTTTGGAGGAGGCGGCGACGGAGGTGCTGAACGAGGCGAGCGCGGCGAACGAGCGAGAGGCGGTGGAGAGCGCGGTGGATAAGCGCGCGGTGCTGCGCGCGGTGGTGCGATCGCACTTTGAAGAGTTGGATGGATCGTTTTTGGCCGCGCTGGGGGCGTACGTGCGGGCGAGTGAGGCGAGCGGGGATTTGCAATTGGTGTCGCTGTTGAACGCAATCAAGGAGGAGACGCTGGCGACGGTGACGGATTCGTTGACGGATGAGATGCAGGTCGTGCAGCTCGTGGCGAGGCTGAAGAGTAATGAAGAGCGGTTTGAAGTCATACGCGTCGCGCACGCGGGTGGCGGTCGGGCGTTGGGGGATGTAGACGTTCCGGGGGTGAGCGTGGAAAAAATTGAACGCGCCGCCGCGCAACTCATCGACGAGCTCGAACTTCAGGAACAGATTCCTAATTGGGACCTCCTGTACCAAGTTATCGTCGTGCGAGAGACCGCTCGACAGTTGTCGAAAGCTGCGGACGCCAGTGGGGTGTACAGCGACGTCGTCGTCTCCGGTTCGTTCGCGCCTTCAGAGCTTCCAAAGGCGGAATCCGCGCTCATCAAGGAACTCGTCGTGGTTAACACGGTGGCCCAACGGCGCGCGTTGCTGGCGCAGATGTTCGACGAAACGCGAGATAAGCTTGATCAAGACTTCGATAGATCGAGCGGTAAAGTCAAACTGAAGAAGACGACGCGCGGGTTCCAACCTCGCATCGAACGAGCCGCTGCGACGGCGGCTGGGTTGGACTCGAGAGATTTGCGCCCAGGCCGATTCATAGATAGCGTGATTAATTTGCGAGTGAGTCTCCTTCGCGAAGGTGAAGAGTCCACGCCGGTGGTGACTCGTTTAGGGGAGATCTACTATGAAATGTGCGATGTCGTGATGGAGAACGCGAACGTTGGCTGAGCGATTCAGCGGTTTCGGCGTCGAGTTGTAGTGGTACTGTGTTTTAATACAAACGGTGAGAGCTTACGCACTCAATCTTCTTCTTCGAGCGTGTCTAACTCATTAGCTACTCCCGACGAAGTATCGGCGCTATCCAGACGCTCTAAACCGAGCGCCCCAGTCGATACTTTATTCACCACGTTGAGAGCCGCGATGCTTTCTAAAACTTCCGAAACTTGTTCGGCGGATGGCTGCGACGCGACATCCGAGGCTATGGAATCGGAATCGGATCCAGTTCGTCCGTGACCTGCAAAGTTCCGAATGCTTTGCACGCGTTTTGGCGCGAACGCTTCGGGAACTGCGGGCGAGTTGGCGTCATCCGTCATGGCTTTTGATACGATAGACATTGCTTCGACCGAGAGCGAACGCAACAAGCTCGGAGAAGTGCGAATAAATGTCTCCTTTTTCGGCGCTTCAGGGGTCAAACACACGCATACTACCGAAATATTATCCGAACTGTCTCTCCTCAAAGCTTCTGCCGCGAGCTCTTTCGCTGTAATCGTCGGATCGTTGTGTTGACGCAGGCTTGCCCGCGCGACGTCGACGGCGTTTTGTGAGCTAAACACGTCCCACAAACCATCACACGCGAGGATCAAGAACTCGTCGTCCTCTGTCAAGCGTGTCTTTTCTATCTCTGGATCGACGGTCACAGGTCCAGCTTTGCCCCCACGTCCTTTGAGACCCTCGATGTGCCAATCCCCGAACGCTCGCGAGACGCCAAGCAACCCGTTCACGTACCCATCCTCCACGAAACCGCCCGCGTTCTTGATGCGTTCCATCTCACCCACTGAACTCGGTTTTTGATCGATGGACAAATCGATCGCCTTACCTTTCCGGCTCAAAACCGCGCGACAGTCCCCGGCATTGGCGATATATAACTTACCTCCAATGACGCACGCCGCTAACCCCGTGCTCCCGCTCGTCTCGCCCGGTCCCGACTTGTCGTAGAAATCCTCATCCGTCCTCAAAAACGCCTCCTTCAGCGCCAGCTCTGGATCGCGCATAAAATTTTCATTCTCAACCACATTTTTCATGAGATTATCTCGTAAAAACTCCGCCGCCGCCCGTCCACCGTGTCCATCGAAGACGCCGTAAAACGCCACGACGTCCCGCGCGCCCTCCACCGGGACGTTATCGTCCAACACCGTCGCGTCTTCCATCGCTTCCCGGCACCCCACCTCGCCGTGTTCGCCGCTTCGCAGGCTCGGCGAGTACGCGCGCTCGAGTTTTTCCTCGCCATTCGCATCCTGCGCGCCGACACGCGTCGTCAGTCGTCCATCGTCCATCCGCGCGCGACTCGACGAGACTCGATTCAATTCAATTCGCGGTTTTGAATTCAACTTCAACCGCGTCGACGCCCGGCCGCGCACCTTTTCGCCGCTCTCCTGACGCGCGAGCGACATGACGTCTCTCGCGTCTTTCGCGCGCGCGTCGAGCGCGGAGACGCGCGCCGCGCGCGCGCGCGCGGTCGAACGCGCCGCCGCGTCGAATGCGAATCAACGCGCGCGCGTGGTCGTCGCGCGCGCCGCGCTCGCGCGATCGTCGTCGACGCGCGCGCGCGGTATCACTCGTGCGCGTCTCTTCGCGTGCGCTCGCGCGCTGGTTCGTCGCGCCGCGGCGCGCAGTGCGGCGTCGAGTCGCGTCGTCGGCGTCGAGTCGCGTCGTCGGCGTCGAGTCGAGTCGCGTCGTCGGCGTCGACGTCAAATTCAAATCTCGACGCGACGCCCGTCGGCGACGCGACGATGAACGTCGTTCATTCACAACGCGAGCGCACTATCGCGACGGTTCGCGCGACGCGCGCTCACTTCCCGTACTTTGACTTTAGCTCGGCGACCAACGCGACGTACGCCGTCATGGCGTCCTCCTTCGACGTCCCCTCGCGCTTTTTCCACGCGTCCCACTTCGCCTTGCCCTTAAAATCCATCATCCCCGGTCGCGCGGTGTTCACGTCTCCGACGTTCGCTTGCTTGAACAGCGCGTACAGCTCGAGCATCTCTTCGTTCGTCGTCTATCCATCGTTCGCGGTTTTCGCTCAGTCATCGCGTCGTCGCGTCGCGTCGCGTCGTCGCGTCGGCGCGAGCGATCGTCGTCGCGATCGGCGCACCTCTTTCACGGCCTTGATCGCCTCCGCGGCGGCGTTAAACTCTTCGAGCGTCGCCATGACGATCGATGATGGGTGTCGATGCGCGACGCGATGTGCGGCACACCGCCGCGCGCGCGCACGTCTCCGCGCTCCGATCGCGCGGGCGCGATGCGACGGGCGTGAGCGCGCCATGCGCGCGCGCGCGCGACGCGTCGGCGCGCGTCGCGTCGCGCTCGCGCGCGCGGCGATCGCGATGACGATGATGGCGAGCGCCGCGGCCGTCGACGCGCCGCCGTACCCGCCGTATCCGGAGTATCCCGAGGCGCCGCCGGCGCCGGCGCCGCCGCGACCGCCGCGACCGCCGCCGGCGCCGCGCGCGCCGCACCCGCCGAGGTCGCCGCCGTCGCCGACGCCGAGGTCGCCGCCGTCGCCGCCGCCGCCGCCGTCGCCGCCGCCGCCGACGATCGCGCGAACCGCGGACGGGGCGGCGTTGGTGATTTTTACCGCGCTGACGCTGATCGTGGTGTCGGGGCTGGTGTACGTGGGGATCGGGTTGGGCGGCGCGCGGGCGCTCGGAGAGCGACGCCGCGGCGCGAGCGGCCGAAACGCGCGAGGCGCCCGTCAGTTGGACGACTCGGACTCCGAAGAAGAGATGACGCTGAGGGACGAGTTGAGAGAGTTCGCGAAGCAAGCGAAAGTGATCGTGGCCGAGGGCGCGCGGGCGGCCATCGTGCGCGTGCAGCGCCTGACGCACGGAGAAAGCGGCGAACGCGACGAAGACTGGAGACGACTTTCCGACACCAACCCGTTCGTTCGCTGGGTCAAGCGCCAACTGGCGGATGATGACAACGTTGACGACGGCGTGGGCGAGCCACTCATCGACGAGCGCGACGACGATTACGAAGACTTGATGGCTGAACCGTATAGATTTTCTGAGTTTGCGGATTACGTCGACGCCGTCGACGCGTCGTCCCTCGACGCCGTCGAAGACGCGGCTTTCGTTCGCCTTCCGCGCGCGCAACCCGAACCATCGTGGTTCGCGCGCTCACCGACGACGAACACGACAGATGGAACCCCATGACTTTGACGCGCCGCGTCGACGCGAGACGCCGTCGACGCCGCGTCCGCGGTTCGGCGGAACGCCACGTACACGCTATACTCATATGTACATTACACGCTAGCGGCATTCGCACTCACTCATCCACTCTCGCCACCTTTCTATCCTCAACCTCCCCCGTCACCGGGCACTGCACCTCGGTCCAACCGATCGGAAGCATCGTCGCGCGCGACGTCCCGTGCGTCGCCCGCACCACCCCCAAATCGTCACCCGCCGTCGTCAGATAAAACGACCGCGCGTCGCCCAGCGACAGCACCTTCGCTCTGACGACGTCCCCCGCCCTGAAGCACCTCTCCAGCTCCACCGAGTCCACCGCGTGCGCGCGCGCGTCTTGCCTTCGCACGACGCCCGCGAAATCCCCTCCCCTCGGCGCCCTTCCGTTCACCGCCGCGATCTCCACGTGCGCCGCCTTCTCGAGCACGCGCGTCACGCGTCCGAACACGACGTCCCCGCCGCGCGGCACCACCGGCGCGCGCGCGCCGACGCCCGCGCGCGCGCCGCCGTCCTCGAGAAACACCTCCCCGCACGTCGTCGCTCGCACGCGTCCGCACGCGTCGACGCGCGCGCCTCGCGCGGCCTCGCCGCGCTCGGCGATCACGTCCCCGGGCACCGCGCGCGTCGGCGCCGGCATCGCCGTCGCGCCGGCGTCGGCGTCGCGGCGTGCCGCGCGCGCGTCGCCACGCGGGGGCGAAAACGGCGCGTCGCCACGCGAGGGCGAAAACGGCGCGTCGCCACGCGAGGGCGAAAACGTCGCGTCGCCACGCGAGGGCGAAAACGTCCCCACGTCGGACGACGGGTCGAGACCGGTCGACGACCCCCCCCGGACGGACCCCCCCCCTCGTGTTGAGTCCTGAACGGCGCGCGGGGACGGTCGGCGTTGTCGACTCTTGGGCGCGACGGTTGGTCGCGTCGACCCGATTGGACGCCGGCCGACGGCGCGCGGCGCGCGACACATCGCGACGACGCGACCGCGCGGTTCGACGCGCGCTAAATAATTTACGACACGCGCGCACGCTCGACGCGCTCGCGAACATGTTCGCGATGACGATGACGACGACGACGACGACGACGACGCGCGGGGCGCGCTTGTCGACCGACGCGCGCGCGCGCGCGAGCGCGGCGCGCGCGAGCGGATGCGCGCGCGCGGCGCGCGCGAACGGCGCGGAAAAAAATTCGCGCGTCCTCGGACGCGCGATCGGGGCGACGGCGGGGCGACGCGCGCGCGTCGCGGGGGCGGTGTCGGTGGACGCCGCGCGGGCGACGCTTGCGGAAGCGGAATCGAACGCGGCGCGGTCGGTGTTCGCGCGGGCGAAGACGCCGGTCGCGGCGGCGGCGGTCGCGGTCGCGGGTTTGACGCTGGCCGGTCCGGCGGCGGCGGCGGCGGCGGCGGTGCCGGCGGTCGTCGGCGCGGACACGTGCTGGATTTTGATTTCGAGCGCGTTGGTGCTGTTTATGACCATTCCGGGCTTGGCGGCGTTTTACGCCGGTTTGGTGCGACGCACGAACACGCTGAGCGTGTTGATTCAGTGCTTCGCACTCACGGCACACATGAGCGTGCTTTGGTTCCTGTGCGGTTACTCGCTGTCGTTCAGCGACGTCGGCATGAAGGAGGGCGTCACGACGTTGGCGTCCTTCATCGGCGGTTGGGACAAGGTCGGCTTGGCGGGCGTCACCGCGGCGTCGGTCGCGGGGACGATCCCCGAAGCGCTGTGGGTGTTGTACCAAATGACGTTCGCTATCATCACTCCGGCGCTCATGATCGGTGCGCTCGTCGAGCGCATGAAGTTTAACGCCGTCATGTGGTTTTCCACGCTCTGGATGTTCGCCGTGTACTTCCCGGCGTGCCACATGGTTTGGGGTGGCCCGGGCGCGTTCTTCGCCGACATGGGCGTCCTTGATTTCGCTGGCGGTATCGTCGTGCACATCACCGCCGGCATCGGTGCCCTCGTCGCCGCCATGTACCTCGGCGAGCGCAAGGAGAACAAGATGCACCAAGGCAACTTGGTGCTGACGTTCCTCGGTACCGCCATGTTGTGGGTCGGCTGGTTCGGCTTCAACGGTGGCTCTGCCGGTGCGGCTTCCGCGGGTGCCGCCTTCGCGTGCCTCGCGACGCAACTCTCCGCGTCCGTCGCCGCGATCGTTTGGACCGCGCTCGATGTCATCGAGAACGGCAAGGTTTCCGTTCTCGGCACGTGCACGGCGTCCATCGCCGGTCTCGCCGCCATCACTCCGGCGGCCGGCTTCGTCGGCCCCGTTGGCGCTTGTTTAATGGGCCTCGCGTCCGCCATCGTGTGCCGTTTCTTCTCCACCACGGTCAAGGAGAAGTTTGGCTACGATGACGCCCTCGACGTCTTCGGCGTCCACGGCGTCGGCGGATTCTTGGGCACAATTCTGCTCGGTGTTCTCGCGCACCCCGCGCTCGGTGGCTTCAACGACGTCCCCATGATGAAGCAAACCATCGTGCAAGTTATCGCCGCCGTCTCCACGGCTGTGTACACCGCCGGTGCGTCATGGGCGTGCCTCAAGCTCACCGATAAGATCACGGGAGGCATTCGCGTCCCCGCCGAGGCGGAGGAGCTCGGTTTGGATGTGTACTCGCACGGCGAAACGGCTTACACGCCGATGCCTCCGGTTCGATAACCGCGCAAACCGCGCCTTGCTGTACCCTTGTTTTACTCTTGTCTTATTCTCGTCCACATTCCATCTTCTATTATTCATCACAGGATAGCGCCAATACGTTGTCAATGGTTACCGATACCAATAATAAAAATCTACGTTTCTCAAATCATAACAACGAACTAAGCTTCCTCGTTCTTCCAATCTATGTCGTTCTCTTGCAAACGACGCTGCACCTTCCCCCAATTACCCTGCCCGATGTCCGACGTGTCGATGCCTCGCTTCTGCAACAGCGCGCGTCCCTTCGCTTCCTTTTGCGACAAAATCGCCGTTCCCAGCGTTTGTGGGATCCCCCAGCACACCGCGACGCACGCGAATCCGAGGAACGCGGGCGATTTCGTCAGCGGAACGTCATCCACGGCGGCGAGGGCGTCGGCGAGGGCGGGATTGGCGACGGTGAGCGCGACCGCGGCGTGCGCGACCAAGCTGGATGCGGATTGTTTCAACGACGCGCGCGCGACGACGCGCGCGCGACTCGCGCCCGCGCTGGGCGCGCGCGGTGTCTGCACCGTCGCGCGCGTCGTCGTTGTCGCGCGCGCGGCCAGCATGTCGAGTGCGATGCAAAGTGCGGCGAGTTGTTATTACGAGGCGAAAGATATCTTCGCGGCGCCATCGCCGCGAGTCGTCTAATCCGCGTTGGTCGATGACGCGGGCGAGACCGGGGCGGTCTTAAACTTCCCAGCGGTCGTCAAGTCGTCGACGAGCATGCAATACCCGGTCATCGCTTGCTGGGCGCTCATGCCCTCGAATTGCGACCAGGACGAGTACTTGGCGCGACCTCTTTGATCCATCACGCTCGGTCGCGGGTGGTTGCACGCGTCTCCGACGGTGGCTTGTTTGTACAAGCCGTACATCTTGAGGATATCGCTCACGCTAGCGTCACTCAGCGTGTCTTTCATCGCCGCACTCGCGGCGTGGAATTGTTCCTCGGTGACGTACGTGCGAATCGGTTGCATCTCTCGCTCGCCGCCGGGCGGCAGCGAAGCCGCCGGCTTTCTTTTGCTCTCGCCAAAGTTGCCTTCGAATAAAATCTCATAACTCGCGGCGTGAGAGATGCTTTGCGAATCGTGACCGGTCGAGCCGAATATGAAATCGAGCACGCTAAGGTACTTACTTCGGAAGACGTCGCGTTCGGTGTTGTAGCAGTGCATGATCGTCGCCGAGGCGATGGAGAAGAGGAAGATGTCGCCGCGGCGTCGCTGGATCCAATTCGGCACAAAGCCGCGGTAAACCGCCATCAACGCCGCGGTTTCGATCGCGCGCGACGTGCAATACATCGCTAACTCCATCCGACGAGACTTCTTTTCGATGAAGGTCGCTAAACCAGCCATGGAAACGCCCAACGTTAACGAACGACCGTCGCAGCTTCCGCCGAAGGCTCGATTCGCTAAATCCACTCCGCTCCACGCCGCGCCGACGTAGGACGATAGAAACAACGCCGAACGCGCCGAACCGACGGCGATCCTAGACAACAAGTCCGGCCCTTTCTCGCGCGACAGAAGCTTCTCTCGGTGTATCAACGCCGCCGGAACGAGGTACACGGGCGCGTACACGCTCAGCGTAGCCGCAAACGACTTCACCACGTGCGACAAGAAGTGCTCAGCGTTGGACGCGCCTCGGAAAAATATCATCCTATACAACTCCGCGCGATCGATCGCACCGGTTCCCGCACCGATCGCGCCGACCGCCGTCTTATTCGCCATCTCCCGCGCCGTCTTTCCCGCCGACCACGTATTCGAAATCGCCAATCTCGCGCACAGCGCGCGCAACTCCGAATCCCCTCCCGCCTCGCACAGCGTCCGCAGCGCCGCGTACTCCTCCCTCGTCTTCCCCCCGTGCACGTCCAGAAAGTGTTTATACGCCGGTTCCACCGTCTCCGGCCTCAGTATGAAGCACGACAAAATCACCGCCGCGCTCCCCACCATCAACGCGCAGTCCCCGTGTTCCATCCGCGTCGCCGCCGTCAACCTCTTCATCGTCTCATCCTCGCTCTTCTGCGCCACGCGCGTCAGCAGCACGATCGACCGCACCCATATGTACCCCGCCAGCCCGTAATGCGTCGCGCCCGACCCCGCGAGCATCAACGACGGCCCCGCGCACGCGCCCGCCAACGCGCATCGCCACGCCTTGCTCTCCTCTCCCCCGTACCGCCTTCGCAGGCCCTCGTCCGCGCTCACGTACGTCCCCGCGAACGTCGCCAGGAACGCCGCGTACGACGCGACGTCTCGCACCGCCTTCCGCGCCCTCCCCGCCGTCGTCCCGCGCCTTCCGCGCCTCGTCGCCGCGAGCGCGATTTTCCCCACGCTCAGCCCACCGCGAAGGACCGCGCCGAACGCCGCCGCGCGCGCGATCGCCGTGCGCGCGCGCCGCCGCGCGCGCGCGCGATCGCGCCGCGCGTCGCGCTCCACCGCGTCGCCCGCGGGAAGGTCGAGGGACGCGCTCGACGCCGCGCGACGGTGCGTCGGCGGCATCGCGCGGCGCGCGCGCGTGTGACGCCGCGACGCGCGGCGCGCGGATGCTCGGCGCGCGCGTCGCGGCGAAGCGCGCGCCGAACGGGACGCGCGACGGCGCGCGACGCGTCGGGGCGCGACGCGTCGACCGCGCGACGCGCGCGCGCGACGCGATGGATGACGACGAGAGACGCGATGGACGACGCGACGACGACGACGACGACGACGACGCGCGACGACGACGCGAGGCGCGATCGACGTCGATAAACATGTTCCGTAACTACGAACTGCGCACGGCGTACGCGGCGACGGCGTCGCGGACGCTGCCGATCACGCTGGTGGTTGGATTTCTGGGCGCGGGGAAGACGACGCTCGCGAGACGCGCGCTGGAGAATCGACAGACGCTGCGCGTCGCGGCGGCGGTGAACGATTTCGCGGCGCTGAACGTGGACGCGCGGTTGGTTCGACGCGCGAGCGGGGCGAGGGATGGCGAGGGAAAGGATGGGAGAGCGGCGGCGCGGGTGACGGAGCTGACGAACGGGTGCGTGTGCTGCTCGCTGCGAGACGATTTAGAGCGAGGGGTGATCGAGCTGCTGAACGCGGACGAAAACGGGGGGGAATTGGGGGTGTTTGATTACCTGCTGATCGAAACGAGCGGGTTGGTGGATCCGGGGGAGGTGGTTTCGAGGTTGGATAGGAACTTTGGGGCGCTGACGCGCGCGCGTTTGGACGGCGTGGTGTGCGTCGTGGACGCGGAGATTGCGTCGGAAGGAGGACCCGAGGTCGAACGAGAGGCGTGGGACGCGCAGTTGGCGTGCGCTGACGTCGTGCTTCTGAATAAGATTGATTTACTTGAGGGGGATGAAGAGAGATTGGCGCGCGCGCGAGCCGTCGTGGAGGACAAGGCGCGAGGCGCTCGAGTGTTGGAATGCGTCGACGCCAACGTGCCTTTGACGAGCATATTAGACGTCGACATGGTGCCGCAACCGGAAGGAAAGAGTGGTCACGATTGGGGCGCGGGGCCGCTTCCTTACGTGCTCTCGGCGTCGGGCGGGCGATTACGCAAACCGAAGACGGAGGAACAAAAAATCGTCGTTCGCGGTCCTCTATCACTAGATCCGTCGAGGAAGACCACGCACTTTGCCGGTGGTTCGCAGAGCTCGTGCAACTCACTGGCGCACGAAACCACGTCACCGCTCGTGTTTGCGCGATTTCAGCATTGGGCGACGAAGATGATGCCCGCGGCGACGATTCGCGCCAAAGGCGTGTTGACTCTCGCCGAGGATGAAAACCGAGAGAGCTACGATTTCCACTTTTCCGGCAAGCGTCGACTCGAGCTCGAGCCGAGCGTGGGTGAGCTCGTGAGCGCGACGAGCACGTGTTTGGTGGTGATCGGTGTGGGCTTGAACGAGGAAGAGATCATGCGAGACATTCGAGCGCTCGAGCAACCTTTACCTCTGTCGTGCGTCGCCGCGATTCCGAGCGTAAAGCGCGCGATGACGCGCGCGATGGCGAAAGACTTGAGATTCGAAATCGACGACTCGGTAGACGAGGACGACGCGATGATATTATTTCGTCTCACCGGCGCGGCGTCGAACGGATTCACAGTCGCCGAATTGGAAGAGTCGCACGGCGTCGATTTCAACGCGATGAATCTCGATCTTCTCCGCGCCGTGAATTCCTCGGGTGATGGCTTATGTCTCGCGCCGACGACGGTACCACACAAACTAACGAAATTCGGCGCACCACAGCTTTGGCTTCGACTAGCTGCGGTGCACGGTTTCGAAGACTCTTACGACGACGTCGACGCGCTCGCGCAGGCCAGACTCGAAGACGCCTGGTCGCTCGTCCGAGTCCGCGCCACGAACGTTCTCGAGCGAGCCATCTCGCACATTCCGAAATGCAAATGCGGCTTCTAGATGTAGATCAGTAATACAACAAACTTCACGTGTACACAACGACGAACGAAAACGCGCCTCACTTCTCCTTTTGCGCGTCCTCTATCGCGTAGTGAAGCTTCTTCACCACGGCTTCGCCGTCCTCCCCCGCCACGAGTTCCCAAAGCTTCTCCCCATTCCTGTACACCTGCAGCGTCGGCATGCTCTCGACGCCACATCCACGCACGAGCTCCTGCGACACCTTATTGACGTCCACGAACGCGAATCGCACGTCGTCGCCGAAGAACGAAGCCTTCTTCTCGAGCTTGCCTTTGAGAAACACGCACTTTCGACACCACAGCGCCATGAAATCCACCACCGTCACGCGGTCTTCGCCCACGAGCGCGTCGAACGCTTCTCGGGATTCGATCTCGAGCAGCTCCTTCCTCGCCGCCGGCCCCGCGGCGCGGACGACGACGCGCGCGCGTCGCGTTGGCGCGCGTCCCAGCCACGTCAGCGCCCCATCGCGCGCGTTCGCGCGCGTCGCGCGCGTCACCGCCGCCGTCGTTCGCATCGCGGGCGCCGCAGACGACGCGACGAACACCGCGCTCACCATCGAAGCGCTCGCGCTCGCGTCGCGCGGTCAAGTGTCGCCGGCGCGCGCGATCGTTCGTCGACGTTCATGACATTAAATTTAAACAAACTGAAAAAACGCTCGCGCGAACGCGCGCGTCGCCGCACACCCCGACGCGCGCGCGCGCTCGAGGGCGATGGGCGACGCGATGACGCGCGAAAAAGCGCTCGAAGTGCTCGAGCTCGGATCGTCGATCGCGGACGCGCGCGCGCGACGCGGTGATGGGTCGACTGAGGAAGATGGGGACGCGGCCAAAGTCATCCGGGCGAAATATCGCGCGCTGTGCTTGCGTTGGCACCCGGATAAGAATCCGGATGACGTGGAAAAGGCGAAGATGATGTTCACGGAGATAACGTGCGCGTATCACACGCTGACGACGGCGAACTTTGATCACGAACGGTGGGCGCGGACGTACGAGATACCGCCGCTGCAGCGGTTGGAGGACGTGCTCGCGTTGGCGCTGTCGGGGATGGATCCGTTTGAGATCGAGGCGATGTTGAGGGCGAGGGGAGAGTATAGACCGCATGTGAACTTTGGAGTGGACGTGCGCGTGCCGTGGGAGGCTGGGGAGCGGCCGGAGGCGGATTTTAATTGCGGGGCGTCGGCGTACTCAAAGACGCGAGCGCTGGGCGACGGCTCGGGAGCAAACGAGACGCGGCAGATGGAGCTCGCGTGGGCGGCAAAGGCTGTAGCTGGGGCGAGTGATGAGAGACCGTGGGAGCGAGTGGGTGGAGTTGGGTTCGACGCGTCCGTGGTCGCGCCGAAAAAGTCTTTGTCGTGGAAGGCGTCAGATGCCGTCGCGTCGCTCTCGACGGCGGAGGAATTGAACGACCAAGGCATGGCGCTGTACGCAAAGAAAAAATACGCTGACGCACTGGCGCTGTATGTCGAAGCTGCGCGTATGGAACCTGGGAAGATTGCGTACCAAGGAAACACAGCGGCGGCGGCGCTTCTCTACGCGAACGAACTTCGCGATGCGTCGCCGCAAAAGGCGGAGGTGCTTGAAATCGCCATTTCGGCGTGTGAATCCGCGATCGCGATAGATGAAAGTTACGTGCGAGGGTACGTACGAGGCGGGAAGGCTCTCTTGGCGCTCGGTGATGCGACGCAGAACGTCGGGAAATTGAAACGAGCTCGAGAGATGCTTCACAAAGCGCTCGAGCTTGATGCGGCAAACTCCAGCGCCAAGGCCGCGTTAAAAGATGTAGAGATTAGCTTGCAGTTATTCGACAGCGATAGCGATTGATGATTATTTGTGAATGGAATTCCATTACGTTTCTAACTACTTCTAGATTATTGCAAATCCATCTCGACGGGCGGATCGGCTTCATCGTCGCTTTGTTCGGGCAGAGCGGCGAGCGCTCGCAACGCAATGTCGGACAGGCGACCTCGCGCGCCATGGGCGGTGCCACCGGCGCGCAAATGTTCTAATGCTTCATCCATACCATTTTGCAAGTTAAACGCTCGATAAACGGCGCGCTCAGCTTGATGTCGGACTTCTGAAGACTTATCGGCCACGGCGCATTCGGCCAGGACGTTCATGAAACTCTCAAAATGAATGGACATTTCCGAAGGACCAGCCGCATGAATAATGACGCGAAATGCTCGTGTCGCGGCGTAGCGCACTTCTATGACTGCATCCCGCAAGAGTTTACTCAACACTGGCATGAGCTTACTCAGATACGGTGACGCACCTCCCGAAGTTGTCGCGGAAATGGCTGCAAGCGCACCAAGTCCGCGAGCAGCTGCGGCTCGACTCGGCGGACGTTCATCACTCGCAGCGCGAACGAGCGCATTAAGCGTAATTGATGCGTGATCATTCATGATGACTTGCCCGTTTGCTCGTGAAATCTGGCATAAAGCGTCCGCAACACCTTCACGATGCTCGGCCGCGCGACCATCGCCGGCGTTGAGTCTTTCCAACACGGCGGTGCGCTCTTCTGTTGGACACCACACAAACGCGCGGGATAGCGCCAAACTCGCGCAAGCTCGCTCGCCCGATGACGATGAAGCGAGCGCGGCGTATGCCGCGTCAACGGCGCGCGTCACATTGGGTGCTGCAATGTTCTTCCCGCCGTACGCAAATACGCCGGCGATGGCTTTATATGTCGATTCGCGAATACCGGCTTCAGTCTCATCGGACTCGACCGTACTGATCAAATCATTGACCAGTGCGTCTACACGAGTCTGCAGAGCCATCAACAAACCGATAGCGGTCGCAGCTTTCATGCGCACAGATATCTGCACATCGGATAGGCACTTCACGAACGTCGTTTGAAGCTGCGGAACGAATGGTTTCAACGCGATGCCTCCCTTGTTGATCAACACACCAAGCGATTCCAGGATCGCACTCTTCACGGCGCTCGGGTGCTTATCGCCAACGACACGAATAAGAGGGCCGGTAATCGCGATAATGTGCGCTTTCAAAGCCGCGGAAGTCGTACTTGAGACGGCAAGCGTCAGGCCCTTTGTCGCGTCTTCTCGAGCATCCGCGCTCTCTGCAGAGAGAACACCTTGGAGAAAGATTTGCACGATGGGCGCAAGACCTTTCGGAAGACAGAGTGCGGGGATAAGATATTCGTGTGATGCTTTGTTAGCGCGACGAACTTTGTCACGCGCGAGAGTCAAAGCCTTCGATACACACTCGACGTATTCTGGAAGCTCCTGTCGTGAAATAGTGGCGGTGACGTCTCCCATGGCGCTCCATGCGGCGAGCAGCACGGCCTCGTCGGTGTCAGTGAAGAGCTCGAACAACCTTTTTATCAACACCTCTGTTTCTGAATCTCCGTCGTAGCCAGGCGCGTTCTTGGCGTATTCACCCGCCAGTTTCGCTGCCGCGGCTCGACAACCCGGGTACTCATCCGTCATTCCGCGTTTTATTTCTGTCAGCAACAGGTGCGACGAATTCTCAGGAACAGCCTTGATGACCGCGAGCGCTGCAGAACTCGCCGCCGACCGGCTTTCTTCATCATCATCGGCCATGGCTTCGAGAAGAGGCGGGATCAACAAAGGAAGGTGGGGAGGCAAGGCGGTGCCTGCGACTTCTGCGAGCGCGCCGAGCGTTCGAGCTCCTGAAATTGACAGCGGCGGTTGCGCCAAATTCGGAAGCACGGTGGCAAGAATCTTTGGCTGCGCCTTAAGCACTTGCTTCAAGCCCTCGAGTACGGTCGGGCTCGACTCCAGCTGTTCCAGGAGTGCCGGGACGATCTCACCCGCGGCGTGTCCGCCGCCGTGCTGAAAGAGTTTGTCGAACGCCGCGCCAGCGGCGCTACGTACCCTTTCATCTTCATCGCACAGCGCGTCTTGAACGGTAGGAATGACGACGTCGTAATGATTTTCGAGTTGAGAATCTGTCGCCGCAAATAATATTTCAGCCAAACCCAAGGCGACGCCTTCGCGATGCTCGGCGAGCTCGCTCTTTAACCCTTCTCGCATGATTGGCAAGACGGATACGAGCACGCGTTCGCCCAGCTTTCGCACGACATCGCCAAGACATCGACTCGCAGTCTGCTGACGATCGTCCGAACCGCCAGACATTGTTGAAATCACGCGCTGCATGAGTAAAGGTAATATGACTCTGAGAGTCTTCGGAGTGTTCGCGACGACGGTTTTCCAAATGTGAACTGCAGCGTTTCGCACGCTCAAAGTTCCGTCCGATCTAAGAATGTAAACAGCGGCAAGCAAGTTGTGATGACGAATTTCACCCAACGTATTACTGAGCATTTGTCCTTGTGCTTCGGTGGAGATGCCTTCGGCATCATCACCACCCTCAACGCGCACCTTGCCACTCGAGCCGATAATGCGGAACAACATCGAACCGAGAAGCTCAACAGAGGATTGGCGAATGCGCCAGTTATCGGAGACGATACCGTCTTCGATCGCCGGCAAAATCAAATCTAGCGAACTACCACTGTGAGAAAATTCTTCGACAAATACTCTGCCCGCGTTCAGCGCGGCTTCTCGAACGGGTTCGTCTTCATCAGCCAAGCCCTGGAGAACGCACGCTAGTGCGTCGACGAGATGTGCCTCAAAGACGTCACCAAGTGATATCGGTAGGAATCGCAGTAGAGTCAAGTGACCTTCTCTCACGGCCGATGATGCGTTGGCACAACCAGAAAGGATTTCTGGGAAGAGCGCGTCGAAGTGATCCGTGCTAAGTACGGCCAAGCACTCAGACAAACCTTGCGCGGCGCCAGAGCGCTCCACGCTTGTGCCGTCGCTTTGCATGGCGCGCATCATCCACGGGAGTAAGTCTTCAAAGTACTCTTCACCTAGACCGTTAATCAGTCCTGCGAGTGCTTGCGCGGCAACGCCGCGTACTTCTGGAATTGGGTCCATCAGAGCCTTCTTGAGCTCGGGGACGAGCATGGGGATGTACGGAGCCATGTCTTTTGGATCGGCGACGAGAGCACTCATGTTCCCAGCGATCTTAGCCGCTTTCTTCTTCATATCTGCTTTCTGTTCGCGCAAACCGCGAACCAAGACCGGTACGATGAGTGCGAGCGAAGGCGCGTCGACCACGTTCACGAACGTCGTTTCGAGCAGTACGTCCAAGCATGCTTTTGTACGTCTTGTGGGATCTTGAATAGCGCCGAGGAGATAGCTACTCAAAGCGATAATCTCTGGGTTGCGAATAACGTCACCCACTGCCTTGAGGGCTTGCGTTGCAGCCTCTACGACTTTCGGATGGGTATCAATCAACGTTTCGCTCAGACGAGGCACGATCTGAGGTAAGCACGCTCCAAGCTGTTTCGGGGCACAGTTTGACATCGCGCCGAGCAGTTGAACCGAACCTTGTTTCGTACGCCATTTGTCGTCATCGACCCCGCAAAGAAGTGCCGGTAAAACAAGCTTCACGCCTTGCGCAGATAAATTTGCCATGATTACGCGCGCTGCCGCTTGCGTGGCTTCGCGAACGGGGGCAGTAACGTCGCCAAAACAAACTAGAAGCATGGGCAGAATGTTCACGACGTATGGCTCAAAAAGCCTGCCCAACCTCGTGCAGAATAATTCAAAAGCCATAACCGCGCCTTCTCTCGATTCGGGATTCTTTTTGTCCTCGATCGCTACCTTCAGAGTGTCCATGATGTTCATGCCTTTGAGACTGCTCATACCGATGCCCTTGACGGCACCTGCCAGGCCAAACGCCGCGCCTCGCCGATCGGCATACGCATGGCTCGTCGTGAGTTGCTGCAGCAGAGCATCAACCAAAGCTTGTTGCTCTTCAGCACTGAGCTTCTTCATGAGAGGAGGTAAACAATCCGCCACTGAACGCTGTACAGCTTCGGATGGTGTGCTTAAAACCTCGAGCAAGCGAGTCAAGATTGCGCGAACTTTCTCATCCTCTTTGTCTAAGTGCACCGCAAGTGCGCCGAGAAAAACGATGACGCCTTGTCGAACGTGATCCTCTGCTTCTTCCGATAGATTACCTCTACTTCCTCCTCGGTCGAAGTATGCTTCGTAAACAGCAAGTAGCTGTTGCGTGTGCTCTGCACCGTGTGCGTCAATCATCAAGCGTCCGGTTTCTACCGTCGCGGAACGCACGCCAGCGTCGACATCAGAGAGAACCTTTGTGAGAAATGTGGATACGAGCGGGAGATCACGGGCGCTAAGACTTGGCGTACAAGCGCCGAGTCCCTTGATGAGCGCTTCTCGCCCATACCCATGCTCACATGAGTTGAATTCGCCGAAAAGCTTCGGTAGTGAAATCGACATGCCGTTTTCTTGCGCAGCAATCGTCGCCGCAAAAGCTTCCACGGCACTCCCCCTAACGGAACCGCTTGCGTGTGTGAGAAACGGCAGGACATCCACAGGAGACGGAATCGTGTCTGAAAGTCCGCACAATACCCAAACCTCTTCAGCCGTCTGCTTATTTACTTCGTCGGCGTCGAAACGCGCAATAAAAAGCTTTGCAATCGCGATGTTAGCCGTTTGCTGTTCCATGGAAGCAAAATTCAGCGGCGCGTTCAGCAAACCTGATAGAGAGGCACCTCTAACCGCTCTGTACTCACTTTCGACACCGTCGACCAATGCGAGAACGTCATCGCTCGTGCGCAAGTATCGCGACACGTCTGACAGAATGGGTTTTGCTATGTTTACTAGATCTGGTGTCGCATTCGCGAGCGTGTTCAACAACAGTCGTACAGCGGCCGCGGCGCTCGGCAAGATTGGCACACCGTCTTCATCTTCACCGGCGTGTGCTGCAAGTAAACCGAGAGCATCAACGCGCAAACTCTTTGGAGCTTCAGGAAGAAGTAGAGCGTGCGCGATGACAGGGAACATCACGCCAAATATAGGTACCGGAAGTGGATCTGGATCATTGTCCTCCAAGGCTTCTTGTGCAAGCTCAATTGCTTGTCCCAAGATGCGACTCTCGAATCCAACCGTATGCATGTCCACCGATACAGGTTTACCGTTCAAGCCGATCTCAACGGGTGCGGGCGTCCCGTTTAAGCTCATTGCCCCCAACCGAATGGCTAAAGCTTCGGCTTGTCGTTCCCGTGGAAACGAAAGCATCATCGCTGCCCCTCTCGCCGCGGCGCAATACACGAGTGCCTCTACTGCTTTCAGAACCGTAGACTGTGGGATGATTTTCGACTTTAACAGTGGAAAGACGTTCGAATACGCAATATCGCACACACACGCACGCGCTTTATGCCCGAGACCTTCTAAAGTAGCAGTCAAGACCTCGAGTCCATCAACAAACTTGCGGACGACTTCCTTGACTCGCGATCGAACAGTGTCTTCTTCGGCTAGCTGCGCGCGTCGCGCTGCTTCTCGTGGATCAATCGCTTTCGTCGAAGGCTTTGAACTTGTCTTCTTTGCTCCAGCTGATGCCTGGCTCGGTCGTAAAGAGACCACATTCGATTCCTTCTTCGGTTGTTGCGTCGATGTCGAAACCGCAGGCTTGTTCGCGGGATCTGTGGAGAGCGAGCCCGGTGCTGTGTTGTAGATGAGTACATCCTTCGCACTCAGGGCGTCGTGTATCGATGTATCGAGCATCTCTAACGCACGGGGCACGATAGTGTCCAGAACAACACGTCCAGTCTCAGTGCCCAGTCTTGCAAACGACACGATTGCTCTACGCGCCGACGAACGTTCCATGCTGGACTCGCTGCGCAACCCCTTGTCACCCATAATGGTACTACACACGATCGCAGCGTCCTCGACGTCGATGTTATCCCCCACGAGCGATAAAATTGCGGACCACGCGCCTCCACGTCGGCCATCAGACGCTTTGACGAGCGGGTGATGTGCAAGTAAGAGCATTTCGCCGATCAAATCATTCGGAAGTGTCAGGGCTTGCTCGTCTTCATTGAACTCGCAATATGCTATCAGTGAAGCACCGGCGTATTGCGACGGGAACGTGTCGTCCATCATACCCTCCCACTTTCCAGCCTCGGCCCAAGCGAGCCAATGTCGCAGCCCTTGGATCATTTTGACGGATGGTTGTCCAACAGAAATTGCGCCTCGCACAGCCTCTCTCGCCGCCGCTCGTGTTCGTGAGTGAGCGTGCACAGTCAAAAAAGCAATCGCTTGAATCACCGAATCTACCAACCCCATCTTCGCCGCATGTGAGGCGTGGAAAGCCATGATGGACTGACCCGTCGCGGCAAGAATTTCAGTACTCTCGTCGTCCAAGCGTGTCATGGTCGCAGGCTCAAAGTACGCCGCGACAGAATCCCAAACCTTGTTCGTCTTCAGCGCTTCAGCAGTAGATGGGTCTTCTGCTGCAACGCGCAGAAGTATGTATAGTGAGCTTAAGCCCTCGGCACGTAGTGCTAGCTTACCACTGCCCGCCACCGCAATCGGAGACAAGTTGGCGACGACGCCTGATAGCCCTGCCGGAAGCGCAGAGTTTACGCGCAAAGCCTGTGCTACGCACTGAAATGTCGAGCAGCGCTCCGTCGTGTCCTTCGAAGCCTCCTTTACCAGACTAGCGAGCGATTCTGGGCATTCACTCGCATGACGAAGCCATGCAGTTAGAGCGCTGAGCGCTGCGGCTTTCGCTTCGAGTTGCTTTTCCACGGTCAGTTCCGCTGAGAGAACACCGATGGCGTCGGCGCTGAGCAACTCTCTCGCTTTGCGGTCGCTCAACTGCGAACAGGACGCAATCACAGCGTACAAACCGGTGCGAGCGGTCCACTCCTTCGGTCGAGGTCCTGAAGAAAACTCGCTCGTGCACGGCGCAAAAATGTGCTCCTTGACGACGCTCGCATCGGCAGAACCATTCACGAGGGCGCTTACGATCTCCAGAGCCATCGCGCGACGATCTTCGTTTGCGTGCTTCGCCAGAGGCAGTATTACCGGCCCCATTTCCGCGCACATGTTGCTCACGTCCGCGCTCAACGTCTTCAACGCGCCGAGAACGGCGGGCAAGACAGCTTCGGGACTGCGACGCAACTGTCGAACGGCTTTTGGGAGCAAGGTCTCGTTGAGTTCTTCGCTCGTAGCATTCGTCAAAATGGACGCAAACGACTCGCTCGACACTCCAACTTTGGCGACTTTCGCGTCGGCGCCAAGCACGACGGTACAAAACACCTCCAAAAGCGCCTTGCGGATCTCGGCTGGTCGCCGAGAAGTCGTTTTGGCCACGGCGAACGCTTCGTGCGCCAACGCGCACAGAACCGGATTCGTCCCACCACTACTTTGCACAAGCTCGATGTATCTATCCAAAACCACATCCCCCCCGTGCGCGAGCACCATCTGTTTAAACGCCTTAGCCGAGAACGCCTTGGCGCCCTTCGCTCGCAGCCTCGCGAGCGTCTCCAGCGACTTCGCCAACAACCCATCCTCGCTCTCCAACGTCATCGCGCTCATCACGGCGCACATCAATCGACTCGCGACGTAACACTCGTGTTCACTAAACCCTCCCTTTTCCACCGCTTTCCCGCACGCCGCGACGAAGACGCTTCGAAATCCCGCGTCTCTCCCGCTCGCGGCGCTCGTCGCCGTCTCCATCGCCTCCCGCACCTCCTTCACCCGCCATCGCGCGTCTCGCACGTGAGCAAATATTGACTTTATCAACGTTTGCACGTCATGCGTCGACGCCAGTCCTGTTCGTCGCGCCGCAGCGTCCGTCAGTCCACGCTCGCGAGGTCGCTTTCGACACATCCGACACATCGCGTGCTCGTCTTCGTCGACGTCGTTTTCTCGTCACCGCGCGCGCGCGCGCGCACCTTCGTCCGCGATAACGTCTGTGATGGTTTCCCACGCCGCGAGGACGGCGGCGCGCCGCCGGAGCGGCGGGACGGCGAACGGCGAGGCCATCTTTGCGGCGATCCCTGTATCGGGTTTTGAGGCAGTTTGTTTCGTTTCGGCGAGACGAGCGTCGGACGAGCTGAGACTACAAAGACGCGCTACTATACAGTGAGCTAAACCAAGCGCTAAGAATGACTAAGATGATACATCGCGCGTGACGGCGCGCGCGCCGAGGATCGCGCGCCGGCCCGCGGCGATTTTGTTTTTCGCGAATCCGCGACCCGCGCGCGGGCGCGCGTCGCGTCGCGTCGACGGCGCGCGCTGAAGATCGCGCGCGACCGTTAGCGATCGAATCGATTAATTAAATTTGATTCCGCGGCGGTATCACGACACAGACGCGCGCGCGCACGGCGACGCGACGCGAGCGATCGCGGAGACGGTCGCGAAAAGAGGCGGACGCGCGGGACGCGATGTCGAGCGACGCGGCGAGCGACGCGCTAAGGCCCGGATGGTCGGTCGGGCGTTTCCACGCGTTGCAGGGAATCAATTACGTGCTGTCGACGGCGTACGTGACGTACGCGGCGGTGGCGCGCGATCGAACGCGGCCGGCGGTCGTCGGGGCGATCGCGAACGATTTGGTGTTCAATTCGTTCGATGGGACGTGCCTGGCGCTGTGGGTGTACGTGTTCTCGTGCGTGCACGCGATTGGGTGGTCGTACGTGTGCACGGGGAGCGACGCGTACACGCATTACGCGACTGAAACGCAGCTGGCGTTCGTGACGCTTTATGGATTACGGTTGATGATGAAGATGCCGAACTGCGCGGTCGGAGCGCTCATGGTGTCCGTGGACGGTCTGGGCGCGTTGGGTAAATTTTGTTTGATTCGCGTGAGCCGCTTGGGCGTGGTGGACGTGCCGCCGGAGAAACGGGTCAGGTATTTCAAGATTCCCAAACCTCGATCAGCGTCGACGCTATTTATCATGCACGAACGTCTGGCTGTGCTATTTAGCATCTGTTACATCGGCGGGGCGATCTTCGTACTCGAGTTCGGTCGACACTTCTCCGCTTTGGCGAACATGCGCAATCCAAACACCATCGGTATGTGTTCCGCCGGTCTCTTCGTCACTGGCATTCTATCTCATTCGTGGATTCCTGCACTGCGGCAAGGTTCATTCGGCGCACTGTTCGTCATGATAGCGTCGAAGAGCCTTCTCGCGTTGATCATCATAACGCACGGATCACTGCCGGACTGGTTCAGGTTCTCTATCAACATGCCCTTCTTCACAATCATGACGGCCGCCCTGATGAACATTCTCTTTCACCACGCGTTTAACGGTCCCATTTTCGTCGGGCCGACTCGCAAAGGATTCCACATGTTTGGTGTCTCCCTGGCATCCATGGCGCATTTGTTCATACTGGGGAGTCTCCTGTACACAAATTTGTGGTACCAGGGCATCGCCACCGGTGTGATGATGCCAGAGTGGGGTCGCCTTCAGGTACCACTTTTGAAGGTCAACTTTCCAATCCTCCGCACCATCGCACGCCGCTTGTCAACTCTTTCTTTTCCCGTCCTGCGCTTACGGTTCAGCAAGGAACACGCGCTGCTGCGCGGCGACGCCGAGTTGGCTCGCATTTCAATGATGCAATACTCCATCGTGTTGCACGCGTTCGTGGGTATAAGCACCGCCGTGATTCGAAAGAGCGCATTTTCTGACCAACGAACGCTAAGAAGCGCCAGATTGATCTACGGCGTGATGGCAATGTCTGTTTCCTACACTCTCTGCGATCATTTTCTGGTGGCTCGTGCTATGTCCAATCCGTGGACGCGAAAGTTACATCACGCTCCCAGTGATTGGGTGGGGGTTGATTTCACTATCTGGCTCATCATGATGCTCTCAATCTACGCGTGCGTACGAGGCGCCGTTCACCTTTCCAGAAATCCGGATTCGAGCGGCCAGCGAACGGGTTTCACGAATTTGCGTGGACGCTGGCGCATGCTTGTGCTGAAGCATTTCGCTTTGCAACGGCAGGTAGAGAAGTGTGCATGGATAAATGGGGTCCTTGTCCTCTGCGCTATGCTTCCGATCGCTCTGCTAACGAGTGGTATACCGCATCCTGTGCCGCTTTCAGACACGTACTTGATCGCACCGAAGCCAGTTCCAAGAATGTCCGCAATCAGTCCTCTACTGTTATCTTTCGCTGCCCACAATCTCATGAACCCTTCTTTTCCAAAAGGAGTCGCACTCTCCATGAATACTTTTGCGCAGAGCACTATCACTTTGTGGTTTGTGATTATCTCACTCTATTACAAGGCGCTGACGGGCAAGAGTGATAAAGTTTCACGAACCCTCGTTCACATACTCTTAGGATGCCCGTTGCGCAGTTGTGACGCAAAGCGCTTCGAAAATGCATACCTAGAAAGCGTCGAGACTGATGTTCAAATCATCTTACTGTGCCTGGCTTGGCTTCGGGTGTACTTGCAGCACATTGCTCTCGTGAATACGCACGAAACGTCGAAGGAGGCGAGGTCGCGTTTTCATGCAATCCAGAAGACGACGAAGATGATGTGCACACTGGGTGCATTATCTCACATCTGGCATATTCTCATCAGGTTAGTGCGTATTATTGGCGCGGGCGCTCTTTCGAACTCGATGGTTGACCTCCTTCGTCGACGGCTCATGACTCTCTCCGCGTTTGAATCGGCTGACAGTATCATCGAGGATTCCTTTCACGTTGGATACTTCTGTCTCTTGACTCTCGCGCTGACACATTCAGTCCTTACAAGCGGCGTCTCGTCGTTTGGTCGATTCTTGAAACCTGTGATGAGAGTCGTCCGTGGAGTGTATTTCATGCACATGCTGGTGTTTGTTTCGCGGTTCTCGTGGCTTTGCGGTTACACCAGTACACCCTTGACGCTTTCGCTGTTCCTCCACACCATGGGTTGGACTTATGTCTGGTTCCAATTCGCCAAAGCCACTCAAAAGTTGATCCATTCGGTTAAAAACCGAGTGGTGATGCTCAGTACCGTCAAGGTAAGGTTCATTGCTGCACTATTTAAGCGGGGCATTGTGGTTCCGGATGAGATGAGTACGATGCGAAAGTCGAGTTTCGGTCGTATTTTGTCGAAGTCGCCATCCACCTCTCCAAGGCCATTGGTCGCGGTGGTGTCACAGTGGCAAAATCACTGGGTCAAGTGTTATAAAGCCGCTTTCGGAGATGAAATGTTCGACGCAGCCTCGAATTCCGAGTTTCCCATTCCAATGCCACCTCCCAATGCGTTTGGGTTGCTGGTGATGCAGTTGAAGATTGCTTTCATGTTCGTGTTTGGCACTCTGATGCAGAAAAGGCGCCCGACCCATCCAGTCGGTGTTGGTGCGATCGGGCAATTCACCGTCATCGAGAACAGTAAGGTGCCCAAAAATGCTTTCTTTACGAAGGGCAAGACGATGCCAATCATCTTGAGGCACTCGAACGCCGTCGGCGTGAAGCTCGCCGACTCGGAAATGTATGACGACGCATCTCTTGAGATTCGAGGTTGTGCGCTGAAGTTCTCAAATGCCGTCGACGAAAGTCCATTCGATCTGCACCTGAACACTGGTGAATTCGCTGGATTTTTCAACTTGGATTCGTTTCTTCCGTTCGTATTTCAAATGGCGACGTTTAACGACTCCGCTTACAAGGCATGGGGAATGAAGTATCCCACAGGCATTAAGGCTGGTATCGGCGGGGTGCGAAGGGCACCCGACTCGTACTGCGATTTACATTATTACTCGCAGACTTGTCGCGAATTCCATGCTTTGGATGGCAAAAAGCGATACTGCAAGTTCAGACTCGTTCCATACGGAGCTGGCCCTGGGACGGACGTCGGTCAAGAGCCGTTCTTGCCTGACGAGGCTGACCAGAACCTGATCGCAACGACACATATGATGAAATATCGTCGACTACCGAACGAGAAACGTTTGCCTGACTATCTGCGAAACGAGTTCTGCACCAAGGTGGCGGGCGAAGCCGTGAGGTACCGACTTCAAATCCAGTTATATGAGGCCACTTCTTCGGATACCGCGGAAATTTTCAACCCCAACAAAGCTTGGGGGACTGAATTTCTCGACGTTGGAGTCGTGAGACTTCACGCCGCACTCCCGCAACACTCGGTTGAGAATTTATCGTTCGGTATGAATCGTACTCCGGCTTGCATGCCTCTCACTCGACCAATCAACTCGCAAGACTATAACTCCTTGAACTGGACGCGTGCGGTGGTTTACGAGACGTCATATAAAATTCGCCGCGTTTTCACCCGCGGACGAAAAGACGTTTACGCTCCTGAAGCGTCAAAAAAGTATACGATCAAAGTTACGACGCATTCAATCGCTGGGTCTGGAATAGACGGTGATGTGGTGCTACAATTCGTCGGAACGCGTGGCGCTACGCCCAAAATCGTCCTGCATGATCTCGGTGACTCCTTCGCAACTGGAGCAATCAGCACGCACTTCGTGCACGCCGACGATATTGGAGAGCCAGCTTACGCCATTATTTCTCAAACCTCGAAAAGCTCTTGGAATTGCGGTCGGATAGATGTGACGTTCACTTCGCAAATTCCAACGAGTTTCACGTTGAATGTGTGGCGATACATTGGCCAAGGTGTCCGATTCGTTCTTCCGTGCTCCATTACGCCGACAACAAGCTTGGCTTGTCGCCAACTGATCGCCGATGCGACTGAACAGTACCTTTCGTTCATGAAGAAGGAATTCGATTGGTCGAATGGTTCGTACTTGCCAAATCATAGCACATATGACGACCACTCAAAGCTCCCCATCACGGAGCAATTCAGCTCAACAAAATACAAGGACTTCTTTGTCGATACTTTTGTGGGATTCGAAAATAAAGGCGTCGCCGAAATGATCAAGGACGAAGAAATTAAATCGCTGGATGACTACTATCGCCTTTACGCTTCTCTCCCCCCTGTTGCAATCATCAGAGACTGGCGTTCGGACGAGGAGTTTGGTCGTCAATTTATGAATGGAACACATCCAAATCAAGTGCGCAAAGTGTCTCAAATTCCAGCCAAGTTTCGCGTCACCGAAGAACATGTAAGAGGCGTTTTACCTCCAGGCAAAACGCTCGAAAGCGAGTTGGCAGCAGGGCACATATTCATGGTTGACTATGAAATCCTTGAGGATATCAAGCGCGGTCAAGGCTACTGCGTCGAGAACTCCATGGCTCTCTTCTTTGCGGACAAGAGCACGGCACTTCGCCCAATCTGCATCCAGCACTTTCAGTCTGGTGCTAGCGCGCCGGTATGGACTCCAAAAGATGGCGAGTACGAGTGGCTCCTCGCAAAAGCGCACTTAATGTGCTCTGACGGAAACGTACATCAGATGATATCGCACCTATTGGGCACGCACTTGCTCATGGAACCGTGGTCCGTCTGCGTCGAAAGAACTCTTCCAAGAAACCATCCTGTGTACCGGGTATTGCGTCCTCATCTCATCTACGTGATTGCCATCAATACCCTTGGGCGGTCGTTGTTAATATCTCCGGGAGGAGTTACTGATCGCGTCGTAGCAGTTGGCCAAGGAGGTCACATGGACTTGATGAGCAAAGCGTACCAGAGATTTAAGCTTGACGATTTGCACGTTCCGACCTCCTTTAAAAAACGTGGCGTGCTAAGTGAGGGAGATTTGAGAGGTTATCATCATCGTGACGACTCGTTGCGAGCATGGGCCTGTCTTCGTCGTTTCGCTAAAAGCATCTTCAAGCTGCACTACACGTCTGACGCGGAAGTTGCCGCCGATCCATACATACAGAGCATGATTCTTGAGATGCAAGGCTATGGATACCAAGGCACGGACAGAAGTCAGCACGGTGTGCCGGGTAGTATCGATTCAATCGATCAACTTGTTGATATCTGCACGTCAGTGATGTACACGTGCTCTTTTACTCACGCCGCAGTCAACTTCAGCCAGTGGGACTATTACTCTTATTGTCCAAATCGTCCGCTCATCATGCGCAAGCCTGCGCCGACGAAGAAGGTTCCGGTGACGGAAAAAGATGTTATCGACGCGCTGCCGAGCGTCGGTCAAGCGGCGCAGACGATGGCGACTGGCTGGACGCTTTCACAGTTCTCAAAAGAAGAGGTTTTTGTCGGACATTACATCACTGACATGATGATTACGCCGGCTGAAATCGCCGCTCTCCAAGATCTCCGTTCTGAGCTGCGTGCCATGGGACGCCAGATCGAAAACCGCAACGCAAAGCTTGGAGTAAAGGCATATCCTTACATGCACCCAGAACGCGTGCCGAGCAACATTGGTGTGTAAAGCCACTGTTGCGTCAAAATTCCAAAAATCGGTGGGTGAACCAACTCACCACGAGCAAGACTTCCCGCCGCGAGCCTGCGGCCTATTCGTAGTTTTGGATACATTCCCAACGATAGCGCGTTTATCGTGCGATAACGCGTTTGTCGCGCTACCAGTTTTACTATTTAAGCAAAAGCACAACGTTCAAACAAGCACTTCCCAAACCCGCTCAACGGCCAACCGAACACCGCGACGCGTTCGTCTCGACCCGACGACGCGCGTTCGATACGCACGCGTAAATGTTCGCATGGACGTATGATCTCCCGCTCGGTGCGTACGCGTTCGGTGGGACCGTGCGCGAGGCGAGCGAGCAGCGAACGCAAAAGATTGCCGTGATTGTCATCGGGTACGTGCTCGAGATTTTCCTCGTCTTGGGCTACGCTCGAGCGGGCAAGAAGCGCATGCATCCTAAATTTAGACTGAATCGTCGACGAGCGAGGCGCCTGTTGGTGCACGTGGCCTTCGGAACGATGGAGCTGACGTTGGGCGCGCGAGCGTTGCTGGTCGGCGGCGGCGCGAGGGGTACGATGCGCGCGAGCGCGGCGTGCGTGTTGGTGATCGCGCTCACGGCGATGCTTCAAATCGACGCATCGTTTGGGACACCGTCTATTATAACTCCTGCATTGCACATTATAAACACCGCGCACATCGAAAAAGCGTTTCGAGTGCTGATTGGAGCCGGCGCGCTTTCGTCAGACTCGAGCGGCGCCGTATTGGAAAATTTCATCGACCAGCTCGTTCTCGCGCAGGGGTTCGTGTATTCCAGAATGTTTATATTTGCGTTCACGAATGTTCCGGGTATTAAGGAGCACCGGTACACGACAGGGGCAACTCTTGCACTGTTTTTAGTCATACCAGCAGTGTACGGTCCCGTGGGTGCCCTCATTGCCATAGTCATCATTGCCGCGTATTCCAACGCGTGCGGATCCGAGGAAAGCGGAAAAGAACGCAATTTTGCAGCTATCTGTGGTAGAGTGAATTCGTTGGTACGTTTGCGAATCGGTAAGACGCCGTTACGGACAGCTTTTGATGTGCTGGATAAGGATGGTAATGGCACGTTAGATGGGAGCGAGCTCCGTGAGCAATTGTTCACGTGGGGCGTCGACGCACGAGACATAAAAGAGCTTTTCGAGCGCATCGATATCTCGAATCGCGGATCACTCTCCTTTGAGGAAATTCTGAATGACACGGCGGGGCAAGCGATGCTTGAATACATCAGCGTTCTACTACATGACAATGAATCGCTCGATGGCGCGCCGCATTCGTCTTCACGAGCATCGAAATTAGCGTAATTAATAGTCATAGCATATTCATATGTATTGTATCAAGCATCCTTTTCGAAGTCGCACAAGGTTCCAGAATGCTATGGCAAAAGTGCACAAACGGCTTTTGTATAGCAACCGGTGTGCGAACACTTCTTGACCGTTTTCAGTTGATGTAAAGAGTAGTAAGTCGCAGAAAGTTTTTAATTAAGTCCATTGCTCACGGACTATTCTTGCTTCAGGCCGGTTGTCCAGTTTACCTGACCTTGGCCGTTATTTCTCAAGTAAGCCACACTGGCACGAGCCATTCGGGTGAGTGTGAAGAGAAATAAGAGCATCATCGCGGTGAAAGAGTACAGTTCCATGACGGCGATCAAAACGAAAAACCAGTTGTCACTGCTGGTAGACTTAACTTGCGATCGGAAGCGCAAGAGCGAGGCGATAACGTTCGGTGTAGTAAAACGCTCGCCGCTATGCAAGAGAATTTTCGCACACCAAAAGTACACCCATCGACTGGTCATCGAGTGCTTCCATACGACAGTGATGAATTGATGCAGCTTGTAATCCAGCTGAACAACGCGGTCGAGAGCCAGCACGGCGTAACCGTTCGCCATAATAATTATGCTCACGATGATATCGACGTGATGCATCTTGATAGTTTCTCGCACGTCGAGTTTGTGTAGAGGGGGAAGTCCAAACATGGCTGTGAGTTTGGCATCTGGCATGGGCACGCCCGTACTGACGGCCATCATCCACAGCCCAGAAAACAAAATTGATACCATTCCATGACGCATGCACTTGGTAAAGAAGCCCATGGAAGCAGTCGCATACGGCTTAAATTCGGGAATACTGAGATGCTTGAGAAGCGCGTACGTGATGAGTGGAACACCGAAAATAGTCAGATGACCAGTACCAACGAAGAAGAGCCAATCCAGCATACGATGTGTCGCCCAGCTTGGGGCCCAACCATTCGTGTACCAGGTTGGATGAAAGATGGTTCCACCACCAAGGGCGACGATGATGTAAATAACAACAAAAAAGTTGTAAATCTGGGCGGGCAGTTGAATTGAGAGAACTTTTGAGATCCACAAACCGCCGTCGTCCATATAGTTCAATGAGTACGCGATAAAAGTGGCGTATGCAACCGCTATCATCGTTTGCCCGTGATTCTTCGCGTGGATGATCTGGTGTCCCGGAATCCAAGGCTCGAAGTAATGCGTAGACATGGTAGATCTAGATGCCCCCTTGATGGCATCGATGCGAGGAATTCCTGAATTCGACGCCGTGATCCAAATTGCGCTGAAAATCAGACCAAACGCACAGTGCCAAAAGATGGTTCGCATCATCTCCTTGCGGTTCGAAGTGCGACTCGCGCGCGATTGAGAATCTTCTACGCGGATAAACCAGGCGCGAACTGGATTCCAGTAAAATACCCCCGTCAGCGCTATCGCCATGGACACAACGCTGAACCCAGCTCGGCAAAAGTAGTACGCATATTTAAGAATTACGTCCGTTCCCGCGCCCTTTACCGCGCTGGCCGTGTAACCGGCCGCGGTCCAGAACGGATGCCACGCCGTTGGCGTTTTTCGACTCGCCATGATCATCATGCACGCGATCATTCGCGTCGAGAAGAACTGGTACAATCTCGCCAGCGACGAGCACCACGAAACGGGCGCGCCGACGACGGCGAGGTCGTCCAGCCAAATAGCGAACACCGCTCCGAATGTCACGTACGTGAACATTTGATGTATCAATCGCAATTCAAAGTCCACCGTACCGTCGCTCGCGCCGCCCGGGATGATTCCCAGCACCGCGAGTTCGTACCACGTAAACGTCGCCGCGATTTGAATCAGGTACCCGCACACCGCTCCAATCTTCGCCGTCTCTCCGCAATCCCCGCGTCCTCGGCTCCACAGCGTCATCGTCCGCGCGTACCGTATCGGCGTCACCAGCTCACACGCCGCGTTCGCGAGCGTAAACGCGATCAGCGCGTTCGCCATGGTTCACCGTCGACCGTCGATGCGCAATCGCAATTCAACGAATCGCGCGACGCGAATTCGATTCGTCGCGCCGGCGCGCGTCGCGCCGTCGCGCCGTTCGATCGAGCGGTCGCGTCGTTCGCGTCGTCGCGCCGTTCGATCGAGCGGTCGCGTCGTTCGCTTCGTTCGCTTCGTTCGCGCGCACGCGTGACGTCGCGCCCGATCAATGCCGGCGAGTTCGTTGAATTGGTGACGCGGACGCCGAATGTCGATTTCGGGCGAGAGGGGGTCAGTCTGAAACTTGCTACACCAAAGTCTGAAAGTTGCTACAACTTGTAGCAAAAATTGGCTGAAAGTTCAGAAACTTGTAGCAAAAAAAGTCTGAAAAACATGTAGCAGATTTCAGCATCACCGGAGACGTAGCAAGTTTCAGACTTTCTGCGTGCAAATTGTCTGAAAGTTGCTACAAGTTGTAGCAAAAATTGGCTGAAAGTTCAGAAACTTGTAGCAAAAAAAGTCTGAAAAACATGTAGCAGATTTCAGCATCACCGGAGACGTAGCAAGTTTCAGACTTTCTGCGTGCAAATTGTCTGAAAGTTGCTACAAGTTGTAGCAAAAATTGGCTGAAAGTTCAGAAACTTGTAGCAAAAAAAGTCTGAAAAACATGTAGCAGATTTCAGCATCACCGACCCCTACCGTTAGAGGCGAGAGGCGAAGCCGCGGATGGTCGTTCGTGAGATTACGATCACAAGCCGCGGGACGACGAACGCGACGCGCGCGATGTCGACGTCGCGGCGAGGCTCGAAGGCGACGAGCGACGCCGAGATCTGGCCCGGGTGCCTGCGCGACGCGAGCGGATTCCACGAAAAGTTGGAATCGCTGACGTACGACCGAGGATGCCGCGGCATGGGACCGATTCGATTCTACGCCCGTTGGTTGACGAATTTCGAACCGTTCCTCGGCGTGTGGTCGGCGCTGGTCGGCGCGTACGCGCGCATCCAGCCCATGCGCTCGGCGCCGGATTCGGCGTCCGTTTTGAAGGCGTCGGACTCGACGTCGACGTCGGTCGCGTTCATGGCCATGTAATGACCCTCACTCAACTCGACGACGACCGGGGCGTCTTCTTCGGCGTCGACGACGCTCGAGTCCGCGAGCTTCGCCTCGCGAGCTTCCTCGATGAGGTCGACGTCGAATTTCTCGCGCACGCCGCGAGCGAGCGCGGCGAGCTTGCTCGAAATCGCGTCCAGCGTCGATTCGACATCCATGTCCGTGACTTCTCGCTTCGGGGTGTCGTCGACGTCGATGCGCATCAGTGCTACCATGCACGGCCGCAAGAAGTTGTCCTCGGTGTAATCGTCCACGAAAAAGTCTTCGCCCGCGCGCGCGAGCTGCGCATCGAGCGCGTCGACAAACCCGAGGTAAAGCTCCGGATAGTCGAACACCGCCGTCTCCGCGCACGAGCACACCACGTGCGCGAGATGTTTCCACTGCTCCAACGCCGCCATGGAGGACAGCCCCATCAAGAGAACGAAGGCGAGTTGAAACTCTCCCAACAACCCGCGCCAGCCGTCGTCGCCGAAGCACGCCACCGCGTGCGCCAGCCGCGCGTTCGCATCGATATTTATCGCCGACACCTCCGCCGGCGTCATTCCACTCGGCCTTTTCCGCACCGCATTCACCGTAAACGTCGGCGCGCGCTGTATGTTATCGAAATACGGCACCACTCCTCCCCGTTCGTCGCCGCGCGTCTCCGCCTCCGGGTCGCCCGCCACCACGCGCGTCCCGCAATCCACCCCACACCTCCGCAAGCTGTCCCGCGTGATCCATCCGCTCAATCCCATCCATCGCGTCTCGACCTCGGTCGGATACCACGCTAACCCTCCATCGAACGCTCGTCCTTCCCGCGTCGCCGCGCGCGCGCGCTCCGCGTCCTCCGCGCTCATCCCCTCTCCCTCCCCCAGCGTCTCCACCGCGGCGTCCCACCTCCGGATCTCCACGCTTCCCGGCGCGGCGTCGATGAACTCTCCCACGCGTTCGCCCGCGCCTCGCTCGTTCGCGTCGCGCACGGCGACGAAGTGCAATCCACGCGTCAGCGCCTTGACGCCCGCGAAGCGTTCGTCGCACGTCCACTCCGCCGTGTCCAGCGCGAACGTCGCCCCGCGCGGGACGTCGACGGCGACGTAGTACCCGCGTCGATCGAGCTCGGCGACGCGCGCGTCGCTCGACATGGCGCGTCGCGCGGGGCGAAGTGCGGCCCGGCGCGCGCGGCGCCGCACACGACGACGCTCGACGCCGCGCGCGACGCCGACGCGCGGGATGGCGACGGGCGCCGCGCGCGCGCCTCGCGCGTCGATCGCGCGCGTCGCCGACGCGCGCGGCGCGCGGCGCGAGCGACGCTCGCGGCGGAATCTCGACGCCGAGCGACGACGTCGACGCGGCGTCGCGCGCGGGAGCGTCGCGGACGACGCGCTCGATCGCGCGCGCGCGACGGCGCTCGAAGCGACGGCGACGATCGATCTCGCGAGCGCGGAGGGCGCGGGACGACGCGCGATGGAGGCGGCGCGCGCGGCGGGGGCGAGCGCGGACGCGGCGGAGGCGGCGGCGAGCGCGGCGACGTGGGACGCGCTGGAACGCGCGGCGCGGACGGCGATGGCGGCGTTTGATTCGGTCGTCGACGGTGGTGGGATCGATGTGATGTCGACACTGGTGAAGGCGCTGACGGACGCGTTCGAGGGACTGCCGGCGATCGATCGGGAAAGGTTTACGACGGACGGCGCGGCGTTCTTCGAGTCGCTGCCGAACGAGGCGAGCGAGCTCGCGAACGAGGCGGCGAGGCGCGCGGGGTCGATCGCGGTGAACGGAGGAGGTGCGGATTTTACCACCGGCGCTGGATTGATCGCCGGTCTCGCGGCGTTGGCGATGGTCGCGTCGCGACCGAAGAAAGGGAACGGCATGGACGAGTGGGCGGCGCTCGCGAGCCAAGAGGGCGACGTGGAGCCGGCTGAGTTGAGGCGGTACGACCCAGCGGCGACGCGCAAGTATTTCTCGACCAGACCGATCACGTTGTTGAAGCGTGGGATTCGATCATTCATCTTGCTCGGCGGTTTCAGCGCTAAGCTTTGGTTGGATCGGAAGACGCGAGGCGAGAACACGAGCGACGCGAAGCGCAAGGAAATCAACACCAAGCGCGCGACGCAGCTGCGTAACCTGCTCGTCTCACTCGGACCAACGTACGTCAAACTCGGTCAAGTTTTGAGTAGTCGTGCCGATTTGCTACCGGCCGAGTACATCGAAGAGTTGCGCGTGCTGCAAGATAGAGTGCCGCCCTTTGACGACGACTTGGCGCGAAGAATTTTGGATCGCGAGCTCGGACCCACCGCTGACCGGCTGTCGCTCGGCTCAACGCCCATCGCAAGCGCGAGCTTGGGACAGGTGTACAGAGGGACTTGGCGAAACGACGAGGGTCAATTAGAAGAGGTGGCGGTGAAAGTTCAACGCCCCGGGGCGCTTGTCGCCATCAGCCTCGACGTCGGCATCATTCGTTCTTTTGCCGAGCCGTGGCGAAAGTGGAACAACTTGAACTCCGACCTCGAAGGTCTGGTCGACGAGTGGGGGCGACGATTCATCGCTGAGCTTGACTATGAAGCTGAGGCGACGAATGGTGAGAACTTTGCGAAAGCCATGGCGTCGCGCTCCGATTTGGGAGGTGTCGTCACGGCGGCGCCCGTCTTTCGTCAGGCCTCGACTCGTCGTGTGCTCACCACGGGTTGGATAGAGGGCGTGCGTCTGCAAGACAGCAAGGCGGACGATACGGCGCAACTCTGCGCTGTCGCGCTCACATCGTACCTGGCGATGCTCTTGGATCTCGGTTACCTGCACGCCGATCCGCATCCGGGCAACCTGCTGCGTACGAATGACGGCAAGCTGTGCATTCTTGACTGGGGTCTCGTCACGCCAGTATCCAAGGATTTATCGGCGGCTATTTTGCGCTTCATCGCGCACTTGGTGAGCAAGGATTTCGAAGCCGTACCGGGTGATTTGGACGCGATGGGTTTCATCCCGTCTGGTAAACGAGAAGCGATGGAGGATTCAGGTGTCGCTCGAGCGCTTGGCTTGTTATTCTCTGCCCTCGCTCGCGGTGGCGGGGCGCAAGGTTTCCGCGACGAACTCGGTCTTCCGGACGAAGAGCGCATTAAAGAGATTCGCAAAGAGTTAAAGGGCGTCAAAGATCCCAAGGCGCGTCGCGACGCCTTCTTGGAAGCCGCGGGCACGGATAGCAAGGTGGCGCAGTTGACGAAGGATTTGGAAGGTGTCCAGGAAAAGTACGGAAATATTTTTCAGATTCCAGCCTATTTCGGCTACATTCTCCGTGCGTTCTCCGTCCTCGAGGGCATCGGGCTGTCTTCCGACAAAAACTATTCAATCGCGAACGAGTGCTATCCGTACGTCGCTCGTCGATTGTTGACGGACAAGTCACCCGAGACTCGACGTGCTTTGGAACAGCTCTTGTACGGCAAGGAAAGCGGCGAACACGCCGTTCTGAGTGTTAATCGCGTTCGGCAACTCTCTACCGCGTTCGGAAGCTACACATCGATCACGAGCCGCGCCAAGCCTTCGACGGAGCCTGAAAAGGCTGGAGGCGCGCACAAGAAGATTTCGAGCAGCACCCGCGAAGCGTTGAAACTAGCGTTTGATCCCACGGGCGGGCCGATTCAAGACATTGCGCTACGAGAGCTCGGTCGCTACGCCGGGGCGCTCGCGTCCACGACAGCGTCGTCGGCGTTATCGGCTCCTCTCTCCGCAGCCGAGTCTTTCGCGCAGTCTTTCGCGCCCGCCGCTGAACTCTTGAGCAGCGCGCAGGGCACGTTGGCGCCACTCGAACGCGCGACGCACGTGAGCGAGGAAGATTTGGAAACCCTCAAAGTCGTTGACGAGCTTCGCAACTTCTTCAGCGGCAGTGATGGAGGGACGGACAAGAAGGAAGAAGCCAACGCCTTAACTCCGCCGGAGATTGATATGGAGCTCGTGCAAGAGCTCGTCGACCTTGCTCCGGAACTCGCCCCTGGTGCGCAGGCGGCGGCGTTGCGATTGGGCTCGGTATTATTCGACCAAGCAGCATATCGAGTCGCGCGCGCGACTCGATCAGATTAGAGCAGCATTTTATATTCATGAATTCTTTTTTACACCCGGAGTCTCATTCATCCGCTAAACTAAGTTGATGCAGTTGGACGCCGTTTCGCGCCCCCGCGTCTCGGCCCCAACGCCCAAGTCTGGGCTCTTGCCCCATACCCGCGAGAATAAACCGACCACTACTCGCGACCTGAATCGAGTTCACAAAGCCTCGAGCGGGTACGCAGTCGAGCGGCACGAGAGGTTCGCCCTCGTGAGACGTCTTCCACAAACGCATCGCGCCGTCACCGGCGCCCGAGGCGGCGAGATCCGTGCCTTTGGCGACGTGAACGGCACTGACCCAAGAAGCCATCTCGCCCACACCTCCATCATCGCTCGCGCTCATCCCACATGCCGCCTGCGCGGCGTCCCGTTGAGCCATCGCCCGGTCGGCGTCGGCATCGCTAAAACCTTTCGGCGCAACAATCTCTCTGAAACCGTGCACGTTTTCCCACGTCTGCGCCGCGCGCTTACGTTGCGTATTCCAAATCGCCACCGTGCCGTCTTGAGAGCCGGTGATCCAGTGGTCGTGCGCGGTAAAAGCACAACTCTCAGCCGGCCCGCCGCCCTCCGGCGGACGAAGCACCAGTTGAGAATCTTCGGGCACCTTCCAGAATCTCGTCGATCGATCCGCGCCGACGGTGACGAGACGCTCGCGACGCTGCGTGTCCAAGCCGATGCACCGATCTTGATGCCCGAAAAGCGTGTCCACGTAAGCCATGTCATCCAAAGACCAGACCTTCACCGTGCGATCCTCCGCGCACGAGAACAACTGTCCGGTGCCGTGGCGGAAACCGAGCCCCGTGATCGCCCCTCTGTGTCCCGCGAAAGCGGTGATGTGCGTCATGCTCCGTGTGTCCCACACGTGGACGCGTTTATCCGCACCACCGGTCACGAGAAGATTTCTCTCCCCGCTCACCGCGCAGCACGACACGACGTGCGCGCCGCACTTCGGCGGCGCCTGCGGCCCGCCGCCGCCTTGCGTCGGGTCCACCACCGCCTCGGGAGTCCTCGGAAACTTCGTTCGCTTCTCGGTCTCGATATCCCAGCCAAATATAGATCCATCCTTCGACACGCTGTACGCCGTTCGATCATCCTCCGCGAGCGCCACGCCCGTCACCGCGCGTTTATGTCCCCGCCACAGCCTCGCCGGCGCCCTCGTCGCCGTCGTCCGATCCGCGATCGACGCCCGCTGATGTCCCGACTTCCGCTGCGCGTCCTCCATCAACCGCGCCGCCAACCGCGTGTGCGAGTCCAAATTCTTCCCCTCCTCCTCCCCGTCGTCCTCGTCCGTGTCCTCCGCCGCCTGTTCCTCTCGCAACCGCTCCAGGTACGCCTTCGCCAACCGCACCCGTTTCTCCTGCGCCGTCTCCCTCGCCGCCGCCGCCGCCTCGCGCTGCTCGGAATCGCTCGCGTTTTCGTTCGCCTCCATCTCCTCCCGTCGCGCGCGCGCGAGTCCGTTCCGGTCGTCGCCGTCGCCGTCGCCGTCGCCGTCGTCCGCGAAATCGCCCTCGCGCGCGTTCGCGCCGTCGTCGTCGTCGTCGTCGCGCGCTTCATCGCGCGTCGCGCGCGCGCGGCGCTTCGGCGTCGTCGCCGCGCCGCGCCTCGGCGCGCGCTTCATCGCGCGTCGCGTCGTCGCGCCGTCGCGCGCGTCCGTCGCGCCGTCGGCGGCGGCGCCGACGCCGCGAACGCGCACTCGCGCGCGGCGCCAATATCGGACCGTCGGAGTTTGTATGGGCAAACAGTGAGCCTAGCACACTTTGTACCATCGGCACCGCGCGGTCGATCGTCGGCACAGCGCGCCCGGCGACGACGCCGACGCGCGTCGACGCGCCGAGCGACGCGACGCGTCGCGAGGCCCTGCGCGCGCGACCGCGCGACGCGGAGACGACCGGCGAGGGCGCGCGCGAGGGACGCGCGCGCGAGGACGCGCGAGGCGCGATCGGTCGCGCGACCGAAGGACGCGACGCGGGACGAGGCGCGAGACGTGCGGCGCGAGACGTGCGGCGACGATGACGCGATTGCGAGCGAGCGAGTACGGGGATTACGACGCGATGGTGAGCGCGCTGTTGAAGCACGAGTTTCTGCCCGAGGAGGAGGTCATGACGCTGTGCGATCGAGCGCGCGGGTTGTTGGCGGAGGAGAGCAACGTGCAGCTCGTGCGAGCGCCGGTGACGGTGGTGGGGGACATACACGGACAGTTTCACGACATGATGGAGATGTTCAAGATGGGAGGGCTGGCGCCCGATACGAATTATCTGTTTTTGGGGGATTACGTCGATCGCGGGTACTACTCGGTGGAGACGGTGACGTTGGTCGTCGCGCTCAAGGTGAGGTATCCGGATCGGGTGACGATCATTCGTGGGAATCACGAGTCGAGACAGATCACGCAGGTGTACGGGTTCTACGACGAGTGCATGCGGAAGTACGGACACGCGGGAATTTGGAAGGCGTTTACAGATCTCTTTGATTTCATGCCTCTGTCGGCGGTGATCGAGAATAAGATATTCTGCCCGCACGGTGGCTTGTCGCCGTCGATCGACACGCTGGATGACGTGCGTAAGATCGATCGGTTCGCGGAAGTTCCGCACGAAGGACCGGTGTGTGATTTGGTGTGGAGCGATCCCGACGATCGCGCCGGGTGGGGGATGAGCCCGCGAGGCGCCGGGTACACGTTCGGGCAGGATATCACGGAGCAGTTCAACCACAACAACGGTCTGAAGCTCATCGCGCGCGCGCATCAATTGGTGATGGAAGGGTACCTTTGGCACCACGACCAGTCGTTAGTGACGATTTTCAGCGCCCCGAATTACTGCTACAGGTGCGGTAACCAAGCGAGCATCATGGAGGTGGACGACAATTTGGGAACGTCTTTCCTTCAGTTCGATCCCGCGCCCAGGCGAGGCGAGGAGCAGCAGGCGGCGAAGCGGTGTCCGGACTATTTCCTGTGAGTGTTCGTGGTGTACAACTTCTTAGATTTACGATTACTAGAATACAGCGAAGAGGATCCAAAACCATCCGTCGCGTCGCGTCGCGTCCCGTCGCGCGAAGAACGCTCGCCTTCGTTCGCACTCACGCGCGCGACACCGTCGACGCGAGCTCCGACGCGAGCGCCGCGAGATTTTAGCGGCACTTCGGAATCGACGCACCGTCTATTCCACGGCGCGCGCCGTCGCGTCGACGCGTCGCCTCGACCGCGCTCGTGGCGGCGGCGGCTGCGCGCGCGTTCGACCGCCCATCGTCTCGCGCGACGCGTCCCGCGCGCCGACGCGCGGTCGAGCCGTGCGAAACGATCGTTCACGCGCGTGATCGCGCCGAGCGTCGCGCCGATCGCGCGCGAGCGTCGCCGCGAGCGCCATGACGGTTGATTTCCTCCAGCGAAAGCGAAGCAAGCGCGAGGCGAAGAAAGCGCGCGCGCTCTCGCGCAAAGACGCGGACGGGAATCGAATCCGAACGAAGCGAGGGGTGAAACGACAGCTGCGCGGGATGTGCTCGAGCGCACCGCCGCTGCCGCCCGCACTGCAGGAAGAGGACGAGAAGCGAACGGCGGCGGAGCGGAGCGCGAAGCGCAAGGCGGAGCGAGAGCGGTTAGCGGCGAAGGCGCTGAGGAAAAAGCTGAAAGCGAAGGCGCGCGGGGAAGAGGTGGAAGAAGATGACGCGGATGGAACAGAAACGAACGGCGACGGCGTGAGTGCGGACGATGTTCCGGATTATTTCATGGATGCGATGAAGAGCATCGGGCATCGTCGCACGACGCCGGTGCAAAGACAATGTTGGCCGCCGGCGTGCGCGGGTAGCGATGTTTTAGCCATCGCGCCACCTGGAAGCGGGAAAACGTTAGGGTTTTTATTACCCGCCATCGAAGCCGCGCTGAAAGATCACAGAGAAAATCCAAACGTGGGAAAGAAACGGCCCGGGGCGCCGGCGGTGCTCGTCGTCGCCCCGACGCGGGAACTGACTTTGCAAATATCTGGCGTCTGCAACAAACTGAAGAAAGCTGTGCCGGTACGTGCGGTCGCCGTGTACGGTGGAGCGTCTCAGGAGGAGCAGGAAGAGGCCTTGGCTCAGCATACGTCGCAAGCTTTACTCGTCATCGGCACCCCGGGGCGATTGCTCGCCGTTCTCGAATCAGGCGCCCTGCAGTTGGATAGATGCGCGATGCTCGTTTTAGACGAAGCCGATCGCATGCTCGCCCTCGGTTTTGAAGAGCAGCTCTCTACGATTCGCGAAGCGCTGCCTGACAAAGACAGCGGCCGCCAAACTTTGTTGTTCAGCGCCACGTTTCCAAAGGCGGTGCGCGCCATCGGCAAGACGTGGCTCCGCAAAGGCTTTGAGACGGTGAAGATTGATTCAGAGAAGGCGACAGTGCCAAAAGACGACGACGACGTCAACGTTCACATGGCGATCGTGGAGCAGACGGTACACGTGTGCGCCGAGCACAAAAAAAGTCGCAAGTTGATGAAGTACATCACAAAGCTTCGCGCCGAAGACGGGCGCGCTCGTAGCCGAGTCCTCGTCTTCGCCAATCGCATCAAAACGGTGCAGTTCATCGCGGATTTGTGCAAGAGACACAATGAAAAAGTGAGCACGCTTCACGGAACGATGAAGCAAAACAGACGAGATCAGGCGTTGAAAGATTTCAAAGCGGGGAAGACTCCGGTGTTAATCGCCACGGATGTCGCCGGTCGCGGCTTGGACATCGCGGGACTAGAGTACGTGGTGAATTGGGATTTTCCAGGAAGCATAGAACAATATCGCCATCGTGTCGGGCGTGCTGGACGACAAGGCAAGAAAGGCGCCGCGCTCTCGTTCTTCACGCGCAAGTTTACACCGCTCGCGAGTGATTTGGTCAAGCTGCTCGAGAAGGATGGCCATTTTGTCGATCCCAACTTGCGAGTGTTGGCCAAAGTCGCCGAAGCGCTGCCGAAACCAAGCGCCAAGAGCGTCACGAACGCCGATCGCTACGATGACTCGCCCGCGGACGAGCACGGCGAGCTCGAACGCGACGACGACGACGACGATGACGCGACCGCGTCGGCGGCGAGAGACGGCGGCGAACGCAAACACGCCGACGACGTGCGAGGGAGCGATGATGAAGGCGACGAAGGCATCGCCGACGCGCCGCAGCGAGAGCGTGAATCGAAATCATCGTGGTGGAACAACGACAAAGGGGGGCGCGGTCGCGTTTTTAAGACGAAGAAAGGCGACGTCGTCGCGACGAAGCGAAAAGTCACCGTCGGTCCTGGCGACGATGAGTTACAGAAGCGCAAAAAAGAGCGGCTAGAATGAATGAATCAATAATACACCTAGAAATACGCTTCACATGCGGAACCACTGACGCGCAAGCCCGATGGTCTCCGAACCGACCTCGCTCGCTGCGAACGCGAACATGAGCGCTAGCGTGAGCGCACCGCCCGGAAGCACCGGATCTAATACCGGCAAGCACCCCACTGGGTCGTTCTCGAGCGCACACTCGTCTCGCATTTGCCTGTGTCTATACACCATCGCGGGTGGAATCATACCGAACACGACTAAAACCCCGAAAGCGCCCGCGCTGTCGAGCGCGGCTAGGAAGACGCCCGGGCACGCGAGCGCGAAAATCACGGGAGGCACGAGCGCCAAGGCCCACGGCCGCGGATCGTGAATATCAGTCGTCTTCATGCCGTCCGCGAGGAAATCCGCGAGACCCCATCCGAATCCCAAGAAAGACGTCGATACGGCGAAGAATTCGAACCCACGAACGAGCGCCGCCGTCAACGGCGAAGACGCTTGCAGAGCGCCGATAGGGTCGACATCGATCGCCCCCGCGTCGACGCTTCCGAGCACGGCGGCGTCCCACAAGATGAACATCAACGCCGGTATCGCCGTGCCCGCGAGCACGGCCGTCGTGGCGCGCTTCCTGTCGCCCTCCAACGAAGTCGCCACGACTGGAACGACTTGGTGATACACGAACGCCACGGCGACGATTGGAATCGTCGCCGGCGCCGCGCTCCAATCCGACACGGCGAGCAGATTATCCACTGAAGTCGTTTCGCTCCTCGCGGCGAGCAGCAACAGCGGTACAAACGTCCCGACGACGCCCGCGAAGAGCGCCGAGTTGAACCGTTCGATTTTCGCCGGCGAGGCGAGGTACAAAAATGTCGACATCGCCGTCGCGTACGCCACCGACGCCGCGTTCGCCCCTCCTGGCACCTGCGGCCAAATCTCAACCGCGAGCTCCCCGACCTTTTGCACGTACGCCACGAGTAACGCGTAGTGGATGAACGCGAACGACGCCGTCGCCGCGTTTACGCCGGCGTCGCCGAGCGTCCTTCGACACATCGCATTCACCGACACCCCGCCGCCCCGTCCGAGCTCGCACATCGTCCCGAGGTTTACTTCCAGCACGCACAGCCCGGTCGCGGCGAAGAAGACCCAGCAGGCGACGATGACGACCGTGCTCGGCACGAAGCCCGCGTCGCGCAAGACGAGCGGTAGCGCGAGCATGCCCGCGCCGAGCGTCGTCCCCGCGACGAGCGCCACGGACGCGCCGAGCGATCCGGCGCGGCGTCGCAACCCATCGTCGCCGCGCTCGACGTTGCTCCACAGCCGATCGTCGCCGTCGCCCGCTGACCGCTGACCGCCGTCGCCGTCGCCCGCGGTCAGCGGCACGAGGCGCCGGTGACGTAACGACTTTGGCTCGAGCTCGCGCCGCCGCGCGCGCCGCCGCGCGGTCGCGCGCGTCGCCGTCGTCGCGCGCGTCGCGCGCGTCGATGCGCGAAGCGTCGCGCGCGTCGACGCGCGGGCGAGCATGGCGCGCGCGCGCGCGCGTGTGCGGCGCGACGCCGTCGTCGCGGCGAAGCTTCGCGAAGACGGGCGCTCGCGCGTCGACGAATCGAACATCTATCGAGGCCGCCCGAGACATCGCGCGCGCGCAAACAATGCGTGTGTTTTACAAATTACACCGCGCCTCCCCCGTCAAGCGCTCGTGGTCGTCCATGATCTCCGCCAGTAGCGCGCGGACGTTTGTCTCGTAATTTTTCGGCACCGCGCACGCGAACACGCACGGCTCCCATTCGAGTTCGTCGTACACGTCCACGATCTCCATCACCTCCGCCGAGCTCATCCCGCTCAAAAACATCATCCTCGGCACCCCGAGCGCGAGTTTAGCCGCGCTCGCGTCCTCTCGCGGAAGCCGCTCCAACGCGCGTCCGAGCGGCGCGTCGAGCGTCGCCTCTTCGCACGCCGTCGCGCGCACGAAATCCGCGCCGATCTCGTCCAGCGTCTCGCGCCATCGCGCGACCTCGCTCTCGGTGAACCCGACGAGCAGCGCGGCCTCCGGTCCGAACCGCCCGTCGGCGACGCCTCCCGGGGCGTCGCTCGCCGTCGCGTCGATGGGGGCAAAGTTCGTCTCTTCCTCGACGCCCGCGCGCGTCGTCGTTCGCCGCGCGCGTCGCGCGCGCGTCGCCGTCGCGCGCGCCGTCGCCGTCGCGCGCGCGCGCGCGATCGCCGTCGCGCGCATCGCCGTCGCCGCCGCGCCGCCGAGTCGCGACGCGGCGCGACGCCGATGCGTCCATAAATCCGCGACGGCGTCGAACGTCGTAGAGCGCCCCCAGAAACGCCCATGTGTGCGACGACGCGTCGGTCCGTATGCGCAAACAGTCCGCGGGGCGAGACGCCCGCGACCGGGCGCGACCGCGGGACGACGGCGACGCGGGCGACGCGCGGCACTCGACGACGCGCCACCGCGACGCGCGAGACTCAGACGCGCGAGACTTAAACTCGCGCCGAACGCGAGCGCGGAGACGCGAGCACGCACGATCTCAGACGCGCGAACGCGCGCGCGACGCGAACGATGATGGCGATGACGGCGATGACGGCGACGCCCGCGATGGGGGCGAACCGCGCGATGCGAATGCGCGCGAAGGCGAGCGTCGAGCGCAACGGCGCGAAGATTTCCTTGACGACGCGCGCGGTGAAGCGCGACGTGCGCGTGGAGGGTGAGCATCGAGCGACGCGACGACGAAGGATGGGACGGGCGGGCGGGCGAAAAACCTAAAACCTGTGGGGATAGGGCGCGAGACGCGACGACGAGGCGCGAGGAGGCGGCGAGGCGCGAACGCGCGCGCGAAGGGCGGTGCGCGAGTGGCGTGATAAAGTTGTGTGTACTGACGGCGCGTTTGTTTCATCCCTCGCAGCGACGGCGGAGAGCTCGATCAACCAAATCGGTTTCAACACGCCCCCGTCCGCGGGCGCCGCCCCGAAGTGGGACGCCATCATCGAAGTCGGCGGCTCGCAGCAGTTTGTTTCCGAAGGGCGCTTCTACGAGTGCCACTCGTTGAAGGGCGTCGAGCCGGGCTCGAAGATTGCGTTCGAACGCGTGCTCGGAACGCACGACGGGAACGCGCCGAACTGGGGCCACCCGTACGTGAAGGGCGCGCGCGTCGAGGCGACGGTGTTGGAGAACTTTGACGCGAAGAAGGTGATCGTTTTCAAGTACAGACCGAAGAAGCACTATCGCAAGAAGAACGGTCATCGCCAATCCATGACTCGTTTCCTCGTCACCAAGGTTGTCAAGGCGTAAGCCGAGACGCCGACGAGGGACGCAGATTCTTTGGGGGGTGGAGCGACGACGCGAGCGCGGGTTCGAACGAGCCCGCGCTCGTCCAGCGTCGCTCGGTTAATCTGATAATTAAATAGTCTATCGCGGCGCGGTGTGTACGTTGAACTCGATTCGTTTCGCTAGGAAATGTCTCTTGTTATGTCACTGGAAAAGCAAAACACGAACGTCTCGTCTCGCCTCGCCTCGCGTCACACCGCGTCATGACGACATCCGCGCCTCGTCTCGCCGCGTCGCTCTGCGAGCGGCGAGCGTCGACGCCGGCGTCGACGTCGTCGCGCGTGCCCGCGCGAACGCGCCGCGGCGCGCCGCCGCGCGCCGGTTTCGGCGCGGCGGTCCCCACCGCGCGCTCGGCGGCGGTTTTAGACAAGCACGTCCCCATCGACCGCTACGCGGACGGTTTGCGGCAGCTGCACGCCTCCCCCGACGTCTTCGTCGTCGATGACTTTCTGAGCGCCGACGCGTGCGCGGACATAATCGCTCGGGCGAAGGCGAAAGGGGACATGACGCAGAGCCCGGTGGTGTACGCCGGGTGGACGAACGACGTCGAGGCGTGGACGTCCACGGTGTCCAGTGGACCCGCGGTTTGGATCGGAGCGCTCGCGATGTTGATAGGATCGGCCGCGTTCGGGCAGTCCGGCCTGGGGTTGCTCGGCGAGGGCGTGGTCGGGTACTTGGGCGCCGTCGGCGCGGCGTACGCGGCGTCTCTGGCGTACGTGAAAGATAAGGAGCGAGAGCTCGGGGATTTGCGAACGAGCACGAGCACGGCGTTGGACGGCTCTGGGGTCGGTGAGCGTGAGTTGATACGAGCGACGGAGAGATTGCTTCCGGGGACGTCGTGGACGACGTACGAGGCGCCGACGGTGATTCGGTACGAGCGAGGCCAGAAGCTGGCGCCGCACTTCGACGCCAATCGCGGCGCGGCGGTGGAGGACGCCAATCGCGGCGGGCAGACTTTAGTGACCTTGCTCGTCTACTTGAACGACGTTGATGAGGTGCGCGGTGGCGGTCAGACCGTGTTCGGGCGGTTGGGTGACCTCGCCGTGCGACCGGCGAAAGGACGCGCCTTGGTGTTCTTTCCGGCGAACGCCGACGGCGAGTTCGACGACCGCGTCGAGCACGAGGGCACGGAAGCGAACGAAGAGAAATGGATCGTGCGCATATGGGTGCACCAAAACGAGGTCGGAGGACCCCCGAGCGGTTTGCCAGACGACTGGAACGATGAACGGGGAGTCGTCGCTCCGTGAAGTGTACGAGGTGCTCATCGCGCCGCAGCTGCACGCTCGATGCGCCGAAGTCTTGGCCGCGTGCACGTCGATTCGACGAACAGGATGTGTGGCGGAACTCCGGATGTTTGCCTTGGCCGACGAGTCTCGCCGAAAACGCGAGATCGATCGGCGTCCGCGCACCGTGACGGAGGCGCTCCATAGCCCACCATCCCGCCTAGTAGCCCACCGGCGCCTCATAGCCCACCATCCCGCCTTGTAATGTACATACAACACTCGTTGTTTTTGATGCAAAAGATTTCCCGACGGGGTTATCGCTTTTCCCGACCCAAAAAGCCAAAAAGTTATCGCTTTTCCCGACGGGGAATCGAACCCCGATCTCCACGGCGCTGTGTTCACGTTTTCTCACGTTTTCTCGTCTCACGTCGTTCGACGTGACGCCTTTGACAGCGTGGCATACTAAACCATTATACTATCGGGAACACTCATTCGTTGCAGGAGTCACCGCCGGCGTTGAATCCGGCTGAAATTCATCGGGTTGTCTCCAACCCGTATACATGCAAATTCGCCCGATAGCGCTCGCCCCCAGCCGAGGTCTCCACGCGGCGCTAATGTTACGGGTGCTCTGATCGCGCATCGCGTGATTCTCGCGCATCGCGTGCGATCTAGGCTTTAATTCGTGCATATTACTGCACTTTTCGCAATTCGCGTGTGAATCGCGTCCGCGCTAAAATCGAACTGCAATCGCGATCGAGGTGCGTGAGTATTATCCACACGCCGACCTCGCGCCGGGACCTCGCGCCCGGAATCGCGCGCGCCGCACACGTCGACTCGGTCGCGACCTCGCGACGCCTCGCGCACCAACCAGCCAACCAGTCATGCACGCGCGCGCGTCTTCGCTCCGCGCGTCGTCGACGCCGAACGCGGCGGGACGGATGACGACCGCGAGGAAGGGATCTTCCGGAAGACGCGCGGCGACGCCGACGCGCCGCGGTGGGCGCGCCGTCGTCGCGCGCGCGGCGTCGTCGCAACAAAACGTGATGCCGGCGAACGCGGAAAACAAACCGGTCGCCATCGTCACGGGCTCGTCCTCGGGACTCGGGCTGTACACGGCGAAGGCGCTGATCAAGAATGGATACTTCGTCGTCAACGCGGTGCGCTCGCCGGAGAAGATGCAGGTCAAGGCGAACGAGCTGGGGCTGGACGAGTCGTCGTACGCGATCATGTACCTCGAACTCGGTGACTTGCAGTCGGTGCGCGATTTCGCGACCGAGTTCCGACGATCCAAGTACGTGAAGAACTTTCAAGCGCTGGTGTGCAACGCGGCGCTGTATCTCCCGAACGCCACGGTGCCGTCGTACACCAAGGATGGGTTCGAGGAGTGCGTGGGGGTGAATCATCTCGGTCACCACTTGTTGTCTTTGCTCTTGCTCGACGATCTCGCGGAAGCGCCGGACGCGAACATGAAGCGTTTGATCATCGTCGGGTCGGTGACGGGCAACACGAACACGCTCGCCGGTCAAGTGCCGCCGCGCGCGGGTCTCGGCGACATGTCGGGCTTGAGAAACGGCTTCAAGAATAGCGACCGTAACCAAGGCGCGTTGATCGACGGCACTCGCTTCATCGGCGCCAAGGCGTACAAGGATTCCAAGCTGTGCAACATGCTCGACATCAAGGCGTTCGCCGAGCGTTTCGGCGAATCCACGGGGATCAAGTTCAGCACGATGTACCCGGGATGCATCGCGGATTCCAACTTGTTCCGCAACCACACCGCGTTCTTCCGCTGGTTCTTCCCGATTCTTCAAAAGAACGTCACCAAGGGTTACGTCAGCGAGGAAGAAGCCGGCGAACGCCTCGCCTCCATCGTGTACGATCCGCGATACAGCGAGCAAGGCGCGTACTGGGCCTGGAAGGGTGGTGGCGACCAGCTTTGGGACAACTACAACAACAACAACGACGACACGCGCACGATTGCGTTCAACAACAAGCCGTCGAAGGAAGGCAGAGACATGGCCAAGGCGAACGAAGTGTTTGATATTTCCACCGAGCTCGTCGGCTACAAGCCCACCGCGCTCGACGGCTTCGCCAAGTCTTTCGATCGCATCCTCTCCGGCGCCGGGAAGAAGTAAACGAGCCGCGATCCCGCGAGATTACCGCGGCAAGTTGGCTTTTCCTGCGTCCGTTTCGACGACGCAATATTTTTCACGATTCGCGCCTTCCATCCTGTACAAACAACTTCCGGCGCGAGACGACGGCGTCGCGACGGACGCGACGCCGCCCTCTCCCAAAACCATCCATTCGCACGAGCACACATTAATGCGAGTTTAATAAGCGAACGAGAGACGGAACGAATGAAATTCATCGCGATAGATATCACTACAACGCGCGCGCGCGCGCGAACCAGTCATCAGGAAGCGCGAGCGTTGCTCGCCGTGCGCCCGCTCGCAGACGACCGCGAATGCGGCGTCTGTCGCGATTCGCTCGCCGTCGGCGAACTCGCGCAGCTTCCTTGCTCTCACACTTTTCACGCCGATTGTCTCCTTCCGTGGATGCGAGTGTCGCACCAGTGTCCTCTCTGCCGTGAAGTCAACTACGAGTCCGGCGTCTCGCACGCCCTGGCGTGCGTGCGCGTCTTGACCGGGCGCGAGCGCGATTTGCGCGAGCCGCGCGAAATTTCGGTCCCCCGCGACGCGCGCGTTCTCCGCCACGCGTCGTTGGCGTCGCAGAAACTTTTTCACGTGCGTCTTCTTCGTCATGCCTCCATGTGACGTTTCGTCTCGGCGTCTCGACCTCGTGACGCGCGCCTCGGACGCGCGCGAGGGCACCTCGGCACTCTGCGACGCGCGCGCGACTCGGCGCGGTCGTCGCGGAAGCGTCGCGAAAGAAGAAAAAAGGTCGAACATCGAACCGCGCGTCGTTCGAGCGCCGCGCCGCGGCGCGCGCGACGCGCGGACGCGCGAGACGGGGCGCGTTGAAACGGCGTTTCTCGGCGCCGGATCCCGCCTCGGGCGGCGCCTCGGGCGTCGCGCGCGCGACTAGCAAGACACGAAAACGAAGGAAAGAAAGCGGGTACGAATTCTTTTGAATCGATGTGCGCGGCGATGGACGCGCGCGCGCGCGTTCGCGCGACGACTCGCGCGATCGTCATCTCCGAGACGGGCCGCGCAGACTGACCCTCGCGCAGAGGCCGACGCCAGAAGACACCCGAAACAAGGCGGCGATAGCGTACAAACTATCGCTCGCCTGCGGCAGGTTAACCCAGGGTTGACCCAGCCGCAGTACTACACCCCACGCGAAGGAGGGACAGCTCGCTCGCGCGATCTCGCCGAACGACCTAAAGCCCTCGAAAGTAGCGATTGTAGTACCAGTCATCAGGAAAAGACAACCTCTCGATTCTTCTTGTCCTTTTTCGACTTTTTTGAAGGATTCTTCTTCGATTCCGCCTCTACCTCCTCGGCCTCGACGCCCGCATCCTCGCTCGCGTCGCCGTCGACACCATCGCCGTCGTCACGACCACCGGCGACGAAATCATCGTCTAAATCATCCCCCCCCAACCGTCGTTTCTCCCCCGTCTTCGCCTTCGTCGTCTTCGCCCCCGCGAACGGTTTCGAGCATCCCGCCGCGAAGTGTCCCCGCTCCCCGCACCGAATGCACGTGTCTCCCTTGTGCGGGCAATCCTTCACCAAGTGATCCTTCGCCTTGCATATCTTACACTCACCTCCGTTCACGTACACCCCGCGCTCGTTCCTCGGGCAGCTCTTGCTCAGGTGTCCCGTCTCGCCGCACACGAAGCACTTCGCGTGCGCGTAATTCGTCCACGCCGCCGCGCAGTCTCGCGCCGCGTGATCGCTCGCGCCGCAGTTATAGCACGATTTCTCCCCTCGCCGCATCGTCGCGCTCCCGCCCTTGGCCACGCGGCAGTCCCGCAGCGTGTGTCCGACGCCTCGACACCCGAAGCACGTGACTTTGCTCCTCCAGATGCCCCCGTTCGACGACGGCGCGCGCGCGTCGCCGCGTCCGCGTCCGCCGCGTCCGCCGCGCGCGCCGCGCGCGCCGCGTCCGCCGCGTCCGCCGCGCTGCGGGCGCATCGTCGCGTCGTCGCGTCGGTGAGTGCCGCCGCCGCCGCCGCAGTGCGCCGCGCGCGATGACGACGCTCGACGCGCTCGTCGCGACGTGCGCGCGACACCTGCGGCGCGCGGGCGCGGCGAAGCGACTCGAGGCGTCGCCGCGCGCGGTCGAGGAGATCGCGCGCGCGGTGTGCGCGGTGTCGATGGATGACGTGGGATTGCGCGCGCTGCGCGCGTTCTCGCGGCGCGCCGAGGCGCGGGACGCGCGGGACGCGCGCGAGCGCGACGGCGAGGCGTCGACGACGTCGACGCCGCGGGCGACGTCGACGCCGCAGGCGACGGTGACGTACCTGCGGTTGCACGCGGAGGAGGACTTCACCGTCGGCGCGTTCGTCTTCGAGCGCGGACAGACGATACCGCTGCACAACCATCCGGGAATGACGGTGCTCATGCGGTGCCTGTTCGGGGAGACGCGCGTGAAGGCGTACGATTTGATCGACGACGCGCCGAGGTTGTCGACGCGCGACGCGCACGCCGCGCGGGGGGGGGAACACGAAGCGCGCGATTGCGTCGACGAGGTGATGTCGGCGGCGAACGGCGCGCGAGGGGCGACGAGAATTTTGTATCCGAGGAGGGCGAACGTGCACACGCTGTCGGCGCTGTCGGCGTGCGCGGTGCTCGAGGTGCAAACGCCGCCGTACAGAGTGGGACAGGGACGGGATTGTCATTATTTCGAGTTGGTGCGCGACGGCGCGAAAACGGGGCAGAATTCGATTCTGCGGGAAACCGCGCCGCCTCCCGACTTCGTCTGTGGGACGTTTCGCGACGATGAAGATGACGACGTAGAGTTAGAGTAGCAAACGGGTATCTAGAATGAATTGAATTGAATGTAAAATGAATGTGTTTCGAGTCTCAGCGAAGAAACTCGATTTCATACTCTCTGTCGAGGATGACTATGGGAACCTGAACGTATTTCGGCGCCGTCTTTCCTCGCCACCCGTTTGGGAAAGCGGACACGAGTTCGGCGAGAAATATTTGCGTCATGACCGTCGCGAGAGAGATCCCAGGACACTGGTGCTGGCCCATGCCGCCCGGATAATACGTTTCCGAAGAGACGTCGTTTTGCTTCGCTTCGTGCGTCCCTGGAACGAAACGTTCAGGCTTGAACGCGTCCGGGTCGGGGAAGTTGGCTTCGTCGCGAAATGGAATGCGTGGGTCTGCGGTCAAAACGTAACCGGCGGGTACGTCGAACGAGGCGAATTTGCGAGGCGACGGGTTCACTCTCAAGCCGCCCGCCGTCTGCGGCATGACTCTAAGCGACTCCTTCGCCACCGCGGACGTGTACTGCATGGACATGATGTCCGCCAAAGTACCGATGCGACGACAACCGTTTTCATCGTCGCAGCACACCCGCTCGAACTCGCGCAAAACGGCTCGCCGCGCGTCGTCGTGCTCGCCCAGCAAAACGCATGCGTGTCCCATGAGAGCGGCGGCTTCGATGTACGAACCCCAGACCATTAACACGCACGTCGTCGCGATGCGATCGTCGCTGAACACTTCGTCGAACTCGTCCACGGCTTGCGAGTATTGCTTGTAAAAGAAGTACTCTGGGCGATCGAGTTCGCCGCGCGCTTTGACGCCTCTGTAATGCGCCTCGACGTACGACGTCAAATCCTCCAGCGCCAGTTTTCCAGCCTTAAACTCCGACGACCATTTTCCGAGCGAAAGTAATCCTCCGTTGTACGCTTTCATCGCGTCTTTGTACTTTGCCTCGGGCACGTGACCGAGGAAGAGCTCAAACAACAAATCGAGCGCGAAATCCACGCACTCCGCGCCCGGCCTGAACGACGACGTCTCCTTCCCAGATCGCCGCGCTACGTCTTCCACAAACTCCCTCGTCCTTTCCCCGATCGCCGGCGCGTAACTCTCCAGCGCCGCGCGTCCCAGCACCTTGCCGAAATTCGCGCGCGTCGCCGCGTGTCTGCTCCCCGTCATGCGCAGCGCCCCGTACTCGGTGTGCAATTCGCGAAACGTCTCCGGCAGCGCCTCGTCCGCGGGGAGCTCGCCTTCAAATTTCAAAAACTCTCGAACCGCCTCTCGGCTTCCGAACACGATCGCCGGCTTGAAAAACAAAGCCGTCTTAAAAATCGGTCCGTACCGCTCGACGCGCCGTCGCACGAAGCCGTTCGAGTCCGCGAGGTACTCCAGCGTCTCGCGCACGCCGAGCGCGCCCACGCGTCCCGGCGGCAGCGTCGCCCCTCGCTCGCCCCTCGCCAGCGTCCCGATCGCCTGTCCGAGATCGAACGCGTCCGCGGACGTCGCGCGTCCCGAAGCGCCGTCGACGTCGGACGTCGCGCGTCCCGAAGCGCCGTCGACGTCGGACGTCGCGCGTCCCGAAGCGCGCCGCCGCGCCGCCGATTCGCGCGCCGCACCGCCGACGCGCGCGCGCCGCGTCGCCGCGCGCGCGTCGTGCGACGCCGCCGCGCGCGCCGTCGCGCGCGACGCCATCGCGCGGCGTCGACGAATGTCGTCCATCGCGTCGTCGCGTCATCGCGTCACGCGTCGACGCGATGGACGACGACGCCTGGCTCGCGCGGTGCGACGGCGTCATGCGACGCGCGGGCGTGGACGAGGAGGTGCGCGAGTACGTCGCGAGCGCGCTGCGAGAGGCGACGCTCGAGGCGGCGGACGAGGGACGCGCGGTGACGACGGAGGCGCTGATGGAGCTCGTGCAGCCGGTGCTGGAGGAAAACATGGACGACGGCGACGTTCGAGCGATGTGCGCGCGAGACGACGGGACGGCGGCGACGATGGCGAACGCGACGTCGACGAGGGAGGACGTCGGGACGTCGGAGGGGTTGATTTTGGACCTGAGAGGGATCATCCTGGCGTACGCGGCCAAGGTGCTGCTGCGGCCGACGAACTTGTCGTTGACGCGAGGGGCGCGATACGGCGTCGTCGGGCATAACGGCGCGGGAAAGACGACGCTGTTGACGCGAATCGCGGCGGGCGATATCGCGGGGTTTCCGACCGGGATCAAGTGCGTGTTCGTTCGACACGAGGTGCTGGTGACGCTGAGCGCGTCGGTGGTCAAGTTCATGGCGGATGAGGCGAACGAGTTCGGGGGGGCGGACGCGAGCGCGATCGACTCGAGCCTGCGGTCGGTCGGATTTGACGACGATATGATGAAAAAGAGCGTGGCTGAACTGTCTGGCGGTTGGAGGATGCGATTGTCCATCGCGAGAGCGATGTTGCAGCGAGCGGATTTGTTGCTCCTCGACGAGCCGACGAATCACTTGGACGTCAGCGCCGTGGAATGGCTGGCAAATTACTTAGTCGCGTTGGAAGGGACGACTGTGATGTGCGTGTCGCACGACTACGAGTTTTTGCGAAAGATTTCTACGCACATTATTCAATTCGATAAGCAGCAGCTCTCGACGTTTGACGGCGGCTTCGATGGGTTTCGGGCGCAGCGCCCCAATTTGGTGCTCCCACGAATGAAAAAGGACATGGTGGACCAAATCGTGGCGACTTCGAACGAAAGTGGAGTTATCGTCGACTCTGGGCAGAACGAATCGAACGGTCGTCGTCGCGCGGCGAGCGAGGCGAACAGGTTAGAAAACACCGCCGGGTTAGTCACCGCCATTCGAGGCGTCGACACGTCATCGGCACTGGCCGGAGGATCATCGAGGATGAGCTCAGCGCGCGCCGCGCGTGAGCAACCTAGTTCGGCGGCAATCGTGTTCCCCGATCCCGGGCCACTGGATGGCATCAAGAGCAAGACGCAAGTCGTCGCGCGTCTTGAGGACCTGAGTTTCGCGTACCCAAACAATCAAGTCTTGAGCGGCGTGTACACTCGAATGTATCTCAGCAGTCGCGTCGCCGTCGTCGGTGCGAACGGCGCGGGTAAGACGACACTCATGAAAAATATCGTCGGTGAGCTCGAGCCGACGGGTGGCTCTATCTGGAAGCACCATAACCTGCGCATCGCTTACATTGCGCAGCACTCGATGCACCACTTGCAAGCGCACCTTGACATGTCGCCCAAGGAGTACATCCAAACTCGTTTTTACCAAGGCCGAGATAAGGAATTAGCAAAAATGTCCACAATGTCACTCACGGATGATGAAAAAGTAGAGCAGCAGTCGCGTGGAAGCGTGTGCGAGATCCTCGGGCGCGCCGTCAAGGGAGGCGAGCTGTGTTATGAGGTGAAAAAAGTCGGCGACAGAGTGGGCGTCACGCACTGGGAACCAAAACGATTCCTCAAAGTGTCTTACGTCGTGAAGATGTGCAAAAATTACGACGAAATGATGAAAGCCATACAAAGTGGGATGGACATACGTCCTCTGACAAGTGGCGAGGTTTATTCTCATTTGCGCGATTTTGGCATATCGCAAGAGCTCGCCGACGGGAAAATTAAGCGCATGTCTGGCGGTCAGAAGTCCAGACTCGTGCTCGCGGCCGCGATGTGGACGAAGCCGCATATTATTGCATTGGATGAGCCGACAAACTACTTAGATAACGAAACGTTAGCAGCCCTGACTGCGGCGCTTAGGCGTTTCAAGGGAGGCGTGTTGACAATCAGCCACAACGCATCCTTTGTGGGAGACGTGTGCTCAGATACCTGGCGTGTATATCAAGGCAAGGTGACCTCGAGCGAGGATGAAGCTCGCGGTGTCGGTGCAAGTCGAAAAGGTGGCGCGCGACGTCGGCGTGGGGAAAAGAACGGCACCAGCGTAGATGAGTCCGGAGACGCGACGAAGACGGACGGCAAAATCGTCGAGGGTGACGTCGATCGAAGCGTCTCAGGTGTGCTCGTCTCACGTAAAACCGCACTAGACTTACGATTTGAGCAAGTTTCTATGTCCGTGAACGGTAACGAGCTCATCAAGGATTGCGTGATGGAGCTCAACGTCGGACGGCGCTACGGTTTATTAGGCCCGAATGGGTGCGGCAAGTCCATGCTTCTGGAAGCCATAGCGAAGCGCGAACTAGAAGTACCCGCACACGTTGACATATATCATCTGCGCGAAGAAGCTGAACCGAGTGAGCGAAGCGCGCTCGAGGCTGTTGTGGACCATATACGCGAAGAAGTTTCGCGCCTGCAAGCCATCGAGAGCGAAATTCTCACGACGAACGGGCCCGGCGACGAGCGCCTTCAGGGAATATACGAGCGTTTAGAGGAACTCGATCCGGTTAAATTTGAAACTACGGCGGCGGAGCTTCTCCACAATTTGGGATTCGATAAAGTCATGATGAATCGCGAAACAAAGGCGCTGTCTGGTGGTTGGCGAATGCGCGTCTCTCTCGCGCGCGCTCTTTTGGCGTCGCCGGCGTTACTTTTACTCGACGAGCCGACGAATCACTTAGATTTGAGCGCGTGCGTGTGGCTCGAAGATCATCTGTCAAAATATAAGAAGTGCCTGGTCGTGATTTCGCACTCGCAAGACTTCCTCAACGGTGTGTGCTCGCACGTCATCAGAGTCACAAACAAGACTTTGAAGTACTACACGGGCGACTTCGATACGTTTCGCGCCACGCTCGCGGCGGAAGAGGTTATTCAGCAGAAGCAGTACGAAAAAGAGCAAGCGGATATCAAACATCTGAAAGAATTCATCGCGTCTTGCGGTACCTACGCGGATAAGATGAAACAGGCGAACTCGAAACAAAAGATTCTGGACAAGATGGAAGCCGCCGGGTTGACGCCGTCGCCGACGGCGGAGAGAACTTTCGAATTCACGTTCCCAGATTGTGCCAAGCTCGCACCGCCAGTACTTCCGTTTAAGAACGTTTCCTTCCGATATCACACGGCGGATCCTTCGCTCGGTATGCTTTTAGAAAACCTGGAGTTCGGAGTGGATTGCGATTCTCGAATCGCGCTCGTCGGCCCAAACGGTGCGGGTAAGTCGACAATTCTCAAGCTCATGACGGGTGATATCGAAGCGAGCGAAGGCGAAGTCGCGCGACACCACCACCTCAGCATCGGGCGGTACCATCAGCACAGCGTCGATGTGCTGGACCCGCGCGCGTCGCCTTTGGATTTCTTCTCTGGGACGTATTATGACATGCGAAAACCGACGGACGAGTGGCGGTCGTATTTGGGCAAGTTCGGCATCAGCGGGCGTTTACAAACCAATCCCATCGCCGCGCTTTCGGATGGACAGAAATCACGTTTGGTATTCGCCATGATTTGTCTCGGTAACCCAAACATGCTTCTTCTCGACGAGCCGACGAATCACTTGGATCACGATTGCATCGACTCTCTCGCAGACGCCATCAACAAGTACAAAGGCGGTCTAGTACTCGTTAGTCACGACTTTAGATTGATCGATAAGGTGGCGAAAGAGATATGGGTGTGTGAAAACAAAAAGGTGTCCGTGTGGAAAGACTCCATTCGTTCATATAAAAAAACGTTAGAAAAGGCGTCGATTAAATAGCAAGTGAACGCGTGTTGAAATTTCATTCTAGAACTACTAGCGTACAGTACCGCCATCATCGTCATCATCGTCGACTCCCCCCCGCGCTGTTGGCCGCGATCGCCGCCGTCGCTCCTAAGATCGCCAGTCCCGCCGCCGCGATCGCCCCCGCGCCGACCAATCCGTCCCTCGCCAACGCTTCTTCGCTGGCCTCGCGCAACGCCGCCGCCTGTCGACATTCTGGGTCACACTTCAGCGCCGCAAACGCCGCTTCGCGCGCGCGCTCGTAATCCCTCATCCCGTAATACGCCACGCTTCGCAAGTAATGCCCATCTCTGACCTCCATCGCGTCGCCGAATTCGACTCGCCACCTCGCCTCGAGCGTCGTCTCCGCGTTCGCCCCGTTGCTCGCGCCGCGCTCGAGCATTTGCGTCCCTCGTCTCAGCTGATCCTCGACGCCGCTGTGGCACAGCGCCCACACCATGTTGAATCGCGCGCGCCGCACCTCGGCGTCGGTCGCGCGGTCGGCGTCGCGAACTACGACGTCTTTCGAGCGCGCCAAGATTCGCCCGTACTCGGCGATGGTCTCTGAGACGAACGCGACGTCGCATTGCGGGAGATCGAGCGCGCGCGGGGACGCGCCGGTGACGGCGCGCTCCACGGTGTTCGCGACGTCGCGCAGGAAGTCCATCGGAGGGCGCCGCGCGGCGTAATGCGGGGCGATGGCGGTGCTGGATTCATTCGCGGCGGCGCGGCGGGCTCGGGACTCGCCCGCGGAAGCTCTTCTCAATCGTTTCGCGTTCGGTTGTGTTGCTACATGTAACTAAAATATGGATATTTGTTTCAGATCGTAAACCACGTGGCTCGATCTCAAGGCTCGGCGGCGAGGAGCGCGGCGGATTCGGGGACGGCGTCCCGGCGCGCTCGGCGGCGATGAGCGACCGCGGCGACGAGGACGGCGATCGAGGCCAGAGCGGCGGCCGCGGCGACGACGTTTTCGGTGTGCGTCGTCAGGTGCGACGAAGCGGCGTCGCCTAGGCGAGCTTTTCGCGCGCGGTGTGCGTGACCGTGGGCTCGGTGCGCGCGGCGCTGCGCGACGCCGATGCGCGCCTCGTCCTCAACGTCATCGTCGCCCAAGCCCGGATTGAGCGTCTCGTTTCTATAGTACGTTTGCTTTTGGACTGATCCCTTCACACACGGAGCGTCAGTCGACGTCGCATCGCCAGCCTTCGTGACGACCGGGTAGACGGATTCAAAGAGAAGACCGCAAGTGCCGAACTTGTGTTCGCCGATGCGACCGCGCTCGAGCCTGAAGAATCCTTCGTCGCCCCACTCTGGGCCGTAAGAGTTTTTAATTTCCCAGTATTTGACCCCGTCGTCCGTCGTGCCCCACCCAACGACAAGTGCGGCGTGATTGATGGACTCAATACCACGACCAAGTGGCTTACAGTCATCCAACATGATGACGCCGCTGCCGTATGCCTGCAGTTTGTTTGCGTTGATGCCAACGGCGACGGGACCTCGCTCGAAGATCGCACGATAAAGCGGTTCTTCGCCGGCAACTTGCGCTAAATCACACATAGCCGGCGTATCGTAAACTTTTTTGACGGACGCGTCGCACTTGGCATCCGGAGCGTCGTCTCGGTCACCTGGTACTTTCGCGTTGTAATCCGCCTTGGAGCTGATACCGCCGTATTGCCCGATCCATTCGTACGCGGTGTACATGTTCCCGGTCGAACACCCGTGATCAACAGCATCGCATGCCATGAGCTGCTTCACGCTTAACGCCGGGGCGTCGTCGCCCTTGTTTATGATTGCGATTCGGCTCGCGATGGAATCCGCGGTGACAAACGCCCAGCACGACGCGCACAAGTCCTCTTGATCGTGCACCACACCGACGACGTTTCCGTATCCATCTGGCGGCGTGCGCCACGAAAAGGCGGCCGGAATCGATGGGTCCGCATCACCCAACGGTCCACTATCGTCGACTTCTCCGTGGTCTTCGACATGTCCACGCAGCCGGTTTCGCTCGCGCCTTTGAGTGCGGTCGCGCGCGCGCTGCGAATGCTTCCGTGCCACAGCGATCTCCGCGGGCGACTTCAACGCCGCCGCCTCGTAGCCCACGCGCGCGGACGTCGAGCTAACCTCATCTTCCGAGTTCCCCAGCATCGTTTCACCAAACTGTCGCCTCGGTTTATACGTCAACACCCTCGCGGCGAATTCTTCCTCCGTGAGATCGCTAAACTTCGTCTCTTTCAACTGAAACTTGTGCGCCGAATCCGCGTTGTGCGCCTCGTATCGCACCATATTCGCGTAGTAGACTTTCTGTCTGCGCAACGACGCGGCGCACGCCGCCTCGCTCGCGTCGGCATCGCAGTAATTCTTCGCATACTTTTCAACGTAGCGTTGAAACTCGCGCTCGTGGCGCAGCCCCGGGATGATTTTGCGCGGGTCGTTCGGCGCCGCGCGCGCCGCGCGCGCCGCGCGCGCGGGTTGCGATGTGAATGCGAGCGCGGCGAGCGCGGTTGCGACCACCGCGGGCGCTGACGCACGTTCGCGCCTTCGGCCCATGACGGCGCGTCGTTCAATGATGGTGATGATCAGCAGGGATGGTGTTACACCACTGCGAGGGGCCTTCGACGCGCGGTGAATAAGTTTATTACATCACTCGTGTTGCGTCCGGCGCACTCACGACGAGGATCTGCGAGACGAATGACGACGACGGGATGATGTCGATCGCGCGGATCCGATCGCCGCCGCCGCGCGATCGGTATCGGTATCGCGCTCGGCGCGACGAGAAGACGGCGCCCGGCGAGCGGCTGTCGCCGCCGCGGGCGCGGAATGGCGCGGACGAAACGCAGCGGCGACGACGTCCAGGGCAAGGAATGTAAAGACCAATGAGCAACCGAACCATTGGATTCGGTTGAGCGCGTTGCTAGGGTCACGGAAGACGGAGATGACGGTGGAGAAGATTTTTCGAGTCGTCGTCACCGTGGTGAGCACGAGGACGTCGAAGTGCGTAATCGTGTAATAAATGAACACCTGTCCGACAGCGCTGGCGAGAGAGTACACGAGAACGGCTCTCGCGAGCGCAACGTGCGCCACGCACGACCGCACGCCACTCGTGAGCTGTCCAGTGGCGAAAGCAAAGCCCAAGGCGACGACGAAACCGCTCAAATTTGTGTACAACATGCTCTCGTACACGCTCGGCTTCGCGCTCGCACCGGCTCGCGGATTCAACGCCTTCGTCGTGCGCTTGACGCGATCTTGCAACCCACCCGTTACGGCATCCATGACGAGCGAAATCGCGATGAGCGACAACCCGTACGCGCTATCGTTTCCGCTCGTCTTCTTCGTGTCGGCGCCGAAATTGAAAATCGCCACGCCCAGCGTCACGAAAACCACCTGCGCGTACTGCGACGCCGTGAACGTGCGCCCACCGAGCACCATCCCCCCAACCATCACGGGCACCATCTTACACGACTTCCCGAGCACTTGCGTCGGGTACGACACGTACCGCAGCGCCTCGTTACTCGCCGCCATCGCGAGCGTCTGCGACGCCCCGCTCTGGAAAATCTCCCCTCGCGCCAATCGCGCCCCCGAGCCCCCGCACGCGCCCAGCCCGATCGCGGCCACCATCACGTTCACCAACCGCTCGCACGCGAGCACGAAGAACGTCGCCGCGAACCGCGCGCCGCCGTATCGCTTCTTGTACACGTCCTCCTGCGCGAGCGCAAAGTAACTGAACGCGACGAATATCCCCACCACCGCCACCGCGCATCGCGCCGCGCGCGCGGACATCGACGCGTCGTCGCGTCGACCGCCTCGACGCGTCGCGCGCGCGCCGCTCTCGCGCGCCGTCGGCGTCGCGCGTCGCCGACGGTGGGCGTCTTTTCACGTACTAAAAGCAGTATCACTGAAATACCTGACCCGAATGTCCGAGTACATAAAACAACGCATATATGACTTACATGGCGCTAAACGCGCCTCGAACGCGCGACATCCCGTCGACGTCGCGACCGCGGATTCGCGTCGACGCCGACGTCGGCGCCACCGCGCGACGCGCGACGCCGACGGTGAGCGCCTCGACGCGAGCGCCGATCGACGCGAACCGCGCGCGCGCGCCGTCGAGTCGCGCGCGCGGCGACGACGCGACGGGATACGCGAAGGCGCGCGCGCGCGAGCGCTTATCCACGACGGACGACGGACGACGCGAGCGACGCGCGACGGACGGCGCGCGAACGGACGAGACGCGGACGCGGTGACGACGCGCGCGACGACGCGAGCGATGGCGATGGCGACGACGACGGTCGTGCGCGCGCGGATGCGAACGGGGACGCTGGGGAGGCGGGAGACGGGACGCGCGCGGGGACGACGCGCGAACGGAGACGCGGCGACGCGCGCGGGAAGGAGGCGCGACGTCGCGTGGGTGCGGGCGATGAAAGGCGCGGGAGATGGACGACGGTGGTTCGCCGCGGACGCGGTGCAGACGGAGATGGATGACGTGGAGCTGGCGAGTCTGCTCGCGGAGACGAGCGAGGGCGCGGAGAGCGCGGCGGCGGCGAGCGAGGAGGGCAAGAGGAATAACTTTGGGTACGTTTTGGCCGCGATGGTCGTCGTCTTGCTCGCGGCGGCGGGGTTGACGTACAAGGATGAGCTGTTCGCCTCGCTGGGTGCGTTTACGGATTACATCGAGTCGCTCGGGCCGACGGGGTACGCGTTGTTTTTGATGGGATACGTCGCGCTGGAAGTCTTGGCGGTGCCGGCGTTTCCGCTCACCATGTCCGCTGGAGCGTTGTTCGGCACGTACTCGGGCACGTTGCTCGTGACGACGGCGGCGACGATCGCGGCGGCTATCGCTTTTTTGATTTCCAGATACGTCGCGCGCGACAAGGTGATGAGCCTGGCGGAAAAATATCCCAAGTTCAAGGCGATCGATAAGGCGATCGGAGAGGACAGTTTGCGCGTCGTCGCCATCATGCGTCTTTCACCGCTGATGCCGTTCGCTCTGAGCAACTATCTCTACGGCTTGACGTCGGTGAAGTTCAGGTCTTACGTCGTCGGTTCCTTTTTCGGAATGATGCCTGGAACGTTTGCGTACGTATCCGCGGGCACGGCCACGAGACAGGTCGCCGAGGGCGCGCTAGGTGGAAGTGCCGTCTTATCAACTCTCTTTGGCGTCGGTTTGGCGATCTTTAGCGCCGGGTACGTCGGGAAACTAGCAACAAAAGCAGTCGAAGAAGAAACCGGCACCTGTTTTACGGAGGACTGCACGTTGGATCAAGACAGCTTCGATGAAGACTCGACTTGATCCGCACACTCGCAACTATTATTCTCGCAGCTGCTACAAGTAATCTTTCAATATCCCGCAAACGACATGTAAAACAAGACGACGACGACAAGTGTCGATGAATTACAGCCTATCTAATCCTCAATCCTCGCGAGCGGCGCTATACCAAGTCGGACCCGCGGCGAGCGCCATTCGAATCGAGCAGCGGTGCACGCCCTTCTTGTGGTGCGCACGTACGCTTCACCATCCTCGTAACGCGAGTCACGAGCGTCACAGTCATCACAAATCCCGCGGCGACAAGAAGGGCAAGGCGGACCGCCATGGCGTCGTCGTTCGAATCGAAAAACTGCATGAACGAACGTCCTTGCTGCGCCGCCCCGCCCATAAGAGCGCGATAGTAATCCCTGCGAAACGTCGCACCCGGAACGCACTCTTGCGCGCGCGCCTCTTTCTCGTCGACGATCGGGTAAACGCTCTCGAAATACATACCGCAAGTTCCAAGCCCTTCCGCCGTCACGGGTCCGCGTTCGACGCGAAAGTAACCACCTTCACCCCAGTCCGAGCCAAAACTATTCTTCACCTCCCAGTACTTGACAACTTCACCGTTAGGCATCTTTTCTTCGCCCCAGCCCGTGAGTAAAGCGGCGTGGTTGATGGCCGTGTACATGGTCTCTGACGTATGCGGCGCTGGAGGACAATCCTTCAAGCGCAAAATACCTCTGTCGTACAACTGAAACTTCTTGTTGGCGTTGACCCCGATCGCAACCGGTGATTTAGACAACGCATGCATGAGCTCTTTCTCGCCTCCACTCAGAGAAAGCTCGCAGTAGCCGTGCACTTGCGCTACCCGCGGCCAGTCGGGTTTCTCGCTGGCCATGCACATTTGTTCTTGCACCTTCTCCAGCGTCACGCCCGGTTCAACCTTCAGCGCCGATTCAAAGTGAGGTTCGGGCCTCGTTGAAAACTCGGGCGCTAAGTCATCGTTCGCATAGCCGATGGGTCCCGCGTGCGCCTGAACTTTCGAAAACCACGACTCAGGCTTCTTGCTGATGCCGTCGAGAAGGCCATTGAAATTCTTATTCGTCGCGATGCCGCCTTTTGTCTCGATCCACTCGAAAGCGGTAAACATGTTCCCCGTGGCACATCCACTGTCATACGTGTCGCAGTTGATGAGTTCGTCCACTGCCAGTTCCTCGTGCACGGGCGTGACCTTTCTAATCACCATGAGCGACTCGAGAATATCGGTCGTCACGTACGCCCAGCAAGAGGCGCAGTCTTGCTTTTGATTATGCACGCGGCCCATGACGTTGGGAACGTCTTTCCAATTGAAACGCTTTGGAAACTCCGTTCGATCGACGTCCGATTGCCCCAACATTCCGCTCGCGAAGTGACGCGCAAAGCGCTTGGCGTTTTGATGGTGCGAGCGCAACTTGGACATCGGACGCGCGCTATACCTGAGCTGCGATGCCTGAAAATCTTCCGAGTCCACATCCGCGAATTTGTTAAGCCGCAACTTGAACGTATTCGACGGATCGGCGTTATGTTGCGCCACGATCCTCTGATTACGTCGGAAACTCGCCTCGGCGCGACTCAACGTCGCCTCGCACGCGCGCACGTCTTGCGCCGCCCCCCCCTCCCTTCGACTGCAGTACGTCTGCTTACTCTTCCCGTGCAATCGCATGTAATGCTCAAACTCCGTCATCGTCATCTCGAAACCATCGCTCGCGTCTTTCGCGCCGTCCGGCGCCGCCCCGAGCGCCGCCCGCTCGCCCTCCGATCGAAAGTGCACTCGCTTCGCGTTCAAACTCGCCATCCCGCGCGCCGCGCCCCACCGCGCGTCGCGCTCGATCCCAAGCGCCGCTTCCGCGACGCCGCCTCCACCGCTCTCGCTCGATTCCGCGCCGTCGTCCGCGCCGACGCGCGCGAAGCGAGCGACGACGCACGCCAACACCATGCCAAGCAGCGCCTCGCGTCGTCGTCGCGTCGCGCCCCTTTTCGCGCGGTCCTCGCGCGTCGTCGTCGTCTCGCCGTCGCGCGTCGACGCGCGCGCGTCGCGCGCGTCGCGCGCGTCCGCATCGGCGCGCGCGGCCGCCGTCGCCATCGCGCGCGCGTCGCCGAGTCGCGCCGGTCGCGGAATGGTGTTGGCGCGCGGACGGACCGCCCGCGGGAAAATCGCGATCGATAAATGGGCCGATCGGATGCTCGAATGCGCGAAATCGCGGCGCGCGAATCCGAGGCTCGAACGGGACGCGACGCGACGCGACGCGACGCGATCGGCCGCACACCGCGGCGCGCGACGAGGACGCGCGCGCGGACGGAAGCGCGATGAGCGCGGCGGAGAGAACGCCGATGCTCGGCGCGCGGCGCGATGGCGCGACGCGAGGGAGAGAGGCGGGAGAATCGCGACGAGGACGAGGACGGGGCGCGTGGGTCGATCATCGACGCGCGTTCGCGGCGCTCGTGGGCGTCGTGGGAGTGGTCTTGGCCGTCGTCGCGCGACGGGGGGACGCGGGCGCGCGGTCGGTGGCGTCGGACGCGATGATGGGGGCGACGGAAGGTGGAACGACGGGCGGCGAGTCGCTCCGCCTCCGAGAGGGTGTTGACGCGGCGGACGAAGGAGCGCGGACGTTTGAGCGCGCGAGGACGATCGATGGGGCGCGAAGCGCGAGCGAGACGAGCGGGACGGTCGACTTAGACGCCCTGAATGAACGGCTGTCGGGATCGGTGTGGGACTTTAACGAGGCGAGACCGAGGACGGCGGCGGAGAAGACGGCGGCGGGGACGCGCGAGGCGCGGCCGCTTCCGGCATTAGGGCAGACCACACGCGGTGGGCGCGCGAACAGAGACGTAGCGGAAGGTGAATCGCGCTCGTCGTCTTATTCGAAGCAAAGCGAAATGAACAGAGCGGGGACGGTACAGCCGGGCTTGGCGTTGACGGACGAGGCGATTTACGATCCCGCGTTTGTCGACGATGAGTACGAGCACGGCAAGCGGTCGGGACGAGAGCTGGTGAAGAGATTTTTAAACCCGCCGATGTTGAACACGACATGGGACACCGGTCGAATGCGTCGGCTCGGGCGTACCCTGTACCTCGACGGCAAACCATGGTTGATGCGCGCGGTGTGTTACTCCCCCGTGCCGGTCGGATGGGACCCAGATTGGTTTGAGCCGTATGGTGACTTTTTTACGAATGACTACGCGGGTATATTTGAGCGCGACATACCTCTCATGGCCGCTGCGGGCGTGAACACGATGCGCATCTACACGTTGAAGTTTTCCAAGCGGCATAGGCAATTCTTTGATTTGGCGCACCAGTACAACATATCAATTCTCGTCGGCTATGACTTTGAAGACGGTACGAAAAGCTTCTTTAACACCGCAGAGACGATGGAGAATACGCAAGCTGAACTACGCAAACTTGTACGATCGGCGAAGCATCCGGCCGTGGTCGGTTGGATTGTCGGCAACGAGTTGAACGGCCCGTGGAATTTGTACGTGTGTGATAGCGATTTGGCCGAAAACTTTGGGGTAGGCGGATGTCAGTTTGACGATTCGATCGAAAAGCTGATGAAGTCGATCAACATGCTCTGCGGGATGGTCCGATCAGAAAACATGCTCTGCGGCACAGCCATAGCGAACGTAAATTTGCCAAAGACTAAGCAGCATCTGGTGGGACGCCAGCTGTGGGGAGCTTTGAGTTGGATAAAGTTAGCCGATCGGTACATGGATCAAATCGACTTTTGGGGCGTTAACTTGTACACGCGGCGTTACTTTTCTCCAATGGGACTGTTTCAGCGATACCATCTGGTGAGCAAACGTCCGTTTTTGATTACGGAGTATGGGGTTGATGCCTTTAGCCTCAATCCAGAACTGGATGGTCTCAACGGGTACGACACGATGGGGACCGAGGATGAGGTTTCACAGGCAGATTGGCTCTCTACGATGGTAGAAGATATAGAGCGACACTCCACGGCGTGCAAATCGGGTTGCGGAGTTAGATTTACGTCCGGGGGGGCCATCATGGCTTGGGTCGACGAATACTGGAAAGGCAAAGCAGTGACTCCTGTGCCAACCAACGACGAGCGCATTCCAACGATCACGCGAGTATGCCCATCGCTGAAAGAATATTTACATTCTCCGTGTGGATACATGTCCCCGACGCAGCCTGACTTGTATGTGTCCGAGGAGTGGTTCGGAGTGATGGCGGTGAAGAAGAAGTGTAGCATAAACAAAGTGGACCTACTGCGACCAAGAGCTGCTTATTACATGCTGAAGCTGCTTTGGAAGGACGGGGGGAGCTGTACTATATTCCACGGACAAGATAATCAGCCAGCCTACAATATCGACATGTATCCAGACTGCTCGAAATTTATGAAAAGTTATCACAACAGGACGATGCACTTGTTCATGCGCGCCGAGGCGGAGGCATTCCACGGAATCAAGCTCAATCCGAACGAGCCGACACCGATTTATGCGCACTTCGAGAACTTTAGTGCAATCTTGACGCATCCAAAGGGGTTGATCAACCCGGTTTCGACAGCATTGCAAAGCACTTTTTTGACCTGTCACCACATGCGACAGATTCATCGCAAAAATAACAGAGCGTGTCCGGAGCCGCCGACAATATTTACAGAGTTGGAGACGTACATAGAAGATCAAAAAGAGCGATTTGAGCAACCTGGGGACACGAGTTGCCCCGACCGCGAATCCGTCGATGCCTTAAAACTTGAGGTTGAACTCTTGACGGTGGTATACCTAGCGATCATCTTGTACTTGGGCGTTGCTCTCGCCATTCGTTGGCGTATAACGCGTCGATACGTGCGAGATGCATTAGTCTCTCTTTCTCGATCGAATTTCTTGATCGTTCGACTGTTTATTGCGGACGATCGCGCGACGGCGGATATCCAGAAACGAGCTGTACGCGCGTTGGGTACGCCTTCCAAAGCGTCTCGGCAACTCGTCGGTGAACTCAGCAAAGAATCTCCACCTGTCGAATTCGAAGAAGATTCTCTCACTCGTCTTGGCCCGGAGCCATCGGGAGCAAGCTCCATCGAGCGTGATATTGAGCAGTGGAAAACTAGGCTTGCGCCCATCGCGCAAAGTCTCGGTGATTTATTTGGATTCCAAAACGGTAGCGAAGGCGTCGCAAGCATACGAGAAAGCTGCATCGATAAGTGCGCGATGCTTCTTTGGAACACGTCTCAACTCCAAGACGCGCCGAGCTCGAACAAATCAGACTGGGCCGCGCAGGCTCTTCATCAGAAAACGTTTGCGAGTTATAAGCGATACATGAGTTACACTGGCATAGATTTTTCTCCGCGTGGAACTGAGACGCTGGCGTCTTCGATGTTGAAGGGAAGCACTGATGCGAAGCTATGCCAGCTTGTACTGTTCGAGCTCATTTACCAAGAGTCTGCCAATTTGAGGTTTATGCCAGAGTTTATGATGTTTGTATTTCACATCATGGCGGCGGCTGTCGTGAACCGAGGCACCATGTGTTCGGCTGTACCCGACTCCGGTTTGGCTTTTGAAGCGGATGATTTTCTCACCTCAATTGTGAGACCGCTATACAATTTCCTCGCATTGCACATGAAAAGTGCTGCTCCTTTGCATCTTCGCATGGGTTACGATGATATGAATGAAACATTTATTGATGTCTCAAAGTTGAAGCGTATGCTGAACATAGACGCTGAGATGGGCACAAGCTCGTATGCTAAATTCAGGCATTTTGTGCGCACTGCGGGAGCCGCTAAGGAGAAAGATCAGAGTTTGAGCGTTGTTTTCAGAAAAACTTACAGAGAGCATTTGGGTTGGATGACGATGTATGTCAACTTCCATCGCATTTTCGCGCTCCTGTCGTTGATGATGCACGTTATGATTGTGCACGCATTTGTGAAATTTGCAGAACCGGCAATGTACTCGACGACGGCGCTGACGGCAGCCGTATTTGACCTGATCATCGAGTCGAGAGTCATTTTCTTCGACCGAATTGCGTTGTTCCATAGTCGAGTAGAATCAGTCGGACGCGCCGCTTTCGCTATAGTAGTTCTGCTACTCGGGATGGCTTGTGCCACTGACTTCATCAATGTGAAGACGTTTGCTGCAGTCGGTTTCCCCTACGCTGTGCTGGTTTTGGCCAATATCTCTGGCTACCAACTCACTTCCGGTGACAAAACGGACAGATATTTCACAGAGAAGGTGAACAATCCCATATCAAGCAAAGACCGACGGTCGTATATCATCTTCTGGGTCGTCACCTTTACGTTGAAGTTGACCCTCGATTATATTTTGATGGTCAACCCCCTCATCGCACCAACGAAAGCGATTCTGGAACTCGATCTGTACTGCTGGAATTATAACTTCGCAGGGGCTGACTGTGATGCGTACGACTATAACGAGCTCCTCTCTCCACAGCTAATCGAAATGACTCGTTTGGCGAGACGATATGGATTCAAGGCGCTCATGTTATTCGAGCGATGGATGCCGAGTGTATTGCTGTACTTTGGTAACACGTTCTTCTACTTCATCACGACGCTTGGCGTCGCTAGCGCATACAAGCGCTACAAGAACACAGGTATTGCCAGCGGGTGGGCACGCACAGTTCTTGATATGCCGCAAAACGTGGATTTATTTGCGGAAAAAGTTTTGACGTCTTCTCCCAAGCCGGAACCACCTTCGGACTCTTCAACAGCATTGTGTTCAGAAAGCGTTTCGGATGCCTGGTTCTCTTTCGCGAAAGCATGGAACGAGATCGTGAAGTCGACGCGCTCAAGAGACCTCTTGAGTAACGAAGAGACCGATCTTCTTTTGTTCCGTATCCTGGATGGACCCACGAGCGAGAGCTTCTTCGGCTCTCGGTACGTCGTTTTCCCTATCATGCTCAGTGGCTCTTTGTTTAGTGGAATTGGCGTTCAGCGCAATGAAAAGATGCGGTTTGCGTTTTCGTCATCCGTGATTGCGCAATCGATTGACTTGCTCGCTTTCATCGCTACCTGTGTCCTCGGAGTTGTCGACGCCAGAGACCGTGTGCAGTTTGTAGAATTGCTCAAGTCTCTCGTTGACCTCATGTCGCTGAGCTTGAGTGAGCATTCCCATGCGATAAAATGGCTCGGGTCGCTGCGCGAGCAATCGGCGGGACTATTGAAGCTGTTGCGAGTTCGTGAAGATGACGAAAGTGCGTTTGATACCAGTCGAATTCGCTCGCAGATGGAAAATTTGCTCAAACTCATCAGCACTGAGATCGCAAAGGACCGCGAGAATGAGCGCGCAACGCACAAAGAAACGAACGTACTCTTGGTTAAAACGTGCGAGAAGCTTCAGCAAATCATGGATTTTAATGCTCTCGATTCGTCATCAGCCAAAATTCGAAGTGCGGCGTCCTCCAAGGCTGGATCGTACGTCATCAAACAAATGGATCTGATGCTCTCTACGGCGAACCCCGCGGCCGAACCTTCTTTGGACGAAGCGAAAGACATCTTTCGATTTTTCGTGTCAAGCCTCGGCGATCCTGCAATGAAGAAACCAATGACTGTTCGTCAGATGCCGATGCTGACGACGCTAACTCCGGTTTACACCGAAGAAATTCGCACTTCGTTGGACACGTTGACATCAACAATCGATGGCGAATCCGTCACGGGATTTCGCTTCATGGTCAGCATGGCACCGTCTTCGTGGGAAAACATGATCGAGCGCACTGGTGTGAAGGTGAAAGACTCAAACTACGAGCACTTTTTTGATCGCGCGATGTTGGACAAGATCACTGCTTTGTCCACATTCACCGATGAGGAAAAACGTCTGAGTGAAGAAACCATGAACTGGGCGAGCGGCGAAGGTCAAACTTTATATCGTACGGTGAGAGGCTTTGCCTCTTACATCGATGCCCTACGATTATTGGCACGTCTGGAAGGCGTCCCTGAAGATGAGATTGAACCATTGGTTCGTGCAAAGTTCGAGCACGTCCTGTGTTGCCAAGTCTACAACTCACCGGGATATACGATGAACGGTGAAGTGGAGGCGCTCGTGGAACAATTCCCGCATGTCACGGTAAATTATGTCGAACAACCGAGTGGCGACAATGATAACTTCGCAATTGCAAAGCTCAGTCGCGGCGCAGACGGAAAGTTCAAGCGAACGCATCGTGTTCAACTTCCTGGGCATCCAATTGTTGGCGAAGGCAAGCCCGAAAACCAAAACATGGGATTGGTCTGGTCGCGTGGCATGTATGTGCAAACGATTGATATGAACCAAGATGCACATCTCGCAGAAGGGTTAAAACTTCGTAACGTTCTGAGGTTGTATGGATCCGACGAAGACATAGTGCTCATCGGCTTTACCGAACAACTGATTTCTGGGCGTCAGGGGTCAGTGTCGAGTTTTGCGGCCACTTCTGAGGCGGTCTTTGGGACTTTGTTGCAGCGTTTCATGACGAACCCTCTTCGTGTCCGCATGCACTACGGCCACCCTGACATATGGGATGGTGCATTCATCCGCTCAAGTGGTGGAGTCTCTAAGGCTTCTCGAAGACTGCACTTGTCAGAGGACGTGTACGGAGGTATGAATGTCGTGCAACGGGGTGGCAAAATCGAGTACGTGAACTTTACCACCTGTGGCAAGGGACGAGAAGTTTCATTCGATGGTAACAACCAATTCAATAAAAAAATCGCTACTGGGAACGGTATGCAGCTTATCTCGCGTGACTTTCATAGACTTTCAAAGAGCATGGACATTTTCCGCTGCTTGAGCTTTTTCCAGTCGTCGGTTGGGTTATTCTACACAGAATTCATGCTGTTTACATCCATGGCCGCCTTTGTCTTGTGTAAGACAGTGATCGCAATGTTTAGCATTGAAACGTATTACACAACTGGCGATGCCTTCGATAACGTCGGTTTCCACCAAGAAATTGGCCTTGAAACACTGTATCCATCGCAATGGATGCTTCAAGCGAGCTTGGTGATGGCCTGGCCTGGTATGTTGCACGGTTGGATCACCGGTGGTTTAGTAAAGATGGTCAAAGATACCTATCACGGGATCGTTACGGGATCGTTTGTGTACCACATGTTCATCGCCAAATCGAGAGGCTCTGCTATCGATGCTTCGATCGCCTCTGGCGAAGCGTCGTACCGCGGTACCAAACGCAGTATGAGTATGAACGCCTCTTTTTCCGACCTTTACATGCAGTACGCGGTTTCACACATCATTCCATCGATGTCGACTTTAGCGATGACTCTTCTGCTCACAGAACTATCTACGTTCAGCGCAGGGTACGTCTTTGTGACGACAACTTGGCATGTATGGATCGCCGTCATTCTTTGGATGTTTTCACCTTGGTTCTTTCATCCACAGAGTTTCAAGGAGGGTATCCCCGCGATAAACTTCACTTCTTGGCTATTCTGGCTTGATCCCTTTAAACTTGGCAATCAAGGAGCAGTCAATCAAGATGGCACTTGGTGGATGTGGCAGGCCAAGCGTATGAAGTCACTACGCGCCATGCCGAGACATCTCAAGATGGAGTACATCACGTTCCGCATTCTCCCTGTCCCACTCATCCTTATGGTGTGTAGTACGGCGGCAGTCCGTGTGAGCGATTTCGACGGGATTCCGGCTGTACGAGGCGTCGTCGTTGTCACTGCAGGTATCGCCGGATTGTTGCTCACCGGAGTCTATTTCATGAGTACGTCGCCGTCGTTCTTCTGGCCGCAGCGCGTAATCGCAATCGGGGAAAGACTGGGTCTCACATCCAGCGAGGTCGGTAAACGCAGCGTCATCTTGATGTACAATATGTGCGTCCGAGTCTTTTTGGTTGTGTTCCACATGAAGCTCTGCGGACGTTTATTCAGCGAAACGCTCGATACTGAACAGCGCCAGAACAAAATCGTTTTCGCCTTGGCGGCATTCTGCACGGTGCACTGTGTCGTTCATATATCCTCACTGATCTCCGATATTCCACTGCCTATGTTCAAGCACATAGCTCGAACGATGCGCATCTTCAGTGACTTTTTCTTCCGAGATGTGGATGAGGTGATCGGATTGGCTCTGCATATTTGCCTCGCTCTGCTGTCCCTCGTGCCAATTTCTTACGTTCACGCAAAGATGTTGTTCAACAGAGCATATGCATCTGTGCTAGGCGTCGAAATGCGCCGCCGCACTTTGGTGACGACAATCAATCGGGCGATGACGTCGCGTTCGGTAAAAACTTGGTTTCTGTCGTCCAGAGTTTTCATCCGGAAGGTCCTCGGCCTGAAATCGACGCCTGTTCGCTATGCTAGACCGATGCCGAGCACCATCCCGGATATGAAGGAAGATTTGACATCAGTGGGTGACATGACGGCCAACAAAAACGAGAGAGTCACCGAAATCAAACGTAGGATCGAGCCTATTGCTTCACACCTCGCGGATATGTTCGGTTTCCAGAAGAGCGCGAAGGACTCTACATTCACGAATGAGGAAGTCGACGTCCCGTCAAACCTCGCAAACAGCGTTGACAGTTTATCCGTCTGGCTTGAGCAATTGCTCACACAAAAAGAAGATGTATCGAGTTACTCAACCGATTACTTGGATCGATACTGGAACGATGTTGTACACGAACTTCACGCGCATTTATTCCAGAACTACAACAACTGGGGCGCGTACACTGGCATGGTGGACTCCGTCGCTTCGCACGCAAAACGCATCGCTCGTGACGATGATCAGGATTCTAGAGAAATGCTACTTTCGGTGTACATGTCTGACGCAAACAAACTCTGGACGCGTGCAAGTCGCGAACAATCCGTCGCGGTCGAATTGAACGCAAAGCTTCACCACCTGTGCCTTTGGTTTTTGATATACGGGGAATGTGCCAATCTCCGCCACATGAGTGAATGTCTCTGTTTCATCTTTCACGCGGCACTTTGCTCACTTACGCTTGACGATAGGCTTCCCGGTGAAGGCGAAGAGCGCATCATGTGCAAACCCGTATCCGCAGACGTCATGCCTTACGGTGAAAAGGATTTCCTTCGCACCGTGATCACTCCGATTTACACCTTCTTAAAGCGAGAAATTTCTGATCGTGCCTCTGCGCCCATTTCGGAGCGCGTCATGTACGACGATGTCAACGAATTTTTCTGGCAATACGACAGATTGGTGCGACTTCTCCCGCCGGAAGAAGAACCCGACCGCGGCGAAGAAGAAACTGATTACGTTGGCGTACCTCGAAACATGAAAAATCTTTCTAGAGATGCCAGAATGTACGAGCACCTGCGTTCATTCATGTCGCGCGCGATGGCTTCAGGCGATTCCTCAGCCGTTCTCACCAATGTTTTTTTCAAAACGCATCGTGAAACCTCAGGTTGGTTGAGCATGTTCGTCAACTTTCATTCCATCATCTTGTTCCACGCCGTCGCATTCCATTTATCGACCGCTTACGTGTTCGCGCACGGTTGGAATTGGTCGTACCTCTCGACGTCGATGGTGACGCATGCGTTGCTAAAGTTTGGACAGGAAGTCGCGGTAATCCGGTTCCGTAACATTTCGCAAGAGTCTTTTGGCGACTGGATGGTCACCTCGACAAGAGCTGGAATGTTTATATCGGTGCCAATGTTTTACGTGCTGGAGCGTTCGCTTCGCGCCGATAACAGTACGAAGTACTTTGAAGGTTTGGCGGCGGTGTACGCACTCGCAAACAGTGGCCTGATGTCCTCTATGGTTCGGCGCCAGCCATTTGTTGGCTCGCCGACGCAAATGGCGACGCCTGTCCGCGAGCGCATTATTTACACTCTTTTCTGGCTCGTCGTGCTCTCCACAAAGATTGCGTTTGGTCACTTCCTCCTCATCACTCCTCTGCGCGAGGCGGTGAATGCGCTGAAGAAAGGGGATCTGTGCTGGAACAAAGAGAGCGATGAGTACACTTCGTGCATCAACCTCGAAGGCGATGCGCTCGTCCAAGCGTTGAAGTTTAAGCCAAAAGTCACGTACTTTACCGAGCTTACAAAAGACGACGACGACTACGAAGAAAGCGATATCAATCTCGCTTACTACGAGCCCATTCCCGAGCGCCGGAGAAGTTTGCTATTTTCGCACGCCGGTGGTGGCGATTTCACTGGCGCATCTTGGGGAGACGAAAGTCAGTTTTCGATCGCTTATGACGTGAACTATTCCGTTGATCCATACAACGGTCAATATCGGGGATGGAGTAGCGCTGCTGCTAGTCCTTCATCGATGCCACATTCTAGGTTGGAGTCTACGGTATCTGACATCGTGGACGCTGCGTCGAATGTCGTGAGCAGTGCAATCGGCGGCAAAAAGCTCAGCCTTCCAGCCCTCGGTTATATTGGTGAAGAAATTGAAGGTCAATTACCGGAAGCATACTACGACGTGCACGCGTCTCAATTTTTGATGACTGTCATGGTAATCGCGCGGATGCTTCCAGCCGTGGCGACGTACTTTTGCGATACGTTTTTGTGGTACACGTGCTACGCATCAGTCTTCACAATTTTCCTTCAGTGGAGAGGAAAAGTGTCGCACGCTCAACGATGGGCGAACTTTTTGAGAGACTTTCAACAGATTCCAAATCTATTCTGCGAAAAAGTCTTGAATAAGTCGTGGCCAAAGCCAGTCATTTTGACAGGCGATGCCACCACGAGTGGTAACGCTTCCGGCGATAGCGACGATGATGCATTTGGTGCCAAAGAACAAAGAATACGTTCGGGCGGTGGCTACGGTGGCGGCGATCTTCACGAAGGTTTACTTGATTCTGTTGCGCTAACCGTTGTAGAAGATGAGGTCCTTATGGAGTCTGGTGTAAAGACCGCCGCTCCAAATCCAGCTGACTTCTTACCGGAGGCGATGGATGTCAAATGGCAACACTTTTCGCGTGGGTGGAATTCGATTGTCGATTCGTTGCGCGCACGTGACCACATCACAAACAAGGAGTGTACCGACTTGAAGTTTGTTTTCCTCCAGGGTCGTGATATTGAGCAAATATTTGACGCCCCGGAGTACATCATACTGCCCCCGATGCTCACCTCTTCAGTCTTCTCGAGGGCAAACTTCAATACTGGGACAATGGCGCAGTACCCTTCTTTCGGCACGACGCTGATCCAAACCAAGGATTTGCTTTGTGTGGTGATGACTGAAGTGCTTCGAGTCGTCTCCCCCGGCGATTCTTCGCTTTTGATGCGGGTCATAACCGACTTAGCCGCGATAGAGGGGGAGCAAATGTCTCAACGTCGCCGCGACGACGTCGGTGGCTATATTCAACTCCGTGACTCCATCATCAAGCTTCTCTTAACGTTGCAAGCGATGAGTGCGTCGACTGATGCGACTCCCATAATCGAAGATTATGAAGATCAAGATGTTGAAGGTTCAGAGACTGAAAGTGATGATGAAGAGGCGCAACTCCTTCTTCTCGGCGATACAGCCGGCGCCGAAAGAGCTCGATTGAGGAAGGAGCAACGAACAAAACGGCGACAACTCAGGGCTATCCGCGAGAAGGAAAAAAATCGCCAGAAACAAATGGTCGAGGCAATCAATCTCGAGATGAAATTTGGCTGTACCGGTATTATTCCCAAAGAGAAACGCAAAAAGATGAAGGAAAAGAGCGGTCTGTTGCGCGGATGCTTCGTCGTTCAAGAAAACTGGGACGAAATGAGCGCAGAGCAACGAGCTCTCCTGGACGAAAGCGAAGAGCGACCGAACATTCGTAAACGTTGGCGAAGAGGTCGCCGAAAGCTCATCAAGTGGTCGAATATCCAAACTGATGCAGATATCGACGCGCAATCGAGCACGCTCGCTGAAGCGTTACACGAAATACTTCTCGCGGTTCGGAAGATCTGTTCGTTTGCCATGGAAAACGATGGTCGTTGGTCGAACGCAAACAATCAGAGAAAGTATCGTGTGTCGCAGCTTTATTCGCAACTTCTTGAAATGGTGCGCATCGATGCGCTGCGTGACACTGAGCATGTGCGAGTAGTGTCCGCCTCCGCGACGCTGGTAAACAACCGGAAGATTGTCGATTGTTTGTTGAATTCAATGAACAACATCAATCCTGGTGGTGAGCCGCGTAATCTCGAAGCTCGTCGGCAACTTATGTTTTTTGCCAATTCTCTGAGCTTTGCGACGCTGAAAATGCCCACCAAGTTGCGTAACATGCGTGCGTGGACTGCGTTCACGCCTTATTACGCTGAAGAGGTTTCTTACGTGAAGGATGAATTGATAAAGCCTCTTGAAGATCAAAAGACGCTGCTGTCCATCATCCAAGCAACGTATCCAGATGAGTACGAAAACTTCAAAGAGCGCGTTGGGGCCTTGGCGTGCGACGACGCCACAGTGACTGAGAAGTACTGGGAAGAACTCCGCATCTGGACGAGCGACCATACGCAGTCGCTCAGTCGCTGCGTGCGTGGTGTCTGCAGTTATGGGGCAGCGTTGCGCTTTCTTGCGCGAGCGGAAGGGTACGACGAAGATGAGATTGAGACATTGGTCTGCGACAAGTTCGAATATCTCGTGTCTTGCCAAGTGTACGGAAATATGCTGAATGCTCCACAAGGTTCCGCTGATAGACAGAAAGCGGAGGATATAAACGAGCTCATCTTGAATCATCCAGAGCTTCGAGTGTGCTTCGTGCAGACAAAGTCTGACACAAACGACACGTTCGCTTCGTGTCTCGTCGGATGCGATCGAGAAAATAGAACGTTATCTCTCGCGTGCAAGGTAGAATTACCAGGAAATCCAATAATTGGAGAAGGAAAACCTGAAAACCAAAACCACGCCGTCATTTTCAGCAGAGGTGCTTACCTGCAAACGCTGGACATGAATCAAGATGGCTACTTCCCGGAGGCGTTGAAGATGCGAAACTTGCTCGATGTTTTCTCTGAGGACGTTGTCCTCGTCGGCTTTCCTGAGGTGATATTTAGTGAGACTACGGGCGCCGTCGCACAGTTCGCGGCGATTTCAGAGTTCATTTTCCAAACGTTTCAACGTTTCATGACGTGGCCACTCATGGTGCGCTTCCACTACGGTCACCCCGACGTGTGGGACAAGGCATTCACCATGACAAATGGTGGCGTGTCTAAGGCCTCAAAGATGATCCACGTCGCCGAGGATTTCTTCGGTGGCGTGAACGCGATCGTTCGTGGCGGCCGAGTGTTATTTGAAGAGTTCATCGAGGTGGGTAAAGGAAGAGATATGGGTTTTACATCCGTAAATGGTTTCGAACAAAAGATTTCAGGCTCTGCGGGGACAATCTCAATGTCTCGTGACGTTTACAGACTACACCGCTCGATGGACTTTTTCAGAATGATGTCTATGTACTTTAGTGGCCCAGGCTTCTTCATTAGCGTTATGCAGACGGCTTGGTGTGTTTATTTGTACATTCTAGTGCACGCCGGGCTCGCGATTGCAGATCTTGAAATCTATCGTGTCTATCGTTATTTCAAAATGACAGAGACACAAACAACACTGTCGCTGTCTAAAGAAGAAGGTGGTTATTACAACTCCATTTATGCGATCCAGCTAGGATTACTAACAGTCCTACCTCTCTTCTTGAAGATGGTGATGGATAGAGGATTGCGCGATGGTATCGAATACACCGCCTCGTCACTTGTTCGTGGTTCGTGGGCGTTCAACATTTTTGCCATGACGACGAAAGGTTACAATTACATGGTTGGTCTCCTTTTCGGTAAAGCGCAGTATATCGCTACCGAGCGGGGTTTTGTGCTACAAAATGCGAACATGGTGGTACTTTACGGCTTGTACGCCAAGTCTCACCTGTACTTTGGTATGGAAGTGTTGCTTCTTTTACTGTTGTTTCACGCGAACACGGTGCTTCCAAAATCACTGCTGTACTCTTGGTCGGTTTGGAGCTTTGGTATCTGCATCATCATAACGCCCTGGTGGTTTTCGCCACAAAGCACGAACACTTACTGGATGCGAAATAGCTGGAACGATTGGCGAGACTGGCTCGATGGTACTTTCGACAAGCCCAAAATCGCGAATGGTTCCTGGAAAGAGTGGCACTCGACGATGAACACCAACTATCGAAACAGAATTGGTTTATTCAACAAAGCGGGCGTCTTATTCATGAGTAGTTTCGGACGTGTCATCCTCTTGCTTGTTGTGATTGGTTCTCTGCACGGCAGCGCGCTATACACAGGGCTGACGCAAATGGAACAGTTCAGCGTGAACTCGGGTCGCATCGCCGCTGCGACGATTGCAATGGGCTTCGTCGTGTTCTTGTACACATCTGCGATGAACTCAGTGGTATTCGCACGCGACGCGTGGTTACAATTCCCCGACAAACTGTGGAAAATTAGCGTGTATCGCGGACTGGTACGTCTGGGACTCTTCCTCGTCTGGAATGGGTTGTACTTTTTCGCTTTGCACGTCGAAACCGGCAGCAACAGCTTGTTCCGCACGTGGTTCATGACTGGGCTCGGCGCTTGGTGCGTCGTGGCGATATTCATCGAGGCGTGCTCCTTCGTGAGTGACAAGAGTATCATTACTTTCGGTGAAAGCTGGCTCCCGATGAAAACAGTGGATGGCGAACCGGAACCTCGAGGAAACGGTGTGCGTCGCGCGTTGCAACCATTTGTGTACCGCGCGCGACGCGGCTTGGCCGCAGCGCGAGGGTTTTCAGACTTCTGGTACAAAGAGATGGACAAGTTCTTCGGTTTAATAATCTTTACTATATTGTTCTTCATGTCGCTGCTTCCCGTGGCGACGATGCAGACTGTCCTCATCTGGAACGAGGCGTTCAGTGACATCCTCGCAAAGAGAATTGGAGTGCAGGATACCGTGTCTTCGATTTTAGATTAGCGGAAGACTTCGATAACCGTAGCGCGGTGGTCGAGGTCTCACATAGCGTACTCACATAGCGTCTTCAAACTGTAAATTGACATTAGAACTTTAGTCAGCCTTCTTCGCCGGAACCGGCAGCCGTTCGTCGCCGCCGCGCAGGGCCGAAGCGACGTACAAGAGCAAAACTACATTCACCGCCACGATCGCAAACATCCCCGCACACGTCGCTCGTCCACTCTCAGTCGCTAAAAATGTCGCTCCGTATCTCTCGTACGCCGCCGGACACGTCGTCCGCAGCGTCGTTTTATACGTCGCGTACGGCACCGCCGCGAGCGCCGCCGTAAACCACCCCAACCGCCGCAGCGCCGCGCGTTCGTTCGCGCTCGCCCGCCGCTCGCCCTCACCGTCCGGCATCGTCCGACGCGTTCGCGCGCGTCGACGCCGCTATCCGCCGTGGATCGCGCGCTCGTAAAACACGAACACGACGAGCGCCAACACGCACGCGAAGCCGCCGACCAGAATCGCGAATTCGCGCTGCGAATCCTTCTCCCTCGCGCGCCCGCGCGCCCGCGCGTGCGCGCTCGTCCGCGCCCGCGCGCTCGTCGGCGCGAATTCCTCGTCCGCCGGCGCCGCGGCGTCTAAACCGACGAGCTCGCGGTGCGCGCGTCGTCGTCGCGCGCCCATTGATGCAGCGCGGCACTTCGCGCTCGCGCGCCTTCGCCGACGATGTCCGACGACGACGAGGTGTGCACGCGAACCGCGACGGCGAGCGACGGCGAGGGGACGCGCGCGGGAGAGAGCGGCGCGATCGCGGCGCTGGGCGAGACGAAGACGTCGAGGCTGATGGAATTGGAAGCGCGACTCGCGGAGAAAGATTTCATAATGGAACCGAGCGCGATCGATGACGTGCGCGCGTACGTCTCCGCGGGAGGCGCGCCGAGCACGGCGATAGAGCTGCTGAGCGAGAATTACCGAGGGTACGCGGCGATGACGACGCTGGCGGTGCACTGGTTGAAGGTGACGGCGCCGCCGAGACGGGGCGCGAACACGTCGCCGATCAAGGTGAGCGCGGCGGTAGAGACGCGAGGCATCGATAATGGCGACGGTGACGCGACGAGAACACCGACTGGAGGGATATTGACCAGCGGAGCGGGGAAAGGGACGCCGCGGGAGCGCGCGGCGACGATGGAGACGGAGGCGCGATTCGATGAAATGTATTTTTTGGAGGCGCTCGTGAGAGAGAAATTCGACGCGAATAAGGCGGACGCGGTGTTCCAGGGACGACCGCCGGCGTGGTTGGATGGGCTGTTCAAGAGCGAGCGCGGGCGGGCGGTGTTGTTTTCTTTGGCGGAGCGTAATCCAAACTGTTTATTGATTTCGTGCGCGATTCAGCACGCGTGGCAGCGCGGCATGCGACACGAAGTGCGCGCGCTCGGACCTGCGGCGGCGGCGTATTTTAGCATCTTTCACGAACTTCTCGCCGATCACGTCAAGGGAATCATCGAAGCCGGTGATGACGACGAGCGACGAATGGACTTTGAAGAGCGGTTGAAGAGCATGTGCTGTCAGTCCATAGGCACGTACGTCTTTGGCCAGCTCATGCTCGCGACTTTAGGGCGAGACACGGACAAGGCGACGACCAAGAGTTCACAGGCGATCGCGGCGCGATTGTCGGAAGAGATTGAAGAGGCGGCAGCGAGCTTGCACGGTGCCGCAACGGTTCGCCGTCTGGCGCCTTGGCTCGCGGCGTCCGCGGCTGACGCTACGGCCAAGTACGCCACGGCTGATTTGCTCAGCTCGCGTCCAGTGGGCACGAACACGTCATCGGTTGGGCAAATACGCGACAGTGGGGCACTCGCGGCTGGGGACTTGAAAAAGCTGCTCGACTTGTACGTGTCGAGCGACGTCAAGAAGAAGCCGTCGGTGGCGCCGCTTCGGCACCCCGACGTCCTTTACAACCTCATTTCGGAAGCTTTTAAATGGACAGTTGACTCGGGCGCGAATCGTTTACGCAGCGAGTGTTTCGAGCTGATCGCTTTAGCCGCAAGCGATGACGAGACGAGCGTGGATGAAGTAAAAGCGGCGTTGACTGAAGCCGTGGCAATCGTCGAAAACGCGAAGCGGGGCGAGATGCCAGAGCAGACGAGTGTCGATAAAGTGTTCGCTATCCCGTGCGCGACTGCAGGTATCATCGCCGCCGCGCGCTCTGCGCTCACGAATGAAATGTATCATCGGGTCGTTCAAGTCGGGAACGCCAACTCTGTTTTCGTGCACGTCCTCGGGGAAGTGGCGAAGAAGCACATTGGGCTGCAAGGCGTGGTGCTGGAGGCGCTGAACGCGATCATTCAATCATGCGGAAGTTCACACGGCGCCGAATTGGCTATTTCGCTCCTCGACCTGGGTTGCGAACTCGTCGCTGCTGGCCACGTGATGCCGACGATCACGGCTGCGGCGAACTCGTGGCGTCGGACGTTGGATCCGTCTCAGATTCGATACTTTGCGAACGAGGTGTTGGAGATCGCAGGTCCGCCGTACAGCCGCGATTTTGCCGTTGTCATGATTCGATTGCTCGACTCGGCGAATTCGCGCAAACGGATGTCCAAAACTGTGGACGATTTCGTGGAAGACGTGCGCGTGAACAGACGAAGTTTTCATCCTCCCCTGTCGCTGGCCGAGGTCGGCGTTCTCGACAGCCTTTCGCGATGAGGGCGACTTGTAATGTGAATAGCTTCGCTTAATGATTAAGAGATCTCTTCTATGATGTGTGTGTTAGTGTGTCGTGTACAAAACTTGAACCTCCCCTTTGATTCGTTAGCGACCCATGCGGCGGCGCAAAAAAGAGGGGATGCCGCCGCGAGACGCCGGTTGCTCTTCATCGCGTTCGGATTTACCGTTGCTCGGGATTTCCGTCTTCGTGTTCCAGCCCATGATGGGCGTGCGGCCGTCGATGGCGGCCGGGGCTTTCTTTCCGTTCGATCGGGACGCCGGCGCGGCGGTTTGAGAAATACCCGCCGACGGGGAAAACCCGGTGGCGATGAGCGTAATAGAAACTTCACCATCCGTGGCTCTGTTGCCATCCTTCACGACGGCTCCGAAGATAATCAGCGCGGACGGGTCGACGAGATCATAGATGACCTCAGCGGCTTCGTTGACTTCGTGCAAAGTCAAATCGCTGCCGCCGGTGATGTTCCAAACAATGCCGGTGGCGCGGTCGATGCCCAAATCGAGCAACGGGGACGAAATCGCGGCTTCGGCAGCTTCGCGCGCGCGGTTCTTGCCGCTCGCACGACCGATACCCATGAGCGAAGAGCCAGCGTCCGCCATCACGGCGCGCACATCCGCGAAATCGACGTTGATCAAGCCCGGCAAAGTAATAATATCGGTGATGCCGCGGACGCCTTGGCGAAGAATATCGTCGGCGAGCAAAAACGCATCTTGCACCGGCAAAGACGCGTCCACGGCGGCGAGCAAGCGATCGTTAGGAATAACGATGAGCGTATCCACGTTTTGTCGCAAACGTTCGACGGCTTCCATCGCTTGGTTGTATCGCTGACGTCCTTCAAACTTGAACGGCATCGTCACGATGCCGACGGTTAAAATACCGGCGCTCTTCGCCACTTGCGCGACGACGGGCGCGGCGCCCGAGCCCGTACCACCGCCCATACCCGCCGTGACGAACACCATGTCAGACCCAGACAAAGCCTGTTCGATCGCGGCTCGGCTCTCTTCAGCCGCCTTTTGCCCAATCTCCGGGTTCCCGCCCGCGCCCAAACCTCGCGTGAGCTCCGCGCCGATCTGCAAGTGGTTTCTCGGATCCGCCACCGCCGTCTCCAGCGCCTGCGCATCCGTGTTCACGATCCAGAATTCCACCCCATTAATATCCGCGTCCACCATTCGGTTCACCGCGTTCGATCCACCGCCGCCGACGCCGACCACCTTGATGGTCGCCGCGTTCGTCGCCGCGCGCGTCGTCGTCCCGCTTCTTCGCGTCATCCTTCGCGCGCCCGCCCGCGCGCCGCTCGCGCGTCCCACCACGCGCGTCCCCGCATAGCTTTTCGACCTGCGTCGCCGTCGTTCGTCGTCAGTCGCCGCGCTTTCGTCGTCGCGCGTCGGATCGATCGTCCCGCGCGATTTCAAATATTTATCCAGTCCTCGTTCGTCGTCGTCGTCGTCGTCGTCGTCGGTCGTCGTCGCGCGTCGTCGTCGCGCGTCGCGCGTCGGTCGGGTCGTCGCGCGTCGCGCGCACCCGCACTGCTGCATCGTCCTCGTCGCGCGCGCTCGGCGTCGCGAAGTCGCGTCGTCGCCGCGTCGACGCGGCGCGCGACAGCCCTGGAGTCCCCCCCCCTCGGTTCGCGACTCGTCGTTTTTGAAATGCGGTGCGACGCGGTCGACGGACCGACGCGCGCGCGCCAGTGCGCGACGGATGGCGCGCGTCGACGCGCGCGACGCGCGCGAGGACGCCGCCGGCGCGTCCGCGCGCGCGCCCGCGTCGAAGGGCGTCCGGGAGATGACGGCGGGCGAGCGGCGCGCGTTCGTCGCGGCGTTGGTCAGGGCGCGCGCGCGCGACGGCGCGCGAAGCGGCGCGAGCGCGAGCGCGGACGCGACGAACGCGGGCGAGGACGACGGTGATAAAGGCGACGGACGAAGCGCGCGATGGCGAGGGGTGAAATCGCGGTACATGGAGTACGAGACGCGCGCGAGGGAGACGACGGCGAGCGGGACGACGACGCGCGGGACGCGGCGACGGGACGGAAGCGCGGGAGAGGCGCCGGCGTGCGCGAGGAGAGAGCGGGCGGAGAAATTGGCGGGACGACACGCGCGGGAGCGCGTGGTGGCGGAGGCGATGGCGCGACGGGCGGAGGAGGAGACGTTTAGGCCGCGAACGCACGGCGAGGGGAGACGAGACGCGGGAAAGCGGGCGTCGTTGGAGAAGTTGGCGGCGCCGAGGACGGCGTTGTGGGAACGATCGGCGAGCGTGAAGAAGGAGAAAGATGAGGCTGTGTTTGCGGAGAATTGCACGTTCGCACCGAAGGTTGGTCGAGGGCCGAAGACGCCGTCGACGAAACCGGCGGCGGAGCGATTGTACGAGTACGCGGAGAAGCGATTAGAGACTAGGGAGCGCGTACAGGCGCGCGTGGTGGAGGAAGAGATGGAACTTTTGACGTTCAAGCCGACAGTTAACGTCAGGACGAGCGCTGGGATTCGAGACAAAGTCGCCAAGACGCCGCCGTTGCACCGGCGCGTCGCCGACGTGTTGCGCGCCAAAGAAAACGTGAGAACAGAGGCTCGTTTAAAGGTGGAAGACGAACTCGCCAAGGCGCACACGTTCAAGCCCACGATCAATCCGACGAGTGTGATTCTCGCCATGCAGCGTGCCGAGATTCAGAAGGCTATGGAAGATGATGACGACGCCGGCGACGAAGCGCCAACGATTCACCGCAGACGATCGTCGGCGTTGGACGGCGAGGATGAAAATCTCACTTTTGCGCCTAAAATCACGCGCGAAAGCGAGCGCGTGGTCGACGAACTTGAGCGTCAAGGCAAACTAGGCGCCGGCTTCCTTGAACGACAGCGTGACTTCAGCGAAAAAGTCGCGCGGCGCGCCCAGGAAAAGCGCGCTATGGTCGACGACGAATGCACATTTATGCCAGATATCGGCAACGCCGCCAGCGTGTTGCGCCGAGGGCGGCACGTGTACAAGTTGCTCGAAACGCCCGAAGAGCGCTCAGATCGATTGGCGGTGAAAGACGCCGAGCGTAAGCGTGCCGCGCAACGCGTCCGCGAGCGAGAGCACTACGCGCAGTTTACGTACCAACCCGAGTTGAATGAAAAGTCGTACGAGCTCGCGCCTCACGGTAGTACGATCGACGATTTGGCGCGCGACGAGCGACGGGACTTGGCGCGACGACGCGCGCAAGCCGAGCTCGAACGTGAGTTCCGAGAACAGCACACGTTCGAACCAAACCTCGATCGGTCGAATGAGGCCCGAAAGGCTCGCGATACGAGTCAGTTCGCGATGGATTACGGCGTCGGCGGCGATGCGGTGAGCGCTCGCATCGAAGCATACCGGCACGAAAAAGAAACTGCGCTCGAAAATCTCCGTAGGCGCGCCGAGTATCGCGAGTTGGAGCAGTGTACGTTTCGTCCCGAGTCCATCGCGCGAGAGCCTCGCGCCATGGGCTCCCCGTCCGCGTCGAAAGTCAAAGGTATGGATTCGTTTTTGCGCAAGCAAGCCAAGGCGCGCGAGCTCGAAGAAGAAAAGCGCGAGCGATACGCCAAGGCTTTCCTCGAGAACTTGGACGATTTCGACCGATGGGGCCGACGGACGATTCCCGAGCCGTTCACCGGCGCCTTCGCCGAAAACGTCGTCGAAAAGGCTGAGGCTCGACGCAAAGCGTTGGCGGAGGAGCACTTGCGGCGCGAGTTGGAGGAGTGCACGTGGGAACCGGCGACGAATCATTCTCGCAAGTCTACTAGTATTAAATAGAAATTCCTAGCTATCCTAGCCTATTGCACGGCGGCTTTTATGGGTGTGATGCCGTCGAAAACGATCGCCGCCCGCCTGTCAATCTCTCTCGCGTCGACGTCGAACAGCGCCGCTTCGCGTCGTTCGCACGCCATCGAAGCGCACGCGACTCCTATCGCGATGGCGCGCATCTCATCGACGCCTCGCGCGAGCGCGCCGACCGCGCCACCGACCAATGCGTCGCCCGCGCCGATGAGCGACGCCGCGCTCTTCACCGCGAAAGCGGGCACGTGCGCGTGCTCGGCGTTCGACGCGTCGCCGTCCGGTGCGGAGGAGACGATCACGCCCAGCGACCCGAGCGTGAGCACGACGCGCTCGCACCCGGCGGCGAGCACCGTGGCTATGTCGCTCGCCAACGCATCGAGCGCATCGTTCGCCGCGTCGAACTCGAGCTCTGGATTGAACGGACACGGCGACATCGGCGAGCCCTTCGCCCAACTTCTCCGCACCGCATTCGCCAGCTCGCGAAGCTCCGCCGCGTTCGGCGAGCACCACCTCACGCCCACCATCGGTCTCCCCGCATCACCGCTCTCCACGATCCTCACCGCCTTCGCCACCGAAACCGGTTCGAACCACGTCGCCGTCGTCGCCGCCGCGCGCCGCGCCGCTCGAATCCCCCGCGCCGACAGATTCCCATCGATCACCACCACTCGCGCCCCCCTCGCGTCGCTCGCGTACTTTTCGCACCACTCTTCGTCCACGTCTCGCTCCACGACGTCCACGTCCGCGACGCTCGCCACGATCTCGCCGCTTTCGTCCGTCACCGCGACGACGCGCCCCGTCCTCGCGCCCGCGCGCGCGCGCACCCCCGCCCCGTCGTCCCTCCCTCTCGCGCGCGCGCGCCACGCCTCGCGGACGCTCGCGCCGTCCGCGTCGTCTCCGCACGCGCTCACCAGCCTGACGCGCGCCGCGCTCGTCGCCGCGCACGCGCACGCGACGTTCAGACCGACGCCGCCGACGCCGCGGTCGACGCGACCGCGCGCGCTCGTCCCGCGCGCCGTCGCGCCGCGCGCGCGCGCGTGCACGTCGACGACGACGCCGCCGAAGACGACGACGTCGCGCGCGGGCGCGCGGACGACGCGCGCGAGGCGCGCGAGGCGCGCGCGCGCGACCTCGCGCGCGGACGTCATCGTGTGACGCGCGGCGGCGCGCGCGACGCGACGCGGCGAACGCGCGCGACGCGGCGCGGGCGATGACGACGGCGACGTCGACGCCGGACGCGCGGCGGGACGCGCCGCGCGCGCGCGGCGACGCGAACGCGCTCTCGCGCGCGTGCTTCGCGTGGGTGACGCCGTTTTTGCGACGAGGACTCGACGCGCACGCGGGACGCGCGGCGCGGTTGGAGATGGGAGATCTGCTGCGACCGCCGGAGGCGTACGTGGCGAGGCGGAACGCGGACGGGTTCGAGCGGGCGATGCTGGAGACGCTGGGGAGGGTGGAGCGCGAACGCGCGGCGGCGGCGGCGGACGCGGACGCGGCGGCGGACGCGGACGCGACGACGAGGAAAGAGGCGAAGGCGAAGGCGAAGGAAGGATTTTTACCCGCGCTCGCGTCGCCGCTGTGGCGCACGTTCGGGGGAGTGATTTTGCAGGGGACGTTTTTTAAGCTGTGCAACGACGTCGTGCAGTTTTTGCCACCCGTGGTTTTGAGCGGCTTTTTGCGATACGTCGGGAATAAACCGAATTTCATGTCCGACGCGTTCGGGGCGTCGGTGACGGGGAACGGGATCGGTTGGTTGTACTGCGCGCTGATGTTTTCATTGGCGGTGTTGCGCACGCTGTGCGAACAGACGTATTTTTACTACGCTCAGGCGAGCGGCATTTGCATCAAGGGCGCGCTCTCGACGGCGGTGTATCGGAAGACGATGCGCTTGTCTAGCGCGGGGAGAAGTGGGAGCACGACGGGCGAGGTGTTGAATTACATGCAACTCGACGCGCAGCGCGTGGGCGATCTCATGCTGTTCCTAAACGTGCTGTGGAGCGGATTGTTACAAACGATGGGGTACATGGCGCTCTTGTATTCGTACATCGGATGGAGCGTGTTCGGGGGATTGTTCATCATGCTCGGTTTGATTCCCGCGCAAAAATTCTTTTACGGGATGATGTACCGCTACCGCAAAAAACAAAACGTGGAGACTGATCGGCGAGTGAAGCTTGAAAATGAGGGTTTGAGTGGGATAAAGATTTTAAAGCTCAACGCGTGGGAGGAATCGTTGCGAGAAGAGGTCGCCGAAGTGCGCAAGCGCGAGATGATTCAAGCGACGAAAGTCGCCAACGTTGCCGCGATAAACACATCAATCATGTCGGCCGGCCCAGTGATTGTGTCGGTTGTCGTTTTCTCGCTATACGCGGGAGTCATGGAACGACCGATGGACGCCGACATCGTCTTTCCGGCGTTGACGCTGTTCAATCTGCTTCGATTTCCGATTTTGTTCTATCCTCGATGCTTGGCGCAGTGCGCAGACGCCGTGTCCTCGCTGCAGCGTCTACAGAAGTATTTCATGCTCCCCGAAGCGTCGGCGACGACGAAGACTGTGGAGTTTGAACGCAAGGACGATTTTGACCAAGTCGTGGAGACTACAAAGGTTGGCAAGAAGGGCGACGTCCTCGCGCGCATGACGCGCGGTACTTTTTCTTGGTCCGATCCGGACGTCGAAGTGAAAGAGAAAGAAGCGGAGAAAGTAAGTGATGCGAAAAAAGACGAGATTGTCGACAAAGTCAACCCGACAGTTCCTTTTTTGCGCGACATCAACTTCGAGCTCAAAAGAGGTGAATTGACCATCGTCGTCGGCGCCGTCGGCGCGGGGAAGACGGCGCTTATATCCGCGCTTCTCGGCGAAATGAGCGCCAGAGACGGAGCCAGTGTCACAATCGATGCAACGGTGTCTTATGTCGCACAAACTGCGTGGGTACAATCAATGTCTCTCCGTGACAACGTGCTCTTCGGCAAGCGATACGATGAAGAGAAATATCATCAGGCGCTCGAAGCGGCGTGCATGGAGGCAGACATTAACCTTTTACCGAACGGTGATGACACTGAAATCGGCGAAAAGGGCATCACCCTTAGTGGCGGTCAGAAGCAACGCACGGCGATCGCGCGCGCGGTCTATGCTGACGCAGAGATCGCTATTTTAGACGATCCTTTGTCGGCTTTGGACGCGCACGTGGCTAAGGATGTGTTCAAGCGCTGCATCCGTGGCGTCTTGCGATCCAGCGCTGTCTTGCTCGTCACGCACCAGCTGCAGTTCACCGAGTTTGCCGACAATATTCTCGTCATGAAAGACGGTGAGGTAGTTGAATCGGGCAAGTACTCTGAACTGATGGACAAGGGGCCGGTATTCCAACAAATGATGCGATCGTACCGCGGCACACAAAAAGCTGAGACCACGAAAGAAGAAGTAGTCGATACCTCCGTATCAAAAGACATGAAACAAACGATGTCGTTGCAGAAAGACAAGGCAAAACAGAATATCGAGAAGCGCGAAGAAGGGTCCGTGAAGATGAACGTGTACAAGGCGTACATCAATGCGATGGGCGGGAGGTTTTGGACGTTTTCATTCTTGATGTTCATCACCATCGCTGAACGCGCTTTGAGCGTCTTCACCAACGTCTGGCTCGCGTACTGGTCGCAACAAAAGTGGAATCTCGGTCAAACGGTCTATCTTGGTGGATATAGCGCGATCGGAATTGTCTCAGCGTTCATCGCTTGGATTCGAACGTTTGCCTGGGTCGTGGCTGCGCTCACCGCCGCGACGGGATTACACTTGAAACTCTTGCAGTCGGTGATGGACACGCGAATGAGTTTCTTTGACACCACACCGCTGGGCCGCGTAATTCAAAGATTCAGCAAAGATACCAACGCTCTCGATAATATCATCGGACAGTCGGTATCTTCCGTGATGTCGTTTGGGCTTTTACTCTTCGGCACCATCGTCGTCATGGGATGGATCATGCCGATACTGCTTCCTTTCATGGTGCCGATCTTTGCCGTTTACTTTTACATTCAAATGTACTACCGACCTGGTTATCGCGAGGCCAAGCGTTTGGACGCCATCAGTGGCTCGCCAGTGTTTGCCCACTTCGGAGAGACGCTAGGCGGTTTGAGTACAATTCGTGCCTTTGGCCATCAACGTCGTTTCATCACGGAAAACGAGCAGCGAATTGGCGCTAATCAAATCGCTGATTACACTCAAAAGTGTTGCTGCGAGCGCTGGCTCCCAGTGCGTCTCGAAACGATTGGCAACTCGCTCACTCTTGTCGTCGCGTGCGTTGCGGTGTATTCACGAGATTCGCTCGACGCTGCGCTCATCGGTTTGGCGGTTACTTACGCCATCGACATCACCGGTGTTTTATCCTGGGTGATTCGCATCGTGTCCGAGCTCGAATCGCAAATGGTGAGCGTCGAGCGCATCGACGAGTACACGAGGCTGCCGTCAGAGGAGGAAACAGGTGCGATGGCGGCGCACGGCGTCGTGGAAGAGCCGCCGCCGGAGTGGCCTTCGCAAGGGGGCTTGAGATTTGAAAAGTTACAGATGCGATACCGATCCGAGCTCCCTCTTGTGCTCAATGGTATTTCGTTCGAAGTCCAACCGGGGCACAAGGTGGGAATCTGCGGTAGAACCGGCAGTGGGAAGAGTTCTCTGCTCGTCGCGTTATGGCGCCTGTGCGAGCCCACGGCCGGTTCCATCTGGCTAGACGGTATCGATATCTCTACGATTTCGCTCAAGCGTTTGCGGTCGTCCATCACTTGCATTCCCCAAGATCCCGTTCTGTTCAGCGGCACAATTCGTTACAACCTCGACCCGTTCAACGAGTACACGGATGAAAAGCTGTGGTACGTTTTGGAGCACGTCAAGTGCAAGGACTTCATCGGCAAACAAGGCCTCGGTCTCGACGCCCCAGTGGAAGAATTTGGAGGCAACTATTCCGCCGGTCAACGACAAATGCTGTGTCTCGCGCGAGCGATGCTGCGAGATACCAAGGTGGTATGCCTCGACGAAGCCACAGCGAGCGTTGACACCGAGACGGACGATAACATGCAAAAAGTCATCGCGACGGAATTCGTCAATTGCACCATCTTGACCATCGCCCACCGCATCAACACCATCATCGAAAACCATCAAGTTGTCTGTCTCCAGGCTGGTAACCTAGTCGCCATGGACTCACCGTCCGCGATGCTCGCCGATCCGAACTCCATCTTTTCCCAGCTCGTCGCCGAAACCGGCGAGGCGTCGGCGAAAAATTTGAAGCAACGCGCCGACGCCGCCGAGGCGGCGAGAGCGCGGAACACACGAGATATCGAGCGCACACATTTGGATAGTCACATCTGCTAGTCACTAGACCATTCTTTAATGCGTACACGCGCCATTTTTTCCGCCGGAGCGCCACACAGCGACGCGGCGCTCGCGAGATGCGAGACCTCATTCGCCTCGCCGCTCTCTCGCGCGCCGCCGCGCGCTCATCGCGCGCTGTCGCCTCGTCGTCGCGCGCATCGCTCAACGAAGACGACAAAGACGGCGGGAAAACGATAGAAATCATCGAAGCTAATCTGGTGCGTGCGCGTGATGTCCCGCTCGAAAGCAACTTCTGACGTCCTGTCGTCGCGCGCAGGACCATAAACGCGGCGAGTACTTAAAAAACGACGAGAACCACGTACGTCAAGCGCTGCTGACGACTCGCAAAGAGGCGCTGAGTCTATATCGCGCCGTTATACGCGCGTCGGTGTTCTTCGTGTGGCGGGACGAGCGCGGACGGGTGTGGCGCGACGTCATACGCGATTCCGCGAGGAAAGAGTTCGAGGCAGGACGACTCGAGCGTGATCCAGAGATGGTGAACAGGCTGTTGCTCACGGGACGCGATGCGGTGGATCAGGCGGTGAGTAAGTTTTTAGAACGACGCGAGGCGATTCAGCGGGAGGAAGACGGAGGCGACGGGAAAGGTTCTGTCGGCGGTTCGTTCGGCGGTTCCCTCGGCGGGAGCGTGTACGGGAAGTGATCTCTCCTTAGTCATTAGTTGGGTAGATGTCGTGGCGAACGCCGTGAGTGATCGTGATCGTGATTGTTTTGGATCATCGATCGTTACGGCAACCGCCTCGTTGTTAGCGTGGATACCAAATTTAGAACGCTCGGCGCACAGTCTTTACTCATCGTCGTCGTCGTGCGCGGCACGGCTTCTCGCGAGTTCAATTCACTCGCTCGTTCGCGTTCGCTCGCGTGCGAAACACGAAGAATGTCTTCGCTCGACCCGTCCCGTCCCGAGAAGACGAATGGACAACGCGCGCGCGCGGCGTCCCTCAGATCCCGACTCCATCGCTTGCGCACCGACGTCAACGACGTCTCAACGCGCGCTAAATCGCGAGATGTCGATATCACCATCGACGCCGACGCTACGGCGGCGGTAGAGCTCGTGTATGACGCTTACGTGCGACGAATCATCGATGACGCCAAAGAATCACTCGCGACGCTTCGCCGCGCCAACGAGGCGAAAGTGCGTCGACTCACGATGGACGTGCGCGCGTTCGCGACGACGGCGCGCGGATTCGATCGCAAGACGGCACCAAAGGTGTGGAATTTCCCCTTGAGCGCGACGCGCGAGGCGAGGGAGATGAGAGGGGTCAAGGCGAGGGTGCTTCGTCGCGTCGAGCTCGAGCTCGAGTCGCAGCGACGCGCGAAGGCGACGACGAACGACGATGATTCCTCCGGCACGGCCTCTTCGGCGACGATGCGAGTGCGAGAGACTATGCACGCGTGCGCGGACTTGGTGTATCCTAGACGGATGATGACGCAGTGTCACACGTTGCGATGTCGAGCCGCGTCTGCGCGCGAAGAATTCAACGCCGAGCACGCATCGGCGCTCGCACAGCGAGGCGAGATAATCGAGCGTCTACGCTCGATCGATCGCAGGGTGTGCGCCGCTCGTAAATCGTTTCCTGATGTGAATAACGATGATGCGCTCGTTGCCACCGAAGCGGACACATTGACGGAGTGGTGGGACTCGGCAGCGATGCGAGCAATCGTCGCCGACGGCGACGACGCGAGCGAGTGGCGCATCCAATCGCTCGCTGGGAGCGGGAAGGCGGAGGATGGCGGACCAAGCGAAGGTGCGGGGACTGATCAAACATCAATCATGCATTCGGACGAAGGCGTTGCAAACGTTCTGAAAACGATGATGGGTGATGATATCATAGTGGACGAAACAGGGCGCATCGACGCGGAGGCGTGCGACAAGCGCCAGGATTTCGAGAGCACGGCGGCGGCGACCGCGCGCATCGAACGTCCCGAGTTTCTCGCGCCGAGCGACGATGATCGTGATCCCGAAGAGTTGCGAAAACTGCGTTCGCTCACTGGGGATCAAATGGGCACGCTGGCGACGTATCAACAAATGTTGCAAAACAAACGTCGCGCTCGAGACGAGTGGAGAGTGGCGACGCGACTCGCTCTGAGAAAGTTATTTCAAGAGGCGAGCGAGATCACCGGCGCGTACAATCAAAGAATTCGAGACCTCGCGATCGAGCGCGAAAATACCGAGTTTGCGATCGTTATGTTTGACTTGCGGCGCGCGCGTATAGCTCGACGGCTCCACGAGCGCCATCTCGCGGGCGATTTCGACGGCAAATCCGACGAGGAGGCAGCGCGCGTTCGAGAGGCGCTCTCGGATGTTCATCGCGCGACAGAAATCGTGCGTGAGTATGCGGCGAACGTTGAGGAAACACAGCGACTGTTAGATTCGGCCACATTCGCGTTGAAGGCGGCTCAGCGTGCGTTCAGACGCGAAGTGCAAGATCATCCGGCGAGCAGCGTGCATTTGGACGCGCTGCAGGCGTTGTATCAACGTCAAGACGCCATCGCACGCACGGTTGAAGAAGCCGCGAGTAAGAAGATTCCTGTTTTCCCTCAAAGGTTAGACGATCGGTGGTGGGGATTCCTAGTGTTGGCGCGCGCGAAACGCGCGACGCTCGAGCGCGAGCTCCGAGACGCCAAAGACGCGCACGCGCGCACGACGGAGAAGATGCGCGCGCTCGAGGCAACCGCGCGAGAGCTGGCAGACATCGCCAATCGGCACGAACACGATCGAAAGACGGCGCAATCGGCACGATGGACTCGAGCGTATGACATCGATTGCGCCGCGCATCTCGATCGCGGATACGTGGAGATTCCATTAAAATCCACCGCCGACGCGCTCGAGCGAGACGACGTCATCCTCGTGCCCAAGGCGCGCATCGACGCCATCAACGCAAAGCTTCGTGAATCCTACGCCGCCAAAGCGCGCGCTGAGCGCGCGAACGCGACAACAAGAGATGAAATCGAGCGTGTGAAGTGGGAAACGCGCGTCCTTCGATTACGGTGCGAAGACGTCGACGCCCGAGCCGTCGAAGTCGCCCTCCTCCGCGTGAGCAAGCGTCTTCAAAGCTTCCTCTTCCACACCGGCCCTCAGGCCTCATCCAGCGCAGTTTCCGCTCGAACGCGAGAAGACATCAGCGAAGCCGCCGCCATCGCCGCGCGTCTCGACCGCAACGCGCGTCTTCACGCGGACAAGACGTCTCGCGAGCGTCGCGCGCTCGACGATTTACGCCTCTCGCGAGCGCGTCTTCGGCGCCAGCTCGACCGCTCGCGAGACGTTCTCTCGCGCGCGTTCGCGGCGTAACGACGATTTCTCATTTTTTCTCGCGCCGATTCCGAGTCCTCGACGCGCGCGTCGTTCGATGACCGCCGTTCGTTCGCCGTTCGTTCGCCTTTCGCTCGCCGCGCCGCGGCTGGTCCGCAAACCCGAGCGCGTCTCATGGTCGCCGCGTCCCTCGGCGCGGTGCACCCGCGCGGCGCGCCCGCCGCGGGCGCGGGACGGAAGAAGGACGCGAGTCGCGGCGCGCGGACCGGCGCGCGGGCGCGCGCGACGGCGACGCGCGCGACGAAAGGCGAAACCGTCGCCGCGAAGCTCAAGGGCGTGAGCGTCGTCGTGGTCGGTGATGACGCCGACGCGAACGACGTCGTCGCGCGAGCGCTCGCGGTGCGGTTGGCGTACTCGCCCGTGAGCGTGCCGGCGCTGCTGGAGAGCACGATGGCGAGAGGGGCGGAGGAGGGGATGACGATGGACGACGACGACGACATGAGCGAGGACGCGAAGGCGTTGGTGCTGGAGAATAGCGCGCACGAACAGTTGGCGACGTTTTTGAGGCTGTGCGTGGCGACGTGCGGGGGAGGACGGGGCGCGACCGCGCGAGGGGACTGCTGGACGTGGTTGTTCGGGGCGATAACGGTGTGGGTGGACGCGGAGGGGGCGGACGAGAGCGCGCCGCAGCGGCAGGCGTACGAGCTGAGCGAGGTGCGCGTGGTGGTGAAGAAAGGGGTCGCCGTCGACGGTGAAGCCGCGGCGGATCAGGTGTTGGCGGGGATCGACGCTTTGGTGGACGCGGACGATCAGTTGTGCGGGAAGAAGAATTTGTACGTGCGGTTCGGATGTCGAGGCGACTGGCCGGATCTCAAGCCGCCGGGCGAGTACGCGGGCGATGCGGCGGCGGCGCCGACGTGAGCGCGCACAATGTCGCTCGCTCGCGCGTATCTGCCATCATTAGCAAATCCGCGTCGTCTTTTGGAGTTCGAACGTACTAGCGCGCCGTTCATTAGTCGACGTTTCGAATGAAAACTTCTAATATTGCTTACACGACTCCTCCTGGAATCTCGACTAATTACTGCATGTCATCCGGCAGCTCGGCGTTGCTCAAATCAATCTTCGGCCGCGCGAACATGTTGCGCGCGTTCACCTTTTCGAACAACTCGAAATCTTCGCGAATGCCGATGCTCGGCGTGGAGTCCACGACTTTGTATTGAATCTCCGTGGACGACTTCGTGTCCGGTTCCGCCACGCGAAGCTTGCCAAAGTTACCTATGCCTAATCCAGCGTACCAGCGGTACGTCTTCGGCGACGCTTCCCACGGGTTGAACACCGCGCGGTCCACGCATCCGCGCTCGCCCGAGAGGTTTTGGGCGAACACGGTGCACCCGGTGCCAACTTCGACACCCGTGGCGAGATCTTCCGTGGCCAAGTACACCTTATCCGTCGGACCGTCGAGCTTGAAACAACGTTCGGACATGGCGTCTAGGTCCTTGGTGAACCGAACGCGCGGCTTGGTCGGGTGCAAACAGTTGTCCAGGACGACGCAGTCTTCGAAACCGACGTAATACACGTCGCCCTCGCGCACGTCGCTCACCGCAATGTGTGCCTTGCGTCCGATCGCGTACTCAAACGCCGTCGAACCGGTATTCGCGCACGTCATCTTCACCTTCAACGCGTTGTGCTCGAGCGAAATTTCTTGCGTCAACTTGAAGTTGTGATTGAACGCGGCGCGACTCGAGTCGTCGTCCGTCAACTCGAGCGTCACGAACGGGCACGACGTTCCATCGCTCGACGCGTACGTCCCCGTCTCGCCGATTCGCCATTCCATTCGGTTCGCGAATCCGTCCTCCGGCATCTTCGCCGCTCCCACGGACCCCGGTCGTTCGCCTCCCGCGCCGAATTGCGGAAAGCACACGGGGTTTCCCCCGTCCGTCGGCGCGTGCTTTTTAAAGCTCGCATCATCCGGCACGTACAGCACCTCCCCCCCCGACGCCAGCACCCAGCTCGCGACGTTTCCTCCCTTCAAATACACGTCCACGTACGATCCGTTCGGGTGCGTCAGCGTCACCTTGGTCAGCGACCCTCGTCCGTCGCGCACGCGCACGAACGGCGTCGCGCCGTCCGACAATCCAAACTCCTTGTTCAGCGTCTGCGTCACCGGCGAGTCCCCCCTCGCGTCGCCCGAGAGATCGGCGATAAACGCCTCGACGTCCGCCGCCGTTCGTCCCGCGTCCGGCGGCTGCGCCGCCTTGGCGTCGTCGCGCGAATCGCGGACGAATTTCGGCGTGTCCTCGAGCTTGGCGGCGACGCGCGCGGGCGCGCGCGCGCGTCGCGCGGTGCGACGCGCGCTCGATCGGGCGTCGCGGAACGCGCGCGAGGCGCGCGGCGCGACGGCGCGAGACGCGCTGAGCGACGACGCGAGCATCGCGCGCGCGCGGGAGTGACGCCGTCGGCGGCGGCGGCGGCGCGTCGCGCGCGCGCGAAACCGTAACACGACGCGCGCGCGCGCGCGCGCGCCCGGGACTTTAAATTTATCGCCTTTTTACACATGGAGATCCTATATAATAGGGTTTCGTAAGCCTAGCGGTTATGGCTCAGTTGGTTAGAGCGTCGGTCTCATAACGTACAGCTCTCGAAGCTCAAACACGACATCAACACGACTGAGATCATAAAGATCCCACTTCCCCTTCCCCGACGAACGTCGGAGAGCGATCCGAAGGTCACCGGTTCGATCCCGGTTAACCGCATTCTTTTTTTCGCAACGTCACGGACGTTCGTGTGCACAAACGCGACTTACTTTTTGCTCTTCTAATAATGTAGTGTGTTATTATCACGCATCGGCTACGGCTCACGGCCCGAACGCGCGCTCCGCGCCTTCGAGCGTGTTTTGCAACAAAATCGCGATGGTCATCGGACCGACGCCTCCCGGCACGGGGGTGATGTGGCCCGCCACCTCGGCCGCGGAGTCGTACTCGACGTCACCGACCAAGCGGTAGCCGCGCTTTTTGCTCGGGTCGTCCTTGGCGTTGATTCCGACGTCGATCACCGCGCACCCGGGCTTGAGCCAAGACCCTTTGACCATTTCCATCTGCCCGCACGCGGCGATGACGATGTCGGCTCGGCGACAAATTTCCTCAGGGTTCGGCGTTCTCGAGTGCACGATCGTCACCGTGGCGTCTCGACGCTGAAGTAAAAGCGCAGCGGGCGTGCCCACGACGTTCGATCGCCCGACGACGACGGCTTCTTTACCCGCGATGGGGATGCCGGTGCGCTCGAGGAGTTCGATGCAGCCGCGCGGCGTGCACGGCACGAACAACGGTTCGCGACCACGCTGCGACAATCGTCCGATGTTCAGCGGGTGAAACCCATCGACATCCTTTTCGTAATCGATCGCCCCGAGCACGCGCTCCTCGTTGATGTGCTTCGGCATCGGCAACTGCACCAGAATGCCGTGTACGTTCGGATCCGCGTTGTACGCCGCCACGACGGCGAGCACCTCCTCCTCCGTCGCGTCTTCCGGCAAATCCGTCCCGAACGACTCGATCCCCGCCTCTTCGCACGCCTTTTTCTTCGACCGCACGTACGTTTGCGAGTCTTTCCGCTCACCGACGAGCACGACCGCCAGTCCCGGCGCCTTGCCGGTTTTCGCTCGCATCGCCGTCACCTTGTCTCGAACTTCGTCCCGCACCGCCTGCGCGATCGCCTTCCCGTCGATGATCTCCGCCGCCATCGCGCGCGCCACCATCGCGCTCGAGCGCTGTCGTCGTCCGTACGCGGACGCGCGCAGCGACGCCGGCGCGGGCGCGCTCGACGACAGCCGATGCGCCGACGGCGCGGCCGCGGCGTCGGTGCGACGGAACGCGGATTGGATCGCCGCGCGCGCGCAGGCGGTGCGCGAGGACGTCGGGGAGATCTTCATCATCATGCGTCGCGTGGTCGCGGCGTTCGAGGCCGAGCGCGGCGCGGTGTGCGGGCGCGATTGAAACGGCGCGCGGTTTGAATCGGACGCGCGCGGCGGAGGTTGGCGAAACGTTCGACGACGTCGTAATTCAAGTGGTTAGATGGATCGACGGGCTATAAAATCAATTCGAGCGCGTGCCTGGCGACGCTCACCGAGCGCCGCCTTCGGATTCGAGCGTCGCGCGCTCCGCGGCGATGGTCGCCTCGAGAAACGCCTTGGCGGCGTCGTCGACGACGTAAGAGTACTTGCCTCCACCGCCGTTGAGAACGAATTCCAACGTCGCGAGCTCGGTCGGGGTGACGCCTTGACCGTCGAGCATGTGGTCGTGGAAACTCTTGACGTCAGCCTCGGTGAGGACGCCGTTGGCTTCCATCGCTTCGTCCATGAGCAACAGACTCAGGTTACAGTAGCGCACCTTGCTCACCTGGCGGTAGAACCCCTTGGGCGCCGCCGCGGAGCCAGACTTGGTGAGCGTCTTCTTCACCGTCGTCGTCGCCGCCTTGGCCTTCGCCGGCGCCTTGGCCGTCTTCTCCGCCTTCGCCGGCGCGTCCGCCGCCGCCGAGCGTCGCGTCGCCACCACCGTCCTCGTCGGCGCCGCCGTCCCATTCTCCAAAGCCTCCCGCACCACCGCTCTCGGCGAGTACATCGCCTTGCGCTTATCCTTTCTCGTCGGTTCACCGTCCGCGCGTCCCGATCGATCGACCGCGTCGACGATCGTCACGAACTTTTTCTTATTCGCGCCGACTTTAAACTTGACCTCGCCGTCCCTGAGCGCGTACAGCGTAAAATCTTTACCCGTCCCGACGCCGTCGCCCGCGTGGAACTTGTTCCCTCGCTGACGAACGATGATCGATCCGACCTGCACCTTCTCCTCGCCGTACTTCTTCACGCCGAGGTACTGCGGGTTGGAATCGCGGCCATTCTTCGTCGACCCCGTCCCCTTCTTGTGCGCGCACTCGATGACGGCGCGACGCGGCGCGCGCGCGTCGACGCGCGCGGGCGCGATGCGATCGAGCGCGGTCGCGACGGCGAACCTCGACGCGAGGGCGGAGGCGGCGGCGATCATGTCGCGCGCGCGTGTGCGGACGACGACGCGATGGCGATGACGTCGAAGAGGTAGTAGGGCTAGGGCTTAGCGCCGACGACGCGCGCGAAGCCACGGCGGAGCGCGAAGCCGCGGGAGATTGAAATAATGACGTTCACTAAGCGATACACGGTGTCTAGGGTGATGATGGATGGATCTACGACGCGCGCGCGCGGGACTAGGACGCGCGCGAGTTAACGAGCGACGCGCTCGACGCCCGGCGCGGAGATGCCCTCCTCTAGCGCGGCGCGAACGACGGCGCGCGGCGAGTACATCGCCTTGCGCTTATCCTTACGCGTCGGTTGACCGTCGGCGCGACCGGAACGGTCGACCGTATCGACGACGGTGACGAACTTCTTCTTGTTCGCGCCAACCTTGAACATGACTTCGCCGTCTCTGAGCGCGAAGAGGGTGAAATCCTTCCCGGTGCCGACGCCGGCGCCGGCGTGGAACTGCGAGCGACGAAAAGCGCGCGCACGGGTCAGCGCGCGATCGAAACGCGAGAAACGCGCGATTTTCGAATCATTCACCGCGTTCGACGACCCTCGCGTCGGCGTCGCGCGTCGCTGGACCCCGCTTTCGTCGCGTTCGCGGAAACCCTGAATCCGAGGGTCGCGCGCGTCGCCTCGCGCCCGCGGCTCGCGCTCTCTCTCGCGCGCGCTCGACGCGCACGCACCTTGTTCCCTCGCTGACGAACGATGATCGATCCGACCTGCACCTTCTCCTCGCCGTACTTCTTCACGCCGAGGTACTGCGGGTTGGAATCGCGGCCATTCTTCGTCGACCCCGTCCCCTTCTTGTGCGCGCACTCGATGACGGCGCGACGCGGCGCGCGCGCGTCGACGCGCGCGGGCGCGATGCGCAGAGCGACGGTGGAGAGCTTGGACGACAACGCGGCGTGCATGGTGACGATGACCGTGGACGCGGGCGTCGGTGTGTGCGGCGCGACGCAATCGTGGGGGCGTTCATTTTGTTTGTGGCTTATCCCTGGGCTTATGCCCTAGGGCTTGCGTCGGCGTCTCGTTCGGGCACTATGTCGATTATTTATTTCAAATGAACACCTAAAGCGGCGGCGACGGCGGACTTGGCGGTTTTCTTCGTGCCCGCGGCTTTGATGACGGCATCGGCGTCCAAAGCGAGCTCGGCGCGGTACTTGCGGACGAAGGCGAGGATGCGGTCGGCGACGGCGGCGGAGGCGCCTCCGGAGGCGGCTTTGACGAGACCGCCGCAAAGGTTGAGGCAAATCTCGCGAGTGATGGCGGCGCAGCGATCGACGGGCGCGTCGGCGGAGGCCAAAGCGGCTTCGTGGATGGAGATCTCCTCCACGGCGCTCGCTTCGGCGGCTTGGGCTTGCTGCGCCTCGAAGACGCGACCTTGCTCGGTGAGCTCCGTCGCGGCTTGTCCGGCGGCGGCGGCTTCAGCTTCCGCCTCGCGAAGTTTGCGCAACAGCGCTTCACGCTTTCCGATCGCTTGTTCTTTACTCGCACACACGAACTCGCACACTACGTTGGCGATCTCGTACGTGTCGTCCTCGCCGAAAGCGGCGGCTCGCTGCAGCAGCCAGTTGACCACGGCGGCGGGCGTTACTAAATCAAGAGCTAATAATCGTTCGATGGCGATCGGGCCCATCTGCGGGTGGCCTCGCCAGACCCCAGCCGCGGCATCGACTAATACCTCACCACCCGCCTTCTCCACCAAGTCACGAATAGGAAGTGCGTAACGCTTGAGTAAAACGTCGTGATGGGTAATGCACTTTTGCCCGCGCTCGAGCGTGGCGACGGCGAGAGCTCGGAGCAAGACGTCCGGGCTCGCGCTGGCCGCTTGCGACTGAATCCAACCCAAAACTTCGTGTCCTTCCTTCTTGCTAGCGAGCATTTCTTTCAACGCGCCGAAGACGGGTTCCTGCGCCACCGCGTCGACGTACTCGGCGTTGATGCCAGCCTGCCCTGGAAGAAGCGGATGCAGCTCTTCGATGAGAGACTTTTGCACGCGCTCGAAGAAACTGAGCTGGCACAACTTGCGCAACACCTCCTTGCAGAACGTGCGTTGCGGGGCATCGTCGGGCTGCTCCATGACGTGCTTCCAGCTCGACCAAGGCCACACCAAATCAAAGCACGAGATTTGGTGAGCGAGCCAGCTCGCGAGACGATCGCGAGCGCCGACATCCATGCGGTCGATCGCCCTGAACATCGCCCCGACTGTCTTCGCCATCTTGGGCGGGAACGTCGGGATGATTTTACACAAATCTTGAATGATGATGTGATACAACACCGGAGTGAAGGATGGCTTCGGCAACGACAAGAGCTCGGCGAAGAGGGTCTCGGCGACCATGAACTGACACTGCTCGGGCTGGTCCGCGGGAAGCGGAAGCGATGCCAGCTGTTCAGTCACCGGAATTGTTGCCGAACGGCGATAACCCGGCTCAAACGCCCAAATCGTGTCGATGATGTACTCTTCCGCAACGAAGCGTTCGAGCGGGCCCCACGCGTCGGCGTTGCCGGTTCCCTCTGTGAAGCTCGGTTCCAAAATTCTGCGCGGGAAAAGTCGTGAAAAGCGTCAGTCAGTCATCGCGAATCGATCGAGCCATTCAAATCTTTCGACCTCGCGAAAAACGCTTGGCTCGGAAAGTATTTGGTTTTCATATCAGCACGAGGTCAGGGGATTAACGAGATATACATGTAATCTTCATCGCCATCGAACGAGAGATGCGCGTCGCGCGTGCGAATGAACATACCTCAACATGGATCGACCCGGATACTTTGCCGCCGCCTCAGCGTGGTTGGTGAATGTCTTTTCCGGGATTTCAATCCCGTTCAAGGAGTGCGCGTTCGCCGTGCTCGCCAGCTTCTCCACAAACGGCTCCGCGATGGCGGGAATGGACGCGATGTGCCAGCGCCCGTCCGTGCGCGCCGCACTGAGACGATTGCACATGTCCACGAACCAATCGACTTCGATGCCGTCCGCGGACTTGATGATGATCGACGCCGCGTCCGAGTTCGGCGTTCTGATTTTGCAATACGCCTCCGCCATGTCCAAAAGCGCCTCAAAGTCGTTTGAGCTCTCGGATTTTGAAAAGAACTCACCCCCCCACGGAAGCGCGGAAAGCGCGACGTAGGCGAGCCAATCGGCGCGAGGCTGCCACCCAGCCGCGCCTTTCTTCGCCGACGCTTGCGCCGAGGACAACAGCGACGCCAAATATTCCATCACCTCCCTTCGTTGCACGACTCCGACCGTGCTCAGCATCACCAAAAACCGCGTCAACACTCGCGCTCGCACTCGCTGCGTCAGATCATCCCCATTCAAGCACTCCATCAGCGCCTCTCGCGTCGCTTCAACCACTTGCGCGCCGAACTCTCTCGCCTCCGCGTTGATCAGTCCCGCCAGCGCCGCGTACACCGGCGTCTTCACCGGCAGTTCCGTCACGCACTCCATCACGAACGCCGTCGCGCGATCTCCCAACACCGGCACGTCCCTCGCGATGTCGCTCGACAGTCCCCCGAGCACGTCCATCGACCCGTCGCAGTGAATGATCACGTCGCGCAGTTCGTCCAAATCCTCCGCCGTCGGTCCATCGCCGCCGTGCGTGCCGTCCTGCGCGCGTCCAGCGTTCGCTCGCGTCGTCAGTCGTCTCATCCGCGTCGCCCGCGTCGTCTCGTCGCATCGTTCGCGAGCGACGCGCCGCGCGCGTTCGGCATCGCTCGCGTAAAGATCCGATGCAATCCGACTCGCATCCGCGCGCTCGCGCGCTCGCTCGCTCGCATCCGCGCGCTCGCGCGCGCGTCGCGTCGCGCGTCGTCGCGCGCGCGACGCACCTCGCGTCGACCGCGCTTCGCGCTCGACATCGCGCGCGTCGCGCGTGTGCGTGTGACGCTCAGGTTAACGCGCGGCGCCGTCGGCACACGCGCGCGCACGCACGCGCACACGACGCGCGCGGTCGAGCGCGCGCGCGAGCGAACGCGCGCGCGTCGTCGCCGCGCTCGAAGCGCGCCCGAAGCGCGCGCGGTCGAGCGCGACGCGCGGTGGGAACGATCTCGTCGAACGATTCGCGACCGCGATGTTTCGAGGACGCGCGCGCGCGCTGACGGCGCGCGTCGAGCGCGCGATCGCGGCGATCGCGACGCCGGCGACGACGTCGCGGAGCGGCGGCGCGCGCGAGGCGACGCGGAGGCTCGCGTCGACGACGGCGCGCGAGGACGACGGGGGGCGGGACGACGACTGGCTCGCGGCGAGGAAACGGTGGAAGGCGGAGGTGAACGAGATGCGCAAAGCGTGGAGACGCGAGTTCGACGAGAAGAGCGCGGAGAAGGCGAAAGCGGAGGAAGTCGCGCGCGCGGAGGTGGCGGAAGCGAAGGCGGAGCGATTGGCGGAGAAGGCGCGAGCGCGCGCGGCGAGGGCGGGCGCGAGCGCGAGGACGCTGGAGGAACTGAAGCGCGAGAAGGATAGGAAGATGCGCGTGATAGCGGGACGGAGATATCAGCGCGCGCACGCGATGTCGCTCAGACGGCAAGCGCGCGAGGTTGATCTGTTGAAGCAGTCGAGGGATTGGATAGACACGCCCGAGGCGTTGGAGGCGAGCATCGAACGCGCGATGGCGCACCCGGAGCGATTGTTCAAGTGATCGCGCGCGCCGCTCGCGATCGTGTAATCACGTAGATCTTCGATCATTAGTTTAAATCCGTCGTCGTTCGTTTCGTTCGTCGCCGCGCGCGTCGGCGTCGGTGTCGTTTCGTGTTGTTTCGTTCCGCCGCGCGCGCGCCGACGCCGCGCGCGGATCGCCGCAGTGCATCGCGCGCCTCGTTCGCTGCCGACATGCCCTCCAAGCTCGCGCTCGCGTTCACCGCCGCTCTGGCGTTCACCGCGCCGTCCAGCGCGCGCGCCGACGTCGACGGCGCCGTCACCTGCGGCTCCGCGCTCAAGATCAAACACGCCAACACGAAGCACATCTTGGCGTCGCAACCGGTCGCGTACGCCTCCGGGAGCGGCCAACAGAGCGTGACGGCGATCAAAAACGCCGGAGAGGAGGCGTATTGGCTCATCCACGGCGCAGTCGGGGAAGATTGCGCGCGAGGAGCGCCGGTGACGCACGGGATGACGGTGCGGTTTCGACACGCGGGGACGCGCGCGTGGTTGCACTCGCACGAGCACCGGTCGCCGTTGAGCGGGAACAACGAAGTGTCGTGCTTCGGAGGGGACGAGTCGAGCGATACGGGCGATAATTGGATCGTCGAGGTGCCGAGTGGGAGTGGGACGTGGGAGATGGGGAAAAAGGTGCGGTTTAAGCACGTCGACACCGGGGCGTACTTGCAGTCGCACGGGTTGAAGTACGGACGCCCGATCGCGGGACATCAAGAAGTGATGGCGCAGAAGAGCGCCGGTCCGAACGCGTTGTGGACGACCGAAGGTACCGGCGTGTTCTTTCCGACCGCGCAGGAGATCGCGGCGAAGGACGAGCTGTGAAGAGGCTTGAGTTATTAGCAGTTGTGAATTTATTCGATGTCTTACATTCGCGTCGCGCGCGTCACGGCAGATACTTTGTATCCTCCGCTTCGCGCGCGTCGACGTCGATCGCGCCGTTCGCGTCCTCGCTCCTGCGCGCGGGCGTCGCGTCGGCACCGTCCGACCGCTTCTTCTCGCCCTTCTCCACGACAAAGATCGGCGTCGCCTCCACCGGTTTCGCCTTTTCGGAAATCCACGCCTTCATCGATTTCAAGCCAGAGCGCGCGGCGCCTCGTAAATCCTCCTTGCTCTTCGCCGCGCGAAAATCTTTCACGATGTCCGCCAGCGTGCCTTTGAGATCGATCGGTCGCAAAATTGCGTGCAAGAGCGCGATCGCCGCCGTCCAGGCCACCGATCGCATGATGGCGTACGTGTTCGCCGTGGCGTCGGAGAGCAAAAACAACACGACGGCGACGCCGAGCGTCGTCGACTTCAACTTTGACCGACTCACCCCCGCCACGACCGCGTCGTTCCATTTCAGCGCATCCTTCGTCGCCAACGATAACTCACCGAGAATCCTATCGCTCCTCAGCGCCAAGTACGCGTAAAACGACACCAACGCCATCGCGAACGCCGCGCACTCCGATCCCAACAGCGTCGCCGCGCACGCAATCTGCGCGTAATTTTGCCTAAACCGCACCGTGTTCACCCGCGCTCGCTCCACCGCCTCCGCGCGACACGTCGGCCAATTCAACCCGTGACTCTCCACCTCCTTCGCCGATATCGTCTCCCGCGCGTTATCCACCTCCACCACCGCGCCGATCGGCTTCGCCGCGAAGAATTCCCGCCACCCCGCGCCCCGCGCGTCCCACGGCGCCTCCCGCGCGCGCGCCGCCCATCGTCCGATCGCCGCCGCGTCGAACGCCACGTTTTGCGCGTCCCCGTTCGTCGTCGCCGCCCGCGCGCGCGCGGTGCGACCGCGCGTCCTCGACGTCGTCGCGCGGCAAGATCGCGCGCGCATCGTCGTCGCTCGAATCGTCGTCGCGCGCTCGCGTCGCGTCGCGTCCGCGCGCACCGCGCGGCGCGCGCGCGTCGCCGTCGTCGTCGCCGTCGTCGCGCGCATCGTCGTCGCGCGCGTCGCACTCGCGACGCCGGCGTCGGCGTCGCGCGGTCGAATGCGATTCGAATGCGAAACACCCGGGTGTGCGAACCATCAACGGCATCGTCGTGCGTCGCGCGCGCGCGCCGTCGCGATCGCGCGAATCCGCGAGCGCGACGCACGAAACCTCGATTCGGAAACGCGTCGTCGACGGCGCGCGCTCGCGCCCGGGATCGCGCGACCGCGCGACGCCGCGCGTCGCCCACACACCCGGGTGTTTTCACACGGCGCCATCGGTCAACGACCCGAATCGTCGCCACTCGTCGCCGCGCGGCGCGCGCCGACGACGATGCGCGGCCGCGAGCTCGCGATCGACGTCCGCGAAGTCCGCGGCGCGTTCGTCGCGCGCGCGCGCGCGATCGAGGTCGCGCTGACGCGCGACGGCGAACGCCGAACGGTGCGCTCGAGCGCGCGACGCGCGACGACGACCTCGACGACGTGGACGTTCGACGACGCGCGCGCGACGTGGCGACGAAGCGCGAAGCGCGCGGCGGTGCTCGATCGAGGGACGGACGACGCGCGCGTGGACGTGCGCGCGGCGTCGGGGGAGGGGAACGAGCGGTTCGGGTTTTGCGCGGTGGGACGACGCGACGCGGGACGACGCGCGCGAGGACGCGGCGACGACGACGACGGAAAGAGCGAGGGATGGACGTGGATCGAGCTGCGAGGACGCGAGGACGGGGCGCGGGGGGAGATTTTGGTGCGCGTGCGAGAGCGCGAGATCGGGGCGTGGGAGGGGGATGGACGAGGGCGCGAGGACGCGGCGCGCGAGGACGCGAAGGCGAAGGCGAAGGCGAACGCGCGCGAGGCGGAGGCGGTGGCGGAGGACGAGGACGAGGACGAGGACGCGAGCGAAGACGCGGTGGTGGACGACGGTGAGGGTGCGCTGCCGTCGTTCGCGGCGAGGCGAGGCGCGGGAGGGCGTCGGGAAGTCGGCGGGGCGAAGCGCGCGTTCGCGTTGACCGTGCGGTTGGAATCGTTTGAACGCGCGGCGCGCGGCGAGGCGTTTGACTTTGACGCCGCCGTCGCGGCGAGCGCTTGCGCGGACGATGCGTTGGCCGATGCGCTCGGTATCGATCGCGCTCGGTCGGAGTGCTTGGTGCGCACCGCGCCGAGCGCGCGACCGGCGTCGCGACCGGGAGACGTCGTCGTGTTTCCGAGCGGGAAGGATTCGGTCGATTTCGCGTGCGCGCCGGCGACGCTCGCCGAGACGCTCGCGCGTAAGCCTTTGTTGCTCGTCGATGTGTGGTCGGTAGCGGCGACGAGTCGAGTGGCGAGCGCGGAAATCGCGATCGACGAGCTGCTGCGTCGACCGGAGGTGCGATACCGCGCGGAGGTGACGGACGAGGACGGCGTCGTCGTCGGCCGAGTGCGATTGTACGTGCGCCTCGAAGATCGCGGCGCGCTCGACGGCGTCGTTAGCGAGCCCTCGGCGTTGAAGACGCCCCCTCCGAAACCGAAGGAACCGTCAACGGCGATGCTGATGTCGCCGCCGCCCGTGCCGAGCGCGCAAAAGCCGCCACCACCGGCGCCGAAAGCGCAGACGCGTCACGCGGCGCCGCCGACGAACGCGCCCGCCGATCCGCGAGCGGGCGCGGAGTACAAGGTGGCTTACGATCTCGAGGTGTGGAAGCAACATCAAATGACCAAGTTCTACGAAGATCTCCGGATGAAGGAGTCCGTTCGCATGAAAATATTGGAAGACGAGTGGAGGCGCCACGAGACGCAACGCGCTCGAGAGGCGGAGGAAGGAGCGAATCGTCTGCGAATCATGGAGAAAAAGTTGCAGGAAGCCGCAGTGGCGCTCGAATCGCGCGAGCGAAAGCTCGTGGAGTTGGAAGAAAACTTTGATCACAGGAAGCACAAACTCGAGCGCGAAACGTCGCGCGCTCGCGAGGAGGCGAAGGATTCCATTCGTCGCAACCAGGAGACGAGCGAGCACCGCGTGGAGATGGAGAAGCAAAAGGCGCGAGAGGCGATCCGTGAGAGAGATTCTTTGCACAGGCGACTGGAACACGCGGATGCGCAGTTGATAGAACTCGAGTCATCGTTCGCCGCGCACAAAAAGGCGCAATTGGAGACGAACGAAGCGGCGTTGCAAGCTGAAATTTCTCGCTTAGTACCCCGTTGCGAGGCGGCGGAGGCGCAAGCGGCGGAAGAATCCGAGTCGAAGGAGCGGTATAAGAATCAGTTGACGAAAATGGCTCGTCAAGTCGTCGCGTTGGAGCGCGAGCGAGCGCATTTGCGTCGCGCGATCGAGCGCGCGGGTTTGAACGTCTCGAGTCGATCGCACGTGGCGCCGAGCGCGAACGAGTTCATGAATGAAATGCTCGCAGGTGAGAACGCAGACGCGGACGCTTTCATGAACACGTTTAGGGCGGACGTTGCAGCCGTTTCGGATGTACCTTTTACGTCTGCGAAAGCAAATTTCGCACGCACGGCGCCGCAAGCGCGACAAGTCATTCGGCCTCCTCTGTCGCCAAAGCTCGACAGAGAGGTGCGCGATTTCGAGCATGAATTCAGCGAATCGGAGAATAAGGCGCCGTTTGTGCCCAAATACGCGACAAGTGACGCGACATTGAACGAAAAGCGTGCGGCAGAGAAGGAGGTGCGCCGTCTGGTGTCAGAACGTGGGGACTTGATGAGAACGGGCATGTACGGAAGCGGAGACAAGATCATCGCGCTCATCGATGAGCGCATAGAAGAGCTCACGGATAGAATAGCGAGCAGCGTATAATCAAAAAAGAATCATTTATACACAACCCCTCAAGGTTTCGTATATACCGCGCTCACAAAGTAGCCGTTTAAACGATGTTCGCGAGTCACATCAATCGTTGCTCCGTCGTCTTTTTCGTAGACCCGCGTCGAGACGCGAGTCGCCGCGCACGGTCGAAACCTCGCTGAAACGAAGAGAACGAGGAAGAATGCAAGCATCGTAGTGGTGAAACGCATCATGAAAGAGCGGCGAGAAAGTGGCGACTACGAGAAAACGAGGCTCGAACGAGGCTCGGAATTTGTTACCTGCGAGCTTTGCGACAATCCAACTACGTACTAACTCTAGAACGATCGCCTAGATTTTCACCACGACCTTGCCAGTCGTTTGTCCGGTTTGAAACAAACGCAAGGCCTCAGGCAACTGGCTGAACTCGAACGTTGCGCCTACCTTTGGAGCGGGCAAATCGAGCGCGAGGAGCTCGGCCAACAATCGCGCGAGTTCTTCCTGCCTATCAAACTGCCAAATCAAATTGAACCCCAAAATGCCCTTGTTCTCACCGGGAAGCATGAGAGGGTCGACTTTCTGTCGTCGCACGAACTTCCACGCGAGCTTAATCCAGCCCAACAATCCAATTGAATCTCCCCGCGGTGTGAGATCCGCGGCGCCATACACCACGTATCGACCACCTCGCGCCAAATTCTCCCAACCACCTTGGAAGAAATCACCAAGCGTCGCATCGAAAACGATGTCGACGCCCTCACTCGCGCCGATAGCTTCGCACGCGTCACGAACTTGCTTGGCGAACCGTTTACGATCGCGGACAATTATCGCCTTGAGCGATGGAAATCGTTCCTTGAGCGTGTCAACTTTTGACGGGTTTCCAATAACCGCGATCGCCTTCGCTCCGACCCGTTCGCATATCCCTAAACTCTGTAATCCACAACCGCCCGCGGCGGAATGAACGAGCACCGACGCGTTTTTGCGAACGTCGCCGAGCGCCTTCAGGCCGTAGTACGACGTCAAACCTTGCACGAGAAACGCAGATCCTTCCTCGAAGCTCCATCCATTCGGTAGTTTTCGCATTTGCGTCACCGGACAATTAATCTCGTCCGCAAACGCGCCGAACCGCACTACGCACATCACCCGATCGCCGACGACGTAGTTTGACCCGCTCGCCGTCTCCACCACCTCGCCGCAACACTCGAGACCGGGCACGAAGGTCCCTTCCGGCGCCGCGCTGTACAGCCCGAGCACCGTAAACACGTCCGCGAAATTTAAACCGATCGCTCGGACGGCGATTCTGCACTCGTTCGGCCCGAGCGCTTCTCGCGCCGCGCGTTCGTTGAGTTTCAAGTTTTGCAAATTGCCCTTCTTGGAGATTTCCCACGCTCGGCGCGTCGCGCCGGACGCGTCTGACGCCGACGCGCGCGCCGCGCTCGACGCGCGCATCGCGTGCTTTCTTCGTTTCGTTTTCGTTGTCGCCGCCGACGCCGGCGGTCGCTTGCTCGCGTGGGCGTTCATCGCGCCGGCGAGTGGCGTCGGCGGGACGACGCGCTTCGAAGGACGACGACGCGCGCAGACGACGACCGGAGACGCGCGCGCGCAGGTCGCGTTCGTTTTCGTGCGAGCGCGCGCGCGCTCGTGACGTGGCGCTAAGGGATGACTATATAAATACAACGCGCGCGAGGTGCCCGCAACGACTCAGCGGCGCAAATCGCGCAGCGCGGCGCGAAACGCGTCGTACGTCTTGAACCCTCTCGGCGCCATGCGAGCGTCCCAGTGCGCTTGAATCGCGTCGCGCACCGTTTGTGGAAGCTCGCGCGCGCCGGCGCCCACGGCGCCACCGCCCTCGCGCACTTTGCCGACGCTGAACGTCGACGCCTTCGGTAAGCCGATTTGCTCCGCCAACCTCGCGCGGACGAAATGGTCGTCGAATTTCGTGTGGTTTTTTCGCATGTACGCGAAACTCGCGCGCTCTAAGACCACGTCGCGCCCGCGCTCGTCCAATTCACAACGCAAAAACGCCGCCACGTCGTCCACGACCGCGCCCAAATCCTCCTTCATGTCCTCGAACGCCACCATCAACACGTCGTCGCGCGACGCCGTCGCCGCGTCGTACCACGACAAATAATGCTCCGCGAACCCCCCACTGTGACTCGCGCCCGCGAATATCGCCTCCGCGAACTCCTCTCTCGTGATCGCGCCGCGTTCGATCCCCATGTACGCCGGCAAGAATTCATAAAACGAATGAAACACATCCGCCGGTTCGCGCGTCACGACGACGCTTCGCGCGCCTCGCGCCATCGTCGTCGCGCGCTCGTGACTCTTGAACAGCCTCGGCGTCGTCGTCTGCGCCGCGTCCAGGTCTTGCCCGCAATCCAGCGCGACGACGTCCCACGGCACGACCTCGGTGATCTCGTCGAACGCTTCGCCGTTCGCGTCTTCGCCTCGCGCGCGCGCCGCCTCGCAGCGAACCTGGTGGCAAATCTGCATCATCCACGTCGTCCCCGTCTTCGGATACGTCGCGATGAACACGTCGGACGCGCGCGGCGCGAATCCGGTCGTGCCGCGCGCGACGGAGGCCGCGCTGTGCATGCGCGCGTTGCGCTCGCGCATCAGCGCGAGCGCGTCGACGGTCGGCATGTCGGCGCGAAGTGCCGCCGCAGTGCGCGACGCGATGGCGACGACGACGACGCGCGCGACGGCGACGGCGACGGCGACGCGCCGAGTAACGGCGCGCGCGACGACGCGACGCGCGCGCGCGACGCGCGGCGCGCGCGCGGCGCGGGCGGCGCGCGATGACGCGACGCGCGCGGACGTGGATGACGCGACGGGGACGCGCGCGGGACGACGCGCGGACGCGGCGCGCGCGCTCGCGAGCGCGATGGTGGCGCTGCACGCGTCCGCGAGCGTCGCGTGGGCGGGCGAGGCGACGTACGCGGCGAGGCTGACGCCGACGCGCGCGGGCGCGGGGGCGAGCGGCGAGGTGGAGTTTTCGCTGGAGACGAACCGCGCGAACCAGGAGGTCGTGGTGGTGCGAGCGAACGTTCGAGGGTTGACGCCGGGGAAACACGGGATCAACGTGCACGAGAATGGGGACGTGAGCGGGTGCGACGACGCGGGCGCGTGCACGGGGAAGAGCTATAATCCCGATAAGCGACCGCACCACGGACCGACGGCGTTGAAAAAGTTTGGCGCGAGCGCGTGCCACTTCGTGGGCGATGGATGCGTGCTGAACAGACACATTGGAGATCTAGGAAACATCGTCGCGGACGAAAATGGCGATTCGACGACGAGTTTCAAGGATTTGTACACGACGCTGAAGGCGGGTACGTCGAACTCCATCGCGGGGCGTTCCGTCGTGATCCGAGCGACAGCCGACGATTTCGAGACGGAAGAAGATGACGGCGGGGCCGGGCCGATCGTTCTCTACGGTTCAATCGTGCGAAAGTAGTCGCGTCGCGCGCGAAATCGTCAACTTCTACGAAACCTGCTCCTAAAATCGCGCTATTCTCTAAATCGCTATCTTCTAAAAATACGCGCGCCTAACCGTCTTGAATCAAATGGCGCAGCACTTCGCGAACGACGTCGACCGATATCGAGTTGCCGAGGAGGAATATCGCCTTCTTCGTCGAACACGCGTCGAACGTGAAATCTCGCCGCACGCCGTGCAGCCTCTTGATTTCTTCAACGGCGAACCAGCGCAATTCGCCGACGAAACGTTCGATGTCTCGCTCGCTGATTCGAGCGACGCCCGACGTCTCGTTTACATCTACTTCCAACATCGACACAAGCTCATCGTTACCGCCGCGAAGTACGACTGAGCCCCCGAACACTGTACTGCCGTAACCTGACGTGAATGTGGAGCACCGCCGACTCTTCGCGTGCACCACGTCGAGCATGCGACGATACTTCTTGATCGTATCTGGGCTCAACAATAAGTCCACTCGCCCATCCGCGTCGGCGACTATGTACTCACTGAGCGTCGCTGACGATGACGGACTGCTCTGCGCGTCAGAGGTGACGACGGATCCGTCGTCGTTTAATTCTCGTCCCGCAAGCCACGCCGGCGTCGGAGCGCGAAACCCGCCCTCGCGCAAAGTCGCGATCAAGTAGTAACGAGAACGCGAATACGGAATGCCCAACGCCATCGGACTAACGATAAACTCCCTCACGTCGTATCGCCGACTTCCTAACGCGTTCAATAGCGCGCGTCTCGTGTCGCTCGACTCAAAGCCGACGACGTTTTCGACAAATATACGTCTGGGAACGTGCTCGATCGCGCGCAGCTGATCAATCACCGCGTGAAAGCTTCGAGCGCGCGGATCTTCGGACGCCAAGCCTTTGCCTCGTCGCGTGTACGGCTGACACGGGGGAGAAACAGTCAACACGTAGTCGTTCCTTCGTCCCTGTCGTCCCTCGTCCCCGTTCCCAGATGCGAAAAGCGCATTCAAGTCCAGGTGCTCTACGTTGACTCTTCGCGGGGCGTCGGCGAAGTTGGCCTCGTACACCGCGTTCGCGGCGTCGGAGTTATCCACCGCGATGGCGCTTTTAAGCGTCACCAGAGGCTCCAGCGCGAGTCGAGTGGCGCCGATGCCCGAATAAAGCTCCACGAGTCGAGCGTCGCGAGTCGACGCCACGCGCACCACTCGACGCCGCGCGCGACGTTCTGGGCGCTCGCGTCCGATCGGCTTCACCGACGCGGAGCGTTCGGCGAAACGTCCACCGGTGGCGACCGCCATGGCGCGACCGCGAGTGGCGGGCCTCGGGCTTTCGCTCGCCGAGTCGGTTACTCGTCGCCCGAAGCCGAGCAACTCGTCGACGCGGACGCCGCGTGAGACGTGGCGAAACGCCGAATTTCTCGCATGAAATCTCCCTTGAATCCGCCGTCGTACGTCTCTTCTCGCCCGCGCGCGATGGCGACGATCGTCGGCACCGCCTTGGCGCCGAGTCGGTTGACGCACCATCCTCTCGCGTTTTCGGGCGTACAATCGACCCACCCGACGCCGTACCCCGCGCCCTCGCTCGACGTGAACGCGCTATCATGGCTCATCAGCGCCAGTCTCGGCGCTAAATCGCGACACGTCGGTGAACTCCGCGCGCACGCGACGACGAGCCATCGCTCGACGTCGTCGCTCGAACCGTCGCTCGCGCACGCCCCCGCCTCGTTCCTCGCCGCCGCCGTGACCTCATCGAACGTCTCCGGATACATCACTCGCATTCCCACGCCCGCGCCGTCGCTCTCCGTCTCGTCCTCATCGCGCGTCACCGATCCCGCGTCCGCGTCCTTCGTCGCCGCGTCTCCGCTCGCGTCCGCGTCTTCGCTCGCGCCCGAATCCCAATCCTCCGTCTCCCGCCATCCCTCGTCCGTGCTTCCCTCGAACGCGCTCCGCGCGCGTCCACCATCGCCCTCCTCGTCGTCGTCGCGTCTTTCCTCGAGCTTTCGCGTCGCCCAATCCACCGCGCGCGCCGTCCACCCGTTCGGCGCGCGTCCCGCCTCGCGCGCCGCGCGCGCCTCCCTGAGCGCCTCCTTCCCGTACTTCAGCGCCATTTTGCTCGCGATGCCGCCTGGTCGCGCGCCGACGCGTCAGTCTTCCGTTTCTTCCGTTTCTTCCGTCGCGTCGTCGCGTCGTCGCGTCGTCGCGTCGTCGTCGTCGTCGTCGTCGCATCTTGTCCCGAACGCACCCCTCGCCTCGCGCGTCGCCGTCGCGACGACCGCGCACGCGCACGCGACGCCTCGCCACGATCCGCGCGGTCGTCGCGCGCGTCTCCGGACGCGCGTCGCGCCGTCGCGCGCGCGCCGTCGCGCGTCGTCGCTCGACGTCGCGCGCGGCATCGTGTGACGCGGCATCCGTCCGCCGCGCGCATGCCCGCGCGACGCGCGGACGCGGACGCGCGGCGCGCGGGCGCGCGGTCGCCCGCGCGGCGTCGCGACGCCGACGGCGCGCGCCGCGCGACGCGCGCGCGGTGGACGGACGAAGAAATCATCGCCGGGCGGTCGAGCTCGGACGGCGACGGCGACGGCGACGGCGACGGCGCGACGCGACGCGCGGGATTGCGATGCGCGCGATATCGACGGCGCGGACGCGGCGGACGCGGCGCGCGGATCCTGCGCGTCGGCGGCGTGGAGGTGGTGCTGGACCGCGTCGGCGGCGCGTCGGCGTCGGCGAACGCGGCGGTGGCGCACGAGTACGACGGCGCGGGAGACGGCGGGACGTCGATCGGGAACGATAGTATGCGAATGGCGGCGTCGGTGGCGTCGGAGGAGGCGGCGGAGAGCTCGGACGAGGATTGGAGCGACGGCTCGAGCGTGGACGACGACGCGGCGATGGATTACGCGGAGAACGCGCGTTTGCGGAGCGGCGGGGCGACGTCGAGCGACGAGGGCGACGATGGGGCGTTCGTGGGCGATGAGGACGAGCGCGAGTTCGACGAGGACGAGGATGAGAGCGACGCGAGGCTCGCGCGAGAGTTGCGATCGATCATGAACATGGACGTCGAGGGCGGGCCGCCGGAGCCTCCGTGGGATTCGAGCGACGAAGAAGAAATCGAGGCGCGATTCGCGGCGAACGCGAGCGATGATTTCGACGACGACGACGACGACGCGAAGTGGTCGCGCGTTATCGCGGCGGCGATCGACGCGGGCGCGGCGTACGTCGGGTGCCCGACGTCGCTTTCGCTCGAAGACGCGGCGAGGGTCGCGAAACGGCACGACTGCGCGCTCGAAGTTCGCGGTGGTGGGAAGAGGCGTCACGCGATCATTCACATAGATTCTGCCGCTCGACGAGAGCCGCGCTCGACGAACGTTCGCGGGGCGCGCGCGTCGACAAAAAGTACGCGCGGTGGGCCGACGAAGAAGACGCGTCGACGCGCGAAACCTGCAGTGCAATTCATTTCTGGCGGTGTCGCGCGAGACTCCGACGTCTTCATCGACGACGACGACGACGAGGATTCTCGCAAGAAACCGTCGATGGAACCCAACGCCAACGGTGAACCGGTCGTGTATCCGAATCGCGGCGCGCGACGCGCGGCCGAGGCGCAGGCAAGGGACCGAGAATTCATCGAGAAGGCTCGCGCGAAGAAGCGCGGCACCGTTGTCGGCGCGGGACACGAGTACGGCGCGTTTGAAAAACATACCACTGGGTTCGGGAGCCGCATGCTCGCTAAGATGGGATTCCAAGGGCAAGGCTCAGGCGTAGGTAGAGAAGGCGAGGGCATCGCGGAGCCCGTCACCGCGACGACTCGAGGAAAACGCGTCGGACTCGGCGCGTTCGGAGCAGAACGTTAGCGCAGTTAGCACACATGATAGATACACTTCAGTTCATGATTGATACACTTCATTTCTAGTCTTTTGATTCCAAAATTTTGATCTAGTCTTCGTCCACGCGGTCGTCTTCGATGATAATAGAGCCGCCGTCGGTGTCGGCGTCCGTTTTTTCCTCCTTCACCGACGGCTCTGACTGTTTCAGCGCCGCGCGACCACATATGATATCCCGATGTTGTTCGAGCTCACGAATGCACTCCTCTTCGTCGCGATAGATCAAATCGTTCACGCGCCAGAGTTGCAAAGTATTCTGAAAGTCCCCGACCGAGGTCGAGCACGCGGTCCAGGAGTCGTAAGGGTTCCACTGAATATCCCAAACCGTCCCACGATGGCCGCTGTGCTGAAAGACCAAGTGCGCCGGACCAGCTTTTGCTTGTTCCGCACTCTGTTCAGCGCCGACTTTCGAGTAATCAAACACGTTCACGCGGCCTACTTCGTCGGCTGTCATGAAAACCCCCTTTGCCTGCGGGTGCATGTCCACGCACAAAACACTGTCGGTGTGGTCGTCGAACGTGTGCATTGCCTCGTTCGAGCTATCGGACAGCGTTCGACGATCCCAAACCTTAACGGTGGTGTCTTTTCCACCAGTAACGATGACGTGCTCTTCGAACGCGCTCCACGCGACGCAGTGCACGTCGTCCGCGTGCGCCCCCTTCGCGAACCCCGCCGCCTTCTTCGTTCGCGTGTCCCAAAAAAACATATTCCGATCATCCCCGACCGAGCACAGCTCCCGCTCGTTCCGTGGGTTAAAGCACACATCCTCGATCGTATCGGTGTGCCCCGAAAACTCGACGCGCGCCCAAATAGACGTGTGTCTCGCGAGTTCCGTCGAGCTCAACCCGCCGCCCACCACGGGCGCGCCGCTTCCCTCCTTCTCCTCCTTTCCTCTCGCCCCGCCCCCCGTGCTCGCATCTCCGAGCTCCCAAATCATCACCTTTTCATCCTTACCTCCACTCGCCACCACCTCTCCCACCGTCGACACCGCCAGCGCGTATTCCGCGTTTTCCGTGTGTCCTCGCAAGCACGCCGTCGGCGGCGTGTACTGCGTCCCGTCTGCTCTCTTACACGCGCTCTGCTTCCCTCCCGGCCCGTTCGCGTCGAACACGAACACCTCCGGCGCATCCGTGTGCGTCAACAGCACGTTTTCTTTCCCCGGCACGCACCGCATTCGATTCACCTCTCCCGGGTGCCACAGCGCCTTTTCCTTCTTTAAAATTGGCGACTTTGCGTGTTCATCGAAAATCATGTGCTCCGCCGCCGCCACGCGCGGTCGCACCACCTCCGCCTGGCACACCAATATCGTGTTCGGCGTCGGCTTCCCGCTCGCCGTCGTCCCTTCGGTCTGTTCGGTGAGATAGACGCGCTGTCGCGAGCGATGGTCGTTCGCGTCGAGCACCTCGCCCCAGCGCGCGCACAGCGACGGCCACGACGTCCGCGTGTGCGCGAACCAGTCGTACACGAACGGGACCAACGACTTCCATCGTCCGTACGCGTCGTCGGTGATCATGACGGCGCGCGCGCGTCGACGCGCGGCGACGACGAATGAGGTTTTGAATGCGCGACGCACCGCGCGTTCGCGGGACAGCGCGACGCGATGCGCGCGCGGCGCGACGCGACGCGGCGACGCGCGATCGGATGGTACGCACTCTGCGCGTGCGCGACGCTCGCGGCGCTGCGCGGCGCGCGCGCGGCGCAGGAGGGGACGATGAAGACGCGCGATGGCGCGAACACGGCGGTGGTGACGCGCGAGCGTTACGTCCTCGACGGCGCGCTGGACGAGGGCGCGCTGCGCGCGCACGGCGTGGACACGCGAACGATTCGAGTGACGCTGAACACGGAGGCGCACGGGAAGATCGGGGCCAAAGTGCGAGGAGACGGGACGTTCGCGGTGCGGGACGCGCCCGCGGGAAGACACGTGCTGGACGTGCACGCCGTCGGGTTGAATTTTCCGCCCGTCGCCGTGCGAATCGTCGGCGCGGACGACGGAGACGGAGGAAAGGTCGGTGACGTCGAGGCATATCTCGCCGAGGATCGAACGGTGACGGTGCCGACGAAGCCGCTGCGATTGACGCCGGCGTCGACGCTGGAATACTACGAGCCGGCGTCGAGCGTGTCGTTGGGGAGCTTGCTGAGGAATCCGATGGCGCTCATGGTGATCATGTCGGTGTTTTTAGCGGTCGTGGCGCCGAAGATATTAGAGGGAATCGATCCCGAGGAGTTGAAACGGATGCAGGCGGAGTTGGCGGGGGCGGCGAGAGGCGAGGCGCCGCGCGTCGACGCGGCGGATTAGTAAGACGCGCGCGCGTCGAGTTGTAAATCACTTCACTACGGGTAAGCTATAGTATTACGGTCCTAATCAGTCGTCTCCGTCGACGTCAGCGAACGCGGCGTCGAGCGCGCCTTTTCGTTTTCGCAAAGATTCCCTGTCCTCTTCGTCGAGCTTCGGGCGAAAGTTTGGATCCGTCGAGTCGGTGGTGTCCTCTAGTCTACGTTTCTCGCCAGTCTTCGGCTGACGTGCGGACGCGGGTGAAGCTGGCTCTTCATCCCCCGCCGCCGCCGCCGCCGCCGCCGCCGCCGCCGCGTTCGCCTCGGCTTCTTTCGCGACGAACCGCTTCGGAAGCTGTTCGTACGGAATCGGCGCGGGCTTGGTGTGAAAGTACGGATGCTCTAAAGCCTGCGCGGCGGTGATACGCTTATTCGGATCGTACTCGAGCATCTTCCGCAACAGATCCAGCGCCTCGTCCGTTTCGTTCGGGAACGTATCGCGAAGATTCGGCGGCGGCACGTACACAAACTCGATGAAATCCGGTAGCGCCGACACCCCCGGCCAATTCGTCTCCGTCGGCGTCCCTAGCGCCGCGTACACCTTCCCCAACTGATCGATATCCGACGATCCCGCGAAGAACGGCCGCCGGAGCATCAATTCCGCGATGATACACCCCACGGCCCAAATATCCACGCCCGGTCCGTACGTCTTCGACCCCAACAACAACTCCGGCGCGCGATACCACCTCGCGAACACCTGATGCGTGAACCGTCTATCCGGCGACCCGAATATCCGCGCCAACCCAAAATCCGCCAACTTCAAGCACCCGTTCGGCGCGATCAACAGGTTGTTCGGTTTCAAATCTCTGTGCAGCACCCATCTCTCGTGACAGTGCGCCACCGCTCGCAGCGTCATCATCGCGTACGACTTCACCTCCCCTCGCTCCAGCGGCGCCGTCTTGTCCCTGATCACCATCTCCAGGTCCCCGCCGCAGAACTCGAACACCAGGTTCAGGTTCTTCTTGTGCGCGAACACGTCGACGAGCGCGATGACGTGCTCGTGCTCGATCTCCTGCAGCAGTTTGATCTCGCGTATCGCCGTGAAGTTGACGCCCTCCTTGAGTTTCCCGAGTCGAATCTTTTTGATCGCCACGCGCTCGCCCGTCGCCTCGACGCGCGCCTCGTGGACGACGCCGAACGTGCCCTCACCGAGCGTGCGTCCCTTGACGTAGCGGTCCATCGCGCGCGGCGCGCGCGGCGCGCTGTGCCGCGTCACCGTCGACATCCATCCAGCCGCGCACCGCGCCGTCGGCATTCACCGACGCGGCGTCGCGGCGCGCGCGCGATGACGACGTCGGCGCTGAACGCGCGGGCGAAGCTCTTCGTTCCGGGCGTCGGGATCGTGACCCCGGAGAGGGGCGGCGCGCGCGCGCGCGAGGGCGCGGCGCGGAACCCGTTCGAGGACGACGACCGTTTGGCGACGACCGCGCGCGCGCGCGACGACGCGGGCTCGATCTCGGCGCTGTCGAGCGAGGACGACGACGCGCGCGAGGCGGCGGTGGAGTTGGACGCGTCGACGCTGTCGATGGACGGTCGGGAGGGCGCGGCGACGATGGAGTGGGTGCGGTTCGACGACGACGACGACGACGACGACGACGACGGCGAAGGCGAAGACGCGACGACGGCGAACGATGCGGACGACGCGGTGCGGGACGCGCCGGCGGCGTCGGTGTCGCTGTTGAAACACGCGAGCTCGTTTCACAGCGATGCGTACGGGGCGAGCGCGGAATCGCCGAGGGTGGAGGATAACGCGACGCTGCGAGAGCCGCTGTTGCGGCGCGGCGACTCGTACGGCGCGGTGGAGGACGCACTGGAAAATTCGCCGCAGATCGTCTTGGAGTTGGATGCGGTGGACGACGCCGTGCCCGGGGAGAGTATGAGCGCGGCGGCGAGGGAGAGTGGGGCCGCAGAGCCGCTCTTGGCGACCAACGCGAGCTTGGCGGAGTACGGCGCCAAGGACGACGGCGATTCGCCGAGGGAGTGGCGGGACGTGCGAGTGCCGCTGTTGCCTGTGGTAAAGGAGTCCACGTACGGCGCGGCGTCGCCGATTCGACCGGTGCAAAGTTCACGAGGGACAAATGTGCGGAAAGTGAAAGAGTTGGAGGTTCCGCCGCCGATTCAAATCGGAGAAGAGACGAACGCCTCGACGAAACGCGAACTGAATGATTCGGCGGCGCAGACACCTTTGCTCGGAAAATCGTCGAGTGGGCCGAACCTGATGAGCTATGGAGCGGTAGAAAAGCAGGTTCACGGCGGTGCGGTCGCAGAGGGCGAAGACGAAATAGATTTGCGTCACTTTCTTCAGAGCAACACGGCGCCGTACGAGCGACTGGACGAGTACGAAGAAGAAGACTATGAGTACGACGCGCCCGCGAGGGACATTCAGATGGATGATACGAATGATGTGGATGTCGAATCACCACTGCCGTCGGCACCACCCTTGATCGAATCGATTGAGTTTACGCATGCGCGTCCGCTCGTGGATGATTTGTGCTGCATCGTCTGGACGGTGGCGAGAGAACGTCTCGACTTGCTCCAGCCTTTGTTCCGCTTGCAAGGCTCTTCGATCGGTCGAATCACGCTTGCGCATCTGAGGAACGTGATGGAAAAGCTCGAGCCTCAGCGCGCTAGCCCTCGCGCGCTCGATCGTCTCGAGGCGATGCTTTGCGCGTGCGGATACGTTGAGGACGTTACGCTGTCGGAATTCGTCCACGCCACACATGCTGGTACACTCGCCGCGACGAGACTTTCTACGGGATCTGGAGCGAACGAGGCGGCAGTCTTGTGCGGCTACTTGAGTGAGCTCATGTCCCGTACACCGGCGTCGGCGCAAACCGCGCTCATGCTCGGCGGACGACGCCACAAGGCGTGGCTCGATTTACCGCGACTCTTGGCAAAGAACTTAGAACCCAATCAGTTGTGTTTGCTCGTCGCGACGCTCGATTTAGCGGACGATCTGACGGCCCATGAGCGATTCGTGGATATGACTGTGTATCAATCGTGGCTTCGACGAATGCAAACCATGCTGCGCTCAACGCCGATGCCCAGGAAACCGCTGGAAACTGTGGCGCAAAACGCGCCAGCGCCGCCGACTCCGAAGGAGCTCATGATGCGTCGAGCGAAACGAGACAGATTGGTCGCGTTGTGGGAGGAGCGTGAGGCGCGCCGACGTGGGAATAATTGATCGCATCCGCGCGCTAAATCTAGGAATGTACAATGAACGAATGAACGGCTAAATTATTTCTATCATTTCTTCGTGAAGAACATGCTTCGTAGGTCGCCTTGACGAGGTTTCTTCGACGGCACTTTGTGCGAAGCCGCGAATCGCGCGCGCGACTGTTCGGCGTCGTCCATTGATTGCAATCGTCTCGCGACGTGCCAGTCGAGATGTTCAGTCTGCTGCTTCAGTGGAAATGTCCGCGCGCACTCGTCGCACGTCCAGGTTTCTTCTACAGACGCGACGGCTTGCGTCAAGGCCGTCTTAGGTGAAAGAAGAAAGTTATCTATACGCTTCTGATCTTCTGGCACATCTTCTTCGTGATCGAATTGCGAAACTCGCGCGCCGACGAGGCGTAGAGTCATGTTCGCCCCGATTGAGTTTTCGTTGCGCATTAATCGCAACGCGCTATTCACGATGGTCTTGACATCGTTCGTCGGCCCCGCGAGCGTGGTCTGACGTTGAATAACGTCGAACGTGCTTCGTTTCAGCTTCACGGCCACCATGCGGCCTTTCAAATTGAGCCTCTGACATTCTAACGCCACCTCGGTCGCGAGCTCGGTCATTTTCGCATCCAAGTAAGCCTTGTCCGCCGTCGCCTTGAAAGTTTCGCTCTTGGAAACACCTTTTCGTCCGCCCGAGCCCTCGGGCGTTTCGCGCGGATGACACTCGGTACCGATGCCGAGCGCGATGCCCAGCAAAAAGTCGAACGCTTTCGGTGTGAACAAGGCGAGCATCGTCGCGCGCTTTGCGAGCAAATCGCCGCACGTCTTAATATCAAACTCGTTCAGTATCCTCTCCAGCGTCTTCCCAATGCCGTACATTTTGCGCACAGGCAAGTCGCGAAGGAACTTCAGAATATCGTCACGCGTCGTACCCAAGATGTACTGCCCGTTTGGCTTGTTGAAGTCTGAGCACACTTTGGCCAATCGACGCGAGCACCCGCCGCCGACGGAGCACGTCAATCCGCCCGTCGCTTCCTTCACCTTTGAGCGAATTTCCTCCGCGATCGCCTCCATCGTCGTGTCGTGCTTCTCGCAATACTCCGTCACCTCGATGTACGCCTCATCGAGCGAACCGGCGATGTAGTCGGGATTGTACTGCGCGAACACGCCTCGCGACTCGTTCGACGCCTTGACGTACTTTTTAAAGTCGGGCTTCACGAATACCAAATCTGGGCACAACTTTTTCGCGATGAATCCCGGCATGGCCGCCCGCACCCCGTATTTTCTCGCCACATAATTCGCCGTCGTCAACACGCTCGACGGTCCCGCGGCCACGCCCACGGGCACGCTCTTCAACGCCGGATCGTACAACTCCTCGCACGCCGCGTAAAATCCATCCATGTCCACCACCAACCACTTTCTCGCCCCGCTCCGCGTCCTCTCCATCGCTCGCGCCCGCTCGTCCGCCCGTCGTCCGAACGTCTCCCACTCCGTCTTCGTCATTCCCTGGCCCTTCGCCTTCATCGCCGCGATCCTCTTCGACGTCGCTCGCTCCTTGCGCGTCTCGTTTTCGTGGTGCGGCGTCCCCACCGTCGCGTCGTACACCACCCTCGCCACGCGCTCGCGATCGACGTTCTCCATCCCAGCCTTGGCGTGCGTGAACACGCTTCCGTACGACAGCGCCGCGGGCGCGCGCGTCGCGTCCGCGCTCGCGTCGCGCCGCGCGTCGTCGTCGTTCGTTTTCGTCGCCATCGCGTCGCAACCGTCGAATTCGTGATCCGCGCCTCGCGCGCTCGCGCCCTCGTCCTCGCTCGCGTCGTCGTCGTCATCGCGCCAATCCAGCGCGTCTCGCTCCGTCCACGCCTCGTCGTCGTCCATCGCGCGCGCGCGCGCGTCACACGGCGACGCGTCGCGCGGTGCCGGAATCGATCGCGGCGACGAATGCCGCCGCGCGCGCCGCGCGCGCGCGACGTCTACGCCGTGCGCGTCGGCGACAGCGTCCGCGAGCGCTTCGGCGACGCGCGCGCGCGCGCCGCGCCGCCGCTGACGGTGTTCCGGTACGATTTCAGCGCGTCGAACGCGGACGCGACGGCGCGCGCGCGCGTGAAAATCTCGCCGTGCGGCGCCGTCGACGTCGCGTTCGACGCGGTGCGGGACGGCGACGCGCGCGAGGGCGATCGTCGCGCGGTGCGGTACCGCGGGATGCGACGGGCGCGACGCGCGCGCGGAAGGGAGGACGCGGAGGAGGGGGAGGCGCCGCGCGCGAGCGACGACGGCGCGAGCGAAGACGTCGGGATCGACTGCGCGCTGGTGTTCGACGAAGCGAGCGGGACGTTCACGCTGGAGGCGGTGGACGGGGAGATAGGAAATCTGAGGATCGCGCGGGAGGACGCGGAGGACGTGGGCGCGGGAGAGTTGACGACGAAGACGGAGGAGCGACGCGCGGCGGCGGCGGCGGCGGCGGCGAGCGCGGCGGCGCGAGACGCGCGCGAGGGCGCGGACGCGAACGGCGAGCGCGACGTCGTCGACGCGCTGCCGTCGTCGAAGAAGAAACCTAGGAAGACGTAGAAATTCTACTGTAGAATAGAGTGGATAGAGGAACGAACGCGCGCCGTAACCGACGCCGCACACCGCGGCGCGCGCCGTCGCGATCGATCGCGCGCGGCTCGAATGCGCGCGAACGCGCGCGCGCGCGAACGCATCGCCGGCGTCCTCGCCGCGCTGCCGCCCGTGGAGCACGCGCTGGCGTACGGCTCGGCCGTGCTCGCCGACGCGTCGGTCGCCGGACCCGAGCGCGCGCTCGACGTGCTCGTCGCCGTGCGCGATCCCGCGGCGTGGCACGACGCGAACGCGACGCGAAATCCATCGCACTACGCGTGGCACGCGCGCCTGGGCGGTGGGCGCGCGATTCACGGCGCGGCGACGACGCTGGGCGCGGACGCGCACTACAACGCGCGCCTGCGGGACGAACGGGGACGCGCGTACAAGTACGGCGTCGTCGACGTGCGCGACGTCGTGGATGATTTAGAGCGATGGAAGCATTTATTCGTCGCGGGAAGGATGCACAAGCCGCACGAGACGGCGCGCGCGTGCGATGCGATCGTGAACGCGCAGGCGCGGAACGCGCGGAGCGCGGCGAACGCGGCGCTGTTGACGCTGCCGGAGACGTTCAGCGAACTCGATTTTCATCGCGCGATCGTGCGGTTGTCCTACGACGGGGACGTGCGATTCGCGTTCGCGGCGGAGGATGGGTTGAAGATCGAGCGCATCGCGAGATCGAACGGGGAGGCGATGCGAGAGATGTACGAGGACGTCGTGCGCGAGCTCAAAGGCGTCGAGACGTCGGCGTCGACGTGGCGGCAAGATAAGAGCCCTGAAGCGACGCGCGAGCGCATCGATGCGTTGCCGGCGACGGTGACGACTATGTTGAATAGAGTTGAAGTCGGCGACGACGCTGAACGGGTCGGCGACGCGGTGCGCGCTTGCCTGAGGCGAATCGTACGCGCGAGCACGCTGCGACAAGCAGTCGCGGGGCTCCTGACCACGTCGCCGACGAAGACGCTCGCGTACGTCGGGGCGAAATTCTTTAAAGCCGCGAGCAGTCGCGCGACGAATAGCTCGAACGACGCGCGGTAGATTAGTGTTAGCCATTAGTTAGCGACGACGAAAGTGTGAGGTGACTCAATTGAATTGAAATTAAATCAGCGGCGGAACTTGTCCGGCGGTTCTACTTTCGGCTATGCGGCAAATCGACGACGTATTCGCTTAGTTCACGAACACACTGGCGAGCTTATCCACTTGTCCTCTGACGGACATGTCGATGAAGCCGGAGCCATCCTTGCCGTATTGCACGACGAAGCCGCCGAGGAGAGACTCGTCGACTTCCGGCTTGAGCTTGATGTTCTTGGCGCCCGTCATCTCTTGCAACTTCTTCGCAATCATGAATTGTTGCTCGTTTTCGAGCTTGACCGCGGAAGTCACCGTCGCGACTTGCGTGTCCGTCGCCTCGCAGAACAAAGTTTCAAACTCGGCGATGATGGCCTCGATTTGGTTTTCACGTCTCTTGTCCACCAACAAGTTCAAGAAGTTGCCCGTGAACGCGTGGAAGCCAGCCTCCTTGCCGAGCTTCGCCAAAACATCCTTCTTCTTTTCCGCGACGATGGTCGGGTTGGCCAAGAAGCCCGCAACGCTGGCGTTCGCCTTGACGTACGCGTCGAGCGTCTCCATATCGGCGTGCACTTGTTCGAGCGCGCCGGAGGACTTGCACGCGTCGACGAGCGCCGCGGCGTAACCGCTGGACACCGGGTTGGACTGCAACGCGCGAAAACGATCAATCATCCGTCAGTCTACCGTTCTCGTCAAACGCACGTCCACCCACACCGCGTCAAACGTCGGATTCGTCCGCGCCGCGCGCGCGCGCGCCAAACCCCTCGAGGATACGCCCCGCGCGATCGCCGTCGCCTCGTCCCGTCCGCCGTCCCCCCGTCGACGCCCGCGCGCGCGCCGCGACGCGCGCGCGCGACGCAACAAAACTCCCACGCGCGTTCGCGGTCCTCTTCATCGCGTTCGCGCCTCGTCCGACGCCGTCGTCGTCGAGGATAACACGCCCGATCGCGCCCCTCGCGATTACTCGCGCGCGCGTTCGCGTCGCGCGCGCGCGTCGCGCGCTCGCGCGTTCGCGCACCTTGGCGCCGTGCACGACGACGGAACGCTTCGCGCGCGTCTTATTCGCGCGACGGTGCGCGACCACGGTCGGTCGCGCGGCGGTGGAGGACGCGGAGATCGTAAACATGACGCGGCGCGGTGTGGCGCGCGCGCGCGCGTGCCCCGCGGGGTCGGCGCGTCGTGTGCGCAAACAGTCAGCCGACATCACTAGGGTTTTCGGCGCGCGCGATCTGGATAAACCAGACTGCGCGCCATATCCCGGGATGGAGAATTCGGACATTCGGCGTCACACGCGGTCGGTCGCCGCGCGCGCGTTTGAAACGCGCGACGCACCGCGACGACGCGCGACGCACCGCGACGCGCCGCGGCGAGACGCCGCGCGTGCGGGCGCGCTCGCGACGATGTCCGCCGCGGGAAAAGTGGCCGCGCGAGGCGCGTTCGTGCTGTTCGAAGGCGCGGATCGATGCGGGAAGTCGACGCAAGCGATGCGGTTGGTGCACACGCTCGAGGCGCGGGGGGTCGAGGCGGAGCTGTGGCGGTACCCCGATCGCGCGACGGCGATGGGGAAGATGATCGATCAGTACTTGCGGTCGAAGAGCGAGATGGAGGATGGGGCGATACACCTGCTGTTCGCGGCGAATCGATGGGAGAAGAAGGCGCTCATGGAACGCAAGCTCGCGAGCGGCGTGACGTTGGTGTGCGATAGGTACTCGTACAGCGGGTGCGCGTTTACGGCGGCGAAGGGGGTGGATGGATTGGATTTAGAGTGGTGTCGCGCCCCTGAAGTCGGATTACCGCGTCCGGACGCGTTGATGTATTTAGAGTTATCGCTCGAGGACGCGGCGAAGCGCGGCGGCTTCGGCGAGGAGCGATACGAGACGACGGAGATGCAACGCGCCGTCAAGGCGAGTTTCGAAGCGATGCGAGAAGATTGGTGGGACGTGATCGACGCCAATCGCGAACCGGACGTGATTCAGGACGAAGTCTTGCGCATCGCGCTGAGCGCGGTGGAGAAATGCCGAGCCGGACGCGAGTTGAAGCGGCTGTGGCAGTCGTAGCGCGCGTGCAACAACCAAACCAACCAACTCTGCGCGTTTCCTCACCCTCGCGCGCGCTCGCATGGCTCCGAGCGCCGACGTCGACGCGTTAGACGCGCGCGTGACCGACGAGTTCGCGCGCGCGTTCGGAGGCGACGCGGTGGCGGACATCGCGGCGCACGGCGAAGAAAAACTCGCGCGTTGGCTCGACCTCGTCTTGACAAAGTCGTCGAGCGCGGATGACGACGACGACGCGAAGAAGGCTCGAGAGCGCGTCGTCGACGCGACGTACGCGGCGCTGCAAGCGCGCGGCGCGTGGCCGCGGGAGAGCTGGCGAGATGCGTACGTCCTGGCGCAGCTTCGACGGTGCGCGGCGGCGCTGCGGGACCGGGACGGCGACGGCGAGACGCGAGCGGAGAGCGCGCGGGAGGCGATGCTGGCGGTGGACATGGCCTTGATCGTGGGTGCGCCCGTGGATATGGTGGTTGATTTCGTGCGCGCGTGCGAGCGGGCGTTGGGGATGGACGGACGCCGTGAGGTGAGCGCCGGGCACGCGCGAAGCGCGTCGACGAGCGAGTGGTTGTTCCCGAGCGCGGCGCCGAAAGGCGACCGAGGCGATCATGCCGCGCAGACGAGGCTCGCGCGAGTGCATCATCGCGAAATGGACTTGAAAACGTTTAAGCAGCGCTATTATAAGACCGAGATACCGGTCTTCATCGAATCGCTCGGTGAGGAATGGCCGGCGCTGCGCAAATGGGCCGACTTGGAATGGTGGCGATTCGTCCACGGTCACCGCAGCGTACCGTTAGAAATAGGCAAGTACAGCGACGTTGAAAACTGGAGAGAACAGGTGAAAACAATCGCAGACTTTATCGATGAGGACATGTTGCCTTCGGTGAGGGGCGCGAGCACAGGTGATGTTGCGTACTTGGCGCAGCATCAACTGGTTGATCAGCTTCGCGAGTTGGCGGAAGACTACGCGGTTCCAGAATATGTCAGCGCTGGAAATTGCGCCCCTAGCTTCGAACGGGTCTACGTCTGGATGGGTACCGCGGGAACGATCACACCGTGTCATTTCGACACGTACGACAATTTATTTGGTCAGGTGCGCTTTGAGCAACTCGTATTTTTGTCCACTTTCGTTGCGGGAGTCTAATAGAAGCCGGTCTGTGAAAGTCATGGCAGCCCGGTGATACCGACTCCCTACATAAACGCGAGCGCCAATAGAACCGGCGTATCAAAGTTATGAGCGTCGGCCTACACAGCGCCCTACATTCGTATTCGCCAACCCCGCCGCCGCCGTCGACTCACTTCGCGTGTTTTTGTGCTTGCAGGTTGCGGGATACAAGTTGATAAGACTATTTCTCGAGTCGGATACGCCTTACATGTACCGCACGACCGCGTCTAAATCCACGACGAGACATTCGCAAGGGAACTTCTCCGCTGTGGACGTGGAACACCCCGACCTCGATCGCTTCCCTGAATTTAGCTTAGCTACGGCGTACGAAGTTATAGTCGGACCGGGCGACTTTGTTTACATCCCGGCAAAATGCTGGCACTACGTCCGCGCACTCACGCCGTCGATAAGCATCAACTTTTGGTTTTAGATATAGAATATCAATGCATAGATTGGCCGCTAAACCGCATAGACTCGCCATTGGCCGCCGTGCGCGCTCTTGGCTCGCGCGTCTCCTCGCTCAATAGATTTAACCTTCGCCATGTCCGCCGTCACAGCGCATCGCTCACCGCGCTAGGCCGCATTATCGCGTCCTGATACGCGAAGAACATCATCAACGACGTCATTATGGTTAGTAAGTCGCCGTCGCTCGACTTGGAGTACCTCCGCGTCGCCATTCCTTCGCTGCAAAAGGTTGTCCCGCAGAGCGTCGGGTGGACGCTACTCTACGTCTTCCTGCGCTTCGGCGTCCTGCGCCGACGCACAGCCGACTTTTCCAATCGCACTGTGAGCTTCATTCACGCCGTCGTGGCCATTTACATGTGCGCGCGATGCCTGCCGACGTGGGGGGCGCTGTTGGAGAACGTAGGCGGAGCGAACACGATGGCGCACTTGGAGTGCATGACGCTGTCGCTGGGTTATTTCGTGTACGACTTCTTTTATTGCCTGTTGAATAACGAGGTGGAGAATGTGGTCCATCACATGTTCACCGTCGGCGGGCTCGCGAGCGGAGTCATCACCGGGCGCAGTGGCCCCGAACTGGTCGGGTGCTTGTTTTTGATGGAGGTGAGCAATCCGAGCTTGCACTTGCGCTCCATGTTGCGCGAATTGAACATGAAGGATAGTCTCCTGGCGACGTTGAATGACTTGTTGTTTGCGCTGTTGTTCTTGCTTTGCCGACTCATCGTCGGTCCGCCGTTGGTATGGCGAACGGTCGTGAACGACTCGAACACGTACATCGTCAAGGCGGGCGCTCTTGGCATCTTCGTCGTGTCCGTGATGTGGGGTTGGCGCATCATAATGATGATTGTGCGCACGGTGAAAAAGTTGTTCGGCGGTGCCAAGGCGAAGAAGGTGTGAGTTATCGCTGTCGACTTTATGTAATAATCTACGTAAACTATTCAAGTCTAAAGCTCGTCGTGTTGTTTCAGCGGTTCGGCCTCGATCCAGTGCCAACGCTTGGGCTTCTGCAGCGCACTCATGATGGCATCCCCCCACAACCTCGGAGCATCCGCATTTTTGAACAATTTTTTATGCAGTGCTTTCTTGATGCGAGCGCGTGTATTCGACTTTTGCTTGTCTGTTGCGTTCGCCGCCTTGACGGCGATTCGAACATATTCGTCAACCGTTCTGGCGATGAAATCCTTGATGCCCATGACTCTGTAATAAGCTTGTGTCCAACGCTGACCAATGGTCTTACCGGGTAGTGTAATCACGGGCGAACCAACTTCGAAAGCTTCTCGCGTCGTGGTGTCGCCACCAAAATAAACGCTATCCAAAACGACGTCTGACAGCTTGTACATTGCCATTAACTGGTAATGCTTCATTCGCGGAATGAACACGACGCGGTCGAGATCAACGTCTCCTTGCTTAATTAATCTTTCCACGACTTTTTCGTGCAACGCCTCAAGCGCGTTATCGACGAGCTTCATGAGAATGATTATTGCGTTCGGATCTTCTCTTTGTATCTTGCCCAAAATCTGGTCAAACGTAATGTGATACTTGAACACGGCTTGCGGGCAGAAATACCATGTCAAACCGTCACGGGATGAGAGTTTCTCCATTTCTTCAGCCGGAATGAAATCAAGATTTTCTCTGGTGAATTGATAGAACGGCGCTTCACCAACAATGATCGATACTTCTCCTTCAGTTCGTGGCTTGTAGTACTCCCACGCCGCCTTTTTACTCTTAACCAGCAGTAACTCCTCCGTATAGAAGCTCTGCGCTTTCTTTTGATCGGGAAGCTCGGCAAGATCCCAAGAAATAAAATAATCCATGATCCAAGCCGGGATACCAGATGTTACGGGGTGACCGTGCGTGACCATTTGTACCGGTGCCAGTTTCGCCACGGCGAGATCGTGCATCTCGCCCGTCATGAACAGGTCAAGATAAATCAGAACATCAAACCTTCTCTCTTCGATCGCCTCGCGATTCGCTTTGACGGTTTCGAGATCACCGCCCTTTATCAACACGATGCTTCGTTCGGGACGCAACGAGAGATTTATATCCTCCTCCTTGATCGGATCGCGTGGGTAGTGCACCATGTCGACTTCAAATCGCGCGTCGCGTTGAAGCCCGAGCACGATTTCTCCGAAGTTTCCCCAAATGCTCGACTCGGACGTGAAAAATGATGAGACGGCACCAATCTTGATTTTACGACGCATGAGCGCCTTCTGCACAGCCGTGCTCTGCGCGCTCGACAGATAGTTGTCGTCGTTTTCGTACACGAGCGCATTCGCCTTGTACAAAAGATCCGGGAACGCCTTCAACTTCAGTTGCACCCATCTCGAGTACTCGTCCTTATAGTCTACGCCATCGAAGTAGTACGCGATTGAAAACACGTTGCCTAAACCTGCTTGATTACGGCAGAAAAGATCGTCCTTGCGGAGCATTTCGTCGATTCCGGCATTATACTTTTGGATCCTGCGGCGCTCCTCCTCGGGCGTCAACGGAAAGTGGGGCACAATCGTGGCGTAATACAGCTCCCAGCAATCGTCTTCGCCATGTTGAGAAGTGTTTAAACCCTTTTCAAAATTAATGCGCGCGCGTGCGGCCCAATTTCGCGTCTCTCTCCAGTATCCGCTTCGCATGGCGATGCCAAAATAAGCGGCGGAATTCGGCTCGAGCGGCGGCGAGAGGCCATCGGGGTCATCGATGGCAGACTCCATCCGCTCGATGCCCCGTAATGCCGTCGAGTGATCACCATTCGATTCGCCGACCATGATCTCCAAGGTACTCATCGCAACCATAGTGTACGAATTCAAAGGATTGAACTCGAGAGATTGCAGATACTTTTCGTACGCACCCTTCTGGTCGCCCCGAGATTCTCTCACTCTACCTGCAACGAAAAGAGCGTCGGAATAATCGCCGTCTGAATCAAAATCATCCCTCCCTACGTCACGCCCCCCATTAAAATCCTCGTGGATGCCACCGAGAAGTACAATCCAGTCATCGGCGCGTCCCCTTAATCCAGGCGATCCCCAGCCGAAGATTTGCGACGCATACACTTGTTGTACTCGCCGGAGACGAACCGAAGTCACCTCCCAGTAAGACTCGATCGCCCCATGCATCGCTTGCTCGAACGCATCCGCATGTTCTGACCAATCTTGCTTAAACTCGTATATAGTACCGAAAGTACCGACTGTCTCGACGAGCGCGCCTAAACTGCTCGTCACGACGTGCACGCCTGCGCTCAACGCCTCGATGGCGGCGATGCACGACGTCTCCATCCACGTCGAGGGATAGGCAAAAATATGCGCCGAACGCAATGCGTCTCGTACATCGTCATTCGACACCGCGCCGTGATACGTACATCCTGGATGTTGCTCACACGCCTGAAACAACGGCGCGTACGGATGGTCTCGTTCGTGCCACCCGTATATAGAAAAGCTTGAATACACGTCCAAATGCAACATACCCTCGTGCGCGTCGTACAATCTCGGGAACACGTGCATCAATATATCCAATCCACGATGCGGCGTGGTGTGATAAATCAACCGCAGCACTCCATCCTCCGGAGGTTCTTTACGTTGACGTTCGAACGGCTCGATGGCGTTTCTCATCACCACCGCCTTCTCTCCGAATACATCCCCGAAATACGACTCATACGCGCTTTTCTGCCACTCACTCACGAACATGAATTTTGCAAACTTTTCCCGATTCTTCTCTTCGCGCAGATGCTCGCTCTCGGGATCGTTGGGCAAATCCTGCAACCACAGCACGTTCGGCCGTCGCGCGTCGGCGCTCAGCGCGCGCACGCGCGACTTCACCACGTGAAATCGCTTCACCAGCGCCCGCGGCACGCGCGCTTCCAACGCCGCCGACATTAACTCCGTCCCGCCGCGCGCGCCCGGCGTCGTGCCGTCGTCCAGCGCGTCCGCGCGCACCCTTTCCGCCGCGCCTGAAGATTTCTTACCGAACCACATCGCGTCGACAGAGCGCGTCGCGCACGCGCCGACGCACGCGCCGACGAGGGCGAGCGCGACGCGCGCGCGCCACGAACGTCGGGTCGCGTCGCCGCGCGCGCGCGCGCGCGCGGTGCGCGCCATGCCGCGCGTGGGCGCGTGACGATGCGCCACGTCGACGCGACGACGCCGGTTGGTGACTTTGGCATTTGACATGGACGAAGCTAAATTTGGCCACTTTGACGCGCGTCGATCGAGCATGCGCGCGATCGCGTGCTGCCCCGTGCGCGTGGATGCGCTGGCGATGTACGACGCGAGCGACGCGCCGCGAATGGAGAGTCCGACGGAGTCCAAAGGGTCATCCATCGGCGTCGAGGAGGCGGCGTCGAGCGAGGACTCGGAGGCGGACGCGAGACGACGACGCGGCGAGGTGACGCGAGATGTCGGCGCGAGCGCGAGTCGAGGACGAGAAGCGACGCTGCGGAGAAGCGTGAATGATGCGTTGATGGCGCTGAAGCAACGGAAACGAACGGGTCGAGTGGTAACGCGGAGCGGGTCTCGAGCGCCCGCCGGTTTGGCGATGCCGGTTCGCGCGCCTTCGGCGAGAAAGAAGAGCGAGCGGGCGGTGTTTGAGACGTACGCAAATTTGGCGCCTTTGAACGACCCTGAGACCGTGATGGTTGGAGTATTGGTGGTTTTGAGAGGCGCTGCGGAGCGCGCGTGGGAAGAGCGCTTGGAGGCGATTGCGCTCGCGAATCGACTCGTCATTCATCACGTCGGCGTGGTGTCCGCGAATTTGCGTCCTTTCATCATCGGCGTCACATCGTGTCTCGAGAGCTTGCGAAGTTCTATTTCGAAAGCCGCACTCAGTCTCATCAAGACGCTGGCGGTGCATTTAAAAGGTAAGATCAACGGTGAACTTGGATGCGTTTTCCCGAGCGTTCTCAAGCGCGCCAGCGAGTCGAGTTTCCTCTCAGCAGAAGCAGACGAGGTTTTGCACGTCTTGATAGAGGCGGCTGCCCCTCACGCAGTTATCCGGACACTGTCGCAACATGTTTCGGCTCGAAGACTTCAAGCGAAAATCGCGTTCGCCTTGACGTATTGTGTCGAACGCAACGCCGAGTGCGCCTCCGTCTTTCGAGGGAGAGCTGGACGGACAGCTTTAGACCTCACCCTCGCGACTCTGGACGTGTGTATTCGTGGGGGGCATCCGGACGCCAGACTTTATGCAAAACGCTGTCTCTCTTGCCTGATTGACGTACTCGGGAGCGATGGATTGGAGAAACCGATGCGTGCGTATCCCGATTTGTTCGCGTTTGAAGAAAGTGGTAACGCATCCGTATATTAAAAAATTGCTTGTCGTCGTGGTTTATCGAAGCGTTGGAGCAAGAGTCATATGATCAATCTCGAGAATTTCGCGTTAATCTTCCTTCGCACCTTCGGCGTTTTCTTCCGTGCGGTACTGTTCGCGCCAGGCATCGCCCTTGTTGTTCTTCGGCACGCCCTTTTCGATATCCGTGGAGGACAAGTTGAGCTTCGATCCGAGCGCCTTGTCGTCATACTTCGTCACGTCGACGTCGTAGTTTTCAACAGTCATGCTGTCCTTGAGCGTTTCCGTCACCGGCTTCGCCAACAACCCGTCTTTACCCTTGGTGTCCGCCTCCGCTTCGAATTCAGCCGTCTTGGCGTTCGCCATGCCGAGCGCCGACGCCGCGAGTTCCGCGCGAAGTCGTTCCCGTTCAGCCTGTTGCTCGGGCGTTTCCTTCTCGCGCTCAGCCTTTTGCCTAGCGATATCAGCCATTTGCTGACCGAGCGGCGAGTTCGGATCGACCTCACTCGCGATCGAATTAAGGCGTTCCGTCGCGTTCTTTCCTCGGCTATCTTCGCCGAATCCGCCGTACGCGCGTCCCTCCGTCTGCAAAATCTTAAGCACGTTCTCCGGCGTCTTATCCTTCAATCGCGCGATGTCTTGCGCCTTCGGCCAGAACGACTTCGCCCCGAGCGGGAGCACGAGCCAAGAGATCCCCTCGATCGAGCCGAGCGCCGTCCCCGGCAAGCCGTGTCCCGTGAGCGTCTTGCACAGCAGCGACAACCCCACGACGGGCACCGCCGCCGCCGTCAACAGCGGCGGAATCTTGTACGAAATCTCGTCGTACTTCGCCATGAACTTTTCCGGCGTGAAATCATCCGCGCCCGCCGCGCGCGGCGCGACCGCGCGCGCCCCGCGCGTCGCGCGCGCGCCCGATCGCATCGACGCCCGCGTCGATCGCGCAAAGTGCGACTTCTGCGTCATCGCGACGCCCTGCTGCGCCATCATCGTCGTCGATCGCGCGAGTCGCGCGGTGTAGGTTTTTACGCGCGTCGAGCGATTCGCGAGCGGTTCGCGAGCGTGCGCGCGCGCGTGAGTGCGGGGAACGCGACGCATCGGTCGTTATCCACAAAGATTACTCGACGCATCGCCGCACTCGCGCGCGCGCGCGACGACTCGACGCGACGCGCGCGACGGGAGACGATGCGCGCGGTGACGCTCGACGCGGGCGCGGCGGCGCGGCGCGGGCGGGGGCGCGCGGTGGTGAAAAAGACGTCGCGGCGCGATGGTGTCGAACGATCGCGGCGTCGACGCGCGGTGAACGACGAGGAGATGTCGACGCAGCGGTTCGAGACGCGAGCGTTCGACGCGGAGATCGAGCGAATGTGCGATCGAGGACTGCGAGACGCGCTCGAGGCGGTGGACGCGAGGTTGGTGACGGCGATGCGAGGCGAGAGCGCGGGGGCGTCGACGAGCGACGGCGACGACGACGCGGCGGCGATGAAAACGGCGAGCGATCGCGCCGAACGCGAGGCGGTGGAGTTGGTGATGTGCTTGCGTCAAAGGGGGGTGGTGAAAGCGTTCGGGGCGGCGCATAATGTGCCGAAGCGAGATTATGCGTTGGCGGAACTGCGGTTGAATAACATCGAGGCGGAGAAGTTGTTGGCGCCGACGGAGAGCACGATTAAGGGAATTCGAGATAATTTCACGCGATTGCTCGGCGTGGCGTACGTCGCGGGATTGTACTTTTTGCATCCGACGTTCGCGCAAGGCGCAGGAGTGGCGGCTTTCGCCGCGTTTTGCGCGACGTACGATCAAATCGCCTTCGGCGGCGGCGTCTCGGCGCTCGCGCTCGACACCGTCGCGCAATCGACGTCGAAGGAGTACGTCACGCGATTGCGTCGACACGAAGCGGCGCACTTTCTCACCGCGTATCTCATCGGGATTCTTCCTAAAGGTTACACGTTGAGCTCGATGGATGCGTTCAAGACGTACGGTGCGTTTAACATTCAAGCGGGTTGCGCGTTTTGCGACGGCGAGTTTCAGCGCGAAGTACAAAAGGGTAAAATTACCTCCACATCGCTCGGCCGGTTCGCGTGCGTCGCCATGGCGGGAATCTGCATGGAATACATCCTTTTTGGATTCGCCGAGGGCGGTCTGAGCGACGTACAACAACTCGACGGATTGCTGCGCGCGTTGGCGTTTACGCAGAAAAAGTCTGATTCGGAAGTTCGATGGGCGGTGTTGAACACGACGAGTCTGTTACGTAGACACTTAGGGTTGACGGAGAAGCTCGCGGATTACATGGCGCGCGGAGCGAGTGTGGGCGAGTGCGTGGCGCTGATCGAGAAGGAAGTCGAAACCGCCGAATTCGTTTGAAATGGTTGAAATGAAATTAAAACCGCGCGCGCGCATTTTTGTACCGTAATTTACTGAAGGCTTTGCTTCTACGCTTTCTCGACCGCGTCGACGTCGTCCACGGTTCGCTTCTTCGCGCTGTAAAAGATAAACTGATTGCGAATCTCGCACTTAAAATCGACGAGTCCGCATTCGGTGCACAGGTCTCGGAGTTCCTTCTTGGACCACCATCTGAACCCGCGCTCGGCGTTCACCGTGCCCGAGAATTCTCGAACGGCGTTGTCGAAAATGGCCTGCTGGTCCTCGTCGAAGAACGGCACTTGCGGATTCATGAACGTCGTTCCACAGAACGTCGCGCCTGGTTTAAGCACGCGCGCGATCTCGGCCACGCCCGTCTTGGCATCCGGCCAGCAGTGGATGGCGGCGCCCGCGTGCACGCCGTCCAGCGAGCCTTCTGGAAACGGTAACCGCGCGATGTCCGCGCGCACGAAGCACACGTCCGCGTCGCCGAGTAAGTTTTCATCCTCCATGTATTGCTTCGCTTGTCGCAGCATGGCGTCGGAGTAGTCGAGCGCCACCACGCCCTTGTACGCCTTTGAACGACCCTTGTACGTCTTCAAAAACCGTCTCGTAAACAACCCGCTGCCGCACGACGCGTCGACGACGATGCCGCCCTTCGCGAACTCCCCGAGCGCGTCCACGGCCAACCGCGCCTCCTCATCCGGCCCCGGAAACCCAGCGCGCTTAAAGCTATCGCGCCACCCTCGCTCGTACGCGAACGCCACCTGCGGCGTCTCGAACGTCGCCGTCCCAAAGTACCCGCTCGTCGGCAGCAACCCCTTCAACTCGTTCGGCAGCGCCTCGCGCGCCAGGTCCACGAGCGACCCGACCCGCGCCCCCGACCGCGCGTTCTCCGCCGCGCCCACGGTCAGATCCCATCGCCCCTCGCGCTCCTCGTACCTCAGCCCGCTCGTCGGCTCGACGCCGTCGCCGCGCAGCGCCTTCAGACTCACCGGGCACGCCAACGGAAACGTCGTCGTCGTCCCTCGCCGTCGCGGCGGTTCCGCCTCGTCCTCCTCGTACGACGCCTCCGCCGCCGTCGTCGTCGTCGTCGTCGTCGCGTCGCCGTCGTCGTTCGTCGCGCGTCGGCGTCGGGGCGTCGCAATCATCCGCCGTCCCGCGCCGCGCGTCGGCGCGCGCGCGCGTCGCGCGCGTTCCATCGCGTGCGTCGTCGGCGTCGCCCGCATCGCGCGCGCGTCTCGAGTCGCGCCGTCCCTCGCGCGTCGCGTCGTCGCGCGCGCGCGCGCCGGCGCGTCGACGTCGGTCGGTGGACGTCGCCAAACGGGGGTCGACGCGCGCGTCGCCAAACGGGGGCGAAAAAGACGACCCGGGCGTAGGGTCGCGCGCGCGAAAGGCGACCGCGGCAGAGCGCGACGACGACGCGCGCGACGGTCGCGCGCGTCGCGAACCGCGCGCGAGGGCACGCGGAGGCGCTGAGAGCCGAACGCGAGCGAACGGGCGCGCGATACGGCGACGTCGGGACGCGACGCGCGGAAGCGCGGGACGGCGATCGAGCGGGACGCCATGGCGGACGCGCCGACGCCGACGAACGCGGATCACGCGCGAGAGAAGTCGCCGTATTACGCGCACCGGATCGATTTGTTCGATAAGTATCGCGCGCGGGAGCTGACGCGGATCGAAGAGGCGAAGGCGCGGGGGGAAGGGATTAAAGTGACCCTGCCGGACGGCGCGCAAAAGGATGGGACGCGATTCGCGACGACGCCGTTCGACATCGCGTTGGGGATACACAAGAAGCTGGCGCAGAGCGCGCTCGTGGCGAAGGTCGATGGGGAGTTTTGGGACATGCGACGACCGTTGGAGGGGGACTGCGCGCTGGCGTTGTTTACTTTCGACGACGAAGAGGGGAAGGAGTGTTATTGGCACTCGAGCGCGCACGTCTTGGGGGAGGCGTTGGAGTTGGAGTACGGGGCGGATTTGACCATCGGACCGGCGATCGAGGAGGGTTTCTACTACGATTGCTACTTGGGCGAGCGCACGCTGACGCCGGAAGACACGGAAATCATCAAGGGGCGCATGGAAAAGATCATCAAAGAAAAACAAGAATTTCAACGCATCGTCGTCAGCCGCGCCGAGGCGTTGGAGATGTTCGAAGAGAACAAGTTCAAAATTGAGTTGATTTCCAACTTGCCCGAAGACGCGACGATTTCGTGCTATCGCTGCGGGCCGATGGTGGATCTGTGCCGCGGTCCGCACTTGCCGGACACCGCGTGGTTGAAGAGCGTCAGCGTGAACCAGTGCTCGCGAGCCCACTGGCGCGCGGACGTCACCAAGGACCCGCTCGTGCGCGTGTACGCCGTGACTTTCCCGAGCGACAAACTCATGAAGGAATACACCACGCGCATCGAAGAAGCGAAGAAACGCGATCACCGCACCATTGGCTTGAACCAAGAGCTGTTCTTTTTCCACCATCTCTCCCCGGGCTCGTGTTTTTTCCAAAAGCACGGCGCGCGCATCTACAACAACTTGGTCCAATTTATTCGAGAAAAGTATTGGGAATACGAGTATGACGAAGTCATCACGCCGAATATTTACAACTTTGACCTCTGGAAGACGTCCGGTCACGCGGCGCACTACAAGGAAAACATGTTCAGCTTCAACGTCGAAAAGGAAGAGTTTGGTCTGAAGCCGATGAACTGCCCGGGTCACTGCGTCATGTTCGCGCATCGACACAGAACGTACCGTGAACTCCCCATGCGTGTGGCTGATTTCGGTGTGCTGCACCGAAACGAGTTCTCGGGTGCGCTTCACGGTTTAACGCGCGTTCGCCGCTTCCAGCAAGACGACGCGCACATCTTCTGCCGTGAGGATCAAATGGAACAGGAGTTGAGCGGTTTCTTGCAGTTCTTAGATGATGTGTACGAAGTGTTTGGTCTCACGTACGAGATGAAGCTATCGACGCGTCCAGAGGGATACTTGGGTGAGTTGGAGGTGTGGGACAAGGCGGAGGCGGCGCTCAAGTCTGCGTTGGACCGAAGCGGCAGAGAGTGGAAGCTGAACGAAGGTGACGGCGCCTTCTACGGTCCGAAGATTGACATCACTGTCTTCGATGCGCTCAAGCGTCGCTTCCAGTGTGCGACGGTCCAGCTCGACTTTCAGCTTCCGATTCGATTTGACCTGTCGTACGTCGACGAAAACAACTCGTCGGTGAGGCCGATCATCATTCACAGAGCTATCCTCGGTTCTGTCGAGCGTATGTTCGCGATTTTGACCGAGCACTTTGCGGGTAAGTGGCCGTATTGGTTGTCGCCAAAACAAGTCATGATTGTGCCGATCTCTGAAGCCTCGAGAGACTACTGCTACGAGGTCAAGCGCCAACTCCGCAAGGCCGGTCATTTCGCGGAAGTCGACGTCACGGATCGTAAGATGCAAAAGAAGGTTCGCGAGGCGCAGCTCGATCAGTTCAACTATATCTTGGTGTGCGGCGAAAGCGAAAAAGCGAACGAAACGGTGAACGTGCGCACGCGTGATAACAAGGTCCACGGTGAGCACAAGCTGACCGCGCTGCTCGAAGTGCTCGCGCGCGAACGCGCCACGCGAAGCTTGACGTGCTGTTTCGAAGACGAGGGTTCCCCGGAAGATGCGGCACCTGCCACGACCGCGTAAATAGTTGCGCGTTATTCATTCTAGGAGCGCATCATACACGCGCGCATGACGTAATAATCAAGATTCAACCCTCGATGCAAACCAACGTTTCTCTGTTTCACTACAAGACGTTCCTACTTGCAAAGTCATTCATTTACGCGGGATCGTAAGGCTCTCGCGGAAACTCGAGCATTGAGATCGGAAGACTATGTTTCTCGCATGTGCAGACGATGTGTTCCCCGATGTAGATCGTTTTTGGCATGTAGACGGCGAAGCAGATCACCACAACGCTCTTCGAGTACGCGTCTGGCTCTTCGTCCTTGGGTGTACCACCCCATTGCGCGCTGTGGTCCTCACGACAGATACTTCTCGTGAGCGCATAGTTGATGTCCAGTGTAAACCAGTCGCCTTGTGTGTTGATTCGTCGTGATGGACTCATACCGTTTTTCAGTATCAGCTTCGCCGCCGCGAACGATGTTCCATGGAAGGCGAGCCGAATGGATTGCGGATCGGCGTTCTTCACATTCTTGTAAAATCGTTCGTACAATGACGTTCCAGGCAGAGAGAATTCGTTCAATTTCACGGTAAAATGTGGCGACAGCGTATCATTCCCCACTCGATACGGCGCGCGGCACTGTGCATCGATCGTCCCGCGCGTCCCGGTCAGTCTCGCGTTTCTCGTCGCCGTTTCTCGTCTCGCGCACCTGCACCGGGCGTTCATCCAACAGAGCCTTGTGCGCGCTCTTGCGCGGCGAGACGCAAAAGATGAAATCGTTCCGACAGTTCGAACATTCCAAAGTGCTTCGTCGCGCGCGCGTGCTCCGCAGGCTCCGGTTCTCGTGTTGACAGTGCTGGCACGTCCAGCTGTCTAGCACCTGTTGCATCTGCGCGTCCCGAGCGCGACTCTCCTCCTCCTCAAGCTTTGCGGTTTGCGTTCGCGTGCGCGGACGAGTCTTATCTTTGTCGGGTGCGTGCCTGCGCTGGAAAAAGATGTGAGTCATTGCCAGGGCGAGGGTCCACACGGCAAAAGTTACGGCTTTATGCGGGTCGGACATTGAGGTGCGCGCGCTGTGTGACTCGCACCGAGGTCGAGATTGTGTCGACTTGCGTCGGCGCGGAGGGGGTGTGAAGGATTCGCAACGGTGCAATCTATCAATACACAACTTACAGAATTAATTCTACATCCACAACGCGCGCGTCGGGGGCGCCGGTACATGCGCGCACGGCATCGTGGACGCGCTCGCGCGTGGCCGATGGTTTCAGAAATGCGATCACGTGTCCGCCTGACCCGGCGCCGCAAATGAAAGAGCCGTAACTCAGAGGCTCGAGCGCGTCGTAAATGGCACGTATAGTGGGACTTTCAATTGATGACCACAGCGATTGTTGCACGCGTTTGTGTTCTTCGAGGAGCGCACCGAGACGCGAGATCAGGTATTCTTCCCGACAATCTGATACGTTTGGCGTCGCGGCGCTTTCGCGCGAAGACTTGGAGATCGCCTGGAATACCTCAAACATTTGCGTTGCCAAGTCAGCACACTGTTGTAAAGCACGCTCAACGCCAATATCACGTCTTTGCCACGTTGTGACGACAGAATCACAGACGGTCTTCGCCAATCGACACGTCCCGGTGAACACGCACGCAAAGCGCGAGTTCAAGAGACGCGCGCAGGGCGCGTCCATCTCACACAGACGGTAGGTGTACTTGGGGAAGTAGTCATAATCAGGGGAGAAACTGCGATCACTAGGTTTCGAAAGACTTAGGCGAAGACCATTCAACGCGCCACCGACTTGGTCTTGCCACCCACCACCCGTCGTGATCATCTGCTCAACCACGAGCACACAGTTCACGATGTCAGACAGCTTGAGAGCTTCCTTTGGCGACGCGCGATGGTCATCTTCGACATCGAGCACTTTCCCATTTTCATCGGTCCACTGTACATCCGCAGTAAGTTCGATTCGATCTTCTTCTTCAAACCGAGGCCTCAAGCGCGTACCGTATGTGAAGTCGTACATCGCGTGCAGCATCGCTAAGGCGAGGATACTACTCGTGCCGAGACCAGAGCCTTTTGGGAGATTTACTTCCGTTCGTATCTCTACGCCAGGCTTGTCGATCGCAATCAACCGTTTTCCATGCAACGCAGGTTCGATGAAATTGCAACCGAATTCCAACGAAATTTCAATAATTTCCCTGAACCAAAACTGCACGAGGACGGCTTTGTGGAGAGCAAACGGCGTCATCGGGTCGGAATATCGGTTCGGCAGGAGATCACCATAATGAAGAACGTCTTCGCGTATTTCTTCGCCCGATACATCGTCTCGCATCACGAGACGTACGACGGGGTCGTCGATGCGGGTCAACTTCGCAACGATGGGCTTGGTGCCATTCACGAGCCCTGGTACGTGCAACACAGCGCCTGGGCGCTCCAGCGAGTACGGCGGGGTATCCGTCCATCCACCGGCGAGATTGAATCTCGCTGGATACGCCACGCGCACGCTACACACGGGCATATTCGATCTCGCAAGCATACCGCACGCCGATACGGTGGATGATTCGGTGAGGATGCGCGCAAGATTTGCGCGCGCGTCATCGAGCGCGCCCGGTAGGGCTAAAGAGAGCGCCACTCGGCTACAGTCCAAACGATGTCGAAGCGAGCGGACATCCAAACGCTCAGCCTCTGTCTCGCCCAGTAGCTCCGAAATAAGGTGCATTGTTTTTGCTTCGAAGGGGACTGTTCCTCGTTCCATTTTGAGTTCGTTTTCGAGCGACGTTAAGTTGAACGCTCTATGCCTCCATTCGCTCGCTGGCAGGCCAGTTTCTAGCATTCGACGCAACGTCGAGCTTAAAACCATACGCAGTAAGGAATGTCTGTGTGTTTCGAGAGCGCCATGGTTCGCATATCTCCGAAGCACTTCGCTAATGCTCACTTGTTGCTGATGGTCGCGTTCGAAGCGCCCGTACTCAGCGGCATTCTCTGAGCTTCGCACGACGTGCGCCATTCGCAGCGCGGCGCGCGACGATTCCTCGGCAGATTGATGGACGCTATAAAAACGACCGAGCGTCGTCGTGGACGACTCGCCTTCCATCCAGACGCTACCGCTATCCAATTCAAGTCGATCAATCGCGTCACGCACTGGAACACCGCACAGTGTGCTCGAAGTGCGTGATTTTACCTCGTCGTCGGTGGCCATGACAATGGTCACGAACTCGACGGCGTCGTCGGCAGACGTACAGTCAGACATTGATGACGAAAAGTCATCGATTTCATCGTCGCCCGATTCGCGGTGACGTTTCGAGAAACGCTCGCGCGTTATGGGAAGTGTGCACATGAATGTTCCATTTTCCACTTTCGTTCCGTCCTCAAGACGAACGTCGTACATCGCGCAGTTTGCGCCGATAACGACGTCACGGCCGATATCACAGTTCACCAAACACGACCCAGATCCTACCGAAGACGCTCTTCCGATGCGACTCGACATGACGACGGAGTCGGCGGGTTGATGAAAATCGTCTGCGACGTAAGACGCCATGTGAACCGGTATCCCTGGCGCTGGAAGCGACTTCAGGCACTGTACGTCTTTTGTCGTGTGATACAAAAACTCTGGAATAGTGCCAAGGTGAATGAATCGACTCGGAAACAACGGAATGACGATGAGCGGACGGCCTCGCAAAGCGTCTGCAACGGCGCGGCGCGCATCGCGCAATCTCGTCTCGCTTTCCGCGTGTGTAGAAGAAGTCACGCTCGCGAGATGATCGATGCGGTCCAGGTATGACGTATCCGCATCGCTCCCGAGTGGTTGCATGAAATCTCCATAAGCACAAATTTCGCACCCCGCCAAAACGTCGCGACGTCGCTCGTCGAGTTCGACGAGCGCCTCCACAGCCTCGACGCCGATGTGAAAGCAACTGTCCGTCAGCACCCAGTCATCGACTTCGGTTTCGTATCCACGCATCACACACCCGGCGCCGCGCATTTCCTGTTCTGTGGGCTTCTGTAAGCACCGCCTGCAATCCAACGGCGCCAACTTTCTCCCGGCTCGCATCGCTCGCACGCGCTCCTTGACCTCCGCCTCATCGCACGCGAACACTCCGTGCTGCTCCCCGATCGCCACAGAGCTCGGATGTGCGAGTGCCGTGATGCCACGCTTCATCGCCGATCGCGTTTCCTCGTCTAAGCTCTTTTCGACGTCGCCGTACTCCAACGCGACGTCGGCGCACGACACGAAGACGCCCGGCGGCAGCGTCGCCGCCAGCGGCGTCAACTGCACCAACTGCGCCTCCAAAATCGTCCCCGGCGTCCCGCACCCTCGACAATCCATCGGCACCTCCGCAAACGCTTTCCCGAGCGTCCCGTGTTGCGGCGCGCGTTCGCTGTATCCACCCGTGTGCAGCGCGAAGACGCGTTTGTCCCGCCACGCGTCCCCGAACCACGACTTCAACTCCCTCGCCACCGCGATCGTCGCCCCCCCGGAGCCGATGCGCGCGCCGGGAGGATCGGTGATCACGACGTATCGCTCGCGCGCGCCCGGCAGCGCGCCGCGGGCGTGGAGGTGGTCTAAACGCGCGCGAAACGCGCGAGTTTGGGACGCGCTCGAGGACGTCAGGGCGACGACGTCCCAGAACGCGCCCGGGGCGATCACTCGCTCGGGATTCGCGAGCAAAGCGCGATGACGCGCGAGACGGTCGTGCGCCGCGGCGATGGCGGCGGCGTCGCCATCGCGCGCGGCGGACATGGACGTCGGCGTGTGCGGCGACGCGGCGGTTGCTTTCTGAAGTACCGGTAGATATTACGTTAATAAGATCGACGCAGTCACGACGCGCCGTGAATAGAGCGATTCGCGCGCGCCGGTGTCGTCACCGACGTTAGTTGTTCCGTTCCTCCTCCATCTCCGCCGCCACGATCTCGCGATGAGCGGCGATGGTTTTGTTGGACAGCGACACGCGCTCGAAGGTGAATTTTAATAATTCGTCGGCGTCGGTTTGGTTGGCAAACGCGTGCTTCAGGCACAGCATCACGTCTGGTAACGAATCGCACTCCAATATGTCGCGCTCGTACATTTTCATCATCGCGATCGCGACTCTGAACCACACCTTTTCGCCCTCGTACGTGAGGCAGTCGAGGACGCGCGCCGCCGTCGTCGCCGGAAACGATTCGACGAAGAGACACAACAACCACTTGCTCGCGATCATGACGAGGTCGACGTCGAGCTCTTTCAGATGCCTCGCCACCTTTGGGACGTTTGATTGCAGTAGTTTATGCAAAATCTTGTACTGCGAAATCGTCCCCTTGATGTCCCTCGCGTGCACATCGCTCGGAAGCACGACGTCGAGCAAAGCGGTAAACGTCCAAAACGCCTTTTCCTCGTCGCCCATGACGAGCCATAAAAACGCCGCGATATAATTCATTCCCTGACAATACCCCGTCTTTCGATTATGTCTCGCGTACGCGTACAGCATCCTTCGCAACACATCGTTCCCTCGCTGTCCCCCCTCGCCCCGCTCATACTTTTCGTTCGCCGGAAACGTCCTCGCCAAGTCCAACTCGATTTGGTCGACGACTTTTTGATCCACCTTCATCACCAACAATTTTTCGTAATACGAATCCATCGGTCCCATCTTTTTCAGCTCGCGCGCGCCGCTGCACGCGAACCACGCCTCGCATCGCAGATCGCTCGGCACGCCCTTCCTCACCGCTCGTTTCAGCGCAGAGTCGCGATCGAGCGCGCACGTCGCCAGCGTCCCCGGCGCGTCGCGCGCGCGCGTCCAAAACTTTTCATCCATCGCGCTCGCGCTCGACCCGCTCGCCGCGCGCGCGACGTCGCGATCGATCGCGAACCCGTACTCATCGACGCTCGCGTCGTCGTCGTCGTCGTCGTCCTCGTCGTCCTCGTCGTCGCGCGTCGTCGTCGTCGTCGTCGTCGCGCTCGGCTCGCGTCGATGCCGCGCGCGATCTTCCGGCGCTTCGAGCGTCCCGTTCGACCGCGCGCGCGCGCGCGCGATCGCGCTCCGCGCCGCACGCGCGTTCGCGCCGTCGCCCGCGCCGTCGATCGCGCCGTTCGCGCGGCAGCACGCGAACATGCGCGCGATTGTCGCGCGCGCGCGCGTGCGACCGCGCGTCGACGCGCGGCGCCGCAGACGTCGCCGCGCGACGTCGCGCGCGCTCGCGCGCGGTCGCGCGAGCCAACATGCTGGCGCGCGTCGACGCGCGCGCGACGGCGGCGCCGACGCGCGCGCGCGCGACGGACGCGACGCGAAGACGCGCGAACGCGCGAACGGCCGTTAAGCGACGACGCGCGCCTTGGACGCGCGCGCGCGTCGCGCGCGATGCGGGCGCGCGCGCGGCGACGGCGGAGGGTCAATCGACGCGCGACGCGCGCGGGACGCGGCTTCGCGCGCGGTCGACGGCGTCGGAGGCGGAGGACGACGCGCGCGTCGAGCCGGAGGCGTCGAAGGCGCCGCCGTCGCTGCTGCGCATGTCGACGCCCGCCGCGGTGTGGTACGTCGGATGGCCGACCACGGTCATAGGGCTCATGCGGTCGTTTTTTCCGCTCACGGACACGTTTTGGGTGGGGAAACTCGGGATCGTGGAGCTGAACGCGCTGTGCTCGAACGCGTTCGCGGGGTGGATGCTGTATCTGCTGTGCAGCGTGGTGGCGTGCGGGGTGCAGAACAGGGTGTCGATGAAGGTTGGCGCGGAGAAATACGATGACGTGGGACCGGTGCTTCGAGATGGGCTGTACGGGGCGGTGCTGACGTACGCGTTCTTGGCGTGCTTGTTGCCGTTTACGGCGGTGTACACGTCGACGCTGGGGATCCAGAGCGGGGGGACGTTCGCGATCGGGCAGTCGCACTTGCGGGCGTCGCTCATAGGTTCGGTGGGACTGTGCTTCAGTAATATATTAGAAGCTACGTTGCGCGGGTTTGGGTCGATGAAACCCGCGCTGTGGGTGACGGCGTTCATGGTCCTGTGCAACATGGTTTTGGATCCGTTGTTGATTTACGGCATGGGTCCTTTTCCGCAGCTCGGCGTCGCGGGCGCCGCGGTGGGGACGAGCCTGTCAAATTGCATCGGTGCGGTTATGTTTTATCGCATGCTCATCAAAGACTTCAAGGTGAAGATTCCCATAACGCGGCCAGACGTGAAAATGCTCAAGGACATAGTCGCCATCGGCGCGCCCATCGCGGTCGCGGGCATCGTGTTCGCCTTGGTGTACGTCGGTCTCGGTCGAATTCTGACCTCCCTGGACCCGATGTCGCTCACCGCGATGGGACTCGGACAGCAGTTTGAAAACATCCCCTACACCGTCACGGAGGCGTTCCGCATCGGCACGTCCACCATCGTCGGCCAGTGGGTCGGCGCCCGCAACGCTACGCGCGCGAGAGACGCGGGTTGGAGCGCGATTCGCATCGCATCCGCGGCTTTGATACCTTTCGGTGTCGTATTCATCGCTTTTGCGCCGCAATTCGTCGGGCTCTTGACCCAGAATCCCGCCGTCGCCGCGCACGCCGTGCAGTACATGTACTGGAACTTCCCGATTGTCTCTTTCATGGCGCTCGAGTGCGCCGCCGAGGGTGCGTTCACGGGCACCGGCGTCACGTATCCCGTGCTCGTCATCGCCATCCTGCTCAACTTTAGCCGTCTTCCGATCGCCGCCGCGCTGGCGCCGATATACGGCGTTTCCGGCGTCTGGTTCACCATCGTCTTCACGCAAGTCATAAAGAGTTGCCTGAAGACGATTTGGCTCCGCAAGGTGTTCAACGATCTCATAAAAGAGGAGCGCGGCGCCGGCGCGGCGACCGCGTGATCGAGCTGAAATAATATCACATCAGCGCGCGATGCGCCGGATGTAATGTCTATTGTGACTGTTTTCGCGATTGTAGTGCGGCTTTGAAGCGCGTCGTCGACGCCGAGGCGCGTCGGCGCCGAGGCCCCCAGCGCGAGCGCTTCCCCCGCACACCCGCACGCACGCTCACGCACACGATGTCCGCATTCGCCCTCACCGCATCCAAGACCTTCCGCGCCACCCCCGTGGTGGCGCAAATCACCCGCGCGCGCAGCGCGCGACGCGCCGGCGCCGTTTCCGTCCGCGCCACGGCGAAAGAAATCATCGCCACCGATAAGTCCCCGGCCGCCCTCGGCCCGTACAACCAAGCCGTCAAGGTCGGCAACACGGTGTACGTCAGCGGTCAAATCGGCCTGACGCCCGCCATGGAGTTCGCCGGCGAAACGATCGAGGAGCAAACGGAGCAAGTGATGAAGAACTTGGGCGAGGTGCTCGCGGCGGCGGGCGCGACGTACGCCGACGTCGTCAAGACCACCATCATGATCGCCGACATGGACGATTTCAAGACGGTGAACGGTATTTACGGCTCGAGGTTCCCCGAAAACGCCCCCGCGCGCGCGACGTTGGCGGCGAAGACGCTTCCGCTCGGCGCGCTCGTGGAGATCGACGCCGTCGCCATCATCCAATAAATAGTTCAATCGAGATCGGCGACGACGCGCGCGCGCGTCCGTCGCGCGCGCGGTCGACGCGCATCATTAATTCATACGCATTAATTCATCGCCTTCATCGCGCGTCGGCGCGTCCTCGCGCGTCGCTCGGTGGTTTGTTTCCTCGCTCGGGGACTCTCGACGGTTCACGACTCGACACTGCGGCGCGCACAACTAAAAGGCGCCGAGCCGCGCGCGCCGCACACACGCGCGCGTACGGTAACCATGCGCGCACCCATGGGACGAGGCGGCGGCCGAGGAGGTGCGTCACTTTCACTCGCGCGTCATCGATCGCGCGCGCGCGCGAACGCGACGTCGCGTCGACGGGAATTACGCGCCAATCGACGACCGCCGCCGGGACGATCGATTGCGGCGGATTCGAGAAAACGCGAGAACGCGCGCGATGCGACGTCGCGCGTCGACGCGAGGTGGTCGCGATCGAAGACATAAATATCGACGCCATCGTCCACGCGCGTCGGCGACGCGACGGGACGCGAACGAGGGACTGACGGGGAGAATTCGTTTTTTGGGTGAATTGCAGGGTTCTCGCCGGGCGGACGAGGCGGCGGACGAGGCGGACGAGGCGGACGCGACGGCGGACGCGGCGGCGGACGCGGTGGCGGACGCGGTGGTGGACGCGGTGGACGCGGTGGTGGACGCGGTGGCGGACGCGGTGGTGGACGCGGCGGTATGAAGGGCGGGTCGAAGGTGGTCGTCGAAAAGCATCGTCACGAGGGCGTCTTCGTCGCTCGCGGGAAGGAAGATGCGCTCGTGACGCGGAACATGGTCGTCGGCGAGAGCGTGTACGGTGAGAAGCGTATTTCAGTCGACGAGGCGGACGGTACGAAGACGGAGTACCGCGTGTGGAACCCGTTTAGATCGAAAATTGCGGCGGGTATTCTCGGCGGTTTGGACGCCATTCACATCAAGCCCGGCTCAAAGCTCTTGTATCTCGGCGGTGCTTCGGGTACGACGGTGTCGCATTGCTCCGACTTGGTCGGGCCCGAAGGCACGGTGTACGCCGTTGAGTTTTCTCACCGCTCTGGGCGCGACTTGGTCAACATGGCGAAGAAGCGCACCAACGTCATTCCGATCATCGAGGACGCGCGTCACCCGCAAAAGTACCGCATGTTGATCGGTATGGTTGACACTATCTTCGCCGACGTGGCGCAGCCGGATCAAGCTCGCATCGTTGGTTTGAACGCGCAATACTTTTTGAAGCAAGGTGGTAACTTTATGATCTCCATCAAGGCGTCGTGCATCGACTCCACCGCCGCGCCGGAGGCGGTGTTCGCGCGAGAGGTGAAGAAGCTACAAACTGAAGGCTTCAAGCCTGCCGAGCAGCTCACTTTGGAGCCGTACGAACGCGACCATGCCATGGTCGTGGGTGCTTATAGAGTGTCTAAAAAGAAGTCCTCGTGATTCTTTTGGGTCCCAAAAGAATTCGGCGACGGCGGCGGCTCGGGCCGCGCTTCCATTCCAGTGTACGACTTTTTCCACAAATTTTGTTTGGACGACCGGCGGAGAGGTTCGAAACGACGAATAATTAGTTGAGGTAGCTCATTGTATATGCCCACTGATAAATCTACCCACCGCGCGTTCCTCGTCGCCCTCGCCGTCGTTCGCCCTCGCCGCCTCGCTCGAGCGCTGAGGATTCTCGAGATTCGCTCGAGACGCCATTCTGTCGCGCGCGTCGCCGCACTCGCGCGCGTCGACCGAAGCGCCCCGCGCGGTCGTCATGGTCGCCCTCGACGTCACCACCGTGTCCCACATGGCCCCCGGGAGGTTCTTCCGCGACCACACGAGCGCGGTGAACGCGCTCGATTTCCATCACACCGAAGATGCCCTCGTCACCACGGGCGACGACGACGCGATCCATCTCTACAACACCAACACCGGCGCGAAGACGCGCACGCTGTACAGTAAAAAGTACGGGTGCACGAACGTGTGCTTCACGCACAGCGCGGCGGCGGTGATTTACGGGTCGAGGAACAAGGGCGCGGGCGGGGCGGCGATCGACGACCACGCGGTGAGGTATCACTCGCTGCACGATAACACGTACCTGCGATATTTCAAGGGACACACCGATGCGGTGACGTCGATCGCGATGAACTCGACGAACGATTGCTTTTTGACCGGAAGCGCGGATCTCACGGTGCGAATGTGGGACTTGCGGACGCCGAAGTGCTGCGCGGTGATTCCAGAGTGTCCGGCGATTCCGTACGTGGCGACGGACGCGCAGGGAGACGTGTTCGCGGTGACGGAAGGTGACGGCGGGATTAAGCTGTACGGGACGAATAGTTACAGCCAAGGCGCGTTCGCGCAGTTTGAGACGTACATCGATAACGCGGGCAAAGAGTTGTTCCCGAACCCAGACAACAACCCGCAAATGCGGCCGCCCGCGATTTCGTGCCTGAAGTTCTCTCCGGACGGCAAGCGTTTACTCGCCGTGAACGGGAGCTGGATCACGATTTTCGATGCGTTCAACGGAGAGCACACGATGCGTATTCGCGTGCCGGGGTCGGGGCAGCAACAGCACGCTGTGACGCCGATGGAGGCGAGTTTTTCGCCCTGCGGCGAGTACGTCGTGAGCGGTGGCGCGGACTCGCGCGTTCACGTGTGGAGCTGCAGCACCGGGTACCAAACCGGCCACTGGCGCTCGCGTCACGCCGGTTTACCCACGTGCGTGAAGTGGGCGCCGAGCATGATGCTCGTCGCGAGCGGTTGTTCCGAGGGCGGCACGGCGTTGTGGGTTCCGGATCCGAACGTCGACGAGCGCCGTTAGCAAACGAACGTAAAGCGATTAGCGCCTACTTTTAGCGATTAGCGATATCAAACAGTTTACAGCGATTGAGCGACGAGTTACTTGCCAAACCATCCCTTCTTCTTCGGCGTCGCCGCCGGCTTCTTCTGGGCCGAAGACGCCTTCTTCTTGAACGCTCCACCGAACAACCAATCGCCCGCCGCGGCCTTCGCGTCTTCCGGGTCCACCCATCCCTCGTCCACGTACTTTCCTCTCAAATCGAATCGCTCGCCGCCGTCGAACTCTGGCATTCCCAAAGATATCATCGGCAACGGAATCCCACCCGTGACGGCCTCCTTCGACAGCGCGTTCGCCTTCGCTCGATTCTTCGCCTCGATCGCCTTCTGTTCCGCCGCCGGGAGCTTTTTATTGACGAATCTCGACACCTTGGCGCGTCTCGCGGCGACTTCCTTTCCGAGATTGGCGCCCGACCGACGCTTCTTCAGAATCTCTTGTTGCGCCTCCCACGTCGTGTCGCGACCGCCGACGTCTTTGTTGTTTCGAAGAAAGTCAAACGGCCCCGCGCGCGCGATCGCGCGCGCGCGTCGTCGACGAACGACGACCGGCGCGGCGAGGGGCGACGTCTTCAGACCGATCATGTCGAGCTCGAGGCGCGCTGTGACGCGCGCGTTACGAATACAAACACACTCACGCCACCACGGCGTCGCGCCTACTCGCGCGCGGGCGCGCGCAACGCGTCCTCGAGTCCAGCCGCGCGCGCGTCCGCCGCCTTGCTCGCGAGCGAGCGAAGCACCTGCGCCGTCGCCGTCGGCACCACGCGCGCGCGCGACAGCTCCAGCACCGCGTCGTGCACCTCCCGTCGCACGTCCAGCCCGGCCAGGGCGGTGAGCTCGAACAGCGCGTTCGACACTGCGCGTCGCGATCGTCGTCGAGTCGTCAGTCCTCGCGTCGTCGTCGCGTCGTCCTCGCGTCGTCGTCCAGCAAAAAGTCGTTCATCATCGTCGTGGTCGTCATCGTCGTCTTCGATGCACCGGCGCGCGGTCCCACGCGTCGAATCATCGCGCCGCGCGCGACGCGCGCTCGACGCGCGCGCGCACCCTCGTCGTCGCGCAGCGCGCACGCCGCGTCGGCGTCGCGCGCGCCCATCGCGCGTCGCGTTCTGGCGTCTCCGTATACAACGTCCATTTAGAACTAAATGGCGCGCATCGCATAAATCCGATCGCGACGTTAGGGTTTCGCGCGCGCGCGCGGCGGCGGCGGCTCGACCGATCGCGCCAGAACTCGACGACGACGACGATGTCTTTCACCACGGTGCGCGACGACGCGACGCGACGACGCGCGAAACCAAATCGACGATCGTCGGCGACGCGCGAGGGACGACGACGCGACGGGAGACGCGAGCGAACGCGAGATGATTAATGATGACGGACGACCTAGCGGAAGGATGCCGCGGCGATCGGCGCGATCGCGGATCGGCGCGACGAGAGGCGCGACGAGCGACGACGGAGGACTGACGATCGGTGATGGATCGATCGCGGACGCAGGAATGGCCGAAGTGCGACGCCGCGAAGGCGGCGGGAATCGCGGAGAAGAAGATCGCGAAGTGCTTGAAGGAGGGCGGGAAGAAGGGCGTGGAGATCGAGGGCGCGGCGGACATGTCCGGGCTCACGTGCTTTTGCACGCGAATGACCGAAGCCGGTGATTCGGTCGAATTGCTTGAAGTCTCCATGGAGGGGATGAACGCGATTCCGGATCCGGCGAACGAGGAAGAGCGTAAGGGCTGCTCGGGGCACATCTCGAAGCTCATCATCGGACACAACGACCAGACGAATAAGATCGCCATGGTCGCGTACGTCGCGGAACCGTTGAAGGACAAGTTGAACGCCACTGAATGGATGAAGGCGGTGTGCGATACCGATCTCGGTGGTGGCGTCGGTGGCGCGCCGGCGGAAAGTTCCACGGCGACGTGGGCGACGGCGAGCATCTCCGAAGACACCGACAACGGCAAGTACTACTTGAAGTTCAAGGACAATGCTTTGACGGCGGCCATCAACTACTTGCGCGACAAGGGCTTGTTCTTGGATGACTCCGACTCCGACTCTGGCGACAACCCCGCGGCGGATTTCGAGTGGTAAACGCCGACGAAATCTCGACGACAGGATACGTAGTTTTAGGAGACGCCGCCGCGTGCACGCCGCCTGTTTCTAATCTAAACGCAATTCAATACCACCCCACGACATCTATACTGCTTCTAACAACCTATTCGCTATCGACCGCTACGCGTTCGCGAGTTTCTTCGCGATTGACTTTTTGTAACTCGCGAACGACTCGAGACGCTTGACGGCGCCGTTTTCGATGACGACGACTTCTTTCGCGACGCGCTCGACAAAGTATTGATCATGACTCACCAACACGACGCCTCCTTTGAAATTTTCGATAGCTTCCGCCAAAGCTTCGCACGACTCGAGATCTAAATTGTTCGTCGGCTCGTCGAGGATGATCAAGTGTGGCGCCTGAAACGACACAGCCGCCATGGCGACTCGCGACTTTTGCCCGCCGGAGAGCGCGAGCGCCGGGACGTTTTGCAACTCGGTGAGAACGCCGCATCCACTGAGATGACTTCGAAGCTTTTGTTCGTGGTTGTAACTGCCATCTCCCGGAAAAGCGTCGAGCATGAAAGCCAGCGGCGTTTTATCGTACGCGAGCTGCTCAGCGTGGTGCTGGTTCACCAAGCACACGCGCGCGCCGCGATCGCGCGTCACCAACCCGCTCGTGGGCTCCAACTCGCCCGTGATGATTTTTACCATCGTCGTCTTCCCTTGGCCGTTTTCCCCAAGTAAGACGACGCGTGACTTTGAATCCACGCTCAAGTCGACGTCGGCGAAGAGCTCGTCGCCACCCGGGTACGCGAAAGATACGCCGTCGAAGCGAACGATATTTTGACGAAGCTCTCCACCCGCTTGAAGATTGAGCGCGAGCTCGGCGTCTTCCTCGAGATCCGCCATCAGGCTCGCCTCGTCTCCCGCCTCGAGCTCGAGCTTCTTCGCCTCGAGCTCTTTCTTCTTCATCATGTTAATCGCCGACGAGCTTCCGCCGTATCTGAACCCGTGTCCGGCGAACTCTTTCAGCTTATCTATTTTTTCTTGCCTCTGTTCTACGCGTCGCTTCAACGCGAGCTGCTGTTCGCGTCTTTTCTTGGCCCACGCGCTGTACGGCATGCGATGCGATGAAAGCCGTTTCGCGGCGCCAGAAATGTGCATGGAGTCCGTCGTGACCTCATCAAGAAAGTGACGGTCGTGCGAAACGGTGACGATGATTCGGGACGACCACACGGAATTTGTCGACAACTCGCGACTCAAAAACATCACCGCCGAAATCGACAAATGGTTTGTCGGTTCGTCGAGAAACAGAATGTCAGGCTGCGCGAACAAAGCCGCCGCGAGCGCCGTGCGCACTCGCCATCCCCCGCTGAGCGCTTTCATCGGCCTCGCGATGAGAGCGTCGGAAAACCCGAGATTTTTCAGCAGCACACTGACGCGCGCGGGAGCGCTCGCCGACCCGATGGCGTCGAGCATGCCGTTGACCTCTTGCAAACGCGCCACCGCGAGCGCGTCTTCGCTCGATTCTAATTTCATCTGCTCCTCCAGAAGCAACCACCGCTGCAGGTCTGCGCGCAAAACCACGTCTCCGGGGAGCATATCTTCTTCTTCCGCGGTCAGCTCGACCTCTTGCGTGACGTAGTGCACGCTGTACGACTCGTCGATGCCTTCGACTCTTCGCGCGGCGAGGAATTTCAACAGCGTCGACTTTCCCTTACCGTTTCGCCCGATCAGGCCGTATCGTCTTCCCGGCACCAGCGTCACGCTCGCGTCTTCGATCAAATCCGCCCCCCCTCCCGGATTCGGCACCGCGAAAGGCCCGAGCTCGACGTTCGACAACGCCCTGGCGCGTCCCTCGACGCGCGCCCGCGCCGCGCGTTCCCGCGCCGCCGTCAAATTCGCCACCATCTCGCGCCGTTCATCCGCCGCGCTCGCCGCCAAGCGCTCGCCCGCCCGCCTCGCTTTCTCCCGGTCCCGCATCCCCACCCTCGACTCGACCGCGTCGCCGCGTCCATCCTTCCCGACGAACATTTTCGCGACGCCCGCCGCCGCCGCCGTCGCCCTTCGCGCCGCGTCCTCCCGCTCGACGCCCTCGCGCCAGCCCTCGCCCAGGCACACCGGCGCGCGGTCGACGCGCCGCGTTTCTTCCACCGTCGTCGTCTCCGCCGCGTCGACGCCGTCGCGCGCGTCTCCCGCGAGCGTCCGCGCGCGCGCTTCGTCGTCGTCGACCCACGGCGCGATGACGGGCCAGACGAACTCGACGAACTCCTCCCTCGGCGCGCACGTCCCGTCGACGTCGATCGCGCCGTCGAGGACGTACTCGATCTCGTCCTCGTCCAGCGCGACGCTCGCGAGCTCGCGCAGCGCGCGCGCGAGGGCGTCGCGCGCGCCGCCGACCGCGGTCGCCATTCCGCGCCGCCGAGTGGCGCCGACCGACGCGCGCGCGCCCGCTCGACGCGCCGCGCCGCGACGATGCCGCGCGACGACGCGCGCGACGTCCCGGCGCTCCCGGCGTCGGCGCTCGAGGGCGTCGCGCGGCGCGAGTGGACGGCATCGGGCGCGGCCGCGGACGCGCTGCCGTACGTCGACGCGACGCCGGGAGGAGACTGGCGCGCGCGCGTCGACCAAGCCGTCGCCGAGGAGGTGCGCGGCGACGCGATGCGAACGCCGCGCGATCGAGGGACTGACGGCGCGAACGCGGGCGCAGATGCGACGGATGAAGAGCAGGGGGAGGGATCGCCTCGACGCGCTGGCGCCGAGCGGCGACGACGGGCTGGAGCGACGCGCGGGAAGGATGGTCGCGGATGAACTCGCGCGCGTCGCGAGCGGGAGATCGATGGTGATTCCGGACACGATGCGGTACAGGCTCGATCCGCCGCCGCGGAGCGAGCGCGAGAGCGCGGAGGCGTGGGAGAAGGCGATCGAAAACGCGCGCGCGCAGTTGGAACATCAGGCGACGAGACGCGCGAATTTGGAGCTGGCGCTGAAGTACGCGCCGGCGGCGTGGCGGGCGAGGAACGCGTGGGGAGACGCGGCGGTGAAGGCGTACGAGGAGGAGCTGGCGCGCGTACGCACGGAGGTGAACGAGCTGAACGTGATGCGGAAGTTGCAGCAAGAGAGCGCGGCGAAGGAAATTTCCGCGCTCGAGCGCGAGTGGTACGCGACGACGCGGAAATGCGCGGCGATCGAAGGCGCGATCGCGGATCTCGAGGCCGAATTAGCGACTAAGTAGTGTTCTACAACTCTGTAATTATCTAGTATCCCCGATTCGAAGACAAGTCCACGTCGGCCTCCATGGTGAAGTAGCGAACCTCAAAGTTTTCGCCGTTTGCATCCGTCGCGCGAACCGCGGCGACGACGAAGTTCTTCCTCGCCGCGTTCGACATCCGCGTCGTCGCGGCGATGACCAACGGGTGTATCACCGCGTCCCACGAAACTATTCGCACGGTGTAGTGCGCGTGAAACAGGATCGGATCCCCCGGATACGCCAGAAAGTCGCTCCCAAACTTGGCGCCGGATGTCATGTAAAACGATTTATCGTGCAAATCTTTAAACACCGCGTATCGCTCGCGCTCTTCGCGCGTCGACGGAAAGCTCCACCGCGCGTCCTCCTCCTCGCCGTCCCCATCGTTCGTCAGCGGCACCGACACGAACGACGACTCCCCCGCGACGACTTTTTCCCATCCCGAGACGTTCGTCGCCGGCGCGCTCTTCGCCCGCTTCGCGCCCCCCCCGCCCCATCCTCGACCGTCCCTCTTCGCCTTCGCCCTCGCTTTCGCCCGCTTCACCGCGTCATCCCGCGTCGCGTCGTCTCCCTCCGTCGCTCTCTCCCTTCCCGTCGCCCCCGCGTCGTCGCCGTCCCGCTCTTCGGTCAACCGCGCCCACCCGCGCTCGACGCACAGCGCCGTCTCCTCCGCCGTGAGCTCCAGCGGCAGCCCGCGCGCGACGTCCTGCGAGCGAAACCCCGGGAGCGCGCCCACCATGGCGCCGATCACCCGCCGTCGCTCGCGCAGCTCGACGACGTCCGCGGCGTCGTGCACGAACGCGCGTCCGTCGAGCGCGCGAATCGTCGGCGTCGCATTCGTCGCGCGCGCGTCGCGTTCGTCGCGCGTCGACGCCATGCGCGCGGCGCGCGAGCCGCGCGAAGACGCGTCGCCGTCGCGGACGCGCGCGGTGACGACGCGCGCGACGACGCGCGTCGACGAATGCGCCGCCGAATGCGTCGGCACATCGCGACGCGTTGGACGCGAATGTTCGCGCGGCGATCGACGAGCGACGGCGCGTTCACGCTGTCGAAGCGCGCCGCGGCGACGGCGTCGACGGAGACGGCGTCGCTCGCGACGGCGCCGCGCGAACAGCGCGTGACGCTGGACGACGTGGAGGAATTCGTCGAGGAGAGGAAACGCGCGGAGAACGACGCGCGCGCGCGCAACGTCGGGAACGCGCTGCTCGCGGCGTCGCTGGCGTGGAGCGCGGCGCGACGCGCGTGGGAGGCGTGGCGACGACGACGAGAGGCGCGCGAGGGGACGGCGACGAGGGACGAGGACGAGGACGAACGCGCGCGCGAGGGCGACGCGAACGACGAGACGAACGACGAGACGAACGACGCGCGCGAGGGGTAGCGCGCGATGACGGAGGCGGGAGAGATCGAGGCGCCGAGGTACGAGCGCGCGCTCGGAGGACTCGGGCTCGGGACGGCGGTGGTCGCGGCGACGACGACGACGACGACGACGACGGACGAAGACGCGAACGTTCAGTCGCGGATCGGTGGCGATAAAGCCGCGGTGCGCGCGTTGCCGGTGACGCGAGGTGGACTGGGTGAGGATGTCATCGACTTTTCGTACCTGGACGCGGCGCCGATACGGAACGAACCGGGAAGCGCGAGCGCGACGGCGGTCAAGGCGCTCGCGGTGGAGGAGGAGGAAGCCGAGGAGGAGTACTTCGATCCGAACGAGAATCCGCGATGGTGCCCGCCGGGAACGGTGAAACGTTTGAGGAATTTACAGTCGCCTCTGATCAGGCTGCACACCGAAATCGTGGATTTCAGTAGGTATTTAGAGCCCACCGAGGAGGAAGCGACGTCGCGCGCCGCCGCCGTCGAACGCGTGCGAGCGGTGGTGAACGGGATCTGGCCCGACGCTCGATTCGAAGTTCACGGTTCGTTTGCGACCGGCATGTACTTGCCGAGCTCGGACATCGATGCCGTGATCTTGGACAGTGGTGCAAAAAATGCGGGTCTGTGTTTGAAGGCGCTCGCCGTCGCCTTGGCGCGACGCGGCATGGCGATCAAGATACAACTCATAGCCAAGGCGCGCGTGCCCATCGTGAAATTCGAAGAAGTGGAAAGCGGACATCAGTTTGACATTAGTTTCGACGTCGCGAACGGGCCGGCGAGCGCGGAGATCGTTCGAGAAAACATGCGAAGGTTTCCCGCGTTGCGTCCGCTCACCACGGTGTTGAAGGCGTTTCTTCATCAACGCGGGCTCAACGAGGTGTATTCCGGTGGCATCGGCTCTTACGCGCTGCTTTGCATGGTGATGGCTCATTTGCAGTTGCACAACACGACGTGTAAATCGACGTGGGCGGGGTCGCACGGCGCGAGCGATGCTAGCGAAGGCTGCCTAGGAACGCTCCTCATCGACTTTTTTGAGCTCTTCGGTCGCAGGCTCGTCGCGGAAGAGGTTGGGATCTCATGCGGAGGCAAAGGTCCAGGCTTTTTTAAGAAACGCGACAAGGGCATGTACGAAGACTCTCGGCCGTTCTTGTGGGCGATCGAAGACCCACAAGACGAAACGAATGATCTCGGTAGGAACTCGTACGCGTGCAGGCAGGTGAAGAGCGCGTTTGAGCACGCGTTCACCGTCATCACGGCGCCCGTTGATAGCAGGAACGGATTTTTACTTCGCCGCATCGTCCAAATGGATCCTTCTTGGTGCAAGACGCGCGAACCTCCGAAAGAGCCGGGCGCGATCCGGGGCGTTGCGTTGGACTTTCCCAAACACGTCGTGAGCGGTCGCAAGCGCGCGGCGCGCGACCAGAAGCAAATAATCGAAGCGCGCGGCAAGAAACGAGCGCGTGCGGATGCGGACGACGCGATCAACCTCGACGATTATAACGACGTTTCCGTCGACGTACTTGATGATGTCGAAGATGACGAAGACTCGTCGGAAGAAGAAGGCGAAGCGGCTTCTGCGAAAAAGAAACGCAAAGGAAAGCGGGGTAAGAAAAAGCCGGCGAAAAATGCGAGCGGGTACTTTGCAAAAGGCCGACCCATGGGGAACAAAAAACAAAAGACGTAATGTGACACTGGATACAGTCGGGAACGTCGTATGTGACACCAGTTTTGAATACATCGTTAGACGAATCAACAATCCATGCTTATTAAAATCTCGACGCGTGATAATTAATCTCAATCCGTAAACGCGCTCTCCGCGAGGTCGATGGCTCTACCGAGCGCCGCCGCCTTGTTGACAGTCTCTTGATACTCACTCTCTGGATTGGAATCCGCGACGATCCCAGCGCCAGCTTGAAGGTGAATCATCCACTCGCGCGAACCGTTAGTTTCTTTGGCCTGGCGAGTCGGAACGACCATGGTGCGCAACGCGAGCGCCATGTCCATCTCGCCGGTGAAGCCTACGTAGCCGATGCCACCACCGTACGGACCGCGACGCGTCACCTCTAAGTTGTCGATAATCTGCATCGCGCGGACCTTCGGCGCGCCGCTGACTGTGCCCGCGGGCAACGCTGCACGGAGCACGTCCCACGGGCCGAGGTCGTCTACTAAGTTACCCGTCACAGTAGAGGAAATGTGCATCACGTGAGAATAGCGTTCAATTTCCATGAGCTTCTCGACTTTGACCGTACCAGCCTTGGATACGCGACCGACGTCATTTCGCCCAAGATCGACGAGCATAACGTGCTCGGCGCGCTCCTTTTCATCCGCTAGGAGATCCACCTCGAGCGCCTCGTCTTCTTCAGGCGTCTTCCCTCGCATGCGCGTTCCCGCTAGCGGACGGTTCACCACCGTGCGCGCCTTGTCGACGCGGCACAAGATTTCAGGGCTCGATGCGACTAGGATGCAGTCTCGACCCTGGTAATAAATCATGTACGGCGACGGGTTGACGACTCGCAAAGCTCGGTACACTTCGAACGGGTCCACGGACGTCTTCCGTTGAAATCTATGGCTGAGAACGAGTTGGAAGATGTCACCCGCTTTGATATGCTCCTTCGTCGCCGCTACCGCCCCCAAAAACTCATCCTTGGTCATCGTGCTATCTTTTGGTTCGCTCGGTCGCTGATTTAGCTCCAAGTTGACGTATCCTTGCTTCATCGGCGGGGACTTGGACGGCTGCAAGTCGTCTATCATCGCGTCCAAAGCGTCCATACCCGTTGTGTACGCCTCGTCGGCGCTCGAGTATTCGTCAACCATCACCCAGTGTACCGCATAGAGCTGTTTTGTGGCGTTATCGAACACCACAACATCCTTATACAATCCGAGATGAATATCCGGCAGCGACCTATCGTCCTTCGGCGCGCCTTCGAAACCGAGCTTGCTTTGATACTGATATCTCACCGTGTCGTACCCCGTGAACCCGACCCATCCACCCGCGAAGCAATCCGGTAACCCGGGCGTCTTACACGCTCGCCAGCTCTCCCCGATTCGCTTCATCACCTCCATCGGATCCCGCTCCGTCGTCGTCTCGCTCGCCGCCCCCCCGCCCTCGTGTCGCGTCACCGTCACCTCGTAATCCTTCGCCGTCACCTCCATCACCGGTCGTCGTCCGAGGAACGAATAGCGTCCAATCTGCGTCCCACCGACGACGGACTCGAGCAAAAAGCTCGGCGCCTCGCGCTCGTCCTCCTTGACGAGCAGTCGATACGCCAGGATGGGCGTCAGCTGATCGTCAAAAATCCTTCGATACAGCGGCACGACGTTGTTCCCGAGCGACAGCGCGCGATCAAACGCCGCGCGTTGCGTCTCTCGCGCCACCGTCGCGGACGCCGACGCGCACACCGTCGCGTGCGCGCGGTGCGACGGCGTTCTTCGCGTTTCGATGCGTCGTCTTCGGGACGGTCCTCGAATCCGACTTCCGGCGCCGCCGCGCGTCGGCGCGGCCGTCGCGCGCATCGCGGTCGACATCGCTCGCGCGCTCGACGGCGTCGCGACTCGAGCGCTCGGCCCGCGCGCGCGGGCGATCGGCGCGCGCGCGTGTGCCGACGGATAAAGCGCGCGCGACAAACCCTCGACTCCGAAATCGAAATCGGCACAGCGTCGCGCGTCGCGTCGCGTCGCGTCGCGCGCGCGCTCGACCGCGCGTCGCGACGACGCGCGCGTGGAAGTCAATGTCGACGTTTCGAGCGACGTCCGCGGAGCGCGGGACGACGCTCACGGGCGACGCGAAGCTCGAATTCGTCTCGCAGCTCTTCGACGTCGTCGCGCATCGCTACGACGCGGTGAACGCGGTCCTCGCGCTGGGCTTCGTCGATCGATGGCGAAGGAAAGCGCTGTCCGCGGGGCTCGTCGCGACGTTCGCGCCGGCGTTCGCGAGAGGGAGAAGGGTGTTTCGAAGAGGAGACTCGGTGCTCGACGTCGGGTGCGGCACGGGAAACGTCACGCGGTTTTTGGAGTACGAGGCGATGAATTATTTAGCGCTCGACGTCGTCGGCGTGGATTGCTCGAAAAATATGATCGAGGAAGCGCGTCGGTTGACGCCGGGCGAGGCGAAGTACGAGGTCGGGAACGCGGGGAAGTTGAGGTTCGCGGACGCGTCGTTTGACTGCGTGACGACGTGCTACACGCTCAGAAATTTCTCCGACGTGCCGGAGACGTTGAGGGAGATGTTCCGCGTGTGCAAGCCGAACGGCACGCTGTTGATTTTAGATGCGTTTCCGCCGACGGGAATTTTCGGCGCGGTGTTGCGGTTGTGGTTGCGCTTCGTACTGCCGCTCGTCGGCGCGTTGATGACGGGCGAAAAGAAGGCGTACGCGTACCTGGGCACTTCGATCGAGCGCGCGAGGACGCCCAGAGAAGTCGCAGACGAACTCGAGGCGCTCGGCGCCGAAGCGGTGGAAATCTCGGCGTTGTTCCCGTTCGGCGCCGCCTCGGCCATCATTGCGCGAAAGCCGTTTGATGGATCGAGTAAATAAATTCACAATCAATGTACCAGTATGTTGTAATGATGTTGTAAGACCGCGAGACGTTGGCACACATAGTCATCCATCCTTAATATTTGTCCTCCCACCCTCGCCTCAAAACGTCTGCGCTGTCGATCAAACCAATACGGTTGGTGGGTTGTCGCATTGCACGCCACCGCGCGGGCCACGAGCTTGGCACGCGCAGCAATTCCCTCCTGTCTTACATTGAGTCGCGCCGCCGCACGCTCCGTTATTACACACGCACGTGGCATCGCTCGGGCCGTTGTTGTAGTCGGCGACTGGGTCGCAACCATCGACGGTGGAACAAATCCACGAAGGGTCGTTCGGAGGCTCACCTGCGCCCGCTTGGCAGGACAGCGCGCAGTCATTATTGCCCTGTCCGCACGAACCACAGACCGAGTATTGCTGAGAGTTCGGACAGTCACCGAGTATCCTGCATAACTCACCCTCTTGGCACTCATTCTGGGCTTTGCATTCGTAACCGACGGTCGCTCCGTCCACGACGTTGGCGCAACACACGGATTCATCAGGGCAGCATGTCAGCCCGCCGCCGTCAACTTCCGGTCCACAGCACACGCCAATAGACTGATCGTCAGCAACGCACGTATCCAAATACTCAGAACCGGCCGGACACTGAGCGCTGGGAGGTTGTCGCGCGCAACCGGGCGGGGGAGTCGGAAGCGGGTCACCAGGGATGCCTGGTTGGCAACTCCAACCAGAAGGACCGTCCGGGAAATCGTAGCAGCAAAAGTTCGGGCCGAATGTGCCGATGGGCACCAGATCGGGGTCCCCGATCTCACAGCACACACCACCGCAGCAAATGCTACCGGTCGGAGGATCGCCATTGCGCGCAGATTGCGCGGCGACGATCGGGTTCACCGGATCCGTGCACTGACTCAACTCTGCTTGCGACGAACACTCTGGAGGCCGCGGGCAAAATGGGTCCGGACACTCGTAGCTTCCGTCCCCCAGAGAGGGGGTAGCTCGGTAGCAAACATTTTCGTCACAGATTCTGCAACACAACCATTCAACACCGTTTTCATCCGGCGGACAACAGACGCCACCGCAACACGTGCGCTCGGAGTCCGAGCGGCACGTCGGCTGTCCCGTGGTCGGGCACTCTGGCGGGGGCGGTGGACACGATAGCCCTTCCGGGATACAAATCGTGTATCCGAGTACTTCGTCGTAGCAACACTGTTCGCCTTTCTCCGCTTTACACTGCGCATCGGAGTGACAGTACGCCGCGCAGTCTTGAAAGCTCGTCACGCACATCAAATCGTCAGAATGCGGCTTCGTCGCGCAACACACTTGATTCACGCCGCAATCGGCGGACGAGGCGCACGTGGTGAGCGCCTCGCATTGTTCGACACTTTCGACGCACGAAAAGTGAGCGTGACCGTAAAATTCGGCACCGGCGTCACAACAAATGCTGCCTTGCGCGCCGAACTGATGCCAAAGACCTTCGCACGATTCTCGTCCTTCGCAAGCGATGATTTGTTGTTGCGTTTGCCAAATGAAATCGTACCACCACTGAAACTGATTCGGTTCCTCTGCGCGAGCGATGCGCATCCGACCGCCCCGAGGATCGCTCACCGCGTGTTCTTGCGCGTACGCGCGCGCGGTGAGGTAGAAGTCAACGCCGGTCTGATCCACTTCAACCGGAGGCAAGTTCGAGTCGCGTCGATTACGCGCCGCGCGACCCGCAGAGCCGCGGCGACGTTCCCGAGGCGAGAAGAACGACGCGATCCAGTCCAAACCGGCTTCGTCCGGAGACGTCGTCGTCGAGCGGCCGTGTGAAGACCCGCGCGACGCGCGGGTCGCGATGAATTCATCGCGCGCTTGCGTGAGAAACGCCTCGACGTCGTTCATGTCGATGTTCGATGTTTCGATGTCCGGGGAATCGCGGGGACGAGACGTCGCGGGCGCGGGCGTCGCGCGGCTGCGCGCGCGCGGCGCTGAGGTCGGCGCGGCGTACGCGCTCGTCGTCAGTGCGAGCGCGGCGAGAAGGACGCATATCGATCGCGCGCGGCCGCGGATGGTCATCGGGAGTCGACAGTCGAGAGTCGAGCCGAGTTGTGGCGAAAAACGCCGATTAAAATCGCCGTTTTTTCTGACGCGACACGTCTCAGTGATTTACTTTCACGTCTCAGTGATTTACTTTACTTTTTTACATCGATTAAGTCGTACAGACGGCGCCCACGGCAGTGGAGGCGGACGAGGAAGAATTTGCGGGCGATTTCGAGCGGCGACCGGTGGGGTACTCTCGCGCGGCGCCGACGACGGTGGCGCGTTTCGCGATCAACGCCGTCGAATTCTTGTACTCGTCGCTCTCTAGCACGGGCCAGTGCTCTGCGAGCAGCGACGCGAGCTCGCGACAGAGCTTGATGCTTGATTTCCTCGGTCGAGACCGCGATGATATAGGCTTCGGTTCATCGCCGAGTAACGCTCGAAGCGTCGCCGTCGCGCACGTGGCGAGCGGGCGAAGGGCGTAACCACCTTCAAGAGCGACGACGACGCGCCCGGTACCGATTTCAATCAAACGCTTCGTCATGTGCATGTAGCCCGTGGGCGATACCATCATACCTCCGAGTGGATCGCCGTCCGCGGCGTCGAATCCAGCGGCGATGATGATCAAATCTGGAGCGAAAGATTTCACCACGGGCTCGATGACGACGTCAAACGCGGCCAAGTAATCGGCGTCTCCCAAGCCCTTCTCCGACCACGCAACGTTCACATTCGTACCGCCTTTACCAACCTCCGCTACAGCACCCGTGCCCGGGTAAAATCCATCGCCGTATCGATGCAACGATACGTACATCACGCTCTCGTCTTCGTACACGATGTCCTGGATGCCGTTACCGTGGTGCACGTCCCAATCGATTATCAGGACTCGCTCGCACAGTTTTGTCTCGATCACCGCTCGTGCTCCCACGACGGCGTTATTGAAGAAACAAAATCCCATCGCTTGTCCGCACACCGCGTGATGTCCCGGTGGTCGCACCACCGCGAACGCTCGGTCTACGTCTCCTCGCCCCACCGCCAAACACGCCTCCGCGACCGTCCCCGCCGCCATGCGCGCCCCCTTCGCCGTATGCTTCGTGAAGAAGATGTCATCGCCGAACACGTCCTCGCCAGTCATAACTTGTACCTTCTCTCCATCGACGTCGAACGCCGAATCGACGAACGCCACGTGTTCCTTCGTGTGCGCGCGCGTCAGCTCCGCCTCCGTCGCCTCTCGCGCCTCCAGCCGTTCGCATCTCAAATCCAGTTTCTCCGCCTTGATCTCATTCACGACGACCCGATGTCTCGCCGGCTGTTCGAAGTGTCCCTCCTTTTCGTGCATTTCCATCGCGTCGTCGTACAACAACCCCACGCGGCGCTTGCGCTTCGCCGGCGCTTCGTCGCGCTCGAGCTTCACCGCGGACACATCCACATCCGAGACGCTCACCGTGCGCGCGTGCGCGTGCTTCCGCAACGGCGGCGGTGTTTGCACGCGCGTGATCGGATGCTGTTTGTCCTCGCTCGCTCGCAGGCCGAGCGCGCCGAGGCCCGACACGAGCGCGTCGACATCGTCGACGTTGACGCGCGCGTGGTCGAGAGCGACGGCGCGCGCCTTCACAGCGGCCACGCGCGCGAGGACGGCGTCGACGCGCGCGTCGACGAGCGACGCGGGATTGGTCGTTTTCGGTGGTTTCTTTTTAGCGGACGACATCGCCGGACGACCGCGTCGCGCGCCGCGCGGCGGTGTCTGCGGTTTTCGAGCTGTAACGGTTTTCTGCTGACTAATTAATCTGTACGACGCGCGTCTTCTATGGGATTCGCGCGCGACCAGAGCGCGGCGAGAGGGTTGAGATGTTTTCTCGCTTCGGATTTGCGCGCGGGAGGCGTCGACGTCGGGGACTTCGCTTTCGGCTGGGGCGCTGCGGCGAATAACGCCGCGATTGACTTGGCGGACGGCTTCGATTTTGATGGACGCGAACGACGCGTGCCGTACCAATCATACGCAAACTCGCCGACGGCGTCGTCGAGCGCGAGCGCGTTCGTCAGCGGAGCGTCGCGCCACTCGGTGCCCCAAGTAACCCAAATAGGTCCTCGCGTCGGTTTGGGATCGAGCGCGCGCACGCGCTCGCTCCAAAACGAAATTTCTTCTTCGTCGAGCACGCGCTCCGTCGTCCCGTGCCGTCTGTGAACGCGAATCAAACATCCCCAGTCGACAGTGCGTTCCAATCGCGTGGGCATTTTTCGTCGCACCGCACCGACGGGTAAACCAGTTTGTTGTCTATCACGCTGAAACGTTTCGTGCTCCAACTCATCTGCGGCGACGAGCAATAAATCATGTTCGCGGCACCAGCGCACCGTCTGCGTGCCGACATCGCCCGTGATCCAATCTCTGTTCCTAAACTCCACCGCCGTGCGTGCGCCGTTCAATCGCGACTGACACTCCAACGCGTGCGCTCGAAGCGCGTCGCCGACGCCTTGCGACAGATGAAATTGAAACACCACGCAGCCGAGCTTCCCAGCCTCGACGATCGGCGCGATGGCATCGTTCCAACGCGCCCACAGCGCATCCTTCGCCCGTGTTGGCATCGACGAGTACGCGACGCGCCCCGAAGGCGTCGGCGGGAGCATCTCGCGTACGTCACGCGGCAGCGAGCGTGCGTCGACGGTCGACGCGCACAGCCCGCCGAACGCCTTCACGAGGAACACGAAACCGTCCGGCGTCGCGTCGACCCAGCGCTGGACGACGTCCCTCGTGGGAATGGCATACGTGGTGCTGTCCACTTCGACGCACCCGAAACGCTCGGCGTAGCTCGGCAAACGCCTTTCTCCGCTCGACAGCTCGTTGGGCGCGTAAAAGCTTAAATTTTGGCTCTTCGACGCCCAACCGCACGTGCCGTGCACGAGACGACCGTGGAGCGCGGACGAGTCGAACGGGGACGACGACGTCGCGTCGTCGACGTCGGGTGGGTTTCGCGGGCGCATGACGCGCCCGCGCGCGTCGCGAACTGCGGCTCGACTCGGGCGACGTCGAGCGCCTGGCGTGAATGTTGGTTGGCTAATAAAAATGCGCCGTGGACGGCGCGCTAGATGCTACGGTCGCTATTTCTTCGCTATCGGCGCTTCTTCGATGGGCGCTACTTTTCGCCGGCGCGCACGGAGATGCGACACTCTGGGTCGCCGCGCGCCATAGAGGACTCGAGCGTCACCGTCGCCGACTTGGCGTCCAAGCCCGAAAACCACACGTCCACGTCCAGGGAGCAACACGTCGTCGCCGTTAAAAATTCCATGTCGCGCTTTTTGAAAAATTCGCGATACGTGCACGTGCTCGTCACGAACTCGCCGTCTTCTCGTCTCCAAGCGCCCGGCGCCAAGTCATTCGTGACGTTGCCGACCATCGACGCGATCGTCGCGATCGGGTCCCTCGAAAGCATGAGCGCCCCTCGAACGAGTCCACCGTTCATGGTTTGCGCCGTCCGCTCCGCGCCGGCGTGCGTGCGGATCAAATCCATCGTCGCGTCGTCGTTGCCGAGGTACGGTCGCGTGCACTCGTACACCGCGCACGCTCGTGCGGCGGTCTTCGCGTGCGTCGTCTCGACCGCATCGCGCGTGAACGACCCATCCGCCGTCTCGGCCTCTAAAATTTCGCTCGCGCGCGCACTGATCGACTGCGCGATGGACTCTTCGCGTCCACTGAGTTGAGGAATCTTCTTCATGGCGTCTGTGAGCGCCCGCGCGAAGGCGGCGTGCTCGACGCCGTCCAGCCACGTGCGGGCGCTCTGCGGAAGCCAGTGCGTGGCGTACGCTCGCGCGAAACCACGCGCGATGGGGCGGTGCATGACGCGTGAAGTGCGGTCGGTGGTTGACTACATTTTCTTTTTCTTCGTCGAGGCTACTTTTTCTTCGACGCGCGATGCGCGCGGGCGGCTCTCGACGCATCACACGCGCACGCGAATGTCCAAATACTCGCAAAAACATCTTCGGGCGATTTGCGCGTCTCGCCGCAGAGCTCTGCGAATCGCGTGAACTCGGCGTCGACGCGCTCGGCTTCCTTCGAGAGCGCCTCGACATCGGAGTCCAAGTCGACGAGCAAGCCATCGAAGCTTTGAACGCTCGACTTGTCGATTTCGCGTTTAATTCGTTGCGCACCGCTCGTAATCTTGCGAATCAGTCCCTCGAGCTCGGCGCGCGCGATGCGGCTGGCGGCTTGGCAGGCGCCGAGCTCGTTCGTCAGCGAAATTTCACCGTCTTCTCGGGCGTCGACGAGTTCTACGACGAAATCCAACAGCGTGCACCCACCTTTGGCCGTCGGCGCGGTCGTTCGAACGTCGCTTAGCTTGTGTAACGAGTCGAGTGTGATACCATTTGTGCTCGATCGCGGCCCACCCGCGTTCATAAAGTTTCCCACACGTAACGCCACGGCGAGTACCTTGCGAAATCCTTCCGCCTCTCTAACTTGCGAGCACGCTTGCTCGATTGCCCGCAAGCCAGAGTAGGCCTCACTCATCATCTCAGGAAATTGTCTCGCGTACACCAACGCCGCGATTTTATCGGGCAAGCGCTCGACTTTCGTCGCGAGGTCCATGAGAAAGCGTTCCGGAGCATTCAAAACCGTCGCATCGCCCTTAAAATTCTGCATTATTTGGAGCTCCTCTTCCGTCGGTTCACATTGAAGCAAAACCGCAAGCCTTTCGAGCGTGAGTGTACCTTCCGGATCACCGGTCGCGATGGCCTCAACGATGCCTTCCGCGCTCATGGGAAACCGCGAGAGCATGATGGCTATGTTATTCGAACGCGGAATCGGAATTAGCGTCGGCATACCCGTGACGTGTTTCGGCTTTTCAGTCAGCGCCTTCTTGCTCGCATTCACTCGAATCTCGAAAGATTTAACGATCGCTTGTTTTTCCTCCTCTCTTAAAGCACCGACGTCGCTGTTTATATCGCTCCACCACGTATTTTGCGTCACCGTGAGTTTGTCCCAGTAAACCTTCCGCAAATTCGGGCCTTGGGCTAGCGGCGGCGCTCGAGGCGTGAGCGATACGGAACGAAACTGCACTACTGGTGGCGGCGGTGGTGGCGGTGCGCCTGGGGCTGGTGGCGTTGCTACTTTCGGCATAGATGCCGATGAGAGCTTGAATCCTGGCGGCGGCGGCGGCGGCGGTGGCGGTGGCGGTGGCGGTGGCGGTGGTGGTGGTGGTGGCGGTGGCGGTGGAGCACACTCAAGTGGTGCTTGGGAGGGTGATGTAGGCAGCGCGGGTGGTTCAGCTATCTTTGATCCCGCGTGCGTCTCATTCAGCGCCGGAGTGGTTTGCACGGCGATATCAGCTTGCCTTTTGGGTTTGGCTTCGGCATTTTCTGCGAGAAACATCAAATCGAAGAAGTAATCGTCTGGAATCAGAGTTTCATCCGTGCAGTCCATCTGATCTCGTGTGATCCGCATTACACCTGCTTTAGAATCACCCATTGAGGTCTTGAGATGAATGAAACCCGTGTGAAACGCAAATGTCATCACCGGAGAAAGTTCGTCGCGGGTTTCGTCGCCCGTCCAGTGGAAGATCGATATCACGCAATCGCCATCGAGCGACAGTCCTATGGCGGTTTCCACGGACAACGTGTTGGATTCATGCCCCGTCCGAACAAGCTCCATGCCTATCGGCGATAATCCGTGTTTCGAATCGTGCCAATCCGGAGCTAATCCTTGCGTAGCGCTTTTGCCGACCACGCCAGTCGATTGGCAAATCACTTTCGCGTAGGGCCGCCAACCACCATTATGAATCGATAAACCGCCGGCGATCACCAACCGTTTCAACCTAAGCCTATTCTTGGGGATGCACTCTTTACCGCTTTCTCGACTCGTTCGAATGGCGTCACCAAAGTATCCTCCGTACCGGATCTGCGCTCGCGACGGCGCCGCGGCTCGATGCGCGGAAAACGCGCGCGGAGGCACGGTCGGCAACTCTTCAAACGCCATATCGATGTCGAACTCACTCGACGACGCACGGTACGTCTCGAAGCACGCGACAACATATCGCAGTATTCTCGCCGCGTCCGCGCCACGCTCGACTCGAACGTGAAAACACACCACGTTTGATTCGCTCATCGACAACCAATTCTTCGCGCTCGAGCACGCGCTCAAAATAGAATCTAACCCACCCGCGCCCACGCCCGGCGGGCCCCAAAACGTACAAAACTCCACGACGCAATTGAAGTCGTCGTACATGCTCTTATCCATCAACAGCGCGCTGTTCAAAGAGATTAGGAGCACCGTCCCCGGCGAGAACGCCTCGTCCAACGCGCGCGCATTCTCTCGCAGCGCCGTCCTGTACGCCCCGTCGCCTTCATCGCGCGCGCCCGTGTACTGGAACGCCAGCACGCGGTCACCGAGATACGTGGGGAGGTGGAGATAAGGCTCGGCGCGCGGCGGCGGGCGAGGAGGGAACGAGAAGATTCGCGACAAGCCGCCGCTCGACACATCGTTCGACGTCGCCGCGCTCGTCGACGCGGTGGCGTGCGCGGCGACGCGGGACTCGTGCGCACCCATGACGTCGAGTCGCGCGAGTTCGGGGCGCGACGCCGCGCGACGCCGCGCGGGCGTGTGCGGGCGCGAGCGGGCGCGGGGACGCCGCGGCGTAACTGTCTCGTCGAGCTCGGCGGTCGAAAATCGAGAAACGCGCGACGGACGGTCGTCGTCGAATAATCAATACGAATAAATTTGAATTACTACGACGGCGATGCTACGGCGTGCGAAAGCTTAGAGCTTGGATATCGGTTGCTCCTCGCCCGGGTCGTATTGGTGCGACTCGATGTACGCCAACCAGTCCGCGTGCGTGGACACCCCGCTCGGGGCGCGACCGAGGCCGGATTTCACAATCATCTCGCAAATCTCCGCGGTTAACGTTACTGAGACTTGTCTGATGGAGTTCATGTCCGGGAATAAATGGCCGGCGTCGATCTCCGCGTCGGTTGTGATGGACGCGAGCGATTCGGCGGCGGCGAGGAATAAATCGTCGGTGATTTGCGACGCCCCCGTGAGAGCGGCGGCGAAGCCGAGCGCCGGGAAAACGTACGCGTTGTTCGCTTGCGCTGGGAAGACTTTTACGCCATCTCGCGGGCGCACGACTGGATCAAACGGCGACCCGCTGGCGAAGACGACTTTGCCGTCGCTCCAAGCCATGGCTTGCTCAAACGTGCACTCTGACTTCGACGTGGGATTGCTCAGCGGAAAAATGATTGGCCGCTCGTTCAGAGCGCACATTTCCTTGACGACGTCTTCCGTAAACGCCCCGCCGATCGTGCTCACGCCGATTAACGCCGTGGGCTTGACGGCGGAAATCGCCGACAGTAAATCGGGCTGATACTCGACGTCGTGCGCGAACGCCACCTTGTGCGGCTGCAATCCATCCAGACGACTTTTGCAAACCAGACCCTTGGAATCCATGAAGTAACATCGCTCCATGGCTTCCTTGTGCGACATCCCAGTCTTCTCCATCGCCATGGCGATGAGCTCGCCGATGCCGACGCCCGCCTCGCCGGCGCCGTAAAATAAAACCTTTTGATCCTCCAGTTTCCCTTTCGTCGCTCGCAACGAGCTGAGCAGCGCCGCGAGCGTGATCGCGGCGGTGCCTTGAATGTCATCGTTGAAGCACGGTCCCGTCGTGCGATACTTTTCCAAGATACGAAACGCGTTCGCGTTGCCGAAATCCTCAAACTGCACCAAACACCTCGGCTGCCACGCCCGCATCTCTCGCATGAACTCGTCCACCAGCGCGTCGTACGCCTCCCCCTTCAGCCGCGTCCGTCGCAATCCTTTATAATTCGGGTCGTCCAGCAATCTCTGATTATTCGTCCCGACGTCCAGGCACACCGGCAAACACGCCGACGGCCGCACGCCCGCGCACACCGTGTACAACAAAATCTTCCCCTCGCTGATCCCCATTCCGCCCGCGCCGAGATCACCGAGCCCCAAGATCCGTTCTCCATCCGTCACCACCGCCACGGCGACGCCGTCGTCGGCGCGCGCGCGACGATCGACCCCTCGTCGCTTCGCCGCTTCGCCGTCGAGCCCCTCGCGCGCCCTCGCGCGCGCCGCCGCCGCCCGATCCCAGTGTCCTCGCAGCTTCGCCCCCACGCGTCCCGCGTCGTCCGCCGTGATGTACACCCCGTTCGTCTCGATGCCCAGGCGGTGATACTTCTCGCACGCCTCGCCCACGGTGGGCGTGTACACGAACGGCATGAGCTCGAGCGGTTCGCGCACGAGCGCGCGATAAAACGTCTCCGCGCTCGCGCGCTGGAGCTCGCGCAGGTAGACGTAGCGCTCGAGCGGGTCCGCGATCGCGCGGAACGCCTCCATGGCGCGGCGCACGCGCGTCATCGCGTCGTCGCGTCGCGCGCGCGCGAGTGACGGTTCGCGCTGGCTGACGACGCGAGAACGCGACGCGCGGCGCGCGCGCGCGAGGCGTCGCGGGGCGTCGGCGACGCGCGACCGCGACGCGCGCGCGCGATGACGACGGTCGCGCGCGTCGCGCGCGGTGGATGGGACGTCGAGAGCGCGTCGACGCCGATCGCGAAAAGAGCGCGAATAGAGCAAGTCGAGACGAACGTCGACGCGCCGACGACGCCGGAGATGCTGTTCGACAGCGCGCTCGAACTGCGACACGAGAGCGGCGTCGCGCTGAGGTTCGAGGCGGAAGACGCGCTCAGGGAGTGGGTGAAGCTCGGGTTGCCCGCGATCGAGGTCGCGGCGGCGAAGACGTGGCGACGGTCGCACGTCGAGCGGTTCGGCGATGCGTCGATCGCCGCGACGAGGGACGCGCGAGGCGGGGAAGGTGTCGGCACGAGTGCGGACGGCGCGGACGGCGCCGCGTTACCGCCCGGACCGTCGATGACGTCGTGGAATACGACGGAGCGAAGCGCCGAGTACGACTGGACGTTTACGACGCCGTACGGCGGCACGGTGACGACGACGAGCGATTCGAATCGCCAGCCACCGACGTGGGAGCTCACCGACAGACGCATTGATCGCGCGATGCTCACCGAGAGAGATCCGATACTGATGTACGACGAGCTGACGCTGTACGAGTCCGAGCTCGACGACAACGGCGTCGCCCACCTCGGGCTCAAGGTGCGCGTCATGCCCAAGTGTTGGTTCGTCTTGCTCAGATTTTGGCTCCGCGTCGACGGCGTTCTCATTCGCCTGTTCGAGACTCGATTCTTTTGCGATTTCACCGAGGTCGATCGCACCGGCGCCGTCGTCGTCGTTCGCGAGACGCAGCGCCGCGAGGAAACCTGGGACGCCCTGCACGCGCGCGGCGCCCCGTGCGATCCGACGCAATTTCCCGACGCCGACCAAGCTGCGAGCGTACTCCTCGCCGCGGGCGGTCCGGTGGACATCGTCACCCACGCCTTGACGATCGCGCCGTGATCCGAGCCGCCGCCGCGCGCGCGTCGTCCTCGACCCCATATTTCAATGCGCACTCGCCCTCATTTCCCCATATTTAAACACGCACCAAACCTCGTATACAATCCCACGAGATCCCCATCACGAACACGCGACCCCTCGAAGCCGCGCGATCCGGCGGGCGAATCTGCGCGCCTCGGCCGCATACACGCGCGCGCCGAACGATCGACTCGATGTCCGCCGTCGCCCACACGTCGCTCGCCATGAGCAAGGCCACCGCCGTGCGCGGTGCGTCCGTGAAACGGTCCACCGCCGCGCAGCGCGCGACGGCGCCGCAGCGATCCCTCGTGGTGCGTGAACGACGAACGACGCGACGCGCGAACGACGCGATGGCGCGCGATGGGACGGGCATCGGGATTATCGCGCCGCGCGCGAGGACGCGCGCGCGGGCGAGGATGATCGCGCGCGGGATTCGGTGGAGGAAAATAGTGCGCGAGAGATGGCGTCGCGGGGCGACGCGCGCGCGCGCGAGGGACGCGCGGCCGGGCCCGGTCGTGGACGTAGGGTCTGGTGAGGATAACGCGGATCGGATCGCGGCGTCATCGGGAGGGCGCGGGCGATGGCGACGCGCGTCGGGGGGCGCGCGTGCGCGCGGGGGCGCGCGGGGGTTGTGTGGTGATCGCGCGCGCGATCGGGGGGCGCGGCGCGCGGCGTGCGCGCGCGCGTGGGCGCGGGCGGGGGCGGGACGATCGTATCCAAAGAGGGTTTTGCGCGCGCGCGAGACCGACGCGAGACGCGAGAGACTGACGGTGATTCGTACGCTTTATGACGATTCGTAGATTCGCAACGCGAGCCCGAAGGAAATGCGCGACCGCATCGCGTCGGTCGGTAACACGAAGAAGATCACCGATGCGATGAAGCTCGTCGCGGCGGCGAAGGTGCGCAAGGCGCAAGACGCCGTCATTGGCGCGCGCCCGTTCTCTGAGTCTTTGGTCAAGGTTTTGTTCGCCATCAACAGCCGATTGGCTGGTGAGGATGTGGACGTGCCGTTGACGAAGATGCGCCCGGTGAAGACGGCGATGCTCGTCGTCTGCACGGGTGATCGTGGTTTGTGCGGGGGGTTCAACAACTTCATTATTCGCAAGACGGAGCAGCGCGTGGCGGAGCTCAAGGCGCAAGGCGTTGAATGCAAGCTCATCACCGTCGGTAAGAAGGGTGGTGTGTACTTCAACCGTCGCAAGGAGCAATACAACTTGGTCAAGCGCTTCGACATGGGTCAAGCGCCGTCCACGCAAGACGCGCAAACCATCGCCGACGAAATCTTCGCCGAGTTCACCTCGGAGGAAGTCGACAAGGTCGAGATGATTTACTCCCGATTCGTTTCCCTCATCGCTGCGGAGCCGACCGTGCAAACCATTTTGCCGCTCTCCAAGGAAGGTGAGGTGTGCAACGTTGACGGTGTTTGCATTGACGCGGCGAACGATGAAATCTTCAAGCTCACGACTGAAGATGGCAAGTTCGCCGTCAAGCGCGAAGCGTCTGACACGGAGGTTTCTGAGTTTGAGGGTGTCATGCAGTTCGAGCAAGACCCGAACCAAATTCTTGATGCCCTCATGCCGCTGTACATGAACTCCCAAATCCTCCGTGCGCTCCAAGAGTCTCTCGCCTCTGAGCTCGCGGCGCGCATGAACGCGATGTCCACCGCCTCGGACAACGCCAAGGAGCTCAAGAAGACCTTGTCTTTGGTTTACAACCGCGCTCGCCAAGCGAAGATTACCTCGGAAATTATCGAGCTCGTCGCCGGTGCCTCCGCCGCGTAAGCCACCGACCATTCATTTCCTTAGAAGGGATTGTTTGTTTCGTTCGCCGGTTTCCGCGCGCGCGAACGCACTAGAAGCGCCTGTCTGCGCCCGATTTCTCACGCGCGCCGCCGCGGCGCGAGCGTCCATCGCCTCGATCATCGCTCGCGCCCGACGCGTCTGTCGAATCAGTCGCGCGACACTTAGCACATAATCACTATTGCAATCAGCAGTTTGAACCAACTCTGAATCCTCGCCTTCGCAGTCAAAATAAGTGCGACCGACCGCCGATCGGCACGTTACGATCGAGCCCTCTCGCTCGATCGCCACACGGTGCCTCGCATCGCTCGACCGCGCGCGTCGTCGCGAATCACCAACAATGCGCGCCAGCGTCGACGCCGCGCGCGCTCGCGCGCCGACGCCATCGCGCGCGCGGCGCGGCGGCGACCGCAAACGTCGAACACCTCCGGTGACGATTCTCGCCGCCGCGCGCGGTAACGTCCGCGTCGACGCCATGGCGATCGGCGGTGGACACACCCATCATCATAATCACCACCACGACCACGGACACGGGTGGTTCAAGTCGCGCGCGGCGCGCGATTTGGAGAAGTGGCACAAGACGCAAGAGGGACGCGCGGCGTTGGAATTGGCGGATCGAGAGACGCGCGGCGCGGCGTCGACGAAGGCGCTCCAGATGGTGAAAGATCACGTCGCGAACGAAGCGCCGAAACCGGATACGCTGGTGCACCACGCGCAGCCGCATGAAATCGACCAGACGACGCGATGGGTCATCGCGACGTTTTTGAACCGGTTGATTCACGTGCCGATGATGAATCCGATGACGGAACAAATCATCTGCGTCAAGGCGGTCGACTGCATCGCTGACGCTATCGAGCGCGAGCTGCGCCGCACTGGCGCGGGTCACTTTTTTAACGACGCCGTGGAGCACGAACGGCGAGGTGACCTCGAGGAGTGGTTGAACAACGTGTGCGACGATTTGAACTTGGTCATAGACGTGCCGATGTTGGACGAAAGGCAAGAATTTGATTGTATTCACGCCGTGATGTCGATCGTGACGCATCAATACTTGGAAGCAAAGAAGAGGGACGAAAAAGACAATCCAATCAAGCACAAGTGGATTTTGCTTGTGAACATGCTCGGCTAAACGATGTGTGTATGTATGTGGCTGACGCACACGAAAGATAGCTGTAAAATAAGTTGAACCCACTAACCGGCGCGAGAATTAGCGTGTATTTAACCTATGTGATATCACATAGGTTATTATCAATAATAAGAGTGTCATAATCTACATCCTTCGTAATCGCGCTACAAGTATCCGTATCCCGGTAGACTCGAAGGGGGCGTGCACGTCGCGCGAACCGCGTCCAGGCTCGCGCCTTGCTCCTCGCGAAGCTTCAACCGGAACATCGTCGGCCAATTCTTGCCCGTAACGTACAAGGCATCAAGTTTTTCGTCGTACGCGATCCCATTCAACACATCACCGCGGCCATCGTTCGGGGACGCTTGCTTCAATCCATCTAAATTCACCCACGCGGTCACTTTGCCGTTCGCGGGATCGATTCTCGCCAAGCACGGCCGCTCGAGGATATTGGCGTACACGTCGCCTCCTATGGTCTCCAATTCGTTCGCGAATCTGATGGCTTTGCCGTCATCCGTGATGGTCATCGATCGTTTCAACTTCAACTTCGCCCCGTCCCGTCCGGGGACGTCGAGCACGTGCAACTTGTCGCTCGCGTCCGTGACGTACAGCTCGCCGTCGAGCGACGTCAAACCCCAACCGTCCGACAACGGCGTCTCAAACGTCCACTTCTTCGTCACCTCACCCTCCGCCGTCACCGCGTACGTGAACCCGCGATTAGACTTCCAAGAAATCACGTGCACGTCGTCGCCCACGCGCGTCAGGCCCTCCGCGAACGCGCCGCCCACGTCCGCGCCCGCGCGTCTCGCCCCCGTCGCCGTCGTCGTCGTCCGCACCTCGCTCGGCGTCCCGCCCACCGCCCCCGTGCTCTCGCACATGATCCCGTCTCCGCACGTCGTCAATCCCTGCGTGAACGCGTTCGCGTCGTGCGCGTGCGCCTCGACGACGTCGTACGAGAACACTCGCGGTTCGCCGTCGTCTCTCGCGCCGCGCCGCGCGCCGAGCGCCGCCGTCGTCGTCGTCGTCGTCGTCGTCGTCGTCGTCCGCGCGAGCGCCAGCAGCGCGCACGCGACGACCGCGCCCGTCGCCGCGCGCGTCGTCGTCGTCGCCTCGCGTCGTTCCCTCGCGCGCGCCATGTCGACGCGCGCGACGAGCGCGTCCGTCTCCGCCTCGCGCGCGTCCGCCGTCGTCGCGTCGTCGTCGCTCGGCATCGACGACCGCGCCTCGAGCGTCGCGATGCGACGCGACTCGCGACATCGCGACGCGCCGTCGTCCGTCATGTCCCGCGACGCGACGCGCGCGCTCGCGAGCGTCCTCGACGCGGTCCCGATGCCGCCGCGCGCGCGCGAGCTCGCGCGGGCGGCGCTCGCGCTCGAGATCGCGCTCGTCGACGAGCGCCGGTTTTGGATCGTCGCGCTCGTCGCGGCGGTGGTGCTGCGCGCGCTGCGCGCGACGCGCGCGCCGAGACTGCGCGTGACGCTGACGGACGAGGAGGCGCGCGGCGTGGAGGGCGCGCGGTGGGACGCGAACGCGGCGTGGCCGACGGACAGCGTGCCGTGCTACGATCCGGGGAACATGCGCGCGCTCGGACCGAACCTGCCGGCGATGCGGGCGGAGGAAGTGCGAGAGAGAATCGCCAAAGCGGCGAAGGCGCAGAGAGAGTGGGCGAAAAGCTCGTTCGCGACGCGTCGGAAGCTGCTGCGGGTGATACAGCGGTTCATATTGGAAGAGCAGGATACGATTTGTCGAGTGAGCGCGCGAGACAGCGGTAAGCCGTTGGTGGACGCGGCGTTCGGGGAGGTTCTGGTGACGCTGGAGAAGATTCGATGGCTGTGCAACGAGGGCGAGCGGTGGTTGAAACCCGAGAAGCGATCGACCGGGGCCATGATGTTTTATAAGAAGGCGCGGGTGGAGTATCATCCGGTGGGCGTCATGGGCGCAATCGTGCCGTGGAATTATCCGTTTCACAACGTTTTCAATCCTTTGGTGGCGAACTTGTTCGCGGGGAACGCGCTCGTCGTCAAGGTGAGTGAGTACGCGAGCTGGAGCTCGCAGTACTACGGTCGCGTCATCGATGCCGCGCTTGATGCCGTGGGAGCGCCGCGCGACTTGGTGCAAATCATCACCGGTTACGGCGAAGCGGGCAGCGCGTTGGTCACTGGCGGTGTGCAAAAGGTAGTCTTCGTCGGATCCACTGGCATCGGACGTAAGGTTATGGAGGCAGCGGCGAAGACTTTGACTCCGGTCGTCCTCGAACTCGGTGGTAAAGATCCGTTCATCGTCTGCGCAGACGCGGATCTCAAGCAGTGCGTTCCCATGGCGCTGCGCGGCGCGTTTCAATCGTGCGGTCAAAACTGCGCGGGAGCCGAACGATTCTACGTGCATGAGAAGATTCACGACAAGTTTTTAGCCAAAGTACTGGAGTCGGCGAGGAAGTTACGTCAAGGATGGGCGCTGAGCTCGTCCGTGGATTGTGGGGCGATGTGCATGCCAAAGCAAGCGCAGTACGTGCAGTCTCTCATCGACGACGCCGTCGCACGTGGTGCGACCGTCCACGTCGGTGGTAAGATCGAACTGGGCGCCCAGGGTGGTCAGTTCTACCCTCCGACAGTGATCTCTGGCATCACGCACGATATGCGAATCGCTCGCGAAGAGGTCTTTGGTCCCGTGCTCGCCATCGTCAAGACAAAGAGCGACGAGGAATCCATCTCGCTCGCGAACGACTGCGACTTTGGTCTCGGATCAAATGTTTTCACGCGCTCAACGAGACGCGCAGAAAAGCTTGGCTCACAGCTGGAGGCCGGTATGACTTCCATCAATGACTTTTGCTCGACGTACATGGCGCAGTCCCTTCCCTTTGGCGGCGTCAAGGAATCCGGCTTCGACCGCTTCGCCGGTATTGAAGGACTCCGCGGTTGCTGCGTCCCGAAATCCGTCGTCGTCGATCGATTTCCATGGCTCATGAAGACCAATATCCCTCCTCCGTTGTGCTACCCCGTGGCGGATAACGCGTTTGCCTTTTGCAAGGCGCTGTCGCGCATGTTCTTCGGCTTGAACGTCGCGCAACAGTTCGGTGGATTGTTGTCGCTCGCCAAGTGCTTCCTCATGCCATCGAATTCTTACACCAAGTACGATTAAACGAGTAACGCGCTGTAGTCCCTTGCAATCATCGACCGTTCATTCCACGCCGCGCGTCGCTCCCTCTAAACGCTCGACGTCGCGTCAGTCGCGGCACTCTTCGCCGCGGCGCGCGAGATGAAGCGTCGACCCTTCCCCGGCTCCTCCCCGCCGCGAGCGTCGCGAGGGGCGAAAATAACGTCCTCCGCGCTGACTCTCTTCATCGCCGCGTGCGTGTACGCGCTCATCGTCGACCGCGTGACGCCACACTTTCCAAAAGATGAAGATCCCACCGCGGCTTCGACTTTAGGACGCTTCAGCGATGAGCGTGAGGTCGAGGCGTACGTTCGAGAGCGCGTGCAGAGTAGAATCGACGCGTACGATGCGCGGGCGGCGGCGACAGAACGCACGAAAGCGGTGAGACGTGGCGAGAAGGGCGACGGCGTCGCCGGGACGGAACGTCGAGCGCGCGACGACGACGACGAGAGCGATCGGGCGCCGGCGAAAGTGATCGAGGAAGGCGAACGCGACGAGCGGGGACGCCTAGGGGAACAAGGCGCGCAAACGGCGCGCGTGATGGATGATATCTCGAGTAGGGATGGGTACGACGCAGAGGAGTGGCGAAGGATACGCGACGCCGAGACGCCGGAAGACGAGTGTCACGAGTTACCTCAGAGCGATTACTGGGGACCACAACCTCTGACTCAGTCGGTCGAGGGAGTATCGATCACCGTCGCGCGAGATTGCTGCGAGCTGTGCAAGAAGACGGCTAAATGTCAGTTTTGGAGGCACGATCCCGCCAAGCCGAACGAGTGCTTCACCGGGACTCTGATAAATGATTATCTCCCTCCGATGTACGGTGAAGAGCACAACAGAAAGACAACGAGTGGAGTATTATATCCGAAGAAGTCAAGGTATGACGCAGAGAGCACAGAATTGAAGACATGCGTGCATACGATGATTACGAGTAACGGCTCGCCGTATATGAATTGGCAGACGCGTGTGTTCTACCAGACTTGGAAGAAAGCAGCGAGCGAAAAGGATAGCGTTTTACGACATTTCACTAGAATTTTGCATCGTTCAACAGATGATAGCTTGATGGATCTCGTCCCGACATGGCGCGCCGATCCAACGCACGTTGAATGCGATAATTCTTGCGACTACGCGGTGAAGGATCGCGCGCGAGCCATCGCTGAATGGATGAAGTCGGACGATTCTAGGCGATGTTCGCACATCTTGATGGCGGAAACCGATTATTTGTTTATTCGTAGCCCACCACCGAGCGTCTTGCTCGCCAAGGGTATTTCGTACGGATTTTTGTTCGGGTATATTGTACCTTCGTACCCGGACGCCAAGGAGGCGTCGGTGTTGTTGCACGATGTGTCGAAGGATGGCCCGTTGAAGGACGTTTACCAAACTGGGAATGCACCTCAGTGTATACATCGAGATGATTTAGAGCGTGTCGCGCCGGTGTGGGCGGATAAAGTCGAGTTCGGGGAGTCGAACGAGGTCGTTAAGAGAGTGTTTGGATGGGTAAGAGACATGTATGCTTGGTCCTTCGCCGCGGCGGCAGTACGACCGAAGCTTGAGTTCGAGCTCCCACCCGTACCGTTCCAGAAACTTATGATACAACCACCTGCCGATATCGCGATTGGCCAGAGTTCGGTGATGCACTACACATGGGGCGCCATCATTTCGAACAAAGAGGACCACGAGGTCTGGAGATTCGACAAGCGCGAATACCTCGGCTCGTGGGACTCTCTGAAGAAAATCGAACCGCTCCCACCCTGGGACGCCGAGCAAGAATTCAAACTTCAAGACAAAAAACGAATCCAAAAGTCACAGTACGAGGTATTGGACAAAATGGTGGAGATTTTCAACGAAGCTGTCGACGCCGTCGTCGCAGGCGACGGGTAATTTAGGCGCGCGCTTCAAAGTACATTTCGGGCAGCCGATTGTAAAATTACAAGACAAAACAATTGTCGTCACTGAAAATTAACTAGTAACGTCTAAATTATCATCCCGCGTTCGACGCGCGTATTAGAAAAAGATAGCAGAATCCACATTGACGCACGAGTTCGCCGCCAAACTGATTAGTCAGAGTTGGCGATGTTAACTCGGAGCACGCGCCCGTCGACATCTTGGCCGTTGAGCTGCGCCACAACCTCATCGGCTTCGGCTTCGCTGCTCATGGTGACGAAACCGAACCCACGCGAGCGTCCAGTCTCGCGATCGGTGATCAACCGGCTGTCCTCGACGGAGCCAAACTCGCCGCAAAGGTCCTGCAAATCGAGATGATCCATACCCCAGGACAAGTTACCAAAGTACACTCGTCGGTTATCAGCATCACGGTTGCGCTGAGGTCTGCGTTCACCATCCATACGCATCGGTCGGTCCCGGCGTTCACCCGCGGTTTGCGCCTGGGACACGCGCAACTCTCGTCCGTCGACGTCGACGCCGTTCGTCGCCGCCATCGCGCGTTCCATGTCTTCCGCGCTCGCTAACGTCACGAACGCGAATCCACGGCTTCGTCCAGTGTTCCTGTCCATCACCACGCTCGCTTCGACGACGTTAAATTCACCAAAGATCTCTTGCAAGTCCTCGTCGGTCGAGTTCCAGCTCAAGTTGCCAATGTAAAGCTTATGCTCCGCTTGCGCGCCTTCCTCGCCCTCGGACGCCTCGGCGACGACGGAAAATCCTCGTGAAATTTTCATTTCACCGTTTCGTCCGTTCACGCGCGTCATCGCGGGCACGCGCGCGCGCGTGGAGGTGATCGTCGGGAATCGCGCGCGCACGGCGGCGGCGGTGTACATCGTCGCGCTGGCGCTTTGCATCGTCGGGGCGGCGGTCGTCGTGCGGACGAGAGAGACTGGGAGTATTTGTTTGGTCTTGAGCGCCTTCGTGTAGGCGTCAATGACGGTTCGCGCGCGTTGCATCGGCGACAGTCGCGGAGTGGCGATTATTCGTGCTTAGGTTTACCGCCATGTGCAGATATTTACAGCGCGAGGAGAAGCGGCGCGCGGTGGACCGCGGACGCGTGAGCGAACGTCGTGCGATGTGTGATGATGGTGATGATTACAAAGCCCGCGAAGGCGAGACTGGATCGCTACTTGCTGAGAGTTCAGGTTTACACAGACGCGCGACGAACGGGCGAGCGAGACGCCGCTTGCGGGCGACTCGGCTCGGCTCACTCGAGGCGGCGACGAAGAGGATGTGCGTCGATTCACGCCCACCCAACGGCGTTCGTGACGCGCTCCTTGATCGTTGCGATGAATCCTGGAGAATTGCCTTTGATTTCACCGCTCGCGTCGGCGTGTTTATTGAGCGCCTTGCGCCTTTTCGTCGACGGCCAACCGGGAGAAAGCAGGGCGGCGGCGACATCCGTCGGTGAAGGAGCCTCGTTCTCCTCACCAGAAGCGTTGCGCTTGGACGTGCTCGGAGCCTCGTTTTCAAAGTTGACGTCATTTCTAAAGTGAACCGTACTGTGTCTAGTCTTCCGTTTGATGGAATCCGGACCCGCCGCGACGTGTTTTGGCGGCGGCGGCATCTTCACAGGACGAAAGTGACCCGACAATCTCGCAGCCTTAGTAGCCGCACGATCACTCGCCTTTTCTCCAGCCGTCATTTCGTTCGCAATCTCTGGAACGGATGCCATGCGCGGTAACCGAATCTGCGGTGCGTTACGCGTACGTCTACCCCGCGCACTGAACAGTTGACCGTTGGCGCCAGCCACATCCTTTCGCAAGTTTGGAGAAGCAAATCCCAGAGCGTCGTCTTCGTCATCGCTCCCGTCCAAGGTCTCTCCACCGCGACCTGAAGGAGACGCGAAAAATAAGCGAACGGGCGCAACACCAGTCGGCGAAGCATGACGACTACGAGCACCGCGAATCGGGGCGACGTCGAACGTCGCTCCGGCAGCCTCCACTCCGGGCGCCGAAGCGACGCCGGTCGCAATACCAGTTTCGGCTTGTCCAGTCGCAGACTTGGGCGCAGTTATCAACTTGCTCGCCGCGGTCGTGCTCGGAGCTGCATCACTCGGAGCCACTTCCTTGAGCGCAGCGCGAGTGCTTCTGCGAGACGTGCGCGGCATTGAAGCGGTTCTCTCAGCCGACGCCTTTTGCCTGCTCATCAAAAGAGAGTTCACAAATTGCGTCACTGGCGTCGGTTCGCCGGTTGCGGCCACCTTCTTCGCAGACCGCGTGAAAATCTTCGACTCTGTTTTGTTCGTCTTGAATTCTGCGGGCGTCTTTCCAAATGCGCTTCCGATGAGCCCACCGAGAGAGTCCAACCCAGAGAGGGACATCATGCTGCCGGTGGACGCGATGTTCGGAAACGCTCCTGGAGTAAACTTGAACGTGCCCATTCCCGTCGTGGGTGGCGGCATACCGTCGTACAAATTAGTCTCGGCCTTTTTATCGCCGGGCGTGCATAAGGAAGGTAGATCAGCCGTGTTCAGCGCGTCGCCCAAGATCTCCTGCGCGGCAAGATATTCGGGCGTACCGAACATACCCGCAAACGGGTTCGCGCCAGCACCGGCAGCTTTCTCATCCGGCGGCGTCCCCAGGGGAGATGGCATGATTGCATTCAACTGAAACTGTAAGTCTTGCGAATCTTGCGCAGAAACACCGAGTACAGGCATACCGAGCGCGAGATCTTGGAGCGCCGTGTTCACGGTGGTGTCGAAATCAAAGTAGCCACCGCTTCGAGCCGACTTTGTCCTCTTCACCGACTTCGATTCGCGTGCAAGCTGCGCCTTTTGCGATACGGTTTGCTTCGGGCGCTTCGACGGAGCCGGCGCTACACCTCCCTTGGCCGCCGCGCGCTTGCCTCCCACCTTGTCACCGTTGTTGGTCTGGGTTTGCAACGGCTTTCGCGCGTTTTGCTGCGTCGCGTCGTCGAGGCGACGATTCTGGTTCGCCTTCCCGGCCGGTTGCGGGCAGTTTGCTGCTCGGAAAATTTCTCGCAAATCATCCTCGCTCTTCTCTGCCGTTTCCTTCCAACCGTTCCACGAATCGCTCAATCCACATTTCACGCGCATAGCCGCCGCGCCCTTGGGCACGTCGTTATTCGCCAACACGCGAATCGGTCCTGAGACGCCGCTCCCCACAAACTCGTTCGTTTCTTTGGCGTACAAACCAAAGAGCAAACGGAATGCCTTGCACTGATTCGGTCCGTACGCACACACGTGATTACTCGCCTCGTCGATGGAGATGAACAAGTTTCGTGAATCCTTCCACTCATTCTCCGCCGTCGGTTTGGCGTCGGGTTTCGCATCCTTTTGCGAAGCCGCACTCTTTTGCGTCCGCCCTTGCTTCCCAAACCTCTGAATCGCGCTCAAAATCGGCCCATCGCAACCTTTCACGCACTTTTCCCGCATCACCGGCAACCATGAAAACCCTCGTCCATCACTCACGCCCTTCGTCTTCCCGTCCCGCGCGCCCGCGCCTCGCGCCTCGCTCGTCCCGCGCGTCGGCTCAGCGTACACCAGGTACACCACCGCCCGCGCCGTCTCTCCGTTATACATCCGCAGCTCGTACTCCAACGCCGAATTTCGAAACTCTTCCGGCACATCATCCCCGAACGGCGCCTCCACGGCTTCAAATATCCTCGCGCCGCGTCCCTCTCGCGCGCGCTCGCCCGCGCTCGCCCGTCCCTCCCGTTGGCGTTCAAACGCGAGTTCGACTTGGTTGTAACTCCGCTTCTTCTTCCCGAGCTTGTACGCCCTGCGATCGCGCGCGCCATCGACCGGTACGACGTTAAGTCAGTCTTCGCATCCGCGCGTCGTCGCGCGTCGCGCCTCCTCGCATCGCCGTCCGCGCCGCGCGTTCGTCGCATCGCGCGCGCATTCAAATCACGCACCGCACTTCGTGGTCGAGCGCCTCTCCGCGCGCTCTCGCGTCGCGCTCCTCCCCGCCCACGTCCTCGATCGTGCGCACGGGGACGCAGATAAAATCCCCGAACGGCGTCATCGCGTCCTGTCGCGCGTGCACCGCTCGAGGCGCGCGCGCGCCGGGCATGGCGACGTCGCGCGGAATCGATGCGTTGCGTCGCGATGCGCTGCGAACGATGCGTCGCGCGGTCGTGCGTTTCCCGCGCGATCGCGCGATCGACGATCGGCGATCGCGCGCGAGAGATTTACGGTGCGCGCTTTACGCGGGCGCGCGTCGCGTGCGTTTCGCGCGCGCGCGTGGCGTCGGACGCGACCGCGTCGTGCAATGCGGCGCGCGGTGCCCGCGCGACAGCTCCGATGGGCTTTGAAATCCGCACGCGCGTCTAATTGGATATACGGGTATACGGGTGTATTGTGGAGTTTTATATAGCGCATCATCCGGAAAGTGTACGACACTGTTTACCGCATGGCGTGGCGCGCGCGCCCGCGCGCGCGATTGCTGATCCGCGCGCGCGGCAGACGATGACGCCGGGGCGCCGGAACGACCTCACCGTCCTCGCCGCGGTGGCGTCGATCGCGATCTTCGCCAACGGGCTGCGAGGGTACCCGAACGCGGCGCGCGCGAGCGACGAGACGACGCGAAGGGCGACGTGGTGGTGGCCGAGTCGATGACGCCGGACGACGACGAACGCGCGATGCAGGCGCTGCGGGCGACGACGACGGCGCGCGAGGACGCGCGGTACGCGAGGACGACGCTGGATTCGCTGCCGATGGAGATCGTGCAGGAGATTTTGGCGAGACGGGTGCGGGACGACGGCGCGCGCGGGACGACGACGGCGGCGGCGCTGCGATGCGTGTCGAGGACGTTCCGCGACGCGATCGAGCGGGAACCGGCGATGTTTTACGAGGAATTCGATATTTCGTATGGGTTCTGCGCGGCGACGGACGCGAGGATGCGGGCGTACGCGAAAAAGAATGTGTTTGGCGGCGTTCGGCGGTTGAATTTGTCGGGGTGCGGGAAGTTGACGGACGCGACGTTGCGCCTGCTTGGAGAGAGTTGCGAGTCGCTGGAGAGCGTAGTTTTTAGTGGTGGATCATTTACGAAATCGGCCATGATCGCCTTTGCGGAGCAGCGACCGGGTCTGGCGGCGATTAAGATAGATTTGAGCTCGCCAAAGATGACGCCCGCGGACGTACTCGAAGTCTTTGAGTACTTTATCGCTCGTAATTGCGACACGTTGCGAAGTGTCAGTTGCGGACGAGAAGCGCCGTACTCTCCTCACGAGCGCCGGGCGTTCTCGACGCGAGCGGTCAGATTATTCGAGACGATAAGGCGCTGCGGCGAGCTTCGCTCGCTCGACCTCACGAATTGCGGCGAAGACGTGCGGTTTCCGCTCTTCAGCATGCAGCGCGCGCTTCCGCATTTACAAGAGCTCAAGCTAAATCATTTTGGCGGAGAATCAGGATGGCGCATCGTGGGCGATATTGGCGAAGATTTCGAACACACGTGCTGGAAAGACTTGCGCGTGCTCGAAATTGCGGTGTCCATGGAGACGACGAGCGTCGGGCATCGATACGGCAACTCGAACGTGAACGACGAGACGATGATATCCATGTTGTACGGATCGATAGAGAGCATCGAAATTCTCGATCTCACGGGGTGCACGCACATAGGGGACTGGCGCAACCTCGTGTGGGATCGCCTGCCGACGCGGCTCAAGACGCTTCGATGCGCGCGTACCCCGATTTCCTCCGACGACGGCGCGGTGGCGCACATCCTCGCTCATCTCTGTCCCGCGCTCGAAGTCCTCGAGCTTGCAGACGTAGGTGCGAACGCGAGGTTCGTCACCGACGCCGCGTTCGAGCAACTCTTCGCCCACGAAGGCCCAGACTTTCCGCTTCGAGTCTTGCGCGTCCCCGGATCCGGCGTCACCACCTCCACGATCAAACACCTCGTCTCCGGTCGCCACGGCCGCTTTCCGAACCTCCGCACGATCGATTTAGCGTCTTGTCGCTCGCTCCCACGCGAGCTCAGACGCATTTCCCTCGACACCTTCCCGCGCGACAACGTCTCGGCGCTTCGCCGCGCGCTCGCCGCCGACGCCGCCGCCGACGCGGACGCCGACTCCGACGCCGCCGACGCCACCACCACCACCACCGACGACGTCATCTTCGTCGCCGATCTCCGCGACCGCGCCGCCTCGGCCAAACGACCGCGCGCCGCGCGCGAGAGAGACCCGCCTCGCGCGCGCCGACCAAAGCCGCGCGCGTGAGCGCGATTCGCGCGCAAGGCACTTTTTGGATAAAAGCATCCGTTCGACCCCCTCCATCGACCGTTCACGACTCAAGAGATCTCGATCTCGTGCCGAAAAAGCCGCCTTTTTCGCGCGAAAAAGCGCCCTCGCGCGTCGCAGTCCCGCGCGCGCGCCCCGCGCCCGCGGCGACGCGTCCAACTCCATCGGCGCACACCGCGAGCGCGCGCGGTACGCGCGAATTTTTTCGCGCCCGTCGCGCGCGCCGCGCGACGATCTCGACGCGTCGAGCGCGCGCGCGCGCCGTCATCGCGTCCCGGGAAAAGATATCGCGGAAATGCCCGCGACGCGACGCCGCGCGACGCTCGCGAACCGCCGCGCGACGCGAACGTCGTCGAGCGATCGCGATGAACGCTCGAACGACTCGTCGGCGAGCGATTTAGTGGGCAAGGCGACGCGGGCGACGCGGACGACGAGGCGCGAGGACGGGAAAAGACGCGCGAGCAAGGGGTCGAGCGGGAGCAGCGGGAGCGACTTGAGCGAACGCGCGGGCGACGAACGCGCGGGCGCGTTGGGACGACGAGAGACGCGCCGAAGAACGCGACGGACGGTGGAGAGCGTGAAGCGAGCGACGCCGCCGGAGGCGCGATCGCCGAATACTGGAAGCGATGCGGACGATAAGGATGGGAACGGGGCGCGAAGAGACGACGAGCGCGCGAAGGACGCGAAGGACGCGAAGGACGCGAAGGACGCGAAGGACGCGGATGCGGGCGCGGACGTGGGCGCGGATGATTTCGAAGTCGTAGATTTGGAAAAAGTTCTTGGTGAGGGTGAGCGCGTGGTTGGGGTGTTTGGGCGACGCGTTCGCGATGTGGCGGAGTGCTACGTGCGCTGGGAAGGACGGTCGCACGCGCGAAACTCGTGGGTGCGCGAGAGGGATTTGGAGCGCGCGTGTCCGGATATTCTCAGGGCTTTCGAGGCGCAATACCCTCGTGCGGTGTTGGGTGACCCCGTATACGCGGTTAAACGCACCTGGTTGCGCCCGCAACGCGTCGTGAACGTGACGGGCATGCCGCCAAACACGCGCTTGCTCGTCAAGTGGTGGGGATTACCGTACGCCGACTGCACATGGGAGACGATAGATGGGCACGACGATTTCGACATGTTGCTCGAACGCTACACCCAGTTCGACCACGAAAGTCTCAAACGCCCGTACAGCGTGCCACCGAGCTTGGCAAACGTCGACGAGAGTAACAAACCGAGCAAAGGCGTACAATGCGTCGCACGTTGGCTCTTAGCGACGTGGTTTGAAAAGGAGGGCGTGTGTTTCGTGGATAACTCGCCGCTCTGTAAACACGCCGAGGTCGCGGCTAACTTTATTGCCGATCGAAAGCGCCAGTACGACGAACACGGGCCGTCTCTCATCATCGTCGCCGAGAGCGAGCTGGAGCACTGGTCCCGCGAATTCAGTCGTATTGCGCCAGACGTGAACGTCGTCGAGTACGGCGGCTCGGCAACGTGCCGTGCGACCGTACAACAGCACGAATGGTCCTTCGTCGGCGCCTTTCCCCGTGCGACCAACGGCGTGTCAACTCCTCGCTTCAATGTTCTCATCACGACGCACTCAACGGTGGTGCTGGACATCGTGCTCTTGCGGCAGGTTCGATGGGAATCCGTCATCATGGTGGAGAACGCGCAAAAGTTCACCGCTGAGACGAGCTCATTGCTGTCTAGACTCGGTAGCCTACACGCGAATCACCGCGTGTTGATGTTCCGCGCCGCAGACTTCTCCGACCTTCACGTCACTTTGAACATCTTGGAATTTCTCAAGCGAGCGCCGACGTCCATGCGCAATCTCGAAGCGAGGCTGTTGAATCTCTCACAAGAAGAGGCGTGCATGCAGACTGCCGCGCTTCTCGCCGTGCTCACGATGGACTATCAGTTCTGCGAAGCTGCTTTGAGAAATAAGCAAGCGCTAGCCGAAGCGGACGCTTGCATGGGGACGCTTCACACAGCCAGGCTGCTCGAACTCTCAGAGATCGTCTTGGCAAGCAAAGTCGCCAAAGAATCGGACCGCCGTTCCGTTTTCCCGGCGTGCTTTGATTATACGTCGACGCAATACCTTGGACTTCTCCATCAGCTCCAAGCCTTGCACGACATGTACCGCCCGCTCGTCAGCGCTGAACAGCGGTGATGTCACTGTCTGCTCGCGGTTCTTATTTGCGACGCACACCAATTTTCGCTCCACGTCGCCGTCGACGAAGCCGAGCGGTCGCCAATTTTGACCACATTTATATACCATACCGCACCGTTTTGTCATATCCATAGTCAGTCTTAGTTCCACAGTTCACGCCTCGACACACCCGCGCTTCCGGCTTCATGCGCGCCGACGCGTTCGCGTCCGCATCGCGCGCGCGACCGGTGGCGCAGCACACCGCGTCGTCCGCGCGTCGCCGCGGTCCCGCGCGCGCCGCGCGCGTCGTCGCCACCGCCGTGACGTCGCCCATCCAGCCCAGTCCCGACGTCGTCGACGCGTCGCGCGCGGCGTCCAGCGCCGCGTGCACCGTGGCGTGCTTCGCGCGAAAGGATGCGTTGTCGTTCATGCGGTATCCGAAATCACTCGCGGCGCGCGGACGGTTCGACGTCGAGGGGCCGAGCTTTGGTGAAGTGTTCGAACACCTGGCGAGAAGAGTCGCGTGGAGCGACGCGGACGAGGGAACGCTACGGATGATCGTGGTCGATGTCGACGCGAGCGATGAAGAGATGCGGGCGAGCGGTGCGAGCGATGCGGATGTCTTCATCGCGATAGATGTCGATGATGAGGAGACGGCGGGGAGAGTGCGACGCGCTACGGCATCGGCGGCGACTGGTTGCGCGCTGAATTCACCGGCGTTGGAGGCGGACGAGCGGATTTGTTATCAGCCGACGCGACAGTTGCGCGCGGTAGGCGCAAAATTAACGCCTTGGAGTCAGGCGGCGAAGGATGTACGACTGATGGATCAAGTGAAGGAGTTGTACGCGCGTGGAAATCATCTCGATACGTTGCTCTCAATCTTGTTGCTCGTCGACGCGTCGGGCGCTCGCGTGCCGGCAGTCGACATAAACCAGGACATCACGCTCGGTAACGTTTGGTGCATCGCGAGCAACTGCAACAAACAGTTACTCGCGTGTTACCAGAATCCGCAATGCAAAAAGAGCCTCGATTGCGTGGATGCGTGCGGACTCAACGATCAAGTGTGCACGTACACGTGCATAAGGAGCTATCAGAACGAACAGTTTGAGAAGCTCGCTAGGTGCATGCTTCACAAGCACAATTGTCTCGGGAACGACGCCAAGCGACCGCAGTTACCGGCTGTGCTTCCCATGACGACGTGGCGTGGCGAGATGTTGACGCACGCCGCCGCGGAGCGTATAATGCAAGGATGGCTCGGCGAAAAGCAATACAGTTGGCTCGCCGTCGCTGGGCAAAATCCTGCGTACGATTACTTTCCGAATCAGTTCCAGATATGGTACAAGGATAAGAAAAACAAAACTGCTTTCTGGTATAATCCTGTTTTCAAAGTGAACACTCTCGACGGTCGGAGCGTGTACCGTCGAAGCGATTACCGATGTAGGCGCGCAGAGACACCGGGAACATTTATTTTTTCCTTCATGGACAACGGCGTGACGAGCGAGGAGTACTGGCGCGTCGTCGACGCCGCGGATGATTTGAGTTGGTCGCTGTACTACTACGCTGGTGCGGCAAAGTCTGCCGGTCAGTCTTATATCGGTGCTGTTTTGGCGACTCCTGACGGTCTTTGGCCGGCGGAAGATCAGATGGACCGCATCGAAGACTCTCTGTGGCGCGGTTGTGGCGTAAAAATATGGGAAATGTGCCAAGTAGATAACAGCACGGCGCACGACGGCGACGCGCCGCTCGAACCGTTACACGAACCGTCTCTAATGCCTTAGCTGACATCGATTTCACGTCCGTTTAACACTCATCTTTAAGCGTAGTTCCATCCATCGGCGTCGCGCGAAGCCACCCGACTCGCGCTCCGCGCCCTCGCGCGAAGAGCGGACGACAAACAGTTGGCACCGTCGCGCTCATCCGACGTCACTCACCGGCGCGCCTTCTCGCGTCGCGCGCGCGCACGGGTGAGACCGCACGCTTCGTCGTCGTGCGTCGTCCCGTCTCGTCTCGTTCGCCGCGCGCGCGACGCGACCTCGCGCGGGAACGCCCCGCGGGCACGCCAATCCCAACCGCGACCCGCCGGCGTGATTCACCATGGGTCTGTGCTCCAGTCGCTCGCTCGACGCCCAACGCGTGTCGCGCATGCTGCAAGAGAACCTGAAGCTCGACCCGGCGAGCGAGCGAGACCTGATCCGGTCGTATCGGTTGTTTAAGAAGACGGACTCGAACGGAGACGGGAGAATTCAAAAGTCTGAATTCGCGAGGGCGTTCAAACTGGAGCAGGACGTGTTCTTCGATCGGTTGTTTTCGTTGATCGACACGGATGAGAGTGGATACATAGATTTTCGCGAGTTCGTAATCGTGCTCGGGGCGTTTCAGTTGGCGAATGCGACTGGGCGGGTGCGGTTCGCGTTTCGGTTGCTCGATTTGGACGATAGCGGAGCGATTAGTAAAGATGAGTTCAAGGCGTGCATTCAAGCGAGCGTGAACATGTTTAGACATCGAACTAAAGAGGGACGCGCGCGTGCGAATGTGAATGACTGGCGCGACAAGGCGCCGCGGGATATATACGCTGCGTACAAGGATTTATTTGCTCAGTTGGATAGCGCACGCGGTCAAAGCATCATGTACGAAGACTTTGCCAACATATGTGTGCGGTATCCCAAGCTTTTCACACCGGTCAACTACATTTGGACGAGTCTGCGACGCTATGCGGTGCCTGCGGCGGAACTGTGCAAGGTGATCGCGCGCGCTGGATACCAAGGCTTTTTTTATAACTCGATGCTGGAGCAAGGCTGGCCGGGCGTAAAGTTTCACGCGCCGGCGTTGAAACTGCAAGAGCGTAATGTATACATGCGCTCTTTGAGCAACTTGTTGAGAAGAAAAGGTACTTTTATGGACGAAGAAGAGGCTCGCATGAATACGGTTTCGGGTTCCAAGTCGAGGCGAAGGTCCGCCGACCGCGAACTTAGAGGCGGGGGGAGCGCTCCTGTGGTACGAAAACCAACGAGCCCCGAGCGCAAGGCGAAACGTTCGCACTCGAGCACAAGAAGGCTGAGAGACGACCAAGGTGTCGTCGCAGATGATCGAAGGTACACAGGGCGCGGTGATCTTCGACCGTATCACTCGAGTGAGGCGCGTCGCGAAGTCGAGCAAGAACGGCGTTTTGGACGTGCCGCATCTGTAGCGACGCCCGCGCAAGTCCACGCGCGTGACCGGCGGCCACCACCACCCAGACCGAAATATTGTCGTCAGTTCTCTTGGGGATCGGACGATCCTGATAGCGACCTTGGCAAGCGCGAGTTGCAAGCGTCCAACTCCATCGACCGCGCGTATCGCGAGGAGTACCCGCCGGACGAACCCGATCACGAGTCTTGGCTCGAGGACGACATGCGTCAACCGTCTTCATCGAACATGTCGAGCGCGCGCACGTTTGAGAAGCAGGACTCCATCGAGAAAATTTGGGAAGCCTTACAGGCGTGTCCGAGCGCGCGCGCCGCTCAGCACTACTCTCCCCGAGACTACGTCCCCGACGAATACTATCAACGCCTCGACGACGGCGTGTACTTCAAGAAGAACTTTTCCGCCGCGAAGAGCAGCGGGACCACGCCGCCCGTGTACCAACACGAACGCAGACCGTATTAGCATAGCACCGAATCGACTTTTTAGCGCTTAGAATCATCGCAGTCGACGTTTTTATCCACCATTCTTCGCCGAGCGCTCGGCGCGCGTCCGCACACCGCGCCCATGCCGTCGTACAGCGTGTGGCTCGAGCCTCGCGCCGCGCACGCGCGCGCCATCGCGCGCTTCATCGAGCGCGTCCGCGCGCGCGTCGACGGTGCGCCCGCGTTCGCGCCGCACGTCACCGTGATCGGCGCGTTCGACGCGCGCGAAGGCGACGCGCGCGACGCGTTCGAGCGCTTCGTCGACGACGCCGCGACGCCGCGCGACGCGTTCGCGCTCGACGACGTCGGCGACGAGGCCACGACTCTGGGCGCGACGCGACATCGATGCGCGTACAGAAGGTTCCGAAAGGACGCGCGCGTGATGGCGACGCTCGAGGGGGCGAAGCGGGCGCACGGGACGCGCGTCCCGACGGCGGAGGCGTACGAGCCGCACCTGAGCCTGGCGTACGGAGTGGACGATGCGATGGCGAGAGAGTGGATCAGAGAGGAGGCGGACGCGTACTTTAGGGAAGAGGGGCTGTCGAGAGGGATAGTTGTGAGCGCGATCAGTCTGTGGGAGACGGACGTGGAGGACGACTCGTGCGCGTCGTGGAGGCGAGTGGCGACGCGCGAGCTGCGGGACGCGAAAGTTTAGTGTAAAAAATACAACAATTGTTTAGGCTCCCAGTCGAGTCATCGCTTGTTTTAACGCGGTTTGATCTTTTATTGGAAGCTTGCCCCAGGCCTCGTCCGTCGCGCGCTTGAGGTCGGCCAAATCCACCGGCGTGGGATCGTATCCCAAGGCGGCGAGCGACCACACGCACTTGGCGAGCGATCGCGGCGAAAGCTTCTGTGTGATTGTGTTTTGCGCCAAAACATCGAGCTGTGATGTTTCGAGCTTTAATCCGAGTAAGGATGCGCCCCACAAACCGAGAACTGCCGTGGCCGGATGCAAGTTTCCGCCCGCCGCCTCTTGCATAAGTAGCGCCAGGAGCGCGTCTGCGTGTGCGGCGGGCGGTAGCCATCGCACTCGACCGTACGCGCACAATAACTTCGCCGCTTGTCCAGCGTTCAATCGTTGTGTTTCATCATCTACGAAGCGCCCGACGTACTCTTCGACGACGTCGTCGCCAGGATTCCAGCGCAACACGCCCCACGCGTGCATGATGAGAAGGACGTTTTCATCCTCAAGCTCCTTCCCACGCGACTTCGCCATTCGGCCAAGAGCGACGAGAGTGGAGTCGGAGGGGCGAAAATTCACTTTTGCGAGCGCCCAGAATACTTTGGACACGAGCTCGGCGTCGATGTCGCGTTTGACGGTGACGGCGGCGCACAAAGCTTCGTACGATTCGGCGCTGAGCTCGAGCTGACCTTCGCCGGCACCACCCAAGGTACCTAGCGCCCAAAACATCGAATCGAGCGACCCAATATTCATTCTTCGAGCGCATCGCGGAATCTCTGCGTCGATAGCCTTGACGAAAGCGGGCGAAGGCTGGTGACTCAGTCGAGCGCACGCGTACATGCACATGGGCACGTTGACGTGGCTGTTCGCGCCTCCCAAGTTCTGCGACGCGAGCTGTATGAGCAAAGCGTCGATGACATCGCGCGGTAGCGCTTTGTCCATTCGTGCGAACGCCCAAAGCACGTTACACGATGCCGCATCATCGAATCTACGCAAATTCTTCGCGATGAAATCCGTCGACGCTTTCAAGAACGCCGCGTCGGGAACGTGATCCAAATGCGCCAATCCGAGCAGCATTCCCGAAAGTTCGTCCGCCCTGAACTCGCCCATCTCTCTCGTCGTCGCCGCACACAGCGCTTCGAGCGTCGATCTCGGCGGTTTGAACCGCATTCGCCCGAACGCGTACGTCGCGTTGCTCAACGACTGCGGTTTCAGCCTCGCCCCTTGCTTGGACACTTCGCGTTCCAACCGCGCCGCGAGCGCCCCCAGCGTCTCTTGACTCGGCGTGTATCCAATCTTCGCGAAGCTCCAAGCCACGTTCGCCAATCCAAACGCGTCAAACTCATCCACGCGCGTCGCCACGCTCGCCGCCAACGCTCTAAACCTTCCGTCGTTCGTCAATCCCTCCGCGCGCGAAAAGTCCCGCTCCAGTCTCGACTCCGGCGCCGAGAACTTCGCCACTCGGTGCAGCGCCGTCGCCGCGTGCACCGCATCGAACGCGTCCAAGTCGCTCTCCACGACTCTCAGCGCCGCCTCCGCGGAGTCCGCGTTCGCCAGCATGCGTTGAATGTCCCCGCCTCGTCCCTTCCCTCCTCCGCTCCCGCTCGTCGCGCGCGTCGCCCTCGCGCGCGCCCGCGCGTCGCGCGCGCGCGTCCGCGCCGTTCGCGTCGACGCCGTCGCGCCCGCGCCGTCGCCGCGTCGCTCGCATCGCGTCGCGCGCGACGCGAGACCGATCGCGCGCGCCGCCGCCGCCATGTCGACCGAGGCGCGCGTCGCGCGCGCGACGCGCGCGAGGCGCCGGCGCGACGCGCGCGACGCGCGCGAACGTGCGACGCGCGTCCGAGGCGCGCGCGCGTGCGAGTCGCGTGCGAGGCGTCCGAGGCGTCGTCGCGCAGTGCCGCCGCCGCCGCGTCACGATGCCGCGCGACGACGACGACGACGACGCCTTCTGCGTCGTCCTCGACGCGCGCGGGCGCGTGCACGGCGCCGCGATCGACGGCGACGAGGGCGCGTACTTCGCGACGCGCGCGCGCGACGCGTTCGCGCGCACGGCGGCGCATCGCGCGCGACTCGCCGATTCGTGTCGGAAGATCGACGCGCTCGGAACGCTGTGGCTCGGCGCGCGCGACGCGCCGCGGTGCGCGCTGGAGCGATTCGTGAAATCGGTGTACGACGCGCACGCGCGAGGGGTGACGCGAGACGACGCGCGGTCGGGGGTGGAGTTTTGGGCGCGGACGCGAGCGACGGCGGCGCACTGGGACAAGGACGAACGCGCGCGGGAGATCGCGGGCGTGTGCGTGACGCCGCACGTGTCGACGGTGACGTACGTGGAGGTCGAGGAGAGCGCGCGCGTGGCGCCGACGGTGGTGTTCGAGGGGCTGACGGCGCGAGGAAGGCCGGACGCGGAGGCGAGGGACGAGGCGGGCGCGCGGTGCGAACGCGCGGCGGTGATGATACCGAAGGCGGGCGCGCACTTCAAGTTCGACGGACGGTTTTTGCACGGCGTGTTCGATGAATTCGCGAGCGGGGACGTCGACGCGTCGGCGGCGCGAGTGACGCTGCTGGCGAATATTTGGTTCGATCACGTGCCCGTCGGCGTCGAGCGCCTGGACGAGTCGCTGGCGGCGACGCTCGGAGACGACGAGAGTTGCGTCGCGAACGAGGCGGCGACGGAGATGACGACGCGCACGATCGCTTCGAGCGAGTTTGCGACGACGCCGATGAAGGATGTCGCGTTCGGTCCGTCCGGAGGGGAATACGAGCTCGTCGGCGCGGAATTTCCCTTTGACGAGTTGCGCGAAAGCGCCAAGGGCGAAGAGGGCGAAGAACGCGTTCATTTGTTCTTCATCACGAACGAAGCGGGCGTGCGCATCAAGCTGAGGGATGACGACGAGCCGGCGTCGAAGCGCGTGAAGATGTAGCGTAGCGGTTGTAGTAAAGTTGAATGGAATTGAAAAGTCGTGCATCGGTGTTTTTTGCGCCGGCGATCACGCCTAAAGTTGAATGGCATTGAAAAGTCGTGCATCGGTGTTTTTTGCGCCGGCGATCACGCCTAAAGTTGAATGACATTGAAACATCGTGCATCGGTGTTTTTTGCGCCGGCGATCACGCCGCGACGGTGGATTTTTCCGCGGCGGATGTTTGCGACTGCGAGCGAATGTACGAGGGAGGTGGATTCCACACCAAAACTGGGCACGGCGCGTGCGTGACGCAATACTGAGGGTACGGCGACATAAAGCGCGATCGCAAGTGCCCGGACGAAATCGCTCGACCGACGACGGCAAGGTTCACATCAGTCATGTTCAAAAAGTCGATCGTGCGATCGCGTATGTCCGACGCACTTCCCGTCTCCTTCTGTAAAACCATGCGAATGACGCGTCCGTGGCCAGGGTGCTCCTTTTGAAAATTTTGGACGAGGTCGTACGATCGAGAGAGATTCTCTTCGACATCCGCCTCGCTCAGATCCTTTTGCTTGCGTTGCGACTCTGCGAGACAGTGTAACAAGAGAACGACGTCGGTGGACCGTATGTGCTCCTTTACGAAGTATTCGCACAGTCGCCGACTGGAATTGGAGCCGCTCATGCAAATGCACACCACGCGTTGATCGACGCCTCCGAGTTTTTGCTTGACTAAATCGCTCGCTCCGACAATCTTCGGTAGAGACGATCGAAAAAAGAGCGTGGACACCGGGATGCGGTTCAAAACATTTTGTGTCACGCTTCCGAGCAGCGCACGCCGGACGAGACCGTGTCCGCGGCATCCCATGACGATGAGATCGGGCTTCGGAATGCACACCCAATTATCGTTCTCGGCGCTCGCGAACTCGCCGTCGACGATGGCCTGCACGGCCTCTTCGACCGAAAACTTGCCGCTCGATCCCGAAATCTCCACAGCCTGCACGAACGATTTCCCGCTCAACCGCCGATCGAGCAGTTCCGCTCGAACGTACTCTGGCAACCACGAAGACTCGCGTTCCGATTCCGCGCCCTCGGCGTCGTCTCGTCGCAGCGGCACGACGCGCACCCCCAACCGCTCCGTCACCGAATCCTCGTCCGCTTTGTACGACCCCGCGACGCGTCCCGGTCCGTACATCGCGCTCGCGTAGCGCGTCGCGCCTCTCGAGTAATGCACGCACCACACGTCATCGTTCGGTTCAAGCGCGAACGCTCGCGCGAATTCCACCATCTTGACGTCTTGCATTTGGGCGCCGCTCAGCAGCAACAAGATCCGTTTCTTCGCCCGCGCCTCGCGCGCCGGCTCGATCGTCGCCGCGTTCGCGCCTCGTTCCGCCTCGTCGCCCATGCCTTCCATCTCCCTCTTCCTCTGCGCGCGCGCGCCGCGTTCGCGCGTCAGTCCGACGTCTTCCGACCGCGCGCGCAATAGCGCTCGCCGCGCTCGACCGCGCGGCGCGCGTTCGCCGTATTCGCGCGCGCGTCGCTCGCCGCGCGCGTCGTTCGCGCCCTCGTTCGCGTCTTCGTCTTCGTCGCCCTCGCCGCGCGCGTCGCGTCGCCGCGCGCGCGTCGCGTCGCCGCGCGCGCGCGCGACGGGCGCACCGCTGAATCCTCGGACACAAAATTGTCCGCGTCGTCGTCGTCGAATGCGATCGATCGCGTCTCTTTGTCGCGGTGTGGATCGATCGCGGCGCGTCCGAGAAACGTCGCTTCGCGTCGCCGCGCTTCGTCGCGACGCAAAGAGCGCCGCACACGATGGCGACGCCGAGCGCGGTCGGTGCGTACCGCGCGCTGATGCGCGCGCGCGCCAAGGCGTTCGCGGGCGACGCGCGCGCGCTCGACGCGGCGCACCGCGAGATACGAACGCAGTTCGAGCGCGCGCGCGACGTCGACGCGAACGACGCGAAGATGAAGATCGCGGCGGCGGTGGAGGCGGCGACGTTCGTGCGGACGCACGTCGTGCAAGCGGTGCGAGAGGGCGATGAGGGGGCGTTTCGGATGACCGTGGACGCGGCGCATCGGGACGTGACGATCTCGAGGGACGGCGAGGGCGAGAAGGGGTGCGGGGGGGGGGGAGGGGTCGCGTGAGCGCGCGCGCGACGTCGAGCGCGAGGCGGGACGCGGACGCGCGACGACGGAGGAGGGCGCGGAAGGCGCGATTGAGGGTATGAAAAAATGTTTGTTATGTTAAAAAATCATCTGAAGTACAGGAGACGCGAGCGAATAGAATCGAATAGAGAAAATGTACACGGGAGCGTGGCGCCGAGACGCGGCGGAGCCGCGGTCGACGTCGCTCTAAAAATATTGGAAAAGGCCCGAGTTTGGAGTTATCCAAGATGGGTTGAAAAAAGAATCGGTGCACGGATAAGTGCTGTGAATGTGTCAGTGCGGGTGAGTGTTTTGTTGTCTTCACGCGGGTACGGCACCCTTGATTGAGACGTCGCAAGATCTGTCTTCCGCTTTGGCGAATCGACCACCGACTCGAACGCGCGTTTCGGCGCGGACTTTTCTCGCCTCGTAGTGGATTGTTTTACCGTATGTGCGAGCCTTACGCTTCTCGTGGTACCGATCGAGCACTTGTTGACGAGATGCACCGCCCGGGAGTTTGGCAGAATGATCTGGCGCGTTCGCGGCGTACGCCGCCGACGAATTCGTCGCCGCGGGTTTGCGCGCGTTGCGGGCGGCGGACATCTTCTTGGGACGCCCACTCTTCTTAGGTTTCTTCATTCGCCACTGTCCCGCGGCGTCGATGTCGTAGAACATGTTTCTTTCGCCATCCACTCGCGGCGCCAAAAGCTCTTCTACGTGCTCGTTGCTCGATCTCACGCCCCCCGGCATGAACATGGAATCGATGCCGTCGGCGGCGCTGTCCGATTGAGACGTCGCACGGGCGCGCGACATTTGCCCCGTAGCCTGACTCGATTCGAAAATACTGTTATACGCCTGTCGCACCGGTGCGCCCGAGCTTTCTGCGGGCGACGGCGTCCCGAAATTCGCCGCCGAACCGTCCACTCGCACGTTCATCTCCGCGTCGAGCATCGTAAACGACGGCATGCGAATCAAACCGTCGATGAACGCTTCATCGTCCTTATCATCGCTCGTCATTTGACCCCGACCGTCGTCGCCGCTAAAAAGGTCCACTCGATCGAACGAGGGCTCTTCGCTCGGACGAATTTGCGACTTTTTCACCAGGCTCCAAAACGTTTCATCAGACACCTCGGCGTCGAGCGCTTGAACCTCCGACTTGCTCTTATTCGACGGCCTCCCCCGCCGCGTCTGCTTCATCCCTTTCCCGACCGCGCGATACGCCTCATCCGACATCGCACATTCGTGAAACGCTCTGAGCGCCACCGCGCGTCCCGAACCGTGCGCTCGATCGCACGCCTCGCACGTCGTCGTCCCCGTGACGCCGTCTTCGTTTTCGCGCATAACCTACGTTTCCGCCGATCGTCGTCGCGCGACGTGAACGTTTCGTCAGTCTCTCGTCGACACCACATCCTCGCACATCGTCTCTCGCGAGTTCGAAACGCCCCATCGCGTCCCCGTTCGCGCGCGCGCCTTCGCCCTCGCCTTCTCGCGTCTCGCCGCGTCCTCGTCCGAGCCCTAACTACTCAACCGCCGTTCGAATTCGCCTCGCCTCGCCTCTCTCGCACCTCTGCGCACGCGTGCGCGCACATCTCGCACAACCAACGCCTCGAGTGTTTTTCCGCGAATTTATTCGCGTTGTGCACCTGCTCGCGCGTCCATCGCGTCGTCGTCGTCGTCGTCAGTCGTCGACAATTCACGCATTCGTAACGAACGCCTCCGCGACGAACGTCGTCGCGCGATCCCGCGGACGCGCGTCGTCGACCTCCTCGACGCGTCGCGACGGTGGCACAAAATACGCGTCACCGAAATCCCGCCCCCGCGCGCGTCCTCGTCGCGCGCGCGCGCGCGCCGCGCGTCGTTCCCGCGTAAAGTGCCCTCGCCCGCTTTCCGGCGGCGTGTCGAAAATCGCGTTCGCGTTCGCGCGTCGCGCACCGTTCGATCGCATCGCAGGCACAATTTCGCGTCGTCCGCGGCGCAGTACAGGCGCGCGACGCCGTGCGCGCAGGCGTCGCACGGAACGGGCGCGCGCGTCATTGTGCGGACCGCGCCGTGTCGTTCGTTCGTTTTTTCGTTTTTTCGTTCGTTCGTTCGTTCGTTCGTTCGTTCGTTCGTTCGTTCACACGGCGCTATCGCGGGTCGCTCGCGTCGCGCGCCGCATCGCTCGCGTCGCTCGCGTCGCGCGCGGCGTCCGCGGCGTCGAGCGCGGCGGCGCGCGCGAGCGTCGCGGCGACCTCGGGGTCGTCGCAGTACGGCTGCGCGTCCGCGAGCGCGTCGATGGCGGCGTCCGCGGCGCGATGCGCGGCGTCGAGGGCGTCGCGCTCGCGCGCGGCGGCGTCGCGCGATGCCACCTGCGACGCGACGCGCTCGCGGCGTCAGTCGCGCGCGCGAAACGCGCGAAACGCGCGCGCGAAACGCGTCGAACGCGAACGAATGCGAGTGCGAAATCGCGCGCGTCGCGTCGCGTCGCGTCGCGTCGCGTCGCGCGCACCGTGACGAAGCCGTCGTCGTCGAGCGCGCCGTTGTCGCGCGGCGCGCCCTCGCGCGACGCGCGCGCGCCCATGCGCGCGCCGCGCGCCAGAATGCGGCGCGCGTCCGTCGCGCGCGTCGTCGCGCTCGCGCTCCTCGCGCGATGCGCGCGCGCCTTCTCCGGCGGCGCGGGCGCGTGCGCGCACGCGAGCGTCGGGCACGGGACGCGCGCGACGCCGCGCGCGCGCGAGGACGTCGTCGTGCGCGTCGGACGCGTCGCGCGCGGGACGACGGTGGCGGTTGAGATTCGCGCGCGCGCGCCGTTTCGTGGGTTTCTGTTGCGCGCGACGCGCGCGGCGAGCGGGGAGGCGCTCGGGGCGTTCGACGCGCGCGCGATGCCGCGCGGGACGCGGGTGAAATCGGACTGCGGGTCGAACGCGTTCGCGACGCACGACGGCTCGACGGACGCGACGACGAGCGTCGTGGTCCCGTGGATGGCGCCGGACGACGCGTTCGACGCGGTACGCTTCGAAGCGACGGTCGTCGAGGATTATAACACGTGGTACGCCGTCGAGCGCGACGTGGCGTGCGGACAGGGAGGAGACGTCGACGCGGACGCGAACGCGCGACTGGACGAGGCGCGCGAGGCGAACGCGAGCGACGGCGCGCGCGCGCCGAGCGTCGACGCGGCGCTGGCGGGGGGCTGGCGCGCGCCGAGAACGGACGATGGGGTGGACGCGCGCGCGGAAACGGCGCGCGCGCGAAGATTGGGCGTCGCGCGGTTAGCGCACGGGTCGTTGATGGGATTCGCGTGGTTGATTCTTTCGCCCGGCGCGTCGTTCGCCGCGCGATACGGACGGAAATTCGATCCTTGGTGGTTTCGCTTCCATCGCGCGGCGCAGTGCGCGGCGGTAGCGTTGAGCGTCGTCGCGGCGTACGTCATCATCGCCGCGCGCGGGTGGTCGAAGCCCTGGGGGGCGCACGGGAGATACGGCGCCATGGTCGTCGGGTTGGCGATCGCGCAAGCGTACGCCGGGTACGTTCGAAAGTCTTTACCGCGAGCGGACTTTCGCAAGTGGCACCGCGCGATCGGCATCGTTACCACCGTCATCGCGACGTATAACTGCATCACGGGCGCTTTTATGCTCGCGAGATTAGAGAGCTCGGACGCGACGTCCGCCGGCGCGCCGCGCTTGGTTTGTCTGTGCGTCTTCGCGACGACCGTGTGCGGTGCGCTGTGCGAGAGCCAACGTCGCAGCGCGGTGCACCGGCTGATGGGGAAATCGTCGAAATCAATGGTGTGAACGCCGACGCCCGGCGAGTAGTGTTCATTCATTTAGTCGCTCGCTCGTAGTCGCGACGCTCGCGTTTGAAATCCAACCGTCGCGCGTCGCGCCGCACACCTCGCCTTTCACCCGTCGCGCGCGCCGTCGCGCGCGCCGCCATGACGCGCGCGCGCGCTCAGAAGTCGCGCCTCGCTCGTCTGGTGATCGCGCTCGTCCTCGCGCGTCCCGTCGCGTCGTCCTCGCCGGTCGAGTCGGCTTCGAGCTGTCCCGCTGTCGGGACGAAAACGCACTTCGGCTGCGACGACGGCGTGCGCGCGACGCGACGGGCGTTCGATATGTGGGAGCTCGCGCGCGCGTGGACGCCTGGGTTTTGCGCGAGCGCGCCGCGAGCGTGCGAGAAGGGTGAGTGCGCGCGCTCGGCGGCGGAACCGGCGCTGACGCTGCACGGACTCTGGCCGAGCTACTCGACGGCGACGAAGAGCGACGGGCGCGATGGGTGTTACTGGCCGCAAAATTGCGTCAAACCGTCGTGGTACCCGTCGAGTGAGAAGTGGACGTACGCGGCGCGCGAGATACCGAGCGGGGCGGCGGCGGAGAGGATCGCGCCGGCGTGGACTCGGGACGGTTTGGGCGCGCACGAGTGGGCGAAACACGGAACGTGCGCATCGTGGATCGACGTCGAGGGAACGACGCGCGGGATGACGCAACGCGAGTTCTATAACGTCACGTTTGCGCTCGCCGAGGCGCTCGGGACGCCGGAAGTTTTGCTGGAGGCGACGGGATCGGAGCTCTCGTTGGCGGACGCGCAACAGGCGTTCGGCGGCGCGTCCAAAGTCGCGCTCGGGTGCACGAAATCGTGCGTGCTTCTCCAGGTCGTCCAATGCTTCAAACGCACTCCAGACGGTGGCGTGGGCGAGGCGGAGGACTGCCCGTGCGTCGGCGTGCGCGACAGTCGATACGACAACTCGTGCGCCGAGCGATGCGAACGCGTTCGCGTGCTGTCGCCAGAGCAAACGGGATGTCACGCCGACATCGCCTCGCGCGTCGCCAGCGCGCGATGATCGATCGCGCACCATTCTTTAATCGCTCCGGCATCGTTGTAATTCTACGCACATTCTTCCCGCCGCGCGTCCGGTCGTGCGCCTCACTCGCCGGACGCCGCGCGGCGGCGTCTCGTCCATGTCCGTCGACGAAGTCTTCGCCCGCGTCGCGAACGCCTGGAACGAGGTCACGTCGAGCGTCGACGCGGCCTGGGACGCGGCCTGGCGATCGCGTAACCGCGCGAACGCCGAAGAATCGCGAAAGAAGACGGCTCTGGCGACCGGAATCGTCACCGAACGCGACGCGCGGCACGCGCGCGTGCCGCCGTACGTCTTCGAACGCGACGTCGGCGCGCGCGTGCGCGTGCTCGACTTGGCGTCGAACGCCATCGTCGACGTCGACGACGCGATCGGAAGCTTGCGAAACGCGCAAAAGGTGAACCTGAGCTTCAACGCGGTGAGAGCGCTGCCGCGCGCCTTTTCGACGCTCGTCAACTTGAAGACGCTGGACTTGCGAGGGAATAAATTGACGGCGCTGCCGGAAGACATCGATTCGTTGCTCGCGCTCGAAGATTTGGACGTGCGCGAGAACGCGCTGCGAGCGCTGCCGCGGACGCTCGGGAAATGCAAAAGGCTTCGACGGTTGGACGCGAGCGCGAACGCGCTGACGACGTTCGACGACGCGATCGCCGGACTCGGGAATTGCGCTGATTTAGAGGTCATTCGTTTCGCGCGTAATCGTGAAATGCGTGGCGCGTTGCCGGTGGCGTGGGCGCACGCGGTCAAGCTGAAGGAAATAGATGTGGACGACACGAAGTGCGACGGCGTGCCGGGAGAAATTTTGCTCGCGTGCGATCGGTTGACGACGCTGAGCCTGAGACGAACTCTCGTGGACGTCGGCACTTTGAAGCGAACGGATGGATTTGAATCGTACGAAAGTCGACGACAGGGCAAGCATAACAAGCAGCTCGATTCCAGAGTGCTTTTAGACGATTCGCGCCTCGATGAGCGACTTCGTTGAACAAGAGGCGAGAGTGTGATGACATGGCGGATCTATCGTTCTATTTTTCTGCGGCGTTTTTTTGTAGTGTGTTGTAGTGCGTAGCGTAGCGTAGCGAGTAAAAAGAGTCGCTCGTCTATTCGGAAGCGGCAACAGTTTCGCCCTCGGCCGCGACTTCATCGCTGTCTTCTTCGTCGTCTTCGACATGCTCGCCAGGCATGCCGTACACCGTCGCTCCGTTGGCGTACATCGGGTAGCCCGCGAACTGCATGTGGTGCATCGCCATCATAGCCATGTGAGGATTTTGCCCCCCCATGGCCATGTGCGGCGGCATGACCATGTGCGGTGGGTACATGGACATCTGCGGCGGGTAAAATGGCCCTTGAGATCCGTAACCCATCGCGCGCTTGGTGCCGTACTGCGCGCCCGGCGCGAAGCCTCGTCCGTCGTCGTGGCGCCCCACGTGACGCATCGCCTCGCTCACGTCGATCATCTTCCCGAGGAACGGAATTTGGCGCTGTGCCTTGACCATTTCGGCGATCGCGACGTCGGCGAAGACGACGAAGCCGTACCCCTTGCACGCACCGGTGAGCTTGTCGTAAATCAGCTTTACGCTGAGCACGGTGCCGTAGTGCGCGAAGAACCACCCGAGCGCCTCGGGCGTGGCTTCCAGCGGAAGCCCCCCGCAAAAGACGGTGTTCTCCGTCCCCGGCGCGCCACTGTTCGATCGTTCACCGCTCTCGCTCCCGCTCGCCCCGTCGTCCAGCCCACCGACGTAATTCGGCGATCGAGACAACTGCGCCTTGGACGCCTTGGCGCCGCGAAGATGCGGCGCCCCCCCCGCGGGGTGTCGCTGCGGCGCCCCTCCCGAGACTCTCGCCCCGTTCCCGACCGACATCCGCCCCATGTGTTCGCTCAGCGAGTTGTGCGAACTCCCCCGAGACATTTTCCCGCTCCCGTGCGATCGCGTGCGCTCGTGTCTTCCCTCCCGCGTTCGTCCCTCTCCCGCGCTCGCCGGTTCGTCCCGCGTCGCCTCCTTCGCGTCCACCGCCTTCCCGTCGATCGTCACCTTCCCCATCGCCTTCACCCGCGCCGCGTCCTCGACGCTGTAAAACTTCACGAACCCGTATCCCTTCCTCACCAGCGTCTGTCGATCGTATATCAGCTTCACGTTCTCCACCTTCGCGTCGTGTTCCTCCTCGAAGAATCTGCGCACGCGCGCCTCGTCGCACTCGTGGCTCGTCCCGCCGATGAACACCGTGCGTTCCCGCGAATCGCTCCCCTTCGCGTCCCGCGCTGGTTCGTCGTCCAACGTCGCGTCGTCCGTCGCGTCTCGCGTCGCCATCGCGCCCTCGCGCGCGCCCTCGTCGCCGTCGTCGTCGATCGCGTCGCGCGCGCCATCGACGTCATGCGTCGCGCGCGTCGTGGAATCCGCGCCCGTTTTCGCGTCGCGCGCGCCCTCGTCGACGCGTTCCGCGACGGCGACGGTGCAATCGGCCATCGTTCGCGCGTCCGTCGCGACGCGCGCGAGATTCCGGCGCGCGCGCGGTCGTGTGCGGCGCGCGCGACGGCGCGTCGGCGTGACGACGCCATCGCGCGTTACGTCGACGACGCGACGTCGATGGTCGCGCACGCACATACCGTTCGGAAAGCGCACACTACGAGATCTCGGGGCGCGCGAAAATATCTGATAAAAAATAAAAAAGTCGGCCACGCTGGCGTCGTAGTCGAGGCGTTCGAGACCCATCGCGCGACGCGAATGCGCGCGACGATGCATCACCGACGACGCGGGCGTCGCGCGGGTGGTTACGGGCGCGCGCGCGCGACGCCGCGACGGCCGCCGCGCGAGACCGCGGCGCGCGCGCGATGGCGACGCGGCGCGCGCTCGCGTCGCGGGCGCGGATGGTGGTGGTGCCGTTCGGAGGCGCGGCGACGTCGTCGACGTCGACGACGACGCGCGAGGGGCACCGATGGATGGCGCACGGCGCGGCGGTCGTCGAGCCCGCGGAAGCGCGCGCGCGCGAAGCGATGGGACGCGCCGACGACGCGAACGGGACGATGGCGACGCGCGCGATGCGGACGATCGATCGCGCGATGCCGTGGGTGCGACGGTGGGGCGCGAGGGCGGTGGATTACGGGGAGAAGACGTGGCGGGCGATGGCGGCGAGCGCGCCGGGGTCGGCGAGGCGGCGGATACACGAGCTCGGGATGTTCGCGATGGACAGGATCGATCCTCGAGAGCGCGCGCTGAAGGAGATGCCGAAGATACTGTCGAGCGTGGAGATCGTGTACCCGAGCGGGGTGGACGTGGGGGCGGTGCGGAGGCTGGTGGAGCGAACCGTCGTCGACGGGACGAAGAACGCGCGCGCGGCGACGACGATGTACGCGCTCGGTGCGCCGTTGAGCATGCCCATGTTCTTGACGCCGGTCAGTAACTTTCCGTTGTACTACTTTTTGTTTCGTCTGTGGTCGTCCACGCAGGCGACGACGAGTGGGAAGGAGGCGATCAGATTGCTAAAGACGACGGACGAGGCGGCGGCGAAAGCCGTCGAAGCCGACGTGCTCGGATCGACTCGCGTCGTCGAGTGCAAGCGATTGCGACCGATCAACGTGTTGAATAGCGACACCGGACGAGAGGTGAGCACGATGGATGAGCCGCACGCGATGGCGTGTTGTCGGCTTTCCCAGCCCGGAGGCGAAAAGTTTCTGGGGGACGAAGGGCCGCGCGTGCTCTTTGTGCCGTGCGACGCGTTGGCGAAAGTCGTCAGAGAGTATCACGGTGTCGACGACGCGACCGCCACGCAGCAGTGCGCGTCGGCAACGGTGGAGCGTCTTTTTGGGGCGAGCGGTGTGGTCGATTTAGCGCGCAGTCACAAGCGTTACGACGAAATTTATGGCGTCAAGGACGAGAGCGCCTTGCGGTAGTCTAGCACGAGATTTGTAGCATTTCCATCATTCTTTACAAGCGTTAATCACTCTAGAACGACTCACACGCTCCGTTTACAAGGCCCAAGATTGGCAGCACTTGCCGCAGTAGACGCGATCGAACATTTGCGCCACGAAGACGCCGGCGCCGCACGTCGGGGAAATGCACTCCTTGCGGAGGCGTTCAACCTTGCCCGCGTCGTCAACCTTGTAAAGCTTCAAAGTCGCGAGCTTGACCTTCTTGTGCACGTGCTTGACCTTCTTCGGCTTGGTGTACGTCTTCTTCTTACGCTTCTTACCACCGCCACGCAGGCGCAACACCAAGTGGAGCGTGGACTCCTTTTGGATGTTGTAGTCGGCGAGCGTGCGGCCGTCTTCGAGCTGCTTCCCGGCGAAGATCAAACGCTGTTGATCCGGCGGGATGCCCTCCTTGTCTTGGATCTTGGCCTTCACATTGTCGATGGTGTCCGAGGACTCCACTTCCAAAGTGATGGTCTTACCCGTCACTGCGCTCGCGAACGCCGCGCGTCTTCGTCGTCAGTCCCGCGTCCCGCGTCCCCCGTCCCTCGTCCGATCCATCATCGATCGCGTCGCACCACCCCCGTCGACTCGCGCCCGTCGTCCCTCCCCGAACGTCGCGCGCGAGCGAAAATCTTCGAGCGCACCGCGCGTGCCTCGCGCGCGCGCGCGCGTCCGCGCGCGCGCCGTCGACGTCGCATCGTCGAAAACCCTAATCTATCGACCGTCGCCATCCCTCGTCCGCGCGCGGTCGCGTCGCGTCGCGTCGCGTCGCTCGATCACGCACGTGTCTTGACGAAAATTTGCATCGCGTGCGTTCCGTCGGCGCGTTCGGCAAAGGCTGCGTCGTTACGCGCGCGCTCGGAAAAGACGGAGGTCGCGCCGCGCGCGCGCGCGTCGGTCGCGCCGCGCCGTCCGTGTTGTGCGTCGTATACGAGACCGCGAGACGGATCGACACTTCGCGACGGATGGACGACGACGACGACGACGACGACGACGAGGGATGGATCGCGGTGCGCGCCGAGGACGCGGACGACGCCGCGCGATGGTTCGTCGCGGAGCTCATGGTCGGACGCGGCGCGTCGACGATGAGCGAACGGCGCGCGCGCGCGATGTGTCGAGACGCGGCGAGACGACGCGGGACGAGGACGCGCGCGAGAAGGATCGCGAAACGCGCGCGCGCGGCGCTGGAGGTCGCGGTCGAGGTCGCGCGCGTGGTGGCGAGACACTCGTGGGCGCGGCGGGCGGCGCTGGCGGCGACGTCGAGGGCGTGCGTGTGGGCGCTGTCGGGCGCGTGACGACGTCGGCGACGAGGCGAATCGAGACGAGCGCGCGAGCGCGAGCGCGTCGCGCGCGATGGCCGAGAGAATGGATGCGTCGAGTCGGCGCGATGTGCGGATCAATTGAATTTCATCGGTGCTCGCGCGGCGGACGCGTCGCTGAAACCGGCGCGCTGCCAATCGCACTGCGCTCGAATGCCCACGCGGCGTTTCATCTCCATCGTCGTCTCGGCGGGTATGAGATTACTCTCCAGCCCGAGTCTCCTGAGCGTGGTGTTTTCATCCATGGCGTCCATGAGTTCGCACGCGCCCTCGCGTCCGATGCCGTTGCGCGTCAAATCTAACGTCTCGAGCGCGATGTTTTCGCGAAGATCGCTGGCTATGTCGGACGCGGCGGAATCGCCAAACGCGTTCGATCCCAGATTGAGCGTCTTCAGAGTCTTGTTTTCCCCCAGTGCGTCGGCGATGTACCACGCGTCGTCGTCCGTCATTTCGTTCGCTTGAAGATTGAGTTGCTTCAAGTTCGACGCGCCGGACTTGAGCGACTTCGCGAGCCATTTTGCGCCGTCGCGCACCGAGTTGTTTGACAAGTCCAAGTCTTCGACGTCGTTCAACGCGTCGGCCATCGCGTGCGCGCCCTCCGAACCCACCACGTTACACTTCAAATCGAGTCTTCGCATGATTTTCGACGCGCGATTGATGGTTTCGTCGTCTAGTTCGTGAGTGTCCATGTCGTCATCGTCATCCGATCGGCGTCGCTTGCGCAAGGCTTCGGCGATCGCCCGGGCGCCTTGAGCGCCAATGCCGTTGAAACCGAGTAATAAAGTCTCCAACCTGCTACCGAAACCGTGCGTTGCGAGCGCCATGCACCCTTCGTCGCCGCATCCGTTGTGTTGAATATCGAGTTCTTCCATGCTCGTCTCGCCCGCGAGTGCAGACGCCAAAGCGCGAAGGCCGTCGCCACCGATTAAATTTTGCGCCAAATTCAACGATTTGAGCGTCTTCGTCTTACGCAGCGCGCTCGCGAGCGCCAACGTCCCCTCGGCTCCGATAGCATTTCCTCTGAGATCTAATCTCTCCAGCGGACAACCGTTTTCGTCCAGCACGGCGGCGATGCGTTCACCGGCGCTCGCGCTCAAGCCGCACGCAGATAAATCCAACTTCTTCAACGACCGCGCGTCCGTCAGCGCGCTGATCAATCGCCCGAACCCTTCCGCGCTCAGCCCTTTCCCTCCACGAAGCGTGAGCGACGTCAATCGATCGACGCTGCTCGACGCGCCTCCAAACGTCCCTCGCAACGCGCGTTCGAGCAACCACGCCGTCTCGTCGCGCGGTCGTCGCACCTCCAACTCCAAATCCCGCCCTCGCGCCGCGTCCTCCATCGCCGCCTCGGCCATCGCGTTCGCCCCATCCAACGCCTTAAAATCGTCTAACCCCAAATCTATCGTCGCCCTTCGCACCGCGCTCGAGCGCGTCGTCGGCGCCGCGCCTTCGCCTTCGCCTCGGCGTCCCGCCGCGAACGCCAGACTCAACTTCGACATCGCGTCCATCACCTCGCTCGCCTTCCGCGACCGTTTCCCTCGCCGCGCGAGCGCGTCGTCGCCGATCCCGTTCGCGTCGACGTCCATCGCGCGCGTCGTCGTCGTCGTCGTCGTCGTCGTCGCGTCATCGTTCGGTCGTCGCTTCACGCCTAAACAATCGAGCGTCTCGTCCACGACGTCGCGCGCGCGACGCACGCGCTCGAGCGCGTCGTCGTCATCGTCGTCGTCGTCGTCGCGTCGCGCGCGCATGCGTTCGCGCGACGGCGGGCCGCGACGGCGCCCCGTCGCGCACTGGCGCTCGCGGCAGTCGCGCGCGCGTCATGGTCGAGCTGCGCAAGCGCGCGAAGACGCCGCTCGCGACGACGGCGTCGCGGAGCAGGGCACACGAGGTGCGCGCGCCGACGCGCGCGACGACGAGGCGCGCGCGCGCGACGCGGCGCGGCGTCGATGGAGAATGCCGTTGGGACGCGCTGCCGCGATGCGCGACCGCGCGCGGACGCGACGAGAGGACTGACGGACGGACGCGCGCGCGCAGGATGATCAACCGCCGTCGCCGTCCTCGCCGCGCGCGCCGAAGCGGCGGGTGTCGATCGATCACGCCAAGCGCGTGATCGAGCAGGGGCGGGCGCGATGGCGAAGCCTGCGGCAGCGCACGCAGTCGACGCTGCTCATGCTCGCGGCCGCGTCGAGCATCATCGTCGGAGGACACGCGTACGCGATGATGCTGTGCTTTGCGGTGCAGTTCGCGATGGCGAAGGAGTTGTTTGCGTTCGTGTCGAACGCGCACGCGGAGGAGAACGCGCCGGGGGAAGATACGGCGGCGTTGCGAAGGACGACGACGACGCTGCGGTGGTACTGGTTTTGGACGCTGTCGTTCGCGGTGTACGGAAGATTCGCAAAGTACTTATATCTTGGGTTCATGAGCGCGAAGGAGTGGAACGAGTTGTTACAAAACGGGGCCGAAGTGAGCCCCGGAGCTTGGTTGGCGATGCACCACACGTTTTTGAGCTATTGCGCCTATCTCGTGGGATTGGTGTATTTCGTGCTCACGCTGAGGAAAGGGCGATACGCGTATCAGTTCGCACAGTTCGCTTGGACGCACATGATCGTCGCGGCGACGACGATGACGGGATACTTCAACGTTTCCAATCTTTTAGAGGGTATGATATGGTTCGTGTTTCCACTCTTTCTCGTCATCGTCAACGACATCATGGCGTACGTGTTCGGGAAAATCTTCGGCAAGACGCCTTTGATTAAGATTTCACCCAACAAGACGTGGGAAGGATTTTTGGGCGCGTTTGTTTCGACTCTCGTCGCTGCGCTGGCTATGGCGTCTTACTTGCAGAAGTTTAGTTACTTTACGTGTCCGCCGAGCGGCGACATGTACTTTCGAGGTATCTTTTCTCGGAGCGCCAAAATTTGTGCTCCCAACGAGCCGTTCATCGTGTCCGATAAACCGATCACCATGTTTCTCGGCACCGTCGTCGGTCCTCTGGCGACCAAGTTGACCGGCATCGCCACCGTACGTTGCTCGATGTTCATGGTGCACTCGCTCGCGCTCGGCACCTTTGCGAGCGCCGTCGCGCCGTTTGGCGGCTTTTTCGCCTCTGGGTTCAAGCGCGCGTTCAAGATTAAAGACTTCGCGGCAACCATTCCCGGACACGGCGGTATCACCGATCGCATGGACTGCCAAGTCATCAATTCGTGCTTCTCCTCGCTCTACCTCTCCAACTTTATCACGCACGTCGGCGGCTCCTTGACGCTGGGCGCGCTCTTGACGAAAATAGAGCTCGCGAGCGACGCGCACATCGTCGCACTGTACAACGCACTGACGAAAATGATCGAGGCGCGAGGTCTTTCCGTCGGGATCGATCCATCGATCCAAACCATTGTCCAAACGTAAACTTTTAATATCACGCCGCTCGCGACTGGTACTAAACTCCTTCCTAATCATTACAAAACGACCGCTGCGAGCGCGGTGCGCGCTATTCCGACGGCTCCGCCGGCTTCGCATCCGCTATGGCGGCTAGGTACATCAAGTTTTCCTGCAGTTTGGTCTGATACTTGGCGCACTCCGCGAGCTTGCCGACGTTTTGATTCTCAAGGATCGCGAGAATCAGTTGCTGATTCTCATCCAAATACTTTTGTATCAGCTCCGTCGTCACCACGGACGGCGCGGCGGCGTCGCCGGGCGTCACAAATGAAGGACCGGCTTGTTCGCCAGACATCACGAGCGGCGCGCGCGACGAACTGTGACGCGCGGTTCGCTCGCTCCGAGCGCTCGACGCCGACGCGTCGCCCTGATTCGAATTTCGCTCGACCGCACCGCCGCGCTGCGATAGTGTACACGATGAAAGATTTAAAACAACATTACGCTACAGTCATTCGCGTCGAACGCGCCGCGAACGTCGATCCTCCGTCACGCGTCTTCGTCGTCGCCGCCGAACGCCGCCTCGACGAGTCCCACGAACCCGACGACGAACGTCTTCGCGAACGCCGCGTTCGCGCTCGTCGCGTCCGCGCCGCGCTTCAGCGCGACATCCCTCGCGATCGCGCCCACGACGCCGTGCGCCACGGCGACGAACGCGACGAATCGTCTCGTCCACGCTTCTTGCTCCGTCGTCAGCGCGCCGACGCGCGACCAATCGCCGCTGTACCCCGCGTCGACGACGCCCGCGAGCGCGATCGCGATCGACGCCTGCAACGGCGCGAACCACGCCTCGGCGGGCCACCGGCCGAACGCGTCCTCGAACGCGCGCCACGTTCGAGCGTCGTACGCGTAAAACCGACCACCGCGCGCGTCGTCGGCGCCGTCGCCGTCGTCGTCGCCGCGCGTCGCGCGTCGCGTCGTTCGACGCGCGTTCGCGCCCGCGCGTCGCGTCGTTCGACGCGCGTCCGCGCCCGCGCGTCCCGCGCGCGCGACGCGCGCGACGCGCGTCGCCGTCGTCATTGCGCCGCGCGCGCGTGTGATGCCTCGCGCGCGATCCACCGCCGCGCTCGTCGCCGTCGCGCTCGTCGCGCGCGTCGCGACGACCGCCGGCGCGGCGCTCGCGTCGTCGTGCGCGCCGCCTCGATTCTCGTGCGCGAGCGCGCGCGCGACGGTGGACGACGCGTCGAAGTGCCACGCGTCGTTTCGGTGCCGAATCGTCTGCTCGCCGAGCGCGTCGTGCGTCGAGACGTTCACGATACGCGCGGGCGAGGCGACGCTGCCGACGGGAGAGACGGTGACGTTCAACGCGTCGACGCGGGAGAGATCGGCGCTGGGACCGACGACGTACGGAGGGGACGCGGCGTGCAGCGCGGTGGGATGCGACGCGTACGCGACGCGACTGACGACGCAAAACGCGGCGCTGACGGAGAGGTACGACGGGAAGTTTTGCGAGGTGAGGGAGACGAGCGAGCGGTGCGCGCTGGAGGGGGCGCCGAAGGATGGGTCTTGGACGGAGTTTACGGTGACGATGAAGTGTCGGAATAAGATTTTGCCGTGCGGCGCGCGAGCGGTGGCGGAGATTGATTTCCTCGGCGTCGTCGGGTCGGTCGCGCCGGGCGCGCCGAGCCCGCCGACGCCGCCCGACGCGCCGCCGATGCCGCCGAAACCACCGCCGCCGCCGCCGCCGCCGTCGACGTTCGCGAAGGGCGGCGCCGGTCGGGCGGCGCTTCGCGCGGCGCTCGTCGTCGCGTTGAGCGCCGTCGTCGCGTACGCCGCGCTCGGCGGCGCGTACGTCTGGGCGCTCGAACGCGGCTGGGTCGAGGGCATCGCCGAACCGTGCTGGGAGCGCGACGGTGCGTTTTGCGAATTGCTGTGGTGTTGGTGCGCGCCCGCGTATTGGCGCGCGAGCGACGAGGAGTGCCTCGCCGCGTACGAAGGTCGCGCCGCCGCCGAAACCGCGACGCGCGAGGACGTCGCGCAAACCACCGCGCCTTTATTAGGCAACGCGTCGTCCGACGACGACGACGACGACGCGTGACCGACGCGCTCGCTCTTGTAAAACACGAATTGTTTCCCGCGACGCCGGCGCGCGCGCCGCACTCGCGAGCGCGCGGGCAACGGCACCACGCGCGCCCGCATCGCCGCCCGCGCGCGCCGCGTCGCGTTCGTCGCGCGACGAACGCCGGCGATGTCGTCGCCGCGCTCGAAACGCGCGAAAACGAGCGCCGACGTCGATTCAAATCCAAAGACGACAGCTGGAACGGCTTCCGACAACGGATGGCTCGCCGCGCTCCACGCCGAACGCCTCGAACGACGCGGGATCGCGCCGGGGCCGTCCGCGAAAGACGTGACTCGCGAGCGCGCGAACGAGCGCGCGCGGGCGCTGGCGATGACGATGGTGAACGCGCCGAGCGCGGGCGAGAAGACGTCGGAGACGCTTCGCGCGACGGCGGCGCCGGCGAAACCGAAAGCGAACGCGGAGGACTCGCGCGAAGGCGTCGCGATCGAAAAAGGAGATTTGAGATTGTTGACGTATAACGTGTGGTTCGGAGACGTGGCGCAGGCGGAGCGGTTGGAGGCGCTCGGGAAGGTGATCGAGACGTGCGACGCGCATGTGGTGTGCTTGCAAGAGGTGACGCCGCAAGCGTTGTTCGTGTTGCGGGCGCAGCCGTGGTGGGATGCCTACGTGGTCGGGCCCAAGCCCCCGTTGCAAGAGTATTTTAGCATGATGCTGTTCAAGCGCGTGGTTCGCAGTGAGGTTTTGAAGCGAGATCAGTACGCGTTTAGAAATTCGCAAATGGGACGATATTTAGACGTCGTCAGTCATATGCGATGCCCGAGCAGCCGGGCGACGTTCGCGCTCGGTACGTCGCACCTGGAATCGTACATCAGCGCCAGTCGAACGAGCGCGCGCGAACGCGCCGTGCAAATGTCTGAGTGTTTTTCGTGGCTGAACCAGCACGAGAACGCGATTTTCATGGGCGATACGAATTGGGACGACAAAGATGGCGCCGTGCCTTTACCCGACGGTTGGCGCGATGCGTGGCTAGAGGCGCGGCCTGGCGATCCGGGTTTCACGTACGACGCTCGCAAGAACGCCATGCTTCGTGGCTATCTGCAAAAGCGTCTCGATCGGGCGTTCGTGAAACTCAAGCACTTTGACGTCAAACGCGTTGAGATGGTGGGCACCGATCCGATTCCAGGCGTGACGTATCATAAAACGGTTAGCAACCGCGGCAAGGCGCAAATACTAGAGCTACCCGTTGTGCCGAGTGATCATTTCGGGTTGCTTCTCACGCTGCGTGGAAAATCTCGAAAGCTCGACGAGCGCGGGGGGAACGACATCGAGACCGTAGACTTGACGTAGCGCGATGCCGATAGAAAGGTAGATCAGAAAGGTATAGTTGTACTGTTCGAATGAAAAGAATACTATTTACCGTTCGATCACGAAAAGTGCGATACTTCTTCGCGAGCCGCAGCCTCAGCCTCAGCCTTTTCATCGATTTCGATTTGCTTCTCGAGTTGCTCGATATCCTCCTTGATGACTTCCTCTCTGATGTGCTCCTTCATGAACTCCGCTTCGTGTTTCGCGCGCTCTAACTCTAGCTCCGTCACTCTGCACTTGTGTCTCATCAACTCCATCTCCGTCTTCAGCGTCTTCACCTCCTTTTGGCACGTCGAGACGTCGCCCGCTCGAACCGGCTTGCTCGCCGCCCGCTCGACGTGTTCCTTCACCTCAATCTTCTTCGCCTCTAGCTCGTGTTTCGTCGTCTCGTGCTCGCGTCGCATCGAATCCAACTCTCGCGTCAGCGTTTCGTGCTCTTTGCTGCGCACAAACAGGTCGTGTTCGAGCGTCGTCATTCGCGCTCGCACCTCTCGCAAATCCCCCTCCAGCCCATCCTTGTGCTTTCTCACGCGTCTTTTGCTCACCACCTCCTTGCGACTGTAATAACTCAGGTACAGAAACAGCGTCATGAACACCAGGACCAGGTGCCACGGGTTGAACGTCTTCTTGATGCGCTCCGCGGCCGCGTTTCTCCGTTTCTTTTGCGACGACCCGTCGAACGGCATCAGCCCCGGCCCGGAGTTCGCGCCCTCTCCCGGCGCGTACACCCCCGGCGCCGGCCCGGGCTGCGCGCCGTACCCGAACGTGTCGTGCATCGCGCGTCGCCGCATCGCGGCGTCGTCGATCGGCGCCGCGTGCGTCGATGTGCCGTCCGCGCGCCTCGCGCGCGCGCCCGACCGCACAACGCGACGACGTCGAACGTCGTCGACGCGCGCGCGCGCGCGAGCCATGGCGCGCGCGCACGTCGGATCGCGCGACGCCGCGCGCGTCGCGGCCGTCTGCGTCGCGTCGACGCGACGACGCGCGCGAATCGGTGACGCGACGAATCGACGTCGCGCGCGGTCGACGCCGCGCGACGCGCGCGGCGCGCGAGGGACGCGCGCGACGGACGGTCGACGCGCGACGGGCGTCGCGCTCGACGACGGCGACGCCGCGCGCGAGGGCGCGGCGCGACGCGCGGCTGGGACGCTCGGTCGGGCGGCGGCGGCGGCGTGCGCGGCGCTCGTCGTGGCGAGCGGCGGCGGCGCGAGCGCGGCGGACGACGTCGAGAGCGTCGCGCGCGGCGATGCGACGATCGAGCGCGCGCAGAGCGGTGAAATCGTCGGTGAGGCGTCGACGGCGGCCGAGGTGAGCGCGCCGGGGGTGGTGATGGCGAACGGCGAGACGGCGCCGAACGCCGAGGCGACGAAGTCGGAATCGAAGAGCGCGACGACGAACGCCGAAACGGCGGAGAGTAAGCCGAAGAGCGAAAAGCCCGATCGACGGGGACGAATGAAACAACTTGCAGATTTGCGCGAGGAGCTCGCGGAGCGCGAGCTCGAACTCGAGAGTAAGGAGAATGAGTTGCTAAATCGCGATCAGACGGTGCAGGTGTTGCAACAAGAGCTCGAGTTGAAGACGAAGCTCTACGAGCTGATGAAGACCGAGCGGGATAAGGCGATCGAGGAGTCAAAGTTAGCGAGTGGGCTGTGCGCGCAGGCTCAAATTGGCGGTGGATTTTGACCCGATCGTCCGGCTGTCACAGTAGTTTTGTTTCATATACACGGAGAGACTCCGACGCGAACGTCACATGTCAAACGCCACATATCGCCTCGTCGCGCGCGATGTCGATCGAAGAACGAAAGCAAAAACCAACGAAACTTCTCGAGGACGAGCTCGGCCGACCGCTTCACGCGTTGCAGGACGACTCGCTCGCCGCCGCGGAAGAAACGTTTCGCCGCGACGTCTTTGCATCCTTCGAGAGCGGGCGAAAACTTCTCGGGAGCCACCGCGTGGAGGATTACTTGGATGAATACTACGGCGAGAGCGATCGGACGCCGCCTCTGATGCTCGCGGACACGCTCAGTATGTCGGAGTGTATCGAGTTCATGCGCGCGTTTAACGTGTCGAGCGCGCCCGTGCTCACCGGTGATGCGAAAACTTTCATAGGGTGGTGCAGCGTTTTCGACATTCTCCGAGACGTCGCGGCGGCGATTCAACGCGCGAAGCCGCCGGGTCGAGAGATCGTTCGGGAGACGGCTGCGTTGACGGGGCAGCCTCACGTGCACTCGGCGTGGGGCGTGCTTCGACACGCGTTTCGAACCGTGACTTCCGCGGAACGGCTGAGCGGTGAATCTGTCGAGCGCCGAGAGGTCGAACTCGATAATCATCGCCGCGAATGGCTCTCCTCGATCTCGCCGGAGGACGTGAAAAACGCGATCGATGAAGTGCTGAACATGACGCTCAAAGAAGCGCGACGAAAGACACACAGTGAGGAAGACGGGAGAATGGTGAGTCGCGTAGCGGCGGCGGATGCGGATCTTCTCGAGCTCGTTCGATCCGGCTTCCTGCGCCACATCGTCACCGCAGGGGACTTCATCGCGCCTCGCCAGGCGCACGTGTGTCATCGCGTGTGCACGTACTCGCTCAAACCCGACGACAAGGATGAGATGAAAGAGAAGATGGTTGTCGAGGCGCTCGTCAGTCAAGCTGATATTGTGCAGTTTCTGTACGACAACAGCGATTCGTTCGACGACGCCCTCAAGCGTCGAAACTTGACGTCGCTGGGCTTGGGCGCGCGGAAATCGCACCGCGTTTTCCCCGACTCTGACGTCATGTGCGTGTTCCCGGAGACGCGCTTACTCGATGCATTCGTGATGATGCACGTCACCGGTCACTCGTGTCTGGGCGTGGTCGACGAACCGCGCGGTAAATTGATCGACGTCCTTTCCGTATCCGACATTCGCGAAGCCGTGTTCGATGTCGACGCGCTGTGCGACACAGTCGAACGATACCTCAAGTCACGAGCGCTCACGCGCATTCCACTCGTTACCCTCACCGAGGACGCTGATTTCATCGACGTCCTGGGTGCGCTCGCGAAGAACTCCATCCATCACGTCTTCGTCGTCGATTTAGAAGGCTCGCCTCTGCGCGTCGTGACGCCGACCGACGTGCTCACGCGGCTGGCGCTACCATCCGCGCGCAAGCTCGGTTGGAGGTTCGATTCTTACGAAGTTCACCCCGATACGTTCGAGAACAATCCAGCGACCATGATTCGCCCGATCGCGTAGTCCTCGTTGCAACGACGACGCACCGCACACCGAGCCTCTCGCCATGCAACGCTTGATGCAATCTGGCGGTATGCCCGGCGCCATGCCCGGCGCTGGTGACGCCGCGCAGGTCGACACCGCGGAACAAGTGTACATATCTAGCTTAGCGCTGCTCAAAATGCTCAAACACGGTGAGCGCGCGACGCGAGCGACGAATCATCGTCGAGTTGACTGTTGGATCTGACGCGAAATCTCGAGACGATCGCGGTCGTGTGCGCGACGCGCGGGCGTGGACTGACCGATGGACGCCGCCGTCGCTCGAAATAGGTCGCGCGGGAGTGCCGATGGAAGTCATGGGCCTGATGCTCGGACAGTTCGTCGATGAGTACACGGTGACGGTGGTGGACGTCTTCGCGATGCCGCAGAGCGGCACGGGGGTCAGCGTGGAGGCGGTCGATCCGGTGTTTCAAACGAAAATGTTAGACATGTTGAAGCAGACCGGGCGAGAGGAGATGGTGGTGGGTTGGTACCACTCGCACCCTGGGTTCGGGTGCTGGCTGTCGGGGGTGGACATCAACACGCAGCAGTCGTTCGAGCAGTTGAACCCGAGGCTCGTCGCCGTGGTCATCGACCCGGTGCAGAGCGTGCGAGGGAAGGTGGTGATCGATGCGTTTCGATTGATTAATCCGCAGACGATCATGCTCGGTCAGGAGCCGAGACAAACGACGTCGAATCTGGGGCACTTGAACAAACCTTCGATCAGCGCGTTGATCCACGGGTTGAATAGGCACTACTACAGCATCGGCATTTCGTACGCCAAATCGGTGCTGGAAGAAAAGATGTTGTTGAATTTGAACAAGTCGAAGTGGAGCGCGGGTTTGAAGGTGAACAAGTTCGACGAGCAAGAGAAGCAAAACGAAAACGTCGTGCTCGAGCTCAAGGAGTTGGCGACCAAGTACGAAAAGGCCGTCGTGGAGGAGGACAAGCTGACGGCGCAAGAGCTCGTGGTGAAAAACGTCGGCCGGCAGGATCCGAAGAAACATCTCAGCGAGAACGTGCAAAAGCTCATGGCGGATAACATCGTGCAGACGCTCGGGGTGATGCTGGACACGATTTGTTTTTAAGCGCGAAAAGACGACGTCGCAAATCATAGCTTTACTAGTGCGGTGTGAATTCATCAAATCTAAACCCGTGTGTTCGTACCGATCTCTAAATTGCGCGTTTCCATCACGGCGCCTCAGGAGTGACAGTTTTTGAGCCCACGTCTTTCCAATCCGTGCTCAGGACCGTCCCGGCGCTCTCCTGAAATGATTTATTCATCGCGCGCCGAGTGTCATCATCTGCGTTCATGTAAATCTTTTGAAAAAGCTCGTTCAACGCCGCTTCGCCTTCGGGCTTTTCTTCCGAGAGCTCGGCGTCAAGCTCTGCCTCCAGAGCGTCCCAATCTTTCGCCGTGCGCTTGTCAGCTTGCGGTTTTACTTCACTGTACGCGTTCACTGACGATGTCGATAATCCGCCTCCCGGCCGTCGCTCGAGATCGTTCCAGTGTCCGGGTGTCTTCTTCTTCATGCGAATCTCCACCTTGGCCGGCGACACGTTGACCACACCACTTTCGCGATCGACCGCCCCGAAAAGTTTCAGCTCTAAAATGTATGGATCATACATTTTCGCGTGCGCATCGCCCCCACTCAAAGCATCTATCGTCACCCGCAACACATCGCAAGCGTCGTTGAAATCCAACGTCAACGCGTCCGCCGTGACGCCTCGCGCGAAAATTTCCACTGTCGCGTGCGTCTGCGACTGATACCACGCCCGCTTGAAACGCTCGTCGTTCGCGTGTGGCGATGCATCTTCGCCGCCATCTCTCGCCTTCATTTCCGCCGTTTTCGCCTTTTCGAGCCACTTCATCGTTGTCGCGCGTCGGCTCGTCCCGCTCGGCTCGGCGCCGACGCCGCGCTCGAGCGCTTCCCGTGCCTTTGCATACGCCCCGATCTCGTACGCCGCGATCCCGAGCCTGAGCAGCGCCTCGGAGTTGTCGCCCTCGAGCGCCACCGCGTCTACGGCGTCCGCGAACGCCTCTTGCGCGAGCCCGACCGCTAGAAATGTCTTGGAGCGGTGACACAGCAGCGCCACTTTTTCACCTTCGTCGCCGGTTCCCAGAGCGTCGTCGCATATTTGCAGCGATTCGTCGTAGTCCTCGTCGTCGAACGCGTCGCGCGCGCTCGCAAGGGCGCTCGCGGCGGACATGGAGCGCGATCGCCGCGCGCGTGCGAGTGAGGTCGTCGCGCGTTGGGGAGTCAAACAGTCAACGCGGACTAGAGACGGACGAGACGTGCGGAAAAATGTGCGTGAGCTTTGGTTAAACCGTACTAGTATTAGTGATAGGGTTGAGCGCTCACTCAATCTGCCAAACGATCCCACGCGTGCCGATGGACTCGTTCGGCGGCCCAGCGTCCGTGTCGGACTGCGTCCAGTTCATCCGAACGCTGTACAGGCGTTGGTTTTCCTTGCGACGAACCATGTCAAACTTACCAGAAATGAAGTGACCATCGCTGGCGTATACCTCAGGAAACATGTAGAACGCTTGTTGACCCCAGTGCGTGGCGCCGTTCGCGTCCGGTGCTGTCGTGAGCTCGACCGGGTTCTCGCACGGGTTCTCCTTGGATCCCGCGAACGTGACGTCGAACCAGCCCGCGAACGCGCCGACGCGCGTCTCCCCCGAAGGCCCTGCGAGTCCATCGAACAGGCGCAGCTTGAAGTCGACGTCGCGAAGAACTTTGATGTCGTCCATCGAGCACGTGTTCAAGTCAAAGCTCGCCAACGTAAACGGCTTAGCCATGACTTGCGACGGGTGAATGTCCACCCACGCCGCGGTGTTCAAATAGTGCTCTTTTTGCTCATCTTCGTATTCGCCGTTCATGCACGACAAGTCTATGCCATAATTTTCGTGCGTGTTCCGCACGAAATCCTCCCACACGTTCAAGCTCTCTTGAAGCTCTTGATATTTTTGCCCACTCTTGTTCGACTTAATCGCGCTCAGATACATCTTCGCGTGCGACGGAAACATCGCCCCTCCCGGCTTCATCCACTTATCCCTCGCGCACAGCACCGAATCAAACATCGACTCGCGCAATAAAAAGTACCCCATCCATTCACTGATGATCACGTCCACCTTCTCCGGCAGTTCCACCTCCTCCATCGATCCTTGTATCACCTCCACGACGTCGCTCAGCCCGTTCGCCGCGACGATTTTCCTCGCTTGCACAGCCATGTGCGTCGCCTCCACCGCGTACACCTTCTTCGCCCCCGCTTGCGCCGCCCACATCGCGAGCACACCAGATCCCGTCCCCACGTCCAGCACCACCTTCCCCCTGAACGAATCCGGATTCAATCGCACCGCGTCGCTGTACGCCGTCATTCGATTCTGATCCTCCAGCATGTCCTTCTGGTGATACAGGTACCCGTACGTGCAAAAATAATTCGCGAAATCCGCGTCGCCGATGTCCTTCGGTTTCGTCACCACCAGATTCGCCGTGCGCCCGTCCCCGTCGTCCCTCGCGCCCGCGCCGTCGGCGTCCATCGGCGCGTTCGTCATGTCGGCGCCGCCTCGCGAGGCGTTCGCGCGTCGTTTTCGCGCGCTCCCGCGCGACGCGCGTCGCGGGCGCGGCGGCGCGACGCGCGCGCGGCGTGCGAGCGACGTTTGCGCGCGTCGACGGCGCGAGGCGCGTCGTCGTGTGCGGCCGCGCGCGCGCGCGCGCGCGTCGCGCCGCCGCCGAAACAGTTGACTTCGTGATGCGCTCGCACCGTCCTTCTATGCGACGCCACGCACTAGGGTTCGGGGCGCTAAATCGCGCGCCATCGCGCGCGCGCGACGCCCGCGCGCGCCAGAATCTCGCGCGCGCGACGATGAATCCCGAGTACGATTACCTGTTCAAGCTCCTGGTGCGTCGAACGAGTCGCCGCGACGACCGACGCCTCGGCGCGCGCGCGCGCGACGCGCGCGCGCGCGCGCGAACGCGACGCGCGCGCGAACGCGCCGCGTGCCGTTGAGACGGGCGATCGTCGCGACGCGAACGCTCGACCGCGACGCGCGGTGACGCGAGGGATCGAGGGACGGGCGCGCGCGGACGCGAGCGAAGGCGACGCGGACGAGGACGGGATCGACGCGCGGGCGCGGGAGGCGCGAACGGAGGCGAGGGAGACGCGAGGACTGACGAGGGCGGATCTATCGACGCGCGCGCGCAGCTCATCGGCGACTCGGGCGTCGGTAAGTCGTGTCTGTTGCTTCGCTTCGCGGACGATACGTACACGGGGACGTATATCTCGACGATCGGGGTTGATTTTAAGATTCGCACGGTGGAGCTGGAGGGTAAGACGATCAAGCTTCAAATTTGGGACACCGCGGGGCAGGAACGATTTCGGACGATCACGTCGTCGTACTACCGCGGCGCGCACGGCATCATCGTCGTGTACGATGTGACCGACATGGAGAGTTTTGAGGCGGTGAAGGGATGGTTGAACGAGATCGATCGCTACGCGAACGAAAATGTGAACAAGTTGCTGGTGGGGAATAAGAGCGACTTGACGAGTCAAAAGGTGGTGGATTACGCGACGGCGAAGGCGTTCGCGGATGAGATTGGGATCCCGTTCATAGAGACGTCGGCGAAGAATGCGACGAACGTTGAGCAAGCTTTCATGACCATGGCGAACGAAATTAAGAACCGCATGGCGAGCCAACCGCAAATGAACGCGGGTCCGCGAGGAAACACCGTGCGACCGGGCGAAGGTCGCAGCGTCAACGCGAAGAGCTCTTGCTGCTAGTTTCATACTTCTGTCTCGTTCACTTGTGCGTCTTAGACGCAGCTTTTAATTCTCAGCACAGCGATATGATTGTACGTTAAATTGACGCCTCGCGTAGTAGAAGCGAGAGAAACCGATCGCGCGACGTCGCCGCGCCGCGGCGACGATTACTATTTCAATATTCAATATTTCAATCGATCGCGCGATAAAATCAATAAGCGTGTGCATACATATACGTCGTTAGGCTAAAATGCGTCTCTGGCGTCGGTCATTGATTCCACGACGAATCAAGATAAAACAAATCCAACGCTCTGCAGTTACCGCACTGTTGCGATCCGGCGGGCGCCGGCTCGGATCCTTGCGCAATAGCAAACGGACACGACTTCCACGTGTGTGCGGTCGAGCGCTTGTCGTTTGCAGTCGTCAGCGTGCGCGATGCGCGCGGCATTTCCACCAGCGCCACCTCGTTCGACGGTTTCTTCTGCGACACCGTGGTTGTTTTCGCCTTACGCTTTGATATCGACTTCACGTGGCCAGTCTTCACGAGTAAGAAATCGACGTTCTTGGAGAGCCCGCACGTCACCGTCTCGCCCGTCGGCTTCTTCGTCGGGTTCGTTTCGTTCGCTCGCGGGTCCGTATTTTCTTCCAGCGAAACCTCATCGCGCGACTCGTCGCCTTTCGTCGTCGCCGAAGTCGCGTCCGAGGCGTGCAACGAAGCACCGTTCGAACGCTGCGTCTCCTCCACCGTCTCTGGCGTCGATCGCGCGTCATCGACGTCGTCGCCGTCATCCACGTTAACGTGTTCATCGGTATCGAACGAATGCTCGTCCGAGGGCGTCTCCAGCGCGGCGTTGTCCACGGCGTCAAACGAAGAACTGCTCAGAACAGAACCGCGTATCACCGAGGTCTCAGCGCGCGCGCGCTCGGTCGCGCGCGACGGCGTTCTGCTGACTGGTGCGATTTGATTGGTTCTATTCATCCTACGTTCCGCGCGCGCGCGCGGCTCGAATGCGCGTCGTGGAGTGCGAGCGCGCGCGGCGCGCGCGAGAGAGGGTTCTTTCCCCTATCGCGCCGTAAAGCTGCCAAGGGAAGAATTATGTTACAGATGCTTCTTTTTTGCGCGCTAGTCGAGCGCGCGAATCGCGCGATGTTCATCTCGTGTCGTCCGCGAGCGCGATGACGCCTGTCGGCACGCCGGGGGTGTCGTCGTCGCTGGTGTTCACTTCTTTGACTTCGTCCGTCGTCTCCGTCGCGGCTGCGTACGCGATCGACGCGAGCGCGTGACAGCGCACTTTCGTGAATTGTAGACATTCAATCGCAGCCGCTGCCCACACCAGTGTGCGACATGCATTTAAACCCCACGTAAACGTCGTCGTCGTCCGTTGCACGCTCGGCGGTGCTCTCGAGCGAATATACTCGTTCGTTCTCGAGGCGAGTTCGAGCGCCGTTACGAGAAAAATCGCGCCGAGCGTTTGCGCGTACTCTGGAGTCGCATCGACCTTGTCCACCGCGTCCACCGCCGACGCATCGCCCTCATTGATTGGAGGGAACAGCACGGATCGCGTGAAGTTCCCCACCGCCGTCTCGAGCGAAGCGACGCCGAAGAGCGTTCGCATCGCCGTCTCCTTCACCAACGCCGTCAATGACATCGTCTTCCGTCGTTCCTCCGCATCCATGCGCGATCGCAGCTCGCCGATCGCACGTTCAATCGCCGGAATCGTCGACGTCGTCAGCGCGCGAACGTCGCCCGTCACTTGATTTTGGACGCCCTCGGAACGCCGAACGGCGCCTTCGATTTCCGAACTCGACGCCTCCAACTTGCTCGTCTTCTCGCGCACGTCGTGCAGCGCGAGCTGCAACGCCCCCAATAACTGTCTCTGCGGTAACGATTTATCGAACGCCGATTCCAGCGCGTGCTTTTGTCCGAGCAAGTACGACTCCACGTCTATTTCGTTCGGCGCGTCAGCCTCACGCGCGGGCGCCGCGCCCGCGTTCCCGATGTCCGACAGCGCGCGCATCGACGTCGACAACTCCTTCGGGACGACCGATTTTCGTCCCACGACGAGGTCTTCGGGCTGCCAGATGGCGTCGATGGGCGACACCGCGCGTTTTTTCCGCGAGCGTGGGCCATCTTCTTTTGTCCCCCCAGATTGTGAAAACGCGTTCGCGCTCTCGCCGCGCGCGCCGTCGACGCGCGCGCGCGCGAGATCGCTCGCGCGCGCGGACGTTATGGGAGATTCATCGCCCGCGTCGCCGTAGCGGTTCGCCATGGCACCGCGCGCGGCGATTTGCGGCGAGACGCGGCGTCGCGGCGGTTATCCGCGCGGGCGTCGCGGCGTCGCTCGGCGATGGCGCGGCGGAGGCGGTTAGTGTACAGAGAAATCATACAATTGACATGATGCGCGCGTTTCTAAGTTCTTCGTCGTTGGCATCGCGTCGCGCGACGCTAGCAGCATCCGCTCTGTTCTACGCGCGGCGGAGCGTTCAAGCCGACGGTGTCCGACGCGCCTCCTCCCGCGACGTATCCGAGCTTAACTCCGTTACTCTCGTCCTTCACATCTAATCCGGCATCGATATTTTTCACCACCTCGCGCGCGGTGGCGATGAACGCGTCCTCGACGTGATCCGCCGTCTTCGCGCTCGCCTCGACGAAGAGCAAACCGTTCTCCCTGGCGAACATTTCCCCCTCCTCCGTCGACACCGCGCGCCTGTGCGAAATGTCCGCCTTATTCCCCACGAGCGTGATCACCATGTTTGGATTCGCGTGCGCGCGACAGTCTTGCAACCACGTCGAGAGGTTATCGAACGTCTCCCTGCGCGTCACGTCGTACACGAGCAGCGCCGCCGCCGCGCCTCGATAGTAGCTCCTCGTGATGCTTCGAAAGCTCTCTTGTCCCGCCTGCGCGCGCGCGTCGATCGCACGTCAGTTGCCGCGCGCCACAGATCGTCCGCGTCGATCGTCGCGCGTTCTTTTCGCGTCTTCGTTCGTGTTCGCGTTCGCGTTCGCGTTCGCGTTCGCGTTCGCACCGTGTCCCAGATCTGCAATTTCACTTGTTTGCTCGCCACGCTCACCATGCGCGACCCGAACTCGACGCCGATCGTCAGGTCGTGCACGGGTTGAAACGTCTTATCGGTGAACTGCAGGAGCAGGCACGATTTCCCCACGCCTGCGCGGAAAACGGTGGGTTCGGTCAGCGGCGTAACGAGAATGTGCGCGCGTCGTCGCGGTGCGGCGCGTCGACGCGGCGCGACGCGGCGCGTCGGACGCACCGGTGTCGCCGATTACGATGTATTTGAAGAGGTAGGCGTACGACATGACGTCGCCGAGGCGAGACGCGCGCGCGGGAGTCACGTAAAGAATAAAATTGCAACGCGGGCTACGGCGGCGCGCTCCGACGACGCGCGAAGACGCGAGCGAAGGCGCGCCGAGAGACGCGCGCGAAGATGCCGAAAGAACGCGCGCGCCAAAGAAGTTTACGCCGCGTGGAGACGCCGCGCGAGATGGAAGACGCACCGAGAGCGCGCGGGACGATGAGACCGAGCGCGGCGTAGCGCACGTTGCACCACTGACGCTTCATCTCGAGCGCGGCGATGGAGCTCTCGCGCGAGTCACCGAGCGCCTTGATGACGTTTCGCACCAGCGCGTTCGCTCGTAACACGATGATCATCTCTTTCGATAAATTGTTGCCGATGATCGCGGCCTCGCCGAGACCTGGACGCCCGGCGCCGCCTTTGGCCTTGTCGTCGGCCCACTGCTTCTCGAGGACTCGTCGATCCACCGGTTCGCCGCTCGACGTCTTTCTCGCCAACGCGAGCGGCATGAGCCACGCGAATTCATCCGGCACTTGCAAAGCTTTCGCGGCGGCCACCGCGCGGACGCTGTCGCCGACCGCGATAGCGATCCATAAATTTGACATCGCCTTGCGCGATTCCTCCGTGAGCTCGCTGTACAAGCCGTGATCCAACAGCACGACTTGCGTTCGCCCGCTTCCGTCGGGATGCGCGCGGCAGAGCAAATTTCCAGGGTGAGGATCTCCGTGGATGTACCCGTGCACGAGAAGCATGCGCGCGAAACAATCGCTCAGTGCGAGCGCGGCGTGCTCGGGGTCGAGACCTTTCTCGCGCATCCCTTCGATGTTCGTCAGTTTCTCGCCGTCGATGAACTCCATCGTCAACACGCGACGAGTGGTTAAATCCCAGAAAACCTCTGGGGTGTCGATGCGGGCGTCGTCCGCGAACGCCAATCCGAGCCGTTCGCAGTTCCGTCCTTCCGCTTCGAAATCGATCTCCTTTTCCAGTCTTGACTTGAACTCGTCCACCATGAAACCGAAATCAAACGACGGAAAGAAGAGCCTGGTGAAGCGCACCAGCGCGCTCATCGTCGATATGTCGCTCTCGATCGACCGCTCGAGCCCTGGTCGCTGGATCTTAACCGCCACCGTCCGTCCGCTCTTCAACACCGCGCGATGCACTTGCGCCAACGACGCCGCCGCCATGGGTTCGGGTTCAAACGTCTCGAACAGCGCCTCGGGCGCGCGACCGCCGAACTCATTCCTCACCACTTTCAGCACCGCGTCGCGCGGCGACGGCGCCACCTCATCCTGCAGCTTACTCAACCGTCGCGCGTACGCCTCCGGCACGCCGCCGGCGGTGGACGCGAACTGTCCAGCCTTGACGTACAGTCCTCCGTTCGCGCCGCACATCGCGTGCAACCGCTTCGCGTTCCTATCGTGCGCGCCGCCCTCGCTTCGCCACGTCTCGCGTTTCGCGAGCTTATAGTCCACCACCATCGTCGCCACCGTCGCCGCCGCGTGCGCCGCGCGCGCCGTCCCTCGCGCGAGCGTCGCCGCGTCGCCCTCGTCCTCTTCGACCGTCGCCGCCGCGCCGAGCGTCGCCAGCGCGACCGCCGCCGCGACGCCTCGCGCGCGCCGCGTCATCGCGATCGCGCCTCGCGCGCGCCTCGCGCGCCGTCGTCGTCGTCGTCGCGTCGTCGCGCGCGCCTCACGCGCCGTCGTCGTCGTCGCGTCGTCGCGCCGCCTCCGCGGGATCTTTCGCCGCGTCCTCGCGCATCTTCAGCGCGAACGTCGAGCACGGGATCGCCGCGCCGACGAGCACGACGGCGCGCGCGAGCGCGCCGCGGCGCACGAGCATGCGCGGCGCGGTCGGCGCGCGGCAGTGTGCGACGCGCGAAGCGAATCGATTCGATGATGCGCGCGCTCGCGCGACTCTTCGGACGCGCGCGCGCGCGCGCGGACGACGACGGCGACGGCGACGACGGCGCGGACGCCTCGGACGCGCGCGCGCGCGCGCGAGGCGCGCGGACGCGCGCGCGCGGGAGGAAACGGCGTCGAACGCGCGCCGGAGATGACGGCGCGAACGACGCGCCGGACGCGCGCGACGCGTTCGCGCGATGGGTGCTCGATCTCTCGCGCGCGCGATCGGCGCGCGCGATCGAGGTGCGCGCGCGCGCGTCGGAGGCGGCGATCGAGCGCGATCGGCGCGCGGAGGCGGACGCGACGGTTGAGGAGACGGTTGAGGAGACGGTTGAAGCGACTCGCGCGCGAGTCGCGTACTCGGAGGACGATCGTCGAGGGGCGAAGGCGCTGTTGGAGGTGGCGAGGGAAGCGTTCGAGGACGGTGAACGCGATGAGGGGCGCGCGGGGGCGAGGGAGATGCGCGGGTACGGGTTGCGGTTTACGCGAGACGCCGCGAGAGGCGAGACGGTGCTGGAGTTGCGCGGACCGCGACAGTTGATCACCGCGCAGTCGTGCGCGCGAACGCCGGCGTTGGCGGAGTTGGCGAGGTATTGGCTTCTCGTGCAGTCGTCGGCCGCGGTGCGAACGCTGGTGTCGAGGCAGGAATTGAGACAATGGCGAAGAACGCGTCGCGCGAGGGCGCTGGCTCCGTGGGCGAAAAAGGAAGATTTTGAAGGCGACGGGTACGTCATCGATCCGACGAGCGAACAGTTACACTTGACGCTCGATGAAACGTTGTTGTGTTGCTTTCTCGCGTTGGAGAAGAAAAAGGGTAAAAGTTCGTCGCATTACGAGTATTTGAGCAAGTTGCCGACGCTCGAAGAGTATCAAGCCTTCATTCCGGCGTACCTCCCGATGCCTTATTTCGTCAATTTATTCGGATACGGCGAAAGCAAAGCGGCGTACGGGTACGAGCCTCGGTGCAACGCCGACTTACGTTGGCTGATTCTCGAGCGTCACCGAATCGAGCGCGCGGTTGAGCTTACGTATAGTCAAATTGTGTCCCAGGTGACGTATGGAAACTCGTCCAGTCGAGGGCCAACGGGCTCCAGGGGCAATGAAATCACGGCGGGGGAGTTTCGGTGGGCGTATGCGGTTGTCATGTCGCGTTCGTTTCAGTCGCCGAACCCGGTTTCGAATGATCCATGGCGAGACATGTTTCGAAGAATGGACTTTTGCGGCATCTTCATGGCTCCCGGAATGGACTTTGCCAATCACAAACGACCGCGCGAGGTGTCGTACGTTTCTTCCGACGGCTTCAACGGAAACGGGCAAGTCACGATGAAGGCGCTTCGCAATTTTAAAGCCGGCGAGTTCTTGCACATCACGTACGGAGCCAAAGGGAACACAGATTTGCTCTTGCGATACGGGTTTTGTTTCAAGGAGAACGTCGAGCCGGACGGCTCGAGTAACGATCGGTTTCGCGTCGACAAGGACGATTTCAGACGATTCGTGTGCGGCGCGGACGACGAGGGAGCTGTAAAGCATCAGGAAATCATGCTACAGCTGGCGACTACGGCCGATTACACGTACAAGCCGTTCGTCGAGCTTCTCGACGTGGCGCGAGCGCACTTCGTCGAGGCTGAGCCAATTTTACTAGCCGACCGCGAAGACGCCGCGCCCACTCGAGACGACGATGTGTGGGATCAAGAAGAGGATGTTTTCGCAGCGAACGGAACAGATACTGAGGACGAGGAAGAGTACGTCGCGATGTACGGCGCCGACGAAGAGTCGCTCAAAACGGACTCGTACGACGGCGACGTCGTTTCGCGCGACAAGCACTCGGCGCGCTTGCGCGTCGAAACGAAAGCACTTCGCGCGCTATCCGAATATCTTTCGACGCTCCAGTTGGTCGAACCACCCGAACACGCCGACGCGCTCGCTTTGGGCAAAGCCGACGTCCGCGAGCTCACGTCGTACTCGCACCTGCGCGAGCTCGCGCGAATTTGGCGCGCGTCCAGACGACGCACGCTCGACGTCTACGCCCTCGCCGCGCACACCCGAGCGGAAAGCTTACTTCGAGACTTCGACTCCGCCGACACGCGTCGCGGGCCGTCGAGTCCGACGGCGCGCGCCGAGTTGACGCCGACGCGCGCGCAACTCCTCGCCTCTCGCGCGCTCGTCGCGCGTCTCGCCGACGCCGCCGACGCGCGCGTCGCCGCCGACGCCCTCGCCACCGCTCGCGCGCGCGTGTTCCGCGCCACCGCCCTCTGGGACTCGGCGCGCGAGCTCCACGGGCATCCTTAACCGCCCGCTAGACTTCAACTAGACTCTAGACTTCAACAGCCAGCCCGCGCGCTTTGCGGCGTCTTTTCCCGCCAATTTCCCGCGTCGGTCGATTTCGCGCGTTTTTTTTATTACCGCTCAAACCTCGTTAAATGCGCGCGCGCGCGACCCGTAAAACCAACCATCCAAAGATCGCGCGATCTCGATCTCGATCGGATCGCGCGCGCGCGATCGACGCCGTCGCGATCGACGCCGCGCGCGCGGGCGCCGGACGCGCGGCGATCGATCGCGAGGACGCGCGCGGATAACATCGCGGCGCGCACGGGCGACGATCGGGGACGGTGACGACGCGAGGAGGCGCGCGAACGAGCTCGGCGCGCGGTGCGCGAAGGTAAACGTCGCGAGACGTCGATAGGACGGCGAGGCGAGGCGCGAGGGGGGGTCGGGACGAGCGAGGAAAACGCGATGGGGCCGAACGCGGGCAATGCGGCGCCGAGCCGGACGCCGGCGGACGCCGCGCGCGAGGGCGCGGGAGGGGACGAACGCGCGATCGCGCTCGAAGGGATGGCGACGCAGGCGATGTACGCGCAGCAGATGATGACGACGATGACGCCGGAGGCGATGGGGGCGGCGTACTACGAACGACAGAACGCCGCGCTCGCCGCCATGGGACCGCACATGATGGCGTCGTACGCGGCGTACGTGGCGTACGTGCAGTCGCAGACGTACAACGTGCAGGCGTACGCGGGGATGATGGGCGCTTCGCCACCGTTTAGCGGCGCGTACGGGACGCCGGCGATGGGCGCGGCGGCGTACGGCGGCGAAGCGACGAGCGCGCGCACGGGACGCGGCGGCGGCGGGGCCAAGAAGGGCGGGAAAGGCGGTCGCGCGGGACGAAAGGGGGGCGTGACGCAATCGATTCGCGCGTGCAAGGCGACGGTCAAGGCGTCGACGAACGTCAAGGCGCAAAAGCAAAAGATTTGCGTCAACTGCAAATCGACCGAGACGCCGTTTTGGAGGAAGGATAAGGACGGAATCGGATCTCTGTGCAACGCGTGCGGGTTGTACGCGGCGAAGAACCATGCCCCGCGACCGGCGTTGCTGTGGAGACGATCTGGCGCGACCGGAAGCGAGAATGGTGGATCGGACAAAACCGGTTCGGACAAAACCACCGAAGCCGTCCCTTCGAGCAGTGGCGACGCCGCTGAGAACAAATCAAAACAAGACGGGCACACCTCGCTGTTGAAGACTTCGGGTTCGGGTGATCTCACCGCGACTACTACTACTACTACGACGACGACGACGACGGATAGCGATGACGCAAGAATAGCAAAGCAAGAAGCGAAACTGGATGGAGTCGGCCGCGGCGCCGAGTGAATCTCGCTACGCCGCGAAGGCCGCAAAGTCAACGGGATTGATGAACGACCCTTTCACTACACCTGCACGCGATAAGCACGATACCGACACTTGCCACTCCATTCCAATTGATCACTGTCTTAATACAACGCCCAGACTACCACACTGCATCACGTCGCACTCTTCATCGCCATGCGCTGCCTCTTCCCAGGCTTGCTCTTGCCGGATTTGCGTTTGCTCTGCGCGTGACGCCTCGAACGTTTCTCCTTCTCCTTGGGCGCGCTATCGCTCACTTTTCTCGCGAACTCCTTCTTCGCCAAGCGTTTCGTCATTTTCGCGTCGTCATCGCCGTCCGACTCATCATCAGAGGCTTCGTCACCGGAAGAATCAAACTGATCGAGCGAAAACTTTCCACCCTTTGCCCGCTCGCCCTCCGCCGAGCGTAAAATTTTTTGCGCCCGCAATCGCGCCAGGCGTTCAGCGTGCGTCTCCGCCTCCCCGTCGCTCACGATTCCATCATCCTCGCGCACCGCGGGATAAAAACACACGAACGTCTCGTCGTTCGCCCTTCCGAGTTTTTCCAAATTCTTTCGATGTCGCTTGCTCGCCGCGTGCGCGCGCATATTCGCCGCGCTCAACAACAGCGTCCCCGGACACGCCCGACACTTCGCCGCGATGCTCTTCGCGTCAGAATCTCCTTTTAACGCGTCTTCAATCATCGTTCGCGCGTCATCATACCTCTCGCGCGTCGACGTCGCCTCCTCGTTCGTCGCCGCTTCTTCTTCGTCGTCGTCGTCGTCGTCGTCGCTCGCGCTCGCGCTCGCTTCTTCATCGCTCGACCGCGCCTCCGGTCCCGCGGACTCGACCGAATCCGAATCGCTCGACGAGTCCCCATCGCGGGCGTGCATGTAGTTCCAGTCCCGTCGCTTAAACCTGCGCGTCGCGTCGCCGTCGTCGTCGTTCGTCGTCAGTCGGTCGGTCGTCGCGGTCGGCGGCGGCGGTGAAAACCGTCCGCGCGCGCCTCGCCTCGCGCCTCGCGCGTCGCTCGAGCGCGCTCGACGCGCGACGCACATCGCGTTCGACGCCCTCGCGCGCGTTCGATCGTCGCGTCGGCGCGCGCGCGCGTGAGTGCGGCGTCAAAGCGCGCCGCACGGTCCCCGCGCGCATGCGCGCGACGACTCGCGCCTCGCGCGCGCGCGCCGCGCCGTCGCGCGGCGAGACGCGCGGCGCGCGCGCGCGACGTCTCTCTCGCGCGCGACGTCGCGCGATCGACGCGCGCGCGTCCGCGCCGATGGTCTTTGACGCCGTCGCGCAGTTTGTCGCCTCCGTCGACGAAACGCCGCGCGACGTCGCCGCGAGCGCGCTCACGACGATCGGCGCGTTCGTGTGGGTGAAAGCATTCGACGCGCTCGCCGATCGCGGGGCGTTCGCGTCGACGACGTCGAGGAAGTTGGTGCACGTGACGAGCGGGACGTTTTTCGCGTGCACGTGGCCGCTGTTTAGCGCGAGCGGCGCGGCGCGATTCTTCGCGGCGGCGATCCCGCTGGCGCAGGGGGTGCGATTATTCGGCATAGGGTCGGGGATGATTAAGAACGCGAGCGCGGTGCGGGCCGTGAGCCGAGAGGGGGGGAAGGAGGAGCTGTTGAAGGGGCCGTTGTATTACACGGCGGTGCTCGCCGCGTGCACGAGCGCGTATTGGCGGACGAATCCGATTGGAATAGTCGCGATGGCGATGATGTGCGGCGGTGATGGATTCGCGGATCTCGTCGGGCGGAAGTTCGGGAAAGGGAACGCGCTGCCGTGGAACGAGGAGAAGAGTTTCGCTGGGAGCGCGGGGTTCGTGGCGGGCGGATTCGGCGTCGCGAGCGGGTGCGTTTCGATTGATAAACGCGATTCGCGATTCGCGATTCGCGATTCGCGATTCGCGCGCGATATCGCTCGCGATGCGTCGGGGTGTGCTTTCGACGCGCGCGCGTCCGCTCGATCTCGAAGACTGACATCGCGCCGTTTCGTTTCGTCGCCGACGCAGATTATTGGCGTATTTCGACGCGTTTGGCTTCATCGAAGCCACGCCGACGACGTACTTTGTCACGCTCATCATCGCTTTCGCGTGCGCGCTCGTGGAATCGTTACCGATCACGTCCATCGTCGACGATAACTTTTCCGTCGCCATCACCGCCATCGCGTGCGGTTCGTTGTTATATTAGATTTCATTCGCGATATCGACGGCGTCACAGCGCGACGCGCGCGACGCGAAACCAACATGCACAGCTTTCACGGAACTTTCATTCGCAACTGCATCGTCACGCACGTCATCGACGGTAAGACCATCCGCGTGCTTCTCAACCCCGACGGCGGTCAGCAACGCTCGTCCACGGGCGACGGTTGGGAAGACTCGCTCGTCGTGGGCAGCGAACCCACGTCTCGCATACCGAGCGACGAGCTCGACGCGTCGAGCGTCGACCCGACGACGTGGGAGAAAGTGGACGTGCGGTTGATCTACGTCGACACCGAAGAATCGCTCGATGTGAAGAAGGAGGAGCAAGCGTACAAACCGATCACGCCGGCGGGCGTGGAGGCGTTCGATTGGCTCAAGAAGCGTCTGGGATCGGCGGCGGATGGTCGATGCGGCGACGTCGAGGTGGACATCGAATTCGACACCTGCGAGTTCATGACTTCGGTGTCTCGCGCGCGCGAGTACTCTCTCGATAAGTACGGACGCGTTCTCGCGTACGTATATCACAACGGCAACAGCGTCAACGTGGAAACCGTGCTGGCTGGTCAGTCTCCGTATTTCACGAAGCACGGCAGATCGAGACTCTATCACGGTGAATTCGCGCTCGCCGAGAAGCTGGCGATTGAGAACATTCGAGGAATCTGGGACCCAGCCGGAGCGTCTCTCGCATCGTTTGGCATGTTAGAGTACAGCCGGGACTACCGACGATTGTTGCCTTGGTGGAGAGAGCGAGAATTGTTCATCGAAGACTGGCGTCACTGGGGACATCTCGGGCTGACGAAGGACATTCTGAACCCGCGCGACGCGCGAGATTACCAAAAACTTCTAGTCGCCGCGGCTGCGCGCGAAAAGGCGACAATTTTAGTCGATCTTCAGCCGACGCAATCCAATCTTTACGACGGCGTCATGCAGCTCATCCGATACGAAGGCGGGAAGCAGGGATTGTGCATTTTCGCCGGCACGCGACGATATCCGTTTAACCTTTGGATGGACGACGCGAACTCGATGGAAAGCGGACGACTTCAGGCTTTACTCCACGCGCGCTACTGTCAGAACGCTCGCAACTTTTGCTTCATCACGGGAAGTCTCTTCATCTTTCACGCTAAAAATCGACCGCAGATGCTTTTGGAATCGTGCGAGCAAGTCAGCGATTTCCCGTTGCGTCCGGATGACATGTCGCAAAAGCTTCGAGGGCACCACCGCGCGGGCGCCGCCAAGTCCTCGCCCGCGGCGTGACGCCATCGCGCGCGCGAATCAAGACCATGACTCGACTTTCACTCCTCGATACGTGTGATCAAATCTCCAACTTTTTCCAGTTCGTCGCGCGTCAGTGCCCGCCTCGCGTCATGGGGGACAACAAGACCCTCGCCTCGCGGCTTCGCCAGATCCGCGATGTCGCCGGCTCCGTCGCCGTGGGCACCGTCGGCGGCTCCGTCGCCGCCGTGAGCACGCTCGTCCCGAGCGCGAGCGGCGCTATAGGTACGAACGACGCGAACGCGAACGCGACCCGCGCGAGAGATCCAACTGTCGACTAATCAACGCCTCGCGCGTCGCTCGCAGACACGCTGGTGATCAAACAACCCGACGGAGGACTCAGGGCGAGTCCGTTCTACGTGCGATTCGGTAACGCGCAGTCGTTCCTGCGAGGACGCGAAGCCAAGGTGGTGACGGTGACGGTGAACGGGACGCTGAGCGAGCTGACGATGCGGCTCGGATCCAACGGCGAGGCGTACTTCGCGGACGGTGTGGACGATTTCGACGACGACGAGGACGAAGATGAGGAAAGCGATATAGAGTTAGGAACCGGGGATGAAGACGAGGTCGGGGCGGTCGAGGCGCTGTCGGCGCTTCGATTAGAGACGCCGCCGAAGACGACGAGGCCGAGTACGTCGGGTTCGAGCGGGGACGTAGAAGACGGGAAACGTACGATGTCCGAAGAGGAAGTGGCGACGGCGGTGGATGCGTTACAAAGCGCCGGAATGACCGTGTTGCCCGCCGTGGAGTTGAGCTTGTGCGGGGGGAAAGTGGAGGAGTTCGACAAGCACTTGGTGACGCTCGAGCACTTCAAGGCGCACCCTGGGCTGATCGGACATTCTGGGCTCGTCGTGCGACCGCGACGCAGTCCGGCGGGACCACCCGCGAAGGCATTACCTTGGAGCGCGGCAGCACCGCACGTCTTGGCGCACCTCGCGTTCGGCACTCCTTTGCCATCGAACTGGAAGTTGACCTCGAACGGTCGCGTCAACGCGCCTGCGTCGCCTTTGGTCAACGCGCCAGGCGGATCGGTTGGTTTCGACGCGTTGACGTCGCCGAGACGAGGTCGTCGCGTACGTCGCGTGCAGTTAACGCAAGATGAAGTGATGTCGCTCGATCTCAAGCCCGGCACCAATACCATCTCGTTCGCGTTCAACTCGCGCGTGTGGGGATTGCAAGAGGTTTCGGCGTTCGTGTATTTATGGGATTGGAACATAAAGCTCGTCATCAGTGATGTCGACGGGACGATCACGAAGAGTGACGTCCTCGGCCATCTCGCACCGATGGTCGGTAAAGACTGGAGTCACGACGGTGTCGCGTCGCTTTACAGCAACATCACCGACAACGGATACAAGATGATGTTCTTGACTTCGCGAGCGATTTCGCACGCTTCGGGAACTAGAAAGTACCTGTCGTCGCTTCGTCAGGGCGACAAGACGCTCGCGCAAGGGCCGGTGATGTGCGCGCCGGATCCTTTGTCCAAAGCGTTGTTTCGCGAAGTCGTCACGAGGAACCCTCAGCGGTTCAAGATTCGATGCTTGCAAGACATTCGCAACTTGTTCCCACCCGGGTGGAATCCTTTTCATGCAGGGTTCGGGAACCGAGATACAGACGTGGAGTCTTACCTCGCCGTGGGCGTGCCTCAACACCGCGTATTCACGATCAACCCGAAAGGCGAGGTCGTGTGCGAGACGACAAAGCGAGTGAAGCAGTACACGTTGTCCGAGGTCAACGAGCTCGCGCACGAAATGTTCCCGCCCATTGAAGATACGTGCCCGGTGACGGGAAGCGTGGCGGAGGAACAATTCAACGACTTTAACCACTGGAAGAACCCAGTCGACGCGGACTTCGGGACACCGATTTGATTGATTCATCATGTACGATACACGCACATAGCAGCAGTTACAACTCTTCATAGCACATTCTAGATCAGATTCCTTCATTTCAGTCGTTCTCGTCACAGGCGCGCGCTTCATCGACGGCGCGGCATTGCGCGAGTATCAGTACGACGTCGATTCGCCACAACAACCTTCGCCGTAGAAGAGTTTAGCTTCGCTAATGCGCGCGATTCCGCTTTGCCGCACCGATCACACAGGTCTGACCCGAAGAATGGACTCTTCGAATCGTACGATCGACGCCAGTGGATTGAATTGTCGCCCTCGATCGCGCACCTCGAACACTTTCGAACCTGTCCATTCTTCAGTGTTTCGGTGCGTCTTCTATGGTACTTCGAAGCCGCTGGAGCGACCGGTGGTTTCTTTCGAATCGTCTTCCTCACGTGTAAAGCATTCTTCGGCTGCGTCGTCAATCTCGTCGTTGTCTCGCGCGCGTTTGCGCTGAAATCTCGATTGATTTCCCCGAGCACGTTCGCTCCCTCCTCGATCGACATATCATTCACCACTGCACCCGACTCGTTCTCGTCGTTCGCTGGGGGATCGGATTTCGGGCTATCGAATACCCAAAACCACGACGAAGTCGCGTTCTTCGCGTTCGCGTTTACGGCGCGGCGCGCCTTCGGCCTTCGGAGCGTCTTCCCCGTCTCCGTACCCTTCCCCGCGCGCTCGGGCGATCGCGATCGCTTGAACGGCTTAAATGCGCTGATCGCGGAGTGATACATCTTCTTTAGCGAGAACCCACGCGTCGAACTCGGCGCCGCGCTGTGCCCGGTGCCCGCGGTCGAGCGCGGCGCCGGCGGGAACCCCAAATCGCTCGGCACGTCGTAATACGGCGAATAGAACAGCGTGCGCGCCTCGCTCGGCGACCGCTCATCGTTTTCTTTCGTTTTCTCCGCGTCGCGCGCTTTCATCATCGTCGCGCGCGGAAATGACGCGCCCGCCCCGCGCGCGCGCGTTTCGCGTTCAAATTCAAATCTCGCGCGCGTCGTTCCCCTCGCCGCAGACCCTCGCGCGCGTCCGCGTCCATCGCCGCGCGCGCGAAGATGACGGAACTTAAGTGCGGCCCCGACGTCGACGAGGCCTCGTTCGCGGATTGGCTCGGCGGCACGCGCACGATTCTCGACAGCGACGCGGCGGTGGTGACCTCGCGCGTGGATATTCAACCCAAAGCGCGCGGCGGGCGAACGAGCGACGCGCGCGCGAAGCGACGCGACGGCGTCGACCGACGAAAGCGAGGGTCGTTCGACACCGCGTTCGCGATCACGCGAGGGGTAATGGAGAGCCTGAGCTCGAGCGGGCGGTCCTCGGGGCGGGCGACGCCGGCGTCGTCGGAACGAGGCGCGGCGAGAACGGGCGCGCCGCGGCGTCGAGACGCGGGAACGGTCGAGGGCGCAAAACAACGACGCGGAGGATGGCTGAAGTGTTTCGGTTCGCCGTCGAGCGCGATAGGGGAGAATTTTGGAGACACCGTCATTCCCGTGGCGTTGCGGGAGGTTCGATCGCGCGAGGTCGAGAAGTCGGCGGTCGATCCGCCGTCGACCGGGGCGTCCACGAACGTTCGGCGCGCGTCGCCGTCCGCGATCGCGCGCGAGGGTTCCTCGGTTTTGGTGCATCAGCGACGTCGGGTGTCGGAAACCGCGAGCGAGGGCGCGATTGAGACTCCGACCCGTCGCGCGGCTCGTCGAGGCGGCGGCGCCGACGTCGGCGGCGCGGCGTTCGCGACTCCCAATGTCGCGCGTTTCGGCGCGCTCGATCGCGATGACGCTCTGGCGCGTTTATTGGATGATGATGACGACGGTTCGAGCGCGCGATCGCACCGTTCGGCGCCGTCGCCGTGACGATTCCGGCGACGCGGTCGCGTCTATCCATCCGTCCGACTTTTTCCTAGGACGTTTGACGCCCTTCGCGCGTCACTCCTCGACGCCGGCGCGGAATTCAGCGACGATGGCCACTCGAGATCTCGACGCGGCGAAGAATGCGTTCGAGAGCGCCGACGCGGCGGCAAGCCGCGCCGCGCACGACAGCGAAATAGAAGCCGGTCACGCGGGGGAGGCTGGCAAGTACGTCAAATCTCTCGTCTTCGGCGGACTGGACGGCACCATCACGACCTTTGCCGTCGTCGCCGCGAGCAAGGGTGGCGGGCTGAGCACGGAAGTCGTGCTTTTGATGGGATTCGCCAACCTCGTGGCCGACGGTATATCCATGGGGTTCGGAGATTACCTTTCGAGCAAGGCGGAGCTCGACTACGCGAAGACGGAAAAGAAGCGGGAGAAATGGGAATTAGAAAACTATCCAGAGGGAGAGAAACGAGAAATGATTGAGCTTTTCATGGCGCGCGGCGTGAGCGAAGAGGACGCGACGATGGTGATCGAGCGCTTGGCAAAGTATAAAAACTTCTTCTTGGACTTGATGATGGTCGAGGAGCTCGGGTTAATGCCGCCGGATGAAACGGATTCACCGGCGAAGAATGGGCTGGTGACGTTTTGCGCGTTCGCGCTGTTTGGTTTCGTTCCGCTCGTGCCGTACGTTTTCGGGCGAGCGATCGGAGGGGCGAACGGGGACGCGCTCTTCGGGTTGGCGTGCGGACTCACCGCGATGACGATGGCCGCTTTGGGCGCGGCCAAAGCGAAGTTCACGAATCAAAACGTCACGAGTAGCGCGCTGTATATGCTCTTGAACGGTACGCTCGCCGCGGCGTCCGCGTATTTGGTTTCATTCGCCATCTCCAAGGCGTTGAACGTAAACGTTTAACGTCAGCACCGTAGAACACACACATAACTTTTCTTAGCAAAGCGCATTTTTTAATTACAAACCGTACGTGTACACGTCATTCGCGGCAGCCGCGCGCGCGCTGTCTATGTGCTAAGACGCGAGGGCTAGGTCGCCATGCACGTGACGTCAAAGTCCTCGGGCGCGACGAGCTTGATGAAGTCGTTCATCGCGCGCTTGGCCTCGGCGGGCGAACGCGCCGTGAGCTCGTATATGCTATTCAAGTTTTTCACCACACTCGGAGAGATGAACGCGCGCGCCTTTGAATTCACATCAGCGTTCACGACGTTCGCCAAACCGCTCTCTAGAAGCGCGCGCGAAGAATTCAAATCGCCGTCGTACACCGCCGCCACCGCCGAGTTCACCTTGGCCGCGACGTCCGTCTCGCCCTTCGCCATCGCCGCCGCGAACGCGGTCCTGGCTTCGGGAAACCTCAACCCCGTGAGAAAGTAATCACCGCGATCGCGCAACACGCGCCCGCGCTGCGCCTCCGTCGCCGCCTCGCCGAGCGCCGCCGTCTTCTTCTCCGCCGCCTCGAAACACAGCCGCGCGCCCTCTAAGTCTCCCATCATCAAGTGCGCGCGTCCCGCCGCGGAAAAGTGCGCCGGTTCGTCCGGTTCGCTACGCGCCAACGCATCGAGCCACACGAGCGCGGCGCGCGGATCATCGCCCAACATGTGTCGTCTCGCCACCCCCCTCGCCGCCGCGTCGCGTCTCCGCCGCCACGCCTCTCGCGCCTCCGCCCCGCGCGCCTCCCGCGCCTCTCTCGCGCACATCGCGTGCACCGCGCACATCGCGTCCAACGAGCCGCGCGCATCGTTCAAATGATACGGCAGTTCCGCGCGAAGCGCCGCGAGCGCGAACGTCGCGTCGTCGTCGTCGTCGTCGTCTCGCCCCACCGCCGCGCCGTCCAGCGCCGCCTTCGCCTCCGCGCGTCGTCCGCGCGCCATCAGCGCCCGCGCGCGCGCGACCGCGTCCCGCGCGCGTCCACGACGCGCCGTCGTCGTCGCCGTCGCGTCGTCGTCGTCGTAATCATCGTCGCCTCGCGCGCGTCGCTCGCGAACCGCGCGCGCGGCGTCCGCGAGCGCCGCGCCGGGCGCGCCGCGCGCGACGTCGTCGTCCATCGCGGCTCGCCGACGCTCGCCCGACCCGACGCGACGCGCGCGCGCGTCTCGCGGCGCCGCTACCGACGGATGCGATGTCGACGCCCGCGCGCGCGCCGCGCGTAATACATGGGCTTCAGATCGAGTACAATATAAGACGAACGTCTCGCGACGCGCGAAAGCGCGCGAACGATAAACCCGCGCGCGCATGAATGAAACCCCGTCCCGAATGGCGCACCGAACGATGACGCGGCGCAGGCGGCGACGACGATCGCGACGTCTCGATGGGCTTACGCGCGTCTCGACTACGAGCCGTGGGGCGAAATAAACGCGCGACGACGCGCGACGACGCGCGACGACGCGCGACGACGCGTCGACGACGGCACACCGCGACGAGACGATGATCGCGCAAACGCTCTCCAACGTCGCGCGACCGCGCGTCGTCGCGCGCGCGCGCGCGACGCAAAAATCCACCGCGGCGCGCGCGCAGTTCGGCGCCGTGAGGGGGTTCGATCCGTTGCGGTGCGTGGGGGATGAATGGGCGACGCGCGACGCGAACGGGACGCGATCGAGGGCGGATGACGACGCGCGAGGCGACGCGCGAAACGATGCGCGGGACGCGCGGGACGCGCGATGCGATGCGAATGGCGAGGGATGCGTCGGTGGAGCGGGCGGGTATCGGGGGTCGGCGCGGCGCGCGACGCGCGGGCGGGCGACGAAGCGCGACGGGATCGCGATCCCCCCATGATAAGATAGGGTTTGGCGCGGGACGACGGACGCGCGCGCGCGGACGCGCGAGACGACGGATGAGGATCGGCGCGGCGGTGACGGCGGCGTGGACGCGCGCGCGAGGGCGAATGAATGAAGACTGACGAAGCGACGATTCGCGCGCGATCGCAGTGTCTCCCCGAAGGCTCGCGGTAACTTCCAAGTCGTCGCGTCGGTGACGAAGAAGCCCGACTTGTCCGACCCGGTGCTCCGCGCCAAGCTCGCCAAGGGCATGGGTCACAACTACTACGGCGAACCGGCGTGGCCGAACGATTTACTCTACATTTTCCCGGTCGTTATCCTCGGTACCATCGCGTTGTGCATCGGCCTCGCGGTGATGGAACCGACCCAGCTCGGCGAGCCGGCGGATCCGTTCGCCACGCCGCTCGAAATTTTGCCGGAGTGGTACTTCTTCCCGACTTTCAACGCGCTTCGCGTGATCCCGAACAAGCTCCTCGGTGTCCTCTCCATGGCTGCCGTGCCGGTTGGTTTGATCACCGTGCCGTTCCTCGAGTCGATCAACAAGTTCCAAAACCCGTTCCGCCGACCGTTGGCGATGACGGTTTTCTTGGTCGGTACCTTCTACGCGATTTGGATGGGCATCGGTGCCTGCCTCCCGATCGACAAGGCGATCACTCTCGGCGTCTTCTAAGCAGACGTAGCGGATGTCGTGACACGAGAAATTTCATTTACGCTCTTACGTGGTGACTATTCTCAATTACTTTAGAAGGGGAGCGCGCGACGTCGTGATTGGCGTTGGATAGCTTGTAAAATCCATTTACGATTTACATTTACTCTGCTCCTCGCGCACGGCACGGTGCACGATTGGTGTCGACTAGCTTCCAGTGAAATCCACGCGCGCTCGGCTATTCGTCGCGCGAGCCGAGACGACGCGACGGCGCCTCGAACTTCACAACGCGACGCCATGGTACCGCACGCGAATCAGCCGCCGTCGACCGTAGATATCGCTCACACACACGCGCTCGACGCCCGCACGCGCGCCCTCGACGACGCGCTCGCGCGCGAGCGCCCCGCTGGGATGAACTCGTTGTTGAAGGTGTGCACGTGGAACGCGCAAATGTTGCCGGGCGTGTTTGCAGGTCAAGGAGGGACGAGAACGGACATCGCGAAGCGCGCGCACGCGATGGCGAATAACATTCTGTGCTGTTCTCGAGCGGACGCGATCGACGTCGTGTGTTTGCAAGAAATGTGGGAAGTCGAAGCGGCCAAGGCTTTGAAAGTGGCGCTGCGCGAGGAGTTTCCATTCGTTTACGCCCCGAGCGCCCGATGCGGGTTGATGATCGCGTCAAAATTCTCGATGGTGTGCAACCACTTCACTGCGCTACCGGCGAAAGGGGTCGAGAGATTGTCGTTCACCAAAGGCGTGAGCACGAGCTTTTTGCGCTTGACTGCGGCGGAGGACCCGACGACGCGAGTCGCCATCGTGCTCAACACGCACCTGCAGTCCGACTACTGGTCATCCGGGCGAGACACGCGTGCGAAGCAGATCTCGTGCATCAAGGACGTGGTGCATCGCGCGGAGATGGAATGCGCGGGTAACGGGTACGAGGTCGATCGGATTATGCTCGTCGGCGACTTGAACATCGTCGCTGGCTCGGGCGAGTACGAAGATCTGATGAACAAATTTCCCGGATCCGTCGATCTCATGGCGCCGTTGACTGATATCGATGGATCGATCGCTGGACGAGAAGGATCGACGAGAGGTGTCGACCGAAGTTTTCGTTTGACCTTTCCCGTCGCGCGTTGGCGGCACGTCGTGTTGCCGTGTCTCGGCGAGTCGCGATACATCGATTTAGTGCCGAAAGTCGTCCTCGACTACGTCATCGACCTCTCATCGATGGTCACGCGCGGCGTGCCGCTGCACCACAGACACGCAGACTCTGGCTACGTACACCATGCGATGTGTCGAGACGCTCGGGGGTTGGCTCTCAGCGATCACTACCCAATCGTGGCCGTGTCGCGGAAATTCCCCGATTGCAAAGCGACGCGGCCACAACGGCCGACGGCGCTCGCGGCTTGACGATGATAGAACTACAACAACTACTGATACTGGTGAATTACTGTTGCTACTGGTGTGCTACGATTGCGAAGCGTCGCGCTTCACGGCGTCGCCTCTTCGGGACGTTTTCCCTTGAGCGCCGAAGCCTGCAGTTGTCGCTCGACTCGATCGCTAAACGGCGTCGTGCGCGTGGGAACCTCGGCGTCTTCGGGGAAGTCATTCGTCACCCGCGGAGAGCGCGGTGTCGTGTCCCCCGCGCCGCCGTCCTCGTCCCTCAGCCTCTCCGACACGCTCGTCGACACCGACATCGCCGTCGCGCTCGCCGCGAACGCCGACCCGAACGACGCTCGACTCATCGCGTCCACCGAATCGTTCGCATCGCACAGCGGCGGCGACACCGAATTCGCCCTCCGCACGCCTTTCAACTCGATCGCATCGCTCGTGCTGTCCACCAATCCCGTGACGTACCGCCGATCCAACACCGCGCCGAACGTCGTGTGCGTCGCCCCGCGTTCTCGAATCTCCCGCAGCGTCGCGTCGTCCCGCCCTCCCGCGCCCAGTCCTCGCATCCTTCGCTCGTCCGACATCCCCTCCATCAATCTTTTCCGCACCGCGCGCTCCTCCGCGAGCATCACCGCGTGCGCTCGCCGTTCCGTCGCCGATCGTCTCGCCGTCGCCTCCCAATCCGCCTCCAGCGCCCGCACGCGTCGCGGCAACCCGTCCGCGTCGCTCGCGCGCGCCGCGCCGTCGCCCTCGTCCCAGTGTCGCGGCGTCGGCACGCCGTCGCTTCGCTCGCGCGCCTTCCCGTCGCCGCCGTCCACCGCCGTCGTCGTCGTCGTCGTCGTCGTCGCGCTCGAGTCGCGCGATTCGACGCCGTCCGTCGTCTCGCGCGACGACGCGGGCGCGCGCGACGCGCACGCGCCCATGTCGCGCGCGCGCCTCGGGCTCGCCCTCGCGCTTTGCGACGCGTTCGCTTCGCGTCGCGTCGTCTTCGCGATGTGCCGCGGCCGCACTCGTCGCCGATGGGCGCGTGCGCGTCGTCGTCGTCGCGCGCGGCGCGTCGCGCGCGCCCAGGCGCGTCGACGCGACCCGACGACGAGCTGCGCGCGGCGCTCGACGCGTGCGCGCGCGCGATGGCGACGAAACTCGAGCTCGAGCGCGCGCTGCGACGAGGATTCCTGGCGCTCGCGCGCGCGCGACGCGACGACGGACGCGCGTGCGTCGCGGTGGACGCGCGGCGCGCGCGAACGCGCGTGATCGAAGCTTTGGAGGGACGACGCGCGACGGCGACGGCGGCGGCGTCGAATCGCGCGCCGCGAGGGCGGGCGGTTCGCGAGGCGAAGGCGGCGTTCGAGGACGCGGCGCGGTTGGCGTGCGAGGCGTGCGACGCGGACGACGCGGTGCGAGCGCTGACGTGATCGATCGCGCGAACGCTCGCGACGGCGTTGCGTTATTATGAGTCGTATGTTACACGATGCGCGGCGACGCGGCGCGCGGTTAGACGTCGTGCGTCGCCGGTTTGCGGTCGGCGCACGTCTTGGATATCAACCCGCGAACCAACGAAGAGACGACGCCGGCGATGAACACAGCCACCATGAAACACACGAGCACGAACACGGGGAGCTCTCGCTTGGACGCGGTGAGAATCATGTCGACGCCGACCGCGACCAAGGTCGCGGCGACGGCGTAGTTCAAATCCGGGAAAATCTCCACCGTGCCTTGCAACTGCGGGTACAACGCGCGCACCAGGAGCACGGCGCAACAATCGCCGCAGACGACCGCGAGCAAGTCCGTGTGACCGACGACGTAAATGGTAGACACGCCGTCGATGCAAAACATCAAATCCGACGCCTCGATGAAGACCATGACCAAGATGAGCGGCGTAAACTGCAACGCCCCATCCGGCGTACGCACGTAAAACGCGCTCCCTTCGTATTTCGTCGACATCCTATTCCCGAAGCACCCCCGCACCCCCTTGACTATCCAATTTGAACTCAAATCATCGTTATCGTCGTCGTCTTCCGAGAAGTACGCCACGCACACGCCTTGATAAATTATGAACACGCCGATGAGCACGAAGAGCACGCGCACGTACGTGTACACGCCGTGAAAGCTCAAAAACAGCGTCACGCGCACGACGAGCATGATGGGCAAACCGGCGACCAGAATTCCCGGCCTTCGACTCGGCGGCACCTTGAACGTGCCGAAAATTTGATGAAACACCACCAAGTTATCGAGGCTCAGCATCGTCTCCACCGCCGCGCTTCCGATGAACGCGCTCATGAGCTCCTTCTTCTCCGCCTGCGTGCTCGTCGTCCCCCAGAGCACCGTCATGACCGCCGCGCTGATGGCGACGAACATGAAGATCTGAAACGACGGCAGTCGACTGACGACGTCGTTATAACCGCCCAAACATCCCGGGTCTCGCTTTCCCCACACCGAGCGCGAGCTGTCGAAGTGCGCGTCGTCATCGTCGCCGTCGATGAGACGAGACGTGTCCGTCTCGAACGCGCTCACTTTCGTTTCACTCTTTTTCGCGGACATCGCGCGATGGGCGCCGCGCGCGAGACGTGACGCGCGCGATGTGACGCTCGATCGCATCGGGTTGTTATTTTAGTGTTCAGTCGGAGACGACGTCGACCGGGACGAAGAGACGCGCGTTCTGTGCGTCGTGTACGAAATCTAAAAGTCTAAAAACAATCAATCAATCAATCAATCGCGCGCTCACTCGTTCGCTTCGATGGTTTCGAGCTTGGTGACCGCGTCGCGCTGCTCCGTCTCGCCTCCGCTGCGACTTCGCGTGAGCGCGCCGCCGAGCGCGGAGACGCGCTTGGATTTTTGCTGCGTCACTCGGCTTTGCATCGCCTCCAAAGCGGCGGCTGGGTCGTCCTTGTTCGCGATGAACAGTGCTTGGAGCGCGGCCATGGATTTAGGCATCTTGTCCACGTCGACGGCGATCGCCGCGAAAGAGTTCGCCATTTTCCAGAGCTCGTCGTCGGCGACGTCGCACTCGGCGTAGAAATGCTTGTAATACGCCGCGATTTGCTCTTTGCTGGGCGCGTCGAAGCGCATGAGGACGTCGAAGCGTCCGGGTCGAATGAGCGTTGGGTTTAACGACAACTTATCTCGACACGTCAGGAAAATCAAGCGACCGTCGACGGCGGTGACTCCATCGAGCAAAGAAAGCGTCGACGAAACGGACAAATTTCCCGTGCTCTCCGGCGCCGGCTCTCGAAATACCGCGTTCGCGCCGGGCGCGTCGACGTCGTCCAGGAGAATGATCGATCGTCTCTGCGTGTTCGAGAAGAGCCAGTGTAAGCCTTCATCGTCCAATCGTTCATCGCTAAGCCGAATGGTGTACAGAGGCAGTTTAAAGTGCCCGGCGAGCGCGAACACGAGCGACGTTTTCCCAGTACCGGGGAGACCGTGAAGTAGGTAACCGCGATGCCACGGCAAACCGCGATTGACGTACCAACGCTCGCTCGACAAGAAATCGTCGACATCGGCGACGAGCCGTTCCCTAGCGCCCGGAGGCAGCACCACCGTTTCTAGAGGTCGACTCGGTTTCTCGCGCAAGATCCACTGTTGTTGAACTCGTTGCACGTGAGACGGTTGACGTCCCGGCGTCGTCGTCTCGTGATACTGCGTCACCGTCTTCGGCATGTACACAGACGTGTGCTCGCTGCAGCGCTGTTGTTGGTGCTTCTTTTTCGCGGCCCGACCCCTCTTCATCAACTCGAACAAGCGCTCCTTCATGCGAGCCTCGGATTGGAAAAGCCGATACATCTTCACCTCAAACTGATCGCCCAACGAGTCTCCGTCCCCGCGTCCCGGCGCGTTCCTCTCTCGCTGACGCACGAAGTCGTCGTACCAGGAACCATCCGTCTCGTCGCCGTCGCCGCGTCTCGAAGCGTTCCCGGATCGATGCGCGACGCGCACCGACTTCCCGTCGACGCGCGTTCGAATCGCGCTTCCCCCCACGAGCGCATCCAGTCTGACGCCGCGCAGCGATCGATCCTGCGGCGTTCCGGAGTCACCCTTTCGCGCCTCGCTCGCCCGCGCGGATTGAAATCCTTCGTACGCGTACCTCGCGCGAAACTCGCACGTCGACGACTCGCGCGAAAAGTATTCCTCCACGAACGCGCGCACGTCCTCGTACTCGTCGTCGTCGTCCTCGTACGCCCCTCGCGCGACGACGAACGTCATGAACACCGCGCGATCGACCGCGACGACCGCGCGCCGCGCCAGCGCGCGCCCGACGCTCGCGAAGTAACGCGAAAGGCTGAACATCAACCCACCGCTCACGAGCGCGTTCGTCGTCATCGCGCCGTACATCGCGCGCGTCAGCGCCCGTGCGCGCGCCGCGACGATCGCCGCGAGCATCGCGAGCGTCGGCGCGAGGCGCGCGACCGCCTCGCGCGCGTCCATGCGCGTCGAGAAGTGCCGACGGTTCGTCCGAGAGCGCGCCGCACTCGCCCGCGCGCATGATTGGAGCCGTCGCGCGCGCGATCGCGATGCTCGCCGCGCGATTCGCGCGCGCGATCGGATGTTTTTTGCTGCGCGCGACGCGCGTCGCGCGGAGGCGTCGAGCGGACGCGGTCGCGCGCGACGCGCCGTCGTGTCTGCCGTCCAAATTTCGCAGAACTCGAACCGGCGCGTCGGAGTGGCCGACGAGCGTCGAGGAGGCGACGGCGGTCGATCCGCTTCGAGAGCTCCTCGAAAAAACGCGAGAAGTCGCTCCCGAGACGATGCGGAGCGTTCGGAGCGACCGGGCGGTTCGCGTGACGTTTATGAACGTGTACGACGCGCGGCGCGACGAGACGGCGAATCGACGACGGGACGGCGAATCGACGACGGGACTGACGAATCCACGATCGACGCTCGAACAGGACGGACGAACCCGTGCGGGCGTATTGGCTGGCGTACGATGGACGGGTGAAGGCGTACAACGTGTTGCAGCCGGGCGAGAAGCGCGAGCAGAGGACGTACGATTCGCATCCGTGGACGTTTCTTTCGTGCTCGCGATCGAGGCAGCGATGCGTGGTGAACGATTCGTTCATCTATCGCGTCGTCGCGCGCGAGGATGAGATGGATTACGACGAGTGGGATCAAATCTGGACGAAGAGGGAGGAGGTGGAGATTCGCCGACCGACGATGGAGACGTGGTCGATCGAGAATCATTCGACGTTCTGCGACGCTTTTAAACTCGCGACGCGCGCGTTTTTGTTGGCGCACAAGAGACTCGAACGCGAGGGCGACGGACGCGATCTCGGGGCGCTTCCGACGGATCTCATGGTGGAAATCATCGAACGCGCGGCGCCGATCAAGCCCAAGTACGTGTGGCCGACAGCCGAGACGAATACGACGACGACGTGATTTCGCAGACTACTTTCTCTCCTAATACAACGTGATTCAACTACTTTCTCCAGCGTGCGCGCGATTCAAAGACGACCCGTGTCCACCCCAGCCAGTCGCTTGAGAAACGCGTACGACGTGTACGTGATCGCGACGCCCGGCGCGACTTTGGCGAATTCAGGGAGGATGCCGCGGTACAGTCCCGTGACGCCCTCCTTCGCCAACACGCGCTTAAATACACCGACAAAACTGTCACCTCGCACGGCGTCGCGCATCTGCATTCGGCGTCGCACGAGATCGATGGGGAAAGTCGCCGTGGCGCTCACGACGGCGGCCGCGCTCCCGCTCGCCAAATCGACCGCCATCGGATACATCCCGTGATCGAGCGATTGCAAGTGATTTCTCAACGTCTCGTACGCCGCAAAGTTGAGCGCCAAGTTCGGCCCGACGCCGATCAGCGTCGGTTTCAGACCGCGGTACAAGCCTTTCGTGCCTTCATCGCGCAAAATCTTCATGAACGCGTCGGCGATGCCGTTGTAATGCTTGACCGTCGTCTGCGCGGCGAGGCGCGTGCGAATCAAATCCAAGGGATACGTCAGCGTGCACGCGATGCAGCCCGCGCTCCCGCCCGCGAGCAAGCGCTGCGCGAACCCCCACTTAAACGCCCCCACCGCTGGGTCGCCGTTCTCGTCGAAGTGTAACGTCGTCATCACTTTATCCAGCACGTTCATGATTTGCTCGTACGCGTAAAAGTTGACGGCGCTGTACGGCAGGCGATGTATGATCGTCACCCCGTTCCCCTTCCAAAGCGCCGTCACTCCCTCCGTGGCGACGATCCGTCGCAGCGAGCTCACGATCGACGCTCGTCCCGCCGCGGCCTCCCACCCCGGCACCGCGTTCGTCCCCTGCAACTGGTTCAAAATCGTCAACCTCGCCAACGGCGCCGTGCACGACTTACTAAACGCCCCCGCGATCCCTCCGCACACGAGCAGCTTCGTCGTATCGTTCACCGACGCGTAATTCATCGGATTCACCCGCTCGTACCGTCCCTCGCGCGCCTCCTTCGCCTTCGCTTCCCCCTTCGTCCCGTCGTCGTCGTCCCGCGTCCCGCTCGCGTCCTCCCTCGCGCGTCCCCGTCCCAACCACCCCGCCGTCGTCCCTTTCTTCGCCTCCACGAGCGGCGGCAGCGACGACGGATCCGACGTCGACACCCCCATGCCCTGCGTCATCCTCGCCCGCGCGCCCGCGCGCTCGCGCCGCGTCTTCGCGAGGTCGACTTTCAAATCGCGCGCGCGATCGATCCCTCCCTCCCTCGACGCGCGGCGCCGTTCGCCGCCGCCGTCGCGCGCGTCGTCGTCCGACGGCGCCGCGCGCCGATTCGATCGCGCGCGTCGTCGGCGCGTCGCCGCGACGTCGTGTGCGGCGCGATCGAATCGATCCTTCGCGCGGACCTTCGCCCGCAGTGGTCGACGCGCGCGAATCCATGGGCGTCATCGCCGATCGCCCGACGCACGACGTCGTCGATCGCGCGCCGAGTTTCGGCGCCGTCGGTGCGCGCGACGCGACAAAGCGCGACGCGACGACGCCGCGCGACGCCGCGCGACCGTCGATCGGTGACACCGACGGCGACGCCGCGCGGCGACGACGCGAACGGACGACGCGAACGGACGACGCGCGAACCGTCGATGCGTTCTCGCGCGTCGACGACCGACGCGCGACGCGCGACGGGAGACTGACGGAAGCCGTCGGGACGACGCGCGCGCGCAGCGAGCAACTTTAACGCGACGGACTACCGGGACGTACTCCTGGGCGCGAGCGCGGGCGGTGGATTGGGATGGATCGTCGGCGGCGGCGCGCGGGCGAAGGTGTGCATGCGAACGCCGACGGCGGTCACGATGGGGGGACTCGGGCTGGCGTTCGGGGTGATGTACGCGACGCAGAGCAGCGCGGCGCGATTGATGGGGTTTCGGCCGAACGCGTAGACGCGCGGAGCGACGCGATTTGTAGCATACGAACGAGCGACGCGTCGAACGCGGACGTCGTCGAACTCGAAACTAATCCAACGCGTGGTGTTACAGCGGTGCGACGTCGCGCGCCGAGACGCGAGACGCGCGTTAAAAGTCGCGAGCGACTCGGCGAGCGCGCGGTATTATTAGCCGCGGCGACGCGCGTCGATTCGCGTCGTCGGCTCAGCCCTTGGTCCACGCTCGGAGCGGCATCCCGATCAACACTACGAGCGCCAGCACCAGCGCGATCGCGACCGCGAACTTCAACCGTCGGTTCGCGCGTTCGGTGAAGTAGTCGCCGACGCTCGCGAGCGCTCGCGATACTTTCCCCCGCGAGACGCGCGGCGCGAGCGGCGACGTCGACGCGCGCGCGACGCCGCCGTCCGACGTCTCGGCGAAATCACCCAGCGCGCGCTCGACGTCGACGTCGCGCGAGATCAAGCCGTCGGTGCTGCACGAGCTGTCGGTGCGCGCGTGATTTCGCGTCGGGGCGCCGAATCCGAGGGGAATTCGCGGTAAATCGCCCACGGAATCCGCGCGTTCGCTCGCGAGGGGGCTCGAGGACGCCGAGTCGGCGCGCGCGAGCGACCCGGACGGCGACATGGCGCGAGCGCGGCCGGACGCGATGGAGCGAGCGCGGCGGACTGACGGTGACCCGAACGGACAGTTGAAACAGACAGACGTCGCGAGGCGAGCGCGACGAGCGCGACGGGTCGCGCGCTCGAGGCTACGCCGCTAGTGTGGAATGAAAACGCTAAAACTAATATCCTACTGTAACGATATGAAACTATGTTTTCGAGCGCGAGCGCGGATGCGGACCGAGCGGGCGCTCGAGAAATTTTTTGATGGCTCGCGCGGCGACGCGCGCGACGTCGGCGCGGAGGCCGATGCGGTGGGCGATTTCGGGAACGTTGATCCCCGACGCGTTCACGGTGGCGCGCGCGCGTTCGCGTTTGCGCTCGAGCTCTCGCGCGGCGAGGGCCTTGGCCACGTCCACGGAGATTCGAGCGGTGAAATCGTCGGCGACGGAGAGAAGCAGCTTCGCGGCGGCGCTCGTCATCGAATACTCGATCGACGCTTTGCCCACGCGCGAGCGCGCGTCGATGATGACGGCGATCGACCGCATCATCATGTCGTCCAGCGCTTCCGCGCTCACACACTCGGCGGTGGCGGAATATTTCGGAAGCGTCGGCACGGCGTTGGCGACGAAACCTTCGTCCTCGGGAAGCGCGTCGTCGTCGTCGTCGTCGTCGTCGTCGAACGCGCGCGCACCGACGCATGCATCGACGTGATCTTCGCTCGCGCGCATGAACTCGAGCATACCGCGCGCGCTTCTCGGTCGACACGCGCGTCGCATTCCCACGGGCGCGTCCGCGAGCGCCTTCGCCCGAAGCACTCGCCGCACGCGCGTCTCCAGCGTCCGTTTCCTCCACGATTTCGTTCCCGGTTCGTCCGCATCGTTCTCGCGCGTTTCTTCGCTCTCGCTCTCGCTCTCGCTCTCGCCCTCGCCCTCGAGCGTCTCCCCTCGCTCGACGCGCGCCGCGTACGCCGCCACGCGTTCGCACGTCTCGAAATCCACCCGCGGCACGTGCCGCAGCATTTCCTCCCCCGCGCCGACCACCGCGCGCGCCATTTTCGCCACCGTCGACCCCGCGCCGTTGTACGCCACCGCGTTCGCCTCCATCAGCGCCAGATCCTCCGCGAACGCGTCCTTGCTCGCGTACGCGCTCGCGCCGGCGCGCGCGCGCATCGTCGCCACGTCGATCGGCCGCTCGATCACCGCGTAGTAATCCGGCGCGTACCGCGCGTCCACCGGCACGGCGAACGGCTCCGCGTCCTCGTGCGCGCGCAGCTCGGCGAGCAGGGCGTCGAGCGCGACGTCGAAACGCCTGCGCAGCGGTCCGCGTCGCGCGTCTCGCGCGTCGCGCGTCGTCGCGTCGCCGCGCGACGCCGCGCACGCGCGCGCCCACCGCGCGTAATCGCGCGCGTCGCCCTCGAGCGAGGCGTACGGTCGCGCTCGAGCGCGCGCGTGCGCGGCGTCGCCGTCGCGCGTCGGCATCGACGCGCGTCACTGTGCGACACCGAATCGTCGACGCGCGGCGTCGCGCGCGCCCGCGCGCTCGCATGGCGCGCGCGTCGACGCGACGCGACGCTCGCGGCGCGCGCTCGGACGCGTCGCGACGACGCGCGACGACGCGCGACGACGCGGCGTCGACGAATCTTTTCGTGCCGCTGGCGGTCGTCGGCGCCGTCGCGTTCGCGCTGCTGCGACGCGCGCTCGGACGCGGCGGCGCGCCGGCGACGACGCGAAAAACGCCGACGAAAGCGCCGTCGAGCGCGTCGCGCGCGGCGACCGCGGCGCTGCCGAGACACGCGCGGAGCAACAACAAGAAGAACAGGGCGCGACGCGCGGGAAAGCGCGAGCTCGCCGAGGCGCGACGACGCGAGGAAGACGTCGCGAGGGCCAAAAGCGAGGCAAAGGCGCGAAAGGGGAACGACGTGCCGAAGGTGCGCGCCGCGGACGACGACGCGGGCGCGCGAACGCGCGAGGATTGGACGACGCGAGACGCGAATCGGGACGCGAACGGACGCGCCGACGGACCGACTGACGACGACGACGACGACGACGGCGCGCGACGACGCAGGATAAGGACGTCGTCGGCGGTGAGGCCGGTAAGACGTTTACCACGACGTCGCACGTCAAGACGTCCGCGTGGGCGCACGATATCGACGCTCGCCGCGCGAGCGGCGCGTAATGCGAGACGAGTCTCAAACCCTGAACGCGTTAAACATCGCTTCGACACACGCCCGCGCGACGCGTCATGCGCGCCTCGATCGCGCGCGCGTCGACGATGCGCGCGAACGCGTCGTCCAACGCGCGTCGTCCGACGCGCGCGCGAATCGCGCGATCGACGGCGTCCCGCGCGCGTCCCGCTCGCGTCGCGCGCGCGCCGAGGGCGTTCTTCGAGGACCAGGAGGACGACTTCGATCTGTCGCCGTCCACGACGGCGACGGCGACGCCGGACGCGTGGACGACGGGAACGTTCACGCCGCTCGACGAGCGGTGCGTCGCGTTCGGGGTGTCGCACCTGGTGGAGGGGGCGCACGACGCGGCGGAGTACATTTTGAGACGAGGGCCGAAAGTCGTCGTCGTGGAGACGGCGGTGACGAGCGAACACGGCGACGCGACGGGAAACGCGGTGAATTACGAGCAAGGAGTGACGGCGATGATGGTGGACGCGGCGACGGCGCCGGAGGCGCTGGTGTTCGTGACGCGATTGGCGGGGGCGCTGAAGGGGGAGCTGGGACCCATCGCGGACTCGCCGCAGTGGGAAAACATGAAGGCGCAGTTACCGCCCGAGGTCTTGGTGTACGCCGCGGCGTTCGCGGTCGGAGCGACGGTGATTTACGGCGATCGACCGAAAGCGGTGACGTATAAGCGATTGATGGCGACGCCGACGCTGGAGGAATTGGACGGGACGTTCGCGGCGCAGAGCGAGCGGAACTATCGCCTGCTGTTACCGGAGGATCACCCGTTAGCGGCCAAGGCGAACGAGCGCGTGGACGATTGCTTCGAGCGAATCATCATCGACGAGCGCGATCGCGTCATGGCGTCGACGATCAAGGAGTGCGCGGAGAAGACGGACGACGGGACGGTGGTCGCCGTCATCGGCGTCGACCACATCGCGGGCGTGTCGCGCATTTACCGAGACAACTTCGCGGCGGCGGAGAACGACGCGAAAATCGCCGAGCTGAACGCGGCGCCCGAGGGCGCGCCGGATTCCATGGGCGTGCGCGTCGCCCTGGCGCAGCGTTTGATGGGTTTGAGATGTCCGCCGGCGTTGGTGGACGACGTCATGCGAACGCTCTCGTGGGACGTGCAGAACCTCAGCGCGGCCGACGCGAACGAATTCGAGCTCGTGAGCGAGGTGTACGGCTCGCCGCGCATGCTCATGGCGTGCGTCGAAGATAAAGAACTTCTCGACGCCGTCATCGGCGGGTTCAAGTGCGACTACTCGGAAGAAGTCCTAGCCCCCGTGCGCGCGGTGCGGCCGATCAACGGCGGCAAGGGGTACAGCGACGAAATCGTCAACGCCCTTCGCACGTCGTCGTACGTCAACTTCAAATCGTGATCGTCGTCGTCATAGGCCGCGTCGCGGCGCGTTCGTTGTTTAATATTCAATTCTTTCGTCAATACATACACAAGTTCTACCCACGAGATCTATCTTCCCAAAAACTTAGGAAATGCTTCCTTGCGAGCGCAAGGAAGCGCTCGCTAGTGCGCTCGCTAGTGCGCTCGCTAGTGCGCTCGCTAGCTGCGCTACGCGGATTGCATTCGTTTTCCTCAGAGTCCGAGGCTTCTGGATGACGTTCTACCCAATCTTTCACTTCTTTAATAATGTCTCCAATGTCAGCGTTGCTCACGAAATACCGTCTTATGATTGCGTAGTAGACCCTCACTGATTCTTGGTGCAACTTTTTGCCTGGCTGGTATTCGTGATTCTCTAGCCACACTTTGAAGGCCTTCAGATGTTCGATTTCGTCCGGATCCACGGCCGATTGCTGGCGATATCGCTCTTTGCGACCGGTGTTGCTCATGCAATCGAGAGGAATGCGCCTCTTGGAAACTATGTGGCTGTCGAGACCTTGTTGATAGACGTCGATCGCTTGGCGGAACTCGGCGTGGATTTTCGGCGACCCACGTTGTTCTTCCACCATTTTGTCCTCCATCTCTCGATAACGTTGGCACACCTCCAAAGTTTGAGGCCACATCGCGACGTCGACGCTATAGTTTTCAGGCACCACGTGCTGCGCGAACTCGTGAGATGGACGATTCACTCGTTGGCTCGTGGTATCGACTGCCGTTGTCTTCGGCGCAGTGATGATGCCATATTGGATTTTGCACAGTACTCCAGGTTCGTCTTTCGGAGTGAACGCCGCCGTCATCGCGCGACGCGTGAGATTATAGCCGATGAGGACGACGTGCGTGCAAACTTTGCTGAATGGCTCGTCTTTTCGAAGGGAAACGTTCGCAAATTTCTCTTTTTTCACACGAGACGCGGTTTCGTTGTAAATAGCTTCAAACGAATATCCACTGGGCATCGACTGCCAACTACCCGCGAAAAGTACCCGCGGCGATCCAACGTAGCAAATAAATAGAGTCTTCTGTGAACTGATGCCAGTGCCCCAAGAATCAACCATTTGTGTCACCGTTTTTGCGAGATCATGCACGCCGCCGTGCACGTTCACCTTCGGGGTGCACGATAAAAACAGCATACCACGAAGTGCGATTTCGGTCGCTGAGCTCCCTGGCAAAGGTTGGAGACGTTGCCCATCGCATTCGTTTCTTCGCGTATAAAAGCGTTGTAGTAACTTTCCCACAGCGTTCGACTCACTGAAAGCCTCCAAGGATAAATTGCCGTCGTGTTCGAGCTCGCAGCCTTCGGGGATTTTGAATCTTTCGATGCCACAGTATCCATCCTTTGGAAACACTTTGAAAATACTCGTCGGCAAATCGTTACGGAAGACGCCAATAGGATTCAAGACGTAGCCGCTCAGCGTCGCAGAGCACGCGATCACTTGCGTCTCGGGATGCACGTGCTGTCGAAAATATTGGGATGCCTTTGCGATTTGCGCTTTGAAATTCTTCCCTCTCGCCTTTCGATCGCTTGGTACATCGAGCACGTCTTCATAATCTTCACCGCGTCTTTCTTGACGGATGTACTGCGCAAACGTGTCTGGGTCTACTCTGTGCTCAATCTCTATTGTACTGTGCCCCTTTCCTTGAGTGAGCTCGTCGCATTCATCCATGAGCGTCAACGTCAACTGACCGTCTCGTTTCTGACAGTTGATCCAGTTCTTCACCTTTTTCAAATCTCCCAACGTACAAAGAGAGGCGACGTATATTTGTCCCATTTGAGCGCTGGGGATCTTATTTCTTTTGGCTTGCACCGGTCCGAGCGTGTGCTGCGTGTCGTACATACGCCCGAAACCAGCACGTCTGAGCTTTCGTACCATGTCGCAGATCGGCGCAACCTTCAAAGGCGCGCAAAGAATGACGACGCGGATGTTCAAGAGTAAGGCTGCGAGAGTTATGGAAAACAACGCGCCCGTCTTACCCTCGCGTTCGCGGCCTTTGAGCATTGCGTGCTGTCCAGGCTTTTTGTCCGCTTTATATTTGAACAGCAGATTTCCGATATCCTTCATTTCTTTCTCGCGATAACGCTCGCCGCGTTCGCTTTCGTCTCCGAACGCATACCGAAAATTACTGTAAATAGATGCGTCTCGCGGAACGAGATCCTTCGCCGTGCGCTCCCAAACATCGTAAAGCTCATCAACAGTCGATGGCACGGGAGGTCGATCGAGTCGTGGGATGTGACGCGACACACCTTCTACGACGATGTCACCGTCGTCATCGTCGACAGCCCTTTCGGCGCCGTTTTCAGCGCCCGTCCCGAAGCCAACGTCGTGAAGCGTCCGTTGCCCAGGCTCGACGACGCGGCGTCTCCTCTTTCGTGGTCTACGGTCGGGGCCACGTCCGCGCCGACGTATCGGCTCCGTTTGCGCTGGCGTAGCACGGGGTACATCGCGATCCGCCCGAACGAAGCCTTCACTCTCCAACCTCGCCTCGATCTCCCTCGCTTCGCCAGACCTCATACGTTCCTTGAGCAACCGGATTAAATCCTCAGTCGGCAGCGCGTTCGCATCGCGCACTTCGATCGCGTCGTTCACGCCCGGTGGAATCTCGTCCGCGTCTTCGTCCGGAATGATGACGACATCATCGTTCGCCTGCTGCGAAATCAATACTTGCGTCTCCGGGACGACCGTCTCGAACGCCTCTTGCGTTTGCTGCACTTCACCCTCCTGCGTCTCATCGATCGAGGAGTGCGAGTCGCTCGAAAACGAATACTCGTCCGTGACGAACGCATCGTCGAAATCATCGTCGTCGTCCTCATCCTCGTCCTCGTCATCGTAGTCGATCAAATCATCGTCGAATCCGCCGTCGTCGTCGTCGTCGCTTTCGAATCCGGATCTGCGCTCCTCGTCGACGATTTGTTCGAGTTCTCGTTCCATCGCCTCGAATTCGCCCCCCGGGGTGTGCGCGACGTCATCGATCGCCACCGCGGTCTCCGCGCTCGCGCTCGCGCGCGCGCCGCGCGCGCGTTCGGCGTCATCCCGCGCCGTGCGCGCGGCATCCGCCTCGACGGACATCCGACGCAACTCGTCGTCGTTCGCGAACCAGTCGTCGAAGTCCATGGCGATGACGACGCGCGGGACGTTGTTTCTTTCGCTCCAAGCGCGCGCGCGCTCGGGCGCGTCGTCGCGCGCGACGACGAGTGCGGCACGCGAGGGCCGAGATCTCGGGGACGAGGGGGGTGCCTGGTTCCGCGCGCGCGCGCGGAAGCCGCGCGCGACGGCGCGCTCGCGACGGCGCGCGATCGCGCGAAACGCAAAGGAAAGTTCGTGACAACGCTAAAGTGGCTCTACGGGGCGCGCGCGAGGACGCGCGGTCGGTTTCGACGCCGGTCCCTTTTTCCTGCTTGCGCTCTCTGTCTTTATTCGCGCGCGTCATCGCGCGGCGAGCGTTCACGCGCGGCGTTCAAACACGAGCTCGACGTCGTAATTTCCCGCCTTGGCGTTCGACCCGATCGCTTTCATCGCCTGATCGAACGTCACGTCGTCCAAGTTACCGTCCTGCGACGACGCGCACGTGTACATCACCCGACGCCATCCCGGTCGCCCGACGCCGCCGCCTATCACGTTCAACTTTGGATACCGCATCTCCGGAATCATCGCCGACGTCGCGCGCAACACGTCTCCCTCCCTGATCCCGCGCCCGCGCGGTCCCAGATCGCTCTCGTCGTAAAACTCGACCACCGCGATGTCGCCGTCGACGTCTTCGAAGACGATGCCGAGCGGCGATTTCATCGTCGCGCGCGTCAACCGCGACGTCGCCGAGCGCACCTCGAGCTCGACCCGCGCGACGACGTCGTCGTCGAGCGCGACGTCGACCGCGCGCGAGACCACTCGAGTCGGCGTCGCGGCGTCGCTCGGCGCGTCGTCGCGCGCCGACGCGCCGTCGCTCGAGGACGCGCGGTCGGCGTCGGTGGATAAAATCGCGTCGAGCGACGACAGCGACGCGCGGGCGTCGTCGCTCTCTCTGGCGCGCGCGCGCGACGCGCGACGCGTCGGCGCGGGACGGCGCGCGCGCGCGAACGGCGCGCCGGCGAACGGCGCGAGCGCCGGCGACATGGTGGACGCGTCGAAGAGTGGCGACTGCGCGCGCGCGTGAGTCACCGTCGTGGCTAGGATGAATGAATGGTGCGCAATACAATGGATTCGACGCCGGATTCACTGCTTCTCGGACTTCTGTTGGAGCAAGAGCAGGTTTTCGTAACTCTGTAACGATCGGAACGGCACGAAGCCCGTGCCCAAACCGATGGTCGGCGACCCCTTGCCGAGCTCGCCCTTGATGTCTCCGTTGCTCGAGATTCGCTGTAAACTAGATTTGCGCTCCATGGCGGAACCCGTCTTGGGCGTCGTCACCCCACCTCCCGGAGGACCGGCCTCGCGGAGAAGTTGTAAAAGTCTATCCTTCTCGGCGCGAATGGTGTGGTTTTCTCGCACGAGCGCCTGGTAGCGCTGCTCCACGCCTTGCGTGTGTTGCAACGCCGCCGTCAACTCAGCCGTCAACTGAGCGATTTGCCCTTCGAGCGTGGCCACGTGTTCAATCTTGCGTCGCCGACTGCGCCTGGCGCTCTCTCTGTTGCTCAACATTCGGCGTCGGCGTCGCATGTCGCCGTTGCCGTCGCCATCGCGAGAGTCGCCGTCGCTATCGTGATCCAAGTCCGAAGACAACGGCTCGCTCTTCGCCGCCACCGCCTTCGCCTTCGCCGCGGGCGCCTTCGCCGCGGGCGCCTTCGCCGCCGCCTTTGCTGGCGACGCCACGGCGTCCTTCGCCGCTTTTCCTCCGCGCGTCGTCGTCGCCGCCGCCGCCTTCTTCGCCGGCGGCGCCTTCGCCTTCTTCGCCGCCGGCGCCTTCGCCGCGGGTTTCCTCCCCGAGCGCTTCGCCCCGGACCTCGTCGTCGTCGTTTTCTTCCCCTCATCGTCGGCCTTGCTCTGTTCCATCGCCACCGCCGCGCCGAGCGCGTCCAAATTCGCCCCGCTCGCGAACGCCGAAAACGCCGCCGCCGTCGTCGGCGTCGCCGACCCCGGCGACGCTCCTCCCGGTCCTCCGCCCCCCCCCAGCCCCCCGCTCATGATCATCTTCCGCAGCACGTCGATCGACGCCACCCGCGGGATTCCCGGCGTGCCCTCTCGACTTCCCGGCGCGCTCCCCGCGCCCCCCGCGGCGTCTCGCGCGTGCGCGATCGATCCATCCAGCGCCCCGTACGCCCCGAATCCCGCGTGCGCGCCGTGCGCCGCGCTCGCCATCATGGCGTTGTAATAACTCTCCATCTCGTGCTGCGACGGCGTGCGGTTCACGCCGCGCGCGCCGTGCGCCGCGGCGCCGGACGTCCCGTTCGACGGCGTCCCCGCGCTCGCGCGCTGCGCGTTCCACAGAAACGTCGCCATGAGGTCGTCCGCGCTCGGCACGCGGTCCATGACGGACGACGATTCGACGCGCAAAAATTTCTTTCGCCGAGCGCGCCGCTCGCGGCGCGAATCGCGCGTGCTCGACGCGCGCGCGTGTGACGAACGCGATCGACCACCGAATTTCGCGGCGGTGACGCGGATAAGACGCTTTCCACGTGGATGTCGAGCGGGGCGCTTTGGGCGTTTCGGGCGGGCGAAAGGGGCGCGTTCGGAGTCTACGCGTGCGTCGATGACACGAAATGCGCTACCAAGGAATCTTGTCGCCCTTGTAATCGAACCAAAACCGCTCGCAATCGCCGAATTCGCCCTGCAAAACGCGGATGAGACCGCGCGCCGACTCTTCGGCGTCGATGAGGCCTCTGCTCTCCGTCATGTCCGTTTTCACCCAGCCGGGGTGTAAAAGCGCGAAATGCACGCCTCGGCTCGCTAAATCGATGGACATAGATTTCGTGACGATGTTCAACGCCGATTTCGACGCGCGATAGCTGTATCCTCGACCCGATCCGTTGTCCTCGACGCTTCCGACTTTGGACGTCACGTTGCCCACGAGCGACGGCGCGTTCGCGTCCGCGCCGATCAATCCGTGTCTCAGCAGCGCTCGAACCACGAGCGTGGGCCCGACGCAATTAATTTTAAACACGTACATCATCTCCTCCGCCGTCGTCGTCTCTAAATCCCACGCGTCGTACCCGTTCGTTCCGACGACGCCCGCGTTGTTGACGACGACGTCCAGTCGTCGTCCCCGCGTCGTCATCGCCCTCGCCCACGCGTCGATCGCCGCGTCGTCGCCGACGTCCACGCCCTCGCTGACGATCAACCGTCCATCGCTCGAGCGCTCGAGCGCGCGCAGTGCGTCGCTCGCGCGTCGACACCCCGCCTCGACGACGTTTTCGCGCGCGAGCAGCGCTTTACAGAGCTCGAGCCCGATCCCGCGATTGGCGCCCGTGACGGCGACGCGCGCGCGCTCGATCGGGCCCCGCGGGACGTACGACGTCGAGGACGACATCGCGGCGCGCGTCGCACCGCGCGGCGCGCGCGCGCGGCGCGGCGACGGCGTCGGCGACGCGAGGACGCGCGCGGCGGTGCGCGCCATACTGCGGACGTCTTCGACGCCATCGCGGGAGCGCGGCGTGCGTCGTAAATCGTCCGAATGTCCGAATATGCGCGACCCCGAGGGCACCCCGCGGGCGAAGGGATCGGCGCGGCAGCTCGACGCGCGCGCGATGCGTCGCGCGCGCGTCGACGCTCCGAGCGCGCGCGAGGGCGAGGCGGCGCTCGAGCGCTCGCGCGGGGGGCAGGGAAAGGCGCGCGCGAGCGGGACGGCGGGAGATCTCGCGTGAATCGATCACGCACGCATTCATTCATTCGTTAGGGCGAAAAAAAAAAAAACTCGTGCACGCACGCGAACGCAGGCGCGCGGCGCGCGATTTCCGCGACGAAGATAGCGTACGCGCACTCTATGTTTACCGTTTACCGTTGTTCGCCCTCGGGCGGTACGTTTGATCGCGACGCGCAGAAAGAATGTCACCGCGAACGCGGACGCGCGCGCGTTTTTCGCACGTTTCGTCGCGCTTTGGACGAGGTTTGCTTTTTGAGTGTTTTCAAGCGTCGCGTCGTTTCATTCGTAGATCGCCGATGCGTTATTTTGGATCCTCCTTCGCCGATAGTGCGAGAAAAAGTTTGTCTGTTTGTTCTTTATCATTCACGCGCTTCGCGCGCTTCGCTTGGATTTATTCTCCGCAGTCATCCATCATGTTGATATGCTTGCTTCGATAGCATTTATTATGGGCGCTCTTGATCAGGTTTACGTGAACCTCTTTTGTTTACTCGTTTACGCGCTCGATCCTCCAGATCACAACATGCATGTTTCGACCATCTTTCAGCCTCACGCAAAACAAAACACGGTATCCTGCGGTAGATCAAAATTTGTCCTCCAACGTTTTTCAGAACATAGGCAAACAAAACGAACGAACGAACCGCACTGCACGGCGGCAATTATTGGTTAGTTTTCTACTTCCTTAGATCACCCGTATATATTTTCCCTGTGAAGGCCGCCTCAGAAGGCGAGCCGGAGGGTCCCGTCGCAAGAGGGTCGGCGGCGCCGAAGGGCGCTCGTCTCGCGGTTCGACTCCGCGGTGCGACCAAGTTCGAGGCGAGGTTGCGCGCGAATGGCGGTTACACGAGTCTGTAGTAAATAATGTAATAATTTCTACGTCTACGTCGCGCTCTTAAACTAACTCACGCGTTCTTTTGCGCCGACTCGACGTCGTCCGCGTCGTCGTCCTTGACTTCGTCTATGAGGTTGATGGCTGCGAGCGGGAGTAAACCGGTGACGAGACAAATGGACAACAGCAAAAAGAGGTTGTCGAAGTTGTCCGCGGTAACACCGAGCGATTTGGTCAACCCAGCGCCCAGAAACTCGCTCGTCACGCCGCCGGCGTTGAAGAGAGACATGAGCGCCGCGAAGAACGTCGCCTCTACGCCCTCCGGGCAAATTTTCGCCGCCAAGACGAGCACCGGCAGGAAGCTCACTTCGCCCAAAACCGTCAACACCGCGGTGTCGGTGAGCGCGAACACTTTATCGCTAATCCCTAACTCTAAATTCATGCGACTCACGAGTAAAAGTTGAGTGGAGCCGAGCGCGGTGCCCAAGATGGAGGTCCACAAAAACATCTTTTTGAGCGGTACGCGCTTGAGGTAACCGTTGTACAACGCCACGCCGCCGAGCGCGCAAAACGCGCGCACGAGGGCCACGCGGCCTAAGAACTCTGGCGAAAATCCGAGCTCATTCGTGTTGAAATAAAACATCGCCGTCCCAGCGCTCGGCGTCGCTTGCCACAAGAACACGAAGAACGCCGGCGCCCAAATGTCTCGCCGCTTGGCGACTTGGAACAATTTCCCCGACATCGCCTTGAAATCACTCAACACGCCCTCGCTCGACACCTGCGCGGTCTCGACGATCGGCTTCTCTTGCACCAACGTCGACGCTCCGGCGATCATGAGCGGAAACACCGCGGTGGCGCCGAAGACGAATCTCGTGCCGTACGATTCAATCAAACTCCCGCTAAAATACGAACTCACGATGCTCCCGATGGCGACGAACCCCCAGCAAAGCGATTGCAACGATCCCGACACCCCTTGTTCTTCACCTCTCGCCTTTGCGACGACGATACTATCGATCAAAACATCGCTAAACGCGATGCTCAGCGACCCGAGCGTGAACGCCACGAGCGCCGTCTCCGGCGCGTCCACCCACGTCGCCATGGATGCCCAACCCAAACACCCCACCGCGCCGCACGCCATCAAGTACGACTTTCTCCGATAGCCAAAAAGCGGCACTGAATCGCTCAGAAACCCCCACAGCGGCTTGATCAACCACGGCGCTTGCGAAATCGACAAAATCATCGCCGTCTCGCTCGGCCCCAAGCGCAGCTCATCCTTGAGATAAAAATCCTTCGCCAACCGCGACAGCCCGATCACGCCCTGCACGAAATACACCAACGCGATCGCGTACACCTCCGGCGACATCGGCACCCCGAACAGCACGCGCCGTTCCTTCGTCTTCCTCCGACCCGCGTCGTCTCGCGCCGCGCTCGCCGTCGCCGCCGCCGCCGTCGTCCCGTCCTCCGCGCCCGCGCCTCGCCGCGCGCCGCCCATGGCGTCGTCCCGCGCCCGCGTTTCTCCCGCGCGCCCGTCGCCGCGCGCGCGCGTCGTCCGCGCGCCCGCGTCGTCGTCCTCGAACGTCCCGCGCGCGCGCGTCGTCCGTCGACCGCGCGCGTCCGCGCGCGTCGTCGTCGTCGCGCGCGTCCCGCGTCGCGCGCGCGTCGCCGTCGCCGTCGTCGTCGTCGTCGTCCGCGTCGCCGTCCGCATCGACGCGCCGGCGCGTCGGCGGCGTCGCGATGTCGAGCGACGCGCGCCTTCGATCGCATTCGACCTGCATTTCGCGCCGCCCTCGACGCGCGCGGCGCCGCGATGTCGCACGCGGTGCACCGCGAGGTGCACCCGCCCACGGGCGTCGACCACGCGGTGACGGCGTACTTCACGCGCCCCGTGGGCGACGGCGGGGACCCGAATCTGATCGTCGCGAGCGCGAATCGCATCACCGTGTACGCCGTCAATCGGCGCGGTGACGAAGAATCGCTCGACGTGTGCGCCGAGTTCGACGCGCAGGGCGCGATAGGGTCGATGAGCGTCCTGAGACGACGGTTCGGGGCGCCGAGGAATCAGCGAGACGCGCTGTTGATCGCGATTCGCGAGCGAAAGCTGAGCGTGGTGGAGTACGACGCGGCGACCGGGGACGTGTGCTGCTCGTCGATGCACTCGTTCGAGAGTGCGCTGGGGTGTAATCCACTGGGAACGACGCTGCGGATGTCGAGAGAGGCGCCGCTGGTGGTGAGCGATCCCGAGGGTCGGTGCGCGGCGGTGGTGCTGCGGGAGGACGGCGTCGCGGGCAAGGTGCGAGTGCTGCCGAGCGTGGACGGGGGGTTGGGGCTGGTGGCGAACGACGACGAGGGACGCGTGCGAGGACCCGCGGCGAGCGTGCGCGAGTCGTTCCCGCTGCACCTGCCGGGGGTGCGATTGATTCGCGACGCGTGTTTTTTGCACGGATACGGCGAGCCGGCGCTGGCGGTTTTGTACGAAAAGACGCCGACGTGGGCTGGGCGGTATAACCTGAGCAAAGATACGTGTGAGATCGTGGCGCTGAGCGTGGACGTTGACAAGCAAAAGGGGACGGTGATTTGGCGTCGGCAGAACTTGCCGTCGAGCTCGTACAAGTTGACGGCGCTCTTGCCGCCGCTCGGCGGCGCGTTGGTGTTTTCGCAAGACTTTTTGCTGCACGAATCCCAAGAGAGCTCGTCCGTGCTCGGGTTGAATACTTTCGGTCACGGTGGGCCGCAAGAAGGGAACGACGCCGAAGTCGCCGCGCGCGCGGCGGGAATGGGGGAGAACGCCATGGCGAACCCGCCGCCGGCGTGCGCGGCGCGCGCCGTCGATTGCGGATTAGAGATCACGTTAGATGGCGCTCAGGCGTCTGTTGTGTCGGAAGATCGCGTCTTGGTGACAACAAAAACCGGTGCGTTGTTGCTCTTAGCTCTTCACACCGATGGCCGTAGTTTACGTCGCATGATGCTTCAGCGCGCCGGCGGCGCTGTGCTCTCTTCGGGCATGTGTCTGCTGTCGAGAGATTTGTTGTTCCTAGGAAGTCGCATTGGTGACTCGCTTTTGGTGAAGTTCACGCCTAAAGAAGAACCGACGGCACCTCTCATGCTTCCCGACGCCGAAGACGAGAGCGAGGATGAGGCGACGGAGAAGTCGAAGGGTAAGCGCTCTAAATCGGGCGGCGCGGCGAATCGCAAACGCGCCAAAACCGCCGAGGCGCCGCCACCAGCGCCGTCGACGCCGAGTCCCGAAGATGACGATGACGAGCTCGAGGCGTTGCTCTACGGCACGACGAAAACGGAGACTGTGCAGACCGACGCCGTGCAAACGGAGAAGAAGCGCGAAGGCTTGGCCGGCATCATCCCAGGCTTGAAGGTTGCTGGTTACGATTTGAAGGTCAAGGACTCTTTGCTCGGCGTCGCGCCTGTGGTGGATATCGCCGTCGGCGCGAGCGCGCCCATGGGTTCGAACAAGAACGAGCGCACCGAGCTCATCACCGCGTGCGGTCAAGGGAAGAACGGTGCGCTGGCAATTTTGACTCGTGGCGTCCAGCCTGAACTCGTCACCGAAGTCGAATCCGGTACGCTGCCCAATTTACAAGGTTTGTGGACGTTGCACTATCGCAAAGAAGGTTCGAAAGAAGAACGCGAACCTTTCCATCATCATTTGTTACTGAGCATGAAGTCGTCGACGATGATCATGGAAACCGGCGAGGAGCTTCAAGAAGTGAGCGCCTCGCTCGAGTTCATCACGAATCAAGCCACGTTGGCGGCGTCGAATATTTTCGGACATTACTGCTCGGTCCAAGTCACGGGAACGGGCATCCGCGTGTTAAAGGGAGGCGTGAAGGTACAAGACGTCGGTTTGCAGGACATGGACGCACCGAAGGGAGCCGCGATCGCGTCCGCACAGATTTTAGATCCTTACATCATCGTTCGGCTATCGGATGGTTCGATAAGATTGTTGTCCGGAGACGAAAAACAGATGAGTGTTTCGTTGATGGAAACGGGGGCGATCCCAACATCTTCAGTAACGGCGTTCGCTCTGGTGGATGATTCTGTTGAAGCCGCAGACGCGGCGGGCGGGGGCGAACGCAAGAGCGGATGGATTCATCGAGCTGCGACGAATGGCACCATTACGGGTTTGGAAGGGAACAAGAAGAGCGGCGCGTGCAACAACAGCGAGGCCATCGTCGCGCTGACGCGCGAGGGTGGAAGTCTGGAATTGTTTTCGTTGCCCAGCTGCACGCGCATCTGGTGCGCCGATGGGCTGTCCGAGGGCATGCGCGTATTGAGTCCGCAAACACCCGTCAACGCTGAGTCCAGTGTCCCTGAGATTGTCGATATTCGCATCGATTCATTCCAAGATGCGCACGAGCGCCCTTTGCTCACCGCAGTGCGTGGCGATGGCACGTTGCTCTTGTATAAGGGTTTCATTGTTCCCGCCGGGACGACGTACGAAGGACAAGACGAACCGCTCGAAAAGAATGAGTTGCGATTTTCTCGCGTCAACGTCGACGTTGAAGGTTCTGGTTTGAATGTCGCTGGCATAGGCGCCGCAGGTCAGCTTAGAGACTCCCTAGCGGGCGCGCGATTGACGCGCATCGGTAACGTCGGCGAAGGACAAGGCGTGCAAGGCATCTTTGTCGCAGGCCCAAACCCGTTGTGGCTCATCGTTCGCAGGTCTCGCGTATTAGCTCTCCCGACGCGTGGTGAAGGCGAGGTCGTCGCATTCACGGTATTCCACAACGTCAACTGTCCGCACGGTTTCATTCTAGGCACCGCGTTGGGTGGCGTGCGCATTTGTCAGATGCCTAGTAAAATGCACTACGAAGCTGCGTGGCCGGTGCGCAAGGTGGCGCTCAAGTGTACGCCGCACACGATTACGTACCTGCCAGATTTCAAGCTCTACGCACTGGTTACATCAGCTCCTGTGCCTTGGGTCGAACGGGAAATAGAGCAAGATAATGTCCACGGTATCGCCTTGGCAAAAGTGCGACGCGAGCGCGCGAAAGCGAACGATGACATGGAGTTACAATACTCGGTGCGACTCCTCGTTCCTGGATCGCTCGATAGCGCGTGGCAACACGCGCTCGAACCGGGCGAGCACGTGCAGTGCGTTCGAAATGTCCAATTGAGAGACATTAACACTGGGGCACTCCTTTCACTTCTTGCCGTCGGTACGGCGATGCCTGGAGGAGAAGACACGCCGTGTCGCGGTCGCGTCATTTTATTTCAAATGGTGTGGGAGCGCGACGCCGAATCCATGGATGGGTACAGATGGAAAGGACAAGTGTGCTGCGTGCGCGAAGCGAAGATGGCGTGCACCGCGTTATCGGCGCTCGACGGTCACCTGATTGTTGCGGTCGGTACCAAGCTCACCGTGCACACGTGGGATGGCGTCGAATTGAATAGTGTCGCTTTCTTCGACACCCCAATTCACACCGTGAGCATCAACGTCGTGAAGAATTTCATCCTGGTGGGCGATTTAGAGAAGGGCTTGCACTTTTTCCGCTGGAAGGCGAACGGCTTCGAGAAGTCGATCATTCAGCTCAGCAAGGATTTCGATCGCATGGACGTCGTGAGCACAGAGTTCTTGATCGACGGCGCCACTCTGAGTTTGCTCGGGTCCGACATGAGCGGCAACGCGCGCATCTTTGGCTACGATCCAAAATCGCTCGAGTCGTGGAAAGGACAGAAACTCCTCGTGCGTTCGGCGTACCACGTCGGTTCGCCCATCTCTCGCATGGTGCGTTTTAACGTGGAAGGTACGACCGCGAAAGCCGCGCCGGGAGAACGCCCCAAAGGCACCAATCGACACGCCGTCTTCTTCGGCACGCTCGACGGCGCTTTGGGCATCTTCATGCCCACCGACGAGCCGACGTACGCCAAGCTCCACGCCCTTCAACGCGAGTTGAACACCACGGTGCGCTCACCGATCGGTTGCAACCCGCGCACGTTTCGCACCCCCAAAGTCTTCGAAGGCAAGCATGTGCAATTACTCGCCCCCCTCGACGTCCTCGACGGCGGTTTACTCTCCAAATTCGAGACGCTCACCTTCACCGAGCAGCGCGCCGTCGCCGAGCGAAGCGGCGTCGACCGCGATTTGGCCCTCGGTTTGATCCAGCACCTCAGCGCCAGCAACGCGTTCGTGTGATCGATCCGCGCGTCCTAGTCTCGCTCCTTCGCGACGCTCTATTTTGTTGTAACGCGCCTTCGCGACTAGTTTCACCATGGAAGCGTGTCGAAGCGTGTCGGCGTTGACGCGACGCGATTCGTCATCATCAATCATCATCGTCAGCGTCCACCCGCGCGCGTCACTTTCGCGCGATCCGCGCGAACCGAGCGAACGAAGCGACCGAATAAACGACGGCTTCGACATGTCCGCCGCCGCCGCCGCGCCCGCGCTGCGCTTGCAATACTTTAACATCGAAGGCCCCGCGGAGAAGATTCGATTGACGCTGTCGATCGCGAAGATTCCCTTCCGAGACGACCGCGTCGCGTTCGAGGACTGGCCGAGCGTGAAACCGACGACGCCGTACGGACAACTGCCCGTGATGTACGTCGACGACGAAGCGATGGCGCAATCGGATGCGATTTTGAGATACTGCGGACGGTTAGCCGGATTGTACGACGAACAACGCGCGAGCGAAATCGACGAGGCGGTGTCGCTGGTGGAGGACATGCGCGAGTCGTGGTACCCGAACTTGGCGGTCGGCATGGCGCCCGAGAAGTATAATCTCGAGAAAGGGTCGGACGCGCACGCGGCGACGACGAAGGCGATGCGAGAGCGCTGGATCCGCGAAGAGCTTCCGCGATACTGCGGCTTCATCTCCAAGCGCGTCGCGGGCGGCAAGTTTCTTTGCGGCGACCGGGTGACGATCGCGGATTGCGCGTTGGTGCCGCTGTTGCGCAGATTTCGCAGCGGCGGGATCGATCACGTGCCCAAAGAGTGTCTCGACGCCTTCGCCGACGTCGTCGCGTACTACGAAAAGTTTCACGCCATTCCGGAAGTCGCCGCGTGGTACGCCGCCAAATCGGCGTGAACCGACGGAATCAAACCTTTATCGATCGACGTCGACCGACTCGACCGTCGCGCGACGCGCGCGACGCGATGACGCATTTTTCACTTTTGTAAGACGCGCCGCCGCGCCGCGTCGCTTTACGCTTTACGACAGCGCTTTACGACACATCGCCGCGACGCGCGACCGCGCGACCGCGCGCGCGATGTCCTCCCGCGTCGGTGACGTCGGCGATGACGACCCGTCGTCGTCCGCCGTCGTCGCGCGCGCGCGCGTCCTGCGCGAGACGCTCCGCCGCCGGGACGACGACTACGAGGTCGACCGACCCGGCGCGCGCGCGTCGCTCGACGCCATCGTCGCCGACCCCGCGTGGCTCGCCGAGTACGAAGAATTGAAGCGCCTCGAACGCGCGCTCGCCGGTGAACCCGGTGAGGGGCGCTGCGCGCGGTACGTGCCGCGAAAACGACGGTTTTGCGCGGCAAAGGCGAGGGACGGCGGGACGATGTGCTCGCGGCACCGCGCGTTCGAAGAGGGTGATGCGGACGAGACGTTGTGTCGAGACGCGAACGAAATGTTGAACGTCGCGACGACGACGACGACGGAGGCGGCGACGACGCACGATGGAAAGAAGAAGAATCTGAATCGACGAATGAAGAAGATGACCAATCCGATGTCGGCGCCGTTTCAGGCGCCGTTGACGCTCGACGAAGCGTATTGGTCGAGCGCGTTCGGAGACGCGCGCGGACGGCCGCTGTTAGTAGACGTCGGCACCGCTAAGGGCGGTTTCATTAAGGCTTTATCAACCGAACGCGCGGAAGCGTTCACGCGAGCGAAGCAGGGCGTGGAGTTTAATTTATTAGGGGTTGAAATTTACCCGCCGCTGGTGCGGCAGGCGAACGCGTGGGTGCGGGCGAATGAGGCGCGATTACGTCTGCCCGTGCACTTCGTTTCAGCCAACGTGAACGTATCGTTGGAGAGTATGAACTTACCGAACGTGCGCGCGGTGTGCGTGCAGTTCCCCGATCCTTGGAGTCGAGGACGACACTTCGAGCGGCGCGTGATGACGCCCGAATTCGCGCGAGCGCTCGCGAATGTCCTTCCGAGCGGTGGCGAGCTCTTCTGTTGCTCGGACGTGAAAGCGTTGGCGTCTGAAATGTACGATGTCGTTGCCGCGAACGATGACTTTATCATCGACGAAGCGACGTACGCGCGAGTGGGGGATATGGACGAATCCGAGGTGCCCGCTTCTTTGGACGACGTCCCGGAGCACGACGCCGCGCACAAATTTGAATGGGAACCGCTTCCGGACGTAAAGCCGGTTCGAAATCGACGATGGCTACGGGCAAATCCGTACGAGGCGTTCACCGAGCGCGATATCGTGTGCGAAGGCAAATGGCGACCGGTGTATCGTTTCGCCGTCGTGCGAAGGTGAAGCGTTCGGCAATCGGTACAGTTTAGTTTTACAGCAGCGCGTAGACGTAGAATTTAGACGACGATTAGGTTATCTCGTAAAGCCGTGATGTTTCGCCCGTCGACGTCCAGAGACACCGTCACCTGATCCCCGCGCGTCTCGACGACGATTCCCCAATTGCCGTTGAGCGACGCGTTGCGCATGCGCGCCAACACGACGCGCGAGCCGACGCGAACGCTCGGTCCCAGCGCTACGCCGAGCAATTTTTTCACGCCTCTCGTCGCGCACGCTAAGCCGCGCATCGTTTCTCGCTCAAACGAGGCCACCATGAATCCCACGGCGGCGCCCGCGCCGTACAGATTCAACGCCGTCGGCGACGAATCCATCAACGCCAAAATGACAATCTCCGCCACGCTCGCCGTCTCCGCCGGCACGTCGATGAATCCAAAAAAGCTCACCCGTCCGCGATATCCTCTCGCGTAATCGACCCTCGCCCGATACGTCTTCAGCGCGAACACGAGCCCCCCCGCGCCGCGCCAGCACGCGTCGCCGTATCCGAGCGCGCGCGCGCTCGCCGCCGCCGCCGCGTTCGTCGCCATTCCCAGCGCCAGCGCGAACGCCACCGTCGCCGGCGCGCTCGCGCGCGTCCCGACCGCTTCCCGCACTCGCCGCTCCGTCTCCGCCATCTTAGCGAACATCGATCCCGCGAAGCACGCCACCGCGAAGTCGCTCTCGTGCGAGCACGTCGCGAGCGCCGCGTCCCGAAGCCTCTCCGCGGCGCCGCCGCGCCCGCGCCCGCGCGCGCACATCGCGGCGCTCGAAACGACGCGCGCGGCGTCCCCGATCGCGCCCGGCGCGCGTCGCGCGACGCGCTCGACGAAAACGACGCCCAGCGTCGCCGCCGCGCCGACCGGCTCGAACCCGAACGCGTCGCGCGTCGCCCGCCAGCACCGCGCGATCGCCTCGAGCGAGCGCCAGGCGAGGTAGTAAAACATCGGGTCCCCGCACGCGCCGTCGCGGCCGCGCGCGCGCGCGCGACCGCGCGGTCCGGGCGCGAACATCGTTTCGGAGTCACAGCGCGTCGCGCTGTGATGTCCGACGACGACGACGAGATCGACGCCTGGCTCGATTCGAGCGACGACGACGAGGCGAGCGAAGGCGTCGACGGCGACGCGCGCGACGCGTCACCGGAGACGCGCGACGACGACGACGAGAACGACGATGATGTGTTTGACGGAAAGAATGACGATGACGACGACGACGACGACGCGCGCGACGGGCGCGACGGGAAGGCGGTGACGCCGGAAGAGACGACGCGCGACGATGGTTCGTCGTCGGTGACGGACGACGCGGATCGCGCGGCGAGCGAGGGCGAGACAGAGACGACGACGACGACGGAGACGACGACGGAGACGGAAAAGGCGTCGACGGCGAAACCGCCGCCGTTACCGCCGTTGGACGCGCCAGACGTGGGAAAATTGGCGATGAATTTGGGTGGATGGGCGAGCGCGAGCTTGGCGAAGGCGAAGGCGGTGGTGAAGGAGGCGGCGGCGTCGGACGCGGCGCGCGCGCTGCGAAGAGACTTGAAGACGTTTTCGTCGCACGTCGTCGGCGACGATGGCGCGCGAACGCGCGTCGTTCGCGAAGACGATGACGACGCGGAGGATGGAAACGAAGACGCCCGAGATGACGCGCCGAAGACGGCGGACGCGGTGCGGCTGGCGGAGACGTTCGCATCGGGCGCTTGGGCCGCGTTCGGCGGCGCGGCGAACAAGGCGAAGCGCGCGTTGGAAAACGCTGAGGGAGTGATTGAAAACGCAGCGAGTGACCCGAAGACGTTCGCGACGAACGTCACGAAGAAGACGCAGAGCGTGGGTATGGGGGCTTTTAGCGCGCTGACGTCGGTGGTGAAGGCGACGGCGGACGTGCTGGCGGGGGATGAGGACGACGACGAGCGCGCGGCTGCGATTTTGGTCGAGCGTCTGGCTGACTTCGGCGCGGCGACAGCGCAAGCGCACGTTGAAGTCGCGTGTGAGCGCGCGATGGATGCGTTATTGAACGGCGCGTCCGAAGACGCGCAGCGCCGTGTTCGAGAGCTCGTTCGAGAGCTCGACGCGACGTTGACGGCCGAACAATCCACGGCGAACGCGGCGCCGCCGGCGTCGCCCGGTGACCCGGCCACGCTCGTGGCCGTACCGCTCGGCGACGATGCCGCGCGCGCACACGATGTCGAGTCGTCGGTGCTCGTCGCGCTCATCGCCGCCGTCGACGCGAGAGCGGAAGAGATTGGCGAGACGCTCGCGAGCACGTCTGGATCGAGCCGCGACAACTTTGCCGACACCGTCGCTGCGTTCGAGGAGGCGCTGGACGAACTGCGCGACGAGTGCGTGTGCGACGGATTAGCAAAACTCTCGACGACGACGCTCGAAAAAATCGTCCGCGTCGTCGATTCCATTCGCGGCGGCGATTGGCTCGACGTCGACCCCGTTCCAGCCGCCGTGCTCGCGCGCGAACGCGTCGCCGGGTACGACGACGACGTCAAGATTTTTATCGAAGCCACGAAAGAGGCGACGACGGCGCTCGCGCGTCGCGCGCACGATGCTCTTCGAGACGTTTGGCCTCGAGACGCGCCGACGCTCCTCGACGTCGCCGACGCCTCGTTCGAGCAACTCGCTCGCGACGAGCGCGCGTGCGTCGACGTCACGCGACGAACTCTGCGTCAGCTCGCCTGGGTCATCGCCGCGAGCTCCAAATAGCGGTGAAATAATTACTATAATTAAAGCGCGTCGCCACGCGCCGTCGCGTCGTTCGTCGCGCGCGCGATGAAGAAATCGGCCTCGGCGCACGCACTCGGCTGACGGTTACGCGAAGACGGTCACACCGCCACAGCGCCGCGCGCGCGCGCGGCGTCCGCCGACCTCCCTCGCGCGATCGACCGCGCGATCGACCGCGCGCGTCGGTGATCATGGCGCGCGGTGACGCCGCGCGCGGCGGTAAACCGGCGCGCGTCGAGTTCTCTCCAGCGCTTTCCGCGAAACAGCGCGCGCAGTTGCACGCGTTCTGTGAACGCCACGGCCTCGAACACGCCTCGCACGGCGACGCGGGAAGCGACCGAAGAATCGTCGTCGGGGACCTGAGCGCGAACGCGCGGATTTATCGAGAGATGGTTTGCGTGCGGGACGAAGACGTGGTCGAGGCGCTGCGTCGACGGCTGGGCGTCTCGGCGACGCTCGAGGAATTGCGCGATTTCGGCGAGGACGCGAGCGATGGGGACGGTTTGGCGCGCTGGACGAAGAAAACGATGGATTTGCTCGAACTCGAGCGCGAGGCCGAGGAGGCGCAGGCGCAGGAGATATTGCGAGGGCTATCTCCCGAGGCGGCGGCGAGACGCGGTCGAGCGCTGTTGGGATTGACCGCGACGGATCTTCGCGGCGGTTTGCTCGGGCAGACGATCGTGACTTTAGAGCTCGCGAGTCGGCCGAATGGTTCGGATGCTTTGCCGTTGCCGCCGCATAAGCTGAGTCCGCACGATGTGGTTTGCTTGAGGCCGAATAAGTCTTCGGCGGAGGGCGAACCGCTGGCGAGCGGCGTCGTGTATAGAATTCGGGATACGCAAATCGAGCTCGCGTGCGATGACATGCCGGACGAGCTCAGCGGCACGTTACGTTTAGAACGGTTATCCAACGAGGCGACGCACAAAAGGTTGGTTTCCGCGGTCGAGCGAGTAGGGAAATATGGGGGTTCGAGCGACGCGAAACAGCCGGGGGCGCATCTAGTCGGCGTCGCGTTCGGGGACTCCAAGCCTCGAGTTTCGAAAACTGGGAAAGAGGTCGAATGGATCAACACCGCTTTAGACGCGTCGCAGCGTGGTGCGATCGAGCACGCGTTGCGCTGCGTAGACTTTGCACTGATTCATGGACCTCCCGGTACGGGCAAAACGACGGCGGTGGTCGAGTACGTGGCACAGGAAGTCGCGCGCGGCTCTCGCGTGCTCGCGTGCACGGCCTCAAATATAGCCATAGACAACTTAGTCGAACGCTTGATGAAAATCAAGCTTCCCGAAGGAGGCGAAATGCGCCTGGTACGCGTCGGTCACCCGGCAAGATTGCTGCCGTCCGTGCTCGCGGCGTCACTCGAGGCACAACTCCTGGCGAGCGATAACAGCAAGCTCGCTAAAGATTGCGCAAAGGAGAGCAAAATATTGCGTAGAAAGTTGTTGAAGCTCAACGACAGAAAAGATCGCGTCGAACGGAACGAAGTTCGCAAGGAGCTGAGAGTGCTAGCAAAGGAGGAACGGAATCGTCAAAAGGCGGCGATGAGGGATGTCGTCGACGGCGCGCGCGTCGTGTGCTCAACGCTCAGTGGAGCGCTGTCGGGAACGTTGAAATTTCAAGATTTCGATGTCGTTGTCATAGACGAAGCCGCCCAGGCGCTCGAAGCCGCGTGCTGGGGAGCAGTCTTAAAAGGTAAGAAGACTGTGCTCGCCGGCGATCATTTGCAGCTTCCGCCTACGGTGATCTCGGATGAAGCGCAGGCGAAAGGATTGAGCGACACGCTTTTTCAACGGCTTCACGACATGTACGGCGATTTAGTTGCTCGTATGCTTACCGTGCAGTATCGCATGCATGCTGATATCATGACGTGGTCCTCGGAGGCGATGTACCAAGGTAAGCTCACTGCGGCGGAATCCGTCGCGACGCATCGACTTCGAGGCGACGGCGAGGACGACCCTCCCGTTTTACTCTTGATCGACACCGCCGGCTGCGATATGGACGAGCGCGTAGAAGAGGATGGCGAAAGCAAAGAAAATCCCGACGAAGCGGCGGTGGTAATGGAAGTGGTCAGGCGTCTCGTCGCTCGCCACGACGTCGCCGTGGACGACATCGGCGTCATCACGCCGTACAACGGTCAAGTCACGGTGCTTCGTGAACTTCGCGCCAGAGACGACGCGCTCAAAAATCTGGAAGTGTCTACCGTCGATGGATTCCAGGGACGCGAAAAAGAAGCCATCATTATCAGCGCAGTGCGTTCGAACGCATCGGGCGAGGTGGGATTCCTCTCCGATAGTCGGCGCATGAACGTCGCCGTGACGCGGGCACGGAAGCACTGTTGCCTCATCATCGATAGCGACACAGTAAGCAGCGATAGATTTCTAGCGACATTAGTGGAGTATTTCGAGACACACGGCGACGTCGCTTCGGCTGCGGCGTACGTGCCGTGATCGACTCGACATTGGAGAATTGTAACCGACGCCGACGACAGCACATGTGCTCACAATCATGCGCGCCTCGATCGCTTTGACGACCTTCATCGTCGTTGTTTCGCGCGCCGTGCGAGTAGACGCGGCAGTTGGATCGTGGTCTCGCGCTCGCGCGACGTACTTCGACGCCCCCGACGCATGGAAGAAGACATTCGCCAAACAAATTTTTGGCGACCTCTATGGCAACGCGTGCGGCTTTGTCAACAAAGGAGAGGGACTAGAAAGCAACGAGAACCTACCTTACGCGCGCGATGCCGTCGCTGCCGTGGCGGATTACGATCTTAAACTCCACGAAGGCGCGTGTGGGTCGTGCTTCGAGGTACGATGCGTCTCCGGATTCGTGCTAAAAGACTTTAGCGGTGGGCGAATCGAGTATTCTCGCGAGCGCGGCTTTTGGGAAGTCGATCCCGACGCTCTCGATTCGTACGGACGGAAGGTTCCAGCGCGCCCGGCGAAGCGCGATGATGCTACGTCGACTGAATACGAGTTCGTGCGGTGCTGGGATGAGTCGCTCGTCATCAAAGTGAAAATCATCGACACTTGCCCGTGCGACTACGAATACGGCACTCAAGAGATCTGCTGTGGTCCGGTACCTCATTTCGATTTGTCGTTTTATGCGTTCGAAAAGCTTGCGCACCCCATTCAAGGAAAGATGAACATTGAGTTTCGTCCGGTGTCGTGCGGCGAAGATTCGAGACGTCTAGACGTCGATCTCGGCGCGCGCGCCCGCGTCGAAGCGAAGATTTACGATGGTGGCCTCGGCGCGGGATGGGCACTTTTGCCGTATCGCGATCGCTGGCTTGTCATCAACCGCGAAGGATACGGGCGTATGGAGTCTTCGTCTGCGCTCTGCGGCGAATTTTCGCCGCGAGGACGCGTCGCGTTTCATTGCTGGCTCTGTGAAATATCGGCAAAGCCATTCGCCAACGTCTCGAGCGTCTCCGTTTGGATTCGCATCTCGTGCACGGACAATTTCGACGTCTCGCTCATCATTGGTCTCAGTCACCGCACGCGAAAGCAATGGCGAAACGGCACCGTCCTCACTCCCGCCGTCGAGACGCAAGTCGGCAGAAAATTCCGTCTCGATCCGGGGTCGTCGTCGTCCGACTACGAAATCGACGCCCAGTGCGGGCGCTCGTTCGTCGTCCCCATCGACGCGTTTCGCGCGTCATCCAGCGATCTCGCACGAGTCAACACGCTCGCGATCGAGGTCCCGAGCGATGTTTCCGATCCCGTCTCCTTCTGCGTCGACGCGCTTCGCGCGCGTTCGTGAAGAAGGCGGACACTACATAGACGAAATCGACACTAAATACTGACACTGTTTACGCATAGACCAAACTTTGTGGATATGGTTGCGCGCTGTCGCCGCCGTATCGCGGCCAGAAGCCGCCGCGTCTCGCGCGCGACGACCCGTTGGCGCGCGCGAAACGCTCGCTCAACGCGCCTTCGCGCGCCCGCGTCGCTCGAACGCCTCGACGCGCGACCCGCGCGCGCGCGAACGTCGCATTCGTGCGCACGAGGCATATCTTTGCCAGCGCGCGCGTGTCGACTTTGAACGATGATTCACGGAGCGACGATGCGCGCGCACGCGCCGCGAAGCGCTCGCGCGCGCGCCGACGCGCGCTTTCTACGAAATGCGCGCGCGCGCGCGGCGATTCGCGGGACGGGGGCGTCGAGGGACGGGATGCGATCGCTCGCGAGGACGCGCTCGGGGGCGTCGAGCGCGCCGGAGCTCGTCGCGGAGGAGGACGATGAGGTCGCCACGGCCACGTCGAGCGGTGAGAGTGTTGTGGTCGGCGGTGAAGACGCGGTCGAGGGCGAAACAGAGGGAGGCGCGTGCCCGTACACGGCGGCGAAGGAGGCGCTGGGGTTCGCGGGACCGCCGCCGACGCGGCCAGACGCGGATGGGAATCCGGCGATGATCGATAGTAAGTCATTCTTGAAGTCGTTGGTGAAGGCAGCGCAACATCCAGTGGGGATGCCGATCGCCATGCTCGATTGGGCGGCGGAGAAAGGCGAGTGCGTGGGGATCAAGAATGCCATCGGGCCGTTTTGCGTGTCGATTTTGGACCCGGAAATCGTCGAGTACGTGTGCTTCACGAATGCGAAAAACTACAGATTACGAATGCTTCCGGACGCTTTCCGATACGTGATCCAAAATAAAGGCATCACTGGGAGCGATGGGCAGTACAACCGCGATCATAGATTGATGTGCCAAAAGCCGTTCATCAACTCGTTTTCGCTGAGCCAGTTTTCGTCGACGGTGGAGGAGCGCATCGCGTACATGTGCAACACGTGGACGTCGGCGGCGGCGATGAACCCGGGTAAGCCGATGGAAATCAACATCGACGTCGACTCTCAGCAAGTTACGCTCGATGTCATCGGCAAGGTTGCGTTCGCGTACGACTTTGAGCAGTGCGAGGCGCACGAAGCCAGAACGCTTCGAGGCGAAGAGGGCAAAAATGATAATATTTCCAAGCTCTTGAACGCGTACAACGGTAGTAGCGAGATCATGGGCGAGCTCTTCATCACCCCCGGGCCGATTCTCAAGCTCCAGAACTTTTTGGGTCTCGGTCGAGTGCGAGAGCTCAAGGAGCAGTACGCGATTTTGGAGTCTGTTGGCACAAAGCTCATGAGCGAGCGCCGAGCGGTGGTTAAGGAGCGCTTAGCGGCAGGTGATGAGGAAGATTATTGTTTGTTAGATGTATTGGTCAAGGCGAAGGATGCCGACGGCAATCCTCTTTCGGATGCCGATTTATGGGGGGATATCAACGACATCATGGCGGCGGGTCACAGGACGACGGCGTCCAACTTTACCGTGAACCTCTGGCACGTGGCGAGGTACGAACACATTCAGCGTGGCATCGAAGAGGAGTTAGAGGCGCTCGGTGGTCGACCGCCGACATTTAAGGATGTGCAAGATGGCCGATTACCTTACACGCAGCGAGTTGTGAAGGAATCGCTTCGCAAATACGCCCCGATCAACTTGTTCCCGCGCCTCGCCGAAGGCGCGGACACGCTGCCCAGCGGACACAAGGTTGAAGCTGGAGACTTTATTTTATTATCCACGTACGCCATGGGGCGAAACCCGAGAGTTTGGGAGAATCCTGAAAAGTTTGATCCCGACCGCTTCACCGACGAGGCGCTCTACGCGCAGGCGGAGAAGCAAGCATCCGCGGTCGCCAAAGGTGATCCCGCGAAGCTCGAGCAAGCGCGCGAGCGCATGCGCCGCCGCATGACTGCTGGTCGCGACTTTACGTACACCCCGTTCGGTGCTGGACCGCGATCTTGCATCGGCGGCGTCTTCGCCTTGCTCGCCGCGACCACCATGCTCGCCAGCACGGTTCAAAAGTTCAAGCTTTCCAAAGCTGGACCCGGTCGCGACAAGCTCGGTGAAGAATTAAACATCATGTACGATACCACCATCTGCTTCCCGGAAGGTGTTTGGATCAATCTTGAACCAAGAGAAGAGCCAGTCGGCGCGTAAAATCGCCGCGCCGCGCCGCCGCTCGATGGTCACTCGCGACGTTCGTCGCCTTCGCGCGCCCGCGCGATCGCGCGAGCAAACTTTGTGTAATACGTTCATTCAAGTTTATTAGCGTTTCACGTCGTCTTCACCGACCGGCTTCCCCACCGCTCGCCGCGTCGAACCGCGGCCGCGCCGCGCCGCGGCGCCGCGGGGGTTTGCACCGTCGTCGCGAATTGCGCGACTTTCCGCGCGTCGTCACACGCGCGCGCGGCGCGCCCGCGAACTTGGACGCGATGGACGCGAACCTGTACGATGAGTTCGGAAACTACGTCGGCCCCGAGATTGGATCGTCGGACGACGACGACGACGTCGCGCGTCGCGACGAGAGTCGGGACGATCGCGCGGCGGCGGCGACGAACGCCGCGCGCGAGGACGCCCACGACGCGTCCGACGCGAGCGAGGACGACGCGATGGACGATGATGACTTGAACGCGTCCGCGATCACGCTCGCGGAGGATAAAAAGTACTACCCGACCGCCGAGGAGGTGTACGGGGAGGGCACGGAGACGCTCGTGGAGAACGAAGACGCGCAGGCGCTCGAGACGCCCATCGTGGCGCCGGTAAAGGTGAAGAACATCGAAGCCGCGGGACAGAGATACGTGGGAGGAAGCGTGGGGGCGCAAGTGCAGTCGCAAGACGCGGAGGTCGCCATGAAGGTGAGCGAGGAGTTCCTGGTGGGCTTGCACGGGGAGTCGCGAAGAATGGGACGCAACGTGTGCGTGGCGGGACATTTGCATCACGGGAAAACGACGCTGTTTGACATGCTGCTCGAGTGTTCGCACGACGTGAATTATGACTGGCTGGCGAACGATAAGCAGCTGAGGTACACGGATACGAGGATGGATGAGCAGGCGAGAGGGATTTCGCTCAAGTCGACGCCGATGACGCTGCCGTTGCAGACGAGTCGAGGGAAGACGATGGTGTTTAACGTCATGGATACGCCAGGACACGTGAATTTTAGCGATGAAGTGACGGCATCGATGCGGTTGGCGGATGGAGTGTTGCTTGTCGTCGATGCGTGCGAAGGTGTTATGACTTCGACGACGCGACAAATCAAGCACGCGGCGCGAGACGGTTTGCCCGTGTGCGTCTTCATATCGAAGATTGATCGCTTGATTGTCGAGCTCAAGCTTCCGCCCGCGGATGCCTATCACAAGCTCCGTCACACGATCGAAGAAATCAACGGCTTGATCGAGACGTTTTACACACCAGACGCCGACGGAGCTCTGCCGACGGTGAGTCCGGAAAACGGCAAGGTTTGCTTTGGGAGCGCTTTGTACGGATTTAGTTTCACCTTAGAATCGTTCGCCAAACTCTACGTCGATGTGAACGGCGTGTTAGTCGATCATAAGGAGTTCGCAAAGAGGATGTGGGGCGATGTGTATTATCACGGCGATACGCGGATGTTCAAGAAGAAGCCACCGCCGGGCGGCGGCGAGCGCACCTTCGTGCAGTTCATCCTCGAACCGTTGTACAAAGTTTTCAGCCAAGTTGTCGGTGAAACTATTGACAGCGTGTCTGATAAGTTGAAGGAATTTGGCATCAAACTGAAGCCAAAGGAGACGAAAGCAAACACGAAGCCGCTGCTCAAGATGACGTGCCAGAAGATTTTCGGCGCCGCGTCTGGGCTGGCGGATATGCTCGCCGCACACATCCCGACGGCGGAAGAAGGCGCGGCTATGAAGATTGAGCGCGCTTACAGCGGCCCGGTAAAGAACGGTGGCAAACTCGTCGATGCAATGCGGGCGTGTGACCCGGACGCACCAGCCGTGGTGATGGTTTCCAAACTCATCCCAAAAAGCGATTGCTCGGCGTTCGACGCGCTCGGTCGCGTGATGTGCGGGACGCTTAGGAAGAACGATCGCGTTCGTGTTCTCGGCGAAAACTTCTCCCCAGATGACGAAGAAGACAGCGTGGTGAAGAATGTGACGAATATGTGGATATATGAAGCGCGTTATCGTATTCCCATCAAGGAAGCGCGCGCGGGCGCTTGGGTCCTCATCGAAGGCATAGACCAAAGCATCACCACAACTGCCACGTTGGTACCGGAGAAGATGCCGAAAGGGTACGACGACGACTTGTACGCTTTCAAACCGTTAGAGTTCGATAACAAATCGGTGATGAAGATCGCTGCGGAGCCTCTCAACCCGAGCGACTTGCCGAAAATGGTTGAAGGTTTACGCAAGATTACCAAATCCTACCCCGCCTGCGTGACCAAGGTTGAGGAAAGCGGCGAACACACAATCATGGGCACGGGGGAGTTGTTTTTAGATAGCGTAATGAAGGATCTCCGAGAAATGTACAGCGAAATCGAGGTCAAGGTGAGTGATCCTGTGGTTTGCTTTAACGAAACCGTCGTGGAGACGAGCTCGCTCAAGTGCTACGCGGAGACGCCGAACAAAAAGAACAAACTCACGATGATCGCCGAGCCCCTCGACAAGGGACTTGCGCGAGATATCGAGACCGGCAAAGTCAATTTGAGTGCGCCGAAGAAACAGGTGAGCGATTTCTTCAAGTCAGAGTACGAGTGGGACGCGCTCGCTGCGAAGAGTGTCTGGGCGTTTGGCCCCGACGCGGCCGGCCCCAACGCGTTGTTGGACGACACTTTGCCGTCCGAAGTCGACAAAGGATTGCTTGCGGCGATTCGTGACTCCGTTGTACAAGGATTCCAGTGGGGCACGCGCGAGGGTCCGCTGTGCGATGAGCCTATCCGCGAGGTCAAGTTCAAAATTTTAGACGCCGTCGTCGCCGACGCCCCGCTTCAGCGAGGGGGCGGGCAAATCATCCCCACCGCGCGTCGCTGCGCGTACAGCGCCTTCCTCATGGCCACTCCGCGATTGATGGAGCCCATTTACGAAGTTGAGATCCAATCTCCCGCCGATTGCATGAGCGCCATCTACACCGTGCTCAGTAAACGTCGCGGACACGTCGTCAGCGATGCCCCAAAACCTGGCACCCCCGTGTACACCGTCAAGGCGCTCATCCCCGCCATCGAAACCTTTGGTTTCGAGACCGACCTGCGCTACCACACCCAAGGCCAAGCCTTCGGTCAGTCCTACTTCGACCACTGGGCCGTCGTTCCGGGCGATCCTCTCGACAAGACCGTCGTGTTGCGTCCCCTCGAACCCGCCCCCGTCCCTCACCTCGCTCGCGAGTTCATGGTCAAGACGCGTCGTCGCAAGGGCATGTCCGAAGACGTCACCGTGAGTAAATTCTTCGACGACGATTTGCTCATCGAGCTCGCGCAGGCCGACACCGAGCTCGCGGGTCTATTTTAGTTTGTAGTTTTACGACGGCCGCGTCCCGACGCCTCGATCGATCTTCGCGCTCGCGCCGCGCGCCACACGCCGTCCGTCGATGACGCGCGCGTTCCCGTCGCTGCGCCAGATCCTGCTCCTCCAGCGCGACGTCCCGCGCGCCGCCGCCTTCTACGAGCGCGCCCTCGGTCTCCGAATCGCCGTCTGCACGGAAACGTTCGCCGAACTCGCGCTCGATTCGCGCGGTGCGGATTCGACGACGGGAAACGCGCCGACGCTCGCGCTGCAACGCGCCGAGCACGAATCGCAGCTGCAGACGGGGTACACGCCGATATTGCACTTCGAGGTGGACGACGTGCAGACGCGCGTGAACGCGGCGCTGACGCTGGGAGGACGATTGGACGGGAAGATTCAGTACGAGACGCACGGCGCGGTGGCGTGCGTGCGAACGCCGGACGGCCACATGATCGGGATGTATCAATCGACGCCGTAAAAACGACATGCGCACGCGAGGAAGTCAAGAAAAGGGCGCGACCGACGACGGGTTCGGGGGGGAAAGACCGACGTCGAAACGACGAGGACGATGCGTCGCGCACGTGGACGCGGACGCGTTTTTCGCGGCGGTGGAGAAACAAAGGAATCCGAGGTTGAGAGACGTGCCGGTGGCGGTGCGGCAGCATGGGGATATCATATGCGTCGATCATCGCGCGCGGGAGTTAGGGGCGACGAAACACATGAATCCGGACAAGTGTCGGGCGTTGTTGACGCCGCACGGCGGCGAGGTGGTGCACGTGCACTCGACGGACGATCACATGTTGAGTTACGAGCCGTACACGCGCGCTTCGTACGAATTGCACGCGAAGCTGTACGCTGCGTGTGAACGGTTGCGGGTCGACGGTGGCACGCTGATTTATCAAAGAGCGTCCGTGGACGAGGCGTACGTGCAGCTCGAAAACGGTGCCAAGCCATCCCAGCGAGGAAAGGCGTTTGCGGAATCCATACGTCGAGCGATCGCGGAAGAGTGCGGGTACAGCGTGTCCGTCGGCGTCGCGCGAAACAAGATGTTGGCGAAAATCGCTTCGAAGTTAGCGAAACCGAACGGTGTCGTCGTCATTGAAGACGAAGCCGATCTCGAAAGATGCTTTCGCCAACTGCCGAGTTCGCATTTGCCAAAGTGCAACGAACCTTTGATTCGTAGGAACCTCGCGTTGCATAATTTACGCACCGCTTGGGATGTTCGCGAGCTAAACGCGAAGCGGTTGGAGGCGCTCGTAGGACTCACGCGCGAAAGGGCGCTGGCTTTGTGCAAAGCCGCGCATGGCGTCGACGACTCTGAAGTCGTGCACAAGGTGCACGAAAAGAATACGCTCAGCTCTTCGATGACGCTCACGATGGTACCAAAGCCGTTACCAAAAAACGTAGGTAGCGACGTCGGTGTCACGGGTGGACCAGCGGGATGGTACAATCCATTGACGTGCGGCGAACGAGAGAGAATTGGGCTCACTCTCGGCGCGCGCGCGCGCGACTTGTACTCCACCATCAAAGTGCATCAGGCATACACGGAGCGCTGGCCCTCGACGCTCACGGTGAAGATGGCCATCGAAGGAACGTCAGTGCAGTACTCTAAGAGCGCTGCTTTCCCTGTAAAGTTCGAAGACGCGACGTCGGAAACCGCGGAAGACGTCCTGACCAAAAAGGCCACCGAGCTCGCTTTACTCACCGTGGGAAAACGCACGACGGACAAGATTCGTGAAGTCGCCGTGGTCGTGAGCAATTTCAAGTCTTCGACCGGTGCGAGGGAACGCACGAGGGAGGAAATCATGACGGCTGAGGCCGATCGACTTCCAAAGCTCTTTCTTCGCTCGCGAGAACAGCAACTCGAAAGAGACGTGAAGGAGAATGCTCAGCGTCGAGTAAGAGCCAAACGTGCGCGCAACGAACGCTGGATCGAAGCTTTACAGCCGTTACCTCCCGTTGATATGCTCATAGCGCTCATCGGTGGGTGGGATGGTGAAGACGAATGTCCTTTGGAGGTTGAGCAATGTCGCCTCGCCATCAGGAATCGTCAAGCCAAGTGCGTCGGGGATGAATAGAATTTTAGTCGCTAGGCCTCGCCAATTCGTTGTATTAAAACAAAATGATCAAGTGCAGAATGAAGACGTACACGGAAAGCGCAAGACGGACGAACGGTCGTCGTTGCAAGTACACAGATGCTCTGTCAAAGTTACTCGCAACTTCCAGCGCAATCGGGTGGTGGAGCATCGGCGCGTTTGTCAACGACTTCATCTGATTTTGAAGCGGGACGAATGCGTATGAGCCGCCCGTGAGAACTGCGCCCTCGATATCTGTGTCCGCGAAGTCTTCGTTCTTTTTGTTCGTGAAGGAACTCGAGGCGGCTTGGCTTGCGCGAGCGTCCGAGAGCAAACTCTGAAGCTGCTTAATTTGTTGATTCGCCGAATCTAACTCTTGGCGTAGTCCGATGGATTCGTCGGTAGCGCTCGGTGGCGTCGGCGTCGCTCGTTGCGCTTGCAACGCCACTTCCAAACTTTGGATTTGCGCTTCCAGACTTTGGATCTTCGTACGGAGTTCCTTCGCCTGCGATTCCGCCGCCGCTTGCATGTGGCTCGCGTCATCTTGTACCATCGCCAATTGCGATTGCGCTTCGGCGATGCGTTTTTCTGCCTCGGCGACGGCTTTGTTCGCGTCCTGGGATGTCTTGAGTGAACTCATCTCATCGGCGTGTGCCTCTGCTTTCATCTCGGACTCCCTCAATCGTTGCTTCAACTCTTCCGCCATTCGCTCGTGTTGTTCGTTTTGCTGCAACACTCTTTCGCATTCCGCGAGATACATCTCCTTCTCCTTTTCCACCTCTTCGAGCGCCAACCGGCCCTCATCTAATTTACTCGCCAGCCGAATATTTTCAGCCGCCAACGCAGACTTTTCGTCTTCGGCCGCGCTCGACAGCGCCAGAAGTTCCGCCTCGAGACTGGATAATTTCGTCGACTTGGCGTCGAGTTCGGCGTTCAATTCCAACACCCTAGATTCCGCCCCACTCGTCGTCTGTTCCGCCGCGCGCTTGAACGACTCGGCTTGCTTTTCCGCCGACGCTTTGCCTTCGCTCGCCTCTCGCAGCGCTTCTCGAAGCTTTGAGATTTCTTCCTCGCCTCGCGACGCCTTCTCCGCGCCCGCCGTCGCCTCCCGCAGCGCCGCGCGCAACGTCTCTAGCTCTTCCTCCATTTTCTTCGCGACCGCGCGCGCCGCATCCGCCGCCTCGCGTGATTCATCATTCGCGTACGCCAACGCCTCCGCGTTTCGTTTCAACTGCTCTCGCATGACTTCCGCTTCCTCTCGCGCCGCCGCTCGTTCCCCCGTCTCCGCCTTGACCACCTCCAACTCCTTCATCAGCGCATCCCGCGCCTCCTCCGCCGCCTCCGCGCGCGCGCGCGCCGCGTCTCGCTCCGCCTCGATCGCTTTCCCCTTTTTCACCGCCTTGACGAGCTTTTGCTTGACGACGGCGACGTCGTCGTGTTTTTTCTCCGCAGCCTCGCTCGGCGCAGCCTTCTCGTCGTCGCGCGTCGCGCGCGCGTCCTCGCTCGACCGCGCCTTGGCCTCGGCTTTGTGTCGTCGAAACTCATCGAGCTTTCGCTGCCCTCGCGCGTGGTCCGCCGCGCGCGCGCCGTCGTCGGGCATCGTCGACGTGTGCGGCGCTTCGGAAGTTGAGTTTGGTTTGGTCGCGCGCGTCGACGCGCGAGCGTGCTATGGACATTCGTGCTATGGACTAAGTCTGGACGGGCGCTAACAGATGTGCCGACGCACGAATCGCCTCGCCGGATCGCTCTTGTTGGCGAAGAAACCGATGTACGCGCTGGCGACGACGACGAACGCGACCCACGCGATGGAGACGTTGCTGAGCGCGACGCCGTTCAAATCGCGACGAAGGAACGGGTACGCCTCGCCGAAGGCGTCGAGATCGTCCGTGATCTCGAGGAACTGCGCTATGAGTTTCGATATCTTCACCGCGGTGGCGTGCCCGACCGGGGCGGCGGTCATCGGTATCGTCAATAAACGCCCCGGCGGCGCGGCGGATTTGATCTCGCGCACGCGCTCGATGTACTTGGTCTTCCACGTCTCCTCGTCCGGCGTCGCGCTCCCGAACGCGCGCTCCCACACGCACGGATAAATATCGCAATAATGATAATCCTCGTTCCCACACGTCGACGCCGTCGACCGCGTCGCCCCCGCGCCGCATCCGCACGCGTCTCCCAGCGCCTTCGCGCTCTCCGCTCGCGTCCTCGCGTGCTCCCACCACTCCGTCGCCATCGTTTCGAACAGCACCACCTTAAAGTCGACGCGATCGCTCATGACGTCCTCGATCGCGTTCGACACCGGCAACCACCCGACGAAATCGTAATCCTCCAGCGCGCTCGTGTTCGTGCTCGCGTCCAGGCAATACGACGTCGCGAACCGCGCGTCGCTCTCGCGCGCCGTCCCTCCCCACGCGCCCCGCGTCGTCGCCGTCGCGCCCTCGAGGACGCGGAACCCGAGATTCGCGAACCACGCCGCCGCCGTCGCCTCGATGTTCGGGTCCATTCCCGCGCTCGCGACGCGCGCGCGCGCGCTCACGTGCGCGTTCAGCGGCGGTGTCTCAACACCCTGCGACGAAGCGCGCGCGATGCGCGACGCCGCGAGCGCGCCGACGAGCGCCGCGAGCGCGCCGCGCATCGCGCCGCGCGTCGATCGCGCGCGCGCCGCGTCGCCGCGTCGCGAGTCCGAGTCCATCGCGTCGTCGCGCTCTGCCGATGCCGATCGACGACGCGATGGTGTTGGACGCGACGCGACGTCGGCGACGCGACATCGCGCGACGCGACCGATGGCGCGCGACGACGCGGCGCCCGCGTCCGGCGACGCGCGCCTGGCGTGCGTCGATTTCGATCTCACCGTCCTCGCGCGGCACTCGTTCGCCGAGCGCGTCACGGTCGAGCGCGTCGAGGCGCTCGAGCTGCGCGACGTCGAGCGAGAGTTCGTCGACGTCGAGTGCTTTCGAGCGTTTTTAGGTGCGACGAGAGACGAAGAGGCTCGACCGCGAGATTCGAAGCCGCGGTCGAGCGCGCGCGCGGTCGACGGACGCGACGACGACGACGAGACGACTGACGGACGCGACGACGGCGCGGGCGACAGAGTACGCGAATCGACGAGGGATGGATGTGAAAATAACGAGTTTTGGCAAGTATGCGGTCATACAAGCGTACGTCGATCGCGTGTTGGGCGAGGGGGCGATGACGCGAGCGGACATTTCGACGCCGAGTCGCGTCGGCGTGAAGGATGGGTGCGCGGTCGAGGGCGGGAAGAATAGACAAATAGAGGAACTTTTGCGCGAAAAGTACGGTGAAGACGCGTGGGAAAAGTTTAGGGGTACCGTGGTGTTGTTCGACGACGACGAGCGGAACGTTGAGGCGGCGATTCGAGCGGGATTTCGCGCGACGCACACGCCGGATGGTTTGACGAAGGCGGCGATTCAAAGCGTCTTCGGCGACTTTGATTGATTGTATTCGTGTTGTTTCTATAATAATGTACAATGTATTTGCTATGCGCTATCGTTGTCTACCCCGAGCGTTTTCGCGAGCCACGGCGCGCCGGAAGCCGCGTCCGCTGGCTTTTTAAAGTAAAACCAATCCTTTGTCAAACTCGCGAAATCGCCGTACTCGTCCGCGACGCGACGCCAATTCACCTCGGGCCCGCTCAAAATGAGCTCGTTCCATATCGAACACGCCCCCGCGCGCCAAATCGTGACTTCATCCGACGTCGCGTCCGCGAGCGCCTGCGCGCACGCGATGGCGTCGTCCAGCTTCGCGCCTTTCCCTCGTCCCGTGCTCACGTTGGCCACGACGCGACCGCCCGGTTTCAGTCGCGCCGCCAACGCCTCCCACGTCGCTTTATCCTTCAAACACGCCACCACGACTGAATTCTCATCGAAACAATCGACGATGAGTCCATCGAACTCGATCTCGCTCCGCGCGCACCCCTCGAACGCGTCCCCCGTGACGACGCGCAACCTCCCCTCGCGTTCCAAATCCCCCACCGCGAAGTGTCGTCTCGCCAGTTCCACGATGGCTGGATCCAGCTCCCACCCGATCATGTCCACGTCGTCGTGATGTCCCGCCATGATTTCCGCGCACGTGCCCGCCCCCAGGCCTAATATTCCGATCGTCTTCTTCCCTCGTCTCGCCTCGCCCTCGAGCGTCGCCGGCAGCGTCGCGAACGCGTCGAACACCCCGCCTCGCCCGACCGCGCGTCCCGACCGCGACTCGCGTCCGTCGTCTCGTCGTTCGCTCAGCACCGCGTCGGGCGCGTCCGCGCGCGTCAGCACCAGCGCGCCCGCGAACGCGGCGTTCGGGCAGTCGCTCGACACGCGCTCGACGAGCAGGTCGCTGCCGAAGCGCGACGACGCGCGATCGACGACGACGGTCCAGGACGACGCGCCGTCGGCGTTCGACGCGCGTCTCCGCGCGTCGCGACGGCGCGCGAGCGCGCGCGTCGGCTGCGCGCGCGACGCCGACGCGAACGCGAACGCGCGCGCCGACATGGATGCGGACGCGACACTCTGTGACGCGCGGAGGTGCGCCGGCGCGGCGATTCATGTCGACGACGGCCGCGCGCGCGGGCGCGACGCGGACGATGACGACGACGCGCGCGACGACGAGGCGAGCGCGCGCGACGGCGACGACGACGCGCGCGACGAACGGTAGGGGTGTCGCGGTAACCGTCGACGATGCTTACGACGACGACGCGACGACGACGCGACGACGGGCGATGGCGCGCGTCGCGACGCTCGCGGCGATGGTGACGGTGACGCCGGCGCGCGCGGCGGAGTCGCCCGAGTCGTTGTACGATCTCACGGTGATGCAGTACGGGAAACCGACGCCGCTGGCGGCGTATCGGGGCAAAGTGAGCGTCGTCGTCAACGTGGCGAGCGAGTGACCTCTGGTGAACAGCAACTACCCAGCGCTGAGGCGGATGTATGAGACGTATCGCGATAGGGGGTTTGAAATCATCGCGTTTCCCGCGAATCAGTTCGGGTGCCAAGCGCCGGGAACGAGCGAGATGGAACGCGCGTACGCGTATAAGAAATTCGGCGTCGATACGTTTCCGGTGATGGATAAAATCGCGGTCAAGGCTAAACCGGTCAGGTGCAAAGGAATCGATCCGGCGTCGTACGAGGAATTCAAGGATGATCCGGATGCGGTTTTGACGGCGCCGTTGGTGGACGACGTCACGAGTTCGGCGAAGCAATCGCCGGTGTACGAGTTTTTAAAGAGACCGCCGTTCGACGGAGAAATTCCTTGGAATTACACCAAGTTTTTAGTCGGTCGCGATGGCCGAGTCCTTCGCAGGTACGGCCCGGGAGATCCTCTGGAGCAAGGATTCGAGGAAGATTTGAAGCGCGCCTTGGACGGCGTCGCTTTGACGGCGAAACCGCGGAATCCATACCTTTAAAATCAAATCGACGGCGCCGTGCCGCGCGAATCGGTGACGACGTGCGAGAAAAGACGTTTGAGCGATATCGCTCGGCGTCCTCGCTCGTCCGATTCTTCGCGCGCGCGACGCTCGTTCGAGAAGTTTTATAATCAGTATCGCTCAAAGAAGACTTTACGCTCACGGCTCACTCCGAGCGTCAGAACGCGACGACGACGCGATCGCGACGACGACACACCGCGTGCGACGACGGAGGACGCGCGCGCGATGAACGCTAACGACGCGATGCAGGTGCGTTCGAAAAGCGCCGCGCGCGACGGTGAAAGCGACACGCCGCGCGCGCGTCGATTTGATTTTTTGACTTTCGAGCTGTCGCGCGCGCGTTGACCGCGACCGAACGCGAACGGACGACGACTGACGCAACTCGAACGCGATAGGCCATGGTGGAGCAAAAGGTGTACGACATGGCGCGCGCGGTGGAGGATTCCGTGGACGATGAGCTGCATCGATTGGAAAAGATGGACGGCGACGCGTTGGAGGATATTCGAAGGAAACGCTTGGAGGCGATGAAATCGACGCACGAAGCGCGGAAGAGCGCGCTGGAGCGTGGACACGGGGTGGTGAATGATTTAGATGATGAGAAAGCGTTTTTCGAAAAGATGAAGGGAGAGGATAAGATGATTGTACATTTTTATAGAACTTCGTCGTGGCCGTGCGAGGTGATGGATAAACACGTCGCGGCGGTGGCGAGGAAGCACACGGAGACGTTAGTCTGTAGAATCAACGCCGAGAAGTCGCCGTTTTTGACGGAAAAGCTTAAAATTTGGATGTTGCCGACGCTCTGTCTGATTCGTAACACCAAGGTTGTGGATTATATTGTCGGTTTCGACGACGTCGGCGGGACGGATGATTTTCCCACAGAGCATTTGCGTCTGGTGCTCGCTTCGAAGGGGGTGATTAATTACGAAGGTGGCGATAACGACTGCGATGCGAACCCGCGGGCGGCTAAGAAGGCGATGAATGTGATAGATAAGGCGACGAATATTCGTCGAGGGGCGAAGATGGCGTTGAATAGCGACGACGAAGACAGCGACTTCGATTGATGACGGAGACGCGGCGTGTTAAGTAAAGAATATTCCAGTTGTGATTAGCGATTACAAAAGATGCGTTTATCGTCCATAATGACTCTTCCTAGAAGCTTTGACCCTTTGTCGCGTTCGCGGTGGTGACGCGTGACAACACTTCGTCGACAGACAATGTACCGACGTCGCCATCCTTGAACGTACGCACAGCCAACGTGTTGTTCTCCGCTTCTTCTCTACCGACGACCGCCATGACCGGGATCTTTGCCTTCTCAGCCGTGCGCACGAGCTTAGCGAGACGTTGTCCGGTGCAAATTTCAACGCGCACGCCCGCATCGCGGAGCTTTTTCGCGACGCCTTCGGTATAATCGCTGACTTCGTCCGTCACAGGAAGCAAGCGCACTTGAATCGGGGCGAGCCACAACGGGAACTCCCCGGCGTAGTTCTCGGTGAGAATACCGAAGAATCTCTCAAGGGAACCGAAAATGGCGCGGTGAATCATGATTGGTCGCTGCTTTGCGTTCTCGCGATCGACGTAGGATAGGTCGAATCGCTCCGGCAGGTTGAAGTCGAGCTGCACCGTGGAGCATTGCCACTTACGCCCGATTGCGTCCAAAATCTTAATGTCAATCTTCGGCCCGTAGAACGCTCCACCGCCGTCGTCGACGATGTAATCCCATCCCTTCATTTGCAATGCGTCCTTAAGCGCACCTTCCGCGGTGTCCCAAATCTTGTCGTCGCCGACAGACTTTTCCGGCCTGGTGGATAGGTTGACTTCAAACTCCTTAAAACCAAACGTGCTCAGAATTTCTTCAGTCAAATCGAGAACGCTCTTGATCTCGTCTGTGATTTGATCCGGGAGGCAGAATATATGCGCGTCATCCTGCGTGAAACCTCTCACTCGGAACAAGCCGTGCATGGTGCCGCTACGTTCATATCTATACACCGTGCCAAGCTCAGCCCAACGAATGGGTAAATCCTTGTACGAGTAGTATCCGTCTTGGTAAACGACGATGTGGAACGGGCAGTTCATCGGTTTGAGCTGATACATTTCATCTTCAACCTTGATGGGCTGGTACATGTTCTCGGAATAAAAATCGCTGTGACCAGAGGTTTTCCACAACTCTTGCCTGGCGACGTGCGGTGAGTACAAGAGCTCGTACCCGCGCGCCAGATGGAGATCCTTCCAGTACGTCTCGATCATGTGTCGCATGTGCGCGCCTTTCGGATGCCAAAACACCAAGCCGCCGCCAGCGTTATCTTGTTGAAGGGAGAACAAACCCAAATCCTTACCGATCGTTCGGTGATCGCGACGCTTCGCCTCCGCCTTGAAATCGTTGTACGCCTGAAGCTGTGCTTCATTCTCCCACGCCGTGCCGTAAATGCGCTGCAACATCGGCTTCGTTTCGTCACCACGCCAGTACGCCCCAGCCAAACTTTCGAGCGCGAACGCTTTCTGATCAAGCTTGCCCGTGGACTCCACGTGAGGTCCCGCGCACAAATCCCACCACTCGTCGCCGATGTGATAAATCGTAATCGGCTCCGTCTTGATGGCTTCTAAGATTTCGAGCTTGTACGGCTCGTTAATCTCCCGGATTCGGCGTTCGGCTTCTTCTCGCGACACTTCCTCCCTGCGAAGCGGGTAATCCTTGCGAATAATCTTATACATTTCCTTTTGAATCTTCTTCATGTCTTGATCGGTGAAACCCTCTGGGTAGTAAAAGTCGTAATAAAATCCCCGGTCGATCCAAGGCCCGATCGTGCACTGCGCGCTCGGAAACACCTTTTGCACCGCCATCGCCATCACGTGCGCGCTCTGCGAAGCGTAAAATCAGCGAACCCATCGTCAGTCTCCTTTCGTCCCTGCGTGGTTCAGGTCGCGCACAAACCCCCTCCGCTCGCCCCTCGCGCGTCGTCGTCCGATCCACCACCGACGCAAGTCTCCCCACGCCTCGCATTTCCAACGCACCGTGTGTCGTATTTTCAACAAATTCTCGCTCTCATCGCTCGTCAGCAGTTTCACCGGCTCCGCGTCGCTCGCCGTCGCGTTCGCCTTATCGCTCGCCGCCGCGCTCGCGCCCGCCCCCGTCCATCGCGTCCTCGCGTCTCGTCGCGCGCCCACGACGCGCGTTCCGACGACATCGTGCCGCCGTGCGTTGCACGTCGTCATTCGCGCGCGATGCGCGCCCGCGATGCGCCGTCCGAGCGCGCATCGCGTCGCCAACGCCGGGGACGTCGTCGTCAATCGAAACATCGTCCGAACGCGCGCGCGCGAGCGACGCGGACGACGGGCGCGGCGCGAGGTCCGACGACGCGCGCGACCGAGCGACGCCGAGTCGTCGCGCTCGTTCGGCGCGCGATGCGTTCGCGAGCGCGTCTGTGCCGACTCGAACGCGTCGACGAATGCCGGCGACGCGCCGGCGGCTCGGCAGAGCGGCGCGCGCGCGATGCCGCGCGGCGACGCGATGCCGCGCGCGACGACGAGCGGCGGCGCGGGCGGCGAGGCGACGCCTCGCGCGCGGGGGCGTCGAACGCGCGAGCACGCGGTGCCGCCGAGCGTGGAGAAGTTGGCGGCGTCGACGTTCGCGGCGGAATCGAAACGAAACGCGCGCGAGATGGAGGAGGCGTGGAAAAGCGTCGTCGCGGCGCGCACGCGAGGCGCTATTGACGATGCGACGCGGTCGTATCACGCGCTGGCGCGCGCGATCGAACGCGAGGAACGAGGCTTTGAGGATTTCAGCGGGTCGTGCTCGAGCGCGCTCCGACGCGAGTACGCCGGGCTGAAGGCGATCGATGACATGCCGTTCAAGCCTGAGTGGCGGCGGTCGATCGTTGACATCGCCGTGGGGGAGCAGATGTACGTCAGCGCACTGTGCGAGCAAGCGGGAGCGATGCGGGTGATGCGCGCGTGCGGGTTGGGGTGCCGAATGCGAAACGCGCAAAAATGTTCAATCCTTCCGTTCGATGATGCGACGAAAGATTTGTATTGCAACGTGCTGAGCGAGATCGCGTTTGAGGGTCGGTCGTACGTGCAAGCGATGGAGGCGAGGCGAGATAACGAACACTTGCTCGGGCCGACGGCGGAATTGGACATGCGGCGGCTGAAGACGTACGCGATGGGCGCGCTTTGCTCGTTACTCGTCACGGATACCGCGGCGAGCGATAACATACGAAACGGGGTGATGGAGAGTTTGTTGATACCGCTCGTGCGGTTGATCTGTCGCGGTGGCGAAGACATGCCCGCGTGGGAAATTTCTTGCGAGGACACGTTGCGTTTAGCCGAGGACGCCGGCGAAGGTTGCTCGAGCGGACTCGATGCGGGCGATCACGACGATCTTCATCGCTCGTTAATGCAAGCGCGCTTGACGTGTGTGGGAGCAATAGGCGATTATGTTGAGTGTTTTGCAGAGGCACTCAAGCACGGTGTCCTCGAACTCTCTCTGCGTCTCGTCGCGGGACCCCGCGAAAACGGGTGGCTTGAGAAGTACGGCTTCAAGCGGCACCACGGAGAAACTTCGGCTTGGCCTGGAGATCCTCAACTATCCGAAGCGCTCTCTATCGTCAGTGCGTTTCTGGCGCATCGGAAGTTTGCGATTTCTTTCATTGACGCCGGTGGCGCAAAGTTGTTGCTAAACATTCCCAGAGGGCCTATGACGTACTACAATTTGACGCGCTGCCTATTCGGTATCGCGAGCATCACCACGGCGCTCGAACGTCTCGTGTCGCCGCAGGTGGACTTGGCACGACGATATGTGAAAGTATCGCTCGAGCTTTTGGATTGCAGCAACGAGTACGCGCGTCGTCAAGCCGCATTGTTCCTGACGTTTGCCATGCAAATCCCCGTCGTCGTCGTGGCGTTTGACGCGGAGGCTGGCCTCAAGCTCGTCCTTGACGTCCTTCGGACGTTGGCAGTGATGGTTGTAGACGTAGATAAGGTGCGCCCATCGATGTCTCCGAACGAGATTTCGCAGGCGAAAGAGACTGGAGATCACGTGAGCTTGTTGCTTAGACAGTACATGCGCGCGCATTTTGCGCAACACGTCAAAGCGATCGAAGAAAAGGTGATGGGCAAATCGAAGAAGAGTACGAGCACCAATAATCGTGCGATGCTACAAGCGATGGATATCGGATACGATGCGACGGAGCGACTATTTAGCTTAGTGAGTCGCCAAAAGCGCATCGCCGCCGTCATGCAAACCAAGTCGTGGCTCGTCATAGAAGCCTTCGTGGCGCAAAAAGGGCCGAAGGTGATGCTCGACTTGCTCACTTTGGCTCCGGGTGAAAAAACTCTTCGCGAGTGCGTTTTGGGATCTTTAAGCGTTTTAAAGATTGTGACGTCACATCCCACTGGAAGAGTGCACACGGCAAAGGCGCAATTTGATGAATATTACTCTTCTGGGTACGTTCTCATAGATGTCGTCGAGAATGCGGCAGAGGCGGTCGACACTGAAGCCGTGGTCGAGGCTTTGAAAGTCGTTTGCAATCTCGTTTCTCCCCCTTACGCCTTGCATAGTACCGATGCTAAATCACAGAGTGGGAAGTTACAGCGCTCTCACAGCATCGATGGCAAGTCGTTCTCAGTTTTTGACTACGCGCGAATGGAGGAAACGTTTGAGGCGGGGCGGAAACATATCCGAGAGGCTTTTGGCGTTAAGTCTTTGCTCAACCTGCTGTTTAAAACGTCGAAGACGTTACCTCAGCCGTCTATGAACATATCTAGAGCACTTTGTTGTCGTGCCTTGCTCGGGTTATCTCGCGATGCGTCAATCGCAAACACTCTACAGACGCTGCAAATAGCGCGGCATCTTTCAGAGCTTTTGCGCGAGACGGGGACGACGCAACACTCCGCGTTTGACGAACTAGCGATCGTGGACTCGAAGCGCGAAAACGGTACAGCTGCTACGGTTCAGGCTGCCGCCACAGAGTTTCATCGATGCGCCGTGGAGCTCATCGCGGCAACCGCAGGGTTTGCAAACGTCAAAGCGACGACGCCCGCGGTGGCGTCCGACGCTGCGGCGCCGCCTCTGGCGAAACTCGAACGACACTTGATTGCAGCTGCAACTAAAGTTCGATATCCGCACAACGAGCTTTTACAAATAATGCATGAGCATCTCGTCGCGGCTGGCTTGACGAGTACCGCGGCTTCGCTCGTGGACGAGGCGGGGATGGAGCGCCCGGGTCGCAGCGCGAGTGTAGGTCGTTTGTGTCCTTCGCCTGCGCCGCGCCTCAAGCTAAATTTCAAGAGCAAGACAGCTCGCACAAAGATGTATCGGCGTGCACCACGATCGAGAATGACTGGTGCGGCACGCGGTATGCTCGGGATTGCGGGCGAACCGTTCACTCTTGGGCTCGAGCAAGGCTCCACTCAAGCGCCGCCGCGCAAAGGGCCACGGCGTGGAGAATCAAGTCGAGCCAGCAAACTTTCACCCGCAGTGGTCACAACTTCGGTCAATTCGGTCAAAACGAGCAAACCAGGAGCAAATGGTATTGTTGTTACTCCTTGCAGCACACGACGAGGCAAAAAGCGAAAAACTAACGGAGAAGAAATACGGAAATCTCTTATCACACCACCCATTGCAGTTGGTGCAACAGAACGCGCCTGCTGTGCGAATGAACACCAAACACCATCGCCAAGCGTGAAGGAGCGCGTTCACAAAGAGTTTCCTACACCCGGTGTGTTGGTCTCCGATGCACCACGCGGTGAAACGGGTTGTGGCGTGCGTTCGCGATTAGATTCTATTCTGACGCAATACCTCCGAGCTCAGCATCGGCAGTGCGCCGCGCCGATTACGGCGTGCGCTCCCTTCTCTTTGCTTGCGCCGCATCAGTGTCCTCAGCCAAAACGTATTCTTGAAGCACCGCGAAACTTGACGGCTCGTCTTCGCCAGCGTGAGTGGGCTAACGTGACTGGCTGGGATGCCGGCATGCGTCGAGCTGATCGACACTTTGTGTACAGCAGATTCAGACCGCTGCGCGCGATTCGGGGCAATGATTGCTTATTCACCGCCGCGTCTTTCTTGTATGGCGTGCCGGAACAAATCATCATCGGTGACAATGACGGCGAGCTTCATCTGTACGACCACATATCTGGAGAGCTCTTGGAAATAGCCGCCACGCCAGGGAGGGTCAGTGGCGCCATTCGCAAGATTGCGGCGGCTGGTCCGCTGTGCCCGACACCGTTATTCGCCGTTACGTCGGTGGAAAGCTGCTCAATTTGGAGCCTCCCGAATCCAGACGATGCGCCCTACATGCTTTGGTGCTCTGGTCACTCTGGGTGCGCCATAAACTCCACGGGCTCTCAATTTGTCAGCGGTAGCCTCGAATCAGTCGTCGAGCTCGCGGACATGGAAACACATCGCGTTACACGCAGGCTCACCTCGAACACTGGCGGCCCTCCGTTATTGACGAAAAACAACGACGAAGTTTCATTTTCTCCAAGCGACGACTTGATTTTGTGGGATGAAGTACTCTGGGATGTACGATTGGCGAATGATAAGCCAATTCGACGATTCGACCGTTATTCAGAGGCTGCGGGCGCGTGTTTCCATCCGGGAGGAAACGAAATCATTATCGGGCGGGAAGTGTGGGACATTCGGTCATCACGCTTGCTCCGCGTGGTGCCTTCACTCGACCGTGCAGCGCTAAAGTTCAACCTCACCGGCACCGTGGGTATGGCGCACATTTTACACCCTAGAAACGAGCCACCGCTTTCATCCTTGCGCAAGTGTCATCATCCGTACAAGCATTCTTTTTGTACCATCGACATGCTCGATTATTCAGATATTTGCACTGTCGACGTTCCTTCGGGCATGATTGACGCCGCGTGGGATGTGAATTCCGACACTCTTTGCGCTACGGTGGAGTATGATATCTTGAACACACACGAGTCAACCGTGCGTCTGCACGAAGTTGGGAGACTACGACCAGCCGATGACGAATCAGACGTCGAAGACGAGCACGAAGAGATCGAGCCCATGGTTTTGAACATGGACCACGATGGATGGGAAGAAGATTATTCGGACGAAGACTCGGAAGAACGCATTGAGGATGCAGACGGTCGGGTAAACATCAACGAAGCGCGCATTCGGCATCAAATTAACAGTCTACGCGAGATGGTGCGCGAGGCTGAGGTCGATTGGGTGCGTTACGACGACGACGGCGAAGGCGTGCACTCGGGAGACGACGATTCCAGCGAATACGACTCTGACTTCATCGATAGCGACAGTGACGACGCGGAAGATGATCTTCATTTCGGCCGAGCACTACTCCGCCGCGCTCTACACGGTCGTAGACCCGCGGTTACGCGGTACGACGACGACGACGACGAAGACGAATATGAGACAGACGACGACGACGAATATGAGACAGACGACGGCGACGACGAAGAGAGCGAATACGAAACGGACGACGGCTGAAAAATTGTAATTTGTACCAAAATTCTTTGCGTTCTCGTCGCTTCAGCGCGCACCGGTGGCCGCGCGCGATCGTCACCCGACGCGTCGCGGCCCCTCGAGCCGGCGAGGCCCCGTCGCGCGCGAAGACGAAAAAATCTGGACGAGGGCGGGAAGGGCGCCGCGCGACGTCGAGGCGCGGCGCGATCGGCAGTGCGGCGCGCGCGAAGCACGAAGGAGACGACCGCGATGTCGACGCGCGCGACGCGCGGCGCGGCGTCGACGCGCGCGATCGAGCGCGGCGCGACGCGCGACGGGCGTCGTCTTCGGCGGAATCGTCGCCAACGGTCGCGCGGGACGACGACGACGACGACGACGGCGCGGGCGTCGCGAACGAACGACGCGCGAGCGAGGGATCGGGATCGGGATGATTACGACGTGCACACGGTGATGTACGGGGACACGCTGAACGAGATCGCGCGAGCGCACGGGACGAGCGCGGAGGCGGTGTGCGAGGCGAATGGGATTCGGTTCGACGACGAAGGAAACGACGAAGACGCGCCGGCGCTGTACGTCGGACAGCGGCTGTTGATTCCGACGACGAATGATGATGGACGATGGAGACGAGGTGAAGTGGGAGAGTACGGGAGTCGACGGACGACGGCGATGAGCGAACGAGAACGCGACGCGGAGTTCGCGCGAGCGAGACGGTCGAGGAGCGAACAGAGACGGATGAGCGCGCCGACGACGCGAACGCACGCCGTGGTGAGCGCGAGCGCGGTGGAAGAGTTGACGCGAGATGATGTGGTGGGGATGCTGACGCACAGGGACGAGACGGTGATGCTGCTGGTGGAGACGGAGAATTGCCGATGGTGCGACGACGTGCAGCCGGCGTGGACGGCGGTAGCGGTGTGCTACGCCAACGACCCCACCGTGCGCGTGTGCCGGCTGAGATGCGATAGCGCTGAGATGAAGCAGTTTGCGGCGAAATACTTTCGCGCCAAGACTTTTCCAACCATCGTCGCTTTGCCCGCGGGCAAAGGGCCGGTGTACCGCCACGCGAGCGCCGACAGAAGCGTCGGCGCTTTGCTCGAGTTCGCTGAAGAAGCCACGGGTCGAACAGCGCCTACATTGGCGATTGACTTGCGCAAATCTCCGCAGAGCGCGTCGTCGGCGATGACAACGCGACGAGGGGTGTCGGCAGCGAGCGACGCGTCGTCCTTCTCGCGCCAAACGGCTCAAAATCCATTCAACGCGCTGACTGGCGCACTCGGAAGCACGCTAGGTTTCGACGGCAACAGTGGCCGATCGAGCGTCGGTGTGAGCGCGACACCCTCATCGCAAGTGCTTCCACTCGCAGCCGGGATCACGACGCTCGCGATATTCGCCGCGGTGGCGAACGTGGCGGTTGCGGCGCGAAACGCCGGCGCGAAACGCCAACCGCGCAGGTTGGGTCGGCATTTCCACGAAGAAGAGTTCGCGGACGATCACGAGCCGTTAGATGACTACGACGAAGCCGTCATGGAGGTTTCGTCGCAAAACGACGCTCGGCAGCTCGCAGAATGGCGAGACATTGTCGTCGAGGAATTATTTTCGCTTCCGAGCCGCGCACTATTGTTGATTAGGATTTGGTTTCTCATCGGTCGACGATCGGTCGAGCTCGGCAAGTCGCGAAGTAAAAATGAACGTCGCGGTGGTCGCTCAAGAGATGAGTACGAAGTGGACGAGTATTACGAAGACGAAAGGCGACCGTTTCGGGACGACGGCGATGCTAGACGGGCGAGGCCGTCTCGCAACTCGCGCGATGATCCGACGTACTACTAACGAGACACCGTTCTATCTATATATGGCTAATAATCATGCTACAAGATCTTCTAACAGTTGACCTCTGTCGCCGCCTCGATTGCGTTTCCTAAAAACTTCTCAAGCGCAATGCGCCTGTGCGAAATCTCCGCTTGCTCCACGAACTGCAGTTCTCCAAACGTCTTGGCGAATCCCGCGGGCTGGAAAACGCTGTTCCACGACGCCTTGCCGTGCTTGACTTCACCTCGCGGAGGCACCATCGTTCCCCTGATAGAGCCGATAAACACATTCGTCTCGCGAGAGCCCCCCGCTCGCACGGCCATCGCTCCAACCGTGCACGTAACCGTCGCGTTACGATCTTCGTACCGGGACATCACGTCCCATAGTCCATCGGGTCCGATCGCTTCAAGCATGGGTTTGCAATAGGGCCCCGGGAATCCGTTCAAGGCGTCGAGATCGAGTGACACGTCTTCGACGAGGAGGTAATCAAAATCGCCCGCATCTGCCTCTTGAAAAAGAATCGTCGCCGCCTCTTTGAGCTTGTGCTTGCTGATGTCCACTTTTGAGCCTTGTATTTCAACAGTGTCCACGTCGAACTGCTGCAGAATCACGTTCGCTCGCGCGAGGTTTTCCGGTCTGTTGAATACGTGCTTGGCTTCGGCAAACTTGCCGTGGTTACCCGTGGCGTAAGCGATGCGTAGCGTCGGGATTGACGCCATCGCCAGGCGTTGCACGAGCGCTTGTCGATTATCTCGCCGTCAACACGAGTCCGCTGGTTCGTCGTCGTCGTTCTCGCGCGCGAGGTTATGAAGAGATCGCCGATGCAGTCAAGCACTCAAGCGTCCCCGTCGTCGGCGTAGAGCGCCGCAAGCTGCAGCGCGAAGTCACTCGGTCCATCGGGCGTGGGCGCGGTCGTCACATCATTCATCATTTCGTCCGTGTGCACTGTCTCTTCATCGCGCGCGTTGTGGTCGATTTCAGCCGAGGGTGGCGCGTCGCCGCCGTACCCGGAAAAATCTCCGGCGACGTCTTCAAAGTCTTCCCAGTCGACTCCGCTCACCGCTTCGATCACCGCGCTTTCTCTTAACCGCTCTCGCAACGCTTCGCGCTCGATTCTCGTTCGCTTCGCTGCGCTCGCAGCGTACGCATCGACGTCTGCCTCAAACACCGCCACTAAGTTTTCGCTCGTCACCGCGAGCGCGTGCGCCGTGGCATCCACACTCAACACCGGCACGTCTCGCAGCACCACCGCGCAGCCCGAGGCAAGCGCACGCTCACTCATCATCAATTCCCGATGCACGATGACTCTAATCTCACCAGTGGGATCGCACAGCGTTCCCGCGCCGTCGCCGTTCGACGTAGCGCCGAGCTCGCGAAGCGCGCCCGCCACGCGCGGCGCCCTTCCCGATCGCCATCCACCGCGACGCAACCAAGCGACGTTGTATTTACACTCCGCACGATTCGGGTCGAAGTTTTCGACGTCGATGGCGTCCAGCGCGCGGCGCCAAGGCGCGGACGCGAAGAGCGCGGCGTCGAGGACATCTTCAGCTGTCGCCGCGGGATTTGAACTCGTCGCGTCGTTGGGCGTCGCCTCACGCGCACCTTCGTCGCCTTCACCGTTCGCGCGCGCGTGTGCGATGTTTTCACGCGACGCGAAGGCGTTTGCGGGACCGGGTATCGGTCTCATAGCGCGAGGCGAGGCAAAGTCTGGCGATACTCGCACCGTCGCGGCGGTCGTCATCGAGCTCGCGCGACGCGCGACGCGGACGGCGGCGAACCGTCCTCCACGAAACGACGCCGAGCGCAGGCGAAGGTTATTTCTGAAATGTACGTTTCTGACATCAATGCTTTAATTACACGCGCGATCGGCCGAATGTGGTCTCAGTCCGACTTGGCCTCCTCGCCGTACTTCGGCGGCGCTCGACCCCAGTTTTCCTCGTACGCGCTCGCGACGTTGGGATCGAGATCCAACCCGCTCTTCAACGCCTCCTTCCCCGTACTCACGAATTTCCCTTTCGGTGGCACTTTACGCCCGAACGTGGTGTACTTGGCGGTCCACGCCGCGTAGCCGCCCGCCACCGGGACTGCGTTCGTGTAGCCCGCGGCTTCGAGCCCGCTTACCAACTCCGCCACTCTCGCCCCATCGGCGTCGACGATCAACAATTTCATACCAGGTCGCGTCTTTTCTCGCGCGGCTTTCACCCAATCCTCCACGCTCGCGTCCTGCGCGAGCGGCACGTTGATTGTTTTCGCCGGCGGCTTTGTGATGTGCGAGCGGTCGTACTCCTTCCACGAACGGCAATCGACGAACAGATAGTCCTCGCGCTCGAGCATGTACTTACCAGCGTCGATGTCGACCTCGGACGCGCGCGCGACGTGTCGCGCGCGACGACCGACGACGCGCGCCCGCCGATGGTGGTTATCCACAACACTCGTCAAAGACACGTCCGAATCGACGCCGACGCGAGGCGAGGTGAACAAGGACGACGCGGGCGAGAGCGACGCGCGCGGCATCGCGTTAAACATCGCTCGCGACGCGCGTCTCGGGTTTCGCTCGCGACGCTCGCGCGTGCAGCGCGCTGCGAGGTGCGGCGCAGGGGGGTTGCCGGCGACGGCGACTCGCGTACAGGGTACGGTTGCCCGCAGAGACGCGCGCGGGCGACGACGCGATGAAGGTGCCGACGCACGACGCCGCGCCGGGGGCGAAGTCGTACGGCGGCATGGGCGAGCGCGTGCTGCGCGCGATGGGATGGTCCAAGTGCGCGCGACCGACGACCGAGGCGACCGACGCGACCGACGACCGGCGGCGGGACGCCCGACCCCGAAGAGAAGAGCGGAGACTGACGGCGCGCGAACGACCCCGCGCGCGCGACAGGGGCGATGGACTGGGGAAAAGACGACACGGACGCGCGGAGGCGATCGAGGTGGTGAAGCGCGAGGATAACGCGGGCGTGGGGAAGAGGAAGACGAGGTACGCGTGGGACGAAAAGTGGTGGGAGGGGACGTACGCGAACGCGGCGAGCAAGATTGCGCGCGTCGTCGGAGGCGAGGAGGATGGGAAGACGACGTCGTCGACGTCGACGTCGGGACGCGATGGAGACTCGAGCGAGAGCGAGGATTCGAGCGAGGATGAAGTCGCGGCGAGACTGGGGACGGCGACGGGACGCGACGGCGTGGCGTTTAGCGGATCGAAGAGCGATTTGCAGCTCATGCGAGAGCTGGCGGAGGATAATCATCGCGGATCCACGTTCGGTGGGCGCGTGGGTAAGCTCGAACGCATCGCAAAGTTTGAGGCGGAACAGTTGGCCAAGTATGGGATTCAACGCGGGAGCGCGTCGGCGCCCGCCGCCGCGGAGACGAAGAAAAAGCCAAAGGAAAAGTCTAAGAAGGACAAGAAAAAGCGCAAATCCGACGGCGAAGGTGCGGTCGAAACGACGGTGAGACCTTCGGGCGTGTCGTACGAGGGTGAAAAGTCTTTGAGCACCAAACTCAGCGATTGGTGGACGCGCGCGGGTTTCGCCTGGGGCGGCTTGGTCGGCTCGAAACGCGAGCGCGACTTGAACGACGACGGCGCCGCGGACGACGAAGACGGCGCCGATCGCGCTAAGCGCGGCAAGGGATTCACCGAGAACGATCAAGAGGCTTTATTTAAATCCGCGCACGAAACAAACGTCGCCAAGGGCACGAAGCGAGGTCTCGGCGGCAGAGGCGTGTTGAAGAGCGAGTGGACGGGCGTCAGACGAACCGACTTCGGCGACGACGACGACGACGACGTTGCGAAGAACGACGCGCGTCGGAAAAACGAAAAGGCGAAGAAGGAGAAGAAGGAGAAGAAGGACAAGAAGGAGAAGAAGCAAAAGAAGGAAAAGAAGGAAAAGAGTAGAACTGTAGAAGTAGCGCGATAGCTGTGATAGCCCGAGCAAATCAAAACAACTCAGCGCCTCGCGCACCGACTTCACTCGTCCGCGCGTCGCGCGTCGATGAAACGCTCGAGGGAGACGCGCGCGAACGACTTTCCCATATCGCGCAAGAAGATCGGAGGCCACGCCGCGACGACGTCGAAAATCGAACCCAAGGACGCCATCGCGAGAGTTCAAATCTTGATTACGAAGTCGTTGCACGACGCGAAAGGATTGAGCGAGGCGATACGAGTGAGTGTGCGAGAGGTGACGACGAACACTGTGAACTCGCGGTGAGCGCGCGTCTCGGGCGATGACGCATAAACGAGGGAGCATCGCCGCGTATTTTGCACCGGCTGTTAAGACGCCGAGCGCGGCGGACGGCGCGAAGAAGGCGCGAACTTCCACGGATTCATCGTCGCGATTCGAACGGTGTCCTTTATGCGCAAAGAACGTTGCCAAGATGCTTTTGGAATCTCACGTCGGGACGTGCATTATACGTGAACGTCGAGAGGATGGCGACAGCGATGCTGAGGTTGCCGAGAAACAGCCGGCGACAAAACCAAAACCGGCGACGAACGCCTTCGCGAGCATGATGGCGGCGCAGCGCGAGCGCGAGCGCGAGCGCATATTTTTGTTGACCTACGACGCGGCGCGTTCACGTTGGGACGTGTCGTTGTCGTTGGGGAAATCTATTAAGGCGGAATCTTCGGCGAAGTGGGCGAGTCAAGTCGTGGTTAAAGAGAAATTGGCGAGCGGTACGACGTGTTCGACGACGCTAAAGTTGATGACGGACGTCGCGAGCGACGATGGTCCAGATCAAGAGAACGCGTTGCGCGAAGCGTTACGGGACGCGAAAGAGTACGCTGAAGTTCGCGCGAGTCGAGCGAGTGCAGATGGCGAACAGCTCAAGTTGAGCGTGATCAAATCCGCATTGCAGAAGAATATCAGGCGAGGTCGCGCTGCTGCTGCTTCGCGCGTAGCCATGCACATGTGTTTAGACCCGCAAGCGCTCATCGAATGCGTCCGTAGACTCGTGATCATTTCATTAGAAGATGCTATCCTGCATCCAGATGTCGTACTGTTGACGTGGCTCATGTGCGCGACGAGCAAAGGATTCGAGCCGACGGACGCGTTGCGCGCCGCGGTGGCTCGTATAGCTGGCGAAATGGCGGCTATCCGCATCAAAGATAGCGTTTCGTACGGCGTCGCTGGCGATTCAGCCAGTGGCATGCTCGCGCTCAATGACGTCGAGGCCGCGTTGCCGGCGGCCGAGGCCACCGTCGTTCAGGCTTTGATGATTCGTGCGCACTTTGGCGGAATGCCCGGAGACGTCGCCATGTTACACGGTTTTTCGCACGTATGGTTCAATCGGTTCAAGCAGACGGCAAAAAGTAATGATGTACCGCTCGAGTACGACGAGCTGCGCAATCCGGAAATCATTGACGATAAGTCGCCGTGGCTTTCGTATCTCGAACTCGCATTCGACGCCGCGCGAGAAGCAACGGATGCAGCCAAGACGTGGGGTGGTTTCATGCGCCGCGACGACATACCGATCGCCGCCGTAGACTTCCACGTGTCGAGTTGCGTAGAACACGTCTTGCAAGCACCCGCGGTCAGGCTTAGAATCGTTGAAGCTGGCGAGCGATTCGGATTTGGTGACTCCATCGACGTCGCAGATCGAACAAAGTCGGCGATTTGGCGTCACTCCGCTGGCGTGAACAAAAAATCGAACATCGCCCTGCGAAACACAGTAGTGAAGACGATGATTCACCCTCCGACGAAGAAAGAGCAGCTGTCTCTCGCGATTTGGGAGATCATACGCGAGGATTACGAGCGATGGGTTCGGCGATACTTGGCATTTCGGATGCCTCGCTAAACTGTATTATACAACAACTTGTTTAGCCACTAACTGACTACGTGTAGATGAGAAGGTTATCAAAGAAATCATCCGTCTTCTCCAGCGTTTGCGTGAGCACGAACTTGATGATCGAACGCTCACCTCTCGTCACGCCCGTCACTCTGTGCGGAGCGCCATCCGCGCGAACGATGATGACCGAGTTTGGCTCGGTCCAGCCGCCGTAACGCATTCCAGTTCTCTCATCTTCCCACTCCGTCGTACTATCACTCGTGTTTGTCACCGTGAATACTATTTCATACTGCGGTTTCGTGTACAACGCGACGTCTTTATGCCAGTCCATCGACCCGCCGACGGGGTACACTCTGAATTCCACGGGTACGTCGCCGGCGACCAACGCACCCGCGTCGTCATTTTCACCGAGCAATAACGATCGCAGGCGATCAGAAACCGAGCTCGCCACGCAGGCTTCGTGCACGAAATTATCCGACGGTACCATGACACCCAGCCTCTGCCGCGCGCACGCTCTATTTTCCGGCGTCACGCTCGCGCGCAATTTTTCGCACTCCGCCGCCACGCGCTCGAACGTCTCGGGTTCAAAGAAATTTCGCACGTACAGTAATCCCCCCGACCGCTCGAACGCGGTGTCCCCGACCGCTCCATCGCGCGTTCCATCGTCCACTCTCGGTCGCCGCGCGTTCGCCGACGCGCTCGCGCTCGCGTTCGCCGCCGCCGCTCGCCCCACCGCCGCCGCCGCGCGTCTTCGAAGCTCTCGTCCCTCGTCTCCGCTCGACGCCGTCCCGCGCGCGAGGACTCGCCGTCGCGCGCGCGTTCCGAGCGTCGTCGCGCGCGCCGAACCGCGCTCGACCGTCGCAATCGCGCCTCCTCCACCGTCCCCGCGCGCCGCGCGATCCCCTCCGCGCGCGCGCGTCGTTCTCGTCCTCGTCCTCGTCGCCGTCGACGTCGACGACGACCGCATCGCCGCGCGCGCCGAGACGTGCGACATCGCGCGCGCGTCGCCGGCGCGCGTCGCCGCGTGCGGCGCGCGCGTCGGCGTCGGCCGTTTCGGGGGGTGTCTGGTGGCGTGTGTGATACCCGGAGGGTCCGTGTGTCGCTCGCCCCGCGGTGAAGAGCGCCATCGCGCCGCGCCATCGACCTCTTTACTCGACGCGTCGCGAACGATGGCGAAAATTAGGGTGCGTGGCGCGCGCGGTGGACAGCGCGAGATGCGAAAACGATGACGCGCGCGCGCGACGCGCGGCGCGCGCGGCGCGGCGCGCGCGACGCGAGACGCGAAAGCGTCGGACGGAGCGATCGCGGCGAAACCCTACGGGCGACGACGGGACGATGGGACGACGCGCGCGCGGTGGGACGCGCGCGCGGACGTCGCGCGCGCGGCGGCGCGTTCGGGGGAAGATAATTTCATGCTCGCGATGCGCGCGATCGAAGCGCTCGACGAACGATCGACTGACGAGAAAACGCGCGAATGATTGCTCGACGCAGTACCACCAATACCAAGTCGTCGGCCGACACGTGCCGACCGATGCGCACCCCGAGCCGGAGGTGTTCCGCATGAAGTTGTGGGCGCTCGATGACGTCAAGGCGCGATCGAAGTTCTGGTACTTCATGTCTCGCCTCAAGAAGGTGAAGAAGGCGAACGGCCAAATCATCGCGTGCAACGAGGTGCGTCTTTGTGGATGGGTGAAAGCCCTAGAGCGGGACGCGGACGCGAACGCGACTTTGAGCGACGCGAATCGTGTTAAACGCGCGTCGCGACGATGAAAAACGCGGAATGAGAGACTGACGAGTGTTGATTCGTTCACAATGACGAATAGATCTTTGAGGCGGACACGACGACCGTGAAGAACTTCGGCATCTGGATCCGTTACCAGTCCCGCACGGGTTACCACAACTCGTATAAGGAGTACCGCGAGACGACGATGAACGCGGCGGTGGATGCGCTCTACGAGGAAATGGCTTCCCGCCACCGTGTGCGTGCTTCGTGCTTGCAAATCATTAAGATTGCGGAGGTTGCCGACAAGGATGTTCGCCGCGAGAACACGCGCCAGTTCATTCAAGACGACTTGTCCTTCCCGGTCGTGACCAAGGTGACTCGTCACCCGAGCAAGGCCTCCAAGACGATCATCAAGTACAAGCGCCCCAACCACGTCACTCTTTGAGCGTGCGAGAGGACTTGTTAGACACATTAGTATGGGGGAGGGAGACAGAGCGGACCGAGTTGTAATTTGTTACGAACGTCCTTGATTGAAAACAAGTGTTGCGCCGCGTATCTCTCATTTGCAGTAAACTAACTAGGCGATGTACTTGAAAACTTGCGAGTTTTCTTCGTCGCGCATGATGTATTCCTTGTTGATGAGGTCATCGACTCGCATTTTGATCATCTTTGCTTCCGGGAGGAAGCTCTGTTGGAGTTGGTTCACGACTTCGACGACGAGCTCGTTGTATGCCAACGCCTTGCGAGTCTTCATCACTCGCACGATGGCTGCATCGATGGCATGACGGCGATCTTGTACGACGTTCTCAATCGTAGCTTTTCTCTCATCGGGAGGTGGCAATGCAATCTTGATGCGTCGCGAACGATCGGTGAATTTTTCGTTAAACGAAAAGACGTCTTCGGGATTCACCGTCTTGCCCTCGGGGGACTTGTTCAGAATCTTATACTTGGCACACGAGAGCGAATAGAGCGCTCGCTTCACGGCATCAGCTGGCATTTTTGTCTTTTCTATGACCTTTTGCATCGACAGCTCTTTTTCATTCCGAAAGAGCAACAAAACAGAGCATTGGGGCGTTTGCATGTGCATTTCTATAGTCTTGGCTTCGTACTTGACGTTTAGCACGACTGCTCCGAGTTGATGCACCCACGTGAGCTTTCTTTGGCTCATCTTAGCATCATAGAAAGTTTGAAACGTTTCCACACACTGCGCGAACTCGTCACACAGCTCCACCTGGATGGGCTTCCATGAAGGCCAGAAACCGTGCGTCAAGATGGTGACGTTGAAATCGATGCAAGTCTTGCGATTAGCAGCGTCTTCGTCTACCCATCTCTCAAACACATCTTGAGTGTCTCGCGCAGACTGCACATCATTCACCATACCCTCCATCTTCGATGTAAACTGCGCGCCGCACGACGTCTTGAGTTTACTCAAGATGGAGCGCTCATAATCCTGACTCGCAGACGTGTCTTGCAACAGGCGTCGAGAAAGCCTTTTGCTAGCAAACTCCCCAAACATATCCTTATCGCTGATGTATGCCAAGAGCTTCACAACTTTATCCAGCGTCTCTTCCATCTTCTCATCGCTCAACTTTTCGCTCCCACCCTTTCGCAACAGCTTATCCGCAAAATCTGCGAGTAGCTGCGCCGTCGAGATTTCACCGATGCCCTTGTTGCAGAAGTATTCAAAAGCCTCCTTGAGCGCGCGGTTGAAGAGTGCGTTGGAACCAAAGCAATCGTTCACATAACCACTATATTTGTCGTACAGGTCGATCGCACTTCGAGTAAAGACCTGTTCAATCGACGTAGACGTCGTCGGCTTTTCCTTGTTCCCTTTCATCGCCGCCGCCGCCTGTTCGGCGGAATTCACCAGGCTCATCCCTTCTTTTTGAACGTGCGTTTTGAAAATCTGAGCTATCGGCGCCAATCCTTTCGGTACCGAGCTAAAGAGACGGAACATGCGGGCTAGGTCCTCCTTCTTGTCGTCAACCAAGAGCGCTGCGCAACCGCTATTCTCCTTTTCCAGCAGCTCAGTTTCGTACTGCTCGAGGAGCTGCTGCTCAACCTTTGATATCAACTTCGACTCGGTGCTCTGATGCAAGTATTGTTGCACACGTTCGCGTTCGCTATGCAAACACTCTTCCGCTTTGATGAGATACGCCGGACACGAGTCTTCAGCGATCCACTGCGTCGCCTTGCGAGTGTAAAATGATGATGTGTGCGTGAGCAAGTCGTTTTCGAAATCGTTTTGGTATGCGTCCATCGTACCCAACCCCATCTCGACGAAGATTGACGTGATGCTCTTGATGAGACCTCTATCACTTTTTTCTCCTTCTCGCTCTTTGTCTATGAGGGCCAACACCGCCGTCTTCATGCTCGGCTTGATTTCTTCGTACACCAGTCTTCGGAAGCAACCCACGCCGACTTGATTGAGTGTCGCGTAGTGATGGCGCTGGACGTAGTATCTGTCGAGATAGTTGAAGAACCGAGACAGCCAGCGAACCATTATCTTGTGATTTTCCCATCGACTCATCAAGCTTCTCAGCATGTACTCTCCCTTTTTTTCCACGAGCGCCGGTAAAACCTTTGAGTTGATGTATTGGTTAAACGCGGCCTCGTAGCGCTTGTACAACTCTTCGGAAAAATCGTACGGCGCCTTCTGCGTGCACATGTTGTAAATCGTCCTGCAAGAACGTGTAAATGTTGTTGGATTGCGTCAGTCCATGCGATCACCGCGCCACTTGTTTCGGGGGGTCTTTGAGCGCGAGCGCGCGAGCGCGCGCCCCCAACCGCCCCGCGAGCGGTCAACGCGTCGTCCTACGCACGTGTAAAGATTCATGTACTCTTCCGACGTGAACGATTCCGCATCCTCCTGATCTAGAATGCGTCTAAGTTTCATGATACCATCCTGCGCGTCGTCAAACGTCACGATCTCGTCAGTACGTCTCGTTTCTCCCGCGCCTCGCGAGCTCTCGGCGTCCTCGAGCGTTTGATTCCAAATCGTCCGTCGACGCACCTCCATGTTCCCCCAACCATCTTCAAGCGCGATCACGCGTCGATCGCTCATTCCTCCGTTCATCCAACGTCCCTCGCTCGCGCGTCGTCCGCGTTCGCGCCCTCAACCCGACGAAACTCGCGCGTCGATGCGAACGAACGACGAGATTCCAAATCAAACGCAAACCGCCGCGCGCGCGCCTCGGTCGCGCCGCGCCGTTCGATCGCGGCGGCGCGGACCGTCGTCGGTTCGCGTCGGTTCGCGTCGCGCTCGCGTCGCGCTCGCGTCGCGCTCGCGTCTTCCACTGCCGCGACGCGCCTCGCGACGACGACGACGACGACGACGACGACGTCCGCGCGACGACGTCCGCGCGAGGACGTCGACGGGAATCCGGAAATCCGGCACCCACCGACCGACCGATTTCGCGCGCGCCGAGGGATGAAAAATCTGTCGCCGGACTGCGCGCGCCTCGGGTGCCTGGAACCCGATCGGAGGTTTGCGAACCGAGACGCAGGCCCGTCTCCGAAAACCGTCCGCGGAGACGCGGTCGGCGCGCGCGAACGATCTCGCGGCACATGGCGTCGGATACAGCATCCCGAAGTCGCGCGGACGATCGCAGCGCGACGACAGACGATACCAGCGTCGCGCCCGGACTCTGACGCGTCGCGCGCGGCGGCGGCGGCGCGCGCGATCGAAAACATCGGGCGTGCGCGGGGTGTGTAATTGCGCGAGGCTGTTGGTCTCGACGCGCGCCGTGGAGCGTCGTTGAGCATGAACCGACGTCCTGCGAAGCGGGAATCGGGGTGCGACAAGTGTTTGCGCGTGGCCTACGTCACCGATAGCGCGCGAACGTTCAGCGAGACCGCGTACGTATTTACAAACGCGGAGGAGGCCATTAAGCAACAAGTCGTGCTCGGGACGGTGCAAGTTCGCGTCGCCGCGACTCAAGGAGATTTGCGTGAGATCGTGGAGAGTAAGCTGGAATGGGCGAACAAGATGTTGTTTCATCCACAATCGGGTGGGAAGTCGATGGATGAACACGATTCGCAGGAGCGCAACGCGAGCATGGCGAATAGACTGCGCGAAGGTTTGGGCGGTGACGCCGACTACCTCCTCGTCGACGCAGAATCGTTAGAATTGAAAGCTCTTCGTGGGTTTCCGGGCCCGTATGTCAAGCCTATGATAGATGCACTCGGTCCAGACGGACTCTGGGATCTCATGTCTCGCCATTGCGATCGAAGAGCGGAGTTAAAGTGCGCGCTCGGCGTCAAGTGTTTGCGCACGGGCGAGCAGAAGATTTTCATTTCGTCGCGTTCGGGTGTGCTCGTCGTACCGAGAGGCGAGATGGAGGCGAGCGACGAAGATGGTTTGCAGAGCATTTTCAAGCCGGAAGACTGCCATAAGACGCTCGCAGAGCTAGAGTACTCGGAACGAATGAAAATATCGCATCGCCAAGACGCGTTGCTCGAGTTTTTAACGTATTCCGCCAACAGAGTCGACGAAAACGATCCTCAGGATAGCGATCATGAATTAGAAACAGCTGTACTACTCGATGCGGTCGGGGATATCATTAAGCGTTCGCAGACTTTAGATGGCTCGAAGGCTCAAAGGAATCCGTCGCGACTGAGAGTTCAAAAAACGGCCAAGGTGACGACGAAGCGAAAGCCTGCCCCGCAGACGGTCGCCATGAAGCGTCCGATGGCTGAAGTGGACGAGCTGAGAAAAGAAGCTGTAAAAGAGTTCGATGTGGCCACGGTGAAGTCTAAAGGCATGATTGGCAGTGATGATTCGCCACAGCTGGATGAAAGGAATACGCCAGAACGAGAACGCACTCCGTGGGAAAGCGTTCGTAGCGCGTCCATAGGTTTGCCGGGCCTCCCTCTCCCTCCGCAATCACCGACACTCATACCGCACTCTGTACAGCAAAGAACTTCGCATCAGCGGCGCGTCTTGGATAAAAATCCGAAAGCGACGCGGATCGCAAAGCGCGCCAAGACGCCGCGTCAAACGTTCAACTCAAACGGCGCAAACGACGACGACTTTTGGGGTTTTTCAGCCGCAGCAGCGTCGTGAAAGTGACACGCTTTCAAACGACAATAAACAATCATATTCCAGGGCCGATTGGTTCGATTTGTTCGCTCTTTCGTGAATTGCCCGCCCGCCTGACTCCGGAAAAATTTATATATCGCGCCTTGTACAGTAAGTTGTTATATCGCTTTTAATAACCATCTCGCACATCTTGTGATTACATACTACAAGTCATAGTACACGCTCCAACTCTTTTGGAAATCAGTCTTGAAACTCCAGTTGTTTTCGCGAATATGTGCGTACGGTTCCCGCTTCACCAAATCGTACCCGACACGCAAGCGCAAGTCTTGGTCCTCTTGAAAGTTGAACACCTTGTGCGTGAGTTCTATCGTACCCTCGATCAAGGGCTTAGAACGTTTCACCCCGTACGATACCCCGCCTCTCAATGTCACCGTGCTCATCCCATCCTTCGACGGCGACACGTCCACGGTTTTGCGCGCCCGCGCGCCGTAGCGCACGTCGTCCAGCTTCGTCTCGTACGTCAATCCGATGTCCGCGCGATCGGGTACGAGCGGCGAGGACTTCGCCGGGGAGAAAAGTCGTTTGCGCACGTGTGCTTTACCGTCCATGCGCCCATCGCGAGTGTCTAGACTCCCAGAAACCTGCGCGCGAGAAGAAGGCGTCGGTGCGTCAGCGGATTGCGACGAGCGCGTCGTCGTCGGAATGCGTCGTTGGAATGCGTCTCATCGCGATGCGTACCGTGAGAACGACGTCTTCCGAATTCGTGAATCTTTCCTTGGCGAAGAGCGAAAGCGAACGCGAGGTGGTGTCGTAACGCAAGCTCGTCTCCATCGCGGGCGCCAGTCGAGGTTTGCAGTTGCAGACGCAGGAGCGTGGCGATTTACGCGGTTTTGGTTGTGGGATGGTTGTGGGATATGATGAATGTTACATCGCGTGACTCGACACGACGTCCAACGTCGCCTAGTATTCGCGCAGCGTGGCGTGGCTCACGCATACCATCTCGGCTGAGCGCCGCAAAGCGACCTCGGCGCGAATCGTGAGTTGGAAGTCGTCCCACGCGCTAGTGCTCTCTGACCTGCCGCCTTACATCGAATCTTCCTTGTATTTCTTCAGTAGCACCTTTTTGTACTCCTCAGGTTGCGCCCAGAGCTGCGCCGCGGCGACGTTGAGCGGCGAATCGTTATTCGGTTCGCCCAACAACGACTGAATGCTCAACAAAATCGTTCTCACGTTGTACACCGGGCTCCACTTTTCTTTCAAAATGTCCAAGCAAATGTTTCCGTACTGATCGACGTTCGGATGAAAGCATGGGGTCTCAAATTTTACCGTCGGTGCCTTGAATGGGTAATCGTTCGCGAAAGTCAGCGACAGCTTGTACTTGAGGTTCTCGTAGCACGTCCCGAGCGCGCCCTCGATGGTCCCCACCCAGGAAAAAATGTTATCGCCATCTGGAAACGCCGAGATGCCACTATCGGCGCTCGTCATCAGGCTCATCAATTCGCTTTGCAATCTATTCGTTCGCACGAGTCGTTTCGAAGGAGACCACGGTAATCGGTCAGTCGCCTCTTCGCTTCGCGCGGGCTCGCGAGGTCCGTCGACGGGGCGGTTTCTATTCCATCGTCGCGTTCGAGTCGAGACGAGTCGTCTCACCTCCTCGCGACCGCAGCAGAATCAGAGTGTCCGCCATCGCTCGCGTTCGTCTTCGCGCTCGACGTCCCATCGATCGCCGCTGTCGCGTTCACGCTCATGACGTCTCGAGAGGGGAAGCAAGGTCCGTGAATGCGCGTCCGGACGACGTCGGCGACGGCGACGACGACGACGACGACGTAAAAAGGCCGACGACGCGATGGAGGATGAGTCGTATTCCCTCGCTCACCCCCGACCGCGATCGATTCGCCGACGCCGAGCGCACGACACACGTCGGCGCGTTGTGAGGCGGCGGTTGCGCCGGTTGCGCCGGCAAAGCTGGACGAGCCCACGCGCAGACGGGGGACTCGTCTGCGGTTCGTGCCGCGGAGCAACGCGGCGTTCGAACGCGTGATGAACTAGATTGATTGCATTGGGTAAGCTGAATGAACGTGTGTGGTCTAGGGATCGGCGCGATCGGCGCGAACTCGTCGCGCTCGCGCCTCATCGCTTCACGACGTTGCTCGTCTTGAAAAAGAGGGAGTGGACGAACTGCATGCCGAAGGCGAAGATGGAGAGGTAGCCGCACGAGATCCAGCGTTCTGAGAACTTGATCTCATACTTTTGTTCGACGTACGTTAAAGTGTCGATGGTTTCAAAGTAAGAGCCTCGGAACGCTTGAATCGTCGGGCAGTTGCCGCTGGGGTATGGGCCAGAGCACCCGCGTCGCTCGAACTGCGGCGCGACGACGGATTGAATGGCGTACGCCACAGGATTGATGTAATAAGCCCACTGCCAGTAGACTGGAATCTGCGGAAGGGGCAAGTACAAACCACCGAATAAGAACGCGATGGGAATGAACGCCGAAGTGCCCGCCTGCGCAGTTTCAATGGTGGAGCACATGCACGCGATGGCTTGACCAAAACTCAAAAACGTGAACGATACCAAGAAGTTGACGAGGATATGGAAAAAGAGACGCTGTGCGGTTGGAATCATACCGACGAGGAAATACATCGGAATCACGGTGACTAAGCTGATGATTGCGATCCAAGGGACTTCAATGATAGCCGTCGCCAAAGAGAATGGAATAGCGTCGTACATGTACGAGCTGCGCTCGCGGAATGCCACCGCTCGCTCCCGAACTCGCACTGGCATGACGCTGTTCATGCAAATAATACCAGTGAAAATCGTCGTCATGAACACGCACGCTACCATAGATTGCACTCCAGCTTCATCTGTAATCTTCAAGTCGAGGTAAATGACGCCAAAGAGAATGTACAAGATTGTGAGGATACTGATGCGTCCGCAGTTGTAGCCGACATCGCGCAATTGCGACTTGTTCGCACGCGAAAGGATCGCCAAAAGTTGCGTTTTGAACGTTCTAGCGTACGGAGAATCGAAACTAAACATTTTTTCATCCGCTCCTTGCTCACTAATGGCGTTCACCAACTTCATCGCAGCCTGACCCTCGGCGCTAGACATGAATTTTTGATCAAGCAGCAAGCCGTCGAGGGCGATGCCACTGGCACTGCGCTTCATGCTACCTTTCTTCCTCGAGGCTCCGCCGCTCGAGTCGCTGCCACCGAGAACGTCGAGCATCCAGCTCGCCGGATTCATACCCGATGGAAGCGGAAGAGCCATTTTCAGCGATTGCAAGTAATTCACCATGGTCGAGCCTCCCTTCCCGAGTTCGCCGAAGTATACTTGATAGCCGCCCCGCTGGAGAAGAAGCATGTCATCGAACATCAAGAATATCTCCATCGAGGGTTGGTGGATGGTACTGATAACCGTACGCCCTAACGCAGCCACCTTCTTAACTTCCTTCATGACGATCAACGCGCTGCGAGCGTCCAGTCCGGATGTAGGTTCGTCCAAAAAGAAGACGGGAGCGTTTGACACCAGCTCAACCGCCACCGTGAGCACTTTGCGCTGTCCTGGGGCCAACCCGGTGTCACTTCCAGACGTGCCGATCATTCTGTGGGCGATGGAGTTAAGCTCTAAAATCTCCAGCGCTTCATCGACGAACGCAACGCGAGTTTCATCGGAGATGGACGGATGCAAGCGAAGCTTGGCGCTGAATTCAAGCGCTTCGCGCACCGTAGTGAACTCGTTGTGCAAATCCATTTGCTCGCAGTACGCAGTCAAGCGGGCAAATGTTTCTTTTTTCACATTATGTCCGTTCAACTTGATATCTCCAGAGATAAGCCCTGTGTTTTTGCGACCAGCGATGACGTCGAGCAGGGTTGTCTTGCCCGCGCCTGAGCTCCCCATGAGAGCGAGCATGCGACCCGGTTGTGCAGCGGATGAAATATTGTGTAACAGTTGTTTTGACACGGTTTTCTCTTTTTTGTCTGTTGTGCTGTCATCCATGGCGCCACTTTTGGGGGTCGCCGCTGCCACTTCAACGGTGTAGCACAGATCTTTCCACGATATGGCCATGGCGGTAAAATCCATCGCCTTTTGGGCGGCCGCGACGTCGATCATTTGAATAACTTCTTCATCGTTTTGAGCTTTATCTTCGGCGCGACTGGACCCGATATTACGTTGAATGCGGGTTGTGTGCAGTGTGCGCAATCCAACGGCAAAGGTGAGAGCAAAAAATCCGAGACAAAACGCCGGACCGGCCCATTTGTAAGAGGTATCTTTGGTGATGCCAATCGTGTCCAGAATGATTTCTCCCATGTTTGAGCACGGCGTGATCAAATTTTGCCGACAAAGGCTCTCCATCGAGGTTGAGCTGTACTGCGGATTATTGGCCACGAACGTTGCTGCCGTGATCGGGTCGTTCGGAACTAAAACGTTGTAGTGACCCGACAGGAACTCATTCTGACATAGCGAACGCAAGCAGTAGGCGAAAATCGAAACCCAGTACATGAACTCCAAACCTCCCATAAGCTCCGGGCTGATCAAGAAACCAGCGAAGAGGATCATAACTGCGATGAATGGACCCGGGTAGATTTGTGCGACTTCCATCGTCGGAGATACCAACGCAATGACGCGGAAGAAGGACGCCATCGCGACGTTTGCGAGCACCAACTGCAAGTAGAAAAAGCCCCATTGTTTGAAAGCTAAGTTCAAGCCAACCATTGGATACAGCACGCAGCTGAAGATGAGAGTCTCCACGATAGCAATCGGAAGATGCACCAGGGCCCATGACGCGAGATAAGATAGCTCGGGGAAAAGTTTCGCGTCCAAGTGCTTGAATGCGACGTACTTTTGCTCGACGCTGAACGTCAGTTCAGAAAAGTTTGAGAAGGAGATGTGCAAGATGCAGAAGAGCAGCATACCAAGCTTTTCGAACCCACGTTCGAGCGGTAAGTCAAACCATACCGAACCTAGGATGAGTGACGTTACGCACGCACCGAAGATGCGCGCTTGCAAGAAGAGCTTGTTCCGCAGCGTCACTTGGGCCTGTCGCTTGAACACAGACTTGAAGTGATCGGCGAATGAGCGAGGGTAACTGAGAGAATACTGATTCTTGGCAAACGGCGTATTCAGTTCGATGTCGGCTGGTGTACACTTCGATTTAATGCTCGACTCGTACGCTTGCGTGGATTGCCACGACTTCACCATGGCGTCAACGTTTGTGGGAATCGCGTCGGACGGTTGCGTTCCGGCGCGCAACAGCGTTTCCGTGGGTGAAACGAGCAAAGAGATCAACCAATCGGCGAGATCGGCGCCAGAGTTGACAGCGGGTGGGGCGAATCCCAAGCCTTTGAAGTAGGTAGCGACGTTATCCACAGGACCGTGATACACCGTTGCACCTTCCTTGAGAAGGAGAACGTCGTCGAACAGCGAGACAACCTCGGGAGTGGGTTGGAGGAGAGCAATGATGCCCGTACCTTGCGTTCGAGACGCCCATTCCTTCAAACCAGCTACAATGTTGTACGTCACCGCCGCATCGAGACCGGTAGAGATCTCATCCATGCACAAAACTTGCGCATTTTTCACCATCGCTTCGGCGATGGTGACGCGCTTCTTCTCCCCGCCAGACACGCCTCTGATGAGATCGTTACCAATTATCGTGTCCTTGCATCCGTCCAAATTTAATAGATTGATCACCTTGTCCACTTTATCGTCGTAAGCAGCCTTCCCTTCCGCATCACTCGGCACGTGGCACGCGTTTTCATGAGAAAATTGCACCGTCTCCTTCACCGTCAAGTACGGCAGGTGCTCGTCGAGCTGCGTGACGTATTCGCACAACCTATGCAGTGACACCCCTTTCGCCTCGAGCTCGTTCTTCGTCAGCCCGCTGTACGTGATCTCGCCCTCGATCGGCAGCGGGTTCACTCCCGCGATCGATTTCAACAGCGTCGATTTCCCGTGTCCCGGCGGCGCCAGCACGAGCGTCAGCGTCCCCGGCCGAAAGCACCCGCGCGCGTCTCGCAGCACCTCGAGCGTCGTCTTCTTATCTCCCGCGTTCTCCGCGCGCGCGACGAGCGATTTCATCGCCTCGAACGGTTTCATCGCCGCCCTCGCGAACGTCCCCGGCACGGTCTGTATCGTTCGATTCGCCTTCCCCGCGTCGAGCGCGAGGGCGCAGGAAAAGTCGCATCGCACCTCAACCGCCGGTCTCGCGCCGCGCGCGCGCCGCTCGTCGTCGAGCGCGCGGACGAAATCGCTCAGACGATCGCCGACGTTGGTCTCCTCGGGCGTCGCGACCATGTTCGAGCGCGCGCGCGTCGGACAGAGTCGCGACGCGACGCGATGTGGGTCGACGTCACGCCGCGACGGATGCGTCGGCGTCGAACCACTCCGCGGCGCACCGAGGCGCGACGCGCGAGGCGCGACGCGCGACGAAGACGAAGACGATGCGCGCGTCGAGCGCGTCGACGGCGAGGTCGAACTCGCCTCGAGGCGTCGAACGACGACGAACGACGACCAAGACGAAGAAGATGGCGAGAGCGACGACGACGCGGGCGTCGACGTCGACGTCGGCGTCGAGCGTTATCCCGGGAAAGGGACCGGGAAGCCCGAAATACGGTGAGATATACGAAACGCTGGTGAAGAGTAAAAAGGTGCGCGCGGCGACGGCGAACGAGGTGGCGGAGATGTTGTCGGGGAAGAGAAGAGGCGTCGTCGTCGACGTGAGACAACCGCTCGAACACGCGGAGTGGAGGCTGGTGGGAACGAAGAGCGCACCGTATTTAGTGCCCATGGAAAACGTGTTGAGACGCGCGAGTGGGTACTTCTTGGCCATCAAGGGTGGGCTGAAGGAACGCAACGTCGCGTTCGTAGACGTCGTGGCTGAGGTGACGAAAAATCGCCGGGACGCCGTCGTCCTCGTCGATTTGCGAGGGGGCGATCTCGACATCGCCCCACTCAATGGTTCAACCGCTGTCAGCGACCGTGGAGATTCGTTGAGCTTGCGCGCGGCGTACGAGCTCGTGCAAGCTGGGTACACGGACGTTAGATACGTCCCTGGTGGATTCCCGGCGCTCATAGATGAAGGCGGTTTGGAGTACGAGAGCGAAAAGTACGCTGGTTTGCTCGATGCCGTCGGCGAGGGCGCGCGTAAGACCCTGATGTACTCGAACTTATTGCCCGATCCATCGTTAGCTCCCGGTTTCGTGGTGCAGATCGTCTTGCTCGCAGCCTTAGCTTTTCTTCAGCAGCCTTAGCCGCTCCGCGTTTCAGCGCCGCTCACGTTTGTGTAAGACATTGTGAGAAGATTGAGACAGAACAGCGAGTGCATTTCTACAGAAAAACTTTTGTACAATACAAAAACACTAATAGTTTGCTTGCAGTTTAAGCGCTCCCGTGGCGCTGCCGACGTGCCGAAGCTCAGCTAAGTCATAGTCACCGCCGAGTCGAATCCAGTCCTCGTCCTCGTCTTGATAGCACAAAGTGACACTTTGAGAGGAATTTTCTGCGAGATTGAGCTTGGCTACGATGTCATCGCACGACATCTCTGTCGTTAACTTGAATCGTAGCACGTCTTCGCCAACACTTGCTTTTACGGATATTGGTTTCGCCTGTGCGTCCGGCACTTCAGCTCGCGCGCGCTGCGGCTTGAATAGAGATTTTGTCTCAACTCCTTCTTCGATCGTCAATTTTACACGCATCGTGCACGACGAACCACGTCGCGTACAGAAAGCCCAGCACTCATCGAAATCTTCTTGATTACGCAACAAGCACCAGTCTTGCTCGTCGTCTTGATATTTGAGCTTGCACGAAGACATTTGTAGATCGAGCAAATCAGTCAGCGCATCGACGAGTTCAACATATCTCTCATTTGTCACCAATCGAACTCGTATGAGCACATCACGCACTTGTACCTTAACAACCACCGGTTCTTTCTCAGGTTCTTTAACCAATTTATCGATAAAACTCGCCATTTCTTCGGACGCGTCCAGGGAGAGGGCGTTGTACGTGCTCGCCCCTCGAACACTTTGGTCCATCGGTGGTGGCGGCATATTAAAGTTATACACACCATGAACGCTTTGCTCGTAGCGATTTGGGAAGTCAAAATCAAGCGCATCTCTCGCCTGATTGTTCCCATGCCAGCTCATGCCGCGCTGCATTTTTGACACCCCTTCGCCTTGCCAAAAAGCGCCGAGATTGCCACCTCGGTGAACGCGTTGCTCGAGAGCTCTCTTATTTTTCTCCGATGTTGTCGGCGAAAACGTGGCGATATCTCTGAGTGAGTGAGACTTTATGCTTTGTGAGGGTAGTGTACCTGATGCGCCGATTTCTGAAGTGTGCGACACGCAACTAGCGCCTCCGTGGACAGACTCCCCAGCGCCGTCGTCGCTCATAGTCGCGCCAGTGGCGATACTCTTTGCCAATATATCAGACATATGACCATTTTTGCTATTAAGACTTCTTCGCGGCCAACGACGGATACCGTATTGTCGGCATATTCGTTTCAGCGTTGTGCTCCCGACGCCGAGGTCGCTCGCCGCTTGTTTCAAATGCTTGTGAAAGTTTTGCTGCAAAACCTCAAGGGTGATACCCCACAATGCTGTTCCGGCGGCATCCGGATTTGCCCCGCTTGAAGAAGCTGTCTGGTTCTTTTTCATCTCTTCGAGCCATGTTTTGTCGGTATCCGTCACCACACTAGCGTTCAAATCCGCCTCAACCGAGGACCAAAACGACTGCACTGTCTTTGCCTGATCGCGCGGAGACTTGAGGCTGGGATCGAGGAAGATCTCTACCAGCACCTGAAGTGGTTGACCTGATGTCACACCTTTCAACGCAATCTTCGAAATACACATCGCTTGCAACTTGAGTAAATCACATGAATGCTTCAAAAGAAAGTCGCGATGAGATAGCGTGCTCAGATCATGCATCCACACCATGGAACCGTTTTTCCAAACCTTGGACAAGGAGCCGGTGTGCTGAGATATTGCGAGATTCATAGATGCGTTCCTATAGTGAAGAAAATGATTCGACTTCTGATAATAAGGTGTCCCCACGCAAATTAGAGTGCCATCCACGTCGTGAGGGATCCAAATTTGCGCAAACGGAATTTCAAGACGGGAGCATATCATCTGCAAGCCCTTTTGCGTCTCCGCTACCTTCAACCGTGCAACTTCTCCGGCAATTTTATCCATCAGCACCGGCGGCGGCGCTAACGTTTCGGATATTGGAGTGTGTAATCCCGCGTTGGTCATTTCGCGAACGACGTGCGAGTAAACCGAACCCATGTTGTCCAACACATGCAGGAATGTGATTTCAAGCAACGCAAACGGCGTCGTGGATTGCGGTTTCGCGTTCACGGGTACGATCAACTGACTGTAACACCCGCATTCGATCGCCAGTGAATTTCTTGGAAACTCCGATGGATGATAACACTGCACCGATGGCGTCCACTCCGGTCTATTCGTCGCGAATACGCGTCCCGGCGCCCCCGAGCCAGGCGTGAAACCATCCGAGCCCGCGATCGCGACGTTCAACATGAACGACGTACATCCGCGGTGAAACGCCCAAAGGGCATCCGAGCGATGTTCACTGCACACTCGCACGTACTCAGTCACCGTGTGCAATAGTACGTCGTCATTTTCGCGTTCAACAAACCAAATCTGTGCGAGGCAACCGTCGCCCAAGCCGGCGGAGACGGCGTTCAGCGCATCGTTGAGTTGCTTCATCATGGTGTTCACCGAGGCATCGCTCGCGTTCGATTCCACCGTTTCATAAGCCCCTCTCACGAGTCCGAACGCATCCTTCTGAGTGTGCTTGGTCAACGAGCGCGACCTTGACCTCGAAGTCGTCGAAGCTCGCCGACGCCCTCTCGTCCCTCTCGCCGTGTCCTTTGTCGACGCGTCCCGTCCTCGAGTTGATCGTCCTTCGCGGACGTCTAACGCGTTGTGATCGCCATTATCGTTCGCCGTCCTCGCGTCGACTTCACGCGTGAGTTCGAGCTCGATCGAATCCCATATGTCCGCCTCTAAGCCATCGTCCAACGCAGCCCCCGCGCCGACGTGTGGATGCGACGGCAAGTAGTCCAAGAACGCCGCGAGTTCGTCCGTGGGAGCGCGCGAGGACATGTCGCGCGATCGAAACGACTTCGTTGTCCACGTCACGCGTCGTCAGCGGCGCCACGGTGCGTACGGTGCGCCGCGGCGTGCGGGCAAACCCAAACGTCGCCATAAAGCGTTCCAAACGTCGCGTCGACTGCCGTCCGCGACCGACCGGGGTTTTACATATGGAGTGCAGTCAGAGCGCAGAACGAACACCACGCGCGAGGGCGGCGCGACGACGAGGGTGGCGATGCGATGTGATTTCAACTCGGATTAGTATTTCAACTCGAATTAAAGTTTCTCTAACGCCGCGGCTGCGCTCGCGGCGCGTTTCTTCGCCGCTCGTTTCTTTGCGTTTTTAGCCGCCGCGGCTGAAAGTTGCGCGCCCGCCCCCGGGACGCCGGCGTCCGCCTTGGCGGGTTCCTTGGCGCCAGCCGCCTTAAACTTTCCAGCCTTCATGTCTTCTTCCGAGGCCTTGGCGAGACTAAAGTTACCACTTCCACTCGTGGCGTGCGGCGGACGGTACGCGGTTTTCGCTGCGTGCGGCGGACGGTACGCCCCTTTTGTGGCCTCCGACGCATTCGTCAAAACCGCGCCGCCTTGGCTCTCCACACGCTTGGATGCGGGAGAAATCGGGCGATCTTCGTACGTGCCGTCGGGAACTGGACGCCACGTCGCCTCATAAATCTTCGCACGCTCTTCGTGGAGCAACAAATCTCCGTTGTACCTCCAAATTTTCCATCCGTTGTCGACGTTCAGGCGAGGAGCTATCGTGCTCGTGAGCAGTCTTCGACCATCCGGAGACCATTCTAACGTCACAGAACACGATGCCCGCGTCGATCCGATGGGTTTGTACTTACCATCCTTCATCTTTTGAAAAAACTTGACGTCACCGGGCAAGTTTCCGAAACCGGCGAGAGCGACGAAACGTCCAAACGGGTTCCATCGAAGCGTGTTGTGCGGACCCGCGCCGAGTTCATACTTGGGCTCACACTGTGCCGCCTTATAAATCGTCGCTTTCGCGGGCATGTATCCGTAAACCACACCGAATTCGTCGCTGCAAGGCGACCACTGCGCGTCGTGGACGGGTCCTTCCTTGTTCAGCGGCACCGCACCCTCAAAAGAGCCATCCGCCTTGAGGTAATGCAAGCAGCTCTCGCCGTAGTAAGACTTGTTTGTCGCGTCGACTTCGCTCGAGCCTAGAATCAACACCGCGGAGCCATCTGGGGCCCACATCAAATCTACTTCAGTGACGCGGAAGAAAGACTTACGTGCGACCGGCGTCGGGTTCTCCACCACCCCCTCTTCTGTGTGCTGAGCGAGCTCGTAGATGCGAACCGATCCAGGCGCGCCCTTGACTTCGGGTACGAAGCACGCCACTCTTGGCGTCGATCCGTGCGATATTTTCGCCACCGCCACAGAAGGCACTCGAAGTCGAGCATGTCTGTCGAATCCCTCAGCCGGACGAATGATTTGAATCTCATTACTCACGCACCGAACCGCGGTTGAGTCGTCGTCGCTAAACTGAAAGTACGGCCACTCGGCTTTGAGAAACTGCCTTTGGAACACTTCGTACACTTTGCGCGGCGGCGCGCGGTTCGTCGTCAAACCTGTTATGTTCCATATCGTCATGTTTTTCGTATCCTTTGACGCTCCCGTGGAGGTTTGCTTCTGATAAATCGCCAAATACGTCTTCGACGGCGAAAAGTTCAACGCGCTCGCTCCCGGCAAGCCGTCGAGCGTCGCGGCGAGCGCGAAAGGTTCGACGCTCGCGTCGTACACTTCCACCGTATCGCCGTTCGCGCACGCGAATAACGTCCCGTCTCTCGAATACGTCGCCGTATCACCGCACTGCGCCTCGACGTCGTCACCGCCGCCCACGACGTCGGCACGAAAGTCGTGCGCATCGTACGCCGCCACGGCCTCGGCGTCCGAGCTCGCGCCGATGGTGCTCGGGCAGTCGTGAAACTTCCAGTGTTTCATCCCGATCGGCGTGCGCTCGGTGACCGTCATGAGAGGCGTCATGGCGCCGACACCCTCGGCGTCGCCGTCGCCGTCGCGCGCGTCGGCGCGGTGTGTCGGCGCCATCGCCCACGCCGTCGCCGTCGCCGTCGCCGTCGCCAACGCCGTCGCCGTCGTCTTTTATCCACGGATCCACGAGCACGCGCATTGAACTTTTGTGGCAGGTATTGTGAGTGTTTGCACACACGAGCACATAATAAATTCTAAACCCTCGTCGTTCGCGAGCGTTCGTTTCGGGACGCACTGTTCGTCGCGGCGCGGCGGCAAAGTCGTCGTCGGCGGCGGCGGCGTTCGGTGTTGGCTCGACATGCGCGCGGCGACCGTCGTCGCGGTGAATGCGCTCGCGCCGCACGCGCGCGCGGTTCGGTTTCGTCCGTGCATCGATATCCACGACGGCAAGGTGAAACAAATCGTCGGCAGCACGCTCAAAGATGCGCGCCCCGGGGACGCGGGTTCGGAGACGCCGGCGACGAATTTTGAGACTGAAACCCCGAGCTCGGCGTTCGCTGAGATGTACAAAAGAGACGGCATATACGGCGGCCACGCGATATTGCTGAGCAAAGACGAGGCGACGTTGCGAGCGGCGAAAGAGGCGGTGCGAGCGTTCCCGGGCGGGTTACAAGTCGGCGGAGGCGTCAACCCGACGAACGCCTCGGAGTTGCTCGATGCGGGAGCTTCGCACGTGATCGTGACGAGCTATGTATTTAGAGACGGGGCGCTGAACGAGGACGCGCTGAGCGAGATGATTCGCGCGGTCGGCGCGGACAAACTCGTGCTCGATTTGAGCTGCCGTTTGGACGACGCCGACGGCCGGTACAAAGTCGTCACGGATAGGTGGCAAAAGTGGACCGATTTAGCCGTGGACGGGTCGACGATGGAGCGTTTGGCGAAATGCTGCGATGAGTTTTTAGTTCACGGCGTGGATGTGGAAGGGATGAAGCTGGGAATCGACTTAAAACTCGTCGAACTTCTCGGCGAATTCTGCCCTATTCCAGTGACGTACGCGGGCGGGGCACGCAGCTTGGACGATCTCGAACTTGTCAAAGCAGCTGGGCGAGGGATGGTCGACATCACCGTAGGTTCTGCCCTCGATTGTTTCGGTGGTGCGCTCAAGTACGACGACGTTGTTGCTTGGCATAATCAGCAAAAGTTAGAAGTGAAATAAATCGAAATCCTCGCACACGCATCACTCCGCGCGCGACGCAAGCGTTTATTGAAGCTATATTTTCCTTTCCTTCTTACACCGGTATATGAGCTATAGTCTCCGACGCCAGAAAGATTCACCCCTTATCGGTTAGCCTTCGCGACGCGTTCCAATTCGTCCTTCTTCTTGATCGCGTAAGAGTTGCTCGACTGCTTGGCGGCGTTGATCAACTCGTCGGCCAAGCACTCGGCAATCGTCTTGACGTTACGGAAGGCGGATTCGCGGGCACCAGTGGTCAACAAGTAGATGGCTTGGTTCACGCGGCGGAGCGGGGAGAGATCGACCGCTTGACGGCGAACCACACCCGCAGAACCGATTCGCGTCGCGTCTTCGCGCGGACCAGCGTAAATGATGGCGTCGACGATCACTTGCACCGGGTTTTGGTCGGTGAGCAAGTGAATAATCTCCATCGCATGCTTCACGATGCGAACAGCCATCAACTTCTTACCGTTGTTACGACCGTGCATCATGAGCGAGTTCACCAAGCGCTCAACAATCGGGCACTGCGCCTTGCGGAAACGCTTGGCGGCGAATCGACCCGCGGTGTGCGGCACGTACACCGCGTACTTCGGCTTCACCGCAATGTAATCCTGCGAGACGTGACGAACAGATGTGTGGTCAGTTTCGAGATCGCGTCTACGTTGTCGCTTCACGCCCGACGACATATTCTGCAGTTCCCCCGTTGCGTCCTCGAGGCGCGCGACGTCCCAGTCAAAAGCCCCGTGCTACGGCACCGACGACGTCGTCGTTCCGCGAGCGTCCACGCCGACGGGAGCGAGCGAAACGATGCTTTATATCGCCCCTCGTCCACTCCGCGTCTGCGTCTCGCGTTCGTCGCGCGCCGCGCCGCGCGGGCGCGCCCGCGACGTGTCCGTGGACGCGCCAGGGTTTTCCAATCATCTTCCGCGCCCGCGTCTCGCTCGCGTTCGCGCGCATCGCTCGTCTCGGTGACGAACCTCCAACGAGATGTCGTTGATCTGTAATCCAACACGCGCGTTCGTCAGTCTCATCGTTCATTTTGAGCGCTCATCGACGCGCAGCGCGCGCGCGATCGCGTCGCGCGACGCCCTCGCGAAGACCCTAAAACGCCGCGATCGCCATCGGCATCGCCGCCGGTGTGTCGCCGCGCGTGCGTCGCGCGGCGTCGGGATGGAGCGCACGCACCTCAACGTCATCGAACGTCCACTTTCCGAACAGTTTCACTTCTTGAGTCGTCGCCATCGTGATCGAGCGCGCCGAGTAAAGACGGAACGGCGCGTGGGACGGCGAGCGACGTGTCGCGCGCGTGTCGCCGTCCGTGTAGTAAGCAGTCTCGCCGCCCGACACGGCGGCGACGTCTCGAACGCGCGCGCCTGGGCGCCGCGCACGACGACGCGAAGGTCGACGGTGACGGACGGCGCGCGATGGCTGGAAAGGCGAAGCCGAAAAAGGTTCGTTCATCGTGTCGTTCGTTCGTCGCGTCGCGACGCCGCGCGACGCCGCACGACGCCGCGCGATGACCGCCGCCGCGGACGGACGCGCGATGGGCGCGACGCACGCGTGACGCGCGACGCGACCACGAGACTGACGGCGAATATTATCGCGCAGCACACGGCGAAGGAGCTCGCGAGTAAGGCTGCGGCCGCGCTCACGAACAAGGGCGGTGGGAAGAGCGGTAAGGCGGACCGACTCGGTGGAGCGGCGGGACACGCCAAGTTCAAATGTCCCGTGTGCGCGCAGGGCGCGCCGAGCGAGAAGACGGCTGTCGCGCACTGGGATAGCAAACACGCCAAACTCCCGTTTGTGTTCGCAGACTGGACGGACGCGCACGCCGCTTCGGGTGGTGTGACGACGCAAGGCGCTGCGGTGAAGGGTGGGAAGGAGAAGACGGTGCACGAGCTGCAAAAGACCGCGGCCGGACGAGCCGAGTTGGCGCGCCGACAGGCGGAGAAGGAAAGAATCGCAAACTTGCAGTTTTAGAGGAGGGTAGTCATGGTCTTGGTCGGAAATTCGGCGCCACAAATAGTCGTTGTACGTTACGTTGTTTTAATGCATAAGAGGAGAAGTAAATGTGTGTTAAAAAGTTTGTGTGCTTTAGCACAGGCGCAAACACGGCTTCGTCATCGATTCAACCTTCGTTCCCGGGGAGAAGTCTTCCCAATCAAAGTACACTTCTAGCATGACTAAGTGATGGTATATGTCAGTCAAGCTATGAGGCTCGAGAAACAGCGCACCGCAATGCGCGAGAATCATCTTCATGTCTTTTTCGATCGGCGCGAACCGTTTGCATCGTAGACGCATCAGAAAATCGTTGACGAGCAATTGGCAATAGTGCACGCGCTGGAAATGTGGGCTCTCCACGGACGCGCCGCCGCCCCATTCAATCTTCCACGGTGGTTTTCCTACCCAATTTCCGACGCCCTCTTTTAAACTAAAGTGCACGCCGCCGTTTTGTCGCTTGGCCAAGAGCGCGATTTTCTTTCCCGCGCGCACCTGGACGCCGCGTTCGAGGTATTGCAGCGCCTGCCCCCAATAGTGCTCCTCGCGATCGTCGTCGTCGAATTCATCATCTCCTAAGGACGTGGCATCGGAGACAAAAACGGTCCTGTCGCTTGATCCCTCGCGCGCAGAGTCGCTTTCAAAGTCTTCGCTTCGTGGATTCGACGCCATGTTCGCTCGAACTCTGCGAAGAGATTCGCACATGACCTTTTTCGCATGCGCACCGTCAAAGTCGCCGAGAATGCGTTGATTTTCAATTGTACCACCCTTTCCAATCCCTAGCGGTGCCGTCGTAATCGTCTCTTCTTCGTCCATGTGCAAATCAAACCAAAAACACACCGCATTCATGTAGCCGTGCGCGATTGTCTCCATCTTTAGCACGGTTTCCCTGCCCTTGCTCTTCTGGGAGTCATCAAAGAAGAATTCGAATACTTTTTTGGGTTTTGTCAACACTCGGTAAGGCTGGTCTCGCATGTACGTCGCCTCGTACGTGCTGTCCCATCTATACTTGTTGAAGGCGCTCATGTTGAAACCGTCGACTTCGCTTGTGTACGCTTCGATGCCTGCGCAATAAATCGTCGCCGCCGCGGGAACGACTGCGCACGTAGATGCGCTCAATTGCTTACGGGCTGCTTCTATCATGTCCAACACGTCATCTCCGGTGAGTCCGGCGTCGAAGACGTCCAGAACGATAAGATTAACGCCGTCGTATGGCGCATGCTTGCCGCGTTCGAGTTGCGTCGCGTCGCGCTTCAGGACGCTCACCTGAGATCCGTAACCATTCGCGGCAACATTTCGTCTAGCGACGCTCACGAGCGATGGATGCGTGTCGCAAGCGACGACGGAATCCGCACCCGCTCGCGCGGCGAGCATGGCGAGTATACCGCTTCCCGTGCCGATGTCGAGCGCCCTGCACGTGTCTCCGCGAGCCTTGATTCGCGCAACTTGACGCCCGAGGGCGTCCGAATACGCGTGCAGACGCCCCTCATCGCGAAGCATGTGAAAGTGATATTTTGGAAAACTGGCATCTTTTTTCGTCACTTGATCGTACTCTGCATCTTCGACACTAAACTGTATACCGACTGTGTTGTGCGCGCACGTGAGTGGCAACACGCTGCCTTCTTCTATTGATATTTTCCCGGGCATGAACTGGACAGCGGCGCGCATCGAAGAAGGACAATCTTCACCACCAGGTTTTGTTGAAATTTTCACATCATCAATCAAAGTCATCTCGTACCAAAACACCACGGCGTTGAACTTGCCGCGCTTCGTAAACGTTAAATCAATCGTCTTCTTCTCGCTACAGTCTGGCGGCATGAGGAAGTCAAATTGGAACACTTGCACAGGATCGCTCAGAGTGATGTACGCGTTCTCGAATAAATCAATGCCTGCAATGTACGTTGGGTGCCATCTGTAACCGTCTATCGCGCTGAGATTGATTCCGTCAAAGGCGGGCGTGCGCATATCGACGGCTTGGGCGTACAGCGTCGCGCTCGACGGAATGACGACTGCGTCTGGCAACAATAGCTTGTCCAAGGCATGCCTAACGGCGGGAATGATCCCCGAACTCAGCAAACCGTCGTCAAATACATCGCACACGCACACGTTGCACGATATTGGGACATCGCGAAGCAACGCGAGATCAGTCGGACGCTTGTACACGACTTTGACTTGGTCATCACTGTATCCGTTGTTCAACAAATTCTCCTTCGTAGCCATGGCGAGGTACAGCCAGCGCTCGGTAGCCGTCACGTGATGCGCACCGTGTTTCAACGCCAACATTGTATTTAATCCCGCACCGCAACCGATATTCAAAACTCGTGCATCTTTGGCGTCGTCGTGCATCTTGTCGATTGCGCATTTAATCGCCGTAGAGAACTTGGCGCGCCGAACGTCGTCTTGTAAAACCTTGAAATGTCTCTTCGGGACGCGAATATCGGCTTGAATCGTCATATAATTGTACGTGTCCTTCAGATGATAATCATTTTCGGCTTGGAATGGGGTCAATAGCGTGTTGGGCAGCATATCGCGAGGATGCACACGGTGAAGCGGCGCCGAGTACGGCAGCGACGAAATTCTCTCACTCGTTTTCCCGGAGCTCGGCAGGGCATATTGTTTCTCTTTTCCGCGTCCGATGTATAAATCACGAATGACTGCTTGCGTTGCCTCTTCCAAACCGCGCTTCAATTCCTCATCGGTCGGGCTCATGGTTAATCCGCGCTCAAACTCGAGCTTTGCGAGTTTCGGTTCCCGCAAACCCATGAGCGCGAAACCCTTCCTCGCGTAACCCTTCACGAAAACCTTGACACTCCCGTCGTCATCTTGTAACTGCGTGAAACGCTCATTCGCCAATGTCTGCGCGCGATGGCCATCCCACAGAGCTTCTTGAAATAGACCCAAGTTCAAGTACGCGAATGCGCGATTTGAGTGGCACACGTATAGCGTCGGGTGCGTGACGTTGTTTTCAGAAACCTTTCGAAACACCTTGGCGTAAGCCACCACACACTTGACATCGTCTCCGGCTTTCAAATATCGCACGGCTTCGTTGTTCAACTCGGCGATTGATCGCGATTTAAATTTTGGATCTCGCGCGAACTCGGCGTCCCGTTCGCGAATGAGAAGTATTCGCACTCGCGTATCCCTCTCATCCGCAATCTCCGCATCTCGCTCGCTTGCGCGTTCCAGAGACGCGCGTACAACACTATCCCCGTCCACATCTTCTTCGTCACTCTCGTCGTCACCATCTCCAACCTCCTCGCGCGCGTCGAGACTTCGGTCGTCGTCGTCATCGTTCTCGCTCTCGGTCAACCTACGAGCGCGAGCGCGATCGACGCCCATGTCGACGCGTCGCGTCGTGCTTCGGCGTGCGATCGAACGCGAGTTACGGCCTACGATTCGTGCGCTTTATCGCGGCGCCACCGCACGCGCTCCCCAGTAGCGCGTCGCGATATGGTGACGTGAGCGGTTTCCGCGAGCGTTTTCGTCAAAAACGCATCAAAACGTTCAATGGCTTGCAAGAGGCGCTAGTCTACAAGCTATCGTGTCACACACCGCGCCTTTTTCGTTCAGACCGCCGTGGAGAAGCAAAAACACACGCTTCGACGATGGCGACGTGGGTGAATCGTTTTGCATTCCAACATCTTCCAAATTCAGTTTCACCGCTACGTTCTATCCGCTACGTCAATTCGTTGGTTTCGCGAGCCTCGCTCGCGCGGCGTCGACGGCGACGTCGCACGGGAGATACGCGACGTCATACTCGATCGTGCGCCCTCCGTCGACGCACGAACGACGCACGTCGACGGCGACGTGCTCATCGCGCGGAACGCTGTACTGCTTCGCGAATCTGCAAATCATTTTCTACGATCCATCGCGAGCGCAACTATGCTAATCGCCGACAAGTACAGCGACATCACTCCCCAAGCCGTGTTAGCGTCGGCATTTATCGTGTCCACTGCCAAATTCGTCAGCCCAGTCAGAGCGTTTCCGACGACGAACACGAAAAGTTGTCGACGATTGATCGCGCTCGCCAATACCGGAATGTCGCACTTCCCCCGTCCGTTCGCGCTTCGCGCAAACCACGTCATACAAACATAAACAATGATGACTTGCAGATTGAAGGCGACGATCCAGAGCACGTACGCTGCGTTCCCAGCGCGCCTTGATGTTGGTTCGACATACGCGTGAGATGCGATGGCCGCAAACCAAAAAGCACAGGTCACGATCGCCATCGTTTGTAGCCACCTTGAAAAGTTCAACACCGGTTTCGAGAGCGCGTTGCCGAGATGCGCCGCTATGAGATGGATCGCAAAGTACCCACCGCACGCGCTCGAGACGCCTTCTCGGTTCATCGAGACGAACCTTGTCAGGACATTCGTCTCGGACTCGTGCGATCGCACATCGGGGGCTTGCAGGATCCAAGCGCTCAAGCCGTGACAGGATAACACGTACTGATACGCGAACGAAATCAATAAACCGAAGGGCAACGCCCTGTGCGCTGCGATTGGAAGCGTGTCCGCACACACTTGAATGACGGCGAGAGTGAAGAAGAAATTCCAGTGCCGTCCGTACTCGGTCTCGACGGAGTGATACCCGATCATGGTCGTGATCGCAAGCCTGGCTAAACCCAACAGCATGACTTGCATCACTTTACGCCGACTCGCGCGCAAGTTTCGCTTTTCCTTGCCTCGAGCGAATCGCGAGACGACGCTCGAAGAAAATACGAACGAACCGGCGCCGACGTCCATGAGGGACACACCGTACGTCTCCGTCTTGCCCAAACGTCGAGGAAAGAGGGTAAAGTCTACGGCCAAGATGGCGACGACGGTCATCATAGCGAGCGTAAACCTGTACAGCGTGAGCGCATCTTCGCAAGTAAACGCGGCGCTGTTGGCGCGGCTTCCCAGCGCTGGGCGCGCATTACAAGCCCAGTACAAGAAGCAGCCTCCCGCCACGGCGCAGGCCACGGCCAAGGCCTTCGTCACCGCAAACATGCTCGCCAAAGTCGCCAAGGCGAGCATCGCCGTCTCTGTACCCACTAAAAGCGTCGTCTTCGTCGACGTCGACGCCCATGACTTGCATCGTTCGCGAACTGTGACGCACGCCCACGCGGCGACGAGGACGACGAACACCACGGCGTTGACTTCACCGTACGACGTCCCTGGATTGTCGCTCACGAACGCCACCTTGGCGTCGCCATGTCGCATCGAGACACCACGACCTTGACTCGACACGACGAGCGACGTCGAGTGGCGAACGGCCGCACAGCGGGGCGCTCGCGCGCCGGGCCAAGTTCGTCAACGCGCGCGCCGCTCTGCGTCGACGCTGGGCGCACGCGCGAACGGACTGCGACGGAGTCGACCGAACGCACCTGACAGTCGCGGCGCGATCGCGGTCGCGTTGTCGAACCACGCGGCAAGCGCTCGAGGAATCTCACGGGAGTCTCACATGCCGGCGGTTGACGACGACGACGACAACGAAGAAGACGTCATCGCGCCTTTACCGCCCGCGAGGAAGCGACATGACGTGAAATTCAGTGATTGCGAGATGCGCCCGAGCCAAGCGAACGCGGCGAAGACGAAGACAGCGAACGCGGCGAAGACGAAGACAGCGAACGCGGCGAAGACGAAGACAGCGAAAGTAGCGAAGACGAAGACAGCGAAAGTAGCGAGCGCCAAGTGGTGCGCGGTGAGTATAGCAGACGAATTTGACGGCGAGTTGATACCGGGAGTGCTTTTGGATGCGAAGGAGTACGTCAAGAAGGTGTCAGACGCGAAACTACGCGCCGTTCGATTGCTCAATTCCAATCGAGTTTTGTTGCTTCCACCCTCGAACTGCGCGCGCTACGCGATTCACACTGACGCGAAGACCTTACGAGAGACGTGCGATCGCATGGTGTTGGTGAAGAACGCCGGTAAGACATCGACCGAGTTGATGAAGAAGAGGCAGTACTTCAGAGTCTTGGCGCCAGCGCTACCGCCGAAACCGCTGCACGACGTGCTCGAGACGAACGAGGAATTTGACGCACCGCTCAATAGAATTACGTGGTGGGATGGCGACGTGTACGTTTTCGCGCAAGCGCGCAAGGATAATCCACAGAACATTGATAAAGCGTTCATCAGAATCGATCGCACCACCGGAGAGAAACTCAAGTTTACGAACTGCTCGGCGACTGGTGAAGTCGAGATAGGCACACACATGAATCGTTTACGCTCTAACGAATCCATAAGAAGATACCTCGACCGAGCTCGCGTCTACGCAAAAGATTTGCGAAAAAGGTGGAAGCGAGTATATGACGAGGGAGGTCAGCGGCTGGATGTCCCTTCAACTCTTCCGGAGTTGACGACGACGGTGTCAGCGGTGGTGGTCGAAAATGGTGTTCCGAAAGATGCGTTGGCGTCGACGACGATGAAGGTCATCAAATCGAAACCGGTGACACCCAAACGTAAGCTTTCTGCTGATGACTTGGAAACAAAGGCAACCAAGAAGAAGTGCGACGTCAACGACGCGGTCAAAAAGCCTGTACCGAAGAAACGAATCGAGGAAAAGCCAGCGAAACCGGTCAACGTGCCGTGGGGCGGAAACCCGTCACCAGTTATCGTCGTCGTCGGTGCCGGTCCGGCTGGACTGGCTGCGGCGAGAAGTTTGAAAAATCATGGTGCATCCGTAGTTGTTTTAGAGTCGCGCAGCCGACCAGGTGGGCGCTGCAACACCGTTGAAATGCGGGAGATGGCGAGCGCGGGCTTACCGAGCGTGCAGGTTGATCTCGGTGCATCGTTCATTCATGGTTGCCACGATTACAATCCTGTGTATGCGATTGCCAAGAAGCATAAAGTCGCGCTCAACACGGCAGGTGGCGGTTACAGCGCTGGATGGGGAGAAAAGTCGTCGTGGTATAACGCCGAGGGCGGACGCGTGAAAGAACAAGACGTTGCGCAGGCGTTTCAAATCTCGCGCAAGGCGACTGAAATAATGTTTATTAAAAATGCCGAGGACATTGAGCGGTCGCTGTGCGTGCCGATAAAAAGCACACAAAACGAACAGTTACAGGCGCAGCATTTTATCGCGTCGCCGTCGGCGAGAGGTTACGATGAAATCGAGGAAAATTCTGATTGCTCCTTGGAAGACGCCTTCAACTACGCGACGAACCAAATCGTGAACTCTTTACTTAACGGGAAGAAACGTTTTGAAAAGGTGAAACCAGTGTATGATTCGATACCAGTAATCACTTGGGCGTTCGTTGCGCCTATGCGAGAGTTGTCCTTCGTCTTCGAGCGAAATGTGCAAGACGAAATCAGAGACATTCTCGCCCCTGATGGGCCAGTCAACGCAAATGAAACATCATATGTCGAAAGCGAAAGTGACGCGTCCACAGTGGACTCCGCCGTAAAACGGCCGCCGGGCAAGGTGGAAAACAAACAGTTAGATTTTTCTGACGGCATGGTCGTGAATGGATACAAAGACCTGCTCATAGATCGATTAATTGGGGAGAAAGATGGCGCGCTCGATATCAAGTATGAGCACGTCGTCAATCGTGTGAAAGTCGACGAGACATCTTTCATGAACGAGTTTGGACAACAGATCAAGGCAAAGCAGAAGTCATACTGTGTTACGTGCACAAACGGGACGCAGCATCCGTGCGATTACGTCGTTGTCACCGTGCCACTGGGTGTCCTAAAAAAGAATCGCATCGAGTTCACGCCGCCGTTGAGCGATCAAAAGTTGCGCGCGATTCAACGCATAGGAATGGGTACCGAAAATAAGGTTTACATGCGCTTCAAAGAAATGTTTTGGCCGAAGTCGAAATTCTTCCAAGTCACCGATCCACGTTATCGCTTTCTGAATTTAGACGCGTACGGCAAAAAACACACCCTGTTAGCGCATGTCGCCCCGCCGTACGCGCACGACTTCGACGGTAAAGATGAACTTGAAATTGTTCGCGGCGTTTGTCGAGTGTTGCAGAAGATGTTTCGGTTGAAGTCACTTCCTGTGCCAGATGACTACATCGTCACGAACTGGGGAAACGACGAGCACTCTTTTGGCGCGTATTCGTATGCGCGCACCGGCACGACTGTTCTCGACGTCGAGGCTTTGGCCGCTCCAGAGCACGATGGACGGCTTTACTTCGCCGGAGAGGCGTGTTCAATTACTGGACCGCAATGTGTGCACGGTGCAGTCGTCACTGGCAACGCCGCCGCGGTGAACATTCTCAGCCTCGGCAACGTTGACATTGACGTAAGCAAAATCGTCGGCGGCGACGCGGGCATGCAAGAGGACGAAGAGGTGAACTGGAAACAGTGCCACAAGTGTAGCGTCTGGCGTAAAGTTCCTTCGGTGAGCATGCCGATTGTGGAGGACAATAGCCTGTGGGAATGCGCGGACGGCGGCGTTTGGAACACTTACCTCGCGAAAGAAGGGTGCAAATATAGCGACGAGAGCAAAATGTAGATCATGTTCTAGAATGGAAAATATAGGAAAACAAAATGTACCGTTATTCGAACTATGCCTACGCTAAGCTACGCTATGGATACTTCGTCAAGGTGCGTTCGGTCCACGAGCTTTGGCGTCGTTGGAAAAACGAGCACGAGTTTTGGAACATCTTATGCGGTTCCAGGAAACTCACAGTGACGAACTCCCCGTAAGGCGATGCTCCAGTCTCGGCGTCGCGACCCCCGTCTCGGGCGAGCTTTCGCATCTTTTCCAGCCATTTACGCGACAGCGTATTTGTCAGCGTCGAGTGCACGACGACGAAACCACCGCATGGATTCACTCGACTCCACCAGGCGTCGAAGAAGCCTTCGATGCGGTTTGCGGCGCCTAAGTCGATCCACAACAGGTCGAAGTACTTGACATCTGGAACGGCCAACGTGCTTGGTAGCTCGCTGTCGAACGCATCGCAGACGTGGACGCGCAAAAACGATTCGCACCCCAGCGCCTGAGCAACCTCTTTCACTCGATGCGCCGTAGTATGCTCGTGCGCGCAGTTGTCGACGATGTGAAGAGTTGACGCGTCGAGCTTTTCATAGTCATAATCAGGTGCTGTCCAAGGAACGTCGCCGATGCGCGCCTCCTGACGCTGAATCATCGCTCGATACGTCGCAATTTCATCGGCGTTGTCTCGCATCGCTTGGAGCAAAAAGATGCTCGTGTACCCTGCGCCAACTTCCAACACGTGCGCGGGCTTACAAAACCGAGCGATTGCGTACAACAAAGGTCCCATATTTTCCGCGCCCATGTGTAAATCATACAGCGGCTCGATCGCGCTGAGAAAAGATTCGTCATAAATGCCTCCGCGCGTGCGCTTTATGACGTCTCGAGCGTCGCCGTGCGTCACCGCCATCGCGGGCGCACGCGCGCGCGCGCGCGATGAAAGCACGTGATCCACGATTGCCATCGTGTCTTTCGTCTCCACGCCGATGTCGGAGAGCGCAGAAATTGCTTTCGTTCTGAAAGCGTCGTCCTCGTTCTCGTCGTTCTCGACACTTTTCGCGAGGTCGTCGAGCGTAGTTTCTGCGTCGCGCATCATCGCCACGTACCAAGGACACTCGAGTGAGCGCGCTGCGCGCTCGAAGGCGTTTCGCGGTTCGTCGTCGTTCATCTCGTCGATATCGACGTTCGCGGCGCCATCGTGTGCGGCGAACCGCGCGAGAGGCACGGTCGTCCCGAACGACCGTTCGCGGACCAACCGCATCGCGTCATCTCGCGCCTCCCATGCGCGGTCCTGAACGGTTTTATCTCGCGTGCGCGTTCCGCGCGCGCGCGAGCGCTTCGACATCCAACAATGCCGCCGCCAAGCTCGACGCCATAGTCACCATGGGTCGACAGGCGATGTCGCGCGCGCACGATGCCGATGGCGTTGAGGACGCGGTGCTGTTTGACGAGGACAAAACCTTGCTCCTGGACGCGCTGGAGCGACAAGCGTCGCGTGGACCGTGTCAAGGAACGCGACCGTGGGATTTGTGGGATCCCGCGGGCGCGCTGGCGTACGACGCGTGGAGCATGCTGGGGAATATTAGCCCAGAGCGCGCGATGGAGCTGTATTGCGAAGTGATAAGTTCGAGATACGCCGATTGGTTTGACATGCTCGTGCGAGGTATGAGCGAAAAACAGAAACGAGCGATGATTGCGACGGCGAAAGAGTGCGCGCTGGAGTATTATCGCGCGTTAGCGAGCGGGGCACTAGGGGAATCGGCGCGACTGGCGCAGACGAAGGACGCTCGCCGCGCGCTCGCGTTCAATTCCTCCACGGGACCGACGGCGTTTTTAGATGAAATGTTCGCCAGCGCGGCGGACGATGAGTTTGTGAGACTTCCAATCCTGAGCAAGGTCTCACCACGCGCGCGGTCTGGACATATGTCCGCTGTGGTGGACGGCGACACCATCTTCTTCTCGCACGGTCGAGGCTCACGCTCGCGATTACTCGGTGATTTGTGGGCGTTCGACCTGGCCACGGGTGCGTGGGCCGAACGCAAATTGCAGTGGCCTGGGTCGACGTGCGCGGGCGCGGCGAGCGCGACGATAGGATCGAAACTGTACGCCTTTAGAGGGAAATCAGCGGATGACTGCGACGTCGACGGTGTGTACAGTCTCACGGTGAGCGCCATTGATTTGACCGCCGATTACGCGTCGAAAGATTTCAAGTGGACGCACGTGCGTTGTGAAACAAGCGATGAGGTTTCAACGCCTCCGCGTGCGCGATCCGGTCACACTTCGACTGCGATCGGCGATCGAATTTTCATCTTCGGCGGCGTCGACGCGAAGACGGGAGACGACTTAGATGAACTTTGGGAGTTCACACCGACGACGACGGTGTGGAAGAAATTAGCGAATGGGACGCGTCCACGAAGTTCGCACGCAGCGACGAGTGTCGACGAACGATATTTGCTCGTTTGCGGCGGTTCGACTGGCAATGAGTTATGCGATTGCGGCGCAGTCGACGTGTACGACGTCGTCAAGGGCGAGTGGGGAACTGTCGATGGCGACAACGAAGACGGTGATCGCCCATCGCCTCGCGCGGCGCACGCGTCCGTAGCGATTGGAAATCAGTGGTTCGTCATTGGTGGTGGCGATAACGAAAACGCAACCCAGGATGCGTACACGTTCGATTTACGAGCGTGCGTGGACGAGCGAAAGTGTCGGTGGACGCTCTTCGCGGAGTCGTGCGCTCTAATTGGCAAGGAAGGTATGTCGGCGAGCGCCGTGGTGTCGCCATCGTCGAAGCGTGTGTTTTTGCTTCTCCACGGCGGTCTGAACGAAAAAGGCGCGGTGTGTGACACGATAGCTTGTAGACTAGCGCCTCTTGCAAGCCATTGAACGTTTTGATGCGTTTTTGACGAAAACGCTCGCGGAAACCGCTCACGTCACCATATCGCTATTTTTAGGTTTTAGTCCGGAGACGTCCGGAGCGTCGAGGGGGAAGTCTGCGGTGCCGTGCTGGTCGACGAGTGCTGGCCGTCGGGTGTCGTGCAGGTGCACAGGAAGGATGCGAATGATCGTGACTTTTCATGCCTCAGTACGACGCAGAGAACCTAGGGTGAGGTGTAATAAGTATTAGCTAGTCGGTCGGTTACGGCACTTCTCCCGAAGCGCCTCCCTCCCTCATGCTTAGGGTTTAGGGTTTAGGGTTTAGGGTTTAGGGTTTAGGGTTTAGGGTTTAGGGTTTAGGGTTTAGGGTTTAGGGTTTAGGGTTTAGGGTTTAGGGTTTAGGGTTTAGGGTTTAGGGTTTAGGGTTTAGGGTTTAGGGTTTAGGGTTTAGGGTTTAGGGTTTAGGGTTTAGGGTTTAGGGTTTAGGGTTTAGGG